CTTTCACCAGCACCTTCTCTACTGATTTCATCACCTCAACTGGAGAGGATGGCAAGGAAACCATCGAAACGATCTATTACGTAGAGACGCCAATCGTGGATGTAACTTCGGGTACAACGATTCCATGGACGGGCTCTTTCACCAGCACCTTCTCTACTGATTTCATCACCTCAACTGGAGCGGACGGCAAGGAGACAGTTGACACTGTTTACTACGTCGAGACCCCAATTGTGGATGTCACATCTGCCACCACGATTCCATGGACGGGCTCTTTCACTAGCACTTTCTCTATTGATTTAGTCACGTCGACCGGCGATGATGGAAAAGAAACCGTTGAAACGATTTTCTACGTTGAAACTCCATCTCCTAGTTTGTCTTCTAGGAACATTTCGTTATCATCCGGGTCAACGTTAAGTCTCTTGAGTAATAGTAGTTCACCTACTATGACCACGAGCTCCCTGTTCGCTTTTAACTCGAGTGTTTCAAATTCATACCCGGTTTCTGAATTGAATAAAACAGATGCAGGGTTTACTACGCTTGCTCCAGGTGGGATAACTACAGTGATACCCGCTTCTTCTCCGACTTTATCGCTGTCTTCCATAACCGATAATGGGCACGCATCATCTAATTTCTCAAGTGGGTCATGGTCTATGACTTCCAGCATTTCAGGATTGGCTTCTTCTCAAGGTTCAAACTCGACACTCATTTTGTCGACATCTCCTGACTCGTCCTCAAATAGCTCATTTGTGTCACAATTTAGTTCCGTCAACTTTTCAATGACAACTGAACCATCTACATCCACTGGAACTGTCAGTGAATTGACTGCTACCGAAAGCAATGGAAATACCTCCATGAGCAATCAAGCGTCCGGAACTACAAACGGAACGTCTACTCTTTTCAATGCTACGGAATCATCAGTGTATAATAGTGCCACTGGTGTGACTAATTCTATTGCAATAACCACGAATTCGAGCGGTTTTACAACGTCATATTCAGGACAGCACTCAAGTTTAGCGGGAAGTTCCGTGGAGTCAAACAATACAGCTTTCAATAGCTCAGTACCATCATCTACTACTGATAGCGGATTTGCAACAAGTAACATTTCTGAATCAATCTCAAGTACCACTTTGCCCTCCGACTTCAACAGTACCGAGTTTATAGCAAGCTCGACAACATTAATGAGTCAGGCTATTACGTCAATGGGGTCAAGTTTCACTGCGAACAGCACTATCCCTGATTCTACATATACAATCGATCCCGTCACATCGTCGGGGTCTATCGTGACATCCTCTGAACCGACTGAGTTTACCACGGTTGATGCGGGTACAACTGTTAGCAGCCTAAGTCAAGGCTCATCTGCGTCTTCCTCGTCCGAGTTACAGGGTGATAGCAGCTTCGCCGCTACCACGGATCCGACCTATTCAGTTGACCCAGCGACTTCTTCTGGGTCTGCAGGACTGCCTTCGGGCCAGACAAGCTTCACAACATCCGATGCTAGCGGAGGTGTTATTAGTAGTACAATCGAATCCACCGATCTATCATTATCCTCGACTTTTGGTGATGACGTCACTCAGAGCTCAGAACAAACCATTTCAGGCAGTACCGCAGCTGCAAGTACTGATAGTTCAACCATAGCAAGCACCAGTGAAGGTTATGCTGGTAATTTACCTAGTCAAACGCCTGGTACTGATTATCAATCATCGAACAGTTTATACTCCGACTTGTTCCCGTCTTCTGGTAGTCAATCAACTGGCAAAGATAGTTCGATAGAGCCAACAACCAGTAAGCCTGGCTTCACCACGGTTGCACCAGGACAATTCACGACAATCTTTAGCTCGGCGGCTTCATATTCCTCAGACCTTTCGGCACAAACAACACCTCCATCCTATGCCCGTGATGACAGCTCATCAAGTATTTCATCCACAGCTACTAGCACCGATCAGGAGTCGTATTCATCCGATGTAATAATTACGTCCGTATCTGTCAGCGAACTTGACCCTCCATTTCCCTCAAGCAGTGGAGAACCCAATGATGTGATAACGCAAGATTCTTTTTCGTCTATGGGTGAATCGTATTGGACAACTGTATCATGGACAGGTTCTTTCACCAGCACTTTCTCCACTGAGGTTCTCACATTCACTGAGCCTGACGGCAGTGAATCAGACAAAACAATTTATTACGTCGAGACCCCAAGTCCAGTGCCGTCTTCGTCGCTCACTAATACTGATTATTCAGATAGCCTTACCTTCACATCCTCGTTCTCAAGTCAAAGCAGTTACAACCCAACTGCACCCTACTTCTCCAATGGCACTTCCAGTGATTCGACCCAAAGTTATGTTCTCACCTCCTCTACTCTCTCGAATTCAATTTCTTCCTCTGATCAAGAATACTCATCTCAAACCCTAGATGTAATATCCACATCTTCAACAGGCATCTCATCAGGTGAATCAATGATGACATCAAACAATGATCAAAGTACTCTTTCTGTGAATCCAAGCTCTTTGTCGAATACGCAAATAATGCAATCTTCAGAAATCACTTCGTCTCCTCACTCATTAGGGCCCGGTATCACTGCTGACTTGACCAAAAGTGATCCGAGCAGTAAAGACATTAGTTCCACAGGTTCTTTTGCTAGTGTTTCCTTTACCTCGCTAATTGATCAATCCTCAGGAATATGGGCTAGTGAAACCCCGTCTTTGACGTCAGCCTCATCGATAAGCACTACTGTTTCCCAGCTCTGTGTTGTAGCAAACAACAACGAGGTAACACAAACTGTCAAGAGCTATGTACCTGTTTACAACACAGACGGCAGTATCATATCATGGAGTTACGCTGACACAAGTGTTGTGTACACACAAACATCCTGTGTGAGCTATAGTGAGGTTACTTTGACCAGTTTGACCAATAGTGATACTCGTGGTTTCCCCGACGTAATTTTCACGACAACTATTAATATCACGAATGTACACACTTCGACGGTTTATGTCACTCAAACTTCAACGGATACTCAGACGTATTATATTACCAATGGTTTCACGTACACGGTTGTTAATGACACGGCTGCTATATCTGATTCTTCTACTTTATATGCAACGACCGTGGACAGTAAAAGTATCACAATCCCACTACCTACTATTGCTCCAGTAACTTCCACGTCCACAACTTCGGTAGCTGTAAGCTCATATCCATCCGATGCAAGTTCTATTCTCAGTACCGAAGCAACCATCTCAAGTTCTATTGCCATATCAAAAACTGCGGACTCCATGAAATCTAACAGTGAGGACCTGGCGTCAAGTAAAACGATAAGTGGTACACAATCTGAAAACTCGTCCAGTGGAACTTTACCGATTGCGCCATCTAGCACTGCGCTTTCGGCTCAGGCACATAGCAGTGATTCATTAACTGGCAAAGAGTTTTCTAGCACTCTTCCATTCGAATCTGACCCTGAAAGCTCTCAAGAGAGTATGGCTTCTACTCCGTCGACTACCAGAGCTTCAATCATTACTACTAGCTCACCTTTGCTAAATGATGATGGAGTCACCACTGGTTATTCGACTTATCTGTTATCAACTGGAGATAGTACGTCTGCATCCACCATTTTCAGCTCGGAAATTCCCACTAAAACGTCATTCGTTGCATCGACTGTAGAAATACCGTTGACTGATAGTGACGGGTCAACGACTTCTATATCTACACAAAGCGTCGCTCTATTTAACACCACAGAGGCTTTGATAGGACCCGATGGCTCTACAAGTAGCTATACTACTTATGTGACAAGCCTACCGCTGATCACATCTCATCTCTCCACGTCAGTTCCCCTTTTGGACTCTCAAGGTTCAACTACAAGTTGGTCTTCTACAACCATACCTGCTGTAGGATTGCAGGACGGCAATGGATCTTTCAGTACTATTGTACCGATTCAAATAAACACCGGGGCTGCAGCAAGTTACCAACCACTAGGTGGTTATACTAGAGGCTTTTTCGTTTCATTGTTTGCTATTGTTCTTTCAACTGTATTATGAGAAAAAGTGTTTGTAAATTAGTACTTATGTGAAATTCATAGGTCATATGTATATTTAAATGAAAAGTTATCAAAAAGTTGTTTGAGTAGCTACTACCACTCAGAACAAAGTTTTCAATAGCGTACCAAGGCCACGACAAAGTCAGAACTTCTGAATCGACGATCAGTTTGCCTGAGATCGAATATTGGAATGGATAGAAATGCCTAAAGTATTCGCTGGTTAGTTACGATGCATTACGTAGCTGGTGTTAGAGTCTGCAAGATCATTTTCCCGGCTAACAACAACCAGCTGGGTCAAATAATAGAATTGAAACAATTGAAAGCAGGAGCTAGGGCAAAAAAAAACAGAATTAAGGTTGGGTAACAATCGTAGATGCCTCTGTTTATTGTACGGCTTACCAATTGAACTATAACTCTATCATGCCAAGCGCCAGCAAACGGGGTGTTTGGGTTCACAAGCCGATATTTTTTTTGGCGTGTTTGTTGTCACTTTATCAAAACTGTGACAAACAAAAACAAAGCTAACTAAACGAACCAGCCATATGCTTGTTAAAGCCCTTTTCATAAAGGTGATTCTCACTAAGCATGCAAAATTATTTTCATAATACTGAAGCTGGAATTGCTTTGTTTTGGTTTTGAAAGTATCAACTGGAGATCAGGCTTGCAGCTGGAGATCAGGCTTGCAACTGGCTATCAGGCTTGCAAGTGGAAATCAGGCTTGCAGCTGGCTCGGAAAACATGAGAAGAGAAAACTATAAAAACGGCAACAATGAACTCTATCTTGACTGAAGTTGTGATTTTTTCAAAGTTTTAAGTAATCCAAGATTCATTCCTATTCACTCTTTGGCTTTAATTTAGTCTTTCCTTCAACACATTAATTCATTTTCACTTGAAATGTCCTTCGCTAATCATGGCAAAATGCCAGGTCCTACTATTTTTGTGCTACTAATGCTATTTATTTGCACTCAACTTACAACTGCCTTTCCTGTTTTAAATGCTCTACCAAAAAGACAGATCGTCACTAGAGTGCACACGGCGAGTACGACAAACACTGTTACGGATGTATACTCAACCACCACAGAGGTCGTTGTCGCTCCAACAGTCGAGTTTATTATAAGTGGAGACGTGACCATGACAACAACACTTCCCCTTGCTGATGGATCTGTCCCAACTGTTGCACCATCTGCAACCATTACTGTGCAATTAGCGGCTGCCTCTGTTGGTAACAATCCTGCGGCCACCACCTCCTCCCAATGCGAGACTACAATTACATATGGTGGCTCAAGTGCAATTTTAACTAAAACTGTTAGTGCTATTCCTACAAATGTAGTTGAGACTACAAATACAGTGTCCAACACCTACAACAGCGGTTCCAACTCAGTGAGTTCTAGTGCCAATCCATCAGCAAACGGAAATGATGCTGCAACTTCCACCACTTCTGCTGCTGCTCAAGGATCGCAAGGCACTACCACCTACTCATCTTCTGAAGTTACAGAGACAGAGCCTACAGCTAACACTGAAACATCTTCAAATACTAACGTTGCGTTTACCGCTGCTGATTCTACGACTCAAGCAACATCTAGCCCTGAAATTTCTTCAACAGCTTCGAGTGCCACATCGGCTTCATCAACATCCCAAGCAAGTACTGCTCTATCCTCAGGAGTCTCAACTACTGCTACCAAAAGTAGTGGGAGTATATCAGGCTCTCCTACTGCGTTAGTATATTCGCCATACAACAATGACAATTCATGTAAAGGATCATCAGATGTCTACAGTGATCTACAGTTCATTCAATCAAAAGGTGTTTCCAAAATACGGATCTATGGCACGGACTGCAACTCTTTGGAAACTGTTCTTTCAGCGGCAAAAGACTTGGGCTTGAAAGTTAACCAGGGGTTGTGGATTGGCTCTTCTGGAGTTGATTCAATTGATGATTCTGTTTCAGACTTGGTGAATTACGGCCAGAGCAATGGCTGGGATGTTTTCGATTTTATTACAATTGGTAACGAAGCAGTTCTCTCAGGTTATTGCACAGTCGACGAACTGATCAGTAAAATCTCCACCGTGAGACAGACTATTGAAGCAGCTGGTTACTCTGGGAAGTTTACCACCAGTGAAGCACCTGTGACCTTTGAAAACTACCCATCCCTATGTACAGAAGCTGATATCGATTTTGTGGGAATTAATACTCATGCTTACTTCGATGAAAATTCATCTGCCGATACTGCTGGTTCTTTCGTGGTGGGGCAACAAGCACTAATAAAAAAAGTCTGTGGAACTTCGAATGTTGTAATTACTGAAACAGGATACCCTTCAAGCGGTGTACAAAATGGTGGTAACATCCCATCTCCTGAAAATCAGGTCATTGCAGTACAAGACATTCTTGATGAGACTGGAGAACAGGTGACAATCTTATCAACTTTCAATGATTATTGGAAGCAACCGGGTACGTATGGTATCGAACAATATTTTGGCATTGGCGATGACTTATCAACTGTGTGAAATTTCAACACTTTCGAATCGGAAAATTGCTATATTTTTCCTTTCGCATGTCATAATCATGAGCATTCTAGTAAAGAATGAGGATATTAACTTCTGGGATATATACAAAATGTAATATAGGTTTAACTTGATAATGAAAATTACTATCTAGGCACGAGGCAGCATTAAAATTCTATGTACTTTGATGGGAAAAACTCATCGATGAGTTCCAAGTAGTACGGCTTTAGGGTTTCAACGTTGTATTTATTCAAACCCTTTGAATACAGGTCATACTTGTTGAACTCTTGAACTGCGCTTAACATCTTGAAATCCCTTTCATTCATTAAGTAACGATATGCACCTTCTCGATGCCAGGGATAAAAGGAATGATATCGAATCATTGCCAATGCCTCGTCATTCAAAGTGGACTGACTTTTAGCTATGTAATACATGTATTCGTCATGCCCCCAAGATATCATAACCGAACTCAACCCACAATGCTCTGCGTATATGCCCAATCTCGTCGAATATATTGGATGTTTGTTATCAGGATTGCCCTCAAAAAATTCATGGAAGATGATTTCGTCAACGAACTTGCAACCTATAGGAAATGTATCACCCACCACATCCCATTGCCCTTCGCTCTCAAAAAAGTATAATATCTTTCCCAGGTCATGTATGAGTCCTACCAGCTGCATCCACCGAGGCTTTCCATCCGCACGTATAGATTCAGCAGTTTGCAATGCATGGTCAATCTGAGACAGCTCAGTGTCGGGATCTGAATCGTCGATCAACTTACTCAATCTACAGAGGGCTTCCCATATTGTCATTCGGGCTCTTGTCTTGGTCTTAAAATTAATGCGTGCTTGGAGATTATATGCCATAGTTTGCTTTTCGTGCTGTTCCTTGTAAAATTCTCGTACCCTGCTTTTAGCTTGATTGTACTGCCTGAAGTCATCTGCGCATACCGAATCTAGAATACTACTGTTATCACCGGCCGCTGCTATATTTCCATGAAGACGTTGCTTCTTATGAACAGGCTCCGAAGAGCCCTCATTGACTCCTCTCTTTTGTGTGTCTGTAAGTCTCAACCTAGTCTTGAATGCGTTAACGGACTGTACATCTTCGTCTATTAACTCCAAAATGTGCCCTTTATCACTATGAATTACTTTCTCGGGTAATGCCATCACTGTCTTGATTACCGACATTAATTCTAGTGATGAGAATTTCCTTGAAAAAGCGATATTGTATGGGCGACCTCTGCTCCAAACAGAAGTCGTAATGGACAAGTTAAGAAGTATATAAAGCTGCCAAGGATTTGATTATATTTATAGCTGTAGATTGAGGGCTTATAGGGAATCTCACTATCTCTTAGATTTTTTTCAGTGTTTCTGAATATCCTGAATATTATTGTCCTGATATGTCATGAAACAATAATATCTTGAGGTATCTTGGAGTGTTGGAACGAAATACAACTATCGACATCGACTAGTATTCGTGTTACTAGTATATTATCATACACGGTGTTTTAAGATGACATAAAGAATGAGAAACAGTCATCGAAATTAGTGGAAGCTGAAGCGCAAGGATTGATAACGTAATAGGATAATGAATGAAAATGTATAAAAGGAACAGAAAGAGTAAGAATATTTGTGAGTAGAATTATTGACTCTTCTTTCTGGATTCTTAGAAAGATGAGGAGAACTTCTAGTATAACCATATACCAACTATTTTAGCCTTAATCAAAAATGGAATCCCAACAATTATCTCAATATTCACATAATTCTCACGGAGATACCAAACTGAACCTCAAACATAAATGAGGAACGATACAAGCTCCCAATCTATAGCTATAACTATTACGAATTCCCAAGGATACGATGGAACTAAATGGGATAATAACAAGGCTAGAGTAGAACTCATTTCATTATATTCAAGAATGCCCTAACTAATTACGACATGGTAATATCTTAGATATTGATTACAAGTAATTCAAGTGCATCCCGTTTCTCCAAGTTAAGCGGATTTAGCTCAGTCGGGAGAGCGCCAGACTGAAGAGAAACTTCGGTCATCGAAATCTGGAGGTCCTGTGTTCGATCCACAGAATTCGCAATTTTTTCAATTATTGTCCAATACTATCTGCTCAGATAAATACAAAAAAATGCAAAGCGTATTTGACTATCTTTTTTTATATGTTGAAGACCTGTTTTACGTTATATACATTATGCACCTTTATGAGCAAGTTATTTAGCGTTCTTTCAAAGCTTTGTTTCTCTTCTCTCTCCTTCTCAAACGCTCCACCTTCTTTGCATGCATCTTGGCCGCCAGTCTTTCGTATCTTTCCTTTTCTTCCTTCTTCTCTCTCCTTTCCTTGAGGGCTTGTATCTTCGACTGACGCACTTCATCCTTCTCTGCCTTTAATTCTTTTAATTTCAGTTTGAATTGCTTATCTTCCTCTCTTTTGCGCGCTTTCAGCTCCCAAGAAGTTAGTTTCTTATTCTTGATAGTTCTGCTGGCGACGCGGAAGGCTCCCTTCTCGACCTTCCATGCTCTTCCACTGACATTTGAACCTTTTGTGACGGTTTCCAACCTAGGCTCGGTATCGTTAACTTGCTCCGTCTTTGTATCCAGCATTGAAATATGCAAATGACCACCTGGGCGATAAAAAGTTAAAGATTCTTAATGGTAGTACTATAGATGTGCTGAACTTCTGCCCATCTCATGGAAAATTTTCAGTAGAATTTCTTTTCAAGTGAAAAATTAAGAGATGAGATGAAAGACCAATTGCCACACAGGACAAAATTGAAAACCAGTGTCAAAACCATTCACCCCCGCCAAAGCACGAAAGACAGGTAATGCTCAGAAGAGACATATTTTTCTTCAAGAAGATTGTTACCGGATTTGGTAGGAGAAACGTTGTAATTCCGTCAAGAGCAGTTAAAAAGAGAAAGAGAAAAGTATCACAACAGATTTCAGACGCCGAAAGCTTCACTTTAGATAAGAGAATAAATGCTTACAACTCTCAAGAGCTTACAACAAAGCTCAAGCAGCTCGAAGAATTTACAAAACAGTTGAGGAATCATGTTCAACTTGCTGATAGTTTGACCAAGAAAGAGAAGATTCACCGGGAATTGCAAGAGCAGGCACCAGATAGCGATAGTTACGATGACGCTAAATTATTTTTGGACTCCTCAAAGCTTATTCGAGAGGGTGAATCAAGAATGGTACCACTTGATGTACCCTTGAATAGCGCAAACCTTTCTTCCTTGATTTTGAGCTCTAGTCACCAAGCTAGAACATTTTTACCTAAAGAGCTGCTCGAACGTATCAACGATAATGAACTTGTTGTTAAATCTTTGATTGACAAGCAAAATAGAAACTGGAATACTATTGTGGACAGACTATACAATTCAAACAAGAAGTTGGATGGAATTAGCCTGAGATCTTTAAAAACCTCTCTGCTCAACAAGGTAAATCATTTGAGTCTCACAAATATCAAGAAACTAGATGAAATGCTGATGTCAAATATCAGCCATGACCTAACACGTTACAACATTGCCATGTACGAGTGCATATTTTCCAATCTATCTAACTTAAAGCCCTCTAAGAGTTTCCTACCGTCGGATAAAACCGACTATGTCTTTGAAACTATGGAGAAATTACTTCTCAGATTTGATGAAGCGAAAGCAAAATGTAGTGCAGATAGAATTGGGGATGAGGATTCTGCGATCTCGAATACCCCAAAACTAGCGATGAGCCAATTCATTCTAAACTGTTGCATTAAATATGCATCGAAGACTATGAATATTAATAAAGTCAATTTCTTTCTAACCAAATTTAGTAAAGATTATGGTATCCAGCCAAACAAGGAAAACTACACTACTATCATTCAATTTTATAACAAATTGGGGTTGAACAAGGACGCATGGGATTTATTTACAACCATGAAATTTCTATCTTCTGCACACAACCCCGACGTGACTACATATAATACCATGCTCAATATTTGCAGCAAGGAAAAAAATTATGCTAAGGCAATTGATTTACTTAATGAAATGCACGATCTTGGAGTCAAACCTTCGGCACAAACTTTAAGTTTAATGGCAAAAACGTTAGCAAAGGCAAGCTCTGATCCCATATCAAGCGAGGGAAAATCTCATTCACTAAGGCTTTTAGGATGGAAATACATTCATCAAATTGAAAATGATCCCGAGCTGCAAAATGGAAAAGGCCAAGATCATTATTTGAAAGATACTTTAACCGCTATGATGGCTTTAGGCGCATATGATGGCGATGTGGGATTAACCAGGGCACTATATTTCACTTACGTCTCCAACAAATTTAAGGAGAGTATAGCACGTTGGAAGTCGAAGTTCGGTACTTCTATTCCAGTTGATTACAAAAAGGTGTGGCGTAATGCTCTAGACCCCTATCTTTTCAATTATTTATTACTGTCATATGCCAACCACAATCCAGATAAAACCCCTTTGCTGCTAGAATATCCCCAAGGCCGAATTCTTCGCCGGAACGTTATGAACAGTGCTGACTACGTCTCTAGAAATGAACAACCCGAGGAAATTAATGTTAAAATCCCCATGCTACCAATTGCAAATATCAACAAAACTTGGCAGATCATTGCCGAATCAAGGGCGATGTGGCAATTCAATTTAGAGTTTGGGGGAACCGTTGATCTAGCCAAACTTCCAGAAGACTGTTCTCCAAATTTTTTAACCGACTTGATGGTCAAAACTGAAAATGAAGGTGAATTTACGTTTCAACTTTTACATCAAATAGCGAGATGGAAAGCGCGTCTTGTCAACCATGAGATTTTGAACACTAAATCCTTAACCACATTCCTTACTATTCCGATCAAGCTAGGTGATAAGAGAGAGTTTTTATCAAGAATATCGGAATTCACCTATGAACAACAAGAGTTCGATAGACAAGTCGACTTCCTTTTTGACTCACAAAACAAGCTATCTCCAGCAATCGAGACTTCGAATGATACGGACCGGGAGCTAATCCATTTGGATCAAATTGATAAAACCTTTTGCACTTCGTTTTTCGTTTCAATGAAGCATAAGCTTCTTAGAAGCTCGATGATTTATGAATTAATCATGAAGGCCGCAACCAAATTTCATGATTCAGAGCTTGCATCGGAATGCTGGGTAAAGCGAGGCCAATTTAGAAAGACTTCTGCCTTCCAGAGACTCACTGATGAAGAGAAAACTGCAACAGATAGCACGTTTGCATCACTGATGGTAGACTTTTTTACTCAGGAGCATAAACTCACGGATGCAATGGCTATCATTATGACCTCTCAAAAGTACATAAACTGGACTTACAACATGGTGAAAAATTTGCACAAGGAGCTGGTTATGGTCGAAGATACAGAAAGTACAAAGATATTGTTGCAAATTGTAAACAAAAAGTGAAGGGATGACCGCATTGAGCAACTGACTTACCACTTCCCCGAAATCACTAAAAAAAAAAAAGATAAATAGAAATGAACTGATCCTGTACATAAATGTAATGAATAACGATGCTAATTGGGAAAATGTAGTTCTACCAAGACTTTAAAAATGACCACTCGTCTTCTTATGACGATTTTTAAACGCAATTCGATCGCAAGGTCAAGACTTCATTGGTTTAATCATGCATAGCTGTAGAGGTGAGGGTGAGAAATTTCTCTTGTTGATTAAAAGACCATGCCATTTGCTAGCGGCTATTCAAGTTCATCTTTTGAAAGGCTACTAGACGAACCTCTATCATTTAATTGTTGTTGCAAAGTTTCAACCTCTAGTTTCAACTTGTCGACTTCTTTTTCAAACTTCTTTCCGTAGTAGTCAATATAATAATTGGCACCATTTTTTGCTGCACATAAAAATATGAAAGCCATGAACCCTGCAGCAGCCAAACGCGAATTGAACCAAAATCCGCATAACATCATAGTACCCAACTGGTAGCAATACTGGAAAAGGATATAAAAAAACATTGGCCATGGATCCGGAAGTTTGGTTGCCCACATGTTTTTGAATTGATGAGTCGTAAGGTATTCAAAACTAGTTACCCTCTGACCCGATTTGATCTTTGAGGATTGACGTAAAGTAATGAAGTAGTGATAGGCACTTTGCCACACCAGATAATATAGTGACGTCCAGAGAATATTGGTTTTCAAGTTCCAAGTTTTGGATGCCTCTAAGGAAGCAGCTGGAAACCTTTCACGTTTGGTAGCCTCATCGATAGCATGATGGATAGTGTACATGGTTAGTGGAGGCATGATGTGGATAAAGCAAGATGTAATTTTATCCACATTATGAATGACAAGGGAATTTCGCCACGTTATTACGGCAAAGCTCAAAGTTCCAAATGTGAATGCGAAGCACGACTGATACAAATGCACAGAGTAAGGACAGACCCATATGAATAGAAGGCACATCATATTCACGTAGTAGCAGAGGTCTGCCAAGTAATAGTGACTATTAGTCTTGTAATAAGTGTAGAATCGGATGGGCATCAGTATCACGAACATCACGGTGTAGTATACGTGAAACCATTCCGGGAATTTTCCCATCATGAATCCAATTGCAAAAATATTGAAAAGCGTGAAAGGGTAGAACCATTTTTCGAGTTTAGAGCTGTTGTGGAAAAATATGGTTTCGAGAGGCTTGTCAAGAGAGTGCAAAGTTTGTAAAGTTCTTTTCTTGAAGTCCTCGAGCTGAGGAGTCAAATCTTGCGCCGAGTTCTTGAACCTGTTTAATTTCAAGCGGGTCTTGCTTTTCTTTAGGCGTTGTTTGGCATGCGATAAATACTTCCTGGGAGTTTGGTAGGATTGAACAGTTGATGATATAGGGTCCAAAAACTCTAGCCATGTGCTGAGGGATATCCTAGAGGACTCCTTTACCTCTTCCACATCAGAATCTGGAGATTCAGCCATCTAAAATGACGCCTTAGCGATACGTGAACTCCTTCTAAGTAATGAATTCTTGCTTCAATTACAGATTCCATTAGCAAAGGGATGCGATGCCTCCGTTCCATGTGAAAATTTTTGGAAAAAAGGATTACCCGAAAGAAAAAATGTAAAAACGCGCGAAATAGAAAACAAAGAGTAGTTGATTGCTCAGGTGAAAAACCATTGTCCACAAGGAACCAAATTAAAAACTTGATTTCCCTTTTCGAACAATTGATTCTAGCAGACAATGTCTTTCCAAGTCGGTTGTTAAGAATAAAAACATAATGCGGAATGTGTAAGTCACCGGACGACCGGTGATGCCGATAAAAGCATCGAGACCTCTACGAGCGGGTGATAATTCTTACAAGGAAAAAAAAATATTTGCTTGCTGGGCTGGAAGGCACTTGCAAGTGGGGATTGTGGTGGAACAAAGAGATAGAAGAATGTAAGCAGAATTTTTAACCTCGACATCACTATCATTTACGAAGAATAATCTCCGAAAGATAGCCGCAGGAAAACCTCTGAACTTTCTAAATTCGGAAGTGGTGTTCATAACCAGTAAGTCACATTCGTCTGATTGTTACGAAAAAATCACGCTAGCATAGAAGCAAAATAGTTAGTTTGCACGCCCGACGTCAGTAGCCGTGTTTGGAGAGAGGTTATAGCAGTATGCAAAGCCCCTACTTCGGGTTCCTAATGAAAAAACGCACGTACGTGTATGTTTGCTTTGTAATACGATGGGTCTTTTCCTCGCATGCCTTTACTCGAGGTGACGTAAAGCCCTTGCATCTTGCCACATGCTAAAACGTAAACACGCGTTGAGGCATTTTGCCTCGAAATGGAGATACCATATACCTAAAGAGCAACTGCAGGATGTGCTAAGTTCACTTTGGTTCAGGAACCTGCAGACACAACGCAGTGACCGCAGGAAACATGCTCAGAAGCGTCTGACAAATAAGCTCTGTCGTTTGTGGTAACGGAACGTGCAGGCACCGTAAGCGTAGGAAAGCATTTACGAAGCCAAATCAACCCTAGATATTTTCGCCGTTTGATAAGACAGGGCAGCAAAAAAACGTTTGTATTGCAAAGATACGGCGATAAAAACTCGAATCCGCCCTTATCAAGATATGATTAGGCGTCTGGCGGGAATTGGTGATAGATAGCGACTAATCTGGGAACGAGCTGGCCTATGACAGAAGCTGACGAACCCGCGTGGCCAATGAAACCCCAATGCTTATCAGGACCCGCAAGTAGTGCCGTGGCATTCATGTGTCGGCAGGACTCTAAAATGATGTCAATGAATGGTGCCACCCTTCGGAAAAACTCTAAACGAGGGCGAAAGGAAAGGAAAGGAAAAAAAAAAGTTACGGCGAGCCACAGTGCGCGCGGGTGCTTCCAGAAGGATCGGACTTTGCGAAGTTAAGACGTCACCCGGAGTCTCCGGATAAGGTGTCGTAACCACAATTGCGGCCGCACCCATGTCGTGAGGCCGTGGCGAAGGTGCGAGGACCGCAACAGCGAGTGCGAGCTACGTTATGCGAGGCCCCTGCGGAAGGCGCGCTGCGCCCATCAAGAATGGGAATTTAGAGTGCTAATTTGACGCGAATTCTCGGACTCCCAGGCCGCAAACAAAACAAGAGGGCCCCTAGTTGTCGATGTGGATGTTTACTAACCAGCAGCTGTGACGACGCAGCTTCCGCATGCGGCTACCGGCCGCACTGTTCTGGAAAAAACCCGCGCAGGAGTTCATCCAAAGAAGAACAAAGAGTCGAGAGCTTCCCTCGGGCGCGGAAAAACTTAAAAAAATCACCGCCGCCTTAGAGCTCGACGTAGCGAGCCCTGGCAGAGACGCATGGAGAGTCGCCTTTGTCGAACGGTTGTTTCTAGATTAGGACGGGCGGAATGGACAAGAGCGATACAGAGCGGTGGCCCCAGAAGTCCAGGCGGAGCGGGCTCACAATCGAGCAACGTGTGAAACGGCGAGGGCTTATCCGGAGAGGAAGTGCGTAGGAGCAGGCAGACCACGTGTGTGCGGGCACGGTTTTCGGGCACGCTAAGCGATCGAAAGGCAGGCTCGAGGCCCGCGAGGCGGGCGGAGCGTGCGTTGGCAGTGTGCGGTGCCAGGATATGCAGGTGCCGTAAAGGAACACACAAAGTTATGAGCGAGGGACACACGTTCGGATGGCACGGCTTAGCTGTTATCCGAAAGAATGCTGTTTGCGAGAGGCGTATACGAGCCAAGGGCCGGAGAATTGGGAACCAGATGGGATGGGGTTCTAGCCCGGCAACGAGCGGCGCGTGGGTAGTCGCACGTAAAGCGGGGGGGAAGGAGGGGTAGAGCGGACTGGTTGGTGAGAATGTACCGGCGTGGATGAGGGCGCGAGAGTTTCACGCGCGGAGAGTGGGAAACCACGGTGCAAGCACTGGCGTCACTGCGCGCACAGGACGCGCGAGAGGCAGCATTGGGCAGCGTCAAGAGGCATCAAGAAGCGTCCAGCAGCGTCCAGCGGCGTCCAGCCAACGTCGAGCAGCGCTTACTGGCGTCCGGACGGTTGCAGCTGGACGTTGCGTCGCGTTACTTTGTGTCGAGCGGCCGCGGTGAACAGCGCCGCCTAACACCGCGCACCGCCCGCAGCGGGCCGCATCTTGCGAGTCGCGCTAGATGCGCACGTGGGGCGCAGGCCGAGGCAAAGTCAAAAGTTGGCACAACGTCCAATCCGTTGACGTGTGTGAGTTTATTGGCGTAGACCTTTTTTTTTCCTGGGGACAAACCGGAAGCTCGCATCGCCAACACGCAGGAGGTTGTGACAGGCGAAACACCACACACGCAGTCCCGACGCAGTGCGCAAATAGGAACCTCAAGTTGCATGAACCTTTTTCGCGGAAGCATGCAGCTAGCACAGCGTAGTGCATTCCATGGCAGATCGGCCAGGCAAGCAGGCAGAACGGAGGAAGGTAGCCAAACACTCAAAGCCAAGCGGAAAAGAAAGAAAAAAATTCAGCATATAAATGAATAAGGTGTGGAGCATTGGGCTTGGGCCCACGGCTGAGATACTACCCGTTTGGTTCGAGACCGCGAAGCGAAACGTGAGCTACCACAGACCACTTTGTGTGCAATTGACAAGTGGTAACGTTTCTTACAACCATTGTATTTACGGTGTCGTCGCTACTTCAAACCTACCACGGGCTGGGACTGGTACCGGTGTCAGCTTCCCATTGCGCATTGAAGCCTGAAAACTCACAGCACAGGGCCGAAGGGACGCCCTCGGCCGCGGCGGCCGAGGGCACCGCCCTGTCGGGGCCGGGCGCGGGCCCGGACTCGGGCCACCCGCCGCGCCACCTGCGCAGCAGCCACCACAACCACGTCCTGTACCGCGCCGCGACGCCGCCCACGGCCTACGCGAGCGACGTGGAGGGCACGATGCAGCTGGCACAGCTGCTGAGCGCCACGTTCGACACGAGCGCGGAGGAGCCGCCTGCGCCGTCGACGATGACATGCTGCCCGCCACGTGACCTCTGCTCTGTCGGCGTCCCGGGCTCCGGCTCCGTGCTGGATGACTCGCCCTCCGACAGCAGCCTGGGCAGCGGCAGCCGCTACGGCAGCCGCCCGGGCTCGCGTGCGGACAGCAACGGCAGCTGCGGCGGCGCGCTGTTTGCGATGTCCGCGGACGCGCCGGGGCTGTTCGGCGGCTACGGCGCGGCGCGCGTCTCGAGCGTGGCGGGCGCTAGCGCCGCTAGCGCCGCAAACGCCGCAAACCCCGCGGGCGGCGCTCCGCCCGCGCGGGCCCCGACGCCCGCCCGCGCCCGCAACTTCTGGTCGTTGCAAGAGGACGAGCTACTACTACACACCGTGATCAACGAACGCCGGCTGCTGCTGCAAACCCGCAAGTCCAAGCCGCGCAGCCGGTTCTGGCGCCACATAAGCTCGATCCTGCACGTGCAGCACTGCATTGGCCGCAACAAGCGCCAATGCCGCGACCGTTTCAACCTGCTGTTCTGGAAGGCGCTGCGCAACAAGCACGAGAAAGTGGGCGCCAACGCCGTGCTGGACTCGTTGCTGCTCCAATGCCAGCAGCTGTTCTACATCGACCACGACAACAACATCATGCTGCGGGTCGAGGGCGCGCGCGCGGCTACGGCCGGCGCGACGCCCGTTACGGCCGCAGCCGCGGCTGCGGCGCTCGCGGGGCTGAGCGGGGTTAGCGCGGGGACAGGCGGCGCCAGCGGCGCGGCGGGCGCGGCGGGCGCACGTGACCAAGGCACCTCCCTCGTCACGTGCCTCAACGTGCAACTCGCGTTTCTGGCCCGCCGCGTCGACGAGCTGCAGCGCGCGGTCGCCGCCCAGAAGAAGCGGCTGGAGCAGCTCGAGCACACCGCGCCGGACGCGGTTCTGCCGGCGTCGTCCAGCCGCACGCTTTCGGGCTCCTCTGCCGCGGACACAGACTCGCCGGAGCCCGCCGCGCTTGCATACGAGTAGCGGCATATTACGTAGACGCGCGAAGCAGAGAATATAGCATCTAACGAGAAAATCGGGGAGAAGCAGCATGCACGTGGCCCGCACCAATGCGGCTGCTGCATCGGGAAACACCGGAACCCAAGATGGAAAAACGCAGAGAGTGAAAACTCAAAACGCTAAAAAAGGTAAGCGGGTTGCCCGTTAGGGGCGGCGCCCAGGAACTGGCAGGCACGTGGGGGAGCTGTGGGTGAGATGACGTGGGGGCGCGGGCGCCCGCCGGCCGATGGAGCAAGCGGGTTCCGGAGGGTGCACGGGCGCGGGTGCACGGGCGGCCGCTTGGTCAGCGGCCGTACGGAGCGACGCGGGCCAGGTCGCGCGGCACGGCGCCCCGTGCCTGCGGAGGCGCCACCATCCACACACCGCGGCGCGGCGCGCCCACACACCAGACGCGCTGCGCGCGCGTCTGGGCGCGCCCCCCTCCCCCCTTCCCTGCCATCCCGTATGCGGTGGGCCAGGCCTGTCGCCACTGGAGCGAGGCAGGGGGCTCTGACGGATGCTATCTAATTACACATGTATATCAATAATCTTTAAATCAAGAACCACGTATCGTGCCATCAATTCTTCTGGTACACAACCAGTGTTACACCCGTTGTGAGACGAAGCCCGCACTCTGCATCGAGAGCTCGCCACACAACTGCCCAGACTGCACTTAGAACCCAGCTCGATCTCTGCTGTGGCCCCTGCCTCCCGCACAACCGCAGCTTCCACGAATCCGCCGCGCAGCGCAGCGCTTTGAGACAAGCTTAGCGCGTGCTCCCTCCAGAACAGTCCCTGCGTGCCGCCAGGCCCAACACCAGCGCGCCAGCCGGCTCCCCGTGCGCTCCCGCGACCCAGCCCGCCCGCCAGCTCGGAGGACCCCGCAACCGCAACTCGTATCCAGGCCCGCAGCGCCGGTCACGTGACATGGCCCACAACGTCCAGGCCCGTCGCAAGCGCACCAGAACCGTGGACGGCGTGATGGGCGCCGCCCCAGGCCGCGTGTTTCTCGACAACGAGTCCGACGTGCTCGTCGACGACATGCTGGCGCGCCAGCCCGCGTTGCTCCACGGCAACTTGCTCGATCCGGGCTTCGCCGACGAATCTGCCGACACCCAGGACGCCCCAGACGACGACGACGTGATCTTCGTCAAGGAGCAACCCGTGGGCGGTTTCGACGCGCCCATCCCGGTCGCAGACTCCTACTACACCGCCAAGAAATTCAAGAAGCAGCGCACCGTGTCTTTGCCGCAGCTGCCGCATGCCAAGCTGCTGTACGACGCGCGCAAAGCCGTCCCACGTCGCCAAAACGACGAGGATCTCGTGCATCTCAGTGGCAGCTCCACCAAGACCATCGACGGCAACCGCGCCGTCACTTTGAAAGTGGTGCGCAGCGTTTCCCCGCACACCTCCGACCCCACCATGCTCAAGCGGGTCGCTGCCGCGCCCCCCAAGATCTCCAAACTGGTTATGGGCAAGAAAAAAAAGCGCGAGCTCTTCCAGACCGACAAAGAAGGCCACTACGTGTTCCAAGAAGAGGACGTGTTTGGCAGCGGCCGTTTTGTCGTCAAGCAATTGCTCGGCCAAGGCACTTTCGGCAAAGTTGTCAAATGCATCGACAATGACCCTGCCAACTCGCTTCAATCCTTTGAAGACCCGTTTGCAGATTGTTACGACTACGAATCCTTCGATCGCAACCGCGAACTACGACAGCCCAAATACGTGGCCGTCAAGATCATCAGGGCAGTGGACCGCTACCGTGAAGCCGCCAAAACCGAATTGCGTGTTCTCAAGACGATACTCGACAATGACCCATTGGGCCAGTACCAATGTCTGCTTTTGCGCGAGTGTTTCGATTACAAAAATCACATCTGCCTTGTCACCGACCTGTTTGGGAAGTCAGTCTACGACTTCATGTGCAACAACGGTTGCTCACGGTTCCCAGGCTCCCACGTGCAAGCTATTGCCAAGCAACTGATCAGGTCCGTTTGCTTTTTGCACGATTTAGGGATCATTCACACCGACTTGAAACCCGAAAATGTTTTGTTATGCGACGAGTCTTTTGTCACCAAGCCCTTGCCACAACACCAAATCTCTGCCATGAGCCCGCGCCGCAAGTCTGCAAGTGGTGGCAAAAGAAAACTGCTCACAAACCCGGAGATCAAATTAATCGATTTTGGGAGTGCGGTTTTCCACAACGAATTCCATCCCGCTGTCATCTCCACTCGTCATTATAGGGCTCCTGAAATTGTCTTGGGTTTGGGTTGGTCCTTCCCCTGTGACATTTGGTCCATAGGATGCGTGCTCGTCGAGCTCGTAACCGGTGAATCTTTATACCCCATTCATGAGAACCTCGAGCATATGGCTATGATGCAGCGATTCAACGGCCAACCTTTCCCCCCTAAGATTGTGGAAAAAATGTTTTACAAAGCCGAGCGCAAGTTAGGAAACCTCCCCCCGGATTTAAATGCCACGGTATTAAAGCATTTTGACAGAGATACACTGTCTCTTAGATGGCCAGAAAGAAACAAGAAGGGAGAAATCATCACAAAGGAAAAGTCGATGAAACGCGTTTTGACAACATGTGACCGTCTAGACAAGTACATTTGTCAAAAAATAAAGGAAGATTATGGCGAATGGTTGTTGATCAACTGGGATATGACTCCCGAAGACAATTGGGCATACATCGAGTCAAAATATCCAGGGCACGAATTGGACAGGGAAGTATTTTTATTTTGGTTTTGGTTTCTTGATTTGTGCAAGAAAATGTTCGAATTCGATCCTACTAGAAGAATAACAGCTAGGGAAGCAGTCGATCATGAATGGTTTAATTACGGTATATTGGATGAAGGTATAGCAAGCTTCGGAAAAGCTTAACGGGACTAGAGCACCTTGTCAAAAAAGATTGTTGACAAAGTTATTATTAATTTTTTTTTTTTTTGTCCATCTCAGTATGCGGCCATCCTTTCAGTGACAGAAGACTTTGTCAGTTCTTATATTTTTTTTGTTTTCAAAATCTTTTGTTTATTGGCTGTCTTGATTCGCATAGACAGTAAAAGCTGTTATACAGCTCATTTTCATTTTAAGGTTCTCTGATTTTTCCAGTTTTGTGATCTTCGAGCCTGATCGCATCATGACTTCGGTATTCTGCTGATCACCGTGTTAAAATTTACGGGAACCTGATAGAGTTTCTATCAAATAGCTCTTACTACTAGTTTAAGCTCGAGATGATATTCTGTTTTACTTCAGTATCTTCTTCATCGTCTTAACGATCTACATATTGCGCAAGCGTTAACGCTGGCATTACAACCACAAGTAAAAAGCTGTTGCAATGTCCACATTGGACGATAGTTGAGTGATTTTCATATATTCAAATAATAATTAATGTTTTAAGTTCAGCTTGTTGGATAATGTGAACATACGCATTATTAGCTCTCAAACTTAACACTAAAGAATCTTTTAGAACCATACTACTACTTACTTACCATCATCGAACCATCCTGTGCTCTCAGATACATTTATATATATATATATAATCCTGTCGCATCGAAATATATCATGCCCTGGTTATAATTTCAAAATTCGATATGGCGTTGCAATCCGAGCTTGACCTCAAAATGTGACTCCTGGATATAGTGAGTTTTTATCCCAACCGCAGAATTAGAAATAAAAATTAGAAATGAGCTAGGAGAGCGGCAATGAAGAGCGACTCCTGGGAACTTATCTCAACCTTTCCGAACGCCATTGTTTAACCAAAAAATAAGAAAAGAAGAAGAAGCCGTGAGGCATTACCAAATACAAATTACCAACTTATGAGCTTGCCGTTTATCAGGCACCTTGATTACCTTTGAATTTCAACATTGCCAATGTCTTTCTCATCTTGACAGAAGAGAAATGAGACAGTTTTCTAATCCTTGACAGGTACAAGGGTTTTTTTAGTCGCCAATTCATGACCAAAGCGGACTTGAAATTGCGCAAATTTTGAATTCTGAACAATGGTGGATTAAAATTCTGCGGGATCCTTTCTCTGAAAAAACTGACCAATTTCGTAGCTTCTCTCTTGTAAAGCCTCTTCATTTTACCGATACTCGATTGAAAAGCACTCCCCGCATTTTTTCTGCAATTTGAAAAGCCTTGCTGAATATTTTTAGCATAACCACCTTTGAAGCCCCGATAACACTTCTCATATGTAGCTGCCAAGAATTTGGTCAAATCTCGGTGAATTTCAGATGCGTACTCAGCCACGAAGCGCACATGCTCCTTTAAGTTTGTACCCCTGATCTGATCCCACAATGATTCAAGTTGCTCAGCAAACTGAAATTTTTGCTTGTCCCAGAAGGAAACTTCCGAAGTTACCGGATAGGCTACCCTATTCTCAAAATCCACAAAATACTTGCTGCTTGATATATCTTCACCAAAGGGCACTACTAGTTCAATGTTCTTATAAACTGCGCCATGTTGAGTAAAATAAGGAATCGCTGGCAAATTCTCAATAGAATTATCTGCACCTGATTCGAGATACGCTTGCGTCAAGTAAGTCAAAAGTAGAGTTGAAGACGATGTCAGTAGAATAACTTGCCACGTCTTTAAATTCACAAAAGCCTCGCGCAAAGAACGCAAAACCTTAGAGTACCACCGTTCTTCCAGTGTTTCAGGAAAATCAAATTTAGAAAGAGTAGCTGAATCAGCGGCCTTATCTTTGCCCTGTGGGGTAAGAGTATCGAAACTAAATTCTGTGACGCTTTCTTTAGGGGGGTTCAAGGGTAAATCGCATTCATCACTACTAGTGTTCGATAAAACATCATCGAAATTACCATTATCTGATATCATATCGATTGAAACATGAGATTTGGAAGCGGTTGTAGAGTTTTTGTAAAAGTTGATCAGATTCCAACTGTTATCAACCTTTTTTTTAGTTGGCATCGTTATCAGCTGTTGGATGACAGTCTTACTGTAGTGCTGGGGGTGATCTAGTTATTCCGACTTTGTAAGATATTCTAAAAATATACCACTTATTGGACTAAACTTATTCCGGGGAGGAATACCTAAATCAAATGGAATGTACTTCATTATAAATACCGGCCCCCCTTGACCATCATTTATCCCAAGTCGATGAGTTACGTATAAAGTGAGTTGGCTTAAGGACGATAATTCTCCGAGGAATAAAAATGGCGCTTTGGTATAGGCCACTGCTGTGTCTGCAGACACCATAATACATAGTGGATGATATCTTCAAAACTATTAATATTACCAAATTATTACTTGCATCGACTCACATTAATAAAATTTTCAAATACATGGAAAGATCCCATGTGTGACAATTTATTCGAGGTGACAGCATTGGCCTAGTTTCCAGTTGCGAAATGAGAGCAAGAAAGACAGTGATTGACGTAGGTTTGCTAAGTTCCTTGCGGGGTTAGGATATTTCTGGGGAATACTTCCAGCACAATGTTATTATTTGAGCAATTTAATACCTTTTCATCAGCACGCCTTTGCTCGCGTTGATGTTGCAAGATCATCCTTCTGTCATGTAGTTTCAGGAAAATCTGTCGCTATAAAACTATTTATTATCACATTGAGGCTATATTACTTGGAGGACCGGCTGATAAACAACTGCTATGCTTTGCGTTTTTGTCACTCAAGAGTTGACAATAACTATTATACAAATTACTACTTGAAGCCTCTAAGTCTTGATTACACTAGCTTGCCCACCAGTAATTTCTTTTACTTTTTGGTGCAATTCTGCTCCACGTTCGGCCATATCCATGAACAGCTCAAACTCTTCAAGGACTGTAGATACAATAGCATTGATGCCGGTTTTCCATCCGGCACTTTCAACACCAGCATCCTGATTGCTGCCATCCTTAGATGTGGTTCCAAACATATCATTATCAATGCCATTTACAGCACTTTCTATATCTGACAATACGCGGAAGTATTCATCAAGTTTGTTTTTGTAGAGTTGAATTTTCTCCTGGAAAAACTTGTCCAACTCAATCGATGAAATTTTTGTGCCTGGTGTGAGTAATTGTTGCAGAATTGTCGAAAATGTTTGAGAATCTGCTATACTTTGATCAGTGATTTCTTTAATGCTCATAATTCTTTTTAAATCCTGTGCTAGAGACTGGTTAGTCAATGAATGCGAGGTTTGTAAAAACTTGATGTCACGTGGAATTGATTGAATTAATTCAGTGTGATCTTCAGTGTCAGCTTTAAGATGTTGTGAGATAGCTACCTGGCGTTGGATATATTGATCCAATTGTTGTATTTCCTGACAAATCTGAGGTGGTAGGTCGACAGTCCTTGTCATAGGCGTAATCGGTAGCTGTGAAAGAGCTTGCAAGGCTGACTGTGCCTGAAGTTGTTGTTGCTGTTGTTGCTGGTTTCCAAATAGGCCGGTTGATGTATTTGTGGTGTTTCCAAATAAGGATGAAGTTGCTGGTTTATTTCCAAACAACCCACCGGAGTTAGATGAGTTGTTGTTTGCAAACAATCCACCCGTTCCAGTAGATGCAGCATTATTGTTCCCAAATAATGAAGTAGATCCGCCAGGTTTACTGCCAAAAAGACCACCCGTTGAGTTAGTAGAGCCTGTGGGAACAGCTGAGTTAAGGGTGTTGCCGCCAAAAAGACTACCTCCGGAGGGCTTACTTCCAAAAAGACCACCACCAACAGAACCAGTACCTGTGTTTTGTCCCAATGATGACGTACCAGTACTGTTTTGCCCGAACAAAGCGCCGCCGGTTGTTCCAGCTGGCTTAGTGCCAAACAATCCGCCCGTTTGTGGCTGTTTATTGGCTTGTCCGAATAAACCACCCGCTGGCTGAGGTTGATTGTTTTGTTGACCAAATAGACCACCTGATTGTTGCTGCTGTGGCTGACTGTTTTGCTGCCCAAAAAGTCCTCCACTCTGTTGCTGGTTGTTTTGTTGCCCAAAAAGTCCATTAGACTGCTGTTGTTGATTACTTTGCCCAAAAAGCCCTCCAGAACGCTGCTGTTGGTTACCTTGTCCGAATAAACCACCCGTTTGGGGTTGTTGACTGTTCTGCCCAAAGAGTCCACCCGATTGCTGATTACTTTGACCAAAAAGACCAGAAGATTGCTGTGTAGCATTGTTTTGCCCAAATAATCCGCCGCCAGATGATTGATTGTTGTTGTTTTGACCAAATCCACCAGAGAGTTGTTGCTGATTATTGGCGTTTTGTCCAAAAAGACCGCCAGTTTGCGGACCATTCCCATTTTGTCCAAACATACTACCACCCCCACTACTGGTAGTGGCACCAGATGATGCTGCCCTTCCAAAATTGAACATCACTAGCCCTGTTGAATCTAGTCTATCAACGTAATTAAATCTTCAGTTGTTGTGCATTCATTGACACACATGAGACTTAAAAAATTTTAGATTCGTGGACAGTGACCAACTATCATAGAAACCAAACGCTACATGTGCGTAGAACAAGAGAACGTCTAGGCGTCTTCTAAGCTATTGTTATATCAGTTAAAGTGTAATGCATTCGCAACTAAATCGATTCATGTACTATTGCTGTCCCGGATCAAGAATATCGTTACCCTACTTTTCTTAGCTTCTCTTGTAGGTTTTAGTTTTTGACGTGTTTCGATAGGGAAAAAAATTTGCCACCGTTTATTGGCAATACTCACAAGAAGGGATAAGATACTATAGTTGATAGTAAGGAAGAGTTGCTTCGAAGTATTGTCAGTTGAAGAGTTTCAGTTTTACCGGCAGTGAATTGTATTAATATTAGTTTTATTCGCTCAGTTGAGAATAATTGTATTATTCCCACACAAAATTTTGCATAATAGTAAGAAATGGGTATTCCTAAGTTCTTCAGGTACATCTCTGAGAGATGGCCAATGATATCGCAGTTGATTGATGGGACTCAGATCCCAGAATTTGATAATCTTTATCTAGATATGAATTCGATTCTGCACACATGTACACATGCCAATGATGACGATGTGACGAAAAGAATGTCAGAGGAAGAGGTATTTGCGAAGATCTTCACATATATTGATCATTTGTTCCACACAATTAAGCCCAAACAAACGTTTTATATGGCTATTGACGGTGTTGCTCCACGTGCAAAAATGAACCAGCAGAGAGCACGTCGTTTTAGAACCGCTATGGATGCGGAGAAGAATTTACAGAAAGCTATCGAACGAGGCGAAGAGATCCCTAAAGGAGAACCTTTCGATTCGAATGCCATTACTCCTGGTACTGAGTTTATGGCCAAGTTAACCGAAAATTTGAAGTATTTCATTCACGACAAAATTTCAAACGACTCTGTTTGGGCTTCCACGAACATCATTCTTTCGGGCCACGAAGTTCCAGGTGAAGGTGAGCATAAAATTATGGACTACATTAGAATATTGAGAGCTCAAACTGATTACAATCCAAATACCAGGCATTGCATTTACGGATTGGATGCAGATTTGATAATGCTTGGTCTGTCGACACATGATCCACACTTTGCACTACTTAGAGAAGAGGTAACATTTGGTCGCCGGCAGAAAGCCAAGCCTTTGGAGCACCAGAACTTCTTTCTATTACATATTTCAATGCTAAGAGAGTATTTGGAGCTAGAATTCAACGAAATAGCAGATGAGTTACGTTTCGAGTACAGTTTTGAGCGGGTGTTGGATGACTTTATTTTAGTGATGTTCGTTATTGGTAACGATTTCTTACCAAATTTACCAGATTTACACTTAAACAAAGGTGCATTTCCAGTTTTATTGCAAACATTCAAGGAAGCACTAAGACATACAGATGGATACATTAATGAGCAAGGTACGATTAACTTGGTTAGATTTAAGGTATGGCTCCAGTACCTATCTGAATTTGAATTGATGAATTTTGAGAAAGATGACGTCGATGTTGAGTGGTTCAACCAACAGCTTGAAAATATATCGATCCAAGGTGAAAAAAAAAGGGCTAGAATTGGTAAAAAACTACTCTTGAAGCAACAAAAGAAGATAGTCGGTATGATCAAGCCATGGTTAATAAAGACAGTGTCAGAAGATCTTGATGTATCTAATATGACGTCTGATGAACAAATACCTACTCTCCCTCTAGAAGGCGAAACTATTAAGGAAAATCTGGGCTTCTTGAAGGAAATAGCATTTGACCTCGGTTTATTTGTTGTCCATTCGCAGTCAAAAGATACATATTCTTTGAGACTTGATGTTGACGGAATCAATCCTCAGGAGACAGAAGATGAGCGCAAAGAACGCATTCAGACTTTAAGGAAAACCGTAAAGAAGTACGAGCAAGCCGTTCTTGTTGAAGATAAGGAAGAGCTGGAAGATGAGCAAAGAATTTACAACGAACGATTTGATCAATGGAAAGACAAGTATTACAAAGAGAAGTTGGGCTTTAGTTACTATGATGAGCAAAACATGAAGGATTTAACGGAGAATTATGTTGAAGGTTTGCAATGGGTTTTGTATTACTACTACAGGGGTTGCCAGTCCTGGTCTTGGTACTATCGTTATCATTACGCGCCTAGAATTTCTGACGTGCAGAAAGGTATAGACCAAATTATCAAATTCAACCTAGGTAAGCCTTTTAGACCATTCCAGCAACTCATGGCGGTTTTGCCTGAAAGATCCAAGCAATTAATTCCCCCTGTTTACAGGCCACTAATGTTTGATCCTAAGTCACCTATTCTCGACTTTTACCCGAGTGAAGTGGAGCTGGACAAAAACGGAAAAACAGCAGATTGGGAGGCTGTTGTGAAGCTTTCCTTTGTTGATGAGGATAGACTAATTGACGCAATGTCTACTTATGATGAAAAGCTTTCTCCAGAGGAGAAGAAGAGAAATTCTTTTGGAAAGGATTTGATTTTTCTTTTTAACCCACAGGTTGATAATATTTACAAGTCACCTTTAAGTGGAATTTTCTCTGATATTGAGCACAATCATTGCGTAGAAAGAGAATTTGTATCGAAGTCAATGGACGGCTTGAAATACCGTTTTGGATTGCCACCTGGAGTTAAACTTGGAGTTGGGGCTCTGGCGGGATTTCCGACTTTGAAAAGTATCCCGTTTGACCATAAACTAGAATACAATGAATGTCTGATTTTCCAACAACCTTCAAAGCAGCAGTCAATGCTTCTTTATATTAAAGACATTTTCGAGCAAAATTCTTTGACATTGGATGATGTAGCAAAACGATTCATGGGTGGCATCATTTATACTCGGTGGCCATTTCTTCGTGAATCGAAGCTTGTTTCTGTAACGGATGGTGAAATCATCTATGAAGCAGTTGAAATTTCTGATAATCAGAACGGAAAGCGTTTAAAAATCAAGCATAGACAATTAGATGAAGCTGAAAAGAAGAACTTTAAATCTCAAAAATCGACTATGCGCAGGAATTACTCAATTCAACGTGGAGTAGTTCTAGATGATGTTCGTGCTATCGTAAAAGTTGTTCCTGTTAATGGCTTGGCTAGAGACTCAGATGGTGCGTACCGCAAAACATTTTCATCTATCGAAGAGTTTTATCCTTTGCAATTGATCGTAGAAGATGTTGAAAATAAGGATGAACGATTCATGGAGAAACCACCTTTACCAATCGAAGAAGAGTTCCCTCAGGGATCTGACGTCATCTTTTTAGGTGATTACGCTTATGGTGGTAAGGCAACTGTCGACGGATACAGCAGTTCGACGAGATTAAAACTAACAATTGAGAAAAGATCCAGCAGATCCGAGCCTAATATTGGTAAGGTGAGAGCTCGTATTGACCAAAACAACGTGCGTTATTATCCCTCCTACATAATTTCCAAAAAGTTGCGCATCCACCCATTATTCCTATCAAAAATTACTTCTAAATTTTTGATCACTGATCTTAATAATAGAAAAATAGATGTCGGCTTAATGATCAAGTCCGAGGGCCGTCACGAAAAAGTCCTGGGATACGCTAGACGTAATGTTAAGGGATGGGAGTACTCTGATTTGACAGTAAATCTTCTTACAGAATACAGAAGAACATTTTCTGACTTTTTTGAGAAGTTGGCACAACAAGGAAGGAATATTCCAAGCATTGAAGAAATATATCCAGATGCTACGGCAGAAGAATTGAAAGCCCTAGTTAGTAACGTTACTGGATGGTTAAAAGACGTGAAGCAATCTTTTGTGACAGTCTCGCTTGAAAGTGATTCATTGACCAAAGCCTCTATCGCTGCGGTTGAGGATGAGATTGAGAAGTTCGTGCAACTTGCTGACCATTCTGAATTAAGGCAACTTGCCAAAGTCCCACGTGAAGCCATCCTAGACCCCAAAGTTTCTTTAACCCTTCTACGTTCTCAAAAGTTTGAACTTGGTGACAGGGTTATATATGTGCAAGATTCTGGTAAGGTACCTCTGTTTTCAAAGGGAACTGTAGTTGGATATACGACTATTGGAAACAGTTTGTCAATTCAGGTTTTGTTTGACGATGAGATTGTTGCGGGTAATAATTTCGGGGGAAGACTTAGAAGTAAGCGTGGGTTGGGGTTGGACTCTTCTTTCTTATTGAATCTAACGAATCGCCAGTTCATATACCATTCTAAAGCTTCTCAAAAGGTTAAGGAAACTGTTGCCACAGGTAAGAGAAACCAGAAAAATGCTATATCAAATCGGGTGGCCCAGAAGAAGAAGTCAGAGGAGCTTAAAAAGAAGCAAGCACATGAACTTTTGACTGTGATCAAGAAAGGAGAGGAGACCACTTCTGAGAATCCAAGGAATGCTCCCCAAAATCAGCCTCAGGAGGACGAGAAGAAATCAGTTTTAGAAACTTCCAAGGAAAAATCGGGCACTGAAGTTGTAGTTAATCCAGATGGTACTGTTGTACACAACGTTTACAATGCTGTTTTCAATCAATTTTCCAATGGTGCTCAGCAAATGCCCCAACAGCAGGCACCATACGGACTTCCATACCATATCCCTCCCGGAATGACTCCTACTAATTTTCCTCCTGTCGGCATGCACCCTCCTCCAATTTATTCCATACCTCCTCATATGATGCCACCAAATATGGCTTGCCCTCCAAATGGAGTATTTCCCGTAGACGAGGCAGCCAGTAAGGAACTGACTTCATTACTCAATACACAAGGCAGTTCTGTGCATTCCAAACAGGATACGACTACAGGAACTCCTACAGATCGTGTCAATGGAAAGAAGCCTTTTGCCAATAATAATCGTGGCAATTCTCGGAGGGGAAATTACCGTGGCCGTGGTGGATATCGCGGAGGGAAACGTAATGATGCCCCTAAGGGGAGTGTAAAAATGTCAGCTGCTTCTACCTAGTTTGGTAAGCTAAAAATGACTTCTGCTATCACAGAGATTATGTATTACTGTTAGGGTGAATTTATTCTATCGTGTAGTATTTAATACTCCTCCTTTAGAGTGAAACTCTTGATTTTTGTCTCATTAATTTCATTTTGTTTTGCAAACCACTTTTTCTCGAATCCATTGGATCTGTCGACCCCATCCCATCTCCAGCCGGGAGCGATACCAAACCTGTTTTCGGGGTATACCTTTTGGTATATTTTTCGGCCTAATATGGATGTCTTCACGTTCGTGTCATCGTTTGATGGTTTGAATATTTGAATAGGATCTTCAAAGGATAGTGTTTCTTCTGAGTTTGGCCTCGGGAGTTTTCCCTGAGCTTGTAACATTTGGTATTCACCCTTATTCAAGTCACGAATTTCTTGTTTCCTTTGTTGCTCTCTGAGCGCTGTATCTTCTTCTTTTGACCTGATAAATTCTTCATAGTTTTCAATCTTCCGTCCTTTGCTATCTCTGTAAGTGGTTTTAGTATTCGCAGCCGAAGCTGTCGCCTCTTTTCGATTTATTTCTTCTACCTCCTTCATTCGCTGAGCAGCCTCCTCTGCAGTTTGAAGACCTCCAGTGCTGCTTGCGATCTGATTCTTTGAGGTATGGGGACGATTTGCTGGCTCTTCGTCAACGTGGAGCACGTTGCCTTTCAATGAATTAACTAGCTCGTTTGTCTTTAGGTTCTTCCATTTACTTGTTCGCTCCGTTCGTGACTGTACTACCTTATTCGTATCCCGTAATGGTGGGTTCTCATCACTGATACCTATCACGTTGCTTGCTTCAATCACCTGAGTCGATGGTACATCCCTCTCCTTCTTCTTGCGTTTCGTCTTCTCCTTTTTAGGTTTTGCCGGACCGTAGGCTTTGGCTAAGTATTCATTTAAAGACATTTTTGCTGTCTTGATACTTTCCCATCACAATAATGTGTGTAGTTTGTTCCGGCGATATAATGGGACAGTTTTTTTATTGACATCGCCGCGTAACAAAGCCCTGCATGATGAAGCTTTGAATTGATAAAAGTACCAATGACAGCAGGCCAGTCAAAGGAGCTCGGGTCAAGTTTGGGTATACTGAGGGAATTAAATCTCAATCAACTTATAGAGGTGCAATATGACTTGACAAGGGAGATTGAGCGACGCGTCAAGATGATGCAAAACGATACACATCAGCCAACCAAATTACGTTCTGTTAGCCATCAAAATACATCTTCTAGTCGACATAGCATTACCAAAGGTGATGTAGATGAATTAGTAGCAGGAAAGGAGAACTATGAAGGTCCGGTCGCTGTAATAAGGTCGGAATGTAAATCCAATCTTGGTGAGGAATTGGTCGCGACTCAAATTAATCACTTTAGCACAAAACCAGCTGCTGGTACTCGACAGCAGTGTTCGCACGAGTGTTCAAGTCAACCAGATCACACGGATGACTCGATGCTGCCGGGGACTTTAGATATGCAAAGTAAGGAAATTGACTTCAGCTCCCCATTGCGAGGTTGTCAAGCCGCCAATATTAGCACTGCTAAGTCGGGGCCTATAAAACGAGCTCTTGCCATCATAAGTGATTCGGAAGGAGAATTGGATTGGTCTGACAGTGAATACGTTGATAGCGTAAAGGAAGGGAAGAAACTCAAGATTGAAAACCCTAATCAAGTAAAGATGGATTTCAACATCAACCCAATAACGAACAAACCATGGATTTACGAAGACTTCAGGTTGAACGAAAACTTCAATTATCAACGAGGTAGAAAAAATATCGACAATGCTAGACTTTCTAGGTTCTACTCAGTTGCAGGAAAACCAGAGAACGATTCGAAACTGATATTAAATCCTAAAACAGGATTTGAACTGATCAAAAGGGAGGAAGACAATGAAAGTAATGGAACATACAATGGTCCTGAATTTTACAACTTAAGTACTAGATCAAAATCTCCTCCTGGATACGGGAGACTAGATTTCCCAAATACCCAAGAAAATTTAGCTGACAAGCAGAAAGCCCAGGAAATAATCTACAAGAAGACCAAAGAACGGTTTCTGATTGCTACAAACCATTTAATACCAGCCGAAAAACGTCAATTCCTGTTTCGTAATGAGAAACTGAATGAGATGGTCACCAAAGAGCAATGCCGATGGCAAGAGAACATGCTTCAGATCTTCTCTAGAGAATGAAAGGGGAAATAAATAAAATTTGTATTAATAAATAGTATCTAGATGACAGCTTAAAAGTAAAAAGAGAAATAGCGGAAATGCTAACTGATCGTGGATTATTTGGAGCCACTTTCAAGATCTTTGATGGTTCTGTGAAAATTGTGATACACTTCGTAATTAAATTTGGAGAAGTTGTAGTCCAAATCAATAAATACTTTGGCAATTTGGCAACTCTTATAATAGTAATTCAGGTAATTACTGCTGTAAGGATCGACCGAGGGGCCAAAAAACTCTGTTATCTCGACATGCTCCTTCGAAGTAGCCTTCATGCTTTTGAAAAAAGAAGAAAAGGAACTAGTAATAAAAGGTGTCTCATCTTCAGTCTTTTCAGGGGATTGAGAATTAGCATGTAAAGGAAATAAATTTTGGAAAATTTCATAAGCAGCCAAGGTGAAGCCAAATTGAGGAGAGCTTCTGAGGACACGGGCTCCTCCACCTTTGAAAAAGCTCTTATAGCTTTCCTCCTTTAAAATTGTCTTTGCTGCATGAAGTATCCCATTGTACTTGGTTTCTCCTGCCCTAGGATCAATTTGCAGTCTTGTCTTTATAACATCGAAAGGAGTAGTCAAAAATGCAGCTGGCATCCCAGCTAACCCGCCAGCAGTTAGCAATTCCCAAGTTCTAAGTCTACTCCTTTTATTTTTATCTTTGGGGTCATAGTGAAAAAGATCTTTCTTTATATGAGCGTAAGTTGGGAAATAAATGGCAGAAAAGGGAACATCTCTCATTAGACAAGCAGTGATACCTCGGTAGAGGCCACTAAGTCCTAGTGACTTTACCACCCCTATAGCATTGACTTGCGATCGTGCTAAATCACCAGCGTACTCAGATCGAACTTGAAGTCTAATTTTTACAATTTCGAGAGGATTGGTGAAAATAACTTGACACGCACCAGCAGTAGCACCAGATAGGATTTCAAAGGGAAGTTTTATATCACCGCGATCGTCCATAAAAAAACTTCTTAAAAAGTCATTCACGGTAAGCTTGATGGCCTTCTCTGGAGCAACACCGATGAGTTGAGGACCGAGCCCTGAATATATACCTCTCACACCTTCCTTACTGAAGATTTTGATGAAACAATCTATTGAGTTACGGTATTGGGAAAAGTTTCTTTGCGCCTGCATTCTGGTCTTCACCAGATCTATGGGATATACAACAGTTGCCCCTATACATCCTGCAATTGAGCCCAGCGTAAAATTATAAATAGAATCAAAAATCGGAAAGAAATAGAGATTTGTGTGTGATGATTCAGATTGAATACGACGAATTTCCATTTGATGCACTAAATCATTCAAATAATTAGGATTCAAAATTTTCATAAAGTCTTCTATGGTTAAATTAAATTCGGAAAAATTGTCACCCAATTGTGATCTGTTTCCGAAGAGATTCAACAGTCCTGAAGTATTTTGGCGTGGATGGTGCCTCTTTTCGAGATCACCCTCCACATTAAATCCTCCCACCAAGTCATGGTAACTAGTATTGAAATCTTGAAGGTTCTCTTTTTTTGCGCTTGTCCCATGACAAAAATCGTTTCGAATAAAGCTTTCAATCTGAGAGTCTTCGTGATGCAGATCCAGCTCTTTTTTTATCAAATTGTTCTTTTTCGAATTAGCCACAATTGAAAATAGTAGATTTATCTGAGAAGGAGAAAACTCGACAATATTGTTTATCTTATTGTACTCAACGTTCAAAAATTCAATTAAATTCTCCTTGGTTATCACACATTCCCTCATATCTTGATCATTGAAGTTATTTGTCTTCGCAAATCTCATGAACACTTGATTCAAAAGATCAAAATTTTGAAAGAGGAAAAAGATGTCTTTGAAGACATTATAGTTGATATAATGATTGTCACACGAAATCATCTTGGAGTTGGACAAATTGAGAGAACTGAAAACATCCGCAGTTATTCGATGCGAATAAAATAGTTTGAGCAAGTAGACAAGCTGGTTCTTGCTCAAAGTGAGCGAATTGTTATTATAATTAATGTGCGACAGTCTCTCGAATCCCATGTATAGTTTCTCGTTCTTCAAGTCGTTTTGCAATATTGTCACGAGAGAGTTTAGGGTAATGTATGCCCCATCGCTCTTGTTGTATGGATGAATCTCATAAAATCTTAGCCATTTAAAACTGTTCCAATCAATCAGAAGTTTGTTGGCTACCAAGAACTTATCATTGACTGATTGTTGCAACAGCTTTATGGTTGCCTTAAATTGAGCGAGATCGAGATACAAATTATCGAAACTGAGAAAACGGCTGCCGTAGTTTATTGATTTTACTCTTACATCGTCTACCGAATCCCCAGACTTAACTTGGAAGGGCTTGTTCCTCAAGCGTGACCCTCTGAGTCTAGCAACATCAAACTTTCTGAAGAATTCATACAAAATCACTAGATTGTAATTGTCACACTCCAAAAGGTTGTTAAAATGGAACCAGTCATTTATTGTCAGGTAACCCTTGTTCTGTTCATCTAATGCAAAGAAAATGCAACCGAAAACCTCGTTTGGTATTTGGTTCAAATTATAGGAGTGGTCTGTAAATTTGGAGTAAAGACTTTGAGAGCTTGATATTAATTTGATAAAGTCATCAAACCGCAGAATGAGTTTATGGGTTCCAACTCTATCCTGTGAGGAAGCTTCCGATGCAAACTTACGGAAGATTTCCACCTGTTGTTTTTTCTTTTCGGTATTCGAATTATTCAGTTCCATCACCTGTAAGGGCCTAAAGCCTCCTTAAGTTAACTGGGGGGTACACTGTTGACTCGCTCACGTTAATCTTTTATTATGTCGTTTCTTGTGCAATGAAAAATTGCATACGGCATCTATTGTGTGACTGGTCTTTGTTGAACTTCCAGAATCGGGTCCGGTCTGCAAAGTTAAAATTTCAAAGGCGATAAGATTTGAGAATGCAAAAACTGACAGTGAAATGGAAACTCAAAGGCTTAGTAAACCAACTGAAACAGAGAATAAATTAAACATATAAAACTACACTTCATACATATTATTGCATATTACTTTTTGACGTCCCATGCTGCGCTCTAAGCAGTTGTCAAAGAGCTTCGAAAATTCTCGGCCAAGTTCCCAGTAACTTTTGGCGTAAAGATCACGCATGTAGATTAAAAGCCCACATAAGTGATGAGTATTCGGGATATGAGGAAGAAGAAGGGCTTTTGCTTTTATTTGCTCTCTATATTGAGAGCATTTGGAAGAAGGGCCATTATGGAGAAAGGAAGACATTCTTGTTAGGTAATCTTTAGCGCTCTCCTTCGGAACGTAATTCTCCTTCACAAAAGAATCTGAATTCCATGCATTAGATTCAGGGCCATAAAGACAGAAATTATAACTCCAAATTAGCAATGTGGTGAGTGCCACGGTATTTGGTCTGGTAATGCAATAGTCAAAATTAACATCATAGTTAAGTGACCTGCCTCCATCAAACATTTCAAAAAGAAACTGGTATGCATATATTAAAGTTACTCCTCCCACCATAGGGTCTTTACTGAATTGGCATATACGTCTTGAGACCAGCTCATATTCTTCTTGGCCAGCCTTCACATTCATTCGCCAGGGTGCACCAGCATAAATATAGTAGTCATACTGGAATATACGCATGGTAATTTGAGCCATGTGGTATGCTGGGATTTTACACGTAATGTGATCATCTGTCCGTAATAACTGTAATGAGACGTCACTTCCCAAAAGTGGGGTAGAAATTATAGAGTTGCGAGGATTGGTGCACCCAGAAAGAATATGACAATACCAGTAGTCAATTGCAAAACCGACAATTTCTTGCCATGCTATTGGGAGCGTATCTTTCTTCAAAACGGTGAAAACACCTCCGCCACCAGCTTGTTGTTGGAATTGAAACATAATAGAAATGAGACCCGCCAGTAAGATCTTTTCGCCAAACTTGCTTGGCATCAGAATAGCAGGTTGAGTGCTTGTATCATTTGAGTTCTGAGCATCTTGAAGATGTTGTACTGATGTTTGTAATAGGGCCTTAAGAGCATCCAAAAATCTTGTAGGAGGTTGGCCAAACCCGTGCGCTAGCAACCGTGAGTAGCTCAGCTCAAAAGATTCCCATATTTCATCAGAACATGGTAGTGCCAATTGCACCTGGTCACAATTGATGAAAAGGTTAGTGTATCCAAAAACCACCGCATGTGTAGTATCAATATAGAAGGCATAAAAAGCAGTTCTCTTTAGGACCTCAAACTCGATCCACTGACGATAGACGTCCTCGCCATCGTCTGCTTCGAGACAACGCTCGGTCTTGAATCTCAAGGGATGGCCACCTAAAGATGGTGTGCGTCGTAATAATTGAATGGTTGTACCGTGATGAAGATAGCTTCTTTCATGTAAATATCTGCTGGTACTAGTTTTCTCGTAGCACTCAAGAAGCAATAACGATTGGATTATATATGTTTCAGAAGGAGGCTGAAAATCTTCATGTGAAAATATTATCCAGCGCAAAGGGACACCTATCGTATCACTAACGTCTCTTCGTAATTGCGAGCCGAGATAACTTGCACCCGTCATAATCATCGCCAATAACAATATTACCGGTTGTCGATCAATATCGAATGACGGTAAGTGCAAAATTGGATATTGCGGATGGAAATTTAACCAATAGCATCGAATGCACTTTTCTAGTTGATGTGTTGGAGTTACCTTGAGTCCTGGAATCATATTAAGCATCGCATCCATGTTCTCTAGTGAAAGGTGGTATTTAGAAAGTGGGTCGGAGTTGAAAAAAGAAGGGGTTCTATCAAGAAATCCAGGAGACATCATGGTAGACATTGACTGCTTTGGGCTCACTGGAGATTCATCTACTGCAACCTGATCTCTGAGGTCGTCAATCTTGTTCTTTTGAGATTGTATGTTGTCTCTCACGTTACCTCTCTGGACATCAGTAATAGAGTGACGTTTTGAAAGTGCCGTATCACTAAATCCTTCGACTTCAGCTGCGATTTTGGGTGGTTGCTCCAACGTGGCGGGCGCTGAAAGTTCTTGGACAAGCGAAGCTAACGGGTCGCTACTGAGAAAATCGAAAGAATAGATATCTTCCATTTGTTGTTGTCTGCCCTGTTGCGCAGGGACTGTAATTGCTGGTGGCGCACTGCCACTGACTGCATTCTTGATAGACACATTTGTAGCGTCAGGTTGGTTTGAAACTTCAGGTTTAGGAAAATCATCAGACACTTGTGATGCGTCGTTGTCAAATATCCAGCTTACGAATTGATCCAGTGATTGCGGCTGTATTTGCCATGATGGCCGGTCGCCTGTGTTCAACACGATATGGTCTGTTTGCTTGATCGGAGAATTGTCCGGTTCTCGCACAATGGGTGTCACTGCGTCGGTCGACTCTGGGTCGCCTCCGATGCTGTGGAGCCGTCCATTGCTTTTCCGATGTCTCTTCTCATGTCGTAGCAGCAGGTCGCGACGCACAAAAGTTCTCCCACAGGGTGTACCATCCTCCGGGTAGATAAAATTACAACGGTATATTTCCTTAGGCCAATGGTTCAACTTATGCCGTGACAGATGCTCGCGTCGCGTAAACGACTTTTTGCAGTTAGGATGCGGGCACTGGAAACGTTGTCCCCTCGGTGATTCATCCTCCGCGTCTTGAATGGAGTCCATGCTGCATTTTGTGAGAAACGTAACGGGCTTCGAGTTTACATATTGCTCTTGAATACTATAGATTCGTTGATATCATTTTTAACGTACATGTCACCAACCGTCGAGGTACGACTTCGGGGAGAGACAAGCCACTACATGCCAAGAGCGACGCCCTCGTATTGGCTGCTCGTGTTTTCGTATAGATTTGAGTGGAACAGATCTTTTTGCTGTGCTAGCCATAGCAGTAACCGATCAGTTTGAGTGACGATGACATCGCAGCTTTGCTCATCCATGGATGTCGATGCAACCAGTTCGGGTAATGTTGTAAGAAGACGAAGTAGATGTATGGCACCGTATACCGTATGTAATGGCTCTTGTGCATAATCCGCAAGTTGCAGTCGCTCAAACCGGTATAACAGCATCGCAGGGAGGCACTGGTCGAAATAAAGACGTATGCCTTTACAGTATTCTTGTAGTTGCGATTGCACAACAGGAGAGGTCTCTGTACTGCTGATTTCTTTGTAATATTTGTCTAAAAGTTCGCCTACAGTGGGCCGACAGGGCAGTGAAACCAGCTTTTTATCCTTGGTAATGAGCTCCCAGTCATCTACGAGCACAATTTTCAGCTCGTGGGGCACATGCACAATGATACGTGGGCCAGTAGGTGCAGCTTCCTCGGGAGCAGCGCCCGCTGTTTTCTTCTTTTTTGAGTCCGCCTTCTTGGGCTTAGTAGTAGCTTTCTTCTTAATGGCTTGGCTTTCGCGTGCATCCTCGACCAATTTCTTCTTCAGCGCCAAATTGTCGTCATTCCACTCGCGAATTCTATCACGTTCGACCCACTCGTCCCAAGACGACTTCCATCCTTGGTAATGTATGTAATAACATTCCTTGTCGATCAGATTGGCGGGGATTCCCTCTTTATCCTCACTCTCTCCGGGCAAGTTATGCACCTTGAGGATCTTTGCGGCATATAAAAGAGGTCCATGGAATGCCAGACACTTACTGTTGACCTCCAGCGACATTTGTGCTTGTTTTTCAGGTGTTGTTAGCGTTGTTTCCGTGCTACGTGCATCGCAAAAAATCATGTTGATAACTCCTAGAGGTTACCATAAAGGCCAATCAGGAGTCTAATACTATATATATGCATCTTCATAGTTTCTATATACGCTAACTACGTGTTTAAGTTGTTCAGAAACTGCGTAGGGGACGCACAAGACCGATTTAACATCATTTTGTAATTGTGTTGATGATAATCTCGGACTCCTCTTGCGCAAAAGTTTTTGCAGCTGGAAAATTTTCTCAACTACCATTACCACCAAAACAAGCCATGACAACGCGTTCGCAACATGTTGTGGGGATCCACTATGCGGTGGGACCTAAGATTGGCGAGGGCTCTTTTGGGGTTATCTTTGAAGGAGAAAACGTACTTAACAACGCCGCTACGCCCGTGGCTATCAAGTTTGAGCCTCGAAGGACCGAGGCACCTCAACTGAGGGATGAATTTCGGGCATACAAGATTCTAAATGGGATCGAGGGTATTCCTAGAGCGTACTACTTTGGTCAAGAAGGTATGCACAATGTATTGATCATCGACCTGCTGGGCCCTTCATTGGAGGATCTGTTCGAGTGGTGCGGGCGCAGGTTTTCGGTCAAGACCACCTGTCTGGTGGCCAAGCAAATGATTAGACGAGTACAAGCAATACATGAACGAGACCTAATATACCGGGACATTAAACCCGATAACTTTCTGATCGCAGAGTACCAGCGTGAATTACCCAGCGGCCAGTTGGTAAAGAGCTGCGCCGCAACGTCACACGGAGACCCAAACTTGATCTATATAGTTGATTTTGGCATGGCTAAGCAGTATCGAGATCCTAAAACTAAGCAGCACATTCCTTATAAGGAGCGGAAATCGTTGAGTGGTACGGCGCGTTACATGTCTATCAACACGCATTTTGGGCGCGAGCAATCGCGACGCGATGATCTCGAGTCTTTGGGACATGTCTTCTTCTACTTTCTCCGCGGGTCTCTGCCTTGGCAGGGACTGAAAGTCGCGAACACCAAGTTAAAGTACGAAAAGATAGGTCTCACCAAGCAGAAGCTTCGCCCCGAGGACCTTTTGCTCGATGGTATTCCTCAGCAATTCGCTGCATACTTAGGTTACTGCCGCTCACTGAGGTTTGAGCAGGAGCCTGATTACGACTACCTACTCTCATTAATGGATAGTGCATTGGAAGAGCTACATCTCGATAACGATGAACACTATGACTGGATGGACCTCAACCACGGTCAGGGCTGGAATATTCGCATCAACAGAAGGGCTAATCTACATGGCTATGGGAACCCAACTCCACGCAATTCTCAAGGAGCCAAACACTCCGCTCCACGCGCACATAGAGACTCGTATTCCAAGGCACACAGGGGATGGTCTCAGGCCAACACCGCTGCAGCAACAAAGGACAAGCGTGCAGCTGTTACTCAGTCATATGACTCAATGGGCAACCGCGATAGGGCGTTTGGAGATCGCCAACAAGAAACTGATTCAATTGAAGAGCAAGGGTGTTTTTCCAAATTATGTTGCTGGTGCTAGGCTCTATACTCGCAGGACCCGATGCATTATTATGGCAGTGCGCCTGCAGCAGGATCTCAGTATCGAATTCTCAATGCACCCACATCAGTAATATTCCGGTAGCATATTTCCACGTTGAGCGTGGGTACCACTACTATTCAACCTAATAATACATATGTGTAATAGTTATCATTCTACTTAGTGTTTGTATAATTGTAATCTCACTGAAATATTCAAAACTTGAACTATATGAAAATCTCTTCTCTGATCAAATGCTCATGGCAAATAGTAGATCCACTTAACTCCGTATTTTTCAGAGAATAAAAGCTAGGTTTGTGTTCATGCATACCAATATCGCCGAGTACTAAAGGTTCGTCTTGAGCTTTCACTGGAGTAGTGAATTCATCACATTCCAGTGTACCATCTGATGCTTCCTCCCAATTAGAGCTTGAAGATTCATGGTGAAGTGTGGTATCAGATTCAACAACGTCTTGTTCTGGCCTACCCAGAAGACGTCTGGGATTGCGTGGGGGCACAACTGGCCTCTGTATGTTGTGGATAGCATGTAAACCTAGTTCTTTAGAGTCAAGTGTGACTAAAGAACCATTGGCGAGGGTGTCTAAAAATTGGGAGCCTCTGGTCCGTTGATCATAATCATGTGTAGTAGTAAAAGACGACATCCGGTTCATATCGGGAGAAACAACAATATTACCGCACTGCTTAACGTCTGCCAAACTCTCAACACCAATCGAGTTGAAGCCCGTCGCTAAACGACATTCTTTTACACTATCGATGTTATCCAAATCCCACGCTATCGCGTAACCTTGGTCGTCACTTGTATATAGCCGTTTAGACTCCTCATGGTATTTGATGGATTGAACAGAGCCCTTGTGGCCAACAACAGTACATTTAACTCCAGTTGCCCTAATATCCCATAACTTGACACAGTTGCCAACCGCATTAGCAACCGTGTGCTCGTTCAGCCAAGCACAGTCTCTTGATATTGAGGAATAATTCGCTGCAACGCTATCAGGAGAATACAAATTGCCGTGGCCCTGGCCATTCCTCAAGTCCAGCAAAGAAATTCCATTCTCACCAAATTGCGATCCGACCAGCGCAAGCAAATGGGGATTAGTAGGGTTGGCATCAAGCGCTTCAAGTCCGCCAAAACTTTGTAGGTACAGCGGAGTTCTGTGTTGATTCAAATCATAGATGAACATCGACTCATTAACCACCGATATAAACCCTTTTGAGTTCCAAGGTTTTATCTGCTTGATTGGGAGAGAACGCCTTCCCTTTAGCCATGTGTCTAGTGAATCTGGATTTGTAGACTTTAAGTATTTGCCATGATTGAATCGCTTTATAATTTTCGCGTTACCGTCTTGGGTAGATGTGGCGATCAAATTCACTATCCCATCTTGATGGCCCGAAAGGAGTAGCTGATTATGATGGTCCTCCTGTTTCGCACATGAATAACTGCTTGGTAACAGGCATGCGGATACAGTACTGCCGCCAGGGACGGATATACTTTGCAGTTCGTATAGTTGGCTTTTTTTGTCATTATTTTTGAGTTGGAATAGTTTGAGATTGTCCTTGAGACTAGTATTCGACACAAGAAGTGACTCGTCGTAAGTTGACAATGACGTTGTTAGAATCGTGGGATCCGGTGAGGAGACCGCCCAGTAGTCGCTTCGAAGTTGCTGTGTCGTGTAAAAATCGTTCATGTCGCCTGAGGCCTTCCTTAGTAGAGGAGAACCTATCCTTGATATGTCATTCTGCCACGATTTTTTATGTGTTTCCAGTTGCAAACAAGGAAGTGTGTTGTCCTGCCGCTTCTTGACCAAAATGGCAGGTTGACGGAAAACGTTAGGTGGTTGGTAGTACTCGTGCATGTCTTGATGAAACAATGTACAGAGCTGTAGTTCCTGAGGGCATTTGCCTCTCCAATCGAATCTTGTTCATCTTTTATATGACCGGCGAAGTACAGATAGCGCAAATGACGCAAATCCCCCTGAAAACTCCCCTCAGTCAAGCCAGCCATCCAAGTATAATACGTCCATGACTTCAACACTATTTACTAGTCTTGACATTCCTCTGAGGGTCCAGAGCGTGTTTTGTTTACCTCTTTCTTAAACGTAAACAGACGCAGCCATCTCATTGAAAACCAAAACATATCACCCTAGACGCACAATACTGGCACAGATCCCCTCACGAATCCTTCTAATACCTCCTTATACCTCATGCTTCTCAAGAAAGCACACGAATGACGACCCAAGGCATATCTTCCCCATGTAAATTGGCAGGATTCATTACAGAAGTTATAATGAGGAGGTCTTTCATCCGTTATATGTGATTTCTCGGTATTCAAATTATATCAAATATTATTTTAGGCCGCGACGTTTTTACGACGAGACCGGGAGCAAGGGAGGCTCGGAAAATTTTTTAGCGCAAAATAGGGAGAAACAGACGACTTCTGGTGAACAGTGGCAAGATTGAAACATTTGCACGCGGTCTAACAGGCAGTCTATACGCATTTGAACAGGATAGCAAGTGGGCGGAAACCTGTACTCGATAGTGTATATTAGATTATAGAGCCAGCAGTGAAAACGTGGGTTTATCGTCCAGAAGACTCATAGATGTCGCAGATCACCGTGAAATTAGTTGCCGCAGAGTCACTGTACAAGAGAGATGTCTTTCGTTCGCCAGATCCATTCGCTGTACTGACAATTGATGGTTCGCAAACCAAATCGACCGCAGCGGCGAAGAAGACGCTAAATCCGTATTGGAATGAGACGTTTACATTTACAGGGGTGAACGAAAATGGAATTTTGACGATCCAGGTTTTTGACCAGAAGAAGTTCAAGAAGAAGGATCAGGGGTTTTTAGGTGTGGTGAATGTACGCATAGGTGATGTACTTGGCCACTTGGATGAGGACACGGCCACGCGTGCTGGACGCCGAGAAGAGACCATCACGCGTGACTTGAAGAGGTCTAATGACGGAATGGCAGTTAGCGGCCGGTTGATTTTGGTGCTGACTACAGTGCAATCGAGTGGTCGCGCGGGGGCTGCAGCTAATAATCGCGTTTCAAGTACTGCCAACAGTTCAGCTGCGGCGCCTGCAACTCCAGATGCGACATCATCGGCGCAAACGGTCGCGAATACGCTCCAAAGCGGGACTACAGCAGGAACTACTTCGTCTGCCTCGAACACTACAAGGCAGTATTCTTCCTTCGAGGACCAATATGGCAGGCTTCCTCCTGGCTGGGAAAGAAGGACCGATAACTTCGGACGTACCTACTACGTGGACCACAACACAAGAACCACTACTTGGAAAAGACCAACCTTGGATCAGACAGAAAGTGAACGTGGAGATCAGATGAATGCAAACACGGAACTGGAACGGAGGCAACATCGTGGAAGAACTCTGCCAGGAGGTAATGGCTCAGAAACATCGTCATCGATCACGGTTCAGTCAGGTAGCAGTCCTGCCAACCCAACTGTCAACGGTGCTGCTGCTGCTGCCTTTGCGGCCACTGGTGCTACAACTTCCGGTCTAGGCGAACTCCCACCTGGCTGGGAACAACGGTTTACTCCAGAAGGTCGTGCTTATTTTGTCGATCATAACACTCGTACAACAACTTGGGTTGACCCACGCAGGCAGCAATACATTAGAACATATGGTCCTACAAATACAACCATTCAACAACAACCCGTGTCACAGCTTGGACCCCTACCTTCGGGCTGGGAAATGAGGCTGACAAATACCGCGCGTGTATACTTTGTGGACCATAATACCAAAACAACTACCTGGGACGATCCACGTTTGCCATCCTCCTTAGATCAGAACGTCCCTCAATATAAACGTGACTTCAGACGGAAAGTCATCTACTTCAGATCTCAACCAGCTTTGAGAATTCTGCCGGGTCAATGCCACATTAAAGTACGCAGAAAGAATATTTTTGAAGATGCATACCAAGAAATCATGAGACAGACGCCAGAGGATTTGAAGAAGAGATTAATGATTAAATTCGATGGTGAAGAGGGTTTGGATTATGGTGGTGTTTCCAGAGAGTTCTTTTTCTTACTTTCACATGAGATGTTTAATCCATTCTACTGTTTATTCGAGTATTCTGCACATGATAATTATACCATCCAGATAAATCCTAATAGTGGCATTAATCCTGAACATTTGAATTATTTCAAGTTCATTGGAAGAGTAGTAGGATTGGGTGTATTCCATAGAAGATTTTTGGATGCTTTCTTCGTAGGAGCTCTATACAAGATGATGTTGCACAAGAAGGTGGTTCTACAAGATATGGAAGGTGTGGATGCCGAGGTTTACAACTCTCTCAAGTGGATCTTGGAGAATAGTATAGACGGTGTCCTAGATCTGACGTTTAGCGCAGACGATGAAAGATTTGGTGAAGTCGTCACTGTTGATTTGAAGCCTGACGGACGGAACATAGAAGTAACAGATGAGAATAAGAAAGAATACATTGAGTTATTTACTCAGTGGAAGATATACAATCGTGTTGAAGAACAATTCAAGGCATTTATGGATGGTTTCAATGAACTCATTCCTGAGGATCTAGTTAATGTCTTTGACGAACGCGAACTTGAGTTACTCATTGGTGGTATCGCCGAGATTGACGTTGAAGATTGGAAAAAGCATACCGATTACCGTGGATACCAGGAATCCGACGTCACCGTCAAGTGGTTTTGGAAAGTCATATCGGAATGGGATAACGAACAAAAAGCTCGTCTGCTGCAGTTTACTACAGGTACTTCTCGTATTCCAGTCAATGGTTTCAAGGACCTGCAAGGTTCCGATGGGCCTAGAAGATTTACCATCGAAAAAGCAGGTGAAATTCAACAACTTCCAAAGTCTCACACCTGTTTCAACAGAGTTGATTTGCCACCATATCCTGATTATGAAACCTTGAAGCAAAAGTTGACGCTTGCGGTCGAAGAAACTATTGGTTTTGGCCAAGAATGAATACCCTACCCTAAGTTATCTTCTATTGGTTCATTTTTCTTATACTGTATGTATATCATGAAAGTACGTCCACAAAATAATATAGGCTGCATTGAAATGCTTATTTACATCTATAGTTGCGGTTGTTACTTCTCTAGCGAACTTGAGCGTCTTTTGCGGTATATCTTGTTTGATACTCCATGTATGTTTTTCAACATCAATCTAACATCAGTTTTTAGATGAAGCAGCGTGAATCAACAATGCAACAAAATGGCAAACCGCATCGTAGAGATTCCTGGATTCTACTATGATGAGGAAAGAAGGCGTTATTTCAAGATAATCACCAAGTCGATTAGCAGCAGCGGTTCGAAGTATCATCGTGATGAAATAGAAAGAAGGGCTCATAAGGATTTTCAGGACAAGGAGCGAGATAGGTTACGAACTCTGAAGCATCAGCATCTTCGAGAATTTGGGAACCACCTACGTAATATATCGACCAGAGTTTTTTCTGATGGTGAGTTTTACGAGTTCGCTGATGGTGCCAAGATAAGAGGGCCACAACTAGAGCTGATCAAAGGCTACCAAGCTGCGATGATGCGCAATGCAGGTCTACACTGTTACAAGAAGGGCAGCATATGGTCTAATTTAAACCCTTCTATAGGCATTCAAGCACAATCAGCGGAAGGCATACTAGTGCTCCCCCACGACGGAGCGATTATCATTACGACCAATCTTGGAAACATCTTTTGGGTTCAAAGCGATGGAGAGGTCAAAAGTATCTACTATGAAAAAAGTGATAACTCTATTAGATATGAAACACTGAGAATGCGGCTTCATTTTAGAAGGTTGTTCATCCAACGAAAGGAGATGGGAACCAATATACACAGTTTTATGAACGTTGACTTAGAAGCATTTGATAAGTGTGCGAATAGTTGCGTGGAGGGTCCATATAAGATGGACTTCGGGGATCAAGACGTTTTTGATTCAATGAGTGATGGCCACAAAAGGTTTTTTGTTGCTAAACATGGTGCGATTGATGTAATCTCACCTACTACCACATCGAATTGTCGGATAGTGGCTAAAATTAAGTTAGGAAGAAGCAGTGACGTGCTTTCGATGAAATGGAATACACATTCAGCAAACGTTAGTTCAGATGATCCAATTGCGTGGTTCGCATGTCGTGACGGGTCGATTTATGAGTTGTATCGCATTAGTGGAACAAGACAGTATACTTTCAGATTAATGTATCAGTTCAAAAGTTCAAGCATTTTAACGATTGAAGAAGTTGGAAAAAATTTTCTCCTTACCTCTAGTCCAGGTGAATCGTGTCAAGTCCTAAGATTGATATCAAAAAAGGTTGAGAAACTCCATGGGCGTTCTAGTCGACAGGATCCGACTATCATGTATTTTAAAACAACTTTTCGCAACCTAACCCAGGAGAATGAAATATTGGTTGTAACAGCTGACGGTTGCAATATTATTTATGGTATCAAGACGGTCGATGGTAAAGTAGGAGATTTTGAAATATTCTCGACGCTTCGAGCAGATAATTTTGTGCAGGAATTTGATGAGAAAACAGGAGAAGCATCTTATCACCCTATAAATAGTATGCGAAATTGTTTCGGCAATGAGTCTTCATCTTTGATAACTTCTTTGGTGCAAGTTGGTATATGCTCAAGTAAAGACTCTTCTTCGGATTGTTCCCAGTTTTCAGTAACTGGGGAACCTCTACTCAGAAAAAGAAGATTAATAATGCTCAGTCTGGATGAGGACACAGCAGGTTTAACATATAGAGCGACAGATTTGATTTGAGAACAATTATTTACGCAACTCCGATCGAAGAATGAAATCAGAGTTCAAAACTTTATGGAAATAAGGTCGAAGAAGCACCTCATATTATCTCTTGCCCTATACACACATATTTAACCATATAGACCGAGAAGATTAATGCAAAAGTAAACCCGTTCCCTTTGAATATTTTTCTTCTTTCCTTAGTTTATATCTTTCAAAAATGGATTGTGCGCAGAAGGCATGTTACGATAGATGTTGACAATATTCAATATCTCCGACTATGGTATCTCTCTTTTATCTTTAACATGTGACTCGCGTCTATCTATTCCTTGATCAGTAGTGAAGTTCCTCCTATCAATAGAGAAGCGTGGTTGAGAGATTCAGCATGTATACAACAATTAAAAGTCGAAAAATAGAAACGAATGTGAAGTTTGTTAACTGGAAGTTAAAAATGATGGGAGAATAAAATGAGCGACAATCATATAGGAATAACTGGGACATGTATCAGGTATTTTTTTAAATTTTTAGTACAACGTCAGTTTCATGACAATAATGAAATAAAATGCAGATAAAATGGGGATAAAACCTATGTTTCAACTTATCAGACAAGATATTCAATAGAATGAGTTACCAAAGTTCATGTTTTGGAAATCTTTACCGCTCATAAACATATTTGCCGCTTGAGGAGTGTAATGTTTTCCTGGATTTAAGAAATTTGAAGACTGATTCTCTTGAACACCTGTAATTTGCAGCGGTTGTTGTGGTTCATGAAATGCAAAACTGTTAACGGTAGTAGAGGCATTAGGAACATTAAGGTATGGATTGTTCATGTAAAGCGATGCTTGAGGCTGTTGTGGTGGGAAGATCTGACTAGTAGGAGGTTGCGTAAATGAGCCAGATGCATGCTCATTAAGATAGGCAAATTGACCATTAATATTTCCAGCGCTACTATTTTGACTACCGCTAAAACCTAAAGCTTGAGGCTGGGAGGGTTGTGCCATCGTGGAAGAAACAGACATCGAGCTACTATTTCTGCGATGGCGATAAGCATTCGCAGGCAAGGAATAATGGCGCGAGTGTTGCTTGCGATGATGATGGTTACCACTATGGTTGTTGTGGGAACTGTTATGATTGCTGTTGTGGGTGTTGCCATGATTATGGCTGTTATTGTTGTTATGGCTGTTGCCGTTGCTGTGGTTGTTACTGTTATGATTGTGGTTAAAATTGTGGCCATTGTGATTATGGTTATAGCTTCCTTTTTTAGGAGTTATATCTGTGAAAGATACACCAGTAAGTTCAGCATAAGCCTTGATTTTCAATTTGATTTTCTTTGCATAAGATGTTGTTTTAATAGATGGTAACAATTCTTTAGTCAAGACCACCAAATTACCAACTTTCAAAGTAAACTCATGTCCGAACTCCATGAACTTAGTTGAAGTGTGCACAAATGGATTCCCAGGGTATTCTAATAAATTTGAGTAGTTTTTGACATCTAACAAGGTCTGTAAGGCGTAGTTTCCGAAATTGTCCCTGATCAAAATATTCAAGTTTGCCGTGAAGATGTCGATAACCGTGAGCAAAATCTTCATTGCTGCACCCGTCACATCGTCATTAGTTTCTTCAGCGGCTGACGTCAAAGCGATTTCCACAATATTGAACAATTTCTTGACGAATTTTTCAACCACGTTGGAAGAAAATTTGAGACAAGATAGTTGGCATAATTCATTAGAAAGTTTGTTAAAGATTTCACCCAACAAGTAGAAATCCAGTTCCTTGATTTCTAATAGGAATTGGATGATGTAGTTACCAAATTGATCGTTAATCAGGCCGGGCAAGAACTGGATTATCTTGACTGAGATTTTGAAAATTTGTTGTAAAGTACAGACACTCAAGAGTTTCTGTAAAACACAACAGCCATGCTTATGTGTGGATATCTTAATAATGTTACTTTGGTCAACGATTGCGTCGATAATAAAATCGAATTTGGTAGGGGGGAACTTGAAGATGCATTTTTGAACCACATGGTTCCCATTCAAATCGTTTATCAAGACGACAACCTGGTCGATAGAGGTGAATTGCTGAGAAAACCCTCTGATGATCATATCTATTTGAGCCTCAGTTTCAACGGTATCGATGATCTTTTGCAAAGAGCGCGTCCCGTATTGGTTGATGGAAATCTGAAACACATGTGGATAAATGCCCTGTATCAATTGTGTTTTTTGGTCGGTAGTCAAGAACTCGCAAAGTTTTTGGACCAAATAGTTGCCAAATGGGTCCAAAATGAGTTCCAAGAAAAAGGGATGGATTTGGTGGTACATGAGGTCTCGCACCGTATGACATTCTTGCGGAGACTCGAGCTTTTTTTGCAGGAAACGGCACCCGAATTGGTCGGTTGCGAGCTTGACGTAGTCGAGCTCTTCGAGCGGGATCAGATTCAAGTCAGCAGCGTTGTTAGCGAACGAGTTGGCGGTGGAAGTGGACGATGAGGTGGTGGAGCCACTCACGGTGCGCAGCGGCATGGAGACGCGCGAGTTCATGCTGGTGACGTCGCCCAAGAGCGTGGAGGACGAAGAAGGGTCGAACTCGTTTATCAACGGCAACGACTTCATCTTGGGCCTGGCGACACCGTTGACGGTGGAGACCGCGGGGGCACCCGGAAGCGAGCTGCCCGAGGCAGCTGGGCCAACCACGGGGGGTGTGGTCGGGGACAGCGTCATGGGCATCATGGGCGAGTTACCGGAGATGAACTGGTTGAAGCCAGACAAGTCGAGCGAGTGTGTGCGCTGGTGGTTCTGCCGGTTGTTCATCTGGCCCAGCGGGGGCGTGGTGGGCTCGACGATCGACTGGACCGAATTGATCGAAAGCTGCGGTTGATGCTTGTACGACATCAGAGGTGTGACGTTGGACGAGCAAGTATCCGTTGCGGGAAAGGCAGAAGAAGCGTTCTGTTGCTGCTAGAAGAGGATATTGAGGTTAGTTTTCCGAGCTGGGAATGCGGGCTGAGTTCCTTGACGTTCGACGATTCCAATACCACACTTTGATGCCTCGACAACTTTTGGATTGCGCTATAGTTGTAGCGGTGAGATTGCAGTGCGCCTGTGGTGTGGATCAGGATCTCTTGGGCCGGCATGCCTACGCTGCGGTGCAGAGGCGAGAAACGGGCCACGGTTTGGGTGCTGGTGCACCGTAGCAGTGGGCACCGGCCCAGAGGGCACCGTAGCGTCCCGCTGCAGCGGGACGCGGGCCTGGGCCCGCTCCGGCGGGCGCGTCCGGGGTACCGCGGATGTCGTCCGCCTACGCAGACGGCACCACGGCGCCCGTCGAGGGCGCTGAGGAGTGCCGCAGAGGCGGCCGCAGCGGCCAGGCACGAGAACGCGCGCTGCGCGCGCGTCTGTGCCGGCCTGCGGGTGGGCAGCCGCGGCCGTCTCTGGGCCGGGCGCGCCGCCACGGAGCCGTCTGCGCCGCGAGGCCGAGCGCGGTCCAAGAGTGAAAAACTCGTGCCCTCGGTGTCCGATCTGGCTATCGTTGCGCCGCCAGTGGCAAATGTAAAACGCAGCGGAGCTCAGATCAGCGGTAAGGGCTAAACTGGACAAAATCGAGGTGGAACACCGTCAAGGTGGCAACTGGGAACGCCAGTGGCAGGATCGCGGCGAATATCATGATTGTAACATACCATTGTGCGTAGCTGGCGAGAAATCTGTCTTGGTCCACGCTTCTTACGCTATTGAGTGTGCTTCTAAGGCCACCTTCGAATATATATATATATATCCTGTGAGTGTAGAACAGAGATCAAATGCTTCCCTGAAACAGGTTTCAGTGCTGGGAAAAATTCGTAGTACGCCCGGGGTAAGGATGTTTGCCGCGTTAAACGGGCTTGGCCATAGAGAGGCATCACACCGCAGGGCAGAAGAAGCGATTTTCTTTTTCGCGGAACTGGGGCCAGTTGCACGGGCAACGCGGACGAAGTTTGAGCGTAGAGAGTGTAGTAGAGGCGGGCGACGTACGAAGGGATTGGAGGGGGCGGGCGGGCGCGCAGGCGCGCCCGCCCGCCCACGTCAGTGGTTTGTCTACATACTCTATACAACGACGAAGGCTCCAGGGAGGCAGTGCGCACTTAATTTGCTGGCTGTCAGCTAGGTCTACTCGCTGTTTGGCCGCTTTTCTTCCGTTGTTTGCCTGTTCTGCGTTGGCTCGTGCGACCGATCGCGTTCCTTCCGCGAGCCGGCAATGGCGACAAGGTGTAAAAAAAAATATACAAGAGATTATGAAATTCGATTTGGGGGCGACGGTTTCGCGTCGCAACTACTCATTGCGCTTTGCTGGCCGCATTTTGCTGGCGTAGTTTGCGCCGGGAAAACAGTTTGTGCGGTTTGTGTGATTCGCTATATATGTGTGTTTTTCTTTTGGCGGCACGCGTAAGCGGGCCGCGGCGGCTATTGGCGAACTTTTCGCGTTTGCGGATGTGTGGGTGGCCGGAGGGGAGGCTGTGCGCGGCTGCCAAAAATAGGCGTCACGTGGGGTGCACGGGCGGCGGATTTGCCACGTGACTATCGGTCACGTGTTGTGTGTGTCACGTGCCTCTGCCTTCAGTATTCGCTTCTCACTTTTCGCTTTTCGCTTTCTTTCTATTGTACATACGCTATATGCCCGATTGTAGGTTAGCAGTGGGCCGCCCCGCCGCCTCGCTCGCTCACACTAGTAAAACCGCGTTCACACACCCGTCTCTGTCCGGCTCGTTCGTAATCTGTGCGTACTTCCCCCACACTACTTTGCCTCCCGACGTAACCATACCCAGCTCCGACACGTTGACCTCGATGATCGTACCCTTGGTCAGCACGCCCAGCTGGGTGTACATAGGCGACTGTGGGTTCTTCTTGACACCCAAAATGGGCAGAAACACCGTCACGCCCAGCTCCGGGTGTGTCACGTTGGCCTTCTTCTGTCTCAACGCCGACGGACGGATGATCCGCTCCATCTTGACAGGCCTTCTGGTGAAGCCCTCGCCCACAAACGTGTGCTTTGTGATCATTCTCTTCCAGCTCTTGGACCGCGACTTACCCGTCTTCACCACCTTGAACATCTCCTCCTCGCTAATACCACGCACTTTGGGGAGCGGCACCGAGAATTTGTCCGCCTTCTCCAGTCTCTTCTGCTTGATGGACGACGAAATCGCCTTCGCATTGTTGGTCTGTTCTCTGTCCAACAGATACGTGGGCAGCGCCTCGCCAGAGTCGGCCATTGGCTTCGAGGGACCCTTCAACTTGGATTGCTCGTGTGCCTTGATCTTCTTGCGCATTGCTACCTTCTCTGCGTATCTCTTCTTGGCAAATTGCTTACCCTTCCATCCCGTCAGCTTCTGGGCCTTTTCAGCAACCTTGTGCGACTCTCTGGCCTCTCTCTTACGCTTACGCTCCTCGTAATCGAGTCTGCGACCATGCTGCTTGATGTGCTGCTCGATATACTCGTTTTGAGGCATTGTTCACAGATGGTGTTGTCCTTGTATCTTGTGGGTAAACGTGCAACTTCAATCTCATCGCATCTGCACTTTCCCCTTCGCATGAAAATTTTTTGAGTGGGAGACCCGTTTCTTTTCCTTCGTCCGTCGTGATTTGGAAAATTTTCAAGTTTTGGCCCTATCAAGAGATGAGATGAGCTTGCGCGCTGCCAGTGTAAAGCACACCCAACCTACAGCCACTAGCTAGCATGAGTGATTTGACCGCGATCCTCAATCAGATAAACGACTCCTTGAAGGCTACAGGGCAGTCTCTTGACACTTTGCAGACGCAATACAGAGCGCAGAATGCCCTCAACGATGAGGCCAAGAGTGCAATCATGAAAAATGCGCTCGGCGATCACACACTTGAGAAGGTTTCCTTGCTCTCTCTCAAAAACGGTACTATTCTAGCATACATTAATAGCCTGCTCGAAATCGTGGGTGAAAAGCTTTACCAGACGGATGCAACTGCCATGAAGGGCCGCCAACACTCCATCGAACATCGGGTGGTGCTAGAACGAGGTGTGAAGCCGCTTGAGAAGAAACTCGCCTATCAGCTTGACAAATTGACGAGAGCTTACTCTAGAATGGAGTCTGAGTATGCTGAGGCTGAGAAACGCGCCATGGAGCGCACCACGCAAGGCAACTCCTCCGGCGACGACGAAGCTGACTCCAGTGACGAAGAAGAAGAAGCAATGTCCTACAGGCCTAACGCGTCTGCAATGACTACCAGTGGACGTTCAGGGGCCAGGGAAGAGCAAAAAGGAGCCGAGGAAGAGGAAGACTCACAGAATGCCACTTACAAACCACCAAAGATCAGCGCCATGCTTCCTCCACAACATCATTTCGACGACAAGTTCGTTGCTAAAGACCACAGAGACAGAAGTGGTAAGTCTCGTATGCAAGCCATGGAAGACTACATCAGCGAAATGTCTGAGCAACCCGAATGGGAGTCCTCTGTTGGTGCTAACATCGTGAATCATGGTAGAGGCGGTGTTAAATCGCTACGGGACACCGAAAGAGAACAGCGGGTGAAGAACTACGAAGAAGACAACTTCACAAGACTGCACATGCAAACCAGCAAAGCAGAAAAGCGCATGGCAAAGCAAAGAGAAAGAATGGCAAGAGTGAACATGATCGGTGGTGAGGACTTTAGCATTTTCAATTCCAAGAGAAAGCTCGAAGATTCTACCTCCAGAAAGGGTAGCAAAAAGTCTCGTAACGCTTGGGAAAGAGCAAAGAGGAATCTGTAGTGTGTAACTCATGTATTTTAGGTTTTTAATGGCGTAATGTTACACGGACTTCGTTAATCTACAATGTAATCTCAATAGCCAAAAGCTATCCAGGGAAAAGATGAAAAATGAGTACATCAAACGTAAAGTGTCATCAAGAGACGCGAAGCCATGTATAATATGTTCGATTCCAACTACCTGTGTGTTATATGGCGATAAAGGTATCGATTGGTTTTACTGTTGCGAACTACACATCCAGGACAACCCACAATTTGCTACGCCTATATATCCGCCAGGGTACGAAGAGGCCGTTCAAAAGCTGAAAGTCCTAAAGCAAAAGCTTGACGAACAGCAAACAAGCAGTTCTGGAAACTGGGACACCTGGGTCAACAAGCTTTTATCAAAGAAACCTAAAAATGCTGATCCCAAAAATGCTGATCCTAAGAATGAAGACAAAGAGCCGGCAAAAGAGGAAATTCAATCAGCTTCAGACACTTTAAAGCAATCTACCCCCACTCTTGAACAGGAGTACCAAGAGACACTCGACTCAGTGGTTCGTTTTAAGCAAAATCTACGGAAATTCTCTTTGAATGACATCATGTTCGCCAGTAGAGTCGAAAGTAGAAAGCGTCAGCAAGCGCTAAGATTGAAGAAACAGAAAGAGCAAGAAGCTTTTACGAACACCGATCCTGATGAGCTCATGTCTAAGTTCGCATTTCCCAGTGTACCGAAAGCCTAAGCGGCTTTGTGCTTCCCCAATTATGCCTCCGCTTCTCCGATACAACACTTTAAATTCCGAACTTCAGCATTCAATACCAACGTTGTTTTGTTTCAGAGATCCGTTCAATTGCCTCTCATTAGGCGTTAGAAGTGGATGCAACCTGGGCAAGTCTATAATATGTCATGTATATCTACTTGTAGACTTAAATAGTAAAGATGACTCATTTTTTACGGATGCGCGTTACGTAGTTTTTCTTAGCTTCAGTCATCGTTTCAATGAAAAAGTGAATTATCCCGAATACAAAGAACACTCGAAAGTTCAAATTTAATTGTAGTGGGTTAAAGACCGATACATTGATTTAATTAGCGTTTGTTGGGGATTTGATTATTTTTAAAATCGACTTGTTGCCGAAGTATATTACTTATTTAGCGCTGCTCGCGATATTTTGAGTTTTTTGCTTGAAAAGATTGATTGGAGATGAATGATCTTTTTGACGATGTACAAGAGGTTGATATCCCACCAGATCTACAATTAAAGCTGGGTATATCCAATATTGATGCGACGGGGAAGCAGCAAGGGAAGCAGACTTTAGAAGTTGGCTGTGCGTCCTCAAGTGCATCATCATCTGACTCACTAAACATGTTATTGGAAAGACAACGTCAACGACAATTGAACCATCCGTTGCACCAAAATCTCATTTCTGCACCCACACGATTGTTTCAGCCTAAAGTCAAGGAGACAAATAAGATTTTTTTGGAGTACGATCCTATATCAAAACGAAAAGTTTTAAACACATACGAGATTATCAAAGAACTTGGTCACGGCCAACATGGAAAGGTCAAATTGGCAAAAGACCTTGTTACCCAACAGCTTGTAGCTATTAAGATCGTCGACAGACACGGAAAGAAGAGCAGTCGTTTCCAATTTAAGAAGAATAATTCGGAAGACGACAAGATAAAACGTGAAATTGCAATCATGAAGAAGTGTCATCACGAGCATGTTGTGAAGTTGATTGAGGTCCTTGATGATTCGGCTTCTAGAAAGATTTATCTTGTATTGGAATATTGCTCCAAGGGAGAAGTTAAATGGTGTCCCGGGGACCAGTTGGAAACTGAAGCGAGAGGTCCTCCTCTCCTAACATTCCAAAGGGCTAGAGAAATTCTCAGAGGGGTCGTTTCAGGTCTCGAATATTTGCATTATCAGGGAATCATACATCGGGACATTAAGCCCGCAAACTTGTTAATTTCCGGAGATGGTGTAGTTAAGATATCAGATTTTGGCGTATCATTTGCCGCCAGCAATACTCTTGATAGTAATGATTCAATTGATGAGTTGGAATTGGCAAAGACTGCAGGAACACCGGCATTTTTCGCTCCTGAGATATGTTTGGGTCATGACGCGATGGAAAAGTTCAATTTAGATAAGGACAAGACGGCTAAAGGTCCGCTAATCTCATTTATGATTGATATCTGGGCCCTCGGTGTCACTTTGCATTGTCTACTTTTTGGTATGCTTCCTTTCATTTCCGAATTTGAGCTGGAACTTTTCAATAAAATCATCAACAATCCTCTCAAGTTTGCAAAGTTTACGGAAATGGATCACAACGGAATTTCAAAAATATCCTGCGAGGAGGAATATGAACAAGCAAAGGACCTCCTAGAGAAGCTACTGATTAAAAACCCATTCGAGAGGATCACACTAGCTGAAATTAAGCGGCATCCTTTTGTTTGCTGGGATTTTGATCGTATGAATGATAAAGACGACCAAGCTCTCGCTTCAAAGTACGCAGAAAAGGCTAAATTTGAAAGAAATCAAGGGCAAGATTACCAGCAGATTTCTATCTCCACGCATGAGTTGGAAAATGCGGTATGTGGCATTGGGAACAAACTGAAAAAATCAGTAGTAAACTCAATCGCTGCGGATAAAAATCGCAACGGAACTTCCCTCTATCCGAATAGTAGTTTGACTCGTGATGAGAAGTATTCAGATAATCTCGATAACAGCTATATCGACAAGAATAGCGTTGTGCATCGTTTCAATGATTTCAAGCTCGAAGATATCCAAAATGGTGCTGATAGTAATAGCAATTTGATTCTCAGCGAAGGACCTATCATAGATTCTAAATTTAACGCGACAAGTCCGCCTGAGAAAACAAGAGAGCTGAGTGCTAAAGAAATCTTTCAGCAAGAGCTGGAGAAGTTCGACAAAAAGAGAGATCCTAACTCGATTGTATCTTTACCTGTCAATTCCTCTTTTGCTTCTTTGGATAGTTTTTACATTGACAATTATGCAAGAAGCCAGCCAAACACTGAAGGGCGACCTCTCTCGGGTTCGCCGACAGAATACAACTATTCCCCAACAATTTTTGCAAGACCTCCGCCAGCCTTGTCTGGATCCAAGTCCATTTACGACAAGAAACCAGCTCAGATGAATGGATCGGGAAATTCAAGGAAAAGTGCAGTAAGTATGCGCATGACATCGCCATCGCAGTTAAATTTTGACAAATTAGCTATAACCTCTAATATCAATGATCGTGTTCCAAGAGGTCCACATTCACCTGTGTTTACCACTAACCGATCCCGAAGCGGAAGTAACGATTTTCCAGCTGCGGCGGCAAGAACCAGGTTTAAAATGACATCCCAGTTTCCCAATCCCAAACAGCATAATGAACAAGTTCATAATTTTCATGGTTCAGAAGCAACCTCGTTGAATACCAGACCTGATTCGAAGAATCAGGCACGAAAGATAACGGAAGCTCAAACGAAGAGAGGAAATTTCTTCTCTAATTATAATGGAAGTGATGAGGAAGATAGTCAGTCAACAGCAACATCTGAGACGTCCATCTCCGGAACGTCAGGTTCGAGCGATATGTCGTACTCAGATGCATACTGCTCAGAATCCGAGTCATTACCTTTCGAATTCAGAGTCGATTCAGGAAGTGGGAGCATGGTATCCGTTAGAGACGTTGCTAATCTTGAGGTAAGACCCTATTTCGCTAGACAATCCTCCGCAGGCGGTAAAGATGAAAGTGATGATAATGGTGATGGTGAAGAGGAATTGGTGCTTGATGTTGGAAATTCTGGTCACAATCGCCGCCAAGGTTCTATCTCTAGCGCATCTAGTTCTCAAAGAAGCCGTAGGGGTGTTCAGTTCAATCGCAATATGTTTGGCACGCCTTCTTCTTCTCGAGCTCGGAATATTACCTCTGAGCTTATGCCTTACCCTGAGGCATCGGTCGAAAGCACAGCCACGTTAACAGCATACAATTATAAACAGGCGCCGGATTCATCCGCTAGTTTCAACACTCTGTCTCAAGACGTTGATGACTTTATCCTGGACGTAGACCCTGAATACGGTGTGGATGTTCCCTATGATGTGATGAACAAAATACCTGAGCTCAATGGGCAATCCTCGAGCGTTTCTTTGGACGTTAACCCTGGACAAAGCTTCCTCGCAGTGAATGGCAGTCCTTTCAAACTAACATCGTCTCAAAGTCGAAATTCACCTTTTTATAGGAATACTCCTGTGATGCCAACTCAACAGACTAACGTGAATCAAGTTGTAAATAAAAGATTGGGTCGAGATAATCCTCGTATTACTTCAAAAGATTTGTTGCAGAGCGTATTGACATCTGCAGGATCAAGCCGGAGGTCATCAGTCGCACCTATTAAGAAATCTAACAAATCGCAAAATGGTAACACTGATTCATATGTAAACCATTACGCTGGGAAAAAAGACACCAAATATGAATCCACAACCGAACCTCGCCGAGCCATTACTCGTAATAGAGACTTAAAAGGAAGATATAGATCAAAATCAGTTAGTGTCGGCTTGCTAAACGATAATCGTCATACGGATAAATCAATTTCTTAACATCCATTGCATGCTATGTATTATATATATTTCAAATCTAAACATTAAAGGATATTTTGGGTCGTTAATTCAAAAGCCTCCTAATTTTTAAAAGCAGTCTCACGCTTATTTAAAAAAGTAGTCTTCGATGAATTATTATGTAACTTTGTTCGACTATCTATTGTATTCAAAACGCCAAGAAGAAAAAAAATGATAGACAATAAACTCCGTTAAACTAATTCATATTATTGACACCAGGCCAATTTGAACATAAAACTAGGCAGCGTAAACAACGCTGACTTACCCAAAACAATAAAAGAATTAAATGATAGCCAAAAGGGGTTGTAGTAGCTGTGGAGGCGTCGTTCATGAATGACTAATCTTTCCTCTCAATATTTTCAGCCGATTTGCAATGCTATCGATGTATTTTTTGATCATTTGCTTGTCTGATTCATCTAGAACGCCTGTTACGCCAAAGCATGGATCTTCGTAAGTATCCTCTTCATCACCGTTATCCAAAACGGTCTCTAACATCCATAGAGAGGTAGCATAAGCTAGCTCGCAATTATTTAAATACTCTCCTTGCATTTCGAGCTTTGCTGCGGTTTTTGAAATTTCCAACGCTCTGTCGTAGATCAACTTTTCTACAAATATTGGCTCTTCCTCTTCCGAAGTGTTAACCTCATTCTGCTCTTCTACCACGCGGTCACGATCTTCATCCGATGAAGCCTTAATTGTGCTTTCGTCAGAATACTTGAAGTTCTTGTTGTTGAGCTTGAGTCTCAAGAATTCTGCTTTCTCTAGGCATTCATTGAACTTGTCCCTTAACCATTGCACCAAAACGTTTAACTTCAAAGAACAATTCTTTTCTTGCGACTGATACCACCAACTTGATGTTATTTGCATAGCCTTTGCCAAAATAGAAAGAGCCTTCATATATAAAACGATGGCCTCGGTACACAATCTTCTCATGTCTGAAAGTGGCAATTCATGCATTATAGAGGTATTTTGGGAGTGACTGCTTAAACCTCTTCTTCTCAAAGAAGCGGAGATGTGATCTGCCAGTGGTCCCTCATACAATTGATCCCCCTCCTCCTCTTCTTCTTCTTCTTCAATGGCGCAACTACCTTCACTCAATCTTTTACCCTGTGTATCATCAGTAGATGAAGGTGGTAATGGCACGACTTGCGAGAACTTGACTTCAGCGAATGAGTAAATGACGAAGGCTTTGGCAGAAAGTGATTCAAGTAAAGAAATGATAACAGTATCAGACGAGTTTTCGTTAAACTTGGTATAATCTATTGAATGGCTAGCTCCTAGCACAATATTCTCAGTTAATTCATGAAAAACTTGCTGAGTAAGCAAGGGATAAGTGACATTACTTGGTGATGAAGATGTTGAGGCTGGTTGTTGATGGCCAAATAATCTCGTAGATGCAATACCTAAAGCCTTCGTTAATGCATTTGATGGGCTCAAGGATGAAATTGATAGACGGCGTTCCACTAAAGACGGGCGGCGTGTTGCTGATCCACCGCTTGAAGAAGAATTTCTCGAATTACGGCGAAGCGCTGCCAACTGGGGTTGCTGTTGTAACTGATGCTGTTGTTGATTGAAGCTTGGAGACCGCCTGCCTTGAACTGTTGTTCCGTAGTTTGCAAACTCATCTGCCAAAGCATTGACTTCGACACTTTTCTTTTCAACCATCACATATTCCTTTTCAATTGACAACTCTGCCGAATTGTTGCCTTGCTTTTTATCCAAAGGCTTGTGTTGAACTTTACTCGATAAAGGTGTGTGAACGGGGGCATCAGTCGACGTAAGTGCTTGAACAACTTTGGAAGGTTGTTTCTTTGAAGTAGCTTCAGTCATTGGCGAGATAGGCAACTTTTTAGACGGTCTTGTTAAATATTCGGATATGAACATATTGCTCTCAGCGACATCCTTAGACTTATCTTCTAGATCAGGGATGTTCTCTTCTTCGAAGCGCGACAAATCCTCATTTACAATTTCATGGTTGAAAAATTCGGTAAAGCCCATCCTCTGAGCAGGATTGAAAGTTAGCAGGCCACATATTAAATCACACATCTCAGGCTCTAAATTGCAATGTGCAGGAAAACTTATCACATCGTTTGCTTTTTTTATTTTTTTGAATAATTCCAAATGATTTGAGGCCTTGAAAGGTGGCCTTCCACAGCACATTTCATAAAGTACTGTTCCGACAGACCACAAATCCGCCTTTGCATTGTATTTTTGATAATTAAGGATTTCTGGAGCCATGTAAAGTGGCGAACCACAAAGTGTCTCTGCTAGCGAAGTATTTGGTAAAAATCTTGCAAATCCAAAGTCCGCTATTTTAAGGATGGGTAGGTTGTAGATACCGACGAAGCCCATTTTATGGAAAGTGTCGCGGTCATGGTAATCAATAAGGGGTGTAGAAAGTAACAGGTTCTGGGGTTTGATGTCCCTGTGGACTAAGTTTTTTGATCTCAGAAATTTCAGTGCAGAAGCCAGCTGCTGCAGGTAGTTAACCACTACAGTTCGGTTCAGTCCGTTGTGTGACTCACTGGGTGGAGGATACTTCTCAAACATAGTGCGCACGAGTGGATGTTTCTCAACAAGCCCCTTACGTTTCTTTATCAGAAAAGTGAGGTCTCCCAAAGCACAATACTCCATGATGAGAAAGAAATCAGACGCCGTGCGCTCACAGTCCATCAACCCCACAATATGGGGGTGTTTGATCTTCTTCAAGATCGCAATCTCGATCTCCAAGTTCTCTAGTAGTTTCTTGTTCTTTAGTTTCGAGCGTGAGACTGCCTTAATCGCCACAAACTCGCCTGGCTCTCTCTGTCCTGACACTACACATCCCTTGTAGACCGTGGCAAACGAGCCCTTCCCGATCTCTTTCTCCACAAGGTACTTGTCTGAGATCGTCACTTGCGCCTGGCTCCCTTCATCTTGCTTCTGAGCACTCATTTCCTATTTTACACAAGTTCTCTTTCGAAGTTTTAGTGTTCAAAACTTTTCTAGATCGAAAACCTCTTCTCAATAAGACCGATAATACTAGTAATGATGATAACCACTAATCCAGCCGAATCTTCATGAGAGTGTACCAAAGAAAGAGGTGATGCTTTATTTCCAACCTCTGAGTCCCCTCTTTATGTCTCACGATAAACACCTAGCCGTAAATATTGTGTTATGACTAATGTCTTCGCGGTGACTTAAAGTTTATCGTAGGGGGGGGAAAGGCTTGATATCACGATGAGCTTGATGCGCGTTTCAGGAAAGTCATAAACTACGAGTGATCATGTGATTAAATAAAGGCTATTATATAGACTACAGCTGACTCACAAGACTACATAGGATAGTAGTAGCTCTGAAAGGGCTGCTGCGTTTGTTGTTGTTGCAGTGCTTGCTGCTGCTGAAGGGCCAAGTTTTGTTGTTGCAACTGTTGCTGCTGTTGGAGTTGCTGTTGCTGTTGCTGTTGCTGTTGCTGTTGCATTTGCATGATCTGGCTGTACTGCGGATTCTCCGGAGTAATTTCCACTGCACTTGTGTACAAATCGGGACGGTTGTAGAGTGACATAAGGGAGCTCTTTTCAGCTTGGCGCTGCTGTTCCTGTTGCTGGTAAAGCATCTGTTGCTGAAGCGCCTGCTGTTGCTGTGCGGCCTGTTGCTGTTGTAGCTGGAAGGTTTGCTGCTGTTGCAGCGCCTGCTGTTGCTGTAGGGCTTGTTGTTGCTGTTGCTGTGCAGCCATGAGATATTGCTGCTGGTCAACATATATCATACCGGTGGCAGGATCTATATACTGTTGCACCGTTCCGTCGAAAACCGCAGCTTGGGGATGGGCCTGAGACTGAACAGGGGCAGAGGCCTGGCCCGTACCATCAAACGTAGCGGGCTGCGGACCCGCCGCGGAACGTCTGCGAGGCAGAGGTGGCTTTGAACTTGACAGACTTTCGCGAGATCCCTTGGAATCTGCAGTCAGAATATCCAGTGCCAAGTTGATGTCGCCGTGCGCCAACGCGAGCGCCTCGACACTACTGTCAGTGTCAGAAAATCCTAAATCGCGCAGGCGACGTAAGGGTCGGGCGTATTTACCAATCTCGTAGTCGTCAACCACACGGTGCGTCAGTCTGGGGAGCTGGCCACCCGACATTGCAGACGAAGGCCTGCTAAATGACCCACGACTCACGCTACTAGGTCTCGACCGGGAACGTGAAGAGGGCTCCGAGCCTGCGTAGTCTTCGGGCTTAATCTCGTTGTATCTAAATTTGCCCAAAACGTACTTGTTTCTGATGAATTTTTCCACTACGGTCCTGTCGTCATCGCCGTCGAAAGGAAATGGCTCGCCCTTTGGATTCCACAACGACTTGTTTCTCTTATTTCCTCCACTATCCATCAAGCGATCTAGTTCCTCGCCACGCCACCGGTCCAGAGTGAGTGACTTGACGTCTGAATATGTGCCATCTTCTCTGTCTCCCAAGATTTTCCTGTGAACGGACGCACAACGTCCGCAAAGGAACACACCCAGGTTTACCGAACACCACGTTGGGAACGCACTACCACACTCACCACACTTATTACCATTTTCTGGACGATTCAAAATATCCTTTAGCTCTCGCTCGACAGCCTTTGAACCTTTCGAACGCATCACTCGGTTCTGTTGATAACTTTTCTGCTTCAATTTTAAATGGATGCTGTTGACATATTCTTTCCTTAAATGAAGAAAATGTCCTTAATCACGACACCCTCGATTCAGTATATTAGAGGACCCTCAACCGCCTCAGAGCTTAAAGCGTGCCTATTTACAACTAATAATCGTTTAATACCTTCAAAAAGTGTCTTCGGGGAATCTTACGGCATATTCATGTGTTTGTTTTTGTTTCGTTGTCGTATATGGACTTTTAGGGTGGAAATACTTCTCAGTTTATTTCAAGCTTGATTGATATCCGAAAACACTATCTTGAGTTTTACTGTGGTATAAGTCTAAATGGTGTTTCGGGGTAATCTTACTAATATTTGGGAGAGTTTGATTGCTTTGCTCGGCAATTTTCCCTTTTCAGTTTACGTGTTCTGGCTAAATAGTTGTCCTTATTGTTTGAGTCCTTGCTTCTTACGTACCCCAGTGGATTTTTAGAAACAAAAAGAATCATAATAACAATATTCATAAATGGTTTGTCAGTAATCTCGTAAAAGCCCAGAGTGGTGTGCGATGCTTTTCTGATTTTTCTATTGTATTAAGGACTAACCGCTATTTTTAGCCGCCCAAGAGAACTACTGTCTCCCTCGCTGAAAAGAAGGCAAACATCTTACGCTTCTTCCAAGAATCTCACTCAGTGTATAACATGAAGGAGCTAGAGAAGCTCATACCCAAGAAATGCGGTATATCTTCTATGCTTGTGAAGGATCTAGTACAACAAATGATCGATGAGGACGGCGTGATTTGCGTGGAAAAATGTGGGAACATTAATGTGTACTGGTGTTTCAAGAATCAAATTACGATGAAGCTCTCAGGTGAGATTGAAATCATTAAACAACGCCTCAAAGATTGCAACGCAGAGGTGTTGAGAGTGCAGGAGGAGCTGGCCTCTCAAAGAAGCGGTGCCCGATGTGAAACACTTAATCTTGATGGTCAGAAAGGTCAAAGAGCACTTTATCTAGATCGAATCGATCAATTGGATGCCCAGTTAAAAAAGGCTAGAAATTCTTATGAGGCAATTGCTGAAACGCGATGGAGTGAAGCAAAAATAAGTGCTCGGGTCAAGGAAGTCACGAAGCAATCAAGAAAGTTGGAGGTAATTACAGATAACATAGAAATAATCACAAGCTACCTCTGTCGTACTTTTACGATCGATAGGAATTGTTTGCGCAAAGAACTAAATATTCCGGAAGAATTCGCCGAATTCGCAGATCTTACAAGCATGCTCCAATCATGAATATTGCCAGCTTTTAACGGTCGTTTCTTTTCTCACCTAATTTACACAGTTTTGATAGTATATACCGACTTACCAGACCGTGTCTCATTGCTAATTTATTCTCAGTAAAAAGTTCTTTTCTCCTGGTTCGAGGAATCTTTTCATTATGTGTCGTGTGTAAAATGTTCAGGGAAGTATTTTAAATTTTGATTGCATTTTAACTGCACCTTTATCCTAAAGTGTATTCACACGGATTCTCCTCCGTGTGTTTTTATGTGCTGGTTCAGATTGTCACTTCTGCTAAATTTCTTGCCGCATATGTGACACCCATAAGGCTTCTCGCCCATATGTAAAGATCTTACATGTCTCTTCAAATGTTCCTGTCTCCTGAATCTCCTATCGCAGAATTCGCATGCGAATTGCTTGGATGCATCCAAAATTGGTGAGGGTTTTCTGCCTCGAGTTTTTGGGAAGCCGAGTTTCTTTTTCACAACGCCTGCCTCATTAATTAATTCTGATGGCTGTTGGGCAGTATCTATTGTGCTGAAGTGCGTCGACTCGGTGCTTAAGCTGTATTGAGCGTCGATGGTGTTCGAAGCCAATAATTCAAATGGGTTCACCACCGGCTCCGAAGCATTTAAAGTCCCGCTTACTGGAACAGTGGGCTTCCTGCTCCAAAAGTATTTCTTTCTTAAAATAGGCTGAGGTTCGTCATCCAAGAGCTCCGGATCTATGACGGGCAAATCATTTTTCGTGGCTCCGAATAAATTTAACTTAAAATAATCTTTCACCTTTTTCCGCTGAGGCGTTTCTGCTCCGTTGAGTGGTATGCTGTCGACAAACATCTCCTCACTCACCGGTGGAGATGCAGCAGGGATGAATGCTTCTGGTGTGAAATTCATCACCATTTCATTTCCGTAGTCACTGAAAACTGAGTCCTTCCGCTGTTTTCTGAACGGGAACGAGAGAATGTCGAGACCCTCGTCGTCAGTCACCATGATCTCCTCATCGTCCTCCGTCTCTCCCTTATGAATGCCCTTCTCGAAGAACTCGTACTCGTAGTATCCTTGCTTGCTGCTTCTGTACTCGGATATAGATAACCTTCTTTTCAGCTTAGGCGATCTATCTCCAGCCACGTTTTCGATATTAAGAAATTCCTCGATCAGACTTGAATCTCTCAACTGCATATTCTCGCTGTGGCCTTGCAAAGTATTACCCGTTAATTCGTTTTCAATTGGAGGATCCGAAGCTGGTTTCTGCACTATTTGAAAGTTAAAAGTCGAATCACCATTTGTGGGTGTACTCAGATCGACTTTACTGCCGTTGACATTGACCCCAACCAAAGTATCCGTCGACATCGTTCTTTGCAATTGGTACAGTGACATTTCAAATCAATTGATTCAAACAATGAACGTTGCACTTGCCAATTTCCTTCTGTTGTTGAGCTTCCTATAATTATAAATTTTAAGCCTGCATACATGCGATCTCACGGTAGTTACCTTTTCCATTTTTTTTTGCTGCGGACGAAGCGTTCCGATGTGCCGTCAACTCCGAGGGGAAATTGGAAGAGATAATAACATATGTCATGTGATCATTAAAGCAATTTACACAAGATTAACTTAATGAATGTGGATGTGGAAGACGTGGGTTAACTACTTAAAATTCCGCAGATTATTTCTAAGAGCGCATTCTCGAACTCACGATAATACTCGTCTCCGGTCCCGATGGCTTCCAACTCCCCAGTGTCGCCGTTCAGAAGCACAATGTAGCGTTGCACCTCTTGATAGATTCGATCAATTTCTTGTGAGGGCTCAAAAACGGGTGCGACGGAAGAAACTTCAGGCTCGAGTTCGGCACTTGTACACCTTTTCGCCTGCGACTCCACAAACTCGCTAGCCGGTGAAAGACCCTTGAAGAAAGGGTTGAAAAGTAGGTTACTATCCATGGACTGGGAGCTTGTGGACATATTGCCAAACAGGGAATATGGCGAGCGGCTGTGCGGGAGGGACGCTAGAGCCCTCATAGTACGAGGGGCGATCTGTGCGCATGAAGTGGTGTAGGAAGTGTCCAGGGCGTTGTTATTGTAGATCAGATTTCCTGAGAACGAAAAACCGTCGTTGAACAGGTCTTCACTGTTAATGATGCTGGTTATACTTAGAATGCGGTTGGTATCTCTTTGCTGATCGAGATCACCAGGGGTAGGGATCACAACGTCACTGTTTCTTTTGGAGCCTGGCCCGCTGCCGTCCTCCGTGGTCAGTGTGCTGAGACTAGGCTGTGGTACCACGTTGGAGTGGTTGCTTAGAAGAGGCGTACTACCCACATCGTACTTGCTGTAAAAAATCTTAGACGGATCCAGCGCCACGCTATCTGTTGATCCCATGATGGTTCCAAACTTGACGATAATGAGCCTGAAGAGCAGTTTAATGAGCTGGAAACAATTCTTGCAAACCGCAGTCTTGTGATCGACCTTCATCTCCGCAACAGGAATTGCCTTTGACAAGAGAATGTATCGCAAATCATTTTGAAGTATGAGGATTTGATTCATTTGTTGCGCACGGTTCAAATCGAGGGCAAGTGTTTTTAAGGCGAAGGTGATGGCATTTATAGGCATGTTGCCGACCAAAAGTTCCCAATTGTAGCACGAATAGTTTTCATCAGAGTGATATTTGAGAAATTCATCCAGATAGTGTAGAGATGCAGGGATAAGATTACTTGTCAAATCTTCGTAATTGTAGACAAATCCGCTAGCAGTTGTACCGTCAGGACAGTCGATTAACGCATGTTCTAATGTCAAATTACCACTATCATTGAGTATGCTTTGAATTGTCAAAAAATTCTTACCGTACCCGCTTTCAGCTATAGGATCTGAAGGCGCTCCATCTTTGGAGCTTATTTCTTCTTTCCACAATCGCCTTCGTTTCATAAGTAAAGGCATAGACGTTTTTATGATGTTTAAATGTAACAGTAGACATGCACGATCCGCAAAGGTATTCAGCATGAATACCGCCCATTCAATGAACTTGGTGTTGACATTAGGAGGTTGATTTTCCTGTTTCAGATAACTACGCAAAGACAAAGCACTTCCCATACAACATGCGTGTAGATCAACGATTCGCTCCTTGAGGCCTTGAAACATGCCCGTGTTGGTTTGTGTACACAGTTCGTTCAGCAGCAAGACAAACCTGTATTTTGCGTTTAGAAAACATAAGCTGGGATTAAGTTTACCTTGCACAACTTCTGCAGGCAAAGCCGTGTCGAATTCGTCCAATTTCATTAAAGGTGGTAAATTGTTGTGCAGAGAAGTCATTGTATCAAGCTGAAATATTTGCCAAAACAAAATACGACGCGACTGAACTAAACTGGCATCACTGATCTCATGGTAAGATGCGGGATCCCGAGTCAACATAGCACGTTGAGCCAATCTAGATAGTTGCGCAATAATAGTGATATTGGGGTTTTCCACAATGGAGTTTATCAACACGAACCCAGTCAAAATTTTTAATGAATATCTGTTAGGAAAATCATTCATAGCGTAAAGCACATTAGCTGCCTCTTGATAACTGCCCATTTCTTGAAATAATTCGTCATTATTGTTGAAGCGATGGAATTCGGACTTGGTGGCCGCGTACAAAATGGGAAACAAAAGCAGTAAGAAGTCAGTAGAGACTTGCTTGCTATGCTCTATGGAATTCCAAAACTCGTCATGGTCATTTGTGAACTGATCTATGTCTATTACCGGAATGATTGGATGCACTGTCATTTTGTAAACCTCAATCAAGAGAAAACATCTACCTTTTTCTGGTAAGTACACCAGAATGTCTTTGGGAGATATACTCGGACCTTCTTGAGAGGAAACCGAGGACGCCAGAGGTGAAAAAGCAGGTGTGGTGATTGAAGGTTGCAAAAGAGGCGTCAGAGCTGAGGTTGGTGATGGGTTCAACAGGTTTGAACCGGAATGTGAATAAACTGCGGGTTCTGTGCTGAGAAGTGGAGTCTGAGAATCAGTGAGCTGTTGCTGCTGTTGCTGCTGCTGCTGCTGCTGCTGCTGCTGTAGATTCTGCTTCTGTTGCAGGCGCTGTTGGTCCTGCTGCTGTTGCTTTCGCCTGGTATATTTCCGTTTCTGCTTCTTACTGAGCTCTATCAAATTCTTCTCGTCTCGGAGCATGGTCCTCGCTTCTTCGATTGCCATGAGAAGCCTCTGCTTCTTCTCGACTTCGGTATAATTTCCGACGAGACTATCATTCGTCATTGATACACCAGTGTCAGCGCCAGCTTCGTTCTCACTCTTAGGAGTGATGGATGTCTGCCCACCACGCGATACTCTGTCGTTGACAAAATAAGAGCACTTCCAATTATTCTTCATACAGTTCGTGCAAACAGGGTGATCCCGCGAGCATTTGATCTTCCGTTGGTGGCATGGTACGCAGCTCAGGATTTTACGCTGCCTTCTATGCTGTATCTTGTATATTTTACCATCCTCAAGTACCAACGCAGCCTGGTCCTTGATGGGTATCAGTCTTGAACTCATGAAAACTTTGGGGTTGGAGTAGAGTGCGCCTAGGCGAAGTAGCCACGCGGTTGGTGAGCTTTGAAGCTTCGCCAGATGTAGTGCCTAATCTCTCCCAATGCAGGACGAAAGTGAGATTGCCTGTTCCACGTGACCCAACAAAAAATCGGGCGGTTTCGTGTTTCTTTTTCGATCGTCTACCACGGGAAGCGCTCGTGCTGGCCCAGCGCCCAACTCAGAAAACCACGACAGTCCAAGTCCTGGGCGGCAACAAAGGGCGGTAGTACAGGGCTGGCAAGTATGTAACCATACCACTCACTCGCTCACGTTGGTGCCTGAAAGCCATCATCCACACCCTATGACTAGTAATCAAGTCCAAATGCAAGATACGGCCGTCAGCGACCTCAGATATGATCAATATAAGGTTTTGATCGTGCTAGCAATGAAATAGAAACGCCTCCCATATAGAAAGATTGAAAATCTAGCACGCAGGGGACAAAGCCTCGTTCAAAGAAATATCAAATGACAAACAGTATTCGAGTCACTCAAAACGAACCACGTTCGGGCCAATGCTACGGGTGTATATCGCGCAATACGAAAAAGGTCCTCTGAAGTCCATCACATGATCAAATCTAACTCTTTCCAACTGTGGCGTCTTTTGGGTTTACAACAGACGCCACAGTAGTGAGCGGCACGTGCTTTAGCGGGGTTTTAGTCCTGCTAGTCCCGCCTCTCACCGCCGCCCGCCACGGCTCCGGGCAGGCAGTGTCAGTTACCACGGGTTATGGCCTGGTATAACGCCGACTTGAGTCAGATCTCATCGGTGTAGTAATGTGTGTCGCATAACCCAATCCACAGTTGCAACGGGTACCGGTATAAATAAAGAGGTTAAGAGAACCTAACCAGTCCAGGACTGTTGGCATAGGACATCAGATTATCACAGGTCATTGTTCACTCAAGATTGGCTGCTTCTCGTGTTTCGGACGTACGCTTTTACAGATCATTAGTTTCAGGTACCTTCTTTTCCACGACCTCACACTCATTAATCTCCCAGAATTCTCCGCACAACCAATCTCAAGATAGAGCTGATATTCACAAAAAGCGTCAGAAACTTACAAACTGTGCTATAATAATCATTCAAACCCTATGACTAGCCAATCCAGCAATTATTCTTTACAGACGAAATTGGTGTCAGTGTCTCAACACCGTGATCAGCACGGATCGAGTGTTCCACCCCTTTACCAATCCACGACCTTCAAGCAGACGTCGCTCGAAGACGACGCCTCACAGGCATATGACTACACTCGGTCCGGCAATCCTACGCGGACGGTAGTGCAGCATCAGATAGGGAAGCTTTACGGAGTGGATGCAGCGCAGGTTTTCGCTGTGAGTAGCGGAATGACATGCTTGGATGTGATTTTGCGGGGCATAGTACTCGGTAACTCTGCAGACGTGCCCACGATCATCGCAGGTGACGACCTTTACGGAGGCACGCAACGTCTTCTCACGTTTCTCGCTGCGCGCAACCACGCCAATGTCGTGCACGTAGACACCACCAACTACTCCAAGTTCACATCTGTGTACGACCAACAGCAGCGGGTCGACTGCGTGCTGCTGGAATCCCCCACCAACCCGCTCTGTAAAGTCGCAGACCTTCCACGTTTGACTACTTTCATCAAGAAACGCAACCCCAAGTGTGCAGTGGTCGTTGACAACACCATGATGAGCGGAATGAATTGTAATCCTCTACATTTCGGCTGCGACGTCGTATATGAATCTGCTACCAAGTACCTCAACGGTCACCACGATATCATGGCCGGTGTCATCATTGCCCGTTCTCCAGAGCTGGCTCAAGAACTGTACTTCGTTATAAACTCCATAGGTTGTGGGCTTTCACCTCTGGACTGCTGGTTACTCATCCGTGGGCTCAAGACGTTAGGAGTCAGACTCTATCAACAACAGCATAACGCCATGGTTTTGGCTCAATGGCTCGAATCCTCTTGTGGCTTCACATCTAGTGGCCAAAATGACAAACTTTGCACTCGTTATGTGGGACTGAAATCACACCCTCAATTCGAGCTGCACCGCTCATTTAACCAGGGCCCTGGTGCTGTTCTCTCTTTCGAAACCGGTTCCTTCGAGCACTCGAAGCGCCTAGTGTCGTCTCCAAAATTGCAAATATGGGCAGTAACGGTTTCATTTGGGTGCGTTAACTCCTTGATTTCCATGCCTTGTAAGATGTCTCACGCCTCTATTGACCCCGCAGTACGCAAGGAACGCGAATTCCCTGAAGACATCATAAGGCTTTGCTGTGGTATCGAAAATGTAGCTGACTTACAACGCGACTTACTCGGTGCAATGGTCGATGCCGACGTTGTTGAATTGCGCGATGGAGGAAGAATCATCTACAATAAGCTAAATGGGCATATCGGGATGAACACCATCGGACAAGGTACTACCCCCAACATTTACGATGAGTTTTACGGCCAGGAGCTAGTAAAGCGAGAGTTGGCTTTAAACAACAGAGCAAAACTTTAATGAACGTATTTAGCTTTTTGTTATTTATTGTGTAACATGCATCTGGCATCATCGAATGAAAATTACGAAAAATATTCTGGACTATATAATAACGGTGAAGGAATTTTTGATCACGGACATCCGCCAACATCAGGAATCCTTTTTCTTTTCGGCTGCATCTACCGTATTACTTACAAAGTCGATTGATTTGATTCTGCAAGACCAACCATCTTTCTCTGCGATGGCTGCTAAACCCGCGATTCTCTTTATTTCAGAGCCTAATCGGGAATCGAATATATACAAGACAGCGATAAAGAAGAACTTCCAGATATTTCATCACCAGTTTGAATCGAAAGATCCCGAGTCTTTTCTGCAGTACTTACATGATACGTTTGACGAGGATAAAGCACCACTTACAGCCATCTACGGGGGGTACCCCTGTTTCATGCCAATTGGTGGGCTAACAAGAGAGATTCTTGAACATGAGTATTTCCCAGCAAATACATTGAGATGTATTACCGTTTGTTCTCGAGGAATAAATGGTATTGATCTCGAAGCCTTGTCCGAGTTTGATATAAAGCTATTCAACTATAACGACGACAGTAAAAATTGTTCTAGCAATCCTGAATTGGTCATGAAACAAGACTTAGTAGGTAACGACGTGGCAGATTGTGCTCTATGGCATGTAATGGAGGGCTTTCGAAAATTTTCCTATCAGCAGCAATCGCTTCGCGAGCACCCCAATACGCTCACCAGCCGCTTTCTTCTCACGGGTAAAGATCCACAGGTACCGCAGTTTGCATTTGGTCACGAGCTCTCGAAATGCATGGTCAAGTCACCTAGAGGCCAGAAAGTTCTAATTCTTGGATTAGGTGCCATTGGAAAGCAGATCGGACATAAGTTGCATCATGGGCTTGGCATGGAGGTGCATTATACAAAGCGAGCACCAGACACTACAGTGACCTGGCGGTTTCACGACTTTAACGATTCCTTGTTCGACGAATTGAAACAGTTTTCGACAATTATTGTCGCATTGCCAGGAACATCTGAGACAAGGCATCTGGTGGATGATAAATTTTTGAGCCACTGTTCTGAAGAATTGATCCTCGTTAACATCGGTCGAGGATTCATTCTTGATCAGGTGGCGGTCGACAAAGCACTGAGAGAAAATAGATTGCGGCATTTGGGGATTGACGTTTTTTACAATGAGCCAGATGTGTCGAGAACTCTGGTAGAAGCTGAAGCTAGTGTAACCATCACACCTCATATCGCCAGTAGCACAGAGGATGTTTTCAACCAAAGTTGCGATGTTGCACTCAACAATATCATAAAAACAGTACTAGGGCCCCAGATGAAGCAAGATTGTAATTGATCCGGGAACTCAAGTACACCCTGGCATTTTAAGTAGTTGCATGGTCACTTTAGTTACCTCAACAAGCTACATTTCTTGTCTATAAACCTATAAGACTCTTGATCCTAAGTAAATTAGAGCTGCGATCGAAGCCACTGGTAATGGTTTTTCATCTTATTGATAAAATTCATAGTTTAGAGAGTAAATACAACGTTTGATCGTCAAGTTGAAAAATAAAAAACTTAAGACTGACTGAGATTAAGGTCTACTCTAAAACCATCCAATAACATCAAGTCACCGTCCGCCCTCACATTTTGGATTATCTGCTTGCTTGAAGATTTAAGGTGATAGATTACATAAGAACAAGCACTAGCTCTAGCACAAATGGATATTTCTATGCTTGAAGATCTTCATAAGGCATTCATTACATAATTACTTCTTATTCTACAAAGCTCAATAGAAAGTCCACCTAGATATTCAGCTATATCTACGGTGGCTGGTCTCTTATGTCCATCTCGTTACTCTAAAAAAAAAAAGTCCTGTCAGTCCTACCCCGGACTTTCAATTCAAGCGGAGATCAAAATTCCGAATATCGCTCCTTCTATCTCAATGCGGCATCCACAGGTTAACTAAGAAGTCAGAATCCCGGGATTAACGTAATGTGCATTTACCAAGAAGCTTAGAATTATGGAAGACGTGTAAGTAAACACAGTAGCTTTAGATGTTGCCCGCGCGAACCCGGCGTTTGGCATTGTTGCTAAGACAAAAACATGGATGATGCTGTGTGCATGTAGAGAGGTGAACCGCACTGCGGGTTGTCGAACGGACGCTAAAAGATTATTATCAATTTGTACAGACACGGTCATTTTATATAAAAGTCGCCATCTTCTGCTCACTTTTGCAATTGATGCAACAATTTAGTTTTCTAACTGAAATTCTTCAAACAAAAAGTGATCACTATCATATGACTGAAGTGGATATTATCAAAATTGGTATCAATGGATTTGGGCGAATTGGCCGGCTTGTGTTGCGTGCTGCATTGAAGCACAAGAATGTGCGCGTCAATCTCATCAACAACCCATCTACCTCGCCAGAATATGCTGCTTATCTTTTCAAGTACGATTCTACGCATGGCAGGTACCACGATGATGTGAGCTCAGATGACAGTTCTATAATCATCGGCGATGCACAAAATGGATTCACCATTCCATTATCGCAGTGCCGGGAGCCTGAACTTATACCGTGGAGCGAATATGGCGTTGATTATGTCATCGACGCTACTGGCAAATTTAAAGAACTTGAAACAGCTAGCCGCCACCAAAATATCAAGCGCGTGGTTATCACTGCACCATCCAGCACTGCTCCTATGTATGTGTATGGCGTGAACGAGAATGAGTACAATCCTGAGACTGATACGATTGTGTCTAATGCATCATGCACAACGAATTGCCTGGGACCCCTAGTTAAATGCCTTGACAGTGACTTCGGGATTGAAGAGGCTCTAATGACTACGGTACACTCGACAACTGCCTCTCAGAACGCTGTCGACGGTACCTGTTCTGGAAGCAAAGATTGGAGAGGTGGAAGAAGTTGTCAGGGCAACATTATTCCGTCATCGACAGGAGCAGCCAAAGCAGTTGCAGCCATTTTGCCGCATCTCGAGGGAAAGATAACTGGCATGTCGATTCGTGTCCCGACTATCAACATCTCACTCGTAGATTTGACCTTCCGAACAAAGAAAGAGACTTCATATGCCGAAATTATCCAAAAGTTGAAGGAACATAGTGAGACGGACCTCAAAGATGTTTTGGGTGTAACCTATGATTCAGTGGTCTCTTCAGACTTTACTTCAGATCCGAGAAGTTCAGTGGTTGACGCCAAAGCTGGCATCGAGCTCAATTCAAGATTTTTCAAGATATGCAGTTGGTACGACAATGAATATGGTTATTCCTCTAGAGTTGTTGATCTGTTGATTTACATGGCTAGGAAAGACCAAGAGCTTGCAAAGAGTGCTGCATAGGTGCTGTATGCGCTATAGCGATTATTTCCATAGATTATTTATCAGTTCCAGTGCGACGCTCTTAGACTTTCCTGCAGAGCATTAATTTTTTTTTTTTTTGTTTAAACATGATCTTTTTCTTTTGTGATGATGACTCTTCCCTTTGATATCTCGAAAGGCTGTGGATGGCGATAATATTTCGTACATATAACTAGAGCTTCTTCGTTAGGCAGCTAACAGTAAAATACATAATGAAGTAATGTTGTCACAAAAGATAGATGAAGTAAAGGTATCGCAAGTGGAGAAAGTTCCCGAGAAGGAAACCTCGATTATATCACAGATCAAATCAGGGACAGCTCGTATGTCCAGGAAGTTGGATTCTTTGGGCGTGGAAACCCGCGGGATTCAGAGAATTCCACCTTATGAGAGAGGGACGTCGAAACAATTTCTCAGTGTTGCTGGTCTTTGGCTGAGTGCTGCTGGCGGTCTTTCGTCTATGTCATCGTTCTTCTTAGGGCCCTTGCTCTTCGAACTGACTTTCAAACAATCCCTGATGTCCGGTTTGATTTCTATGGCGATTGGGTGCGGTGTCGCTGCATACTGCTCCATCATGGGCCCTCAATCTGGCTGTAGGCAAATGGTGACAGCGAGATATCTATTCGGATGGTGGTTCGTTAAATTTGTAGCCCTTGTCGCCATTATTGGTGTGATGGGGTGGAGTATCGTCAACTGTGTGGTTGGTGGTGAAATGCTGGCTGCTGTATCAAACAGCAAAATTCCCCTGTGGGTTGGTATAGTAATTGTCACCGCGGTATCGTTCCTGGTGGCTATATTCGGTATCAAGCAAGTACTCAGGGTTGAAACCTACTTATCTCTCCCCGTATTGACCTGCTTTTTACTACTATACATCTCTTCTAGCGACAAGTTTAGCATGCTAAACACGTTTACGAATGACGACGTGGAGCCTTTAACAATAAGGGGAAATTGGCTCTCCTTTTTCTCGCTTTGTTATAGTATCACTTCAACTTGGGGGTCGATTACTGCTGATTACTATATTCTTTTCCCAGAAGATACCCCCAAGTACCAAGTTTTCTTTCTGACCTTCTTCGGCACGCTGCTACCAACGACTTTCGTTGGCGTTCTCGGTGTAATTTTGGCTGCGATCGCGGTATCTTACCAACCATGGAACGACGCATACAACGAATACGGAATGGGTGGTCTTCTATATGCTGGTTTTGAGCGTTGGAATGGATTTGGAAAATTCTGTGTCGTTGTATTGATTTTCAGTTTAATTTCGAACAATATCATCAACACATACTCCGCCGCTTTCTCAATTCAATTGTCAAGTGTACACATGGCACGCATTCCTCGTTGGATCTGGGCAATTGCATGCACCATATTCACTCTAGTTTGTGCTCTTGTTGGTAGAAACCATTTCAGCACAATATTAGGTAACTTCTTACCTATGGTGGGTTACTGGATCAGCATTTATTTTATCATTCTGTTAGAGGAGAACTCCATTTTCAGGAGATACTTTCTTCATCTCTACACTTTGGAATTCCCAAGATCAAAAACAGAAGAGGGTCATTCACGTCCCACTGTGCGCGATATCAAGCATAAAATTTCCAGAGCAAATCATAGGTACAACTGGGATATGTGGGAAAACTACGATGTACTAACGCATGGCTACGCCGCGACTTTCTCATTCTTAGTTGGAGTAGTTGGTGTGGTACTAGGAATGGCACAGGCTTACTGGATTGGGCCAATCGCACGCCAAATTGGGGACTTTGGAGGGGATCTAGGAATGTGGTTAAGTATGAGTTTCTCAGGATTGGTTTACCCTCCTCTCAGGTACTGGGAACTACGTAAGTTTGGCCGCTAGTACAATCATTATATAGAAGACTAGAAATCCACTCTGTTTATATTTGTGACTAATTATTAAATGAATTATTTGATACACTATTAATCCTAATGGTCCATTACCTTATGTACTTCAAAACACGTGACTGGTGACCAACCAAAATGCTGCTTTTTTCTCGATGTCGATAGCGCTCGCGTCGTAGCGTCGTGTCAGACACCGAAATCACCCTATCGAAAAAAATTTTAGCCAAGGGAGATTGGCAGAGCTGTGTTCAACCTTACCAGGCTGCTAACGGGTTAACATATCTAAATCGTATGGAAATGAACAGGAGGTTTGAAATAATGAAGTACAGACTGTCTATGACTACTAGAAAATAATGAGCGACTCTTGGTTTTCTGGGATTTAAATTTGCGATGGGCAAGAAATAACATGATGCCAGCGTAGGTGAATAACATCCAAATTAGGTGAGCTATTTGAGCGAAATCGTGAGAATTGCATATGTGACTAATGGCCGATCATATAGGCCCGGATGTTTGGTTAATTCTTTTGGATGGCCATATGCCATCACTGGCAGGCCCTGGAGATATCGGACTATCATTAACAAGGGCTCGAAATGCTATAAACACGGGATAGTCATAGAGGTTTATTTCATTTTTTTCAACAATGATGAACATAATACTAACTAACAGCACAGATAATGTTATCTCTACGCCAAACTTTGAGATTTGTTGCCCCCGCTTCCAGAGCTTTTTCTACTTCTAGAGTAGCCATGCAAAAGCAGGTTACGAAGACTGCACAGACCTTGGCTGAAGTCAACGGTCCAGAGAGTTTGATCGGTCCAGGTGCTAAGGCTGGTGAAGTTCCTACTGATCTTGAGCAAGCCACTGGTCTAGCCAGATTGGAATTGCTAGGTAAGTTGGAAGGTATTGACGTTTTCGACACCAAGCCTTTAGATGCTTCTAGAATCGGTACCATGGAAAACCCTATTTTGGTGGATACCTACGATGACTATCGTTATGTTGGTTGTACCGGTTCTCCAGCTGGTTCTCACACTATAATGTGGTTGAAGCCAACTGTCGGCAAGGTCGCCAGATGCTGGGAATGTGGTTCCGTCTACAAAGTCAACGCAGTGGGTGTCAAGACTGATGACGACCACCATCACTGATGGAGTGAAACTCAAACGCAAAAGAAACAACTTTTCAAAATCGTCGCATGAATATTCAACTTTCTTATCCATTCTTAGAATCGAATTAGACATCCTATTATTTAAATGACTTAAGATAACTGTACACGTAATATAGTGAAACAAAAGGGTATAGTAAACACCGGGTTGTTGTATGGGAAGTGTGAAGGTGAACTATAGGCCTCGCATGCTTTAGATCTTGCCCGAATCATGGATTGTCTCTTAAAAAAATGCAGGGCGCGCTTTCCAGGGCTTACTAAATTTACCATTGACTGCGAATTCACAGAACCCACACATTTACAAAGAAACCCACCCACCAGATAGATTCATACAGAATATTTGGCTTCAACAAACAAGTCGGCTACACGGAAATCTACGTGACAATGCTACCCTTCACCAAGTACTGCGTTGGCGTCTGTGGGTGCTATGAATGTTGACGCAAGCTGGGATTCATCCCTCCAGCTTGGGCCCGCCCCGCTAGCACCGCCTGCCTAGGCCTTCCTGCAGACCCACTATCGCCCGCCCAGGGCTTCTTCCTACACTCCCTCTGCCCACCCCCCGCATCCTGGCCGACACCCCGGCAGCAACTCTGGCCTGTAGAATCAAAAGTTTTCCACACTAGGCTTAGAGTTGAGTTAAAACAATTCTATTCTTTTTGGAAGAATTTCATTTAGACATAACACAGGACAAATAATTCAAGTATGTGATGAACTAGGTAGCGGTAGCTACGAAATGGATGAGGAGAGGACTAGAAACACAGTCTGATAAGAGGTGCGCGTACCAGGATTACATTTTGCAATTACTCAAATTAAAATCGATAATGAAATGAAGCAGTGAAACGGCATATTTACAACAAACCTATTGGAAACAAGAGCTTATTGCATGTGCATGGTGCAAGCACTAGCATATATACTGTGATAAGTCAGTCACTCAATATTAATCTGTCCTCTCTACTCATCCTAGACTACCTCGAAATTTATACTAACAACTCACTAGGATGCCAAAGAAGAGAGCTTCCAACGGTAGAAACAAGAAGGGTAGAGGTCACGTCAAGCCAGTCAGATGTGTCAACTGCTCTAAGTGTGTTCCAAAGGACAAGGCCATCAAGAGAATGACCATCAGAAACATCGTTGAAGCCGCTGCTGTCAGAGATTTGTCCGAAGCCTCCGTCTACTCCGAGTACGCTTTGCCAAAGATCTACAACAAGTTGCACTACTGTGTTTCCTGTGCTATCCACGCCAGAATTGTCAGAGTCAGATCTAGAGAAGACAGAAGAATCAGAACTCCTCCTCAAAGACCAAGATTCAACAGAGAGAACAGAGTTTCTCCAGCTGACGCTGCCAAGAAGGCTGCTTAAATGTGATTAGGAAGATGCTTTAGAATCTTTGTATATTTTACATAGCACAAGTTTATCAATCAACCGCTACTTATTAATATGATGCCCGCAAAAGGGTTACCAACCATGAATTGTAGCTTAGGAACTACTCTCGATGAGATGAGAGCACGTGAACCGTCCACGTGATCATCAGCTTAGTGTTAGACAAGAAAATTTTTTTGCTTGAGGCATGAACCCCCTAATTTGGCTGTGTTGAAGACTGAGCAGTAGTGCGAAATCTTGTTGATACGACTGTAGAAGGAAGCAATTGCATTAAAGGGAGTTTCCAAGTTGTGTCATCTTGTCGGAGAAGCACGTACTAGAACATGCCACAAGAGAATTTTGATTTTAAGTTTAGCCAATGTTTTGGTGACAAAGCAGACATTGTCGTTACAGAAGCGGATATCATCACGTCGGTAGAGTTTGACCCGACGGGAGACTACTTGGCCACAGGAGATCGAGGAGGCCGTGTGGTACTGTTCGAACGTAACAATAGCAAGCACTGTGAGTACAAATTTCTGACGGAATTTCAATCGCACGACGCAGAGTTCGACTATTTGAAGTCATTAGAAATAGAGGAAAAGATCAACCAAATCAAGTGGTGCCGACCCACTAATCAGTCTCATTTCCTGTTGAGCACAAATGACAAGACCATCAAGCTATGGAAAGTGTACGAGAAGAATATCAAGCTTGTGAGCGACAACAACCTCAGCGAGGGCACGTTCGCCACGCGCGGTGGCAATGGCGCGGCAAAAGCGGTACTTTCGCTTTCGACGCTAAAATTGCCCCGGCTCTCACAACACGACAAGATCATCGCTGCGGCGCCCAAAAAGATCTACAGTAACGCACACACCTACCATATCAATTCCATATCCATAAACTCGGATCAGGAGACGTTCATCAGCGCGGACGATTTGAGGATCAACCTATGGAATCTGGATATTCCTGACCAGTCCTTCAACATCGTCGACATCAAACCGGCCAACATGGAGGAATTAACTGAGGTGATCACCAGCGCTGAATTTCATCCACAGCATTGTAATCTTTTCATGTATTCGTCTTCCAAGGGTACAATCAAGTTGGCAGACATGCGCCAGAACGCGCTATGTGACTTCAGAGCGAAGACGTTCGAGGAATATTTGGACCCTATAAATCATAACTTTTTCACAGAGATTACGTCCTCGATATCGGATGTGAAGTTTAGCCCCGACGGCCGCTACATTGCATCAAGAGATTATTTGACGGTCAAAATTTGGGACGTCAACATGGATAGCAAACCAGTCAAGACTATAAATATTCACGACCAGCTGAAGGATAGACTGAGCGACACTTATGAAAATGATGCGATTTTCGATAAATTTGAGGTGAGCTTCAGTGGTGATAGCTCGAGCTTAATGACAGGGTCATACAATAATACTTTTATGATATATCCAAATGTTGTGAAGGAATCAACAACAGGCACTCCAGAGATGGATGAAATTGTATTACAAGCTGACAAGACTGCATTTAAATCCAAGAGACTGGGCACGCTGGAGCAGCAAAGTGCGCGTAATAAAGAATGGGGTGACGACATAGATTTCAAAAAATCTATCCTCCATTTTTCTTGGCATCCAAGAGAAAACAGCGTTGCTATCGCTGCTACCAACAATTTATTCATATTTTCTGCATTATAGTTGGTATGCACGATAAGAGAGGGTATCATCTGTTCGAGATATAGGTCTTTTAAGTTAAATTCTGTGTATTTTTCTCAAGTAATTGTTTTGTGATTTACAATCACATCGAGGATCAAGGCGATATTTCCCAATGGCATCTCATGCTATCCTCATTGTCGCATTTTCCTTTAAAATGATACACAAATATAAATATGACTTACTTACTCCAGAGTAGACATAGTTTGACAATTCCAGGTTCGATAATATTGAGATTCATGCTTGTATTCTGAATAGATAATAAAATTCTTCGTTTAATAATATGCTTGTGTTCACCACCTTCTCTCTCAAGCATCATCATGGGAAACATGTCTGTTGACGACTGGGTTCCAGAACAAAGTCTTATCACCATCGCCCCAAAAAAATGGCTTGCTTCTGATGTTTTGAAATTCGTAGTCTTTAGGCCAGTCCTGGTCAGGAACGTGCTTCAAGTGCTCACGGTGCTTAGCGTGCTCTTCTTCCACGAAGTAAGTGTTTACAGCAGCTAGGGCAATTGATGGCACAGCGACAAAAAAGGTAATCTTCTTCCACAAGCCAGAGGTTTCCTTAGCGTGATGGCTGGTGGCCTCGAGGGATTCTTTGAATGCTTTAGCGGCAGCCTTATCGGCTGGACCAAAAGCTGGCTTCAAGGCGTATGGTGGTAGACTAGAATATCTTCTAATGGCTTGTCTCAACATTATTATTTTCAATAGGTTTCGATGTCCTGTAAAAGCTACTGGCTCTTGTTCGAAAATTTTTTTATAATGTAGGGGATTAACTAAAACCGTACCACCGAAATCACCGGGGACGTGGTTTCATTAAATTTTAAGAGCTGTGATTGGTTCAAGTAAACACAAGAAATAAATCAAACAGGGCAAGAGTTTCTGTATGATCAAGAGATATTTACCTTTTGTAAATGATTTCCGTTCTTCAGTGTTGGAATGAAATGATATTTTGAGTTGATAATACGTATCGAACGTAAAAAAATAAATGCGCAAGCCCGGAATCGAACCGGGGGCCCATCGATGGCAACGATGGATTTTACCACTAAACCACTTGCGCTTCTTAGATGTAAGGTTGATGATCCGCATTCTACATGCTGGTAGTAAAGACAGTGCTGTCACATCTAGTAATCGAGTTGTTCCCGCAGTGACAGATCTCCAATTGATGACAAACCTTATTATCACTGGTATTTCCGACTACTGCTGATGTAAGTCTTTTGAGAGCCTCACATATTGTCATTTTACTACTAGTACAGGTTTATTTGATGGCACAGACAGTTTGCATAAAACCTAAACCCTTGACCAAGCATCATGTAAGAAAAGACATTTGAAGAACATGCTATGAAGCCTCTGACATCAATGCAGTAATCAATAAAAGAATGAGACAGCTAAACCGCACAGCACCATTGAAATGGTTTATTACTTAAAACAACAAAATAATACGGAATGGCAGAAGACCGTTAGCAAAATGCCCTCTAAAACACACATTGATGTTACCTCACAAAGTTATAACTGCTTCTTTTCTTAAGCGGAAAAGTTCTTTTAAGGGAGGGGCAGATCGGTGTAGCGTACCTACATTAGCCATTTCCGACTTTTTACCAGTTGTCACACAAGGCTGAGCCACCATTAGTTGGATGAAACTCATATGAAGCGCTTTGATCACTGCAAGTTTTGCGCGCCAGTAAATCCTCAGGATGAAGTAAACTTCTAACGTACCATGAAACGGTTTCAAAATGACCTAAAAAAATGACACTTTATGTCTTCCCTTAGCAAGCCTTAAAAACCTATATATATAAGCTTCAAGCATAACGTCTTCTCTAACTAATTAGCATCCATACATTTAAATGATATTGGTGGTATTGAAAATCGAGAATTTGAATCTCCTTCATCTGATCCAAAATAGTAGAAGGAATATAGTTCCCTAATATGATCAACAATTCTTCCATGAACAGATCTTCCCAAACGTGGAACTCCCTGGTTTGGTCGAGTGCATGAACTTGGCTGTTTTGCACTCTCCTCCCACAAATTTCTCGTACCGCTTTTTCACGTCAGGTTCATGTATAGAGTGACCGTCCAGTTGATTTCCTATGGTGAACCATCCAGGTCGCGTATTGTGGTCGCGGCCAAAGATTTCTAGCTTTCTCGAGTGGGGGCCTACGATACGCTCAATCATTCCATATAACTCGTCAGGCTTCCTACTTGTTTCCCTAGTCGGAGAAACAATGAGATCGACATCGATTTGCTTGTTTAACCAAGAAGGATTTCCCTTTATTCCCACAAGAAGATGCTCCTTCGAATGATTTAACCAATGGCCTGTGCGACCAGTTACTATGGTGCGACCCAGCTGGTTGGTTTTTATCCACGCGATTTCATTACTAACCGTGTAACCCCATTTTTGTAGCGAATCTTTGCCTACCTCAACTGCGCGGCCAGTAACCCACAGGAATATAATACCTTCCTCTTGAAGAGTATCAAGTGGAAGTTGAAATAACTCAGAGTCATTACAAGTACCGTATGGTAGATTCATGTGAATGTTCCACGCGGGGTCAGCTATAACGACAGAGAACTTACCCAGCACACTGAAATCAAATTTCCTTACATCACACTTAATCCACTGCGGAGGAATTTGGGATTTTGAACCAACAGTACAACTATAGCCGTGTGTGTAAAAACACGTTTTCAGGTTCTCATGTTTGTTCCTATTAAGCTTGTCGGTGTTCTTTAGCGCTTCTTGTACTGTAATATCTGGGATATACTCCACATAGTGTGCATATCTGCATGAATTGAGTTTATGGCAAGTATCAAGATAGGAGCAATCACCCAGGTTTAAGTCAGTTTGCGGCTTGATATTGGGAATGTAATGAATTCGGCTGTTCACGCAGTTTTCAATCACTTGACGTTGGTCTTCCGAACAACGAAGCTTTTGCCACTGGATAGATATCAGATTGTTTCCCACAATTTGTGATCCACTAGCAAGAATAGTGGCGTGCGACTTATTTCCACAAACAGGAATATAATTAGACAATGCTGTGGTTACTTTCGCACATTCACGCGACAACTCGCGGGACGCAGGGCATATGTTTAGGAGGTTTTCTAACGACAGCAGATATCCCTTATTTGATATCACATAATCATCTTCATCCAACAGTTGAAGAAGTCGTGTCCGAGGCGTCTCGCCTAATTCTTGTTTTGCCCTTTGCCCCTCTTCCACACTGTAGCCGCCCGGTCTAAAAAGATTATAGAGTATCTTGAGCATTCCAACATCAATAAATTCGAGGGAGAAATTGCCACCCAGCTCAGAAGAAATTTCTTGAGTGGATGTATAATTCACGCAGCCAGGACAAGTTCGAGCCAGATCTTTTATATCCTTAATAAACTCTGGGAACGTAAGCGGTGGCGAGTGACACTCCGAATATTTTGTAGAGTAAAGAGAGTAAAGACAATGAATATCGGTGAGTCGTCCGCAAACAGGATACGACAACAAGGCGATTTGGTTGTCAATCAAGTAACTGACCAATTGTAGATTCAGCATTATCGTAACAAATCTTTACGTTAATGCCAGTTCTATCCAAGTATTTGCCACAATTTTTTTTTTTGAACATCATTTTCTCTATATTGTGACGCGTCACATTTTAATAGCGGGTTATAAAATTAGAATTGCATTCATCAAAAAGTATATTAAAGGCTTGATTGCTCGTTAGAGGAATAATAAGGACCTTACAGGGCTTCATTAATAGATAGCCTCAGTGTGTAGCCTATTGTGTTGATAGTATGAGAATTGAAGCCAACACTACCAGACAGGCAAGTTACTACAAAATAACGAATATAATGAAAAAGAATGAGAACATTCAAATAGCGGGCCCAATAGGCTGACAGAGTCGAAGTGCCTCAATGTAACCATTCCTTTAGTGATTTATATAGAACGTTTAAAATGATGTATATAAAGTATTATGAACAAAATAAATCTTCTGGAAACTACAGCTCACTCGAGACACTGAAGATACTGCATGAGTGACACCATCAGCTTTGATGCCACAACAAAGGAGCATCAGCTGCCGTTTGAATTTGGTGCGGATTATTCTCCCAACGTTTCCTACCACTTTAATGCTGATGTTTCACAATTTCACTATGGTGTGAAGCATCCAATGAAACCCTTTCGCTTAATGCTCACAGACCATCTGGTATCGTCATATGGACTGCACAAGATAATGGACCTTTACGAAACACGACCAGCTACCAGAGATGAGCTGCTTGAATTTCACTCTAAAGACTACGTTGAGTTTCTGTCTAAAGTTACACCCGATACCATCGCTAAAATGCCTCGAGGATCCCTTGAAAAGTTTAACATCGGTGATGATTGCCCAATATTCCAGGGCCTGTACGATTATTCGACTCTATATGCCGGTGCTTCGTTGGATGCTACTCGCAAACTGATAAACGGGCAGTCCGAGATAGCCATAAACTGGTCTGGAGGGTTACATCACGCAAAAAAGGGCAACCCATCCGGGTTTTGTTATGTTAATGATATTGTTCTCAGTATAATTAATTTACTTCGGTATCATCCTAGAGTTCTCTATATTGATATCGATTTGCATCATGGCGATGGTGTTCAGGAAGCATTTTACACAACAGATCGAGTGTTTACAGTTTCTTTCCATAAATACAATGGAGAGTTTTTCCCAGGAACAGGCAATCTAGATGAGATAGGATGCTCAAGAGGGAAACATTTTGCATTAAATGTCCCACTGGATGACGGTATCGATGATGAATCCTATATCAATTTATTCAAGAGCATAATCGATCCTCTCATTAGCTCCTATAGACCTACTGTGATAATTCAGCAATGTGGGGCGGATTCGCTAGGGCATGATAGGCTTGGCTGTTTCAATCTTAATGTCAAGGCGCATGGTGAATGCGTAAAATTTGTGAAATCATTTGGTCTGCCGATGTTGGTATTAGGAGGTGGTGGTTACACACCTCGAAATGTCTCGCGTGTTTGGACTTATGAGACAGGTGTCCTAAATGGTGTTCTACTGCCGAAAGATATTCCAGAAAATATACCTTTTAGAGACTGGTTTGGCCCCGATTTTTCTCTGCACCCAGTGTTAGACGAGTTATATGAGAACAAGAATACTAAAAAGTTCTTAGAAAACGTAAGAATCAGATGTTTGGAAAATATACGCTACCTTCAAGGGGCTCCAAGTGTTAGAATGGATTCGGAAATAATTCCGACTCAAGATGTCAGTGCATTAACCCAAGAAGAGGAACTCGCAATCAGAGAACTGAATGAAGAAAATGACCGATATAGACGACTACAGATGGAGAAGGAAAATTTCAAAATTGGCGAGCTATACTAATACAACTAGTTTTGATTTTTCAACTTTTTTCTCTTTATCATTGTATATAATTGTAAAGAATGGGATCATTACGGGGAAAAAACTAAAAACAATTTCTTTATGAAAATGGTAACGCATGCGATGCATCCATAACTGGATCAATCTTCAATTCGATCTCTGTGCCCATTTTGCGCCATCTCTTGAATAATAGTTCTAGAGAGGCCTTGCCACTCTCCGCACCAAGGAATTCAACCAAATGTTGAAAGTATGCAATTATCTTGCATCGGGTGATTTGCAACTGGTCAACATCATCATGCCGCAATGTCAAGCCACACAATATTGTTGCAGTTTGAAACATCATTGCCCTGAAGTTTGTTTTCATTGGAGGAATAAGGCATTGTGAGCATAAATCAATTCCATTCAACTTGAGATCGCCGAATGTACTGATTTCGCCAGCCTCCACTTTTTCCATGATTTTCTTGACCAGATGAGGATCTATTTTGTCTTGATACATCCAGGACAAAACTTTCCATATTCTACTAGAACTGTTCTGAATAAAAGGGCTGTTCACGGAGACTTGAAATCCTCTCAGTAAAAATACCAAAAAGACTGCATCCACGTGTGCTTGCTGAATAGAGTCATAGATGGAGTAGGTATTGCCTTGGTGCACAACATAAGAGCTCCGCGGCTGATCTTGGAAAATTGTATCGTCTTCTATGTTGACAAGGCCAAATTCATGAGGAATGTAGTGATAATCTCTCGAAGCTTGCACTAAGGTTGATATAAGCAAAAATTTGTCATTATATTCATCAACAAAGGGTATCTTCCTCACACATTTCATTGTCTCTTTCAAGAGAGATAGGGCTTCCGTTGAATAGCCCAGAAATAGGTTATAACCATTTTCAGTAAGAAGTCCCATGTCTTTCAAAACCGAGGAATACCTTCCGTATGCCCCTAGACAGTATATTTCTTCAATTTCATCATCGCTTGCTAAAGTTCCCGTTTGTGTGACAAATGCCACTGCTTCTATTGCTGAAAACCATGATCTCGCTAAGGCTAATGACTTCACTCTCATCTCATCATCACTATCCTGAAATCCCATTCGCTGGTACTTTAGAAATAAATCTTTAGCACCACCGAGATGCATTTTCCATTCATTGCTCTTGAAACTTGAAGTATCGAGAGTTAATAACAGGACGCAAAGTATTAAGCTTTCGATTTTGAGGGCAATCAACGAATCACGGGGGAAGGTCTCGAATGCCTGGTTCAATTGCTTAAACGCTTTCCTGAGGAAATTCTTTCTCACAATATTGTGTGCTTCTTCCTTTGTTATGTTGAATTGATACTTGGCACCTAATGAGGCCATCGCACTTTGTAAGTATGAAGTTGAGCAATTCTCGGATGTGTTCGTCGTTATAATTTGATGAAATAGGATGTCATTACAAATGTTTTCCTCCGGGGAATCTGCAAGGGGTATCAGCCAATATGAAGCTTTCTCGTAAAACAATTTCAAATATGACAGTTCCCCTTCTCCTACCATGTGAAGTGCTGTAGATATCCCTGACCATTTATCATAGTGAGGCGAATCAACGGTGAAATCTATGAGGCTGTTAAGACTTTTAACCTCTTCACTTAGCAATGGATCAATCACACTAGTTAGCATGTCATTTGCTAGTAAAGTAGCATCCATCAAAATAGAATTCAAGTCGGGTTCTCCCTCGAGTGCAGGTGCATCAGATTCACGTTCGGACTCAATATTTACGGATGGTTTCTCAGTATCACTTTTAGCACAGCTTTCCCTGTCTTTGGGTATTTTCACTTCTCGAAATTCTATTCTCTTCTCATTCTTCCCATACTCACACGTCTTTCCCAAATGTGAACACTGCCAGCAGATTGGTTTTGATTCATCACATTTGACTTTTCTCCTTTTGCACTCTAGACAACCATATCGGGAATATTTTCTCTTCTTCTTTATTGGATGTTCTGCCATATCTAGCAACTGCTCCATCGAGTATCACTGAATGGACAACTCGTCATGCTCTAGGGCAATTCTTGTGAGATTGCAAGTTTAGACTGTGTCTTTTTTTTAAGAAATTTTCTGAACATAGCGCATCGGGAATAAATAATCTGCATCAAAAATGAGCCTGGATTGCATAACGCTATTTAGAACATGTTTGGTGGCCCAGGATCTTCTCTTTCGAGATGGTATATAAACGAAAAAAGCTCCCTTAGAATTGTCTTCATGTTGAGATTCATAGCACGGTGTCTTTGTATTTTGCTCATACTGAACCTATGCCTATTACCGCTGCGAAGACCAATCGCGTGCTACATCCATTACATCCTCTTACAATGCCCATCTGGCGCAAGTTGGTGCATTTTATGGTGGCAAAAGTCTGCATACCTGGAAAAAGTAATCTGGAAGCTAATAGATTATATTGAAAGTACCTATGATATATAGCCTGATAACTGAAACATGCCTATCAGATCAAGAATCCGAATTTAAATCGACACTTCCAACCGCCCAAATTTCTCTTTCATCTTCGAAGCGATCTGAGAAGACTGTTTCAGGATCACCACCGGCGGCAATCCTTTCCCTTTCCACTTTAGCCAACCTTTTCCCAACTCTCCTGGTGTAATCTCCAATCGATCTCACCTGAATGGAATCACCAATGCTGTTATTGACTGTGTCTGGCGGTAACGTGGAAAACCAATTATCAAATGATGTCATGTTTTCTTCTTCGACTAACCGGAACATTGCCAAATACGCCTTTTCCGCAGCAAGTTTGACGGGTATAATAACATCACGCAAACACGAAAAAACTGAAGGAGCAAGTTCGTCATAGAACGGTTCGATACTTTGCTCAAACTTGAATCTGGCCAAAGTTCTGACCACTACCAATGCCAATCTTCTGGTGTCAAGAGAATTACTTTCAGGTTTTATCATGCACTTTGACAATTGCTGAATCAACAATTTAATATTCTCCTCTCCCAGTTCGAATTCAGAATCGGCTTCAACTTTTGAAAATGGCGACTTTCTTTCACCTTCAAGTAACAGAACTTTTCCAATCGCAGTCAAAGCATTGTCTGATAAATAAGGTTTGGGCGAATTCACAGCCTTAACAAGATACGCGATAAAATCAGGAATCATGCCAGAAAGGAGAATGTGACCGGGTGCATCTTTCAAAAAGGAGTTTAAAGTCAAAATTGCAAATCTTCCAGATTCACCAATTGGATCAACTTGCAGTACCTTTTCTCTCAAAATTTTCCTTGCTTCATCTTTATCCATTATTTCCGAAAGTGAACCTATTAGCCTAGCATAAGCTGTAGCTAGCTTATCATCCACTGAAAGAATTTCTTCCTCAACTAAGTTCATAATAGTGCTTTTCGAGGCTTCGCTCATTTTTGATCCCGCTTTTGCAACAACTTCAAGGAGAGCTTTTAACATAGCTGTCTTAACACCGTCATCTACAGCTTGTCTCGCCCCCGCCACTAATTCAACCACAAGAGGATCAACTCTAGGTTGATATTCAATCAAGGAGCCTAGTGCCTTGGCAGCACGTAAACGAAGAGTTTCATTAGAGGGATCGGATAGTGATTTAACAAATGTTCTTTGTAATTGAGGAATGAAAGGTCTCAAAAATTGTGGGATCTTGTCAAATAACATGTTAAGCGCATAGAGAATAGCGGCTTTTATATCACTTGGAAACCTTTCACCAACTACACGAATCAGAGGACCAGTGATAATAGTGACAAATGGTCTCAAGTTAGCAGCTGGAGTTCTCTTAACAATATCAGCAATAGCAATCGCAGACGATTCACGGTCTTCATTTGAACCATACATGAGACCATTTAAAAAGATGGGCAAAATACAATTAGGGCCTTTTGGTAATTTAAAGATAGAAAGCTCTTCTCCTCCTTTACCTGTGAGCTGTAGAGCTTGTTTAGCTGGCTTGACCAACTTTTCAAGCATTCCCTTGTCTTGTCTTTTGATCAATATAGACAAGACGTCGAAGACGCTCCCTAGAATTCTATCGTCCTCTTCATCGAAGCATAAAATCAATTGAGAAATAATCTCTGGTGTGTAAACACTGTAATCCAGAGGTGTTGCCTCAAAAAATTGTGGTAATCTCCCAAGCACCACCACTCGCTTAGTCATGTTTTCATCTTTCATGAGAGACATGATCTGTTGTAGCAAAGGATGCATTCCTTCGTCGTCAGTAACTGAACAGAACACTTTTTCTAATGCATCTTCAAGCGCTCCTTTTGTCTGAGGATCATTAGGATTTGTCGATAACGCATCAACAAGAGCATTGATGATTATTGACAATCGCTTATACAAGGCAAATCCAGCAACTTGAGCCAAGGAGCCAAGTGCGCGTGCTCTGAATGCATCTATTGGGGGCGATAGCAATGTTGGGATCAAAACTGGGAAGATTACATCGGATTTTGTTGACATTATTTCTTGTAGAGCCAATAAAGCATATTCTGAACTATCTGATGATTCCAACATGTTCAACAAGTATGGTAAAATCTCATCAACAGCATACCTTCCAAATATATCTTGGAACGCATCAAATGATAGCGCGGCTGATTCTCTAACTGATAGGTTGTCATCCACTAGTGTCTTTCTTATAATGTTTACGATGATATCTTGATATTCTGCCAACAGATCAACCGATGAAGATTGAATAAGTTCTCGTAAAGCAATACAGACACCTTGCTTTGAATTTGAATCTGTAGAGTGATCCAAAGACTTCTCCAACGTTGGCAGTAATTGCGACAAGGCATTACTTCCCACACGCCTCACCAAGTCACCCAGAGTCTGAGCAGCAATATGACGCAAAACATCCGAAGAGGATGCCAAATGAACAACAATAATTCCTGTTAGCGTAGGTAGAATTTCTTTAACTGTACGCGGAGTGTTTGGAACCAAAGCTTTCCAAACATCTACCGTAGTAGCACGAACGATTCCGGAGACGTCTGACCGACAGACAAACAAGGATGATAAAATCCTATTACGGCGTTCCTCACCTAAGACCTCAACCATTTGTTTGGAGACCTCATTGTTTTGATCACTCTCATCCTCCGCAAACTCATTCTTGGACGAAATACCTGTAACCTGGAATAAAAGTTCACTCGATAATTGAACCGAAGACAGACGAATTCGCTCATTTTCGTCGAACATCCCACGCTCTAATTCAGGTAGTAATAAGTCTATCGCTTTAGTTGCATAGTTTTTGACTACTAACTTACCGGCCTTTAAAGCAGTATCTCTTATGTTCTCATCAGATTCGGCCAAACCGGCCAAAATTGGCTGAATAATCTGGCTAATATATGGAGCAAACTGAGCGCCAAAACATACCGGCAAGAAAAGAAGTAATGGCATGAAGCCTTCACGCACAAATGAGCGGAAGTTAGTGACACCGTTGAGAATCACAGGAAGTAACTCATCCAATTTGGATAGACCGAGTCCACTGATAACTTCTGCCAATGCTTGAGCAGAACCTAAACGATCGCCTGATTTCGTATCGTCACTTAAAGTGGATAGGAGACGAGGTATCAAATCAGGGAACTTCTCTTCACCAAGCCTTTCCACCAATGCACCTAGGGCACGTGCAGCAGTTGCTCTTGTGTTAGGAACGGGATCAACCATAGCAACTTCCACTTCATCCACAAGCTGTTGTAGATAGGGTATTAGGTCATTAGCATCGACCAAAATAGCCATGTTACCGACAATCTTACAGGCTTTTCTTTTTGTATTAGCTGATCTATCACGCATACCACGATGAATGACGTGAATAATTAATGCCAATGACGGACCGTCGATATAATGAACAAACTGGGTTTGAATCAAGGCATCAAGAGCTTCTTCGGTATACTTTGTTGGATCTCCTATCGCCTTGATCAAGATAGGGACCAGTTTTTGAATCTCTGGGTTTCTGATAACTTCACCGAAACGATTCAACGATTGATCTGCAGCTTTACGTACTTCCTTATGAGAGTCGTTTAAAACAGCAACAATCTGAGGAACAATAGTAGAGAGTGATGCTGACAGTTGGGCAGGGTCTAAATAAGCCATATTACCCAATAATTCGACAGATCCTCTCTTCGTTCTCCAAGAAATCTCATCCAGATTACTGACAGCAACGGGTATCATTTTTTTGACACCATAACTGGTTGTATTGGACATAATCGCCTTCGTCGCTTCCGCAGTCGCATCACGAACCTCCGGAACAGAATCACCTAGATTCCTTAGAATATTTGGCAGCACCTCAATAACATATGGTTCAAAAAACTTCTTCAATGATTTTGAAAGACACTCAAAAGCAAATGCGACCGATTCTCTCCGCTTAGGATCTCTTTTGTCCTCAGAAGCTTCGATCAAATTTCGAATCACATCGAATTCGGAAAGCGCATTAATACCATAACCTTTAACGATACCAGCAACTCCCCATGCTGCCCCTCTCTTTACGGATCTCGATAAAGTGGAGTCAAGTAGCTTGTCCATTAAAACATTTAAGTAATCCGTGACCTTCGGTTTGAAAAGTGGAACTAAGGGTGAAATACAAGCTGACACAGCCTGTTGAACATCCTCTGAGGGAGTATCCAATGTATCTAGCAATCTGCCAACTATTAACAGAATTCTTGGATCATCCTCCTGTAAGTGTCTTGCTAAAGATCCATATAAGATGATTACATTTTCCTTAATTGCAATGACATCATTAGAAACTAGAGCGTTCTCAAAAATTGGGATCAGCTTCTCCACATTATGCAACCCATGATGTGTAATAACTTCGATACCAGCTTCTTTCATCTCTTGACGCACAAGGGCTTCACGGTCGCCAAGAGCGCCACTTTCAACCAAAAATCTCACAAAATTCAAAATACATTCATCATGCCCAGTAAAGAGTTGTGCTGCTTCCTTAAAAGCAATGGCGGCAGTACTTCTATCTTCCCAAGGGTCTTTTTGATCGGCTGTACTTACTGCAACTAGACCATACTCGTCTAAAATAGGCTCTGGTAAGGCAAATTTTTCAACGTAAAAGTCCATGAGGGATTTAATATGCATATGAAATGATGATGGATTTTTATGTGCGAGTTCTTTCAATGCGGCAGTATAGGCCTTCGCAACAAATAGACGCAGGCCACTGTCAGTTTGAGAGAAAAAGTTGAACAAATGATTTATCAACTTTTCACTAATCTCAAACTTGTTGAATTGCCAAATAAACTGTGCGATCTCACGGTTTGTTTCGTCAGCATCAAACATTAATATAAAAATTTGAGGGGAATAGTCCATATATGGGGAAAGCTCGAATTCGTCATCAATGGCCTCTAAAATAGTGGCACGAACAAATTGATTTGGCGAAAGTAGATTTCCTAATATCAACTGCAAATCTTCTTGAGCTGGCGAAACTGATATATTTTGACACAAAGCCATAAAACAGTCTTTTGCCAACCTTGCTTTCGATGTCATCGGAAGCAGCGACAGAAGCACCTCAAGGATATTTTTGCGCGGTATGGATGCATCAGTAAAAGTCTCAGCATGAACAGAAATTATTTCAATCGCCAATAAGAGGTGTTCTTCTTCTTTGTCCTCTTCTACAAATTCACTTCTTACCAATGGTTTGTTTGCATTTCTTTTTGCCACTCTTCTTCCTTCTTCCAAAACTTCTGTTAAAAGTGGAAGAATGTATGTTAGAGTAAGCCCGCTGAACGCTTTTTTGTCCGAAATGAATTTAATCCTAAAAAGTACTCTTGAAATTAATTCCAGCAAGGGTTCTTCCTTGAAGTTATCAGGGATTCCAAATACTCCAAACGCACGTAAAGTGGCCATACCTACATAAAATCGCATCAAGCCAAGCCTATTAGAAATGACCTCAGAGAGTTTCAGGAATGCATCGATACCCTTTCTTTGCAAAATTTTACCACATGCTGCTTCCTTCAAAGCCGAAAGTAAACTGTTTACAGCAATAGGAAACCATACTTCAGCACCGTTATCTACCCGAGAGGCATCCTCACTTATCAATTCAATGAGCTCAACACTTCGCTTCAATTTCAAATATATGGAATTCACGTTCTGCCTTATCTCGGATTCTTTCGCAAGTTGCGACGTAACAAGAGCTTGTTCTTCCTTCGAAAGCTTCTTGGCTCCTATGTTTTTTTTTATCTGCTTCTTTCGTATATCCTCCTCCCATTTCAAGGTTTCATAATCTTTGACATTTTTATTTTCCAAACTTTGTGCTTTTCTTTCCAAAACATCAATGACCATTTCACCCTCAACACCATGCCAAATCTTCAAGTCTTCGTCAGTGATTGAAGCAACAGTTTCTCTACGGAGATCTTCTTGAAAAAGACCTTCCAATATAGGATTCATTGCCGGGGGATTAATAAACAAAACATAAGCGATCGACTTTAAAGCGGCGTTGCATAAAGCTGACTTAGACAAATGTGCATTTTCGGTTATATCTTGCATTTTCGTTAAAATAGCCTTAGAATAAAGCTGCACGAGTGATCCGGGATCGATACCAGCATTGATTACCAGACTTGCCCATCCATTCTTCAAATTGAAACCCTTATATTGTGTAATAACTAGCATTTCAATCAATACATCACAAACAGCTTCATTATCATCTAGGTTCTGTGCCAAAGCAGTTAGCACTGGCGTAATGAAACGAAAACTTATAGAGTCATTTGGACCATTTGTATCATCTTGTATCCTATCTTCAATGGCCTTGATGACATTAAGTCCAACTGAACGCGGATTTTGTCTGAACGCGTTCTTCAATAGAGACACTGCCCTTATCCTATCATCTGAACACAAATTTGTTGAAAGGGTCGTGTATAACCACGCGTAGCCTACCGAATTGGAATCTGCGTAAAGACTTTCTAGCAGCACAGAAACTTGATCACGTAGGGTTGTGCCGGTCATAGATGAAATGCAGTCTAAGCAAGAAAGACATCCCAAAACGCTTTTATGGTCGAGTTTTGATGGATGAACTAGAGCTTCTTTAATGAAGTTCAGTATTTCATCCTCATACTGTTGTAAAATGGTGGCCGAAGATGTTGAAGCTCCTTCCAATAATGAAACAACCCATACTTTTCTTAAGTTAGGTTTCTTTTCATGCAGACCATTCATTATCGTTGTTGTTATTGTGTCCGAAATCACTTTAAGGTAAGAAGTATGGACAAAGAACGCATGTAGCAAGTGCTCCAAGGCTGTTTCATTTGTTTCTTTGGATACATAAGGTGTGAGCTTGGAAACTATCGATCCAGAGACATCATCTGATACCAAGGGAATTTTGCTCAGTAATTTAGACGCCAAAACTTTGTAATCAGCGTTCAAATTTGACTTCAAGTTTTTGAAAACCTCTTCAACAAACTTTGTTATACTTTCAACAGATGTGTCCCCCTTATCAGTTACTTCTAGCATTGTCAAAGCCGAAACTAAAGATGCATTCCTAACAGATTCTTTATTACTTTTAAGGGAGGAAAACGTTTGGCTCATTATCTTTGATTCCACAAATATCTTGCACAAATCAACTTTCTTGTTATTAAGACCCAAATAAATTTCGGTAGAAATGGTAAAGCCCTGCTCTGGTGCTCTTAAATTTCCCTTTTCAATGTTTGGAACGAAATATTTTCTGAAGAACTCTTCATTGATAAATTCATTCAAAAAAAGAGGTAGATAAGTGGAGAGACAAAAGCTGGATGGAGGGGTCTTGCCGAGAATTACCTCTCTCGCAATGAACGCGCTGAATTCCTCAACAGCATTGTTTTTTAGAGATTCGAAGTGAGACGGTTGACGTTGCAAAAGTTTGATTGTAGATTTCGTGATCGAACCTAACAAGATAACTACACCAGTGGGTGGTAACTTCAGCTTTGTACCGTGCTCGAGAAGAAGAGATGAAATATTCTCCACATTCACGCTACCATTCTTTCCCAAACAAAAAACATAAGTTTTGCTGATTGATTGCATGACACTTTGACGCATTCTTTGTCTATGCTGGTTTTGCTTTGACGGCTCTTTTTTACCGCATTCCTGACTGTCTAGCATTGCTTCGATGCCGTATGCGATAAAACATTGAGCTTGCACCAATTTTGAAATTACCTGCTGAGGAGTTTCGGATGACGAAGCATACTTCAGGAAAGTATTGACCCAATCTAAAAGATTGAGGTAGTCAGAAACCGCTTTTGTTGCTGGATTTTGAGATACCAGTTTTAGAATATAAGAAACGTATTCTTCTAGAAGTTGTGGCTTGAGCTCGAGAAGATCATGGAAAATTTCAATGACAAGTTTCTTAGATAACACATCGCGGTAAAATGTATAAGTAGGTAACATTATACTAGAAATAGTATTGATTATCTTCGTATCAATTGAATCGTTTGCGATTTTTAGTGACACATGTATTCTTTCGAGAATTGGCAGCCTGACAGAAGTCGAAGAGCTCCAACATGAGCTCTCCATTAGCTTGCACAATTCTTCCCAATTGACTGTAGTCTGGGAGGGCATAACTCAGCTATGTGCTTGACTATCGCAGTTTAATAAAGTTTTAGATCTCAGCTTGACTATAACCAAAAAATTTTTCACTCATTAAAATTTCGGTCACATGTCAATGAAATCGTAAGAACTATACGTTCAAGAGTGTGAGGATACTTGAAATGATTCTCGCAATATCATAAATACTCGCAAGTGCTCTAATCAGAAACTGAGCTCAGGGTATGTATTCTGCAAAAGAAACAAGAGGACGTTGTTAAAAGTGTTCAAAAACACATCAAGGACGTCGAAACTTTTATACACTAATTCAAATAGTCTGCATATTTATGCCATAGTAATTCCACCTATCAAATTCTCAGAAGTGATTTTTGATACGGTCAATACTAGTTTACCATCCTCTAATAGGTCTCCACACATCCGTGACAATTCCCTTACTATCAATAACAAAATAGTAGTTGAAGCAACCAGCAACTATACAAGCATGCTGTGGTAAAATGGCAATTTTGGATCCCAATTCTGGAGCACTGAATTTGGAATTTTCATCCAGTCTTTTTAACTTACCATGCTCCTGACTTACCTTTTCTACAAACCATTTCTTTTCATAGTGTTCATTATTCAAGATTTCCCCAGGGTCGACAACAATTCCGTGCCCTGGAAATCTTGACGTCTCTCTTGTTAAAGACAAGACACCGGTGTTTGTCAAAACTTCGCCACGAGAACGATAAACAGAGACAATACTACCCAGGACAAAGCCTGCAATTTCATAATCCTGGACACAACCAGTCGATAATTGTTGTAAATCGTACATGCAGCAGTTTCCGCAGTGAATCTCAAGCCTCCCAACCAAACTATTTTTGATGATTTCGATGAGGGATGCTTGATCAGCTAGTTTTAAAGAGCCAGAAGTTGGAGTTGCCCCAACTGAGAGAACAAATGAACTAACATCGGCTTGAGGATTTATACTAGAATAATGCTTGGCAGCCTCGTTTACTGCAAGAATCTCTTCTACTAAGAGATCATGGGCTTCGGAAATGTTGGTAACGGAATAACTATGGCCTGCGTGTGCATAAAAACCATATAATTCAGCAACTTCCGAGATTTCTGGAGCGGATGCTCTTGAGAGAAGTTCTTCTAACTCTTTAGTACCATTCATAAGACCTGCTCTATGAGTTCCCATATCAATCTTGATAAAATATGACCATTTTTTGCCAGATGAAGTTGGACCGAATTTTAGGAGGCTATTCAAATGCTCGATATTATCCACGAAGACCCTTAGATTTGAAGCCCTAGTTGACAACCTATCTAATCTTTCAAGAATTTCGGGGATGCATGCAGGTAAACTGTAGCAGATATCGCGGACAAGTACATTACCACTCTCCTCTTGATAATCTAAAATACCTTCGGCTTCCTTGATTGTCGAAAACACAATAGCATCTTCAGTTTCATTGACTGCCACCAGCCCATGACCTAATTGTTTCGCCAACCCTTCAATGGTCTTGTGAGTTTTTACATGGGGGCGAAATTTGATGTCTTTTCCACTAGCTGTTTCAAGTTCTCTAACGTTTCTTATCATGTTGAGGCAATTTGCATCAAATTTTGCTTCGTCTATGACGAAGCAGGGTGTAGGTAGTTTAAGAAAATCCTTACCAATGTAGTTCGAGCCCATTTCACTCAATTGACAATAGCTTCTACTTCAATTTTTAGGTTGTTTGTCTAACTAGTGCGGCAAAGTTCTGGGCACAAGCTTTTTATCCGTTTTCAACGCACTATCGTCTGATAAGATAAGATATAGGAAATCCTATTTGGTGGATGATTCATATCAAAGATGTACATAATAAAATCGCATCCTCGAGCGAATCGCATTACATAGATATTGAAATCAAGCGATTATTTCTTTTTGCCAAAGAAAGGAAAGTTTCCCAGGCCGCTTGTGTTACTGCTTGTACTGTCCTTTTTTTTCTTAGCACCAGAGGCCGAAGGAGCCGGAGTTAACCCAAATGACCCTCCCATGAACATTCCTGCCCCAGTAAGACCACTTGAAGCGAGGTGGGAATTAACCTTTTTCAACTTCACAACCTTCGGAGCGTTTGCTGCGGGCTTGCTCTGCTTTTCGGCCGGCGCTTCTTGATCCGGAAAATTACCTTCAGACGAAAGAGCTCTAGTAGAGCTGTGAGCAGAAGAGCCCGCACTTCGTCTTAATGCATCAGAGCTGATTTGCAGTGGACTTCTTTTGTCGAAACTTATGCTTGACAGTGATTTTGCTAATTTTTCCGAAGAAGAGGTGGGGGTCAATGTATCCGGTAATTTTACGGTAGGCGGAACCTTTTCATGCAATTTTCCCGCTGGGTTTGTGGGAACCCGTTCAACAATGTCAAGCGGCTTTTCAAGCTTCTTGAATTCTTCGTCATACAAGACAATATCATGACTGAGTTTTCTCTTCAGGACTTTCAGCCTTTTAGATAACTTGATACAGCTCATAGATCTGATAATAAGTCGAAGATCATTTGCGAGCACTGAAGTATCGTAAATAAGTTCCAAAATGTAATCAATCGGAGGAAGAGCATTGGGCGATGCCATACTGTCAAGCGTTAACATCTCAACATTATTAGGAGAAGTATCTTGCTTATAGGACTTGTCGCCCTGCCGGAAATATGACAAAATGTTCTTGATCGATGGAAGCTGAGAATCTCCAATCTTAGCCAAAGGATCAACCGATTCATCTGCATCTCTTTGACGCATTTTTTTCTCGATTTTGGAAGTTGCTTCGCTTCCAAAAGCGATGCCTAGGTCCCCAGAGTCGGAACTGGATGACGAATACACCTTCTTATTATCATCATGAGTATTTCCAGCAGCCAGTATTTCACTTGGTTCTTGACACTCCTCTGTTTCATCAGTGCAGTTTGTCGTTCTCACGTCTAACAGCCTTGTATCTAGCTCTGCTACCTCCCCTTGGGACATGTTTTTCAATTTCTGCTGTTCTGCCTCTTCCGAGTGAATCTCGTCTTCTTTTTCACTTTTCGGGCCAAGCTTCGAATCGTTGCTTTCCTCCCTCAAACTTTCATTCTTTAAAGCTTCTAATTCCTCTCGTTTAACTTCATCTCCTAACGAACTACTACTTGAACATGGATTCACCTCTTTGCTTAGACTAGATTTCTTATTTGGTTTTGAAGCATAAGAATGAGACAACTTATGAGATGGAAAGTTCATGTTAGGGGGGAATCCGACGGAACCAATCGAATTGTGACTATCTCTTGGACCACCTGCGAACAAGATTGGTATGCTAGGTAATGTACCATCTCTGCTATCGCGTGAAGTTGATTTATCACCATACATGCTATCATTACTCTCATTGGTACCAGTGGACGTTTTTCTTAAACCGTTCTTCATCAGATTTAAATCAAAGTATCCGTCATCAATGCTCTTCAAAGATTGCTCAAACTCTAAAAACTCTTGATAAGTGTTATGATTGTCTAAAGTGATCTTAATAGTCTCTTCATCTCCAAAAAATCGCTTGGTAACCTTCAATAAAAAAAGACGTTTCAGTGACTCTGCAGTGACAAGTAGGCTTTCCTCTTTCTTGCCAATGATCGAATATATTACTTCTGACATCAAGTCGTAGAGCAAAGGTACCTCATACAGTTTAGCCATCACAAATAAATTCAACGAAATGGGAGAAAACAACCATTTGCCATTCACTTGACCGGTGTAAAAAAATTCGGCAAAGGCGCGGACAGTTGATGTAGGCCATGGCATATACAGAGACCTCGGCAAAAGTAAGGGCTCTAGTTCATTTGGCGCTGTAGAGGCGCCACTTAGATTACTGTCGTCGACGGAAACCCACGAAGGTCTCGCCTCCTCCTGCTGAAAAGGAAATTTTCCGTAAAAGCTACTTTCACGTGAAGTATAGGCGTTCTTTGTTAGCGGCGACTTGGAAAATGTATGATTCAAGGAGTCGGGATCGAGTTCCACGTCTATTAAGTTGTCTTCCATCAGTTGTCTATCCATAGAACGCTTGTGAAACGAATAAGCCTCACCATCAGAGCTCGTGCCGTTATCAGTGGCAGAGATATTCTGGGATGCAATAGCTTGTGAAATCGGAACTGACATGGAATGTAAAGCATCGTGATATAGTGATGATCTGCGGGATGACAAAGGGCTGTTCTTGGCCGACGCACGTGAACTGGATATATCGCTTTGAATAGGATGAGGTAGCGTGGGGACTGGTTCGTTCGGCATAGGCTGGGGTGGTGGCAAGTTGACATTAATTGTACCAATCCCTGCCATTGAAAGGCTGAGGTTGCTCTCACCTGACTGCTGCCTATTGACGGAGTTGCCCATCCTGTCCGAGCTCGAACTCACATATGAAATGGAGCTATTTTGAGAAGTAATCGATGCCTTCCGTGAGTTATATGGACTTACTGCATGAGACAAACTACCGTGAACAGGATACAGATTGTCTATGGTTGATCCTACCGGATGAGATGCACGGCGATTCATTGATCGAGGGGTTTCAGAAAGTAAAGAAGCTGAAGCTGAAGACTTCCTGCGATTGGAAGACTGATGTGTCATTTTATCGATTGCTTCGAGGCGGCTGGGATCTGAATGAGAAGTCTGTAAAGTCGGAGCAGAATGTGTGGTCTCGCCACACTCTTGGAATGGTAATCTAAAGATCATTCCTGTCGAAGAACTAGTTGTTTTATTCGATCCAGCTGAGGATACTTCATGATTTGTTTGATCTGATTGTTCTTTCGGGCCACGTATAGAAGTTTGCGATGACGGCAGAGCTGAGTGTTCGGACTTAGAATGATCTAAATCGTATTCACTGGGATTTTCTCTTGATGGAGTAAAAAGACCATTCATTGTCGGACGATTGGCAAAGAAAAGTGGAGTGGATTTCCTGTTGAGCAATGGATAAATCGTTGGTATTAACGCACTCACATCGGCCTTATTTGCTGTCTCATCTACAGATTCCTGCGAATATCCTGGCTGCTCTTTCGACCCAATACTATCAAAATGCTGGCTGGCTTGTGAAAAATGTTGACTGGAAGAATCGCCCGAAAGCTTTGTGAATTCGTTATGTATGTTATGGCTTTCAAATTCAAGAGAAGCCTTCACGTAGCCTTCTGCAAGTATTGTATCAAAGAAACGTCCCCATCTTTTCCTAAGTAAAAAAGTCGAAGCACTGACTGAATCCCCTTCCTCTGTTATAAATTCGAAATCCGAGAGATATTTTCCGTAGAGTTCGAGGGCATCCTTACCTAATGCCATCGCATGAGATGGTAGAACAGACGCGATTGAAGTTATTTCGAGGGGAGGAGCGATATATCTGGAATAGCTTTCAAAGTTATCACGATTACTTTTGGTCGAATCGAGACTGGTTCCACTTTTTTCTCCTGACAGTTGATAACCAATTGCTTGATGGAAAACACTTATAACGGGTAATGATATGCAGATGATTGTATCAAAAGTTTGTATACTGGGCAACCAGTCGCTGCTATCTTTTGAACCTAGAAATACTACTTTATGGTGAGACTTCCAAACAAACAACTGTCCAAGGTTATGATTCATCACATCAGAATCATCACATGAAGTACTTATTTCAGTCCATTTTCCTGAGGGAATATTGTAGGTAAAGCAATGAAAGTTTGAAGAATGCACTTTGGGATGAAAACCTGAGATAATGATGTTCTGTCCAAAGCATCCACCAGATGGATACTGGAGATGAAATGGCATTTGAAGTCTCTTTTTCGTGTCCTCACTAGCGTGGTAAAATGGCATTCGCGAACCCTTAGCATTGGGCATTAACGGAAGACTTACAAGAGGATTGCTTCGTGTATCCGTAGTATCGTCTGTTGGCACATAAAGTATTAAATCTGATGTTTGAGATTCATTGCGCTCCATAAGTAACGAAAAGTTGGTACCCTTGACTAGTTGCGTATTTTGCCCATCCACGTTGGCAACTAGATCTACGAGATCACCAGAAGCTGAACTATCATCTCCAGATTCCCACCTATTCTGAGTGATATTGTAGACATCTACTACGTGTACCGGCCTATCCATATTGTTAAGCCCACCGATAATAACAATTAAAGTATCCTTGTCATGTTTTTCCTCGTTGAGAACGTGCATACTGTGATTAAAACGACGAGTAATCGAGGGATCACTCCCGATCAGTGTCCAAACTCGTGACACTAAGTCGAGTGCCCAAAGTTCATTTGTCGCGATGAACTCATAATTGGATTGTTGAGAAACAACCAAACCTCCAAAAACGTACAAGAAGCCATCGCAACAGCACATAGAGTGGAAGATGCGTCCTGCTATGGGGGCTGTAGTCTTCGAGTCAGAATCGCGTTCGTCTAAGGAGGGATTAGCATTCGTCACCACTCGTTCCCATCTGCGGGAAATTAAATCCAATTCGAAAGTTTCATTACTTATCCATTCACTGAGGTTTTGAAAGCTTGATGAGGACTGACGCTCCCGAGCAAAATATAATATTAGTTCCTGTTGTAGAGAGGCAGAATTAACCTGTGGCAAACCCAAAGGGATTGTTAGACCTCCATTTACGAAGACTGATGATCTATTCAGATGGACTGCAGCACCTGTGCGACAGCTCAGAGTCAAAGCCCTTTTTTCGGCATCTGAGAGTGTCCTCTGAGCCTCTTCATCCAACCGTGGAAGTCTGAGAGAGTGGCAAAGAATGTTTGAAGGTAATAGAGTTGGCATGGCAGAACGTGCTGCTTTTGAAGCTGGATGAGCTCTCGTGCTGTCCTCTGGGTTGAAGCACTTGGTTCTTACAATTCAAGGATTCAATTACTGTCGTTTTCCCGATCTTCGATATCATGTAGAACGACATTCGCGAGTTCACTCAAACCTGCGGTTGTGCGTTTATTGGTAGCTACAGATGTCGATATTTAAAATAGTTTAATCACGTTCTTTATGGGTGGTTATTTGCATTCGGCCGTTCGTCATTTAGAAGTGTGTATATAATTGTGTTTTGCTGTGTAATGTTTGTCGGGTTGCGCCGTTAATTTGATGGTGCTATAGAACTACGCAAAGCCAACCAAGGCCCACCAAAAATAGCGCAAGTGGATACCGCTCTACACTAGTATTTGAGCAGGTAACGACGCACGCAGCCTTGTAGGACCATGCAGAACACAGCACAAATGTGATGATGCGAAGCAGAACCAATATTCTAAGTCGCCATGAAACCGCAGGAAACACATGCACGAACAGTGGGAATAACACCGAGCTAAAAACAGCATTTATCACCTGCGGAAACAGACAGTAGCCGGTTCCTGACACGTAAGACATCAAGGACACTGCGGCATGCGGCTTAGTTGCGCGCAGATGCAATCCCATCGCAAGCATTGAGGCCCACGACAGCACAAAAAGACTGGAAAAGAGCGTCCTCCCAAACGACAGAGCCAATGCGTACAATATAGTGAAACATAGAGGGGCCCAAAGGTCTGCGGAGGCTGTTATCTCTGATTCTTCTGCAGCTACGCCAGCGCCAAAGGGAAAGTGAGGGTACACAACCTGTTTCAGGCGCCCGTTGATCTCATAAATATCACGCTTGAGAGTTGCACTCACAGGTTCATCGAGCGTACCACGCACAGACGCTCCGAGATTTTCCCCACCGTTGAGGGGCCCGCTTGCGAATCCATTCTCTAAATCGCCTGCGCTCGGCGTGTTTAGACCGTAACCACCACCATTTCCAGAGCTAATACCCAGACCCTCAACGTAGTCTGGTTCAACCGTATCAGACATATCAGAGGTCAACGTTTGCAAAAAAAATAGGGCGTTACACGTCAGAAGGAAGGCAACAAGTTTTTTAATCCTCTATAGGTTTGTAGCCTATTCAGAGATTGTTCACACATGTTCGTTCATCACGTGTGTACTGCCTTGGTGCACAGGTGTGCTTACAAGAGTTTGCCTTTATTCGCTATCGCACTTCTCCTTCACGACTCGAACCCGCGTCTGCGCTTCGCTCCGTGAACTGACAAGCACGCTCGCCCGACTGGGCTAGCGGCGCACACAAAAACACCTAACTATGTGGGGTATCTGATCAATGCAACTGCACAATCCAGTCACATGTATCTCGTTCAGCGTGATCAGTCGGCTCTTCTCATTATCCAATTCCATTTTAGGAAGCTAAACAAGGGGGCCGGGAACGATGCAAAGTGCAAGGCGAAAAATTTTCTTGAATTAGCTGAGTGATTAATCTCTAAACACCCTTGCGATAAACAGGGCAAACGACAAACCATACAAAGGAGCTAGCAACAGAGAATGGAGACGCCAGCTGTGGACATCGATAATATCATTGATCGGTTGTTAGAAGTAAGAGGGTCGAAGCCTGGGCAGCAAGTGGACTTGGAAGAACATGAGATCCGATACCTGTGTTCCAAGGCAAGATCAATTTTCATCAAGCAGCCCATCCTACTGGAGCTAGAAGCACCAATAAAGGTATGTTAAATTTGAGAAAGCGCAAGAGAATGGTTGAGAAGGCAAATATTTGGGGGCAGATGGAGTATTTTTGCGGAGCGAGCGACGTCTTTTCCCGTAGTGAGGAAATTTCAACACGCGGATTGAGGAAGCTTTCTGCAAAGGTAAACGACTGTTATTGTTTTTGAACAGCTGAGCGTGCAAATGACTGCGATGGGTGCCATTAACAGAGCTTTAAAGTCATACAGTTGTACGCGGCATGCTGGCCCCCCTGCGCGAGCTCCGTTCGAAATTTTTGCCACCGAAATTTTCGAGCCGCGCGAGCTTTTCTAACCGAGATTCTCTCGAAGCGTACTGTTAAGCAGCACTTGTATTGATACTAACATTTATGGCAGATATGTGGTGATATCCACGGACAATACTATGATTTACTCCGCCTGTTTGAGTACGGTGGATTCCCTCCAGAAAGCAATTATTTGTTTTTGGGAGACTACGTGGATCGCGGTAAACAGTCGTTAGAAACGATCTGTTTGTTATTGGCGTACAAAATCAAGTATCCTGAGAATTTCTTCATTCTGAGGGGCAATCACGAGTGTGCGTCGATCAACCGTATTTACGGTTTCTACGACGAGTGTAAGAGACGTTACAATATCAAACTATGGAAAACTTTCACGGACTGCTTTAACTGCCTGCCAATCGCCGCGATTATTGACGAGAAAATCTTTTGCATGCACGGTGGGTTGTCGCCGGATCTCAACACTATGGAACAGATCAGAAGAGTCATGAGGCCTACGGATATTCCAGACGTGGGGCTACTTTGTGACTTGTTGTGGTCTGACCCCGACAAAGACATTGTGGGGTGGTCGGAGAACGACAGAGGTGTGTCCTTCACCTTTGGTCCGGACGTGGTGAGCCGTTTCCTACAAAAGCAGGACATGGAATTGATATGCAGGGCGCACCAAGTCGTCGAGGATGGTTACGAATTTTTCAGTAAGAGACAGCTAGTAACTTTGTTCAGTGCCCCTAACTATTGTGGTGAGTTTGACAATGCCGGAGCTATGATGAGCGTCGATGAGAGTCTATTGTGCTCCTTCCAGATTTTGAAGCCCGCTCAAAAGACGTTGCCCAGACCACAAGGCAAGAAGAAGAAATGAGCCTGTAGTTAAGTGCCAAGCAGGATATTTGGAAGTTCATAGAATCATTATCCTCCTTAGTCATTTCCATTTTCATCTTCATCTTCATCTTCATCTTCACTTCATCATCCCCATCATTTTTCTGGCTTATCGATACCTTCATTCGCGAGCATCAGGTGTCGATTCACGGCCAGAACCCAAAGAACGTCCGTTTGAAGAGAGGCGAAGCGTGAAATAGGGTGGCCGAAGGGCACGGCATCGAATAGGAGAACTGCGGAGCAGGATCACAAATAGGAGAAAAGAGACAGTGACGCATGCATCGACATAAAATATACATGTAATGATTAACGCTAACAGATCTCGGCAGAAGCGAGGCAGTCTTAACATAGACATGAAAATCGGAGTTGTAAACCAAGAAAAAAAAAAAAAAAAAAAAGAGAAGACAGATCCCGAAATTAAACTTTAGAGCACAATGCCAAATCCCTCGGGCATGTAGCAATATAGTGTCTCCATCTCCAAGTATTACGTGCTCTTTCTGCACCCCTTTTTTTTCTTCTAACGTGTTTATCCTACTTTGCATGGAGATGATTGTAAGTCTTCAGGCAGCTCAGGCATTTTTTTTCTAGCCTTTCCCTCGTGTATTTCCCTCCTACGCTCGCACTACCATGTTGAAATTCCATCACAATCACCTTCACGATATCTTCATTATTTTATAAACGTCGTTTGTATCTGTGTATTTTAGCTTTTAGAATTATTAGTATCCTTACGAGAATCACTATTCATTATGAGATAACAACACAGTATACTTTATTGAAATCAAACTCTGAATATAAGAACAAATATGAACAAATATGAACGAATACACATTACTTTATTATGCTATTTCAAGACGGCCATTTTACCACAATTGCTTGCTAGATCTCCAAACCCTCTTAAGGATGCTATTGTTTGAATTGAAACTCAGAATGCACGGGACGTGGCCTTATCTCTTTTAACGAACGGAAGTAGTTACTAAAAAAAAACACGAAATAATTCGAACACGAATAGCACCTTGTAATAATATCAGCAAAATCACTACGGAGATGAAGGTGACGTTTTGCACTTTGATTACATTGCTTTGGTGTACTGTGTGCTCAGCTCATACTGTGCTACTTCCAGCATATGGAAGACGCTGTTTCTTCGAAAAATTGAACAAACAAGACGAGTTGTCGATTTCTTTCCAGTTCGGTGACCGAGCACTTGATTCGACAGAGCAATTGAAAGGTGATTTCGCGATCTACGGTTCTAATAAAAAGGAACCACTCAAGACTTTGAGGGATGTGTCTCATGGTGACGTGAAGATGAGTGCGCCTTATGATGGGAAATTCGAATATTGCTTCTCCAACGAAAACTCTGGAATTGATACCAAAGACGTTACTTTTAATATTCAAGGTGTTGTGTACATTGACTTGGACGATCCAAATTCCAATACCTTGGATGGTGCCGTTAGACAGCTATCTAGATTAACAAAGGGCATCAAGAGCGAGCAAAGTTATATTGTCATAAGAGAGAGAACTCACAGAAACACTGCAGAATCAACTAACGATCGTGTGAAGTGGTGGTCTATTTTCCAACTAGCTGTTGTAGTGGCTAACTCTCTCTTCCAGATTTATTATTTGAAGAGATTTTTCGAAGTAACATCCTATGTATGAATTAAAGCCATCGCCATTCATCTATACTCATAAGTACTTATTGTGTAGCTTAATCGCATTCTTTTTGCAAATATATGTTTCAATTATACGCTTTTTATCCATTTCGTTATTGGTGGTGCCATGGATCGAATCCATCCAAAAAAATTCTCACCTACGAAAAATAATGCCATTTCCTAGAATCGAACCAGGGTTTCATCGGCCACAACGATGTGTACTAACCACTATACTAAAATGGCTCTTGTATGTGGGCTTGTAAATTATAGAAGTATATAGCCTACCACAATGAGCATTTCTTTCCATCATTTTTCAACCACCTCTATTTCAAGTATTTCTCAATTAGACACTTAAATACTAGTGCCCTACAATTGTCTCATATTGATCAGGATTCGAGGGTAACAATATATCAGAGAAATACTGATCTGCTGGCTGGATCTTTGTTTGCTCCTTTTGCAGGAACTTTTCCTAAGATAGACTAAAATTCAGCAGCTACACACATCGTAAAGTGGTAAAGGTGCCTAATCAATGTACGTTAACTTACCAAAACCCTGCCTCGTCGGGATAGCTCTGACTATATCGACACACTCTGGACCTCAGGTTGTGTATCACTATCCACCTATTGACGAAGTATCCTCATCTTGGAGAAATACAGGCAGGTCAAAAACAGGCCAGCGGCCAAAAGATAAGCATCCACGCGAAGAGTTGGCTTCACGAAGCTCAAACCTTACTCATAGATCGATATCTCAGAGATTTCATTATAACAGTGATAATGAAGTTGACAACACAAATAATTCAGACACTAATGAGGGTGACTATGGCGAGGGTAGCAGTTCCAGTAATGAAGATACGACTTCTGGTTTAAGCGACACTGAAATGTCCACGGATGATGCCGATCTCTCCAGTAGTTCTAGTTCAGTTTTGGATGATGAGATGTCTTCCCTTGGTGATAATGACCAAAGTGCTGCTTCTCTACTTGGTGCGTCACATGGAGAAAATGGATTGCATTCGCGGGAATCCTGGGGAAGAGATAATATGAGAAACTCACAAGTTAGTGCAAGTAAGTTATTCCAATTTCTTAGCGGTGAAGATTCTAAGCGGAACTCAATAGTTTCAAAACTCACACCACGCAAGGAAAATGTATCATGGGGAAATACTAATGGACCCGACTTGATCGGTGGTAATGAGCCAAATAAGTTTACACTGGATGAAACGTATTTTGGTTCAGAGTTTCAGGAAATAAATAAAATTTTCCATTTCGATTCAGAGTTTTTCGCGGAGATATGCTGTCCTCCCAAAGAAATGTGTAATACGAGATTTGAGCTATCAATTGACGATTTATGTTTGGTAGGTTTACCCATTCATATCAATGAAAACGGTGAATGGCGCAAATCGAAGAAAACGAAGCAAAGCAATCGTTCCAAAAGGTCTAATTCAACTTCCATGGGAAGGAAAATGTCCGTCGCCAGTTCTCATAAAAGCCATAGAAGTGAGCAAAATATCTCAGAAGAAGATGATGCAGACGATGAGCATAGCATAAATGGTGGTCATGTTGATGATGGATCAATCATGGACTCTAATGTTGAAAAGGACGAGTACAAGGATTTGGAGAGCAGTATAAATATGTTTCACGTCTGCTTTCTGATGGATCCTCATATCGTTGAATATAACGAGCGTGTTGATGACATGTACCATTTTGTTATTTCAAGGCTATCATTAATCTTAAGGTACACACAATCAAAAACGAGTTACGTAACAAGAGAATGCGTCCGTATTTTGAAGACAAAAGATAAGGTTATGAAGTCGTCGGAAAAGTATAAGGCAATCAGAGGATCTGCTAATAAAGGGAAGTATCTTTACCAAAGTATTCTGAACCAATCTTCATTAGCAAGGGCGTTGACAAAATGCTTTGATTCGCTTATCAAAAATGAGGTTGTAAATTTAGAAATCGATGGCGATAAAATTATATCGCTTCAAATTCCAATCAAAAATGAGTTTTCGCGTTTGCCAGAAATAAAAACGAATCCAGTTCTTCGAGGTTCATTTTTGACATCCATTTTGAACAGAAGGTATTTAGAAGAGGATTCCGTATCCGACACTGGTAATTGGTCAGGGAGTGTTGATGAGAACGATGATTTACTTGATTATGCACTTTTACTTTTAGGTGAACCAGCTAATATTATACAAGAGCTACAAGAGTCTTCGTTCAGTGATGATATTTCAAACGTGATTTTGATCACACTGGTTAAACATTTGAAACCGACTATACCACTTCGTTCCTACCAGTACCTAGTTGATGATATAATTGGAAGCTCCATTCAAGGAGAGGAGGATAAATCTAAACGCAATTCTTTCCAAACTAGCATGCTAAGATCGTTTGCCCTCCACCTCATGTATTGGAGACATGCCCGAGTTATTATTCCGATTTCCTCTAAAAATGTTTACATTGTATCTCCACTAGCTCCTATTAGAGGAACTGCAACTGATGATTTTGAGAATCATGATTCTCAGTTTCTGGAAGGAAAAGCGCTGATTTACCAAAATCAAGAGATCTTCTCCAAAAAATTTCCTACTTTACCACCATTACCATCTTTTCTGAGTCTAATATCAACAGCGAAGCCAAGGATGTTTGGTCACATCATACCTTCTCGCGATCATAAGAGCATCTATTTAAGCGCCCTGAGTTGGCTAATAAGGTATGGGTATCTGACACAGTTATTAACATTTGGCTGGGTTCGAGTTGACTCAAGAATCAAAATTGCAGTAGATGAAGATTTAGAAAAAGACGGTGTCAGAAGACAGAACCAAAAACAGCCTCAGAAAAGTTTAGCCAATGGTCTTAACGATAACATCGTTTCAAAAGGCGCCACACTGTCGGAACAAGATGAAGATGAACAAGGTTCTTACTACGGAAGCGAGGAAGACCTGATTGATAATGCAGACTATACCATAATTTTAGAACCAGAAAGAGCCACTGCCATCGAGAAAAGATGGCTATATAAGTGTGTCGAAGGTCAGCCATCGGACATTCAGGTTTTGTTTCACAAGCTCGTAAAGTACTTCAATGGACGGACACCTATGGAAATAGTCATGATGCGTGAAGGAGTTTCAAAACCCGAGTTCAACAAGCTATGCTTAGCGTTGGGCAAATACTACGTCCAAATTAATCACTGGTAGGAGTTTTATGCATAAGTTAGTCGATGATTGAAAGGTGTACTTACGTATTAAATACTGTAATTCTACGATAATTATTCAATTTCGACTGCTACTTTACCAATTTTCTTATTTCAGCTAAGGCATTCATAAGTCATATGGAAACGAGTGCTGAAGGATCAGTTCTAGTATTCGAAGAATAAATCAAATATCAACATTTAAAGACTCGAAAAAAAAAAAAACTAGTGGAACGAATGAAGAGAAGTACAAAAGATTAAAATGATGAATCGGATGGATTCCATTAAGAAGCTCTTCATCATGAAAAAAAATTCCTAAAAAAATTATGGGTATTAGAATACAGCGTTTGGCGCTCAATATTCTAGTACTGTTTTCTCATGATCTGAATCCCTCTTAGATTTCAAGGGTACAAATTGTTGTTGAGACATTGGAATCAGTGGTGGACCCATTGCACCAGTTGGTGGGAATACCATCCCTGGCATTTCCGTGTAATCCATTCCATTTCGTGGTGGTATAGGATAATACATGAAATAAGGCTGATTTGTGGCAGATCCTGGTGGAGGTGGGGGCATTCCACCCATTGGGAACTCCATTGGATAATAATAAGGATGGAAATAATAAGGGTCGAAAGAGGGGAAACTACCCCTCTTTTTATACTCGTGGCCTTTTGTTTTGCAACTCGTTCCGCCAGCAGAAGAGTTATTTTGAACTGTACTCGCAGCGCTCGAGTCGTCTGCATCAATAGATTCAGACATTTCTGATGCTGCATCGGTTGCAAAGGATTGCCCCCCTGCGTCAGGGTCATCATTTCCCAGTTTCCCAGTTTCACTACTCTTACGTTTCATTAGATGCTTATAGCGTTTCCCGTTTCCATATACAACACTAGATGGCACTGGTGTTTGAGGTGGGGCGAAAGGCTGCAAGTCATGCATGGAATAGTTGGAATAATGGTTCGAGAAAGATCCCGTACTGGACCTCCTTTGGCCAACATTAATTGGGGGTGGTGCTAGGTTCAAACGTGGAGGTTGGTAAGGATTGTTTTGATAATAAGCAGAATGGTTCCCTGCACCTCTTTTATGCTTCTTAAAATTTCCTCCAACCTCTCGGTATTGAACATGCATCGTTTTGTTGAGGAAAATGGCGTGGTTTTCCATCTCTAGTGCTGCAGCTGCAGCTTCTTCAGTGGTGAATTTGATAAATGCAAACACGTTGTTTGGCTTCACTATCAAATTGATCTCACTTACATGGCCATGCCTAGAAAAGCGAGCTCTCAAATTTTCTTCAGTAGCAGATTGGTCCAGTTGGCCCACGAATATTGATTTCTTATCAATGTTGATGTCCACTTCAGAGTTACGGCGATCATCGTGAGATTGATAAGCTGAGTCACGCAATGCTTCATCTTTTTGATTAGAACCATCTGATAAAATAGTATTAGCATCAGTTGGCAGATTTTCCGATTTTTTGTTCATTAAATTCATGTGTGCAGGAGCCTCAATATTTTGGGCCCATTCAACAATCCAGTTGAAATCGCTTTTCAAAGTAGCAAATGCTCGAATGGCGTCATCACGGTAAGCAAACTGGATGAACCAGGCATTACCCTTAGTGGAGGCAGAGAAATAATTGCGTTTGGAAAACTGATCCCTACAGGCCACCAATTGTTCCACTTCTCCAAATTTCTCTGCAAGCTGAATAACGGTTGCTGCCTGCACAGGGTTGGTGCTAGAGCGGCTCTTGGTGCAAATAAATAGTGTGCGGTTGACGCGCGCTGGTTCGCAACGAATAGTTCTTCCATTCAACGTTGATCCTTGTGCTTCTTTCATAGCCCTTTTGGCGTCTTGATCCTTAGTGTACTGGACGAAAGCGTAGGGCCTGTTTGCAGGATCGCGGAGTACCTTCACCATGGTGAGTTCCCCGTATTTCTTGAAGCTTTCCGTCACTGAGATACACAAATCGTCGTCCGTTAATGATGCGGCTAAACTGGCGACAAAGACACACGAAGATGGCCTGCCCCGGAACTTGGTCTGGGGCGTTGCTGCGACGGCTGGGTGCAGATTTTCGGGAGCTGCGGGTACTGTAGATCCTTCATGGGAGCATTTTGCGGAGTGCACGTTTGACTCGGACTCTCCGGCGCTGCAGAGACATTTTTCGTCCACATCTTCCAAGAACTCGCCCTCTTCAGCCTCCTCCTCGTTCTCAGACTCGCTGCACGAGACCTCAGTGGGCAGGAATTGCGAGATGCTGTCGTTGAAAGCGGGCGAGAGCGCATCCTCCTTTCCGACCTCGTGCGCGGACTGCGATGGTTGGAGAACAGATTCGGTAGACATTGCCAAACGGTTGTTCTTGCAGATTAATTGCGGTGGTTTTTTAGATTCCTAGCGGGCTGGTGACAAGTGATAGCTGAAAATATGTGAGTGCTACTGCGAGGCTATGGGTTACGACACGACACGACCCAAGGATACCGAGCAGGAGTGAGTTCTGAACCGAACAGAGAGATAGCTTTTGGTGGTTGGCGGCTAAGCTCGAGAAATGAGAAACGAAGAAAAGACTTCCAAGATGCTGAGGGAAATACATTCTTTTAAAAATTACCGCCCTTCTCTGATCTTCCCCGCTATTTATATGATTTGCACAGCCGCTGCCCCCCTTTTGCCACCATTCTCATACTTGATGTAATACTCTTACGGCTCCCAAACCACTTTGCGCCGCATTTTCCTGACCATACTATGCAACAATCTTATTACTTCTCTTACAAACCACCGTAGGGCACATTGGCGCATACAGATCCTTTCAGATTTGTGTTAAGATCTGTCAACGAAGTGCACGCAGTTTCGAAGTCACAAAAGCGATTCTCAGAAATCCCCCCAGTAGGTTTCTTTCCTTGACGCATCATGTTGCAAGCCGAGGCATGGATGATTGTATAATGTCCTAAAGTTATGCGGAGTTTCGGTCATTGCCTGTGGGACGCCTTTTGTTCGTCCGATATATCATATATGATCGGGCCTGAAACGTGCCGCCGATCTCAAGGCGCCCAGAAAACGCCGTAGAATGCAGACCGCACGCGTTGAGGCACAGCTCGTTGATTGCCGCCGCAAGCATCTCGGGGAAGCGTCTTATGCGGGTATCATATGGTTTTTACGGTCCTATAAGATTGAATACGGTGATAAGTGCTGTGTCACAGCCGCTCAAGCGCAGAGAACAATACCATGAGAACTCCTTGGGTCCCTACAGGTAGCATGGAGATTATTTCCCCGCTGGTTTTATCTAAAGGAATGGCGCTGATGGTTTAGTCCGTCATATTCAAGGGGTTAAGATATTTGTTCGAGAGATATATTTAGAGTTTCATTGCGCGGCACGTTTTGTCCAGATCCGAGATCAGCGTGAGACGCGTGGATCACAAAAAGTTGTACAAAGTGAGGGTCATCTGCACTTTAATTGCCTATTGAGGGCAAGCGGTGTTGGAGGAGGGTTCCCCGCAATTCAGATCAAAGGATGATCTTGGCGGTCGAACGGCCCCGCGGTCTGGTGGTCTTGGTTGTCGTAACTTTTACGGGGCTCCTGAAACGGTGTCGAGATGAGGCTAGAGGAGGTCGAGCCGCGACGCGTCCCATATCGCAGCGTACGGCCCGGTCTTTTGGTGCGCAGCCGCTGTAAGGACCGATCCAATTGTAAACAAACCCCGTGTTGGCCGCACCCCAGATACTTGTAGGGAGACGGCGCGCAATGTGGTACTAGTGGCTCGGGATTTAAAGGTCTACCGATAAGACGCAGCGTTTACGATGTGTCCGGCCTGCTTGCCCTCAGTGAGGGAGACAGGAAGGGTATTTACGAGAAATAGGGTGTTTTGCAATACATCATCAGTTAACAATACATCAATTATTAAAGTTGGTGGACACTATGTCTATATACATATTACGTGTAGTTATGGAGATAAAAAGGGACTGGGAAGCTGAGGGCACTCTTTGCGCGTGCTTCTCCGTGACCTGCTTAGTCCAGCGGCGTCGCGTCGTTCATATCGTCTTCGAGGTCCTCCCAGTCATTATCTACGTCCATGTCGTTGTTGGCGTCATGGTTGGCCAGCACCTCCAATTCGTCCTGCTCGCCCTCGGGGCGGTTGGGGTTGTGCTTGAGAATTACGTTGACGGTTTCTTTGTCGTGGATCTGACCCTTCAAGATGCGCATTGCCATGCGATTCAAAATCTCATTCTGGATCAATCTGTTCAATGGACGCGCACCCATATCTTCGGAGTAGCCGAACTTGGCAAGGAAGTCCTTGGCCTCCGGCGAAACGTTCAGTTTGTAGTGCTTGTCGTTCTCCTCAAACCGTTCCTCGATCTCCTTCAAACGGATATCCACGATCTTGTGGATGGCTTTGTGAGACAACTTGTTGAAAACAACGATACTTGAAATTCTGTTCAAGAATTCGGGTCTGAAGTGCTGTCTCACCGCACCCATAACTAGGCCCTTGGTGGCCTCTTCGATCTTCGATCCCGGCTGGGAGTTGATGTAGGTTGCACCCAGGTTGGATGTCATGATCACGATACAGTTGGAGCAGTTGATAACCTTACCCTGGCCGGAAGTCAACCTACCGTCATCGAGCATCTGCAGCATAATAGTCAACACATCGGGATGGGCCTTCTCCACTTCATCGAATAACAAAACGGAGTATGGGCGGCGTTGTAACTGGTTTGTCAAGAAACCACCCTCTTCGTAACCCACGTAACCAGCGGTGGTACCCAATAGTTTGGAAACAGAGTACTTCTCGCTCAGCTCTGAACAGTCGACCCTGATCATTGCGTTTTCGTCGTTGAACAAAAATGCTGCAATTCTCTTCGCCAACTCAGTCTTACCCGAACCGGACAACCCTAAGAACAGGAATGAAGCAGGCTGTCTTGGGTTGGCCAAACCAGACCTAGACAATCTGACTGCGTTTGAAACAGCTTTGATGGCTTCCATTTGGCCTACCACTTCGGTGGACAAGACCTTTTCCATGTGGATCAATTTCTCGTTCTCCGATTCCGTCAATTTGTTAACAGGAATACCTGTTAGTCTGGCGGCAGTTTCTGCAATTGTGTCGCTGTCAACAACGTTTTGAACCATTGCTCCTGCTCCGGCACGCTTCTCCTCTTCTGCAACTTGTTGTTCCAACTCTTCAATTTGTTTCTTCACATCTGGGATAGCAAAGTACCTTAAATCAGCGGCAGTAGCAGTATCATACCTACGCTCAGCATCCAGGGCCTTGTTTTCCAATTCATCCAATTTCTTCTTCGCCTTGGTCAATTCTTCATGGCCCTGTCTTTCCTCGTTATACCGTTGTCTCAAAGGTTCAAGTTCCTCCTTCAAAGAAGCTTCCTTTTGTCTTGCCTGTTGCAATCTTTCTTTGGTAGTTGGGTCGGCCTCTTCATCTCTTTCCAAAGCTTTTATTTCAACTTGGATGAGTTGCAATTGACGTTCTTTAGAATCCAACTCTTCCGGTTTGGAATCTCTCGCAACAGCAACACCGGCACAAGAGATATCCACTAAATCCAGAGCTGAGTCTGGTAATCTTCTGTAGGGCAAATACCTTTTAGCGAGTTGGGCTGCGGTTACCAAGGCACTGTCCAAAATTCTAACACCATGATGGATTTCGTACTTTGGTTGCAAACCTCTCAAAATGGCAACGGTTTGTCTGGTAGTTGGCTCTTGAACATCGATTTTTTGGAATCTTCTTTCAAAAGCACCATCCTTCTCAACGATCGCTCTGTACTCATTGTTGGTGGTGGCACCGATAACCTTCAAATGTCCTCTGGATAGTGCAGGTTTCAAAATGTTGGCAGCATCATCCTTACCGTTACCCATTAGCATGTGGATTTCATCGATGAAAAGCACGATTAGGGTCTTCGATTCTTCGATTTCTTTCAATACACCCTTCAAACGCTCTTCGAAGTCACCTTTGTACTTGGCACCTGCAGTTAAGGCTGCAAGATCAAGACTGAAAAGCTTAGAACCCTGTAGAATTGTAGGAACATCATCGTCGATGATTCTTTGCGCAACACCTTCGATGATAGCCGTCTTACCGATACCAGGTTCACCAATCAGACACGGGTTCGACTTTATCCTTCTAGCCAGTACTCTAATTGTGCCTCTTATCTCCTCTTCTCTACCAATTACTGGATCTAGTTTACCCTCTCTGGCTTGTTCTGTCATATCCACGGCATACTTTGTTAAGTATTCCAAGGAAGAACTTGTGTCAGCGCCACGAGAGTCAATCTTTTGGTTTCCTCTCAATTCCAGAGCCTGTTGCTTTACTGCTTCAATTTCGACTCCTGCTTCCTTGAATATTTGTTGGATACTTGAATCCGTAAACAAGGCGAATAATATGTGATCTTGTGCTATGAAAGAGTCTTTCTGTTGTTTTTGGATCTTAGCAGCTTCCTGCAGCACCTGAGCCGTGCCGTAACTTGGTGATATTTGAGCGGGAGCTGGATTTTGTTGTGGAATGCGAACCAAATGCGAGTTTACTATTCTTCTGAAGGAATCGTAATCGTACCTGGCCTTCTCTATCAAATTTTGTAAATATGGCATTGAGCCATCCTCTGGTGTCTCCACAAATGCGGCCAGTAAATGAACTGGCTGTAATTGTGCATGCTGATGGTCTTGAGCTAGTTTTTGAGCTAACGTCAAAATTGTTAGCGCTCTCTCTGTAAATTGTGTCTCGTCGTTCATCGAGTTTAATTAGTTAATTTCTTATTAATGCTTTGCTTATTGATTTTATAGCTGACAATTGCTGTAAATCACAGATCTACCAACTCTTTTATACTTTCAAACTTGACAAGGGGCGGCTTTATTGAAGACACTTCTAACTGCTCTCTCTGGTGCTTTCCGCAACATTCCCTTAATTTCTCGGATAAGAGAGAAAATTCTAGAAATGCACGTGATACACTTGGGAACTAGATGAAATCTCCTATAGCTACTAGTACAAATGCTAGGGGTATTACCAGATATGTAAGTCCGAGTGCAAGGAGGTACCCGTCAATGCCGGCCAATAATAATCGACCCTTTAAGGATAAGTCCGAAACACGTTATTTTGTAATGAGGTGAGAATGGCCTTAGCTGATGTTGGGTGCTCGTATGTGGGAATGTTATGACATTCTTTGTTGCCTAATCTCGTTCACATCTGATTGAAATTGCTATAGTAAAAGCTTAGAGAATTCTCAGGTAGATATAATTGAGGTGGATACGGTAAGTCCGGTAATGTTACTTGCCGTAAGCGGGAGACCGATTTCGAGTCAATCCAACCGTCTAGCTACAGCGTAGAACTGATCTTAAAAAGGGCGTGTAATTATAACCTGTAAAACTAAGAAAATCGTATCAGTTAGTACCATCATACCTCAAATCATTAGGTGCTAGCCTAGATTAATGAATTTGAACATATTTTCCCTGTAATGGGTGAGGAACATCAGTTAGAACATCTCCACAATTGTCTTGAAGACATCGGCCATTGAATTAATTTGCTGTAAACTCACTGCTCGTATTCGGAGGAAATACATGGAAAACAAGCTGAGCGAATTAATAGAACGATTCATCGAGAGATAAAGCGCGCAACGCCTTCAAAGAAACTTCCAACAGCTCTCACAATTCAGACGGAAAAAGATACTTATGTTCTTTTAATAAATAATATAAATAATTGCCATAGCTTCTTTATGATGCATACCTTTTAAACCATAAAGCTTTCTCCACAGCCGCATGTACCCTTAGAATTAGGATTCTTGAAAACAAACCTAGACGAAAGCTTGTCATCAATCCAGTCCATCTCACTACCCACTATGCTAAATAATGCCTTTGAATCTATTATAACTTTAACACCATCTTGTTCGACAACTTCGTCGAACTTCCCTGGCTCCGTGATATACTCCAGATCGTATGTGAGCCCAGAACAGCCTCTGTTCTTAACTCCTATCCTGATAAGTTTAGGTTCTGGTTGATTCAGAAGTGCCTTCAAGTGTGATAAGGCGCTTGGAGTCAGGGATATAAGCGCCTTGCGAGGTCTTAGTTTCCTCTTGGCTTTCTTCTTCTGCGGCTGGGCAGCAAGCTTTTTGTTAGCTTCTTTTTCCTCCTCTTCCATTTGCTCTTTCTGTTTCAATATGGTTTCTTTGGAAGGCAATGAGTATGTTGACCACTTTGCGGGTTGCTTTGCTGCGGCCCCGAAATTGTCCACGCTGGGTTTATCCAATGTAGAGGGGTTTTGCAGCTTGCGAGTTGTTCTGTGGGAAACAGATGGCCTTTCCTTGGTTGGAAACTGAAAGTTCCATCTTTCAGGCCCAACTGTATCTAAATTATGTGGCATTTGATTGGTCTGTATGAAACGTCTTGTGCTCCTTCCCCCGTATACTCTCTCTGCACTTGAACTTGCTGAAGAAGCATGATTCAGGCCCACTTTCGCTTGCGAGAACATTCTCAATCCAGCATAATGGCAGAGAGATGGAAGTCTGTGCGCATTTACTACCACTCTCATCCGTCTTTTCGTTTGTTGAGAACAGTGGTATGTAATTGAAAGCATTTCAGATCCCCAGTCACTTATCCCGATTATCGGAGCGATGGAGGTCAAAAATGGATGACTTAGATATATCATGTTTCACGGTATCTTGACAGCCAATCATATCAAAATGTATTAGTCACAATTACATTAAAGCACAACTCACGAATCAGAGCGCGAATCATCGATGGCAGCTGATTGAGTCACCTGCCAAATCAACTAAGCCTGCACCTACCATGAAATTGTATAAATATATACCGTTATAGAGTTGCAGTCTCCCTTTTCAACCACTTGTAGGATATACTTTGAGGTTGTAAGAAGGGAACCACACAATGCCATATCCTTGAATGGTACTCGTTGATTTGATTTTTTTCTTCGGGCGTCAAAATCTTGACATCGATGAGTTTTCTGCAATATGGGACGAGGGTTAAGTTCTCAAATTTCAAAAACTTGCGCTCACCAAATTTTAATCCCTCTGCCCTTTTGACCAGAAGATCATTCTCTATTCTAATACCATATTCACCATCCTTATAATAACCAGGTTCATTAGTGATGATATTACCTTTAGTTAAAGAGTAATTCATCAAATGGGGTCTAAACCCAATTCCCATTGGACCTTCATGCACATTTAGGAAAGATCCAACGCCGTGACCGGTCCCATGTCTATAGTCAAGGCCCTCTTTCCAAAGAAATTGTCTGGCAATGACGTCGATGCTGTAACCAGAAGTTCCCTCAGGGAAGACCAGCCTTTCGAGAGCTAAATTACCCTTCAAGACCAGTGTGTAGTTACGAATTTCCTCCTTGGTTGGTTTGGTGAAATGTAGTGTTCTTGTTATATCAGTTGTGCCTTCCAAAAACTGCGATCCACTATCACACAAATAAATCTTAGAGGGATCGATCATAGATGAATTTTCCGCTGGTGGCGCATAGTGAATAACAGCTGCGTTAGCACCTGTTGAAGAAATAGTCTCGAAAGAATTACCTTTAAAGTTCTTTTGGGTCTTCCTGATTTCAATGAGTTTGCAAGCCGCCTTGTACTCATCGATTAGAGCTTCTTTAACAGTAAGTTGTTCCTCAAGCCACGCGAAATACTGGGTCAGACAGATAGCGTCTTTCACTTGTGCAGCATGAGCATTCCTTATCTCAACACTATTTTTCACAGCCTTGAAAATTTCGATGGGTGACTGAATTTCCTTATGAGAAGCCCCATTTATTTTGCGATAAATCTCCCAGGACGCTCCTGTGGGAATGACAATAGTTTCTTTCTTTTCTGACAAAACAGATGCTGTATGTGCGATCTCTTCCCAGAAGTTAGAGTAGGCCTTAACCTCTATTTTATTCTCCTTAAAATACTTTTTAATCCCATCATCGTAGGGATTCTCAGTAAACAAAATGGTCTCATCTCCTCTGATTATCAAGTATGCGTAGAAAACTGGGTTGTATTCGATGTCTGACCCCCTCAAATTTAGCAACCAGCAAATCTCGTCTAAAGCTATAGTACAGAAAGCTTGACTGCCCTTCGTCTTGTCATTCAAATATTTTATGAGACGCGAACGCTTTTCTTGGAAGCTCTCGCCAGTAAATCCATCATCTAAGTGCAACAAGTCATTGGATTCTCTGACAGGAACGGCTTCGAATTTTCCCCAGATGGCATCAATGAGATTATCTTCAACGGGTACCAGCTCGACCTTTGCATTAGTGTCCTCGACCTTATCCTTAATGAGAGCTTTGAATTTTGTAACTTGGTCAAAGGTGATTAGCTTAGGATCAATACCAATTTTGGCAATTTTCCCACCCAAACTTAGTGACATCTCTTTAGCCTCATTCACACACCACTCTTGCCACGTAACAGGATCTTCGCCTTGTTTAATTAATCTCCAGTTGAAGTCAAGTTCTTGAGAAGCTTGATTGAAATAACGACCATCGGTGCTGAGGACGGACTTCCCCTCCGGTTGGTCCTTGTTGAAGTTCAACAAATCTCTTGTGATACATGCAACACCGGCCGAACCTGTGAAACCAGAAATGAAAGCTCTTCTTTGGTCCGCCAATGAAACATATTCCGACTGGTGCTCATCTTCGCTAGGTACAATGTAGCAACAGATTTCGTGGTCTGCCATTTTCTTTCTCAAACGTAATAACCTCTCTGATGTATTAATGTCTTTTACCTGACAGATGGTATCGGAGGAATACACAGATTCGCCAGATCCATGGCTGGACGAATGACCATCCCTGTAGAAAGATTTTCTCCTTGAATTAGTTAACTGCCTCATGAACAGAGACGACCTTCTATTTTGTCTTGAAAGCAGCCCGGGAGAGCACGTACAGTTCGCACAAGGTCTGAAGGGCCTGTCTATTCCATTAGGAGCACTCAAAGCCCTAGGCCCAGCTGTGCTTAAAGAAGCAATAGATGGCTTCATATTCAAGGTACTGGGCTTTGTAGTTGTCATTCTAAAAAGCTTTAAAATTGTGAATGGAATTCGGGCAAAATTGCTTGGAAGGGGCAAAATGGTTTTATGGATGAAATTTTTTTAGGTGTATATTGCCGTTTCTTATGCAGGTTACAGCCGCTTGAACACAATAACTTGGCGACCAAGTCACGTGATTATTTGGATTTGCATTATTGAAAGGAGCAGCTATTAGAAACAATATTGTAAATGCTCTATATTTATTAGGTAAGTAGAAGACTTATTTAAAGGGTTTTGGTATCATTTTCAATTAAAAAGTTCTTGTAATATTATCGGTAATTGATATGAGACAGAATAGAATTGAAGGACAAAAAAATCGGGTATTGTCAATGGCTGCGCCGCTTGTTGGTCTGAGAAATAGTGGGTGAATTTGTCTCCGATACAAATCACAGAACAAATGCATACTTTGACTTTCCCCTGAGATAGCGACCGTATTTCAAAAGCAGCAGTGGAACAGGGACCAATGCTAACGCGAACAGACCTAGCAATAGACCAGCCCAGTTAACACCCATGTTGTGGAACATGAAGCCTGCGAAAAGAGGAAACGAAGCACCAAATGCAGAACGCATAAATGTGTTTCCTGCAATGGCCGAAGCGGACAGTATCAAATAACTGTCGATGATGTAGTTGAAACATGGCAAAAAGATGCCGATCAGCCCAAATCCGATGAAAGAACCGGCAACAGTTGGCACCATGAAGTGTACCTTTTTAGGGTAGTTACCAGTCCAACAGAACCACAAGATACCGATAGGGAATACAATACCAGCAATAATCATGGGTTTCAATCTGGCCTCTGGTAGGGGTTTGCCCCCGTTGGCCCTTACTGCGCGGATGTAGTCCTTTTCGGTGTACACGTTGTAACCAGCATTGACCAACATACCAATGATCAACGCAATATATGGCAGCTCACCGTTTTTGAGGTAGCCGTACCCCTCCTGGAACACAATAGGGTAAGCCTCCAGCAACAAGTACAGGATACCATAAACGAAGGAATGGTACAAGGTAATGCAGAATAGAATAGGTTCAGTGAACAACATGCGGATAGGTCTAGTGACGGTCTTTTCAGCAATTTCCTTGATCGATAGCTGGGCATCTTCGTGCGCGGCGTGGATACCCCAGTTGCCACTCATTTGACGCATCTTGCGAGCCTTTCTCACCAAAATTGTGGGGTGGTGGGTCTCTTCGTAGAAATACGTGATGAGAAGAGTGATGCAACCGGCGTATATACCCGTGACGTACTCGGTCCAACGCCATGTGGTGTACTGCACGATATAGGAGCCGAAAACAGGCGCCATGATAGGACCTACAAACACACCTAGTGCGAAGATTGTCACAGCGGTACCACGGCTCTCGTTGTCGAACATGTCAAAAAAGGCTGCGGGGACAATGGCAAGCGGGGCTGCACCAATAAATCCACCGAAAAAACGACATATCAGAATGGTTTGCAAGTCCTTGGCAGTGGCCACGGCGAACTGGAATAGAGTGAAGCCAAATGACGACACGATCAGCATACCTTGACGACCATAAAGCTCGGAGAGCGGCGCGTAGATGACGGGCGACGCAGCAAAACCGAACACGAATAGCGTCACACCTAGTACGGCCACCACGATCGCAACATGGTAATCGTGCGAGACCTGCTCCACAGCTGACGCAAAGATTGATGAGCCCATGGCCACACCGATCGAGTTGAGCCCTAGAATCACACTCAGTAGCACCTTCTTGCGCACAGGCCAGTTGTAAGGATGCGTAGGGTCATCGGGACCGTCGAATGTCACCTCGTACGGCTCCCTGTCGGGCAGCGCCGGAGGGTAGGGTCTTCCCCCGCCCATGGGAGGACAACCTGTGTAGTCCACATGCAGTTTGTCGGGCTCGTGCTCGGATCCGGTCAAGATCTTACTGAGCTGGCGGTTGAGACGAGCCTGGGTCTCGGACGCTGCGCTGGTTGCTGTGCGTGCGAGCTCGAGGTCCAGTTCGCGGTCGTCCTCGGCTTGGTCTGCGTAGTCTGCCCGCTCGCCCCGGTAGCTCATGTTGTCGACGCTGCTGGTGTCGTGGAAGCCACTGGCGGCGGCCACGCCACCGTCAGCTCCGTCTGTCTTCTCATCGATTGCCAGTGGTTTTTGGGCTTGGTCTTGAGACCCCGTTTGTGCAGGGTGCGCCGGGTCACGATGCTCCGAGCGCGATGACGCGCTGCTGCCACTGCTCGAGCTAATATCTAGTTTTTCGGTCCCAGAACTCATGCTTAAAAAAACCTAAGAACCTAAGGAAGTGTCGTTAACAACTCAAATAAGTATCTTGGAGGCCACGACGCACGGATCTCCCGCGAAGAGCTTATATGTGGAAAATCCCAATTGTGCCAATGAGCGGACGCGGCATTGCCACTGCCAAGCTTTGCAGCCCATTTAGGTGTTGCTTTGGCACTGCTGCGGAGAGTCTGTGGCTCGTAGCGAAAGTGCAGGCCCCAGACCCTGCGGATGCGGATGCGGGACGCCTTCCGTCTCCGCGATCCGCCTCCGCGGAATACCTACCGGTACCCGAAAGAAGTGTCCGTTAGTGGACGAAAAGCCGAGGTCGCGTGATCATTTGTCAGCAGTGTTACCCTACCCGCCCTCCACCCACCCATTCATTTGTCATTCGTTTGTCATTCGCCGTTCGCTCGGCGCGTTGCTTTTTGCTCCCCTCCCCTCCCCTATTGCCAGGGTCTTGCCGCTCGTTTGGGCACTTGTTTTTGAGCTTTGTTTATGTTTACATCCGAATCCGGCTCACCTTAGGCTTCCCCTTTCGGACACACGGCGACCGACTCCCGCGATGTTTCCTGCGAGCGTCGCCGCTTCATCACCTAGCTTCCTGAGCTCACCCCTTGCCCGGTTGTCCCCTGGCGGCCCACGGCGGCCCACGGCCCGTCTGGGGGTTCGCTGTTTCCTGCTCCCCATGGCTCGTGTGACCGGTGTGGCGGAGCTGCTGGCGTGGGAGTGCAGCTATGACGTTCAATGTACGGCGTACTCTGGGTGTCGAACGTCCGGCTGTGCGGCGCGTCTAGGCACCCGTGCTCCCCGAGTAGGCACAGGTCCCACCCATCCGGCGCGCGGGTCGCTGAAAGTCCAGCTCAGAAGGGGCCGCACATGCCCGTTAGCTGCAGGTTTTTACTTCCCAGGCACATCCTGCAGGTCCTGCCGGTGAAGCTTCAGAAAGTGGCGCATAACACCACCCGCAGGCGGTTCTGTGGGGCGTAACTGCATGCAGCCGCGCTGCGGGTGCGTGTAGGTAATTATTGATGTAACACCCGAATCCCGAGCGTCCCGTATGCTCCAGCCTTTTCATCGTTCGCATTCCACTAGTGAGGGAGTTCCTTTAATGGCATGTTCGTAGCGAGGTTTTTGCAGCTCTTGGAAAGGGTCAAAAGGGTTGCCGGAGCGTCTCTCTGGCGTGTGTGGTGGCTTGACTGCAGGGTGAGTGGGTTGCGTTTTCGGTGACATTCGATCGGGCTCGATTGATTTTCTTAGAAGAGCTCATAAAACGTAGCAGGCTTACGCACCGAAAAGAGTCACCACCGGATTTTGACGTAGGCAAGCTCGAGGCGGCTCACAAAACAAGGTTTAAAAGGGAAACTCCCCAGCAGACGCGGCGCAACCACGCTAGACAGGCTTTGAAACCCCCGTCGCAGGAGAAACGTTTCTTCACGGCCGCTGTTCTCTCCTCCCCCCCACCCTCTCACCGTCGCAGCCACCATACGTCAGCTCGTGTCCCCGGAGTGCGGGAGCGGACCATGCCCACAGGATATGTCTAGGAGCAGGAGTAACAAGCAGAAACAGAACGTCACGTTCGCGTGTCGCAGCTGCCGGCAGCGCAAGCGCAAGTGCAGCCGGGAGAAACCGGTGTGCCAGCGGTGCTCACGGCTGGGCATCACGTGCGTGTACGAGCTGCCTCCTAAGCATCTAATCAAGTCGGTCAAGGACGGTAACGGCGGCGGCGGCGTCGCCGGCTGCGCCGGCTCGCCGCCCTCGATGCGCTGGCACTTCCAGACCGGTGTCGATCTCGGGCTTCACGTCGAGAAGGACCCGTTCTTGCTCGAGTTCCTTTCGTCCGCCATCGCGTGCGGGCCCACGCTCGCCAGGTGCCACCACACGCAGTGTGTCGACCCTAATTGCGGTCGGTGGTGGTTCAGCCTGATGCTCGAGGGCCACACCTTGCTGGACGACGTGAGGAACAACACTGTGGTTCCCTCGCGTACGGGACGCCTTCCATTTGGCGGCGACCCGCTCGTGGGGCCCGAGGTTTTCAGCCACATGTGCTCCGAGCTCATTCATGAAATTCAGCAAGTGTTGCCGTCGCTCGATGCGATGCAGGCGATGAAAATCGAGTTTTACGAACACATGTACGTGGTTAAGCCTGCACTCAACATACCTCGCTTTGAGCGCGCGATAGAGCTTCTCGTGGTACCGCGGCCTGATAATGCAGGCGTGTTTGTACGACGCTCCATGAACCACCAGCGTATGGAGCTCATCCAGCTCGCCATCCTCCTGTTGATTCTCAGAATGGGCTTCATGTCCATGGTCCTTTACAACGAGAAATACGAGCGCGATCCTGCCAAGAAAAAGCAGGTGGCCTCTTGGCTAAACGCCCACGCGATCCCTCGCGATGTCCTATTTTTAGTGAAACGCACTTTGGAGTTGTTGCGTATCTATGATACGCCCACTGAGGAGGCGCTCTGCTGTCTGTTGTACCTGCGTACCGCTATGTGTCTCGAAGACTCGGACATTTACAAGTTTCTCGGCGTCAAGAACGCAGAGCTGGTTGAAGCCATGACCTATGTAGCGACACGCATGAATCTCTTTTCCAACGTTTTACAAAAAGTCCCCGGAATGACTGTCCAGGAAAGATTGTACAGGAGAAAGTTGTGGCTTTGCGTGTGTTCGGCGAACATGCACGAGCACACGTTTAGAGGCGGCTACACGTATGTACGAGCAGAGCAGATCCTAAGGTTTTTCGACAACTACAGAGTGTTTGACGACTACCAAGCCATTTCTCAAGAATCTCTCACATCAGAAGATCACATTGAGCTGGATTACCACATTTTCCTTTTGAAAAACCATCAATTTACTGAAGTGCTATGCGATATTGAAGAAGAAACCGTTCCAGATCAAGAGCTTTTGCCGAAGAAAATTGCAGAGAATGACAGACTTGGTAATTTTTTCCAAGATGTGTTCCCAGATTCAGAACCATCCGCTCAGCAAGAAAATCTTGACATGGTCTTACACATCAATTGCAAGAATTTTCGCATTCCCGTGATGATATGTCGACTTAGACATTTGGCCCAATTTCAAACAAAATTCAATTTATTGATAAAGCAGATGTCCAATGCATCCCTATTGATGTTCTACTTCGAGAAAGATTATCAAGCAACGGAGTCCCCGCAAAGTTTACTAAACTTCGAGCGTTATTTGCTGGAAAGCATTGAGTATGTCACACAGATACTTGTAAGTTGTGTCGATTATAGCTCGGGCAACATTTCACTTCTAATTCCACCCAATATGAGGTTCATCTTGACAGACGCGCTTTGTCCGATATACAATAGGAGCGCACTTACCCTTTTCGGCGTGGTCTTGCGTTTTCAGTATCTTCAGCAAACTTTCGCCCGCCAGGGACGCATGAATGTTTTGCCAGTCCTTGGGGAGATTTTAGACCGCTTGTGCATTTATCTTCAAACTGCAGAAAGATGCATGGCTGCCGAAACACTCCCGCCAAGGGCTCTCGGAATCGCTCAAAGTTTTTTGAATTTGATCAAATATGACGACTTGTTCGATTCCATCCGAGAGTATAGCTCACTTTCGGAGGATGTTTCTTCAAAATGCCGCGAAATTATAGACTTCTGTCCTCCAGGCTATCTTGAGCGTAATAGTGCCGCAATTAAACAAGTGAGCCAAGAAACTTTGAATCAATTCCTCCAAGTCTTGAACTCAGCTTCTTTCGTCAATAGTAGCTATATTTCTGTACAAAATTTCAAAAGTTGAGATGTGATGTATCGATAATCACAGCATTTGGCCATATAGATAGAGCCTCTCGAAAGTTATAGTCAGCAGATGTCAAAAAATGCCAGTGTATAATCATTGATTTGCATTGTTGGATGTTTGAGAAAGCGGTTGTTTGTATTGTCACGTGATGTGTAATCACGCCAAAAATCTTGTCAGTTCACCATAGAAACCTCCATTCGTACTGTCCTTAACTTTGGTCACTCATCATTGGCTAAGATGGAGCCAATTAATGCTGCAGATGAAATGTCTGTGAAGAAAAGCATTCTGAACAGCTCGATAGAAGATAGAAGATTGTTTAGATCAAGAATTCAGCGATTCAAGGCAACTCACAGACTGTATATAGTGCTAATGGGATCCCTAGCTGTTCTGCAGTTCATAGCTATTGCCTTTTTCGCAAGAGGGTTCCTTTTATCGAGAAGTGTTTTAGAGGACATTTCTAAACCAGTTGAAGATGTGCAATATGGTAAGTTTGAAAAATGTGTCATCTTGGTAGTCGATGCTCTCAGATTTGACTTTACTATTCCTGTGGATCCTTCTTCCAAATCATACAATCCCAACTATCACAACAATATGCCAGTTTTGTTTGATTCGAAAGATGAACATTCTATTCTTCTCAAGTTCATTTCAGATCCACCTACGACTACTTTGCAAAGGCTTAAAGGCTTGACGACAGGATCTCTTCCCACTTTCATTGATGCAGGCTCCAACTTCAATGGTGAAGTCATTGAAGAAGACAATATGATAAAGCAAATGTATCTACAAAACAAGACAGTTTTTTTTGCTGGCGATGATACGTGGGATAAGTTATTTCAGCCCTTTCTATCCCCCATGAGTGTTCCCTATGAATCTCTTAATGTTTGGGATCTGGATACTGTTGATAACGGTGTCGTAAATTTCTTCGAAGAACATTTAATAAACTCAGCCCAAAGCAGTCGCGAATGGGATGTTTTAATAGGTCATATGTTGGGGGTTGACCATGTTGGCCACAAGTACGGACCTAATCATTTTACTATGAAAGAAAAACAACTTCAAGTGAATGCATTCATAGAAGATATAGTAAATGCTATTGATGATGACACTCTACTTGTGGTATTTGGAGACCATGGAATGGATCATACTGGTAATCATGGTGGTGACGCCAAAGATGAACTGGAAGCGGCCCTGTGGCTATATTCGAAGAGACCAAAAACATGGAATACTCTACCGTCAAATTTTTATTCAGTAGACAATCTAGGTGTGGATTACAGAGAGGTCAATCAGATAGATCTCGTACCCTCTTTGTCACTTTTGTTAGGGTTGCCAATACCTTTTAATAACTTAGGCTGGCCCATTCAAGAAATATCAGGAACAGTAGAAGAATTAATGCAGTACAATAACTTAACTTTACAACAGCTAGATCTCTACAGACGCGTAAGTGGAGTAATAACGAATCCTGATAAAAATCACAATTTAGATGACTTGTGGGTAAAAGCATTGAGGAGCACAGCAGAGGGCCCTAACTTCCAAAAATTGTTTTTAGAATCATGCAAAGATTTATGGGCGAGATTCGACTATTGGAGTATCGCCACAGGCATTACGCTTTTGTCAATTTCTCTTCTGCTTTTATTATCCATTACGAAATTGATTCCCTCCATTGTTGTTGGTCAAATGGTATCTGAATTTGTCCCTTCCATTATAGTCATGTCATTAATTTCAAATGTATGTTTCAACGGTATATTCCACGTTCTACATCAACCGGAATTTTTGGAAAACTGGGTATGGTGTAGTCTGCTGGCAACAGCAGTTGGCATAATCGTGGGCTGCTGCATACCCATATTTGATCGCTACAATTTAGCTTGGATTGCAATTAAGTTTGCTGAGGACTTATCTGATTATTGGTCTCGGATTGCAGCCCTATTCATAACTCTACATGCGCTGCTGTTCACGTCAAACTCATTCACAATCTGGGAAGACAAAATTGTTAGTATGCTTCTTACATCGCTTGGTATGTTAACACTTTATGAGTTCGTTTTCCTACCGAAGAGACAATCAACAACCGCATTAATGACCGCGGCTATGGGTCAAAAACAAGGTACCCTATCTGGATCGCCTGCATTCTCGGCCGGTTCGGATTCTGCACCTTTGGGAAGGTTCGCACGCTTAGTTGGTGGCTATCATTCTATTGTTTTGATTGTTTGTACTAGACTGGCGTCAATGATAACGATCTGTCGTGAAGAACAAGGTGATAGCTGTACGCCCACTTTCACCACGGCAAACAATAATTCAGTGTGGTGTCTCGTTTTGTGCTTTTTATTGATTGGATTCATCCCATCTTGCATTAAAGGCTACTATAACGTGTGCTCTTCGTATCAGGCTGCTGCACCAATATGGATTGGGCAGTTTTTAAAATTCGTCCTACTCATAAACTTCGTGTTTTGGACTTTAACGGCTCTAGAAAATACCATGCCAGATTTAAATTGGGATCTCAAGATTCTTAAACTTACCATATCGAGAATAATAGTGGGTATTTCTCTCATTGCTGCTAACGTGGGATGGATGATGGGTCCGCTATGCGTCAAGTTAAATATTCAGAACAACGATATGAAATCTCAGCAAGCCACCATTTTAGGTTACACAAACGTATATGGTGCACAATACTTCCTGCTTGTGATAAATTTCTTCATGTGCATTATGCTGTTCAGCAAGCCACTAGCTCAAGTATCTCTATTCTTAATGTGCAACCAGTTGCTATCAATATTAGAAATATTTGATCTTCTCAAATTGAAGGATAATCTCATAGGGCCAGTTAGCATGGGTCTACTTGCCTATCAGCAATTTTTCTCTACAGGTCATCAGGCAACGATTCCCTCAGTTCAGTGGGATGTTGGGTTCATTCTGACAGAAAAAATCACATTCCCTTTCACTCATCTGGGAATTGTAATGAATACCTTTGGTCCCCACATTATTGTTGCATTATCGATTGCTTTGTTAACTTTGTGGAAGCAACCTCCGGGTGTCTTAAAGCCACAGACTCTACTTACTCGAATTGTGTCCAATTGTGGAATGCTTCTGATCTACAACACAGTCTTATGCCTCAGTACCTTCGTTTGGGTTACACACTTCCGCAGACACTTGATGGTATGGAAAATTTTTTGTCCAAGATTCATCTTCGCAAGTTTGTGTTTGATCGTGACGCAATTAGTGATTACGGTTATAACGATTGCATCATCTAGCGGACGGTTAATAAGGCAGATCAATGATATTTTCTGGAAATAGCAGAGAACTCAGGTTAAACGTCACTCAAGATAGAATCACGCATTAATAATGAAAACCACTAGATCTTATATAAGTTAAAAGAAAGCCGTGTCCAAATCGGCAAATTCGTCTTCGAAGTCATTATTAAAAGTGTCACCGTTAATCTCTCCAAATATTGAACCCAGCATTCCTGATTGTGGATTTTCTTCCACTTGTGGTGGGACACGTTCCTGAGGCTGACCAGATGGTGCTTGTTGGTCGACCTGTGTTTCTTCACCAGTTACCGGTTGGTCAGCAAGCGGAGGCTGAATTTGCTGTTGAAATTGCTCTTCAAATAGTCTTTGCTCCTCTTCTTCCCGCATTTTCCTGTCTGCTTCCTCTTGGAGTTTACGAGCTTCTTCTTCCTGAAGTAACTTTAACTTCAATGCTTCTTCTTTCTTTTTTGCTACCATTTCACGGTGTTTCTCCCAGTAATTTGCTGGCGCCTCCGATGTGTCGCCACGGAGATCTAGAAACTTATCTTTATGAATTACAATGCGGTCGTCTTTAACCTCTTTGTGAAATTTGGACGAGTATCCAGCCGCAATACTATTCAGCCTTTCATCATCCAGCTCATCTTCAGTAAGGGATCTACAGCTCTCTTTCAAAAATTTGAAATTGTCAGAAAGCTTAAACTCGTAGCTATCAACTGACCTAGTAAGCTCTTCCAACTGTTCTTTTTCTTTGGCTAGTGTTTGTCTAAATTCCTCAATGTTGATACCCCGATAAACAGGCGGCGGTTTTATTTTAGTCATAGGAATCGGTTGAATTGTAAGTACATCTATTAGTTCACTCGATGCAATAAAGTTTTGAAGAAGATATGATCGATAGGAAATGGTGTCACTTTCATCATGAACTAGGCTTCCTACTTGCTCCGGTTTTAGCCTTGAACTATCATAACTTCGATTTTGTTGCTGATGCTGCTCTTGGGAAACCCTTAAAGACTTTGAATTAGGACCACGTCTTCTTCTACCTGCCATGATCGCGTGTTTTCGCTACCACTTCTTTTTAATGCTATTTCTGACAGTAAATACCATCGCGATAGGAAGATAATCAAGAATTCAAATTTTGCAGATGCAGTCACGTGCTTTGACTTAAATTCTAAGGCAATCACAGCTGGGGCAACTAAATATGTTTCATGGAGCCATGTTCTATCACCGAAGGCGTTCTCACTCTTGTAAAGTATTGAAGGTATTTCTCTTTTTGTGTTCTTGTCAAGTGACACCAATTTTTAAACATTAATTACATCCCAATAGCGTTAAGCATATACGCCATTTTGTAATTCAGTAGCAGGCTGGTCATATTTGCTACGAGATCAGTATATGGAATTATTTCAGTGTTATATTCCACCTTGAAAGATTTGTTATTTTAATGTTTACCATGTAACGTCTTTTTTATATTTTTCTCACTGGCTATATGTTCCCAATCATCTTTCTAACATTAAATACTCAATACAAATTAAGTAGTAGGATTTTATTATGAACATTGTGATGAATGAATCAAAGTTTTCATAAATGATAGAGAAGATAATAGAAGCTTTGTAGGATCTAAATATAAGATATCACTAAACTTTGGTTGATCGGCCACTTGAATATTCGTGTTTTAATCATGTGGGTATAGAGCACAAATCCAGATACAAATTACTCAGCTGCTGCCTGGTTGAAATATCACTTAAAGAGCCTTTCGACCTCTTGTGACATTTTAAAGGATTCTTAAATCCAATCTATAACCTCTGACATAGTGTTACCCGCCTCTTCAAAACGGTAAATGTTTATTTACCTTTCGGAACGATGAGATCTGCCATGGATCTGACACAAGACCAACAAGAATAAGTTTGATAGTATGACTCCAGCTGTTGTCGCCTCACCATTCTGTACTACTCTTTATTATAAACCTCAATCATTTTCACTTTGTACTGGGAACCTGTGGAAGAAAATAAGTAAAGAGGATGCCCTGCGATTGAAATTGGATGATATAGGAAAGCACGCAATTTATGAAGTACCATCAAATGCAGTGGTGATTAAAACCCAGAAACAAAATAACAGTGTAAAGCTTACCTGCGTGTTGACAAATTCTGAAGAGGACCTAGATCCTATTGTCTCACTGAGTGTGCCTATTGAAAACACTTTACGTTCCGATCAGGCTTCTCAGCTGACCAAATTGGCCAAAGAGTTCGATATAGAAATCGTTGTTGCCAAAGCAAACTCCTACGCAACTAAGGGAAAGTCCGGCGACTGTATTTTCATGATAGGAATGCGCCAAAAAGTTGAATGTGCTGAACAGCAAATAAAGGTTTTCTTGGAAACACTTAAGAAAAAAGTAGTGAGACATATCATACTAGATACAGTTTCTCTGTTACCTATTTGTGCTGGAATGAATTCAAATAATCTCCGCAATTTTGAAAGCATTTATGACACCGAGGTATTTCTGCCGAGTATGCTTTCTATCGATGCAAACGGAATTTTTTTGTCAGGAGATATCCATTCACTAACTCTTCTGGCAGAAGAGCGGCTAAGAAGAATAATTGACTGTGCCAAAAATAACATTTACTATGCCCTGTTGCCCAATCTTTCCCCCATCAAGCTCCAATTTGTTAGACAGTTTTACCGTAATGAGATCAATGAGCTTATGAATACAAATCAATGCTTCATCAACGTAACAAAGAGTGAGGTTCATTTCATGTCAAACTCAACTTTCGCCCTCGATAGGACCATGAGAAGTTTCATACTCGATATTTTGGGTGACACGTTTGAGGCTCAAATACTCTTCCATGATAACCAAGACGCGATATTAGAAGGCGATTATTTATCTGCAATTCAGACAATAGCTTCCCAGTGTGAAGTAATAATAATGCAATTACAAACCAATTTATTGAATTTTGTGATAGTAGGACGACCACAGAACGTCGTTGATGCGATAGAGTTTATTTCAAAGCTCGAGAAAAGTAGTCAAAAGCAGATCAAATATCAACTTGAGCTCCATCCTGATTACAAGGAATTCATTTCAGGTAAAAAAAATGGTAAAATAACAAGGATCATGGACGCAGTGGAATGCTCTATTACACTGGATTTACAAAATGGTCAAGGAAATATGATAATAAGTTTGCTAACAGATCAATTGGAGAAATCAGAAAAAGCGATCAAACTCTTACAAGACGAGTTACCTGCAGAACACGCATTTTTTATTCCAGAAGCATATCATCGCCCTGTAATAGGAACAGGTGGATCAGTTATACAAACAATAATGAGAAAGCATAATGTTTTCATACAATTTTCTAACAGCTTCCAATTACCACAGAACGACTTGGGCCTAGTTCGTTACAACAATGTCGTCATTAGGTGCCCTTCAAAAAATGAAACATCGATCGCTCATGCCAAGGACGAATTGAGCGAGCTAGTGAAAGAGTACAGTGATTTGCAACCCAAAACGCTTTTGAGGTTTTCTCCTGGTCAATATTGCTATTTTGTACAGGGCTTCATTGATTGGAAGTCGAATATCATTGGAGAGATTGAAAAGAAGACAAGTACTTACATTGCATTTCCTTCCAAGAAACCTTCAGAGAACTATAGTCTAGAAATCAGGGGAAATGATGGCAACTCCGAACTTGCAGCCGAAGAGCTGATCAAATACTTTGCTGATGAACTGGAGATTTACACTGACACACAAATTATGGACATACAAGAATTTACGAACTGCGTTGCCGTTCCTCTGAAAAAGGCCATGAAGATCGAGGTTACAATAAGTAAATCTTTGGTCAGATTAACATATTCGGATCTATCCGAAAGCCATACAACGAGGGCAATTGCTTTAATACGTGATTATCTATCCTCCAAAGGAATTAGAATTACTTCTGAGAAAAAGCTGGGACGTGATTTCATTCTTTCAAGTAACGATCTGCCTGACAAACCAGATGCCACAGAGGGAAATGCCTATACCTCTTATCCTTATACGTATACCAAAATATAACTCAAAAATTTAGCATACTTGAAAATCTCTAGCTGCAATGGAATGTAGAATATAATTAAAAGGCCACTGCTTCTCTGAAGCCTCATAGTCTTGTGTCAAGAGTTTCATTTAGGCAAACTAAACACCTATCAAATTCTCTTATGGAAAATAGTTTCAAAAAAATCGGGTTAACTTTATCACCGTTTTTGAATGGTTGCAGATATTCGTAGGTCTTCCGAAAGAGTTGATAGTAAATTGCGGGGTCTTTGTGTATCAGTCTTTGCTTTTCATATTCCATAGTTAGAATATTCTTCAAAATTCTGCGACAAATATCGTTTTCATGATGATGACCTGGTTTTTTTGTGGTCGATAATTCATGATGAGTGACAGCTTTGAGCACAAATCTTAAAGAATTGACAACTTGTTTCAAATCACAACTTTGCAAATCACCTGTAGCGATGCCAGTTGCCATACGTTTTTCGAGATAGTTTTCTCTTTTATACTTGTATCGCAAATACTCAGTATATGTATTCCTAACCATGAGTCTTTGAGATATGAAGGGTTTGAGTCTCATAAACCGGCGGTAACTCATCTTCAATACATCCTTTCGAGGATACTCATTTATAAAATTAACTGGTAGGAGAAATTTTTGGTGGTTCAGGATAAGTGTGTGCCGAGAGTTTATAATCGCATTTTCAGTAATCACAGTTAATCGACGAGTAGCCATCGATGCTTCCACCAACTATGCGTCTCTTGAATCTCGAAATTCAGTCGCACACCATCTGGATGTGATACCAACTATATACTCATCAACTACGAGTATTTTTTTTTCAGAAAAATTTGTTAGCTCATCTCATCACCATCGATATAGAAAAGAAATATAGCATTAGTTTTAGGAGTTATACTTGGGGTCTGATGGTCAAAGTTAAAGGAAAGAAGGGTACCTTAACCCAGGGCTATGACAATAAGGTCTCTGATCTCATTTATCGTATGCTCGAAGAAAAGACTGTTGAAAAGAAGAAGTCCAATGTCATCAAAAAGCAAGAGTCAAATGATATCGGTGAAAGTTATGATAGTTCGGAAGAAATGAATGACCTCGCGGATATATACTTAGCTCGTGATTTGAACTTCGGTGAGGTTATGGGATTTATTCAATCTAGAGATTTGTCTATGCAGCGGGTTAAAAAAGTTGTTTTAGAGAAAACCGTTGAAAGAGTTCTCAAACAAATCATTGATGAGGAAAATGAGCAGTTTGCAGCATACTTTGCCGTTGAGAATACTGATGAAGATGCAATGAATGTAGATGGCGAGGATTTAACCCAGAAAAACATGATGATAGCTCCCAGTGACAACTCCATGAACAAAAGCATTACGAGCCAATGGAACACTGGTAAGAAAGAAAACTCTGACGAGAAACCCAAAGACGAGGAGAAAAAACTGAAAAAGCGGGCAAAAGAATCTACCACTAAGTCTAAGAGACAGAAAACTCAGGAAGATAGAAGGCCACCTTTGACTAATTTGTCCTCCCTAGGAGGTATGGATGATGTTGTTGCTCAACTAATGGAATTAATCGGACTACCAATACTACATCCCGAAATATTTGCATCAACTGGTGTAGAGCCTCCTCGAGGAGTTCTTTTGCATGGCCCACCAGGTTGTGGTAAAACGTCGATCGCCAATGCCCTGGCTGGTGAATTACAGGTTCCATTTATTTCCATATCTGCACCTTCGGTGGTAAGCGGAATGTCGGGAGAAAGTGAGAAAAAGATCAGAGACCTTTTTGAGGAAGCAAAGAGTCTAGCGCCTTGTTTAGTATTCTTCGACGAGATTGATGCGATCACCCCGAAGAGAGATGGAGGAGCACAGAGGGAGATGGAAAGAAGAATAGTAGCACAGCTTTTAACATCAATGGACGAATTATCTTTTGAAAAAACTGATGGAAAGCCAGTAATTATAATTGGTGCTACGAATCGACCTGATTCACTAGATCCTGCTTTAAGAAGAGCAGGTAGATTTGACAGAGAGATATGCCTGAATGTGCCTAATGAAATATCGAGACTGCACATCTTAAAGAAAATGTCTTCAGGTTTAAGAATTGATGGCACAATTGACTTTTTGAAATTGGCAAAGTTAACTCCTGGCTTTGTCGGCGCCGATCTAAAAGCATTGACAACTGCTGCAGGGACTTGTGCAATAAAGCGTATTTTTCAAACTTACGGTTCAATGGCTGCTTCATCCGAAATGGAAGTCGATGGTAGCACTAGTACGTCAGAAGTTGAAGACCAACTGAAAAATACCGTTAATATGATTGACCCGCTGCCTTTATCCACAATCCAAAAATTTATCCAAAATTTTCCAGAACCTCTTTCACAAGAACAGCTAGCCACATTATCAATCAAATACGAAGATTTCTTAAAAGCGCTTCCCACAATTCAACCAACTGCTAAAAGAGAAGGATTTGCAACTGTTCCAGATGTTAGTTGGGCGAACATTGGTGCTTTGAATAAGATACGTGTCGAACTTAACATGGCTATTGTTCAGCCCATAAAGAGGCCTGAACTCTATGAAAAAGTGGGTATAAGTGCTCCTGCAGGTGTTTTGCTATGGGGCCCTCCCGGCTGCGGTAAGACGCTACTTGCGAAAGCCGTTGCTAATGAATCAAGAGCAAATTTTATATCGATTAAAGGTCCAGAATTGCTCAACAAATACGTGGGTGAATCTGAAAGAGCAATTAGACAGGTCTTTACTCGTGCCCGCGCTTCCGTACCCTGTGTTATATTCTTCGATGAACTTGACGCCCTTGTACCGAGAAGAGATACCAGTTTATCAGAAGCTTCCTCCAGGGTGGTGAATACATTATTAACAGAACTAGACGGTCTCAACGATAGAAGAGGTATATTTGTAGTGGGTGCAACGAACAGACCTGATATGATTGATGCTGCGATGTTGAGACCTGGTAGACTAGATAAGACATTGTTCATCGAGCTTCCAAATTTTGAGGAAAAGCTTGATATTATAAAAACGTTAACCAGAACAAATGGGACTCCATTATCTAGTGATGTTGACCTTGAATCCATCATTCGTAATGAAAGTTGCAGAAATTTCTCTGGTGCAGATTTAGCCGCTCTAGTCAGAGAGAGCTCAGTATTGGCATTGAAAAGAAGTTTTTTCAAAAACGTAGAAATGCATTCAGTGAAAGACAACAACTTAGACAAGGAATTTGAAGATTTGAGCACGTCGGCAACTGAGGAAGTCCTTGTAACATTTCAAGATTTCCAAAATGCCCTGAAAAAGATCAAACCATCCGTCAGTGATAAAGATAGAGTTAGATATGAGAGGCTAAACAAAAAAATGGGCTGGGATGAGAACACGGAAGACGAAAGCATGTGAAAGTTAGAAGAAAAAACTGTATAATAACGTATATCATTAAATTTAATATTAGTTTGAATTAAGCTATCTTAACGAATGTCCTCGTCTCATCACATTCCGACGTACTTTCCAAATGTGTTCATACTTTTTATGGCTATCAAACGCTAGGAAAGGCAATCCGGTTTGTGAGTATTTAGAGAGTAAACCATCGGGAGGATAGAGTTCGCATAACGGAGTTTGAGTTTTGACTCTCCGCAGGAAGAAAGTGGCATCTTTGAGTTTGAGAATTTTATCCTGATCGCTCTCAGGAATGTATAAATTAATGAACATATCTTGCACGTTAATGGAGTGTATGATGGCCATTGTTAAGAAATTAAGCGCTGTTGGTTGTTCAATTATTTTGAAAGGATGATTCTCTACAACGCTAACTTCAGAAGGTGAAGTGAAAAGACCAGCAACAGTTCCTTCTAGTGCAGACTTGATATCATCGGAATGCAATTTATCAGGACCACCCACAAATTCAAATGCATTGATACCACTTTTAGTTCCAAAAGATACCTGAAGTGGTGCCTTCTTCAGTAGTGGCTCAAAATTATAGCTCTGAATTTTTTGAGAGGACAATGACCTATGGAAGTAACACAAAATCCGGAACTCCCTTAGTTGTGAGGAGTTGAAAACATTTTGCAATGTGGGCTCTGACTGCCCAAAATATCCGTCGACTTTATAGATAAGTGGCACATATTGATCTCGCTGCAATGAAGAGAAAAGCTGGGGTATGATGAGTTCATTTGATGTGGTGTGCCGCTTAGAGGACTCCAGAAAAACAATATGAGTTGGTTTAAATTTTGCAACGATGTGATTTAAAATTCGAATTCCAAAACCTTTTATCCAACCCGGTAAATTTAATAAAGTAGTACCCATATGAACTTGCTCTTCGAATTGATCGATCAAATGGTCCACATCTGAGAGATATCTGACAGGAAAATCCTGAGGTGAACTCGAACCAATGTAGCACTCTGCAATGGTTTGGGAAGGTGCCTGACATAGATGATTTCCTAGTGCTAAATCCGGATATATTTTACTGAGTGAAATGCAATCTGGTTTTGAGTACTCTGGCTGCCCCGGATCAGTATCGAGATAGAAAATCGGTTCAGTATTTGGCTGATCTGAATTACCATGTAAAAATCTTTGCAATAAAATTCTCAGAAGGGTAGACTTACCGGAATTTTTCCCTCCAATAACGGCAATCCTCATATCTTGAGAGTTATTTTTGTGAAACATTTGAAGCTTACTTATTATATCCCACCACGCTTTTGAAATCGACAATGTAGAAAAGTTGGCAATAGGAGACGTGTCGGGAGAAAGTATCGCAAAAGTTGTATTTGATTTTTCGGATCCTATCGGACAATAAGAAGAGGGAACCCATAATTCTTTGAAACCAGGATTTAAACGAGTAATACCTCGAAGACCTGAAGGACCATTTGAGAGTCTTATTACACATTCAAAATCGTCTAGTAAAAGTCTGTCGCAAAAAGCTTTGTCTAAGAAGACACGTTCGTCCCATCCTGCATAGAAAGAACTACAGATGGGCGATATTGAGCTGGAAAGTGGATGCCAAATGGAGAGTTGTTTCCAAGAGGCGCTATAGTGAACATCATTGTATTTAATTCCTCCTTTTACAATTTGCAAGCGAAAACATCCAGAAACGAGGATTTCATCATTTGAGGACAACCCTAAAAGTACATTTCCCTGAGAATCATTGAAGGGAAAATAGTTGTGACCAAGTTCAATACGGAAAGATTGCCATTTTTCGCCGGAAGAGGGATTCGATTGCAAGTTGATCCTGTCATCTTCCTCGTATTCACTTTCTGCACTTGGTGTGGAGCTGGCTTCATATACGGATGGTTTTGATTCGGATGAGCTAGACGAGTCATCGTCGTTTTCGTAGTAAGGTGCAACTATCGGGATCGTACCTGTTTAAACAATCATGTTGTTAGTTTTATAAATGGTCACTCCAGAAAAAAAATATATTAGCAAATATGGAAAGACATACCATCGTCCATGTTACTTATCGCTAAATAGTAAAGTAGAAACACATCAAGGAAAGAAAAGCTCATCGCTATGAAAGATTTAATACCAAAGGGAAAAACAAAATTAATGAAAAATACCGTAAAATATGATACAACAGGGTAGGGTCTTCAACTCCTTCAGACGACAACGGTAGGATATTTGGAAAGAGTGGTAGAGGCCCTAATAGGAGCAACTAGCTCGTCTTGCTCAGGATCGGAAGAAACCTCAGAATATTCTTGCTCTAACAGAGTACAGATCAAGTAGTCTTTAATTGCATTGACCTTTTCGAGAGTTCCAATAAATTCTTCGTCAAGGTTATCGCCCAACTCCAAGTGCGACAGGAGGGCTGAGATATCTTCTGAGTCTTCTTGCGCCTCTCCTGAACTTTGCTGGTGAACGCTGAAGGTGTCACCGGTGCTAAATTGTGGCACTCTGTTGTGAGAATCCAATCTTGACGATACGAATGGAGCGCCAGTGTAAGAAGATGGTGCAACAGGGTATGGCATAGAAGTGTGGATTGGAGGGAGTTGTAACACCGCTGGATAGCGGGCTGTGACAGGAGCAGCGGAAGGTGACATGCTCATTTGAGGGAGGCGGGGCAGTCTTCTGGTCATGTCGCTGGAAAGAGCACTGAAGAATCCGACAGCGGATCTAATATCTTGTGGACCCGAGAGTTGGCCGTGGGTGAACATGGGGTTGGAGGAGATGGACTGCTGAGCAGCAGCGCCTGAGACTGGGTTAGCAGGGGGAGGTAGCAGGGTTTGCAAGCGCTCACCGAGTTGTGGGGTGTAAACGGGTTTGTAGTGGCTCATTTCCGTGGTGACGAAGTTGTCGAAGGCGATAGAGGGCAAACGTACGTGCTCGGACCTGGGGTGGGATTTGTCGACCCTCTTGGAGCCCACTTTGGGCCCACGTTTACGTTTGACGATACCCTCGTCCTCTAGGTGCACTTTCAAATGTTTCTTGAGGTCCTGGGGTCTCTTGAATTTTTTGTTGCAGGTGGAGCAAGAAAATGGTTTCAAAGGGACGTGAACCCGTAGATGCGACGTGATGTGGTCCCTCTTGACCGTTTTGGCGGTGCAAGTGCCCCAGTGACAGTTGAGTTGCAAATTTTTCTGAGATTTACGTCCAACGTGGTCTTGACATAGATGGTCGTAAAGTATCTCTGGCTGTGAGAAACGTTGCCCGCACGAGTCCCATTGGCAAACTAGAGTACCGGTAGAATCGTCGTCGGAACCGGAAGTCTCGCTTGGAGACGAGCCGCTGCTGCTTCTGCCCAGAGTGGACCAGTTGTGACGTTCGTCATCACTGGACGGTGAAGGGAGGTAGCTGGAGGTTGAGTCTTGGTTTAGTAAGTCCTTTAAAGGCGCCATTTCGTTTGAAGCAGGGTGGTTTGAGGAGTGGGTATCGAAAGTGAGACCGGGTCCAGTCAGATTTATTCCGTTGTCAGGGTCCTCAGCCACTCCTTTGAGAAAAATCGCATGTCGAGACGAGAAGCGGGATGCGTGGGTGTCGGGGTGGAAAAAAGGAAGGCGCACGTGCGAAGTGCGATCACGCTTCGGCGACAGTTTGCGAGAACAAGATATTAGTGTAAAATACATATTAAAAACTGTAATAAAGCATATGGTCGAAGTAAAAGTACAGTATTAATGGCAATGATCATTCGTTTATCACACGTAGAACTTTGCGCGAGTAGTCCACGTCGTCTGCGAGGGAAAGCCTGCTTCCTCCGTTTTCCCATTGGGTCATTATCATTTGTCTTGGGTCCAGGCGCTGGTCCACGACGACTGGGGCGTCGGGCTGTTGTAGGACAGACGAGTCATCTTCTGTGAGCTGGGACACGCGGCTGGCGTCGTTCTTTTGGGACGGGGTGGGGTGGCCCTGGATGCCCTTTTCGTCTGCGTAGACAAAGCCGTTTGGAGAGGAGGAGGAGCGGGTGTCGAGACTGGAGGCGCTGGCGACGGGGGCGACCACGTCGTTGTAGCGACGCTCGAAGTCCTCGTCGCGGGAGCGACGACGGCGCATGAAGAAGAAGACGGCGAGGACCACGAGCGCGAGCACGACGACGCCGACGGCGACGAAAGTGCCGGCGACTTTGCCGGGGGAGTGCCAGAAGGAGGTGTGGGAGGAGCGCGCGGAGCCCACGGCGGGGACGGACGTGGGGGTCGAGAAAACGGTGGTGACAACCTGGGTGGTGAAGGCCTGGGCGGTGGCCGCCGAGTTGGAGGGCGCCGCGGTGACGGTTTGCACGGAGTAGATGACGGAGGTGACGAGTTGGTCGGAGATGGAGTAGGAGGAGGTTGCGGGCCTAGTGGAGGGCGAAGCAGCGGTGGTGGAGGATGGGGCGGAGGATGTGGTGGGCGATGGGGTGGAGCTCGTAGAAGACGAGGAGGAGGCCGACGTTGTGGAGGACGAGGTTGTGGAGGACGGAGCGGGCGTGCTCGTGGAAGACGGCGTGGCCGAGCTTGTGGAAGACGGCGTGGACGAGGTTGTGGAAGACGGCGTGGGGCTTGCCGTCGAGGAGCTGGCGGAGGCCGCCGCGGCGCTGGAGAACGCGCTCGACGCGGGCGACGCGGAGGAGGACGGGGCAGAGGACGGGGAAGAGGACGACGCTGGGGCCGGCGACGCGGACGCCGCAGACGACGAGGGTCCCGACGACGAGGCCGCGGACGAGGCCGCGGACGAGGCCCACAGCGACGAGGACGCGGGCGAGGACGCGGCCGTCCAAAGCGACACGGAGGTCGAGGACGCGGCCGCCCCCGCGGACGACGCCGACGACGAGGACGACGCCGCCGAGGACGACGACGACGACGCCGACGACGCCGACGACGCCGACTCCGACGGCAGCGAGCTCGCCGCGCCCGTCCCCAGGTAGATGTACCCGAACAGCGCGGCGTCCGCGCTGCCGCACGCCTCGTACGAGTACCCCGGGCACGGCTCGTCGCAATCCGACACCGCCGTGGACGCGCCCGGCGCGTCGTCCGAGCACCAGCAATCGTAGCCCTGCACGATCGCGTAGTCGTAGCCCTTACACTCGAGCGAGCACCACCCGTTGCTCTGGTACTGGTACGACTGCGCACTGGTCGATCCGGTGTTCTGCGACGAACAGTATGTGAGCGCGCCGGCCACGGCCACCACATGCATAACCCCTACTATCACCAGTCGTAAAACCATGGTCTGGAGAGATACACCTGCGTACTGTGCTTTTGAGAGAGCGAGATGATGGCTAGCTTTGACGCTTTTTTTTTCAAATCGGCCACGTCCGACTCCGATTCGACGTCACAGCCCGCCTTGCTAATCACCATATATAGCATTACCTGAGCTAAAAAAAAAAAGAGTGCCCTGACACCATGCAGCGAAGGGGCCGCGCTGCCAGATCCCACCGCATGAGCACAGTCGTCGAGCGTTGGAAAGAGACGCGGGAATCCAGGATAGAGCGGAGCGAGACGTTAGGGGGCGGACGGAGGCACGGGCGGCGGCGGCGCCGCCGCCCGGTGTGTGGGTGTCCGCGCCCAGACCGCGCCGCAGCGCCGCACGTGACCGCCGCCTCTTTCGTTTGCGCCGGTGTTGCAGGAGCGGCGTGTCGTACCTGGGGCCGGAGCCTGTGGTGCGCGGTGTGAGCTGTTGTGTGCTTGTATGACGTTCTGTGCGTGCACGCAGAGGGTCGTAGCGGCGTTGTAGTGTGCTGTACGCCGTCGTCGTGTGCTGTACGCCGTCGTGCGCTGTACGCTGCCGTGTGCTTTGTCCTGCTCAGCAGCTCTGCCGCCGTGGTCTCGCTGTGGTTCTCGTTGCCGTCCGGCTCCTCGCGTCCCCTGTAAACAAGGCCCATAGCAACGGCACCAACTGGGAAATTTGTAATCAAAGACGCAATCTCCGAAAGTAGCCGCGGGCGCGGTAAACACTGCGAGGCGCCGGGGCGTTGGTGCGGCGCTGGGGCGCGGCGTTAGGGCTGGACGGGCAGCGGGCGGTGGGCGGGGGCGATGCGCGATTTTGGGAGGAGGAGAAGGGGGGAGGAGAACGGGGGAGGAGGCAGACGGGGCGGGCGGCGGTAGGCGGGGAAGACGGAGGTAGGCGGGGAGGAGCGGCGCGGGATGGCGTGGGGCGGTCACGTGCGCGAGCGGCGATCACGACGCACGTGCGCGAGAGGAGATCACGCCGCACGTGCGGGTCACGCGACCAGGGCATCCCGTCACGTGACCGCGCTCCTCCCCGTCACGTGCCCCCGCCCACAAATTGTCCCAGCTCTCTCTTCTCGCCCCTCTCCTCTCGCCCTCCTCTCGCCTCCCTCGACAACCAACCCCCGGGACCAGAGCCCCATGACCGACCGCAAGACGCTAGTGCACTCCCACGTGCACTGGCGGAACGTAAAGAGGCAGGTTTGGCAGCGCGAGCTCGTCGCCCGCGTCCTCGAGCTGCTCCGGCGCAACGACCACGACTCGCTCGCCCTCATCGCCCGCACCGTCGGCGTCCCGCCCCAGCTGCGCAAGAGCGTGTGGCCCGTGCTGCTCAAGTACCACCCCATGGTGATCTCCCCCAACGTCGTCTCCAACACGCTTGTGTGGGGCGGCCAGCCGCGCCGCTGGCACCACCACCCGGAAACGCGCGCGCGCGACGAGATCGAGGGCCACATCCTGCACGACCTCGGCAAGTACTTCCACCGCCGCACGCCGGCCGCGCACCCGGCCCCGCAGTCGCGCCCCAGCTCGCGTGCCGGGTCGCACGCCGGGTCGCACGCCGGGTCGCACGCCGGCTCCCACTCCGGCTCCCACTCCGGCTCCCACTCCGGCGCAGACTCCCCGGTCATGATGCCCGACGAGCTGCGCGCCATCGAGCTCCTGAAAAACTGCATCCTCAACTTCCTCGACAAGTGGGCCAGCCTGCTCAAATACGAGAGCGGGCTCGCGTGGATCGCGCTGGCGCTCGCAGAGTGGGTCCCGCTCGAGCCCGGCTCCAACCACGTGCTCCCTGGCAAGCGCCACGGCCCGCTCGTGGACCTCTACCGCGAGTACCCGCTGCCCCGCGACGTGGTGGACGAGTTGGACGCCGCATCGGCCGCCACCCCGCCGTCCGTTTGCTCCTTCGACGCGCTGTTCGAGCGTTTGGTCCTCGTCATCTTCCACTCCCCAGATATCTCCATGGCCGAAAACCTCACACAACGCGAGTCCTCCGACCACTCGCTCCACCAGTACTACCCGGTCATCTCTGGCGGCGACCTCTCGTTCCAGTGCCAGGTTTTCTTCAAAGTCTTTTCGGTCATTCTGCCCGAACTCTACCAGCCCGTCAGCGACGAAGAAATCCTGCGTCCTTCCAAAAGCACCAACTGGATGTACTGGTGGCTCAAATGCGCGGGCGCCCGCGTCTTCCACAAGCAAGACCGCGCCCGGCTTTGGGACACATTGCTGGGCTGGCGCCCGCACCCGCAAACCATTAATTTTTACCTCAATTACAACAACAGGCTGTTCGATCACCTCTACTCCACCCGCACGTCCAGTTGCATCGACCCTGCATTTCTGAAAAAAATCTGTAAATACGAACACGACGCGTTTTGGTTCCCGGACCTGGATTCTCTGCATCTCGGGAGCCCGGGTCTCAAGTGTGACTTCCAAATATTCTCTGCACTTTTGGCAAACAACAGGTCCAACACTGCTGATCTGTTGAATCTGCCGAAAACGCGCCAATCCACGTCTGGGAAAGGTGTGGGCATCCCGTTTTCCTTGATCGACCCTCATATTCAACTCGTATTCATCTACATTGCAATTTTGCAACAACACGAATTCAAACTCTTGGAATTTGAAGAAGCCGAAGTTTCAGAATTCCTCAACAATGTCCCCATACTTTCACGCGCAGACGATTACAATTATAAAAGACTTTATGATATTGATTCAGATACGCCCTCCGTAAGTTCCAGCGAAACTGACGTTGACGAATCTTTGAAAAGACCCTCTTCTCACATGCGAATAGAGGTTGGTGATGACGACAAGACTTCCAATTCTTTTGACGATTTATACAACCTCGCAGGTGATATTTGGAGGAAATGGATCTGGAGAGAACTTGAAGATAATGCCAATAATTGACTTGGCGCAGACTCGGACTCATCTATCTAAGCAGTTTTTTTTTTTTCTTCTCTTTTTTTAGACTTGTTCTTATCGAAGTAAAATTCCAGCACAATGTCGAGAATACCCATACGATTCCACCCATTACCACGTAGGTTATCTGCGTCGGCATCCTACCTTTTTCTGTATTATAATTGTGACACTCAACTTTATAGATATTTATACACTGTTCCGGGTAACCGGCGCCCTGTCCCAGCACTTTTCCACTATCAAATAATAAGGCTCTATCTGCCATTCACAAATCTTACTCATTTTAACCAACACACTTAGATGTTTTGTGCAAGTATGGTAAAGAATCGAGCCCTTCAATCAGGTCTAATCCCTTTCAAAATAAATACTAACCTTTTTCAGTTAGCGGGAAGCCTCCTAAAGTTGCAGTCGTTTCTCCAAATTCAAAATGTGTGTTTGAAAAATCGCTGATTGAAAGTTATGTGGAACAAAACGGCGTGGATCCAATAACGAAAGATGCTCTCTCGATAAGTCAACTTATTGAGATTGCGCAAACACCTCAACAATATGCCCTTACAAATGCAGTGAATTCCTCGACTTTAAAGTCCAACTATAGTATTCCCAATTTACTTACATCGCTACAAAACGAGTGGGATGCGGTTATGCTTGAAAATTTCCAACTCAGACAACAATTGGATACTTGCAAGAAAGAACTATCCACTGCATTATATCGTTACGAGGCGGCAATGCGAGTTGCAACAAGAGCCACCATGGACGCTGATAAACTCAAACAAGAACTAACTACTTTGACCAAAAACATTGGTATAGAACAACCTTCTTCAGAAGAATTAGATCCTCTGCCCGAAGACATACTTCAATCGTTCATTCAAAGATCTGCAGCCGTTGCCAAAGAAAGTAGAAAGAAGAAAATCCAGGCTCTGCCGCCAGATACTTTCACTTTTGAAGCTGAACAAAACACCTATACCATGCAAGAGGGAGAATATAATTTTTCAACTAGATTCACTAATGGCAATTCATTGACGGGAAAGCTCACAACGCTATATTCTACCAACGGACAGTGCTATCTGTTGAAGGACGTCAAAAGCCTGGGTTCACTCCATAATGTTACACTTGATGCCGGAAAGACCACTTATGCTCTTCCCCTAGATGGATCCAACATAATTATCGGCACAGACGAGGGGTCCCTTGGTATTTATGACCTGGAATCCCACCAAACCCGAAAATTGTCGTCAAAGGTGCACGATGGCCCAGTGGTAAATATAGCATGGCCCAATGCCGTTACTGAGGATTTTTTCATCTCCGTGGGCTCTGATGGTTCCATTGTCTTTACAAATCTAAAGGAGACAACATCCTTCTCTCTGATAAGACCAAATTTCAACACAACATTTGCAGATGTTCACAAGGATGGTTTAATTATATTGTTGGGAAGCAAAGAAGAATTGTTCATTTATAGCATATCCAATTCAGAAAATGACCCCATAACGGTACCCCACAATCCAAATGAAGCGGGAGAAATTGTCTCTGCCAAGTTTGGCTTGAATGGGTACTGGCTTCTCCTAGCGACTGCCAATTCTTTCAAAGTTCATGATTTAAGGAAGCCTGCTTTACCTTTTGCAGTAGAACCCATTGTTTTAGAAAACAAAATCATAAAAGCTTTTGACGTCGACCCTGCTTGCAAGCTTCTATTTCTTTTGACAGAGGGACCAGATGAATTGGTCGAACTACATCACTACCAATACAACAAATCGGATAAAACATGGATTTTGCAATGGTCAAAAGATACCAATGTGGAACTCAAGAGAAATAGGATTGACAACATTAATTACGTGCAACAAAATGAAACAACTTATCTCCAAGTCCTTTCCGGAAATGCTATACTATCTGTACAATTAAATAATTAAGAACGTGAAGTGACCCATCGCATATCGTAAATAGACCCCTTTACGCATTCCATTGCCTGATTTTACTATTATTATATATTATGCAAACGGATTATTGGCATGGAATCGTGTAACGCCTCTTCGTCTGAATTCCCCATTCTCGTCACGAGGGTGGAAAAACACCGCATCATTATTTTCCTTATCTACGCTCTCTTCCTCCGCCAAGGGGTCTAGAGTTAGCGGTAATGCCTGGTGGTCAACGCCATACCTTGGGGTACGACTAATTTCGAGACTTCGAGTTCCACGGATTGCCTCACGTTGTGGGAGCTTGTTGGGATGCTGTACTTTCAAATGGCTATTATCAGTGGATTTTCTGCCCGGGGTGGAAATACTGGACCGGAATTGCGTAAGATCATTGCGCCGCTGCTTGAGAAGTTCGTCGTCTCGTAATATGGTGCTCAATTTTGCCGACAGTATCCGAATCTGCTCCGCCATTTGCGCGTCGCCGCGGTCGCTCACGTCGAACTCCTTAAGGGTGTCGACCAAGTAAGCGTAAGCGCGGATCCACGCGACAAACTCGTTAGAGCCATTGTTCACCAGATATGATATCAATGTCAGCGTCTTCAACATGTGCACCGCGTTCTTGTGCGAGCTTTTGCGATAGTTGCCATTGAGCCTCTTGCGAATCACTTGCGTTATCTCTCGCAGCGTTTTGGGGCTGTATGTGAGCACAGACAGCTCGCTCATCAGCGTTCCCGTGGCTCCACTCGACTCATCATCATCCGTAGCCTTTCTAACTTTAATTTCTGTTTGCGATTGTCCAATGGTTCGGACCGATTTGAACAGCGACATCTGCGGTCCTCGTTTGGATTCTTGGACAGATTGCGGGTGATTGCGTCCCTTTTACCCTTTTACTAACCGGCGTATCTGCTACTTGTCTGTCTTACAAGGCGATGAGGGATTTTCCCATATCTTGAGATGGTTACCACAACGCTCGTTCACCATATCCACCTACGATTGAGAAAAATATGCGGCGGAAAAGCGTTTATGAGATGCTGCCGTACTCGTCCGAAATTACTTTGACCTTGCTGTACTTTTGTTAGCCAAGATGGAGCCCATTAGCAAAAATATGCGGCACTTTTTGCATCGCATGCATGAATGAATCGCAAGCGATGGGCTTAGCTCCCTTCTTCGAAAGCTCCAGCCCTACTGCGATGAGAACTACGTGCGCATTGTAAATATACTCACCCCAGGCCTGTATGTCCACAATTCCAGAAGCACCGTGGCAAATGTGACCACACCCATCCAAGAAACATTCTGCCAAATGACGCTCATTATTTTTGACAAAGCTATCTCTATAAAATAATAAACCAGTGCTATTTCTCTTGCCGGTTATCATCTAGGTAAAAAATACCGTTTCGTTAAGCTTGATTTTGAGGGCCATAAATCACTACATACGCCCAGACTCTCTATGCTCGAGCGTTCTGCCGGGGTAAAAGTGTTCGAGAAAACTTTTTACTTGTAATGGAGAATATTCACCACTGATCAAAGATAATGCATCGAGAACAAGAGATTTATAGGGCGTGAAAGGACAATTAGTCAAACAATTGAGCTTCGAAACCGATGATATCTCGAAAACTTGGTTGGTGAGTGTTTTTTTCTCGCGGCAAGCTTTTTCTAAAGGAGTTTACTCTGGAGACTACACGACGTTGCAAGAGGACTACACCATACTGCGGGGCTCTTGAAACCAGGCATACAGAGCCGCTGCTCATTAAGTTAAGCACTCAAACACCTTGGGGACGAGAACGCACGTGACCATATGCACGTGACGCACTCTTTGAGTTTTCGAACGCCTCCACAAAAATGGCAAAACGCAACGGTTATTGCTTTTTTTAGGGGGGAAATGGCCTAATGGCAGGCAGTATAAATACCAAGGGGTAACGTGGATTTGCCACCAAACACCTGCAACGCTAAAAGACCAACTCTAAATAAGAGCAAAGGTATTTATACAGCTGAAAAATGCAGATTTTCGTCAAGACTTTAACCGGCAAGACCATCACTCTGGAGGTTGAATCCTCTGATACCATCGACAACGTCAAATCCAAGATCCAGGATAAGGAAGGTATTCCACCTGATCAACAAAGATTGATTTTCGCTGGTAAGCAGTTGGAGGATGGCAGAACTCTTTCTGATTACAATATTCAAAAGGAATCTACCTTACACCTGGTTTTGAGGCTAAGAGGTGGTATGCAGATCTTCGTCAAGACTCTAACCGGTAAGACCATCACCTTGGAAGTCGAATCCTCTGATACCATCGACAACGTTAAATCCAAGATCCAGGATAAGGAAGGTATTCCACCTGACCAGCAAAGACTGATTTTCGCTGGTAAGCAGTTGGAGGATGGCAGAACGCTTTCTGACTACAACATCCAAAAGGAGTCTACTTTACATTTGGTTTTGAGACTAAGAGGTGGTATGCAGATTTTCGTCAAGACTTTGACAGGTAAGACTATTACCTTGGAAGTCGAATCCTCTGATACCATCGACAATGTCAAATCCAAGATTCAAGACAAGGAAGGTATTCCACCTGACCAGCAAAGATTGATTTTCGCCGGTAAGCAATTGGAGGATGGCAGAACTCTTTCTGATTACAATATTCAAAAGGAATCTACCTTACACTTGGTTTTGAGGCTAAGAGGTGGTATGCAGATCTTCGTCAAGACTCTAACCGGTAAGACTATTACTTTGGAGGTTGAGTCTTCTGACACGATAGACAACGTCAAATCCAAGATTCAAGACAAGGAAGGTATTCCACCAGACCAACAAAGATTGATTTTCGCCGGTAAGCAATTGGAGGATGGCAGAACGCTTTCTGACTACAACATTCAAAAGGAGTCTACTTTACATTTGGTTTTGAGACTAAGAGGTGGTATGCAGATTTTCGTCAAGACTTTAACCGGTAAGACCATCACTTTGGAGGTTGAGTCTTCTGACACGATAGACAACGTTAAATCCAAGATTCAAGACAAGGAAGGTATCCCACCTGACCAGCAAAGACTGATTTTCGCCGGTAAGCAGTTGGAGGATGGCAGAACGCTTTCTGACTACAACATCCAAAAGGAGTCCACGCTCCACTTGGTTTTGAGACTAAGAGGTGGTATGCAGATCTTCGTCAAGACTCTAACCGGTAAGACCATCACCTTGGAAGTCGAATCCTCTGATACCATCGACAACGTTAAGTCCAAGATTCAAGACAAGGAAGGTATTCCACCTGACCAGCAAAGATTGATTTTCGCCGGTAAGCAATTGGAGGATGGCAGAACTCTTTCTGATTACAATATTCAAAAGGAATCTACCTTACACTTGGTTTTGAGATTAAGAGGTGGTAATTAAGGAAAGCTGGGCTTGACCTTTCTTGCGATGAGGTGCAGACTTTGTCAATTTTGGAAAACCTTCGATATCTAGGTGTACACATAGATATCAAAATTTTAAGTAATTGGTAAATATTTGCTAAAAAATAAGTCTTTACTGATGAAATTCCATGAACTAGCTAAGCGCTCGTAGGTATTCCCATATGCGCCGGGATACGCTAAGGAGAAATTCCCGCGTTCCGGAGCTCCACAACCACAATAGGTGAGCGATCGACTTCCATCAGATTAGCCAGCTCATTGTCAATAATCAGCTTCAGTGATGGAAATCCTTCCTTCAGCTTCTTTCCAAATTTAATCATCTGAATCTGCACATTATCAATTGCATCAGGCCTGCTACCTTCCTCAAATGCTCTTTCCCAAAGGATCAGAAACTTGCTTTGCAATTGACTTTTCAAGTTGCTTGAAATATCATCTAACAAAAGAACTCCCACATCAGAAATAGCAATCTGACTTCGCCAAGTGTGTACCACATTTTTGGATGTAAATAAATTCACGGAACTTTCCACAATGAAATTGAATAGTTCCATTGGGAAATTATTTTCATTCAAGGAACCTAACGATTCTGCACACTTTTTGAGAAGTGCTATTTTAAACTCCTCATTTGACACATTTTCCTTTGACGATTTTTTAGTGACATCAGAGCTAACTTTAACTTTTTTACTAGAGGGATTGTTCTCATCATCTGAATCCGCAATCTCGCCATTGTCGATTTTCTCCAAAAGGCTGTAACTCACCTTCAAAAGAAGAGCATACAAGTCTAATTTTGGGAACGTTTTCAAATAATCTCCAAGATCAAACACGACCTTCCCCACATATGTCTTATTATTCCTCGAGACCTCTTTTGATAGAACTGATTCAACAGAGGACTTGAGGGTAGCATTCTTTGAATATAATTGCTCATAGAACACTGCCAAAGATACCAACGCTTTGACGATCATTTCTTTGCCACTCCAGGTCCGACCACCAGAAGCTTCTACCAGTATCTCAAACAATTCAAGGACATCTTTTTCATTTGTGGTCAAATCTAGGTTTTTGCAAACTTGACATATGCTCTTGGCGCACGAAAGTCTCAACAAAAAGGTACTTGACTTGATATGTTGAGAAACAAGCATTGTAATTTCATGAATGTAAAGCTTAACAGTTCCTGCCCCTGTTCTGGAGGCTTCGTTCCAAACTTTTGTATACAATTCAGCAGTCTCTTCCTGACCATTCTTGGCTATGAAGATCAAAGGCATTAAAATCGTAGAAACAATTTCAAATTGCTCAGGTGCATGTTTCTGCATCGAATCCACTGCTAAACCAACGACCTTTTTCAATGATTCATCATCCGAGGAGAAATACTTCTCAACAAGTTTGGTCGCATATTTCACCATTCTATTGGTCTTCGCGATTTTGCAAACGTATCCGAAAGCATTGGCGTAGGATGCTCCAACCGAGCAATTTCTATCGCTCATTCCCGAGAAACTAACCTTCAGGAGTTTGCCCGCGTAAGGTCCCAATGAAGCGGTATGTTGCAAAACTAGCACGCACAATAGCCTCGCCGACGCAACTTTAGACGGAAGACCAACTGACTTCTTTGTTGCCCGAACTACACTTTCTACCAATTCTTCTAACCTGTTCTCATCACAAGTCTCAACCATGCTCTCCACTGATCTTAAAATTGGTGAGTCATTCACGCCTTGGGCCCTCTTAGCATCAAGAAGTGAGGAGTTGACATTATATTTGTCGGCATTGAGGGTCAAATAATTTACAACCTGGGGCTCAAGGGCGGACAATAGTAGTGTCAATTCATAAACCAGCGTGGGAGCAAATGGTTTAAGTACTGGGCTTGATGTCTTGATCATTTTCATCAACGTTTCAAGCGCAAATTTACGAACATCTTCAGAGTCGCTATTTAGACCCTTGTGCCCAATCAAAAATGGAAGAAGAACCTTTAGTGTTTTTTCCGTTTTTGTCGTAGTTGCATATTCAGAATTCACAGATTTCATCAAAATTCCTGCCAATATTCTAGTTAGTCTAGTTCCCGCCTTCCGCACACTCTCTTTTATATCATCGATAGATCTAAATGACATTGTCCACAATTCTTCTAAATGTGCTTCAAATTTTTCTTGAGGAACTACTTCCAGGAGTTCGCTCAAAGCAGCTGCGCTTGCCTCTCTAACCCTCCAATCTTTATTACCCATTCCCGTTAACAGTTCCTGAAGTATTTCGTCGAAATTTTGTTTCACAACTTCCGCAGGATTTTTCACAAGACTATTCCAAATTTCATTCATCGCAGAAGAGACCCCTTGATAAGGATCAAATCTATATCTGTACAACTTGGGGATTAATTTTTGGGAAAGCTGACTATTTTGCTTCAACATATCTTCCAATGATGATTTGGATAAAATTGCACCAAGACCAAATGCAATACCCTTTCTTGACGACCATAAGGTTGAACTTTTAGAGAGCGATAGAAACTTGTAAACCAGACTAGGATCTCCAACTTCACTCGCCAAGTTCATAATATCTTGATAAGTCGAAATTGAACCATCTCCTGTATTCAAAACTCCGGGCTCGAACAACTGTGTCTCACCTGAAACGGTTCCTGAACTCAAGGCCATTGCCGATTTCGAATCAGTGAACCCTTTGAGTAAACCTCTGACCATTTCGTCTTGTAATTCTTTTCCGCTGCTTTCGTAAACCAAACTCAAACCCCTACTAGCAGAATCCTGGACAAACTCATCTCGGTCTGCAAGAAACGTTATAAACAAGAGATGAATTTCTTTACCTCGCTCTTTTACAATCTGTTCATGCCCAAGGTATTGAACAAATGATAATAGCCAAATACAAGAAGCCTTCCGTAAAGAAGGTTTGACAGTCTTGCAAATTTCAAGTAATCTCGATAGACTTTTCGTAATTTGTTCGTTTGTAGAAATGCTCTTTAAGCGTTCTGCAGATTGAAAATTGCTGAGATGAGTTTGGTTAGATAAATACTTCGACCTCCAACCACCTGCTAGAACCGTTAAAGCTTCGCCTACGGTAAATAATAAATCCACTTGCTTTGTAGTATGTGTCTCCACCAAACCATCATACAGTGTCTCATAAATATCGGAGTCACTACTGTATAAAGAAAGATAAGACCAAGCCATGACTGCAAGCTGATCGACCATCAAAATTGGCTTCAAAATGGAAATGAATTCTAATAGCACTTCTTTCCTTGTTTTTTCCGGAACCACTGTCAGAGCTCCAAATTTTAGGACCTCACATAAGCCACAAAGAGCTGCTGTCCTGTACTTTTGTTGTGGGATAAAATCAATCAGACGAGTAGGAAATTCCATGAAGCTTTGGCAGTTATACACATCCTGTGCCCTCGTTAAAAATAGTCTTGGCATCAAATAACCGCATGCGTAAAGAGAAGGGATGATAGTTTGTGAATCCAAAGACAAATCGATGTTTTCGGTGATCAGATTTATATAGCTAATATTCTTGGAGTGAGATGCAATAATTCCGAGTATGTTTGCAGCATTCTGGATGTCGGAATCAGAGGAGGTTTTGTATGTGGACAAGAAATTGAAAATCTTGGGTATTAAGAAGTCGACAAGACATAGCCTAACTTCTGTCGTGTGATTGAGGAAAAACAACAGGGTTGAACCATAATTTTCATCAGGTATGGCGGAGACGGCGATATATTGATTGTGTTCATCTCTTCGAACAAATTCATTGACTAGCACGCTGAGAAACTCAAAGTAGAGTTTCTCATCCAACCTATTAATTTCTTGCCCCACTCCGCTTGAAATTTGCTCATCCACCTGAACAGCATTCTCAACTCGTAATAACCAATTTTCGTCTTGAACCACTACTGTTTTTTTACCATATGATGCCTGGGATATCAGTATTTGAAAGCAAAATTTAACAGCTGTATTGAGACACGTCTTGAGAGTAGCTGACTCGTTGTCCCTAGACTTGGTCAACTCTTCTAGCAAGTGCCCAAGAAAACATTCGAAAGAGGGGAATTTCGTTTCCTTTTCGAGTGAAAGCAGAGATTTTGTATCTTCTTGGATTTTTTGACTATTAGACGCCTGATTCAAAGAAAACCAATACGGATGCAGACCTTTTAATGACTCTTCTACAATGTCATATCTGTTTGTGGTACTTGTTCCCAAGATATTATCAAAGCGCGCTTCGACATCATCAAACGAAAATGCTGCATTCAAAAATTTAATGGCAATGTACCTTGTGCACATAATGGCTTCTCTCGTACTTTTGTCCGCATTTTCTAGCTCATAATTATCAGATAATATCTTTCGAGCCATAATCTTGATTTTATCCTTTGACGATTTTGGAAGACATGATAAGTAAGGAGCCAAAGAGCTCAGAGCTTCCTGAATTGTTGGTCTGAATTCGCTCAAATCTCCTTTCAGAGAATCCATGAGAAACTCAATAAAGCTTAGGTCCAAAATCAAGGAGAGATCCTTTTTCAGGATTTGGCCCAATGTCTCGTATTGACTTCTTCTCTGTTCTATGCCTAGAGCAAAATTTGGAACAGATGAGTTGAGGTGTAGTTTTGGCCATCCTTCTGCATGTAAATTATTCCTAATCAAGGCTGCCACATTTATCGAATAGTCATTTGAAGTGTTCTCCTTCAGGGACTCATAGTTGTATTTGTAGATGTGTTGAACAAATAGTAAAGTCAGGGACCTTAGCTTGTAGGAGCTAGAATTTAAACCAATCGAAGAAATTAAAGAAACACTTCTAGCGTCTTTGGTCGCAACAATACTATTATTCAACACTGATATGATTTTTTCCTGTAATAGGTGATTTACCGGAGGAATTCCAATATCTCTATCACCAATGTATAGTCCCATTATAGAAGCAATAAATGTCTCGTTTTCACGGGGTATCTGCTGTCTTTTCAAAATCGTTAGAGCATGATCTGACAACCCAGAGTCGTCGGCAGACGCTACCAGAAGAAACCTAATAAGTGATGGATCTTCATCAGCAAACCCACTCGTTGCAAATCTCAGAATGCAAGTTTTATACCGTAATAACTGCTCTTTTGAAAAAGTCAAGCCAGCGTCATATGTAAAAAACTCCACTTGGCTCACGCTTAAACCCGGACAGCTATAGCCACGAGGAATGTTGTTCGCAGTTGGCTCAGATTTCAGTGGGATTAATAAAAAAAATTGTGCGAACTTCTCGAGCAGGTACTGAATGTCATCCGTCTTTTTTATGTCAAGGAACTTTTTCACTTCTGCAGGATGTTGAAAGCGTTCAACCGATGCGTCCCAACTCAAGAGCAGTTTACACAAAATATGGAACATTCTTGCAGCGAGAGGTCGTGGCAAATCTGACAGGTCATCAATCACCATTGGAATAAGAAGACGCTTTCCCTCCTGGGACATTCGATCGATCCCTTTCGATGCGAATAATAAACTGTACAGCCTTACCGAGAAACCGTCTTGATTTTCCGGAAGTTGAGGGCGCTTAGCTTGCTTTAAAAGCTTCTCAACAGGAAGCCTAACTTGTTGAAGAGAATTTATACGACTCATAACGTTTTTAATTGAGCCGAAGACAGCTTGCCTTGCAGCTGCATGAGGAGACGCTAACTTCAATAGTAAAGCTGGAAAGAAGATATCTAAATTTCGTTCAAGCTCTTCATCTGTATTTGCTAAAACAATTCGTAAGTCCACTTTCTCTATCAATGCCAGCTCTTGCTGTTCAGTTAACTGATGTGATTCAGCCATTGACGTCAATATCAAGGCGTTCTTGCAGTTATTTTAGGTGGCAAAGTTCTGAAGTGGCAGCGACGTACTAATCAACACTTATCACGTAGATTATGATTTCATCGGCGTCTGAGCAAAAGTTAGATTCTAAAAGGGATGGATGAAACAAGATTTCTTCTCACTTCAGGTGCCAAGTTAACGAGCCAGTTGTAGCATGTTAGAATCACTAGCAGCGAATCTATTGAATAGAATTCTAGGCTCTTACGTTGAAAATTTTGATAGTAAGCAATTAAATGTTGGTATCTGGAGTGGGGACGTAAAACTAAAGAATTTGAAGCTCAAAAAAGAGTCATTAGATGCCCTAAACTTGCCAATTGATGTAAGATTTGGGTTCCTGGGAGAACTGACCTTGGTAGTGCCATGGTCCAGCTTGAAAAACAAACCTGTCAAAATCTTAATTGAAGATGTATACCTTTTATGTGGTCCAAGAGATGAGGATTCGTTAGATGGCAGAGAGGATGAAGAGCGAGAATTACGACTAAAACTCCAAAGACTTGACGAGTTAGAGCTCTTAAAGAGGTCGCAACCGCAAGCAAATGAGGACCCAGAGAAAAATGAAAGTTTCACTCAATCTTTAATCACTAAAATTGTTGATAACCTCCAGGTGTCTATCAAGAATATCCACATAAGGTACGAAGACATGGATGGTGTATTTTCAAAAACACCGTATTCTGTGGGCATCACCTTGAGCGAGCTTTCGGCAGTGTCTACAGATGAAAAATGGGAGCCAAGCTTTATATCAATCACTAAAGCTATCACACATAAGCTACTCACATTAGATTCACTATGCGTTTATTGGAACACCAATACGACTTCTATTTATGGCGAAGATCATGAGGAACTTTTTGAGAGACTTAAGGATTCCATCAGTAACAAAAACGGTGTGCCTGATCACCAGTTTTTGCTACGTCCTGTCACTGGATCCGGAAGACTAACACTGAATAAAAGTGGGGCATCGGATGAGTGCCCTCACATAAACATTCGCTTAATTTTTGAAGAGTTTGGATTTGATATCGACAACTGCCAGTATCAGGACATATTATACACTATGTCCAAACTTCATTGGTACCAAAAGACTCTCAAGTTTAAAAGAAATAGACCCAACTTCACCGTAGGCGACGATCCAAAGGGTTGGTTTAGATACGCCGCTCAATGCGTTTTGCAGGAAATTCATGATAAAAACTACTACTCTAGTTGGGATTACATCAAATGGAGACGAGAGAAAAGGGAAGAGTACATACAACTATGGAAGAAGAAGTTGGAGTCGTCAAGTAAAAATCAAGACTCTATGAATGAATTTGAACTAGAGAAGCTTGATGAACTTCATCGTATCTTGTCGTTTGACGATATTAAGTTCTTTAGAGCGCTAGCAAGAAAAGAATACCTTCAAGATAAATTAGGAAGCAAAAGCGCAAATCCAGAGCGAAAGGAACCACCTGCAAATAACAAAGGTGGATGGTTCTCTTCTTGGTGGAATGGTGATTCTAGTGGATCTCAGAATGACGAATTATTAATGACCGAGGAGCAAAAGCAAGAACTCTATGATGCGATAGAGTTTAACGAGGATCAAGATGTTAAGGATGCTATTGAAATTCCACGAGAAAGGGTCACTACCAAAGTATCCTGTCTTTTGAATAGAGGATCTCTGTCGATCAAAAACAAAACGAAAGGAATTAAGTTGGGTGAAATTATTTTTGAAGATTGTGAGACTGGATTTTACCAACGTCCAGATTCGTTCTTAGCAACATTCAAACTGGATGAATTTAAGATCGAAGACGGATCTCCGAATACGCTATATAAACATATTGTGAGTGTTAAAAACTTGCAATTGGACGAAGAAGGTCACACGCCCGAACTCACTGAGCCTTTCTTCCAAATTGCCTTTGAACAAAACCCTCTTGATGATTCAGCTGATAGCAAAGTCGACGTAAAATTGAGAAGTATGACTGTCTTCTATCATGTGCACTTCATTAACGAAATCATTAAGCTATTTAAGCCTCCAAAGAGGCATTTGGATACTATTGGCGCCATCATGAATGCGGCGGAAGCAACAGTAGAAGGATGGACTGTTCAAACGAGAATGGGCCTCGAATCAATATTGGAAGACCATAAAACTATCAATTTGAACCTGGATTTACAAGCGCCCCTCATCATCATACCTCTTGATCCCCATATCTGGGATACTCCCTGTGCTGTGTTAGATGCAGGTCACATCTCAATCATCAGCGACTTAGTACCCAAGCATAAGCTGAGAGAAATTAAGGGCATGAGCCCCGATGAATATGAAAAGATAGCTAGCAGAGACATCAAACGATTGATGTTTGATAGATTCAAATTACAACTGAAGGATACGCAACTCCTGATTGGTCCTGATATCCGATCCACAATTTCAAACTTGAGTTTAAATGAACGAGATAGCAACTTTGTGATTTTGGATAGAATGGAGATAGAGTTGGATGTAGATGTATCGATTTTACCTAAGGCATTCAACCTACCAAAGGTCAGAACATATGGTAAACTTCCTATTTTAAAGCTCTCATTGAATGATTACCAATACAAAATTATCATGCAGATGATCGACAAATGCATACCCGATTTTGGAATTTTGAGTGACGATGATGATGCTGATAATGATGATGAGAGTGGAAATGACGATGAATCAATTAATGTCACTGGAAGCAGTAACGAAAGTCCTCAGAAATCGCGCGAAATCACATTACTGAGACAGACGATGAGAAATTTGGAAAAAATGTCTAAGGCGGAATTGGAGCAGCGATTACTTCAGCTAAAGTTCGACGTAGAAGTAATCCAATTATCTCTGTACAAGTGCGTCGAAGCGAAGACCATGCAATCTAATCTCCTGGTTAATTTAATAGGCAATGGGCTATATTTGAAGTTTGCAAAAAAAGCGAAGGACATGGAAGTTCATTTGGATTTGCATTCATTTAATATTGAAGATTTCATTGCACAAGACGAACCTGAGGAATTCAGAAAGCTGATTGCCTCAACTAATATCGATAAGGAGGGCGAGAAACTTGATTTGTTCAAACTGAGGTATAATAGAAGTCAGCGCATCGTGACGCATCATGATACATTGATAGAAGTCTTTGATCAAGACATTAACCTGAATATGACAGAACTTAAGTTTGTGTTAACTCCCAAATCGATATTGACTCTTCTCAACTACGTCCTAACTACTTTTACTGATCCAAATGCTACTGAAATGCCAGTCGACGCATTGAAACACAATTCTGCCGATGTTGAGGATGCACCCCAGAAAATGAATGTTGAGATCAATATGGGCAACATTATCATTGTTTTAAATGACGAGTCTACTAAATTAGCAACACTCGAACTAAGTGCAGGAGAAATCAAACTTTTCATGCTACCCGAAAAGATGTTATTGAAAGCAAAACTGGGGGGTCTTGACTTGACGAATGAAGTGTATCAGGAACTCCCAAGGGACTCACCTATGAGAAAAATTATAAGCATGAGCGACCATGAGTTGGCGGAACTAACCTATGAAACATTCGACGTTGCTAACAATAACAATAACTATAGCTCAAAACTTGTCTATAAGACAGGTTCAATGAACATTAATTTTGTCGAAGATGCAGTCAATAGAATTGTGAACTATCTGGCCAAATTTCAAAAGATGAAGGGACTCTTTGATAGGGCCCGAGAGGCTGCTTACAATCAAGCAGGAAGCATTGAATCAGTGAACAACATCAAAATGAACATTGTCATCAAAGCACCTGTTATCACGTTCCCAAAATTAATCAATCCCGCCAAACACACTTACGATCATGTTACATTTTACTTGGGGGAGTTCTTCATCGATAACAATTTCGTCAAAAGTAACGACTCTTACATTAATCAAATCAAAGCTGGTGTAAGGTCCGGAACTCTTTCTTCATTGTTTCATATGGAGAACAATGTAACGCAGAATTTGCATATCATTCAAAACCTTGATATACACTTTGACATTGAACATATCAACACACCGCAACATGGACAGCCGAAGTTCAAGATCAATGGCTGTTTTGAACCATTGTATGCCAATCTCACTGAACTGCAACTTCAGTTTATTTATATTCTGTCGAACAGTTTACCTTCAGCATTTATTATTGATTACGACGACAACCTAAGTGACATAGAAGATGCCGCGTTGAATGTTAATTCATTTATTTCTCCAGAAGGCCATGCTCGAGTGACACCTGATGTTTTCGAGGATTCGGGCCGAGAAGAATCCTTCAAGTCTGCGGTACAGGAAGATGAACCCGGTTCTGCAATTGAGCTCACCTTCAATGCTCCGCATATATCTTTAACACTTTACACAGATACTCATGACATTTATGAGATCGAGAGCAAATCTATTACTACCGTAACGTTACATGATTTTGGTCTTGCTATGAAGGCTAAAGATGATACTAGTTTTAGGGCAGAAACACATGTTTCTTCCTTTACAGTAGAGGACACCAGAAGAGAAAAAGATAACAAACATCCCGAAATTATACCGAAGATAGCTAGCGACAATTACCAGTTTACTGCATCATTAACACGGGAAAAACTTGAGGACTTTGATTTGATCAACTTGATAGCAACGGTGGATAATCCTAAGGTAATTCTCGCACTGGATTACCTTTTTGCCCTAAAATCATTTTTTGATGCGTCTCTCAATGTCAAAGCGCCGGCCAGAATCTCTGAATCTGCGGATGCAAAGGCCGATGACAGCACTCAGATAGAGGAAAAGGATTGTGATCAACCTTTGAAATTTCAGTACTCGCTCAATATTGTGGAAAGCTCAATCATCTTACTTTCAGATGCTGCTGATAAAAACTCGGAAGCTATAGTCTTTAATGTCGGTCAATTACTATTAACGGATCAGAACATTATGTCAGCAAGTGCAAATAATGTAGGAATGTTCTTATGCAAGATGGGATCATTCGAAGACAATCGCATAAGACTGCTGGACGATTTTTCATCATCAGTTGTAGTCGATGATAGAAACTCTACCGCAGACAAACTATTGACAAACATTCAATTCTCAGTTGAACCGCTGACAATGAGACTTTCTCTCAGAGATATCAGACTAGCAATGTCTATATTCAATAAGGCAATGATCATGGCGAGGAAACATGGACTTATTACCGATGATATTGCTAAAGATGATGATATGTCCACTAAATACGGGACCTTTTCGAAGGAGTTCAAAAAAACTCTCTCGAAATATGCTCCTAGTGTGATTTCGTCTTTGAGCAATCTATCTACTGGTGATGGCAAAGAACAAATAGATTCGAAAGCAATTTTGAAAGCAGAAAAGCTTAATGCTGATATTGAAGGGTTGCGATTGGTCTTAATAGGTGACGTCCACGAATTACCAATTCTCGATATGAATATCAAACCTTTTACTGTGTCCGCAAAGGATTGGTCTAGTGATATCGAAATCATCACCTCCATCGAAACATATGCCAATATCTTCAATTATTCTAGATCGAGCTGGGAACCACTGGTTGAAAACATCCCCATTTCATTCCATCTCTCGAAGTCGTCAGAAAACGATGCTGCCATGGTTTTCGATGTTGTTTCCAGAAAAATTGCGGAAGTTACTCTATCTTCGCGATCTATCGCTTTGCTGTCACAGATACCTGAATTTCTTTATGATGATAAGGATTTGAATCCAAGAGGCGCGGAAAAACCTTACAAAATATTTAACGACACTGGTCTAGACTTGAATATCTGGATAGCAATGAAAGGCTCACAAGAAAAGAGACAACTAGTAAATTTGAAGTGTGGGGAGAAAATTGACTGGGAATTTGAAGATTGGCGGAAGGTCAGAGAGAATCTTGATACAAATAGTAATATGAATATCCTAGGAGTTGAAGTGGCAAACAAGTCTTACGAGACAATTCTCAAAATAGATACGACATCAGAAGGAGAGGAAGTATATACCCTACAGCCAGCGGTCAATGGAGTCCATACTCGATTAGCTTGCGACCTAAAGCTTTGCGAAGATAATATAAAGCTTGTCACTATACGTTCCACATTTGTGCTCGAAAACTCTACATCCAACGACCTAGAGTTCATGCTGAACGGCGATGATTCAAATCTCCTATACATTAAACCAGGAGAAACTCGTTCCGTACCAGCGGAAAAGGCATTCAACTCTAGATTATTTATACGACCTGCTGGTAATTATGAATGGTCTGACAGAAGTTTAAACTGGAAATCGTTATTATCTCACCCTCAGTCTATAAGCTGCAGATCGCAGTCTGACAAGTCGTTGTTCTACTTTGAAATTGATGGTAAGTATGATGAAAATGAGCCACTGGCTAGAATTTTCCCTCATATGAAGATTATTGTATCATCGCCTTTGATTCTTGAGAACCTACTTCCTTATGATATGAAATATAAGCTGTTTTGGAAACCTGATGAGCAAAACGGATCATCGGAGAACCACATGGAAACACGCTACCTGGAAAAGGGAGCTCGCGAGCTCATTCACAGTGTAACTTTAGAGGACTTCCTCTTATTGGCACTGCAGCCCGTCGAGGAGGGGATATCTATGTCCGACGAGTGCTTGATTAACACCCCAATGAACTCAGAACTGAAGCCAGAACGTCGGGTCACTTTGAAATACGACAATGGTCAAAGATTATATCTCAACCTGCATTACCGAAGTGTCGACGGTTCTAGAGCGAAAATCATTACCATTTTTGCCTCTTATGTTGTTCTCAATGGTACTAGCAAGGACTTACAAATCGAAGGAGACAGGGGTAATATTTGTTTTACGGAGGTTTCGCTTGCAGAGGACTCCACAAGATACTCAAAGCCTAAGATGTTCTCATTTGATCATCAGAACGACAACCACAATAGAGCTAGAATTAAATTCAAAGACTGTGATTGGAGTATGAAAACTTCTTTCGATGCAATCGGCCAATCAGTTGATCTTACAATGAATATTCCCAACAAGAATCAAGAAAGCAATATAGGTGTGACAGTATCAGAAGGAGAAGGACGTTATGCTCTAACCAAAGTGATCGAGATACAGCCAAGATACATTGTCCGAAATAATCTGAAGGTCGATCTTGAAGTCAGCGAATATGGTTCAAACAGTGTGATGACAGTCTCATCGGGCGTATCAGTTCCATTGTATAAAATGAGAAACATCATTAACAAGCATCTAATCCTCAAATTTTTGGGCTCAGACTCTGAATGGTCGTCACCGTTTATGGTTAAAGATATTGGCTCAAATTATGTTAAGGTACTGAAAAATGGTTCCGGCCATCAGCTACTGAAGCTCGATATTATTTTGGAAAAAGCTACAATCTTCATACATATCTCTGACGCGGGAGCTAACTGGCCTTTTTCAATCAGAAATTTCAGTGACTACGAATTCATATTTTACCAGCGGGATCCTAGAATGTTCGACAGTGACGAAGACTATGATTTGTATGACGATATTGGTGAAATTGACTACGAACCATTCTACTATCGTGTTCCTGCGCGCAGTGTCATGCCATATGCTTGGGATTATCCTGCCGCGCGACAAAAGAAACTAATTCTTGTAGCAAGACAGAGAAAGCGTGAAATCCAACTGGCCGAAATTGGTAACTTAAAGCCAATGAGATTACCCGCGAGAATCGAGGGCGAAAAATCTGCTATAGTTGATTTGAATGTCGTGGCCGATGGCCCCACTCAAGCCCTAGTCATTTCCAATTATAAGCCTGAGCTCAGTTTGTACAAACTAAGGACATCTCAAACATCGTCGTCCTTGTCAACTGATAAGAGTGACAAGTTTGAAATTCAGGATGAGGACAAAAACATCTACACGAGAGTGGTTGTTTCATTCGAAGGGTTGGGAATTTCCTTGATAAACACACGTTTACAGGAACTATGTTATATAACCCTAAGCGGTCTTGAATTGAGATACAATGAGTCCGATCTATATCAGATGTTGAGTTTCAAATTGAAATGGATGCAGATTGATAATCAACTGTTTGGAGGAATTTATCCCAACATATTGTATCCAACGGCAATTCAAAATACGTCCAAAGAATTGAGCAATCATCCGGTCTTATCAGGATCTGTCTCCAAAGTGAAAGACGACTCACATGGTGTATTATACCTGAAGCACGCTACTTTGCTCCTCCAGGAACTTTCAATTCAGCTGGATGAAGACTTTTTAATGGCTCTGATAGAGTTTGCTAGAATACCTGGAGCTTCGTGGGTCACAGATGTTAAGGACACGCTTTGCGATGAAATTGCAACGCTTCCTCATCCACAAGAGCTGCGGCGGAATAACGACATCTATTTCGAGGTGTTTCATTTGCAACCAACTATGTTGCATTTGTCATTTGTCCGTACAGAACACTTGAATGTTGAAGAGGAAAAGGTACCTCAACAAAACGCGCTGATGTTCTTTGTCAATGTTTTGACCATGGCATTGGGTAACATCAACAATGCACCCATTAAATTGAATTCTCTGTTTATGGATAATGTTAAGGTACCACTCCCAATGCTACTGAGTGCAATTCAGACACATTACGGACAGCAGTTTTTCTATCAAATACACAAGATTCTGGGATCTGCTGACTTCTTGGGTAATCCTGTAGGTTTGTTCAATAATGTCAGTTCTGGGGTATGGGATATCTTTTATGAACCATACCAAGGTTACATGTTAAATGATCGACCTCAGGAGCTCGGAATCAGCATTGCTAAAGGTGGGTTGAGTTTTGTCAAGAAATCTGTCTTTGGTTTGTCAGATAGTTTTGCGAGATTCACTGGGTCTGTTGCGAAAGGCCTTTCTGCTGCTACTCAAGATATCAGCTTCCAAGAGCAGCGGCGTTTGGACCAACGGAAGGCAAGAGCTAATCAAAGCTTCAATGGATTCTCCTCAGGTGCGACATCCTTTGTGAATGATCTGGGAAGTGGATTGAGAGGGGTCGCCTATGATCCTTTCGTGAGTGCCTCGAGAGAGGGTGTCCCTGGATTATTAAAAGGCTTAACCAAGGGTCTTGTTGGTTTACCAACCAAGACAGTGATAGGCATGCTTGATCTTGCAAGCAATGTAAGTGAAGGCATTAGAAACACTACAACGGTGATGGATGCCTCGCTAACGTCCCGGGTGCGCTTGCCTCGCTACGTGGGCTATGACCAAATTATAAAACCGTTCAACCTACGTGAGTCTCAGGGGCAATACTGGCTTAAGAGTGCAAATGGCGGGGAATGCATTTCCGATAAGTATCTGGCGCACGTCGTCCTTCCTGGCAAGCAGATGGCTGTGATCGTGTCCATGAGTCACGTGATAGAGGTGCGGTTGTCATCTCTGGAGATCCTGTGGAAGGTCAGCTACACGGACGTCCGGGCTATGACCCTAGAACGTGCCGGTCTGGTCATCACATTGAAGAATGCCTCAACAGACTTGTTTGTGCCGATATCTGACTCCGACGAGAAGAGGTTCCTCTACAGGAATATCTCAATTGCAGTCGGTGAATATAACAAGTACTGCCAGGCAGAATTATAGTCACATGCTTGAGTGCTTATATACGATAATCACATGCCAAATTAGATCATATTTCACGAGTTTAAACTCCGGGTTTTTTTCGCCGTTTCGGCTGAACCCGGAGAGGGATTCACAGTCAGTGACCGATTTCCTCCGAGCTGGGGTCAGGAACTTGGCAGCGATCGGCTCCGAGAAAATTTTGGGGATGGGGATGTTGCAACTTGATATAAAACGCAAGGGCATTGTTACAAGCGCTCCTTAGACGATTTGTAGAAGAATAAACAGCAATTATGAGTGGTGTTTTGAGAAGATGTGCATTTAGACTCGCGGGAACCAGGAGCCTGGCGACTACGGCCACTGATATTACTCCAAGGTTGAAAACTTTCAAAATCTACCGTTGGAACCCTGATAAGCCAGCCGAAAAGCCTAGGTTGCAAGAGTACCAAGTGAACTTGAATGACTGTGGGCCTATGGTATTGGATGCGTTGTTAAAAATTAAGAACGAACAGGATGCTACTCTCACCTTCAGAAGATCATGTAGAGAAGGTATCTGTGGGTCTTGCGCTATGAATATCGGAGGTAGGAACACATTGGCATGTTTGTGTAAGATTGAGCCTGATATCTCCAAACAAACGAAAATTTATCCCTTGCCACATATGTACATTGTCAAGGATCTTGTTCCAGATTTGACCAATTTCTACAAACAATATAAGTCCATTCAACCATATCTACAAAGGTCCAAGGTTCCTGAAGACGGTAAGGAAAACCTACAAAGCATTGCTGACAGAAAGAAATTAGACGGTCTGTACGAGTGTATCCTATGTGCATGCTGTTCCACATCGTGTCCATCTTACTGGTGGAACCAGGAAGAGTACTTGGGCCCTGCCGTGTTGATGCAAGCGTACCGTTGGTTGATTGATTCTAGAGATGAGGCATCAAAGATAAGGAAAGAGATGTTGCAAAACTCTATGTCTTTATACAGATGTCACACCATCATGAACTGTACCAGAACATGTCCAAAGGGTTTGAATCCTGGTAAAGCCATCGCAGAGATCAAGAAGGCGTTGGCCACTGATTAAGAAAACCACACAGCGTGAGGATTGATTCCTCCACGAATATTACTGTTATTATTTATTATCACCATTACTATCGACTAACACAACTTAGTAATACATCTATTTAAATATCAATACTATCATTATTTATTTCTTGTCTTTTATTCTCGTTTCGATTTTTCTAGGGCGCACTTAACACGTCCGCAAGCATTGCTAGTTTTTGTTTAGACACAGATCGGAATGCTCTCCTATGAGGAATACAAGACCCAATTGTTACAAGACATTTTCCCTCTACTTCAAAGATGGCACCTCTCTAAACATGTAGTGTTTAATGCGGACGCTCACACCGTTCGAGTAAAGGCCCAAAATCCCCTGATAGCGAATTGCGACATTGAACTACAGATTGAGTACTCTCATCTTTACCATGAGCCACTTCTCATTTTTCGTTTCTGGAATACAACCTTAATTGACGGAGTAGAGCAATCTCAAATATGGCTGCCAGACGACTTGCCGTCGGTGCTAAACATGAAAGGATTTAACACCGGATTAGATCATGTCGACAAAGAGTCAAAGACTATCTGGTTTTCCGCACATTGTTGCGATACATCAAAAGTAGTCGGATCGGACACCTCGTCTTATCTTTCAAGATGGTGCTCTGTATATTTTACATTATTTGATTGTTCTTTTGCAAATGTATATATGCCAAAAGTCAAAAGTTGAGAAATTGATCGCGAACCCAGCCAACAAGTGCGAAAAACTCGGGCTTTAAAACCGAAACTTAATGGGGTCATTTGTCACAGTCAGAAGCCAAGCCATCTCGCTTGAGTCCCAAACGGAATCTCTCCTGTCTCGCTTTTCCAAATTTGCACAAACAACCAGTTCTGAGCCCAGTTCCCAGGAGAAATCTTTGGACTCAAAACTAGAGAATGTGCTTAACCAACGAGGGGAAGTGATGAAGACGTTATCCAACATCTGCAATGAGAATCCGAACATATCTGCTTCTAAACTATCACAGTTGCAGCGGCACAAAGAAGTATTGCAAGAGCACTGGCAGAACTTTCGAAACACACGATCTGCAATTCAACAAGAGCGCAACCGGTTGAATCTGCTATTTAGCGTCAAAAAGGACATAGCACAACAATCGATTCAAGATGAAGATACATACATCCAAGACGAGGCTCGGCGTATCGATGAGTCGCACAATGTTGTTGATAGTCTTATCACTCAAGCTTGGGAAACAAGAGACCAATTCTCGTCACAACGCGCGATGCTTCAAAACGCCAATGACAAGGTGGTCCAGACTTTACAGAGAATTCCCGGAATCAACCATGTTATAGCAAAAATCAATACCAGAAGGAAGAAGAATGCATTTATTTTAGCCACTTTGATTACAGTGTGCATTTTATTCTTGTTCTTCACTTGGTAAGTTAGAGCCTTCATGGTGATATAAGTACTGTTTACCATTTCTTTACATTGATCGAAAACCAAGGACATCCAATCAGTTTCCTGCCATCCGAAGGAGTTATTAGGAAATGCTATTCGTATCAAGATTACTACGTAGGCTATGTAACTACAAGTAGGAAAATCAGAGAAAAGTGCTGCTATATCTTTTTGAAAAATCCGGATCGTCTTTGATTTTGTTTTATCCCCTTAGGAGTCATAGAAGTTTCGATTCCATCACCGGTATTTTGATCATCGTCATCATAATTATCATCATCGTCATCATCGTGGTCGTCCTCTTCAAAAATAGTTGGAATACCGTATGAAGGATTCCTTCTAGCGTTAGGATTTCTGGACACACTTTTAAATTGAACTGTCTTTTGAATAGGGGGCTCGGGGTCCATTGCATGCTGTGAATGGGTGCCGCTATTTTGACTGTGACTTGTAGTGGCGTGGCTACTGGTGTCGTCATAGCCCCAGTCACTAAGATCCGATGAAGATCTCTTGCGAGACTTATAAAACCTTGGCCTTCTGATCCATGCTCTTAAAAGCTTTTCCTTGTACATTGAAATTGGCCAATTCATTGGAGATTCGTGTCCTTGGTAGATACAAATATCATAAATTACTGCGCCAGTAAAGGCTCCAGCAAAAGGAGCTACCAGAGGAACCCAGAAGAAATGATCGTGAGCTCCCCATAAAAGATGCCTATCAAACCCCACGGTATAGAGTGCCAATCTGGGGCCAAGATCACGAGCCATGTTCAACGCTGCACCAGTTTGGAAAGACACAGACGCATTAAGACAGTAGATTAAGACGAAAAGCATTAATGGGAAAATGTCCGACGATAAACATGTGTAAGGATCTGTTAATGAAAATATCCCACATTGTAACGCTGCACCAATCACATATTCACTGATGAATTGACGCGAAGTCGACAGATATGCTTGAGGTACTACACAAAACATTCCAATTACTGTTTCACTCAAATGCCAATCTGGATAAACGTACTCTATCACTCGCTTATAATAAATGAACATGATCAGTGATCCAACGTAAGAACCAACCAGTTGACCGAAAATGTAAAATGGTGCCTTTCTCCACGGAAACCCTCGAAATATGCAGTTACTGATGGTAATAGATGGATTTAAGTGTGCACCTGAAATTGCACTACCTCCCGACGTAAAATATCCCATGACTACAGCACCTGCCCAACCGAATGCGATATCATCAAAGGTACCGGTCGAATCGGGTACCACCAGATATTGAAGTAACGATAACTGGTCACTTCCTGTAATGTTTGCCGCCTCTAGGTTGTCTAAAAACGTTTTCTTCTGTTGCTGCTGCCCAAGTTTAACTTGGCACACTACTGCACAACCAAAAAACATCATTACCATAGTTCCGACAAACTCCGCTAATAATTCTTTCAGGTAGTAGTGTTTAACAGTAGACCACTTATTAATGGGATGGTATGTTGAAGGCAAGACCGTCGGAGTTTGTGGATTCTGGTAAAGCGTCTTAGGCTTAACCATCATCGGAACACTTTGCATGTTCCGATCGTCGTCATCCTCTTCATCATTCCCATTACTGCTCCTTTCGCCATGGTGCGAAGAGGAGCCACTGTTTGATCGTAAGGAGTGTAAATTCAATATATTACTTGAAACTGCAGTGGCTGCCCTGGACCGATATCCTGTTCCTTGTCCACCAGAGCTCCCATTGGATGGCATTGCCATTTGTGTATTGGGAACAACTTCTTGAACGGGAAAACTGCCAGGAGAATCGGTATACTGAGGAACGTAGGAAGAAGTTGCTGCAATGCGATGGTTTGGAACAAATTCTTGGGGATCGCTGGAGTAGACATCATCATCTAAATTTGAAAAGTTTTTGTCTTGTTGTTCTTCATCACCTGAATACGTCGAACCATTGCCGTTACCTGATAGGTATTCGTTCATCAGCTCCTGAGGCTTCGCTCGAGACCCATCCTGCGAAGTGGTAGACGACTTTTTGCTCATAGGCAATCGGTTTCTAATACCTATCTATTTTTTTTGTATCGGGTACTCGTTGTGAAGGAAAATAGATTCGTTAATTGCACGCTCGCTCTTACTGTAACGCTCAAATTATCCGGTTGCACGCGAAAAAACCCAACCGTTGACGAAACTGATGAAATAATCCATCGAAAATGCAATCTTAGCGGATCTCAAGAAGAGCAATTGTCGCTGTCACATCGCCTCTTCTCGAGGCTAGATCTTCGAAACAATTGGCTGTGTCGGTTCAAGAGCAAAACAAGAGCATGCCGGACGCACGGAAAGTAGTATAAGAGGAGTAAAATTGTTTGACGAAAATATACACATCGTCTTGAAAAGTATGTCTCCCGACACTATGACAGCATCCGAATCACTATCAAACTCATATGTACCGCTTATTGCCTCGATCGATGTAGGTACCACCTCTTCACGTGTTATTCTCTTCAATCAACTCGGACAAGAGGTCTCTAAACATCAAATCGAATATTCGACCTCTGCATCTAAAGAAAAATTTGCAGCAGCAGGTAGAAGAAGGTTGAGTGTTGACGTAAATTTTGGCGAAGTTAGAGAGCCTCAGCCTATCTTTTCCGCAGAGGGTATTGCCATTGAGGCTAACGAGTACCTTGAAATCGAAGATTTGGAAATTGATAAATTCGGCCCAACGCTAACGTTCCCAAAACCAGGTTGGGTTGAGTGCAAGCCATTCAATATCTTGGCTCATGTTGTCCAGTGTTTTGCTGCAAACCTTATCTCTGTTAACAAGGTCAATGGAAATAGAATATCCAATGGCTTACCACCCTACCGGATTCGCAGTGTAGGAATTGCAAACATGAGAGAAACTACACTTGTGTGGTCCAAAGAAACCGGAAAACCTGTTGTCGACTACGGAATTGTCTGGAACGATACCAGAACAGTAGACATCGTTACTGAAAAGAGGAATAATACCCCACAAGAGTATCAGGAACATTTAAGGAGTAAAACGGGATTACCATTATATTCTACTTATTTCTCATGTTCAAAGCTGCGCTGGCTGCTTGACAATGAGCCTGCGGTCAAGGAAAGTTACGAAAGGGGGGACTTAATGTTCGGAACAGTAGATACATGGTTGATATATCACCTAACATCTAACAACGCATTTGTATCCGATGTAACCAACGCGTCTAGAACTGGGTTTATGAACCTAGACACTCTTGACTATGATGAAGAATTGTTGGACTATTGGAATATCGACCGGAAGAAGATCAACATGCCAAAAATCGTTTCATCTTCAGAGTTCTATGGTAATTTTGAAGTGCCGGAATGTACAAGAGAAACGTTAACTTCCATTGCCTGGGGTATTTTGAATGACTTTTGCCAGAGAAAGCCTTCTGTGCCTATTCAAGGCTGTTTGGGTGATCAAAGTGCGTCATTGGTTGGTCAACTTGCCTTCAAACCAGGTGCTGCCAAGTGTACTTATGGTACGGGCTGCTTTTTGCTGTACAACACCGGTGGAAAGAAGCTAATCTCGAAACATGGTGCTCTGACTACTTTTGGATACTGGTTTCCACATCTTGAGAATGAAGAGCATGCCAAGCCTCATTTTGCCTTGGAAGGTTCAGTGGCTGTTGCCGGGGCTGTGGTACAGTGGCTGAGGGACAACTTGAGACTAATCCCCAAAGCTGAAGATATTGGACCTTTAGCATGCCGTGTACCGGACGCCGGCGGCGTAGTATTTGTTCCAGCTTTCAGTGGCTTATTTGCTCCCTACTGGGATGCTGACGCAAGGGCTACAATTATGGGTATGTCTCAGCACACTACCTCTTCGCATATTGCGCGAGCCGCTGTGGAAGGTGTTTGCTTCCAGGCCAGAGCAATCTTGAAGGCAATGAGTTCCGATGCATTTGGCGAAGGTAAAGTAGATGTAGACTTCTTAGAAGAAGTTGCAGAGGAGACATATGAGCAGGCACCATTATCAACCTTGGCTGTTGACGGAGGAATGTCGAGATCAGATGAGGTAATGCAGATTCAGGCTGATATTCTTGGCCCTTGCGTTAAAGTCAGGAGGTCACCCACCTCCGAATGTACGGCTTTGGGCGCAGCAATCGCTGCATCACTTGCCAACCCTAACCGCGAAGATCGAGTTATGTGGAAGGACTTGAAAGATGTCAAGAAATGGGTGTTCTATGGGGGCATAGATCCTAAGGAAGTACCTGAGGGTAAGATTCCTACACCACAAGTCAAGATTTTTAGTTCCAAGTCCAATGACAAGGTCAGAAGACATCACTGGAAGATGTGGGAGGCCGCTATTGAAAGATCCAAAGGATGGATGAAGTCTATCGCAGAGGATGAAGAGCTTTCAAATGGAAAAGCCACATTGCAGGTATAGCCTCTATCTCATGAAACAACCCTAAGAGCAATTTATAACTGGCCACGAGGCCTCGAACAATGACAATTAGCATTAGTTATCACTACTTGAACGATAGCAAATCTCATAGTAGATACTGTGCCTAAAGATGTATACTTTATGTAATGATAGGTACCTGTTAGGTGCCTATGGAAACTGTCTAAATATTTATATTCTTACTTAAAACACGTGCCATATTCTGAACAGCAGCGGTGTTTATTCAAAATGTACGGATTAACAGTCATGCAAAAAAATGTGCCATATACCCACACACCCAAGAGAATCGCTTTTACCTTAAAGAAAATCAACCGTATTGAATGAAAAACTTCCAGTAATCTGGCAACGCGCAGTGGACGCAGGATGGTAACCGCATCTGGTATAAAATTGTTAATTGATGCAATTCGTATCAATTTTTGTTAACTTCAACCTGTAAGTAAATAGAAATGGCTCCATCTAAGAAGGTCGCTCCAGCTCCATTGGCTGCTAAGTCTGCTAAGTCTGCTAAGGCTAAGAACCCATTGACCAACTCCACTCCAAAGAACTTTGGTATCGGTCAATCCATTCAGCCAAAGAAGAACTTGTCCAGATATGTCAAGTGGCCAGAGTACGTTAGATTGCAAAGACAAAAGAAGATTTTGTCTTTGAGATTGAAGGTTCCTCCTTCCATCGCTCAATTCCAACAAACTTTGGACAGAAACACTGCTGCTGAGACTTTCAAGTTGTTCAACAAGTACAGACCAGAAACTGCTGCTGAGAAGAAGGAAAGATTGACCAAGGAAGCTGCCGCTATTGCCGAAGGTAAGACTAGACAAGAAGCCTCTCCAAAGCCATACGTTGTCAAGTTCGGTTTGAACCACGTTGTCTCCTTGATTGAAAACAAGAAGGCTAAGTTGGTTTTGATCGCTAACGACGTTGACCCAATTGAATTGGTCGTTTTCTTGCCAGCTTTGTGTAAGAAGATGGGTGTTCCATACGCTATTGTGAAGGGTAAGGCTAGATTGGGTACTTTGGTTAACCAAAAGACCTCTGCCGTTGCTGCTTTGACTGAAGTCAGAGAGGAAGACGAAGCCGCTTTGGCCAAGCTTGTTTCTACTGTCAACGCCAACTACTTGGAAAAGTACGAGGAAACTAAGAAGCACTGGGGTGGTGGTATCTTGGGTAACAAGGCCGTCGCTAAGCAAGCTAAGAAGGATAAGGCTGCTGCATCTGCCTAAGTTCAACAATATTTGCACTAGATTTTCCTTTTAATATATTTTTGAACTTTTTTACTTCCGCTTTTACACGAAATTCTATGGATTGAACTTTGTTGAAGTATTCTGCCGTGTGGGCCATTATAGGGAATTCTGGAGTATCGCTAGAGGAAGCATAGATTGCTTTCTGTTGACGGTGTTTACTACTGGAATTTCTATTGAAGTGGTTTGTGTCGGAGAATGTTACAGAAGTTTGATCTACTTAATCCATACCTTTCTTGAATTACAATCAAAAACAATGTGTACACTAAGTATATTGCGATCATCGCTGGGATGAGACTAATCAAATGGTTATAACGATCACGTCTAGTTAAATCTCATATAACACGGATGGTTTGCAAATATCACTCGTCAAAGTGAGTGGCATGTACGTAATTGATCTCAATTCCCCAGAAACCTTTAATGTATGCCTTGGCACGGACAACACTTATAAATTTTTTTTCTTAAGAACAAGTTCTGAAGAAGCTATCCTACAGCTGGGAGTACACAAGGAAAACGATGGCTGCTGTAACTGCTAAACAAGTGCTATGGTATATTCCCAACCAAATTGGCTACATGCGGGTCCTAACAGCCGTCGGTTCTTTATTTTTGATGTCTAAACACCCTAAATGGACTACGCTGATTTACGGTGTATCGTGTTTATTGGATGCGTTAGATGGGACCATGGCCCGTAAATACAATCAAACTAGTGGATTTGGCGCAGTTCTAGATATGGTCACGGACCGTTCCACGACGAGCTCGCTGATTTGCTTTTTATGTGTCCTTTACCCAAGTTGGGCGCCCCTTTTCCAATTACTCGTGTCGCTAGACCTATCAAGTCACTACATGCACATGTATGCAACGCTAAGCAGCGGAGGAGCCTCGCATAAGAAAATCGAAAAAGAGCAATGGCTGTTGAATTTGTACTACAGTCGTCGCTCAGTACTTTTCACGATTTGCGCATTCAACGAATTATTCTACCTTGGACTTTACTTGTATGGATTTCCACAACTGGCGCACTTCCAAGTGCTAGGGTTGGGGTCCGTGCATATCGGTGGCTTCATAGCTTTGGTATGTTTGCCAGGTTATGTTTTTAAGCAAATTGCGAATATTGTTCAATTGAACAGAGCAGCCATGATGCTGGCCACAAAGGACGCACAAGATGCCAGCGCACGTCAACGTATGCAGTAGTGTGTAACTAACCACAATTCAATATAGAGAGTTCGAAGCAGGCATGTCATGGTGTGGCCCGAGACCGTGCACTTGATACGAGTGCGTGTATAACATAGACTACTGTGTAGGTACAATATTTATTGATTTCTTTTTGAGCAACTGTATAGCCAGCCATGATTATCAATAGGCTTATTTGGTAAGTATCTGTTGTGTGGTCCTTGAGTTTGCCTTTGAGACGCGACCAGTGTGTGGTGAGCTACGCATTCCAGCACTGCTAAAGTAATTAGTGACTTTTGTCTGAAATAATGTGAGTTACTATGGAACTGATGGTGATGTGCGCCTAATCGCACAATTGGCGTCAGGAAACATTTAACACATCAATATAAAGTGATATTAGATGAATAAAATCAAACAAGTCGACTTACCATCTAAGACAAGTAGAGGAGAACGACTGGTGTCCAATGGGATTGGCGATTGATAAGTTATCACTACTGGGGCTTAGCTCATTGATATTAGCATAGTCTAGAACGGACAATTGATAATTGTGTTATTCAGAGTCACCGAGCAAGAATTGTATAAATACCAGACGTTTGTTCAGGTAACTGAACCAGTTCTAGGGCCGAAATAACCACGGAAAGATAAACAGAATTTCTTGGACCTAAGTTAGTCACCTTACAAAGACGTAAGCGACTTACAAGTCAAATTTAGTAAACTCTCTACTGAATCAGATTCGCCTCAATAATTATGTAGTTTCTTCAAGTGTAACGAAGACATTCGTAGTTGCAGTTTCGCTCGTCAAGCGGTTGTCAAATTCTGTGGTTATGTACCAGATTACAGACCATTAGACTCGAGTCAAGGACGAAGGACGTTGTTCCTTAGTTCAAGCAACTGGGAGACCCGGTTTTGTACATGTCACTGGTTTGTGTTGCTAATGCGCTATTCTGGAAGAACTTAACATTGACATTTTGTACGTAAGAGACAGAGTTACCATACTATCAACACACATATACCAAACTTTAGCTCAATATTTTAACTATCTGAGAAAGTGTATTTCTCTGAATGGGTATACATACCCAAAATAAGTGGCCACCTCTCTCAGCTATACATAAGCTTTCGATTGATGCGACAACGATTATTGGCAGTGAGGTAGCAACGACCTCTAGACCCCGTAGCAACAGTCTAGAGTGTCTTAATAGCTTTCATAGAAAAAGGAAGTGAATCTTCGTCTGCTAAGATGAATCGCTAGAACTGTATGTGGGAATTATTTCGGCCTCAACTGCTAAGCGTTTTCCATGAGTCGCGACATCAACCCCAAAAGAAGGCACGCTTGAGACACGTTTTCAACAACAATCCAGTTTTCCATGATGAGCTTTTGCCCGTATTAATTGTATCCTATTAACAGTGCTATTTACCAAATCATAAAGTCGTAATCAGTGCCAGTACCCAGTCGTCCCGCGTCATACTGCTGCATGATTAGAAAGGCGACGAGGCGTAGTACTTTCCATTCCATGCTCTTCCTCCCCCTCCTCCGAAATTGAAACCAGCAGCAAGTTACCATTTGAGATCTTCGTCATGCCTCCCTCATGCGCCAGTGTGTAATGGCCCGGCCTGTGAAGGTTGGCGTTGCGGCCCCGTGTCGTGAACGCTGACGTGTAGTTTTCCACACCGTAGTTCTCGTTACCACCGCCAAAATCGTCCAGCTCATCGTCTTCTTCCTCGATATCATCCTCGGTGTCACCTTCAATATCACTGTCACTGTCATATTCGAAAACTGTGTGTACCGGATTCAAAGGCAAAGAAAACGTCACGTGAGGCTCACATCTGCCAAAGTAAGCATCGTCGCTGGCCATGAGCACCCGCTCGACTCTGTCCTCATCGTCGCTTTCGTTCAGCTCTTCATCTTCGTGCAGGGTCTCCATCACTTTGTCCATCAAATTGCCATGTCCCACCAGCACTCGCAGATTCAAATCGGGTCTCTTGGTTTGAGCAGTGCAGCCGAGCAGTTTTGTACGTGCCTGGCTTGCCAAGGCGTATCGCTTAATAGTTTTACTGTACGCCCTGCGGCTGAGCATTGCGTAATATGGTGATCGCTCAAAAATGATACACTCTTGAACCAACCTTACGGCTTAGATCACGGCAATTGCAAACTGTTCAACCCATCCTAAATTTATATAACAAGTGAGCAATGTATACTTGACAAGCAGCTGCATTTGTCAGTGCAGCTGCTTGTAAATGTTTGTTATACAACGCTTTTCCGCTGCGCTTCCGGCGTCCGTTATGCTTACGCAACGAAAAAGCGTCGCTAGATTCCTTTATTCAGCGCAGTATACTAGACTTGGAAGAAGCGATCTGACAAATTGCGGAAAACAATTGCGGCCGAAACGGAATTGTAAGCTTTAGCACAAAATGACACCCACTGCTTGGCATTGACATCAACACAACCATGGGGGGTTTGTAAGCTTCTACAGCCAATATGGTACGCCTGCCTCACAAGATAGAACTACAATGGTTGCGGCGAAGATAAGACATCTCGGGTGTTATAACAGGGCCGGCTTCTGTGCGATGGTATCTTTGCATACGTGGCTGGAGCGGGTTGCTTAGTGAAGTGGAGAAACCTGTCTTTATGGCCGCCGTTGAACGTGGATCCAATATAGAGCAAGCAGTAAAACTTCAGCCGCAGCGGAAAATGAACAATGGGGAAAGGAAGAGTTTCAGGTCCCGATCACATGAAAGGGCGAGGAGAGGATCAGGTGAGGATGAAGAAGAAAATCGTATGACTGACATTTTGTACAAAATGGTGAACAGCTTCTTAGGGCGGATATACGTCAAAACCGCGTAGTACGCCGATAACCCAGATGCATAGGCCACGCAGGGTCCTCCTAAAATTCAAGAAAGCACAGCTTCTACTCTGTTCAAATAGTCGTCGGCATGAATAGATTTCGTACTCAAATTGTTCATGGTACACAATTGTGAAGTTGGACGTTTATTTTATTTTTGGCCCTCCCCATCTAACCCTATGGCTATAGACTCTTTAGTCGAACTTTTATATTATTAAAAAATAATCTAACTTTTTTCAGTTATAAGTATTCGTAAAAGATGTAAACTCAGTGAGCACAGTTGCATACACAGAATGGCTCACAAGAGCAGCTTCTGCCGTACACATTGAAGACCTTGTTATTTTAGTAGCAGCGCATTTCTTCTGATATCACCTATCGAGCGCTTCTAGACATACGATGACATAAACTATTCTGGCATTTAGCCTAGAGTTATAGCGCAATCTTAGCAGAAGTAACTACGGCTAGCTACCTATCTCGCGTGAACGTGAGCCATTATCTTTTTCTTTTCCACTTTTCTAGATTGGCTCAAGAAACCGACCGCTATGGGTATTGCAAACCGAGCATTCGATTTGGTACTTAAATTAATTAATTGGCATTACGCATGGGAATTATGAATAGGTATATAGCTATTGATTATGGTCAAGAATTCGTAACCGTCGACTGCTCCGGATGTGGCTGGTAATCCACATCGGTGTGAGAAACAATAGGGGTTCCTGCGCGTGGTTGGGATTCCACGTCAGTGCGCATGGGGAGATTCGAGTCAACGTCACTAATACTAAGATTGCACCATCGGGTGAGAACCTTTGGACCACCCTTATAAACCCATCCACCTTCGGTGACCGACCTAATTGGTGCCATTACATTCAACCAGAACAATGCTGCTGTTATGTCGAATAACCAGAAGGGGAAAAAAGCCATTGCAATCGAAGCTTGTCCCACGCGGCAGTATTCCAGCCACCCGCTACTAAATGTGTATCGGTTGCCGCAATCAATACCGCCATGCAATACCGCCAATGCTATGAAAGCAGCAAACCATAGGATCGAGAGAACTATTTCACTGACTAGGATGAATACCACACAGTCATTGAGCCTGAAAGGTACCAGAGTGACAACAACAAGATACACTATTGTGATGACCGACACTGCAACCGCATACCCCGTGGTGGAGTGATTGATTCCAAAAGCCAAAACTTTTGCACTCAAGCCTAAACAAATAATGGCGAAGACAAACTGTGCGATCCGAACTCCCCACAACAAGATTGGGTTAGAGTACCACCTGGCGGGAGTCACCGGTGTTACTACTTTAGATTCAATTTCAGGTTTCTGTTCTTCAAATGACATGAGGATTAGTTCGACTTGACCATTTACACGACATTCGCATGTTGAATCTAGTTCTTATATAGTCATTGCTTGAATCTAAGATCTGTTCTTCAGACCAATCTCCATGCCTTTTTTAGATCTGACTCCACTTATCACTTCATATAGTGATAGGGCCATTCTCAGTGAGATGCCATTTTTAAGGGCTGAGTGAGATGTGACATTCGTGACTTACAACCTTATCTCCGAAAGATAATTCAATGGAGGGGTAGTGATTTAAGGGTATCACATATTTGCCTCACGATTGTTTCTCAGCCGCTTTTGGTGGCTGGTGTTAAGGGGTAACCATACCTCGTGGCTTGTCTATGGCAAGGGTCCTGTTGACTTCCTGCAGGGTCTTAATCGCCCAAGTGTCATATGGCAGGCACATGAAGGACAGGGGCGAAATTATTAGAAAATTAGAGTCATCAGTGTATGATGTTTTTCTTATTCACCGCCCCCCTACCCTCTAGTTCTGCACGTTATTCATCACCTCATCTAGCAACAAAGCTCTTTTTCCATCAAACGTTTTTTTGGTTGTCGATTGATATATTCCCCGCGTCTTTTCGCACTTTTCTGGTTTTGCCTTTTTTTTTTGAGAATCTAAAACGGTCGCAAAGCCTGTATAAGACAAATGAAAAACCCTGACAACGCTTAACTGGTTAACCAAGAACTGCTCATGGAATCCCAAAAGATTCTCGTAAAACATAAACTCATAAGAAGTGTATATAGTTGACTTTTCTAGGTATTGCTTTGGCATTTTTTTTTGTGCATCCTTGGCAGCCCACTAGTGAATGACAATCAAATCAAATTAAGATCAAATTCTGTAAATACATTTCGCCCATGCCATCGAGCATACTATTGCAGTACTGTGTTGAACAAGTGAAGTTAGAGCTTTAAACTACAAAGTGGTTATGAGGAATGCGAAACCTGGAACTACATAAACAGATCAAGCTGCTACCCTTGAAGGTTGAAGGATGTTCAAAATATGCTGATTGTTGCTTGAGCAACAATGCTCTTCAAGAAAGAAAGACTAGAATTTTCATGCTGTCCAGTGGCAGGTAGCGACGAGTGCTTCAAGGACTTGGAGATCTGTATAAACACGTGCTATGAAAAACCCCTCCGAAATGGACACCGCAGAAGAAAGAACAAAAATTGCTGCTTCATATTCATTGAGATGTAATAATCCATAACCTTGTCACGGTTCAAATTGAGGCTACTCGCTTTAAAAATTTGTATACCTGGCAAGTGCGTGTGAATTTAGCTTTTAACGAGAAAACTTCAGGCGAAATGGTGAAATAAAGAATAAGCACTGGTTTACGTAAGCCTGCGTTTTGATTTTGAATCATTGGCTTCTGTCCATGGCCACCTAAATGTATGACAGTTTATACAGTATCAGTCACGAGGTTGATATCTTATGAATGCCGCCCGTTGGAATTTGGCACAATTCAATGGAGTGGTGTACTACTCACACTACATGAAACAAGAAAAGCATATATGGAACGAAAAATCCTTTTCACAAAAAAGGCCTCCCTTCCGTGCTCAAACTCCAAAGTAAGGTGCGATCAAAAGCACAAGAGCTGTTCGCGTTGCCTAGAACCGCGGAATTTCTTATAAATGCTATTATTCGACCTTAGCAACGTGCGATTTGAGTGAGGATGGCCAGATACATATTGAGAATGACAGAATTTCTGACTCTCCCGCAGAAGATGTTGACCATAGCTCTGCAAATAGAGTGAGTGTTGGGCCCATTGTATCTCGAAGCCCACAAAAGGATGAATGGCCCATTCCACAGGAAGCAACCTCAGTACTTGATCAGTCCGGACCGTCCAGCTCCTTCGGCTCTTTGAAAGAGATTGAAAACCTGAATAACGCTCATGGCGATGAAAGTGAGCAAGTTAAATTTGATGGCCTTGATCTCGTATACTCTGTCGATTGCGCAGAAATACAGAATAGATGGCTCAACAATTATATTCCACCACTGGATCATGAAGTAAAAATTACCTTTCTAACGTAACAGTTTTAATCTCGGATATGCTACGGGCATACTCTTTTATACCAGTTAACCATGCTACGCTTCTACCTGTTGTTCATATTAGTCAAAGTCGCCTGCGTCATCTTCCAACACCTCTTGCCGCGTGCCCCAACTTGACGCGTTTGTTTCAAAACATGTTAGTTGCTCAGGATTTTGTGACTCAAGATGCCCTCGGTCGAGAAATGACTCGTCTTCACCAGGAACACAGCGTATACAACGAGGTTAATCTCCTGGCAGCCTTCCAAGCATATCTGATTTATTCGATAATAATTTCTTTGAGTTTGATCAAGGCAAGCCGTCTGGATTACACCAAGCGATGGAGAAGCTACAAAATATAGCATACGAAGTTTCACGACGTGGCCTCAGCTGTTCAGCCGAATTATCTGGTTCAAGACCACAGTTAGAGTTGTGGATAATTGTTGAGTGCAGGAGGCAAACGCTGTCCACAATGCACAATGTACTTGTTCGACAATCTTCTTTGTTCACATGACAGATTGCCCACTTTCTCGGCCAAAAAATGGAAAGGCACGCTTGTACCTTCATGGGGCCTTCTTTGGACAGCTGCGCCGAGAAAAAAATGGTCAGATTTATATCACAGATATTTATACATTCGGAGTGCCGATGGCCCTCTGCTCAACGAGGAGCTTCGGCCCGTACCTCTCGACATCTCAGAGCAGAATGTCCAACGGCGGCAAGAAGGGATAATCAATTGGCTGACAGCATTAGACAATCTTTCAACCACGCCATTTACCGTTACAGTGTGCACTCACAGCAGCTAACAATCTATTCCGGCATTTGAGCCTTGGGTAGCATTTTATCCGCAAAATGAGACCCAAACAAAAGCCATTTGAACAAGAAGCTCCATAAACATTGTCGCCGCCTAGAAATTGGATTTCATACCGAGCTTTCTAGAACAAAGAGACTTAGAAAGCTGCTTCAAAAGTTGCTGAGTAATATTACAGAGTGAGATTCCACGTACAGGAATATAATTGACGGCCTAAGCATATTCCGGGAAGAGAGTAGAGGATGAGTAAATCATCAAGTTGAATTTTCTCCAGAGTTATCATATTTTTGGTAACATTTCCGTATGCGAGTCTCTACCGTTTAGAGGTCGAGAAAATTTCTCTTCTTATGTCTGATGATTTTAAGCTGTAGAATATGAAATGTTACTTGGCCTTTTCTTCTGGAGATCCATTGGGCGATGATTAGATCTCTTTGGACATTTCACCACCACTAGCTCGTGGGGAAAAATCGGTTGACGGTTGGATAATTTATTATCTCATTTTGACGTTACCATTTTCTGCGATGAGCGGGATGAATTAACTTCACATTAAGCTGTCACGTTTTGTATGTTATATTATGCAGATTCAACAGCATAGGCTGGTTTAAATCCACACGAGTTCAATTTTTTTGCAGAAGTCTGGGAGTTGCGTATAAATAACAGAGTGATTTATGTAACTATGAGTGAATTGCTGTGCACGGCACTTAGATCGAGGTGCAAAAATACGATTCTCTTGGCTATGATAGGTTCCTTATATCTTTAAATGAGCCTACGCTCTAAAAATTAGCCCTTGGCAACTTTACACTTTTTAACCACGTTAAAATGTCGCCATGAGACCAGTAACTGCAATTATTAAACCGCTGTCACACGAATCGCTGTTGAGGAGTATCGCAATATCTTAGCCATTGCGCTATGGTCGCTCAATAAAGATATTGACGCAAATCTGATTCAGTAGAGAGTTTACTAAATTTGACTTGAAAGTCGCTTACGTCATTGTAAGATGACTAACTTGCCCAGGAAAATCTGTTTATATTTCCGTGGTTATTTTGGCACTAGAACTGGCTCAGTTACCTGAACAAACGTCTGGCATTTATACGATTCTTGCTCGGTGACTCTGAACAACACAATTATCAATCGTACGTTTTAAATCATCCTATTATCGATGAACTGCGGCTCATTGTCGATAACTTATCAATCGCCAATCCCATTGGAGACCAGTCGTTCTCCTCTACTTGTCTTAGATGATAAGTCGACTTGTTAGATCTTATTCATGTAATATCACTTTATATTGATGTGTTAAATGTTTCCTGACGCCAAATATTTCCTGACGCCGGTTACCCGATTAGGCGCACACCACCATCAGTTCCAGAATAACTCACATTATTCCCGACAAAAAACTCTTTGGCCAGTGTGTCGTGGTGAAGAAGACCACCATGTCAGTGACCAGAGAGCACCGGACACGCGGCGTTCACAGCAACGAAGCTTCAGGTCCCGGACAACGGGAGCACTATCTCATTATACACGTAATTACGTAATCGTATATCACCGCACTACAGCCCAACATGATCCTCTACGAAGCCGGGTGAAGCCTACCGGAGCCCTAAAGAGAGTGCGGGCCGCAGCTTTCCGCCCCTCCTTTTCCTCCGCTTCCTCCTACCCTTCCACGAGCTTCCATTATTTCCATGCTTCCACGGCATTCATCCTCCGCGACCGCCACGTCTCGCAATCTCGCCATCGCTTCCGCTGAACCGTTAGATTTCGGCCCTCCCCTTATTTGCACCTTTTTTCCGTTTATAAAGATCCCCCCACTATTTCTCCGCCAAAATAGCCCCACTTGCCCCACCACGTGATGGGATTCCGGCTTCCACTAGATGAGAAGCTAGCGCAGATACGGAAGTAGCGCACGGAAACCAGCATCGCTCAGATGCAGCATCGCATTGAGCCGTGCGAGCTACGGCCCTTACTGTAGCGACAGTAAACGTGAAGGGTGTTCAGTGCGTGCGCGGCCGTTAGTTACCCACAGTAGGACGCGGGCTGCACCGCCGCTCCTCCGATTTCTCGGATCGCGGGTTTCCGATTTCCCTACGGTGGCCCTTTGAGGCGATGAGCTAACCACGCCACATGCGTTATTGGTGGCGCGTTTCTGTCGTGATTCTGGACAAGTGGTGCGGTGGGGCAGTGGAGCGGCGGGGTCGGTGGTTTTTAGTGGCCGTAGTGGTGCGCAAGCTCACGCAAAGCTGCAACCGCGTAAGAAAATGGTGCGGCCGGTAGCTAAGTAGGTATGGCGTGCAATGCGATAAGAAAGTGTATAAAAGGAGGTGGGAAAATCCCGACAAGGGTAGTTAAGAAGCTTATTCTTAGTTCTCCAGTGATCAAAGTTTAGACTTTCAACACCAGCTTTTCCTACTCTAGAATAATTTTCGCAATGTCTGCTCCAGAAATTCCAAAGACCCAAAAGGCCGTCATTTTCGAGACCAACGGTGGTGCTCTAGAATACAAAGACATCCCAGTCCCAACTCCTAAGCCAAATGAAATCTTGATCAACGTCAAGTACTCTGGTGTTTGTCACACCGACTTGCACGCCTGGAAGGGTGACTGGCCATTGGCTACCAAGTTGCCTTTGGTCGGTGGTCACGAGGGTGCCGGTGTCGTCGTCGGTATGGGTTCCAACGTCAGAGGCTGGAAGATCGGTGACTACGCTGGTATCAAGTGGTTGAACGGTTCCTGTATGACTTGTGAGGAGTGTGAGTTGGCCAACGAGTCCAACTGTCCAGAAGCCGACTTGTCTGGTTACACCCACGACGGTTCTTTCCAACAATACGCTACTGCCGATGCCGTGCAAGCCGCCAAAATTCCAGCTGGTACCGACTTGGCCGAGGTTGCCCCAATCTTGTGCGCTGGTATCACCGTGTACAAGGCCCTAAAGTCTGCCAACTTGAGAGCCGGTGAGTGGGTTGCCATTTCCGGTGCCTGTGGTGGTCTAGGTTCTCTATGTATCCAATACGCCACTGCTATGGGTCTACGTGTGCTAGGTATCGACGGTGGTGAAGAGAAGGCCAAGTTGTTCAAGGAATTGGGCGGTGAGTACTTCATCGACTTCACCAAGACCAAGGACGTTGTTGCCGAAGTCATCAAGGCCACCAACGGTGGTGCTCACGGTGTTATCAATGTCTCCGTCTCTGAGGCTGCCATTGAGGCCTCCACTGAATACTGCAGAGCCAACGGTACCGTTGTTCTAGTCGGTCTACCAGGTGGTGCCAAGTGTAAGTCTGATGTCTTCAACCATGTTGTCAAGTCCATCCACATTGTCGGTTCTTACGTCGGTAACAGAGCTGACACCAGAGAAGCTCTAGACTTCTTCGCCAGAGGCTTGGTCAAGTCCCCTATCAAGGTTGTTGGCTTGTCTGTCCTTCCAGAGGTGTTCGAGAAGATGGAAAAGGGTCAAATCGTCGGTAGATACGTCGTTGACACCTCTAAATAAGCATTCGACTACTGACTTGCTTATTTTATGTACTTAATGCGAACTTTCTATATAATGTCTCTCCTCCCTACCAGGGAAGTGAGCGGTCAATAATAATGGTGATATGAATGAAACTAAAACGCGCATGAAGCAAACGTTCACTTCGTTGCATCCGTGTGACCATGTGAAATTCACCCCGCAAACTTGAAGTTTGCATCCGTCGTTTACCTCGTATCCCGCTCATGATTCATAGTCAGATCTCCTACATATCGCCGGGTACGGGGTCGGGTTCTGCTCGATCGAGTCTTTTTTTTCTTCTTTTCAACATCCAGAGAGGCATTCTCGTGGACTGATATCACGGCTACTTGCTATTGTACTCTAGTGTTTTCAACACCTATGGACTACCTGGTTGACTACATCATGGGCCTGCCCGCACAGGCGGTGTTTACTGGTCCCATAACATCGTTTCTCGCCAAACACGGCATCGTCACATCGTCCAACATTCTCGCTAACTTACACTCAGTGATCTACGTGGCCGAAGCATACCATCTAGTGTTTTTGGTGAGTCAATGGATCCTGTTCCCACCGCTGGTACGCTGGAGATTGTCACACGACGCAGACAAGTCTCCACGTCGCTACAACGACCTTCTCAATCAATCTGCGGTGCATTTTGTGAGTTTGGTGCAAAGCTTCGTGATTCTGTATCTAAGTTTGGGCTACATACGAGACCACGGCACAAGCACCCATCCTACGCCGGAAAGCCGTATTTTCAGCGAGTCCGCTGAGACAAACGTGATCTGTGTGTTTGCAATTGGTTATTTTGTATGGGACGCGCTTATTTCGCTCGTTTACTCTTCTCTTCCCTTTGTGGTTCATGGCGTAGTTTCGGCGCTCATGTTCACGATTGGATTAAAGCCCTACATCCAATACTATGCGCCAGCTTTCCTGTTGTTTGAGCTCTCCAACCCATTCCTAAACTTCCGCTGGTTTGGCATCAAGTTCATGCCACAACTGTCAGCTGAAAATCAATCCACGTCGGCTGCAGTCTGCAACGTGATTCAACTTCTCAACAACGTTATGCTCATCTGCATTTTCTTTGGTGCAAGAATCGCCTGGGGCTGGCTCAAGATCTACGAACTAGCTTTCGACTTCTACAAGGTGCGTAACGATCCTCGCTTCTTGTTCACTGAGTCTCTGGTAATTGTCTCCGGAAATTTCATTCTGGACGTTCTCAATGTCGTGTGGTTCTCTCAAATGGCATCCGTAGCCAAGAGAATCATCCTAAAGCGCGGCAGAGTACAGGACAAGCCTGCCACCGAGGCTCATTGTTAAATAGCAAACGTGTTTGTACAGCACATGGCCTACCTTAGAGTGTACATTAGAAGACAGGGTTCAAAAAATGTACCACGAGCCGATTGTTCAAGAGTTAAAAAAAATAACAATAGACATTTTAGACAGAAAACCGTGTAGAAAAACTATCACTTTGCAGCCCCCACTCCTTGGCAATTCGCACCTGCCATCGTTCCCAACGTATTTGCAAATTTAGATGCTGCCTGTCGCTCTAGATGTGCCGATCGTTCCACCGTCCCGCGCGCGAACATCAGATGTTCGAAACAAATATCGGAAATGCGGTGGTAATTGCATTCGTTAGCTGGGCGCCCCATACTTTATTTCATTGCGACCTTCTGGGCCAGGAGACCTCGCTACGACGGGCATCATGCTATTCTGCACACATGATAACTTTTAAGTTTTAAATATTTCGCTATATAGTTGCTTCTATATTAGAACGGTGCTCAACACCGTCTTTTCCAAAAAGGGGCTGTGGATATATCTTGAGAGATTTTCACGGCATACCCACGTAGAGCAAAGGTTTCATAGCAGCAAGAGTGATCTGGTTCTCAAGGGACGGTATCTTGGGAATTCTGGAGAGCCTTCGAATATATTTGTCCATTTGACATAACGCACTTGCATTCAGATCAATTATCTGTAAGCGGATCATGCATCAAGAAGTTGAGTCTTACGCTCCATCAGTGAGCTCATCTTCGGTGTTCAAAGAAGAAGATGACGCCAGCAGCTTGTTTTCAAACGACTCAGACTACTTGATGGAAATCGGGGACGGATCAGATGCTAACGAGACGGTCCTGCCCAAAACAGATTTTCATTCCCCATTCTATGTCAACGTACCTACGCCGAACCAGTCACCATTGAGCATCGAGTACTCTGATGGAGGACCGGATGCAGCAAATAGTTTTGTTCGTGAGTACCCAACGGACATTTTACTGGATAGGTTCACGAAGTGGAGAAAGATACTGAAGGGAATAGCTAACTATTTGCGTGAGGTTTCCTACGCCCAAGAGCAGTTCGCTAGAATCAACTACCAACTAAAAGGGTCTGTGAAGTTCCCTTTCTTGACAGACCTCGAAGAGACCACCAACAGGCTTGTGGATCCACTAGTCCAAAAGGGCAAAAAGCCAGCTGCATCTGCCACCAATCTCAACAAAGTGAAGAACATAGAGGAGGATTTGGCTCATGCTACTCAGTCCCTTCCTGATTTATCTTTGCAACCAGGAGCTGTTGATGACAGCTCATCTGCTTCTTCAGGTTTTATGAAGTTTGGTTCAGGTTCCGTTCAAGACATTCAAGTTGTGCTCAAAAAGTACCATTTATCTCTTGCTAACCAGCAATTGAAGATGTCCAAAGAACTGACCAGTATAGTCATACCAAGAATTGATGAACTCCGTAAGGATCTTCAAGCCAAAATCAAAGAAATTAAAGAGCTGCATGGCGACTTTAGAACAAATATCAACGAGCACGTTGCACTTACTGGACAGCTTTTGCAAAAGTACATGGCTTCGATCAAATTCATCTCTACGCACTCAAAGAGCAGCGATGCTTTAAAGTTAAAAAATGATCAGCACTTGAAACCAAAGCATGATCCATATTTACTGAAATTGCAATTAGATTTGCAGCTTAAACGTCAACTTTTGGAAGAGAACTATCTCCAAGAAGCATATATCAATCTTCAGTCCTCCGGTATGGAATTGGAAAAGATCATATTCGGAGAAATCCAGCATACGTTACAGCGCTACTCAACTTTAATCGACACAGAAGCTCGTGTCTCGATAAACAATTTATGTCACGAGTTGCATCAGGGAATTTTAAACAAACCTCCTGCTGTTGAATGGGATCACTTTGTTGGTCATCACCCCAAGTGTTTGATTAACTGGAAATCGACAGAACCCATACCGCAACCAAGAAAACTTTCAGACATTAGGTATCCCAGGATGAAATCCGCACTTGCTAAGTGCATAAGAGCCGGATACCTTTTGAAGAAATCTAAGATTTTAAAGAATTACAATAAAGGCTATTTCGTGCTAACGAGCAATTATCTGCATGAATTCAAGAGCAGCAATTTTTTCAAACAAACTCAAGATACCACAGAAAAAAAGGATCATGGTGAAGTTCAGACTGGGCACAAGAAACGAGGATTAACGCCAGTCATGAGCATACCTCTCAATGAATCAATACTGATGGAAAGTTCGGATAACAAGTTCGCATTGCATGGTATGACAACATTTAGTAATCAGTATGAAAAGAAATCGACTGATACCGGGAAAATGATATCAAAATCTACTTCTACGATACATAAGATCTTGAAAACAGGCGCTAAAGTTCAAGCTCATAAGAAGGGCCACAATCACACCAGTTTAGAAAAAAAGCCAGAGATCCCAACTACCCCAGTAGCTACAGAATCAAACAAAGTAACAACTTGGGTATTCAAAACAGTTTCCCAATCAACCCCTGAAGATGCAAAGGATTTCAAGAAATGGGTCACTGAATTGAAGAATTTAACAACTTTCAATAACTCCATGGATAGAGCCAAGTTTATTGAAGAAAAGATCCTGAGAGCTCATTCTCGTGCCAGTTCATTGAATCTGATCAAACTCAACTCAGAAAATAGCGTGAACTCGGCTAGCTTGAGCCGCATTGCGCTAACCCCAGTGAAGTCATCGAGGGTTGATAGGGATAACAAGCCTCACTTCATTCAAATTGGGCAGCAACCACTTCTTGATCCCGCATCTTTGAGATCGAAAGTTAATACGCCGGCTATTGACGACAACGGGAATCTGATTATGGCTATGGATGGAAGACCACCTTCAGTGTTCAGTGTCTCTGCCTTGTCATCTCCGCATCAATCCCCCAACCAATCCGCAGCGTCAATTGGGGCCAATTCGGGCTCAAGTCAAGGTGGTCAGACGTCTCCTCAATCTCACCAGGGATTTGCTATTACCAGTAACGGTGTTACTGCGATAACCCATGCGCCTGCAGTACACAAGAGAAATGTATCTATACACTCTGCTCCAACAAGTGGTCCTAACTCAGACCATTCCTCTCCCAATGTCCCAATCAGTACGCCAGGCAGCGTTCTATCCGGTGGGAGCGGTGGTGGTTATTTTGCTATTCCAGTACGGGCGACATCCCAAAGTTCGACTCCCAATAGTGTAAGTGGGGACGTAATTCACGGATCCCATAGCCAGGCGTCACTGCCAAGAGTTCGCCTGAACGATCAGGACATGGCACACGAGAGATCTGAGCGTGTCGGCAGCCCTACTCTCAGGGGCGAGCGCCCAGGTATGACTTCTAGAACATCGGACGGTCAGTTGGCTAGTAGACCCACTTCTTATCACAATGTTAGAAAAAGCATCAATTCCAGTGCTACATCACTATCAAGTGGGGGTGAATCGCTTGGCAACCTTTACTTGAATCCAAGGCAAAACAATAGTGCACATGCTCTAACTTCCACTAAGACTCAACCGATTAGAAAACATCGCAAAAATGTTTCATTTGGATCACTGAACAGTCTTCTTTTCTCAAAAAAGGCAGGGGATGTTAACAACAACAATATGACGGATTATTTCATGTCCGGAAATAGAATTCAGGAAAACGATGATGACACCATTAACTTAAATCAATCATTATATTCTTGAGATGGCAATTTCGCTTAGTCATTTATATTCCTTCGCTTTCACCGTTGATTTCATTATTATACAAAACTTATGCTAGTATATAAATTAGTTTCTATATACATAATAGTTGATGTATTTACGATAAGGCTTACTGGCTTCGCATCACTCGATTTGCTTCCCCAGTTTATGAAACCTTCGATTGCAGTATAAGATACCTCCACTCACAGTTCCATCGGTGTCATTTGTTATTATGTCGTCAACTTGGCCTACCCATATCTCATGATCACCTACCCTGAATACCTCTTTTTTCTGGCATATAAAAACCCTCTCAGTGTTAGTTAAAATAGGAATTACAAGGTCAATGCCAGCCAAAGTATACGTGTGATAATGTTCGTCTTCAGTTAAATCTTTGAATGGCTGCGTAGGGATCACTCTTCCACTTTGTTGATGTTTCATAGCGCCCCTGCTGAATGTGCGAGCAAGGGTAATTGATTCAGCATTGGGTTTCAGGAGATGGAGAGCAAAATGTTGATGCTGATGAAGAGATTCCGATGTGAATGACGGTAATTGTAAGTTGAATTGTAAAAGTGGCTTTGGTTTTAGGGACAAGGAGCTAACTGACGACAGAGTTAATCCTCGAAATAGAGAGTGAGGAAGAAGATTTTTGCTTGCAGAAGTTAAAATCATAGCCTGGTTCCCCATTCGTGCCATTGATTCCTTGAACATTTGCTGGGTAATGAGCTCTTTTGATAAGGTCGATGAAAAGCGTACAAATTGCAATTTCATGTTGTGAGGTCTCGCGTTATTATCTGTGGTATGTATTGTTCTCCACATTTTTTTTCTTGATTCGGTTGGATCTTTAATTCAACTAGACCAATATTATCGAGCGTTGAATGCCAAAGGAGATCAATGGCAGTAGAAAGAAACGGCTAAATGTCATTAAAGTCTAAAAGAAGTGAGTTATTGGCTTCAGCTTCGAATTTGTACGTGAAACTGAGGCCTAAAAAATGCTCCCAGACGTCTATCTCTCCTATCGATACGACTCCATTAGTCACAAACTTCGCTAAATGGTCAGGAAAACGGAAGTTGTTACTTTTGACCAAGAACTCAAGCCTTTACAATGAAACTAAACCCATGGGACTTGATTGTAACCTATTCGCGAGTTTACTGTCTTCGCCAATGAGATGTGATAAAATCGCGAAACTCAAAACTCCACAAGACATGTTGATTAAATTGAAGGTTAGGCAATCAAAAACAGCTGAAGTTGATTCCCCACAAAAACAGATCGATAGTTTCAACCTTTTACCCGTGGTCAAATCCGATAAAATAGGCCAAAGTTCTTACGTCACAAATAATCTACGAGCTTTAGAGAACGATGCAAAGAAAGCTAATAATGCCCTTCCGACTTCCGTGAGAAACTCAACCATGAGAAGTATTGAAAGCAGTGAAATTAAAGTGGACATAACCTCCATCATTGCCAATAACAAGCAAGGGCTACTAAATTTGATTAAGAAAGAGCTGAAAAAACATCAAGTCGCGGAAAGAGAACCACTTCTAGAAACAACCAACGATGTTGTTTTTCTAGTTTTTGACGATAAACTTGATAACGATATTGAAATAGGACCATCAAAAGAAGGCGGTGAAAGAAAAACTATAACATTAAACTTGAAGAATTTAGGGCATTCGGAGCTTGGGCGTATAATGGGCGCTGATTTTGTTGAAGGTGGTCGGAGAATTTTCCTACGCTTTTCACAACACCAAGAATTAATCATCGCAGTCTACAAGCTCTTGGCCGTGTCTCATTAATAATTATTTTACTATGTACGTTTTATTTTTCTTTCAACTACTAAAAGTGAGAGGTAGACCATACACAACGGGTGCGGCGCCATTGAGATATTTCAAATGACATGCATCTCGTGATAGATTTACAGCCTCCGATATACGTTTAGGTCTTTTACCATTTTCCACGAATGCAAGATGTGAGAACATAGCGGAACTGAATTTATCAATATCTTTGTCAGTTACGTCCCACAGATTTCCGACTACCATTTGACAGCCTCCCATCAAATAAGCATACACAACGCCTGATGGTTCAAGGTGACCATAATTTCTCATGTATGCAGAGGAACATCCAAGTAGAAAACTAGGAGCAATACTTCTACACTTTTTAATTTCCTTCATTCTTGCGTACTGCTCTCCACCTCCGTGGCCGATGTAAATAAAAGCAGAAGAGTCTCTTAGCATTTCCATGAAAGTATTCTCAGTCGGCTTCTTACCGACAATCAAATTTGAACCCGGAATGCATTCTGCCCATGTCTCAAATTTATCTCTGAAGTTGTCCTCAGTCCGAAGAAGATCGCCTTGAGGATTAAGAATCATTGACAGGTTTCTGTTCAGTTTAACATCTGGCGCTATAGCTCCCTGAGAATTTTGTATCATTTCCCTCAATGATGAAAGGCATGGGATACGCGTGATGGATATTTCCCGCATAAAACCTATACTTTCCCAAGGAATTATGTGAGCGCAACTTGAAACTATCAAAAATGTATGTGTTACTATTTGGGGAGAGCTGTGTTCATTCCTATAGTCATTTATCAATTCTTCAATCTGAACATGAATCAAACTCGTGTCAATTTCGTCATAAGCATTTTCTTCTCCATGAAATAATAATATGTCAAAAACAAAAAAAATCAGATCTTCCATCATCTCTACAAAACAAGGATCACTTGGGCTTAACTTCAAAAACAACTCTAGGATAAAGTCATCGACTTGCAAAAACATTGAGGGATTACCAAATTGTTTCCTTGTAGGCAAATTTTGCTGAAGTACCTCTTGAAACCTACCTTTAAATTTTTGCATCACATCACTTGGAATTATTTGATGATTGAAAAAACTTTTAAACCCGCTAAACCATGATTCTTCTATTTTCCGCATGAGATCACTCATACGCTTATCCAGGTCATATCGAGTTTTCCACCACTGCTTCCGTTGGTCCTTGGATTTTATAGACGTCGTCACCTCAGAAGAGGTGCTATGGTTACTTTCCTTTATAATCATGTTGAGCTCCTGAAGCGCGTCCTTAAATGTAAGTGAGTCCTCATCTATGTCTCGAGAACTCTGTCTGTTCAGCGGTAGCCTCAAACTAACGTGCTTGTTCGTAGCTGATTCCATTTTTGACAATAACAAGTCACCTGTTATATCACAAATATCGATGGCTATCACGTTGAATCTCTCGTTAGACCATTCTTGTAAACTTAATTGCATTTCGACCAATGAGTTTTTAAATTCATTGACAATGGTACCCTGAAACTCCACTTTTTTCGGTGTAAAAGAATCATAAATCTCGCCACCAAGATTATTAAAGAGCTTATCATAATGCAAAGGTATGCATTTAGGAATTTCGCTTAGTGCAAGCATTTCGTGTAGAGTTCTTGCTTCTATACCTCTAAGGTCCATACTAGACAGCATCGAAACCGCTAGGGAGTAAAGATTAGAAGCCTTCATGATTTCGTAATTTTCCATGCTATCCAATTGAAATCCTTCAACTAATTTTTTTATCAAAGTGAGATTGTTATTAGCATTAGCTTTATCAAACCGTTGCTTCAAATGCTTACTTCTAGGTGTAAGTGATGACGGCCTAGGTGAGTTTACGTGGTTGAATGCATGAATACGTTTCTTAGCGGGGGTGACAATGACAGAATTTGGTTCTTGAGATTCTGGCAATGTGTTTGGATACATGCATGACGGAATAGCGGTTACAGACTCTTTAAGATTCCTGAAAAAAGGATCAATCTCCATCTGCTCCACAACCTTCGAAAATAAAACCTGACCTTTGTTAACACCATTCATACTTTCGAAGGTGGAAATGTTATGTGTGTTTGATATTACTTGACCTAACTTTAACTTCCAGTACTCTGAAAATAATGCGCTCTCGTACTCACCACTGAAGAAGAGCTTAAGCGAGTTCTCCAAGCTCTCGAATTCATTATTTGCGAATAGAAATTTCGTGAGTGCGTCAATATTCTCGCTTCCGTCCAAGCGGTCGAAGATGTTATTAGCCTTCAAAAGTGCGACTCTGGAAAGTTCTAGTTGCGCAGTGTACTTATAGTAGTATGATGCAAAAACAAAACTGTCAAACATTATAACAGGGTCCTTTATCGTACTCAAAACACGAAGATACTCACTCATGTAAAATTCACAATCCTTTGACACCCCTACGCGCATGTAAATCCCTATTACTTTTAAGAACAGGTCATTAAGAAAAGATGACAGTTCTAAACGTATTTCGTTGCTGAATGTTCCTTGTCTTTTAAAAACAGACTGGCAAAGCTTTAATGACTTCTTCGCTTCTATTAATGCCTCTTTCATGTTATTTTTGTAAAGCTGAAGAGTGGACGAAGTTTTCAATAATTGTATGTTAAAAGCCAGGGTTCTTAGGTAAAGAAACACGGGTTTATTTGAATTGTTCTTAATATCAAAAATTTCAGGCTTTATTTTCGGAAGTTTCGAGATGAAAAGGTCATTAAACGTCAAATGATCTTCTTCCCATTCAATAGTCAATAATTTGATGGACAAGTATTCGAAAAGCTCGTCAAGCCTCCAAGATGAACCTGTTTCGATCAATGCTTCGAATTCATTAAGAACATCGGGATAAATTGCTGTGAATGAAGTGATCATTTTCAATCCAGCGTATGCATCCAGCTCTCGGCACCTAATAAGAAGGCATAACGACTTGAAATATGGTGTGGGGCAACTCTGTATACTTTTTGCTAGTTGTATCATCTTTTTGTAGAACTTGTTGAATTTTAAGTACTGAAATAAAGACCTCACAATCTTACCCTCAATTCTTGAAATCTTTTCCTCCTTTTTCGGTATATTTTTAATCCATTTAAATATTAGAATATCTGTAATTTTTGCCAGATTCTTACAGCTATGGTTTTTCATTTCAATGCTGAGATAGAAAGCCGTTCTGATCAAAGCCTCATATTCGAAAAGAGGATCAGAGGACTCTATCGCTACATTGCACGCTGAATCAATCAGTGGGCGATTGCCTAAAAATGTGAACAGCATCCTCGTAAGTGGGCTCCATTCCTGAATGGGAACATCGCATATGCTTGTCGTCCCATATAATAAACAGATCATGAGGTCAGAGCATTCCTTGAAACACATATAATTTTTAGCATTTAGATTTTTGAAGCACGGGCCCAGCTTTTCCTGAATTAATGTTGTCAGCTCCGAAAAAGATGTAACGTCAAAAGTGAAATATATGTTGAAAAAGATCTCAAATATAGATAATGCGATGCTATCAGTAGAGTCTGTAATGAATCTTCGAACTTTAGCAAAATCTAAATTGGTTTCTTTGGTACATGATAGTCGTACATGCTCCAGATTTGCGGCGAATAAAAGAAAGGAATCATCACGATGGGTAACAAATGAGTTGAATGCAAGGTTAGTAATATTCTGTAATCTTTTGAAGTCTGCATTATTCAAGCAAAAATTTGCTAAGCGCTTCAAAAGAAGATCAGTATCACTCACCGAGATGGAATCCAAACTTGTGTTAATGAATATCGTAATTCTGTCAAATGCTTTCAAGGATGTATCCGAAGGAAGAATGACTTCCCGCTCCAAATAAGTTGCATAATGCAAAATAAGTGAGACATATTTCTTATGGGCGTCAGATACTGATTTGATCTTCTTGCTATTCAGTAAGCCAACGAATTGGTTATCCTCCTCGTATGATATCGTATGCAGCTCTTTCAAGACAAAATTCAGCTGTTCAAGAGTTCCCTCTGAATATACTTCATGCAATTGTTCTATTCGCCTAGGGAAAGCTTCTCCCATAATTTTCTCTGGTGTTATTGTTCCAGAGGAGGTATAATAAAGACGGTATTGGGCGTAATAAGGATTGATGTACTCTATGATATGCATTCTAGTAGTTTTCGCCCAGTAAACTAATTGTGATTGAAATCTGTGTGGGTCAGTGTTCCTAATAAAATCGTTAAATTTGAGATTAAATTGCGGAATGTACTGAAGAAATTTCATTCCTAAAAGAACTTTGTAGTTTGGAAGAAGTGTAAAAAAATTCAGCAGTAGTTTGACCAAAGGTTTTATTTTTGCTCTCTTATCTTTGAGAAGGTAGCGGTGGTCCATCGCGAACATTTCCACTAAAATTTCATCATAAAGGTGTGTGGTTTGAGATTTAATGATGATCTGTAACGCAATTATTTTAATTGTAGAAAGATAGTAACTGTTACTCATAGAATAATCGGTTAGTAATACCTCGTTAAAGGCCTTGAGTTTGGTGGCATTTGTGTTATTATATAGATCGATTATTGCTTGTTCTGCAAACTTCAAATATCCTAATTCGAGAGCCTTGATAATAGCCAGGAGATGCCGCTTTGTTAGATCTTTTATATTCTGTATTTGGTGGTTTTTTTTGAACACCTGGTATAGTCTGAGGAACACGTCCTGTACTTCATTCATCTTGTCGACAATGGGATTCTTTAGAAACTCCACCACAATAAGTTGAAGATCTTTTATGTTATCTGAACAGCTAGCGCTTGATTTCTGGTGCCTTGATAGTTTGTGATTCGTTATTTTTATATTCTCTGCCGTACGAATGCCATCACCGCATCCCTCCTTCACAATCATAGAATCAAAGCAATTCACATGTGCGCCTGGCTTTTTTATGGGCGTATTTGTGCTAACTTCATTCAAGACATCTTCATTCACTGCCATCGGATGTCTCGTTTTATCTGAAGCACCTGTATTTTGATCTTTCCTTATAGGCTTCAAGTAAGAGTTGATTATCCTCAACTTTTTGTTTGTGTTTTGTCCGGGATGGAGGTAGATTCCGGACAACAACGATATTATCTTTTGTCCGGTCAATTCCCATTTCCGGACAATATGAAATGAATTGCAACACTATACAAGTTTGTGAAGAGATTAGCTCACACACTTGCACGAACACCGAAGATCTTTGAAGCTATCTATGGAATGGTATACTTAGAGTCGCTCACAAAAAACCCTAACACAGAAGATATAGAAGATGCGCTACTTGAGCTCGATGAAAAAAGCCTCCTAATGTTAGACAATGTCATGATAGTTGTCAAATATATCATTCCAGTTCACCCATCATTATCCGAAAGCAGCCAGAAAACTCTCTTTGGCTTATTCTCAAGATCATTTAAACTTCTAACGCATACTTTGAACTTCATAAACCTCATGAAAAGTTCACCAGAGGCCAAAATCTATAGGCAATTTTTGATTGAAGTATTAGCCACTGAGCCATCCTGCCTAAGTAATTATATTCTGTCATCCAACAGCAATTTGGAACTGAAGCTAATACGATCATACTTCTTTGGAAGCAAAATTTTGAATGCGGTTTCAGATACTATAGATATCATGGAGTATTTGCGGCTTATCAAATATCAAATTCTGTTTATTATGGACCACGATGATGTTTCCAACGCAAGGATTTACGCAGATTTGTTCAGCTCCCTTCTTTCGTTGCACCCAGTCTTTGCACGCGATCTCATATTTGGAGACTTGATCTTTTCATCCCCAACACTCTTCTCTAAATTCAAGTGCTTGTTCGTTAGTGGTTCAGTAAGCTCCCAACACCGAATTGCAGATAATCTACTTCTTTATTTTGACAAAACAACTAATAAATCCAACGTCAATTCAGCAGTTTATGTGATGAAACAGATCGATGTTAGCAGGGTTGGACAAAGCGTTCTACTAGATTTGAATAACCTGTATTTGAAGGCCGCTGTGATCGTTTGTATTTCAAAGGACTCTCTTATTGAGTTATATGACACCTTGATCGCTTATTTTTCCATGCAAAATCATAATTTTGACGATAAAACTGTTTGCGAGCTATTGGTTATTGTCCTGAGAGAGTTAGATAGTGATCAGAAACGAAAGCTGGCGCATCAGTCTCTTTTTCTGGATGCTGTCACCAGCAGACTTGCGTCCGAGGATTTGGAAGTCAGGGAACGTACAATGTACATTGGTAAGCTTATCACGGAAGGAGGACTAAAATATGATAGCACTTTCAAAATTGACGTACCGAAGATTAAAATCCCACAAGATGAGCCGACAGATTTGAAATCTTTACAGGTATTATCAGCGGAATTATCCGAGAGTACCTCCTCTGAGAGTACCTCCTCTGAGATTTTCTCGACATCGATAAGCACCTTGTCTTTACATGACAAACGTGAAGATCATAGAAGAAGCATTGTATTCTTGAAGGACTTAGTCAAAGAGTTTGAAGATAATGAAAAAGGTCATCAGGAACAAGTTCATCTTTTAATGGACACGGTTAAGCTTGTGCGTCAGAAAAAAGACTTCGCCGCTGAAATAAAGTACTACAGCTCCCCATTGTTGACATCAGTAGCTCATTTGAGCAACAATATGGATGAAGATCATTTTGAAGAATGGAAAATTAATGCTCTTGTTAGTATTTTATCCACCGTTCCAGAGAAAGTCACAGATTTAATCAAAATTCTATTTATGGGTGATATATCATTGCAGCAAAGAATGTGTATTCTCTCAGCATTGGGCTTGGCAGCGAGGGAATTGAGAGGATTAGACGATAGCGTCATTTTGAAACCTCAATCGGATTTTCCTACCAAGAGGCTACCGTGGGATGAGGCTGCAGGCGCCAAAACCGCGAAGTCTGATCTCATTGAGCAGCAAGCTGAAGATACATATCTTAATGAAGGTCGCGTAGTTTGGAAGTCTCGAAAGCTAAACAAATCCAAAAGAGCGCCAAATGAAAACCGATTTATGAAGCATGCCGCACTCTTTTTCTTTCCTTTGGCTCACGGTTGGATGAACGGAATTGAGATGGGCACTTACGACCACCTATTCAAGAAACATTATTTATCTACCCTGCGGATTATAATTTCTGCAGCATTTCCCCATCCCGAATTTAATTCTATGAGTGATTTCATGGGAAAGGTTGCAGAAGACGCTTCTAAGCAAGGCATTGAATTATAAAGCTTGAGGACTCACTGGGCCAGTTTAGTGTGATGAAAATTGTATATCACGTGACTTCTATGAGGCTTTTTTTCGTCAAGTAGTCTGTTGATCGGGCTTTTAAAGCGCTCAACATGATGAGGACAAAATCATTTGATAGTCGCTTTGATCATTACGCCGACTCTGTTTTAGGTAAACTAACTTGAATCTCAATCAAAAGTTTTATTCTGATTCTGTAAGCACATATATTAAGTTCGCGTTCAGTATTTTGGTTGATCCTGTTAGGGATGTTCGCATACCTACTTACTTTGACGAAATCGCTAAGAATCGTTTCTGTTGGAATTTTGATTATAGCATTAATTCAAACACTAGCTCTTAATCTCATAACCCACTTTTCCATTCAATTCAAAGTCATTCAGCACTTATCCGTGGGTTTTTTCTTTTGGAACAGTTTGTATTTCGTGCGACTAAAGTTTTCAAATGCCACTTTGAACCTTCGCAAAGTCAAATTTGGTATAAGGCGCAATATCACAATTGAAATCGAGGGAATTCATCTACGAATTCAATCGAATTCGACACGAAAAGATAATGGGGCCCAAAAAAGTATTGATGAAATCATTCTACAGCTACTGATGGAGAACTCTATCTTTGTCTGCGTTAAAAGATTTCTCCCAAGAAAAATTGAGTTTCGAAATGTAATCATTTACTTTGAAGACACCGAGAAAACAATACAAGTCGAAACAATCATTTTGAATACCAACCTTTATTATAAGGGACCGAATTTTGCAATAAAACTGCTCGCTTTAGAAACATTGGATGTTTCAACTAAAAATAGTTTGCACAGACTTGAATATTCTTTAAAATTCACCATTACCGAGAAGTATGAGAATTCCAAAATTAGGTTGTCGGCCAAAAATTGCAGAGCCGCATTAAAAGTCGGTAGCTTGCAATTAAAACTTTTAAGGGAGCACGGTTTGTTTGCAAGAAAGACTTCACCGCAAGCTAGTACCCGAGAAATTTTAAATGACTTCGCACAAATTTACCGAAATGTGCTTCTCAATTTGAAGGTATTGGATATTAAACTCGAAAGCCTTCATATAACGTTGAATAACGAACTGCATATATTTATTTCAACCCTCATATTCTCTGCAAAATCTATCCTCACTTCTCAACATGGTATGTTGGAATTGCTTGGGTCTGATCGGAAGTCGCCAATCAATAACGAAATAGCTTTGGCTGTAAACTCCGTCGAATGCCATTTTAATAAGAAAGAATTGCTTAGAGTTCCAGTTATGAATTTTACGCTCAATACAGACGTGCTGTCTTACCTTTTTGATTCAAACTGTACTGAACTGAAGGTTGGCTGTACTATAACACTGGTTGATCCTTCTATTGTCTTTCAGTTGTATCAGTTGCCAAAATTAATAGCTTTTTTCAACTCTTTATTCGTATTCTCCCAAGAAACTACCATGGGCAATTTTCAAAAACAAGCACCGCCCCTCACTTTCTTTCCACATTTCATTTTCAAGGCCATCGTATCCAATTTTTCATGTACTTTGGAGCTATCAGACTTGAAGCATTTTGTCGTACGAACAAGCAATGTTCACGCATTTATTCAAAACAGAATGAAAAGGGACTATGCAATTTTTACCGACAGACTAAAAATTGAAGGTCTTAAGCGATCTATGGACCACATGGACAATTTCTTAAAAGTTGATCGCTTCACTTTTTCATATATCAAGTTTGATGAAAGTGCGCCATTGAGACTGGACGATTCACCTATAGTTGCATTCAGTAAATGGGAGTTTTTTAATAAAGACATTGTTAATGATACTAGAACAATTACAAGCACCTTGAGAGAATTACGAGTATCTTTAGAGTATGCGGATGCATTGAAGGATATCGGAACACTACTACAGAGATGGAGAGTCTACAACGCTGAATCTAAATGTAATGATGATCACGCTGGAAGGACTGCTTTACAAGGATCATATAATTTGAAATTACGTTTGAAAGACGCGTCTGTTTCTCTCTTAATTTCAGGCCATTTAGATACGGCGCTTGACGTTGTTGAAGTCAACGGTATCAATTTAACGTCGTACACCCGAGGTATGAGCGCAAATTTAAAAGAAGCATATCTTCATTTAGATCCTCTTGAGAAAAAGTTTGATATTGTCAGTGGTTCTATCTGTAGGGTTATGGGACATGCTACGAAGGTGGGGCAGCTAGATCGGCTTGCAACTATTGCAAATATGGCTCTAAGTATTTGTGAAACTAAGGTAACGTGGACAATTCCTCAACTCAAAATGAAGTTTGACGTTAATGTTATTTGGCTGTTTTATTACTTGAGAAGCATTGCATTGACCTATATTGAAGGGAGGTCGAAAGGTAAAGAAAGCAAGAGATCTAATGCCCTCCTTGAGAACTTAGAAGTAGTTGCGGGATCGCTGGTCTTTGACATGGAACTTCCTCATCAAACTAAGCTGCTTTTGAGTTTTGATGGATTGGATTTCACCGGCAAGAAGTCGCAACTTCATATAGGCAAGTTTGATACTTTCATTCGCTCTGTATATGCCGTCGAGGATCTTGTTTTTGTTCCCCTCCTGACAATAAAGAACGTTCTAATAAATGTACGATCAGTGTTTCACGATGAAAAGGTCCCGATCACTGTATCTTCCATTTCTTTGAAAACCGAGTATCATCTTAGATTCTACAAAATTGTGGATAATCTTATAACTATGGTGAAGGCAATGAAACAGATAAAACTTGCTTATAAGGATTTGTCAAAGTTTCAAAGATTAGAACCTTCACCTGAACAACCGAAAAAGGTGCCACGTATAAACATTAAGGCACAGAAGTTAAGGATTAATGTCGAAGAAGATCCTTTTGAACAGGAGTTAGGGTTGATTTTCAAAGTTGGTGTGTTGGAGCAAAGGGAAAGATTAGAGAAGCTCTCCTTATTTGAAAAGCACATTGACGGTCGTCCCCCAATGACTCTGAACAATCTTTTCGCAGAAGCCCCGGCAAGTTGGAAAAGAGATGATAATGAAATAGGTTCAAAACGTTCGAAGCTTTATGAGAATTTCTCAACATCGTGGATTAACAGGTACCGTAAGGCCAAATTAAAGTTCCATGGAAAGCCGTCATCAATACTAGAGCGTACAAAAATTGGCACTGATTTTTATTTGGTGCTGGACGAAGTGAATAGCACGGTGTTGAAGGTGAAGGTAAACAATTTAGATATGTTAGTAGGGCCGCCTTCATTCCCATTGGAAAACTACACACAGTTCATGTTCGAATATGGAAAGAGAATACCAGCAGATACTCTATACACAACATTGATTCCTATGGGCATTGATATTAAAACTGATCGTTGGGATTTTATTCTGAGAGACTACCCGTTGGCGTTACTCTCTTTTCCCGATACTCATGTCACTGGCGATATAGTCTTTGCGGAGAAGATGCCTTCTGGTAAATCCAAAAGAACAGTGTACGTACCATTTGTTCCAATGGCGACTTCAAAAGACTATTTTAACACGAACTCTATCTACGGAGCTAGAATAACGCGAACATTAAATCCTGTGAAAACATATATGAACTTAAAATGTTCAATTCAGTCGCCATCGCCCACAACGATAACCTGGGGTAAATCTTTGCAACCAGGATATCAGTCTGTCATGCTTTGGTTTGACTATTTGACGAAACCACCTTTGGATCCTTCGGAGAAGCTCGGGTTTTGGGATAAATTCAGATTATTGATACACGGGAGACTGAGCTTTGAATGGTCGGAGGGCAGTGACGTACACTTAAATATTAAAGGTTCACATGATCCGTATATGATCACTGATGATGGGGCAGGCTTATCCTTTTGTTGGAGCGAGGGAACTAAACTGGCTATCCATGGTTCTGATGACCCCACAGAATTTTTGAAGATTACCTCTAAGAGCTTCCTCCTTGCTATACGTGACTTCACGGACACTCAGAAGTTCGATAAAATTTTGATGAGACTAACTGGAAATGTTATCTGGAAACTGGGTCTGCTTTTCGAGTCCGGAAGTTTAAAAAGTGCTGGTGAGGAGGAGCGCTCCTGTTATTTTGTTCCACATTACAAAATTGAGCTTGTTAATCCTAAATTTATTCCAAAAAATACCTTTCATGATTCCTATAAAGGTTTTCGCAGTGACTTCATTCATATGTCATTTGGTGTTTTCTCTGATGATAAATCGTCTTGTTCCAATCGTGTGCACCTGGCCCCTCATTGCATGGCACATTTTTTGAGTTGGTGGAGCTTATTCAGTACTTATACTTCTGGGCCAATACGACAGGGACCACTTTTTCCTGACTTAGTTCAGAATCCTAAGAAATTTTCAAGAGCTTTATTCACAGTGAAATATCAACTTTCTTTAGCTCCATTGACAATATCACATGCTTATCGACATGCTGATTCCCAGCTCGATTTGAGAGGAAATAATAATATTGCCTTCACTGGTTTGAAAGGTAATTTTGGATTTCTGAAGATAGACCTTCATCAAAAGAGAGTAAAGATGATCCACACCGATGATAAATTAAATATTTCTCGAACGATTTGGAAATTTAAAATGAATGCAGCTGAGATTGATTGTGTAGATGCAGATATTCGAACAATCTTCACAATTTTTGACCAAGAAGCTATCGAAGAACTTCTTGCCAAGAATCTAGGCATAGTGAACGATAGTGATTGTGAACACGATGTCAATTCTCCTTCACCTGCGAGAATGGATTTGGCTCACGACTCGAATTGGTATGATTTCGAAGATTATACGGATCTGGATCAAATATCGTTGGATTCAACTACCCCCTTAAAGTTCAAGGCTATTCCCTTATTATATTCTCCTCGAATTTCTTATTTGAGAAATTTGAATGATGAATCGCTCGATGTGAGTTATCCTTTCGGTGATGAAGAAGCACATAATTGTTTCTTGGGCCATAATCATCCCGAAAGAACTCAAGAATCGTTGGCAAGAAAGCGTGCACAAGAAATAGAGCAGCAAATTAGGCTCATATCCACATCCATCGAATCACTTAATGCGATAACGGGTGGTGGAAAGGCTACCAGTGAATCAAATGAGAGATTAATGAAATTGGACAGGCAGATGCATGACTTCAAGCATAGGTTGCATATTATTCATAAAGTTCTCGAGGAACTTGAAATTTCAAAAATTCCCACCATCAATTTCACTTCTGACGACGTCGAGAGTGCACCTTCCAGCTTAAATATGGAGTCTGGGGAACATCACTTGCATCTCACAAACACTTCTCTCGTGCGAACGTCTACTATAGAATCATTTCGAAGTATGAGAGAAGTTTCTAGTGCATTTGTCAAATCCAGTTTCAATAATAGATTCATCATACACAACATTTTGCTCAAGATAAACAAGAATACAAGAGATCATTTGATGAGCTATGCACTCAATATGTTCAACAGAAAAAAGACTAAATTCTTTCGAGCTTACAAAGCAGTGGCACTCCTGGATGAGCTATTAAAAAGTAAATTTGACAAGCCAGGAGGTCTAAGCGAAAGCTCCACAGATTTTTTCACAGTCGAAGATTTGGTCTCGAATTCAGAACTGATGGAGAGGTTTGATGATATCATCAGAGAGGTCCCCGGTGAAGACTTCGAAGCTTTTGACAATTATCAAGTAAAGCTAGTGTCACCTCAAATTCAAATAACATCTGAAACAGAATCTGAAAAAGCCATTTTGGTTACAGCTAGAGATATTGAGATCAGCATTATTGATATCAATCAGGTTGCAAGCTCAAAGGGAAAGAGCATCCCTCTTGACTTTAACACACTGGTCGAGACTAGATATTGCACAAAATTGAATGAAGCGCATTTCTTCATCTTTGGTAAGGAAGAAATTTCACGCGATAATGCATTGGGATTTTGTTTGAATGGCTATGGAATGGAGGATGGATCCTCTTACTGGCCCCCATGGATGCCCATGGAAATGTGTTACAACTGTGAACCATTGGAGAGTTTTGTCTTCCTGAAGAGGAATGAAATGATTTTAACTTTCACGAGGCCCAATTCGCTCTTTTTCAATGGGAAATCGCATTTACCAGAGAGTAATGAAGCTCGTTTACGAGTGGGTTTCCCCCAGGTTGTGCTTATGTCTGATTCTGAGCAATATTCTGCTATATACGCAATCGTTGCTGATTTGTTATCTTTTGCGTCTAGTTTCGATAAGAAGGTAGATAAACTATCGAAAGTGCTATTGGCTGATGAAGTTAAAAATAATCTAGACAAACTCGACGCTTCCATTGTCATCAACTTGCAAAATAAAATACGTGAGCTTTATCGCACGCGGGGATATCTCAAACTCCACGACCCAAGAAACTATCTCTTAGCTGCTCAAGACATCGCAGTCGAGATACAAGTGACAATCATGGAATTGGACCTCTTAATGACTGCAATCAAAAGAAATTATGATAGCATGAAAACGACTAGTAAAAAGGCTGTGCGCCAAAGCAAGCTTAACTGGCAAGTGGGTGCTGATGAATTAACTTGGCGTCTTTTCGATGAAAATAAGAAGCCCTTCATAGTGTTCGAGCTAGGACCTTCGACATTTATCAGATCGCAGGGCTCAGAAGGCGCCAATAGCAATAAGATCAGTATCAGTACATTGAGATGCTTTAATTTACAACAAAACCCAGTTTATTCTGAACTTCTTTCCCCCTTAAAAGAAGACTCTAAGTATGATGAATTGAAACCCTTGATAGAAATTTTGTGGATAATGGGAGTACCAGTCGGCGGTATATCTGACATTGAAGATCTCATAGTATTGTTGCAACCACTAAAATTTAAAATGGACCACAAGACATCAGGAAGACTATTGAGGTATTTGTTTCCTGGAGTGCCCACCACCTCCGTGTCTACAGATGAGATCTTGAAAGAATCGGATACATCTTCAGTATCAGTTTTCAGTTTACAACAGTTAGCGAGAAGGGACACGTCGATGTCTCGTTCACCTTCGGAGGGGTCCACATCCTCCGGTCAGCACAATGAATACGAAATGCATGCTGTCGTAAATCCAAGACATAGCGGCTTCAAAAATGGATTCAAACCATCTAACACTGTTTTTAAAAGCGCAGATCAAGATATGAATGAAATGGTTGAAAGATCGAGCACGTTTTTCAATGTGAGATCAGTTACAATAGGTAAAGTTACCATGTCTGTTAGTTACAAGGGCTCTAGAAGCTTGATAACAAACGTCGATAATCTGACCGTTAAAGTTCCTACGATAAAGTATACTAATAAATTATGGTCTCGCAATGAGTTCATCGCGACGCTGAAAAAAGACATAGTCAAAGTGGTGTTGCAACATATGGGTAACATTATAGGAAACAAATTCATTCCCCACAAGAAAGAGAGCAAATACGATGCATTCCGGCAGTTTGCACCATTTGTGCGCACTGACACCTTCCGATCGAAAGTGATGCCATCAATAAATGAGGAGTCGAAGACGTTATCACAAGTATCAAAAACTGTTTCCCAAATCTCAAACGCATCATCTCTATCAAAGCTGCGAGGCAGTAATCGGCCATCTATTGAGAGTGATTCTCCAGACACAGAGGACAATGATGTAAAGGGATTTTTCCCTGCGAGTTCATGATCATTTACATTAAGTATGAGACTGCATATATATTCTATCCGCACACGACATTGTATTTTACTTTACGTATAAATTGACATTTTTGTTTCGTGATGTAGGTAAAGGGGCAGGTGTCGAGGGTACAAATTTTACTTCAAAATGCGAACATTGATGGCACTGCGTTCTTCTATCGGCTTTTAGTAATTAACGAAAGATGTCTTTCTTTGATTCTATACGCCAGAAAGCATCTTCGGTGAAATTTCTGGATAAATTGACTGACAGCTTCGGTCCCGTCCTGACTAGGGATGAGATATTTAAGTTTGAATACAAGCTACCAAATGATGAAAACATCCTTGATGACACTAATGCAGATATCTCGATAATAAGTCCACATATGAAACCCAAAGATTTGAGGCACGAAAATGAAGAGGGTATGGCATATGTTTATTCTGGTCGGCTATTTTTAACCTCACATTATTTGGTATTCAAAGATTCTTTTGATCATTCTTCTTGTGTGTTCGTGCTTAATATTACCACAATTAGACGTGTCGAAAGAGCCCCAACAACTTCATATGCATTTTCTCTGGGGATTACCCTATATTCAGGTGTTCGAATAATAATTCAATTCATTGGACTGCGGAGCCGCTCGGAAGAATTCTGCTACAAGCTTAAAGAGCAATTGACAAAAAATATACCAAATACGAAAACTTTGACACCATTTTTGGAAACATGTTATTCTGAGTACCTTATAGCAAGGAATGTTCTGAAAAGAGTGGATGCTTCCCCCCCTCCAGCTGGATTGGGCCAAATATATAAGTATCCCGGAAATCCTGCGATCATGAAAGAGAAGCCAAAATTGAGGTTATGGTTCGAGTATTTCAGAGACAATGGAAAGAATTTAACGATTGTAAAGAATCATATGTTTCAGAAGCTCATTAGAGTGGGCGTTCCTAACCGTCTTAGAGGGGAAATTTGGGAACTGTGCTCCGGCTCCATGTATTTGAGATTTGCTAATCAAAAAGAGTACGTTACAATTCTGAAAGCAAACGAAGGAAAGACGTCACAAGCTATTGAGGAAATTGAAAAGGACTTGAACCGTTCGCTACCTGAATATGCGGCGTATCAGGATGAAGAGGGGATAAAACGCCTGAGAAATGTTTTAACGGCATATTCATGGAAAAATCCTGATGTTGGATACTGTCAAGCCATGAATATTTTGGTAGCGGGCTTGCTTATCTTCATGACTGAGGAACAGGCTTTTTGGTGCCTCTTCAGTCTGTGTGATAATTACGTGCCAGGCTATTATTCAAAGACTATGTATGGAACACTTTTAGACCAAAAGGTTTTTGAATCATTCGTGGAAAGTAAAATGCCTGTCTTGTCTGAGCACATTACTACCCATGACATTCAACTGTCGGTTGTTTCTCTTCCTTGGTTTCTGTCATTGTTTTTCACTTCGATGCCACTCCCTTATGCTTTTAGGATCATGGACATTTTTCTTGTGAATGGTCCAAAAACTCTATTTCAAGTTGCATTAGCAATTTTGAAGGTCAATGGTGAAGATCTTCTTGAAGTAGATGATGATGGGATGTTTATTGCCATCTTGAAGAACTATTTTCAGACGCTCGATCACAGCGCACATCCTGAGTCTAGTGACATCAAATATAAGCAAATCACGAAGTTCCAAGAACTACTCGTTGTCGCCTTCAAGGAATTTAGCATTATAACTGATGCAATGGTAGAGCAAGAAAGGAACAAATACCGCAAAGATATTTTGCATAATATAGAGTCATTTGCAAAGAGAACTCAATTGCGTAATCTACCTCAAACTCGAAACCTAACGAAAGACAATCTTTCGAATATCTATGATTTATTCTACCAAAGTATTGAATCACATAAGATAAGCATGGGAACAGGCTCTTCGAACATGGATTTTGAAGCTTTCATCCAGTTTTTAAGCAAGTTTTGTGATTGGTGCAAGCCTTCTGAAAGTGAGCAGATTCCTCGATTCCGCAAGCAAAAGCGTGGGTTCCTCAAAAGACTATTCAAACAATGGGATATATCGTCTTCGAACGAATTGACGCTGAACGATGTAGTATCAGGTTTGGATTCTCTACTGTCTAAAGACTTGATGTCGTCAATTAACAATTTTTTCGCATTGTTTGATCAGGAAGGCAAAGGGGAAATTCAAAGAGAAGAGGTTCTTCAAATTTCAGAAGGATTACTCTTTTTGACAGAGCCTTGGAAAAGCGGGAGATGCGTTGATTATTTAACCCAGAAGTCAATAGAGGAAGACATTGCCGATTCTCTCATTGAAAATAATCTCGACCACATCAACAGCATGGACCAGATTGAGCTGCCTTCTGGTGTTGTAATAGACGAAGAAAAATACAAAACAGAGCAAACAGAGCGGTACTTGAAAGCAGCAAGCAATTTCTTACAGAGGTCCTTCGAATACGCTAGGCCTCTTGACTTGTCGGAGGAAGTGGATCTTCTCGACCTCTCAGATTCCGATGGAGAGTCCCAAGATATCAAGAAAAAAAAATGGGATACCTTGAAAGCGAACGCAGCCCTTGATCCCAGTCATCCCACTGTCATTGATTTGGCCACTTTTAGAATGATTATTTTGGCAGATGAAACCTATGAACTGTTTTTCGCACAGACGCTAAGGCATTCAGTCCATGTTGATGAGAAGATATCTCCAGCAGACGGGAAGGGAAAGGCACTCAGGAATATGTTTGATGGTCTACTTGCAGACGGCCGTAGGGTCGCTAATCAAATGCGGAGGAGAGTAGATTCAGTCGCAACGAAAGCCAGTTCATCATCTGAATCTCCCGTTGACTACGCTGAAAAGCAAGAAGAACTAGACGATTTCACAAGCTATCAGCCTGACGAGCATGTCGACCTATTGAAAGCAGACTTGATAGGATTCGAAGACGGTCACGAACAGAATCACCAGACACCAAAGGCAAGAGTAGAAAGCTTCTCTTTGGATCATACGCATTCCCACAATAATGAGAGCACGGTAGAATTTGAAACTTAAGTATTCAGGTAGTATCTAGTAAACATCATGTAATTGTGGTTTTTCTATTAGAACCATTGAGAACATGAGTGTAATTATTTCCTTCGTATTCGAAGATAACCGAACACGGCACGCAAAGTTCGCACATCCTCGAAGAATTCACAGAAATGATTACTTCTTGTTATCCATTGTGCTGCTTAGAGGAATAAATTTGGTACCGAAATGAATACGTTCGTGGGCAAGTGTGGAAAACATTTCTTTCTGAGTAATGCAATTCATATTCAGTCGAAACCATTGAGTGCATCGCTATTTAAACCTTTAGGATTCAACTGGCTAGGTAAAACTACTGTTGGACTTGAACAAGTTATTTCAGCAAGAAAACCAAGCACAACTAGGTTTTTCTGCAAGACCTCAGGTGTGACTTATGGGTGGAAAGATATGCTAACGAACAAAGGCAATAGTCGATATGCTAGACTGAATAGGTTTCAGCAATTCCAAGGCGGCAATAATAGTGGAAATCCTTTCTCCAAAAACAGCCTTAGGAACGTCACTTTAACAGGAGTGGCTTTAATAGCCGGTACTTTCGTAATAACACCGTACCTTTTTCAGTATGTTCCCCCCTTCACGTATTTCAAGTACCATCCGAGTCATTTGGTCTACGCCATACTTGGTGCAAACTGTGCCATCTTCGCACTTTGGCAAGCTCCTAAGTACTGGCGATTTCTCCAAAGGTACATGCTGCTTGAGAAAGACCACATATATAGTAAATGGTCTCTGATAGGAAGCGCATTCTCACATCAAGAGGTTTGGCACTTGGGTATGAATATGTTAGCTTTATGGTCTTTTGGAACTTCACTAGCAACCATGCTAGGGCCTGCCAATTTTTTTTCACTCTATATGAATAGTGCGATAGCTGGTTCTCTATTTTCTCTATGGTATCCTCACATTGCACGCATTTCAATGATGGCCCCAAGTTTAGGGGCTAGCGGAGCACTTTTCGGCGTATTTGGTTGCTTTTCATATCTTGTCCCAAATGCCAAAATCATGCTGTTCGTCTTCCCCATCCCAGGTGGGGCGTGGTTGACATTCCTTGGTTTTATGGCTTGGAACGCGGCAGGATGTGTTTTAAGGTGGGGATCCTTTGACTATGCGGCACATCTTGGTGGTTCCGTGGCTGGTATAATCTATGGGTGGTATATTAGCGAACAGATTAAACGTGAGAAGGCCCGCCGAATGAGAAGATTCAGTATGTTTTGAGATCCCGTTGCATTTTTCCGTTGGCAACTCTCAGTATGCTAGTACATAGTGTTAACTAATCATGTTCAAAGTTATAGTAGTTTAATCCCGATTTCTTATCAAGCCCTCTCTGACTACGAAGAATCCATTTTCATGTATTTTGGAGCACTCCACCGTATCCCATGAACCACTTACCTCACCAAGTGATTCATCCTTTTGCATCTCTTTACTTGTTGCCATTTCTATGTCATTGAAGGACAACGGTTTTGGATGTCGAATCATTATTCTTGCGTGATTTGCATCTATTGTCTCATCCACAGGGAGATTATGCAGAGTATTTATAAAAGACAGTTGATTGGCTAGCTTTAGCTGCATGTCCTTCAAATTCTGCATTGGGAGTCCTGATAGTTTCAACAAGCTTTTTACAGTTTCTTCACTGGGTATATTTTCCTTTGTGATATCGTAACGTGGTAATAAATCTTCTATTGTCCAGAAAGATTTAGAAAGATAAGCTTCCACTTGGTGAATATTTTCAAATTTGGGGCCTACTACCCCAGTCCTTCTATATGTACTCATCAACTTGCGTGGAAAATTTAAACGCACTCGTGTAATCATGGCCTCTTGCTGCAATTAGGTAGTTATTCAGCCAATATCAAGTTTGAGCCTGAGATTCCCAAGTTTATAGATCATTATCTAATCCCGTTAACTGTGATTTATTCAATTTCTTTTTCTGTTCATGAAAATTTTTTGGAAAAGCGATGCGATGAGCTTCAAGATGGCAGACACTATTCAATAGGAATAGCAATGAGAATCAAGAAGAAGCATACATCTGGTAATGCCAGAAACTTTGTGACTAGATCACAGGCTGTTCGGAAGCTTCAAGTTTCCCTTGCTGACTTCAGGAGGCTTTGTATCTTCAAAGGTATTTATCCAAGAGAACCAAGGAACAAGAAGAAAGCAAACAAAGGCTCTACCGCTCCAACTACCTTTTATTACTACAAGGATATTCAGTATCTGCTCCATGAACCCGTATTAGAAAAATTTAGAGAACATAAGACTTTTTCAAAGAAATTGACAAAAGCTCTTGGGAGAGGTGAAGTTTCTTCAGCCAAAAAATTGGAGGAAAACAAGCCCAATTATAGTTTGGATCACATTATTAAGGAACGTTATCCAAGTTTTCCTGATGCTTTGAGAGATATTGACGATGCTCTTAATATGCTATTCCTATTCGCTAATCTACCTGCCACAGACCAGGTTTCTGCTCGTGTAACAAAGGATGCACAGATCATCTGCAATCAATGGCTAGCGTATGTTGCTCGTAACAGACTAGTGCGCAAAGTTTTCGTTTCCATCAAGGGTGTTTATTATCAAGCCACTGTCAGAGGCGAGGATATAAGATGGTTGGTTCCTTATAAGTTCCCTGAAAATATTCCTAGCGACGTTGACTTCAGAATCATGCTCACATTTTTGGAATTCTACTCAACCCTATTGCATTTTGTTCTTTACAAATTGTACACAGACTCTGATTTAGTGTATCCTCCAAAGTTGGATCTTGCAAAGGACAAGATCATCGGCGGTTTAAGCTCTTATGTCTTAGAAAGCAACACCGAAGAATCTTCTTTGACCGCTCCATCCCTCGCTAATAACTCTATTGATGCGAAGGCAATTGATGCGGAGACATTGAAGTCGGCTTTGAAGGCGGATGCTGGAGAGGATGTTACTGAGGCGCAAAATGAAGATGAAGTGGATGAAAATGTTGAGGGTATTGAGCTTGATGCCTTTGAGGATAATAACAAAAACAAAGGTGATCAACTGGAACAACCAAGCAAGTATGATTCACCAACCTCTGTACTATTCTCTGATTTTGTGTTTTATATCGCCAGAGAAGTCCCTATTGATATTCTTGAGTTCTTAATTCTATCTTGCGGAGGTTCAGTCATTTGCGAGGCAGCATTGGATCAACTTGAATCGCAATCAGGCATCGATTTGAGTAAAGTAACTCACCAAATCGTTGATAGACCCATTTTGAAAAACAAGGTTGCCGGCAGAACGTACATTCAACCACAATGGGTGTTCGACTCTTTGAACAAGGGAGAGTTGGTGCCTGCAAACTCATATTTGCCGGGAGAAACCCTGCCACCACATTTGTCCCCATGGGGTGATGCTGTCGGCTATGATCCAACTGCTGGTATTGAAGAAGGTTCTGAAAATGGGTCCTCTGATGATGAGGAAGAAGAGGAAGAAGTAGCAGAAGATGAGGAAGACAAGGAAAACTTAGATGCTGGTGCTATTACTATGGGTGTCGATTCAGGCGAAGAGAGTGATGATGAATTAAAGGCGCAGAAAGAACTAGAACTTGAGGCCCAAGGCGTTTCTTACTCTGAGGCTAAGAATGATCAAGAAAGCAAAAAGTCTAAAAAATCAAACAAGAGAAAGGTATCAGAGCAGGATGAAGAAAAGGATTTGAAATTGATCATGATGAGCAATAAGCAGCGTAAGCTTTACAAGAAGATGAAATACTCCAATGACAGGAAAGAAGAGAAGGTGGAGAAATTGAAAAAGAAGAGAAAGGAGATAGAGAAGGTCAAGTCGAAATTAAAGCAATCTGAAAAATAAGGTCATCTACGCATTCCCAATTATATACCGTGTACATTTACTGTTTGCTAACTTTTACATTTTTTTCAAATAAGATCTGGGTGGGGTTGACCACCAAGAGGAAAAGTCTATATGTCATCTAAGTTATCAAGTCTTGAATCCATTGCCTTGCGGTCAGGAATCTCCAAGTCAATGTAGCCACTTAAATCTTTTTGCAGGCTGGCCAGGGAGCTTATGCCTTGGTTGATGCTTTTTATGTCTGTACCTTTTGCAACATTGACGTAGGCCTTTATCAGAAACCCGCCTTTTGTTTTCTGTACTGTTTTCTGACCATCTAAATGCCAAATTTTGCTTAGTTCGAGGCAAACATCGTTCGCCATATTTAGTTTCACGCCAAGGGTGATATTTTGAAAGTCCAAAATGTATCCAAGCTCCGATAGGAAAGAAATTATTGAAGCTGAACTCCCGCCTGACGAGAGGATGATTGATTCAGTGATTGATTGCATGGAAACGGACCTGTTTCCACCAGCCGACGGGATATCAGATATGTTTAGACACCAGCTATTCCCACTAATAGACGACTCGCATTCGTCAACGTCCATTTTATCAGGATCACTGCTACCATTCATCAAATCGGTTAATTTGGAAATATCAAAATTCGCAAGATCATCCGTAGTAAATTGTTTCAGTAGATTGTAATCCTTTGGGTATTTTCCCTGTGAGAAGTCGTTGATAGAGAGTTCTTTGCATAACTTAATCCTGTTTTGCTCTACTAGTTGGTTTTTTGAATTTACTCTTTCAATCTCATAAGATGGGTTAGGTTTAAACATTGCTGAGAAGCTGCTGAACAAAATAGGAGGCTTTCCTGACAGTGTTGCTAAAGTTGAGATGCATAGATCGTAAGATTCGTCATCAATCGCAGAAAATAGGCTTAGTTGCTGCACCATTATTGAAGTTCAGTGTATTTTATGAATGGTTTTAGAATCACGAAAAAATTCGCCATCTTAAGGTTTGAAACTTACTACTTAACTTTTTATCACCGAAAAGAAAACTATAAAGATGGCCGTTGACGTTCCTCGGTAAGTTCATTGGACATTATATTCAGCACTTTCAGCTTGACTAACATATTGCTAATAGTTCGGTGGTTCAGAAACTGATGTTTTTTACTGCAGCCATGGTGGTGCTTCCTGTTCTGGCCTTTTTCATTGTTCAACAATTTACTGACAACACACTCGTGAGCGGTGGTTTGGCTGCTCTTATGGCCAATCTGGTGCTTATCGCATATGTGGTGATGGCTTTCAGCGAAGAAGTCGAGGTTGAAGATAGCAATGAGGCAAAGAAGGAGAAGTGATTAAGTAACCTTTAGTAGGATTTTAAGGCATTTTCTAGTATCTTTTTAATTTCATTTTTACGATAACTATGACTATTATGTACTGAGTAACCTACATGAAGATCTTCTATCTGCATCATTTTCTTTAGCTTTCTTCAGTTATTCTTCTTCAATGGATTAGCCGGTTTCTCCAACGCACCGTAGCTGATTTCTAAGCTCGTAACCCAGGAAATAGCCACAACGAGAATCCAAACCAAAAGCAAAGAAACGAGTAGACAACTTAGAAGACCTTCAGTCCACAAAGAACTTAGTTTGCCATCATCAGAAGACCCTCCTGATTCAGGTTTTTTTGATAATTGAACAGTGGGCTCAAATGCACTTTCGTCTTCGACATGTGCTCTCACCGACGCCTTCAAGACTTCTGTGGAGGGGATTTCGATAGCCAAGTTTTTCAAATTTGGCAGGGAATCACGGAGGAAGAAGAAAGCCGAATCCAAATATTCGTCAAGATCAGTCATCACATAGTCAGAACCGGTAAATTGCAAAACAATAGCAGTCTCGCCAGTTTGAATTACGTTGTAAAGTTTTTCGGATAATGTCTTTGGTAATTCTTCAATTTGAATGACATTAGCGTCATCGCTGACTTCGAACGTGTCGTCCTCCAACACGTTGGTGTATTCACCGAAAATATCCGCTAGAAACCGACATCCAACACCACATTCCTTTACTCCTTCCAATAGATTGAAATTGTTAAATTGGATAACAACTAGGGGATCTTCAGCCGAGCTAATTCTCTCTAGCTCAGCAATGGATTGCACTTCCCCATCATTCAACGCCCTCTCGTAATCCTTCGAGTTTATGTGAAGATAGCTTGTAGCTGCCAGAGCCACTTGCAAATAGCAAAGTAAAAACTGTAAACCCGATTTTAAAAGCATTGTTCACTGCCTATTGGCTCTTCCGATGATCAAAGCTATGTAGTTCCCTGATGTATTCGGTAAAACCCCTTTCAGAAAGCTATGGTTGCAAAGAAAAATTTTAGCTTCGTCCTTCATGATGAAGCACATGGTGTTCCGCAGATGGCGCCAATAAGTGACAGGAAGCTGTAGAAGTTGGCTACAAGAACATCATAACTTCCCACTCTTGGAGTAAATAGTATACCACGAGTGCGTACTAGAGCACTAATTCTCAATCCTTATATTGTGCTGTCTCCAGTATGATATAAATGCGCAACTAAATGTTGAACTCAAATTTTAGCATCAGTTACATCTGCCTTTGATGGGTTACAAGATACCATCTTTCAGATTCTCTTTGTTTGAATATTCTTTCTTAACTTGAGATATTCGAAAAAGCATCTGTCCTTCACATAGGCAATAAATGTTTGAATTTGGATTCTCTTCCATCCTTTATGTACTCTCCGTTTTCATTGTCTTCCAACAAATCAAATAACGGTACTCTGGCCGAGTGGTTAAGGCGCCAGGTCGAGGTCCTGGTCTCTTCGGAGGCGCGAGTTCGAACCTCGCGGGTATCATTACTTTTTGATTTTTTTTGTCCATTGTAAAGTCGTTTCAGTTTTTTGACGAAAAATTTGTCCATGTCTGGAAGTGGAAAAAAATAGTTTCTATTTTCTGGGGTTCTTTGAGCATCATCGATTCCGCTACATCTAGCAAGTAAAAAAAACCGATGTCACTACAGGCAATATTGTTTGACAGATCTGATCGTGAGCAAGTTTCGGTCAAGGTTTTGGACCAGTTACTCCTTCCTTATTCCACCAAATACATTCCCGTATATACTATCGATGACGGCTATAGAGTCATTAACAAAATGCAAGTGAGGGGCGCGCCTGCCATTGCTATAGTTGGAGCCTTGTCTGTTGTTATGGAAGTCCAATTACTCGCAAACACCTCCTTTACCAAAACTCAAGGATTTTACGATGTTTCTGACTTCGATTGTCTTCGCCGCAGGTTGAAGGAGCGGTTGAGCTTTCTCTTGAGTAGCCGTCCAACTGCTGTGAATCTTTCTAATGCACTCTCCGATGTTGGAAATTTGCTTAGCAAGTCAAACGCTTTCGGAACTTTCCGCTCCGATCTTTACGACTACGTATGCAAATTGATCGATGATGACCTCGCCAACAATGTCAAGATGGGGGATACTGGAGCGCGCTATTTGCTAGAGGAGCTGGAGGCTCAGGGATTCAGTGCTGATTTTTCAGTTCTTACCATATGCAACACAGGTTCGTTGGCCACGTCTGGCTACGGCACGGCTCTGGGAGTAGTACGCTCGTTGTGGAGAGATTCTCAGACGAAGACTGCTTCGGGCGCTGAAAATAAAAAGCGCAAATTGTCTAAAGGCGCTGCCAAAATGACTCTCGTCTACCCACTGGAAACTCGTCCTTACAATCAGGGTTCACGTTTGACCGCATACGAGCTTGTTCATGACGATATTCCTGCGACTTTGATAACTGATAGCTCCATTGCCTATAGAATTGCCACGAGTCCAGTTCCAGTAAAAGCGGCTTTCGTGGGTGCTGATAGAATTGTACGAAATGGTGACACTGCGAACAAAATTGGTACGTTTCAACTAGCGCTCATCTGCAAGCAATTCGGTATCAAGTTTTTTGTTGTTGCACCCAAGACTACAATTGATAATGTAACTGCTACGGGGAAAGACATTGTGGTGGAGGAGCGAAACCCTAGCGAATTTAAGCTAGTTGCGGGAACTCTTATAGATTCTACAAATGAGGAACCCCAGTTAGACGGTAAAGGTCTTCCTATTTCTGCGAAGGTAGGAATCGCTCCTCCTCAAATCAATGTTTGGAATCCGGCCTTTGATATTACTCCGCATGAATTAATTGATGGTATAATCACTGAAGATGGAGTTTTCACGAAATCGGAAGATGGAAAATTCAATCTAGAGAAACTATTTTAGCTGCTTATATAATAATTTACGATCTAATTTCTGAATCTGTGGGAGCAAAAAAGAACTCCTCATAGGGGGCTCGAACCCCTGACATTTCGGTTCCTTGCGAGCAATGCTTAAAAGCCGAACGCTCTACCAACTGAGCTAACAAGGACGAGTTCTTCGGAATCTCAAGCGGGAGATCTGCCAATTTTGAGCTCGCCTTATTTGTCTTATTTCTCAAATTCGATTAAATCGTTACAAAACAAACAAGGTGCGAAGGATAATCGAGCTCGTCGCAACAAAATTGACAGTCGTCGTGGATTCCTGTTTAAGGTGCCTGTAAGCCTAAGATCTTATAGAACTGGAACGCTGCATAAGATCAGTTTCGTTTGCAGACAGAATATGCGAGGAAGATTTCAGGTGCGCATTTTAGCAAATTCTTGAATATTTAATACCTGACCGCTCGGATGATATTTCCCTTTTGAGTGTTCGAAGTGCGATTCAGGCACCGCTATGGAACTGATACTACAGATGTCTGCCATGGTATGCCCACGCTATATCCTCTAAGGGTGGTTATATAGTTAAAGAATGACAGCCACGGCACACATGTAGTTTTTATAAGTTTTCATTCCATCAGGTAGGTCTGGTGATGACGGACAACGCCGTGGTAAAGAGCCTATTAGGCTGCGTTCTTTGCAAGAGCTCGTAGCAAACTTTCATCCACGTTGTAAGAGTTTTCAATCAGCGTTTATCAGGATTAGTGATCAATACATTTGCTATGATCTAGGTAAATCTCATATCTCACAATCGATACGCCGATGTCCTTGCGCTCCTGCTCTCTTCCTGTGCCCTGTACAAGGAACATGATTCCCTGATTCGGAAGAATACATGTCTTAAATAAGTAATATGTAAACAATTCGTGCCTTCACAACAAGTTTCGCCATTCAAAAAGAAAAAAACTAAAACCGAGATACTGACGTTTTCCAGAAGGAGAAAAATACAAACACAGGCGAAGTGTAGACCTTTTTTTTGTAAGTGAGAGTTTTCTTCAATCTGTAAGGACCACAAAATACTTCGATTTTCAGCCAATTCAGGAAAAAGGGAAACATTATCCTGTGAATTGACCGCTGTGAGGACACTGTATTTATAGGAAATTTGCCGAATTCCTCCGTTAAGGCAGATTTAGAAGTGTACGTGCTCGAGAGTCGAAGCATTCTGGACTAGCACCTAGTTCGTCAAGCCTATTACAGCAGCGCACTCGGCATCACTGGTATAACGTACTCACTTTCATACTTGAAAGTTCCGTTGGTTATTTTGCGACGCCTGAAAATTGGTCAAATAAAGATTTAAAGTATTCGTTACTTGTCATGTCATTTGCCAACAGCGAGAGCAACCAGGATGCGAGACCCCGAACCTTGAAATCCACCCGGGCTGCGCTTAATAATGTTACCAATACGTCGTTTTCCCAAGACGGCAAGCCGGGATCATCTAGCGCTAGAACTTTGGGGAAAGCGTTAAGAACCGCCAGATCAAAATTCCAAAATGCAAAAGCAGCTGGAAGTCTAATTCCACAAGCAAGAAGAGAGGTCACACAATTTGACCAACCTGCTGACAGCTTATCTACTTCAATGATATCAAAAATAGCATCCTCGGAAAATGCGGTTGAACTGGACAAAGAAAATCTGGACCCTTATGCAACGAAGTTGTCTAGCATCGAAGAGGAACAGCATTTTACTGGTCCAACTTCTAGTTCAAGTGAGGAGCTGAGATATTCTGAGCATCAAACAATCTTGAAAGAGGAAGATTGTATTCAGCAACGAGTGAGTTTAGAAGAAGAAGAACGGGCAGAATCACAGCAATTACAACAACAGCAACAAGAAACTAGGCAAGTCATAGAAGCAAGGTCTGATGTAAGTAAGAAGAGGCCTATTTCCACGGTGGTTGAACAAGAAGAGCCCAAGAAATTCAAAGTATGCGAAAAGGGTACCGAGTATGAATGGGAAGACCTAGACGCCGAAGATGTTAATGATCCCTTTATGGTCAGCGAATATGTAAATGACATTTTCGAATACTTGCATAAATTGGAAATTATGACACTGCCTAACAGACATGACCTATACAAGCATAGCAACATTCGTCAAAATAGAGACATTCTGGTGAACTGGATGGTCAAAATACACAACAAATTCGGCTTACTGCCGGAAACTTTATATTTGGCATTAAACATCATGGATAGATTCCTGTGTAAAGAACTGGTGCAACTTGAAAAACTGCAATTGGTTGGTACAGCATGTCTCTTCATTGCAGCAAAATACGAAGAAGTGTATTCGCCCAGTGTCAAGCATTTTGCCTATGAGACTGACGGGGCATGTGACGAAGATGAAATAAGAGAAGGTGAGAAATTCATCTTGAAAACACTCGAATTCAATTTAAATTACCCAAATCCCATGAATTTTTTGAGAAGAATATCGAAAGCAGATGACTACGATATCCAATCAAGAACGCTTGCCAAATACCTCTTAGAAATGTCGGTGGTCGATTTCAGATTTATTGGTATATTACCTTCTCTGTGTGCAGCTGCAGCAATGTTTCTGTCGAGGAAAATGTTGGGTAAGGGTAAATGGGACGGTAACCTTATTCATTATAGTGGTGGTTACACCCGAGAAGAGTTGGCACCTGTTTGCAATATGATAATGGATTATCTCGTTCAACCAGTAGTCCATGACGAATTTTTCAAAAAATATGCATCGAGAAAGTTTATGAAAGCCTCAGTTATCTCTCGGCAATGGGCTAAGAAAGTGGTCGCACATGGTTATGATATTATGACATTGCATGAAGTTTCCGAATAAACAAAAACCAGAACCTAATATTAAAAGATAAACAAATTGAAACAATACCCATCACTTGAAGTTCTCGTCTACAATTAAGATGCCCTGCGTTTCAAACTGTACTTCAGTTCTCGAGAAGATCAGAGATTCTTCTCTGTCGAAAGACCTCGACATTTTTACTGTAACTTAGCATATCTGCCTCTAATATAATAAATGTTTAATTTAGAATAGAGAAAAATGTCATTTGAAAAATTGAATATTACAATTAATTAATTTATGAATTTTCCTTTGTTTAGTAATACTGCGGGCCATTGAAATTCATTAATGTAAAGGAAATGCTCTATGATAGATGGACCAATATGCTAATAATTAGATGCTTATGAGATAATCGTGAACTAGAAAAGATTATAATAATTGGTGACCACCATCAATTTACACCAGAGTTTAGCGGGTTCAAAGACACCATTCATCTCTTTGCTACGGTATTTTTGTTCTAGGGCTTTTAATTGCGTAGATGGCTTCGCTACTTCACGAATTAATTCACGACAGTTTTCTTGGAAGGTATCATCGTTCATTGCGTCAACAGAACCACTATAATGCTTAAAAGTCGCGTCCCATTTAGGATCCTTCTCGAATGACTGTCTTGCACAATATATTGCCATGGCACTTAAATGGGAGGACAACACATGAACAAACTTGGGACAACACATAGAATACTCGAGGAAAAATTTAGCGGTACTTCTTGTTTCGAAATCGTAGTCATCTGCTTTGGAGACTCTTCTCAAAAAATTGAGAGGGTTGGGCCAGCCAATATTAAACTGCAAAGTGGTAAGCATATAAGTCTCTGCATCTTTAATGTCTTGAGAAGTGCAGGCACCGTCGGTAATGTAGGCATACTGCGATAGTTTAGGGAGGTTAACTTCTTCGAATTTTGCCGCAATCAGTAGGCTGCAGACGGCAAGCAGCTGCAGTTTTGCCATTGAAACTTTTCTCAACGACATGAAACGGTCCATGAGATTAATAGCCAAATAAAGCGTTTCAGGTAGCAGCTGGAATTTTTGATGGACCTCTACCAACCAATCGACTAGAATTGCTCGAAGTGAAGGCCGTAGGTATTGTGGGGAGTCCGTAGCGTAAAGATAATTGTATGTGGCTGTAGTTTCGCGCTCACGCTCATACAAATGAGTGAAGATCTCGTCGGTATAGTCGGTAACCATGCTGACATCATTTTGCTCGTCCTTGTCGAGGTCGCGCCAAGGCAAAGATAGGGGCTCATCGGATGAATGCCGGGCACGCTTTGAGTTGGGAGTACGCACTTCCGCATTATGTGAGGAGTTGTCACTGTGAGTGTTGTCGTCGTTACCACCGTCCTCGTCCTCGCTGTCTCTGTAGATGTGTCTCTTCTTAGATGTAGATCGTACCGTCATTACCGGCTTATGGGAAACTGCGCCAGAGGCGCTTGCCTCTGCGGGCCAGCTGTTGTTAGACTTTACCTCACCAAGCGCCTTGCGCTCTCCTATGAAAGTAGCGCCTGCAATCGTCTTCGCGCGCATACGTTTCTGGTTGGCATTCTCGTCCGTGGTAGTTGCCTCAGTTGTCCGACTTCTAACTGACTCACTCATGGTTCTGGTCCTCTGTTGAGCTTATGGCAATGTGTGCTGCGGCCTCGGAAACCGTGCCAACTTAAATATTGCCCACTTAGCTTTAACGCGTATAGATGAATTGGTGAGAGTGCGTAGCAACCACACAAATGGTAGAATTCCACCACCCTTTCGCGATTTCGTGCTTCGCGTTTTGGCGTTTTTTTTTACCTCCCTCTTTCGCATCGCAGCAGGGCACGAGACGCGTGAGGAAAATCATGTCACACTATTTCACGTGATATAATCCGATTATTTCCGTGATGAGGTCACGTGTTTGAAATTGCTGTCCAGCGGCATCTCTGCGCGAGGCGTTCGTGATGACTTCGTGGTAAGTGGCAACCGCCAGCGACGCGTTCCAACGTGCCCGAAAGAAAAAAACTACAGGCCCACTTCCGATTACGGTAAAGAGGGCAATTCACCTCGTAAGCACGTACACACGGGGACGATTGTCTGACTACGTGGGTACTCGTGTTTCTTACAACCCAGCCTATCGGTGTAACCACACTAGGTGAAGGCTACGTTTGGCACACACACACACACACACACACACACACACACACACACACACACACACACACACACACACACACACACGCATGCCGGTCTCCTTACCAGAACCATGCGGGACCCTGCAAAAAACTACAGGCACTTATGTAACCCATACACCATAATTGTGTCGAGAAAAAAACGCCGTATTGTTTGGCGGGGGGAACTGTAATCGGTGATGCCAAGACGAAGAAGATGATTGGCACATGCTTGTTCAGATGACCGACTACGTTGGTACTACCCGAACAAGTCTTAACGTGCGCATTCGGTTGCTTTTAGGGCGTGCTCAGAAGTGACAGGACTCTCGTCGTCTTTTTTTCTCATTTTCCTGGGTCTTATCTCCCCCCTCACACTCCCTCCAGGTTTCCCCTTCCTCTCTGCCTTGCTACCTCAGTCTCTTCTCCCTCATATGGCCCTGCGCAACTGGCAGCGATGTCAGGACATATTACTCGTGTATTATGATATGCGTGGCTGAACACCTACAGAAATCATCTCTGTCTTTCTTATCGCGACCCTGATAACATTATCTCTGCACGGTCTGTGCACAGCTTACTTATCTCAGCGTGGTCCCGGCGCCGTGAGCCGTAGAAACAGCTTCAAATAGCGCGCGTGCACTATATAAGAAGATCCCGGTTGGAAACGGGTTGAGGCGTCTCTAATAATTTAGAGCTCAACGTTTGATCGCTTTCGTCGTTTTAACGTCAAATATTTTAATCTCCGCTCCAACACAAACTCCGGACAAATAAGTCAAATTTAAGCAATGGGTGCCTGGGCCGATTTCAAGACCAAGTTTCTGAAGGTGAGAAGATACCTTGCTGCAACACCAATTGAGGGCGAAAGCTATGAGAAAGCTCCAGATGTAAAGGACCTACCCCATATGGTTGACGCTGACGGTGAGTTGATGGCTGTGTCATCAGGAAAACGCGAACTGTCCCCCGTCTTGAGTGCCAAGTTGAACATTCAGAACTCTGCTGGCACTGGTGTGCCTACAAAGGAGGATGATCGTATCGACGCCGCGCTTTGAGGCTGTGCAGTGTGCAGTTCTGAACGTTCGCGCTGCGTCGTGACGACGCAGACGTGTGTATTATTTAGTTGCCTGCCGGAACGCCAGCTGGAAAGTATTCTAAGTACAATAATAGATGTTATTGGTTGTTATTAATGCGCCAAATGAAGTGCCTGTCCTTTTGTGCCGTGCCATGTGTCTCACGTAACTCCATTCTTCTTCCATCCAATCACCTGTTGTTTTAACGATACAAAATGGCCAGGGCGTGAGCAACCTCATTAATTCATCTAGTTGATGTTGTGGTATTGCTATCTAATCTTATTACCACAGGTTTGTTGTTTAGAAACCGTTTATAGAGGAAGTTCTGGCACTCCTTGTAACCTTATAACCACTTCTAGCGTACTCCCTTCCAACAAGTCCTCTCGGTAGCCAAGTTGGTTTAAGGCGCAAGACTGTAATTTCAAAAGTAATCTTGAGATCGGGCGTTCGAATCGCCCCCGGGAGATTTTTTTGGTTTTCACCACTTCCGCAGAACTGTCATTGATGTGACTAAATGTGGTAATGATCATTGCGGACCTCAATTGAGACATTGTCAATAGCCTCACATGGGACACAGTGAGGCGATGGGCAGTATAAAGAAGTGTGGAATATTCCATCCAGCCTTTTGAAATGCTGAGTGATCCTCGACCCTGAAAGTTGCTGATTCTTCAAGTTTCACATCATGGGCGTACGCAGATCTACGTCACGTGCTAATGCATCTGAACGGCCGCAAATCTTTGAAACGCAACTACTTACGCCCATATCCTGTTCTGATCGAAGCCACCGCATCTGCCGTCTGTCTAATGGTATTCTGGTAATACTTGTGTCGGATCCCCGTGAGTCGTATGCGTCGTGCGCCCTTTCTGTCGCAACCGGATCCCATAATGACCCTGAAAGTGTTGCTGGATTGGCGCATCTCTGTGAGCATACCATAGTTTCTGGTGGGTCAAAGCGGTTTCCTGATCCTGACGTATACCACAACGTCATTTCGAGAAGTGGTGGATCGCATAACGCGTTCACGACAGGTGAACAGACAACCTTTTTCTTTGAATTGCCGGCGATGAGCATCGCAGATCAGCTCGTTTTCGATCAATCGCTTGAAGTTTTTGCCTGCTCCTTCAGGGCCCCATTATTTCGAAATAATGTAATTGATAAGGAGATATTTTCAATCGAAAGCGAGCATACTGCAAATCTCGCTTCTACAAATAAGGTGCTATATCAGGTAACACGTCATCTGGCCTGTCCTTCTCACCCATTCAGTCGCTTTTGCACGGGAAATGCAACGACACTCACGGAGACGTCAGCATTTAGAACGCGAGGCATGAGAGCTCGTCTCGTTAACTACTTTAAATCTAATTATACTCCAGACAATATGGCATTGGCTTTGCGCGGGCCGCAGTCATTGAATACCTTGGCTAAACTGGCCACAACCCATTTTGGTGATTTTCCAACTACGTTTTCACAAGATGGACTATTGATGAACGACTCGCGCATAGCAGGCATTGGCACTTCGATTCTCTGTGAAAACTCCAGGAAAATCAAACGACGGTGGCTTGAAAAATACAGTGTGGCTAGCCCTTTCTCGGATGGTCCACTGAATTCAATTTTTGTACAGCTGCCAAAGGCTCCCGTGTTGAGACTTATTTTCCCAGTAAACATAGTGTCTTCTAATTTTTCTGAAAAAGATATCCGTCTTTATTCCATTTTCTGGCGCGAACTATTAGGCGATGAGGGCGAAGGTTCCTTTGGGGATTATCTCAAACGTAGCGGCTATGTCACTTCTATTTTCTCTTCTATCTCTCATTTTTGTACTGGCAGCGACGGTCTCATTTTGCATCTTGATTTAACGAACATGGGATGGGTTAACGCTGACAAGATTGTTTCAGTATTTTTCCACACGTTCCTCTCGTTAATTTTAACTGATACTGAATCGCTAGCTATTTATCTCAGTGACTTAGTCACCAGTGACCTGCTCAGCTTTCTCTATCAAGATCTGGAAAACTCACCTATGGAAATGTGTTCAATCTTAAGCAGTCGCCTGCTATCAGATACTGAATTCCTTAATCCCATTCTTCTATTGAAAGGTTCTCCATTGCCTGATTTCCTAGATAAAACTTGGCAATCTGACAGTTTTCAGGATGTGCAAGAAAGCAGAGCTTGGTGGATTAAAGAAGCGCAAAAATTCCAACGATTTATCGAGGATTATGTCAATCATCTAAATTCAAAACTGATTTTATTAGGGGACTTGTCTAAATGTCCATTAGCAAACTTGGCACAATTTTCAATGGAAACCGATCTGTACTACCAATTCGAATACTGCAAGGCCAGAGTTGATATCACTCGTACAGAAAACAAGATGTGTTCTTCTCAGTTTGACTTCTTCATTCGAAAGGAAAATCCATTCATACCGTCGGCTGGGAGGGACTTGAATTTGATTAAACACGCACTCGTTTTATCAGCCGCTCGGTCTATGGCGGCACCCTTATCTTTGTTATTGCAGAGTGACATGATTCAAGACACTCCACGTCTTGTAGGTAAAAATTCAAACTACGAGTTTTGGCTGAAGGAGGAGTTTGATCTTTACTTCAAATCAAGGACCATTGTTACTTTTGAATTGATCAGTACTTGTTTGGAATCATTGCCGATGAACACCATGCATTTGGAAGTATTAGCGCAATTGTTGTTTGATTCTTTATCAGCAGTACTATACCCTTCAGAAGCGCTTGGCTATACTTATGAAATATCAGCGTCTAGTAGAGGGGATGTTAGATTGAGTTTCACTATATCAGGATTTCCTGAAGGCGTGTACATTATTATTGCCCTGTTTATAGAAGAAATTGTTAAGCTCGCCGATCAAAACGATATCAAACCGTCGATATTCCGTAGAGCCAGAGTTCTTGTACGTAAAAAATACGAGGACGCAGCTGCTGCAGATAGTACAACGCTGGCCAGTCTAGGCCTACTCGTCGTTCTAGAGAAATGTATGTGGTCATTGGAAGAGCGATTTGAAGCGCTTGAGGAGCTCGATATAAGGTCCTTCCAGTCATTTTGCTCAAGTTTAATCAAAGGATCAAAATACTTGAACCTTTTTATTCAGGGGGATGTGACTTTCAGTGATAAGATAAATTCTCTTTTGAACAGCCGTCTTACTGGTCATTTGGGGTCTAGTATTCCTAATGGGATTCTTTTAGAACCGGAAACTGCAAAAATGAAAGAAGGAACAAACGCATTTATAAAGCAAAATGGACACATTGATGATCCCAATAATAGCATTGTGTATTTTCTTCAAACTGGAGACAGAGACGATAAGTACGCTTTCTTCATGACCACTTTTACCGATTTTCTAATGTCATTGACGTTGATCCCAGAACTCAGGACGAGACGACAGATTGGGTACGTCTTACTTGGTGGCATACGCATTCTGTCAAATACAATTGGGATTCATATTACTTCCATGTCAGATGCTTCACCACATACACTTGAAAATAAAATTGATGAATATCTGGCGTATTTGGAGGAAGACCTTCTTGCTGTCCTGAAGAAGGAGGAATTTCAAAGTCGTTTCGTAGAGCCGTTTCAGAAATTGGTAGAAACCGGACAACTGGGGAAAATGAGTAAGACCTCTGGACCTGCCAATCTGATGAGCCGTATCGAAGCTAACGTGCGCAGTGGTAACCTGCGGCAACTTGGGAGATCTATGAAATCTCATAAGAAACTGAAAAACCAGATTACGTACCGCCGATACAACTTCGATGTGGAAGAGGAGCAGATAGACACGAGCTTAATTTCGAGCCTCACACTGGCGAGTTATCTCGAGTTTTTCCGCACACGCATCTCTGAACAATCTCCCCGCCGCTGTAAATTATCTATCATGGTCTGCAGCACGATGGACCCTCATGATATAACAAACAAAAATCTCTTCATGCAAATAGATCACTTTCTTCGACACAAGGGCCTCCCCATTCCATCTTCAGAACTATCAAAAATTGTGAGCAAGGCAGATGGAAATTCTTCAACGATTATAAAAGAATTGCTTCAATACTTCGGCGCCAAAGGGAAGAGCTTGAAATTATGTAGCACAGTCATGGTTGAGGCATTCAAGATCATTTGCTCTAGTGCAAAAGCACATCGCGTTAAAGCTTTGGATAATAACTCCAAAAATGCCCCATTAATTCCAACACTTGAATTATCTAATGCAAACTACTTTCGAAATGTCTCAAATAGCCTCACTTAGTCAATAACTCGGTAGTTTATCGTCAGTAATTATCTTTTTGACACCAAAATATTCTAGAGTCCCAGAAAATCACATATAAGCGCGGTGTGATTAGTTATGTTTTAGGGTCTGCCTCAATAAAGGAAAGGAAGCTGCCATCGCTCAGAGTAGATGTTAGTGGAAATACTGACTCGAGAATTAGTCGTTAACAGAAAGTAATAGAGTGGAAAAGAAAAAGTGATATATTTGACTGCATTATACTTAAAGCGCAAGCTTGACGTCGTATGAACACCAAGGAAAGTTTCGAAACGTTAACAGCTAAAATGACTATTCAATCAAAACATTTGGTATTTGAACAAGTTGAAAATCCTGAAATTATACGTTTCACCCATTTACAAAATTCACAGATTTGGCGTACAAAGTACTTAACTTCTGAAGAATATGCAGAAAGAGAGAGAATACTTGGCCAATCGGAAATTGCCAAAGAGCATCAATCTAATCATGCCCGCAAGCAATTTGCAGAATATGCCCAGTACCTGGGACTAAAATACTTTGTTTTGAAGAACCTTGAGTTGCCGAATACGTCTGAAACTTCACAGATTGTGTCAAGTTGTGAAACTTTGAACAGAGTAGGGTGGTACACGAAGCCTGAAAGCTCTGGAAATGTTCAACCTGTTTTGTCTATATGTGTTGGAGGCGTTTTCACCAGCGAAGAGAATCGTGGCAAGGGCTATGCATCCGTAATGATAGAGCGCCTTAATCAGTTTTACGACAAACTAGCAGACGCGCCAGGGAGCCCTTCTTTTCTGAAAGACAAAGTGATGTTCTTGTACAGCGAGGTAGGAGATTACTATGCTAAATTTGGTTATATTTCAAGACATGTGCCTGTCCACTCCGTACACCATTTAGACGAATTGCTGGAAAGATATTGTGGTGAGGAGGTACAACCTGAAGGTAGATTTTTGGGGTTCAGCGGTTATGAAGATTTAATTGACCTGCAAGGTAATTCGTTTCAAGAAAAAATGTTACAGCTCCAGGTCACTAATCCGGATCTGCGCGTATTTTCCGTAAAGCCTTCTTTAGCCATTTATCAATGGTTTAAACATCGTGACATCTATATCTCACAAAAGTTCCTCGAGAAACCCCCCACCAGATTCGGGTTTGCTTTGCCTACCGGAAGTCACATTATCTGGCATCATCATTGGACAAATGGAGTTCTATATATTTTGAAAGTTCACATTGTGGGGGAAGACAATCCTGAATCAACTCTCAAAAAACTTCTCGCAGCCTGCATTCGGGAAGCAATCGCAACTAAGTTGACACATTTGGAATTTTGGGACGATGAAATCAATAAAGCTACGCATCCTTCCCTGTTCGAGGTACTATCCACTATCGAGGACAAGACAAGCCTGTATCAGGAAAACAGCTCAAGAAGTGCAATCAGAGCGCCTAAAAGCGTTGATGCAGAAAATTTAATATGGCATAACAATACAAAGTTTTGCTGGTTTTGATGTCATCTGAAATATAGATCATTAATTGCAACTTATATATTTTTATTTCTGTACGACTATTGCTGAAACTACTTTTTCTCGATTAGAACTTAAGGTAAAAGTTCAGTAATATTTAGTAAACAAAAAAGGTGAAAGTTATACATGGTTTTTGATGTTTAATCATTAAACACTAGTGTTGTAGATAACAAAGTAAAACTGTTCAAAGGAACACTTCACCTGTAATGTAACTTGCGATAACAATCCAAACTGTAGCAAAAATAAAAATTGCGCAAGCCCGGAATCGAACCGGGGGCCCATCGATGGCAACGATGGATTTTACCACTAAACCACTTGCGCTTTTTGTTAAAACAATGCAGCTCGAATAGATATATAATAACGTATAATAAGTTCTGTGGTTATATAGATATGTAGCTATATAGGTATGATGAATTCAATTGCTAAGTAGCTCGCCTCCTTTATTTGATTGATCTAAGGATTTAAGCATTTAATGGTAAAATGTTGGAACGAAATACAACTATAGACCATCGACTAGTATTCGTGTTACTAGTATTTTATTATACACGGTGTTTTAAGATGACATAAAGAATGAGAAACGGTCATCGAAATTAGTGGAAGCTGAAACGCAAGGATTGATAATGTAATAGGATAATGAATGAAAATGTATAAAAGGAACAGAAAGAGCAAGAATATTTGTAAGTAGAATTATTAACTCTTCTTTCTGGATTCTTAGAAAGATGAGGAGAACTTCTAGTATAACAATATACCAATAATTATAGCCTTAATCAAAAATGGAATCCCAACATTTAGCTCAATATTCACCCATTTCTCATAAAAAGAGTTGCAGAGCTGGAACTGTTAGCAAACCTTATTATCAGTAGCATTTCTCATTTTCTCACATATTGTTTCTTTTGGCATTTCAGAATATTTCTAGTTTTACGATCCTAGCCCAATAATGAAGTTATAATCTTGGTAAGCTGTCAAATTAAACAGCACGGTAAATAATCTACGACAAATTGAGCAAATGTTTATGTTATACTCAAGGTATTGTTGAAGTGTCTTTAAAACAATTCGGAGTAAACTTAAAATGTTGAATCTCACTCGGAACAGAGAGTTAATTTGTTCCACTAAGTGAGTTGCTATGGCACGATAGCATTGTATACACTGGCATCAATAGACTGTAAAAGCGTATTCTTCCTCAATTCCGCTTTCATTTTCCCGATGTGAACGCGTAAACGGAAATTATACTTATTTTCGCGTCTCAGTAAGGTATATAATAGATGAACGAGAAAGAGAACCAAATCCAGTTCAGTTTCTTCTGAAATACGACTACTTAAATTATGAGCGGACCTGAAGAACCTGCAAACAAGCAACAGAAACTAAACGATTCTTTGAAGATACAACTTCGCTCTCCAAACGCAACGGTTCCTACCAAAGGATCAGCCACCGCTGCAGGTTATGATATATACGCTTCCCAACCTACCATAATTCCAGCTAGAGGGCAGGGAATGGCTTCCACAGATATATCTTTCACTGTGCCTCGTGGCACATATGGCAGAATCGCACCAAGATCTGGTCTTGCGGTCAAACATGGCATTAATACCGGAGCAGGTGTCGTCGACAGAGATTATACGGGCGAAGTAAAGATAGTTCTTTTCAACCACTCGGATAAAGACTTTGCCATTCAGAAAGGTGACCGTGTAGCTCAGTTGATCTTGGAAAAAATTGTCGATGATGCGGAGATCGTCGTTGTCGATTCACTTGAGGAAAGTGCCAGAGGAGAGGGCGGGTTTGGAAGTACTGGAAAGTAGAATCACCCTTTAAGCTAATAGACTTGTATAATATCTTTCCTAATGAACAAAATCATCACGTGATCGAAGTATAATTGACTGCTTGGAAAAGCTATCGTTCTTCAGCTCTCACTTCAGTAGTGCGACAAGTAAAAGAATCAAGGCTAACAATTATGAGCAACAGAGCACTTTTAGAGCAACTGGATAGAACGACAGAAATGCTCTCCAATTCACTTACACAACTTGTAAAATATTCATCGATTTTGTCGGAGGAAGAGAGCGGGGCAGCACAAAGAGAAATGGCAGACTCCATTGCAAGCGTCTCTTCTGAAGGAGTAGCAATGATCAATACTCAGACGATGCAACTCATAAAGGGCATACAAGATCTGCTTGTGATGACAAGAAGTATAAGAGAAAAGTGGCTTTTGAGTCAGGTACCCGAAAAGAAAGAAAGTGAACAGCAAGAGGTAGACTACGAAAAGTGTTCCCAAATGCTTAATAGCTGGGTAAATCAAATTGTGGGAAACTCGGATTGCTAGTGTCGCTCTTTCCATCAAGATCGTTTCGTAATTAAAAAAGTCCTACTCTCCTTCTAAAAAACTGATGAAACCCTCTCACAGGATCCATGTGGGAATGAGCTGCGGAATGGCCTTACGAACCCTTAAGTACTGCTCCTATGGTAACGATGCTTCGGTGTTGTGAGTTCTCACATATAATCATTAAATACGTAGGAAAAGGACAAAGTGTGTTATGTGTTTATGTTTCTAAATTATCAACAAACCTGTCAAAGGAATAAAATCGTTGCGCTTATAGCCCATGAGTCGGGAAAGACCACCCTCTTCGTCACCTAGAAGGAAATCAAAACAGCGCATACATGGGCTGAAGATGCAGACTCTTCCGTTATCGAGTGAGCTAAAGAATAATGATGAAATTAAGACCACAGGAGAGAGCGAGGAAGACCGCGATGATGAATATTCACGCAATAACCCGCAGTCAAGCTTCGAGAAGGATGAAGATTTCAAGTTTAAGCGTCACAGATCAAAAAATGGAGGAGTCTCCTCTTTGGGTGAAAGACTTGACAACCTACAGGAGTTGGAACGAGCGAGATGGATGGACAACTTTAACTCGTCAGTCAATATTGACAAACATCGTGGTAAATCCTTGGAAGAATCACCACAAAGAGTAGCTACTGTTCAACCCCCACATATGGCACCGCCGTATATGCCATACATGTATTATTATCCGATACCTCCAATGATGCCTATGACTACGTCGCCCACACGGCCTGTGATTTCCCAAGGAAATGAAGCATCTCACTACTTAAATTCATCTCAAGGCTATCCGAATACCTCCACCCAACCATTTCTTCCTATTCCACCTCCCAGCGGCCAACTTATGCCCCCGCCACCATTATACCCGAACTACTCGCCATATAGTTATTATCAAAGCGCTGACTCTGAACAGTTGAAGAAAACACGACAAAGGAGAGAAAAACGTAAATCAGTGATGGAGCAACGTGGAAGGAGATTATCGATGCTATCGTTTCAGGACAATAGCCATATAATATCACCTCACAAAGATGTTCCTGAAGAGGATTTTTACAGACATATTGCGAACACATCATTTGGCCAAGATCTACAAATAAGGCAACTTTTCAATTGGTGCTTTATTCGAGCTCTTAGAAAACGAGAGACAGTGAATGCTTCTCAAAAAAAGGTTAAGGAAGGACCTGATGAAACATATGTTGATCCGAACAAAATTGCCATGGTAATAATGAAGGAATTCGTACACGAACTCCGAAAAGGCCTGATTCAGATCGATTGGGAGGCGGAAAATAATGACATCCAATTAAATGATAAACAGTCTTACGAAGAAGAAGATACCGAGCTCCGGGAATTGTTTGATGACGATGAAGAAGAAAATAGGATTTCACAGGTTAAAAAGAGAAGAAAAACTACTGCGATTAAGATCCCCAATGAGAAAAATCTACAGAATTCGAAAAGTTTGCTAATTTTACAAGAGCAGGTTGATAAGTTGAAAGCAGAGATTCAAACATGGGTGAAGTATTTAGACGTTGACGATCATCTGGGAGATTGGTCTACATTCAAGTCAGAACTAGAAGCGTGCTCTGAGAACATTATTACCACAGTAGAATCTAAACCGACTGCGGAAGATATGAAAATGCAACTAGTGACTAGGATGGACAGGTTTTATTCAATGTGTCACTTTCTATCTTCGTATTCTCAACTACTCTCCGAGACTTCAGGCCGCAAGCTACAACAGCTAAAAACGTATATCAATAACGCAGACGCATGGGCGGTCCCAATGGAAAACCGGAGGAAGGGCACGAAAGAGCTACTACAGGGTTTAAGCAAATCACTTGTACAGTGATCTTAATTCTATATAATTAACGTGTATTAATATTGTATATATCTTAACGGCGTTTGATTTTGGGGTTTATTTGGTTAAATACTTCTTGGCCAAGGATCTCACTTTTGAATCAAACACAGGACTTGTTATGGGATCATTTAACTTGTAAAAGGGGTTCAATAAAGCCTTAACATACAGCTCATGCACTTCTTGGTAAAATGCCCTAACTTGCGGGTCATCTATTTGAGTTGTGCCTCCATTTCCCGCACTGTTACTATGTATCATCACGAATTTCATATTACCGTAGGATAGATAGCCCGTAATAGCAAGCCCATAAAAATGATCGATTTTACTCAAGTAACAATTATCATTGTTATTACTATGCCTCGATCGTAAGAAACCTCCCGAGGTGTTAGTGCCAACACCAGATTGTGGATTACTTTGCCATTGAAGGTCTTCTATTATGTCTAGTGAAGCGTGTAATATGAAGGGATTCAACTCCTTCAATTCCGATGGAAAGGAGTTCAAGTGAGGTGAGGTAAATTCAGCCTCGTAGATGGGATTATCTCTGGATCCTATGATGGCAAAATAACACGGCATACGTGAATATGTTAATCAATTTGACATCAAAATTTCAAACATCTTTCCTCCTTCTTTCGTGCGAAGAAAAAGCCAAATGGGGAGACGATGACAGAACATAAGCAACAAGCTCATGTGAGTGCTGGAAGACTCGTGCAAACCGCTAAGTTTCTAATTGATGCGAAATCAAGTCTTTTAGAGGATCTAAATGTGGAAAATATTGCTATATCAACCACTTCAAGTAATGAAATGCACCCTTCTAATGGTACAGATAAGGACCAAAAACAACACATATTTGTATACTCGCGTGCCAGTAAAGTTCGTGCTGAGCGTGTGCGCTCTTACTTGCAGTTTTATTATCATTTAATAGAGGAAGAGGTGACAAGTAAGTCACCACGCAATATTCATGAAGGTGTTGAAGGAGTCTACAATCCTTTACAAGTTATTAGAAACCGAAAGCTTAAAAAGAAATACCAGCAACTTCCAAAGCCAGATATAGCTTTTCTCAAGCCACCTATTCTCGCCATACGCGATTTTTCAAATAATAACCGAACGCTACCTTGGTTCGTTGATTTAAGCGAACGTTCAAGTGACCTCACTTGGAGAATATCACATTGGGATGAGCTCAGAAGACCGGACGGAAAATACTGGTTTAGAAATCAAAAGACTAAAAGCAAGCACTTGCATTCTTCTCAAAAGTACCACCACCACAGTGCACAAAGTGGGACATCAGAACGCCCGGCGACATCTCCTTCTATAATCACACAGGGATCTTCAAGTTGGGAAGTGCCGTTGATTTCGGTTGAAGATTTGGGAGATAATAACGTCGCTCTACAACGTTCAAGGAAAAACAGATTTGATAAAATAATAGAAAAGACAAGGAAACTTTCAAGATCTCCAGCTTCGCAAGATAAAAGCGAAGGGCAAGCAATATATAGTAATCCCGGTTTTTCGAAGACAGCCAGTCATACCTATTTAACCCCTACTGATTCGATGGCTAATCGTCTGACTGTTGCCGAGGTTCCAATAAATCCTGTCAAAAGCAAGCAAAGCGAAGAGCAGAGTACTTCAGAGGATTCGAAGAAGGCATCGGTCGAATATTTGGAGCTGGAAAAGAGTATAGCGGTTAAGGAAGAATCTGCACTTCAAAAACAGTGGAATGAAATAAAATACCTTAATTGTACTTGGCACGTTATGAGGCATAGACAAGTCACCTTGGAAATTGTCAAAAAGAGGAAGGCAGCAGAGAGAAAACCGGTAAAGCTCGAAGATATTGATGGCATTTCGCAACCTGCTATGAACGTAATGGACACATACAGAGAAGAATTGACGGAAGCTCTAACAATATGTGATAATTGGAAGTCAAGATTACTTAACGACTATTCAATGAGAGTAGAGATGCTGATTTCTACCAGTGATAGAGTCTTGAGTGATGTTAACACAACGCTAACTCTACGGCTAAAGACATTACAAGAAAATATTGACAAATTTGGGACCCTTAAAAGGATGAACAAGCAACCACTTACTCAGTTTTGTTACCGAGTGCTTGAAGTTACTATAGTGTTACTTTTCTGGGTTGTGTGGCTTGTATTCAGTGTATTAAAATTAGGCAAGTTAAGCATAATGATGACTTTGAAAATCATAAAGTGGATAATTTGGTAATTTAATCATATATGGATCATGTACGCATTTACAAAAGGAATAAAGTCTTTCTCATACTATGAAAAGTGGAATGTAAATCGTAAATCAATTACGATGTAGTACTAGTTACAGCAGAGTCTTCCTCAAGAAAGATACCCCGATCTGCAGCTTCGTCAAGAATTCTTGATCTTCTTTTCAGTTCGTTTTCGTAATAGTTGCTTTGGAACTTCAATAGTTGCTTATCGGCATAAAAAACTGCCCCCATTGATATCCACGAGCAGTGATAGAACACACGAACTTGCGTTCTCACATTGCGGTAAGTTGTTGAAAATCTACGTAGTAGCAAAGCGGTAGTAATACCAACTACTGCGCCCTTTAGAGCGCCAATTCCAGAAGCAACTAGAATCTATTCAAGTGAGTTAGTAAATGAATATAGGTTTTCATCGGTTGTCTAGAAGAAGGACTTACATACCTCCTTAGATAGCTGTTTTACGGAGTCAGGGTCATAGTGGATAGGTTGAACTTGCCCTCCCATTTTTGAATGGTGTTACAGAGATTTCTTGGAAGATTTAAACGACAAGCGCCCGGACCTTCAGTCGTTGCTATACTTCACTGATACGATACATAAGTAAAATGAAAGAGTTGCCTTATTTAGCTAGTACAAAACGCGTACATAATGACCAATGTGCCCGGAGATAGATGTGTGGCAGTCCTAGCCTGCCATCATACAATGTTGCTCCATATGGTAGGATTTTGCTGATCCTGTGGAGTAGATGCTTGAGTTTCCAAAGTGTCTAAACGATCTAGAAACCCTTTGAGTAACGATAGAGGTTTCGTAAGTTTGCCCTGGGACTGGCCGTTATGCTCCTGTAAACGCTGGAGCCAATGCAGAAGGTTAGTCTGAGAGGCTGAAAAAGTAATATCCTCAGTCACCTCTTTTACTACCGTAACCCAAATCTCAGCAACCTGTTGATAGCAAACGTTTTTGTAGTAGTTGTTGCTAGCAGTAGAAAACTGAGGAACCTGACTCAGGAGTTCAGTAGCCAAGTCGAGAACCTTCAATGAATGCATCAAGTTGGTGGTTTGCGGAGGAATGCTCTCTAGTAAACAATCGACAAGACAGTTCAAAAACTCTATTACGTGCGACTTTACACGAACAAAAGCGTAGTCGTTCAAACCCCCGTCAAATTCATCGCAACGCTTCGAATACGGCACATTCGCATAAACCAGTTCTAGTTTGTTTTTCAAGACTTCTAGATATTGATCCACATTGCGGCTGGCAGGCTGGATGGCCATAAATGTGCTCTGTATTTCAGGGTGAAGTTTCAATAATTCCAAAAGCGTCGATTGCAGGCCCTGCCTGTCCATCATTTCTACGGCTCTCGATAAGGGTAGTGCTTGTCCACGAATGGCAGGCGTAGCAACTTTTCGCTTAGAGTTAAGTCGACACTTTCCCCCCGTGGGGCTGGTTGTGGTGAATTCCTCATTCGTTAGTCGTCTCTTTGGCCTTGATTTTGTAATTTTCCATGAATTCGATTGTGATTGGCAGGTCGGGCTTGAGTTAGGCTTGAATCCCCAATTAAATCCCACAGATTGACTCATCTGCTCCGAAGACTGATAGTAAAGATGATTGACTTTAAGCTTGACATTGCTCATCTGTGGCGAAAATTTTCAACACTTTATCTCTATTTTTCAGAAGGCGGGTAACATTAGAAGATAAAAGAACAAGTCCACCATGCGATATACTAGAAGGCAGGTGCTATTCTATCCTAAATAGCCCTTGTATTTACTTAAAGGTATATGTCCTATGCTGTGTAAGTGATAAAGAGTACTCTTCTTTTTGCCTGCATTTTTTACAAAGAACCATCTGATCCATAGCATGGTGAGTGTAACAGCACAGGGAATTTATGCTACTTAATAAGTTTATTCCTGAAGGTATCCGGTATTAAAGTAAGAGTATCATCAATGTATCTTGCTTCGACTTCCAAAGCGCCCTGATCATCAAGTTTAACGTGTGCCTTTTCTTTTTAGAGGAAAAATTTTGAAAAATTTAAGATGAGATGAGATTCACAGTTTATTTGTAATATACAGTTTTCAAAGGATCACGCCAAAATCTGAACGTAATGTCTGGCCTTCCAACTGAACAACAGCAACAGACTGGAGAACAAGTTCCCGAAGAGGAATTCATCTCCACCAATGAGGTTGAACAGGAAATTATTGCTGACGATGCCGAAGACGTTCCTATGGATGAAGACAACGACTCAGACGACGAAGAGCTGCCCATCGAGGATGAGCCCATTGAGATAGACATGTCCAACAATTCGATTGGATACTTTGATAAACACACCGACTCCGTTTTTACCGTTTTCCACCACCCCACATTACCTTTAGTTTGCACTGGAGGAGGTGATAATGTTGCCAATCTATGGACGTCACACTCGCAGCCACCTAAATTTGCTGGTTCCTTGAAGCATAGTGAGTCTGTAATCGGTGGTGGTTTCACACCAGATGGCCAATTTCTAGTTACAGGCGACATGAACGGTAAAGTACTGGTTCACAAGTCAGGTAAAGGTGGCGCTACTTGGAAGCCCTGTGCAGAATTACAAGAGGTTGAAGAAATTATGTGGATTAAGGTACATCCCACCGTATCAGGTCTTTTCGCTTTTGGCGCAACAGATGGATCTGTTTGGTGTTATCAAATCACACCTAAAACGGGTCAATTAGAACAGATCATGAGTGGCTTCGTGCATCAACAAGAATGTTCAATGGGCGAATTTGTCGGAGTTGAGGATGGAGAAAGCAATGTGACATTGGTGACTTGTTCTGTTGACAGTACTATTATCGCTTGGAACTGTTTCACTGCGCAACCAATTTTCAAGATTACACAATCAGAGATTAAGGGTATTGAAGCTCCATGGATTTCTCTATCGAAATGTCCAGCGTCTATGTCAAAAGGTACACCAGTGATTGCATGTGGGTCTAATAATGGTGTATTAGCTATCGTCAACTGTAACAATGGTGCAGTTCTTCAGCTAACTACAGTAATGGAATTAAAACCAGATCAAGAAGAGCTAGACGCTTCTATTGAATCGATTGCTTGGTCTACTAAACTTCCGTTGATGGCCATCGGCCTCGTATGTGGTGAAATTCTACTCTACGATACTTTGAGCTGGAGAGTGAGACACAAAATTACTCTTGAAGATTCCGTAACCAAACTATATTTTGACGAAGTCCAAGGATTTAATCTATTCGCATCCTGCATTAACGGCAAAGTATATGAATATGATGCCAGGACAGGCAACGAAGTATTTGTATGCCTTGGGCATAACATGGGTGTGCTAGACTTTATAGTCACTGAAAAAGGAAAAAAGTTAATTACTGCTGGTGATGAAGGAGTATCATTAATCTTTCAGCTACCCTAACTGTCCATAATAGAGGAATCTTTTGTATACTATTTAAAGGTAAAATCTGACATTAAAGATGAATAGCGTCAATTTTTGAGGAATTCTTTCACTTTGACTTCTACGAACTTCTCAATAAGCTTCCCCAATGGAGAGTTTTCATTGGAGATTTGGTTTTGTAATTGAAGAACCACCTGCTTCTCGATTATCTTACCGGTAAGATCAACTTCGATATTAACTTCTTCGCCAATAGATTTCAAAGGCATTACAACCATTTCTTGGGTATGTTTGATCATGCTTATATAAAAAATCCCATTCTCGTCAACCTGTGTGATAGTTAAGGAAGTCCCGTCAATGCAAATAAATCCTTTTTCCACAATATACTTTTCGTAGGTCGCGTCTCGTAACTTGAAACCGAAAACGATAGAGTTTCCCTCCTTTTCCTTTGACACGATTCTTGCAACGCAATCAATGTGTCCTTGAACATAGTGCCCCCCGAATCTCACATCTTGAGAAACAGCTCTTTCGAGATTAACTTTAGCTCCAGCCTGCCACGAAGAAACATTCGTTCTGCGAATTGTTTCAGGTGAAATGCCTACTTTGAAGGTGTCTGAGTCGAATTCGGTCACTGTAAGGCATATACCATTGATGGCGATCGAATCACCAAGGTGACAATCGCTTAACACTGGCGTTGCATCGCTAATGGTAACTGATACTCCACCACCTCCACTTGAGGTCTCGTCATAGGACTTGTATTCAGCTACTGTTCCAATATGTTCTACGATACCTGTGAACATGATATGTCAACTTGTTTTTCTTAGTACATAGGCCACATTTGAGCAAGGTGGAATCCATTCCACGTAAAATATATCCAGCATGACTAATAATTTTTTGGGATAGCCACGTCATTCAAATTAACATAAAGGAAATAGATGAACGACAAGTAATTCTTCTCTCTTCAGTGTTTTATATGAGTTATGCAATTCATCAGCACAGATGATAAAAGTAGTCTAATAGTTCTGAGATTCCACAGTAAACTCCTCAAAGAAAAACAAAAATATAGTCAAGTATCATCGTCCGTCAAGAGTCTGAAGCTGAAGGTCAACGACGGCAATTTTAAATTTATGCTATCATCTAAAGGGAAGTATGCATCACCTTTTTGAACGGCACAAGGACAAACGTTGAGTGACTTAAAGATCAATCATGAGAGTTGAAAGGTATTCTTACCATCTAAGAACTCTAGGCTCTAAAACGCAGGAGTGATAATGGCATTATGTGATTGGAATTGAGTTAAATGTCTATTTTTTATATATTATATAAACTTGTTTGATGGCAGTGAATATTGCGAAGTGGTAAATAAAGCAGTCAATGATGTTAATTCAAGGTGCCAATAAAGATTACGTGGATTATGAGATAGCATCCAGCTTTTTGAGATCTCCTTGAATTTCTTTGATCGCTTGTTTCCTTTTCTCTTTCAAAATCTTCTTGCGCTCACCTTCTAGTCCCACAAGGTCAACACCATCAAGTTCAATTAATAGTTTAAGAAGCATTTCGTTATAATATTTTCTCTGGTAATCGTGTTGCTCAGATTTACCATCAAAGGCTTCCAGAAGATTTGCCAACCCCGTTTTATAGTCGCTGACATACTTCTCGTGCACCGCGTTGATCTGATCTTCGAGACTCAAATTCTTTTTATCTTCATTTTGATGCTGTCTCTGTTTCTTCTTCTTCGTGCCTTTTGAACGAGGCTTCTTTCCACTTCTAGAGGGATAGAACATTAACAGAACAAGAGCTGCACCAATCGCTGTCGCAGCATAAATAGTAGACATGTTCACTCTCTCAACATTTTCAAGCAGCGGACTAATCAAAGGCTTCACATGTGACTGATAGTAACTCCTCGAGATGGACTTAAGACTGGTCTCTACAGAATGCATTCCAGCTCTATGAACTTTATCAATTCTATCAGTTTTGCTAGCATTCTCAAAAGGCGCCTTATTTCTTAAAAATTTGATATGGCCATTGAGCAAGAAGAGCAGCAAAGTGAACGGTTAAGAGAGGCTTTTAAATTAAGTAGCATAATGATATAATCATGTTAGAAAGAACTGAACTTGATAGCTGTATATAACAACGCTATTGGCGTTCTGATCTTACCATTCAGTACCTAAGGAAAGTAACAACGTCAAAAACGATCTAGTGTAATAACGGTCTCCTTGTAGGGAGAGTCATTCAACTCTAGCACTTTATGTTTCTCCTTTAAAGTAACTTTGAAGCACTAATGATAACACCACCAGTGAATATTTCTAGTCCGCTCTCATCCAGCGATTTACAGGAGATCAAAAACTCTATAGTTGGTGATCAGTTCGCCAAGTTACAGCTCTTTCTATCAAATCAATCCTTGATTCGCAACTTGATAGAGGTGGCAACCAGCAATTTAGATTTAAAGAGGGAGGCGTTAGACATATTACTGAGCTTACTTAACCTTGAGGAAGATGTGCGATATGAACTTAACGAAATATATTCTACGATTGTCGAACTTATACTACGAGACATCAAAATCACTTTGAATGACAGCGATGTGATTACATATAAGAACATAAAGTTGGTCAATATCTGTCTGGAAAATTATGGCGAGGAGCTTAGAAGATCGGGACCAACACTGTCCAGCTTCTCAGCCAGAAACCTGCAGCATTGCCTTTTGCATTACATTGAGAAATGGCTTACGACGGAAACTTCAGTGTACCATTCAGCTGTCATAGTGGCTTTGATGACTTCTCTCCTTAAAGATATTGGAAAAGTAACAAGGGAATTGAAGGACCTAACTGAAAGGCTACTTACACGAATTTCACAGAAGTATATTGACCAGTTAGAGTTCAAATATCTTTTGAAGGTAAGTTCCAAACCCAATAAAATGAATCAAATATACGACCCTTTAAGTAATAAGGGCGTCGAAAATTCCGCTACCATGCAATTTATAACTTCGCCCAATCCAGTTGACATTCATGACCCCGTGGATCGGTCCATGTTTTATTTGGGAGTGAATCTCTACTTACAGATTTTTGAAAGTCCCAGGTCTCGCAAGGCAGACTTCTTTTTCGATGAAAATGCCATGGATGACAACTTGTGGAAGGACGGTAATTTTGGTCTTTTTTTATCGAGTTTTCTCAAAAGTGATGACATGAATATGAAGTGTAGCGCTGTAAAGTTCGCTGCCTTTCCTTATTTGTGTTCAAGTAGGTATAAACTCCCTAAGCAGCCCTTGCGCCAGTGGCTACCAAGTATGCTTGACTGTTTCAATTATGATAACATTCCCTGGTGGTTTGATCCGTTTGAGATTCTGACAAATCTCATAGATCTGTACAACCATACCTCACCATTGAATAATCCTGTGACGGATTTTCTTTTCAAAACAAGTCTTTTGAATGGATTAGTTTCACTGTTTGCAAAATGTTTATGTCTCCCCTATCAAAACAGAGGTTCTATTAATGTGGTAGCGAAATTTATCAAGTTATGTGCATCAATAACAAGTTTTGATGAGAAGTGTAGAGAGCTTCTTTTGGAAGACAAATCCCTATTGCTTCATGCTGAGTCAGGATTGGAGTCTCATTTAAATTTACTGGATTCTTTTCTTGAGAACAAGGATACATTTAGCGAATCTTTGGAACCAGAATTATTTCCTCCTTTGCATGACAGTTCGATCACGCTCTCGTGGCTTCTATTACTGAAATCCTTCTCTCGAAGTATAACCGCTCTAAGGACTTCATTAAAGAGGAACAGACTTGCTGAACTCCTCTTGAGTCTTGTAAAAAGAATCTACTTACTTATCACTGACATCAATTTCAAAGGCGCTGGCTTCCTAAAGGCCGAGATAAGTATTCTAAGCGCTACGCTCGGTGTACTATCAAATTTTGTTGTGGAGTTTTCTAACCTCCAGTCATTTATTCTAAGCAACGGAATTGTAGACGTGGTGGGAAGCATATTAAGGGAACCATTATTTAACAGCAAAATACCCTGGGAAGATGAAGTGCGCAGGGAAAAGTTTACTGGCATTGCAACTTCAGAAGTTAAGACGAATGCGTTGTGGGTTTTGAGACATTTGATGTACAACTCACACAACGAAGAGAAAATTGAGTTACTTTCGTCCATTCCCATGGAACTCATTCTTCAGTTCGTTAACGATAGTAACTGGCTGGTCCAGGAACAATGCTTTCAACTGTTGAGAAATTTAACTTGCAATTCTAGACGTATTGTTAATATTCTCTTGGGAAACTTCAAAGACTCGGATTTGGTCAACAATGGTAAAAAGAATGCCCCGGCTGTTCGATCCACATACCTCTTTGAATTCTTAGCGCACAAAATGAAGCTATTGGATCCCAGTGACAGCCACCAGCGCAAGACGCTTGAGGGTGTTCTGTACATCATCGTCAACATTACGGCTATTAATGAAAACAAACGACAACTTATTATTGAGCAAGATGACTTATTGCACATAATTTATGAGATTCTTTCGGACAAAGATGGTGAGCATCCAGAGGCAGGAACTAACAACGACTTGCAGATCGCTTGCTTGTGGATTTTAACAAACCTGATTTGGAATTCATCGTTCTCAAGCTACGCACATCATGCACCCGAGGATTACATCCCGTCGATGGAAACATCTCCAGTTCGGATTGGCAGCTCTTCTGGTGATGAAAGTAATGACAAAGCTACTTCGCAGGATAACGATGAACATTTGGATGAGGAAATCAGCGGCGATGAAGATGAAGACATGGAAAATGAAGATCCTGACGAGGGAGATGAATTCGTCCGACCATACCCCCAACAATCCGCTGTTAAGACGAAAAACTCTGCCTTGGAGAGGTGCTCGAAGCTAGTTAAAATGGGAATGTATGACCTGGTAAAGTTGAAAACATTTGATAAGCACTTGGCTGTTCGTGAGAAGGCCAGAACGCTGCTATTTCATATGGATCTATTACGGAAAGGTATGTAGTATATCGAGAAGTAGATCAAGAATAAATATCACGTGACTAAAATTCAATCATATCACATGATCTATTTATATGTGGCTTTCTTTTCGAGTGGAAGATCGAACGAACAGTGGATGTTCGAACGTGAATAAATAAGCTACCATTTATCTTGTATTCTCTACACGTAGAGTTTCATACCTTTTTTTAACCTAGTTTCAAACCAAAAGTAATTCTGTATCATTGACGGCATGAGTACAGATTTTGTGACCAATCCATTTGGTTTACCAACTGACTGGAAACAGTCTGCCTATACATCCCCGGTGGCAGCGATATCGTCTGTTCTATTCGAAAACGTGGAGTCACTTTTCAGTTACAAAACGTTCTCAGAACCAGATTTGTTAGATGCAGCGCTTAAAAAGTGGTCTCAAAAGTCATCGAACAACTCGTATTTTGAAGAGCTCGAATTAAGAGCCGCTGCAGGTCTAGCACCACTTGGTTATGCAAGATCTCAAGGAGGCCTATCTGGAATCATTACTCCAGGCTATGGTTTGAAATACTTCCTTAACAATTTTAGACGTGAGGTCCAAAATAATGGGCGGTTCCTTTTCAACGTTGGCGCATTAGATTATGATGACGATGCTGACCAAGTGGTGGCCGACTATATTACGCCTTTGAATGTCGCATCTCAATTAGGCTTTCCTGTGGTTACTCCTCTTTCCCCCCAAGAATCTAAGTATACAACAGTGTTGACCTTGGCCTTAGCGAAGTTTGGTAAAGAATTAGGAGCTATCCACCTCTTTGATGGACCTAACTACGCAAAGTCTGTTTTGAAAGTCGACGAAACAACTGATAAGAGCTTGCTCGAAACATTGTCCAAAAACGTTCTCAGCGGGTCTTCATTTACTGAGATTCTGGACAAGTTCAACGAAATTTCACCCAAGAGACTGCACAACTTTGAATACTTAGGTGATGAAGATGCTGAGGTTATCTTTGTTACATATGGTTCATTGGAATCTGAAATCTTTACGGATGCTTTGAAGAACTCTAGTTCTAAAGTGGGATTAATCTCTATCCGAATTCCACTTCCATTTGATGTCGAAAGATTCGTTGCTCAAATTCCTTCAACAGCTCGCCAAATTGTGGTTATCGGACAATCCTTGGATGGCGCAAAGCCTTCTTACTTGAAATCACAAGTTTCTGCTGCGTTGTTTTATCAAGGAAAGACGAAGATCAGGGTTTCTGAGTATATTTACAAGCCATCATTCATTTGGTCACCATCTGCAGTGGAGCAAATTATAAACTCTTTTGTCCCAGAGTGTACTACTAAGGAAATTCGTGATGCACAGGGGTTTATTTTCTGGGCAATTGACAACAGCGCTAATGCCGACCTTTCAGCAAGATTGGTCCACGCATTATCGTTAGTCGATGGCAGAGATGTTACCTTAAGAAGCAAATTTGATAACAATGCCAATGGAGGTGTGTTTCAAGCACAGTTTGTTTCTTTACCCTCTGATCAATCCATTGCTGTCTCTAATATTGATTCTGCATCTGTCGCAATCGTAGAAAATCCGTCTATCCTCGGGACCTTCAACGTCGCAAGCACTGTCAATCCAAACGGAACAGTCCTCATTATAAGCGAAGTCCCATTGAAGGATAAGGTGATCTCTGACAAAGATACTTTGATGAAGGAGTTTAAGATTCCCTCCACATTTTTGAAGCAAGTTGTTGATAAAGATATTCAGGTCATCTTTTTAGATGCGGAGGCCATTGGTGACAAGGAGGAAACAAAGGGTCGTACTCTGTCTTTCGTTCTGCAAGCCGCTTTCTGGAAATATGCTTATGGACTTTCCATCGCTGAAAGTGTCCGCCGTATTTGGAGCTCAGCTGGCTCAGACATCGAATTGCTAGCCGCTGTTTTATCAGAGACCATTACAAACGCGTTCGAAGTGGGTATTTTCAAGATTTCAAACGACGACCTAAGGAAATCGTTTTCAAAGAAAGATCAAAACGATTCAGATGAAAAAACCGAAGAAGAAGAGCCTACCTTACCTTTGTTTTTGTCTGAGACGTGCTTCAAGCCCAATCCTAGAGAGGCTGAAGACTATCCAGAGGTCGAGACATCCGATCCTCTTCAAATTGCGAAACAATTAACTTTCAGTGAAGCTTATGATGTGAAAAGGGATTTGAGGCCAGACTTGCCTGTCAAAAACTTCGTTGTTAAGGTCAAAGAAAATCGCCGCGTGACACCTGCTGACTATGATCGTTATATTTTCCACATTGAGTTTGACATAAGTGGCACTGACCTAAAGTATGGTATCGGTGAGGCTTTGGGTATTCACTCGAGGAACAACGAAGAGCGAGTCCTTGAATTCTTGAGCAACTATGGATTGAATGCAAATGAGGTGATTTTGGTTCCTAGCAAAGAGAATTATCAAATCTTAGAGGCAAGAACAGTTCTTCAAGCTTTCACGGAAAATCTAGACATATTCGGGAAACCACCAAAGAGATTTTACGAAAGTTTGGCTGATTTTGCAGTTGAGGAAAAGGACAAGAAAAAACTTGAAGATCTGGTTTCTGCTGCTGGTGCTGCGGAATTGAAAAGATTCCAAGACGTTGAGTATTACTCTTATGTTGATATCTTCAATCTTTTCCCCTCCGCTAAACCACAGCTTGAGGACTTGGTTAAAATTATTGCGCCATTAAAGAGAAGAGAATACTCCATTGCTTCGTCCCAAAGGGTTCACCCTAATGAAATTCATTTGTTAATTGTAGTTGTTGACTGGATTGACAATCAAGGTAGAAAGAGATATGGCCAGTGTTCTAAATACTTGTCAGAATTACCAGTCGGCTCAGAACTTGTTGTAAGTGTAAAACCCTCCGTTATGAAACTACCACCTTCTCCTAAACAGCCAGTTATTATGAGCGGTTTGGGTACGGGTCTTGCTCCTTTCAAGGCCATCGTTGAAGAGAAGTTGTGGCAAAAACAACAGGGTCACGAAATCGGAGAAGTTTACTTATTTCTCGGGTCTAGGCACAAGAGAGAGGAATACCTTTACGGAGAGCTTTGGGAGGCTTATAAAGATGCGGGTATTATTACGCACATTGGCGCAGCCTTTTCAAGAGATCAACCTCAGAAAATTTACATTCAAGATAGAATTAGAGAATCTTTGGCTGATCTAAAGAAAGCAATGATTGACAACGAAGGTTCCTTTTACTTGTGTGGTCCTACATGGCCTGTTCCTGATATCACAAAGGCCCTTCAAGACATTATAGCTGCCGATGCGGAGGAAAAGGGAATTAAGGTCGACTTGAATGCTGCAATTGAAGATTTGAAGGAGGCATCGAGGTACATCCTTGAAGTATATTAATACCTTTTTCCAAGGTACTACTCCTTTTATTTATGTTACTCTGAATAAACACCTTATATACCTAAAATTTTGCCAAAAATTTAAGGTCGTAACAATTCGACGGCTAACATCACATAACACTCACCACTGAGGTTCCGTCTTGAAACCTCGTTCTGAAAACTCTATTAGCATTTGCGAACATTCCTTCCTTCAGTGATACAATTATGAACTGTGATCCCTTAAACCTCGTTTTGATCAGATGGCCGATGTTTTGAGTATGACTTAAGTCCAAAGCAGCGTCCACTTCATCCAGGATATACATGGGGGCTGGCTTAAATTGTAAAAGAGCTAAGATCAATGAGAGCGCAATCAGCGATCGTTGACCACCAGATAACTCAACTAAACTCTCTTTCCAAATACTCCCAAGGCGAATTTTTACTTCCAAGCCCTCTGTGATGTCTTTTCCTTCCACTGCGACTAACTTTGCGAATGAGTTAGGTAGTAGATCTGCGAAGATCTGTCCGAAGTCCACGCTCACTTTTTGCCACGTTTTTATGAGTGTTTCTCGCTTATACTCATTTAGCTTGCTGATAGTTTCTTGAATTTTTGTTTTATCTTTCTCAATCGTTTTTATCATCGTCCTCAGAGCGGATTCCTTCTTTTCAACATTCTCGATCATGCTCATAATATTAGGATTTATTTTCCGTTTCATACCCTGAAACTTTTCTTTAAGCTGTTCACCGCGTTGTCGATACTCTTCAAGATTAATACCCCTATTTTGAGCAATGATACTGGAAACTAATCCTTTGTTTTTCAAAAATTCTGATGTATCCTCCAAATTCTTGATACTCTGTTCGATGCCATGCGTGCTAGATTTAAACTTATGCAAATCATGACTTAACTTTTGATGCTCAAGCTCATAATTAGCCAATGAGGAAGCTTTCGCTTTAATTAATTTCTGCAACTCTCTCAATTCTTCATCAATCCCGATTAAGCGCTGTCTTTCTTCAGAAAGCCTCTCTTGTGTTTGTTCTAAATCTTGCTTCTTGGTATCAAGATCTTCGATGATTGATACCTTCGACTTTTTCAGGTCCACTAAGGAAGAATTGAGCTCATCAATTTCACGTCGACATGACTGAATATCTGATTCCAACTGATCCGTTTCAAGCTGTAAAGTTTGAAAAAGTTCATATTTATCTTCAAACACCTTCTTTTGAACTTCAATTGTTTCGCTGATTCTTCCTATTTCCGATTTTAATTCTTCTAATTTGGATCCCTTATCTTTACTGAACTCATCTATATCATTCTGGATTCTTGATATTTCACGCGAATAGTGGTCGATACTTCTCTTTTGCTCCATAATATCTTCCTCGCATCTAGATATTTGCTCTTTTATCTCATTATTTCTCTTAATAATTTGCGTAGCAGGATTCGAATCCAAGTTTTTTTGAACTAATCTCAATTTGTGGGTTGCCAAATTGAGCTCGTTTTGAATGGTACGTGTTTTTGCTGATATCTCCATATTTTCTCTGATTTTATTTTGTACCGATGTCAGTTCATCTTCCATTATTTTCATTCGCTTAGAAGCCAGGTTATATTTTTGAATGTCAACAAGCAGAGAGCTCTTATTGTTTCTACTTCCGCCAGACAAAGTTCCCTCGGGATCATAAACGTCTCCTTGTAACGTGATACTTCTTGCTCGTACTTGGGGGTGAAATGTGACTTTTTTTGCAATATTGGCATCTTTACAGATCAAGCTAGTGCCGAATATAAACTCCATCGCCCGTGTGACCTCTTCTTCGTATCCTATAAGATTAAGAGCTAATTCAACACCGTTGGGCGCAATATCTTTGGCAAGACGTAACGTCTGTTCATTGAGCCTTCTAGCCGAGATCTTATTAAGAGGAATAATTGTGACCCTTTTTCGTAGTTTGCCCCTTTCGAGTAATTGAGAGGCTGTTTTCTCGTTGTCCACAACAACATTGAATAGTCGGCCACCTGCGCACACTTGTAAGGCGGTAGCACTATCAAAATTTTTCTCATCAAGTGTGAAGAGCTGAGCGGCGACACCCTTAACAGAGTGGGGGTCAAACTCCATGCTAGGCTTCGCGTAGTTGAATTCGATATTGGCAAGCATTCGTCTGAACGACTCAAGATCAGCTGACACGTGGTATATATCAGTTTTCAACCTACTTTCTCTTTCACGTAACTCTCTTAATAACTCCTGGTCGAATCCAAGCTCAACCAGTTGTTTTTCGAGTTTCGCACACGATTCTTGATAATTTTTGATTTCTTCACGAGCCTGATTGTCCTCAATTTCTGCCTGTTTGATTCTTGGCTCATTCGTGAGCAATTCTCTCCTCAGAATCTCAATCTTCATATTATTTTCTTTGATTTTGATCTCGGCGTTGTTGAGCTTCGTTTTAGCAGCAGATAGTTGCGCACTATAGCCACTATCGGTGTTTCCCGTTAATGATATACCGGTTGTTAAGGTTGAAAGGAGCTCTTCTTTAGAACGTAACTGTTCCTCTAGCTTTTTAACCTCCAACTCCAGCGCGTTGTGTTCTGCTTCAGTTCGCTTGAAAGTGATAGACTTTCCTGATAAGGTGCTCTCGTTCTCATTTAGATTCTGTTGAAGTTTAGAAAGTTTCGCTTTTTCTTCCTTAACATTCTCTTCATTGATTCCTAAAGCTGTGCTTAGTCTGGATACCTCACTTTTGAGATCATTTTCCTCTCTCTCTAAAACGGCAAGCTTGCTATCTTTTTGAAATTCTGTCTGTTTTTGTATTCTTACAGTCTCAAGATCTTCTTCCAAACTCTTGATTTCTGCTTTGGTTTTAGCCACATTAACATTGAGGTACTCGAGGCGGGACTCTCCAGTTTCCAACGTTTCCTTCATCGAATCTCTTCTTGTAAGGAGGTCGTTATAGATGAAGGTATTAACTATCCTCAAAGTATTTTCCATATCAGTCTGGGTCTCTTGAAACTCCAGAAAAGCTCTCTTTTCATTCCGTAATTTCTCTAATTTAGGCTCTATTTCTTCTTCCAACAAGGTTCTTATTTCCTGCAGTTTTGTCTCTTTCTTAGCCATTGTTCTCTCTGCCTTTTCTCTTCTATCCTCGAACATCTTGGTTCCAGCTGCTTCCTCGATCAGAGATAAGATTTCTGTAGGTTTCATGTTCAGTACTTTGGTGATTTTCCCCTGCATGATGAGAAAGTTAGGATTATTAATATTAAGTTGAACGGATTGGAACAAGTGTAGTACAGTTTGCTGTTGTGCTCTATGCCCATTAATCAGATATTTGCTGGTTCCACCTAGTATAATTTGACGTGTAACAGATATTTTAGGATAACTTTCGAAGCCAATCGGAGAGTTGCTCTTGTCAAGGTTATCAAATACAATTGTAACGCTTGCTTTCGTGACACCCGCTTGACCGCGTTTGTATATTAAATCCTGCAAATTTGATGCTCTGACAGTTGCCATAGAGGATATACCTAAAACAAAGCAGATTGCATCTAAAATATTTGACTTTCCCGAGCCATTGAGACCCGTTATAGCATTGAACTGGGGATCCCAATGTGAGATCACGGTTCTGGTCGCGTATGATTTGAACCCATCAATTATCAGCTCTTCAACCTTCATTGACTTCAGAGATTGATGCTATAAGTTAAGAAACGCAAACTCCCTCTTAGGACAATTGGCAATGCGTTAGATCCAGTGTAGTGTTCAGAAACCCTTCGTTGATGAGATTTGTTTACAGTTTGAAAGAAATTCGTGGATCAGTACTTGATAGAGAAATAAATCAATCAAATTTCGTCTTATGGTACAACTGGCTTCAAGGATATTCTACTCATTAAGAATTGTTTATTGACTTAACTATGCGTAACATGCACCTGTAGCTTAACTGGTAATTTAGGAATTAGCCTCTTTTTGGTCTCCATATGACTAAATCATGGGCTCTGTACAATCTCCCCGTATAATTTAATTGACCGAATATCAAGAGTAACGGTGGAACATTAATGGGCCAAGGCAGTTAGGAGAGTTTTGAACCAGGGTTCGTAGTAGCTATACAGTTTACAATTCAGCATATGCAGAAAAAAGCATGAAAGAAGTTCACTTACCAGCGATGCCTCATAGAAAGGCTCTTCACCTCTATTAGACACCATGTAAGAAGACAAAATCCATTTCTAGATGTACATACGTGTGCTTATATAGGAAAGATCAAATTAGATCTATTATATGATAACGTTTTGATTAGCTTTTTAAGAGAACCTTAGATATAAAATGGCGGAAAACCATTCTATATACTCTAATCTTGGGTCTTTTGAGAACCACGCAACAAACCAGTTCTTCTGGCGGCGATCAAACCAGCCTTTTGACCGGAAACAGCACCTCTAGAGATGGTAGAAGCCTTACCAATGTGTTGATGGTTACCACCACCGTGAGGGTGATCAACTGGGTTCATGGCAACACCACGGGTCTTTGGCCAAGAGTTTCTCTTAACCTTGTACTTGTGGAAAGCACGACCAGCCTTCAACAATGGCTTGTCAACTCTACCACCACCGGCAACAACACCAATGACACCTCTGGCGTCGGAGGAGATGATCTTCTTGGCACCAGATGGAAGTCTAACTCTGGTCTTGTTTTCGTCTGGGTTGTGACCAACGACAATGACGTAGTTACCAGAAGCTCTGGCCAAAGCACCTCTGTCACCTGGCTTTTCTTCGACGTTGGAGACAATGGTACCTTCTGGAACGGAACCCAAAGGCAAGATGTTACCGACGTTCAAAGAAGCCTTCTTACCGGCGTAGATGAATTGACCGGTGTGGACACCTTCGTTGGCAATGAAGGTTTCTTCACGCAACTTGTACTTGTATGGGTCACGGAAGACAACCTTAGCCAATGGAGCACCTCTACCAGCATCGTGGACGATTTGCTTGACAACACCACGAATGTAACCGTGACGTTCGGCGAAGTCCAACGTTCTCAACTTGGCAGCACCCTTTCTCAACCTGGTGTGGGAGGTGAAGATAGAACCAGCACCCTTTCTTTGGTTACGAATAACTCTACCTGTAGGAAATTATGTTAGTAAAACGCCCTCGATTACTCTAACTGTAGCTTCTCACTCATTGAGGTCTTTTCGACAAAACTGAGTCTGGTCCAAAATTCAACACTATTCCGCTATTAACTGATATTGTAGTATTCCCGCTAGTCTCTGTAATCAACACATTTTTGAAATTGCAAGTCTTCCTTGAATGCAGAGCTTAAAATTGTTCATTTCTTATCTGCTCTTGTGTCAAACGTCTTGAATCTTTACCCATCATTCATTCCATTATTCTCGTGGTAAAGAAGCACACAGTTGGCAATACTACCAATGAAAACATACCCATTGCTTATTGATATGTGGTTTGTCTGATCTGTCTAAGCAGCTATACAAAACTTTCTCTATATTGAAGGTCAGAAAATTGGAAAAGCTACGATGCGACACTGGCACGCAGAGTCTCTGCCCGTAGGCGGTGAGCAGTGGTGCGGCATGCTGGCTGCGCAACAGTAGAGCCAGGATCTCCCAGGCAGAACGCCGGGCCCACTGGAGAGGCGGGCAGCGTAGGCTCTGCCTAGGTCGGGGTAGGGGACGGGAGGACCTGGGACGGCGAGGGGTCCACCAAGCCGAGAGGAATTCCACAAGGGACGCAACCCAGAAAAGGCAAAAGAGTACTTTCATACGGATAAAAAACATAGAGATGTACGGATTTAAGAAAACTAGTATGCATGGGTGGATGTTTACTAACAGTCACAACATGAAAATGCGCGGCTTCTATATTTTTAAATGCGTGGTAACCTAAATGAGCAACGAACAAAGTAGTATATTATCTTCTTCTTTTGTTAACAGAGTCGCAATGGACATGCGAACAAGGCAAATTTCAAATATATAGCTCAAAAGTTTTAACTTACTATGACTTTGATTTTCAATTTGCGGCCACTGGTTCCGAGGGGCCAACTTGAGGTTGATCTGCTTGCAAACGCAGATTTTCCTCTTCTAATTTTTTGACTGCTGCTCTTTGAACTTCCTGTATTTTAGAAAGCCGAGCTACCCTCAATGTAACTCTTTTTCCCATCAACTTTTGCTTACGCAGATTTGAAATGGCATTGAGCAAAAACTCCGGATTACCAAGTGTAACCAAGGCGGCAGTAAAGCAGCGATGGAAATATATGCCTCTTCGGGTTCCATTGCTTCGAAATACATATATATCTTGAGGCTCGTAATCTTTGAAGAATTCCCGTAATTCCACGTCAGTCACTTTGCCAGGTAGATACGCACAATAAACCGTATCTTCTGATAAGGGTACCTGCTGCGAGGTGGAATTGACTTTTACCTGGGGTTCAGCGACAACTGTCATTTCTTCTTCTAAAAATGCGTCATCTGCTTGGACAATTCTCAATTCCTCAGGGACCTCCGACTGTTGGTTCTTCGCCCCCTTAGTTCCGCGATTAGGTCTCTTTTCTGCCGCACATGGTGAATATGGTACATAAGGTTTGATTTTTAAGACTCTTTCTTTGAATTGTGTACCATTTAATTCTTGGATTACCCTTACAGTTTCGTCGCCCGTCTCGAACTCTGCGTAAGCAATTCCCAAAGGGCGTACAGTACTTTTTCTAAAACCTCGGATTGTTTGACTGGGAATGAGTACAGATTTCACATTGTAACTACTTAGGAATTCAGAGAGCTCTTCCTCTGTCGCGTTAAAACTCAAGTTTGATATATAGACACGGTTTGAAGCCACTGGGATAGGCGTTGATCCCACCTGGGATCCAGCATTCGAAGATTCCGTCACCATTACTTTATTTTCAAACTGGCTAAAAACCACTTGAGAACTATTTAGTAGTATACTACTTACAGCCTTTCAAACATGTCAGCTCTTTATACTGACGGCGTTTTTGTGGCTGATAAGGTAAGAAGTAAGTGACACAAAAAATAATTACGCTACATCTAAATCGATAAAAAACAAAATGTTAATGAAGTGTTACGCGCAATTAGACACATCTACAGGCGAGTTAGAGATAAATTAGTTATGTAAAGAAAAATACCAAAATTTCATTCATTTCAATAACTAGTTTATTTCTTTTCGGCACGTTGGGCAGCCAAGGCCTTGGCAGTACCGTGCAAAGCGTGCTTGTGGTTTCTTCTGAACTTTGGGTCAACACCCTTCAAAGAAGGATACTTGTGAGTCTTAGGCTTCTTGATACCATTTCTGTGGGCCTTTCTGGTTTGGTTGTGAGCCGTGTGGTTCTTAGACTTAGCCATTGCTGAAGGAATAGTTAGTAAAGCTCATAAGAGTCAACATTTTAGTGGATCTCACTGATTGCTTTGGGTCACACTGCTTTACGTCAGGTTGGCTTCTCGCATGTAGAAGAGAGTTGGCACTTCAGAAAAAAATCAAGGGTATGGCATGGAACCATCATGTAGTTTCGGTTCAATCACGATTCGATTTTCTGAATGGAGGCTTTTCACCCATATGTTACACTTTAATTGTTAGCTGGGAGCATAATCAATAGTTGACAGTCAACTGTTCCACGTAAACGTCACTTGTATTTCAAATTTTTAAATCCCATGATCTCTCAACATTAGCAAGTCATTCATTTCAACGTTCAAGCTTCCTCACAAGCAATCGGTTCAATCCCCCTCATTTGTACGTACCGTTTAACTTAACTTCTCTAAAGTTGTAGGCCGGATGCAATTCAGCTTCAGCAGGTTGTTTTAACCAGATTCAGCAGTATGAAAAAGCGTGGTCCTGGCGGTCATGGAAGTTGGCATTGCAAGGGCATGAGCTTAGAAATGCTCGTACAGACAGTGACAATGTCGTAAGATTTCTAAAAAAAACCAAACTGAAAATATCATATGTGTGGGTTATATAGATATAGTTGTTTTCTCGGTGTATGGGTTGAGAAGTCAAACAAAAGTTGATTTAGACTTGCTGCTGGATAATTATGTACGGAGGAGATTTGGGAATGGTCGACGATACTCGAAGAGGGTCGCTGTCAGCGACTATCTCGTAACGATTTCAAGTCAGATATGTATAAAGAAGGTCTTTCATTAAGAATGTATTTGCTTGTCTTATCTTTAGTTTTTTCTCGTCAGAATAAATATAAAACAGATGTTAGGAATGTTTTAGATCAAATATAAATAGAATGGGGGATGACAACGTCGGATGGATTCTGAGGCAGGTTTATTTTAATCTGTCAAACAACTGTGGGGCAACGCAGCTGTCTATGTGGTGTTGTAAGTGGAAAAATTCTTCAACACAGTCCTCCTTGTAGTGGGCGTCGGCGTAGCCAGGCTCCTCTTGGGCTTTGTGGACCCTTTCAACACACTCGAGGTAGTGATGCACCAAAGGTTTAGCTTCTTCAGTGTTCTTGCAGCTTTCTCTGAGTTCGTCCAATTGGTCGACTTGTTCCTCTTCGTCTTCATCGTCTTCGTCTTCGTCTTCATCCTCATCGTCGTCGTCGTCGTCACCGCCTTCAACGTCTTCAGTTTCCTCCTGATAATAATAAAGTTAGTAATTTGATCAGGCTATATTCGCCAGTAAACAATCGAAGTTGGGAGTCTTGCGTCGCGCGACGACCATTGGCCGTTAGAAATCTACCCGGAGATATGGTGAAACCAGAAAACACAAGATCTCCGCACTATTTGCGTGACTCTCGGCATATTCTGTTTCATCGTGTCAACCAGCCTCGCCCCTCCACCCCCTCTTGGTCTCGAATAGCCCTCAATGGACAACCCGAACAGAGGTTAGGATTAGGCGAAAAGTCAATGGTATTATCTCAACATCGCTGGGAAAACGTCACTCCACTACTGTCATGACATGTATTATGGCAATGTTTGCCACGAGTTCCAACCTTCGATCCCTCACTTTCTCGAGCATTCATGTAATTCAACATACTTCGTCTTCAGCTCTTGCCACGGTAGGCACAATGGCCTCCTTCAACTCTTCCAAATATTCAGTGATAGAAGAAATCATCTTAAGTGTGCTCTTTGGATCCCCTTGGTTGTAAGCTTCACGTTTTGAAAAAGCGATTGTGAATTATCTTTTAACAATTCATAGCGGTATGAATCGGCTCTGCTCCGGACCAATCGCTCTCGACGCGCTTGCCGTACGAAATTTTTCGGATGTATTTTTTTTTTTAACATTTTTGGGTTAGTGTTTCTGTACAATTTGATTGGCCCGTCGTTTATGCGTCACGCGCTCTCCTTCTCTTCACGTGAACGGATTACAACGGCGGCGGTGTGTCTCGTACAAAGTGCTCCAGGGCCAGACAAAAACTTGAATGACACGAAATAAAAAAAAAAACTACTAGATGAAGAGATATATCTATCTTAGAATATTGATCAGATATAAAGAGTCATGAGTGATGTTCATTACTTTGAGCCGTTACGAAAAATATAATAAATATTTATAATTATTGAGGCAAATTCATTAAGGCGGGAAATATTTACAAAGTGTGATGAAAACTCTTTTGATCTTGGCAACAATGGTGATAACATCGTAACAAACATAACTAACAAACATAACATATGGATAACGATACAGTGAGCGAAAACAATTAGCAAAAGTGCACAAACACCAAACCCAACACCAAAAAGATAAAAACACACCAAAACACAAAGCACACGATCATGCGGGTCCATCAAGAGGGAAACGTAATTTCTTGTAAAATTTAACAGACATTGCTAACAATGTATTCAAAATACCACGGACATCGGGGTCAGTATGCGACCATTGCATATAGGTATGTATTAGTTCGGCAATTGCTATTATTCTGCTAGTTGCACCTATTCCTCTGTTGGGTCCAATTGGCCTGTCAGTTGCCTAATGTATTGGCACGCCAGTTCGACCGTGGTGGCCTTTGAAGGGATCAGCACTGTTTCGCGCAATTCGGGCGGGATAAGAGATTGGAGGTCGCTGAGAGCAGTATTAAGCCTATTTCTGCGGCCTTGCTCTGCCGCTTTGTGGACCTCTTTTTTGAACACGTCCTCTTCGGGCCCGCTATCGTTGAGAGAGGACTTGCTACTCTTGCGTTTGGGTTTCAGTTCCGGAGTACTCTTGGCATGTAGCGAAGAGTTGCTAGTTTGACGCGACAAATGCGAGCTGGGGTGCTTGGGCTTGATGACGGGGGACTCGGTGGCGCGGATCACGTTGCGGTCTTCATGCAAGGACGATACGCCGTAATTGGCGGAGCTGTTGGAGGGCAAGATCACCTTTGGGTAGTTCATGAGGGTCGCGGGTGTTATGTGGGGTTGGGACGGGTTGGTGGGGCCCGTGGAGCCGGCGGAAGATGCTGTGGAGGACACGGACCGTGGGGTTCCGTCTTCTAGTGCGCTGCTGGAGTTGGCGGCGGCGGACGCCGTGGCGGTCGTGGCGTAACCGGAGGCGGTCGAGCTGCCAGCGGGCGGCGGGATGCTACTATCGGGGAGCGCGAACATGTCGTCCCAATTGCTGGAGTTGGACTTGACTTTGGACGAGATGGCGCGCCTGGAGTTGATTTGCGGGCTCTGCTTGACGACTTTGGAAGAGGTGGTGGCGGTCAGGGCCGGCGTGGAGTGCGGGGTGCGCTTGGAGCGCGAGCACGCGCTGGAGCTGCGCTTGGTGCCGGCCGACGAGCTGGCCTCGGGCAACGTGAAGCTGCTGGAGTGCGAATGCGCGGTCAGCGCGCGGTCGCCCGCGCTGAGCGCGGGCGACGACAACGGCGAGAACGACGGGCGCGCGTCTTTGGCGGAGGAGGCCTGCGGCAGCCCGGCGCTCATGAACGGCGTGTTTTGGAGTTGCTGGCCGGGCGCCACGAGCGGCGACACCATGGGCGAGAACACCATGTCTGGACGGACGTGCTGGCGCGAGGCGGGCTGGCGCGCGCCCTGGTCGTCGGGGTCGTCGTGGAGCGCGTGCGCGTGCGAAAGCTGGTGGTGGGGGTGGTGGTGGTGATGGAGATGCTGGGGCGGCTGCGCGGCCGCGGCAGCGGCCGCGTGCAGCCCGTAGTCGAGCTTGAAGCCGCCGGAGGCGTCCTTGCGGGCGCCAGCGTCGGAATCCGCGGCGTTGTGACGCAGCGCGGGCGACCCGAGGTCGTCGAGGTCCAGCTGCATGGAGTCGCCGATCCAGTGGGCGGGCTGCGGCGCGGCGCCTGCGCCGGCGCCCGCGGCGTGCGCGTCGTAGTCCTGCTCGTTGAGATACTCGTCGACCTGGTCGAGAATGCTGCGCGACTCTTCGCCGCGGTGCGAGCTGCCCACATGCCCGGAAAACGTGTCGGAGTGCGGGTCGACGGGGTACTGCGACATCAACGGGGCGATGGCGGAGGGGGGAATAACCTAGTGGGCCTGGGACCTGGGGCGGGGACCACTGAAAGTGCGAACGGGCTTGAGCGGAGTTGCCGTGGGAGCGCTGTAACTGTGAGCGCTGTAACTGGGAGCCTGTGTGCAGCTATGTAAAAGTGTCGACTGTCTGCAACTGTCAACTATCTGCAACTGTGACCTGTTAAGTTGCGGCCTGCTCGAGTCACGCTTCGAAATTACTGCACTCTTGCCAATTAAGTACAGCGCGAGTCACCGACTACATTACAATTTCGCCGTGAACCTGCCATGTTTTTCTTTGTTTTTTCCGTAGGGGCTGCGTAGCCGTATCTGCCGCGCAACCGCACCGCATCGCAGCGACAACGCGGAACAAGCGCAACAGAGCTGCCACCAAAGTAGGAGCCGGCCTGCGGCGGCCAGGTGCAGCGTGGCGACCGCGCCCACCACCACAGGTCGCCACAGCGCGCGACGGCGTGCGCTTGGCGACGCGCGGCCGATACGGCGCCACGGTTGCCCGTGCACACGGGCCCACGTGGGCGAAGTTTAATTGATTATATAACCCACGTGGAAGCGCAGGCAAGTCGGCGGCGGGAGGAAACAGCGAGCGGAGAAGGCGGAGGAGAGCGGAGGAGAGCGGAGGAGGGGTGGGGGGAGAGAGGGAGAGGGAGAGCGTGAGCGTGAGCGTGAGAGGCCAAGAGAGAAGGAAGCGGCAGCGTGCGCTAGCAGGAAGACGGTGTTGGCGCGGCGTTCGCGCGGCGGTGCCGCGTCCGCGTCCGTGTCTGGCGCCTTGGCAGCTCGCTGCGCTCGCTCCGTTTGCCGCCGGCTCCGCTGTGGCGTCGCGGCGCGGGCGGCGGCGGTATCTCCGGGCCGCGTATGTCCGGGGGTGGGCGGCTAGCGGCTCGGCGGCAAAGAGGCGGTGGAAGTGGTGGGGAGAAAGTCGGGGAGGGTCATGGAGGAAGGCGGGGAGGGAGCTGTAGAGAAAGCTGGAGAGGTGGTTGTGGAAGTGGTGCTCGGGAAGGTTCAGAGTGGTGGAAGAAGCGGAGGTGGCGGAAGAGGTGGAGGCGGCGGAAGAAGTGGAGGATGTAGTTTGGAGTAGAAGAAAAGTTAGGGATAGGTTGCGGAAAAGCTGTGGAGGAGCGGTGGAGGAGCTGTGGAAAAAGTTTGGGAGAAGCTGTAGAAAGAGTTTTGGAAGTAGTTATAGAAGTCGGAGAAAAACTAATAGGGTTGGCGGAGGAATTGGATATAGACGCTGTGAGGTAGGGGGAAAGTGGTGGAGGAGAGGGAAAGTGGTGGAGGAGGAGGAAAGTGGTGGAGGAGAAGGAAAGTGGTGGAAGAAGTGGTGGAGGTAGTCGTGTGGAAGTTTGAATCAGTGGTAGAAGAGCTCTGGAAGAGCTCTAGAAGAAACGGTTCAGGAGATTTTAGAATCAGTAGTGGATGAAGTGGACAAGAGTTTAGGATGCAGCTGTGGCCTTGGCGGCAGAAAAAGACATGAACTAGCGGTCCGGGAGCGGTGGAAAAAAAAAAGGTGGTGGACTAGGCGGTGGACTTGGCGGTGGGTAGAGGAAGCAGAAAAAGTGGTGGAAGCGGTTATAGAAGAAGTAGAGGAAGTGGTTATAAGGAAGCGTGGAAGTGGTTATATAAGAAGTAGAGGAAGCGTGGAAGAAGTAGAGGACGTGGTTATAAGGAAGCGTGGAAGCGGTTATAGAGGAAGCGTGGAAGCGGTTATATAAGAAGCGTGGAAGTGGCTATAGAAGAAGTAGAGGAAGTGGTTATATAAGAAGTAGAGGAAGTGGTTACAAGGAAGCGTGGAAGTGGTTATAGAAGAAGCGTGGAAGAAGTAGAGGAAGTGGTTATAAGGAAGCGTGGAAGTGGTTATAGAAGAAGTGTGGAAGAAGTAGAGGAAGTAGAGGAAGTAGAGGACGTGGTTACAGAAGAAGCGTGGAAGCGGTTATAGAAGATGCGTGGAAGTGGTTATATAAGAAGCGTGGAAGCGGTTATATAAGATGCGTGGAAGCGGTTATAGAAGAAGTAGAGGAAGCGGTTATAAGGAAGCGTGGAAGTGGTTATATAAGAAGCAGAGGCAGCGGTTATAGAGGAAGTAGAGGCAGTGGTTACAGAAGAAGTAGAGGAAGCGGTTATATAAGAAGTAGAGGCCGTGGTTATAGAGGAAGTAGAGGCAGTGGTTACAGAAGAAGCGTGGAAGTGGCTATAGAAGAAGTAGAGGAAGTGGTTATAGAAGAAGTAGAGGAAGCGGTTATAAGGAAGCGTGGAAGTGGTTATATAAGAAGCAGAGGCAGTGGTTATAGAGGAAGTAGAGGAAGGGGTTATAAGGAAGCGTGGAAGTGGTAGAAGAGGTGGCCGCTGGAATTAGCAGTAGGACCAGCAGTAGAACAGGAAAGAAGCTAAAATCAGTCCTGGAATAAGCGCTGGAAGTCTGCTCGTTCCTTGCCCGAAAGGTTATTGAATTCGTGGTGGCATGGGGCAGAACAGGGTACGCGCACCGTCGAGCACTAGGCCCTGTATTAATCTACACTATATCCGTACACACGCGCTACGCTCGCCCACTTCGCTCGCTCGCCAACTCGCTACACCCACTTCACTCGCTCGCTCGCTCGCTCGCTCACCGCTTGCGCCCGCCAGACCCCCCGTTCACTCGCTCAATCTCCGCCCGCGACAGCACCAGCCCGTTGCGCGTCGACCGCCCCACCGACTGCACTCGCAGCCCACGCTCCCGACGCCCACGCGCGGCCCGCTCCGCGTCCCGCGCCCGCACGCTCGACCCGATCCGACGCTCCAGGTCTTTGCGGTACGTGGCATCGATCTTGCGGAACTCGCCCTTGCGCACCCGCGCCAAAACCACGCCTGCGTCGCGCGCCTCCTGCTCCACTTTCGTGATCCGCTGCTGATGCTTGTTCACCATCCCGCGTCGCACGTTCATCGGCACCTTCTCCAGCTTGCGCTCGCGTCCGTTCGTCGCCGACAACCCGCGCAACCGCATCTCCAGCGTGCGCGCGCGTGCTTTGCCCACTAATGCGTCGTCCCGGTACTCGACGCGGTCCATGGTCTCCAGCGTGAGATCTGCGCCGCTAGCTGTCGCCGCGCCGCCGCCCAGCGCGCTCAGCAGATGTGATTCCGCCAGAAACCGCTGCAACTCGACGTCGTGCTTGAGATTCTGCGCTTCTGCGTCCTCGTCGTCGCCGTCGTCGCCCTCAGCGCCCTCCACTGCAGCCTCACGCGCCCGCGTCTCCGCCAGCGTCAGTTTCGGCGCGCGCCCGCTCTTCAACAACCGTTGCTCGCGTCGCGATGGCGCCTCGTAGTGGTCTGCTGGCCCTTGGAACTTGATCACACGCGGCGCCCGGTCCTTTGGCTTCGTGGCCGTCGCGGCCCCGTCGTGCTTTGTACTGGAATCCTCACGGTCTGAGAAACCCTCAAACTCACTGCCACTATCGTCCTCACCACTCTCACCGCTCCCACTACTCTCACCACTCTCACCGCTCCCACTACTCTCACTATTCTCAAGGCCGGCCCGCTTGGTGCGGTCCTCGAACCCCATATCCTCCAAAGACCCAAACTGCGCCTCAAACGCCCGTCTTTGCACCTCTAATTGTCTTGCAAACTCATCTGACATTCCGCGTACTGTGGGTTGTTACTGAGATGCGCTCGATGAGCTCTCTTTTTTTTCATCATCAAAAAAAAAGTAATGCCCGTTTAACGTCGCCCATACCTGCAAAACCTACTCTTCCTATTCTCCCTTTCTCCCCTCAATGACCCGCTTCGTCAGCTGCATCGATCTCCACAACGGACAGGTCAAACAAATTGTCGGTGCTACCCTCACCGATAACGCCTCGGACGCCCCCACCACCAACTTCGTGTCACAGCACTCCGCCGGCCACTATGCCCGTCTCTATCGCGAACACAACGTCTCCGGGTGCCACGTAATCAAGCTCGGCCCCAATAACGACGCTGCTGCCCTCGAAGCCCTACGTGCCGCCCCCGGTTTCCTCCAAGTTGGTGGAGGTATCAATTACGACAATTGTCTCGATTGGCTCCGCGACGCCAGCAAAATTATCCTCACCAGCTGGCTCTTCGACTCACAAGGCCATTTCCAACTCGACCGCCTCCAAAATATCTCCGAACGTTGCGGCAAACACCGTCTCGTCGTGGATCTCAGCTGTCGCCGCGTGCAACATCCCGACGGCCGCACCCAGTGGATCGTTGCCATGAACAAATGGCAAAAACTCACAGATCTCGAACTCAGTGCAGACACTTTCCGTGCCCTAAGTGCCTACACCCAAGAATTCCTCATCCATGCGGCAGACGTAGAAGGACTGTGCCGTGGCATTGATGAATCGCTAGTAGAAAACCTCTACAATTGGACTTGCGATTTACCAGATTTGAAAATCGTGTACGCAGGAGGCGCTAAAAGCGTCCAAGACCTTGCCCTCGTTCACAAACTAAGTCATGGCAAAGTTGACTTGACCTACGGTAGCGCACTGGATATCTTTGGCGGCAACCTCGTCAATTTTGCCGATTGTTGCAAATGGAACGAAACTCATTAATTTATAAACTTTTACAATTTTAAGCACCGTTTTACTTGTTCTCTTTTACCTATTTGTACAAAATGGTGGTCAAAAGGCCCTCACCACGCGTCATCGAATCCCGCACTGGGCGCGCCATTGAACTGGCCAGCGTTACCACCATACGGATACCCCCCCTCTGTGTCCATTGGCATTGCGCCACTGGCTTGCTCAACAAGACCTGCCGCGCCTCCAAAATTTACCTTGTCTTGGTCCATTTTCTTCAGCGAAAACAAAATATCAGCCACTTTGTCCTGTAAAGTCTTGATCCCTCTAATTACTACTTGGTCTGACGTTAGCGACCCAACTGTCTCCACATTCATGTAAAATGTATTGGGCTTTGCTTTGTAATCAAACACGTCGTCCTCGTTGGGAGGATCTTCATACTCACAATTCTTAGATTGTGGCCATTCTGCAGCTGCGTCTTGCTCGTACCAAAAATCCGTATGCTTTAATTTGTTCCATGGATCGTACTCAAATTCTATGGCTGAAGCGGGCGACCACTTGGCGTGCTCTTTTGAAATCCCTTTCTTGGCAATGCACTTCAGTTTCAACTCTTGTCCCTTTCTCAATTTGCAAATCAACACTCCGTTGCCATCTTTGTCTTGTATAATTGGGTGTCCTATGTTCCTACCCATCAAGTTACTCACAATCACCAAATCCTTTGCGTACACATTTGTTGTTGATTCACTTTCTCCCACCGCTTGTAACGTAAGCACTACTGAGCATCTGTCACAATGGTCCTCACAATAACAATCACGACAATATACCAAATCATTTATATCTGTACTTTGCAATGGAATAAGCCCTAACCGATGCGATATGAATTCATCTGCAAGCACAGTAGTGTTCACTTCCACTTCAACTGAATCTATCGCTAGTGTAGGTATTTCTGCAATCATCACTCTCCGAAGTGAATTTGCTAAAGCTATATCTACGTTGGACAAAATAAAGTCGACATTATCCTTTGTAGCTTCTCTGATCTTGATCTGTGGACCTTCTTCAGCCATTCTGCTTTAAGAATTGTTCTATTGATCTTTTCTGTTGCCATCCAGTTTGTCCAACTTTTTCATGACAAATTTTTTTGTTAATCGTTCAACACGTACCACAAGTCCCATCGTGAAAGAAGTTCTGACACTCCTACAATATCAAAGCTCAATCCGCGAGTGAAAAATGTCAAAACCAACCACCATCCTGGGGGAAGTCCCTAAGATTGCTATACCAGATATACGATTCGAACAAACTTTTAAAAATGCCCTAAGACGTGAGGCCACCAAGAACCATAAGTTACACGCTACCCAGCAAGGATCTCAAGAAAAACCAGTTGTCACAGCTGCTATCGTTTGTAAAGTGGTATTTCGCGACGTGCTTTTGGTCCCATTTGTACAAGGCATATTGTGGACAGGTTTCTTAATTGCATTAAAGCCCTGGTTGCGCCATATGGTATTTCAAGGACGTAAAGTCGGGAAATTCATTTACAGGCAGGTGCTCGGTACGGATCTTATAAATAAAGGGGTATAGTTCAACTAAACGTAATTTCGTTATATATACAGAGATTAAGCAACTATTCACAAAGAATACTACCCGTAAATATGCGTCCGTACCATCACGTGAACTGTCTAGAGCCTCCGCGAACAAACTCTAAAATCTTCCAACCCTCTGTTTCTTTGTCGTCAACATTCTCAGGGTCTCTGGTAAAGACCATAGCATAGGAACTCATCACAATATTGGATTCAGTTCCTGCGGCGATTTCTCCTGTCTTGGCTTTCCTGTAAAGATGAATTTCTTGTGCTCTACAACCAACGACAAGCACTGGTAAATCCTGTGGGGGTAAAAGCTTAGCACTCACAATATCGACACCTCTGATATCTAAGATACGGCCGTCAGCAAACAACTCTTGGTCTCTAAAGACTTTTTGTTGAGCAGCATACACATTGAAAGGTGCTTCACTGAACCACTGCTTCAACACTGCTTCGTCACCTTTCACGTATGCTTCCAGTACCTCAGGAACAATATACTCCCTCAAATGTTTGGTGAATGACTCAGTGTTGAAAGAAGAGTCCATCATCTTGAACTGTCCCATTACACGAGCAGATTCTGTCTCTGCAAATAGTCCTCCAATTTTGTTGCTTATAGTTCTTAACAACACTATCAATGGATTTTCACTCTCGTCCCAAATCTTGACTTTGAAGTTATGTATTTGACGTCCAAGAGCAGTTTTCTCTCTGAAATCCTCCACTTTTTTGCTAAAGGATTCCTTGGCTTCAATGTTTGTGGCAACCAAAGCAGTCCCGGCTTCTTCATTACTTTTAACTGCTTTGGGTCTCTTACCAGAGACCAAGTCATGCTCCCTTTTTAGTCTTCTCTCTTCCTTCGTGATGAAACCACCATATCTTGAGCTATTTCCATCGTCCATGACTTCAGAAACATCTTTGTAAACTTTGGTCTGTCTCACAGGCTCGAAAGACTCGTCTATTTTTTGCGTTGTCTTGTTAACAGCATTCCTCGTTGATTTCCCAAGCTCCGATTCCCATGCCTTCATTGCAATATTCTCGACAGATTCACCTGTACGCTTAAGTGTCTTACCGAGAATAGTAGAACCCTTTTGAGCACTGACGTACGCCTCACGTGCCTTTTTATATGCTTCTGATTCTCCAATCTTCCCGGACGCATCTTGAAGAGCCTTGATATTATCTTGAAGTTCCTTGGATTTCTGCCACTCCTGTTTGAACGTTTCACGAAAAATTTGCAGGGGGGACTTAGGATTTCCTTGGCTTGCTTTAGCTGTCGATGACAAGTAGCGACGTACCACGGCGTTGGCTTGAGGTCTGGCCGTTCTAATCATCTTTATCAACTTCTTTTGACTTTTATTTCGAAAATATGTACATGCGAAGTGGCCAAAATTTTTCACATTAACTCAAATCCCGGCTCCGGCCATATGACCAAAAACAATCAAATAATTGATATTTAATGACAGAGGTAAGACAATTTTTGATAGCTCAAATGTAGTTACTGTGATAACGAGCCGTCCATTGTAACGTCTCAATTGTGCGTATTTTCGTTGTGCATCAAATTGGAGAATCGTGCCGTTCTGCGTAGAAATGACACCCACTGAAAAGGAGAAAGGTAGGTAGGTAGCCCCAACAACACTAATTTAGTACGGTTTCTTTCATTATATGTCTTCCCACAGTGGAATACTGAAATTATGAGCATATTAAATTGACACTAATAAGTCGGATAAGAGAACTTATCTCAACGTCGAAATTGATAAGTCTCTAATTGCGTATTGGATTACACCGCCCGCAATTTATACGATTTGATGGTACCCTTAGATAGCTGTAGTGAGAGTGAAGCTTAAGTTGGGCATTATTCATTGTCACTCGAAACCGTACCATGCGACATTCGATCTAGGTCAAATTTGATGGCACGACGGTAGAACTCAAAGGAGTCATGATCTATAGTGGTAAATCGGTTTCAAGGCAGGATCACCGTTAAGATGAGTAAGCGTAAGGGTAGATTTGGAGGGATGCTTCCGATCGATACTCTTTCCACGAGTAATAACTGCAAAAATACGGTTCCTACGCGTTACACAGCATTCAGAAGAGACCCAAAAGTGGTTGATAAGCTAAATCACTTGACAACGCTTGATTTCCTACCCCCTGAGCATTCACTTACCAAAAAATCATCTCAAGATTTATCTCCTAGAAAATATCACTCGAAAGCTCGACCTATCAGTGTCGATAGCGAGGATGAAAGCTCGCGTAGGCATGATTCCTTTGAAACACCCATTAGGAAAAGACAGAAAGGTATTAGAGACGTTTCATTCACATCCCCAATAGAGCATGGTCTATCTCCTCCTGGCCGTACTTTCTCCTCCAGTGGGACGTTTCGAGTATTGTCTGCCGCTAACAGGGACATAGAGAAGATGCATTGTGTTCTCCGCATAGTAACTGATGTGGAGGGTATCAGGTGTAGCGTTCGATGGAAAGGTGCTGAACTGGAAGGATCTCAAACGGATTTTCTTATAGACTGTGAAAGGTTTTTTTTTGACACCTCCAAGTCCTATATGGGCATCTTCCTTAAACACACGCGGCGAATAAATCTAGAAAATGGCGAAGAACCAATCAATACAAAAATTATGGTTTGGAATAGTGACAATGAACCAGATAAAAATTTGGTTTTAGTGAAACGAAGCATAATGAACAGCCTGGTTAAAGTTGAAGTAGTTCCAGATAAACGGGACATCCTGAATAGGATGAAGAATCTGGGATTAAAATATCAAAACGAAGCAAAAAACAAGAAATTCTGGGAGAAGCCGGAGTTTCAGTCATTAGGAAGGAGCGTGAAAACTAGACGTCGGACCGAAGAGAGCGGTACCAAAATTGGAATACCGAATACCGAAATCACAGCAAGTACGGACACCACCCATAGCACTTCTCGCGATCCTCTTACTATTTCGCCTAGTGGCTTTTATGCAGCTAACAATAAGTCGATTTCTACCCAGCCTTCTTTGAAGGAACATAGTTTATCGAACTTAAGGAGATCTCAGAGAACTTCAAGACTTGCTATCACTGATGATAGTCCACTGGACAAGGATCAAGAGTTTGAGGAGCCTGAAGAGTTTAAGCCGTCGTTGTTCCACAAATTCACTGATGGAACTACATTCTCCGTCACCAACTTAGACTTCAAATGCCTTTATAATCATGATTGGATAAATGACTCTATTCTCGATTTTTTTGTAAAATACTGGGCCGAAGAATCTATTAGTAAAGGAGCGATTTTAAGAGGCGATATCCATATCTTGTCGTCTTTTTTCTATACAAAACTTGTGAGTGATCCATCCAATTATTACAGTAACGTCAAAAAATGGGTTAGTAACACGGACTTATTCTCAAAAAAATACATTGTAATGCCTATCAATGTTAACTTTCACTGGTTCGGATGTATTATTACCAATCTTCCGTCTATTTTGGAATTCTTAACTAGGGAAAAGGAGTTGCTAACAACGAGTGAGGCATCTCCCATAAGTGAAGACAATGATGAATTAAGTATCACGCCTCCAGTTGTGTCAATCTTTGTTTACGATTCTCTTCGACAAACGCATTCTAGGGAAGTAGAACCGCTTAAAGAATTTCTTATTTCATATGCCGAGGACAAATATGGGCTTACTTTACCTAAGGGGGTGATAAAAATGAAAACTTGCATGGTTCCTCAGCAACCAAATATGAGTGATTGTGGCGTTCATGTAATTCTGAACTCAAGAAAGTTCTTCGAGAATCCCATCATGACTGCTGAGGTGTGGCGGTCCACGAAGTCTAAAGGAAAACCAACCTCTCGAGCGATCAATGAATACTTCGAAAAGAATGCAAGAGTACATGCAAGGAAAGATTTGAGAGAAGTTTTGAGAGAGTTACAAAAACAGCAAATTAAATCTGGACCCCTGAAAGATGAAACTGCAGTTAATGATGCATCAATGGATGATGAGCACAGTGACATCGAAATTATTGAAGATATTGATTTTTACAAAAAGAACACCTCAGAAGAAGCCATTGAGAAATCCATGGATAACGGCGAAAGCTGTTCCATCGATGACGATAAGGTTACGAGCAAAGAAGAAGTTTCAGATAACGAAAAATTACTCAAGTTACAATCATTTAGACCAGAAGTAAGATCATCAGCTATTGTTGAAGGTGAAGATGGTACGGGCGAAAGTAATTCAACCGAACTGTATGGTCGAGATGAACCCGTTGTGAACACGATTAAAAATACGGGGCCCATTCCAACTGATGGCACATCGACTAATCTCATTAACACTGTTAATAATACCATTTCAAAGTATTTCCGAAGTAAAAAACCTCTTACTGTCGAGTCTTCGGAGAAAGAAAGTGTTGTTGATCGTAATATCAATATTCAAAAATTAACTTTAGAGGACGCCTCTCTAGCTCGGCCAACTTCGCAAAATACAGGGAAGAGCTATGATTCTTCACATCTCATCCGTTCTGGTCATAGTTTTGATGATAGGCATAGAAAAACCTACAAAATTAAATCTCAGTCAGATTTTCATGAGGGCGACAATTTCGAGGGCAGAGGAGTATCGTCAAATAAATCAGGTACTTTGCATATTGAAACTGACAACTCAGACCTGTCGGATGCAGAATTGACCGGTAACATCACGAATCAAAGTGAATTTAATCCGATCACTTCCCACAAAGAGTTCAAAAATAGACTATCAAGTAAGGCTGGTGGCAGAATAGACCAACTCTTTGAAAGGCGGAAACTCAGTTCCAGTGATAGCGTTTCATCATCTCTATCATCTTGAATGATGCTGAGAAAAGTAAGAGTACTGGGAATATGGATGATAATCAAGGCAACCATCATGCTTGTGTTCGAGCTCCTTTACTGAAGCATATAAACAGTGGGATGGCTTCAATTTTTAACTTACACCACACTCTTAAGGATAAAACTAGCAAAAATCAAGGCTGAAGTAGATTTTGTGGACTAGTATTCCTTTAGAACAATTAGCATCGTATGTATATTAAATTAATTGCATTCATAATAAAAATCATACAAATAGTTTTTTCATTTTGAAATCATACGAATAGTTTTTTATTCTGAAATCACCCATTCCTTTTATGTTTTAAATTTCGAGACCCAAATTTAAAAAAATAAAAGGTTTAACGATGCCTAAAACTGACGCCAATCTTTTCTCTAAACAACTGTATATGTACAACTCAATAGCTTATCTATCATTATCATCCGGTAAATTTGTCAAAGTTTTCCCTCTTCCGTAAACCTCGTCTTTTATGTTAGCCACCGCAAGGTTGAATGAGTTTTTGAATTTTCTGAAATACTGTGTGGTATAGTAGGCAGTACAGACAATTGGTGAAATGAAATAAAATGCTCTTTGAAAAAATGTGTAATGTGCAACTTCTGCTGGTGTAGTAAATCGGTACTTAGTGAGGAAGATCATCACAGCTGGTAATGATGTATAGTTTTGAGGATAGAGCAGATATTCTCCCGAGCACATAAATAGCTGCAGAAGCAGTGTAAGGCCTGTTGTGAACAGGCACTCAATAAAATTGGCCTTGATTGCCTTTAGGTAATATGTACGCATGGTTGCATTTCTGTTTCCATCATTCGCCAACCTTGTTGGCAATATAACCATGAACTTGACAAGGAAAAAAGCACAATCCATCACTATCCATATCAGTAGTGGAAGAAGATCCGGTACGTTATCCATAGAAAATAGAGAGGATGCTGCGAATGCTGACTCAGAAGAGACGAACGGAATAAAAACGCGAGTTTTATCGGGTTCGGCTCCCATTACAAACTGCCTCAAAAACAATGAGTAGCTGAAAAAGTAGTTGTAACTGATGCATGATGGCTTGTTCACTATGATCAGAACACATGCCAATTGTAGGAGACAAAGCTTTAAAGTTGGGTTGCTGAAGAACCCACGGAAAAATTCAAGCCAGCCTTCTTCTTCATCTTCTATGTTCTCAACTGGAGCTTCTAAATGGTCTTCATTGATGTCTTCGACATTTTCATCGGGCTCGTGAACAGGGACAATGTGCTCATTATGAACTGCCCTTGCTTCACGCAGTTTATGATATTTGTCGAGTATCAGTGAGGAAAAGATTGCTCCCAAGGCCAGGGTATAGGGACTCAACTTAGTGACATCTTTGCAGAAGGCAAGGAAGTTTGCCCCACGATCATCAAACCACAGTAAAGGTAAAACAACAATTGTTATGATCATCTTAGCCACGAAATTGAAGAAAAGAGCCAAGAAAATAAAAAGAACCGACGCAAATAACCAAATCAAAGCAATCAATGTCGAGTATCTTAGTTTGAAATGCGGAGGTGTGTAAACTATGGTATATGCATCAAATTCGGTACTTTGCTCGTCCAAATGATTGAATTCTCCGGCACTCTGTCTATTTCTTTCCTTAATACGTTCAACATCAAGAGGCTTCAAAAGTTTGTCATCTCTAGTAACAGGAACAAAGAGTGTCTGTACAAAGTTGCGTGAAATTATATCATTAGCCGGAACACGCATTAGGGTTCCATCAGGGATGAAATAAGCATGTACGTCTTTGTTCTCTTTGAAAAGTAGCTTTGCTTGCGAGAGAGTTTTGGGACTTGAGTAAAGATCTGGATTTGACCATTTGGCTTTATTCGAAAACAAAAGTGCATAAAACATGTTCCGGTACATGACATATCCCCTCTCTACCGAAACGTCTTTGTCAAGGATGAAGGAAGACAACCTTAGCTTTTTGCAACAAATATCGAAAACACGAGTCCAGTATTGTCTCACATACAACTTTAAACTCGTGCAGGAATCCATTATTTGTTTACAGAGCATTAAGACACCACAAATCCCAGGTCCCTCAAATCTGCCAAAATGGTGCTCAATGGGAAGAATGTTTGAGCGTAGCAGTATGGGAAACAGTATTCTGGTATGAAAACCGAAACCCACTATTATGAACATGGCGTAGATGACCATTGAAAGTGTTAATCTTGATAACTGTATTTTCATGGGGTGTATCAAGCTATCGTGAAGAATCCTTATATTGGGATCATCGGGTGATCTGATGAAGAACAGAACACCTGGTCTAATAATATAATGCCTGATCATTCCGACATACTTTGCAAACCAAAACATATACCAGGTCCCGACTGCCCAGTACGCAATCCAGACCAGTGGCTTCCAAGAGCTCAATTCAAACAAATAGAAAAGCTTTCTCTGTGAGTAAAGCATGGGACAAAGTAACGAAAAGTCTATCATCAATCCAGCCAGGATTGGAAAGCCAGCCAACTCAATCGCGAAAAGGGTAAAAACTTTCAACGAACACTTGATAGCAAAAAAAAGTTGGAAAGTAAAGCGCCAATTGAGATTCTTCATACCATTTTTAGGACCAAATCCTTTAGCGTAAACTTCTGACAAAATGCATAGGAGATAAACGGCAGTCAGGTAAGTGGTTAAGGCGGGCAATGATTGCACGATAGTGGAAGATTTCAAATTGCCCCCCTTGTAAAGTTCATAATAACCCAATATTGGTTTGACGCATTGGTCGCTTAAAAAAGCCGTAAAACTGCTAAACACAGTAATCTTGTCTTCAACCATTGAATATAATTGTGGAAGGCGGCACATTATACCAAGTCTCGCTACTCCACGAGCGAAGATTGAAATGACGAAAGTATAAAGCCCCAGAAGACCGTTTCCCACCACAGTTGGGATCACATAAGCCAAAAGAAGGTAGATAGCCACAAAAACGGTTCCAACTATGTAATAAACAGGCAAGTTTTCGACTTTAAGTTTTAAACTGAACATTGCTGGATCCTGTTGATCAATTGCTGGGACATCTCTGCCTTCGAGATCGACTCGTTCGGGAATATCATTATTCGGTAGTGGTATAACCGGGACGTTATCATTGCCGTTAGCTACAGCGTCTAATCTAGCATCAAGCAGCTGATCGAATTCATTGACAGCCCGACGGTTTCTTATGTTATCAAAAGGATCAGCATTCTCCATTAAGGCTTCTTGTTCATCTGGCTCTATTTCGTCCATTTCTCCTTCAGACTCGTCGCTTGACGACATGTTGTCAGTGTCAAAATCACTGTCGTTATCGTTATCGTCAACATTTTCATCCACATTTGCTAAGTTTAGGGTTGGCTCAGGCCGTGGATGTAGATGTTCTTCAGCGCCATTGTTTTCATCGTCGACGAGTTCTTCGCGTTCCACTATAATGTCCTGTTCCTCACCCCTCTCCTCTCTTAACTTCATCAACTGCACTATATGATTGACTGTATTGTCATCTATGCCTGGGAACTGTTGCTTTAGTTTTTCAGTCATAAGCTCTTCTTTACTGTATCTAGGCCCAATTTTGTGGTAGACCATCTTGCTGAAAATAGATTCCCTAACTACCATGTCATATTGAAAGTAGAGCGCGATATGTATAACTGCAACCAAAACAATTTGAGACAATGAGAATCGATAGTTCTTGAGCAGTTGTATGATGATATCGCGCGTTTTGATGTCCTTGGGGACATTATCTTCGTAGCCAAAAAGTACACTCATCCAAAAGTTATCTTCAATCGGTAGAGCAGCTCCATCTAACAAAATAGCGTAAAGCTTGCCGATGAAGTTCCATGTAAGAGGAACGCCAATGACAAGAAGAACAACGGCCACCGCTATTGTCAACGCGAGCTTCATTGTGCTAAACAGTAACCCTAGAAATTTGGTAATAAGTAAAAATGTGGGGATGCTCTCTGGCATATTCTCATCATACATGGTCTTAAACTGAATAGGATAATGGCAAATATCACATTTTACTTCAGCTCCAGGTTTATTAATGTCCACGTTTTTTGATGCCACCCATTCAATCAAACAGGATTCATGGATATATTTGATAGAGCCTCTGCATTTACAAGGATGAAATAAAGGGTTGTCATCAGTACTCTCTCCTCTGCATATACGACAGGTCGCATTTGCAAGATTTGAGTCTTCATGACCAATAGTTTCTTGATCAACTTCAGAACCCATTATTTTACAAGTTAGTTGAATGTACTAAGACAAGAATATATGAGGCAAACGACATCATAGAATATTCTATAATAAATTTTTCAGACAATCGTCTTTGATCCAATAAAAAAATAAGCCCTGTAGGGGGCTCGAACCCCTAACCTTATGATTAAGAGTCATACGCGCTACCGATTGCGCCAACAAGGCTTATGATTTGGTTATGAACGAGTAGTTAGGAGCTCGATATAGGATCTTATTACAACCACATGACAGTTTACCTCTTTGTACCGATCCGACATATTGACTGTATTACAACAAACCTGAAAGGTTTAGCAGAGCGACTATAGAGCTGTCCCTTATATTTTCACAGCTCCACAATGATTAGACGACAACCTAGTACTATTAACTTGACTCAAGAAGATGTTTTAGAGCTGCAGGATGAGTTAGAAGAACAAAAGCTCCAGACACAAATCAGGTCCCAGCAAAGAAACTTGCAAAGATCAGGAACCATTCCAGAAAGCTTTTCTGAGCAAAGACCAGATACAAAAACAGACAGTACCTCTCTAAGTGGCACACCTCTGGATAAGAACATCGCCGACGATAATTCGCAAAGGCGGCCATCGCATGCCAGTATCGACGCAGAAAGCCGATCTCCCGCCCAGATATCTAGAGCAATACCAAATAACCCATTTTACACTGGATAAGTCGTTATAAATGTTATATAAGTACAAAAAAGTAGAAACAACTTTGTATGTGGGATCAGTTGACCTTATCGTGCGATTCTCTGTCGTTCAACCATTGTTTAAGCTCTTTCCTTTTCGCATGGACGTCGACAAAATTTGGTGTATACGTAATTTCGCCATAGGGATCGCTTCCAATAAGATTATTGGTCATTGTTGCTCTGTTCATGTCTATTTCCTTAAGATACTCATGTTGGCTTAGTAGTACAGGTTTTCCGGAAAGTGGCAGGTAAGTCAGCTTGCCAAACGACATAAAAACTGAGAAAGTGAATAATATAAGTCCACTAAGAACTTCTAATCGAATGTCTTTGGGAAGTGATATTTGGTCAATTGCCACTGAAGAACCAGCTGCGAGTTGCTTCTTTAATTGATGAAACTCATAACTAGAGAATCCAGAATGAAATAGTTGTGCAAGCGCAACGATAAGCAAAACTTTGGAGATTATAGACATGGGGCTGCGAACGTCAGCTTTCCAAAGGTCGCTTTGTGAGTTATTGTGTCTTCTTCCTCGAATCCAAAGTCTCTGCCTTGCAATTGAAAATTAAACATTTCGTACGTTATATACTAAAACCGAACATGGCCTTTATCTGGCCAATTCCACCGTTACCAATTTCTACTTAAAAAAAAGCCTAAATTTCTGAGCTATACCTCTGCAATGAAAGCGGTGCAGTTGGTTTATTTGAGTGTGGACTGTTACCCATGATTTCTGAATCCTCGTCAATGGGCTCAATCTCTTCATCATCGTCAAGTTCGTTATCTTTCCCAATGTGCTCATCATCTGCTTTTGAATGGGATGCTACAAGATCTCCCTCCGATGATTGGAAAGCGGTTTCATTGATAATACTTTCATACGCTTGCCCTAAAACCTTTTTGTTCAAAGCTATTCTCTGTTCAATTCTTTGTGCAATCTGTTTATCCTCCACGGCACCTAATTTCAATAAGCTCTTAATTTTCACAGCGAAGATGTGTAGTTCTTGTTCCGCATTTTCAATGTTTGAATCATTGATATTATTAAAATTTACATCTTCACTGTGGAACCGATCAAGATCAATGTTGTTGTTCTTGGCAAAAACGCTTTCAAGGAACAAAAACACGTCTAGGAATACATCGGAGATTTCTGAATTCAAAAGCGCGAGATACCTTTGTCTAATAACAACTTTCCACTCCGATTCCTTGTCAGGCAGCTTTAGTTCAAATATTTTAGAGGCGGTAACTATGTCAGCAAGAGCACTGCACATTTTCCACTCTAAGTAAAACCGACTTGAAGGCGGCGTGTTCGCATCGGAATGCTTCATCAAAGTCAAACAGGTAGAAATTTGTTTGATGATGAAAGAATTTTCGTCCAATACAGTTCTTGACACTGCTGTGGGCTCTTTTCGACTATTGAAGATCTCACACCACGATTGCAAATTCCAGGCGACTAATAAGACCAGAAATCTGAAATCGATTGCTTGCAGAGCCTCTTTTTCTAGGGAATTGATACCTTGCGGTAGCTGAGCGAGAAACTTTGAAAAGAACAATTCGAGAAACTCGACATTGAATTCTAGACGTGTGATCTTTCCGAGCAGCACTAGCTTATTGATATAAGCGTCATACAAACCAATAATAGTCTCGTTCCAATCAATACTATGTGGGTCATCGAATCGTAGCTCTAAAAATTTTTGCAAAGGAATTCGAATGTGGACTTCTTCCAATTTCCACATTTCATTAATATTTGGTAAGTTAATTCTCTGAAAATAAGCTATAATCTCGGTATAAGCCATTCTCCTTTGATCTTGTTCATTGTTTGTAAACTGAGTGTTAACAAAGCTCTTGATTATAGTCTCGGAAATATTGAGGAATGCAGTCTCTTGGTTACTGGTGATCCAATCCTCAAAACTAAACATTTGAAACACACTAAAAAGATGGTAAGTTACAACATCTGATTGAGTTGGAAGTCTCAAAAATAGTTTTTCTAAGTTAGGAATTATTGCTTCAGCTGTGTCTTTTTTATTTTGTGATCTATTCATCTCGATACCCCCATGACACAAACCGTTTAAGACCACGATATATTGAATGATACTGTTTTCGTCTAAAGGAAGTAATAAGTTCGATTTCTCACCTTCAGCTTCATTGTCAATCCTTATCGATTCGAGATCGCCGTCAAAGGTTAACAAATCGCACATTGGTTGAATCATTCGAACGAAATAAGGCTGCAGAAATTCAGCAGCCTGAAAAAGCAAGTGGGTCCGCTCAGCCACACCAACGGGCTGCTTCTTATTTTGTAAATGGGTCGCCAAGGATGTGACTAAGAATCTCAAAAAGAGTCCCGCTTCAATGACATCTTGGGAAGGTAACCTTGTTTCATTGACAAGGACGCTAGACTTTAAAAATTGACTAACCTCATCTTTCTCAACGTGAGCAAAGAATTTGGCAACAGCATTCAGGAACTTAACATTTTTGGCTGTCGAAGATAACTTCATTTTGTGACTGTCAAATATTAGACTTGAAATTGTCAAAATTTCCTGCCTTTCGAGATAGCCAAATGAATTGATCTCAACTAACAACCGAACCGCGCATAATCTCACTTGTAGATCAATGTCCTTGAGTGATATATCAAGTATCCTTTGTTTGAATCTTTCAAAGAATTGACGCCATGCAGAATTACTGGTGTTATGCTTGTTGCGCCTATTGTTGAAATTCACAATCTCTAGCAATGCTTTAAGAACATGAAGCCGAACATTTGAGCAGGAATCTGACAGTAACCAACCAAAATACTTTAGAAAGGTTACCTTGAAGAAGTACTCTGGATAATTCTCTAGCCAAACTGCCAAATGAACAATAGACTCTGTTCTAATGTCTTCATCAACATCTTTAAATCGATGGACGAATGCCAATTTGATGATGTTATCGATGCAATCTTCAACAATTGTTTTGGAATCTTGTATCTCGGTAATAGACTTTTCTAGCTTCTCAATAGCTTTCGAATTTTTTCTTTTTTTGTTTTGTTCTTTTGATAACTGCTTCCTTAGCTTGACTAAATAGCTGGTTTCCAGATCTGACGTTAATGCTGTGAGGTAATCCTCGAACAGGTACATTATGAGGGTTGCGGTGTATCTTAAACACCTAATTTTGCACACAGAGAAGGCTGACAACCAAGTCAAAAGATCCATAATCATCGACCCGGCCTCAACAGTCCCGTCCTGTGTTGACTCGTCGTACAAGAAACCTCTCTCATTTGCTAGCTCCATCAATTTTTCCATGAACTCTGAGAAATTATGAAACAATGGCTTGTGCTTTGATCTTTTTTTGTTAGTCTTACTTATTAGTAAATGAAACTCGTGAATTTCCTGTTTCTGAAAGAGAAGCTGAACCTCACCAACAGTTTCATTAGAAGAATCGTTGCTTACAACATCATGCTCTTCAACCTGTACTAAAGCACCACAACAATTGAGGATGAAGTTAATGAAATCTTGCATTGCCTTATCCCTGCTTTCCGAATACGTGTCTAGCCATTTATTTGCTAACTCTTCAACAGAAATATCTTCCGAGTCTGCCAAGATTTCGAATAGCTCTGTTGGAGTGAATTCTTCGAGCGCATTTGTATAATGTTCTTGCGCCTTCTTTGACGCCCTTCTGTTATTGCTGGTTAGTTCAACTGATCTCCGCTGCCTCTTATTTGCATTCTGACTCGATCCTGCCCTAGAGTTTGCCTTTCTCTTGGATGAATTAGTTGTCTTTTCCTCATAGTCTTCATCCTGTATATCCTCATCCTCCTCCGAACTTTCATCCTCATCACTAGTGAGGCCAGTTTGTTCATCCGCCTCAATCAAATTGGCTGAGTAATTGCTATCATCCTCCTCCCCAGTAGTAGATGATTTTTGCCTTATTCTTTGAGATCGACGAATATTTGACATTCTACAGGAGCTTGCAGAGAGTTAAATTCTCTTCGGTTTCAAGATGAGTGTTAGATCGTCTTTCTTTTAACGCGTATTGGAATTAATTCGCGTCAGTCGTCAAAAAAGATATTCATGAGAAATTCCTTTGAACTAACTGGTCTGCAATGCAAGAGCCTAAATGACTTTTAGAGTTAAGATACCATCTAGTAGCATGAATGCCACAGGTATATCCAATTGTTTAATACATAATTTGTCCTTCGACACCCCATTGTATATCAAAAAGTCAGAAAGACTTGAAAAATTGAAGGACTGGACTTACAGAATTAGGAGAATACTAGCGATTTCAAATCGTTTGCTGGCAATACCATCTAGTTGTCAAAACTATCCACTCCAATACATTTTGACCCTCTTTACAACTGTGACAAGTGTTTGTAACCGGCCTGTGGATCCACTGGTTGACAGTTTTGGCCGCGAATACGGGCCCTCAACATGAATGTCTTCTATAATGTCACTATCTGTGGGCTCAAGTTGGACATCTTCCGTACTGCTAAGTTCATCTTGAGATGATATGTGGATATAGTCAGTTTCAGTGCTGTTATCTGCATCTTTTTTAAAATTTCCTTGTTGAGGCTCACGCTCCGCATTACTGCTAATCGTGATCTCGTCAAGGTGGTCCTCTGCACCTGCAGTCTTCAGTTCTTGCGACCTCAATACGTTGTTAACAAAGCCCGTATTGTCCGTTTCGGTTTCGAAGTAAGGTAACGTTACCCATTCTTTATCGTTAATTAGGAACTGTCTCTTAGTTAGTAGCCCTTAAATCGCCGAACTAGCACTTCTTAACGTGCCGAGCTCTCGAGCAAGTGAAAAATCATACCTTAAATACAATAGTTCTTGTTGATATTCCTGTAATGTTCACTCCAAAACAGTTTTCTTGTGCGTCATATCGCAACACAAATTTCGTGTGCTCCCAGTTGTCGAAATTTCCAGTAATCGTGATCTTGTCGTCCTTGGAATATTGTGAAAACGCTTGGCATGGAATGCGCAACTGTATCATCGACATTTTTACGCTAATAATGGATCAGATATTATTGATCAGTTTATGATGCTTAGTTTATCAAAAACAAATCGTGTCCTCTTGTCGATGCCCCCTTCAAGATAACCGCCCTTAGACAATCAAACTAATCACTAACAACGAATGATCCAGCAAATGCATTATGATTTCGTGTAGAACTGAGATGACTTACGAATATGAGTAATATTTACGAAAAAAATACAGAGTTTGTACAATGGATTTCTTAAGCGACATGTTTCAAAAAAGCTGGTGATGTGATTTCGAGCCCTCACTAAAAGCGCTTGATAGCACTTTTATATAGGAGGGAAAGGAACGTGGAGGAATTACTTGAATGAGCGCCTGATGCCATCGTAGTTTTCGTGGCAAAGCTCTTGCTCAGGAAATAGAGCAAGCTAGCCATAATTGACATTAGAGATATAAAGATAATGCAGTGCTGATAATTTTGTAGTGTTTCGTTGCTAATCATCGCACCAGTGATGGGGATACCAACGAGAAAAGCCAACCCAACAAGCAAATACATTGTGGCATACCGACGGCCAAACTCATCAGTTCTACAAATCTGACCGCAACATACAGGTGCTAGATTTAGCAGAGATCCATAGAGAAATCCATATATTGCGCTAAATGCAAATAAGACGCCTTGGCTCTTGTGCCCAAAAGGAAGCCACATAATCAGAGGAACAATTCCTAGAAAAAGATTTATGAAGATCATGACGTTAAATCTTCCCACCCAATAGTCTGCAACAAAGCTATAAAAGTAACCGCCGACAATGGATAGTGAGTTGAGAACAGTAATGATCAAAAATGATTCATTTTCTTCATATCCTACCTCAACGCAATAGGATGTGATGTATGTTAGAGTTGTCCCCGTAGCAAGTTCTGCCAAACACGTAGCCAATGTACAAAACAGGAACTTGGGTTGTGATAGTGCTTTATAATCAAATGAGTTCAACAGATAATATGAAAAGTCCCTCCATCTTTGATTTGTGCCGCCATTTTCAACCGGTTCTGGTATGGGCCGTTTCGACGGATCCTCTTTGACCAGCGCTAGTGCAGCTAATAAGAATACAGCCGCCATGAATGCCATGATGCGCATAGTCCAAGGATATCCTACTTTGGTATAGAGGGATCTCAAAACCAATGGATACACAACACCTCCAATGCTGCCACCATTGATTGCTAAAGCCGTGGCCAGAGATCTCTTTTTATCAAAATAATGGCATATAACCCCCAGAAGTGGGCTCGACAAAACGCCAGTGCCGATTCCATTCAAACAGCTCAGACAAATGACGAACTGCCAAACCTTTGAACAATTTCCAAGTGCAAAACTGCCTGCGAGGAACATGCAAGAACCGATTATGAGAGGCTTTTTAGCCCCATTACGGTCAAAGTACATTCCCGAAAATACTCCGGAGCCGAGCATAAAGAAATTATACACCGAAAAGATCCAGGAAATTGTGGATGTCGATACACTAGCCAATTGATTACTGGCAATATAAGTTTGCACAATACCTGCACTGAAATACAAACCCCAGGTGGGCAATATCCCTAAAAAGGATCCAAATGTCACTAGCCATGCAGTTCTTCCTCCTTCGGCATACGTAAACTCGTTTTCCCTTATATTAGTGTCCTCTTCGACAGACCCCGCTATTCTAGCCTTCATCTCCACATGCCCGATGTCTGTCGCTCTTTCGGTTTGCTTATTGGTCAAGTGATCTCTGTGATTCATGTGTTTGCCAATCAGCTACTGATCTCTTCAGTTGGCCCTCAATTGCAGCATAAAAAGATGTGTTTAATCAATCTCTCAGATAGCGACCCCCTATGATCATTGTGCACGTACAATGGAAATCAAACCAAGATCGCACCGTCTCAATTCATACCCATCCACGCCATTAGTCCAAATCCTGCCAGTACACAAGCCAACTGCTTCAAAGATTTGACTACTTCCCCGGCTCTTGAACTGCAGGTGTTTTGAAGAAGCTGAGGAACTACACCTACAGCGAAAATGTAGATGAACCCTCCAGCTGTTATGGGCAGCATTAAATCGGTAGATGACAAGGTTGACGTTTCTTTCTCGTAAGGTATGAACCCAATCTCGGGTATTAATGCCCGAGATGGCGCACCTACTGAATCTTGAGCGGATAATTCATTAATCAGACAACCGCAAATTGTTCCAAGAAGGGCACCTGCCGTAGTGAAAATTTGTGATTTGATCGCATCCATGAAACTAAAACCCGATGTGAGAAGAATTGCAAAATCACCTAATTCATGTGGTATTTCATGAATCAGGACAGCAATTGACGTAGTGATACCAGTTTGTTTGGAATTGTAAAAGGAAGATGCCAAGGCAAATCCATCGGTGATATTGTGCGCAAACCCTGAAACCAAGTTAAGATATGCAGACGTTTTTAAAGAAGTAGACGAAGTTTCATTTTCATAGATTACATTGTCGGTTATATGCTCCGATAAATCAGAACCAGTGCTACTTTTCCGTTTCGTCAAAATTTGATCATCATTGGAGTCCTTAGAAGAACCTGTGGTTTGACCAAGATTCTCCTCTTTTTCGAAGGCACCTTGGGATCTGTCCGTAATGACACTCGAATCAGTGTGAGAATGAAGATGAGAGTGACCATGGCCATGATCATGCGATTCAACACCACCTTCGAACCTTAAGATTCTCAAAGCTTTATCAATTATCATAAAAACCATGAATCCGCACATGATCAAAAACCCTTTTATAACAACGTCGTTGGAACCTTTCTTCAGTAGAGAGTTAGCACTCAACGGACTAAGGTGGAGACCTAAAGCTTCTGAAACACTTTTTTCGTTGTCTGTAATATGTTCAAGAGTTAAATCATCCAAATCATTAAGCATGCCGCGTATAATCTCATTTCCGTGATCATCCTGGAATATTTCGGGCAATAAATGCACGAAAACATCGCCAATTAGACTGCCTAGTGCAAATGCAACCATGAGGGGAAGCAACCTAGATTCCTTTGGCTTACGAAACTCAGGAATAACCAAAACTATGATACACGGAACTACGGAAATGTACAACGTAGCCAATAGTGCACTCGAACGGGCAGAACCAGGGAAAACGTAGTTCATTAGAATGTTGCTTAGCTTACCTGTTAACAACTCCCCACCAGAGTGAGTACCATGTGCAAGTGCAAATGGTGTTGAGTACATTATAATAAACATAACTTGTTTAAAAGATCCCATGGTTGTCACTCTCATTTCTCTGCTTCTGTTTTCATCTTATGAAGAAGAATATTTTTTTTTATTTTGAAATATCGATCTCCCCTCAGCGTAGACTTAGAAACACATGTTTCTATTAAACGTATGCACCTCAATTTATCTAACATGATTTATAATACTAACTGCAGAGCAGCGAAGATTACGACATTTAAAATCAGTGTCAGTTTTGAATGTTTCTCTAGTCAGAGACTACACAGAAGATGCGACTTTGAAAATAGTTCCATGCTTCATCATAATTGAAGACATTAAAGGTCAGCTAATATATGTGAGCGAGACTCAAGGTGGCTCATACTTAACCATACAATTCGATGAGCTTCCACGGCTTCCTTATGCCATTTCTTCGATACATTTGAAAATAGTGGGTAAATTACCTTCCCGTATACTTCAAAATCCAACAAGTGAAGTTTGGGCGGTTATTGCTGATTACACTGTTGACTTTAATAATTTAATCAAAATCCAACCAGAGGACACGGACCAAAGTTTTGAAGGGATTAACGTTCCTCTGTTCGAATTTTATGACGGAAATTATGTCCTAAAGAATGCCGTCAGATCAAATAGGCAGTATACCAAGACAGCTCCAGTATCAAAAAGCTTCACATACAATTCTTTGCTAAAGCTTAACAAAATCCTAGAATATATAACACAGATAAAACAGGAGTTAATGGAGCTGACTAGTAAACTGAACACGTTAGTGCAAGATAAGCCACAGTATTGTAACAATGAAGTCAAAGCACAGGCGTGCCATCAACTGCGTAAGCAAATTAATGAAAAGGAGGCCAAAATAATTACCCTGACAGGATCACTGGACAGAAACTCTGCATTTGCTCAAAATAATACTAACGAACCGAAGATGAATGACGAATATGGCGTAATATATTCTGATTTCAGTAATGTAAGGCATCGTCTACACTCCTATCAATTACGAAAATTTCAGCAACTGATCAAAATATTTGAACAGACTAGTCTATTTTCTTCAAATGGTTACATTATCTCAGATCAGACCGATACCTCGATATACTGTTTGTCACTAAAAATTGTTAAGGCAGAACTTATTATACAAAGCCGATCATGGGAGGAAGAAAACACTATTTTAGGGTTTTACCTACTATTTGTTTACCTGCTTGCTAAAAAAATCCTCTATATTCCCCTACCTCATTCACTCTCATTTTATGGGAGCACTTCTCTTGTCGATGGCCAGTTACCGCTTTATCTTATAGCGTCGCCATCGCAGCAACATTTCAACAATTTCGAAGTGGCAGTAAAGAACTTTAATTCAAATCTAATGCAAGTTAGGCAATATTTGGAACACCACCGATGACCAAAGTTTGACGGTCAAATATCTTTTGAGGTGAACCATTTAACCTTTTCCAGGTATGAATTTCACCCTTGGACAGGTCGACATCAAAGATACGTATACGTCGTTCTGTACCCCCATAACCAGCATAACCACCCTCCCCAGCAGCACCGCCATAGCACAACCATACCCTGCTTTTATCTTTTGTGAGGTGCGAGTCATCAAGAAGACAATAGTCATTGCAATGGTCATGGCCGACGCTTGCTACGGTGACACCAAGATCTTGAAGGGTTTCAACTCCCCCTGTGTTATACTTTGGAGCAGTTATTCCTTCTTTTAAACTTCCCACAATGGGATTGGTTTTCTCCGATGATTGAACGGAATTGAGATTGACATACTCGGGCAGGGGTATGTGGAAAAAAGCCATTGATAAGATCATTGAAGAGTTGGGATCCAGTATTTTTGAAAAGTTAGTCTTAACATCTCTGAAATATGACCATTGTGCTTCCTTTATCCAATCGTAACCCGGATATGCTCTTGGATTGGGCGAATACTTGTGAGAATCTAGAAAATATAAGGCCATCATAGGGGAACCGTGCTCGTCCCACACATATTGCACATAGTTTCCAACCCCAAAACTGTTGTCATCCGAGTCATAAGGGTTGGCTTTAAATACCGAATAGGGCATCGACTCAATTAACTGTGAAAGTTCCCATCGATTAAGACTTCCTTCATCATCATGATTGCCCCAAACCATGGTATATGGTATTTTTCTTTTGACAACAGGATCTATAACCTTAAGAAGGGCCGACTCAGAGTCCAATTTGCACTCATCTCCCATAATTTGGTCACCTGTGAAAACTACTAAGTTAGGCTGTTCAATATCGAGAACAGACTCGATGAAATCTAAAGTTTTCGGATCTGCTTCACATTTTTCGTTTGGTGGGTATTCGTCTCGGCATTTCCCTTTCCCGACACTAAAATGCAGGTCCGCTAATTGGACAATCTTGAATTTATTTTGATTATCCGCTCTCAGGCTAATTGCTTCAGTACCAGTTACCGATGGTTTAAGTTTAGCGCGTGCAAGAAAGCACGGTACCTTTCCATTACAGATTGAAGAATCACGATATATTTCCCAATTAGGTCTAGGATCACGGCAGTCCTCACCATAAAGGACATTAAGGTCACTGATAAAGTTGATCAAGGACAAAGATTTAAAAGTCAACTTTGCGGCATCAAAGCTCCAATGCTGCTCTTTGTCTGAGGTGACTTTTTCTAGATTCACGAATCCCATCAATTTGCTGTCTTTGTCATCCTTTAGTTGTGATAGATATTTCAATGTTTCCTCTACTGTGATTGTGTCATAGGTTAAATAAGACGAAAAGCCAAAAAGATTATTTCTTTTAGACTCTTGTAAATCTTTTTCGATGGTGTGTGTTGATATCGATACATCAGCATCGCGTCTATAGTGAAAACCATGACTATGACATAGCTCTAAATGCGTTAATATATGAAAACACGCTTTCTTTCCTATGCTGACAACAATTGTGTCCGTCTCGCGCAAATCTTCTAGTATTCTTGACTCCTGAGCACTAATATCCTGCTGCTCAGACCCTAACGGGAGTTTATTCAAATCCAGCAGGCGCATAGACAGGGAAGTGCTAGCTATGTTTGCATTGTGTGAGTAAAATTTATTGAGAAGAGAACTTAGTACAAGCAGCACTGAAATAGCGACCGTGACAAAAGCCAGCCGAGAGTATTTCTTGTTAATCGCCATGCGCACCCTAGGATTATTTTCAGCTAGTCAAAAAAGTGAAATGTTCACGCAAGACGTGCGCGTGTACTTGGAAAATGGAACGACCAATGATAACTCATTTTGATACAGGTCAACACAAACAATTACTGAAGACGCAATTGATGAAGCCCAATTATGGAATTTGGCGGATGAATTTCACAATGCGTTGGAATTTGTAGAAAACGGCTTCGCGCGGTATTACCAGCTCTTTAGGAATCTCTAACCATACAATAATTATGCATACTCAATTAAAGCCATAAATACCGCTCTCACAGCGTTAGGTTTAACCAAATAACTTATATAAACAGGGGCGAAATATCTCGTTCGTGGTTTGGATTCACACTGGGAAGAACAAAGACAGCAATGATGGAATGTCTGTAACTTCAACTAAAAGACGTACATACATCCACCATCATTTAACAGCACTGAGATGAATTTTCTTTCAGTACAGAGGTTTTTCCCGATTTCAATATGTATCCTAAATGGCTGCTATTATCGTCTCTTGCTCAACTGTGTCGGTATCATATTATAATCAACGTTTAGTAATTCGACATATTAAGTTTGTACTTTCAAAATGCATATTCTACTTTCAAAAACCTTTAAGCCGAAGATACTATTTCTGATATGATAGCACCTCTATTTTACATTATGCTACTAACTATCCATAATCCTGAGCTTTCTATAAGATAGGCAACTAGCTCGCTTGTACCCAAGATGAATTGGGCTCCTAATACTCAGTCTATGTGAGGATGTGTAGTATTGTGTAAGCGATTTTAAATCCCCTTACGAGGCATGTCTCAATCACATTAGTGCTTTTGACGAATACAATCATCATTAATCAGGGCCCATACGACATAACTAGCTCACACCTACTCCACTATGGTAATCACGCAAAAAAAAAATTTGCCAGAAGAGCTGATAGTTTGTGAATTTTCCTATCAGTCAAGATTGTAATTGAGACGAATGAGCAAAGAAAATGGCTTTGGGTAAGCGCCAGCAGAAAGTCGTTTTAAATCTGAAGAGTTGCACACAGAAGAACACTTCTTGCTAAGTTCTCCTAGCGAATATCTTGAATAACGTTCCTAGATACATCTCTGTAAAAACTTTCCCCTATCAGCGAGGTAACAAGGACATGGATAGTTTTGAGCCATGCGGTGTCCTCACAACTGAGAAAAACATAAATATGTCCTGTTCTTCGCCAGTTATCAACTCAGGATCAGCAAGAATTCTTAAGTCTTGTTGCAATATCTCCGTAACATGTTCGTCTTGAGAGAATAAAGCCACATACGAAGCCGTTACTTCAAGAGCTTGGATGCTGGTGAATGGCGGGAAATTTCAAATGGAGCCTAAGTTTCATTTCTTCTCATCACTACCAAAATCTTCTTGGCTTTCTTTTTGGGGTTTTTTGCACTGAGTAGCAGGTCGGTGGTCACCCCCAAGTACTAACGGTGAAGAGACGGGCTCCTTAGTACGGGGTTTCAACGAGTGGGGATTTCTTAGATGTTCAAGGTTAACTTCAACTCTCTTTCCCCCGCGTTCCAGGTAAAATTTGGGCTTTTCCTCGTCAGCCATTGTCGGATTTCTCTGTTTGTTCCGTGTTCATATGAAAAGGGATGAAAACTGCGTGTCGCCAGCGGTTTTTTCTGATTAACAAAAACTGAAACAGGGACAAAGCCAAACCAAGATGCAAGACGATACTTCGTTTATAGCGGAGTTCTTGGGAACTCTCAAATGTGAACAATACATTGACAAGTTTCTGTCTTTTCAATTAACCACTAGTGATGATATTCAGTACCTTGATCAGGAGATTTTGACGGAATTAGGAATTGTCAAAATTGGCGACCGTATTCGCATATTATCGAAGAGCCGTTTATTAAGGCAGAACGGCTCCTCTAGTGCTGAGGAGATCAGAGATATAGTGAGCAGGATAAATGGTTTGTGCTTGGGACCATTGACGATTAGTGAAGAGCTTGTGACTGATAAACATTCTGCTATATTCATTCTCAACGATGGATCTGCTAAAAAGGTGAATGTTAGCGGTTGCTTTAATGCAGATTCGATCAAGAAGAAATTGATTAAAAAACTTCCAAGCGAGTTTATCGCGGTCAATTCCGAAGGGGAAGAAACCCGGTCATCTCAGGATTACGATGTATTTGTGGTAGATTACGTGAAGAATGTTCTGCATCTTCTTTACGACGTCGAGCTGGTGACCATTTGCCATTCTAGCGATAGAGTGGAAAAGAACCGTCTTATTTTAGTTTCCAAAGATCAAACGCCAAGTGATAAGGCAATTTTGACTTCCAAAAAGCTTTACTTGAAAACATTGAGCGTAATCCATCAATTGGGGTCTCTATCAGCGTTTACAAGTAATACGCCTAATTCAAGAGCGCGATTCCATACTGCCAATGAGAGAGCTTCCAAGGGCACAGATACGGTTACTGGAGAGTCACTAAGAATTGAGAACACAAAGGACGGTATTCGACAAATCTTTAACCAAAGACCTCCGAGCGAATTGATTTCAACAAATTTAGCTGAATATTTCCCTCACACTGATATGAACAGGTTGAAGAAAACGCTGAGAAATTCTGTAAGACAATCAATCAGATTGAGTAGTATTATTGGTGCTAACGCGACAGTAGGCACCAACAATGTTGGTAATATATGGGTGAATAATTCGAATGCTGTGGGTACAGCATTATTACAAAGCTTGGAATCAAAGCAACTAGTTGAACAGGAAAAATCACAGAACTCAAAGGTAAGTGAGGAAGATACTCTAAACTTGAGTGCTGCTAACGGCGCTCTCCGTAGTGGTTCAACACTTGCTACTGCCGCAAAGAGGCCAGAATACCTAAGAAACATCGAAATGACCTCCAAATCCTCGAAGCAGAAAGAGAAACCCTCAGAAAACTCCGATCACATCGAGCTCTTGAATACCGATTCAGATGGAGACGAGGAGGATGAAGACGTAATTTCTCTTCCCACTAAAATTGTCACTCCCAAGTCTTGGCTTAAAGGAGCTAGAATTGGTGCTGGGAGCTTTGGTAGCGTTTACCTTGGAATGAATGCTCAAACAGGCGAATTAATGGCAGTTAAGCAGGTCGAACTGCAGCCAACTGCTTTAACAGCAGGGATTTCTGCCTCTGAAGAAACAAAAAAACACTACAATCAAGGTGGAAATGCATCAGCTGCAAAAAATAGTAGCCAGGTGCACAAGAAAATGATTGATGCGCTACAACATGAGATGGGCTTGCTCAAAGAATTACATCACGAAAATATTGTTACTTACTATGGTTCTTCACAAGAAGGCGGAAATTTAAATATTTTCCTGGAATATGTTCCTGGTGGATCCGTTTCGTCCATGCTTAACAACTATGGCCCTTTTGAGGAACCATTGATCAAGAATTTTACTAGACAGATTCTCATCGGCTTGTCATATCTGCACCGAAAGAACATTATTCACAGGGATATCAAGGGTGCGAATATTCTCATTGATATAAAAGGTTGTGTTAAAATTACAGACTTTGGTATTTCCAAAAAACTGTCACCACTAAACCAGCAGCAGAACAAGAGAGCCTCTCTACAAGGCTCAGTGTACTGGATGGCGCCCGAAGTTGTCAAACAGGTTGTTACCACAGAAAAAGCGGACATCTGGTCGGTCGGCTGTGTAATTACGGAAATGTTCACTGGTAAGCATCCATTTCCAGACTTTTCTCAGATGCAAGCTATCTTCAAGATTGGTACAAACACCATACCGGAATTACCGACATGGGCTAGCGATCAAGCAAAGGACTTCTTGATGAAAACCTTTGAGTTAGACTACAAAAAGCGACCTAGTAGCATAGAACTTCTCCAGCACGCTTGGCTAGATACGTCTATTTAATAATCACACAAGGAAATAGCCTATTACGCAATTGTATTGTAGCTGATAGCTCGCTTTTTGGGCATTGTGTTCATGTGACTATGAATTGGATTTCTCTGCAAGAAAAATAAATCTTGAGATACTTCCGGACGTGCATCATCTGAAGTTTACGCAAACCACGCGCTATTCTTCGGTTGGAGCTCCGCTCAATAAGAATATGTCATTCAATTCATGGCGCCAATTTCAATTCTTTGAAAATGTGCCCATTAAGGACCCGAACCTCGCAGGAGATTCTCCCTTATACTCTGATCCAACTCTCAGCGCGGTATCCCCTTCCATCGAAAATAAACTCATAATTGCCGTCCAAGCTCGAGTGATCAAACTTATTGATTTAAATCAGTCAGAAATGATGATGGAATTTGTTGCGTACCCCGAGAATTTTCAAATCACTTACTTAAAAGGCATGAGAAACAACTTTGTTATAAGCGTTGGCGAACAGTTGGGTTTGCCATGCTTAATTAAGTTATGGAAACTGGACAAAAGGCCGACCGATGAGTTTGATTTTCATTCCATGATTGAAATAAAAAATGGAAAAAATACATCCCCAGTCTCTGCGATTTCAATATCTGATGATTTAACATGCATTGTGATAGGATTCGCAAATGGACGCATAGTACTAGTAAGGGGAGACATACTACACGATAGAGGATCCCGACAGCGAGTTATATACGAAGATCCTACTAGAGAACCTATAACATCACTATTTCTTGACCGTGAATGCAATTCATGTTTTGCCGCGACAACATCCAAAATTTACGTTTTTAGCACGACTGGTCGAAACAGCGGAATGCCAGACGTAACTTTAAGTTCCGACAGTGGTGTTGATTTGAATTGCAGCTGCTTAAGTGTGGACAAGAGAGAACTCATTTGCTGCAAAAAGAACTCTTTGGACTTTTACAAACCGAACGGCGAGAAGCGTTCTCTCATAATTGATATTCCTCTCAAAAAAAGGATACATGCCATTGACGAGCATAATATTGCTATAGTGTCCGGTACTGAGGCTCCAAACCAAACTGCCCTACATGTTAAACCCGACTCTAGCAATAGGCTGATTATCCTAGATACTAAGAACATGTTCGTTACTATGAATGTTTTGATAGCCAGCGCTGTTATAGATATGTTTTTGACGACCTATAAGAGAGTTACATCCCTTTTCCTCCTTACATCTGATGGAACCATCCACAAAATCAACGAGAAGTCGATAGATGACAAATTGCAAATTGTTCAGCAAAAGGAATTGTTCACAATTGCACTGGAACTTGCTAAACAAAATCATCTCGATGAAAAAAAAGTTCAAAAAATACGAAAGGCCTATGCCGATCACCTCTATAAAAATAACTTGAAAACAGAAGCAATAGAGGAATATGTCAAATGCCTCGATGTCACTGAAACAAGTGAGATAATTTCGAAGTTTGGTATAGAGAACACCACAAGTACAACTGATGTCGCAAATTTGGCATATTACTTAATATCGATGATAAAAAAAGGAGCGAGTAATGCAGATCACATTTCACTGCTCCTAATTGCATTAGTGAAACTCAAGGATAAAGAAGGAATTGATAGTTTTATCTCGCACTTTAGCAGATCAGGAAGATATTTGGAAGAGCCAGAGGAAGAAGACAATTGGGATGAAGACGACGAGACATATTTTTTCTCTGACTTGAAGTTATTCGACTTAGGGCTCACACTAAAGTTATTAAAGGACTCGGGGTTTCCTACACAGTGCTACCATTTAGCACGTAAATTCTCCAAAGATCCAACTGTAATCGTTGATATCCTGCTGTCAACTTTAAATGATGCTCATAGTGCTTTGAGATATATCAGAAGCTTACCAGTGGATGACACGCTTCGGGCACTTCTTGTGTTTTCAAAGCGTTTGTTGGATAAGCTACCAAATGACACAAACATATTATTGATTGAATTATTCACAGGCAAGTATAAACCTGCGAAGTACGACAAATTGCAGAGAACGGCGGACAATAAGTGCGAAAATGACACCAAAAAGGTCTTCTACAGTTATAAAGCTTTCATGAACTACATGTACAATGTTACAGACAAGTCCAACGTGCCACGTGTGGATGATATTCCAACCTATCACCCTCCTAAACCAGCATTGGTTTTTACGTCATTTATAAACAAACCCTTTGAGTTTTTGGTTTTTCTCGAGGCATGCTTAGAGAGTTACAACGAATTTCAGGGATTCGATTACGACAAACAACTGATCTTGACCACTTTATATGACATCTACTTATCTTTGGCGAAAGACGATGCGAAAGAACGTCGAGCTGATTGGAAATTTAAAGCGGCAAAGGTCTTGGATGAGAGTAAAAAGCTCGTTACAGCAAGTGGGGCTTCTGAAAAATCTGTGACGACTGGAAAGTCACATACTAAGGCAATAGACAATTCTTTAATGATGCTGATTTCACACATTAATGATGTGGATTTATATTCTACCAATGATAGCGTGTCCAAATCAAATGCCGAGTTTGCAAATGTTGATGAAAAAAACTTGACGGACGCATTTAGATCTATTATCTTAACCAGTGATTCCAAAACAGTCTTGAGGTTTTTAGAAAAGTTTGGCGCCCAAGAAAACCCCCTCTATGTGATTGCTTTGCCTTACTTTTTATCATCAAAAAGCATACTTAAAGAAATCGGAGGGGAAAGTGCACTTAAGGAAAAGGTTTTGAAGAAAATAATGGAGCTCGATTTAATGCCAATACTAGACATATTACAAGTCGTTGGCTCTTCAAATGTTGCAACATTTGGCCTTGTCCAGGAACTTTTGATCCACCATATCGAGGCTGAAGATGAGGAAATTAGGAACAACCAACTCCTCGTCGAATCCTACCAATCAGAATTGCTAGAGAAAAGTACAAAACTTGATTCACTGATGGATAAAGATAAACCGATTAATATGCAGATGAAAAATAGAGCTTGCCATATGTGTCACACAATGTTAGCGTTACCCATCGTTTATTTCAAATGTGGCCATGCATATCACCAGCGTTGTCTAAATGAAGAGGAATCCGCACTTGCCGACAGTGAAAAGTTGTTTAGGTGTCCTCAATGCATTGTTGAGCTCGAAGCGGCAGGAAACATGATGCGTGCACAGAATGAAAGTACAAAACAGGCCGAATTACTCAAGCTAGCTCTTTCGAAGGAAGAAAACGGTAAGGACCGCTTTAAAGTAATTACCGAGTTCATAGGAAGAGGTGCATTGGAAACGTCAAAAGTGATTTTATGAAACATGTCACTTGCACATGTTACATATCTGACACTGATTGACCAAGTGTGCTTTGCTTGTTTCCATCAACCATATCCAAAACTCAATTTTTGTTACATATAAAGGGCATAGGTACCTTCATTTATGGCAAATATACATTTTAGTGCAAGAAATTCTATTTCAACTTGAATGATAAAATCAACGAGATCAATTTATCAACTTGACTATCCAGCAAATGCAACACTAACCCCCATAAGGGATGAATCTCAAGAATATTTTCCCGATGATACTATCAAGAGAGAAAAACCTCCGGTTTCGAGTTCCTTGGGAGAATATGTGAATCCTTATGCTCGATCACTCTGGTTCAGCTTGGATAACTTCCGGGTTAATCAAGATAGAATTCGTGCTCTCAATGTCCCATCAGAAAATCATATATTGACAGCTGATATGAGGTCTAGACATGCTTCTTGCGAATGGCACGAGAAAATGAGTCCCATTAAAATGCAGGTGGAGCAACAATCCACAGAGATACCCCAGGACTGTAAATTATTTTTAGAGACTATGACTGAATTGATAGAGTCAGAAGAACATTACTCTTCAGTACTGGATTTGTCGAATACCGTTTACAGGAAGGAGCTTCTTAGCAATAAAAAGCTTCTACAGAAACTGCTGATTAATGATGACCGCGATGAAATTTTGCTCTTTGGTAATTTGGACACAATCTCATCTTTGAGCAAAATATTGGTGAGAACGCTGAGGAAGTATATTGGCGAATGTTGCCAACGGACAATAGTTTCAGATTTATCACTATTACTACAAATTGACGCGTCGGAATTTCATAACCTCATAACTCTTTTCGACCCGTCAGTTTTTCTTGAATCGCATTTGACTAAAATTAGATCAACTTATGCGGCTTACTCAATGTGCTATAATGAACAGTTAAAATTGATATCGCATATGAAGAAGCTTTCGGCGAAAGATTTTTACAACTGGTACGAACTTTGTCTGGTGGACGCTAATTACATTAAATTAGAGGATATTCTTGCCCTCCCACTTCTGCATATGAACGAGATGACTAATATACTCCTTAAATTGTCAAGAGTAGGTCAAAATTGTATGTCGGCAAATAACCACACGAAGCTTGTTCAGTTTATTAAAGACTTTGATTGTTTTTCAACTGAATTACAATCTCGCGTTGATGATAACAATGCCCTATCAACCTCCAAACATTCGACAACAAGTGAGAAGAGCAGTATACACGGAACTTGTGGAAACCTATTAAGTGCGCCTTCAAGCAATCATTGTGGGTCAAGCGATTGCTATTTTTCTTCTTCCTCAAGTCGATACTCTGAGCATTCAAGTTACTTGACGGAATTTGATGTTTGCAAACCGGCCTATTCGGAGGGGCCGGATGGTACTGGTCTACAGAACGCGACGCTCAACGATTGGATTGACAAATTTACTAAAGTTCAGAGTGGGCTGAAAAAACTCGAGAAAGAAATTTCAGGAAACAATTTAAACTTCATTCTCGACAAAAACTTAGAGCAAGCAAAGAAATGGAGATATATCATGGAGTTTGAATCTCCGAACCACCTTTTGACACAGCATGCTAACGTAGATTCCATATATGAATCTTATGTGGAAAAAATACACCAACAACGGCTAAACACGATGATTCTAAAACTTAACGATCTTCAAGAAAGAGTTCTCGATCCAATCTGCAAGATAAAAACCCTCTGCGCTCCCGTAAAAGAGAAAATACAAGATCTCAAAGTTTTTAAAAAAGACTACATGGCTTTCCTTGAAGGTCAATCCAAGAATGATGTAAAAAGAAAGCTAATAGCGAAACACTTCAAAGAGTTACAAACAGAGCTTCTTCATCAATTGCCAATTTTTCTTGATTTGGTAAACAAGTCAATAGAGCTTATACTCTTTGCTTTCAACGAGGTAATGATGAAATACATGGAAATTTTATCAGGAGGAAAGATGTTTTTAGATAAGGAACTCCAGTTAATATATTCTGGTGAAAGGGAATTGGGAGATCATTTTGATATCTTGCAATTCTTTTCATCTTCCAGATTTTACACGAAACAACTGGTAAGAGATTGTTGGAGACATGACAAGATCCACCGTGCAAGTGAAGTACTTCGCAAATTGTTCGAACTTTAAGTTACGGTAAAAAGATACTTTCTCTCATAAACCACGTACTAAATCCAATATGTATCTCTAACTCGAAGTTGCAAAACACATAGGATAATCAGGAAGGTTTGCAGTGATTTAAGTGATTGGTTAAGATTGGGAAAATTTCTGTCGCGCCTTCAAATATTCGTAACGAACTATCATCGGGGTACTGCATGTATCGTATTATGTGATATTCGCTAATTCCTTTTTGATTGATGAAAATTTTCATGCGATGAGCTTTCGATGGCCTAAGATACTCTATACTACTATCAGGAAAACAATAAGCTCTTCGCATATCATGTCTTCTGCAGCTGATAATTACAAATCATTACCAGTAACCGTTGAGAAACCAATTCCGGTGACGTATGATCTTGGAAATCTAACTGTTTTTGATTCTAATGTGCTGGACAAAAATGAGCTAGACTCTTCAAATGCTAAGCGTGAAGAAAACCTAAGAAATATTACTCGTGACAATGTGCAGCTGTTAATAAATCAAATATTATCTCTGCCTATAAGGAATACAACAGACTCTGTAGGTGGATCCAATTCACAAAGCGCAACAATGACACTGGTTCAATTGCCAGACCCAAGTAGCGAACTTCCCAGAGAAAAGCCTCTACCTAAACCCAAAGCGCCAACTAAATGGGAACAATTCGCTGCTAAGAAGGGCATTAGACCTAAGGAACGCGCAGGGAAAATGGTTTACGATGAGGAAGCCGGAGAATGGGTTCCAAAATGGGGTTACAAGGGTGCCAATAAGAAACTTGATGATCAATGGCTTGTTGAGGTTGACGACAATGTGAAGAATACCGAAAATGAGCTCATTGACCCAAGAACACTAAGCAGAGCCGAAAGAAAGAAATTGGTCAAAAAGAACGAACTACAACACAAACGGAATTTGAGACAAAGGTAGATAGTGTGCCAGTATTTCCTTCTTGTGTTTTTATTTTGTATATTATATCTGTAAAATGCATTTGAAGTTTAAAGTTTTATGAGATGGTTACTGTTAAGACAATGTCATTTTTTTTTCTCTTCCGAAGGTCTCAAGCAATAATTAGCAAATATAAACACTGTTAAACTTGAAACGATTTAAGGGCTATGGATGAGTATATTCCGATGATTGACGTATGTATCTGCAGTTATTTTCTGAGAGGCTATGCTTCAGATTGCTAACATATAGTTAGGCCATCCTGAGTGTTTCAAACCCCGATGAGGTCAGTGCGAAGAGGATTAGGAAAGCGATTCAAGAGTTGTTTGCAGTAGACTTGGAGCCGCAAAGGAAAAAAGTGAATGCCCTGATAGTGGAACGATTCAATGCGCTGCAAGATGAAAAGGTGAACATGACAAATGAGCAACTTACTAAAAGTGACGCTGATCTTGCAGCTGAGATACAAAAAGACAAAACTAGTTCCAAACGTTCAAAGAATAAACCGGCAAAGATCCAAAAGAAGAAGAGAAAAGTAAGCGAAAACGGAAACGGAATCAATACACGTAAAGTAAACTTGAGTGAGCCCCTAAGAGACTTTTTGGGTGAAGCAGAGCTCGCAAGAACACAAGTTGTCAAGAAAGTTTGGGACTATATCAAGGAGAATGAACTTCAGAATCCTGAGGACAGAAGAGAGATTCTTTGTGATGATAGAATGAAACCAATTTTTGGGGACAAGATGACTATGTTCTCATTAAACAAGATTCTTTCCAAGCACTTATTCAATCCTGAAAAGATGACAAGCAGTAACATCAACGAAAAAAACAATGAAAGCGAGCATAATAAAGATACCGAGGAATCAAGTATTCCGCCCGATTCGGTTTCCGATGCTGTCAGCGGAGAATAGAAAATTTTGTATCATATTGTACTATTAGCTTTGTATCTAAGTATGTTTTTTCGAAAGCATCTCGTGAAATTCTTTCATGAAACTGACAAACTGCTGCTACGCGCGGTAAACTCAAGGGCGATAAGGTGATGAAATCAAAAAATGTTTCCTCACCAATCTCTGTAGTATCGAATGAAACAAATGAGCAGTTCTTGCCTTCGTTGAGAGACGCCTATCCCCTATTTTCAAACTCCGACTATGTTTTGGAGTTCACTTCTAAAATACTTCTCTTGGAGTATATTAATGAACCGCGATTCAGAAGAAGATTTAAGATTAGAAATGACGATCCATCAAATATCAGCCAAAAGTACCCAATAAAACTGCAAGGTAAAAACCAGTTGAACAAACGTTCGTCGTGGGTTGCGCTAGATACAAGTAGTGGGTCATGCAGCAGCGAAGGTGAACTATTGAGACGCGTTCTTCCTTTAATCGAACAATACCTAATGAAGGTTGCTATGGGGAAATCAAAAATTAAGAATGAGCAATTTAGACGGAGTATGCTTAAGCTCTACAATGATCTATTTTTAAATCCCCAAATGTCGAAAGCGCTAGAGTCGATGAGTAAATTTGAGGAATTATTAATGCTTTTCACAAAAGCTGCCAATGGCGAGCTGCTCAAGTTGGATACCCAAAGAACGCAGGATGTGCTTTATATCCAATTGTCCTCCTTTATTGACGTAATTGTTCAACTGATTTCAGAGAAAGGGGATACAACCTCAAGGTTAGTTGAAAAGCTCCAAGAATACAAAACGGTTTTTGAGCCAACTGCAAGCGTATCGATTGTAAATAGCTCCGCTTCTTCCACTAAGGAATTTTCTTCAGATTTGGGAGAAGCAACTCTAAAGCCTTCTTTCAAAACCAAGGAGATTACGCATGCAAATTATTTAATGGAACTATTCAATATTCCAGAACTTGAATTCCAGCAGCATGTTATTCGGTATGTTGATTCGGTGAAAAACGACCTCTTACAAAAAGAATTGGAGATTGAAAGAGAAAAGGTTGAGAATGACAGAGGTCCTCTAGTAAAGAGTAAATTTGGCTGCAAGGAAAACTATGAAATTTGGAAAAAAAGAGAACTGACTGAAATCGACACAATCATAGAAAAGCTTGAAGAAACCAAGGCTGGCCACAATGAACTTAATAAAGGAAATATTTCTAAACGTGATAAAATTTTACCTAACAATGCGAGAGATATTTTCACACATTTATTATGGCTAATACTTAAAAAGGAAGCCTCAGAAGCTTCCCAGGCTTCTTCAAGTTTGTCATTTTCTAAGGATGCTTCATTTTTCCTCTTAAAATGCTCGAAGTATTGGCGGCTTGACAATCCATCAACAAAGGCTACGCTACTGTATACTGCTGGAAATTTTGGAATCTTGAGCGGTACTGAGTTGAATCCAGAGAACGTAATGGGTTTATTCAGTATCATATTCAGTAAAATTTTGAGCACAGAAGAAGACTGTGACGTCACTCAATGGAATAGCGATGACCAAAAGCAGTGGTTGATCAATTTGACTTTCACTTTTGAACAAATAATATCCTCTTTGAATTCACTTTCCAGTTTAATTTACGAGCATCCTCGACCTATATTTTCACCAGTTCTACGAATATATCATTCATTCATTGAAGCAGATCCATTGTTAATCTATTATGACTTGAGAAATACAGAATATTTTAGGAAACACATGAAGATTTTAAAGCGGACACTGTTTCGAGCAAGTGAAAAATATTATTTAACCCTTCTTCAGCAAATACCAAAGGACAACACGATAGAAATGCATCACATTGAGCAAATTGCACAATCAATTTTATTGGAAATCAAGGATTTACAGAAAAGGTATTCGAAGTTGTTATTAGGTGAACTAAATATAGCGTTCGAATGTGCCAGTGTCTTAGTAGAAGCATTCGGAACTGATTGCTATGCAATGTTAAAGAGAGTTGAATATTACTTTCTCGAAAAAAATGAACAGGAAACTATTAACCTTGAGGCCATAGAAACTTATAAAATATTACAAGAGCTAAGGGATGTGTTTTATCAGGTTCAACCAAGCAAAAAATTTCCTTTCAAACTTGAAAAATCTTTTGTGAAGTACTTGTCTCAATTGTGTGATCAGACTTGCGATAAGTTGTTACAGGTTGTTGACAACGCAATTCAAGCGGAAAGCTGGCAACAAGTAAATCCTACAAAATTTTGCAGTACGTCAGCGATCGACATTTTCAAGATGATCAACGAATCAATCGATATATTTACGAAATTGAAATGGGGAAATGAATATCAAATTTCGAAAATATACACTTTCATCCTTAAGGCAATAGCAGACGTAATTAGTAGGTATGCGGCAGCGGTTACTAACATCATCGAGGATGAATTGGCAAATCTTTCCGAGGAAGATTTGAAGGAAGAAGGAAGCGATGATATGAACGATAGTTCATTTATACCCCAATCAGCAGCTGACAAGATGAGAAATACTTGGCTGTTTAATGAAATGAGAAACGCATTAAAATCCTCTAATCTAATTGTTCCAAAACCTCACAAATTTACCTCCAAAACATGTGTATGCTTGAGTAACTTAGAGGAGATGATACGCATGATTGGTGATCTTGAAGAGCGAATTAATCCTCAGAAGATCTCCATCACGGTGGAGAAGTATGAGCGCTCGAATCCTAAACTTCAAAAAATGACAGCACTGCAGAACAGCGGCTTGAGGCAGCTATATGTTATCAAAATTATTCGTGCTGAGAATTGCAGAGGCAGCTCCAACAACGAGCTCCTCAATAGTTATGTTAGTTTTGTTGATACGACTAGGAGACAAGACATTGCAAAAACTAAGGTTATTCCAAAATCAGTAAATCCAGTCTGGAACGAAGAGTTCGAATTCGAGTGCCCTATTAACGAATCGCGGTCACTAAATTTAGTAATGTGGAATCATAAGTCCGGTTTTGGAAGTTCGTCAACAGAAGTGTGTGGTAGGGCTAATTTCTCATTGGATCCCAGCGCTTATCGGGATGACGGGCTTCCTGAAGATATCATTTTGAATCTTGATACTCAAGGCAGAATTGTCTTACAGGTTTCCATGGAGAAAGAAAGGCTAGATGCCCTTTTTTCTATGGGAAAAGCCTACAGAACTATTTCAAGGGCCAGATCGCGGTCCATTGAATTGATGGTTGATCGCTTTGCATCTTTCGTACGGTTTGCATTCTCTCGATCAACGTTAAAGACGGTATGCGGTGTAAATGGCAATAAAAAGGTAGAGAATGAAATAATTTACGATGCAGTCTTACCACTTTTCGATTACCTAAATGCCAATCTAAGCATTTTAGCTGTAGAGCTGAAGAGGGACTTACTTTTCAAAATCATGTTAGAGACGTGGTCAGTTATATTAAACCAAGCAGACAGCTTATTACTACCCTTGCTTTCAGATGTCCGTCGACCACCAGAGGAAGACGGAAAAACGAAGTCCATATGGGAAAGCGCAGTTGATGTGGCAAGGGCTAATTTAAGTAATTTCGCCAACTTTGGAAGGCCCTTGACTCAAATTGAAATAGATACTGTATTTGAATGGCTAAGAGCCCTTTGTATCGATTTTTTTCACAATGGTGGCGAAGGGCCACCTCTAAATGATCTAAAGAATCAACACTATCAGAACCTATTGTTAATCCCTATATTCTACGACAAAGGAAAGAAGGAGCTTAAGGAAGAGGTCGAAAGATTGAATCCCGAATACGAGCAATATCTCAACTCAATGAACGAACATTCTGACCACGCGAAGACTCGTACTCCTAAAAGTAGAAAGGTTAATACAATTGCACGGAGGAAAACAATTCTTGCTAATAGCTCCAAAAAACGAAGACAGCAGCTGGACCTTGAAATCAAAATTTCTGAAAGCAACCCATTGGAGATTAGCGCTGCTACTCAGGATATCCTTTTGAGGATTTTGTTGGCAAAGGGCGAAACCTCATATGTGTATAAGAATTTACAAGCCCGCGAACAAGCGCTGAAAAAGATGCGTACTGAAATGTTCGTGAAAGCAGCTGTAACTAATAGAGGAGGTTGGAAATCCTAGGTGAAGTGACGCTGGCAATGGTATTTCATAAGCAGGATACTTCGGATTCTTAAGAGCATATGGCTATTAGCTTGTGCTTGCTAAAACAGAATTGAAATGAAGGTCTTTGCGGGCAAGTGTTGCACATAAAAATTTCATTAGTAGTTCTATTTAAATGAGGGTGCTCTATATGTATTAATGTCTGAAATGTGTATTTGCTCCAAAATCCCTGTTTCTCTACCTCAAAGCAAACTAAAATTAAAGATCTCGCTATGCCAAATACTCTCTGCGACATTCCATGGATTGGGAGGTAATATAGACCGTTCCTGCCGCTTCATTTACCTGAATCGCGTCTATCAATTTGCGAGCTGAATCATACTCTGCCAAGACTACGTTTAACTAACAGCACCGCTTTTGAAGCACTTTTTTGGTATTTAATATCAAGAGGTGATTAATTAAATTCACTGATTCAAAAAAAAACGTTTTGAGCGGAACATTCAAAGGGATACTAACAATTGGCCAATTCTTAAACATAGGAAGACGGCATAATACTTTTTTAATACAACTTGGGTCTTACAAGATATTGATACAAAACCTTATGGCTAAGAAGGCCTTTTACGCAGTGCGAAGAGGTCGCGCTTTGGGCATATACGATACATGGGATCAGTGCAAGACCCAGATATATGGTTACCAAGGTGCTCAATATAAAAAGTTCAGTACCCTAAGCGAAGCACAAGATTTCATTAAGGCCAATTCACCCAATTACTCGGATTCAAGACTTGCCGATGAATCGTCACGAAAGTCTCATTTAGGTAAGGGAAAGTTAGAAAGCAAGAAAGGGTATGCAGCAGGTGTGTCAAAACATCAGGGTCCACGTTACTATTCCGTTAAAAGTGGAAATCCATCTATTTTGAGCAAGGTTTTTACAAGCTGGCCTGAGTGCCAAAAGTACGTGTCAGGTAAGAGAGGACTCACTTATCAGAAATTTAATAGTCAGAAAGAAGCGTTGAACTTCATTGCTGGTATAAGCACAAAAGATTACGAGCTTATAAGTATCACGGAAGGAGAATTCAAGAGCAAATATAAAATAAAAGACAAAGACAAAAAGTTCGAAGAACATTCAAATGTGTACTGTGATGGTTCGGCAATTGCTAACGGAACCTCAAAATCACGAGCCGGCTATGGGGTTTTTTTTGAAAGTACCGGCGAATGCATTGCTGAACCACTTACTAGTGGACCTCCCACCAACAACCGCGCAGAGATACAAGCAGTGTCAGCTGCACTTGGCAAAATCTGGGAACATTTGACGATAGCTCATAAAAAGATCAAATTTACCATAAAAACAGATTCTGAATACGTTTCAAAGCTACTAAATGACAGATACATGACATTCAATAATGAGAAAATGAAGACTATTGAGAATGGAGATTTAATTTCCCCTTTAGTTGAGAAATTTGTTAAAGTAAAGAAATATTATGAAATTAATGGCACTCATTTTATAGATGGGGGAAAGTTTGAGATATGTTGGGTGAAGGGCCATGCTGGCGAACCTGGAAACGAGAAGGCTGATGAGCTTGCAAAAAGAGGCGCTGATAAATACATCCTCCAAAATTGAAGGCATCAATGCATTACTAGCTTTCTTGCTCCTTCATACATTATTAGCCTTTTCGAAATATCTGCTGTGTTAGATTGAAACAATAAATAGAAATCATTAAATAGTATTTAAATATTATGTACAGTGCTCGGTATATTTACACTCAACGGCCTCCAAAAACATAAACATTGGATTCATCGTCCTTCCAGAGTTTTGATATTAGATCCACAAGCCCATTATTACTTGTCTCCAACTCGTAAACACCATAAAGGCCAAGAGCTGAACCCAAATACAGCGTTGACATCGCTAATGTATGCCACACACCAAATTTTCTCTTGGGTATGTAGTCAATGATACAGCTTGTAAAGCCTAGTTGCGCATGAATTAGTAGAACGCTGCACAAACTTGCGTCCACCATTGGATACATTGTCCCATTGGATAGTGCAGCATAGAGAGGTATCATTGTTAGTGGAATCAAAGAAATCGCTGTAATCCTCTCATAGTCCCAGTGATACGATCCGTGAAAGAAATCAGGATTGGGCGTTTTTAGCTTGTCGTTTACTGTACCATTCACTCCTCCAGGAGGTGGAGGAATAAGTTTTAGTTTATTGAAGTCAGGTTTTAAAGAGATGCCTCTTAAACCAGTTGTTAAACGAATGGTACTACTGCTCTTCAGTACTGACGAGTGAAAGCTTGCTTTGAACATCCTTGTAATAATTGACTTGTTATACCCTGTGGACTGTCCTTTCAGTGGCTAGAATAACTGACATAAACAGTATGATTTTTTTGAACATCTTATGAAAAATCTTTAGCTATGATTTTCGATGTAAAATTATAATTCCTCATTCAAAGCAAATGTCTTACCTACGCTCACAATGGTTTGGCTCTGTATTTAGACCATAATCCTTTAATGTCAAATATTGAAGATATGCAGCAACCTTACCCCAAATTACTTTGAGATCCAAACGTCGCATGACACAAAAGTTGGCATAAGCTAACCAAAACAATCTTCCAAGATAAAGATTATATCTGCTTATAAACCGCATCCATAAAGATTGACATAATAGAGATTATGCCGCTGTTGAACACCCTAAGGACCCATTTTCTAGGGCCATGGGCTGAGATTGAAGCTTTAAACCTGAAGATCAAGCTAAAATTATTAATGCAGTTACTAGCCATCGCCCGTTACCTAATAATCTATAATGTGTGGCATATTATCATCTTTCATCTCCATAATTTTACAAATGGGAAGATTTTCATGTGGATTATTGATACCCAAATCAAGATCTTTCTCCACATTCCAATTATTGGAGAATTCTTGGCACGATCTCTCGACAAACTACTTAATTACGCGAGAACGAGGTTATTACCAGGTATGGAAAGGATTGAACAGTTTCTAGAAACTATTTTTCAAATATGTTTAATCGAGATGACTTTTCGGAATGAAAACGTCAAATTGATAATAACTGGCGACAAGCTCCATCTTGTGGGCCCTGATAAAAAGCCCACTACTTCACTAATAGTTGCTAATCATAGATCCATAATGGATTATACACTATTGAACTTGCTCACACAGGTGTATAACCATGAGCCTCTGTCAACGCGGCAGTATTTACTCGATAGCATGAGCGGAATTTACACATCTTTCCTTCCTAGCTTGAAGTTTATCTCCTGGGGTAAAATTTCAAATGTCCCAACCCTTTCACTGATTGGAAGCGTTTTGCTAAAAGACGAAAATACATCCATCCCCCCCAGTAGGATCAAAAGGTTTCTTGAATTTCATGGGAATCAAGTCTTGGTAGTATTTCCCGAGGTTAATGTGATAACACCAGAGATCCGTCTTATCCAGCGTAAAATCACTGAAGATTATCACTCGCCTAAATTTCAGAATTTACTTTATCCAAGATTCAAAACTTTTGTGGCATCTATGAAATGCTTCGCCTACCTTCAAAACGTCAAAAGAACTCGAAAAGGTCATCTTTACGTCAAAAAGGTTATTACTAAACTAGATAAAATTGTCAACGACAGTGGTAAGAAAAGCGAGGATTCAAATGACCGGGAAATTACTAAGCTGAAAATGTTTTTGGGCCATGATTTCTGCAATGATACTGTTCGAGAAGTGGAAGATAAACTTAATGAACCTACTATTAGCTTCGATCAATTTATATGGGATATTACAATTTTGTATTTTCAACCGAAATTGGTACGTGGTGAACAAGAGGCACATTTGTGCCCATCGGAACCTCCACAACAGAACTGTCATTACCGACTGGAGCAGATAACTCCCTCATTTATGCAGCTCTTGACATCGCGTTATCGTAAAGTGCCTATCATTATTCGCGTGGATATTAAAAAGCATTCTTTAGGAAAGATAATAGCTTTGAAGGATCGAAAACTTGAAAAATGGCTCGAAGGTTTATGGTGTGAGAAGGACAAGACAATTACTGAAATCGAGCAAAAGATCAAGCTGACCTAGTAATGGGATGAATTATTTGAAGTAGAAATTTGTTTTTTGCAAGTGATTAAATATCAATCCTAAATATGAGTGTTTTCCAATTCTGCGGCCAATTCGTCCATTTGGAGCTTGGCAAATTCTTTCTCTAATGCCTCGACATCTATTTCGAGTAGTCTTTCTTCTTCCTCTTCCTCTTCTTCCTCTTCTTCTTCACTGTCAACTTCTTCCAAGTCGTCAAGCTCATCAAGTTCACCATCGAAAACGTCTTCTAAAGCGGCAAGTGGGTCTGAATCCTCTTCAAATCTATTACCGTTCAACTCTAAAAACTTCAAAGAAGGCAATTTACCATGCTCCAAAGCAGGTAGTAAATGGTTCACAAGTGTATCCTGAGTAATCTCATTGTATTGAAGCCTCAAAGTGTGAAGTTCCTCGAATTTGTTGTTATTGAAGACCTCAATTACAGCATCAGATCCAGGGCCCTTGAGTAGGCAGTCATTCACATTTAACTCCATTAAGGTATCTTTCCACATGGGCAAAGTTTCGGCGAGAACTAAGGAGGCTGGTGTGGTAAAGGTATTGTCTTGCAAATCCAACACTTCCAACTTAGTATTGTGACTTAAACCGTATTTGATTAGCGTTGCTACTCCGCGAGGTCTGATACCGTTTTGATATAGTTTGACTACTTTCAAGCCGGCTCCATGTGCCTTCAAACCCACTGCAAGGTTCGTGGCAGATCCATTTTCGAGTCTGTTTCTGCCACATATGAAAGTCTCCAATAATGGCTTGCCTGCAGCAATCTTACGTTGGGCCAGCTGATATAGTGCCTTACCAATTCTTTCACCGGCAAATGGGCCCATACCGTTATTGGACAGGATCAAATGTTGCAAACCCACGGCGTTGGAAATATAGTTTTCCAAACTGTCGATGGTGCGGAGTCCAAACGCATTGTCAGAGAGATTCAATATGGAGAGGTTAGGACATTCCAGGAATACGGGCAGAAACAAACACAGTGATTCGACTACCTCATCAACTAGACGCGACGTGTACAGGTCTGCAAAGTTGATCTCAACAATATGATCCCTCACTGCCGCATGGTCGCGGATATAGTGTGCAAGCTCGCGTGATGCATCTATTCCAATTGTGTTACCAGAGAAGTCAATCTTGGTCACTTTTTCAAGCTCGCTAAGCTCTTTGAGATATGGCTGAACGTCTTCAGCTGACGTTAGCTTCAAAGCCTTGCCAGCGATAGAGTACACGTCAGAGGACGCGTGAATGGGTGTGAAATTTAATGTAGCCATTGATTGCAAAGGTTATAGTGGATGCTGCAAGTCAAAACGACGACGGCAATCGATGCTGAGTCAAATAAGAACGTCCAGAATCTCAGTTCCAAAAGTTAAAATACTGAAAAATTTACTTTCTGTGAAATACAAAAAAAAAAGGTCACCGGACTTTCACGTGACTGTGACCTCATATTTCAAACGGACTTGAAAACTGACGATAAAGGCTTCCAACTAGAGCGTACATAAGAGTCTCTCATTCAGGATTTACACATACGGGTATAGATGCGGGCGTTCAATCATTAGGATGGGGGGCTTGCACTCAGTTCTTCTTCTTGGGGCCCCCTAGGGGCTCACCGATGTTCTTACCTCTCAGCTTGACACCTAGCGCTCTTTCGAGTTTGGCTAGAATCTGCTGGTTAGGAATGGCACGGCCCGCCTCGTAATCATTGATGACGGTAGGTTTCTCGTTGATCTTGGTGGCAAGATCCTTTTGAGTGAGTTTCTTTTCACCACGCGCGCGTGCGATCGCCTTGCCGACACTAACGTCCAGCTTCTTGACAGGAACAATATCCGTCTCGCGATCCACCATTGTAAGTCTTTGGCCCTCGTTGTTACCCTTAGAGTTGGAACTGCCGTATTTCTTGTCTACAGATAGCACCAATCCGGATCTTCTAGCGGCATTGATTTGTGCTTGAGAACGCGCCACTTGTTGTCTAGGGCCACCGCCGCCAGCTCTGACTTTTTGACCAATAATTGTGGTAGAATCCCAGTCTGACATGTTTAATAGATTAGGTATGAATAGCTGTTACACTTGGTAAGTAAAAAGGAGGAAGAGTAATAGTAGCTCGGGAAATTCTTAAAGCCTTTGGTTTTTTCTACGACGTTCCAATTTTTTCGCCACCGACGGGGATGACTCATTACCCGGCCATCTGTTTATGTGTCACGTGAAAACAACGTGATATGAAATAATGTCGCTTTGTACGTATTACCCTCCTCTTTATATAATCAGGTCTATGATTACGTGAGCAAACCAGATTGTCATCGAATACGGCCAATACATTTATTTCAAAAGACAGTAAAACTAAAACTGGAAAAATCGTTCCAAAAACAAGGAAAACTGCCATCCCTTCCTTTTCAGCTATCGGAAGTGCCTTTCAATACCCCTCTATCACATGACTGCTGACGCTCAAGAGGATGTTCCACGCGACGTCCGCCTCCTGCATCTGCTTCTTGCGTCGCAAGCTATTCATCAGTACGAAGATCAGGTTCCTCTGCAACTCATGGACTTCGCTCATCGGTACACGCGTGGAGTGCTAAAAGACGCAGTAGTTTTCAGCGATTACGCTGCCAGTGATGCCAACGCTGAGCTTTCAGTTGAAGATATACGGCTTGCGATTGGCGCGCGTACCCAGTACCAATTCAAACCTACCGCACCTAAGGAACTGCTACTGCAGCTCGCTGCCGAGCGTAACAAAAAAGCACTACCGCAGGTCGTCAACATGTGGGGAACGCGGCTGCCCCCTGAAAAGTACTGTCTCACAGCGAAAGAGTGGCGCCTCGAGGATGAAGTTGACGAGGACGGGAATGCGGTCGGCGAAGAGCCCAACGACGCAGCACGTAAAATGGCGTCTACGTAAACGGGAAGCTCGGTATAGGTAACATAAGTAATATAGCTCGCAGTTTAATTCACGGCTCTCACCTAATAGTACTCTTGCGCCTCATGGCTTAGGCAGCGCCTCGAACTACTGATCGCTCAGTACGAAGCCCTAAACCTCGCCTTTAGTTGTGCCATTTCTCCTATTTCTTTCAATCATGGACAACCAATCTGGGATTTCTACACGAGCAAACACAACAGCCATGCTCTCTCAGGGCTCAATTCCAGAGTATGTATTTATTGTGTGTTCATACTCGTGGACACAGACACTCAGATGGCTATATTGATTCCTCACTGCGCAGCATCATACTAACATCTTGCAGAGTCAAAGAGAATACCATTGGACATGCCTTGGAGGAGCGCAAGGCGAAGATTCCTCAATTCCAAGACCTAGGGCCGCCAGATATGATATCCATGACCAAGTACATCCCGTCTTCGTCATCATCCAGCTCGCAATCTAACAACAAACGCCCGATGGCATTAGAACCCACAACATCCATCAACACTAACGATCTACACGCTCATGACAAACTCAAGGGTGAAATGGGTACATTCCTGTACTGTGTAGGTGCAGATACGTCAGATCCCACATCTATTGCAGTTTTCCTCAAGACTCTCGCGGACGTTATCGCGGAAGAGCCCCAAGTGTGGTTCGGGAAGCACAAACATTACAAAGTGGCACGCATTACTTACTCGACATGGAATGCATTTCGAAGATGCGATGTAAAAGTCGTGGTTCACATACCAGGTGCTGTCCAGTCATACGTCCTAGATTCGCGTGGGGAAGTTATACAGATTGGACAAGAGGACCGTGAGTTACTGTGGGCCGAGACCTTTATCAGCGGGGTAGTACGCAGTTTCGCCATGATGACCGATAATTTCGAAGAAGGTGAGGTTAATAGCGTTGTTGAGACGCGTATCCTCAACCCACTTATCTCCGGAGAAATTGGCGATGTGGGCGAGAATTTCATCCGATTATTTCCTTTGGTATACACCCAGGGACCCACTTTAGGCGCTTCATACGATGTCGCTGTTGTGTCAAGAACCAATAACTACCTTTGTGATACCCTTCTTCATTTAATGCGTCTCACCGAGAACTTCGACTTGTGCTTGGACGTCTTGGACACGATGCTTCCAGATTTCCCTGAGGTGGTCGTGCTCAAAGCTCGGGCATTATTTGCAGCGGATAGGGAAATCGATGCGATTAAGTTGATTCATGACGATCTAGCCAAACAAGGGTCTGCTATACTAGAATATCGTGGTGAATTATTGTGCGTACAGGCCAAATTCTTACTCGACAAGAAAAAGGATTACTCCGCTGCTCAAAGTATCGCACAAGCGGCTGTAAATTGTTCACCTAGTGAGTTTAGACCTTGGTATCTGCTGGTGGCTAGCTACATAGGACTCAATGACATCGAAAATGCATTGCTCACTTTGAATGGTTGCCCGATGACCCCATTGAAGGAAAAATATGTTTACAAGCGCGTTGTATCTGTGCCGCAAGATTCCCCCAACTTGCATTTACCGCTTCCAATCGACGTTATTCTCGAAGAAGTTACCGGGCTCAACTCTCAAGATGTGATCACCGAGCATAAAAGTGTCGACCCAGGTCTTCTCAATCTTCCTGCGGCTAATCTGAAGTCTACATTTCAAATTGCATATAAATTCCTCACTGAAATAGTCCAAAAAACAGGATGGGAATCTTTGCTCAAATACAGATCCAAGATCTTCGTAATGGAGGAGGAATACCAAGTTGCCTCTACAACCTCTTCTGAGAGTGAGACGACTGCGCAGCCTACTGAACGTCTCCGCTCCAAACGTCTATGTGAACGCTGGTTGGACAACCTGTTCATGCTACTGTATGAAGACCTCAAGACGTATACTTTGTGGCAAGCCGAACAGCTTCATTTCGAAGCTCAGAACACTCAGTATGTCAAATCTACGTTTGAATGGGAGCTGCTTGGCCTCTGTGCCTTCAGATTGGGACATTACCATGAGGCCGCTAAGGCTTTTCAAGCAGGCCTTGCCCAGCGCTTTTCTGCTCAGAGTAGTAGAAAGCTTCTCCAATACTATCTACGTGAACATGAAAATCTCAAAGATTCTACTGATCTTCCCTCATCTCATGTCATGGCCATTGTTAGCGACCTAGACAATAAGATAATTGACCTATGTGTTAAACTTTGCTGCTGGAACCATCGTTGGTACAGTGAGTTCTCTGTGATACTGCTAGATGCCCTCTCTGTTGTCATTGAGGACATGGGCATTACAAAGGTTTCCAATGAAGTGGCCTCCCGATTCCCCGATTCTGTTGTAAAACTCATCGAAGATAACCTTCTGAGCTTCTTTTCCGACCATACTCATGGTGACTTAGATAAATGATCGCATATAATAGATATATACATCCATATTATAATAGATATTTCGGGTGAAGATCACCATAGGCACGTGACTATTATTTTTTTTGGCCCTTGCATAGCCTCTACAAAAAAGCCATATTTAGAATATGGATGACATCCACTTCAACTTATTCCAAGCGTACAAATCGCAGGATCTAAGAATATGTGGGTCTGTTTAGCGATAGTGACGCTAATTTTCCAAAATGTCTTGGCTATAGATTTGGATGTAACATCCAAAGATTCGATTTGTGACGCGACTTATTTGATTCAAGACGGTATTCTTGACTATTACGAAGGGACGCGATACGGTGGAACCGTGGGGATGTTTCAATCACCATATTATTGGTGGGAAGCAGGTGAGGTTTTTGGAGGGATGCTCGAAAACTGGTATCTGTGTGGGAACACATCTCATGAAACTCTTCTATATGATGCAATGATTGCGCAATCCGGTACAGATTATGACTTCATGCCATCAAACCAATCGATGGTCGAGGGTAACGATGACCAAGGTGTTTGGGGTTTGACTGTTATGGGCGCAGCCGAAAGAAACTTCACAAATCCTGATGGAAACGTGCCAGGTTGGTTATACATGGTTCAAGGTATCTTCAACACTATGTACGCGCGTTGGGATGATCAACATTGTGGTGGTGGTCTTAGATGGCAAATTTTCACCTGGAACTCTGGTTATAACTACAAAAATACCATTTCAAATGCATGCTTGTTTCAAATTGCTGCCAGATTGGGCCGTTACACAGGCAACACTACGTATCTAGAAGTTGCGGAAAAGGTCTGGCAATGGTTGGTTGACGTTGACTACATTGTATTGAGTGATAAAGCTAATGTTTATGATGGTGCAACTACTGACGGTAACTGTACCGATATTACAAAGATCGAATGGAGCTACAACCAAGGTGTTGTGCTGGGTGGTTGTGCCTATATGTACAACGCGACCAACGGTTCTTCCACGTGGGAAAGTCGTTTGACACAAATTCTAGGCGGCTCGACCTCTTTCTTCTTCAATGACAGTATCATGTACGAATCTGCATGCCAGGCGTCAGGGACGTGTAATAATGACCAACGGTCATTCAAGAGTATATTTTCGAGAATGCTAGGGCTGACTAGTGTGCTAGCGCCCTACACGGCTGAAATTATTGACCCTCTCATCGAAGCATCTGCTAAAGGTGCAGCGCTATCATGTACCGGTGGTTATGATGGTCATACATGTGGTCTCAATTGGCAGATTGGCAAAAACGATGGCTGGTATGGGTTGGGTGAGCAAGCCTGTGCTTTGGAAGTTATTCAAAACCTGCTTATCCATGATATGCCAGCTCCATACACAGCCGATAATGGTGGTACCTCAGTTGGTGACGCGAATGCTGCCTTGAATAGTACAACAACTAGTGTGCTACAAAGTGATCTTGATATAACTAAAAAGGATCGGGTAGGAGCAGCCATAATCACCGCAGTTATTTTGTCAATCTTGTTGGGTGGTTCGGTTTGGATGATATTCTGATATCCATTGTAGTATTTGGATTAACTAGTATAAAAAAATATGTTCCGTATTCATTTTGCTTTCCGATTAGAGGTCGTTTACAAAGCTAGCAGTTAAAAAACTCTTTAACACCATTTATATTCGAGTTCGCGTAGGCGGTATTTTTCTCTATTCTTTCCAGGGTCTGTCTTATGCCCCTATCAAAGCCGTCTAAGTTCTTGCCCTTAAAAAAATTGGCCAACTCTCTTCGTAAATCCAAACCAACCAAATCTTTAAGAGAAAATCTGAAAAACCGATCAGTTACTGTGGAATTGAGGCTAATACGCTCGTAGATGCGATCGTAATGCATCTTAATGTAATTCCAAAGATGGGAACGAATATTCGGGTTGCTTCCCCAAGATTCGGCAAGGAACTGCAAATCCATTGGTTCTGCCTTGAAAATTAGATTTAGAGACGCGTCAAACAATTGGGGATTTTGAACCTTACCCAATGCAGTCAATATAATCTCCTTATGTGTAAGAGTTGCGGTGGCGAGTTCTTTTACAACCTGTTCGAATATGGTCAAGGGTGTATCGTCTTGGCAGAGAACTGTGGTAAGAACTATGTTCCTGTTTATTGCTGTCACCTTTTCTTCGGCGAATAGTCGGGAGCACTGGGTCACTACTTTCTTATAAGAGCATAACCCTGCAGCGATAAGAATCTGCTCATAAAATTGAGCCTTTAAAGCCCTTTTCTCGTCATCTTTGCAAAGAATAATAGCATCAGGATTTTCCAAATATTTTAGTGCATCGTCTAATTGGTTTTCGATAAGTTTTAAAATGAACTGATTTAACTTTGTTGAGATATTGTGATCGCTGCATCTGTACAAGAGAGAAGACAGTGTGAAGCATGCGTTAATTAGCATTGCCCAGACATAATAATCATTGGGATCTTGCGAGTCAATAAAATGCGAGATCACATCCAACAGCGTATCAGCAGATCCCGTAATTTGTAAATCGGATATGAGCGCCATTTTACTTCTCGAAGATAAAGAGTCAATGTTTTTACAGATGGTCTTTAAAATTGTTCTATCCTCATACTTTACGCGGTAAAATCCGTATCCATCTGTATTGAAGAAGATGAATTGGTCTTTTGGTAAGCTAATTGCCATGCTCTTCTTTGACAGCTCGAGATTCTCGAGATGGTCCTGATTCGTGAGCATGAGTGGAAGCCACCAAATGGGTTGTGGATTATTAGGGGGAGCTACTGATGTAGACGAAAACATTGATTGTGTAACGGAAACATCGCCGTTCTCCAGGCGTGATACTGTTATCAACGGAAAACCGATTTTAAGTATCCAATCCTGAAGGCGCCTCAAAACATTAACCCCAGTTGCCTCCGTTATAGAATCAAACAAAGCTTCCATCGTAGCATTCGAGAACTTGTTGTTTTTCAAATATAAGGCTACTCCCTTCAAAAAAGCATCTTCGCCTAAAAATCCACTTATCATTTCAAGTACTGAACAACCTTTTAAATATGAGATAGAATCAAATACCTGATCAATATCTTTAGCGTTCCTGACATTTACTTTCACCGGATGTGACTCTCGTAATGAATCCAGCTCTAATGCAACTTCGTGTGATTTCCACATGACTAAAGACGGAACATCCCACTGTGGAAAGAATTTTGCAACAGCATGATAGCCAACCCAAGTTGCAAAACCTTCATTGAGCCATAGCTCGTCCCACCATTTCATTGTAACTAGGTTTCCAAACCACTGATGAGCAATCTCATGAGACACAACGTATGCGATTTTTTGCAGAGCTAACGGATTTCCTGAGTTCACGTCACCTTCGAAAAGTAAAGCAGTTGGTCTAAACGTAATTAGAGAAAAGTTCTCCATAGCATTGTGTGAATACGTTTCTACGCATAATAAATCCAATTTCGGAAGGGGGTAAGGAATATCAAATAAACTCGAAAAATAATCTATGACTTTTGCAGCAACGCTTAAGGCAAATTGGCCCTGTTGGGATTTGCCCTTCACTGTGTAAACCCTAATTGGCAGTTTGATTGTTTGGGGGGATAATCCTGACTGTGTTGAATAACCTTCAATGGAAGGGTATATTTCCATTTCTGTGTGGCCTTCAATGTATTCCAATTCACCAATAGCCCATGCGACTAGATATGTAGACATCAATGGTGTTGTGTGGAAACGATGCATGATCAAATCTTGCTCCGTTAGAGTTTTAGCCGATTTTAATGGCATGTTTGATAAGACAGTACAGTTTGAGGGTGCAACTATACTAACATCGAAGCTAGCCTTTAAAAGTGGTTCATCCATGCATGGAAATGCTCTTCTGGCATCGGTGGCCTCAAATTGGGTAGACAGCATATATTGCGGATTTCCAGTCAACGGATCCTGGAAATCTGATCGGTAAAAGCCACTCATATTTGTTTGTATGCAACCAATATAGTCAATATGTATCTTGATGTCGTTCGTGAATTCCTCACTAAATTTGAATTCCAACACCTCAGATGCTGTATCATATTGCGTCGAACTGCAATTAACTTCACGTCCATCTATCTCTACAACCGCGCTTGAGATGCTAATATCCCTGGAATTTAGAAACACAGTATCCGAAGGATCGATGCACTTCAGATCTATAACGACATGACCAGAGAACGAGTTGTTCTCCACATCCAAATCATTTATCTCTATAACATAGTGACGTGGTTGAAAGTTTTTGGGCAAAGTTTGGTTTCTCGAGGACATATTTACTACCTGAAGCACACTTACGGTAGGTCTCGAGGAACAAATAGTTTAGAATACCACCAAAACAGCCGTTTTCTTTGATATTAGATTGAAGTTGCAGCGGCTGGCTACGGTTCGCAGTGGCAGCATGCAGAAAAATTAAGCCGTACGGGGTGCCCCTCCTAAAAGCGGCATCGACTAAGCAAGCCAAGGCAACTTCAAAATCAGGATGACAGCCAAATGCAAGGCACGTATTTGCGGAAGAGTGACTCGGATTTTTGGTTCTGTATGTCTTAAAGTGGATTTTACCTTCCAACAGAGCTTGTTCGAGTGTGTACCTAACGTGTGATAATGCCCAAGCTGCATAGGACAAAATGTATGGTACTCATGAAAAATATGGTAAGAAAGGTAATTGGTGCTTCGAAGAAGCTGATAGGAACTCTTTATTTGCTGCTCGTTCATTGCGAGCCAAATCGGGGCCCACTTGCGTAAAGGAAGTCATTAACTTTGTAACAACTTGAAAAAGGAACAAATCATCGTGATTAAATCTAACTGGACACTACGCACACACTCCATTTTCTGTTGATGACGAGTAACTTGAGAAACGTAACGATGGGAACTTGCTTATCTTAGAATGCCTGCTGTATGTAAAATGGGAAAACCTTCGTCGTCACAGTAGAATTGCCCACTAAAAGCTTCTTCTGATCTTTTGGTATCGATATATGCTGTTTTGATGCAATACTGTGGGGAATTGAGGCAGCAGAGCGTTCATCTGTATTCAAAGAATCGAAACGAGAACAGTACTTGTCATATCGTCGGTGGTCGGCTACTATTCAACGTGAAAGCTCGAACTCTAGCTCAGATAGCTTTTAAGGCTTAGTATTTGCTCTCTCCTGATTCTAGAGGTCTTGAATATTCCGCATCCATGTAGGCGCTTAATGGCCACACGGTTGCACTACAACTGCTAAACGATAACACTTTTCTTGCAGCACGATGGCAACTATTGTAATAGACCCCTCATTGGTCAGTAGTCACTGAGTGAAACCGAGCCTATATCATTTGATAGACTCAAAATAAGGATGAATTCGAAGGGTCCTTACAGCGAGATCTTTTGCAGAATGTGACAACATACGCATTGACGACAAAGCGGATAAAAAAGACGAGAAAAAGTACCATGAAGAGCATATCTGATGCCTGTGCAGCTTGTTAAGTGTAAACCATAAGCTTAAAGGAGCTCTATGAATCCAACATCGCTCAGCTTAAATAAAAGATGTCAAGTAGTTTATCTTAACCGATGATTAAGGGCAGAAACACTCTAATATGTTTGGTCATGTGACCATAGTCCCAATTCAAAAAATTTTTCATTTCAAGTTCTGAAAATATTCATCATATCTTACTAGCATTCAGCGCACTAATCATAGGTGAACGCAGCGTTTGATGTTCCGTCGATCGTTCCATTACTCGCGGACTATAAGGTCTTCCACAAAGGTGTGGGCGAACTTTAGCTCACGGCCCGAATCGTTGTCAATAGCATCTGAACCGATCAGGAAATGTATACTGGAGGGCACTCCAAAGCAGGGCCCACCCACCATAGGGAGAAGATCTAACAGGATCAAGTACACATCGCCTGCAAAGATTGATGAGGTCTTTGCCACGTGCTACGATTTTTTGCAGTTGCAGGCAGCAGCGAAGTATGCCGAGTTGTCACAAGAGCAGGATCCCAAGAAACGCACCGAGTTGGCAGTCGAGGCCGAAATGAATAACCCAGAAGTTCTGTACAACTTTCAATTCAGTGAAAAACGTGAGAATAACCCAAGACTGATCGATTACAACTTACCTGTGTATAGGCATTTGGGCCGTAAGCACTGGGAATCGTACGGACAGATGCTTCTAATGCAAAGGTTGGAGACTTTGGCCGTGATTCCAGACACTCTACCAACCCTTGTCCCACGCGCAGATGTTAGCATTCGGTTCCCCTTCTCAACGGGTGTGAACAGGTGGATTGAACCCGGCGATATTCTTTCTTCGAATGCTACATCAATGGCCCCTACAATTAAGATTCAAGAGTTTGACGATGTCAACACCGAAAAGCAATTGTATACTATTTTAATTGTGAATCCAGATGAACCAGATCTTGCGTCAGATTCTTTCAAGACAACTTTGAGCTATGGTCTGGTTGATTTGAAAGTCAAGTACAACGATAACATAATTGATCCTCGCAAATTTTCAAAAGAGCAAGTCATTGCCAACTACTTACCTCCTGTTCCAGAAAAGAACACTGGAAAGCATAGATATTCTGTATGGGTGTTCAGACAAAAGTATCCCTATTCAAATGAAATCACATTTGACAGAGAAAACTTTAATATCCGAGAATTCGTCAAAAAGCAAAAGCTTGACCCAATTGGCGCCCATGTCTGGAGAAGCGAGTGGGATTCCAACGTGGCCAACATCAGGGACAAGTACGGCTTGGCTCCTGGAAGGGTCTTCCACCGGGTTCGTAGATAGGTGGATCTATACTTGTATATAGCGCGCATTTCAGCACTCTCCTCAAAAAACACACTATCGGTATTCCCTCTTATTTATCTTATTTATGTTACAATTATAAGCTGGCGTTAGTGCTTTCTCTTATTTCGTAAGGTTTCATAAGATGTTTTCTGCTTGTAAAGAATATATTATCTATATTTCCCGCGTTCATTGCTTTAATGAATCGACGGCACTTAGAATAACAGAGGCATAATCCAAGTTGGGGTCCTCCAAATCGAATTTTTCACCTGAGGTCTTTGGGGCCTCCTTTTTGGCATGCAATTTGGCGTACTGTTCCTTGGCTTGTTCGATCAATTTCAATTTAGCAGCATATTCATTTTCTTCACTCTTCTTAGCAGCTTCAGATTTTAGTGAAAAGTCAGTCTTGACACCTACGAAAACACCTAGTGCCAATGCAGAATATCTTAGAACGTTTAGAGTAGACATTTTCACTGTAAGCTGTTCCTTGACCTAAATCGTCAGTGCCAGGAGTAAAAAGGCTATCCAAAAATTTTTCTTCACCATGAAAAACATCGAATCATAATTGGACCAATCAAGAACGTCCTATCCGTCACAGAATACGTGAACTAAGCATCATCACTTTAAGCAAACACAGAGGAGGCTCACAATGTTCACATCACTAGGAGGTGTTGGTCTAAGATCACCTAGACTTTCTAGAAGTATGTTTTGGCTGGGTTTACTCACAATTGTTATTGGGTATCTACTAACAACTGAAGACCTCTACAGATATGCCAATTGGCAAAGTCGAGGGTTCTTTTCTGGGTCCTCTGCGGGGTTTAATGCATCGTCTGCTCAAGCCTCGAGCTCTTTACCCTTCAACTACAAGGCGGTTGTTGCATACCAAGCCAAGGATCGCAGTGATGGCGTATATGCAAACATAAAGAACAATTCACCTACCGGGGAGGATAATTACTTCATAGCAATGAGAAATTCCTCAGACCTTTACGCTGGCGTGGCTGATGGTGTTGGTGGCTGGGCTGAGCATGGGTATGATTCAAGCGCCATCAGTCGCGAGATATGTTCATGCATGAGAGATTTCGTGTTTACCTCTTGCGGAGGTAAGAGCACGCCCTTTACGCCAAAACAACTCATTGATTGGGGTTACACGAAGGTCAAAAAAGATGAAATTGTGAAAGTTGGCGGTACAACTGCTATTGTTGCGCATTTTGCCCCAAATGGAAGTCTCAGCGTAGCAAATCTCGGCGACTCTTGGTGTGGGGTCTTCAGAGAATCACGCTTGGTGTTTCAAACAAAATTCCAGACAGTTGGTTTCAATGCACCTTACCAGCTTGCGATCATACCGGACTCAATGTTAAAAGAAGCTGCCCGCAGAGGTGGTTCGTACATACAGAATAAGCCCAATGATGCAGATGAATACAATTTCAAATTGAAACAAAACGATGTTGTGGTGCTTGCCACGGATGGGGTCACCGACAACATCGCTGTTGAAGATATGGAACTCTTCTTAAAGGATCACGCAGATGACGCTAATTTACAAGACACATGCCAAACATTCGTTGATCAAGTTGTGAAGCTAAGCAAAGATCCTACTTTTCCAAGTGTTTTCGCTCAAGAGATCAGCAAGCTCTCCGGAAAGCAGTATTCGGGGGGAAAGGAGGATGATATCACAGTTGTTATTGTTAAAGTTGAATAATTTGCTACTTAAGTAAATGATGCCTCATGTGTAATACCTAGTCAGCTATAAATCAACCATCCATCAATTCATTACTCTTTAATCAAATTTTCGATTCAAAACGATTTTCTTAATTTTTTCTCGTTCACTCTTAACTCTTTGTTCCTCTTCAAGAACATCAGATACAAATTTGAGATTGCGTGGCAATGCTAAAGTTCGAGCTTGCGTCTTTTTGCCAGATTTACTCAAAAAGGTGAACGCTACTCGCTGAGATTTATCAGGAGTATCAGAGTTAGTCAGATTATATGTTTCTTTATCCTGGTCAGGGCTGACGCCTGATGAAAACATGGGAATATTATTCGTTGTAGTTTTCTGATTTTTGCGGCTCTCCATTGATTCTAATACAATGCTTTGAAACTGGCGCTCCAACTCTTCTTCAGCTTTTCTCTCCTCCTCGTCACGAAGCTTGCCTTCGCGCTCTTCTTGTATCCTTCTCCTTTCGAAGTCTCTATCAGCGTTCATATAATTGTCCACGTCTTCGTCACTGTCCTCATTCTCAGTATCATCATCTGTAGAGGTATCACCGGAATTCTCAGCATCTTCCTCTTCAGCAGAGTCATCGCTTGCAACATCATCTCCCGACTCGCGATCATCGGATGAAGCAGCTTCTTCTTCGTCTGGTACTTCTTCGACATCTTCATCGTCTTCTTCTTCTTCTTCTTCTTCCGGGTACTCTAAAGCATTAGAAGAACCTGCTAGGCCCATGTCTTCCAACATTTCAGCTAACTTTTGAGCGCTCTCCGTCACTTCATGGCATCTTTCAAAAGTTTCATTTGGAGCAAATTTATCAAACACGTCAGAAATTTTGAACTCAGTCTCTTTTGGAAGCGGCCTATCTTTCGTCAAAATGTAAAACTCAAAAAATCTCATAAAGAGAGTTATCTTTTTAGTAAGCTTTGGTGTAATCTTTTCTAGACTTAGTAAGATCGTGCTGATTAACTGAATGCGAAAGTAATTATCCGGTAAATCCAGGTCGTTAATTAAAAATGGATTAGGTTGCCCATTTAGGTACCCGAATTTGATGATTTTATACATAGCATTCAACAAAACCTCGAACTTGATCAAATTTTTGTTAAAAATAAGAGTCAAATATTTTACATCTGCAATTCTTTTCATATTCATACTGAATTCGTTGAGCTCCAGGCCACGCTCAATTTTTTCCAGTATAGTATCTATGACTCTCAAAACAAAACTTCTGTAATAAGGATATATTCCACTGAGTACTCTAGAAAGAGTCTCGAGAGATTGATATCCGACTTTTTCGGGTTTTGTGAACAATGAAAAGAAAGTTTCCACGATATGCGAATCATTCCAATGTGCTTTCCTAACTAAACGGATAACCTTATCTGCTTTTATGTTATGCAGTTCTCTTCTTATCAATATGCGATAAAACTGTTGCTCTGGTGAGTATTTCTTAGTCTCTGAGTTTAGTTTACTCAAGGAAGGTGGGTACACTAACACGATTAGATTGTCCAACGCACACTTGTTGCTAATTGGGAGTTCATGCTCTTTTTTTTTTTCTCGAATCAAATCAATCATTTTTTCCATTTGTGCGCTATATGCTGTATTATTGATCAGGAATCTTCCAAAGTTTTCAAACAAAACGGTGAGAATTTCTATATTGTTTGGAATTTGTATGTTCAAAATTAGCGTCCTAATCTTGTGGAAAATTAAAAATGAAGGAACTAGCATGAACTTAACCATCTCACTGAAAAATATGATATTCTTTACATTTATCTTGTTGGAGTGCAATTGATTTCTAAACCCGTTATCCAAATATTGAATCAACTCTTCTTTTATATCAGGCATTGTTTCAGCATTTGTCGCAACATATCTTGCATATAAGCTCAGTTTGCTCCAGTCTTGTGTTTCTATGAAAAATCTGAGTAATCTCTTCCTTGTCGCCTTATTATCAAGACCAGTAGACCAGTATCTTGTCGCTAGCTCATCGAGAACTTCTTTGGAGTCAGCGAGTTCAAGAGCGGAAAAGAACTTATTCAAATTTTCCAGCCTCAACTCATCAGAAGATTCAGATGAGCTCTTAATGATGTCCTTCACATCGGGAAGTACTTCGTAAAATTTTCTCATTTCATCGTTTTCCCATAATTTGTCGTGAGAGTTCTTAACTTGATTTGTTATCATAGATGAAGGTGATGCTGAAACATCAGAATCTGTGAGTTTCTCAAGTTTTGGCATATCCAACTTAAAAGACTCTGATAAAACAAGAGCTGCTGCCTCGAACCTTTCAAAAAGAGGAATAAGAGAATCGTGTTCCTCGAGGTATTCATCTGTACTTCTTCCCGTCCGAATTTGAGCCTTCTGGTGCTCTCTTTTGAGTTTCAGCAATCTTTTGTTAAGCTCCAAAGTTTGCGCGATCACAGCATCCGTAAATATTTTCAGTAACGAATTGACTAAGCGCTTCAAGTTTTCATCAACAATCAGCCTATCAAGGGAGTTGTCATCATCCGCTAAGAATTGAGGATATCGCTTCACGAAGTTAGTAGCTATGATCGTCGTTACTCCTGTCTTGAATTTGTGGTTAAGGACTTCCCTGAGTATGGTAAATAAAATGGGCTCTTTTTTGGACAGCTTTCTGGCAACAAATTCAGGAAGATTGTCCTTTGTACAATATTCAAGAGTGTTGAAAATTCCGACTAGGTACAATTCGGTGAAAATACGCACATGGCATCTCAGCCTCATTACTCTCGCCAGTTCCTCTTTTTCTGAATCTAAGTCAATTGCAGGATTGGCAAAACTATGTAAAAAGAGCTCCATCAAAGAAGGCGTGAATCGCGTACCAAACCGCTGATGTAAAGCACTGATCACTTCGACAGCTGCAACAATGTCATCGTTTCTTCCAGGAACCTTATACAGACCCTCGTTCGCCGTCACTACAAGCTCAGACAAATACTTTTCCAGAGAAATCTCACCTAAGTCCTTGACCAGCGAGTCTTTAGAGTCTTTGCTTATTCCTTGTTTCAGCTTCTTTATGAATCCAGTGTTCTTTTTAATACTAGAATCCAACTTTTTGCCCTTCTGGGTTAACTCATCCCCCCCGTTCCAAGCTCTAGAGTTCAATTCAAACAAAATTAACCTCCTAGCATTCTATCAAATTCTTTTGTTAATAAACTTCCTAGATCAAGTAGGAGGCCTGTCAAATACGTACATCCATAACGATCTTGTTCACTCTTTTACTGTGCTCAAAAAAGAATAATTTAATGAGCTTGAAATCTTAAATAACACTAACAAGCTAATTCCCCTCCATATATCGTTGGATACGAACATACAGATCAACAATAAGCATTCGTTCAATTAAAACCTTGCTCACCCAATTTCATAGTGAGGTCGTCTATTTGTGCCTGAATTTCGGCTATATTGTTGTTTAAAGTTGATGCCTCGTCAAACTTACGCTGCTTTGTGGCGGTGTCTGCCATTTCTTGAACCAAAAACAATTGCTCCTTCAAAACCATCAACTGCGTCCGATATTGCTTGACTTCAGTGATTGTCAGATTGTTAATCATGAGTTCGCTGGAAGTTTTGCTTTCAGGACTAGAATTTCTGGAACTGAAGTTTGAGCTTAGAATGTCAGGTATTGATTTCAAAGGCAGCATCTTTTCTTGTATGAAATTGGCCGATAAAGCATTTATTGATTGTTGAATTTTTGCCTCCGCATAAGTGTTCGTCTTTAACTGCATAATTTGCTTCGTGATTCTATCATAGATAGCAAATGCTTCGAGAAGCTTTTTTCGCAGTTTGGTCAGCTCCATGATGTCCTTTTCATTTGGATTTTCCTTCGTCTCTCGAACGCTCCGTAGAGTATCCTCAAATGTTGGCAATACGGACAAAATAACCTTCGAAGTGTTATGAAGGGATTCGTATTTTCTTAGTAAAAGTGGTAATGGCAGATGCAGTTCTTTCAGAAATTTTCGTTTCTTGAACATGCTCCGCATGCATTTTGAACAGAGTCTCATTTGGGTTTCAATAGGATATACATCCAAACGAAGGTCTTCTAGAGGAAGATCGGATGCTGCATTTGCTAGTGTTGATATCGGAACCTCATTTGAGCATGCTGAAATTTGATCATCACAAACTATTGAGCCGCATAATCTACAATGATGTTTTCTTAACATGACGCTAAAGTGCTTTGAGCAAAGTGGGCAAGAGTGAGCCATATTGTCATCTTTCCAAGGAACTATTGATTTCTCGAGCCTCGAAATTTCGCTTGAAATGCGAATAGTTGATAAAATACTGTTTCCATACCTTCGATGAATATTGACAATCCCATTGATAATTCGGATGAATCTACTTTCGAGTTGCAGTTCTTGTAATTGATGATCTTGACTATTGGAGCTACGCAATTTCATGAAAATATCTGTTTTATCCTCATATAAACCAAAATCCTTGTAGCCAGGTTTATTCATGAAACATTTTTGACAGCATTTACACCATTCTCCATCAATGGCATCATAATTGGCCTGCTGATTTAATCGTGCTGCATATTTGCAGTGCGAAGCACAGTAAAGCTTTCCGCATCTACGACAGTTGATGCTTCCCGTTTTTTGAGTTAGTATTCTCATACATTGTTGGCATTTACTTTTATGAGGTATGAGCTTTTCCCAATGTTCTCTTCTTAATGTAAAGCCCGCTTTTGGAGGTCTAGTCTTCCTGTTCGAAGGAGCAGTTTGTCTTGGGTTATCTGGCTTGGAAGAACTTCTGGTGCGTAATGTTTGATTTGAGGTACTTTTGTGCTTTTGGCCATGTTCAGACTCTAGAAGATCATGGCTTACATCTAAATGAGTATTTAAATTCCCTAAATCTTGAAAAGATTCTTCACAAATGGGACACAATAAGGAATTTGTGTTTGAGATGCTCTCTATATTACCGATGATACGAGAGCTATTGTCTTTACCCATTCAAGCTATTTACCTTGCTAGCTCCCCACCTTCACCGATTTTCTTGATATGATAAGTATAGTATTTGATAAACCCAACCCGTCGTTAAAAACGCATCAAAATAATTTCTACATTTTCAAAGGATAAGAAGCTATAATGTTGTATATTTATAAATGATGAATACAGAAAGCGGCATACTACTTCTCCTGGTAGGTGCAACCTTTTCTGTTGCTTATGAGAGATCCTATCATGTACTGTGGTTCAAATTACAGTCTCTTTTTGATTTAAGTTTATCATCCACACAGTGTTCTTTTCAGCCGTTAGCCCTCTTGCGGACGAGGAAGGATGGCTTCCTATACAAATTCTACAACGAGCATTCCTTGTCGTCAAGGAAAGTTGTGCTGTTCATCAGGGTGCTTTTTTCTACAACATCAGCTCTCTGTGTCACTGCAATTGAGGTCATTCTTTGGCAAATTAAGACAGCAGATAACAACATTGACCAGAACGGTAACATAACAATCAAATTAATCTGGTCAATCATATCAATTGGCCTTTCTATTAACCTCATATTTCTTCAACCTTTCCTCATTCTTTTATCATTGCTAAGCAAGTTCTTTGACGATAGACTTCATTCGGATTATATCATCCTCATCACGAGTGCTGCAATTATTTTCTGGATATCCTCATTAAACTTTATAAACTGGGGTCCGTTTTATTACTCATCAAATCTGCTAACAAAGTTATCAATTGTGGGAGTGAGCGTTATGGCTCTTCTATCAGCTGTTGCTTCTGTTTCCACTCCATACTATGTTTTCTTATATTTTTGGAATAGGCGACATTTTATGACTGCAAATTTCAACAGCAATATCCCGCTGCTATTGGTGAACGATGCTATTGTCGAGGAAAAATATAGGGATTGTAGAACTAATTTCGAAGAAAACTTTAAAATATTAGAAAATCTAGAGAGGGAACCAGGTGGAACTAACTCTGTTATGCGTGAACAACTAGTAGAGAAAATTGGGCGCCATCAAATTGAATTAGCGAAGCTCGAAAAAAGAATAAATGATTCAAGAAAAAGTCGTTACCTAAAGAGAGTTTTTCATTTAGGTTTTTTAATTTACTGCCTCTATAAATTGATGACCACATTCTTCTACCGTATCCCTGTGATTATTAAACACCTACTCAAATATCCGGATGACTATAATTACGAATTCTTCGATTCCTTATTAGATGGTGAAAACGGGTCTCAAGATCCTTTGGCTGTTACATTGGCAAATATTCTTGACTTTATGTTATTTCATTTCAACTATCAACAAGAATTGGACTCACTCACAAAACAAATATCTTTGATTTTATCAATTTCATTGTTTATTTGCTCATTTTCAACCGTGAAGACGACGATATCATATCTTTTGACGCTGTGTCCTTTAAAATTACAGATCCTTGCATTTTCGGCAATCAAAGATGACGAATCGAGAAGCAGCCTTCCTTTTACTAGGGTTGAGAGCTTCAAAGGCAACAAACAGCCATCGATTATAAAAAATCTTATTATATCAGAGCTCACAGGTATATATGTATTGGCGACAATACTGATGATTAGATCTAACCTTCCCTTCGAGGTTTCAGAAAAGCTCAATCAACTTTTGGGAGAAAGATTTACAGTTCCTAATGTTGTTATAGATATCTGGTTCGATGAAGTATTTGCATTGTGTTCCATCTTAGCCTTCTGCGGTATTAAGATTGCTGAATCTCTGGTTGTTGACAACTCAAGTGTTGAGCTCGAACTGTAAATATGCATCATTTATTAAATATACAATTCAAAGTAATTTATTGAGCCATCCTTAGATAAACTCAAAATCTGATTTTGGGCAAACTGTAGGCGGTTAAATCGGCAGAAGCGACGATATTCGGTCTCTCGACAACTATTATTTCATCTTTAGATATAACGTCAGCAAATAAAATTGGTCTGTACTTTTCTGTGAAGAAAAATGGCTTCTCTTCTTTCTTTATTCTTGACTCTTCACTAGTCTTGTGGTAGCGCTCCTTCATCAGTACATCATCAGTTATTTCGAGTTCTTCTTCATCTTCATCGTCTTCTTCCCCGTCGTCAATAAAGCTACTGCGATCGTTTATTGTGTTTCCATCACGGTTATGTTTTCTAGGCTTCTTTCTAGCACTTGTTGGAAGATCTTGGGACATATCCATGTTAGCTAGCCAATTACTCCCCCAAAACCAGATTTTGTCCTTTTGCACTCCATCAGAAAATATGCCTAAACATTTGTTTTTTTGTGTTTCGAACTCTTTAGGTAGACAGTCCCGATTCTTCCGACACCATGGGCTAATTGTAGAGTTGGATTTCTCACCTTGACTGCTCACTTCAAATTCAAATATCTTGTTATCTGCGGTGACCAGTATTACAGTATCTCTGCTGCTGAAATTCACCGCCGTTATAAAGTTCATTAATCGAGCTATTGGTAGCACTGAACCGTTTTCCAGATCTATCAGATCAACAGCACCGGAGATACGCGTTGTGATGGCAAATGGGCCCTTGGTTACAAGATGATTAATCGTGTTGAGGTAGGATAGTCTCATACTAGTGTTGCTTTCTTGAACCTCGGGAATTTTTATTTCATGAGCTTCTTCATCATTCTCTTCATCCTCTAAGTTCACAGTGAATATATCATCTGAAGGGGTTATCATGACGATTCTTGAGTTATCGACGAACTGAGCGAGTTTGCACCCTGTGTTTATCAAAAGGTCATTATCCAGCTTAACAACTTTTAACTTCGCTCCGATTGGTTGTAAGTGAAATATCTTTGTAGTGCTAGGCCTACCAACAAGTAGGACCTGGCCGTCTGGAGACATCGCACAATTACAAATGTTTTGCTCATCTTTCAAAGACAACTTACATACCAACCGATAGTTTCTGTCATTTTCCAAATCACCTCCAATTTTCCAAATCTTTACGGTCGATTGCTGCCACATTACGCACAGACGTTGCTCTGAATTGATGAGAACGTTTTTATGAAAAGGAACGACACAAGGAAATTTTCTGTAGCTTCCATCGGCAAATGAAGTCAAAGAACTAATCACTAGAGTTCTTTCAACACCTCCAGAAGCCAGGAAGTCCGCCCCTTTGGATTGATAGGAGGCTAGAGTTCTGACATCGTTAGCGTGCAATAGCCGGTTAGAGCTAGTGACCCACTTTCTGGCCTTGCTGCCAGAGTTGGCGGACAAAGACAACTGGTGTATCTTTCGGTCAACCCCTGCACTGAAAACTTTTGAGCCTATTGCATCAGCGGACAGACATAAAACATCGGCATCGTGAATCTTAAACGACTGGGATAAAGTAAAGAAATGAAAATCCCAGAACTTGACAGACCCTGTAGAATCGCCAGAGACTATCTGATTTGTTGCAGGTAAGTATATCACAGACCACACGAGAGTAGATTCCTTTTTTGATTTATCGACTTTCATCGTGTGCAATAGTCTACCTTTAAGGTCAATGTCGCTGTTAACAGACCATACCCTTATTCTACCATCTGCACAACCACCAATCACAAAGTTATCGGCATTCCATGCCAGGGTCAGGACCCTGGACTCTTGTCTTTGCAAGATTACATCATGCTCCATAACACCGCGACCACCAGAAATGTCTATTAGAACTACGGAACCATTATCACACCCCACAGCCAGTTTGGTCTGCGACGCATTTATTGAAAGGGACCATATAACGCCCGAGTTACAGTCGTAATTCTTCAGAGGTAACCCACTCTGTAGATCCCACTCTGTTACAACTGTCGACCCTCCAATAGAGAACAGTCTCAAAGGCTCCCCTGGTATGGTTGACCATACAAGCCCTTCAATTGTGCGATCTTTCCCACCTTGTATTATCAATTCCTGAAACCAGCTGTTTCTAGGGTTCCAAATCTCAACGTTACCATTAGAACGACCAACGGCCAATCTGAGATCAGAAGGAGTTCGTTTCTCAACATTTGAAGAATGAGAAAATGCTAGTGCTGTGATATTTCCATTATTAAAGTCCACAAATCTAGTACGATGTATTATGCGACTATTTGAAATCTGTGTCATACTACCTCAATCGATTTCACTTGAATTAATGACGGATGAGATGAGATGAGCTTCGATTCTGAAAATTTTTTTTACTAAAAAGAAAACAATTATGGTTCAAATTCTAATCACGTGAATATTTCATATATGCTAAATAAGTGTAAGGAGACATGCAATAGTCCAGGGTACCATCAATTATCGGATCGGGAGTGTACTTGCTAGATACTTGCTTCATTTTCTTTGATTGCAAAGCTCCTAATAATGTGGATGCGTTAAGAGAATAAATTAACAAGTGCCTAAAATAGGCGTCTGTGTAACTATCTTGGAAAGCTATGAAAATTAATCAGATGTAGACTATCCCCTTAATATATGGAGAATACATAAAGTGGGGTTTTGAGAGGTGCTATCCTTTGAATGAAGAACTCCAACTTCATACTTGAAAGCTAAAAGATGATTTGATATTATTTAACTTAAACTTAGTAATTGGAGACATTGGATCTACTAAGCCCTTGAAGTGAATAGGACATCCAAAGCTGGTTAAGACTTCCTCAGGATTATGTCTCATAAAAATTGATCACATGACCATGTTGATGTCTTTCCTCACGGCTTGTTTACGTTTTCTCCACAAGATATATTCAACTTAATATCCCATTCACTGTTGATGGAATACTATTTACATGAATATGTCTGAGCCACAAGCAATTTCAGATATCGATCAGTTAGATGGTAACTCTACTAATACAAAAATTTTCAAAGCTATTGCTGATGTATTCCAAAAGGCACAGTCGACTTACGCAGGACATAGACGGCATGTAGCAGTGATCAAGACAATTCGTGCAAAGGCTGTTTCCCAAGGGTATGAGGAAGTCTTCAACTACTGGTTTAATAAAATGGTGACGTTAATCTTGCCATTGAAACGAAAAGATGTGGTGGGCGATAGAATCATTAGACTTGTCGCTGCATTCATCGCGAGTTGCGAACATGATCTTGAGCTCGAAGACTCTACCGGAGGGGATCGTGCGAACAGGGAAATAATTCAAACACGATTCATTGATCAATTTATTAGGCATATACTTAGAGGAGTGGAATCTCGCGACAAACACGTTAGATATAGAGTTACCCAGTTGCTTGCTGTAATAATGGATAACATCGGAGAAATTGATGAGGAGCTCTATAAGTTGATGATGTGGTCATTGCAAAAACGGGTTTATGATAAGGAGGCATCTGTTAGAATACAAGCGATCTTCTGTTTAACAAAATTTCAGGACGAGGATAACCTTACAGGCAAGCTCGATCCAGCAACAGAGAAGCTACAAATTGCAGTGCAGAATGACCCTAATGCTGAGGTACGAAGGGCTGCCATGCTCAACTTAGTAAACACGAATTCTACTCGAGCATTTATTTTAGAAAGAGCAAGAGATGTCAACCCCGTAAATAGAAGATTGGTGTACTCTAGAGTACTTAAATCTATGGGGCAAAAGGTCTTCACGCATTTAGAGCAGCGACTGTTGGATCAGTTACTTCATTGGGGGTTACAGGATAGAGAAGAAGCAGTTAGGACAGCGTGTGCCAAACTTATTGCATTTGACCTTTTGAATTTAATGGACGGTGATATTATACGGCTTTTATCCAAACTGAATGTCACGAAAAGCACATGTTGCTACTCTGTTATGGATGCGGTTTTCAAAGGGAGGCCTGATATTATTACTAAAATAAAGTTCCCGGATGAGGTATGGGGAGAATTGACTGCTGAAACTGCTTTTTTGATCAAGTCCTTTTACTTTTACTGCTCCCAAAATTACTTGAATGAAATAATCGATTCAAGCTTTCCTGAAGCAGCAAAATTCGCTGAGGTCATACAGGTATACGTTGAAAGAATGTTCATTGACCAAACCCATTCAGGTGCAGCTGATCAGAATGTCTTGAGCTTTATTATTCAACAACTTCTTTCAGTAGCTCACAAGTATGATTTTAGTGATGAGATTGGAAGAAGAGCTATGCTCACTGTGATCCGGAATAGTTTGGCCAACTATCAACTGAAGGAGTCGCTCGTCAAAGTGAGCTTGAGAGTCTTGGAGGTTCTTTCGATTAATGAAAGAGATTTCATTGCTATGACTGTAGAGATTATAACTGACATTAGAGATGATGATATTGAGAAACAGGAAAGAGAGGACGCTAAAAAGGCTTCTGATAAACAAGAATTAATTCAGGAAGAAAATGATGACGCCATTGAATCATTCCATTCCGCGGTTGAAAACCTAGTCAACGGCAACACTGAAATTATGAAAAATCCGGACACGGTTGTTCCTGAACGTGATGCAAGTCCCGCAACGCTGTTAATTTGTTTAACCATGTCACAATATATGCTTGAACTCGTCAATAACCCGCTGCAGCAAAACATAATGATAAGCTCGCTTATTGACACATTAATAACACCGGCGGTACGCAATACTCAGCCGGAAATCAGAGAACTGGGTGTTCGTAATCTTGGTCTATGTTGTTTATTGGATGTTCAGTTAGCAACAGAAAGCATGTATATTTTGGGTATGTGCGTTTCAAAAGGTGATGCTTCCCTGAAGCATATTGCCTTGCAAGTTATAGTTGATATTTTTTCTGTCCATGGTACCAAGGTAGTAGACGGCGAAGGGAAAGTTGACTCTATTTCCCTACACAAAATTTTCTACAAAATTTTGAAGAATAACGAAAACCCTTCATGTCAGGCTATTGCGGCCGAAGGGTTATGCAAATTGTTCCTTGGAGATGTTTTTGTGGACGATGATTTGTTTGAAACATTGGTTCTTTCTTACTTCTCTCCTGCCAACTCTAAGAATGAAGCCCTTGTTCAAGCGTTCGCTTTTTGTTTGCCGGTGTATTGCTATTCTCACACTCAACATCAAAGTCGCATGTCTCGAATTGCTGCCGATGTGCTTTTGCGACTTACAATGCTGTGGAATGACCTGCACACAAATGAAGATGATGAAATGCCTATTGCCTCTATGATGAAACCTAACGAGATATTTCAACAGCTAATAGATTGGACTGATCCCAGTAGGCTAGTGCAGCGAAAAGATCAAGAAATTCAAAACATAGACGTTCAGCTTGATTTCCTACTGAACGTGCTTAAACTGTATAACAGATTTGAAAGGAAAGATATCAAAAAGATGCTATTGATCAACATTGGTCGATTTACGTTAACTCAGGAAAATGACTTGGAAAAGATGAAGGATATTTATGACTTATTGGAAGATATTGTGGAAAATGATGATATTGATAACGCAAGTAGGAACTCGGTCAAAAAATTTCTGATATATTTGAAGGATAATATTACACACGCAGAGGAGATTGCCGCTAACAAAACTAAGGAAGAACCTGAAGATAGCGACGAACAATTTTCCTCTATTTTGGGCATGACAGGGGAACAAAGTTCCCCTGTTGAACAGAGCATCGCTCACTACTCTTACGAGAGTGCTTGTGATGAGCAAGACAAAGATCAACCACACCATTCATTACAGGAGCATAGTGTAGAACGCAGTTCCGGTTCATCCATCTTAGATGACGTTCCATTGCCGGAAGAAATTCAGCAAAGAGTCAGAACTCGTAAACGAACAAGAACAGAGGTTGAAGAGCAGAGTGAGGTACAAAGTACAGATCGGTTTTCTGAGAATGATAGAGACAGTCGGACAGTCAGCTTTGTTTTGCCACAGGGAGATGATATCCGTAGTAATTTCGCGGAGGATGATTCATATTACGAGTCGTAAGTCAATAAGCTATCTATGATATGTAGTCAATGCATGAGTATTATTACCTATTTTACAATGAAATATATAAAAATGCAAAAGAGCAGCTTTAATGTTTTAGAAAGCCACTCAAAAAAAATCAGCCAGAATCTGATCATCCTTCAAATTCTCCTCAACCACACGATAAATTTCAAGCAGTAGATTTGGAAATCTTCTGATGAAATACAGGTAAAAACCATTCGGTATGGGTCCCATTACCTCAGACAGTTCGTTCGGAAGGTCCATGAAATGATGGTATTTATTCCTGAGAGCCCTTAGTAAATCCATGAGCTTTGAACCACTATATTTCCTGTATTTTCCGAGATTATTCATGAAAACTCCATCAAACTTCACAGTCCAGTCCTGATTAGGTATCACACGAATGGATGCATCTTCTAACTTCAATAAAAGGTCGCTAGGTGGATCGCGTCTCTCGACTTCGAAACGATCACTAACCTTCAGCAAGAAGTCCAGTTTCTTCGGGATGGACCAAAAAAGCGGATGCTTTAAAATTTGTGAAGCAAATGGCCTCTTGCGAGGGTCATGGCATATCATTTGGGAAATGAGATTTTTTGCCTCGATAACCAAATATCTATCATTGAGAGAGTTGTCAAGATCACTTAAAGAGAAGTCACCCCTAATAACATTACCTTCTCTCATAAAACGTTCTCCAAAGGGATGTTTGCCTTTCGATAAGACATAATAAAATATGCATCCCAAGGAAAAGATATCTATAGCTCTGGTCAAGCGTTTTTTATTCAATGGGTCAATAAACAATGGGGAATCGGTGGTTTTCCAACTCCCTTCTGTGTTATCCGAATCACTGATGTAATCAGGTTCTGAGAAATTTTCATCAAGGAGTTCTGGAGCTCTCCAACCACTGGTTCCCGATGCATTGTTGATGTTGGTCCGAAAAGAAGATTGCCCTGCTTCTAGTTTCTTACATAGACCGAAATCTGAAATTAGTACCCTAACCGGCAGGGATTTATCTGAAATATGTTGTGAATAGTTCAAAGATGGTGCAATCAAAATATTCTGTGGTTTTAAATCACGATGAATGATTTTCATCGAATGTAAATGAGCAACACCTAGCGCTGTCTGATATAGAATATTGATTGGGTCCAGGTTTTTTCGTAACTCGTGTAATTTCTCGGAGTCACTCTTTAGTTCAATGAGATCATCTAAGGTCGATGTGCAAAGCTCCAACGCAATGTAAAGAAACTTCTCAGTCACTTCGGAGCAGTAATATCTTATCACATTTGGATGATGATCGCTTTCTGTAAGCAAACGGATTTCTCTAGAGGCAATGTCATAAAATTCGATTAGCATTCGCTTGACAGCGACAGGTCTTTCCTGAAAGCTTCCCTGGAATACAACGGTTCCTGAAGACCCGTATCCTAACACCTTTTCCGATATTGCCAAATGCTTTAAATCATTTTCTAATTCGGACTCCTTAACATCTACGAATTCTTTACCGGCTGGTGGAATTACCTTTTTCTTGTTTTTCTTACCACCTCGAGAGCCTCTCTTGCGTCTCCTTTTTTCTGACGTAGATTCATCTTTATGCTCATTTACATTCATGAACTCGGGCTCTTGGATTGAGACATGTTTTTCTGTACCAGATGCCGTCTTTTCAATACTCACATTCTCGGTAATTTCAATTGGAGCCGTTTTCAAATCACTCTTCTGGGTAACGCCCGTCTTTTCAAGTAGGAAATACAAGGGAGGTATAATCTTAAGTTTGGATAGAGTGACTAGAACAAAAAACGAAAAAACCAACATCAATCCGCCTTCAATTATTCGATAAATGAATCTCGCAAACATATACCCAATAGTATCATGATTTTTGCTCAAAATATCTCTGGCAATTTCTTCTTGCATCCTGAGGCGGTAAGCAAATAAATCTTCTGGAGACACATACCTTTCCAGTGCTTTTGAAGGCTCTTTTTTTATTATCACCTCATTTCCCTGTTCCTTTTCGCCATACATAGAGCCGCCAATTAACAGTTTAGGGTTTTCCGGCAAAGAATAATAGTTGTAATCGTCATCATACTTGGGAACCTGTTCGTATTGTAAACTTTGTAATTCATGCACTCCAACAATTGCTGTTCGAAATAAAGTTTTGTCATTTACTAAATTGGACGTTCTCCATTCCTCATAAAGGCTGTACTTGGAAATAGCTGCAGAATCTACTAATGAAGGATAATATTCGCTGGACATAGCAAACCAACATTTATCTTCAGTTTGATCCACATATACTTTGTCATTCTCAAAGCGCGAGTTCTCGATTTTAAGCGGATGAGGAAGTAAGATTTTCTCATTAGTTTTCCTATCCACGTAGACATCGAACACATTGTTAATAGCTCCTGAAAACTGGGAAGACATCCATTTGGCCATTTGAAAATCGGTATCAATTGCTAAAAGCGATTTATCACGGAAAGGAGCAATGTACATTCCATCCTGTGATTTTACGTTTTTCATAGCCAAATTATTATCCAGTGAATTCTGCTGCCATGTACTATATGTAACATTGTACACTGTACCATCTTTCGAATGAATTCCAAGCTCGTATGATGTTTTACCCAGAACAACAACGTTTTCGCATGCTATATTATCAAAAGAATTCGTGCAATTTATATCCATCCTTTTGAATACTTTATTTTCTGTACCTGGACCAAACACTGAAATAATTTCTCCAGTAACGATGTCAATAGTGAACACTGCTGTCTTTCTTGCACCTGTATAGATCTTTTCATCCTCTATAGTATTTCCAGAATTATCCACAGCAATATTAGTCTTCAAGTCTAAGGGTGAAGCATTTACCAATTGCTTGATAGATATTGGCAGTTTTTGGAGTCCTTGGAATAGATTAAAGTAGTAAATATTGCCATCACCGTATGGTTCAACGATTAAAGTTTCATTCGTAAGGTTGGCAGGCTCCTCGACGTTTATTAAAGGAGGAAACTTAGGACCCTCTATGGACCAAATGGATTCACCTGTGTGTCTTTTTAAGGCGTGAACTCCACCCTCTATATCCGTGACGATGAGCAACTGTGATAACTCTAATTCATCTAGATCGCGCGCGCTATAGTTTATTGAAACTGCAGACTTCTGGGATTGTTCCAGCATTAAGCTTTCAGGTTTCAACGCCGTTTTCTTTGACACCTTTTCAAACTTGGAAGGGGTCACAAAAGCCCCATTTTTCCTTGATAAAGCGAAGGATGATTTCGTTGCAGGGTCATTTCGAAAGGTTGTGCCACGCTGTAGATTATTTTTTTTGAATGCTGTAGGATAAGCAGTAAATGTACTTCTCGATAGATCTTCGTCTCCGGCTGCTTTCTGTTGCCATACTAACGATTCTCTTTCAATTTCACCTTTCCTAGAACTTGTTCCACTCCATTCAGCAAGCTCAGCATTCACGGGAAAATAAGGTATGAAAAGTAACCATATGAACAAAGAGAGCAACTTAATGCTTTTTGATCTCCACATGGTTCGAATTTACTTCAAACTATCGATAATTATAATACCCTGCTCTCCGTTTAACTAGTTCTTTCCGCGAGATCACAGCAGAGTAGCTCTGAGGAGGCACCTCGAAACTTAAAAATTTGGCAAAGCTACTTTCGTGTATGGCGATTTGTATAAGCAAGTATAGTATCTTCTAGTTAGCTTTTCGTTGCTTTCATTTGTCGGCCATTTCATAGCCCATCTCATCGAATACTTCTTTCATCTTACATTGCTTTTCATCTGCCACCAGTTGGGCCAATCTTAAGCCAGTGTCTCGTAATTCGTTATAGAGCTTTAGGCGACTTATATGTTGTTTTCTGATGACATCTGGCTCTAAATCGCTTTCTCTCTTGTTAGTAAACAATTCCATGCATTTGGTTGTGGGTCATACGAACATATTCATCTCCCTTTTTTTGATGGCGAATGATTCTTGCAGTTCATTTAAACTTTTTTGGAGATTCATTAGCTGCCGTTCCTTTTTGTCCAAATACGTTTGGTTCTCAATCATTTGACTGTTCACTTTATTCACTCAATCAAATTCTGTTTGTTTGTGTAAATGGTACCGTGAGTTTCGCTCAAATTGGTTGGTTGAATTTTGTTATCTGTTTCCATTTGCGTACCCGCCGAAGTCGTAAAAACGACAGTTGGTGTACTTTCATATAATTATAAGCAGTTCAATAGTAACATAGAACGATTTTAGAAATCATTAATTTAATGCAAATACATGTCCTTTAAATACAAACTACGAACAGTTACTCAGTTGAGCTTTTAATTCATTCAGTTGTATTTCTGCCACTCTGATGGTTTCTTCAAGATCCTGCCTTTCGTGTGTTGAAAGATGCGGACCGTGAAATTCGGAAGAAGAAACTCTTTGCAAAGTGTCACCCCGATCTTGAATCCAATTCCAAATTCCACTCTCGGCTGTCGTAACAACATTATTGGTGCGCCTGCCTTTCTTGCCAGACCTAATTTCCTGCTCGTATACCTCGTATAGAGTTCCGAGGCTTGGTGCATAATTGTAGGAGTTCCCATCAATTACGATTTGGCCTGGCTTTACAAGCTCGAACGAAGGCTGGTGGCCTCTGTGTACGAATTTCGAGAAAATAGAAACCAAAAGAATGCCTAGGACTATTAATACAACGTTTTGGGGGATGTTTTTTTGGCTTGAAAAGAAGAGATCCATTAAATCCCCGATGAAGCCGCTTCGTTCACTAGTTGGAGTTTCTGTAGGAAGTTGTTTCTTCTTACTGGCTTTGGGTTTTTTTATCTTTATTTTTAGCCTCTTCTTACCATTCTTCTTTTTAGTCCCTGCTCTAATGATTATATCTTGAAGTTCTTTCTCCAAGACTGCAATGGATGTTTTTTGACCATCGATGGACCCCTTCTCAACTGCGGATTTGATCCAACTTTTTGCTGTCCATACTACATTTGTAACTATCATCATCTTCGTGGTATTGTTCGGACCCCATGATAAGTAGAATTTAGTATGAACAGCGAATGATGACCCTGAAGGAACATCTGGTGTCTTTGTAATTTGTCTAACCATAACATAGGTATTGAAGTCCTTGCATTCAATCCGTTCTTCTATTAGACACTTAGTCTTTTTGGGACCCACCGGCCCATTCAGCGGCTTTGTATATTCATATTCTCTTCGGTTATTGTTGAACTTCGGAATATCAGACAGGTCGTAATTCCCTTGCTTTTCTATTATACGCTGACAATAAGTGGTGTCACTGCCAAATAGTACTTCGAAAGTCGTTCCTAGTGGAATAGGAAATGATAGTGCTTCGCTTATGATGACATCGCCGTCTTCACTCACGTAATCCGGTTGAGTAGGAGCATGTGTAGATGGTCCGGTTGTTGGAAGATTCAATGATTCATCCTTATCTGAACCAATTTTTTCGGATTCTTCCTTGGATTTTGTAGATGACTCTTTCAAAAATCTGTTAACCTCGTCGATCAAAATCTTCGTGGAACTTGTAATACCATCAAATGAACCTTTCTCAACTGCTGCCTTTACCCAACTTTTACCTGTCCATTCCACTGATGCAAGAACTGTCAACTTGGTAGCATCATTAGGGGCCCAAGAAAGAAAAAACGACGTTTTGACGTAAAAGGAGCTACCGGATGGTACGTCAGGTGTTTTTGATATCTGGATAGCTTTCACGTACTCACTTAAATCGTAATGAGCAAGAGTCTCGGTAATGTGGCAACTTGTTTTACTAGGACCAATAGCCCCGGAAATTGGCTTTGTGTATGTATATTGGCGTTCCTTTGAAGCCAAAATGGGAGGAATCTCGGAAATGTCATAGTTTTTCTGCGCTTCTAAAATCTGGCGCAGAAATGAAACATTATCACCGTATAAGATATTAACAATTTTGCCCAGTGGAGCTTCAAAAACTGTATCAGCAATAACTCTGTCGTTATTGTTTTTCAAAAAGTTTGTAGTTGTAGGTGCATGCTTACTAGGACCAATAGTACTCACTGTCGAAGGAGAGCTGTTTTCCTGAATTGAAGTGGATGCCGTTGTTTCCGTGCCGTAAGAGCTCTGACCAGAATCAGATCTGTCGCTAGTAGTCATATCTGAATCACTTGAAACTTCATCATCTGAATATTCATCACTCGAATAACCTTGAGAAATTACTCTGCTTCTTGTCTCTGCGTCTGTGTCATGATTGTCATTCTCATTCTCATTCTCATTCTCATTAACTGAATCTGTAGAGTCTGATATATCATCATGAACTCGCTGTGAATCCACACCTAGAATAATTTGATTCCATATGCTGGTGATATAGTCGAAAGTCGAATCTCTAGACATAAATGAAGCAAAAATATACTTCGTATGAAGAGTTTGGAATACAATTCCGTTCGGGAATATACCAGCAGTTGATTTCTTCTCTATCTGGACAATTTCTCTGAATGGGATCACTACCGTTGTTACCCATCCCAGAATGCTTGAATTAAAGCAAATATGTTTCTCCGATATGAACATACGGCCTTGAAGTAGGATATCTCTAGACAATGCGCAACTAAAATCAGTCAGTAGTTTTTCCTCAGGCGAAATACCTGCTTCCTTAAAGATGGTGTGAAATTCGTTGTTTTTCTTTTCGGCGGCATATGACACATTGCGTAGCTTTAGTAGACGTTTTTTACCATCTTCCTGATAGTTTGATGATACAGCCTCATCCGAAGATAAGCTACTGGTCTCAACATAGATGTCATCGCCAGTGCTATAAGACCTCATCCTGTGGAAGGAATTCCTCAGGCCTGCACTAGGGATTATTTTTAATGCGGTACTCGGTGAAAATGACCTGCGCGACATGAATTTCTTGGTGTTCGATCTCTTTCTAGATCTATTATCTCCACCATCGCCGACGATTGTGTTGTTTGATGCTGGCACAGCTCCACTTTTCGGGCTTATGCTCTCACCATCGATAATACCCTTGTCACCTGCTGGATCTGTTCTCACTGGTGAGAGCGACAGATTTGTGTCCGTTGAGCTTGACCGTTGCTTTAAATCGCTCTTCATTTCACTGACAGAAACCGTTTTCCCTCGTTTCCTATTTAACGCGTAAAACTCCGGCCGACCAGATGGACCACTACTAGTTGATCCTTGCTCAAGCGGTTGCTCGTTGTCTTCTTTCATGCCTAATGCATCCAAGGTAAGGTTACCCTTTCCGAAAGTGGCAATATGTGACTCGCCTTTGAGGGGTTGGAACTTGACCTTCTCGGCCAAAGACATTGTCTCAGTGGCTTGCCGTGATAACTCATTCTCGCTTTCAGCAGGATTTATCACGATACTTGGAGTTTCTGACGGGAGAGCAGAAGATCTAGGGTCTAAGCTTAAATGGTTGCTCCTCTCCGATACGGTACTACTCCGGGGAGAAATCAAATCTGGAGCTGGCATTGGACCCGTGGAGAGTAGAAAATCGAGGTGTTGCAAAAAAGACGGGTTATGCTCTATCGGAAGAGGTTTGTACATGACTGTGTTTTCTTGCTCTTCATCATTAATGTCATTGGTGGGCTCCTGCGGATCTTTCTGGCTACTTTTACGCATCAAATGACTAGCTGCATTGTGAGCAGCCGAAATGAGAGACGAAAACATCCCGCTATTTTCTTTGTTTTCATCCTGTTGCGAGTCTGTGGTATTTCTGGATTCGTTGGCGTTTCCTGACGTATTTACGCTTCGCCCTCCAGTCAGGATATTTCGCCGACTGTAAGTATTTGTAAGGCTATTTGAATCTTTGGTATTTTGATTATCTTCATGCTCATGTTCTTCTGTGCCGCCTAAATTCGAATTCAATGGTTCATAATCAGTCGGGACATTGAGTGAGCCATTACTGGATCCAAGTATTACTTTGGGGATCCTAGACGACTTCTTCTGGGAGGAAGGACTTTGCTGTCTACTCATTTTAACTGACACAATATCTGGCAAACTTATAGAGGGACTCTTCGGGCTCTTTTCAAGAGTTAGGTTCGATGAGGACCTTCCTCTTATGCTTCTTCTTGCTACCGCATGTCGTCCAGCACTCTCGAGAGGTAGTGAGATCTTTCTTTTCTTCTGAGCTGTGGATGATTTTCTTTTGCCCAGTAAGAAATGAAGTTTCGAGGCCTCACTGAAAGATCTGAGTTTACTCTTCTTGGACTTATGGTTCATGTCCCAAAACTTCTTCGCCTTGGATTTCACACACGGGAGAAAACCTTGAAAGACCTAATACAGTACGGTATGCTTTAAGCAGCTATAACCTTTGAATACTAGACTATGGACACCGATTTTTGCCAAGCGATATGTCTCAAAAGCGATACTTCCCACCTCAGGTTTATATCCCAAATACAAAAATAGGGCTTAATTACTTAAGAGTTCCGGGAAAGGCAATTCTTAAGGTCATTGTTTACGTTATAGACAATATCCTGATTACCATCATCGGCAAACGGAAGTGGTAATCCTACCAGAAATCTTAGTGAAACTATACACCTAAAATAAGTATAAGAGAGGAAATACGATTATCACCTTAGTTTATGTGAGCTGGTAGACCGGTTGTGTACTTGACAACGTTTAGCGATCCTCAGCCCATTCATTTTCACGTCTAATTGCGGCCTCTTCTTCCGGTGTGAAGTCATTGACAATGTTGAAGGTTCTTCTGATCTCTTCAGGGGTTCTTCCACGAATCATCTCTGCCACAACTTTGCAGCCAGCATCCAAAAGTGGTTTGATGTTCAAATAATTGGCCGCCAACATGATTTCATAAAGCATCTCTTGGTCAACTTTCAGAAACTCACGGTCCCAAGAATCAACAGGAGCAGATTTTCTAGAATCGTCATCATCTTCATCAGGGAAATTTGAATCTTTATGGTGCTCGGCCCATTCGATAACTTTCTGTAAAACTGAGGAGCGTACATTAGGTACTGGCATTACTATCTCCTCATCTTCATCATCGTCATCTTCTTCTTCTGAGTCGCTATTCACGCCTTGTAGTTCGCTTCCGTGCATATCGTTAAGATAATTCTTGAGTAGCAGAGACCGTTCTGCTATTTTCCTCTCGACAGTGAATCTCTCCCCCTCCACAGAGACTAAAACGACGTTTTGATTCTTATTTTTAGCCATTATATGGTATCACTCTAAAGTAATGAGATTGTTATGCTGCTTTCAGAGCTTAGTAATTCTTCGTCCTTTTTCATCATGAATTGCGACTTGATTTCTTGGTCCTTAACGTTTTGTGAACGATCAGGACTTTCTCTAGTAACTTTATACGAGATACATCTTTCGTTGATAGATAGAATACTTAATGCTTAATACACCTCGAAATTGGGTGGCCACTCATGTTCAGAATCCAAAATTGCTGTAGACACTAGCACTTAAGTCATCTAGCTCAGGAATGGAATCCAGTCTTTGTAAGAATAAATTATTCATTGAGACAACGCCACTCTTCAGCATTTCATCACAGCAATCTTTGCAGCTTACAGAGAACAATGCTACTTGATATTTCGAATTTGACTGAGTTTCAGTGTCAGCTTGTTTTTTGCTCTTCATAGCGATTTTCTCCTCAATCTGTGTCATAAAGAATTGATATGCATCGTTCACTAGACTTTCCAGAACGATCAAAGAAGCAGTAGACTGCACACACTTGCTAGTCTCGTTCATAAGCTGTCTCAAGATGGTGTTGTCCTCATATAGAAGCTTTAGCGCATCTGAGTCCAACGTTTGCTGTAGCACGAACTGCTCTAGATTTGGTTCGGGCAACAGAATGGAGGGTAGTGGTTGTGGCTCCGATTCCGGTTGTGTGAGTAACTCCTGGTTTATAGCGTGGAAAATGTGAGACACTTTCTCTCCAAAATCTTCTAGGCTAAGTGTGTCTCTTGGGCTTAAAGCTCCAAATTCCAACTCGACATGTTTTTCGGCCAATGATCTAAACTGCAGCCAGCCACGGTTTAGCATCCACCACGACAGAGACAAAAATGCCTGTTCATTGATATAGCTCGTTTTTCTCGATTGTTGGTCTAGACCATCCAATTGCTCCTCAATCTGTTTGTCTTCAGAGTCAGTGTCTTGCTGTTTCCAAAAACTCGAGATCCAAGATGTGACCGAGGATTTCCCAGCAGCTTCCTTTTTAACAGCAACTTTGATTGCAGTTTCAAGGTATTCACGCCGAGCTAAAATATTAAGCTGTAATCTCGTAAGAAGGAGGAGAGAAGAGATACTGTAAACCACTGTGAAAAGTTTCACCAAACTCTTTAGTTTGAGCTCGTTCCAGAGGTCGGCCTTCGTTTTGCTTGAGCTCACATCATCATGGTTTGAAGTTGAGACTCCCGATGCAGGTTCCGTGACGCTGGTACTCATTCCAGATGAAAGCCCGTCATTTTGTTCTCCATCACCGACGGACATGCCCCCTCGTGACAGCTTTCGGGAGAGCTTCTTACCCTTCAACAGTGCAACGGTTTCGTCTACATTCAGATCTTTTGCTAGTACCAGCGACAAGACAGGTACGAGTTCATAAATTGTATAAAGCGCGTCCTGTTGAGTTTGTGTAAATCTTCGCTTTATTTGTTCTTTAACGAAATGTTGCTCAGTGATCTTCAACTGCTGTCTGTACAACCATTTTTTGATTACAATCAGTGCAACAGCACCGGTCGTGAAAAGAGTCGCAACTATAGCCGAAGAAAAAATTAACTTGCCCTTATGTCTTTGCCAAATACCTCTTCGATCGCTTATTCTCATTGCCATTAGTCAATGCTGATACTTTGTCGTAGTTGTGCTAAAGAAAAGTTACTAGTCAAGTATTAAGTACAGCGGGGCCACCGAGGGTAAATATTTCGATTGTCTCCAATAGTGTCGTTATAGTTCCGAGGGCATGATAACCTCAAACTAAGTAATCATGAATCTCAATTGAGCAATGCAATAGCCTATGGATGGCTCTGAGGTATTGGATCTACATACAGGTGCTAATTTCATCTTATAGTCAATACAGCCTCAGCATGCGGTGGAAATTTTTCAGTTGTTTCAATTTCCCTAATTTGAGGTGAATGACTCCAGTCCGGCGTTTAGCGGTTTATAAACTACATCAAAATAGCTATTTATGAATTTCTCTCAGTCTTTAAAGATTGTTGAGATTTTCCAGCAACGAGACATTCTGAAGGGAGAGAATAGCGGCCTAGTGAGAGCGTTCTATCCCGGTATTGATGATCGGCTTGAAGAAAGATTCACCCTTATTTGAAATCGGAGAAGCTGTTCTAAATGACCCACTCTTATCTGACATATGAGGGAGGGTATGGAGAATGTGTAATGTGGATGTATGAACGCTTGAAATCCTTGACGGGTGGTCGCAACGCTGATTCCTTTTTGTTGAGAACATTGGCTATTTACATTTTGGCTTTTGCCCGCTCAAGAGCCTTTTCGAGGAGCTTAAGTACAGTACTCAACAAGCCATTAGTTTCTCCAATTCCAGTTCACCGTCTTTTGAAATCCGTCCCCATTGCTCCTCTCAAGGTAAGACGAGCCGTGGAATATCATTAAGATGGGTAATCAACGCATTTCAAGTATTCCTGATAACACAAGGCTAAGCACTATCGCCAAGATGTTTAATATTGTTTCTAAACTTCATTATTAGCACTACGCTGGCGCTCCTACCGGAACCGTTTTCTGTGATGGTGCTGTGAGGTTTACTACCTAGCTCATCACGGAAAAAAAAAAATTTCGAATCAACAGTGATGAGCTACGTTCTTCAAGAGAGCTAATCTTTGACAAGAATTATGGAGGACGCACAGAAGATAAAGCCATATATTGCGCACTTGAATGCTCAAATAAAAAAACTAGAGGGAGAGCTCACAAAGCTTACGTCACAACCCTTAGATGAGCAGCTACTTCTGCTTAAAGATGACAAGGAAAAGCTGAATCTGTCAAATAAATATGCCTATGTGCTAGCGTCCCTTCTGTTCTCATACATGAAAGTCTTAGGTGTGAAAGATATAACACCCGTGATGTCTGAGTTGGAAAGGGTCAAAAAGTATATGAATGAGGCCAAGGCGCTCGATCAAAAGGATGTCAAGGCCGATAAGCTCAAAGCTGAGGAACAAGAGCGCGCTAAGAAGATCATACGAAATGCTTTGGATGGCAGGCAAACTGGTCCAGCCATCAGCAGGGTAAATTTCGAAGGTAAACACACACGTTTTGAGGACGATGATAAAAGTAGTGAGGACGATAACGTGCTCGCTGACAATAACAAGAGGGCTCTGGCGGAACAGGCCACGCACCGGAAGAAGTTGAACACTTCCAAGGGCAAAATTTCCAAAAAGAGGAAAGACACTAAATAGCATGTTAAGGATATGTAATGCAACGTTGCAATCGAGGTTTTCGTGTGTGGCGATTGGATTTACGCCTAGTTCTGATAGAGGTCTACAGATTTATATAATATTGAACTTATCATGGCACATTCGCCACTCCCTTCAACTTTACTGGCAGCACCACAGCTTGCAGAATATGTCACAAGAAGAGGTTAACACATTTATGGCTATCACAAACGCCGAAAGTAATGATTTGGCTAAGCACTTCATAGACATGGCTGGCGGTGATATGGAAACTGCTATTTCCTTATTCTTCGAGCATGGAGGAAATGCCCAACTGAATAAAGCGTCCACTAATACTGATGCAGAACTAGCTGGTGACCTGCAGAATGAACTTTACCAACAGCCCCAAGAGGATTATCGCCCTCCAGACGAAGCTAGGCATGAAACGTTGGTTGACACACACGTGTTCCCTGGCACTTATGGTGGGATTGGTGGGCGCTTTCAGCCTCTACGTACTGTACGTGATATGTTTGATGATTCACGTCCTGTTGGAATCTTCAACCAACAAATCAGCGACAACGAGGATGATTCGGAGTTTTCAGATGAAGAACAATACAGGCAGCAATTCGAATATGTTGAGGAAAATGTCATAGAGCTAGATGACGATGGAAATGTAAGAGAGTATACAAAATTGGTTCAGAAACCCAGGCCAATGACCAAAGAACAAAAGCTTGCAATGCTTTTCCGTCCTCCCTTTGATATGATGGCGAAAGTTGACCTGCAAGGAGCTAAAGTACGCGCGCGTGAGAATAAGAAATGGATATTAATCAACATTCAAGCGGTGGACATATTCCAATGTCAAGCTTTGAATCGTGACCTCTGGTCGAACAAAGATGTCAAGCAATTAGTTAAGAAGCATTTTGTTTTTATTCAATATCAATATGATTCGCAAAATGCCCTTCCATATCTGCAGTTCTACGGATTAACTAGTAAGGATGAGTTGCCTCATATTGCTATTTTAGATCCCATGACGGGTGAACGTGTGAAGCAATGGAGTCGTGATGTCCCTTCTGTAACGGACTTTATTGATGATATTAACGAATTTTTGAATAATTTTTCTCTTGACCCAACTAGTACAAATCCTCCCGTCAGGGAGCCTACACCTGCATTGGATCCAACTACATTATCAGAGGAGCAGCAGATGGAGCTGGCCATTAAAAAATCCTTAGGGAGTTCCTCTGAAGCCACAAATGAGGAGGACCAAAAACGTAACATGGGAACAGAAGTTCATGGTGATACAGCTGATGATGCATCTGCTACCCTCTTCAACAGGATAAAACCTGTGACTCACTCAGAACCCCCCAATCAACCTGGGATTACCACCAGAATTCAGATCAGGACCGGCGACGGCCGGCGAGTCGTAAGGAGGTTCAATGCCATGGAAGATACTGTTCGCACAATTTATGAAGTTGTTAAAACAGAGATTGAAGGCTACGATGATGTGCATTTCACCCTAAGTGATCACAAGAGGGAAAATCTAATTGAAAAGCTTGACGAATCGATCAACGATGCAGGATTGAAAAATAGCTCTTTGCTATTAGAGAAAGTTCAGGATGATTAGATTTGCATGTAATTAGGGTAAGATAAGCTTAAGTATATCTGAAATGTTATTAATAAAGTAAAAGGTGTTCCCCGAAACGTTGGAAAATCTTTTTTTTTATTTGCAGGAAAACACTTTCTCGTCCTCATCAAGTGAAGAAACACGAGGATTGATGAGAATTTTTTGGCTCATATCAGTCCTGGGTGCTGTCCTTAGCTTGCGTGGCGTGTTCGCAAATGATACTCATACTAACAATTGGGCGGTTCTGGTTTGCACCTCCAGATTCTGGTTCAACTACAGACACATGGCCAACGTATTAAGCATGTATAGAACCGTGAAAAGGCTGGGAATTCCGGATTCGCAAATTATTCTGATGTTGAGTGATGATGTCGCTTGCAATTCAAGAAACCTTTTTCCTGGTAGTGTATTCAACAATGCTGATAGGGCAATCGATCTTTACGGCGCATCGGTGGAGGTAGATTACAAAGGATACGAAGTTACAGTTGAAAACTTCATCCGACTTTTGACTGATCGGTGGAGCAAAGATCAGCCCAAATCGAAACGATTACTGACAGATGAGAATTCGAATATTTTCATTTACATGACAGGCCATGGTGGCGAAGACTTCCTAAAATTTCAAGATGCTGAGGAGATTTCCTCCTATGACATTGCTGATGCCTTCGCTCAAATGCATGAAAAGAAGCGTTATAATGAAATATTCTTTATGATTGATACCTGTCAGGCGAATACCATGTATTCAAAGTTTTATTCACCTAACGTGCTGGCTGTTGGTTCAAGTAGGCTTGATGAAAGCTCCTACTCGCACCATTCGGACGTTGAGATTGGTGTAGCGGTAATCGACAGATTTACATATTACACTCTGGAATTTATGGAGAGCATCGAGAAGAACTCTACCCTAACGTTGCAAGATCTTTTCGATTCCTACACCTTTGATAAGGTTCATTCACACGTCGGTGTCAGAACAGATCTGTATGAAAGAGACCCATCTAAAGTTTTGGTCACCGACTTCTTCGGTAGTGTTCAAAATATTGTTTTGGATGACATTGATCAAGCAGACAATGCTTATGAAGATAGCCAGGAATCACAAGAATCGTCAGACCTACCCGATCACATTTTACAGCTAGCGATAGAAAAGAGCAGAGATGAAGTGACCTCTAAAAAAAACGAATCAAAAGTCCACATCAGAAAGGCTACATTGGTGGACTATGAAGACAGCATAGCAGAAATGTCCAAAGTAAGTCATCACAAAATGTTACTAGAAGTTCGGGTATTTTTAATCTTTATGGGACTTCTCATTGTTTACTATTATTCAAGAAAACGTTAATAGTGAATGACAATATGAGAAAGCAACCCCAACCCAGTGGTCGCTGCTAGTCAGCTACCAAAAAAGGAGAAGCTTCTGTGCTGTTAGGTATATAGTAAATACGTATACGCCACAACATGAAATGCTAGATAGAAATGAAAATCAGAACTTAAAATAATGCAGAATAAAAATGGCAATGAAAAATTCCCTTAGCAACTTCTCTAACACGTCCAACAAATCTCATTGAGTAATCTTTGAATGGTGATGCTTATAATGACTCATTCTTGTTGTTGTTGCAAAATTAACCAGTTGTTTTTGTATTGTTCCAGTGAGCCTATCAATTCATCTTGAATGGAGCTCGATTTACGACCGGTGCGAATTCTCTTTGGTGAGGTAACCGTTGATGGCTTGTAAAGATCGTGAGGACCAAATAAAGACCTTTGATCAGCTAAATGATTATCATCCTCATCCTCCTCGAACAGCAAAGCATTGGAGTCAGCGAAAATATCATTTTGTTGAAGCTCTGTAGTTGCTTTTCCGTGGTTATGAGATATAAATGGCTGTCCTGTGGGTGTTAATTTTCTGGACCGGGCATGATGAGTACTAGAACGACGACCATTGTATGATCCGTAGCTGAACGAATTATGATTCACGGATAAAGTTGCTTCTCCACCATTTGAAATCAAAGGACTTTGCGATAGACCTTGTGCGAGCTCTTTCCTGTGATGGGGTGGCACGTAAACTCCAGGTTTGTACTTATACTCCGTGCTTGGCCTTCTGGCTTTTTGATCAAGTATTTCAGCAAAAGGATTCTTCAAGCTCCCAACCAACTCTGAGTGATGCATCGTAGGCGATTTGAGTAAGTCTGGTACTTCGCTAGTTACGCCGATACTAGGAGCGCTAACAGAATTAAGGGGTTGGGACACTTCACCGTCTTGAACAGTTAAATTGTCCAATTCGTTAGTGAAGCTGTCGATTTCGTTTTCTTCTAATGTGAAAAGAACGTCATCAAGATCATTTTCGTTGCTATCCATGGGAACTGGGTGTTGCTCGTGATAAGTGTTAGTCGTGGGGGCTGAAGTGTGATCAAAGCCGTTATCCAAAACTGAAGAAATGTTGGGAATGTGGGGAGAGCCCCCATATAAAGAACTAGGTCTTGAGTGCGGCGGGATGTATTTTCCAGTTGAAGGCGAGTGTTGAGAATAGGCAGATCCTCGTCTGCCATAAGACGACGATAAGTTATTGGGATTTGATTTGGGGGTATATTTGTTATTGCCATTGACACTCCCAATCGAATTTGGTCTTTTGGCATTGTTATGGTTTCCCCGATGATTTTTGTATTTGTTAGGTTTGTTGTTAAAAATTCCTTCCATGTATCTGTTATTCACGCTTGGGGGTGTAAAGAAATCTCTCGTATTAAAGTTATCGTCACCTTTAGATTTATATTCATGGAAAAAATTATTAATGTGCGTGTTTGGAGTAGGAATGGCCAACGGCTTTCTTGAATTTTTAATTACTTTACGATTATCCATGTGAATTGGCTTGGAGCCCCGTTTCTGCTCAGGAGCTGGATGGCTTCGCTTCTTAAACCTGAATCTTGGGATTGGATCCTTTTCCTTTTCATCCTTGTGCGATGGCGCAGGTGTGATTTTGTCCACCGTCATTTGAGTGGCGACCATCGCAGGAGACTCAACAGCTGTGGGAGTGGATGAAGTGAATTTTGGAGTAGAATCAACATCCTCGATCTTAGGAGTACCGAAATTGTCATCATCAACCTGTGAGTTGAAAAACTCGTCATCCAAAGTGTATTCACCAAGCTTGAGTAGTTCATTTTTCATGCTTGCTAGATCTCTGTTAGTTGGGTCAATTGTCAAGCTATGTCTTAATACTTGGAAAAAATCGTAAGACATCGTTGAAAATACGTCAAACAATGCTTCTCTGTTGGCCGCAAAATAACAAAAAGACTTATCAGTCTGATTAGCTACACTAAAGGGATTCTTCTGGAATACGACGTTCAGGAGGACAATACCAATAGCCCAGATATCAACTTTGCTACAATCATATGGCAGGGACCTTTCTTCCCGGTCGAGATTTTCTTCAAAAAGTTCTGGAGCCATATATCGCTCACTCCCCACGCTACGGTCCATGGACGTCTTCTCTGTAGTCGCCAAACCCCAATCAGTAAGCTTGATAGTCCAGTCTGAGCCGTCAATTAAGATATTTTCAGGTTTAATGTCACGGTGATAAATGCCCTTCTTATGCACAAATTCAACGGCATCCATAATTTGGGAAGCAATATGGGTAATTTTTTTTGTCTTACGTGGAACCAAATCAGCTCTAATGGCTTCGTATAGATCCCCCCCTGAACAGTATTCCATAATGATAAAAGAGTCAAAATAATCGTATATCTCGGTAATGTTTTTGTGCTTGCCAACTTTCGTATGAATGTCGACTTCAAATAATGCCTCGAAACATATGTTATTGGAGAGCTTTGACCGGACTTTTTCGGAAATTAGCGATTTCTGATGTTTGATAAGCTGTTGTCTCTTTTCAACTGAAGAATTATGACGGCCATCTTCTTCATCTTCATTCTTTTCCTCCTCCTCGTCGTTCTTGAAAATGTACTTCACCGCCACCAATCTTTTCTTAAGCGTGTCGTTGGCCAGGGACACATAACCGTAAGACCCCTCACTAATATCCTCCAGTTTCTTGTATCGATTGTTGAGAAGGCCCCCTTCTTTGTAAACCTCGTAATCTTGAGTCATTTGTTTAAGGAACTAGAATAGTGTGAGCTAGCTCGCGGGTTTCGATTATTCAGTAGCTTAGAAACTGGCTTTGATAAGACCCTTGGATTCTCCCTGTGAGCGATCTGTTAGGGATAAACAAGCTAGTTTACCTTTAATGTTTGCACTGTCGTAACTTAAAAAACCTTGATGTGATGTACCTGATAGAATCTTCTAGATCAGATTCCAAGCCAAGCAACAAAGAATGAAAATGGGCAAATATGCGCTTGGGAATGACACGGTCAGAAAGCCAAACTAAAACAGTATGTGTAATTAACTTTCGACCCCGATTTCACTTCCTCTTAAATGACAACAAAATGGCGCTACTACTCTGTCCACAGTGTAGCCACATCTTTGACTCCTTAAAATTTTCAAGCCTGTCGTAACAAATGCAAACTCCTATCGCTAACGTTATCAGTAAGAAGAATGATATCGAACATTAATTTACAAACATGACTCAACGGAGCAAATATTGAATGCTCGCAGTGCGTTGTAATCTAGTCTCCGGGAAACTCCTGAGCTACGTAACCACCTATATGTAAGCTTCGCTAGGCGACATTAATTGAGCGAGTGTTTAATATTCCATAATGCCAATCCGTTCGAGTTATGGTTATCGAGGTGGTCCTTCACCAAGTTATATCAATACGAAGCTACACAAACACCCTGTGAATAGCCAATTAGTTGTTGGACTCCATCCTATGGAAGACATAGCGACCAGATGGGACATTACCATGTGATCGACGCGAAATTGTTGAACAACATGACACCCCGCGAATTGAAAGCATTCAAGAAAATGAGATCATCTTCTCACCTGAAAGTGCAGCGATGTCCATGTTGAAAACCGGGCAAACGCTCAATCTTTTGGTTCGGAGAAGATTTATATCTATCAGCAGTTTAACAGTAGCCCGATATTACTCAGCATGTACACTTCGTGATTACCAACAGGAATGTATTGATAAATGCATATCGTCAATTAGCCAAGGCAAACGTAGAATAGGTGTTTCTATAGCGACTGGAGGGGGCAAGACGGTTATTTTCTCTAATTTGATAGAACAACTGCGACGAGTTTCGGGCAAACACGCCTACAAAACCCTGATTCTTGTACATAGGCGAGAACTTGCACTCCAGGCATGCAACACGTTGAAAAGGTCATTCCCACATCTCAACGTCCAAGTTGAAATGGGCAAGTACAAGTGTAATCCACAGGTTTGTGATGTTATCATTGCATCCGTTCAGTCCTTGATAAGACGACTGCCCCAGTACGATCGGAAGATGATGGATCTGATTATCATCGATGAGGCTCATCATGCGGCCGCCAATTCATACGTTGAGATTTTAAAGCATTTTGGGGCCGATCATAAGGAAAGTACTACACCTGTGGTAGGATTCAGTGCAACATTCGAAAGAGCTGACAATAAGGCATTGTCGAGAGTAATGGATGAAATAGTTTTCCATAGGGGTATTCTCGAAATGATCGATGACAAATGGCTTTGCGAGGGTAAATTCACTACAATCGACGTTAAAGTCGACTTATCAGATGTTGCAGTTGTTGGGGCGGACTTCAACCTTGACCGGCTCTCCGGCGTTATGAACACGGAAGAAGTGAATAGAATTGTCCTTCAAACTTACCTACAGAAAAAGCGAGACCACAACCTGAAATCTACTTTACTTTTTGGCTGTGATGTTCGTCATGTAACTTCTTTGTTTGAGCTGTTTCAAGGCCATGGAATTAATGCGCAAATCGTGACTGCTAAAACTCGACAAAATGAAAGAGACGCCATTGTTCAGGATTTCAAAGAGGGAAAAATCGAGGTTTTAATGAATTGTGGTATTTTCACAGAAGGCACAGACTTACCTAATATTGATTGCATTCTTCTTTGTAGACCTACCAAATCCAGATCTCTCCTTGTCCAGATGATCGGAAGGGGTTTGAGGCTACATCACGGTAAGGATTACTGCCATATCATCGATTTTGTCGGTGTATCCAATGTTGGTGTCGTTTCCGTTCCGACTTTAGCAGGAGTCAACTCTGATGGTGTTACTTTAGATGAGGCCACATTAAAAGATCTTGAACAAATAAAACTATCCATTATTCAAAAGCAACAGGAATATGAGAATTCAATAAAGGCCGAAAAAGATAGAGAAAAATTACTCCACAAGCAGTTTCAACAGATGCTTGAAAATGCAAATACCTTTGATTTGACTTTGACTACATATAATGACTTCAAGTCGTTTTGTGAACAAATTGATTCCAATCACGACGACGTGTCTATAGATGCACTGAGTGATCCAGCTAAAGAGGCCAAGTTGATTAAAGATTCTGTGTATCCTTGGGTTAAATTTGCTAAAGATGCTTGGGCCATGCCGCTGGATTCAGGGCACCATCTTAGACTCTACAAGGAAAAGTGCTTAGATCAGACTTCTCACAATTATGTCTTGAAACTATACACTGAAATACCGTACAAATGCAGAGAGCAAAGTGGTATACGATTTATACCGAGCAAAGTGAAATCCAGTACGAATTTAGTTCAAGTTGTTGGATCTTTGAATGCCCTCGTGGAAGAACTATCAAAAAGGGTAAATAATTCATTTGTCGCATCAAACGTCCCTGGTTCAAAGAACTTCACCAAGTTCGCTAATTGGAGATCTACTTCATCATCACCTAAGCAAAGACAGCTCATAAAGAAAAAACTCAAAGATTATTATCTTAAAAGCGAGCAACAACTCAACAAGGGCAGTAATATCGTGACCATTCCTGATATTGATAGTTACGTTAATAAGATCACGAAAGGCGAAGCCTCCAACATACTGTTTGCTCTCAAATTGGCGCCAGTTTATCCATTGAATTCAATACTGAAGGTTCTGCGTTATAGAAAAGAGCAATTGAGCACTTAGTTATAATCTATGTGCCTCTGTATTTTTCTAAGTAAGTATAGATATTAAAAAAAAAGTTACTGCAAACAGAGCATATCGCGGAATTTGAGTGCGATCATTTGAAGCGAAATGCTGAGCGTATTTCAGGTTCCCAAACCTGTTAAGGCTATTTTTGATAAGTTTCCCTTGGAGACATACCCTCCTGTGCAAAAGTGCGATGATGCTACTGCTTACAAACAAGAAGAGAGGACTTTTTACTTGGCTAGTACTCGAGGTTCACAACAATTGCCGAATGAAACTTTCAAGCTAGGTGTGTACAACGTCTTTGAGGAACCGAACTCGAAATGTATTCTTGCGTCAGATCCATGGTGTCTCTTCACACAGCTTGCGCTTTGTAAGAAGAATGACCTCAAGCTGTGCTCAAAAGACTCAGTAAAGAATGCGTCACGGCAACATAGCATTTGCATCCTATCACAGTCCGCTGCACTTAACAGCAGGTTACCAATTCTAGTGGAAGGATCTTCGAAAAGAAATGTAAGGTCAACGGAAAGCATCAATGAAATTCTGAACTCAAGGGTTTCTGATCCTGAGCGGATCATGTACATGTGTCTTTTGGACACAACCGTATATGACTGTTGGGTTTCTCAAGTTTTACTTCGAACCAGCAATGTGCGATTTTTGGAGATATATTATGATAAACCACACCAATCAAAAGCACTAGAGAAGTTTGAAATGATTAATTGCAAAGTTTCTTTGATGAAGCGAAATAATTTCTATCTGCGTCATAGCGAGATATTCAAGAACATTAAATCTGCCACCTTCTACAATTCTAGAAATGTTGACAATTTAGTCAATTCACTTTTCACAAGTTGCGAGAAGGTGCTTTCGCAGTTTCAAGAACTTTTGGGTTCTGATGCATTTTTCTTGAAAGGCATTGTTCCTACCTACCTGGATATTAAGATCGCCAGTTACATCGTTTGCATTCTAAACTTGGAAGACGGCAATCCGTTGCATGAGCATGTTCTACAAAATTGCGGCAGTTTGATTAGACACGCCGAAGAAGTTATCAAGTATTTTGCATCTTGACTTAAGATATAAAAAGATCGCATGAAGATCATATTGATCGATTTAGTTATCACGAGCCTTATTTTAGAGTTGATTGTATTCGTATTTCATGATATATTCTGAAACCTCAAATATGAGCTGTTCTTCAACTAGTGTCAGAAGCTTCAAGAGGTAAGTGAGGTTTCAGTTTGAAACAATTGACAAGGGTTTGCGAAAGCACTGAACTTAAAACCCCTTATAAGAGCAGATACGTTTAGAAACTTGTTAGAAACATTCTTCACAGTTCAAACGGAAAGAGGGCTAAATCAGTCTTATCCTACAAGACTGAGGAATTCGTCAAACATAGAACGAGTTATTGTAATTCTGTGTCAGCACATACCGTGAAATGTCACAATCGCAAATCAAGACCCAGGAGATATTGAAATCTACGACTGAAGCGACTGCTGTGAAAAGTAGCCCGGAGGAAGTTGAGGAGTCTCTAAGACTGATTGAGGATTTAAAGTTCTTTCTGGCAACAGCACCGGCTAACTGGCAAGAGAATCAGATCATTAGGCGATACTACCTCAACAATGATCAGGGTTTTGTTTCCTGTGTGTTTTGGAACAACCTGTACTACGTTACGGGAACGGACATTGTCAAATGCTGCGTCTATAGGATGCAGAAATTTGGGCGACAAGTGATAGACAGAAAAAAATTCGAAGAAGGAATCTTCTCAGATCTTCGAAACCTAAAATGTGGAGTTGACGCCACCTTAGAGATGCCCAAATCAGACTTTTTATCATTTCTTTTCAAAAATATGTGTCTCAAGACTCAAAAAAAGCAGAAGGTGTTTTTCTGGTTCAGCGTCCCTCATGATAAATTATTCGCTGATGCCCTCGAAAGAGATCTTAAGCGGCATAATGCGGGACATCTGCCAACTACTCGACCAGTAAGCGAGCCCGCGCTTTCTTTTTCTTATGATGAAGGATCAGGAATATCTCTGTATGAACAATTACTGCGGCATATGGATTCTCAACGAAAAGCAGGATCTCCTTCAACGTCAGCGCTTTCCGCAGCTGGTGAGCCGTCGAGAGTAAGTTTTCCATCGACTAACAATCGTTTGCATGACGCTCAACCTACCATACCACAAGAAGCTGACGAAGAAGAGGAAGAATTGGAGACACCGATACCCACTCTAGGCGACCGAGCACAAGAAGAAATATCTACAAACTACGCGCCACAAGAATTAGTCATAAATCCTTCGGAGAACACACCAGGTAATAGAGATTTTGAAAATGACTCCGCAACGCGCCTCTCTGATTTGATCAGTACTGTCAAAGAGGAGGACGATTTTCCTCTTGATTACTTTCCCGTTGAAATCGAATACCCAGGCCAAGATCAAAATCAACCTACTCTAAATTCGGCATTTTACGATAATGATATGGAGGGCCAAATGGTCCCACTGTCGGCAATACCGCCGTTATCTGCCGGTTTTTACGAGAATCATCAATTTCCTGAAGAGATGGCAATGATTCCCCAACCGGTTAATTCGGCAGCACGATTTGCTTTCCAGATTCCCCCTCCTCCAATGTCCGCAGCAAGGTCGAACTTTGTAACAAACGGTGAATACTATGCCTCATTTATGAAGGATGTACCCGACAGAGACGAAAAGAATATTGAAAAGCAGACTTTGAAAAACAATGATGTTTCTGAAAGGGGTGATGATTCAAATGATGAAGATGCTCAGAAAGAACCACAAAGCCATCAAAAGCCATCTCATGACCCGCGTATTTTTCAGACAGGATATCCTTATGCTGGCTATATTTCGGGGAAAATGCCCTATTCAGTGCCAGATGCCCAATTCATAGGTTCAGATCCTTACCTCACAAGGGGCTATACTATGGAAGATTTTATGTGCGACAATTCAGCTGTCTATTTACCAGACTCGTTTAGCTTAGGAGCTTATCCGTCGGGTCAAAATATGCAGGTACCGGGAATGTCGAATAGACCCTTTACTCCAGGTTTTCGAATGACCCCAATTGCATCGACAGCCCCTTTTATGTCAATTGCGCAGTACAACTCAAAACAAGGTCCGTCTAATTCCTATCCTATCAATCCTTACTACCAACCTTCGCCGCATTTTCAGAGATGGGGTAACGTCCATGGCTACTTGCGAGGGTTTCCATCTATTCAAGCAACCTCTGCTCCACAGGGTACACCGATACAACCACAGCGACCAATATCGGGAACAAGAATGCATTTTAGCAAACCAGGTAAAATAAACAAGTCTTCGAGGATACAGAAACCCGTGCAACGTCCAAAAGGGAAATCACAAAGTATACTTTCGAAATTAAAAAATACAGACGTTTCGAATCACCACAAGCAAGATAAAGGCTCTGATTATGAGCATGCTTATTCAATGCCTACTCCAGACTCACACGTGACTGTTGCAAGTGAAAATCAAAGCAAAGCGAATTATGCATCAGGTTCTGGTGAGAATGATGCTAATAGAACGGTTCATGAAGTGCTCGAAAATGGAGAGCAAGATAAAACCTATTATCACTGATCACTTCAGGTGGCGATAAGTTGGTTTGATGTTTAACAAGGAAATGAAGCCCGGTTATGATATTCTCGTATTTATCAGGGTATTTACCTGTATGTATTATTAATATTTCTTCTTTTCTCACTTCTGTTTTCATTCTTCAATTCCTGCATTCGGATTTTCTTGCATAAACTGTTCCAATGAAAGTTGTCTAATTTGATTCAGAATGGTTTCGTCTTGCATCATTTCCAATTGATGAATACTCAAATCTTCCTCACTTATATGAGTTTTTATCGTTTCAACAACTTCCATACTCTCTTTATCTGTTGGAACTGGAGGTAAAACATCAAACTCATACACATCGTGAGTAGACCAGATACTTTCTGGGATGCATGCCATCACAGGTGACTCTTGTGATAAAATTGCAAAACGCAAAAGGTTAACAGGTATGCCTTGGATAAAAAAATTGTTGTCCAAACTGACCTCTTCTTGAATTTCAATCTGCAGTGAGCCACTATTGTATTCTTTGATAATCGGAACCATTTCGTCATGGAAAAATTTCAAATCTGATACCCCCCATAGTGTTTTCATGCGTAGAATGTAAGCTTTGGATTCCAAAGTGTTCGTATTATTTTCAGCAAGTTTCAACAATTTCCCCAATGAATTCTGATCGCCTGCTGTGACTTCGATAAAAATTCGCTTCAAAGCAGCAGCGTGGTACTGAAAACATTTTCGCAGTTCATTTCGTGCTTCGTTAATAGAATCTAGGCGTAGATAGCTCAATACAGATCCTAGGGAAAGTCCAAGTGTATACCATTGTGTGTAAGTAGTCACAAGAGGAGACTTCGCAGTTTTTAATAAGAAGGTGTACTCTTCATTGATTAAAAGGAAGTGATCAAGGAAGTATCTGCATCCTAGAGGATCTTCAAGAGGAGATAATGACCAGAGTACTTTGCACCAGCAGCTTGCAGTAGAAATAGCACCTCTTTGGGAAATGATCTGAATATATCTGAAAATAGACAGATAAAACTGTCTATTGAAAAAAAAGATATAGGGTAGTTGACATGATTTTCCGTTAAACGTAATGTTGGCTCTCAAAGCACGATCGAAAACAAATAATGCACGTTCAACCAGTCCATTTGAGTTCGTCTTATCGCCTTGTCTAACTAATATTAATGCAACTTGCAGTAAACTTGGAACGTGATAGGGATATTTTGATGATATAAGATTTATCAATGCCTCATGGTCTGGATGCAAAACCACACTCATATAAAACTCTGTCATTTCCTTTCTGCTTATTTCGGAACTTAAAGGTTCAAACTTAAAGAATTCAAATCCTTTGGACAGCCACTTATTAGTGGTCTTTTTGATTTCATCCCTCCAATCCTGTGGGCGCATCCAGCAGAGCCAATTCTCAATATCCTCCGATGAAAGCGCTTTCATAACTAGTTCCCCTCTTGTTGTGGGCAACCAGTCATCTCTGATTTTCGTAAAAGCCAGACGGCGCACGGCGGACCCGTTTGGAACCGATCTGTGATCTTTACCACCCCAGTTACGAACTAGTCGTTTCATTCTTTCCAGTTGCTTAAGAACCTGAGGTGATACATGTGTTGAAGTCATTGAATCTACATCAGCTAAAGCTTCTGCAGAGATATCGTCAAACAACAACTTAAACTCATTATCGGGATTTAAACTCTTCATATCTAGCTCACCAAATATTGCTAAGATCTCATTATATGATTTGTATCTTGTAAATCCAGGATCATACCTGATGTCGTATCCTCTTTTCTCTTGATTATAGTCCTCCTCATGTGCCGTGTCATATTCAGAATCAGAGTTTTCAGAAATTGCACGATCGGTAAGGCCTGATTTTTCAAAATCTTTTTTTTGGAATTGCTTGATTAGAAGAGAAAGCTCCTCATCACTCTCCCTATCGTCCTGCTCGGAGTTATAGTTCTTTGGAGTTGGTTTTTGTTTGGATTTCCTCTTCTTTTTATTCTTCTTTTTCTGTGATTTAGAGGGTAATAAAACAGGAGAAGGCTTTTCCAAATGAGACTGTGAATCTTTGATTGATTCTGGCTGGCTTTCCACACCCAAATTCTCCGATTCATCACTTTGTTCCTGCTCATCGTCATCGTCGTTCATTAATGCGAAGAAGTTCACGTTTTGCGCCTTCTTCAAAGGTGACGCCCTCGGCTCTACATCTTCGTTGTTTTTCTGAGTGAGCTTGGCGAGAGTTGCTTCTAAATCATCATTCCCTAGCTTTCTTAGAACCCTGGAACTCATTGCTATCCCTTTTCAGTTAGGGATTTGTAAAGCTTGCCCTTTAAGCGGCGATATCTATTAAAATATAAACTTAAAAAATTTTCAAAACCCGAGCTCATCGAAGGAATCAAGCTGAGCTAAAATAAAGATAATCAGCTCGACTACGCATCGATTTGGAATATGGCTAAGAAGAAGACCCTCAAGCAGCAGGACTTCCAAAAGAAAAAGCTTAAGGTTGGTAAAGCCAAGGCAAAGCCTTCCAATTTAACAGATACTTCATTTGTCGCTCGGACGATTTCACTGCCCAACCAATCGAAGATCAATACGAATAATAGTGGCACTCGAGATTCAACTCGTACTGAGGAAGAAGTGTTGAAAAGAATCTCTCTTTGTAGACATCATAGTGCTGTCACAAGAAAAGAAACATTAGTTTATTTCAAGCAGATCATCCCGAAGGTGATCAACTCAAAATGTATCACTCAGATGCTATCTGGGTGTTTTCCGTTAATTTGTGATGAGGATATGCACGTTAGAATAGCACTTCTTGAGCTTTTAGAAGAAATAGGGGAACACGACGAAAATGTCCTCAAGTTGCACAGCAGAGCATTTGTGCTCTTTATTAATAGCGGCATGACACATATCACTCCTTCAGTTCAGAGAGATTCAGGTAAATTTCTGAATTGTGCGATCAAGTATTGTGGGGATGAGATTGTGCGTAGCGCTTGGATCAAAATCTTAAGAGGAATGTTCGGGGTCTTGGGCTGGTCACTGGAAAAGAAGAGCTCCAAAAAGACCGTTAGTATGGGTATCAATAGTGCAAGCGTTGTTAATATGAATAGTTCCAAAGCACAAAAGGCACGAGACATTAATCTGGAAGCACTTCTCAATTTTGTAAAATGTGGATGTTTAGAAGAAACCACCGAAAATGCCTCTGTGAACGACGATAACCAATTTATTTTCGACAAATACATGCTACCCGAGTTTTCCCAGCCTTACCAACATTTAAAACTGTTTACCAAGGAGTTTATTAGCGGCTCTACGATAAAGGGATCTCCAGTAACATCCACATCAACTTTAGAGACACTAAGTGGCATATCTTTTCAGGATTATCCCGCAAGAAGAAAGGTACTTATAGAGCATTTCTACGAAAAAATCATGGAGCATCTTCAAAGCTTAATAGCTGACGGTGGGGAATGTGGCAAGAAGGCGAACGCATTCAAAGGAACTCTCGAGCGTATAAGACTAGTTGACTTGGAAGCGTGAGCGTATACAACTCCATTTTTTTCTAAGACTGCTACTCGAATATGTGTCGCGTCGTAGTCACATGCATGTTGTTACTAACGTCGCCCTTCATCTTAAAGTAAGTCATCGTCTAGTTTCGACGATGAAAGATTACCCCGAATACAACATATTCTTTCGTAATATTGATTACAGCCAAGATATCTTGTCTGCAGAGCTTTTCCCAACTTATTAGCAATCTGTTGTGCCTTAAAAAATTTAAGTTGCAGACTGGTGTATCGCGTTTGATCGGAAAGGCCGATAATTGCATTTTGTTTATTTATGTAATCTTGAATCACCAATTAATACGTATTTTGTGTTTTGGCCTTTACTTACATGCTCGGTTTTTAGTAGGACTTGCCGGTTCTTGTTTGTGTTGTTTGTTATGCCAGTTATCCACGTTTTTCGTGTACACAGAATACCTTTTTGCGTGTTGCTTCATTCGGACTCTATAAAAACGTGAGAAAAAATCTTGACCCCTGAGATCCCATACCTGGCAAAACAACACAACAACGGTAGTGGTACAAAAAAGCTGTCGAAGCGGTTTTCAATCGGTTTAAAAACATATTTAAGGAACTTGCCGTTTGATATATCTCTGGTCGTGGATTTTTTTTTGAGCGTCGTCAAGTAACAAGTATTGTCTGTTGTTGTTATTGATTGTTTGTTATTTTTTGGCAATTATATCGGCAGAAGATACTAATAATTGTACCTATTGTGTTTCTTACTTGTGTTATTTGATTTTTTACCACTTTTTCCGTTTCCTGCTCTCTTAGGTCACCTCCATACATTTGCTGGTTCAAATGTCTTTCAGCTCATCACCCAGATCGTTCCATTACCCACCCAACGGTGGCATGAGTCGGGACTACACACACCAACAGCCCGAGCCGTCGCGTTCCTCTTCTGGTGACTCTCTTCAGTCACGTTCTAATCAGCTGTACATGGGTGACTTAGATTCTAGTTGGGATGAGAACTCTGTCCGCTCGATATGGGCAAGTATGGGTGAACCTAACGTGCAAGTAAAGATGATTAGAAATACAAGCTCATCTGTCGCCAATTCGGGGTATTGCTTCATCGAATTCCCCTCTCACTTGAACGCATCGAACGCGCTTTTGAAGAATGGACTCCCAATTCCCAATGCTCCAAATAAAGTTCTTAAGTTGAATTGGGCCTCTTTTGCAACAGCACCAGGAAATGAGTTCTCGATATTTGTTGGTGATCTGGCTCCAAATGTGACAGAATCGCAGCTATTCGAGCTTTTCATCTCCCGCTACGCCTCGACGCTCAATGCAAAAATAGTTTTTGACCAAGTGACTGGGGTCTCTAAAGGTTATGGTTTCGTTAAATTTGGACACGAAACTGAGCAGCAGAGAGCGTTGTTAGAAATGCAAGGTGTTTTTCTGAACGGGCGAGCAATTCGCGTGAGTACTACTTCCAAGAGTAGATCGAAATTTCAGCAACAGAGTTCACAGTCTCACATGCAATCTCAACAGCTTCCTTCTTCACAGTTGCAGTCTCAATTTGTCTATCCGGTACAGCAACAGCCTGCTATTACTCAGTTCACAGACCCCAATAACACGACAGTTTTTATAGGAGGACTGTCTTCACTAGTTACGGAAGATGAGCTGCGTTCTTATTTTCAACCTTTTGGTTCAATTGTTTACGTTAAAATTCCTGTCGGCAAAGGATGTGGGTTTGTTCAGTACGTGGAAAGAATTTCCGCTGAAACTGCTATAGCCAAAATGCAAGGATTTCCAATTGGGAACTCGAGGATCAGGCTTTCGTGGGGTAGAAGTGCTAAGCAAGCAGCCGCCATGCAACAAGCATTTGCTTCTGCGCTGCAGCAGCAGCAATTACAGCAACAACAACAGCGTCTGCAGCATCAACAGATATTGCAACAGCAGCAACCCTCTAATTTGCCTTATCAGCCACAACCTGCCATGCCAACTTCCTACGGTTATTCCTCAACTTGGGATTCTCTGAATGGCAATTATATGCCAATGTCACAGACTTCATCTATAGGCTCAATTTACAACACAGCGGGTTCTTCCTCAAATTCTCTTTTGGCTGGAATTACTAATTTGGATTACAATGGCTTATCAATGAATATTACTTCATCTAATAATGGTTTTAATTACGTTCCCAGCTATTCCAACTCCTCTGCTGTCATCGAAACCTCTGCGCAAGTACCTGGACCAGTTGAGAATGGTTTTCTAAACGACACGCCGTCTCATCCACAAATTATGGTCCAAGGAAATGATGTTTACGTCAAGAGAAAATCCGAAACGGTGGATAGGTTGGAGAAGGGTAGTAATGGGTTTATTTTTGCCTGAATTTGCATCATCTACTCAATTTGGTTTTTGGTTCCGTGTTTCCTGTTTTATTTTTTTTCGTTTGTTTTCTTCCCCCCTTAGTTGTAGCACATTATGGTACCATTAGGTATTGCTATAACTGCTTAAGGATGTATTCTGGTTTTTTCTGCACTTCCACATATTGTATCAGTTTCTATCTACCTTGTTTCCCTGCTATTCCTTTATGATTTTTGCTAATGAAATTTTCTGAATTAATTACTCTCAAGGCACCAGGAAATGAGTCCAAGTATTCAGTCGATCTTTTCTTGCATATATTAAGATAAATTCAACCTATAATGGACACACTCGCTAAGTTAAATGGACTCATCTCTGTGAAGGTAAATAGTTTTAACTTTTAGAAATAAATTTCGCCTTATATGCCTTCTTACTAAGGTAGCGTTCAATGAATCATTGTAATAATGTTTATGAGAGGCTATGGGACGATTGGCATGAGAATGCGCGTTTCACAAATATTTTTTGAAGATATCAGCCTCGTAATGAAATATATCTGAGGAATAGTTATCTTCTTCCCGCCTGTTACGTACAAGCACCCAGCTTGACACGACGGCCAAATATATCAAAAAAAATGCACTCAGTAAAAATAAAACTCCGCGACGGGGAATCGAACCCCGGTCTCAAGCGCGACAAGCTCGAATTCTAGCCACTAAACTATCGCGGATCAATTTTTGTTGAATGCCGAGAGACCTCCATACTATTTAGACTGTTAGTTAATTCATAGTTCGTGTCTAATTACGGCATTCTGGATCGTAATGAAATGTGACCTGAATTACTTCTGTCTCTCACTCCTCCTTCTAATTGATCCCATGGTATGCTTAGGACTTGCTCATATTTATGGCTATATATTGAGGGCTTATATCAAGCCTCATTATGTCTGAGGTTTCTTTTGGTGTTTCATAGTTTTCTAGTAATATTATTGTTTCATGATAGACGCAAAGACCTGAACGGCGTCGTTACCGGGATTTGTTCCCTTTCCTTCTTATTCACTGAATGTATAATTCATGGATTTTACGTCATGATCAAATTTCGTTGAAGGGTGGTATAATATTTAATGTTTCCAACAAGATGACAGCTTTCTAAATTTTACAATAGTTGAACAGTCAAAAAAAACAATAGGTAAGATGACTTCATTTATTGATGATGAAATACCTCATTTGTGAGCTCAAGAATATTTTCCTATATTACGAGTACCTATAAATATTGTGCGTTTTATGTTAGAAGCCAATTATCGTGCCAACTAAATATCGCAAACAAAAGCTTTTTAAGATGAACTTGTTTGGAAAACTATTTTTTATCACATCATTCTTTCCAAGTGTTTTTTTTCAATTCATCTTTCTTCATTTTTTTGCTGTAGATACTAATGTATCGATCTCATTAAAAACGAAGAAGATCAATGGAAAAATTTTTTAATGTTGCCTCCCTATTTTTCGCCACCTGAGAAAGAGCCCTCCACAGACACGAAAATATCAACACCCTTTTAGACAAAAAAGATACTTAGAGTCATCTGATTTGCTCAAGAACAACAATTATCAAAACTTTGAACCGCAAAGTTTTCGGTGCCGTTCTCAATTTTAAAGGTCCTTCATTCTAGATGATCAAAACCTTGGCATAATATTTTTCACATAACGATGACCACATCATCGAGAGACGAAGAACAGCTAGCAGATCTGAGGTTCAAATATGAACTGCTTATAAATGAACTTTTTCACTTGAAAGAATTTACATCTTTGGTAGAGTTTGATCCGAGCTTTAGAAACTCATCTGAAAGCTTCAATAGCTTTGTCATGAAGAGCGGCCTAGCTTTAACATCGACGGATGGGGAGAGCATCTCTGAAAGCAATGCTACAAGAAGGATCCGCAAGCGTAGTGTGAGGAGTGAACGCTCGTCATACGAGGAAAGAATAAAATCGTTGGACCCGTTGGTTGACGAAAAGTATAAGGAACTACAATACCGGTTAGATGGGGAACCATACATGCATCAAAAAGTTCACAAAGTTACCAGTACTGTTAAGAAAAGAAAGTTGAGCACCAACAGTTCGCAAAAAGTGGTTAAGGTCGAGGAAAAAAAATCGACTACACCTGAATTTCTTCTGAACAAGTCAGTAATAAAACATTCTGTTGGCGATTCAATTTCGGACAATAAGAAGCAGAACTATAATAACGACTACGATGATGATAACAATTACAATGACAATGACAGCTTTTATTTCACGACTTCATCGGAAGAAGATGAAATAGAAAGCAAGAGGTACAGACCAAAAAGGCCACGAATAACTCTTACGGTTAATCCTCCAAAACAAACTGTGACAAACCCGCTACATGTGCTAAAGCCCGGGCATCCCTCTTTGCATGATTTTTTGAATTCCTTCAAATCCTTAGATGATGACCTCACCATCGAAGAGTACAATAAATACATCGACGAGCAAAAAGGCGTTTTTGCAGGCATCCGAAAAGGTTTGCAGAATGGCGTTCTAGAGTATGACCCTTCTACAGATTCTATCAAGGCAATAACTCTTAAGGATGCAACAGGCACTCAATCGAATAAGCCAGAATCAATCACTTTTCTCTACAAAGAGCAGCAGCTATATACTCTACAGGATCATCTCATTAATCAAGGCATAGTCATGAGCAAAATGTTTCAGGACAATAGGAAGGCACGTATTGCTCGGGCGCGCAAAGTTTCTCAGATGATAGAGCAACATTTCAGACATGTTGCTGGTGCAGAGGAGCGTAAACAAAAGGAGGAAGAAAGGCGAATGAAAAACCTAGCAAGGTTAGCGATGCAGGCCGTTAAGAAAAGGTGGCAACTAGCCGAAAAGGCCTTTAGGGTTTTGAAAAAAGACGAGGAAGATCAATTAAAGAAAATACAAGGAAAGGAGCATTTGAGTAAAATGTTAGAACAAAGCACGCAGTTACTGGGAGCCCAGCTTAAGAGAATGGCGACCAATAGTGACGATGACAATGAGAGTATTATGTCCGCAACAAGCGAAAACGAAAATAGTGGTAGTGACAGTGAGTCAATAACGTCCACTTCCTCCTCAGAAAGTGAAACAGGGTTTTCAACTGAGGAAGAGGACACCCGCCTATCTGTGGAGCAATTACAGGCAAAGTATGCTAATCTGGACTCAAGTAACGGTGATGATGATGAAGATTACAAAACATCAAGTGCAGCTCAGGACTTTTTGGCCGATATCGTCTCAGACAGTAACGTAGAACTCTCACAAAGAGAAAAATTGGAGCTAGAGAAGAATTTGAACGATTCGACAGGCACAGTTTTGGATGAAGATGGGGAATCATCGTTGATGGATGATTCATCTGAATTTTCAGAAGAAGAGTCAGAAGATGACAAAGCATCACCAGAGATTTCACAATCATCTGGTCTGGCAACACTTTTGACCAATATTGATGACGATGACGATGATGACGAAGATATATCAGATTATTCTTCTTCTGAAAGAAGTGATGATAATTCTCATGACAGCGATGTAACTTCAATTGATGGGGAGTCAAAAGAAGAGGGCGATTCGGAAATTAAGGTTACGGCAAATGACCATTTGGCCAATGAAGCAGAAACAGATGGAAAACTGGTTGATGATCCTCTCTCTGTTGTAGATGTTCCTATACCATCCCTATTGAGAGGTACGTTAAGAGTTTATCAAAAGCAAGGTCTTAATTGGCTGGCGTCACTTTACAATAATAATACGAATGGAATTTTAGCTGATGAAATGGGTCTCGGTAAGACTATCCAGACCATCTCGCTTCTAGCTTACTTAGCTTGTGAGAAGCACAATTGGGGTCCTCATTTGATCATTGTTCCGACATCCGTACTACTGAACTGGGAAATGGAGTTCAAAAGGTTTGCTCCGGGATTCAAGGTATTAACATATTATGGATCGCCACAGCAAAGAAAGGAAAAGAGAAAGGGCTGGAATAAGCCCAATGCGTTTCACGTCTGTATAACCTCTTACCAATTGGTTGTTCATGACCAGCACTCATTCAAAAGAAAAAAATGGCAATATATGATTCTAGATGAAGCTCACAACATCAAGAACTTCCGGTCAACTCGGTGGCAAGCTCTTTTAAATTTTAACACAGAGAGAAGGTTACTTTTGACGGGTACTCCTTTACAGAATAATTTGGCGGAATTGTGGTCCTTACTTTATTTCCTTATGCCACAAACGAGCGTTGGAAATAACGGTGGAATTCAGGGCTTTGCTGATCTGGATGCTTTCCAGCAATGGTTTGGACGTCCTGTCGACAAAATCATTGAGACAGGACAGGCCTATGAACAAGATGATGAAACTAGGAAAACTGTTGCAAAATTGCACCAAGTACTGAGACCATATTTGCTGAGAAGATTAAAGGCAGATGTTGAAAAACAAATGCCTGCTAAGCATGAGCACATCATATACTGCCGGTTATCAAAACGACAACGATTTTTGTATGATGATTTCATGTCAAGGGCACAAACAAAGGAAACTCTAGCGAGCGGTAACTTCATGTCAATCATAAATTGTTTGATGCAACTGAGAAAGGTTTGCAATCATCCGGATTTGTTTGAGGTTCGCCCCATCACTACTTCATTCGCCATTCCGAGAAGTGTATTACATGATTATACAGAAACGAACGGTTTAATATTGGGAAAGCTACACGCCGATGATCACGACCGACTAGTCGATTTGAATGCGCTGGGCTTGAATTTCACCTCTAATGATCTTACGATGACAAAAGACTTTTCACTGAGTGTTGCAAAATCACAATGCATTGCAGAGTTCACACACGAAATCGCACGACTAAGGCAAGAAGCTGATGCAAAACTAGCTTCTGATGCAGCTGCATCTCCTGTCAATCTTCAGAATATCTCGAAGTTTTATCAAAGCTTTCTTGGTCGAAAATATAAAGGCATGATCGATAAACTCGAATTTTTGAAATACATCAATGCATTCCGCTGCTCCAAAAGACCAGTTTATGGGAAGAACTTGGTAGATCTCTTAAAAGTCAGTGACAAAATAAATCACGAACTTGGGTTCGATGAAGAAGCAATCAAACCTCTTGAGACAAGGGTGAAGACATACAATAACGTAATTGAAAAATTCGCCGTCTTGACACCTCCTGTGGTGACTTTGGACAATCGAGATCTTTCTGTGGGGCTCAACCCCGAAAGCGTTCTACATCCAGCAACAAAGAATCTATTACGGTACGAAATGATACACCTAGATAATTCGTTTCATCACTTACAAACAAAACTCGCCATCGCCTTCCCTGATAAGTCATTATTGCAATATGATTGTGGCAAACTACAAAAGCTAGCTCAGTTATTGCGAAACCTCAAAGATGGTGGCCATAGGGCTTTGATTTTCACGCAAATGACCAAAGTTCTAGATATTTTAGAACTTTTCCTGAATTATCATGGTTATTTGTACATGAGACTGGATGGTGCTACTAAAATTGAAGACAGGCAGATTTTGACAGAGCGTTTTAATAGTGATCCAAGAATAACTGTTTTCATTCTATCCAGTAGATCAGGTGGTTTAGGTATCAACCTTACAGGTGCTGACACGGTGATTTTTTACGATTCAGACTGGAATCCAGCTATGGACAAGCAATGTCAAGATCGTTGTCATCGTATTGGGCAGACGCGCGATGTGCACATATACCGGTTAGTAAGTGAGAACACAATTGAAAGTAATATACTAAAGAAGGCGAACCAGAAACGAGAATTAGATAACGTTGTGATTCAACGCGGTGACTTCACAACTGACTACTTTACTAAGCTTTCTGTGAAGGATCTGCTTGGAGCGGAAGTTCCTAACGTTGCCGCAAATGATAAGCCACTACTATTCGATAGTGATGCAGCTACTAAAGATCCACGCAAATTAGAAAAGCTGCTTGCTCAAGCGGAGGACGAGGACGACGTCAAAGCTGCTAATTTGGCAATGAGAGAAGTTGAGGTTGACAACGAAGACTTTCACGAGAACAATGACGGTCTTGATCAAGTAGACCAGCAAAATCCTCCAGATGATGAGTACGAGGGAACAAGGCATGTCGAAGAGTACATGATACGTTTCATAGCAAACGGTTTTTATAATGATTGACCTTGTATATATATTATTAGCATGTAAGGACATTAAACTAACTCGCGCATTTCAGATAGTACCGGAGCCCTAAACATTCTCCTTTGTATAAGATGCAAACATACCTGGTCAGGTTATGATGACCAAAGCCTCTTGTAAAAACTTTATTCCAGTACTCTAAGAACTCCAAAGCCACTTTTGTTTAGATGCGGCAGAAACTCATTAAACATTGGATGATCGTGCATTGACTCTCTTGCGATGGCTCAGAGGGTCCTACTGCAAGTGTCAGAGGGTCCTACTGCAAGTGTCAAAAGGGTCCTACTGAAAATATCCAAGAGCGTTCGGCCCAAAGTCAACGAATCTCAGCTTCACCATCTTAGCTTCTTGAGCTTCCTGAGCTTCCTGCTATAGAGAGTGTACGTAAGAGCCATTACGTCAAATTCAACATCCATAAAAATTCAAATTCGGACAAAATTACCTATATTTGTAATAGCAAAATGACATGAGTTAAGCAAAAGCAAACAAAGATCAAATTGTTCTCGAAAAAAATCGAGAGTCAGCCGTTCTATGAATAGGGGAGATAAAATATATAAATGGCTGAGGTATTCTTCTTAATGAGACGTGCTTTATAGTAGTCAGTAATCAAGAGTCTAAACAACTTATAACCAAACAAAAAACACTATGTCTGCAGTCAAATATTTCTACAAGGGTCAAGATACCGACTTTATCATTTTCGTTGAATCCATTGAAGGTGTTGAGAATTATCTAAAGGATCCATCTATCAGCAAGCTGACTTCCGTTGTGGAATTGTTCAAGGTCTTTACAAATAGACAAGGCGATGGTGCTGAAGGTGAATTAGGTGAAGTTTCCAATGCTCAACTTGAAAATGAGTTTGGTAAGGGAATCAAAATCGAACAAGCCATTGACAGAATTCTTAGAGAAGGATCCGTGAACGGTAAGGGTAACGTGAACAGCCACAAGTTCACCTCTACCAATGACTCTCATTCTACCTACTAAATAGAACGCCGTGGTTGGCAATTATCGTCATTTAGTTAAAGTTTTGCATATTTAAATAAAAAATGTCAATGATTTTTCGTATCTTCTACAAACGAGACCAGGATTTAATCGTACCAGGTTTTCTCAACTTCGTTGGGCTAAAGAGCCAGTCTCTGAGTCTTCAAACGGTGGATGCCTTGACCTACGTGAGAATACACGCCTTAGAGACCATCTAGTAGTGCGAAGTGTTGAGGCGGTGCGATTACTCGAATCCGTTCCAGGGAATGTTTTGGAACGAGCATTTGATTTGAGACTGTCAGTGTGAGAAAATGGTTCGTAAATTATAGTAGTTGTTTCAGGTACAGTTGGAGGCATATCTGAGATGGTAGTGGGGATCGCCGAGCTCCACACGTCATGCATGTATCTTTCGATCTGTCGCCTTTCATTATGAGCTAGCTCGACATAGAAGGACACTTGGTTGGTGTTTTCGGAGGGGATTAGCAAAGCTCTTGTGTGATCATGAGATGGCGGTCTTTGAGGCGTTCTTTGGGGCGTTCTTGCTAGTGTCAAGGACGAATTACTTCTTGTAATAGTATCGAATTGACTCCCCTTCGCAAGCCAAGTGCCCAGGGCTGAATCATCGCATAATTTCCTATGAGCTATTTCAACAACAACGTCTTGGTTCGTATAGCAGGCGTCAGTAGGGTTTTTGCCTTTTCGGTAAATGGAAGATGAGCGTTGGATTTTCTCAGATAGCCTTTCATCGTATGCTTGCCAGGGAACCATTTGTTTGGGGAAAGTAGTGGAGTCACTAAAATGAAGTGTATCCAGTGTGGACTGGGCATCGAAATCAGGCTCACTGAATTGGTGAGGTCCATTTATAACGTCTACGAAAAGTTCCAGTTGTGTCTTCCAAATTTTAAATTCCTGCTCGTTATGACACACCAGTAGTACTTCCCAAATTTTGAAATCGCATTCAAATTGCATCTTTAGTGCGAACTCATGGGGCGTTTGCAACCCGGAATGACTCGACAGCGAGGGCGGAGTCACGAGCTTACAAGTTGCCAGTCGCAGGGCAAATTTGATGTGCCAAATAGGCTGAATACCAAGATTCTTGGAAGGCAATATGGTCGCCAATACGAGATAGGATTTGAAGAGAAATGCGCCCAACTGTTTGTGATGCAAGTGGGGCGCTCTCTTGTGACGTGAGAAGTTATTAAAGTACCGAGAATGCCTGTGAGAAGTGGTCGATAACGTGAAATATCCGGCTACGGGCCATACGACGGTCAAGCAACCTCTCAAATAGCAATGGCCCATAGCTTCAATGGGGATGTGTTCTTCCGGACAGGGGAACTGGAGACGCGTCTGTAAGCGCACGAGCAAAGGGTCGTGCTGAGGCTCGGAGCTCGAGTCGTCGATCAGCAAGAGAGTGCTATGGAGCCGTGCGGACGAAGTCTTGATTTCCCTGGCGAGCACCAGGCATTTGGTTTCTCCCAGCCGCTCGAGATCGGTTGGGGAAGGCCGTTCTGTGAGCGTCACGAGGGACTCGAGGAAGAGTCGGTACTTGGCGAGTCTGTTGAGAGGCCGCTGGATCATGGCGCGGAACGAGAAATCGCGCTTGTAATCGTGGGGCAAAGTAGAGGAGCAATATCGGGGGAGACACAACTCGATTTTGAGCAGGATGGCAAATAGCAACGCGTCGTGGCCCGCGGACGCCATGTTCGAGAGCATGTCGCTGATCTGGCGGTACAACAGCAGGTAATTGCGGTAGTGCTGGATGGGGAGCGGGGCGAGGGCAAGCAACTGGGCGAGCTGGTGGCAAAGCTCCAGCTGGTCCCAGGAGCGCAGCGCGGGGTCTTGCCAGCGGGAGTCGGCGGAGTCGTCGGAGTCGTCGAAGCGCCTGACGCGGCGGTTGACCAACTGGGCGAGCTGCGCCGCGAAGGCGGCGTGGCGCGCGCGGATCCGCGCAACGACGCTGCTGAGCATGCGCATGGGCACGTAGTCGTTGGTGGCGAGCACGTCCAGAAACCCGTGTTGCAGCAGCGCGAGCGCGTGGAGATACTCGGTTTCGGACTCCAGTATTTCCTCGACCAGGCGCTGGCGCTTGTAGTGCTGGACGATGGCGCCGATGGGGAGGCCAGGGGGGGTGTTGAGCGAGTGGTCTATGTAGTCCTTTATGAACTGGACGGGGCTGGCGACGCTGGGGCCGGGAGAGCCGCGAGGCGACTGCTCGGAGGAGGCACAAAAGGAGGCGGACGCGCTGGCGATGGGGGGGTCGGGGGAGTCGAGAGAAGCACTCATGCACAGTGGGGGGGGGGGGGCGAGAGGGCGAGCGAGAGCGAGAGCCAGAGCCAGAGGGAGGCGCCAGAGCCAGAGGGAGGCGCCAGAAGTGAGGGTCGCAGTGGGATGGAGCAGATATGCCAGCGCCGTGCCAAGTGCGCTGGCGCCGGCGCGCCGCGCGCCGGGCCGCTTTTGTGGGGGGTTACGTCAGCGGCGGCCGTTGGGAGGGACGCTCGAGGCCACGTGACGCGCACCGCACCCACACACACGCCACCCAGACACACGGCACCGCCGTGCTTAGCGACCTCGCGTCCCGCCTTACGTCAGCAGCGCCTTGTTTTGGTTTTCGCCGCCGCGTTCCTGCGCCGTCCGCTCGAGCGCCGTCCGCTCCCCTGAGCCCGCGACAAAACCAGCGGCCCTGACTTGGTTGCCACTCCGCGCTCCGCGGCCGCTCCTACAGCCGCCCCGTACAGCCGCTTGCCGCCGCGCGTCACGTGCCCGCCCCTCTCTTCCGCAAGGGTTCCCCCCCGTTTGCGCATCCGCGTTCCGGCCGCGCTGCACCCCTGGGCCCTGAGCCCTGCGTCCGGCCGTGCATCGCGCTCCTGCGTCCCTCGTCCCTCGTCCTATCCCGTCCCCGGCCGCGCTCGCTCCTCCGCCGCCTCCCCTCCGTTGCGTCGCTCGTCCCTTGGTCCCTTCGCCACCGCCGCCGCCGCCTCAGCGTCGTCTGCGGCGTTAGCCGCGGACGCCGGCGCACGTGACCTAGGGACACCGCCCGACCGGGCCGCGGGTCACTCGCGACGGCGCGTTCCGCGGAACGCCCTCGTGCAGCGCGGCCGCCCCAGAGTGGCCCGCAGGGACGCCTCCCCGCGGGCCGCCTGGGTGGCGCAGGCTGTTCCGCGGAACCTCGGCCGAGACGCCCGCGGCTGCCGCCCGCAGATACGAGGTTTGCTACTTGGCTCTGTGCAGCCGCAGGGTCGCTGCAGCGGTGGCGCCAGGACAACAACACTGAAGGGTCGTTGTATAAAAGTGTCTGCGATGCAAGAGCAGGGTCTGCGTGGTACGAATGTTGGTCCCCACCTAGAACGCACTATCCTTTGGAAGAAAGTTGTGGCATCATGTCAAATAACCCGTTTGACACGACGGACTCTAAATCAGGTGCAGACAGGATTTCGGCCATCTCCAAAAGCTCGGAGAGCAGTGGCAGCAGGTCGGACAAACACCAGGAGACAGCGTATACCGGCATGGACCAGAAGGCAGAGCGCCAGATCCGAGATCTCGCGCGCTCGCTCACGGCGGCGTCGCGTGCCAGCCAGCACTCGCTCAGCGGCGGCGGCGGCGGCGCCGCCGCCGCGGCCGCTGGCCGCGGTGGCGATTACGCCCCGTCGCTTTTCAGTCGCTACGACGGCGACGCCATCAACCCCGTTTTCACAGACGCAAACGCCCAGGGCTACGATCCCAAACTCGATCCCAACTCGGACGAATTCTCGTCCGTCGCGTGGGTCCGCAACATGAGCCGGCTCGCCGCGTCGGACCCAGAATACTACAAACCGTACTCGCTCGGGTGCGCGTGGAAAAACCTGCGTGCGTTCGGCGACTCCACCGACGTGGCGTACCAGGCCACCGTGGCCAACCTCCCAGTCAAACTCGGCGAATACCTGTACCGGATGATGCGCAAGAGCCGGCCCTCGGACTCGTTCGACATCCTGAAACCCATGGACGGCATTGTGCAGCCCGGCGAGCTGCTCGTGGTGCTGGGCCGCCCGGGCTCCGGCTGCTCCACGCTGCTCAAGTCCATCTCGTCCAACACGCACGGGTTCCACATCGCAGAGAACTCGGTCATCTCGTACGACGGCATGTCCCCGCGCGAGATCGTCAAGCACTACCGCGGGGAGGTCGTGTACAACGCAGAGGCCGACGTGCACTTCCCGCACTTGTCTGTGTTCCAGACCCTCAACACCGTCGCGCGGCTCACCACCCCTTCCAACCGTATACAGGGCGTCGATCGTGAGACGTTTGCGCGCCACGTCAGCGAGGTCGCCATGGCCACCTACGGTCTGTCCCACACCCGCAACACCAAGGTCGGAAACGAGCTGGTCAGAGGTGTGTCCGGCGGTGAGCGTAAGAGAGTCTCCATTGCCGAAGTGTCGATCTGCGGCTCCAAGTTCCAATGCTGGGACAACGCCACACGTGGTCTGGACTCCGCCACCGCGCTCGAGTTTATCCGTGCGCTGCGCACCAACGCCCAGCTCACCTCGTCATGCGGTGTGATCGCCATCTACCAGTGCTCCCAGGACGCCTACGACCTCTTCGACAAAGTGTGCGTTTTGCACGAGGGCTACCAGATTTTCTACGGCCCTGCCAAAGAGGCCAAGCAATACTTCTTGGACATGGGTTACGTGTGCCCCGAGAGACAGACCACCGCAGACTTCCTCACCGCCGTCACCAACCCAGCCGAGAGAATCCAAAACCCAGAATACATCAAGGCCGGTCGCAAGATCCCTGCTACTGCAAAGGAAATGGAGGCCCATTGGAAGCAATCTGAAAACTACCGCAGGCTCATGGACATTATCGACACCCACTTGAGCGGGGACGCGGATGCCAACAGACTGCAATTGCAGGAGGCCCATCGCGCAAAACAATCCAAGCGTGCCAGACCTTCCTCCCCTTACACCGTCAGTTACGGAATGCAAGTCAAGTACCTTCTGATCAGAAACATGCAAAGAATCAGAAGTGATATCGGTGTCACGGTTTTCCAGGTCGTCGGTAACGCCAGTATGGCCTTCATCCTCGGTTCCATGTTTTACAAAATTTTGAAGCATTACGATACGAGTGGTTTCTACTCTCGTGCCGGTGCTTTATTCTTTGCTGTTTTGTTCAATGCATTCTCGTGTTTACTGGAAATTTTCGCCCTTTACGAGGCCAGACCTATCTCGGAAAAACACAAGCGTTACTCTCTGTACCACCCATCTGCAGACGCTTTGGCATCTGTCATTTCAGAAATACCCACCAAGGTTTGCACTTCCATTTGTTTCAACATTGCACTCTATTTCCTCTGTAATTTCAAGCAAGAAGCTGGCGCTTTCTTCTTTTATTATTTGATGACTGTGGTTGCTACATTCACCATGTCGCATATCTTTAGATGTCTCGGTGCTGCTACAAAGACTTTCTCCGAAGCAATGGTACCTTCATCACTTTTGCTTTTGGCTATGTCTCTTTACACTGGTTTCGCCATCCCCAAGACCAAAATGTTGGGATGGTCCAAATGGATATCTTACATTAACCCTCTATCGTACATTTTTGAGTCAATCATGATCAATGAGTTCCACGACACTGATTTCCAATGCTCTCAGTTTATTCCAACCGGTGCCGATTACACCAACGCCTCTGGAACTGAACGAGTCTGTTCTTCAGTCGGTGCTGTCGCTGGTCAATCTTATGTCTCCGGTGATGACTACCTATCATTAGCTTACACCTATGAACACAAGCACAAATGGAGAGGGTTTGGTATTGGTATGGGTTACATCGTATTCTTCTTGGGTGTTTACTTAGTGTTCACTGAATTCAATGAAAGTGCCAAGCAAAGAGGTGAGATCTTAGTCTTCACCAAGTCTACTTTGAAGAAAATGAAAAAGGATCGTCAGTTGCAAGAAAAATCTGGGTCTTCACAAGGCGACCTTGAGCATTCCGCTGGCGTCGACACTGTCAATGAAAAGAAATTGCTCGAGGATTCCAGCGACAATAATTCTACTGATGGCGTGAAGATCTCCAAATCAGAGGCAATTTTCCACTGGAGAGATGTTTGTTACGATGTTAAGATCAAGAGTGAAAACAGAAGGATCTTGAGCAACGTCGACGGTTGGGTTAAGCCTGGTACGTTGACTGCTCTTATGGGTGCATCTGGTGCTGGTAAAACTACCTTGCTGGATTGTTTGGCTTCGAGAGTTACCATGGGTGTTATCACCGGTGACATTTTCGTCAACGGTCATTTACGTGACGCCTCTTTCCCAAGATCCATCGGGTACTGTCAACAACAAGATTTGCATTTGCAGACCTCCACCGTACGTGAATCTCTGAGATTTGCAGCTTATCTGCGCCAGCCTTCATCTGTTTCGATCGAAGAAAAAAATGATTATGTCGAACAAGTTATTAAGATCTTGGAAATGGAAAAATATGCAGACGCCGTGGTCGGTGTTGCTGGTGAAGGTTTGAATGTTGAACAAAGAAAGAGATTGACAATTGGTGTTGAAATGGCAGCTAAGCCCAAGTTATTGCTTTTCCTTGACGAACCTACTTCTGGTTTGGATTCTCAAACTGCTTGGTCCATTTGTCAACTGATGAGAAGACTTGCAAACCATGGGCAAGCCATTCTATGTACTATCCATCAGCCTTCTGCTCTACTAATGCAAGAATTTGACAGACTACTATTTTTGCAACGTGGTGGTAGAACCGTCTACTTTGGGGACTTGGGAGAAGGTTGTCAGACCATGATAAACTACTTCGAAAAACATGGCGCTCACAAGTGTCCACCTGGTAACAATCCTGCAGAGTGGATGCTTGAAGTTATCGGCGCGGCTCCTGGATCTCACGCATCTCAAGACTATCATGAAGTTTGGAGAAACTCCCAAGAATATCAGGATGTTCAAAAAGAACTTGATTGGATGGAAAGAGAATTGTCTAAGAAACCTTTGGATACTAGTGATGAACAAACTGATTTTGCTACTTCTCTATTGTACCAATACCGTTTGGTCACAGAACGTCTTTTCCAACAATACTGGAGAACTCCTTCCTACATATGGTCGAAAGTGCTACTGACGTTAATTTCTCAAATTTTCATTGGATTCACTTTTTTCAAAGCTGATAATTCTTTGCAAGGGTTGCAGAACCAGATGTTGTCCATTTTCATGTTTACAGTTGTCTTCAATCCTACTTTGCAGCAATACTTGCCAACCTTTGTTTCTCAAAGAGATTTATATGAAGCCAGAGAGAGACCTTCTAGAACGTTTTCGTGGAAAGCTTTTATTTTGTCTCAAATTACCGTGGAGATTCCATGGAATTTTGCCGTTGGTACTTTGGGATTCTTCATCTACTACTATCCAGTAAGCTTCTACAGGAATGCTTCCTTTGCCGATCAATTACATGAGAGAGGTGCTTTGTTTTGGTTATTCTGCACTGGCTTCTATGTTTACGTCGGTTCTGTGGGTCAAATGTGTGTTGCAGGTGTTGAAGTTGCAGAGTCTGCTGGCCATATTGCATCCTTACTATTCACCCTGGCTTTGTCATTCTGTGGTGTTATGGTTACGCCTGGAAACATGCCGGGCTTCTGGAAATTTATGTACCGCGTTTCGCCTCTCACCTATTTCATCGATGGTCTTTTGTCTACCGGGCTTGCAAACGCTGACGTTGCTTGTTCCTCATACGAATTAGTTCATTTCACTCCTCCCGCTGGTCAAACATGTGGCGAGTATATGACTCCATACATCGAGAGTGTAGGTACTGGGTACCTAACAAACCCAAGCTCCACCGATCAGTGCAGCTTCTGTACCGTCTCAAACACAAATGATTATCTGGCGGCTGTAAGCTCCCATTACAAAAATAGATGGAGAAACTACGGTATTTTCTTGTGTTACATTTTCTTCGACTACGCTGCCGCCATTTTCTTCTATTGGTTGGCTAGAGTTCCTAAGAAGAAGAACAGAGTTGCTGATGAAAGGGATCCTGATACAATTGCAAATGCGAAAAAGTCGACAAAGACAGACGCATAACCTTTCCAATTCTTTTTCTACTGGTGAACTATAAATTTTCCCGATGAGTTCCAAGTTTGGACACTTAATCAGACTTTTAATAATTCACTCATTGAATCTTGATTGTATACTAAATACCCACTATGACCTTTGTCACAGGCATACATTAATTCATGTAATTAGTAAATATAAAGTTTGCTACCAGAATACCACTTATGCTATAGGTTTGAGTCTCGAGTCTCTTATGGGTCATGTGATACGTATGATAAATATTTCTTTTTTGATTATCAACAACTATGGAGTAGAAGAAAATTTTCTAAGCGATGAGCTCTTTCACTACCAGAGAACGGTTCCACAAGCGATAAACTACACATTTCATCACAATGGCGGCCGAGGAAATTAGGATTAAGAATAAAATGAAAAGACAGCAGCTTTTTGCTGAACTGAAAGATCAAAAGAACAAAGAGCGTCATAAGATGAGAAGACAAAGGGCAAAAGAGGAGCGGGAGAATCCAGAGATGAAAGAGCAGAGAATGAAAGAAAACGTTCCTAACACGATAGACAATATGAGAGTATATGACGAAACTATAAATCAAGACGCGGAAGGAGGCGATGAAGATTTTGCGAGTTTTTTCAATAACGGTAATGAACCTCCAAAGATTCTGCTTACCACGAATGTGAATGCCAAAAAAGCGGCTTACGAGTTTGCCAACGTACTTATAGAAATTTTGCCCAACGTTACATTCGTGAAAAGGAAGTTTGGTTACAAGCTTAAGGAGATTGCGGAGTTTTGCAACAACAGAAACTACACTGATCTTGTGATCATCAATGAGGACAAAAAGAAGGTCACTGGCCTCACTTTTATACATCTGCCCGAAGGCCCTACATTTTATTTTAAGATTAGTTCCTACGTGGAGGTGAAGAAAATTGTCGGTCACGGACGACCAACTAGTCATATTCCAGAGCTTATTCTCAACAACTTTCAAACCACACTGGGAAAGACTGTCGGTCGTCTTTTCCAATCTATTTTCCCCAAGAATCCTGATTTCGAGGGAAGACAGGTCATAACGCTGCACAATCAAAGAGATTACATTTTTTTCCGGAGACATAGATACGTTTTCCGCAATGAGGAAAAAGTTGGTCTCCAAGAACTGGGGCCCCAATTCACCATGAAATTGCAAAGACTGCAAAGAGGCATCAAGGAGGAAACCGAATGGGAGCATGCACCGGAAATGGACAAGGAAAAGAAGAAGTTCTACTTATAGAAAAATCGCCATTCAAATGTGTACAAAGAAATATAAAAGTCATACCTAATAAATTAAAATTCTCTTGGGAATTACTGAAGCAAAAAATGGGAATTCAGTCATATGACCAGTCCGTTATATACCTTTATACGATAATTTGTTCAGAGCGGAAAATCGCTGCCCCTTTCCTCAAGCCAATTCAGTTTTCTCTGGGTGGCGTAAGGTCACGTAAAGATCAGCACACACAGCACGAAAAGCCACAAATCTCAGTTCATTTGGTGCATTCATTGCTATAGCGAGTTTATTTGTCGAAGAAGTTTAATTGCTAGATTTAGTGAAAAGGCAGGCTGTCACAATGGACTCGAATGGCGCGTCGCAGATCGTTGGTGCTTTGGAAGTGATTTACTCACCGAAGTCAGACAATACGCGACGGTTGGAGGCTCAGAAGTTCCTTGACCAAGTAAAACTACACGAGGAATCGCCATTTTGGGGTTATGAAATCGCTTTGAATAACCCCGGCAATTTCATCTTGAAGCATTTCGGTTTAGGTCTTCTTTCTAACGCCATTAAAAAGAACTGGGCCGAATACGACCAGGAGAAGAAAGTGGCGCTACGAAAGTGGGTAGTCGAACTCAATTATAGAGTTCAGGATAATGACCCCCGCTATATTAAGGAAAAACTAGCATATTTGTGGGTAGAGATAGCCAAGCGCATCTGGGGTGAAGCGCTGCGTGAAGACAATCCTAATGAAAATCAACTTCTAGAATCTTGGGCCGATATGGACAGAAATTTGGTTGAGTTGTGGCAGATGAGTGAGGCCTCACGGGAACTTACGCTTATAATTTTCCGGACTCTCTTCGAAGATGTATTCCTGTTGGAAGACCTAACCGTACTGAAGAGAGTGGCGGTAATACAGCCGCTTTGTGTTATGATAATCAGTCCTATGGACATTTTTTCAGCCAGATACAAATTCACGGATAAATGGACTCTTTTCAAAGCAGAAGGAGAAGGCTGGTTTTCATTGTGGGTGTCGGAGTTACAGATAGCATTAGAAGCCAACAACGCTGTTTATGTGACGAGGCTACTTGAAACGCTGAAAACATGTCTTAACTGGTCACTGAGCGAAATAATTATAAGGAACGACGTTCCAGGGCTTCTCTTAAAGTGCTTGTTAAGCAACATTCCAAAAGCACAATCGATGGCATTAGATTCTCTGCATATTCTTTTAACCCGTCCATATAGCGATGACTCGCATTATCAAACTGTAATCAATAAAGTGTTCAACAGCATGGACCTGCTGGACAAAGTTTACGACAATTTGCAGTTTGACCCTAATGATATTGATGAAATCAAGTATCCCATCGTCAAGAAATTCGTTGACATGATAAGCTGCTTGTATACGTGTGTTTTCAAAGTCGATGGAGATGATAATCAAATTGAAAATTACTTGAGGTTGGTCTTGAGAACAACTTTCAATCCCAGCTTAATCGTTAGTGGCCTAACGTTAGACCTGTGGTGTTCGTGCCTACGGAATGATGATTTTCTTCCGTTGCTAGAGAAATTCGTTATTCCTGAACTTTTGCAGTTCGCAGCAGATGCCTTAGTGTACTATGAACAAGTCGAAAATCACGTTTCTAAAAACTTTGCAGATATCGACTTTCAATCAACCTCTGAGTTCCAGTCATTTTGCTCAACTTATAGAAAGCGAATTAGAGATATCATTAGACTCATTTCGTGTGTTCAACTGGATTACACATATGACTGGCTGAACGCACGCTTGAATGCATATTTCAGCTCTCAATATGGGCAGCAAGTACTGAATTCTACATTTTTAGACCATAAGAAAGAACCATATTTGAGTGCACTATCGCAGCTTATGGTTGTAGAATGTTTCATCAATGGTTGCATAAGGTGGAAGATATGGTTCCCAGATAGTCCCACATATGATGAAAAGCTAAACATCATTTTAGGAAAAATTGAAACGCTTTCAGATCAGCTTATCGCATTGAATCTAAAGGAGCCCCTTCTTCTAAAAAAACAGATTCAGAATTTTGCATTATTTTTGACGATATTGAAGGATAACGTCTTACTAAAATTACTTGAAAAAATCATCACCAGTGCCACTATGGAATACCCAGATATTGACCTAGAGGATAAAAGTGAGAACTCAGATGCTGTTCGCGACTTGAGATACGCTTGTGGAATTGAACTTAACAGAATGGCAATTCTGATGCCTGATTCTCTTTGTCAAATCTATGATGATTTAGAAAACGTGGTAGGGAGCATTTTACCTCGCCTTTCGTATCACGAGAAAATATCTTTCAAGTCTTTCCTCTTAACGATTATCTTAAAATCATCATTAGGCGAAAAAGAAGAAAGATTTGCCTCTATTGTTGATCCTGAACTGGCGGCGTGGTCAGATAAAAGCACTGTCGTTGGATTGACAGATCTCCCTTGGTTTATGGAGAGATTGGGTATAGTACAAATTGCTGAATATTTCCAGCGAAGGGAAATAAATGAAAACAGTGATTTGCTGGCTATTCAGATTGATGACGAGGGTAAGAAATTGAAAACAGAACTTTCAAAACGCTGGCAAACGTTGTTCCCTGTCCGAGCTACCAGGATGTTTGTGCACTACTCCATGCAAAGCATAAAGAATGACAAAGAATTTCAGATGTTGCAAACGTTATGGAAGCCTCGTATTGTGCCAATTCTGCCTTATATCATGCGCCTTCTCTATCAATTACAGTCCTACCATGATCCAGATAATTGGAAAGAATTACCCGTGGTTGTTCAATCGTTTGTCAAATGCTCTACAATCGAACGTTTCTGGGAAGCAGGTGCTTCTAATAAATCGAAGGATGAGTTTATCGACGAGCACATGAAAGCCATGCAGACGGTTCGTGATTTCGCCGATTCAGTTGGTCATATCGTAAGATATACCAGAGAATATGTCCTTTTAGTTGTGAGTGCTATTTCCAGTTTGGGTAGTGTTTTGTACGAGATCGAAGAACTGCCACAGCTTTTAATGGACTCTATCGCCATATACAAACCAACAACAGGCGATATCAGCCCTGGAGTTTCCACACATGGTTGGAAACATATAATAAATGTCGCTGTTAGGCCTTTGTTGAAGAACTGTCCCGAAGAATGTGCACCAAAATTTTTCGGAGCTTTTCTACCCAAACTCTTTGATACTCTTGATGTTCTCCTTTGTCAGAAATGGTCTCTTTACATGAATGACATAGATGTGAACCCTTCTCCTCGCGATGACGATGAAATGACAGAAGAAATTTTAGAAGAAAATTTGTTAAGGCAGTTAACAACGGTTGTTGTACGACTGTTAATTGACTGTGTCGGCCAAGTCAGTAGCAGCTCGCAAGCATCGAAATTGAAACTTAATAGCCATCAGTTGAAGATGCGCAAAATTATTTTCGGTGATATAAACATCATGGCACCTTTTTTAAAGCTGTTGAATCATCTCATGTCTTTTAGGGATAGCAAGTGTTCTTTTAATTCAATTCTCGTGATGAAAAGTTGTTTGGTTGACACATTAATAAAGCACGAGAAAGTTGATGAGTATTTTACAGTAGAAGTTATGCCTAATCTACTGTTTAATGTCCTGAGCCAGTCAGCATTTAAGGATTCTTTTTATGAGGGTTTGTATGCCTTCACTGTAATATTTTTGACTCTCTGCAAGGAATACAGAAGTTTCAGAGAGTACTTATTTCAGATTTCGCACGGGTTTGACATAGAAGGTCTATATGAAAATGTGAGAAGCGTGGAGAATTACAAGAATCAAAGGGCTCTCATGGTTGAGTTTATCGATTGGATTAAAACAGTGAATGGCAATGGTGAAGACCACGATGAAGATGACAAGAAGCGGCAAGAAAAAAGGCAGGCCGTTTTGCAGAGGGCAAACGAGAGGCTCATCAAGAAAAATAAAGAACAGGGGGATCTTCTTGATGATCCAAATACTGAAGATGGCGCCATGGGTAGCTTATTTGGTACCGAATAACTGCGTTCGAATGCATTATAACTTTATCGTTTTATATATTTGTACTTTAACGTACTCTGTAGTATTTTTTTGTCACCGATATCACTTTCTACTTAATACATCCGGTCTATAATCTTGAAGCGAACTAATGAAAAGAGTCAAAGTTTCGCACTCGCGCACGAGATTCATCCATGTCCAACGGACTTGCCAAAATAAGCATATTAATGAAATTCGGAACATTGTACTAAGGGCCAAGTTGCCATCTTCAACTTGCGAAGCGACAACCAATTACGATTCCAAGCCTTCTACAAAACCTAAAGAAAAAGCGCGAATGAATAAGCTGAAGACCACTACCTTTGAAAAGCTGCGCCTAAAATATAATTGTGACTATACTTCACCTACGCCTTCTCAACAAGGTTCGATTAATCACTTTTTCAACACAGCGAAAGTTACGTGGGAATGGAGCGCATCCAAATTCTTAGACATTCCTGGCGAAAAGTTGAGCCTTGACTTGGAAGCAAAAACCATAGCAATGAACGCGAAAGTGGAGGAAGATAGACGGTTTAGTAGTTCGGTAAGTATAGGCCTGCCTAATACTTCTACTGATCATATCTCGCAACCAACATCGATCAATAATAGAAAATTTCCTGGAAAAACCAACGGCATCCCATTCGAATTGATCAATGGGCTTCCTGAGGTTGCATTTTTAGGAAGGTGCAATGCAGGAAAATCCACCCTTTTGAATAATCTTACAACTCAGTTCTCCCAGATAAAGCTTAATGATTACGCTAAAGCGTCACGAAAAGCGGGTTTTACCAAAACTATAAATTGTTATAATGTAGGTAGAAGATTTCGAATCATAGACACACCTGGATATGGAATTAAAAGCACACAAGAACAGGGTAAAGTAACCATGCAATATTTGCGAGATAGAAAAGAGCTACGAAGAAGTTTCTTACTGATTTCTGCTGAGCAAGGTTTTTCTCGTTTCGATTCTCAAATAATTGATTTTCTCACAACGTTTGGCATACCATTCGAGATCGTTTTCACTAAGTTGGATAAAGTACGGGACACGAGCATGATCGAAAGAATAATAGACGAGAGCAGAGTTCTTGAATTGCCCACTCAGCCCCAAATGATATTCCTTAATTCTGTCACTAACAAGCAGTTCAAAAGAAGGTATGGGATTGGGCAATTGAGATGGGCAATTTTACAAAGTTGCGGCCTGGCTTATGATATCAAGCCTTCAAGGACTAAATAATGCATTTCTGTTAGATATAGGTCTTGAACATTATTACATAAGCCTTCAAGAGGATATTATACAGTAAATCGAACGTTGTGTAGTTTTAGTTGCCGGAGATATCAATTCTTCACTCAGAAATGTGACTCAGAACCTTCTACCTCCACGTCCCCCACGGCTGCTGAAACCGCCTCTACTGCCGCCACGGCCGCCTCTGGCGCCGAAACCTCCACGACCACCTCTAGAGCTAAATCCACCACGGCCACCGAAGCCACCTCTACTTCCGCCACGGCCTCCGAAGCCACCTCTACTTCCACCACGACCGCCAGGAGCACCAGTTCTCTTCTTCTTTGGCTTTGGAGGGCCAGCAACCTTAGGCTTTGGCAAAAACCTCTCGATTGGCAATAACTTATCAGGGGCAATGAAGAATTTATCACCTTCTTTGAAGCTCGTAGCTTGGACACCTTCAGAGCATTTGATCGTGAAGAAAACTTCATTCAAAGGACCCAAAATTTCGTCAACTTTACCAATCTGTGTCTTGTTTTCCAGGTAAATAGGGGCATTGAAATAGGGAATTTTAGTGTTGATGGAACGACATACAATGTCGCCCTCACAGGGATGCAAGAAACTGCCCATCTCTAGAACTGTTTCTGGTGGACCTTGCTGAATTGGTCTACCAAAAGAGCGACCACCACGACCACCACGACCGCCTCTGTTGCCACCTCTAAAACTCATATTATTATTTGGGACGCGAGTGAGATCAATGAGTCAAACGATACAGGAATCTAGTAAAGCGCTTTCAAAGTTCAAATCTCACGGTGATGAGCTGAAAAATTTTTACGCAGTTGAAAATACAATACAAAAAGAAATTGTATCATAACTGACGGGCCAAGGGCAATAGAAGTCCCCATACAATAATGTTAAGTAAGGCAATAAATCTGCGACGCAATAGGTGCTATGCAACCGTACTAGGCTACCAGATGGTTTTGTAATCGTGACCTTAGTCCTTGAAATTCATCTGTTTCGAAACTCTAGTATTTTTTGAAGCGGCAGCCCCAGCACATTTTTAATCTAGTTAGGAATAAGCCTTACTTGATTTGAGCATCATTCAAAGTCATGGCGCGGAGATGATTGAGAGTGGATGTCCAATCCATTCTTCAGTTCTTTACTCACATATTACCGTATATAGTGATATAGTTATTACTTGCAAATTCTATGATAGCATGCTCAACTTCGCAGAGGGAGCAGCGAAGAAGATATTTATATGAGATTATTTGATGTCTTGTCATCTTATAAAGATGACATTGATAATGATAAGCTCTATTACAGGCTTTGGAGGGTTTTGGGTTCAGACTTGGGTGCTCAACAGGAATTAATGGAAAGTGATTTCGTCATTACTCATTTTCACGAGATGAGTAGATGCATAGAAGATGGAAAGCCTGAGGAACGGCTAGTTTGGTTTAGTATCCTGTGCTATAGATTGGACTTATTAGCCAATGCCGATTTAGAGAAATCACACTTGCTATACAAGATACGTGAGACCCTGGATGCAAGCGGTAATGAATCGGCAGCAGTCAGCGTGTGCCTACACCTAATGAATTCTTTTCTCATTCATTTCAGTTCAGGCTTCCATACTGAGTTCTTGACAACTGAAATAAGCTACCTTGCCAATAGTACTAAGGATCCGAAGGTTGCTGGGCTGTTGCAAGATTTTCTTTTCATATTTTTAACACATCCTAGCTGTGAGCAAACGCAGGCTAACGACTTCTTTCAAAGGGTTCACGACGCTGGAATATTTTTATGGCTTGAGCAAAATTCAACAAATCTGCTCAAAGTTAAGTTTATCGAAGCACTCTTTGAAGACTCTTTTACTGACAAGTATTATAAACGTATTCATGCATATCAACTTTTCAGTCAACAAAAAGGTATTCAACCCGAAGTTGATTTCTGCTGTGAAGACGAAGTCTCACGAACTCTCGATCCTTCCTTAATCAAAGGTTTACAGAAAGAACTATATGACGCACTTAATATTCGATTGGCAGTTGAAGTTGAAGAGGAAGATTGCAAAGTTTTACGCTATTTTTTGCGTAAAACTGTCGGTGTTAATGAGTTCTTCAAGTCTTTCAATCTTCTGCAAGTAGATGAAAACATTTTTTGCATAACTCCTAGTAGGAGCGTCTACATCCATGCTTGCAAAACCTTAATTGATGAACTATTCAGGTTGCAGCATTCAATTGGGGGGTTTCTTGGATCTGTTTTTTCGAGAATTCAGTCGTCAGATACAGAATGGGAAATTAAAAGCAAATATGCGAAATCAAATTTTAAAACACAAGTTGGAGAAGAATTTCAGGAAGCTCGGATACTTTATGGAATCTCTCAACCTAGAGATGATTCAATTTTTCATGGCTGGAGCCGTCCAGATGGCAGACACCTTCTTTTGACGAACAATAATCGTGAAAATAGATTGATACGAGTGACAAGAGCTTTTAAGGAAGATGGGGTGAATTTAAGTTTGTATTTCGAGAAACAGAAAGACGAAGATCTTTCGAAATACAATTTGCTCATTATTTTTAATGACGACATTGATACTAAAATAAAGTGCCTGAATCATCTACAAATCTGGATGGCACAAAAGGAAAAGCAATGGAAAGCAGCAACCTTCCAAGAGCTCTCGGTTTTTAATGAAGCAAGCAACAATATACTCCTTGTCAATGTTTTTAACTGCATATCACAGCTCGAAAGGTTGCGAAATCCTGAAGGTGAGGAAGTAATTGCGCATCACAAGAAGAGGAAACTAAAAACACTTGATAAGGCAACGCTCTTAAATTTGAAGGAAAATACCTGGAAAATATGTCCTCTTATAAAAAGTAAGCCAAGCGTTAATTTCACATCTGAGCAAATAAGCAGTATTTTGAGTGGCGTTACAAAAAACTGCGTCAGTGTAAATGGGATCTGTGGTAGTGGAAAAAGTACTGTCATCTCTTGTATTTTAGACAATATCTATCTCAACAGTCTGCACTCTGAGGCTCCCAATTCTCGAACTTTGGTTGTTTGCGATACCGAGGAAGCATGTTCGAAGCTTTTGAATAAACTTAAAATTATTCCACCCGATCTCACTCTTAACCTGAACGACAAGATTTCTGTATTACTTTCTTCAAAGAGGAAGCAATTGGAATTATCCTTACAACGCATCAAGGGCTTTGCAGAAGCATTAAAAATGGCTGGAGGCTTGTTTTCAGATGTCAATGCTGCCCTATCTCGCAAAGCGGTCATCTTTTCATTGCTCGAAGAGCTTGCAACAAACTCTGATTCACTCGAAAAGATCGACTTCTCAGCATTTGGACAGGAGTTCAATGGTCAAGAGCCACAAGCTAAGCTCGCGAAGTTATTCACAGTTGTCACGGAAACATTCGAAAACCTTCAGCAGCTGCAAATTTTATCTATTAGCAGCAAGAAGGAATCTTTGATAGAATCATGCGACCTTCTAGTTTTGAGTAAATTGGAACTTATATCGCGAATTGCTAGTGGCTACAGATTCAAGTTTTTTGATAATTTGGTTATTTGCAATGTCGAATACTTTCAACCCCTTGAAGCATTCTTTTCTATAACCCAATCTGCGAAATGGCAAAGAATCATCCTCTCGGGCGATCTTTCCACTTCACAAGCTCCTTATGTTATTCGTGAAATTATAGGTGAGCAATCTTTTGGGCCACCGTTGCTCAGAAATTTTGACGCTAATCCAGAGATATTAAGAATACGGTTTGCAGATCAAAACTCCCAATTTAACGTCCTACCAGGATTCAGTACTGCAGTACAGATTATAAAATCACCAGGCAACGTTGGTGAAATGGTTAATGACGAAGAGGCAGAGTATTGTGTCCTTTTATTTGCTTACTTACGGTTAATCGGATACCCACCGAAATCGATATCGATTTTGACAATGTCTCCATATCAATCTCATGTTATCGATTCTGAGTTAGACTACTGGCTTGGTGATGGCAGCGTGAAAATTAATCAGTCTATCCAGTTTGGAAGGCCAAAGTGCATCACAACTATGGAAAAGAATTGTTCAAATAGAAACGATATTGTGATCATATCGACATCAGGTTCCCAACCCAACATGGCGTATTTTTCTCGATTTTCGAAGCAAGGCCTTTTTGTTTTCAGCGAATCAGGCGAGAAATTGAAGTTAGCTTCTAACGAGAGCTATAATTCAATGGTTCCGAAAGCTAGGCAGTTCAGAGAAATAATAGATTTGGACAACATGGAGAATTATGTCAGGACAATGGCAAAAAGTACCTAGTGGTATGGTAATTAAAGTTTACTCTCCTCTCCATATCTTCTTATTAAAGAACGTTTGAACTACTTTTACTTAAATACTTAGTAAGAAGTGTTAATACTGCTGCTTTGTCATGGGCAATGTAAATGTAATGCTGACGCATACATTTATCCTTTGCAACGTATATAGTTATAGTGGAAGCTCTCGAAATGGTGTAGAAAAATTTTAGGTAAAGTGATCATAAAATCAGTGCAAAAGCGTTCAAGTGGAAAGATGTCAATGAGGATTCCTCCCGTCACTCTAATTAGATCTCTAGAGGGTCTAAGTCTGAGTGGAAAAAGGAATTTTTCCTCCTCACCAGTGATACAGGGACCAAAAGCTGTGAAATTTCTAAAGTCTCAAAGAAGAAGACAATTGAACCAATCCAAGCAATTAAAAATCAAGACGTCTTTGGATACCGTTGACCCTGTATTTGGACGTAGTAACACTCCGTTTATTAGTCGTGTAATGGCAGAATTGAAGGAACCGAAGGTGTTAAGCTCAGGTTACGAGATTTCAGAGGTGGAGAAGCTACTCGCCTCAGTGGAAGAAACCAAGAAAGAACAATTCGCCCTATCGGGATTAAACGAGCTGAACGTTATAGCTACGGATTTTACAGAAGAATCTGAACGCTTGAAAAACAGAAGAGAATCCATTTTGAGAATTCTGAGCATGAGAAACGCAGATAACAAGGAAGCCATGAAATTGGCTATCCGTTTTGCTAGGGAAGAATTTCAAAGATTTGAGGCCGATACGGGGTCCAGTGAGGTTCAAGCAGCTATCATGACCGTCAGAATCCACAATTTGGGCAATCATGTGAAGGAGAACAAAAATGATCACAAGAATACTCGGATCTTGCGTACACTTGTTCAACAAAGACAGAAAATCTTGAGATATTTGAAGCGAGACAACCCAGAGCGTTATTTCTGGACAATCCAAAAGTTAGGTCTAAGTGATAACGCTGTTGTCAGCGAATTCAATATGGACAGGCGCTACATGCAAGATTACAAGTTTTTTGGTGACCGTATTTTGATCAAGGATTCGAAGAAAGTTGCAGATCAGAAACGTCGGGATCTTCGTAAGCAGAAAAAAACTGCTAGAAGAGCATAAAATTGTACATAATATAACATGCGCTTGTAAATACAGTAAATGGATGTACTCTGTCATGAGTAATAATTATAAATCTTCCATGAATGTCTTATATTGGGCAACTACAAACCCTCATTGGGTTAGGAACTTGCCTATGCTACCTCCAACATGATCAACATCGAGGAGGAATGTATCGTGGCCGTATAAAGATTGTGTTTCGTCGAGCTCAACGTGGGTGACTTTAGAGTCCCCGCCAAGTAATTCCACAATTTCTCTTTGCTGCCAGTATGGAAAAAGTCCGTCCGATCTCACTCCCACGACCAGTATCTCTTTGTTTCGAAGGGGTTCCATGCCTATCCTTAAATCTTCACGAGCTTCCTCCACTGTTGTAGTTCTGCGCTTTTTCGCTGCCTTGTAAGGCAAATCACTTAAGCGCTTCTCAGAGAAAGATCCCTTTTCGTATTCTTCAGCTGCCTTTATTCGCCTCCGATGACTTCTATTAGCATGGCTTCTTGACAAATCAAATAAGTCCATGGTCTTCGATAAATAAAGAAACGAGTTAGCATCATATTCAAGAGAAAACTTCTCCCCTTGATGATCCAAATAGGTTTCAATCAAAAAGTCGGGACAAAGGACAGGAGAAGTTTCTTCATTTAGTCTCTCAGTACCAAATCGGGACTCCCACTCAGGACCAGACCTGTACGTAACAGTGGCAATTTCACGGGCCAGTTTCATTCCTATATGTGGAGGAATTTTGTTAGGCTCACTAGAGCTCGGATAATAAAAGCCACGCGACCAATTAGTATCAGCCATCAAAACCTGTCTTTGAGCATGCCTCATTGCGATGCTTGATGGGTGCGACCTAGCACAAGCAGATACGGAAACAATCTTCTCCACACTATCTGGAAAAAGTTGGCCAAACGCCAAAGACTGCATTCCCCCCATTGAGCTCCCTACTGAAGCATACAGCTTTTGGATTCCGAATTGTGTCCTTATCAGTCTCTCTTGGGCTCTTACGATATCCTGGATGCTCAGCATAGGGAAGCGTGTAGCATAGGGCAATTCATCTGCCGGATCTTGGGAAGATGGGCCTGTGGAGCCGTAACAACCCCCTAAAACGTTGGTACAGATCACAAAGTATTTGTCTGTATCTAGGGCAGGATTGCCTGGCCCTATGAATTTTTCCCACCATCCATGTTGAGGATTATCTATCGATGAGCGTGCGTGCGAAGAAGCACTTAAGCCTGTGTGCACTAACACTGCATTTGATTTATTCTTGTTTAGTTTGCCCCAGGTTTCGAATGCTATCCGGAACTGCGGCAGTACGCCACCATAATCAAGGAAAAGCGGCTCATTTGACTCGAAAAGCTTGAAACCAGACTGAACTTTACCATAGACGGGTTCATTGCTAGGAGATGATGTTGGATCAGAGATTGAGCAAGACCCTGGTCGATTCTTTTGCTTTAACTGCGCAGTGATTTCCTCAAGCTTATCCAAACAAGGAAATTGCATGGCAGGATTAGTCGATTTGGCGTTATTGGAAATTAGCCTCCTCAAGTTCACGAGCATCGATCGATTCACCATAACCATTGAATTTTTATACGTCGAATCATGCAAAAGAGAGGCTACCTACTACAAATTTAGGTATCGCTTGAATTACTATTTGTCATGATAATTCTGTACAGCAAAGAGTTCACTACTCTCGAGAAGCCACAGTCCGAAAAAATAATACTGTGCACGTGATATATGATACTTGATGCCAAGGTTTCAAGAGATATAATCCTGTTATAACAAGCTAGTTGTCTCGTTTGGTTCGGAATCAGAGTCACTAAAGTCGGTTTCATCTTCTGAACCGTCCTCATCAGTTTCCCTTAGCATTTCGGCTTTTTGGAGGATCTTATTCCAATTGGGAAATAAGACGAAATATCCTTCCATCAGCCCAATAATACACATACCAGAACCTATTCCTATCCATAGTCCAAAAAGTTTCATGTCAAAACGCCATCCCAAAAGGATACCTAGAGGAATAGCAAATAAGTAGTAGACGGTCAAGTTTATGACGCTTCCAATAACCTGCATTCCCTGGCCTCTGAGGCAAGACCCAGCAATCGCATTAAGTGAATCAAAAATTTCGACAACACCAACCAACAGCAAGAGTTCGCTAATTAACAAAATTACTTCCTCATCGCGAGAAAAGATGCGGGCAATGAAGTGGCGACCAGCGATGAGAATGGAGCAATTCAAAAGACCAACAAATATCGAAGACGAAATACCTAGCTCAGACGCTATGCGTGCGCATTCAGGCCTTCCTGCCCCAATAAAATTCGCAATTCTGGTAGACGAGGATATACCCACAGCGAAGGGAATCATGTACATTAAAGCAGCAGTAGTAGATACCGCCGACTGTGCTGCCAGGTAGGTTGTGCCAAAATATGAACTGAACAACGTTAATATTTCGTATGATAAATCTTCCGCTTCTAGCATTACAATGCCCGGAATGGCTAAATGAGATAAATCTTTCCAATGCGTAAACGCCTTTCTTGTGAATCCATCCCAGCACCGCTTGCCATCGATATAGATCACATAGAGGAGCAAAAGGAAAAACATCAACCAGAAATTAATCACCATCGCTATTGGAGCACCAATATATCCTAATCCAATTTTAGAATTCCAGACTAGTGTATAACTCATGAAGACATTGAATGGTGCACACAAAAGTAAAACATAGATCCCAGCATCAAATATTCCTTGAGCTTGTAAAAAACGTTTGAGGTTTTCAAACATAATATAAGCTGGAGCGCCCAGTATGGCTATTCTCAAAAATTTAGACGCCAGATAAACCAGTTCCTTTTCCTTTACAACAAAGGAAAGAAAATAGTTTGAGAAAAACCAAATAAAACCAAAAGGAATGTAAACGATTAAAGAAAATGCAATGCACCGTTGAAGGTGGATGCCAACACTTCTATAGTTTCCTGAACCATAAGCCTGTGGACAAAGGGTATCTAAACTTGTTGAAATACCCTCAAATACTGCTAAGGTTATGTTTGTAGTCATTGAAGCTAATGAAACTGCTGCTAATTCATTCTTTCCCAAATGTCCCACGGTCAAAGAGCATACCATCGGAAATATTTGCTCCAAAAGAAAGGTGAATATTAGCGGCAGAGAATATGAAAGTAGAACCTTCGCTTCAGACTTGAACGTAACAGTTTCCTTTTTAAAATCTTCTTCTTCACCTTCCACAATTTCGTAGATGTTCGGCACAGAACCTCTGCTACTAACAGAAACAAAAGACGGCCTCTTCTTTCTCCTTCCAACGTCAGCAATCAGTTGCCGTCTTACTCTTCTCATAAAATCATCATACTCCAGGGCATCCTCCGAGGTCTGGCGGAGTTCATCTTGCGTTTCTTCATCATCACTATTATCTACAGATGAGTATCTTCTCTCATGTTCTTGTAGGATCCAATCAACGTCAGTTTGTATATCTGGTGTCTCGCTTACTCTTGACGGAAGTGATACCGTCCGACTTAATTCACCACCATCTTCCAAGGGTTCAGCCATATACTCATCGATGTCTTCCAGTAATGGAGAATGCGCAACACTGCTTCCGAAATCATCATCCAAAGATCTAAAGCTTGCATGGTCTCCACCATATCTCCGTCTGCGACGGTATTTCCTCACTAAGGGATTTCGATTACTTGGTCTAAGAAATCCCAGAGATATCCTTCTGTGGTTGTTACCAATACCAATACCATTAGTGCGTAGTTTGGGATGAACCTGCGATAACGTTTTGGTTAAAATAGTGGCCATCTTTTACTTGAATGAGATGGCCCCTTGTAAGTAATTAAGCTTCCTCTGTGAGTTTCTCGATTGAACATGAAATGAGATGGCATGCAAAGGGAAATTAATCTAGTTTTTTAATAGTCCCATTTTGTCACGTGATAAAAATGGCCCACCTTAATCACCAGAAATGTTCTCTATGATCGTTCCTTAACCTATTTACGTATGAATTCAAAACCTATATCTTCTTTTTTTTAGTCTACTGTTTGCCAGCTCCTGCCGGCATTCAGGGCAGTACCATGCTCCTTTTGGTGGTTCCTTGAGGTTTACACAGCCATAGTGAAACCATTCATATTTACAGTTGGGCCCATCACATGCCACCATTTCACCAAATGAAACGCTTTGACAAAAACAGTAAGGTTGCTTGTCATCTTCCTCAGCCTGGTTGTAGCCCGAAAAGAGGTCATCGTTGTAGTCTTGAAGATCAAAGTTTGTGTCCGACACCCCACTGACAGGCGTGTAGTCTCGGTTTCTGGAAGACGCCCTTTCTGTGCGTCTTCTCTTCTTGTTGGTGGCACCCGCTGGCGTCGCCCGCCTTTTGCGCTCACTAACGGCTGACAATACGGAGCTTTCACGAGATGCTTCACCACCGCTTTCAGTCTCCTTTTCATCGTCCAGTGGCGCCAGTTGGCCATCTTCTTCAAGGATCTGTATGTTTTTCATAAGCTTGTTCAGATGCTTCGTAACGAGGAATAGGGCGGTGTTAGCCAGGATGCACTTATCGTTTTGTAAGTCGCGGCATATGTCTAGATCTTTGGCAATTTTTTCTTGTAATTCTCCCTCTTTGGAATTTTCCGTGAGTGACCCATGCTGTTTGATGAACTTGTGTATCTGGGAGTCTCTTTGCAAGTACTTTTTTTTGTTCTCGTAAAACTTCAAGTCTGTAGACCTTATTTCCTCCAATATGTACTTGAATTCTGCCTGCAAATTCGAGACATCTTGAGTCGTCTCTTCCAACACAGAGCTTGGATCCATTTCTTCGATCCTTCATCCAAACCAAGTTCCCCAGCAGAAAGAAAATGAGCCAGGAAAAGAATTAAGTTGTAATATGTTTATGTCACTATTTACGTGCAATTGTACAATATTCAACATGTGACTTGTAGCGAATAATGCGGCTGAGTTCAGGGCCCGAAGAGCAATTTTAGCTATTTCCAAGGTAAAAAGGACAATCTAAAGATGAAATTTTAAGCAATTTCTTCTGGTTTCTTCATTTATATAGAGTCTGTGAATTCATCCATATTACTCTGGGTGTGTTATCTCATTTGCAGTAGAGGAAGTTCTCTTCAGTTATGGGTTTGTACTCGTGGCCAGTCAAATACGTTGCTAGAAAGGTTTTCGGAGACGTCGAAATAGGGAACTCAGGTGAAGATCCTTTTTTCGAGGAGGTGGAGTTTGAAAAGAAGTCATTTTGGTCCGGTAGCTCTAGAATTGTGCGTAAAAAAAGGGACAAGAGTATTCCCACTTTTATCCCAGAGGCAGATCGACGGGTATTGAAAAAAGTCCGCAAGAGAGCTTATAGACTTGACCTTGCCTTCCATTTGTGTGGTGTGAGATTTGGTTGGTTGGGCATAATAGGAATTTTACCGGTTATTGGGGATTTTTTGGTGCTCTATTTGTCGTTGATGGTGTATAGGGAAGCTTTGAAGGTTACTGGGGGATTACCCACAGTTGTGACGACACAGATGTTGTCGAACATCGCCATCGACTTTGGCCTTGGTCTAATTCCTATTGTGGGCGACATTATTGGTGTGTGCTATAAGGCTAATTCCCGCAATGTGCTCATTCTAGAGAAGCATCTGAAGCACAGGTATAATAAAGTGCAAGTTCCAAGGGCAAAATAGTTTACATTGCTTCGTGTACGTACTATCAACATATATAGGCACACGCATCTATCTCCGGCTGACCTAAAAAACATCTGGCAATTTTTCAATCACGTAAGAGTGTCCGCCCACGCTCATTAGTGGGATACCTGGGACCTTCCTTATACGCTGCTTCAATGCCGCATCGTTAGTGGCCACGATGTAGCACTTGTGCTGCAAGACACGGTTTACCAAGCAGTCATCTGCATATGTTCCCTTGTGCGAGCATGTGAGCCTCTTTATTCTAGGATCACGAGCAAGTTTCAAGGCAATACGATATTTGGGCCCCAACTTCTCTAATTCGGCCATTACGCAGTCTGTGATGAGAGGTATACATTTGGCGAGGAGGCAATCCATCATCCCTCTGACTATATCGATTTTCTTCTGAATGGAAAAGTTGATGAAATTGGTATCTATCAGAACTTGATATGGTGGCTTAATTGCTTCATTATATTGGAAAAACAGTGCACTTGACACTTGTGGAATACTCTTCGTAAGTTCCGGGTCCTGGCCTTTGGTGTCTTTATCTTGGTTCGCCTTTAATCTTGCATCCTTTTTTGTGTTTAGAGTACGCTTTACTAGTGCAAACTTTCTCGTCTTCTTGGCTTTACCCATTGCTTGGTGTAATGTAGCATAGCATCTCATCGTTAGAGTGAAGCTCATCGCAAAATTTTCATCAGATTCGTAATCATTAGTGACGATTCATTTAAACAAAGTTGGAATTTCTCTAACAAATACCTTTAGTGTGGAGACGCTCAACATCTATCGTAAGAGAACACCCTCTGAAATGGTATGTTCACACAATAGTACTCGCATTCTGGCTTGCATTGCAACTATGTTATCCCTCCTCTAAGTACAGGAATTTTTGTTAGTAAAAAATTTGGCGTCACAGACAGGATTCGAACCTGCGCAGGTAAAACCCAATGCCTAACAGCTTTCGATAAGTCGAATAGCAGGGCATCGCCTTAACCACTCGGCCACTGGGACAACCGTTTTCGATACCTTTCATATCTATGTGGCATGCATATATGGATTTTGTTTCATCGATCGCGGCTAAACACGGCGGTGGTCTTGGTTATAATGAAATTAGTAGTTAATTAACTCTTCCATATTAAAGCGACGCAGGGCTGATTGATGATTCTTATGGTTGCAAATCCGAGCCTAATATCAAATCTTATCATAACTGTCCTTCTTCATGTTGGAACGAAAGACAACTATCGACCATCGACTAGTGTTCGTGTTACTAGTATATTATCATACACGGTGTTTTAAGATGACATAAAGAATGAGAAACAGTCATCGAAATTAGTGGAAGCTGAAGCGCAAGGATTGATAATGTAATAGGATAATGAATGAAAATGTATAAAAGGAACAGAAAGAGTAAGAATATTTGTAAGTAGAATTATTGACTCTTCTTTCTGGATTCTTAGAAAGATGAGGAGAACTTCTAGTATAACCATATACCAATAATTATAGCCTTAATCAAAAATGGAATCCCAACATTCAGCTCAATATTCACCCATTTCTCACTTCATTTTCTCTGATGTTATCGTTTTTTATGTTTAAGAGTTGTTTCATGATCCACCAATAGCTAATAAAATTGGAATTCTTTCCGTGATTTTCTCAAAAGTGGACAAATATTTTTTTGAGAAATAGGTTAATACGCTTCAGCATCCTACTGCATACTCCAATATCACGTAGTTTTGTCGACCGCAAACGTCAATCTTACAATTATTCTTCGAGAGGATTACAAAATCTAATTGAAACACTGTAAATCCCCGCAATAACGAAAACTAGTAAACTGTCAGACGATTGCAACTCATGTACTATGGGTATCAGTAGCTCGACTGCAATCATAGCTGTTTAGAATCAATTTATTTTGATCCACTGGAGTATTTCAACCTGATATAAATGTGTATATTCTACTTTTTTTAATACTAGGGAATTATAATCTTCATTAAAGTATTTTATCTGCGCGGTAAATAGTAGCTCAAAACATCTGCTCAATTCCAAGCAGAACATCTCTTTCCTTCCAATATTTAAATCAACACTGTGATTTGATGCGGCATACTGACAGTTATCGTAGACGTCTTATCAACCATTTTTATTACAAAGCTGGTAATTTTATACATATCGGTATATATTATTTACCATAAATTCTGTTCAATACATTATTAAACACGGTTTATTACTTTGGACTTTCTCACCAACTTACATTCTATCGACAGGTGTCAAGCCCAAAAGACACATACCATTGTACAGCACCTGTCTAGCAGCAGCATAAAGTCCAAGACGGGCCGCGGCCAGTTCTTGGGTTTGACCTGCTACCCACAAAACATCGTAGCAAGAAGAAACTTGATGAGTCAATTTGAAGAGATATGTGACAACAGTCGCTGGTTCATGTGTTTTCATTGCATTTCTCAAGACGTCAGGATATTGGGCAAGTAGACGAACCAATGTAATCGCTGCCGGTTCTGTCAATAGCGAGAAATCTGCGTTGCGGCACATTTCAAGAGTCAATTCGGATGCGTTCCGTTCAACAGATCTCAATCTTGAATGGGCATATTGCAAATATGGGCCTGTGTCACCCTCAAAAGATGTCATCCTCTCCCATTTGAACTCGTAATTGTTGATACGTTTCGCTTGCATATCCTGAATCATCACCGCTGAGATACCGACTAGATCCGCTACTTCATCAGGATTTTCAATTTGAGCGTATTTAACCTCGTTCTTTTTCATAACATCGTGCATTTTGTCTTTGGTTTCCTCCAAGATGTTATCTAGGAATACTACAGTACCTTTTCTAGTAGACATACCTTGCACCATACCGAAATTGACATGCTGCAAATTTTTTGCCCACTCGAATCCCATCTGCTTTAGAATTTCGAAGAATTGAGCAGTGTGCAGATCTTGTTGAGATGCAATCACATAGATCATTTTGTCAAAGTGATACTTTTCATAACGATCCATGGCAGCACCAACATCTCTTGTTAAGTAAAGCGTTGTACCATCAGACTTTTGGACAATTGTCTTACCTAATTTCTTGTTAAATTTTGTCAAGTCAATCAAAGTCGCGCCACGGTCCTCGTGAGTGAGTTCTTTTTCCTTAAACATTTCAAGTGCCTTCTGCATGGAATCCATAGACACCTGAGATTCACCGGAGTAGACATCATATTTGATGTTGAGACGTGCGTACGTGTCAATATACTTGTGAATCGATAGTTCACGGAATCTTTTCCATATCTTGAGTGCTTCAGGGTCTCCATCCTCCATTCTTTTGAAGTAAGCACGAGCTTTCCCATTGGTCGATTCTGTCTCAGGCAAAGAATCGCCTTCTTCCTCGATGTCCTTATTCACTCGGACATAAACTTCAAACAAATGGTTGATAGGATCTCTGGCTAACGCTTCCTCATTACCATATCTGTCAAAACCAACAGCTAAAACACCAAATTGCTTTCCCCAGTCACCCAAATAGTTCATTCTGATGACCTCCCATCCGAGCTTTTCATACAAATTAGATAGAAAGCCACCGATAATCGTAGATCTCAAGTGACCAGCATGGAATGGCTTCGCAATGTTCGGAGATGAAAATTCAATTATCACCTTCTTGTTCTTGACCAAAGGTGCAGCCCCATATTGTTCCTTTCTCGTCAAAATGTCAGGGATGACAACATTGAACAAAAACTGTGGTTTAAAAAAAAACTGAACAAACGGCCCATTTGCCTCAACCTTTTCCAGAAATTCCCCACAAGGAAACTGCTCAGCCCACTTTATAGCTAGCTCCTTGGGATTAGCACCTTTAATACGTAATCTTGGAACAGGAATTAAAAGATCACCTCTGTCCATTGTATTAGTCCACTCTAAAGCAGGAAAGATAAGGGCCGTATCAACACCAGATATTTTAGAAAGTTCTTGGCTTATGTAATTTCTCATGAGATCAACAACATTGACGTCAGGATGGGATCCTTCCATCAATGTGGGTTCTTGGATGGACATTTTCTGCAGCTTAGCAGTAATGTTGCTTGTGCTCACGGACATGTTCAAATGTTTTACTTGCCTAAAAGGAGAAACCGTATGTGTTTTGAATGGATTAGATAAACGATTGCTGATAGAGTTCCGAAATATTGAAAAATTTACAATAGTCGATACTCTTTTAAGCATATAAATACCAAAAGAACCTCTTGAAATGAGCTATGACTATACTTGGCGATGGGAAGAAAAATTTTTTTCATGACAGATTTTGAATTCGTTTATTATGATTTCAGTGCTGGATAGGACTTCATGTAATGTCGTTTGTTTATTAGAATCAACATAGTTTACATGATCATATTGATGGAGCATATGTCATTGTGCTCAAGAAACTCATAAAGTAATAAACCAATTATTCAGAAAATTAAGACTTTTGAAAAAATGAAAGCCTCAGCATCAAGCATGTGGTGGTATGATGTTAGAATTTAAATATCCTGAACATAGCGAAAAGAAGTTGTCCCCAATTTGCAACTGAACAAGACAATTAAGTAGTAAATTCATTGTCTAGCTTCACACATAACAAAGTATATTAATAAAGGCACTGATTAGAACATCATTTTAGTATATCTGAAATTTAATTAAATGTGTTGCTATATATTCAATTTCATAAAGTCATTAGAACAAAGCTCAAGAGAAGCTTATTTGACGAACTTAGTTCGCCATTTAAGGATCGTAACACAAAGTAAACGCTAATCTTAGATTAATATTAGTGCGTTTATAGCATTCTCTTGTACCATGGTTTATCGTCGTGCTGTAGAGCCTCAGCATTGTAGTCGGCACCTCTTCTGGATGGTGGCACCCAGGAGTCTGATTTCCATGGCAACACACCCTCTTCCCACATCTCTTGCACTTCTTCCAAAGTCAAACCCTTTGTCTCAGGAACGAAGAAGAACACGTAGAAGAACATGAATACCAAACATCCCATAAAGACGTAACCGTAGTAGAAGTTGATTGCGGAGGTAATGAATGGGGTGAAGAAACCAATCAAGAAACCCCAGACCCAGTTGGAACCGGTAGCAATGGCCATACACTTGGACTTCACTCTCAATGGGAAAGATTCAGAAACAATCACATATGCGATTGGAGCCCAGGTGGTGGCAAAACAGAAAATGTAGAAACATGTGAAGACAATCATACAGTTACCAGCACCCTTGGAGGAAATATCATGGTTGCTTGAGTCTGGCCATAATCTGGTGACACCAACAGATGCATAAATTACCATACAAGCAGTCATGGACGCAGCACCCCATAGTAGACATCTACGACGACCGAATCTTTCAACAGTGTAAATACCAACAAAAGTAGATGCAAAGTTCACAATACCAATGACAATAGATGTTTGGAACGAATCAGACAAACCAACAGACTTGAAAATGGTGGTACCATAGTAGAAGAAATAGTTATCACCAGTAAGTTGTTGCAAAGATTGAAGCATGATACCCATAATTAAACGTTGCAAGACCTTAGTCTTGGTAGAGAACAATTCACCCCAAGAAGCAGATCCAGCTAGCTTTTCAGCTTCAACACCAGCAGCAATCAAATCAATTTCAGCTTGAACCGCAGGGTCTTCAATGCTGACTTTGTTGGATCTAGCAACAGAGCGTCTTGCTTCTTCAATCTTACCGTTTTCAACCAAGTAACGTGGGGATTCTGGCACAAACGACATACCGACGATCATGAAAATAGCCCACGCAAAACATAGACCCAATGGAACTCTCCATTGAACAGAGTTAGAGTAGTTCTTGGTACCGTAGTTAGTACAGTAACCCAAAAAGATACCAGCTGTAATCATCAATTGGTAACAGGCAACAAGAGTACCTCTTAAATGCTTAGGGGCGGTCTCAGAAATCAACATTGGCGACAAGACAGCAATACCACCAACACCCAAACCGGAGATAATTCTACCGATAAAATATTGGTACCACTTGTTAATGGATGCAATTTGGATAATAATACCAACAACGTAAACCAAAACCACAACGGTTAGACCCATCTTACGACCATAAACATCACCAATTTTGGATAAGGTAATACCACCAAAAGCACAACCGATGTTGAAAATAGAAACGATTAAACCAGTTCTCACGTTTGATAAATAGTAATCCTGGTCAGTGTTAGACCATTCACCAAACCTTCTCTTGAAATCAGTTTGGTTGACGAAACCAGAAATGGTACCAGTATCCCAACCGAAAACAAAACCACCGAAAGCGACACACAAACATAGAATACAAACGGTGACATAAGCGGAGGCAGGTTTCTTTGGGATATCATTCATCTCATCGACGACCTTTTCAGGGAAACGGACGTCTTTCAATTCATCTCTCGAGGCCTTGTTGGATGGAGTAGAGAGCTGTGAGTTGTTGCTCACTGTTGAATGGAGATCAACAGGAGTGCCCTCATTAAACTGCGCTGTTTGCAAACCAGCAGCTTCGGTAGACATTTGATTAATTAAGTTATTAAACTCTAGTGATTATTGTATTAGGAGACTAATCTTAGTTCTTGATGATAAAAGAAGAAGACTGGAATTATCTAAAATAATGAAATTTCGATGCCTTTATATACTTTTTTCTTCTGGTTGAAACTTCTATTCCAAGCCCTCGAGTATACTGGGCATGCATATTAAATTATGAGCACTAAAGTACGGGGAAATTACACAGAAAATACCGTACAAATCGTGCATATTTTGATGCAATTCTCCGGGAAAATGCGGAGCCCCACACTCTTGGTAAGTTTCTTTTCCTAGAAAACTCCGTAGCTGGAAAAATCTCGTGGGGTGCCGAGATTTTTTATGCACCTTTGTGGACCTTGTGCAACAACTTTTTCGTAGGCACGCCTAGAAAATTCGCACAGTTTTCCGGAGAATTCCGGGGAAACATTAGATGGTCTGATCAAGTCCATTTTTATTTCCGGTGGTGTGTTGTAAAGATTTTTCCAGATTTTCTCCGGGTCTGGGCATGCAGTCGGCCAAGGGCCAAGAAATGTTTGTCCGATAAAACAGAAGTCACCTTGAGCCTCATGAATCTGGACGCAAGAGACGCTACTCATGGTTGTCAGTTTTTGCATTTCGCGTTTTCCCATGTTCGGGTAAACCTTAGTGCCTACGCGGCATTCATTTATTTTGGGTAGATATTTCTCTATCTTTACTTCTAATCGCATCGGCTGTTGTACCGTCGAACATACCTTTTCTTTTGCAGGATGTCTGGCGCTAAGGCGGAAACTGTGCACAAGAAAATCGATACTCTTCTTTTTAATTAACCAAGCAACATTCCATAAATGTGAAAGCTCTTACAATAGAACACTATTGAATTCAATAGTATCCTAAGGAAATATACTTGTATGCACTTAGAAGTGGGTGTATACTTTATATAATCGATATCATAAACGTCATTAATATGTGATCAGTCTCTATAAGATTCTTAAAGAAAATGCAGTGGGTGAAACCACAAATTCATCGATCTTCCTTTAAATTAGAGGATCTAAATCATTCTCTTGTACCATGGCTTATCGTCGTGTTGTAGAGCCTCAGCATCGTAGTCGGCACCTCTTCTGGATGGTGGCACCCAGGAGTCTGATTTCCATGGCAACACACCCTCTTCCCACATCTCTTGCACTTCTTCCAATGTCAAACCCTTTGTCTCAGGAACGAAGAACAACACATAGAAATACATGAACACCAAACATCCCATAAAGACGTAACCGTAGTAGAAGTTGATTGCGGAGGTAATGAATGGAGTGAAGAAACCAATCAAGAAACCCCAGATCCAGTTACAACCGGTAGCAATAGCCATACACTTGGACTTCACTCTCAATGGGAAGGATTCGGAAGTAATAACATAAGCAGTAGGAGCCCAGGTAGTGGCAAAACAGAAAATGTAGAAACATGTGAAGACAATCATACAGTTACCAGCACCCTTGGAGGAAATGTCATGGTTGCCTGCAACTGGCCATAATCTGGTGACACCAACAGATGCGTAAACAACCATACAAGCAGTCATGGACGCAGCACCCCATAGCAGACATTTACGACGACCGAATCTTTCAACAGTGTAAATACCAACAAAAGTAGATGCAAAGTTCACAATACCAATGACAATAGATGTTTGGAACGAATCAGACAAACCAACAGACTTGAAAATGGTGGTACCATAGTAGAAGAAATAGTTATCACCAGTAAGTTGTTGCAAAGATTGAAGCATGATACCCATAATTAAACGTTGCAAGACCTTAGTCTTGGTAGAGAACAATTCACCCCAAGAAGCAGATCCAGCTAGCTTTTCAGCTTCAACACCAGCAGCAATCAAATCAATTTCAGCTTGAACCGCAGGGTCTTCAATGCTGACTTTGTTGGATCTAGCAACAGAGCGTCTTGCTTCTTCAATCTTACCGTTTTCAACCAAGTAACGTGGGGATTCTGGCACAAACGACATACCGACGATCATGAAAATAGCCCACGCAAAACATAGACCCAATGGAACTCTCCATTGAACAGAGTTAGAGTAGTTCTTGGTACCGTAGTTAGTACAGTAACCCAAAAAGATACCAGCTGTAATCATCAATTGGTAACAGGCAACAAGAGTACCTCTTAAATGCTTAGGGGCGGTCTCAGAAATCAACATTGGCGATAAGACAGAGATACCACCAACACCCAAACCGGAGATAATTCTACCGATAAAATATTGGTACCACTTGTTAATGGATGCAATTTGGATAATAATACCAATGATGTAAACCAGAACCACAACGGTTAGACCCATCTTACGACCATAAACATCACCAACTTTAGACAAGGTGATACCACCAAAAGCACAACCGATGTTGAAGATAGCAACAATAAGACCAGTTCTCACGTTTGATAAATAGTAATCCTGGTCAGTGTTAGACCAGTCACCAAACCTTCTCTTGAAATCAGTTTGGTTGACGAAACCAGAAATGGTACCAGTATCCCAACCGAAAACAAAACCACCGAAAGCGACACACAAACATAGAATACAAACGGTGACATAAGCGGAGGCAGGTTTCTTTGGAATCTCATTCATCTCATCGACAACCTTTTCAGGGAAACGAACATCTTTCAACTCATCTTTCGAAGCCTTATTAGATGGAGTGGAGAGCTGTGAATCGTTACTAGCAGCAGAATGAAGGTCCACCGGGGTACCTTCGTCGAAATTAACTGCCTGAGTGTCAGCAGCTCCTGTGGACATGGCTATATTATTATTTTAATTATTGAATTCAGGAAAAACTATCCTTTTGAAACTGGTTTGATGGTTTGAATAGATTAAATATTCTCACAAAACTGAAAGTTCGACGCCTTTATATAGGATTTAGTTCACTGGATACTTCTTAGATGCTCATCAGCGGCCGAACATATTATCCGGCACAACCAGTTTTTAGATGTGCTTCGAGAAAGTACGGGGAAATTACCTAGAAAACGCAGTGGGAAACTTGCATATAAACCTGCAATTATCCGGGAAAACGCGGAGCCCCATAGTGTGGAAAAATTTTCTTAGCCCAGAGACATTCGTAGCACGGATAATTACTCCGGGGTTGAACAGTAAAAGCCCTCTACTCCCTCCATTTCCAATGTCCGAAGGCTAGGCAACACAGAACGGTGAAGAGGGATTTTCAAATAAGTCCGGGGAAAAGTGGGTGGTCTGACCTGCTCCTATTTTTCCGGGGACTATCCGGGAAAATTCTCAATCCCTATTCTTCCGGCATTATTCTTCCGGCATTAGGTGATGCCAAGTTTAATTGATGCTCTGCTGAGCTCCCGTAACGTTGTCTGACCAATGGTCGATAAACAATCCGAGCGTAATGAAGGAGTCCCACCCTGAAATTTTTTCCGCTAATCGTAAGCGCTTGTGACGGACTCTCCTAGAATAATTCTAAATGGTTTTTGTTGATTTCATGCTGCAACCTGCAAAAAGTCAATGGGTGAGTCAACTATGCGAGTGGCTACAAATTTATGTTCACGTGCTACGTTCTCTATTAACTTATTGATCTGCTTGTTATGAACACATGACTCTAGTGGTAGACTTGCGGACTAATTCTAGAGCTTTATATGCAGATCATGCTGATGCATTTATTAAAAGTTCATGCAGCATTATATATATTTCCGTATGATCAAAAGTTGTAGTAGCGGCAGGTAGACCGGATGGAACTTCTATGGAGCATCGTTGCTTTGCCATTACTATTCAAACTAGTCAATCCTTCGACTACAAATGGATAAATGATTACTATTAATTTTTCGTAAACATCATTAATTTAAAGTATTTAAAGAACACGTCTTAACAAATGCAGCTTTCGCTTCTTTAAAGATAACACAAAAAAAGTGCTGGTATTATTTGATTGTAAGGGAGCTTACAACATTCTCTTGTACCATGGTTTATCGTCGTGCTGTAGAGCCTCAGCATTGTAGTCGGCACCTCTTCTGGATGGTGGCACCCAGGAGTCTGATTTCCATGGCAACACACCCTCTTCCCACATCTCTTGCACTTCTTCCAATGTCAAACCCTTTGTCTCAGGAACGAAGAAGAACACGTAGAAGAACATGAATACCAGACATCCCATAAAGACGTAACCGTAGTAGAAGTTGATGGCGGAGGTAATGAATGGGGTGAAGAAACCAATCAAGAAACCCCAGACCCAGTTGGAACCGGTAGCAATGGCCATACACTTGGACTTCACTCTCAATGGGAAAGACTCAGAAACAATCACATATGCGATTGGAGCCCAGGTAGTGGCAAAACAGAAAATGTAGAAACATGTGAAGACAATCATACAGTTACCAGCACCCTTGGAGGAAATGTCATGGTTGCCTGCAACTGGCCATAATCTGGTGACACCAACAGATGCGTAAACAACCATACAAACGGTCATGGAAGCAGCACCCCATAGTAGACATCTACGACGACCGAATCTTTCAACAGTGTAAATACCAACAAAAGTAGATGCAAAGTTCACAATACCAATGACAATGGATGTTTGGAATGAATCTTCCAAACCGACAGATTTGAAAATCGAGGTACCATAGTAGAAGAAATAGTTGTTACCAGTAAGTTGTTGCAAAGATTGAAGCATGATACCCATAATTAAACGTTGCAAGACCTTAGTCTTGGTAGAGAACAATTCACCCCAAGAAGCAGATCCAGCTAGCTTTTCAGCTTCAACACCAGCAGCAATCAAATCAATTTCAGCTTGAACCGCAGGGTCTTCAATGCTGACTTTGTTGGATCTAGCAACAGAGCGTCTTGCTTCTTCAATCTTACCGTTTTCAACCAAGTAACGTGGGGATTCTGGCACAAACGACATACCGACGATCATGAAAATAGCCCACGCAAAACATAGACCCAATGGAACTCTCCATTGAACAGAGTTAGAGTAGTTCTTGGTACCGTAGTTAGTACAGTAACCCAAAAAGATACCAGCTGTAATCATCAATTGGTAACAGGCAACAAGAGTACCTCTCAAGTGCTTAGGAGCGGTCTCAGAAATCAACATTGGAGATAAGACAGAGATACCACCAACACCCAAACCGGAGATAATTCTACCGATAAAATATTGGTACCACTTGTCGATGGAAGCAATTTGAATGACGATACCAACAACGTAAATCAAAACCACGACGGTTAGACCCATCTTACGACCATAAACATCACCAATTTTGGATAAGGTGACACCGCCAAAAGCACAACCAATGTTGAAGATAGCAACAATAAGACCAGTTCTCACGTTTGATAAGTAGTACTGCTGCTTACTTTCAGACCATTGACCAAATCTTCTCTGGAAGTCAGTTTGGTTGACGAAACCAGAAATGGTACCAGTATCCCAACCGAAAACAAAACCACCGAAAGCGACACACAGGCACAATAGACAAACGGTGATATAAGCGGAGGCAGGTTTCTTTGGAATCTCATTCATCTCATCGACGACCTTTTCAGGGAAACGGACGTCTTTCAATTCATCTCTCGAGGCCTTGTTGGATGGAGTAGAGAGCTGTGAGTTGTTGCTCACTGTTGAATGGAGATCAACAGGAGTGCCCTCACTAAATTGTGCTGTTTGTGAACCAGCAGCTTGAGTAGACATTATATTTTTGGAGCAATTAAACTCTAGTGATTATTAGATTAAAAACTTTGTAGTAAAGCTTGGTGAGTGAAGTACAGAAGAGAAATGTTGAGTGAGACATAGAATTATCATTACCTTTTATACTTTTCATGTGTTGCAGTCATCGAGCCCTTGAAGTTGAAAATTTTTCCAGTTTTTCCGAACACGCCATGTGGCTGAGAAAAATACGGGGAAATTACACAGAAACAGCAGTAGCACGATAAATTAGCAGTTAAAGAATTTTCCGGGGTAGTGCGGAGCCCCACACTTTTGCAAAATGGATGTTACCCAGAAAACGCCGTGAAACGAAAATGAAGTGCGGGGCGGAACATTATCGAAAGGTTTCTTTTATGTTTCCCATCAGAAAGGCGCCTCAGAAAACCGCATGGATTTCTTTCCGGGACCCTGTCAGGGTCCAAATTCCTTTCAAAATTTTCCGGGGTGGCATGGTTCATGCCGTTTGCAATTAAGGACTCTTGATGGAAATTGCAAGTGCAATAGCTGAATTACAGTGGTTAGACCTAAATGTGTATCAAGGTCTTCTGATTTCGACCTCAATAGTATCGATTGATTTTAGAGTTAGCTATACAGTACTTCTCTATATAATTTCATATTACATACTTCAGGCTCAATTCAATTGTACGCATATCTGCATGTCTGTTTATCGCATAATTGACGGGAAAACCTATGACCTGACCCAGATCAAAAATATCTGATGGAAGATTTTCAGAAGGCTGGGGTTTCCCCGGGTTGTAATTACCGAACCCCGGAACCCCGGAAAAAATTTTGCTGGATTGTTTTTTTGCAACACGCCACCCGTTTTGTGGCACCTCTCTTAACCGAAATTCTTAGACCATCCTCGAGGGAATTTCTCCCAATAGCGTCGGAAGCGGAACGACCGGAAGAAAAGAAAATTTCACAGACAAAAAACATCTGGTGATGAAAAATCTGGGGTGGCGTGGCGTTAAAGAATTCGCCCGCACGCGTACCTGTTGGAACAAGCATTAGTCGCGCAAGAACATGGGGAGGAGCTACTAGAAACATTGCATTATTCGTGTGGAGCCTTGTCAAGTACCCTTCATACATAGAAAATCGAGTATGTGCTGAATGAGACTCACAAAAGATGGGGAGGCAAATATTGTACCCAATTCATTTCTCACCTGAGTATATAATATATGCAGATGTAAAAAATCTCGTAAGCTTTGCGAAGCATAGTTGCATTTCTGCTTTGAAGGGAATTATTGCAAACTATTTGATGAATCTAGAGTAGGCAGCTTCTCGGAAGGTGACATTGAAAGCTCATAAAGGCATCACGCTATATGACAGACACCTCTGCCAAAATGCACTAGAACGTGAAGACATCATCAAATCAAGACGCACGGAAGTATTCCCAATGTTTTGGATATTATTGTGTTATAAAGAAGCTTAATGTTACTAATTCATTCAAATATTTAAAAACGTTATATCAGACGCCAGCTTTTTGCAGTCTATCGAAGATTAAAAAGTGCATAAATTATCACATCACCATGTGATGAACGGATAAGAGTTGAAAAAATGCTTTATAAAAAATGCCTTAAAATGTCGTTGATTATCATGCTTCCCTTAGGAGAATCTCTTGTACCATTTGACGTCCTTGTCAGAGTTTTTCAAATCTTCGGCGTTATATTCTTCACCTCTTCTAGAGGAAGGAACCCAAGAAGCGGACTTCCATGGGAGAACACCTTCTTCATACATTTCATTAACTTCTTCCAAAGTCAAGCCCTTGGTTTCAGGGATCAAGAAGAACACATAGAAGAAAGCGAAGACCATACAACCCATAAAGACGTAACCATAGTAGAAGTTAATGGCGGTCGTAATGAATGGAGTAAAGAAACCAATCAAGAAACCCCAAATCCAGTTTGCAGCGGAAGCAATGGACATGGCCTTACCCTTAACTCTCAAAGGATAACTTTCCGAAATGAACACATATGCAATTGGAGCCCAGGTAGTAGCAAAGCAGAAAATGTAGAAACACGTGAAGACAATCATACAGTTACCAGCACCCTTGGAGGAAATGTCATGGTTGCTTGGGTCTGGCCATAGTCTAGTAACACCGACCGATGCATAAACAACATAACAGCAAACCATACCAACACAACCGTACAACAAACAGTTACGACGACCGAACTTATCAACGGTGTACAAAGAGAAAGAGGTTGATGCAAAATTAACGATACCAATGACAATTGCAGTTTGGAAAGAGTCAGAAAGACCAACAGACTTGAAAACGGTTGTACCGTAGTAGAAAAAGTAGTTATCACCAGTAAGTTGTTGCAAAGACATGATCATGATACCAGTAAATGTACGTCTGAACATTTTTGCCTTACCAGAGAACAATTCGCTCCACTTAGCTTCACCAGCCATTTTTTCAGCCTCAACACTAGCAATAATTGTTTCAAGCTCTAGGGTGACGACAGCGTCTTCCAAATCCGCTTTGTTCACGATAGCCAAAGAACGTCTGGCCTCCTCAACTCTACCAACCTCAACAAGGAAACGTGGTGATTCAGGGACGAAAGTCATACCAATGATCATGAAAATGGCCCAGGCGAAACATAGACCCAATGGGACTCTCCATTGGACAGAGTTGGTGTAAGTCTTAGTACCGTAATTAGTACAGTAACCCAAGAAGATACCAAAAGTAACCATCAGTTGGTAGCATGAAACTAAAGTACCTCTCAAATGCTTTGGAGCGGTCTCGGAAATCAACATTGGTGACAAAACAGTAATACCACCGACACCCAAACCGGAGATAATTCTACCAATGAAGTATTGGTACCACTTGTTAATGGATGCAATTTGGATGATAATACCAATAACGTAAATAACAACAACTGTGGTCAAGCCAATCTTACGTCCGTAGACTTCACCGACTTTGGTCAAAAAGACACCACCAATAGCACAACCGATGTTAAAGATAGCAACAATTAGACCCATTCTGACGTTTGATAAGTAATAATCGTGATCAGTGTGTGAATAAGACCCAAATCTTTGTTTGAAATCGCTCATGTTAACGAAACCGGAAATCGTACCGGTATCCCAGCCGAAGACGAAACCACCGAAGGCAACCATAACACAGCAAATACTTACGAAAACGTAAGCAGAGCCGGGCTTGGCAGCAGCAGCAGCCTCTGCCTCACTTCTTAAGTGCTCAAAGTCTTCCTCATGACTGGATCTTGGAAGCTTTGGTTCAGGGGCATTCATGACCCTAGAGTTTTGAGAGCCTTGGTCTTCAGACCCGCTCTTGGATGGAGTAATGTCTTGAGATGGTCCAATATCTGGAGATGTACTCATGATGTACTTGATGATTTTGACACCTGAAGTAGAATTGAAATCAAGACTTGTAATTGGGGTGGGGAAGCACACTTATATATGATTTCAGTCTGCGACTACTCAGTAGTTTTTCCTCACACCACCATGTGCGTAATACCTCTACGCATTACTTTTCGACCACGATAGCAAGCCAAATGACGTTTCCTCATGTACGATTTTGAGAGGTTTTTCCGGCCTCTGCGTCGTTTTCTGCCTGTGCCCGGGATAATTTTTCAAAGTTTTCGGGCCGGGTTTTCTCCGGATTAATTTTTGTCCGAGCGGCGGTTGGGTCCATGCTTCTAGAATGGGGGACCGACACCGAGACCTCAGCCAAGATTAAAGGAAGTAATTGGCATCTACTTGGAGCGGTGTGTATCTAGTTAGTTAGTTACTTAGGCAAATGCCTCAAACGTCACGCATTTCTTGGCTGAATCCCCGGGGCAAAAAGCAAATGATAGGAGGGGCCAGCCTTTCTTTTGGTCGTCCAACGCTTTTCTTTTTCTGTTTCGCAAGCACTTCAAAGTTTTTCCGGGCGGGACGGAAAATCCGGAGGTCTACAGCATTATTCGATATCAGCTGTTAGTCAGCTCGAAAACCCTCTGAAGGTGCATAATTGCGAAATGCAACCCATTTTCATTGCTACGAAATTGAACATAACTCCACATTCTTTTGGAGTCCCCGCAATAATTTCTCTTTTCATTGGTGTTCCAGTTATGCGGTGAAGCTCTTTCACTGGATGTGACGGGATATAAAGGTCGAATGGAACTTCATCCGACTTAGACGATACATGCGCAAACCTGGAGAGGCCCCGGGATGAGGCAATTTAGCATAGCAGCTTTACATAATATTACTCTTCACGAAGAGCTGAGTTTGCTTATTGGCGGGAAAGTTATTCTGCATGCTCCTAATAATCTTACGCTTGCTTGTGAATTTACCCTTTGATAAGGATTTTCATGATCATGTGATCGACAATTTAGAAGAACAGGATTGCGTCGGTGGAAAAGCAAAGTTGCAATCTCCGGGTTTAAGTCTTGACATTCCACAATTCTCTTGTCTTGATTCCGAGGTGCCGAGTAAATGAACACCTCTGACCGGAATGATTGCTTCGCGAATTCATCTCGGAAATTTATTTAGTATTTTGTACGTAGTGTTATACTTTTGTAGGCGATCAAATAACGTTTAAGGAGCAACTTTTGTATCCAAATATAAACTTCACACCGGAAATTACCGATTTTTTGACCGCGCATAGGTTGTGGGCATACCATAAGCTGGTGGTAAATCGAATGGTCTATACACCATTTACACTGGCGCCCCTCCTTTACTATAGTTTCATTGATTAATCTATTAGCATAAAAATATTTAGTCCTGAGAACGTGACTAAGATAAATGAGATAATTAGCCGTTGAAAGAAACAACAGAGAAAGCAACGTGAAGATGTTGATGTTGAGCTTTCTGTAAGTGCAGTACAAATTTCCCTCAGAGATCAGAAATGCGTCATGTTAGCTTTGAATTCTACTTTTCACTGTAGGACTCCTCCGTGACCTCTTCAGACTCAGAAATGAAAGTTACCTCACACCACCCCAAACCTGAAACTACATCTTCATCGTTGACCTTTAGTGTGAAATCATTGGCGTACTGATATATATAAGGCTTTGTACCAGCCACACCCGAGACAATGTTTTTCACGAAATTTGGAATTTCACTCATGACGTCCACTCTTTCTACCAATTGTTTCAATGGACCCTTAACTACAGCAGTCACAGTAGGAGCACTTTCGACATCTTCATCTTTAACATCAGCTGGTATGCCAGTAAAGCGAATTTCTATTTCTTTAGGAATGGGCCAACCAACGGAATCAATTTCAGGATTAAGGTGTTCCACCACATTATCTGTAGTTACGGCTACTATTTCGTCGCCTTTGCAAATGATACCGACTGAAATTTCGGTATTAGCATATGACTTTGGGGTGGTAAATTGCATTAGAACTGCACTGTGCGTCTTGGACTGAAAGTTCAAAAAGTTCCAGGATTTAGCAGCATGATGAGGCTTCATTCCTTGCAGGGCCATTACAAACATAGAGTATGCTGGCACTTCTTCTGTAAAGGTAATTACTGTATCCTTTTCCTCTTCATCTTCTGATGCTAGAGTTAGAGTACCATGGCATAGGTTCCTTGGCCAAAAAACATGTCTCATGGAACCCCATGGCTTTTCAACATCGTCACCGTAGTACGTGGTTGGATCTTCACCAAGCTTTACTCCAGGAGCTTCCCTGTCAAAAGTGAGATCAACTTGACTGGCGGGATTCACAGCGGACTTGAACCTGATTTGAGAACCTTCTTCATTCATCTCAATGGACAAGTCATCAGCGTAAAAGTTAAAGCCTTCAATACGGAAGTTTTCGAGCTTTGTTGATGTCCAAACATTTAAATCTGGGTCATTAACGTTGTAGACCTTAAAAGTAAATTGGGCCGTGGTATGAAGACCAACAATGCTAGAGTGGATCACTTGAGCAAAGCCAACATAGCCCTTCTCTAGATCAGAGAAGTAGAATGTCACAGTTTCAACGTTCGTGTGTCCAGGGTTACGCCACTCAAAATCTGCCGTTGTGGTTTGATGGAAGGGTTGTTTACCTTCTACTCTTTCTCCGACAGGATGAATATACTCTTTACCATATTCTGGTTCTGCAATACCAGTGACTGCTGAGATACCGCCTTGAATCCACTTCAACATCTTTACTTAGTATTAGCTTGGGATTGCGGTTAGCACTTGCGAAGAAGGAGTGTATGCTAAACGACAAATTTTCTCCCACAAATCTTGAAAAAGAAAAACCAAACAAGTTTCTTAGAGTGAACAATGAAAAAGCTTCAGCCTGTGAAAACTCAAAAACGAATAGTCGTAAAAGAAAAGCTCCTAAAGCAGCCTTCAGGTTTGTTGGTTTTCGCACGGAGATAAATTCACAGTAAAGACATTTAAAAGGTTCGAGAAATAGCTCATTATTTGCTCGGATATCTTTTCTTCTCGCGATGGGGTTTTCTGCCCACTCCGCAGCGGGGTTTCGTTTGAACACATCAGCTGTTGATCCTTGCAAAAAAACGCTAACTACTCCATCAATTAGAACATGAAGATATCTTAGTTTATTACTCGATAGCTAAATTTTACTAGGACGAATCACGCTGTTCAAGAGCCTGTAAATAGCCGTGTCGCTTCCCAACGTCCAACATCATCCTTAGCTGCTTAACAGGAAAACACAAAACATTGCAATATTGTATGCTCATATAGATAACTATTGATAGAAGTTATCACATAAGATCCGTGATAGTTTAGTGGCTAGAATTCGCGCTTGTCGCGCGCGGGACCGGGGTTCAATTCCCCGTCGCGGAGATTTTTTGCTATTTTTGAGGTATTCAACATACCATCATTAAAGAATCGGGATGGAGAGATCCTGAGGAGATTATAGTGTTTTAATGATCTACCTAAGCAATGATAATAATGTCTATGAAAGCATTGTAATACAACCTTCAGCTTTTTTTCTTTTCGTGGAGCTCACGTCTCCGCTGGGATAAAAAAATTTTACCGTTCATAGATCTTCTTCAACTGAATAAAAAGTGCAAACAGCGATGTTAAGGATCTCAGGTGCATCAAAATCATTCACGAGGACATATCTTGCACCCAAATTGGAACATCTAACGAAAGGAAAGGGCCTTCCTGGCCTCTTCTCCGCCAATGGGCTGCAGACAGCGTGGTTTGACAGAGCAGATTTTTACACTGAAAATTTGAACAGATTCGTTAGCCAGACAGAGGAAAAGCCATTGGAGACTATCGTTTTTGAAAACGCTAAATCAGCTGCTAAGCGTGATATTTTTAACTATGCGTCCCTTCTATACAATTTACGGTTTTCAATGTCGTCCCTTCATGGTTGTAATAAAGGACTTCCTACCGAGAAACCAGATGCGGGTGCTCCTTTAGCAACCCCTGCCCTAGACCTCAAGTTCCAAAATGAACCTCTAGAAACAGGTAACGAGAAACTGCATGCAGCTCTTATCTCGTCGTTTGGATCAATTGTGGAGTTTAGATCTCTGCTATTAAATTCCAACTTAGCAATCTCTGGTGACGGATATACTTGGTTAGTCGCAAGAAAACATACCACATTGCACCGCGATTCGCATTTAGCTGGCATGGTGGAGTTTGATAATCTCTTTGTTCTCAACACGTACAATAGTGGATCTCCCTTCAACTTTAATAAGGTCAGGTACATGGAAGACTTGAAGAAACAACTCGCTAAGAAGCAACCCCCCATTGAGGAAGAAGAAGATGAGGAAAGTCCGTTCCAAATAAAGAGCATCGAAGAGGCCAGACAGACGGAATCATACAAGGACACTACATATGTCCCTCTACTTGCGATCGATGCCTCTCCAAAGGCTTGGCTACAAGACTATGGCGTATTCGGTAAGCAAGATTACCTCGAACGGGTTTGGGAGTCCATTGAATGGAACATTGTAGAGCAAAGACTTCCTCCTAAAGCACCAAACCATCAACTCAATATATAGTTCTTCTGAATCCATTTATTCCTGTATATAACATAGCTTGCTTGCTCAGCTGGGTAAAAATGCGCTAACACGACGCCATTATACATCATACAAACGATCAATTTTGAGCGGGCTGTTTTGAGTTACCAGCACATTTAATGATCATTTCCTGACTGGTAACCTGTTGGTACGCCAGTTCAGGCGAATCAATGCCGCGATTTTCCAACTCTCTTTTGACCCCGCATCGAATGCACAAATGATGTAAGGATAAGATACAGGCATTTATCCTAGTTACTTTTAGCTCCAATTGATATTGATAATTTACTATTTTGATCAAGACTGACATGGATAACAAGTTTCAGCTCTTCCTACTGACCTTTAAACTCTTGACTCTTCTTAGAAGCTTATTACCAGTCGACTCCTTTTTCGCCATGGGGTCAACGCGCACGCCTAAATATACATCTTCGTGTTGTTCTGGATCATCATACTCCAAATGTCCGGAGTGTGTTTTGGCCAATTTCAAAGGTTCTCGCCTATAGGACTCACCATTCGTTCTGCCTTCGGCATTGCCGTTACCGGCCCCATTTCTTAATCTTTGACTAAGTGATTTTTTTCTCTGTATGCCATGGGCGTTGTGAGCCGCATCCTCGCGAATAGCAGCTGAACCAGCTGGAGCACCATCCAGAAATGTGGTCGAGCCAAGGCCTACTGTGGTGGGGCCATGTACAAGTTCCGTTTTAGCGTTAGTATCAAATTGCGTGATACCATCTAAGTTAGGCTTGATGGCATCGACCGTATTAGAACTGTTGTTAGCACGGGAAAACCTTGACTTCCCATATAAATAACCATCATCATCGTCTATGTCATCTCGGCCAAACACTTCATTCATAGCAGACTTGCTGGCAGTAGCGCCCGATATAGATGAGTTGGGTCCATCGGCAGGGAAAGCCAGTACTGGTGCTGCCTTGGTGTCTCTATTACGGTGTGGGGTACAAGCGTCGAAGGGCCCATCATGGTGAAAAGCTCCTCCAAATAGGCCTGTAACATCCAGTTTATCTATGGTGTCAACATTCTTGGGAATAACCTTTTTGCCAGAACTGGAATGGCTCTTGTCTCTTCCAGACCTGCGCCTATGACGATCAGATGCGTCACGTTGGCGACTGGATTCGTTATGACGGTCACTTCCCTCACGGCGACGATGCGATAACGATTTTTCGCCAGACTCGCGATGGCTGCCTGAGCGAGAATTATACCTGGAATCCGAGTTATGCCTACCAACACCATCTCGACTGGATTTCTCTCTGGGGTAAGGCGCGTTTTTCGCCTTGCTACCTGCAACTTCCTCGTAGGATGGAGGCAGGTCATTTCCGGTTCCATCTGAAACATTCCGTTGTTCCATATACTTTTGCCTCAATCGAGACTTTTCTTCTTGTGCAGTAGGATGGTTGCTGGCGTTATTCGTATACTCGGGTGGGAACTGTGGAGAATCACTGCTCAAGCTATCTCCAGCAGATGAGCTAATATCGTCCAGAAATGGGTTGTTAGATGCCGGACGTGGTGGAGGTGTCATTCTGTTGGAAAGAAGTCAAATTGTTAGTATAATCGCCTGATAATATTACGAGTGAATGTGCTTCGAAACCGTTCCTAAACAAATATTTGCTACAACCTAGCAACTCGCTCTTAAGTGTTTTTTGTATTCTAAATGGGGTGCGGCGCAGTGAGACTTCGAAGTGTAGCATCTTCGGGTCTAGCCCCTCAACAGATCTACATGTTTTGCTAGACTGGCAATGTAGGGTCCGGGTAACAAATTTCGTTCACGCGTCAAATACTCAAAACAACGCAAAACATACCTATAACTATCTCTATGGGTCGAATGGGTAGGAGATGCATACCTTTGTGTGTCTTCTCCTATGCTATCGGTGAAACTCAGTGTTGATCTGTTGTTTCTGGCAGAAGAGGGCATGTAAACGGTGTTTGACGACACCCAATCTTGAAAGTCCTGGTCCGACCTGTGTTGGTTTAATTCGGCATCTACGGATGCAGTTCTGAAGGGATTGTTAGTAGAGTAGGGCCTTCCACCACTCCTTTCGCTGTCAGACCGGTGCATCATCTGAGCGCTTTGTAATTAGTCTTGGTAAAGTGATCGCTCAAGCTCTCTAGGAAGAAAAAAACCGTGTAGGATGGTAATGGCGATACAAATCCTTCAGGGTGTCCAATTGAATCTCTATTTTAATAGACTACACTCGGTGTCTAATACTAAAATAGTCACGCTAATTCTGCAGAGCGGAGAGTATGTAAAGATATATGATGTGGATATTGGCCCTTTTAGAAAATTTTTTTGGCAGCTTATCGCCCTGCAAGGTCACCTTACACGCACCAACCGTTCTAATAAGGCTTGGCAAGGTATTGCAGTGAGACAGCAAAGCTAAAACTGTATAAATTTCTGGGAGAAGTGTTCGTGATCCTTAGAATTGTTCAACTTAACGAAGTCTTCGTTCTTCAGTTTCTCTTTGATGGTCCGATGTATTGAAACAAGGTAGTTCTCATAGCTCTCGATCATCTCAATACTCTTGTCCTCACACAGAACAGCTCCCATGACATGGGCGTAATATGAGTCAACATGAGGTCTTAGTGGAATAACGGGAACGTACGAACGACCCACGAGTTGGCGCCAGTTCTTGATTAAATTGCGCGCTTTCATGTTAATCTCTGTATCGGCCTCCGGGAGTGAGCCTCCAAATAACGTGATAGCATCGAATTTAGTAGTGTCTGGTTCCACTCCTAAGAGGTCACGCAGCAGAAATTGATTCGTATTTTCATTGAACCACAAATATACTGTTTGGCCATCAAAGATCAAGTAACAACCACCGTCGATGAGAGCGCTACGAGTGGCGCGAACCGAGAGATTTGAAACAGAGTCAGTTTGCAATAGCTCATCGTTTTCGTCATAAAACATGAAATCAGTTTCACCGAGCAGCTCATGGAGGGGCAAAATTTGAGGGTAGAGTTTGAACATAATTTGGGTAATGTTGAAGTTGTGATAGAGAAAAAAATCGCTGACACGAGAATTGCCTTGTGTGGACTTGTTGTTGTTTTTCATCATTTCAGTCTTTTCAAAAGCTAACAAATATGCAGGTAACGTCTTTAGGGAATCAGGGAGCACCAACTGAGAAGAAGAAGAGCCTGAGACTAGAGCTCGGTATTGTGTCAGGATATCGCTCAACTTATCGTCAATCAGCTTGCGTATATTCACGAAATTGCAATTGCCCAAAGTTGAGATGACATCTTGAATTATAATGCTGACAACTGCGTCTTGATTTACAAATTTGAAAACTTCGTGAATACTATCATTGGCTGCACCAGAGACATTGAGCGTACGCACCTTTCTCACACCATCAATATCAGTATATAGAAGAGCTGCCTGAAAATGAATATTTTTAGAGACAGGTAGTTGTTCCGTATACTTGAACAGGACGTTCATTGTAAAATCTTTGTGAAGTACGGGAATTCTTGGCTCCCGATCCGAATACCCATTAGATGCCGAATAATAGTTGTAAATCGACAGGCCAGCTGAACAGCGTACTTTCAACTGAGCGTTGTATCCTATGCAGTTGGACACGCTGTGTAGCATATCGTTTACTAATGTGAACTCGTCTTTATCAATGTGAAAATTTGGATAATACTTTAAATAGCCCGAAGACACTAATGTTGGGTGGCCAACAGATGTCATATCCACAAATGCAGAGCTTGTACAAAACAAATCAACAGAGACTGAAGAGTTTAATAGCTCTTTTCCAATTTTTTTGTAAAAATCGTTATCACAATTTAATGTTTTCTTTAGCGCATTGTCTGTCTTGACACTTAAATTACCTACACCGATAGTAGGCTTAGTACTAAGGGTAGCAATAATTTTACCACCCTGTCCTGCAGTCACGGTATCCAACGCAATTCTTGCGGCATCCAAAGCAGAACCGTAACACGCCTCAAAACAGTGGGAGAACTTTCCATCCTCAATATAAGCTGTCAGTTTGCACAAAGTGTCTTGAATAACATGCATCGAATCCGCAGGCGTTACGAATAGCCCGTTGTAAATTGGTAAGAAAACGTCATGAAGTTCGCTTACGATATATTCCTGGGCCTGCATCAGTTCTGGCCTCAAATTAAAGAAACGGATATGCTTGTCATACGCAATAATAGCAATCTTACAGTTAGGTTGATTTGTGCAGATGTACTCAATACAAGTTCTTACACCTTCAATTGTGGCCAAGGAACTTTTGTTTTCATTTGCCAATGTCGAGATATCAATTAAAAACACATAATGCAAGGGAACATTTGGTATACCTTTGACAGGATTGTACTTCTCAGGCACCCGAAATTCGACGGTCCCCTTCAAGAGATCAGGTCGTTGATCGAAATCGGATCTAAGCCCATTAGGATTCAAAGGAGCATAGTGATTTTCATCTAGTGGAGTGCTTATCTGACAGAAATTGCAAACTGCGTTCGAATCAAAAGTGAATGAGAAGGCAGGATTTACGTATGCTTTGCAGCGCCTGCAACGCAACGGGCCATTTGTCGTAGAGGTATCAATGAGGTCCACGATAGCATTTGGGGTAGAATCAGTAAAAGGTTGTAGCACGGCGCCCATGGGTAACTTAGTCGCCGATCTAAGTTGCTCATTCTTGGGAATATTATACATTGTCAAACACATTTGACGAGGATCGCTTGAGCCCTGATCAACACAATAAAATTGAGTAGTGGCTAAAGGAGGAACTGAGTCCTGTGAGGTTAAAAAAGATCTTTTCAAATATTGCTGTTGGTCTTCCAATCGTTGTGTTGAGACGTAGTGCGAGGTTATTCTTTGTTGGTCTTGCATAGATAATGCCGCCTCTTGAGATACAAAATTTTCATTCGAGGCTCCAAACAATTGGGGCTGAGATCCTCCAAGCTTAGTGGGGTGAATCCCAGCTGGGGACTCTAATTGAGGAAGTGAAGTGGCTCCGCCAGAACCGCTTGATTCGAATGTGTGGTATGCGCGATTTGGTCGTTTGTATTTTTTAGAGGTTGATAAAGGAATTTTTGAGGATTCAGAGTCACCCAGAGCTAAGCTGGAAACACTGGAAGTCAAATTCTCCATTGCAAATTTCAAGTTGAATGAATCCTGTCTGTATGCTAGTAAATAATACGATTACTTGGACAACCAAAAAATTTCCTTGATCATATATCACGTGTACCACATTATTGCCTAGTACTCCGCTGAAGTCCTTCAAACAAAATTGAGGCTTACGTAAGTAAAAAAAAAAGTCAATTAAATTTGTATAAAGTACATCAATCAGTTATAAGGCTTGCCAAAAATGTACTAATGAAATCCAAAATACTATATCGGGCATCTCAAAGATTAGGAAATCTTTTGACTAAACCTTAGAGTAATGACAACCGATAAACGTACATAAAATGCACAAATCGTCGAGGAAAGCCCAATCCTCCGAAAGCTGAAGTTGCTGAATATAAGGAAAAATCAAAATGGAAAAGGAAAAATCAAAAACTCTTGAAAGGAATAATACATTAGCGTTAATCTATAATCGAAAATCGATAAGAATACTTTTATGCGAAAAATTGTTCTATTTTGGGGGCTTCAGAGCATTATAGTTATGCCGAGAAGTAAAAATAATCCACTGGAAATCAGTTTTATAAAGGAATAGTCCTTGATGTTGACTGAGATTGGTGCCATTAAGTGGCCGTGGGCGGCGTTAGTAGACGAATTACTACTTTGTGCCGTTGTTGATGAACTTTTTGGTATTGAAGTACTGTAAAAGGACCTCCCCGTGAAGATAACACCATCTGAAGAAATTGTTGCGGTGAATTGGTTCACAAGTTTCGAAGCAGAGTAAGAGTTCGAAATAGACACATAAAGACTCAAAGATTCATATGAAGTCAAATTATTAGTTGTTGCGAAAGGGATTTGGCCCGATCTTATCGCTGATGGATTGTACATCAAGGAATCCGAATTAGTGTGTGAAGTCTCCACTTTTTGATTTCTTTTCTTATTGTTAGGCGAGTCAGAATCGGTCACAATTAGTAGCGTTTCGGTATTGGTACTCGAAGTATCTGTTTCCGAACTTGAAGAGGATGTTGCCTGTGTAATAAGCGCGGATGTCGAGCTTAAAGGGACTCTTGAAGCTTGTGCTAGTGCAATTTGATTGCTATCCAAGTCTGCGGCGAGGAAGATATTCTTGATGAAAGGTCCACCCAAAACACTGAAACCCGTTGCAGAATTTGGAAACACCTTTAGATGGCAAGCTTCTTCTCCATTCGAGAAATGAAGTGAAGAGTTAGAGTTTAGTGTATAAGCAGGACTTACGAGATCAATGAAAGGAACTTCAATCTCCAAATTGCCGAATTCGAAAATCATGTAGGCTCCCATATCTGCTATATCGCACGAAACAAACCATCCATCAAGAGATTCCACGTAATACGCATTCGCTTGTATAGCAATCTGAATGACGAGTTCCATAGGTAAATAGTTGTAGGTGTAACGGGAATCCAGAAGTACAGGCTCCACAAAAGAATCTGATGTCAAATTCAAAGTTTGACCAGTGCTGGATTGCACGGAAAGTTTCGTCAGCGGAATAATCGGGTATCCTTGAGAACTTTCTTGGGATTCAACATCATAAAACGGCAGAGTGTCGAACTTGACAAAATCACCAGTGTACAACGATTGATCCACTCCGCCTAATATCAATTTCCCACATTCGTCGAGCGAAAGGTCAGTTGTTGAGTTGATGGTATTTTCATTATCACCTCCCAGCCACAAAGAGTAAGAGCTAGAGTTTATGACACCATTTGAAACCAATTGATCCAAGAAGTAGAAAGAACCATCGAAGTTCGAGGCATCGATATCATCATTCGCCTCGTTGATCTTCCCCGATAACCCTAGGGCTCCCTGATAAACGTACCGACTGTCGTCCGCGTTGAAGAATGACATGTTCTTGACCGAAAGGCTGTTTGTAGTGGTTGACCAGTTAACTGTGGTATTGATGAGACCACTTAACAAGTCCTCGTTACCGAGGCTGTTATCAACTGTCGTGAAATTTACAGTGTCCATAACTGCAGTGCCATTGAAGAAAATGGAGTCAATAAAGTACATCTCATAAACTCTCCCATCGTTCAAAAGTTCCGATGTTGTGCTTTCTTTGATGTAATACAACGACCCAGTGAGACACCCACTACCTAAGTGGTTGCACTCCGTATAATCACTACCAGAAAAGACCCAAGTATATGGTTGGGCAATGTCAATACGGAGCATCTGCTGTTGTCCAGGATTCCCAAACGTAGAATTAGCATAATACAGGCCCGTGGTGTCTTTACCGACTACAATGGTAGGAAAGGGATTTGGGGATTTTGATGTTGAGGTTACACATGCCACTAAATGCAAGCTGAGTAAAATTACCACCAATATACTCAGCATAACAGGTTGAGTTTTATTCAAGATTCTCCCAGAGTGGTTACTGCTGATGGGATTTTTGTTGACAGAAACTTCATGACGTCGATCAAATTTCTTTCAAATGTAGCCGTTTGAATACCAACCGAAAATCAACTGGGTGCATTGCCATAATGCATTTATAACAGTGGGGTAAGCTCAAATTTGCAGTTAGTGGCTTCAGTAGCTCAGTCGGAAGAGCGTCAGTCTCATAATCTGAAGGTCGAGAGTTCGAACCTCCCCTGGAGCATTCTTTTTTGCATCCAACTCTGCTTCCGTTTTAATGATTTCAATAATGAATGGGAAAGGCAGGTGAAATAATGTGAACTTCCTGTTCACTTGGTTACTTGATTAAAGATAGAACTTATTACCTTTTAAACATCGTATTTGGATCCATAGAGAATTCCTTTTGTCATTCTTGAGTAAAGATACTTTATTGTATGTGTTACATCAACGCTTATAATTGCTTCAGGTTCGTGCAATTGGATTGAAGCCGTTGATAGACTACAAAATCAGACAACCGAAACCTATCATTCATACTCTTATTCTGTTTTCTCCCTGTCTTCGTAGAGATCATTGGAATGAAGAGACAGATGTCCAAATTAGGCAAAGAAGCACGTGATGATAGAAAGTTCCCAGAGCTCAGAGGTAGAAGATGAAGCGAAAAAAATTCACGACTTGATAATGCAATTAGTGTAGGTGATAAACAAGAGCAAGACTAGCCTCGTAGAGGATAAGGGGCTTCAATTAGACCTCCAAGATACGATAGAGCTGCGGCCATGTCATATACCGAACAAATTGACGCGTTTGCTGCGCGTCTTGCCGAGAACAACGACGATCTGTCTAAGAAGCTTTCAACACTGTCAGAGCTATGTGATATGGTGGAACCGTTGAACTCATCTGGTGATTACGGCCATTTTCTTGCTTCAACAATTCCTGCCCTAATGGGGCTACTGAATTCAGTTTCTGTGTCTCTGGACGGTGCGTCTCTTGAGCACAAGCTTCGCAATTCTGCTCTCGAGATACTTAACCGTTGCAACATGAATGAGACTTTTGAACCTAATGCAGAAGTCGTTTTAGACACGTTACTAACCGTTCTTCGTGAAGACAATGAAGAAAACGGTGTTTTATCTATGAAAATATTGACAAGCCTCTTCAAATCCTACAAGGCTGCCTTGCAAGATAAAGTGGAGGATTTTATTCAAGTGATCATGCAAATCTACAAAAACATGCCAGAGTTGGTGAATAAGACATTCAATGAGAGTAAATCCTCAGATAGCCCCGATCTGACGAATGGTTTGAATGGTAGCTTCGAATCTGGCGACTTTGATGCCAATGATTCTGGACCATCCAACACCAATAAATCTCATCAGGCGAAAACTCTGAAAAGATCCATGTTTTCTTTCAAAACCCTTTCAGAATGTCCCATTACAATGGTGACTCTATATTCGTCATACAAGCAGCTTACTGGCTCGTCGCTTCCACAATTTATGCCGCTAGTAATAGAATTGTTGGCAATGGAAGCTGAAAAACAGAAACAGGCCCGGCAAGAAATGGAAGCAATGGGTCAGAGGCTTACCGACCTTTCTCCTGCGATTCAAAACCGTCAAGCTTATTGCGACTTTTTACTAGCCCAAATCAAGGCAACATCCTTTTTGGCATACGTCTTCATCCGTGGTTACGCCGCAGAGTACCTGCAGAATTATGTGGGATTCGTTCCTGATCTAATAATCAGGTTACTACAGGATTGTCCAGCTGAACTTTCCTCAGCACGTAAAGAACTTCTTCATGCCACGAGGCATATACTATCGACCAATTACAAGAAACTCTTCTTACCCAAAATTAACATGCTCTTTGATGAAAACGTTTTGATAGGTCATGGATTCACGTCACACGAAACGCTGCGGCCATTAGCGTATAGCACTGTTGCCGATTTTATTCACAACGTAAGGGGTGAACTACAACTAGATGACATTGAGAAAACAATTCAGATGTACACTGGATTTTTACTAGATGAAAGCCTGGCGCTTACAGTTCAAATAATGAGTGCAAAGCTACTTCTTAATTTAGTTGAGCGTATTTTGAAACTGGGAAGAGAAAACCCAAATGATTCTGTCAGAGCCAAAAAACTTTTAATTATAATCATAGACGCATATACTACTCGCTTCAGAAATTTGAACAGACAGTATGACAATTTGATGAAACATCACAATGACTACGAGAAAGAGAAACTTTTAAAGTCGAAAATAATACGCGAAAAGGCTGAGAAAGACAACAAGGATACAGAGGATTTCATCAACAAAATGTTGAACACCAACGTCGATGCCGAAAAGGATAATGATGGAGATATTCAGATGGAGGGAAGCACAGACGTGAACATCATCACTGAGCCTGAGAAGGAGCTGGGAATCAATGATGAAAAATATATCGACTTATTCGACATAAAATATCACAACCCTATTCTTCTTTCTCCTCCGCCTTCTAGCGATCCTCTAAAGGACGCATTTTATTTGTATCGGACGTTGATGTCATTTTTGAAAACCATCATCCATGATATCAAAGTTTTCAATCCTCCTTCTACAGATTACACGACTATGAATCCAAAGTTGTGGGCTTCTCTATCAAGAATTTTTTCATATGAAGAAGTACTTGTTTTCAAAAATCTATTCCACGAATGCATCCTCGGCCTTCACTTTTTTTCAAGCCCACAGGGCAAAAGTGTTGTGGCAGAAAAGAAATATTTCGATATAACAGCACCTAGTCTGCCTGTATCAGCAACTAAAGATGGAAGAGAATTAATGGATTATTTTGCGATTATGTTCATGCAAATTGATAGTCCAACTTTCAATGATATTGTCGAGGCAGAAATAGACTTCATGTATGAGTCTATGTTACGTGATTCTGCACTTTTACACGTTGCCCAGTCCTTTTTGACTAGCGAAATTACTTCTCCTAATTTTACAGGAATTTTATTGAGGTTTTTGAAATCGAAGCTCCCTTCACTTGGAAACGTCGATGGCAATAAATCAAACATATTGATTCGACTATTCAAGTTATCATTCATGTCAGTTAATTTATTTCCCGTGACCAACGAAATTGTTTTACTACCACATTTAAACGACCTGATATTGGATTCATTAAAATACTCCACCACAGCGAAGGAGCCGTTAGTATACCTTTATTTGATTAGGACCCTTTTCAGAAGTATTGGGGGCGGAAGATTCGAAAATCTCTACCGTTCAATCAAGCCTATTCTTCAGGTACTCCTTCAATCGTTGAACAGGATGATACTAACAGCTCGCCGTCCACATGAGAGAGATCTATATGTCGAGCTCTGTCTCACTGTTCCAGTACGGTTGAGTGTCTTGGCTCCTTATCTCAGCTATCTAATGAAGCCACTTGTGTGCGCACTTCAGGGCTTTCCAGAATTAATCACCCAAGGCCTGAGAACCTTAGAGCTGTGTATTGACAATCTGACGGCAGAATATTTCGACCCTATTATTGAGCCAGTAGTCGAGGATGTTATTCGTTCCTTGTTTAAATTACTGAAACCTCAACCGTTTAACCATCAAATCAGTCATACTGCTGTCAGGATATTAGGGAAACTAGGTGGAAGAAACAGACGATTCATTAAACCACCATCTGATCTGAAAACTGAAAGTGAGCTTGATATAGAGGTCAATGCACTTTTCAGTGTCCATGGTATACCCCAAGAGGTCAATTTATCAGTGACACCTGGTGTACGTTCAGCACTCGAAATACTGGAAGATTACAGAGCTGCTATATACTACCGGAAGAGTGCGTTTAAATATTTGATGTCGGTATTGCAACTATTCTTACAAACGTCCCTGGAAGTTCCTTCTGACTTTGAAAAGTATGTTTGCGCTGCCAAAAACATTTTATGCCAAGATGATGTGAACAACGAAGTCGAATATAAGGATGAAAGAGCCAAAGATATGACGTTTTTAGATAATCAAGAAAAATTGCTATCGGAACTTCTTAATTCCTTATTTTATGCTGTTTCAATTCCAGAAATAGCACAGGAGGCTAAGGATGTTATCTTGAACGTTACAAATCATTTTTGTCTGCTTCAACTCAAGAATGCACTGGAAAAGAAGCGAGACCAATCTGAGATTTTCAAGGTTGATGTGAAACAATTAGACCTCGGAATTGATCCTGCTATTGTCCTGAATGCGATATCTAGTGGATTAGGGTCATACCTGGAGGATTCAAGAAACGTGGCAATTGAGGCCATCAAACAAATTTACAATACAAGCAACACAATATATGGGGAGGAACTTTTATTGACGTATTCATTCATTCCACAACTAACAAAAAAGTTTATCCATCACTGTTATGACGAAGCATACTATGAGAAGAGTTGTGGAGTTTTAGGCCTCAAAACTCTAATCATGGATTTAAAAATTTCTGTCGACTTCTTGAAAGGTTTTCAATTTGAACTCATCACTGGCTTATTGTTTGTTTTGAAAGATACGCCTAATGAAGCGCCAGGCGTCATCCGCAACCGCGCTGAAAACTTGATTGTGAGGATTCTAGAGAATACATGTAAAGGTATAACAGAGGAAATGCTAAGTGAGAAAAGTTTGCAAAATACCTTAACAGATATCGTTTGCGAACTCAGTAATGCCAATAAGGTAGTAAGAAAAGCGTGTCAAAACGCTCTATCTACTATTTCAACAGTGTCAGGTATACCAATTGTGAAACTGATGGAACACTCCAAGAATTTCCTCCTTTCTCCGATTTTTGCCAAGCCTTTGCGAGCTCTACCATTCCCAATGCAGATAGGTAATGTTGATGCCATTATTTACTGCTTGACTCTTCCTGATACATTTTTAGAGTTCAACGAAGAGTTGTATCGACTTTTACATGAGGCTATAGCTTTGGTTGATGCAGAGGACGAATCCTTGGCTAGCGCACATCGAGTTACAGAATATCAAACAGCAGAACAGCTGGTTCAATTAAGAGTTGTGTGTATAAGACTGCTGGCCTTGGCTCTCAAAAATGAAGAATTTGCTACCGCTCAACAAGGGGCAATTAGGATACGTATTCTGGCTGTTTTCTTCAAAACCATGTTGAAAATGTCTCCAGAAATTATCGAGGCTACATATCAAGGCCTTAAAAGTGTACTAGCAGAGAACTCTAAACTTCCTAAGGAATTGCTCCAAAATGGTCTGAAGCCTATGCTGATGAATCTTTCTGATCATCAAAAACTCACAGTTTCCGGGTTGGAAGCACTGGCTAGGCTACTAGAGCTCTTAATCGCCTATTTCAAGGTTGAAATTGGCAAAAAGCTCCTTGATCATCTCGATGCATGGTGCAGAGTCGAGGTACTTGACATGCTTTTCGGTAAAGATCTTCACGAACAAACTCCAACAAAGATAATACACGGCATTATCAATATTTTCTATCTTCTACCACCTCAGGCTGACATTTTTTTGAATGATCTTTTCGTCAAGCTAATGCTAGTAGAAAAGAGACTCAGACTGCAGTTGGATTCACCGTTCAGAACACCTATGGCAAAGTATCTGAACAGGTTTCATCCGTCTGTACTTAACTATTTCAAAAACAACCTAGGGTCTCGAGAACTGGTTCTACTTATGTGTTCAATCATAAAGAAAGAACATGCACCTGATCTAAGAGAAGACTTTGAAAAGGAATTAACTAGCTTCTATGAATATTATATGGCTGGTATGTCCTCTAATCCTATAAGGGGTGTCAGTTTCTTTGCAAATATAGTGGATATTGTCAGTTCACTAGCCGAGGTCAACGGGGTTGAATGGATAACTCAGAACGAAGGAATACTGCTGAACTTGAGAAACATGATGAAGGTTGTATTAAAATCTATCCAGGAAGGGAAGTTTTATTATGATTCTTTGCAGTTGAGCCAGGCAATCGACAAATTTCAATCTCTATGTTTAAGTTATATGGAATCGAACGTCGATAACCCCTCACTTCTTTTTGATTACGTCCAATTTTCCTTTTCAGTTGGTTTGAAACCATCTCAATCACTGCTGGATTTTATATATCAGAATATTACTACTTCAGAAGATACTGGGAGAAAATGTGTTTTCTTAAGGGAGGCTTTGAAATTTGCTACAACTGATCATCCATTGGACGCTAGTGTTTTTGTTCTGAAACACATAATTAATCATACTCTCGTCTTCGAAGGGTTTGCCAATGCATCTTTGAAACAGTTTACTGAAGGTGACGGCCTAAGTCGCCCCGAATGGCTAGAACTGGTTCATAATAAAATTTGGAAGGGATCGAATGATGCTCTAGTCAGTCATGGAGCTGGGGCATATGATGTATTCCGGTTCGAGTTGCTGCAGCTCTCCGCAGTATTTATAAAGTGGGCACCTGACCTTGGCCCTGAATTGAAGCGAGACGTTATCAAGTTCAGCTGGAACTTTATCAAACTCGAGGATCCTCTAGTCAAGCAGGCGTCTTATATGGTGACTGCTTACTTTATTTCTAAGTACGATTTTCCCGTTAAGATCGTTACTCAAATATTTGTTGCCATTTTGAGGACTTTTCAGGTTGAATCAAGATTCATGGTAAAGCAATCTCTCGACTTATTAGCGCCAGTTATGCACGAACGAATGGCTGCCGCAGGAGCTCCAAACGCATGGGTAAATTGGGTAAGGAGAGTTTTGTCCGAAAGCAGTCCTGGTCAAAATTCGACTATTTATCAATTTATTATCAATCATCCTGATGAGTTCTACGACTCCAGGGATTTATTCATTCCCAATATTATCAGTCAAATGGGGAAACTCACGCTTTTAACAAATCCTAGTGTCGAAAATCAAACGACTGCGATTGATCTCGCTGATCTGATATTATATTGGGAAAACAAGGCTAAAAAATCTAAAAAGAAAATTCAAGATGGAGATGAAGAGATGAACGATGCCGGAAATCTCAATCTTGAGGCTAAAGACTACGTTTTCCCCCTGAATCAAAGGGAGGCATGTGTTACATTTTTGATCCGATATATTTGTGTCAGCAATCATAGAGCAATGGAGACAGAATTAGGTGTTAGAGCGTTAGGAATTTTGTCTGAACTATTATCTGAGGACCACTGGCCTGAAGTTAGTGTGAAACTTGCATATTTCGAGAAGTTTTTGGTGCAACAAGATCTAACTTCGTCAAATATTCTGTATTACTGCATGAATACTTTGGATGTGCTAAATGTTCTCTTCACTAATAAGCCTTCATCTTGGATAATGAACAATCTTCCTCTTATCCAGAATCTCTTAGATAGGTGTCTAAGGGTGGACCATCATGATATTCAAGAAGCATTGCAAAACGTGCTGAAAGTAATTTTGAGGGCTATAAAGGCAGAACAAGAACCAAGTTTGGAATCAGAAGAAGAGACACCAAGTAAGGTATTCATCACCACATTGTCTTCCATTATAAATGAGGATTTACAGGGTACTTCTTCACTCGCAGCGGGAGTTACATTGACGTGGACGTTATTCATGTTTTTCCCTCAGTACATTGATCCTCTTCTTCCATCGATCATGAAAACTTTTAGCAAACTGTGCAAAGACCATTTGGCCACGTCACAACCAAAAGATGCCAGTGCTATCGAGGAAGCGAAAATAACTACCGAGCTTTTGGAAAAGGTGTTTTTTTTACTCTCGATGAAGGTCGCATCATTAGGTGACGCACGCCGTCCTTTCCTGGGTACTGTCGCTTTGCTAATTGACCGCTCTATGGACCAACAGTTCTTGAAAAAAATTATCGCTGTGGCAAGAACATGGGTTTTCACAAGTGAGATCTTCCCTACTGTAAAGGAAAAAGCTGCAATCCTAACGAAGATGTTGGCATTTGAGGTCAGAGGCGAACCAAAACTATCCAAACAATTTTATGAAATAATTCTAGAGTTATTTGAGAACAAGACTTTTAACAACAGTGAAATAACAGTCCGAATGGAGCAGCCCTTCTTGGTGGGAACTCGTGTGAGTGACATTACTATCCGAAAGAAAATGATGGCAATCTTGGATAGCAGCCTGGAGCGGGATATTCGCGAGCGCCTATATTATGTGATACGCGACCAAAACTGGGAATTTATTGCTGATTATCCGTGGTTAAATCAAGCGCTTCAATTGCTATATGGTGCATTTGAGAAGACTCATTTATTAAGATTGGAAAGTGCACATCAATTTCAACCCGTGGGAGCACTTACGTATAATATGAAAGAATCCGACCTTGAGGAGACTCCAAGTTTGGAGATACAACAATTAATCGCAAAACACAAAACGTTTGCTGAAAAGTTTACTAATGTATCGTGCAGCGATCTCATCGAACCACTGATTGATATTTTCTATCAAAGCCCGAAGGCAATTCACTCCACTTGGGTTAACGTATTTTCTGCAGCCTACAAATCCATACCAAAGAATGAAAAGTATGGCTTCGTGCGTTCCTTAGTTACGCTACTATCCAAAGATTACCATGCTCGACAGACTAGTGTTAAGACAAATGTTGTAAGTACGCTGCTTGATGGAGTGAGTAAGGTTGAAACCCTTGAACTACCACCACATTTGATCAAGTACCTGGCAATCTCTTATAATTCATGGTATCAATCCATTGAAATTTTGGAATCCCTTGAAGAAAGTGCATCCATAGAAAACACCAAAATTGTTGAAACAAATGAAGATGCCCTTCTTGAGCTGTACGTTAATCTGCAAGAAGAAGACATGTTTTATGGCCTTTGGAGAAGAAGAGCTAAGTACACCGAGACAAACATTGCTTTGTCTTTCGAACAGATAGGTTTATGGGACAAAGCTCAACAACTTTATGAGGCGGCACAAGTAAAGGCAAGAAGTGGGGCATTGCCATATTCAGATTCTGAGTATTCCTTATGGGAAGATAATTGGATCATGTGCGCTGAAAAACTGCAGCATTGGGATGTGCTCACTGAATTGGCAAAGCATGAGGGGTTTACTGATTTACTTCTAGAGTGTGGCTGGCGGGTTGCCGATTGGAGTGCTGACAGAGAGGCGTTGGAACAATCTGTAAAAAGCGTTATGGATGTTCCAACGCCACGTAGGCAGACATTTGAAACATTTTTGGCGTTGCAGAATTTTGCAGAGACAAAGAAAGGGGACCAAGATGTCAGAAGATTATGCGACGAAGGGATTCAATTGAGTTTACACAAATGGGCATCACTTCCTGAAAGATTTACCCCCGCACATAATTTCCTATTGCATGGCTTTCAACAATATATGGAATTCTTAGAAGCAACACAGGTATACGCAAACTTGGCCACCACAACTGTTCAAAACTTAGATTCAAAAGCTCAAGAGGTCAAGCGTGTGCTTCAAGCATGGCGTGACAGACTACCAAATATATGGGATGATATAAATATGTGGAATGATTTAATAACCTGGCGTCAGCATGCCTTCCAGGTTATTAACAATGCATATTTGCCATTAGTCCCAGCATTGCAACAAGCTAATGGTAATAGTAATGTTAATACACATGCCTACAGAGGTTATCACGAAATTGCCTGGGTTATAAACAGGTTTGCGCACGTCGCGAGAAAGCACAACATGCCTGATGTCTGTATTAGCCAATTGGCTCGTATTTACACTCTTCCTAATATTGAAATTCAAGAAGCATTCCTAAAGTTACGTGAGCAAGCAAAATGTCACTACCAAAGTATGAACGAGTTGACAACAGGCTTAGATGTTATTAGTAACACTAATCTTGTTTATTTCGGGACTGTTCAAAAAGCAGAGTTCTTCACTTTGAAGGGTATGTTTTTATCTAAGTTGAGAGCGCATGATGAAGCTAATCAGGCTTTTGCAACCGCGGTGCAAATTGATCTCAACCTTGCGAAAGCTTGGGCACAATGGGGCTTTTTCAATGATCGTCGACTATCTGAAGAACCTAATAATATCAGTTTCGCAAATAATGCTATAAGTTGCTACTTGCAAGCGGCTGGCCTATACAAGAATGCGAAAACTCGAAAACTTCTCTGTAGAATTCTGTGGCTAATTGGCATAGATGATGCCTCAGGCTCTTTGGCTAGCGCGTTTGAATCTTTCAGAGGAGAGGTCCCTGTGTGGTATTGGATTACTTTCATTCCTCAGTTGCTCACTTCATTGTCGCATAAAGAGGCTAATATGGTGCGCCAAATATTGATACGGATCGCAAAGAGCTACCCTCAGGCATTACATTTCCAATTACGTACTACAAAAGAGGACTTTTCTGTCATCCAACGTCAAACAATGGCAGCAGTTGCCAATTCCCGCTCGTCAAGTAGTGCCAAATCCCAAAACACTTCCAACGGCACTCGTCAACCTTGGGAATACCTCGATGAGCTAAACGGTATTTTGAAAACAGCATACCCTCTTCTTGCCCTATCGCTTGAATCACTGGTTGACCAAATTAATCAAAAGTTCAAAACTACTCCAGACGAGGACTTATTCAGGTTGATCAATGTTTTGTTAATTGATGGTACTTATAACTACAACCGCCTACCTTATCCAAGAGAGAATCCAGTACTTCCTTCTAGTACAGAAGCAAACCTCATTAGATTTTCTGAGAACTTATTACCTCCTCATATCAGAGTTAAGTTCAATGCTGATTTCATAGATAGTAAGCCGAACTTCGAAACCTACATCAAGAGGCTACGCCACTGGCGTAACCGATTGGAGAACAAGTTGGATAGAGCTCCTAAGACAGAAAACATGGAAAAGTTGTGTCCTCATTTAAGTAACTTTCATCACCAGAAGTTTGAAGATATTGAAATTCCTGGTCAGTACTTGCTCAATAAGGACAGCAATGCCCACTTTGTGAAAATAGCCCGGTTTTTGCCTCACGTTGATTTTGTCCGCGGGACACACTCCTCCTATAGGCGTCTGACAATTAGAGGGCATGATGGTAGTTTGAATTCCTTTGCTGTTCAATACCCTGCTGTTCGCCATTCAAGACGCGAAGAAAGAATGTTCCAATTGTTTAGACTATTCAACGAAACACTATCAAAGAACGTCCAGACGAGGCGTCGTAATATACAATTTACACTACCAATAGCTGTTCCATTATCACCTCAAGTGAGAATCATGAATGACAGCACCTCCTTCACGACAATGCATCAACTGTACGATGAGTACTGCGCCAAGAAAGGCATTGATCGAGATGCTATTCAGGATTTCGTCAGTCAGCAATTAGACGCCGCTCACGATAAAGTTTTACCACCTCCAGATATAACTGCCGTCAAGGTTGAAATTTTCAGCTCGGTTCAATCGATGTTTTTGCCATCGACAGTAATGAAAGACCATTTTCTGGCGCTATTTACTGAATTTGAAGACTTTTGGCTTTTCCGTAAGCAGTTCTCATCCCAATACGCCACATTCATTTTCATGACATATATGCTTACTATCAACAATCGTGCTCCTCACAAAATCTACATTGACCAAAAATGTGGTAATGTTTTCACCTTAGAAATGCTGCCTGCTAGATATCCATATGAGAGAATGAAGCAATCTGTCAAAAATTTCGAGGCAAATATTCCAGGTGATGCGCCCATATTTCATAATAATGAAGCAGTTCCTTTCAGGCTAACCCCCAACATTCAGAAACTGGTTGGCGATTCTGCACTTGAAGGTATCCTATCGGTCGATGTATTCGTGGTCGCACGTGCTTTGCTGGAACCTGATCATGAATTGAACACGTATCTTGCGCTCTTCATTCGTGACGAGGTCATCTCTTGGTACAGCAATCTACATCGATCGATTGTTGAAGATCCTCAATTGCGAGAAATCGTCCACACAAACGTTGATTTGATAATTAGGAAAATCGCACAATTGGGCCATCTAAGCTCTAAGCCATCAGTGGCCACTCAATATGTGCTTGATGCAATAAGCGCAGCAGTTAGCCCAAGAAATCTTGCAAAAACAGATCAAAGTTTTTTGCCTTATCTATGAAACTTGTTTATTTTCCTTCTGTATTTTGAATGCACATGGGTTTTTTATTTTGTGTTGAACACTACGTGTGACAAATAGACTCTCTTAATAAGCCCTTTGTCCACTGTATCGATCTTGTTATCATCTAGTGACTCTTCAACAAGGTGTGATTCTTCACAACCAGCTGAATATTCCTACGAATATAGTTATGTATATGAAAATTATCGAAGAGGAATTCAGTTTCCTGGTGTGAGGTAGTCAAATAACAACCTCTCGAACTTGCATAATGGGCTATTCGAGGGTTTTACTCCATCTTTCAACCAAACTCCATAAGCACCCATCATATTAGCCATCATTATATCGGTGAATAGTCGATCCCCAATTACTGCGATTTCTGCAGGACTTTCTACAAGGTTCTTCTTTCGGAAGTAGTCAAAAATCTCGTCTTTGCAACCTGGTTTTTTAACACGATGTCTTAAGACGGGTACCCCAGTATTCTTTTCCAGGATTTTGGCGTTTATAAAGTCCTTGTCATCACTACTTCCCGCGGTGTTGCTCACAATCAACAGGGCGGCCCCGGGGTAAGCTTTCTTCAAGTTTTCCCATGTTTCCTGGCGGTCATCAGTTAGAACTTTGTACAAACTAATCGAGTAACTTCAATAGCCCAAATCAAAACTAATCATACCTTGTATTCTGGCCAGACGCTGTCTTCATGGGGGAATGCAAAGCAATTATCTTTGTCGAGAACAACCGCCTTAATAGATGGGGCAATTGGAATAGGGAGCTGTTTGAAATTTCCAATAGTGAGCTGAGGTAAACATAAATACGGATTGTAAAGCAGTTTCAGCGCATTTAGAGTTCCATTTACGTTCATTAGTGTAGGCCATCTCCCGTTTCCACTATCTTGGATGGCACAATCCTGCTCAACACGTTATTCGATATGTCATTGTACACGATGAAGAAAATTTTTACCACATGGTTTCTCGATGAGCTATTAAATACATAAAGGAATTGAAACCAACAGCCAAGCTAACAAGTACGCTTTGTTCAGGGCTTCAAGTTTATAATTTAAATTGATCTGTTCTTGAACAGATGTCTGTGCACGCAAAGCCGAAGCGCGATTTTAGAAGAACCCAGGGCGCGCAGGCTGCACCAAAAAGGGACGAGAATAAAGGCCCTAATCATTGGAAAAGAACATTTGTGGATTCCCAATCATCTAATGCTCAATCTGATGGTACGGATGGTATTTCTGAGGATTTAAAAGAAGGTGAATTGTGCATTATTTGTGCTGACCACATGAAATATGCTGCGCTTTCGCCTTGCCATCATGTCACCTGCAATAAGTGTACCTTTCGACAACGTGCATTATATGGTAAGAAAACATGTTTGGTTTGCAGAACAGACGTCAAGTTAGTAGTTTTCACGGCAGATACTGCTGCCAACTTTGATGATTTTAGTCCATCCAATTACGTCGAAGTAAACGAATCTTATGGGGTCGCGTTTACATCGTCTGATGTTTCGTCGGCCACTTTGCGTCTCTTGGAATTTATTTGTCCCTATGGTGATAGCGGAGATCTGGACTATGGTAGCTTTAAGAAATTCAATGCTCATTTGAAGTCGGCCCATAATAAGACAATTTGCATGATATGTGCCCAACATAAAAAGGCCTTTCCCTCGGAGCTGAAAATTTATACCCCAAACCAACTACGTGCTCATCAGTCGAAAGGTGATTTTGAAGGTTTCCAAGGACATCCAATGTGCGGGTTCTGTTCTGGTCAGAGGTTTTACTCAGATGATGAACTTGCTGTCCATATGAGAGATCGCCACGAGAGATGTCACATTTGTGATCAAATTGATTCAAAGCACCCACAGTTTTTCAAAGACTATGATCAATTATTTCAGCATTTCAAGCATGAGCATTTCATTTGCACTGTTCAATCTTGTCTAGATAGTAAGTTTGTGGTTTTTCGTGACGACTTAGATTTGCAAGCTCACATTCTAAGGGAGCATGGAAGCATCCTGGGATCAGCCAGAGGCGGCATATCTGTTTCAGGGGGAAGAAGGTTTCAGTCTCAGCTATCAACATTCATGCCATCTTCACGAGGTATTGGCAATGAAAATCAGTTTGATTCATCAGCAGCCAGAGAGTCAAATTCAACCAATTCAGATAATTCACGCGAGGTGAAAAAATTGAGAATGGAAGAACGGGCAAGGCACTATTTAAATTATTCACATTCGGATTTTGATTCCTTCTTATCTATCAATGAAGGCTATCAGAAAAGAATGATCACCGCGGAAGATGTATTTCATGCCTATCAGGATCTTTTCAAATCTGAGGAAGCCGATATAGTACTACTCATTTACGATTTTTCAGAAATGTTTCCTGAAAATTCGGCTGCCTACAAGGATCTGCGTGTAATATATGAACGAGAACAGAAGAAAAAGGATCTTCAAACCAATTTCCCATCATTAAGCAGATCAAATTCGTCATTGCTGGCGGGAAATGTAATCGGTGGATCTTGGGGATCGTCCTCATCCTCAAAGCCAACTGGAAAATACAACTTTCCTGCGTTGAAGAAACCTACGAACTCTCAACCGATTTTTGGCGCAAACAATAAGTTATCTTACAAGCCCCTGCATACCACAGCCAGCCCGCGTCCTGTAGTAAAAAAGACCGTTCCTACAGGTGCAGCAAATTACAAACCAACCTATCTGGAAAAAAATCGTGCAGCGTCTCCATCAATACCGAAAGAAAAGTTTCCACCATTGCCCAAAGTCCAAACCAAAAAATACCGTGCACCACCTCTTCAGCAACCAAATATCCCTGATCCGAGCCAATGGAGTAAGTCGTCTTTGGATAGCGAGTCGGAAAGTGGCGACCTTCATTCCAATAACTCCTCGAGTAGCTTGAGTTCGGGTGGTAAGAAGAAAGGGAAGCAGAAACAGCTTTTGTTCCACATTGGTATATAATTTAGTTAATAAAGCACATTTGATTATTTTTACCTGATAGGAAGGATTGATTGCTTATGACATGCCTTTCTGCATAAGGGACATTCAGGTCTTTCTTTGCACCAATTGAATATACAATTCCAACAAAAAAGATGCCCGCAAGGACCACAGCTAGGGTTTACCATCGGAGTCAGACATAAAATGCACTTACGAGACTCGTCAGGGATAAAAGCTAATATTTTTGGGTCGGAAAGGTCGATGGCATTCATTGCAGACTCCTCAGGCACTCCTTTTATCTCGAATCCTGACGTCTTGTTTCCTGTTTCACGATCAATTTCGGATTTTATGGGTTCTTTGTAGAGCTTCACTAAACGTGACAGGTGTGGGACTCCCTTAGACATTAACTGGAACAGCAAAACCAATCCGAGTATTCTGTAGCTTCTAGCGCTGGACTGTCTGAACTTTTCTTCAGCTTTATCAACTTCATGAGCAAGTGCATATTTGAGCCCATAAAATCTCTTCGAAATCTGATAGTAACTCCCCCTGAAGTAAAAGAGAATCAGATGGAGGTCCGTTATTAGATTGATAGCGTTACTTAACGTCCCCTTCCTCAGAATTTTCCTCAATATATTAGTGTTTTCATTATCGTCCTCACTATCATTTCTCTTTGAGAAATAAGCAGATATTTTTGATAACGTGTATGGAAGTATTGTGTAGGATATTATGAAAAGCAGTCTTTGATGGAGCTTAACAGTTGATTTGTTTTTTCTGTCGACATATACCACGTCAACGTACTCTTCCCCCAAAGTTCGCTTGTTGCGAAGTGTTGTTAGTGCCAAGTAGAGTATTTTTGAGCTGATAAGTATTTCTTGAGGGTATGTATTCGTAAAGTACTGGCCTCTCAGGGCAGTTAGGACATCTCGAAGTTTTGTAGTGATCAGCGATTCGATGAATGTATCTTTTTGATGAGATTGGACTATACAGATTGTTAGCAACTGAAAAAAGTGATTAAATATTGAGTAGTTCACTTACCAATTGTGGATTCATCAGCGGGTTTTAGTACTCTTTTTGTGCTCATTTGCTTTGCTTTGTATGGTTAGATATCAAGTTTTTCGGGCAGTAAAGAAGAGGTCAACTATACTTGTTTGTCCGATATACGCTTAGCTCATACAGGAAATGGACGTCAACACTCTCTCGCAGAAATTGAACGAAGATCTTAAGCTTGAAATCTCACCGGGAGATTATATTCATAGCGTTGATCAAATATTTGAAGGCTCCTATGGTAATGAAATTGACCCCGGACAAATACTTGTTAGAGCGTTCCAGGATCACAGAGCATCAAATGGACATATACAAGAACTTGTTCGTTCAAATGTGAGCAAGGCTTTGAACGTTTTCTCGCAGTGCGGAAGCTCGACTATTCCTGTAATTGCAGAGTGTTTTAACGAGACGTCTGATTCGCTACCCTTACTGTGGGAAATCCGAAGAAGACTCCGTTGCAATGATATCCACACTGAGTATCTTCTCTCGCTAACAATTCAACTATTGAATAAGTTTAACTATGATTTTGAGAATGTGAGATTTTTGGTACGGGAAATATCTCTGAAGATGGACCAAGAGGCGGTTAGACCCCTTGCACTGGTAATATTTGCCATTTTGGACAAGCAATTCAAGCAGTTGTTCGATGATCATCTAATTGGATTCCTAGAGTCGCTTATAATTGAAGCCCAGTCTGAGGACAATGAGAAGACTATACTAATAGTAATTAATATACTAACAGAACTCTACCCCGCACTCAGCGCACTATGCACGCGCATACTTTTGGGCCAAGAATTCCAAGATTTATTGAATGAGCGATCAAAAAGTGATAAGCGCGTAGCTGCGCGAACTCTGCAGTTACTCTCTATTGCATGTGTTGACGAAACTGCCAGATCCTATATAGCAGAGCATTACCTCGACCTTCTAGAGGAGAGTTTGAAGATCAAGGAATTCAAGCTGTACGCAACCTTAGTTTTGATCAAAACATGGGCCTTCACAAAGCTAAAGCCGAATATTATTAATCAACTCGGCCCGAATCTTATGGAAACTTTAGAAGATACCAATGAAGAATCAGAAGAGATCGCAATAGAAGGTTTGGCGTATCTAAGTTTGAGGCCCTCTACTAAGGCCTTGATAAGAGCACACGGAGACATATGTTTAAAAATTATTGAGAGGATAAAGGATGAAAGCGTTGGGTCTACTAATAAATATGGCGCATTAGTTATATGTGCAAATCTATCGAAACTCCCTGGAGGGGCCCCCAATTCGGAGCAGTCATCGATGCTGGACTTAAAGTCATATTCTGAGTTGAAAACTCCCTCGAATGATGCGGCAGAAGAAAAAGAAGATGAAGACGACATTATAGCATTCAATCAAGATTACATACTAGATCTTGACGTGATAGGGGCATTAAAAACGCAACTTAAACAACTTACTGGGAGTTCGAGACAGCAAGCAGGGCAGATTTTGTACAATGTCACTAGAACTAAAGAGAATATCAATGCCTGTATCAAGCAAGGTGGTGTTGTAATGGCTTTGGAAATATTAGCTAATTCTGACATTAATTCTGACGGACGCGTCTTCGTTCTGAGAGCGCTCACACGGATGCTCATTCTTACAAATCCAGCAACAGTTTTCCAGAGGTTTTCGGCTTTGAACGCATTGCCTTATCTGTTTGAACTCCTTCCTGATCCAGATGATTCTGATAAAGAGTACAGTCTATCAACGAGAGATTCTTTTGAAGCACTACTTGCTTTGACAAACCTAGCTACATTGTCAGACAATGATGATCTTGGCAAGAAAATCGTTGCGAACCTCAAGTATTGGCTGAAAATCGAAAATTCCATTGTCGATGAAACCAAAGAGGTTCGCAGATCTTCTCTTGAGCTATGCTGCAATTTGATGGCCAATTCGCTCCATCTGGCTGTGAAGTTCTTCAATTTTGACAACCCTAGGAGTGTACGCAATTTTAAACTTTTAGTTAAACTACTTTATTTGGATGACATCGAATCACAACGGGCAGTTGCCGCTATATTTGCGAACATTGCTAGCACAGTTCCTTTTATTGCCCAAGAACTCTCCACGAAAGAAGAGTTAATTGAAGCTGAGATTCAACTTTTGCAGACACAATCCACAGATCGTGAACTAAGACATCGGGTGTTGGTGTTCTTTCACAGCGTGCTTACTGCGGCACCTCCAGGAATAAACTTACTGAAGGGAAGCGACAAATTTTTGAGAGCATTGTTAACAGCCAAAACTAATGAGGGAAGTTCCTCGCAAGAGTATTCGTCCCTAATTGAGTCAATGATTCAGACCGTTAGACCGTAGAAGGACGCATTATTCATCGTCCACATTTAGTCGTTTATAATGATTTGATTTTGTTCTCATCAAATCAACAATAATTTGAAGATCACACTCAGCCTCGAATATTTTAAAGTCAATTAAGCTGATGTATATTCGCTCACACTTATATGACCGGACTTACAGAAACTTTAGATTCGGTATCTCAGGTGAACTCGATGGAAGATATCTCGATATCATCTATTCAGCCGATAACTTCAAATAGAAGCGCGGAGAGTTTGATTCCAAACAACCCATCACCAGAAAATGAATCTTCTACACATGAGGATCCAATTTTAAATAAATACAAGGAAGCGTGTCAACATGGTGACCTTGCAGTGGTAAAGGAAATGATCGAAACAGGCTTGATTGATGTGAGGCATGATTATACTGAAAAGGAAAGAATATCGGGACTTCATTGGGCGAGTATCAATAATAGACTTTCGGTGGTCAAATACTTAGTGGCCAAAGGTGCAGATGTAAATTTTCCCGGCGGTGGTTTGAACGCAACTCCACTTCACTGGGCGGCTCGATATGGCTACGTCTACATTGTTGATTTCCTATTGGAGAATAAGGCAGATCCAACTTTGACCGACGATCAAGGTTTCAATTTATTACACCTCTCTATCAATTCATCGAATATAATGTTGGTGCTGTATGTTCTTTTTTTTGTGGTTGGTGAGAAAGTCAACATTGATTGCACAGATCCAAATGGCAGAACAGCATTACTTTGGGCCGCTTATCAAGGAGATTCTTTGTCCGTAGCTGCACTCCTGTATTTCAAGGCGAATTACAAGATTGTAGATAATAAGGGATTTTCTCCTCTCCATTGGGGTACTGTCAAGGGCCAACCTCAAGTTTTGAAAGAACTTATTGCCAACGGAGCAGATTTTTTCCAAAAAACTTCAGATAATAAGGACTGCTTTGTAATTTCGCAAGAGATGAATACCGTCGAAAGTTTGAATAATGCTCTATATGAATGTGGTTTCAACAAAGAAGGATATCCTATCACAAGATTATTTAAACGCCCTACGCTTGCAAAAATCGTGACATTTATTATGCCCTGGCTTGCTATGGGCATTCTTTTCAAGTCGATTGCAATCATGCATCCGATATTCTCGATCTGTTTTTCAATTTTATTTGGTTTTGGTATATACCAATTTCTTGCGAAACTAGTAATTCCTTCCTACTATCTGAAAAAAGACAGAAACCTTTTATTGAAAACACCTTTCTTTGCGGGGATCCTATCGGCAACTCTTTTCTGGACGTCTTTTATTTGGATTATTAAAATGATATCTCTTACGATAAGCGAAGAACCTAAAACCAACGCATTATTTATGTTCTTCTTTGTTATGACAACGACACTATTCATGAAATTAGTTTCATCAGATCCTGGTTCGATCCCTAAAGACAGTGATCATGATAAAATTAAAAGCATTATCAAGCAACTGCTCGAGATTGGTAAATTCGATGCCAAACATTTTTGCATACACTCATTTGTGAGAAAACCTCTGAGGTCTAAATATTCCTCCTTCAGCAAGGCTCTGATTGCGAGGTTTGACCACTTTTGCCCTTGGATATACAATGACGTGGGACTAAAAAATCACAAGAATTTCCTGTTCTTCATTCTCTGTCTAGAAATGGGTGTACTTACGTATGCCAAACTCAGTTTGGAATATTTTGATGCCCTGGAGGACAAGTATGATAAAGATCTAGAGTGCTGGCTTTTAAGTGAAGATTTGTGTTCAGGATATCATTACGATAGATTTGCTTTCATTCTTTTGGGATGGACGTGTTTCCAAGGCATATGGGTGTTTTCCCTAATAGTTGTACAATTTTTCCAAATGTTAAAAGGCCTTACTAACTATGAGCTAAGTGACTTATCAAAGCAAGCACATAGCCACAACATTATCAATGAATATTTTACTACCACGCCAACTGAGCTGATGGACGAACAAGAACTTAGAGATATGAATGAACCTGCGCTCGAACAGCAAAGTCCATTGCATCAAAAATCTAGAACTTGTTTCGGCATGTGTTGTGCCCTTATCGGTTTCGATCAAATGGTCCTACTTGTTAAAGAAACATTGGGACTTGTACAAAGATCCGAGAGGCGTCCCGTTTCAAGGCTAAAATTGCTGTCAGACTATGGATGGAAAACCAATTTGAAAGACTTTTGGTTAACCAGCGACACAACAGCACCGTTGTGGCAAAGACTGTTCTTCTCTCCCACAAATTTCAAAGCTTTGCTAAATGGTACTCAAGTAAATTATGCTGAGCTCTACAACCTTCCAGAGCATTACATCAGGCCCGAAGAGATCGTATAAATTACGTAGCTTTGTAATTCCAGCCCTTTTAAGAGATTCGACTTTGACCTATTCTGGTTATCTTGGTTTTTTTTGTGACGCGTGAAAAGTTCTCGCGTCGAGCAAGCAAAAACGCAAGCATTCTGAGGAAATCAACTTTGTTAAACAATCATTTGGTGGTGTAAGCGATATGGGAATTCAGGGGTTGTTGCCTCAACTGAAATCCATCCAGCAACCCGTCTCTTTACACCGTTATAGCGGGCAAACGCTTGCAATTGACGGCTATGCATGGTTACACAGAGCTGCTCACTCGTGTGCAATGGAATTAGCATTGGGGCGGTCGACCGATAAGTATTTGCAGTTTTTTATCAAGAGACTGAGCATGCTGAGGGCTACTTTCAAAGTAGAACCATATTTGATCTTCGACGGTGATTCAATCAATGTCAAGAAGGATACTGAACGAAAAAGAAGGCAGAAGAGAGATGAAAACAAGGAGAAGGGCTTAGAATTGTGGAAATCTGGTGACAACCGTCAGAGTTACGAGTATTTTCAAAAGTCTGTGGATATCACTCCAGAAATGGCTAAATGCATTATGGAATATTGCCAATCACAAAACATCAAATATTTGGTGGCTCCGTTCGAAGCAGACGCGCAAATGGTGTACCTCGAAAAAGAGGGATTTGTTCATGGGATAATATCTGAGGACTCGGATCTTCTAATATTTGGTTGTCGAAAATTAATAACAAAACTTAATGATCACGGAGACTGCATTGAAATTTGTAGAGATGATTTTGTTCACTTGCCAAGCAGATTTCCATTGTGTCAACTGAGTCCACAGGAGATTAGAACAATGGTATGTCTTTCAGGATGTGATTATACTTCAGGAATCCCACAGGTGGGGTTATTGACAGCAATGAAACTTGTGAAAAGATACAAAACGATCGAGAGAGTTATTCAAAGCATTCAACGAGAGGGCAAACTGAAGATACCCAAAGAATTTCTTCAAGAGTATGAGTTAGCCAATTTCGCATTTCAGTTTCAAAGAGTCTTTTGCCCTCAGAGAATGAAACTGGTGACACTTAATGATATACCACATGAACTTAGCCAGAATGAGACTATCTTTCAATGTATTGGACAAGTTGTATCTAAAGAAGATGGCATCAAAAAAGTAATGATAGATGATAATAAAATTGATCATAATTTACATAGGAGGATCTCCGTGGGCGAACTAAATCCACGCAACTTCCACAAGCCTTTGATAAATCGTGAAAGAAAACTAAATCTCGTTTCAAGATCCGAGCCCATTTTGAAAAAGACAGCAGTGCCCACATGCGGTAGCATAGATTCGTTCTTTAGTAAGAGGAGCGTCAAAATTGGTAGCGTGAAAGCGCCAGCATCCGTGGCCACTTCTATAGCTGATGATCGTAATCGGAAAGTGGAGACCACGGTCGAACGTCGCAAATTGAGTCGTGTACAGACAGGAATTGATGGCGGAGTCAGCAAGTTCTTCAATAGTACGAAAAACGGTTCCTCTGCCCTCGTAGATCTGCATATGTCTGCCTCTGACGGCGAACTTCGAATCCAGTCGAATCCTTCGATTAATAATGTGGATTTTCAGATTTCAAACATTGCTACCAAGACTGATATGTATGCTTCAAGGCCTCCATCATCTCAGAACCTGGATTCTACCGCAGACGACTGCCAGGAAGATTTGTCAACAGAATTACCCAGCTCCATGCTTTCAACAGAAATCCCCAGCTCCATGATTCCTACTCAAACCGACCAAGAACAAACCCCTTTTAGCGAAGAGGAATCCGAGATTCTCAGTGAGGTAGAGGAGGCAGCAATTCCAGACAAGCAATACAATGCTTTCGCCAACAAAAGGCATTGCAAATCCATCGCAGACCTGCGGGACAATTTCAGTTATCGGCGAACTCCGCTTCAAGTCAAGAGCACCAACACCCGCTCTCATTCAGTTGCGAACCCACAAACTACACCATCACATGGTAAGCTTGTTGTTGTCAAGGCTAAGAGGAGCGCCACCACAAGTTGCGTCAATCCTGTCGCCAGGCCGCCCGCTCTAAGTCGCAGCAGCAGCCGCCTTATCTCGCGCTCGTCTCCAGCAGCACAAAAGCCAACCATAAGGTCTTTGAGCCTTGCAGAATTCGTATACAAGGGCGAGTGAACTTTAGAGGATACACACGTTTATTCATCTTGTATACCTCTATAAACTGTCTAGTAAGTAGCTTAAGTCGTACAACTCTACTGTCACGTGCTATCATAGTTTCTTTTTTTATGAGCTAGAAAAAATTGTGGAAAAATCACACCATTTTAAATGTGAATGGGGGAATCCAAAATCGAGGATTGCAGAGAATTGTTGTCAGGGATTCAAATTTACAGCTGGTCGTTCCAGAGGAAGTTCGAACAAAATGGCATTTAATAGTAACTTCAGCGAGGCTGAAATGTTCTTGGCTTCGTTACAGTCAGAGGATAGCAGTGATTGCGACAGAAGTGATAACGGGTACGACTTCTTCAACACGTCACCCAATCAAGGTGCAAGCAACGCGAGCGAAATGCTTCTCGGAACTAAAAACATGGGAAGAAACGGTATCTCGAGTGGATCTGGAAATTCTGTGGCTATGAATTTGACTCCGGAGTCGTTCAACTCTTATTACGATCAGAATCAGGCGTCACAACAGCAATCCATGAATTTTGGTGTTGCGTCAATGCCCTTGAAGCAAATGAATTCGCTCGGAAGTGCGTCAACTGGTAACACACAGAACTACACCGAGAATAACAGCCCATTCGATCTCGGGGTTGACTCGAAAGCTAATATTTTTAATGAGCCTGGGATTTTCGGTCCTATCAAGAACGAGCACTCTCCAAAGCTGAAGATGGAGTCTGACGATTTGAAGTCCTTGATGAATACTGACCCGGAGCCAAGCGTAAGCCCTTCCGGAGATCTTGATCCGGGAAGTCTATCATCAATCAATGGCAAAATCACAAAACCTAAGAAGGAAAGAACATCACACAATGTTATCGAGAAGAAATATCGTACAAACATTAACGACAAAATTTTGCAGCTAAGGGAAATTGTGCCCTCACTGCGGATTGCCTCCAAGCGCGAAGCAGGTGTTGCTGTGACTGACACTGACAAAAGAGATTTAGACGGTCTCGAACCGGCACGTAAGCTGAATAAAGCCTCTATTTTGATCAAAACAATCGAATACATCAGACATTTAGAAAACAAGTGCTCTACTTATAAATTTGAAAATGAAAAATTAAAGTCTGCTCAAGGTCTATCTACTCCTGAAAGCGTCCGTAATAATTCTACGGGCACCAGTGAAATTTTGGGCGATGCTACTCAACATGCACATGGAACGCCATATTCTCAGGCTTATCCAGGAAACCAGGGTAATTCTATGAGGCACTCCGATTTGACGGGCAAGTTTTTGATGGGTGGTCTCGCCTTGACTATGGGTGCCTCTTGCTTTGGTGAGGACAATGACTTTAGCACTGCAAGAGGTTTAATGTCTGTGCCCGTTTTTCACTACTCGCCTATGAGTGGATTCACTATGTCAAATAATAATGGTATCGTAAACTTGCATGCCGCTCTAATGTCACTCCTTAGAATTAGTCTGTTAATGGCTACTATGCTACACTTGATGCGTAGCTTGTGGCGCAAGGCTGCAGAAAACAAAATGCAACAACAGGATCACGCCGTTGTTCAGTTCTCAGACACTGTGGCATTCTCTTCTCCTAGTCTTCTTTGGGATACTTTGAAGAAGACTTTGTTTGTGAACAGGCTGAAATACCCTGTGAACTCCATAGAAAGAATTGAATCGGAATTAGCTGCGTGCTTTGCTTTGAAGCTGTACTCATTGCCCTTCCCCTTCAGTGCCATATCAAGTCGCTACGTAGCGTCAACCTGGGCTAAAATCAAGAACCAAGTTGAGCTTGCCAATAAGAGAAACAAGGGTGCTTTGAATACTGGTTTTGAGTGGGAGAGAATCACACACGTACTGACTACTTCAAGAGAGGAGACGCTCGAGAACAGAAAACTGTTGTCGCTACTGTCTACTGAGCCAGTGCTTTTCAGTTTGAAGGATTTTGTCGGCTTTGTGAATGAAGTTTTGATTGAGTCAAGTGCTGAATCTGTTATTGCGGTACTACTCCAACAAAGCGCGTCATGTCAAAGACCCATAGCAGAGGTCGCTGAAAAAGTGTACGCATCTGAGGTGTTTAATAACCAGAATTTGAAGTTCTCGCGAGAAAGCTTCACTGCTATGAGCTGTTTATTAGAGGCATCCGAAAGAAATATTGATTCGCTTCTGAAATTAATAAAAACAAAACCGGTTGGTGAGACAAACAAATCTAAGGCAGACAGGGATCAAATCTTTGTTCTATACTCTGCTATTGTGAGAAATCTACTCTCAAATGGGAAGGATAAAGCTTCCTTTAACTGGGTGTTTAAAGTATCTCTGGCAGATTTAACCCATGAAGGCTGTTCTATTGTGGGCGTAGCTGCAATGTATTTGATGCTTCGCTCATTAATGGAGCGGGAATCATCAGAGGGATTTGAAATGTTGTATGGTAAATTGGAGGAGCTTAGTGGGAAGTTGAGAGTATGGCTCGGCGATCAATCCACTACTATCCTCGCTTTAGAAGATAGAGGTAAGTTGGTCGATTATTGTGTGGAAACGGCACTTAAATGTGGAACGACCAGTACAGTTGAATTGGAAGGATCCACCGAGAGTGAAGAATTCACTGACGACGATAATGACGAGGAATTGACGGAATGAGGTTTTTTTCAGTTTTATCCAAAACGAGGGAGGAAAAGTGCATAGCTGATAAGCGTATTTGCCAGTACTTGGTGAGGTTGTTTTATCTTTGTAGATTAGTCGTTATTTATGTAATAAAAGGAAAAGGTTTCGTTTAAAGTAAAAATTACAGCATATGAGGTGGTGGTCTTAGGCTCATGTGAGGAAACATGAAAAAAAGCCAAAATTTTGACCACGCGATGCGTTTACAATATTCAAACCGTTGCTATTCGAAATATACTATTTGCCATACTACATATGCGCGTCAAATGTCTCCATTTTTAAAATTTGCTTTCAGGGCCCGGTGATAAAGCGCATGAACTTTAAACGGGCTTAGACGTACAACAAGCAGATTAATCAAAAATTAAGGGGGTGTCAATCACCAGTACCACGCCATTTTCCGCCTGATCTACACGTTCCACAAGGTGAAACTCCTTGTCCTTAGCAGAGGCCACATAAAAGTTTGATTTCTTCTTTTTTAACAAAATATCACCAGAGTCGTCATCACCTTCGTAGGCAAGACTTCTGAAGGTCACCGTCTTTTTTCCTTTACACTTATGCCTTACAACCCCACTCAAGTCGGCGCTTGAAACTATGTGAGATTTCACAAAGTGCATGATGTTTTCATTTACTGCGTTGTCAATAGCTTCTTGATCATTGGTAGAAGCCTCAAGAGCATCAATATCAATAGGGAATTGCCATGGCTTCAATTTTAGCGACTCAATAGCATCATTGGAGGGTGCAAAGATAATGGTGCTCTCCTGAGGGTTCTCTAGCCTTGCCGATACGTCCAAATCGCTCCTTAAATAGCTTGAAAAAATGCTTATCTCGTTGATAGAGGGAATACGTGAATCGAGGCATAAGGGCATCATTTGTTTTGAATCTTTGTCATTTGCTTCTTCAGATTCAAGTACAGAATTCATGTCTTCGAAAGGATGTTGAATGTCTTTGTATTCACGTTTACCTACATTCTCATCGTTCAAAATGGCGTCCAAGTCTAATGGTAATCTTTTGGCCTCACGCCTGACCAAATGACCAGCTTCATCATCCAAATGTGGATTAATAGCCTCTACTAGTTGTCTTTTAACCTTTCCCGTTTCTGGGTCCACTATCGTGGTGAGGGGCACGACATTTTTTGCACTCACAAAAGATGCTAGAAGGAGGCCTTCCAACATATACCGTAATATCCTTGATTTGGTAGTATTAGTCATTTTACTCAAATATTCTTTTGAAACCTCTAGTTGTTAGATGAATCTCTTTCTGAACCTAATCGCTTCCGTTAGTATTTACGAGGATATAGCAGGAGAGCTGATGATGATGGCTTATCATTTAAGAAATGAAAAAAATTAAAAACCAAAAAATTGCGCAAGCCCGGAATCGAACCGGGGGCCCATCGATGGCAACGATGGATTTTACCACTAAACCACTTGCGCTTCTTGCTGGTAGATGATAATTCAAATATCGAATTGAGGTCGAGAGAATGTCAGAAAGTATCATTTTTCAGTTTTGATGACTTGTGTTAGTATTCAACAAGTAATTACCCAAAAGTTCTCGTGTAGATCAATTTGTAAACACAAATTTCATGATGATTAGTATCTGTTGTTATCTTAGATTTGAGGTTAAACTAAAATGTTATTTAGTATACTCCTTACATCTTTAAACTTGATTAATGTACACCTATGAATGATAAAGGGTTAATTATGCTAATAAAATGCCGTAAAAGGCAATTTCACCGAAGCAGAATGCCAAGTCCGAATTCTTGCAGCATCGGTTAATTATCGTGATCGTAAATGACATTTCTCGTAAGAAATGTTTCAACAGATTCGCTTTCGTGTATGCTTGCGTCATTGTAAAAAGCTTCTGCATTACCAATCAATCTATCTGAAGAATGATTGTAGCCGGAAGGTGATTGAGGAGTCGTCGCATGTATTCCAGGATTGAAAAGCTTCTTCCCTCGCAGTCCTTGTACTCTAGATTTCAAAGCCGCACTGGGCCGATGCAGGAACTTGAATACGTTTGAATAGGTTTTTCGTGAAGATACTTGTGGTGAATCATCTGTGTGTCCCGTATCTTCGACATTGGAACATGTATCGTGTCCATCGTAATTGAAATTGGGGTCCACGAAAAACCTGTCTCTGTTGTTGATTTTGCGTCCTAATACAGTCTGTTTGCTTACCGTACTTTCACGTCTTTCAAGGACGCCTATTAGCCCCCATACATTAACGGTGATTAGTAACTTGAGAAAAGTAAGTAAGTTGCCCATCCAGTTTTCGACCTGACACCGCACACTTATCAACGCTATGTCACAGATATAGACCAGTGCGATTGTCAAAGCATTGTAGACTAGCAAAGGTATGATTTCATGGTAATCCCTCCAGATATGCTTTATTTGTTCGCAGACGGTAAGCTTTTTCTCGGCCCTCTTGGGAGCTAAAGTGAAACCAAAGTCATGCCACACATAGTATGCCAAACAGGCTGTGAAAACTGTATAAATAAGAAAATGCACGACTTCTAGGAAGACCTGAACGACTTCGATACCTCGGCCAGTGTACCACAGTTGGAGGCAGACCAAAAGTGCATGACCAACTGTGAGGGTCAATCCGCACACTAGGATTTGCTTGTTTTTGTTATTGAGCACGCGAGGAACCCAATGTTTATGAGATTCTTGGTAGTTGTGGAACATGTAATAAACGATGTTTAGCCAGTTCAGATCACATATTAGCGAGCCAAAGAAAAGCATGACTCGATAGAAATTCGTTTCGACAATAGTGGTATGGTATTCAGAGGAGTTTTGGTAGTTTCCTGCGTATTGTGTTGCAAAGACGTTGCTAGAGGTTTTTTGAAGAATGACTGTGTACCAAGCAGCTTGGTACAGAACACCCAGATACACCATTTTCTTGCGATGGTTGTGGTTGTTATCAGGTAATAAAAGGAGTACCAGAAACAGCATCCAGGATCCGACGCACACCCCGCACAAGATGAAGGCTATCATGAGGGTGCCGTCCAAAAAGCTGTCCTTGTGCACCAGTGCCTTTGTAAACTCTCCGTTCAAAATAGCGGTGGTATTACGCGAAAGAACATCAACAAGGGCTGCATACTTACCAGTTGAGTTTGACGCGCACTGTATCAGCAGTCCAGGGTAGTTTATAGAAGTATTGATGATGGTGGTATCAGAGTGATTCTTGACGGCCAGCGAGCCCCCATTCAGCGTGCGAGCAACACAGTCAGACCATGTGCCAACCCCCATGATTTCCTGAAGGACGTTTATCAGCCTATCATATTCGTTAGCCACTTCCATGGCATCTTTTTGTTGGTAGGAGGCAGTGCAGTTTTTTTTTTGCCAAGTCTTCAAGAAAACAAAGGACTAAGATCGGTAATTAGTGGAGTTGGGATGAAGGCACGTGACGGCCGTAATTTAACCGTTCTTGCCTATGACGATGAAGTCAGCGAGATTCAAACTCGAAAATGTAGTGTTTGAACAGGAAAGTTTATTACGTGTGGAGTAAGATACAGACATGGAGAATATCTGGTTCTCGGCTATGTTGAGATGAGATGTTAATGGAAGATGTGGTAGTCAGGATGGGAAAAGTTGGGAAATTTTTGGGGCCCGCGAGGTCTAGTTGATTTTAGAACTAAGATCGATCGAGAATATGAGCGTTCATGGTGGATACTACCCCACGAGCAAAATTGCGAGTAATTGGACTCAGGCCACAAACTGGAGTATTCAAGGTGTGACGCTCGGAGGATGGCTTGTGACCGAACCGTATATCACTCCGAGCCTATACAACCAGGCTATCGAAATCGCTGGCAATGAGACTGGGCCTTCGATTGTGGACGAGTATACACTTTGCTCGGTACTGAGCAAAAGTACCGCGAAGGATTTGTTATCTAAACATTACAAGAGCTGGGTCAAGGAATCCGATTTCAAAGAGATAAAGGAAGAAGGATTCAATCTGGTGCGGATCCCGATTGGGTACTGGGCGTGGAAGAAAGGCGACGACTTGTACGATTTCGGGTTCACGAACATCACGTATGAGGACCCGTACGTAGCGGACGGGTTGCAATTGGCGTACCTGAACAAGGCCATGGAATGGAGTGCCAAGTACGGGCTCAAAGTGTGGTTGGATTTGCACGGGGCACCTGCGTCGCAAAACGGATTCGACAATTCTGGGCAGCGCAACTTGTACGGGACGCCTGGGTGGCTTTCGAAGGAGTTCACGGGCGAGTTGATGTTCCAGTTACTGCAGTCAGTTTTTCACTCGGTTAGAGATGGCGAATATGGAGACAATGTGGTGGGGATCGAGGTGGTGAACGAACCACTGGGCGACAAGATTGGCATGGAAAAAGTGGAATACTTCTACCAGATGACGTTCCAGATGTTCGAGGGCATATTGGGCCGCAACGAGAGTGTTTCCATGGTGGTGCACGACGCGTTCCAGGCGGCTGGGTACTGGGACGAGTATTTCAACCCGGAATACTCGCAGGAATTGCCTGGGAATTTCAGCTACAGCCACACGTCGGCCAGCTACGACTCGGTGGTGGTGGACCACCACCATTACGAAGTGTTTAGCGACGGGCAATTGGCCAACAGCCGCGACACGCGGCTGGAGGACATTTTGCAGTACGCGAACGGGCTGGGCGCAGAGCAGCCGTACCACCCGGCCGTGGTGGGCGAGTGGTCGGGCGCGATCACGGACTGCGCGACGTGGGTGAACGGAGTGGGCGTCGGGGTGCGCTACGACGGGTCGTACTACCACACGACGCGGTTCAACTCTTCGCTCGCGACGCGGCCGTTGGGGAAGTGCACATCGCAGCTACCAATTGCGAACTGGACCGAGGAATACCGCGTGCAAGTGCGCGAGTTTGTGGAAGCGCAGCTGCTTGCGTACTCGAACGCGACAGACGGGTGGATTTTCTGGAATTGGAAGACGGAGAGCGCGCCCGAGTGGGACTACAAGCAGCTGGCGGGGGCTGGGCTGTTCCCACAGCCGTTTGACAACTACACGTTTTACTTTGCGAACGGAACGCGCAACCCGGGGGGCGCGCTGCCCAGCCGCAACGCCGCACACGCCGTGGGGGCGTGTCGGGCGCTTGTGGCGGCGGCCGTGGCCTTGGTTGTGCTGTATTTTACGTGATGGGCGGCAGAGCGTGGCGCGCAAGCACAAGCGGAGCCCACGGAGCTAGCGGCGTTACGGGCCGGCCGATGTATAGAACCAACAAATAGCATTACACAACCCGTGGAATACTTACGCCACGGTGCCTGATTACATCACACGGCAACGTCGCGAGTTTCTACGACGCGCGCCGCGCCCGTACAGAACGACAGCGCAGGTGCCGCGGCCGCAAAAAAGAATGGACGAGTTCGGAATCGAACCAAAGACCTCTCCTATGCGAAAGGAGCGCGCTACCAACTGCGCCACACGCCCCGGTGTTGAAGATACTGCGTGGCAGCACGCTAAATAAGGGCGCCGGCGCGCCGGCACGTGACCGGCGCGCCGCCCGCGCCCGCCCTACTTGTTCGTTTGTACGCGCGGCCGTCCGGCTTGTCCCACCGACCCCCACCGACCCCCACCACCATGTACACCGACGCACACTTCCAACACCACCACTTTGCGCGCGCACACTACGCGCTCTACCTCGACTGGAACCACGACCGCTTCCCTGCCCCGGACCAGCCGGCCGCGCAGCCTGCGCGCCCGGACTCCGCCCTCCGCATCAACCCGTTTTGGGACTACTTCCAGGATGACGACGACTGGGACCTGTTCCACTCCCTGCAGGTTGACTGCAACGGGCAGCTGACAGCGGCCCCGCCGCTGGCGGCAACTGCGACCCCGTTGGGGTCGCTGTTTGCAGCCCGCCGCGCGAAACCGCCAGCATGGCGAGACTTGGGGACCGACGAGCTCCGGTGAGCGGTCACGGCGCACGGCGCCGTGCCCCGCGACCTCTCCTCCCTCGCCGCGTCCCGCGCTCCGCTCGCTGCAACGCCACCCCCAGGCCGCGCGCAGCTTTCAGCCCCCCCGGCCCGCGAACCGCGGCATTCCATTACGCGACGCTTACGTGCGCCGCAGAAACGCGCGCAGCGCCGCTGCAGCAACCGCGCTCGTGCAGCCACCGCGACGCTCGGAGATTGCCTGCCCGCCGGCGGCCGCGCAGCTGTCTCGGCGACGGGGCCGGAGGGGCACGCACGTGACCATAACGTCACGTTTTGCGGGCGGTTTCGCCCGCCGCGTGCCGGTTACGTCACCTTACATAAGTGAGAGCGTCGCGGTAACGTAAGCGTAGCAGCGAGAAAAAATAGGTTCGGTGTGGATTTTTTGTGCGACGTGTTTACGTCGCATTTGCTTCCTGAGCCTTTTTTTTGCGTTGGTAAGCATGCCGCACACTCCATATTTAAGCACGCTGGACACCGAGGGTGCTCGAGCCGGCAGCACGCAGCGCACAAGTGTGAGTTCGGTACCAATGCAGTCGAATCAGAACAGCATCTCTCTTCCACAGCTCGGGCCCGGCGCGCAGGTTTTGCCGTCGCTGCCTGCAAACTACCCAGTCAGCGACGCCAGCCAGTCCAGCCAGATCACGCCGACTGGGTCTACTGGCCCGGATCCGCAGCGCATCCATCCGGGGGCGGCCGCGGCCGGCGCCGTGTCGATGCCCGGCGCTAACGCCGGTTCTCCGCATCTTGGACCCGGCGGCAACCCCAACAGCAATATTACCAATAGCAAAAACAACGGCAGCGCCAACAACGTTAACGGCGGCGGCATGACCGCCAATCAGGCGCTAATGCCGCTCGCCCAGCATCTGTACGGGCATCAGAGCGCACATACATTGCCGCTACCGCAGCTGGCGTACCAAGTGGCGCCCGGCGCGGGCCCCGCACAGCCCATGTCGATCTCGTATCTTCCGCAGCAAACACAGGTGGCGGTTGCAGCCGCGGACGCGGCTGCAAACGCGTCCGGCGCTAACGACGGCGAACATGTAAACTCGCATGGGCAGCTGATCGGAAAGTCCGGAAAGCCGCTGCGCAACACCAAGCGCGCGGCGCAGAACAGAAACGCGCAAAAGGCGTTTCGGCAACGTCGCGAGCGTTACATCAAGGACCTAGAGGTGAAAGCCAAGGAGTTTGACCGTCTGGACGCGCAACTTGCCGCGGTCCAACAGGAAAACGAGTCTTTGAAGCGGTACGTCCTGGAGCTGGAGCAGCGGCTGAGCGCGGCGGCGGCGGGCGCCGCCGCGTCGGGCGCGGGCGCGGGCACGGGCCCCGTCAAGACAGGTATGTAATGTGTAATATAGCTATATAGTGCGGAAACGGTTTGGACGATACAGGCGGCGCGGCGCTAGAGGAGCGCTTGGCGGCGGAGGCGGTGGAGGGCGGCAGCGGCAGCGGCAGCGGCGCGACGCGGCGCGTGTCACGCGGCACGGCGGGGTGGGCGGCGTGTCACCGCATACGACAATGTCACACTGCACGTAATCGTCACCCCGTACGTTTGTCACGTCGTACGTGCAGGTCACCCCGCACGGAGCTCCACCCGTTTCCAGGCCATTCCAGAAGTTCCGCTCAGCGGCATATATATAAGAGGAGAGCCCCCCCTCAGTTTCGTCGAAGCTCCCCCCAGCTCCTCATTTCCCATCCGCATGCTCAGACGTGTGAATAGACCAAGTGTTTACAGATGTTTACAGCGGGGCCTGGCGGCCAGCGCGCCCGCATTGCGCTCCCGCGTGTTAGCGCCCAGCTCGGTGGCCCGCATGCCACGTCCCCTGCCTGCGTTCGCGCTGACCAGGTCGTACGTGTCGATCCACCCGAACAACGCCGAGCCTGAGAAGCCTGCGCTGGAGCAATTCGGTACCAACCTGACCAAGCTCGCCAAGGAGGGTAAGCTGGACCCGGTCATCGGGCGCGACGAGGAAATCGCGCGCGCCATCCAGATCCTGTCCAGGAGAACCAAGAACAACCCGGTGCTGATCGGGCGGGCAGGTGTCGGAAAAACGTCGCTGATCGACGGCCTCGCGCAACGCATCGTCAGCGGCCAGGTCCCGGACTCGCTCAAGGACAAGCAGCTCGTCACCCTGGACCTGGGGTCCCTGGTCGCGGGCGCCAAGTACCGCGGGGAGTTCGAAGAACGGCTCAAAAACGTGCTCGAGGAGATCGACAAGGCCAACGGCCAGATCATCGTGTTCATAGACGAGGTCCACATGCTTCTGGGGCTCGGCAAGACCGACGGCAGCATGGACGCTTCCAACATCCTGAAACCCAGACTCGCCAGGGGCCTGCGTTGCATCTCCGCCACCACGTTGGACGAGTTCAAAATCATCGAAAAGGACCCCGCGCTGGCCCGTAGATTGCAACCCATCATCCTCAATGAGCCCTCCGTCGCAGACACCATATCCATCCTGAGAGGTTTGAAAGAAAGATACGAAGTGCACCACGGTGTGCGCATCACAGACGCCGCGCTCGTGGCCGCTGCGACCCTTTCCAACCGGTACATCAATGAGCGGTTTTTGCCCGACAAAGCCATTGACTTGGTGGACGAAGCGTGTGCGGGATTGCGTTTGCAACACGAATCCAAGCCAGACGCGATCCAGAGCCTCGACCGTGCCATCATGCGAATCCAGATCGAGTTGGAATCCCTAAAGAAGGAAACTGATCCATTGTCTTTGGAAAGGAAAGAAGCGTTAGAAAAAGATTTGCAACTCAAGAGGGACGAGCACTCCAGGCTTACCCAGATATGGGAGAAGGAAAAGGCCGAGATCGAGTCCATCAAGAGCGCCAAGGCAGATTTGGAACAAGCCCGGATTGATCTGGAAATCTGCCAAAGAGAGGGCAACTATGGTAAGGCCTCCGAGTTGCGGTACTCCAAGATTCCAGAATTGGAACGTAAAGTCGCCCGCAGCGAAAAGAAGGATGCCAAGGAGAATTTACTACATGATTCAGTCACCTCAGATGACATTTCAAAAGTCATTGCTAAAATGACCGGTATCCCAATTGAAACGGTATTGAAAGGTGACAAAGACCGGTTGTTATTCATGGAGAATTCGTTACGTGAAAGGGTCGTGGGCCAAGACGAAGCCATTGACGCCATTTCCGATGCTGTGAGGCTACAAAGGGCAGGATTAACGAGCGAAAAGAGACCCATTGCAAGCTTCATGTTCCTCGGTCCCACTGGTACCGGTAAGACTGAACTTACGAAGGCACTTGCCGAGTTCTTGTTCGACGACGAATCCAATGTGATCAGATTCGATATGTCTGAGTTCCAAGAGAAGCATACCGTTTCCCGTTTAATCGGTGCTCCTCCAGGTTATGTACTCAGCGAGTCTGGTGGCCAATTGACAGAAGCAGTTAGAAGGAAACCTTATGCTGTGGTTCTTTTCGATGAATTCGAAAAGGCTCATCCAGATGTGTGCAAGATTTTGTTACAAGTTTTGGATGAAGGTAAATTGACAGATTCTCAAGGACACCAGGTTGACTTCCGCAACACCATTATCGTCATGACTTCCAACATCGGTCAAGACATTCTTTTGGAGGATACAGAATTGGGAGATGATGGAAAAGTTAGCCACAAGACCAAGGATAAAGTCATCAACGCTATGAAGAAAGCTTATCCACCCGAGTTTATCAATCGTATCGATGACATTCTAGTGTTCAACAGACTCTCCAAGCAAGTTTTACGTTCGATTGTTGATATCAGAATTAAGGAAATACAAGACAGATTGGCTGACAAGAGGATGAGTTTGGAATTAACGGATGAGGCAAAGGAATGGCTAACTGATCATGGTTATGACCAACAATATGGTGCCAGACCTTTAAACAGACTCATTCATAAACAAATTTTGAACACCATGGCCATGTACTTGTTAAAGGGTCAAATTAGATCGGAGGAAACTGTCAAAGTTATTGTTGAGAACGGTAAGCTTGTTGTGTCACCAAACCACGAAGAAGGAGAAGAACCGCTACCGACGCCTGAAGAGTGATTGATCATCATTCAATTACGACTTATTTTCATGAAATATATAAATACACTTTACTTGTAGATAACATAATAGGATACTATTAAAAGAGTTCAATGGCATATTGTAGGAGAGATTCAAAATCTCCTCTTTCCTAACTGCTACAACAATATGTAACCTGAAGGTTTGATCTTATATCTAATCAGAAATGTTAAAAGAAATATACACGACTAAATTATTAAACTTATCCTATTATCTACTGCGAATAATACCAGCAGCGATCAATGTTTGAATCTTCTTGAACACTTCTGGGTTCTTCATGTGCTCTTGCAAAGCCGCTGGGTTCTGTTGAGCCTGCGATAGAATGCTTTGCATAACTGGATCTTGCATGATAGAAGCAACTTCAGGATCCTTCATAGCTCTAGCGTAAGTTTGTTCTGGGGACTCATTTGGATCTTCCGGTTGGAATCTTTGTTGAGTGGCCTTGATGTACAATTGATCAATCTCCTTAACACTGGCACCATTATTCACTTCCGTATCCTTTGAACGCGCTTCGTCTAGGGTTTCAATAGCACCGGCAAAGTCTTTAACAGCAATTTGGGCGGTGGCCTTTCTAATGTATGCTCTAACAAAGTTTGGATCCTTCTTGATAGCAATATCGCAATCCTTGATAGCGTCAGGAAAAGACATTAGCTTAGACAAAGCAGCTGCTCTGTTGGAGTAACCACGCGCATCTTCTGGTGCTCTTTTAATCATTTCCGTGTAAGCGCTCACAGCGTTTGGCCAGTCTCCCTTGGTGAAGTATTCTTTACCTTGCAGACGTGCTTCTTCTGCCTTTTCAGGATCTATGTAAGCCTCAACTTCTTGTACTTTAAGTTCCTTTTCACAATTCCTCAATTTCGTCAAGATCTCTGGAGTGCGGTGTTCTGTGAGCGATTTTTGATAGTAGTCAATAGCCTGCTTCAAATCATTTAACTTGTGGTAAGAGTTACCGATACGTGCAAAAGACTTGGCAATCACCGTGTAATCTGCTCTCATTTCTCTACCCTGCTCAACAGCTTCCTTCAAGGTCTTGATAGCAGTTTCATAATCACCCTTTTCATACTCGGCGGCAGCACGGTTATTCAAATAGGTTATATCTTTGTGCAAATTCCAAGCCTTTTCATAATGCTCGATAGCTTCATCAAATTTACGGGCTTTGTAAAGCTTATTACCCTCAGCTTTTTCAGCATCAGCCTTTGCCTTTGAGTCGTTATCTGTTTCGGGTTCGTCAACTTCCATAGGTTCAGGTTCTTCTCTAGGAGCAGCTGGTTGAGCTTGTTCTGCTCTTGGTTGCTCAGCCTTTGGTTCTTCAGCCTTTGGTTCTCCAGCCTTTGGTTCTTCAGCCTTTAGTTCTTCGTTCTTGGCGTCACCAGCCGCATCCCCTCCCATGCTTAAGTCAATACCCAGAAGCGTAGCCATAATAGTCATTAGTCTTGGATCTTGCAAAACTTCAGCACCCATCATTTGTGGGTTGGATCTAAATTGCAAGATCTTCGCAACCAGTTGTGGATCCTTCATTAGTTCAGCTGTCTTGGGGTTCGCCTTCAACTTTTCAATCATGTTAGGATCGTTGAACATCTGGCCTAGTCCTAAGTCTGGTTGCTGTTGTCTAGCCTGTTGAGTTCTTTGAACTTGTTCAAGACCGTCCTGAGCAGCCTTATTAGAAGCATCTAACTCCAAAGCCTTTTTGTATTGCTTCTCTGCATCGTCAAGGTTCCCCAACCCAAATTCAGCAGCACCCACACGGTTGTAACCTTTAGACCAAGTAGGATTAATCTTTACACACTCTTGAGCATCGTTTAGAGCTTCATCAAATTTCTTAAGAGACGTGTAACAAGCCGATCTGTTAGAGTACAAAACGTGGTTTGGTTGCTCAGAAACTTCGATGGCCTTGGTAAACAACTCAATAGCCTTTTGAAAATCTTTTGCCACAAATGCAGCATTACCCTCTTTCTTGAATTCTTCAGCAGACATTTAAAGACGATTTGTTGAATATTATTTCCAGTTACAATCAAATTATCCTGTTGACCCTTCAGCTATATACCTTTGCCTTAAATACTCGTGAAGATATTCTGGAAAATTCTTGGATTTTACTATCGAAGTCACGGGACCTCGAGTTACGAGTGAAAAATCTGTTCCAGCTCATCGAAGTCATCACTCGATGCTTTACGAAATCAAACGATAAACATAGGTAAAATTGGACATGGGTCTGCAAACATTCGATGTCAAGACACAGCAGTTTCTGCATTGGCTGCGTAATGATGCCAATGTTCAGATTTCTGAAAAGATTGACTTGGTTGACTTGAGGTCAGAAAATCAAGGCCGTTGTGTAATTGCAACTCAGAACATTTCTTCTGGTGAGGTCCTATTCGAAATTCCGCGAGACAGTTTGTTGAATGTCAGTACAAGCAGCCTAGCGCAAATTTCTCCACAGATTCGCGAAAAGCTAGTGACTGCCGTCGGTCACTGGGAGGGTTTGGTGCTATCAATTCTCTATGAATACAAAGTACTAAGGGAAAGAAGCCGCTGGTGGCCCTACTTCGAAGTGTTTCCTGATATCAACGACATGAACAATCTCATGTATTGGTCGAATGATGAAATTCAGTTTTTGAAGCCCTCGCCGGTTCTCACAAGAATTGGTCGCGACAGCGCAAAAGTCATGTATCAGCAAATCTTAAACCTGATCGAAGAGTTTCAACTACAAGAATTAAATGCAGTGACATGGGAAGAGTTTGTCTATGTTGCATCCGTCATTATGGCGTACTCTTTTGACATGGAGTGCAACGACTTCAAAGACTTGGAATCTCTCAGCGATGACGAGGACAATGGCGTTTCATCAGTCTCACGCGATGGATTTTTGAAGTCTATGGTGCCGCTTGCGGACATGCTCAATTCAGACACTCATCTCTGCAATGCAAAGCTCATGTACTCGACATCTTCCTTGACTATGACTGCAGTATCTGATATTCCAGCAGGCCATCAAGTTTTCAACATCTATGGTGACCATCCAAACGCAGAGATTTTAAGAAGATACGGTTATGTTGAGTGGACGGGCTCGAAATTTGATTTTGGAGAGATACCTTTAGAAATAATATCCTCAGCAGCTAATCAATGCTTTGGAATTCCGATAGAATTTGTGGAAAAAGTTATTGAAATAATACGGGATAGCGAGAAAATAGAACAGCTCACTGAGTGCGAGCCCATCATTTTAGATTATTATGACTGTTACGTCGATGGTCAGGTTTTACCCGAAAGCATAACACTGATACAGGTCTTAGTCACTGCTGCACAGATACCTCATATTGATACATTTGATTATGAAAACCTGGAGGGATGCCTGCAGAGAATAACGAAAAAAGCAATCCAAATTGTTGGAAACGGTAAGATGACAAAGAGGTGTCTGCGCTTATGCGAATACATCGTTAACGAAAGGCTAAAAGACTATCCAAGCCATGCTTTCCGTGAAATGAGTCCCGATCACTTTGAGATTCACAATGACTTTCTCAGACAAAGGATGGCTGAATGCGTGCTCAAGAGTGAAGTACGATCCATCCAAAACTGTTTCCAATCTCTTGAAAGAAATTATCGTATTATTGAAGACCAAAAGTTTTTAGGAAACGTAATGAAAAGAGGACTGGAATCGAAACCAAAGTCGCAAAGACAAGTGAAAAGGGCCAAAAGATAAGCTATCAAGGATAAGTAGTTGTATTAATAGAAGAATGGACTCTATAGCTTTGCAACATAGATTTTGCTCGCTTGCAGCTCTATATCTTGCGCTGTCGGCAGTGTCTTAAATGAATCATCCCCTGTGGCCATACATAACATTTCGCCATCACATGCTAGTTTCAGAACGCTGTCCTCGAGCTTTGGTAATTCTTCCGACTTTTTTCTTGTCGACAGGTTCCACGAAAAAACTTTACCATCAGAACCACCTGTGTAAAGCATACTTGAGTCATTTTTGAAGCATACAGAATTAACGGGAAAGACCAATTGAACATCCTCGAGGTTCATCCGATGACATCGAAAGGCGAATCGCGACTCATCGTCTTTAAAGTACTCAACAGCCACACGTCCATCGATGGAACTTTGTACATAACCTTTTCCATGAGGCATTAGCTTGATGTCTCTTGTTTGAAATTTAAGACCCGAATCATGTGTAATGGGATTCTCCATTTGTCGTAGATCGTAAATCTTCACTTTGCCTTGTGTACATGCTGCCACTACCGTATTCTCTTTGCAGTCCAATTGAAGTACTTTGTGTCCATTTATCTCACTTCTGAACCATATGTTGTTCGATCTGGAGTCCATCACTTCTATCGTACCATCCCAAGAGCCCGCTATCACATCGTGGGCACGCGAACACAGCGCTGATATTCCCAACTGAGCCCCATTGAATACTCTATCAAATCTCTCTGACTCTAGATCAACTTCCAACAATTCACCTTGAACACTTCCTACATATTTTTTCCCTCCTACGGTCCATGTGGTTGAGAGCAACGGATATTCATGGCGCATCTGTGCCAAACGTTTTCTTGAATTATAGTCAAACATGGAGATGCTACCGTCCCATGCCGTAGCGATCACATGTGGATATCCTTCCACTATACATAGATCAGAGATATAGTCTTTAGGTACACCCTCTAATAGTTCATAGTGCATGATAGCACTCCCAACCAATTCCTTAAGTTTTACTTGCGTCGTACGAGGAGGTTCATAATCTTGAAAAATGCTTGCACACAGTACAAGTGCACATCACTTTAGGGTGTTGAAACTATACCTGGGAGAAAGAAGGCAAGAGTTTGTAAATGGACTCAGTCGCAGGGTTTTTTTGGGATGATCACAATCCCAGGGCTACCAGTGTAATAGATAATAGCGCTCAAAGAAGTTCAGAGGCCCTTCGAAACGGAGGAAAGCAGAGTGAAACGAAGAATGATCGCAAGGGTAGCGCCAGCTCTATAGGGGCTAGTAGTGGTCTGGCTAGCACAACTCAACAATTACTGGCTGATAAACTGGTGGAGAAAATCATATATATGGCACTACCACCGTCATCTGATCTTGCTAAAGAAACTATTGTCCATCGAGTAGAAGCGGGGAAGAACAGGCCTGGCCTTTCTGTTCCAATAATGAGCAGGAACTTCATTCAGATGAACTCAAGATTAAGCGTTCCATTCATGATCATTGACGAAATAATTCGAATATTCAACTGGTCTAACCCCGCCTACACATTGTCCGTGATGTCCCTTTATACATATGCCGTGTTAAAACCGCTTCCTACACTAGCTAGTGCTCCCATATTTTACCTGCTATTTGGTGTGATGGTTCCACAGTATCTCAAAATCCATAAGCCAGATCCAAACCCAGCTCTAGGGACAAGTCCAATTCCCGCTTCAGGCCCTCCTTTACTGAAAGCAGAAGTTCCAAAACCAGTTCCAGAGTTTAGCAAGGAATTCATTTTAAACTTAACAGATCTTCAGAATCATATGATGATATACGTCGTCATATTCGACTTCATAAACTCTATTCTGTCAAAATTTGCGTTTTTCACAGATGAAAGTATATCATCTGTATGCTTTCTTGTGCTTCTCGTGCTCGCGTGCTTCAATGCACTTTTCATGGACTCAATTGCGCGCTTTCTTCCAATAAGAATGATTCTCGTAGTTAGTGGGTGGCTTATTGTAATGGTGTTGCATCCACAAAGCAGAGATCATGTTCTATCAAAGTTTACCTCAGAAGAAACCCGATTAAAGGTATTGACGATAACGAATAAAGCTGAAAAAGTTGTGGACGAGTACTTTAGGTACTACGAACCCAGGGAAAAACGCCAGGCATCCATTTTTGAGTTACAAAAATACAACGACAAAAACAAAGCATGGGAGCTAGTCGGTTATTCTACAGACCATTACACAATCCTTTCTGACTTGAGAGTTTCAGAGGGGAAAATTGAAGATTCTGCGCAGAGTCTTGAGGAAGTGAAACCACCAATAGAATGGGTATGGATGACCAATTCCAAGTGGGTACTCGATCTTGATCCCCTTAGCTGGGTTGAAACTGAATTTGTTCAATATGTCGAAGTCGATACTGGGACGAAATGGGTTTACGACGCCAATTTCGACGGTACAAAAGGGGAGTTCAGGCGAAGAAGATGGATCAGGATATGCACAAGAGAGGCTGAAGACGCTATTCTTCCCAGAAACAAAGGCACATCCGAGGAAGGAGTTGATTTCCAGTCTCAAATGAAAGATTGCTACAATGGATATGAAACAAATATCCAAATGAACAGCGCATATTCGAATAATGAACAGCGGAATAGAGATAATTCCTTGCATGCTTCAGATGGTATGGTTAAATCAACGTCCAATAATTCGATAGCAAGCGAGACAAGTGGACTAAGTAATCAAGAGTCCACAAAATCAAATATCTCCGTATCCAATTCTTCCAAGGCAGTCAAAAGCTTAACAGATTTTTTGAGTTTAGCGCCATAGGCGTTTTGAGTTCAGATACCTGAGATTTAATGATGCATCATTTTCTAAATGTCAGTTCTTGTATTTAATCTAGTAATATCTATAATGTACATTTGGTTTATCAAATTCTTGCATGTTTTTTTGCATGATATTCTAGAAAACGCAGATTTAGTACGCTTGCCGAGATGCCTATTGTACGCCGAAGGCATGTGACACATGCGGATCTGACATTGTGCTAATTCTTGAGCAGATCTTCTAAACTTAATGATAACTTATTTTTCTTTTGCTCTGTTTCTCTTTTTTTGGAGAGTATATTTGTTAGTGTATTCATCTTTCTCTTTTTCGCCCTTTCCTTTGCTGCATTCTTCTTGACTTTTCCATTATTCTCTGTGTCAGATGAATTGGGTTTGGGTACTGGCCAGGTCGCGACGAAGTGCTCTTTCGATTTCTCTGAACAGCTAGTATCTTTTTGATCGAAGAAAAGGTTCTTGACGTGGCTACAATTGATGCATGTATATTGCAACGTTCTCAGGATTTTTCCATTATCATCACACTCCTCCACTAGACGCATCCTCATATTGACCCCACTAATGAAGACAATGCCACAAGAGCCACAAAACTTCACACTATCCGCTACGATCTGTTCTGGTAGCGTCACTTGATTTCTCTTTGATGCGTTACAAAAGCTCTTGAAGTACACACCTGACAACTGAGGCTGACTGATGCTCGGCAGTATGTGAAGTAAGTTATACTTGTAATTCATATGAGATGTCAAAAACTTCTCTCTTTGTTGCTTGTTTAGACCCATAATCTCTTAAGATGAATAATTAACAGAGCCTGGTATTCATTTGAATTCACTGATTATCCTTAGGCAAATATGATCTTTTCAGCGATGACTTCTATCTAGGCTTGGATTTTTTCAAGATCTTACGTCCGTGTCAAACGCTCTTGGTTGAATTAATTTCAAATCACAAAGCATTGCAAGAGATTGAAACACGAACTTAAACTTCTGTCTATCTGCTGTCAATTTAAATAAAATCCAAATGTCTTTACCCACATCAGTAGTTCCATTAGAATCGAATCCCGAGGTTTTTACAAAATTTGCACACAGTCTGGGATTATCAGAAAGCTACGCATTTCACGATATATACTCGTTAACCGATCCTGATTTGTTAGCATTTCTGTCACGTCCCATGAAAGCAATTATTATGCTGTTTCCTTTAAACTCCTTTTTCGAGAGCTCTAAAAACGAAGAGGACCTCCCAACAAGCGCTGCAACAGCCCCTACATGGTTTAAACAGAACGTTAGGAACGCATGCGGACTCTATGCTCTCCTTCATTCCCTTTCAAATAACACAAATCTTTTGAAGGACGACTCTAAATTGATCCAGTTCTTGCAATCAAATCCGAGATCCAATTGCCAATATGCAGACGATGCTACAGATAATTTCATTGTATCAGTTAATGAACTGTATAACGAAAACTCCTCTCAGGGTCAAACAGAAGCTCCTGAAGCCGACGCTGAAGTGAACCTGCATTTCATTACATTTGTCGAGCACGAGGGAAATGTATTTGAGCTGGATGGCCGGCGACCAACAGGTGCCAAGCTCCTAGGCCCATCTAGTTCAATTGATTTACTAGAGGAACCTATTGTGAAAAAGAGATTTCTATGGTATACCAACAATTCTGACGACGAAATGAAATTAAACTTCTCTTTGTTGGGACTGGCTCCCTCATGGGATTAATGTAAAGAATGTCTCAACCTCCAATGCCATCTGGGCATTCTATGCCATTACGAATTATTTAGAATTTTATATTTGCCCCTTGATATCCACTTTTCTAGATTTTTCAAACTGTTGAACAATTTGATGTCTTCCGGACTTGGTATCTAAGTATGCATGGTCATCTGGCTCTTTTTGACTTTTCACAACGATGTACTTTTTCAAATCGAACCGTCGCAGAAAGCTAATACCGTCTTCAAGCTTTGGAAAGTGAAGTTCTTTGAAGAGAAAGCCAAGAGAAAGTTGATTATAACTCCTGCAGATCGTATTGAGCGCCCTTAACCTTTCACGCTCTATGAATGCGTCTAAAAGGCATCTCGTGGGCCCATTAGTGTCGTCATAAAGTTTGAAAAAAACATGGTAGTTACCGACGAGTAACGCATGCGCCATTTTCAAAGAATGTTGGACAACAGGATGTTTATATACGCTCATGTTCTCAGGGGCCATGTACTTCAATTTCAGTTCATTGATTGAATCATGATTGTTCATCATCAAGTAGTATAGAATCCTATAACTCACAAACTCTTCCAGGTTAGACTTCTTGATTGTTGGCACCTCAAATAGTTGCTTCAACCTACTTTGGCACTGATTGAATTCTCCAATATCACCATTTTCAAGGGCTATTCGAGCATGAGTTTGAAAGACTTTGAGTGTGAAGCGGTTTTCAATAATTTGAACTCTCAAATCTTGTCTTATGGACTTGAATTGGTCACATAAATATTGATAAGTTGCCTCTTCTTTCTCATACTTTTCTAGAACCATGTCAAAAGCTTTCTTTAGTATATTAAGTGGTCTCACCAGATCCGGATTTGGTTCAGAAGTTAACCTCAGGTATTTTTTTTCGAGTACATGGCAACGACCCACGACTGGTTTATTTTTGTCGAATTTATAATAGTTGGTTGATATCGCATTGAGATTAGCATAATTCTCGTCGGTCGCAGATTTAAGTTTCTTAGAAGCGGAGTTCACGTCTGAAAATCTTTCCATCCTTTTTCGCCGCCTTTCTGCCTCCTCACTGCTGACTTTACTTCCTTTGAGATTCTGACGTCCTTTAGGATGGCCAACTTCTGGCAGTAATATACCCCTCTGCGTAGGCCGAAGTGAATTTGTAGGGATATAATTCATGCTCGAGGACATAGCTGGAGGAGGGGGAGGTATATGAGGCATATCTACAGGAGGGGGTGGAGGAGGGGCCAGTGATTTCAAGTCATTTGGAGTGAAATTTCCCGAACTAATATGCCTGTCATTACCAACATCACAGAGAAGCTCAAGCCTGGACGATTTCTTCGACAACGAAGGGATAGTTTGAGACCACCAGTCATTTTTAAATGCTTTTTCTTCGGCGTAGGCCTTTCCTATAATATCTTTAAGCTCCTGAAGAACTTTTGTTTGCGAAGAAACGTCCATCTTCCGTTGCTCCGCCAACTGAAAACAGCCTAAAACAAATTCTCGAAGCCCTGAAGGGTTTATTTGCGTCTGATCATTCCTTATAATACGTTGAAGTAGTGCAGTCTTCTCTTGCTCGTTGAACTCCTTTTTTCTACCCGCACTGGCTGCTTTATTGTTCTTTCTTTGTCCCAATGTAATAGGCGCAACTTGATTGTATAGTTTCACACCTTTCTGACCATTTAGGTCTTTATCGGATCCTATTTCAAATTGCTGCATCGATTTTTCTATTAAACCGCCCTTGTAAGGTACTGAGACATTCTTACCATCACCAGCCTTGCCCATAATTTCGGCGATGAGGATTTTAGAAGCTTTAAAATGTGGATCGAGAAATACGAGAATTAGATGATTCAAAATAGGTCACATTTGACGGAATTGTCGTGTATTCAAGAATAGGCTAATCCTATTTTGGCCAAGTGTTTGAGTTAAAGAAATCTGCGATTGCAAAGAAGTATCAAAATCACTCTCAATGAATCTCCTACGTCCGCCGGTGCAGCGAAAACGTGCTTTATCTGTAAACAATGCTACCGACTCAGAGAAAAAAGCTATGAACAATGCCCTCGATAACCTCCAGAATGACTTAGGTCTCATAGAGTCTCAATGGAGTAGGATTATCACCAAAAAAACCAATCCCCTTGAATTGGCTCTCAATTTTCTTGATGACACATCAGTAGGGTTAGGTCACCGATATGGTGAGTTCAATCACCTGAAGTCACAGCTAGCGGGGGACCTTCAACAAGCTGTCAACGAACATTATCAAGCGTTTAACACAAATATTGCATCTTACGAGCAGACTTTGGAATATATCAGCGAGTCTCAACGCAATATAGGTACGGTAAGAGATACTGTTGACGACTCCCTATCGAGAATTACAAATCCCAAAGGATCACTTGGAGAGCTAAATGAGAACTCCAATCAATACACTAAAATGATCGAAATATTAGGTGCAATTGAGCGATTATTGAGAGCTCCTGATGTAATAGAAGATCATATCCGGAATAAACGTTATGCAGAAGCGAAAGATGCTTTGATGCGCTGCTTTTCATTGGCGAACTCCCACAATCTATGGAACTTAAAAGTGCTGCAAACCACTAAGCAAATTTTAGATTCTCAAGAGCATACTTTATTTGAAACTTTGATGGAGGATATAAACGATATAATATACTCGAAAAGAACCAATGTCTCAACACAAAAGGAGCTCTTCCAAATTTCGGTGTCAGACACAAGTTTCAACAGTCTAGAGAATTACTTAAGCAGTGTTGTTAATATAGACATCTTGGAGCAATCTCACGAAATTAACAAAGCTTTGAATCTTTTCCTAAACAAGTTGGGAAGAAGCTTTGCTGATCCAAGCACTTGTAACAATCTGACAATTGAAAGTGAATCTGAATATGATAGACTCTTCACACTTTTAAGCACACTCAATGACATGAACAGACTACACGCTGGTCTTTCAATCATAGTCCAGAGATCGAAAGAAGAAACGCGAAGTATCGTATCCAAGTCGGTTGACGAAATGCGTTTAAAACATCCATCCCTGATGAAAATGGCAATGACACTCGGTGACGAAAGTGACTTCGGTATCTCAGGAAGAGATGTTCTATCCGTTGTTCTCCGCAACCTGTTTTGGGGTATTTTCACTAAGCTGTTGCTCGCTATTCAAGCACATCGTGCTATTTATGAAATATCCAAAGTATTACAGTCATCGGGTACTAACAACGATTTCTACAGATTTGATGAAGTTTGGGGCAAAGTTTTAGATGAAGTTAAAGTTTTGGTGAATAATTATACTAAAAACTCCTTACTGTACAAAGATAACCTACATCGTGGATCTGCAGTGATTCCAACTGAAAATGGGAATAATTCGGCTAGTCAGAAATCATTACTATTCTCTTTGCAGAGCAATATTGAAAATGATTCTGCAACTAAGGATCACGCAAATGTTTTGAAAGAGATGCTTAAGGAAATGTTCCCTGGATTTTCGATGGCTACGAGCATGGAGTTAAAAAATATCTACCTGGAGGAAGAGGCTTTCGAACAAGAAGATACCGTGATCCCCCCTAAGGTATTCAATATGATGTTCATTCTGGAATCCTTTTTGCTTTTTGTTCAAGGCTCATCGGGTATTCTGCCACTTAACTTCCACGAAACTATACAACCTCCATTTTCTTTTTTTACGGAATACATGAGAAAGAACTTTCTTCCGCACTTAGAGAAGACATTGATGTACTTTTTTGATTCCAAAATTCAATCTAACAACCCTTACACTCTTGAAACAATGGGTGATGGAAGGGTAATCTTCAAGGCTGCCTATGATTTCAGAACTTTGTTTGCAAAAGCACTTTATGTCATGAATGCCTCACATAATTATAGAAAAAGCATCGTTGATGTATTGCTGAAATTACTCAATCGATTCTTTGAGTTTTATTACAATATTTTCAGCGGTCTACTGGGGTCTTCTCATAATCGCTTCAATAAAAAACTAATAACAGTTTGGCTGGAAAACACAACTCTTGTTGAACTGACGGAGAAAGTGTTTCAAGGGCACAAGGAGTGCGTCTCAGAGGAAAATTTCGAAATGTTTAAAAGCATTCCAGAGTTTTATCAGCGAGGAAAATGCATTGATAAACAAGACTTTTTTAATAACGTTACTTTAGACACATTGGCGTTCTTTTTGAGCACAATTACGTGGGTAAACGAGTGGTTGCCACAGTTAAAGAAGGTTGTCGCCGAATCTGTATACGGAGATGCAGATACAGATGCAGATAAGTTAAGAGGATCTTGGTCATTTTTCGAGGCCGCAGATTTTGAAAATATCGAAAGGTTCAATAACTTGAAGATATCGCTGTGCGGTGAAAGTATCAATAAATTCGATAAAATAGCCAAAGGATTTGAAAAGATCGAACATAAGCTGCTTGCGTGCTTAAGATATGATCTCCGGGTAAGATCGATATACTATATTACAGAGTTCATACACACATCTTCATGGAATCCAACAGTTGCGAGTGTTGAGCTTGATCAAAACATTTCCACTTTAACTACTGAACTGGGCACGATGGAGAATCGATTCAGGGAGCTCATTTCTGGAAGACAGAAAGATTTCTTATTTGCAGGCCTAACAATTGTTCATAATTACATTTTCATCGAGGCTTCGCGGTCGATTTTGATATTGAATCACAACGGCATCAAAAAAATGATCAGAAACATAAACGTGCTTCAACATGCTTGCCGGAATATAGCAAATGAACCTTCCGATGTAGACATGAGTAGAGCGCTTACATTCTTTTATCTTTGCTCTACAAATGAAATGACAATCATAAACAAAGCACATGCAGGGGAACTCGACGATTATTCTCACGAAGACATAAAGAACATGCTGAGACTGCACCTCAGTGAAGAATTGCAGCGCCAAATGAAGCGACAGAGTGGCACACATAGAGTACCTTCTATCTCAGCGAACAAAAGGCTTACAGACGCTATGAAGCGTTTGGATGAGGTGCCACATAAATAACTTATCTTTACAAAATTATAAAGCCAAATAATGCATTTTGATAAGAGAACACTTTTCAAATATTTAGAAATTTATCATAATTACTGAATTCAAATTGTTTTGCCGCTTAGGATACATGTTTTTACTTACGATCGCTTTCACTGATATTCAAAACATCTCAAATGATAAAGCGATACTGGGTACTAAGATAGCCGAACCGATGCTCTCAATTGCTGATTTACAATATTGGATGGTGTTCAAAAATTTAAAATAGAGTGCTCGGCCAAAAGTAAAGCATTGAGCATTTATGCTAGAATTGAAACAACACTTTTCCGAAGTAGTTGAAATATCCAGGAATCCAAACTGTCGTCTTTTGCCGCTTTTCTTGTGCACGTGAAGGCGCTGACAGAAGGAAAAATGAATTAAAAACATTGATCATCACGGCTCTGATACCGTGTTTAATAACGTGTAAATGACATGTCCTCTTTGGAGGTGATTGCGGTCCACGATAAACCGTCAAAAGAAACTTATAGTTCTTCGAAGGAGGTAATAGAGATTACATCCGAGGAAGATGCATCCTTCAAGAAATCACCAGGGCCAACCACATATCCTTCTTCACCACAATCTCTACGGAAATCACTTCCATCAGAGTATAGTATTCAGCAGCAAGATATAATCGCTGAAAATAAATCCATAGAGCTAGCTGCTAGTTTCCAGGATGATACGAATATAAGTGAATCGAGCGAAGCTCTTGGGGTCGAGAGGACAGTCGGCAGCAGCAATAAGAGAGTAGCCGCTCCTAAGTCATCCTTAGCCATCGATTCAAGCCCACTTAAAAATACTCAAAAAGAAAACGCAGCTCGCATTTTAGAGGAGCTACTGAGTGATGAACCTTATTCTGATACTATCAGCTTCCATAAGAATTCCCGGTCTGAGTTCAAGGAGCCCTCAACACTCACTGCTATAGGTGCAAAGTGGTCACAAGTACAGATTGAACCAACCAATGATCAAAAAGCTCGTAAGATAGAAATTACAGGTTCTGAGCGAAGAGAAATTCAGCCAAGAAGGACGTTGGCAATCAAGCGATCACACTCTTATGACAAATACGACTCCGAGGCTGATAAGAGATTAGATAGGGACAATTCAGTGAATAAACCGGTTTCACTTCAAAACTCTAAAAAAGTGAGTCAGATATCTTTGCTAGTCAGCCGCGCTGTCCCTTCTGAGTCTACTGGAGATAGCACATATACAGGTCCTGCCTCGAAAAAGCTACGTGGTAATATTCCTGGACCAAAAAGCCAAACGATCAATGAAGATGAAGGTGTTGATTTAGACTTGGCAGAAATGGCAGATGAATCCTCGTATTTGAACGACTCAAAGAAATTCATAGCACAAAACGACGGCCCTAAATCTTCAACGGAAAATCACATGAATTTCTGCAAAGCATTCTCAACTAATTCGACAGGAATAGAATCATCCAGTAAAACCGTACCTGCAACTAATTTAGATAGCAGAACAGAACGCCACAAACATAAAGCATTACAGCGATTCATTGTTCATGGCAAAACCTTCAGCAAAGAAGAATCCTGGGCAGAAGCCAAAAAGTTCATGAAAACATCAACTACTAAAAAAGCATTTAATGCAGCTAACAAAATTATCAAAAATGCAGACGCTCTCCGTGAAGAAATTCTAATTGACATGGATGAAGAGCTTTTAAAGGTTTTCGCCGATGAAGGCATATCGCTATCTACTGAAATCAGCCCTACAAAAATCATTCATGCTCATACAGATAAGCATTTGATAAAATTCAGACGTAATTGCAATTCCATTTGCGATTACAACAGTGGCATCTTTTATCCTTGTAAGGAGAGAATTGTGGAAGAAAAAGTGTCGCTTGTATTTTATGACTCGCTAGAGTTTTTCCACTCTTATAAAAGGGAAAGCAGTACAATAGTCAATGAATTCGAGCGGTTGAAAAGAAAAGATAAGAAGATTATTTTAGTGCTTAATAAATATAGCAGTTTGGAGAAGAGTCTTTCCAATTTTGAGAATCGGAAGTACAAAGAGAAAGTACAAAATGAATTAGATAGTTCCTTGGGGGTAAAGCAGACCAAGCGGAGATCAAAAAAAGATTCTATGCTAGAAGAATTGCAAATGTGTTCGAAAGATTTGGAGTGTGAGGTTAGTGATCTCGCCATCCGCCTTGGAGTTCATGTTTTCGCTTCAACATCACATCAAGAATTTGTAATCTGGCTTAAAAATTTGATTGCTGTTATTGGCAGGACGCGATATGACCCTCTTGTGAAACATTTAGAATGGTCACATATCAATGTAAAATCTGGGCAAAATCCGTCAGACGTTTTATGCAAAACTCTGGAACAACTAAACAAGATGACGAGAGCAAAAGCACAACGTGTTGTATCTGTTTATCCAAAATTTCAGCTGCTATTCGAGGATTTCAACAAGGGCTTCTTGACTAGTGGAAAGGATGGGAATCCGCTTATGAGCTCTGCGGCGGAAAGCGCCCTGCTGACACTTCTTACTTCTGATAATCCCGAAGAACTAATATATATCGATTAGAAAGAAAATTTACCATGTTGAAACACAGATTTTCAATTCAGAGACATGTGCTCTTTTATGAAATGCATCTTATAAAACGTTCTGTATAGTAATTAATGTTAATAAGAGTTGTCGGAATGAGATTGAAGGGTTTACTCATGATAATACATGCTTTACGATTTGATAATCTTCTTCGTTAAGCTGGTCTTTGAGGGGTTCGATACTTTCGAATCCTGATTTTAAATTAACGATTTCGCGATCGTTGAATTTGAATCCCGCGGAAATGAGTTGTGAAAGGAAATTGAGGACTCTATCAATCACATACAAGTCCCCTTTCTTTGTGAGGAATCCTAAAGCACTTCTTATTATATTCTCTTTCCTTAGTAATTCAAGGAATTCGTCGTTCACATCTGCTGCAGTTAGAATTGAGGTCAAAAGACCTAATACCCTCAGATGCAACTTTTCCTTCGCATCCGGATCTGTGAGAGTAGGACTTATAATATCAAGGCCTCCTAGCTGAGCAAACTTTTCATATCCACTTCTGTCATGACGGATGAGATTCGAGAGGGCATAGAATGCTTTGACTCTAACCTGCAGCTTTTCCTCACTGTCGTTTGCTAAAGAGATAATCTGAGACAACCCCCCGTCATACCTGAGAAAGTTTTGCTGGGCATCAGAGTTATTCTGTACAGCTGTTCCTATCACTGATAAAGCAAATGCGCGCAAATCGGCTTCCTTGTCCTTCAGCATGCTGATTAGAGGTATCCACAACTTCAAATTCTCAATATTATTAGCATTGTCCAGACTTTCAATCAGCATCTCGAAATTATCAAATGCAGTCAGTCTGTCGTCTAGTTCAGCATCTTGATTTGTAATAACAGCCATGGCTTCTTTCATCAGCGTTGGCTCATCGGGACCACCTCCGAACAATTGCTGTAACATCTTGGGGTCTGGTTGTCCTGCTCTCTCGGCAGCATCTTTGTCGCCCTGGGCATTAGCTATAGACCAGTGTAGTAATTTTTCCATTATCGACCAGTTTTCAGTCTTAGTGGTATTATCGTGTGGCCTTTACGATACTGCTTCTCTTATCCTCATCAGTCAAAGAGCTCTTGAATGTTCTAGAAAATACTCGGACAATCACGTGATAATTAATGACAGAAACATGTAGATCATCAACGCTAGGAAAGACTGCCATTCAAATCGCCACCGAAGTTCCAGGCAATTAGACTTAAATGCTGGGTTAATAATGTTTTCCAAGATACTAGTTGATTTGGATCAAAATCCTTTTTCAGATAAAGTTAAACTTCCACAAGAAGTGTTGAATGATCTGTTAAGTTCCGGTAGGGGAGATGTATTTCACACTACTAAGCCTTTATTATTCAATATTATCGCCTACGATTCATTAGGACAAAAACTATCTTCTGCCACTGTGGGAGTCCGCGAATTCAGCCTTTCTGAACCGCAGGCAATTCAGATCCCTTGGTTTATTGCCTTCAAAATGGGATTGCTTGGTCTATTGGATCGCGATAAGGTCGCCATAGAATGGGAGCTGGACCAATCTGTGCCTAATGGTACGTCCGTCTCATTAGAACCCGTGGGAAGAATTTTGGTGGAGAATATCCTTAAGAGTCCTATGCAATATGCAGACGAAGCTAGAGTAGATGAGAACTTCTCGGATGCTTTTGTAAAGGATGAGTTCCTCCTGAAGAGTTTTTTAGAGGCAAGGCTCAATAACGCAATCACCACGGTGTACGAAAATGAATGTCTACTGCTCTCAACAGAGCCAAATGGTGAATCCTCTCAATATCTTTACAAATTCAAAATCCATGATGTACATCCAGCGAAGATTGTCTGCGTTGTGAATACAGATATAGAGCTAAATATCATCCAGTCGTTTAAGGTTCCTAATCATCCAGATGAATTCGCTAGAAACAATACAAAATTGCCTTTGTTTAACAATTCTATTTCGGCTGATGTGAAAACAGTGGACATTGGCCTAGGCTCCACAGTTGATGTGTCTATCGGCGATGAGAATATTTACAGAATCAGTAATTTGAAAGATGTCGAGCTCGAGATCACTAGAAATGATCTCAACGAGCAATTTCAGCTCGTAGTGGGCCATGACGATACGATAGATATTGATTGTTATTCACACAGTACTAACGAAGGGTTTTCGAGAACACTCGACACAGATGTAAATTCAGGAACAAAAATACACCTACCAGATTTGGAGGAGGTTTTCATGAAACCTGTGTTCTATGGAAGTCCAGATCTACCTTCTTTCTCTTTTACTATAACGAAAACGGAGACCTCAGAGCCTTCCAACTTACCTGCCGGTTCGATCGAATGCCCTCACTGTAAATCAATAGTACCGCAAAGTGCATACACACTTCATGAACTTCACTGTAGTCGCAGCACTAAACAATGCTCGTTGTGCAATAAGCTATTTTTGCATACAAAAATGATTCCCACTAATCACTGGCATTGTAGTGACAATCACCCGTTAATTTGTGGCGACACTGATATATCTCGGATTAGGCATCATGTGCTGTATCATGAAGTTAAAAAATGTGACCTCTGTGCTTGTGAGCTAAGCAATACGATATCTCTAGCCCGTCACAAACATAATGAGTGCCCAATGGGGAAGCATTATTGTAGATTTTGCCATCTATGCGTATCTAGAGGTACACCAACGATTGAATCAAAATACTATGGGATGTCCCCGCATGAGGTCAGTTGTGGAATGAAAACTGTTGAATGCTACAAGTGTAAAAAAACATTAAAACGGTTGGACATGGGCCGTCATCTGGAGATGCATGATATCGAAAGGAAGACGAAAGGAAATGCTACTCGTCTGTCACTTTGTAATAATATTAATTGTTGTCAAACAAAGAAAGGTTTTTTCCAAAACAAACAAGGGCTCTGCGATACCTGCTTTGGCCCTTTTTACACCACAAACGATGATCCAGACGAGGCTTTATTTTTGCGAAAGCTCGAAAGAAAGTATGTCATTCAGATGTCTCGAGGATGTGGATTTACATTTTGCAAGAACAAGGAGTGTAAATCCTCAGGTTTAAGTTCTCTCACAAATATGGCAGACATAATGCGCCATATACACGAGGATCTGACCTCTCTAGATAACAGGAAATACTGGCTTTGTGTTGATGAGGTTTTAACAAAGCGAAAAATATTGGCAGATACTTATATTGACATATATCCAGACGAGTACAACCCTCTTTGGGTTTACCATGCAGTTAATCAAGTATCGGTACGAAACTTAGACTCTTTACAGATTTGGTTAAAAGAAAATGCAATATCAAATGAGGAGATATGATAAATGTTTATATATTTATATACACTTACCGAATTCTTTCACCATTTCTGCTTATAAAATCATCCAATTTGTAAACAAAGTCCATACCCACAACCTTCAGCTCATCAATCTGCCTTCGAGATGATTTGATGGAGGCTGGTGATATCATCTCATGATTAAGCAGTTGCTTATCCACTAATGAAAAATGTTTATCTACTTGTTCACTGCACCAATTCACAAGTATCGAGGAGTATACTCGCTCATCATTTTTGAATAGATGCTGAACGCTGAAAACAACATTCTTCAATGTTTGAAATCTAATGACAGCAATCTGGGTCAAATAATTCGTAGGATTATCAAATGCCCCGATTTGTAAAATCAGATCTTGAATGTACCTGCCCCTGTTTTGCAAATATAGTTCAAGTGCATCATTTGGATAATCTAAGGAAATTAACGTTTCTACAGCTAACATGAGGTTAGATGCATCCGTTAAATCAGTCGATATAACTTGAGATAGTTTAGAAACCAGGTTTTGGCGTCTATGTGATACTTTCAAGCGAAGAAAATCTATCAATATCAACTCTTCGGCTCCTGCCTCATCATTGAATTGCTTAAAAGCTTCATCCAGAAGTTTCAACTTTTGAACGCTTTGCTTAAAGTCGTGTCGAGCGAAGAGGACGTCAAATTCTTCGATCTCGTCGTCAAGTTGACGTAGACGTCTTGAAAGAGAACGAGAGTCGCTCGATAGAGATTTCGAACGCATCGAAGCAGTAATCGTTTGAAGTAACATGTGCTCATTAGAAGAATCCTGAGGCTTTGGTGACATGTTCCCCAAACTAGTATTCCGCCCATGACCTTTCGTTGGGCTCAGTGTAAAATCGCGTCCTGGCGTGTTCTGAGTGGACTGTAAGTGATTGAAAGAATCTCTTATACGCCTAACGTTTTCCTGCTCGGCTTGAAATATATCCTTGAGATCATCTTTGGCTCGCCTTATCACAGAGACAAATCGATCATATTCTTTCTTCTTTCGCGACTGGTATAAGGCTTGATTCCTATTAGCAAAATTGATCGCCAATCTGTTTTCACCTTGCCTGGTGATGCCGATGTCCTTTAGCGGGCTGCATTGAGATACGACCAACTCATGCTGTTGCTTATCTGGATTCCGTGCGGCAACTAAGATCATATCATTAAGGACAAACATATGCACATTTCTGGAAGCCTTTAACGTTGCTGCATTTATTTCGAACCAATCATTTGACTCCATCAATATATGTCTTCCAGGTAGAAGTGATATAAATTTTTGAGCACCCTCAACCGACTTAAAAAGGGTTGTCAGCTCATTATTCCACATTTTCTCCAACATCATCACACTTGTGCGATCCCTTCTTTTTGATGTTTTTGCCGGAGGAAGAAGTCCAGAATTATCGGGCTGTGTTCTACCCAATGCTTGCTTGTCAATTTGCAGCCTTTTCTCGGCCATTATCTGGAATTCATTCATTACCTCCTTCAGATCATTCACAGTGGATCTTAATTGTCTGAGCTCTGTTGAAGCGCTATCCAAGTCCATATTCACAAGTAGGATTTCAGCATAAGACTTATTAATATTGTCTTTAATCTCATCAGCCACCTCTAGCGATAAATCGTTTAGATTGGAAGTGAACTGATCAATTTCAATAGCATTTGCATTGCCAAGATTATCAGTTACAAATACTTTCGCTTGGAATTTGGGGTCACTTAAAATCTGTCGAAGACTTTTACCATTATAGATATCGCCAGTTCTTCTTTTAGACCTGGCTGGTACCTCTTTTGATACCGGTTGGTGAGGTTTCGACCCCGAGAACTCAGTTGGATCTAGCTGTGGTAGGGGAATGGCAGCGTGGTCAACAACTGGTGGGACATATTTTGGATTATGAACAGACAACCTTCTCTGCATCGACGTACCCACCTTGTTTCTGTCCTTTGTGTTAATCTCTGGCAATTGAGAGTAATCTGTTGATACTTTGAGGTCTTGATAAGGATTGGCCTTAAACTTCGTAGGCGAAGAAGGCTGGCTCTTGGCCTTCGATGGAGACGATATATGCTTCCAGTTATGCTTAGCTTTTCTAAGTGAGAAATCGACCATTATCAACCGAGGATTATAAACAATGGCCTCCAAGTGAGCCACGATTCAAACTTAACGGTTCAGTTATTGACGTTGGTCAAAAACATGATTATATGAGTATTCGTCAAGATTGATAATCACGTGATATTTTTTAGATCTCAGGAATTTTGAATTGATCATTACTGTTCTGCTAAACAAATAAGACATCAATCAGTGGACTATCAATCGGATACAGAACGATTGTGCTTTTTGTTGGCACCATAATCTTCAACTGGAATTTATCAAAAGTGATTAAAATAGCTTAATAATTGAATTTAGAAGCAGAAAGAAGAGCATAACTTGTCTATAATCTCATGAGCATCACTAGTGAAGAATTGAACTATCTCATCTGGAGATATCTTCAAGAATCGGGGAAGGAAGTTTCTGCACTAGCTTTACAAGAAGAATCAAGAGTACTAGAGTTTGAAGAGAAATTTGGCGAGCATATTCCTGTAGGAACACTGGTGAACTTCATTCAAAAGGGTATCCTATATACTGAATCGGAGCTTATGGTTCGATATGACGGAGAAGTTACTCCCGTTGATAAGGAACACTGTTTAAAAGACTTCACGTTGGTGCAAGCCCTGGAAGTAGACAGAGAGAGGTATCCAGAAATAGCACCGGAAGGTAGATTCGCCTTAGAGAGTGAAGTTAAACCAGAAGACAAAGATGACAAAAGAACAGAGCCCGCGCCATCAGCTACAGGAGAAAACTCAAATTTTATCAAGACTCTACAAGAAAAACTCAAATTCCCGATGAGCTCGAATTCCCAGTGGAATCCACAGGAAAACTCTTTGATCGCTCTTGGCGGCCAGGATTCTGCTGTGAAAATTGCAAAATTGGCTATGGATTCTCAAGATTGGAAAATTTTGGAATTGTTTTCGTGTCAACATCCTCCAGCTCTAAGTGCCACTGCAGACACTACTACAAATTCAGTTACCTGTCTGCAATGGTCCCCATCAGGGCAAAGCTTGCTTTCAGGCGTCGAGAATGGCGAGCTCAGGTTATGGTCTAAAGATGGCAAACTTCAGAATATCCTCAATCTTCATAGGTCCCCAATTATTACTTTGAAATGGAACCAAGACGGCACGCATATTCTATCTGGTGACCTTGACAACGTCGTGATAGTCTGGAATGCTGGCACAGGAACGCCGCTACAGCACTTTGAAATAAAAGAACCAGACAGTGTAGAAACCTTGGGTGTGGTGGTAGAGTGGATTGGCCTAGACAAGTTCGTGATTCCTGGCCCACAGGGTGCTATCCTCGTATGCGAAATGGGCAAGAACAGACCGCTAGGGAAATTGATCGGCCATACAAAGACTCTGACTGAATTTGAATATAACGCTAGTAATAATATGCTTTTAAGCGCTTCGGATGACTTGACCGTAAGAGTATGGCGCAGTGGCAGTATAAACTCGTTGAATTGCTTCTACGGCCATTCACAGAGTATTACAAGTGCTTTTTGGATCAATGACGACAATATAATAACCTCGTCAATCGACGGCTCTGTGCGTGTTTATTCACACAGTCTTCACACCCTCATGGCACTTTCGATGGTAGACGGCGTTCCCATCTTTTGCGGCTCTATATCACCTGACAAGAAGAAATTTGCAATTGGTAAGCAGGATGGAGGCGTGACTATCTACGATATTGAGAAGCTAATCAAGGTTCTGGACGCTGTACGCTCTCTCCAAGAACCAATTCCCATACCGATAATGGGAGACTATCAGTATGACGGGGATCACAATTCTGTCGCTGCGATATCTTGGTGTTATGATAGTAACCAGTTATCTATATCATACTCTTTAGATGATACAACTGCAATTTCTTTGGGATAATATAGAATTTATGTATTCAGTAAATAATTAATGGAAGCGTTTTATTAAAAAAACGAACAAATTCATTTTCATTCTAAAGTCAAAAGAAAACAAAACAAGATGGACGCAATCGCTGATTCTGCATTTCAACCAACAAAAGCCAAATCGGCTGTGACAGAGGAAACTCCTTCGCTTCTCACAGTAATCGTTGATACCACTCCAAAGCTTTGGGCAGAGCTAGACAAAGAGAGCCATCAGGATGCCAATTTAATCAGTGCTTTACAGTCTTTGATAGTGTTCCTTAACGCACATCTGGCATTCAATAGTGCTAATCAAGTAGCAGTCATAGCTGCCCATTCTTCCGGTTTGAAATATTTGTTCCCTACCACCTCATCAGTGAACCAAACCACGGCCCAAAAGTCCGGTGATCTATCTATTATTAGTACCGACATGTATCGACAGTTTCGAAATGTGGACGAAACTGTTTTGGAAGAGCTATATAACCTCCTGAAATTAGAAAAGTCCCAACCAGAGCCAGGTAATGGTATTCGTAAAAGTGCATTGTCTGGTGCCATGTCTGCAGGTTTGACCTATATTAACAGGGTGACGAAAGAACAAGACAACATATCCCTGAAATCCCGCCTATTGGTTATCACATGCGGATCTAGTGGTGGAAAGGATGAAGGATTTCAATACATTCCTATCATGAACTGCATTTTCTCCGCAACCAAAACCAAATGCCCCATCGATGTTGTTAAAATAGGCGGTACACAAGAGTCTACATTCCTCCAGCAAGCTACTGACGCGACCAATGGGGTTTATCTGCATGTAAATTCTACAGAAGGTTTGATTCAATATTTTTCAACGGCGATGTTCATTGATCCATCTTTGAGACCGATTATTGTGAAACCAAATCAAGGCTCCGTCGACTTCAGAACATCCTGCTACTTGACTGGAAAGGTGGTTGCAGTGGGTTTCGTGTGCAGTGTATGCTTGTGCGTTTTATCCGTCATTCCACCAGGAAATAAATGCCCTGCATGTGACTCAGAGTTTGATGAGCACGTAATTAATAGACTTAAAAGGAAACCAGTAGTTCCATCAATGGTGAGAAAAAAAAAAGGTAACTAGTCAAAATAAGCATTAATATCATTCATAGCATACAAATTCTCATTATGAGACTTTTAATTCTGTTTTCTTATCCAGGGCTCAGTGACGAAAAATCTGCAGTTGCGAAGCGCTCTTCTAGATTCCACATCAAAACAAGATGCCAAAGCGTGGCTATAAGAAGAATAGTGATACCTCTGAGACTCAAAGCCTGGACCCCACTTTTGGACAGACTAAAGCCTTCGCAGTTGCGGATCCGTTGGTAAATCCAGATGCAATCGCTTATTTAAACAGTGTACGAGAAGAGGCATTACGGACAACGGCTCTCAGTACTGAAAGAAGCAGTCAAACTAATGAGAAAAGAGTAGACAAAGGCGCTCTCTACGATGAGGAGCCTGTACTTAATCCAGAATTTCTCAGGTTCACAAAGTTGCAAGATACATGGCACGATTGGTTTCTGAAACTAAAGTCCAATATTGGTACAGAAGGTTATCGGTCTAGTGGGTACGACGAGAAATCTCTTGATCTTCTTGTTGCATATTTCAAGAAATATATAGAGACAAAAGACAAGGAAGAAGACCCGACTATTGCAGCACTGCTTTCAGCCTTAAGGGATGTACCGCATCCAGAGGATGATGATGAATCATTGACAATAGACGAAGAATGGGCAGAGAAGCTATTGCATCGCTTGCAAGCTAAAAAGGCACAACTTCCAAAAGACAGCACAGATTTGAAGAAACTTATGACTGAGCCAGATGAACTACCCCGAAATTTCAATGCTTGGTACTACTACATAACCAACAATGACCCGTCATTTTTAACACTTGAACGGATGAGCCCCGGACAGGTTGTCAAACTAGCCAGCTACATGGCACAATGGATTGCGGAAGTCACAAAGAACAAAAACGAAAAGCGCATCACACAGTGGCTTCTTTTCATTCTCCTTTATCTTCCAGATAGGTTGCCTGCCCAGGAAATCAGCATGGTGAGACTCCTTGGGAAGAAAGCAAGGGCTATGAAACTTAAAAGCGTGAAAGAGAAAGAGCCATTACATGACCTAGAACTCATTCCAGTAATTTTCAATGGAGAAAAGCCTGGATCTTTTTCTGTGGTTGATCTCACTCTTGTTGTGGTGGGGCTGACATATGGACAGAGGGATCTACTATCATGGGAAAGTGAGTGAAACTTCTTATTGCATATATATACACAGAGGCCTCAATACTTTATAAATCAGCTTACTGGTCTGTCATGACCATTTCGCGTGTTCTCACAGCCTGCATTCCTTCATCCTCCAAATCGGAGAGCAAATCGAAACTAGCAAAATCACCGGAGGATTGTTTTAATGCGAAATGCTGCATAGAAAAATATTTAAAAATCAATGACTCTGGTGAAGAGAACAATATTGTAAATCAAAAGAAGCATATACAGTAGAAGTTATTCTGCTGAAGACGTATCTCAGAATTGTACAGTACATTTGTGATTTGGCAAGATGTCTGAGGAAATACCAACTCCCCAATTGATCGATGACTTGGACGCTCCACATGATTCATCTAGGGTAGTAAAAGATTTACTAGCGGGGACGGCTGGAGGAATTGCACAAGTTCTGGTTGGGCAGCCATTTGATACTACAAAGGTTCGTTTACAGACTTCTTCAACACCCACTACAGTAGCCGAAGTGGTGGGAAAGCTGATAAAAAATGAAGGTCCGGCTGGCTTTTACAAGGGAACGCTGACTCCGCTGGTTGGAGTTGGGGCTTGCGTCTCTATTCAATTTGGGGTCAATGAAGCAATGAAGAGATATTTTCACTCAAAGAACAGCAATGACACCACTCCGCTGACACTTTCTCAATACTATACTTGTGGTTTTGTAGGAGGAATTTCCAACGCATTTTTGGCATCGCCTATTGAACATGTTAGAATTCGTCTGCAAACTCAAACCGGGTCGGGCTCTTCTGCTGAATACACTGGCCCCTTAGACTGTATCAGAAAGTTGAGAGCAGGAGGGGGACTTATGCGAGGCTTGATGCCCACCATGCTGAGAGAATCCAATGGATGTGGAGTGTACTTTCTGACCTACGAAGCCTTGATAGCTAATCAAAACTACCATGGAGTAGCGAGAGGGGATATTCCTACGTGGAAGCTGTGTCTTTACGGAGCTTTGTCTGGGACAGCGCTGTGGATCATGATTTATCCGATTGACGTTGTCAAGTCCGTGATGCAAACTGATAGCCTGAAATCCCCCGCCAACGGCAAAAACATGTTCGAAGCCGCTAAGTCAATATATCTTAAACATGGAATTTCTGCATTCTTTAAGGGATTTGCCCCTACCATGCTTAGAGCGGCTCCGGCAAACGGAGCCACTTTTGCAACCTTCGAGTTGGCGATGCGTCTGTTGGGTTGAATTAATTTGGGCATATAACCTATAATTTCATTCACTCATGGATTATTTCCAGGATGAAGAAGGCACTTTATTTTGGGTAGTTGATATAAATCTACAAATGAAGGAGAAAGTCATTCACTTTCTAATCTTCTCAATAAATACTCAATTTCGACCTCCTTTGTCAGAGGAATAACAAGCTCTTTGTAAATCTTTACCAAATATTCAGGTGTAATCTTTCTCTGGCCTTCTTTGTTAGTAGGATCAACGCCGTAGACGTCTGCCTTTACACATAGTCTCTCTAAGATTTTCTCTTCCACTGCTTCGTTGGTAATACTCTTGTAGAGTCCTTCTATGTCTTTCTCTTTTATCAGCTTGGAGTATAGTGCTCTATCGGCTTGGAATTTAGCCTCCGCAACGAATTTACCAAAATGGATTCTTCTGCTTAGACTCTGAAGACACTCAATGTCTCGGGACGCGATTGAACCAAGATTCTCCCAACTATCTCCATCGTATTTTGAGACTAATGGTACAATTTGCTTAATGTAAACGTCTTTAATCTTGTCGTTGTAATTGACTTGAGGGGAATAAGAGGCTAGTACCCTAGGATAGTTTATGCTTGGTAAAATGGGTGCCAAGATTTTATCTGGGAAGAAAGGTGTCTCATCAGGAGATTCAAACCGTCTGATTTGGGATTGGACCATTTCCAAGTGCATTAAAGCCCAATCGAGGAAACTGCCACTAAAATCGGGGATTTTTAATGCAGGATCATTTTCTCGGTAAACTGTAGGACAAGTAGGATAATGAGATCTCTCAATGAAATTGAAGATGATGGTGTCTTCCATTCTTACTAATTCATCTCTGATGTTTTTTAAATCGAGAACTGTATCGGGCTTGAGGAAATCCATCTATGTAGTTGCTGTCTGCTTTGTTCACTGGATCTTAAAACGAAGTTATCAACCAAATCTTGATAAGACTTCACAAACAGCTATCGTTCGAGTATCGCCTACATCGTTGGATACGAAGGAGCGCAGTTACCTCAGGGCTACTATACATATAAATGCTAACGGAAACGAAGGATGATTGCCATTAAAAGCATCATTTAAGTACCATATGGATCGAATTGCACGACCATTTACATCCTTTATATAACCCTACCATGCGTTCTTGAACATCACTGTTTTTATTCACCTTCTTCTTTGTTTCTTAGCGTTTGGACCATCTTTTCATTCTTCTTAGCTTCCCGATCTAAATCGTCCTTGTTCCTGTATAGACTGTAGGTTCTAAACCACAAAAATCTTCTTAGGCGGGACCATTTGTCAGTATCAAGGCCGTAGTTGATGTATGCCTGCACGAGGTCCCTTTCAGTTTCATCGTGCGTGAAGTGGTTCTTGGTTAGAGAGTCCTCAATTCTCGTGAGGAGTGCAGTGAACTCGATACATCCAAAGAGACCACATACCCATGCGATAATAACCCACGGGGAGAGTTTCTTGGTATCCTTATTCTTCAAATTATTAACTTCCTCCCAAGTTCCCGCGTTCCAGTACTCGTAGTTATAGTTTTGGTGGTATCCATGACTAGTTGCTGACGCATAAGCCGCACTACGGTCTAGCGTTGGGGAATGAGACCAGCCGGTTTTGAAGCGGTCGTACGTGCTCTTTTTCTTCATGTCGCCTAAAATCTCGTAAGCTTCACTTAGCATCCGAAACCGATCCATCTTTTCTGAGAGAGACATTATGTTTGAACTATCGATCTCGGCTTTGTGATGTTTCTTCGATGTGAGTATCGTGATATTATTGGTAATATCGGGGTGATAGAGTTTTGCTAGCGAGTAGTACTTCTTCTTCAGTAAACGTGGATCGACTTGCCCTGGAGGTAATCCAAATATATCATAAGGTGTTGGATTGCTGCTCTTTGGCCACGATTCATCATATATGGGATCGGTATTGAAAGAATGCGTAGCATAGCAACGCAGGAGTGCGCGCTCATTGGGGAGTTTTCTCAAATATTTGATCATATGCAGTGGCGGAATATATAAAACAAAGATAAACTGGAATATTAAAATGTTTGGATCAAGATTTTGAGGGCTGCGCTATTATATTCTGTTAAATGGGTTCTTGCTGTTTGAAGCGATCCGTGTATTGTCACTATCTGAAAAGGAAAAGAAAAAAAAAGACAAGCAATTCTCTGGATAACCGTTATTGAAGAATAAGAGATAGACACAATATGGCGCAGTGGGATAAATTGGGTATGGATATTGCCTATGAAGAGGCTTTGAAAGGCTATGAGGAGGGTGGCGTGCCAATTGGTGGGTGTTTGATTGACAATAAGGACGGAAAGGTTCTAGGTCGTGGCCACAACATGAGATTTCAGAAAGGCAGTGCTACGTTGCACGGTGAAATTTCTACTTTGGAGAACTGTGGACGTTTGAAAGGCTCTGTGTACAAAGACTGTACGTTGTACACCTCACTCTCTCCTTGTGATATGTGCACGGGAGCTATCTTGTTGTATGGCATCAAGCGTTGCGTTGTTGGCGAGAACATCAACTTCAAAGGCGAAGGTGAAGAATATTTACAAAAGAGAGGGTGCGAAGTCAAGGTTGTCAGCGACGAGCGTTGTCAGAAAATCATGAAAACGTTTATCGATGAGAGACCCGAGGACTGGTTCGAAGATATCGGAGAATGATTATAGTGTTGTAGAAGTACAAAATTTATAGAAACGAATGTCGGTTCTATTCAGATCCGGATTTTGGAGGCGCTCTTGGGATTGCGGGTGGTTGCGGTAACGCCAAACCCATATAGCACACGAGCAAACTGACCAAGCTCATGACAATCTTTAGTAAAGGCGATTGGTCGGCGGAGGCAGATTCGTTGACTTCACCTGTAAGATAGTAGTGTAGCATACTGATCACCGCAAACCATGCCAAAAACTTATTCTTCATGAACATTGCGGCCATTGGCATCGATTGTGATAGGATACCCTGGCTGACGCCAGCTGTGTAGGGAGAGGGCACTTTGACGTGATTGTAGCTAAATATGTGGCGTTAGTACATCGAGCGACGACGAATATCACTAATGGAATATTAAACATACGCGACAGAAAGATCAGGACGTTTAACGTTATTCATGGCTTGCGATCTAGGAATGAGAGGGAGACTCGTTGAACCTAGTTTTCGTTAAACTTCAGCTTCCAGTATTACACTTTTGATATTTTTCAACACGAAACTTGAAGGGGGAAACGAAGAAAAATGCGATAACGTGACTTTCACGTGTATTGGTCCCTAGCCTTCGTTCAAATCTCGAAGCAAATGCTATCCGAAATGCCAATTTATTAGATTTTCCTATCCCAAACTATTTACCTATATTTTACACTAAAGTTACCGGTCGTTAGGTGGCGCCGGGAGCTGGGGTATGTCCGTGGAGGTGCGGGGAGCACCGCGATGCGAGTTTCGTCTGTTGGAGGCGTCATCATGACAAATTAATTAAACTCAAACTGGCAGTCGCCGGAGCATTGGTCGTAGACTGGTACAAGCTCAAGTTGTTGAAATTTCTCCGCGTCCTTGTGGTAGTAAAAGCCGAGAATGTTGCCCGTCGCCTGGTCGTGGACGATGTAGTAGTAACCGTCGTAAGATGCGCCCTCGACGGAATCAATCTCTGCGTCGGGAACCAAAAACTTTTCCTTCCAACGCATGTAGATGAAGCGGTTCGACAAGTAGTCGCGGTGCGTGTAGGTGCCGTTGATGATACTGTGAAGCACATTGTTGCCGTCTGCGCCGTCGCCCGTGTGCATACACAACTCTTTGAAACATGGGAAGTTGAGCCAGTGCTCAAGATCAATTTGGTCGTGGCCCTTGAGGGCGCCCAACTCCGCGGGCATCGCGCTCGAGAGAAACCCCACGGTGTCCATGACGGCGAAACCTTCGAAAAAAGTGGTGATTTCAGGGTGCTGGTTGGTCAGGCCGCGAATCGTGAGAAACCCCGTGACATGTGGAGACGCGACCGTGCACTCGCCATGGGGCAGATCTGCGGTCTGCAGCGTCACCATCACCTGGTACTTCTTGTAGCCCGAGATCTGGTACCCAGTGTAACGCATGCGGGGACGCAGAAACGTAGTCATCCCGCTGCTCTGTACAGCACAACTTTCGCTGCGACACCCGTACCGGGATTCATCCTCCACTATGTATTTGCGAGACGTCCGTAGCCACTCGCTGGGAGGTGCAGCCCGAAGGTTGTCCATGGAATCGCTTGATGCGCATTTGTATAGTGTGTCTTCGTCCTTGCATGCCTGCACTAGCCGATTCGCGGCCACCAATGGGGGTGTAACGGGCCGCGACACCACCGGCGACACTACTTGCTCTTTCTTGAGTGACTTTACGCTTTCGTTGATCATTTTGATCTATTGTCCCGATGACTACTGACGCTGGGTGATTAACCAACACTTGAGTAACACTTGCGTCTTTATATGAAAAGCCCTCTGAGACATCGGTAGCACATCACCAGTTCGGCGTTGTGCTAGCGATTTTTTTCTCCGCGCGTTGCTTTTCGCATGCCTGGAGTCGTTTCTTTTGCAGCGAGAATCACCAAGGCGATACAAATCGCTCTGTACGGCACGGTTCCCTTCTCTTTTCTCCTTTGAAAAAAGAAATGATAAGTCACGTGCCAGTCACTTATCACGATTTAGAAACCCATGCACCAATGGGCGATCACTCACGTGAAACACACGTGACTGTTAAAGATGTATCACGTGATCGCGGCTACCTCCGATTCAAGGTTTCTCCCCCTTCCACGCCAGCTACGTGTCCGCTAGCCTTCTTATCGCATTGTTGAGCTCCATCCAAGCACCCTACACATGTATCTCGCGCCATTGAGTCCCGCAGAGCTTGCGTGTCGCAGGATGCTCTCCTCGGCGGCCGCTGGCGTTCGCAGAAGCAGACGCATTGCACTACGATTGTGCGAACAGCGTGCAACAAGCAAATTTACGCCCACACAAGCTATTTTATACCCGCTTCTTGTCGTATTCAAGTTCGCCCAAGAGATCCGTTCCGCCATTGTTGGAAAAGAAAAAAAGCCAAAGGAAAAAAATAGTTGACACCTCTCCGGTGGCGAAAATTTAAAGAGGCCGTTTAGATTTGGTTTTTCTCCATTTCTACAAAACCAACAGCCACGGATACCACAGCAAGGATACCACAACAAGTATGAATCCTCAAGTGTCTAACCTAGTCATCATGTTGGTGATGATGCAAGTCTCGCGTCGTTTGGATATGGAGTCTCCAGACGTGATCTTCTACGTCAGAGTCGCGTACTGTTCGTCCGTGTTCGCCGCATGGGCCATCTACCAGTACACCAGAGGATTGATCGTCAAGAAGAACGACTTGACCACATTGAAGTTCGTGGCTCCTCCAAACGCCATGGCTGGTGAGAGCGAGGGCAAGTTGCAGGTTACCACTGTCAGAGACTACGACTTGAAGGAGCTTGACGCTGCCGTCAAGTCGATCTACACCGGTCTTGCCATGATGGGCTTCATGCACTTGTACATGAAGTACACTAACCCATTGTTGATGCAGAGCATCTCGCCCATCAAGTCTGCGCTCGAGCACAACGAGATCAAGATCCACTTGTTCGGCAAGCCTGCCACCGGCGACCTCAAGAGGCCATTCAAGGCCCCATCCTTGTTCGGTGGCTTTGGTGCCCAGCCAGAGGCTAAAACTGACAAGAAGTCCATTGAGGAGGCTGAGAAGGCTGGTACTGGCGGTGTCAAGGCCGAGTAAGCGCGTCGACGCACCTGCACGTCCCCTCGTACATAGTGTTTTTATCTTTCTATAGAATCGCACACCTTGTATCATCAAATCGATTGTCGCTGCGTGTTGTTGCGCAGAAAGAACCGCTCACTCAGCTCCATGACTGATCTCAGTAATGTGTCTGTGCTCGTTCTTGGTGCAGGTGGTCTGGGCTGCGAGATTCTCAAGAACCTCGCGATGCAGGGCATCCCTAGCATTCACGTCGTTGATATGGATACCATTGAACTAACCAACCTGAATCGGCAGTTTCTGTTCTCAGAAGCAGACATTGGTAAGTCAAAGGCACATGTAGCAGCTGAATTCATCAACGGCAAGCGGATCCCAGCTGCTGATGGGACCGTCGTGCGTGTGACTCCGTATTTTCAAGATTTGACACTTTTCGACAAGCGCTTTATTGCCTCCTTCACGCTCATAGTATCGGGACTGGACTCCATAGAGGCACGGCGTTTTGTCAACACCCAATTGGTCCAGATTACCTTGGAGACCAAGTACGAAAAATGCATTCCCTTCATCGATGGCGGCAGCGAAGGCTGGAAGGGCCATTGCAAAACCATAATCCCGGGTTTCACTGCCTGTTACGAATGCTCGCTGGGCACGCTACCTTCGAAGGCCGAATCATATCCTCTCTGCACGATCGCCAACAGTCCGCGCTTGCCCGAGCATGTCATCGAGTATGTGCTGACTGTCCAATGGCCTCGCGAGTTCCCAGATCAAGAATTCGATGGCGACCAGGATCCACACCTCAATTGGATTATCGAGCGATCTATTCAACGCGCGCGGCTTTTTGGCATAGATGATACGGCCTTAACTCGCGAATTTGTGGTGGGCGTGGTCAAAAATATCATCCCCAGCGTCGCGTCCACCAATGCAGTGGTGGCTGCACAATGTTGCAACGAAGTTACAAAGCTTCTTTACAACATTTACGACCCAGAGAGCTCCCCGAATTTTGTAGTTTACAATGGTGACGACGGCTGTTTCTCTTACAGTTTCACGCACGAAAGGCTGCCGGACTGCCTGATTTGCGGCGTTCTACAATAAGCAGCTGTACAGCATCTGCCTTTCGCTTAGGGCACAAACATATCGACTAGCGACACTGTAAAATACCTTCTCGAATCCCATACTACTCATCCGTTGAGTCAACTTACGTTTAGAATGATTATTTTTTTCATTATGGGGTATCTCAAAAGATCCTAGTCTCGATGTCTCCGACTTAGTAATCGTACAAGAGAGTATCGTGTCAATGATCTCAAAGGTCTATGGTAAACTGTACAAAACGCTACCAAGATCCTCTGGGTATTGGGCGCACGCTTACTCACATCGTTCCAATTACAGTACCTCTCAAGTCTCAGACGCTCCTATCAAACCAGTGAAAATAATTAATGCACAACCCAATCTCAATTTGGCAATCACTCAGCGTGCAGCTAGCAGGCTGGGTGAGATATTCCGCAGCTCGAATGAGGTTTTGCGTATTGGAGTTGAAAGCGGTGGATGCCATGGATTTCAATATAACCTGAAACTAATAAGAAAGGACGATGCGAGCCATACTCCAGAGAATCACGCAAAAACTCGCTCTGAAGAAGACGAATTTGAAGATGATGATGAATTTAATGACAATAAAGATATCATATTTGTTTTGCCAGATAAGGGCGGTGAGGTGGTAGTGGACGAAAAGTCTCTGAAGATCCTCAACAACACCACTTTGACATACACAACAGAACTAATAGGTTCGACGTTCAAAATAACTGGAGGAAACATGAAGAGCAGTTGCGGCTGTGGTAGCAGCTTCGATGTGGAGGTATGAAATCGCGTGTATTTATCTTAACTATATATTAACGGAGTCAAAAAGAATGCATACAATCTTTTCAAGATCAAAATGCTGGTGTAGTATTACTGAATCGGTCAAGATTGTCACAACATTGGATAATTTGATCTCTGAAAGCGGTATCTTATCACAATGCATACCTGTTTTGGAATGTATGTAAGGGATAATGCCGCCAGACAACGGATGATCAGTATTTGTATTGCACAACGAAGAAGCATCTCCCCGGCCAACGTCAATCTCGATCTTTTTCAAGTTTTTAGCTTCAGTCACAACATTGTATACCAATTTAACTCCTACCACGGTCTCTTTCAGGACGCTATCGGCGATCCTTATCTTTTCTGGATTGCCAAGAACTATGTCTTGCATAATTATCCGATAGTTGCCAGAGATCCAATTCCGAAAAACGCTAGTTAACGTCGGAAGCGTTTCTGAATAAGTCATATCTGCGGATTCATGGCAACAGAAAATAGTCTGGAAATCCTCGTTAATCTTCGAGGAATCCCATACTATCGCTATTTTGGCATCATGCCCGTAGCTGCGTTGGATATACAGATGATCAACACCGAGGGAGCCCAGGTCGTGGTGCTCACGCTGGTACTCCCAACCCTCACTAGTAACTCGTTGAATAATCTCGTCTATGGAGTCATCGCTTAACTTTTCATTGATGGCATAGAATTCCCATTTTCCTCTTCCTAGTTTCATAAATGATATACAAAGTCTTGAAAGAATGGCGCGCGCGATTTCAGCCATTTCACAATCTCCTATTGTTCAACCCTCAAAAGTATTATCTGAGATATAGGCCAAATGAGTAACTTTTGGGACAATAACAAGGGCTCGATTATGAATGGCATAACGACTGCCGGTAAATATGGATTTCAAGGAACTAAATTTGTAGCAAAAGCCGGCTATAAAGCTGGAAAGCAGCATTACAATTCCAGTAAGAATCGTCGCGAGGGTAAAACTAGTTCAAATGATTCAGATAATGAGGATATATATTCAAACAAGTCACCATCGCCTGTGACACACCTGGTCGATCCTTCAAATTTTGCTCCTCCTCCCCTAAGAGCTGGTCAGAAGCAGTATCGTTCGGATGGCTCTCTGGCAGAGGGTCTACCCAGCTCCAATGTTAGCTCTGGTGTCAGTTCATCCATATCTCAACCAGCACCTGGATCTCAAGGTCCTCCCTCTTACCCACAACAAGCCCCTGTCGTTAACATGCCACAAACGGCGGATCAACAATGGGCTCAGAGACCTCAGCCTGCATCTGCTACCCAAGTGGGTTCTCGTCCTCTACCTTTTCAGCCCACAACAGCTGCACCGGCTCCAATTGCACGTCCAATTTTGCCCAGCAGAACTAACACTGCACAGTCATATACTCTGGGCGCCGCACCGACGGCTGCTATACCAACTCCATCACAAGGTCAATACGCTATAAGGTCAGAAACACAAACAGCTGCTAGCCCAGCCTATATAAGCTCGCCCCAACCAACTCAGCAGAGTTATTACGCACCAACAGCAGTGCCTACTGCACCACCTGTGATTGAAAATCAACCAGTTCAAATGAGCGTCACACAGGATCCTCCTGCGCGACCAATAACTGAGGAAATTATAACAACGCAAAATCAATCTTCTTTGCCTAATCCGCAATTGATGTCTGCAAACTTTCAGCAAGTGTCTCCGGTTTACGAGCGCCCTGCAGCTGTCTTACCCCCTTCCACTCCGCAGGACAATACAATGGCATCTAACTCTATATATGCAGAACCTCCACACCACCGGGGTCCGCCACCTGCTGAAAGGGAATTGCCAATGGCACAAGGAAGGCTGATAATTACTCCTCGTGAAAAGATTCAACTAACAGATCTTACGCAAGTGGCACCAGAACCTCTTTCTCAGTCAGAAATGATTACCCAAGAGATTGAGGGTGTTTACGGTCCACAAATTTCTAACTCTGGTGTAATGAATCAAGCTGAGCCCACAATTCCTGATTCAAATATCCCTTCCCAACCTCACATGCAATATGGTTTTAAAAATGTCGCACCGTCTCAGACTTATTCGCGTCCTGCAGCTATGCTTCCACATGAAATCTCCAATGTCACCCAAACCATTGTAACTCCAGTAGCATCTCCAAGCCCACAATCCTCGATTAGTATCCAGCCGCATGATTTTAATGCTCCGAAACCCAAGATTGAGATTCCAGAAGTCGATGTTAGTGCCTTGCCACCCCCTCCTGTTCACTCGAGAAGGTCAGAGAGCCCAATATTAACAATGCCTTCTTCTAAACCTCCAAGTAGGTCTACAACCTTCAATTGTGAAGTCGATCCACCACCATACGGTCAGCCGGCAGACATGTCTCATTCGGAAACGGCAGGATTGACAGGAAACGAAATAGCCCTGAACAATGACTCAGGAACCGGTGCGGTTGGTGTTGCGGGGAGGTATGCCAATAATGGTGATGTAGCGTTTCCTCCGCCTCCGAAACCTAGCAGACTGCATTCTGGAACACCATCGACTTCAGGTTTAAGCAGTTCAAGCAGTTCAAGCACCGGAGTTAATGCATTAACTCCAAGACCCGTTCCTAGTCCTGCTCAAAGGAAGGGCTCCTCTAGAACTTCGGTTTTCGCACCCAACCTGTCGAATTCGCGTCAGGCAAGTCACAAGAACTCACAAGAGGATAAACCGCGTGCGGCAGTACTGGGGATTTATGATTATAATGTGAAAGTCAATTTCGAGCCGCCTCCAAAGCCATTCAGAAGAGGTGAAGAGGTCAGTCATAAAATGGGCGCAACTCAAAGTCAAAAGATCTCTTCTCCCATGACTTCAGAGGACTCTCGAGGGATGCCGCCTACAATTTTCCCACCATCTCAGGCGCCAGAATTTACTCCAGGGATGCCATCAGCAGGTATCTCACAAACAGCGATTCTACCAACTCATGCTCCAGAATCCACACCAAGATTGCCACCTACAGCATTCCCGCCTCCTCGTGCTCCAATATCACATCATTCGAATATTTCTGCTACCACTGAGGTCACGTCGGATGGCTCTGACTCGTCAAATTACGTAGATGCAGAAAGTGACAATGCTTTGGAGGGTGAGCCAGATATTCGTTCGAGCAATATATCGAAAAAGGTGCCACCCGTTGTGAAGAAAAAGCCAAAGACCTTAGAAGCATTGCATATAAATGATTCTTCATCAGAGAAGCACTCAACAGCCGATTTTAGCAATGAATTGGCAAATATGTTAAGTAAACGGAAAGCTGCCCCACCGGTGCCCATCAAGAAGGAATCATTGAAAAAGCCTCCTGCCGTCCCCACCAAAAAACCTTCTTTAATGGCTTCTTCTTCAACTAGCCATTTAGGAGGTACACCGAAGTTCCCCAAATCAAATAAAATAAAAACAGCTGCGCCTGTTGTGGCATCTAAGCCTAAATTCACGATGGAGAACTTGGAACACAAAATGGCCTCTGTAAAGATGGAGGAATCTGGTCTCGACGAAAACGATCTTGACGACAATCCTTTTCGCAAATATTTGAAGGCGGCAGTCCCACCTGAGAACGATCGTCTACACAAATAGTTTCAAAAACTAAAACACTTAGCTCTTAGCTCAAGCACACCATATATTAAAGCGCTCAATAGGTGGCAGAAAGTAAACCGTATATATCAAAAGGAAACTATTTAACACAAATAAACATTCACTTCTATTTTCAACTGGCGTGCAAGTTATGAGAGAGGGCTTCTAAAGATCATTTCCTATTTGTGCGATGGCGTCCATTGTCGATAGCTTATTTAGATAAAAGAGCAGCAAATTGTTTAATATTGATTTCACCACTTCCATCGCTCACTTCTCTCAACATCTCATCTACCTCAGCATCAGTCAACTTCTCACCAATGGAGGTCAACACATGTTTCAGTTCGGCTGCAGAGATCAGCCCGTCACCATTTTTGTCAAATACTTTAAATGCCTCAAGCAACTCTTGCTCTGAGTCATTGGACTTCAGTTGGCGAGACATCAAGGCTAGAAACTCGCTAAACTCAATTCTGTGGTTACCGTTCACATCGATTTCATTCATTAAGTCAGCGACTTCTGCTTCACTAGGGGATAGGCCCAAAGATCTCATTACGGTGGCCAGTTCCGAAGAAGAGATTGACCCATTGTTGTCTTTATCGAACAAAGCAAAAGCTTCCTTAAACTCAGCAATCTGTTCTTCAGTGAGGTTGGCAGACATTTTTATTACTTCTTTATCCTTTTAGCTCGAATGTTATTTTGGGTATTCACTATTCATGAAGATTCTTGTGTCATTTTCTTTCTTTAGAAAATCGTTCAACGCGACTAAAACGGCAATGTAAATGGGACGATTGAATATTTTGAAGGTGCACTAAACTCAAGTAGTAAAAGACCCTATGTTTGAATGGGTACCAGGTTGGTTATGGTGGTTTTTGGGATTATATGCATCCATTCCATTGGTTTGTTATATAGTTGTCCCTTACATCTTTTACGCTGATAAATCCACGAAGAAGAGAATTATCATTTATGTTCTAGGTGATCTCGGACATTCCCCACGTATGTGCTATCATGCTCGTAGCTTCAGCAAACTTGGCTGGCAAGTGGAACTATGTGGCTACATTGAGGAAAAGCCACCGGTAGACATTATAGAAGATCCAAATATAACGATACATGAGCTCCCTCAATGGCACTGCGATAAAAAGCAGGCTTTTCTGGTGGAGGCAATTCGCAAGGTTTTGTTCCAGATAGGTGGAATTGTCAAGAGTCTTTGGATTTTAAGAGGTAGTGATTATATTTTGCTACAAAACCCTCCTAGTATTCCTATTTTACCGCTTGCAGTCATTTTCAAGATTCTAACTCGTAGCAAGCTCATTATTGATTGGCATAATTTTGGATACTCAATTCTGCAATTGAAAGTAGGATCTTTCTGGCATCCATTGGTGTTGATTTCTTTCTTAATTGAGTATTTCTTCGCTAAGTTTGCTAATATAAATCTTACGGTTACAAAAGCTATGAAGGACTATCTAACTAATACCTTCGGTATCTCAGCAAAAAAAATAGTGGTGCTCCACGACAGACCAGCAACACAATTCAAACCCTTGGTGAAAGGGAGAATAGAAGCTCTACAGCAAGATTTTATTAAAAGTCTCATCCCAAGCGATTTTGACGTTTCCAAAGGCGATAAGATTCTCGTCACTTCAACATCTTTCACACCTGATGAAGACTTGTCCCTTCTGATTGGTGCTCTAAAAATTTACGAGAATTCATATAAAAAGTTTGATAACGGTCTGCCTCGAATTCTTTGCTTCATAACGGGCAAAGGACCTTTGAAACAGACGTACGTTGATAAGGTGAACGAAGAAGAATGGGATCGTGTTAAGATTGAATTTGTTTGGCTCTCCGCAGATGATTATCCAAAGTTACTGCAACTTTGTGATTACGGTGTTTCATTGCACATGTCAAGCTCAGGATTGGACTTACCAATGAAAATCTTGGATATGTTTGGATCGGGACTTCCAGTCATCGCGTTTAATTATCCGGTACTCGACGAATTAGTTCAGCATAACGTGAATGGATTAAAGTTTTTGGATAGAAGAGAATTGCATGAGGCGTTAATTTTTATAGCAAAAGATAAAAACGTTGGCGATACGTTGAAGCAGGGTGCAATGCTGGAATCTGAAAATAGATGGGAACAGTCTTGGGAACAAGCAATGCAAGAAGCAAAGCTATTACATTAAACATTTGACGATATTAGAGAATTAGATATTGTATAATTCGCACAATTGATCTATATAATCTGGAGTGTTGTTGTTCTTCAGCGATTTTTTACTAGTACCTTCGAGATCGTAGAACCAAAATTTATAGAATTCGTCTTTGTAGAGATCAATGAACTCGTGGTCAGGCATTACATCATCAACTCCAAGAAAGGGATTGGCTGGTGCGTAATGATTTGAGAATTTTTCGACTACTGACCACGTTAAATAGGTGTAGAACCTACTCATCACACGTTCATTATATCCGCCGCCTCCAAGAAGAACGATATGCGCATGTGAAAACTGATCAACTATTCTCATTATCGATTTTGTTAGGCCTTTGATACTCAGTTGCCACTCTTTATATTTGTCACCTATCAGCCCGTCGCCCCCACATTGGATCACAACAAGTTCTGGTTCATTCCGACTAGCGCAGGGTACCACTACCCTTTCTGTTAACTCTGAAAGATATTTATCATCAAGTCCATGACGAAGAGGGATATTAAAAACATTCTTTCCCGACTTGGCGTCATCTGTCGAGCCTGTGCCGGGGAAAAACCCTTGTTCATAGAGGTGCAATGATATTGTCTGGACATTTGTGGAATATCTAAAAGCACGTTCAACACCATCTCCATGGTGCAAATCGAAATCAATATAGGTTATCCTTTGTAGGCCTTGGCGCCTAGCTCTCTGTATCAACAAAACGATGTCGTTTACATAGCAGAATCCATTTGCCTTGGATTTCAGAGCATGGTGTCTTCCGCCATCCCAGTTGATTGATATAGAACGTTGATCCGATCTTTTCAGATTTTTGGCGAGCGCTAGAGTGGCCCCAGTTGTCACTTGACAGTACAATGGCAAGTATGAGAAAACATGACAATCATATAAAAGGCCATGCTCCTCTAGTGCTTTTTCATAAGCATCACCATCAAAAGATACATCATCTAAAGAGTTTTCTCCTTCCTCTTCGCTATCTGCCAACAATTGGCCCCATCTTGCAAATTTGCTTGTTTTTTGCTCAGTTGTTGATTTTGAACTATTAGGGAATTCCTCATATAGTTCCCTTTTACTAGTGTGCCAAAGCGTAAGAGGATTCTCCTCATTATCTTTTAACCAATGATTGGCACTCTCTGCAAAATGATTCCATAAATCTTTTTTGCTTTCCCAATCCAGTGAAGCGTTCAATTTGGGATCTAAGAGTAGATTCACATAATCCTTAGAATGAAACTGCTTCAATTCAGCGCCTGTGCAGCTTGATGTTTCAATAACCTCATCGAAAAGTTCCAACAAGCCGTAAGATCTCAGCAGAGCAAACGTCAATGAAGACTTGCAACTGTTGTTACACGGCAGCAAATCAGCAACTTGTGACTGATATATCGACGTGGCAATTTTGAGATGTACCATACGGTCTCGACTTAAAGAAACTTTTTTTTGAGAGTCAAATAGATTACTACAACACCTGGATTATAACGTAACGTAACACAGACGCGTCACATCTTCTACATAATCTAGATACTAGTGTCACAGTTCTAACTCCTTTGCAGCCCAGGTAGGTAGCACAAAAGAAGCTTCATGGATTCTCTTGTTGTAGTACCTGTACAATTTGGCTTCCTCATCATCAGACAAGGTGCGCAATGGTTTTTTAACATCAACGCTTTTGTCCTTTGAGCACACCATGAAACCAATTTGGCCTGAAGGGTAAGTAGGGATAGTGGTGTAAGAGTACTCAACCACTGGGAAAACCTCAGAGCAAGCCTTCTTCAAGTCTTTGATGATTGGTAGGTGCAACCAAATACTTTCAGCCTGGGTGGTGATAACACCGTTGGAAGTCAAAGCGCTGTTCAAAAGTTCAAAGTAAGGCTTTTGGAATAGAGTCTCAGCAGGACCTTCGGGATCAGACGAGTCGGTAATGATCACGTCAAAGGTGTTCTGGTAGTCTCTCAAGAATTGGAAACCGTCACCGATGTGAGTGCGAACTTTGGGGTGCGAGTAGGATTTGGACATATCTGGTAAGTACTGCTTGGAGAGTCTAATGACGGCCTCATCAATGTCACACAGCCATGCCTCCTCCACGCCTTCGTGCTTAACCACTTCCCTCAAGACACCGCCGTCACCACCACCAATGACAAGAACCTTTTTAGGGTTGGGGTGAGAGTTCATTGCTAAGTGCGTAATCATTTCCTGATAGGAAAATTCATCACGCTCAGTAGCCTGAATAACATTGTCCAAAACAAGAACATTACCGTAATCGGTTGATTTAAAAATCAAGACGTCCTGATATTTCGACTTTTCGTGGTGCAAAATCTTGTCGACCTTCAAAGTCATGGCTTCGCCAGGCCACATGGTATCAGAGATTTCTCTGAACCAGCCATCCTTGATCGTAGGGTGAGTCAATTCCTGAGACATTGTTCCTCTTGATGCAAAAAACGGGTACGTTAAGGGTAAGCACGTTGACAATGGTCTGAAAAATTTTTTTTTTTAAATCCTCAACTGCAAGCCAATTTTGAAAATCGCATTTGAACAATATATCACATGCGAGCCGCAATCGCGCGTCTATACGTCGCTGTGTTGCAAAAGTCGGCCGATTGCGCTGGGTGTGGAAATTTGGGCGTTTAAACAGCAAGTAGATAAGTGTGGGAATTAAAAGCCGATGAGCTTGAGGGCGGTATTCAAAACCCTGGCATCACACGGAAGATGCATAATCATAAACGTAAAGAGTAATTCCATGCGATTGCCGGATTGGTTTGAAAGCATTGATGATTATTCAGGAACGATATTCGTTACGATCTCACTATATCTTGTACATGCCTTGATGGAACGACCGATTTCGTCATGCGCGACTTGGCTGCTACACTCATGATTGTAATAATTTCAAACTACAGGAAATGATGAAAGTAGGACTTCCATCAGAATTGAGCATCGGAAAGCAACCGAGAATGAGCGATTCATACGTAGAGACGCTTGGTCAGATGATTGATCTGTTCCAAAATTATAAACCTGGGCTGATAACTTTGGACAATGTGACAAGGTTGTGCCAGACTCTCGGGCTCGAATCTTTCATAGACATCCTTGACAATGACATTTCCAGACTGTCCACTGCGTCCAAAATCATAGTGATAGACATTGATTACCAAAAGTCGAAGAGGAAAGTGAAAGATGTCAAGCTGGTATTGGCAAGCAATTTTGATAACTTCAATTACTATAACGATGGGGACAAGAGCAACATTCTGTTCAATTCGCTTGATGTTTTCCCTGATCTACATGCATTTTACCATAACCTGAAGTTTTTGACCTTACTAGACAACTATTCCCAAATAGAGGCCGATTCGGATGGCTCCAATAAAAATGGCAAATTTGATCTTTTCAAGTATTTTACAGAATTGTTCTCATTTCTGTCGACCTATCTCCAAGATCGGCCTTTGAAGTTTAATGTGAAGGCTAATGTGGATAATCAGTTTGGAATCTTTATTTACCATGAGCAAGTATGTGTTGCGAAAGTGGTGTTGGAACAATCCACGGACCCGGAGCATCGGCTCTACGAGTACGCTTTTCAAAACGACGAATGGATAAATGAAAATTTGCAAAATTTCACTTCAGGTGTTGCATTAACGTTGGAAATAGTGCCTGAAGTGTACTTCCCTCAAGAGCTCGTTGCTTCTGAACTACTTATCGAACTGGACGCCGATAGACCTTTTGCCATTCAAAATCACCACCAACGCATTCAGCTCTTCAACGATTTTACTTCGGAGCTCATTCCAGCTAGAAAATTCAACATCAGCAATGACAACCTTGATCTTTTGTATGAGATCTTGAAATGGGTAAACTGGTGGCATCAAGTGTTTTTCCCTGTTCTCAGCACACTCAAATGTCCGCAAACACATCCCTCAGTTGAGTCAAAAAGAAGATCGTCGTCTACTTCTACTTCCAATAGTACGCTGCGGCGTGCTAGCTTTGCAAGAAGACGCAGATCATCGGCAAAGGGTAGAAGACCCAGCATAAATGAATCCAAGATTTTGAAAGACGAAGGCATGCAGCAATTCACATTGAATGAAATAATGAACCAACCTGTTCTCGATGAAAACGATGAAGATCTTCAAAAGGTGTACGATCTGGTCATAAATGAGGATTATCTATATTTGCAAGAAGTTGGAAGTTGTGGCTTTCATGGTGACCCTGCGCAGTGGGGAGTTTTTAAATCGGAATTTTCTTCTAGATTTATGTAATCTAATGCATTTATGAAACTCTTGAAGGACTCATTTTTGTCGAGCAGGATTCTATTCATTATACAACCATATTATCTGTGATAATACTTGAGCTTTCGTAGCGTTTTAAAGTGTGGCAAGCGATTTTGAATTGATACCACTATCAAAAATGTATGCTTAATCTTATCTACAGTAAAAATTGAATTCTTCCCTATATTTAGGATACGTACTGTGAGGATCTTCATATCGATATCTGCGCTTTTGGCCCATGGAAGGATGTTTGACCCTTGTGACAGATACAGATCACGATTTTTACCTAAGATACATTTCAAGTTCCCCGTCCCTCTGTGTATCCACCGAAAAAGCGTATTGTAATCCACTACTTTTAAATGCTTTGTTGCATACTCCTGAGCACTATCATTTGAGGTCCGCGAAAGAAGTGTTTTCTTCGAACACTTGCCAATTAAATCAACTCACCCTCATTGGTAGCGACATCTCCAACGCGAAGATCCGTGTTTTTTATTTATTATTCTCCTCCCGCCAAAGGAGTCAGTGCTGCGCCAGTAGATTTCTTACGATAGCACTTGTTTTTTGAGAACCTCGATTCGATTACCACATAATTTGTCGCAAGAGTGTCCAGAGAAGTAAAGTTCGCTTGTGAATCGCACCTTCTATTTCCTCAGACGATTTGGTTTTATGTGGTACCGTTAACAACAGGCGTACCAATTGACGGCTCAAGTGTTCGAGATCAATAATGTGATCTTCATTTATGCGACGCGCCAGCACATTAGAAAATGGCATTTGCTCAATTATAAAATTCACCACGAATAAGCGGCATACTAAACACTGGACATCACATTATTCAATAGAGGCAAAACGACAAGCCCCATATTCCACAACATCGATAAAAACAGATATGTTCGCCGTTTTCTTTTCAATATTGTATAATGCATCCTGTGATTGAACCTGTCAAGGAGATCAATTACTCCCCAGCAAAGAGAGCCGGCTCATCCAATATCCATGAATTTAACTCCATCCAATAACTCTAGATGATATATAATATACTCCGCCCGCGTAACTGTAATGCGCAGAATGTCATGAAATAAGAAGATCTTGAGGTACCTCGGAAATACCAAACTGAACCCCAAACATAAGTGAGGATCGATACAAGTTCCCAATCTATAGCTATAAATATTACGAAGTCCTGAGGATACGATGAGACTAAATAGGAGAGGAACAAGGCTAAGTAGAACTCATTTCATTAGTTTCAAGAACGTCATAACTAATTACGACACACAAGCCAGAGTATTCTTTCGCGCATATGCTGCATTTTTTCCGTGTAATATATAACGTGTCACCGCTCCTAGTGGAGTGGCGAGCATCGTTGCAATTCATGGGTTCAATACTCTTGAGAAGCGTACAAATGTGTAGATCACTTTGTACGGCCGACATTATGGCCGAGGGGTTAAGGCGACAGACTTGAAATCTGTTGGGCTCTGCCCGCGCAGGTTCGATTCCTGCTGATGTCGTTATTTTTTGCGGAATTGATGAGCTGAGTTTCACTGACTTGCCTTTCGATCAATTACGTCTTTTTTGTAGGCATAGAATTAGACATACCGTTAAACTACAAATTATATTGTTGCGCTAGTCTGATACCTTGGGCGACGTTTTGCACACGAGCGTCCAACTTGTAGCCTTGTTTATCAAGTCTGATCATTTCATCAGCGAATGTTTTGAGCGGAACTTTAATGCATTCGATGAATTCGTTGTCTTCAAGTTGTGTTTGAAGGTTTTGGTTCTCTGGTAACGTTGTGTCGATTTCGACAGTGACTAACGACAGGTTGGTGTTTGTGAAGCCAGGGTCGTTGAAAATAGTAGGGGACTTGCCCACAACCTTGCCCACGTAGCCGGTCTCTTCTTTTAACTCTCTGAGCGCGGCGACCTCTACTGATTCGTTGCCGTCAATCAACCCAGCTGGCATTTCGATGCACACCCCTTCGACAGGAGGACGGTATTGCTTCTGCAGCAAGATTTCATCCTGTTTTCCGGGTGTCTTGAGGATGGCGAGGATTCCAACACCGTCAATGCCCCCTGATGATCTTGTCTTTCTGACGGCACTGTCCCATTCCCTTTTTTGACCGTTAGGGTCAAGGTACTCGATCTTGGTGAGGCCGATCCATTTGCACTCGTCTGCGTTCGAGACAAGACGAGAATTTAAAAACTTGGCATCTTCTGGTTTTCCCTTGCTACTCATTGCTCTTGTAAGAATGCGACTTGGCCACTTGTTGATTGCAATAAAGTTCTTCCTTGCTACTGTGAGCATTTAGTTTTTAACAAACTACCTTTTTTACATCTCGTGCCGAGAAAAAAAAGTGGATCATAAGCGAAGAGAGATTGAGTGAAGCTACCTGACGATTCTCACAAGAGTACGGAAGCTGGGAAGCTGGGAAGATGACGTCTAGTGACAGTCGTAGTTTGGAGCTTAAAGCTCAAATACAACAATATCTGGTTCAATCCGGTAACTACGAAATGTATGGGAGAAAGTGGTAACTTGAGTCGCATACCGAAGCATACTAACGGAAAAAAAACTGTAGAATCTCCAGCAAACTCACCCAAATGCTGCTTGAAGATGGTTGGATGGATGAAGTTAAAAGATTGACCAATGAGGAGATCAAATCGAATGATTCAACGAATTTCACGCAAATTCTCGCTAAAGTGGAACCTCAAGCGCTTGGTATGTGTTGGATATTCTGAGGGACTACGCTGAATAAAAGTACTAACCAATAACAGAAATGGTCTCTGACTCTACACGAAACAATGTGATAAATCAAATTAGACAATTTCTGGGTGAGATTGTCGACACTGAATAATTAATCGGACAATAAGAGGAATAGTGGCACTTCACCTGTATACTACATAATTTGCAGTTTTACTATCACATCTAGCTTTAAAGATTCGACTCGCATGTAACTCTTTGTTTCGTTGTCTACCATTACAAAAATATACTCTACCTATCAACGCAATGCTGTCAAAGCCAATCCCGTTGCTTATTCGTCATAATTTTCGTCCTCTTCCACTTCTCGAACTACGCGTTCGTTAACGGCAGGCTTGGAACTGCCATTTTCACCTGAAGCCGGTTCAGCATCTAAATCTTCTTGCTCCTCCTCCTTACGTAGCTTGGCTTCCTCCTGAAGAGTTTCGATTGCGTCTGCGCTGGGTTTAATTACCGTTTGAGATGTGGCCGATTCCGTTTGACCACTTTTCTTATTCTCATCTTTTGTTTCCGGAGCATTTTCAGGCTCTGGTTCTGAAGCATTAACAGAGGTAGTCTCATGTGCTGTTTCTTGCACTGGATTATCGACGGTGTTAGATTTTACATTGGAAGATCCATTCTCAGTTTCACCAGCACCCTCGCTAGTTACAGTGCTAGCAACTGCAGGAGCACTTTGTACAGCGGTTGCTTCTGGTGCTGCCGCGGGTGCTGGATCCGAAGTTGTTGCAGTGGACGCCACTGGAGCCTCCGAGTTTGTAGATGAGCTTGTCGCAGCAGGTGCCTGTTCTACTGGAGGAGCCTCAGAGGGTTCCTGACTGGCCGGAGAACGGGTAACTGATTTGGATTCCGGTGGGACAACAGTATTTAGTGCCGTCTCCCCTGTTGTTGAAGGGCTGTTACGTTTCTGCTTTTTTTGTTGAGCCGCTTCAGAAGCTGCAGTCTCCGTACCTGGTTCGGTCACCTGAATGATATGATTTTGAGATGGCGCATTCGCAGCGCTAGATACTGCTGCGTTTACTAATGTATCCATTCCTCCTTCCATGGTTCTTTTTTGAGGTAATGTGGAGTCACTTAGACCTTTCTGCTGCTGATTCAAAATTTGAGGGAGCTGATTACTTGAGGCTCCACCAGCGTTACCCATTGCAGGTTGAGGTGAGTTCATAACCGCTGCGATACCACCCTGAGGTTGAGAGGGAAGCTGCATCGGACCCTGCGGATGCACCACCGTGGCTGGTAGCGGTTGTAATTGCTGTTGCTGTGAGGGCAGCTGTGGGTGAACTTGATGCGTATGGGATTGGTGTTGAAATTGCTGGTGCATTGCCTGGGGTTGTGGAAGTGGATGCGATTGTGATTGTTGTTGCGATTGCATCTGTGCCTGGAGTTGTGGTTGTAATTGAGGCTGTACTGGTGCTTGAACCTGGGGTTGGACATATAATGAAGTTTTATTGAGAGGATTACCGCCATCGCTAGATTGTAAAGCAGGCTGCAACATTATTGGTGGCGGATTACCAACGGCTGCCACTTTACTTTGCGCGGGTAGTGCACTTCCGTTCGATTGATTCGCCAGTTGCGCCGTTAGTGCATCTAGTCTCTCCCTAATGTGGATGTTGTTGGGGTCCAGCCTTGCCGCCTGTTTGTAGGCATCCAGGGCGTCAGTGACCTGATTGTTACAAGTCTCATACAAAGTACCGAGGTCATACCACACTTCGCTAATGTATGGATTCAACCTGATAGCCCTTGTATAAGCGTCAAGGGCATCTCTATACTGAGAAATTTGATAATACAATACACCGATAGAACACCAGAAGGTAGGGTTTCTGGAGTCTCGGTTAACAGCATGTTGGAATGCGTCGTAAGCTGCTGTGTAATCGTTTCTGACCATATGTATACGGCCAAGATGGTACCAAGTAGTAGCATCTGTGGAGTCGACTTCAAGCGATTTGAGAAGAAGATTGAGTGCAGTTTGGGTGTCGTAGAATTGTACATTTTGCATCCCATATAAACAACCCAACTGTTGTAGCACCTTTGCGTGGCGCTCGTTTTGCATCAAAACGTGCTCGTATGCTTCGCGCGCCCCTTGCCATTCACCCATACTTTCCAGCACACTACCAAGTTGAAACCACACGTCCCATTCTTGTAGTGGCGCAGGAGGCTGTGTCAAGATGTAGCGGAAACACTCCAAAGCCTGGTTCCACTTCCCTTGGTGCTTGTAGATGATACCAAGACGAAAGTATATTTCGTTGGCTTTTTCGAACTGCGGGTCGAGTTCCAAGACCTTGGCAAACGCCTCTTCTGCATAATCGAGAGAACCGTACCGATCATACAGAATCCCAATACCGTGCCAGAGTTTCGGCACGTTGGGATTGCTTAAGTGATACAACGCTTGTTGGTATGCAGCGTACGCACGCTGCAGGTCGTCAAGCATCAAATAGCAGTGACCAAGCGTGGCCCAGATGTCGCCTAGCTCCGGGTTGACCGATAGCGCACGTTGATATAGTTCTGCAGCGCGCTGAAACATGTCACGTGATCTATACAGATGTGCTAGCGACGTCAGAGCCTTGGTCGAAGACGGATTGTATTGCAGCGTGGCGTCGTACGCCATTGCCGCACGATCCGCGTCGCCTAACGTCTCGGCCAGCGAAGCGATCGATAGCCACGTTTCGGCTGTCGACTGCGTTAGTGGATCGATCGGCTGCTGTGGTTGCGCCTGTACCTGTACGATAGGCTGCTGCGGCGGTGGTACAACCGCCGCAGCCCCGCCTGCTTGCGCTAGCTGCACTGGTGATGTTTGTTGCACACGAGGCGACTGCTGGGTCGAATGCGTTCCCATGTGTCCCGTCATTGTCTCTTGCGAAGGTAGTCTATTCATATCTTGCTGAGCTACCGCGTGAGGTTCTGTTCCTTTTGTCCCACGACTTTTGCCAGTTGTCCTCTTTGTTGTTGTCACTACCTCAACGTCCTTGCAGAAAAAAATTTAGATAGCTGAAACTCGATTTCCCAAACAAATAAACAATAAATTATCCTATTTGGTCTTGTAAACGTTTGTGAACCGACTGATATCGTCTTATTCTTTTGATCCAATGGCCTCGAAACTATCCGCTTTAAGGGCGTGTATACACAATAGAGGGAGAGAAATAAAATTTTTTTCTTGAAGGAAATCAAAGGAAAAGCCGGTGCATGGTCACACGATACGTGGGTTACGTAACGGCGCCGCATCTATACGGTTCAGTTCACTAAACGTCGATGAAGCCGATGGCAGAGTATCGGGGCGGATTGCATACGGTGATTAGTTGATGGGTAAACCGGGAGCATCAGAAGTGGCGAATTGGCTATGGTCCCTTGCAGCGGAAGCGTCATCCAGAGACGAATGGTGCCGATTCGAGCGCATTGAATGCAAATGCGCAGGTACGAGGCGCACTTCGAGGCAGTATGCGGGTCCAAAAAGTCGCCACGGCACAGTGCATTCAGTCAAATGTCGTGTTGTCGCAACGCAGTTGAAATCATTGCAGAGCTATCGGTTGCACGAATGCAGAAATTAAACCGAGCCAAAGGCCACTGGTGTAGAAGCAACGTCCAGCACCAGCAAGGTTGTGGAGTGGGAGTTCGTAGCAGGCCTCTACTCGTAAAAAAGCTTACACTGGGAATGAAAGATCACCACACGGCGATTATCAGGACACATGCGTAGCAGCGGTCCGGCCAAAGTTCCGAGGAAAGGGCTTTGTGAGGCTACCGAGGATAAAATGTAATTTCAGCTCAGGAAACAGACTGAGTTCGTAGACAGGCGGAGAATTCGAGCAGGCAGTGGCTGAGTGTGTTAGAGAATCACCGGAATACTTGCAACGCTTCGAGAAGGGTAGTGGTAGCTCAGAGGGCTTGTTGGAAGTCCATATGGATGATAATTAAACTGCGAGAGCATCAGTAGCCCCTTATCTCAGGGCGCTTACGCACTGGTCTCTTAATTCAAGCCATGCATGCGTTTCTCTCCTACAGGGTCTCAGCTCGCAGTGCGATTGTCTTTGGTCTGTGCCGTGATTCAGATTGGCAGACGTTGTGTTGGGAATGGCCTGCGTACATTTACTCGTTATCCGACGTCCGTGCTATTATTTGCGTTGCATCTCTTTCACTGGCGGTCCCTCCTTAGATTTTGAAGTTTGCATATATCCACAAGACCTGAAGAACCTCTTGGCTCGAGCTGACCGATTTTGTAAGCATTTCTTGACTTTTTGCGGAGATCGCGAAGTTTAGACTCCCATAGCTTTCTTTCTAGCCTGTTTTTAAGTCGTTACTCTTGCTTTCTGTATTAATCGTCTATTTCCCAACATGAAAAAGTCCTTTTGACCTTCTTCTGGAATCATCGCTAGCAAATTTACGGCACAATGCTAGAGGAAGGTGGATTCATCAGAAAGCCCAGAAGGACCCGTAAAAAGGCTAAAATTGACTATAAGGAGGAAAGTGATGCTGAGCAGCATGTTATCCTCGATTCAGAGGCGGATGCAGAGTATGGTGAGGATGGCCATGAAGACTCGCCAATCGTTCTTGATTCAGACAAGGAGCAAGTTGAAGACGATATAATAACTCTACCGAGTGAGGATGACGATAAGCCTTTATCTACAAGGCGTAAGAAAACACCTGCGAAACGCAAAGCTAGATCCAAGACTGCCAAACCCAAGAAACCCAAGACTACACCATATGAGCGCAATACTGCCAGACTCTTTGAAAACCACCCGTATCTGAAGGAAGTTTTCCCCGAACTTGCAGCGGCTCCAAAGTATGAGCCTGAGCGATCCAAGCAACCAGACGGTTTAACTATCAAGCTCCTACCCTTTCAGCTTGAGGGATTGCATTGGTTGATCTCACAAGAAGATAGCATATATAACGGTGGTGTTTTAGCTGATGAGATGGGTATGGGTAAGACGATCCAAACTATTGCATTGCTGATGAGCGATCCTACGAAGCGTCCCAACTTGGTGGTTGCTCCCACCGTCGCTTTGATGCAGTGGAAAAACGAAATCGAACAGCACACTGGTGGTAAGTTGAAAACGTACATATTTCATGGTGCTAATCGTACATCAAACATCGGAGAGTTCAAAGATGTGGATGTTCTACTTACCACATACTCGGTTCTTGAGTCTGTATTCAGAAAGCAAAACTACGGGTTTAGACGGAAGAATGGAATCTTCAAAGAGCCGTCGATTCTGCACAACATGGATTTTTATAGGGTTATACTTGATGAAGCACATAACATCAAGGATAGACAAAGTAACACTGCGAAAGCTGTTAACATGCTGAAAACACAGAAAAGGTGGTGCTTGTCAGGTACCCCTTTGCAAAATCGAATCGGAGAGATGTATTCATTAATTCGATTCCTTAATATCGACCCCTTCTCTAAATATTTCTGCACAAAATGTGACTGTGAGTCTAGGGAGTGGAAGTTCACTGATCATATGCATTGCGATGGTTGTGGTCACGTCGTGATGCAGCACACGAATTTCTTTAATCATTTTACACTCAAGAACATTCAAAAACACGGAATTGAGGGTCCAGGGTTGGAATCCTTCAACAATATCCAATTGCTTTTGAAAAACATTATGCTCAGAAGAACTAAAGTTGAGCGTGCCGACGATTTGGGACTGCCGCCCAGAATTGTCACTATTAGAAGGGACTTTTTCAATGAAGAAGAAAAAGATCTTTATCGAAGTCTATATTCCGACGTTAGGAGAAAGTATAATTCGTATGTGGAAGAGGGTATTGTTCTCAACAATTATGCCAATATTTTCACGTTAATTACTAGGATGAGGCAGATGGCAGACCACCCTGATTTGGTTCTGAAAAGGCTGAGCGGTGCGAATCAAAATGATAGCGGAGTAGTCGTTTGTCAGCTCTGTGATGATGAAGCAGAAGAACCAATCGAGTCGAAGTGCCACCATAAGTTTTGCCGGCTTTGTATTAAGGAGTATACCGAATCGTTCATGGAAGATTCAACTAAGCTTACATGTCCGGTGTGTCACATTGCCCTAAGTATCGATCTTTCTCAGCCTGCACTGGAAGTAGACGCAGAGTCTTACCGAAAACAAAATATTGTTAGTCGCATGAATGTGAAGGGGAACTGGCGTTCATCGACCAAGATTGAGGCCCTCGTTGAGGAGCTATACAATTTGAGGAGTGATAGAAGAACGATCAAATCAATTGTCTTTTCGCAGTTCACAAGTATGTTGGATCTAGTAGAATGGCGATTAAAAAGAGCCGGTTTTACTACTGTTAAGCTGCAGGGTAGTATGACACCTACTCAGCGTGATCAAACTATCAAATATTTCATGGACAACACGCACTGTGAAGTCTTTTTGGTAAGTTTGAAAGCAGGAGGTGTAGCTTTGAACTTGTGTGAAGCTTCACAAGTGTTCATCTTAGACCCATGGTGGAATCCAAGCGTAGAATGGCAAAGTGGTGATAGAGTTCATAGAATAGGTCAATACAGGCCCGTAAAAATTACCCGATTCTGTATTGAAGATAGTATTGAGTCCAGAATAATCGAATTGCAAGAAAAAAAAGCAAATATGATACATGCGACGATAAATCAAGATGATGCTGCCATAAACAGACTAACCCCTGGTGATTTGCAATTTCTGTTCAATAACTGAAAAAAAAAATGCTTCAAGAGTGTTTTACACCAATGCTTCGTATTTATTTTATTATGTTATGTTATCTATTTTTAAAAAATTGTGTCAATTACGCGGCAGCAGAACTACCACGGGCGCCAGCTCCAGATGAGATTAGCTCAATTTGCTCCTTCGATAGTGTCACTTCCGGTAATGCCTCTTTACCAACCCCGGATGGGGCAGGTAAGAAATGAACTTTATTCAAGAAAGAAATATAGATTCCAATTTGCTTAGGAGTAGCACCTTTTCCACTAGTGACATCCTCATTTGTCCAGTCGATATCCATTTTCAAAGAACGAACAGCATTGCGGTCGTCAAGCTCTGGGGCTCTTGTGCTACCTGGAAGGTCATCCAAAGCCATGTGCAATAGCGGATATAGGGCATTATCTTCGCCTTTTTCTATGACGGACACTTCAAGAGTCTTCTTCCACGCTTCATAACTTTCAACTTCGACGTCATAACCATAGTTCTTTAGTTCATATAGGTAGTCCTTGAACAAAGGTCTTGGATGAGCTGTGACATGGGCCACCGGTAATGTGCTGTCACTAGGAGGATTGAAAGATGTGGCAGTTACGACTCTTGCTACGTGATCAACAGGAACCATGTTTACTGTGTTTCTAATATCAGGTATCTTGCCTAATTGTACCACACCTTTTAAGACTCTTAATAAAAAGTCATCGGTATTAGAAGAACCGTTTGATGATGCACCTGTAACATAACCAGGTCTGACAATGCAACCACGCAAACCACGGTCACCTGCACGTCTGATAATATATTCGGCGGCCCATTTTGATTGTCCGTAACCACCCGTTAATCCTGTGGAAGATCCCATCAAGTCATCTGCTTCAAGAATTCCGGTTTTACCCTCAGATGTTAATTCATCTGATAGTTTGAAGTAATGCTCCGTGTCAATTGTAGAAGTCGAAGAAACAAAAGTGAAGAACTTAGGCTTACCCTCGGCGGCCAAATTCATGACATTGATAGAAGAAATGACATTAGCATCTCTCAATTTGGAGTATGGGAAGACCCAGTGTACAAGAGCACCATTGTGAATAATAACATCAATCTCCTCTGTCAAGCTCTTCCATGCTTCACCGTTAAGACCGAATTGTGGTTTTGCCAAATCACCAATAACGACCTGTATACGGGATTCAAATGCTTCTGACCAGGTACCGTAAGTTACACCAGCTTTAACCAACCTTTGTAAACCATTGGCTTCATCCTTTGCACGAACATGAGCAAAAACTTTAATATCGTAGGCATCTCTGGGACGATTCAACAAATCGGCCAAGATGAAGGAGCCCAAGAAACCAGTCACACCAGTTACGAAGACGTTTATTCTCTTTGGACTATCGACGTTCTTAGGAGAGGCGAAAGAAGAGCGGGATGGGTATGACTTGGGCAGCATCGATTCAACAAGTTCTTTTGCATCCTTGTAGTAGTCTGCTGTCACACCCTCGCTTTCTTCGGTATTAGTAGATGATTCCCTAGTCCTTGAGACCTCCCCAGCGAAAAGCTTGATGGTTGGATATTTGAATATAGTTCCTAGTGGAAGATCAACATTCAGTTTCTTACGCAAGGTGAAAATCATTCTGGTAGCCAGGATGGAATGACCACCGAGGTCAAAGAAAGAATCATCTGGAGAGATGGAGGCAGGTCTAGTTGGAAGAACCTCTAGCCATAAGTCACGGACTTCACGCTCAACTGGGGAAAATTCAGAATCATCAACATCCATAGTTGAGTTCTCAGCAACTAAAGTCATTTGCTTAACTGTTGGAAACTGTAATTTAGGTTTGTCAACTTTCCCGTTTGGATTTAGCGGGAGCTTTTCCAATACCACGATTACCGAGGGGATGGCATAGCTGGCTAGTCTCTTCTTCAAAAATTCCTTGATATTCTTGGTGAGCAATCTAAATCCAATTAGACCTTTGACCATTGGATCTGAAGCCACACTTTCGGGGACTTCAGATTGGTATTGTAATAATTCTGGTTCATCAAATCGAGGGACCATATAAGTTATCAGAGTAGGTTCATTATCACTGTTCTTCCTGACAAGAGTAATATTCTCACGAACAAGAGGGTGCTGCGAAATATGAGTGTCAATTTCACCCAACTCAATTCTGAAGCCCCTAATCTTCACTTGATCATCAGCACGACCGCAACACTCACAGTTACCATCTGGTAGATAGCGGCCCAAATCACCTGTTCTATACAATCTATCACGAGGTCCCAGCCAAAACTGTCTCCAGGGTTCTCCGTTGTCAATGTCAAGCGTTTTCCAATGATCATCGTTAACAAACCAATTCTGAACGAACTTTTCCTTGTTCAAATCAGGTAGGCCACGATAACCTTCCGCAAGACCACCGGCACGGACATATATTTCACCGACTTCACCAATACCACAAATCTGTGTACGGTCATTCCTGTTGACGACAAGTAATTGAACATTGAACATACCCTTACCAGCTGGCATAACGTTCTTCAACTGCTTTAAAAATGATGGATCATCTGATCTAGATCTAACCTCAAAAAACGAGACTGCACGCTGAGTTTCTGTAGTACCATACATATTGACAATGCAACAATTTTCAGCCAAAGTTTGCAACCTCAGACAGTCTCTCTTAGTCAAAATGTCACCGACAAAAAATGCATGATGCAAGGATGGGAAAGCAGTGACAGCTTGTGCGGTTAGTAATTGGCCCATGGCAGGTGTTAAATGCGTGACCGTCGCGCCGTATTTATTCATCCATTCGGCTAATTGACCTGGGGTACCAATATCATCTTGTGTAGGCACTAATAGCTGCGCTCCTAAAAACAAAGGAGTAAACATATCTCTTTGGATTGGGTCGTGTGCGATACCTGAAAGCATCGTAAATTTATCGTTTTCGGACAAGTTGAATTGCTTTGACATCCAGTTGAAGTAGTAGGCGAGGGAAAAGTGTCTTCCCAAAACACCCTTAGGAATACCTTCTGAACCTGAAGTGAAAGATAAGGTTGGATTACTGTCTGGACCAACTACAACGCCGGATCTCGTGTCCCTTAAGTGTTGATATGGTTGTAAACAATCTTCTGATTGGTTTTCAGTGCATCCACCCTGAATGGAACCATCGCTCTGGATCGCGATAGAAGGAATGCGTGACACTACATCTAGTTCATTAGAAATGTAGTCTTCAACGTATTGATCCAATTGGCCAGCTGCTCTAATCACGATCAAACCCCTTGGTTTCGCAACACCAAGATAAACAGTTTGTCTAGCTGGAGGATACGCTGGATCTATTACCGAAAATGTTGCGCCAGCTTTCAATACACCCATCACACACACCATCAAGTCAACACCTCTGGAAGAATAGATCATGACTACGTCACCTCTTTTAATACCAGTGTTGATCAGGTAATGGGCTACGATGTTGGATGCGCGATTGATATCTCTGTAAGTGAAAATCCGAGACTCACCGCCTGAGTTACCAGGTGTTTCAACCACACAAGTTCTCTCAGGAAACTTTTCAGCATTGTCTTGGAAGATATCATGAATACAACCAGCAAAATCTACCCAACCTAAGTTCTTCTTGGGATCTGGGAGTTGAGCTTCGCTGTCTTTGGTCACGAGAGATATCTTAGTTATACACAGCGAGTCATCGTTGATTATCTTACTCACGTATTGGGTCAATTGGTCACCAAGGATAGAAATGCGCTGTTCCGAATACAACAAGCAGTTATACTCAATGTGCACGGTAGAAGCACCTTCCAAATTTAGCACTAGGTCGAATACTTGAGTCTTGTATTGGTTTGCCAAATCCACAGGAGAGTTGTGCACACATCCGAGGCGAAATAGCTGAGGAGCAACCTCGCGTCCCTGTTTTTCTTTAATGAATTCAGATAAGTCATCGAAATTAACCTCTGAGAGCGCTACTGAGCTGTTGAGTTCGCGCTCAACTGTAGTGAAAAGCTCCCCAAACGACCATGTAGGCTGAATGGTGAATCTAATGACGGTGTTCTTGCTTGCGAAAAGAACGATATCGTCGTCACCAGTCAATCTGTAGACAAGCGCAGACCATACCGCCAAGAGAGTTGTATATGTGTCTTTGCCGTGAGGAAGTCCCAGCTGTGGTATCTGTACACTGTACTCTGCTTGTTGTACGAGAGGCTCTTCTTGAGGGCGTAGATAGTCGTGTGGCAGCACACTCAAAGTTGGGTTATCCAACTTTTGGGCCCATTGATCAAATGCTGACATATTATACGTAAGCGTTGTTCTCTATATTCCAAAAAGTCTTGACAGAAGTGAGGTCCAGTCTGAGTCCTGTTTATACCTGGTATCGAAGTTAGAGTATTCCCTCTAAATTCCATAGGAAGTTAACCGCAGATGACTCAACGTGGCACCAAAATTTTTCAGCTGTATTTTTCCGTAGGAATTGTTCCTTCGGGCATCAGCTCAATTGAGTTCAATTCTGCTACAGTCTCGTGATTTTCACGTGTATGAGACGTACGGAGTTATATGGTCGCTGAGGTAGCCGCCAATCACCCAAGTATATCTGCTTACCTTCCCATAACTTGATTTGAATAACTGCGAGAGCAGTCGAGTGTGATAGATTAAACCCCTGCTTGAACACTCACTGGAACTGTGTAGTCTCTCCAATATGTTGAATGGTTTTTTTTGTCCCAGTTTGTGACTAGGAGAAGAAAGAAAGTGAAAACTTTACATATTTATTCTCGAATTATGCAAAACAAAAATGAATTTATAGTAGTGGTTTCCATACGTTTTCTGTCTCAATCTTGGAACAACAAAATGCTCATTTTGGCCGGCTAATTGAGAATGTGCTTAGAGAATGCATGATCCAATAGCAAACTCAGAAAGACCTTGATCAACTACTAAGAGCACAAGTAATCCAAAATACAATTACTATGCTCAGCTAACAGAGAAATTGTTTACCGAATTGATGCCTTTAGTACAAACGGTCTTAACAAGTAGCTGATTAAATTCATGACATAAACACGTGATAGTGTAACGTCATAAACGACTCTGGGTTACCCTGAACTGAACCCAAACCGATATTCAATAGCTAAGCTTATACAATATTTCAACAATCCAGAAAGGCTAGCTCCCGGCAGCAAGTGGAAAAGGCAAATGTCGCAGCGGAAATTACAGCAGGAAATTGATAAGCTGCTGAAGAAAGTCAAGGAAGGCCTTCAAGACTTTGAAGATGTGTACGAAAAGTTTCAGAATACGGATGCTTCTAACACATCCTATCGTGAGAAGCTCGAAAGTGACCTAAAGCGAGAGATCAAGAAGTTGCAAAAACATCGAGAGCAGATCAAGACATGGTTGAGTAAGGAAGATGTAAAGGATAGGCAGGTGATTCTCATGGAAAATAGAAGGCTCATTGAGTCCGGTATGGAGCGATTTAAAACGGTGGAGAAGCTGATGAAAACCAAGCAGTTCTCTACCGAGGCACTCACAAACCCTGATATCATCAAGGATCCTCGCGAGTTGAAGAAACGCGATATTTTCATTTTTGTGCAAGAATGTCTCGAAGAGCTTCAGAAACAGCTCGAATCGTATGAGGCGCAAGAGAACGAGGAGCAAATTGAGCGGCACAACTTTCATATTGCAAATCTGGAAAACTTGCTCAAAATGCTACAAAACAACGAATTGGAACCTGACACAGTAGAGGAATACCAAGAGGATATCAAATATTATGTTGAAAATAATGATGATCCCGATTTCATTGAGTATGACACGATATATGAGGATATGGGATGTGAAATCAAGCCAGGAGATGGAGACGACACTAAGGAAGTGAATACGCCTTCGAAGGCATCGCGTGCTTCGAAAGCTGATCGCTCACCGAAGAAAAAAGCATCACCTCCTCCAATAATGATTTTGGATCGCTCAAAATCATCTAGCTCGCTAGCGTCGCCTTCTGTGCCTCCACCAAATTTGAGCGTTAAAGACGAAAAGAACGAAGCTTCGCCTCAACCTCAATCACGTCCTCCATCTCAACCTCAAGTGCAGTCTCAACCGCAGTCTCAAGCTGAATCACAACCCCAGCCCCAACCCCAATCTCAAACCCAATCCCAATCTCAATCTCAATCTCAATTTCAAGTTGATCAACACCAATCAAACAACCGGGCCCAGCCTGGTAGTTCGACTCAGGCTCAATCTCAAAATGAAGTACATCCTCCAAGAGATCTTTCCAAAGAAATCGATGAAATATTGGAACATGACAAGTCGGAGAATGACGCGTTTCGTAACCCATTATTTCAGCCGCAATTGGAGTACTGGCTTCAGACAAAGCGTCCTCTCATACAACCGTACGAAGACATGCCTGTATCAATGGCATCACAATTGGAATCTTCTCTTCTAAATTGTCCGGACTCCTTAGACGCTGATACTCCACATTTGTTCCAAACACCACTATCATTACCGCATCCTACATCAATCTTTTTCCCAAATGAAACAATAAGGCTTGTGTCGTCTGACCACTCGAATCCTCCTACGCAGTCAAAGCATAATGATATCTATTCAAGAACATTCTTGGCGCGTATAATGTCAAAATTCGATCTTGATACGCTGTTTTTCATCTTTTATCACTATCAAGGAAGCTACGAGCAATTTTTATCCGCTAGGGAACTATCGCACAGAGGTTGGCAATTTAACAAAGTCAACCGTTGTTGGTTTTACAAAGAGGTCGAAAAACTCCCACCGGGTATGGAAAATGCGGAAGAGATTACTTGGAGGTATTTCGACTACCAAAAATCCTGGCTGGCGAGACGTTGCGGGGCAGAGTTTGTGTATCGCGAAGAAGAATTTGAAAGGATATAAAATAAATTCTAATAAATTTAGCATCTAGGTACCACATATCAACTTATAAGCACCGCTACCATGTAAAATTACATGTGTTTAATATTAAATGTAAAAATTATCTTTTATTTATTTTATCGTTTTAAAGTATCGAAAGATGTAAATGACTTAAATAATTCGTAACCAAAATATGATAATTCATTTGCGCTCAACTCATCTCACTGCAGCTAATGGAATATTACGTAGTATAAAATTGCATTATCTATAAAAGATGCTTTCAGTTCGCAATATATGTCTTCACAACTGTAGTTCATTCTTTAGGAATTCCTCACTGAAGTATGAAATTTGCTTAAAATTGTATTCGAATCCTTCGTTACCACCATAGTAGGGATCATCAACAATTTCTCTAAATTTACCATCCGTATTCCAATGCCCAAATAAGTAAATTTCTGCTTTCGATCCAGCGGGTTTCAGTCTCTTCAAGTTACGCAAATTGGACTCGTCCATGCATATGATGTAATTGAATTCGTCAAAATGACGAGCTTTTATTTGTTGTGCTCGATGATTAACCGGAACTCCATGTTTTCGACAAGTCTCAGCAGATCTTGAGTCAGGAGGCTGTCCAACATGCCAACCCCCAGTACCAAATGAATCGATTCGGGAGAATTGAGATTGAAGACCTTTCTCCTTTACAACATGGCTAAATACTGCCTCTGCCATTGGGGAGCGACAAATATTACCCAGACATACGAACGCCACTGCTATTGGCTTGCCACTCATGCTAAATATTATTGAAAACCTTCTAAAGCAAGTTGCTCACTGCCTCAGGCCTCCAAAGGAAAAACTCAAGAAAAAATAAGATGCATGCGCGCCTCGCACAACAATGCAAAATCTCAGCAACCTCACGAGATAAGTAAATATAAAATACACAAAATAACGAGCAAACTAGAAATTCAAGCAATTAGAAAAAGAGAATAAGCTTTTGACGACTTATTCAAATGTCGTTATAGAATGTTTATACCAAAATTCATGTTTATCGAAATACTGCGCTCCACTCTATTTAGAATGGCTTGTGCAAAGGAGAAATAACTTGTTGGTTCTTGTAGAAAGCAACAGTCTTTTCAGCTCTCTTGGCAATTCCTTCTGGAGTGAATTCGAAAGCCTTGAAAAGGTCACTAGCCTTACCAGAAGCACCGAATCTGTCCAAACCGAAGGATTCGTGAGCGTACTTGGCCCAGCCAGAAGTGGCCAACACTTCGATAGACATAATTGGGGCACCGTCTGGGAAAACGGACAATTGGTATTCTTCTGATTGTTGGTCGAAGGTGTAGAAGTCAGGCAAAGAAACCACACGGGCCTTGATGTTCTTCTTGGCTAGGACCTTGGCGGCATCAACGGAGATGCTCACTTCAGAACCGGTAGAAACCAAAGTGATGTCTGCGTTTGCAACGTCTTGCAAAACGTAACCACCCTTGGAAGCCTTCTCGATGGAGCTACCTTCAAGTTGTGGTAGGTTTTGTCTCGAAAGAGCAATGATAGATGGGGTGCTCTTCTTGGTCAAAGAAGCCAAATAAGCGGCAGAAACTTCATTACCATCAGCAGGTCTCCAGACTTGCATGTTTGGCATAGCTCTAAAGTGAGCCAAAGTTTCAATAGGTTGATGGGTTGGACCATCTTCACCCAAACCGATAGAGTCGTGAGTGGCAACCCAGATAACAGGGTGACCAGACAGGGCAGACAATCTAACGGCACCAGAGGCGTAAGAAACAAAGTTCAAGAAAGTACCACCATAAGGTCTGTAACCAGCACCGAAAGCAGCGATACCGTTCATGATAGCACCCATACCGTGTTCTCTGACACCGTATCTGATGTACTTACCACTGTAGTCACCTAGACCAGTGGAAGGTGGTTGGAAGTCAACAGCCTCCTTCCATCTAGTCAAGTTGGAAGAGGTCAAGTCAGCGGAACCACCCATCAATTCTGGTAGGTAAGAGTGGATGGCTTGCAAAACACCTTCTGACAACTTTCTGGTGGCAACAGCAGAGTCCTTTGGAGTGAAAGTTGGTAGAGCCTTTTCCCAACCTTCTGGTAGCTCATAAGCCAATCTTCTCTTTAGCTCAGAACCCAATTCAGGGTAGGTGGAGCAGTAACCTTCGAAGGTCTTGTGCCATTCCTCACATGCCTTCATACCTGGTTGAATGACAGTCTTGTTGTAGAAGTCGTAAACTTCTTGTGGGACGACGAAAGATTCGTCTGGGTTGAAGCCGAACTTCTTCTTCAACTGCTTGACATCATCAGGCTTCAATGGAGAACCGTGAACGGAGTGGGAACCAGCGTTCAAGGAACCGTAACCGATGGTAGTGGTCATCTTGATCAAAGTAGGCTTGTCCTTGGACTTCTTGGCTTGCTCCAAAGCGTTTAGAATGGCATCCAAGTCCTCGTTACCGTTCTCCACGTGCAAAACTTCCCAGCCGTAGGCCTCGTATCTCATGCAAACGTCTTCAGTGAACGAGACGTTGGTGTTACCGTCAATGGTGATTTGGTTGTCGTCATAGAAGCAAATCAAGTTACCTAGTTGCAAATGACCAGCCAAAGAAGAAGCCTCGGAAGAGACACCCTCTTGCAAACAACCGTCACCCAAGAAGACGTAGGTGAAGGAATCACTCAAGGTGTAGTCTGGCTTGTTGTAAGTGGCGGCCAAGTTAGCTTGAGCGATGGCCAACCCGACGGCATTGGAAACACCTTGACCCAATGGACCGGTGGTGATGTCAATGCCTGGGGAGTCAGACTCTGGGTGACCTGGGCACTTAGAACCGTATTGTCTGAATTGCTTCAAGTCCTCGATGGAGTAGTCGTATCCAAATAGGTGCAACAAAGAGTACAATAGAGCGACAGAGTGACCATTAGACAACACAAATCTGTCTCTGTTGATCCAGTCTGGTTGCTTAGGGTTCATTCTCATTTGTCTCCAAATGACGTGAGCAGCAGGAGCCAAACCTAGGGGAGCACCTGGGTGACCAGAATTGGCCTTTTCGACTTGGTCGACAGACAAAAGTCTTAGAGTAGAGATAGCTAGCTTGTCAATGTCAGAGAATGCGGACATTACGATTCGTTACAGCTGTTTTCACTGGCTAGTTGTGACACCGGAAAGAGGGTTGCTGAAGTTTGAATCAAATCCTGCAAAAGGGGAAAAATTTGTCTCAAACGATAGGTGGCAAAAAAAAAGCGGATTACACCTCGTGGCGAGCGATTTAATTTGTAAAGCATGACAAACAGTATTGCTGGGGAAAATGGTACGTACTGGTTTGCCAAGAACCTAGAGTTTGGGCGAGTAGAGTAAGTATGTTGACTGGGAGCCCGATGTATCCGTGTAAAACCTATATATAAAACCTGTCCTCGAAGGGGCTGCCAGAGCCCTCGTTAGCCGGTGGGTGTGAGTTGTTTGCGAGATGCCGCAGACTCTCGGGTACTTCGACGTCAAGGATGAAACTGCCATCATCGTCATCATCATCACCGTCATCGTCGCCATCATCATCAGCGTCGCCGCTATTTTGTAGATCTCTCTCGTTGTCGGCGTCGTCACTGTTATCTTGGTTTGCACGAACGCTTTGTTGAGGCTCGGTTGCTGGGTAGCTGCCGAGTGTGAGTGAATGCTCGTCGTCGTCACTGGTGTGTAAATGTAATGTAGTGACTGTGTGTTCTTTTTCTGAGGGTTCCTCTTTTTCTACTGGCGATTCGTCGTCGTCTTCCGCGCCGTCTTCTTCTTCACTGATTTGTACTAAGCGAGGACGTGCGCGAATGGCAGTTGTAAGCGCATCATCTGCACCAACAGGTGATTGCTTCTCAGAAAGACTGGGGGTGGACGTGGATGAGATGTTGCGAGCAGCGGCAGCGGCAGCGCCTATTGCGGCGTTGTCACCTTCGTCGTCGTCGTCGTCGTCGCCCAGAATAGAGCTGCCGAGAGTGATGTGGGATCGAGTATCGCCTGAGCGTAGCAAATGCTTGGGCAAAGGAGGGTGGGGTTTGGCAAGCCCGCGCTTACCCGCGGTAACACCGGGGATATAGGCAATCGGTAGGATGTTGGAGGCTTTTGTGACGGCGGTGGCTGCGCTGCTGCGATTACGAGGCTCAAGCATAGGCTGTGAGCCCTGCGTGTGAGGTTTATCGGAGGGGGTCGCGCTGGGATCAACGTCGCTCGTGTCACCGTACTCTTCGTGCGCAACCAGCAGGTTACGGGTGCGTCTTTTGCCCTTGGACCAGTATTTGAGGTACAGGTAGAGCAGCAACGCGATGGCTAGGGCAGCTACGCCGCCTACCACACCGCCAACGATTCCACCGACCTTTGCGGACGACGAATGCGAGCTGCTTCCGGACGTAGTGCTGGACGAGTTGGACTGCAGTGCCGAGCTGGACTTCTTGGCGCAGTAGGTACGAGGACACTCCGAACACGTCAGTAGCGTTAGCACACAGTACTCGTCGTCGTCGCACACAGGACACGCTACGTCGCCTGTGCACGTTACACATCCGGACCCTGCAGATGTTGTTGCGCTGTTCGACGACGTTGTGGTGGCCGAGGCCTCGTGAGATGAGCTACCTGTCACCGTGGAGACAACACTGGAGCTGTCAAAGCTGGATAATTGGGAGCTCGTTGACATGGGCGCGCTTAAGCGGTGGTTGTGAGACTGGAGCGAGTAGTTTGAGCTAACAGAAGCGTCTTGATCTACAAAGATCTCCTACCTCACACCAACTCTAACTCTTGTTTAAAATTTTCGACCTGTAGCGGAGAGAAGAATGCACGGCTGCGGGGAGCACGTGACGGATCCTGCAGCACCCGAGAGGCGCGGGTAAAAATAGCAATCGGGGTGATACGCGATTGCGACTTGCCGAGGGCGCGCGAAAAAAAACTAACTTAAAATTAGCCGATGCCCGAAAAGGGCTCCGAACACGTGACACAAAGAACCCACACACCGGCCACGCCGCACGTGACGTCGAAGCCCTCTGCGCGCGTTTCGTTTTTTCGGGCCCAACCCACAGGCCCCAAGGCCCGTCGCAACTACGACGCAGATCGATCTTCAGCTCCAGCTCCATCTCCGTCTCCATCTCGAGCCCATCTTTCTTCCACGCAACCCAATGTCGTTTCAACTCAACTCAACTCCACGCGCCAGCGCGTCGCTCCCCTCTGACAAGCAGCAGATCGTGCAGACCGCCGAGGCGCTCGTCGACGGCGTGGCTTCGTCCTGGAAAAAGGGCAAGTGCTACAAGCACAAGCTCACGCGCAACCCGACGCTGGACGGCGACGAGGTTGCTGTGCAGACCTACTACACAACCATCGGGAGCGACTACTGGCTGAGTCGCGCAAGCTCCCACCACGTCACGCCCGCGGTGTACGAGGCAGTGGTGCGCGAGCTGAACGGGAGCACACGTGACCGCGCGCCTACCTCCGACGCTATCCCCGGGCCCGCGGGGTCACGTGACCCCACCTCGTGGCAAATGCCCGACCGCGCCGCCCGCTCCCGCCGCGAGCGCGACTACATCGAGGTGCTGAGCAAGGTCGACGTCGTCGACACCACGGCCGCCGGCTGGGTGCTCGTCAACCTGGAGTACGAGCTGGGCCGGCCCATGGCCACGCGCGAGTTCAACGAGTGGGTCTACCCGGTCGAGCCGTACACCGCGACCTCCGGCCGCGAGCGGTGTATGGTCGTGTCGCTGGTAGCGGACGCCCCATTGCGCGACCCCCACAAGCACACCCACGGCATCTATGCCAGCGTCGAGCTTCTCGAGTACGACTACGCCACCAGCACGTTGTATTGGACCATGTGTACCACCAGCGACGCGGGCGGCAACGTCCCCAAGTGGATTCAAAACGCCACCATAGCCAAAACCGTGTCGAAAGACGTAAGTTTCTTTCTAAGTTGGCTAGGGGAGCAACCGTCCCAAGACCCAGCCAATTAAGGCGCGCTCCGCACTCCGGTTTCCCGTCGCTTACTCCGCCTTACTCCGCCTTGCGCCGCCTCGCGCCGCCTTGCTCCGCTTTTGTGGCCGCGGGCTTCCGCCCGCGGCCCAAAGGCCCTCTCGCACCAATGGACGCGCTGCATTCGCCGCGGTGCAACTCCGCAGCCCCACTACCGCCTCGGCCTTCCCCGCGGCCCCGGCACCGCACGGCTGTGCGTTCGCCGCATCCTACCCCTCCCTTCTTCCCCACATACGCCCCGCCGCGGGTGGCAGGAGTGTGACGCGCTAGAACACGCCGCACGCCACCTCGCCTAGACACGAGCGTACACCCGACCGCCGTTTACGCGAATCCACACGCGTTCTGCAACGTCGCGCACGACCGAAACCGCCTGAGCGAATGGTCGATCGCGCTTTGTCGGCCGTGCAGGCCGCGGGCGGGCTCACCTCACGGCGCAGACACTCGTGCACTCGGGGCAAATACAACGATGGCGCTTCCAATGGTTGTTGGGCATATGTTCCGGCGGGGCAAGTTTTGCGAGGGTGTTGGGGAAAAATGGTCAGCATCCATGTGCGACCGCAAGCTGGGCTGCATTCGAGCTCAATCCCTCTTTTCTTGGTTGGTTTGTAGCAGGCAGGTATATATATGTGGCATTGGGACACGCTGGAGAGCAATGTCTTTCTCTCATGTAAACACGTCAGGTCGCTAACTACTAAGCAACAAGACAATCCAACGCATCGAGCTACTTTCAAACTATAATGCTAAGACTCACCTCCTACACCAGATCCGTGGCCGCGCGCCGCGCGCCCTTCGCCGGCGTGCTAAGAGGAATGGCGTCGGCAACGTCGATCCCCGAAAAACAGAAGGCGATCATCTTCTACGAGAATGGCGGCGAGCTCAAATACGAAGACATCCCAGTGCCCAAGCCCAAGTCCAACGAGCTTCTCATCAATGTCAAGTACTCGGGTGTCTGCCACACCGACTTGCATGCCTGGAAGGGTGACTGGCCCTTGCCCACCAAGCTACCACTGGTTGGTGGCCACGAGGGTGCAGGTGTCGTGGTGGCGATGGGCGAGAACGTGAAGGGCTGGAAGATCGGCGACTTGGCTGGTATCAAGTGGCTGAACGGCTCCTGTATGGCATGTGAGTACTGTGAGAAATCCGCTGAGTCCAACTGTCCCCACGCAGACCTCTCAGGTTACACACACGACGGTTCGTTCCAGCAGTACGCCACGGCCGACGCCGTGCAGGCAGCCAGAATCCCCAAGGGAACCGATTTGGCTGAGGTTTCGCCCATCTTGTGTGCCGGTGTCACTGTCTACAAGGCTTTGAAGACCGCCAACCTAAAGGCCGGCGACTGGGTCGCCATCTCAGGTGCCGCAGGTGGTCTGGGCTCGCTCGCCGTCCAATACGCCAAGGCTATGGGCTACCGTGTGCTCGGTATCGATGGTGGTGAGGAGAAGGGCAAGCTGGCCAAGAAATTGGGTGCCGAGAAGTTTGTCGACTACACCAAACACAAGGACTTGGTCGAGGCCGTCCAGGAGGCTACTAACGGTGGCCCACACGGTGTCATCAACGTGTCTGTCTCCGAAGGTGCCATGACTGCATCCACCCAGTACGTCAGACCCACCGGTACCGTGGTGCTAGTGGGCTTGCCCGCCGGCGCTGTGATCAAGTCCGAGGTCTTCTCGCACGTGATCAAGTCCATCAACATCCGTGGTTCCTACGTCGGTAACCGTGCTGACACCAGAGAAGCAGTCGACTTCTTTGCACGTGGCCTAGTCAAGTCTCCTATTCACGTTGTCGGTCTCTCCGAGCTACCAAGAGTTTACGACTTGATGGAGAAGGGTAAGATCTTGGGTAGATACGTTGTGGACACCTCCAAGTAATCTGCTTATGTCCGGCCCACGGCTGCTGCTCATGCTCTTTTATGACTCGATATTTACGAATTTAAATATTCAAATAGTAACCTTGAAGATGTGACATGGTTTCTTCAGTGGCTCCTGGCCAATCCTTTCCTTTGACGTAGGGCTCTGCGGGAGCAAAAATAAACTCCGATACGGGGAGTCGAACCCCGGTCTCCACGGTGAAAGCGTGATGTGATAGCCGTTACACTATATCGGATAGTTGTACTTGATATTAGTAGATGACAAAGCGACCATCTAGTAAGGCCGCGAAGATCGGGTGATAATCAAGATTTAACTTTCAACAATAAAAGCTTATTCTTGTTCGGAGTCGCATCCAAAGGGTTCGCATCACGTCGCCCAGGCAGGACAGGAAAATTTCTTGGTGCCCTTCACAACGACGTATTCTCCACTAGATGCTGTAACATGTAGAAACAACCGAGCGATAATTCAATCTACAAACGAAACGTGGGGACTCAGCAATAAAAGTAGCCGAATGTGGTATGGAATCGGAGCTCACTTGGAATTCGCGAAGTACAAAGAGCATCTGATCTGTGAAAGGAGTAATATATATGTGTGTAGTTTACTCGTTTCTACTATTGCGATTACTTCTCACTGAAGGTTCACCGAGCTTCGACTTCACGTTTCGCTAAATTAGCAAGAATAAGAAAAGTGTGCTTTGGCTTCAACTCGACATGCCAAATGCACCTTGTTCGGAACTCATGGGACCCTGCAGTAGTTTCACGGAAGCAATTGCGTGGTCTTTTGCCACTACTTGAACATCATGGGATCTATTGGGTCACGTACAAGGTGTTATGAAGAATGAAAAAATGCATGTGACCGACACGGAGGTCGGGTAACTCGGATTATTATTCCGTCGTAAACATCAAACTATCAAGGACGGGTTCTTGATCACAAGGAGGACAATATCTGCAAGGATTTCCAACTCTCGAATGATCTCATTCGCGCCTCGGAGGTTGATCATTTTTTTGTTGGGATTAGCTGCCGTTTTATCTTTAGCATCTTGGGGGCACCGCCGACACGCACACAGTATGTCAATGCTCGCGGACAACGCTACGAATACCAACGACACCGCTGAGAAGATCCACAGCAAGGCTGACGAGACTGGGCCACCGGCTCACAATGAGCTATTTTGTGCTGTCATGAATCCTATAACGGGCAACTATATCGATCTTTCACAACTATCTACGACTCCAAACCAACCTCGTAAGGGCGAAAAGGCACGTAAGGAAAGAAAAGATGCCGGAAAGACTCGCTGGCTGGTCAAAGGGCAAGAACTCAACACAAACTTCACGTTGGGGATTTGCTCAAGCCCGGTGTTGGAAGAAGATCCTCTTTCAAACTTGACCGGAGGGTACTATGTGGATCCTGTGGACAAGCATCTAGTCTCGATCGGAGAGTTCACAACCACGCCGCAGTTGGTGGGGAAGAGGCTTACGTTGAAGTACGAGGGCGGTGACAAGTGTCCGAACGGAGTGGACAAACGTGCTACGCTACTGAATTTTGTGTGCGACAAAGAGATATCTACCAAGGCTCAGATATCTTTCATTGGGTCGATGAACAATTGCTCGTACTTCTTCGAAGTCCACAGCATTCATGCATGTCCGACATCGCACAAGAGCAACGACGTCAACGTCCTCGGGATCTTTTTTGGGATCTTTATGGTGTTTTTCCTAGTAGAGTGGGGAAGACGCTGGTTTTACAATAAGATGCGCGCTTCCATGGCGTTGTCACCACAGCTGGTCGAGGAGCAGCCGCGCCCGCATTGGGATAGCATAGAGAGCCAGTCCCACTGGAAAACCATGCTCAAGCGCCTGTTCGGGAGGGACCAAGGGTCGCGCCACGGTGCGATCAAGTTGCACACGTCAGCGCAATACGGGCGCAGCACTGAGTCGCTCGTGAGGGATATAGAAGCGCAGAATCAGCTAATGGACAACCTTGAGGTGACAAGCGTGGACACCTGAGTAGCCCGTCTCGGCGCAACGCGGCATACTTAGCGTTTTTAACTGTAGGAGCACGGTGTATAGTACGGATGCATTCGCATAGACACGCGAGTTGGCCAGGGCTTATTTTTGGGCATCTCAGTTGCACTGTCTCGACCAAATAGGCCTACCTGGACTCACATAGCCCAACTACATAGTGAAAATGCGTGGTGCACTAGACACGGTCCATGTGTCCTGTCTGCGGGACACACCTCATACCAATTGTGCATCCACTACTCACTATTGCGCTCAGAACACCGAAATCTACGTAAGTACGAGAATACACATATTTTAAAGTCCCATCAGCTTTTTTATTGGAGCAGCTGTCTACCGAACAGCCATCTCACTTTCACGTCTTTCGCCCACTGTCCACCCAGGACCGAGCGTCAAGCTTCCCTAAGTCACCCGCTCGAACAAGGAAAGAACCGAACATGGCTCGCCCGGTGCCCTAACTTTAAGCCCTAAAAGTCCAGTTTCCCCCGACTGCTAACCCATACATCTCCACAACACCCACACGTTCAAAAACACGCCGCAAGGTTTTCTTCGACTCTTCGAACTTCTAATTCGTTCCACAAACGCACGCACGAGTAAATGCCAGATACGTCCTTTTTCTTCTTTTTACGCAGGCAAGACCGCACAGGGCCAACACTTAGAAACGGGCGTGGAACGCCGTGCCACGTATGGGCAAATCAGCCGCTGAGGAAGGTGGGACCAGTAGAAATTACTGTAACAGGAAAAAATACCAGTACCGTATGGGGTATTGGCTTCCTGTTAGGGTAAGGGAACGTTCTAGACAGGGGTCACCCATACACCCGGAGCTGTGCCAAAGTTGCTGATGCCAGACGCCCGAAGATGATGCATGGGACATGCAAGGTGAGAAGAAAAATTTTTCTTTGGTATAAAAGCGATTGGATCCAAGAGGTTAGGTCTCCATTCGTTTGTCTTTCTCTTTTTCAATAGAACCAGCTAACATTCTCCAATAAGTCAAAAATGGGTAAGGAAAAGTCTCACGTTAACGTCGTCGTTATTGGTCACGTCGACTCCGGTAAGTCTACTACCACCGGTCACTTGATTTACAAGTGTGGTGGTATTGACAAGAGAACCATCGAAAAGTTCGAAAAGGAAGCCGCTGAATTGGGTAAGGGTTCTTTCAAGTACGCCTGGGTTTTGGACAAATTGAAGGCTGAAAGAGAAAGAGGTATCACCATCGATATCGCTTTGTGGAAGTTCGAGACTCCAAAGTACCAAGTTACCGTCATTGACGCTCCAGGTCACAGAGATTTCATCAAGAACATGATTACTGGTACTTCTCAAGCTGACTGTGCTATTTTGATTATCGCTGGTGGTGTCGGTGAATTCGAAGCCGGTATCTCCAAGGACGGTCAAACCAGAGAGCACGCTTTGTTGGCCTACACTTTGGGTGTCAGACAATTGATTGTTGCCATCAACAAGATGGACTCCGTCAAGTGGGACGAGTCTCGTTACCAAGAAATTGTCAAGGAAACCTCCAACTTCATCAAGAAGGTCGGTTACAACCCTAAGACTGTTCCATTCGTTCCAATCTCCGGTTGGAACGGTGACAACATGATTGAGGCCACCACCAACGCTTCCTGGTACAAGGGTTGGGAGAAGGAGACCAAGGCCGGTGTTGTCAAGGGTAAGACTTTGTTGGAAGCCATTGACGCCATCGAACCACCTTCCAGACCAACTGACAAGCCATTGAGATTGCCATTGCAAGATGTCTACAAGATCGGTGGTATCGGTACGGTGCCAGTCGGTAGAGTCGAAACCGGTGTCATCAAGCCAGGTATGATTGTTACCTTCGCCCCAGCCGGTGTCACTACCGAAGTCAAGTCCGTCGAAATGCACCACGAACAATTGGAAGAAGGTCTACCAGGTGACAACGTCGGTTTCAACGTCAAGAACGTTTCCGTTAAGGAAATCAGAAGAGGTAACGTCTGTGGTGACTCCAAGAACGACCCACCAAAGGCTGCTGCTTCTTTCAACGCCACCGTCATTGTTTTGAACCACCCTGGTCAAATCTCTGCCGGTTACTCTCCAGTTTTGGACTGTCACACTGCCCACATCGCCTGTAGATTCGACGAATTGTTGGAAAAGAACGACAGAAGATCTGGTAAGAAGTTGGAAGACCACCCTAAGTTCCTAAAGTCTGGTGACGCCGCTTTGGTTAAGTTCGTTCCATCTAAGCCAATGTGTGTTGAAGCTTTCTCTGACTACCCACCATTGGGTAGATTCGCCGTCAGAGACATGAGACAAACTGTTGCTGTCGGTGTCATCAAGTCTGTTGACAAGACTGACAAGGCTGGTAAGGTCACCAAGGCTGCTGCTAAGGCTGCTAAGAAATAGGAAACTTCACTTCAAGTTTGAGAAATGTAGTTTTTTTATTGTATATTTTATACTCTAGTGTAGTTATTCTATTCTAATCGATTTGTTAGCGTCATTTTAATTTTTTCAAAGAATTGTTTTTGGAATTAAAAAATATTTAGTAAATTTGTTGATAATTTTAATTTTCATCTTAGTGCATCGCTGTACTAGCTACATTAAAGAAATACATGTACAGAGATACAAGGTTACCTTAGTATCATAATGAGAACGTATGCTTTAACTGAACACTTAACGATGCTAAACATCTTACTAACAAAAATTTAGTCTATATCTGCGAAACTTGCCCAGAAGACCTCATAGTCAAGACAGCTTCATCAGGTTGCTCTTAAGTTACATCAACTCTGGTAATAGATATGTGAGAGACCATGAACTGCCAATTCCTACAATTGATCTTACGCGGCTTCCAGAATCCCCTCCACTAGTTATCGATAATCCCAACTCACAGTTAGATTCAAGTTCAGCCTTGAGGTTTTTGAAAGATAAATTATTTGATGAAGACAAAACGCATGGCCTGGAATCAAATAGAGACGTGTTTAGAGATCTTTTCACTGAACTACAGCATGCATCTAATGATGCAAGTGCTCGTCTAAGTAGCACAGCATTCAAAAAACATCTACAACAATGCGCGGAAAAGCATGGATCACAAAAAGATGTTCTTCATAGCAATGATGAGCAAATCACAAACATGCTGAAAAATTTCAAGCAAGCTTTCTGTGAAATTCAAACTCTACCCATAATCGATCAAAAGTATGGCATTCTCTCTATTACCAGGGCGGGCAGTACTAAGCACATATCGCATGGCTTTATCACATTCACGGACTCTGCGAAGTGCCAATCTTTCCTGGAGACATTTCAAAATAAGCTAGTAATAAGAGGACATAAAATAGTTGTACGACCAGCTAAAGAAGAGTCTCTTCTGGCATTTTATATGATAAATGGAAAGAAGGTATTGAAACAGCTCACAAACAAAAGGAAGCATGACAAGGCTGTACAATCTGACGCAGATATTTTGCGCAAGAAAAAAGAACAGCGTCAATTACGGAGATTAAGAAGCAAATTCAGATCGAAAGGCTATAGTGACGATAAGATCAAAGCTATTTTGAGTAAAGCTAAAGAAAAAAGAGAAGGTGCAGAAAGGGTGAGCAAGAAACGCACAGCTGCGCATATCCAAGAAGGCCCTCAAGTCAAGAAAAAGAAGGTCTTTTTAGAAACGAGCTCTAATCCTCCAAATAAGATCCTTCTTGTTCAAGGCTTGCCCGCGGGGTTCACCCATGACGAAGTTTCTGATCTTTTCCATGGGGAAGGCTTGGTCGAAATCAGATTGGTCAGTGTTCGCAACCTTGCCTTTGTTGAGTTTGATACGAAGGAAAATGCTACTAAAATCAAAAACAAGCTTGGTACAACGCACAAAGTGGGTGAAAGCATTATATCGGTTGGATTTGCTAAATAGACACGTTTTGAATTGCAGTAGTAACTAGTGGTCTCTTTTAAGAAATGATGAATGGCAGAAGCAATCAATAAATATGAATATACATGTACATTATAAAGAGGTATTTACAAGTGTTTAGGCTCCTCACTTTCCGAAAACCACCGTCCTTAACGCAGTGAAAAACGTTTCCTTTGTTTTCCCCTCAATTTCATCCAACAGTCTTTTATAATATAATGGGTTGCCTTGCGGTTCGTATAGTTTATTTCCCACGTCATAGTAAGTCTTATACTTATTGCTCATTATGTTGTTCAATGACTTATTCTGTTCTTCAATAGTTTGCGCTGTGAACTGTTCTTGAGGAAGTGCTTCTTGAACTTTTTTCAATAGATCCTTCTGAAGACCCAAAGGCCCCGAAGTTCTATTGATAATGTCCTTTATATCGCTCAAAGTAGGCTTCTTTGTTGAGTCTGTACCCGTTGTTTCCAAACCTGCTATGGGTTTAAATCTCTCTAATTGTGAGTCCCTGAAAGACACCAAGTGCTTGATCCTTTCCTGAGGAAACTTTTGTAAAGTCTTAACGAGCTGCACAGCAGCCTCTCTTACTGCTGTAGATGACATATATCTTTGTTTGTTGAGAACCTGTTTGTCGTGTCGGAAGTTCCTTGTTCATTTTTTTTTTCGCTTTCTGTGTTTTTTTCCAGTGCGAGATGAAATATTTCATCGACAACTTTAGATTCTGGAGTTATCTGCGTAAAAGACCACTTTATAATTAATTTATTTACTATAGCAGCAAAGCTACTTTACAAATTACTCTGACTGGGTAACAAATGGTTCGAGAGTTTTCGTACCTTCTTCCCAAGATGCACCGTTGTAAGTGATGTCACGAATAGCCTTAATGATATCTTCAACTGCACCTCTGACTTGCTTGGTGGAGTCTCTTTCTCTCAAAGTGACAGTGCCATCCTTAGCAGATTCGAAGTCAATGGTCACACCAAATGGAGTACCTAATTCATCGTTACGAGCATATCTCTTACCAATAGATACACCGGAATCGTCAACCTTGAATGGAATCTTTTCCTTTCTAAAGATCCTTGAAACATCAGCAGTTACTTTGACTAGATCCTGGTGGTTAGATAGTGGGACTAATAAAACCTTAGTTGGGGCAACCAATGGAGGGAAAGATAGGACAGCCCTTGCAGAATCTTCTGGTCTTGACCAGAAAGAATGCTCAAAGATGGAATAGATGATACGACCAATACCAAAGGATGGTTCGATAACATTCGGCACAAATTCTCTAACGTGCTCAGTCTTGGTCTTCTTTTCGATGGAAACAAATTTGTCGTCCAATTCAATGTCACCCTCAATGCCTTCAACGTTAAAGACAATCTTGCCTTCCGACTTCAATTGGTCGGCTTTAGCAGCAAGCTCTTCTTGAGATAAACCTAACAAGTAAGCCTCGACCTTTGGGGCATCTTTTCTGAACTTGGGCCCAAACAATTTCTTGGTCAATTCGATTTCCCACTTTGTAACCTGAATTGGTTCATCCAATTTTTGTCTGACGACTAGTTTCTCCTTAGTCTTATTAGAATGGACAGTTAGATCGTAAGCAGATCGGTCGGCACAACCAACACATTCAATCCATCCGTATGATGTCTGCAGTTCAGCGTCCCAACAATCCGCAGCATAGTGGGCCATTTCGTTGGCCATGTGCTGACGGAATCTCAATCTGTTTGGATCGACACCGATAGTGATCAAAAATAGGTAAATTCTGGCAATGAAGTACCCCAAAGTTTCGTTGTCAACCATCTTAGATTTGACAGCATCACCGACAGTAGTCTCAAGAGGAACAGTAGAACCAGCTTGCTGAACGTCACGTGGCAAGAACTTCAATTTGATACCCTCAACTTCACTGAAACGAGGATGCTTCTTATTTTCTGGGTCAACAAAGTGCTCAATTTCAGCCATCAAGAACTCACGTACTCTCAACAAACCAGACCTAGGAGAAATTTCGTTTCTGAATGACTTACCGATAGAAGCAGAAGCAAAAGGTGTCTTACCATTGTTGAATTCTAGAAGCTTATTGAAGTTTAAAAATTGACCTTGCGCAGTTTCTGGTCTCAAGTAGCCTTTCAATTGGTTGGAGGGACCAATAGCAGTTTCGAACATTAAGTTGAAAGCTCTTGGTGCTTCTAGAGTCTCCCCGGTGGTTGGGTTACCAATCTTGTACTTGACCATCAGTTCGCCCAACTCTTCACCGGAGTAACCATCAATCTTAGCTAAGATCTCTTCATATTCCTTCACAACCTCGTCTTCGAGCTTGACTGCCTTAATTTCTTTGACCTTCTTCTTTCTCTTCTTCTTGTCGGCATCTTCTTGAGCATCTGCATTAGCATCTTTAACCAACCCTCTGGCTTCTTTGTCACCCTTCAAACGGGCCTCTAGAACTTCTTCAACTAAGTGGTCAGCTCTGAAGATCTCACCCGTCTTCAAGTCTCTGCACATCCAGTCGGAGAATTTGTCGACGTGACCTGAGGTCTTCAAAACTTCATATGGGGTCAACATGGTACAGTCGACTTCCAACATATCTTCCTCTAAGATGAAATGCTTTCTCCACACATCAATGATATTAGCCTGGAATGCACAACCTGGTGGACCATAATCATACAGACCTGACACACCACCATACAATTCGAACGCAGGTGCGTAGAAAAATCTTCTCTTCAAAACACTTTCCAAGTTCTCCCTCGAGAATTCAAGAGCAGCTCTGTTTTTTTTCACTTCTTCAACACTCATTTTCTTAATTTTAACAGATTTCTTCTTGAACTGGCTGTAGAGACGGCTATTTGATATACTTCTAAGTTTATTAAACAACCACAATTTTAATGCTTGTCTATTGCGAGGTCAACGATTGAGAAATCCGTGTTGATTGGTAAATGTTAACTTTGAATAAATCACCTACCATAAAAATTTTCAATGTTTCCTCGGTGCTCGCTGTCCTCAAGATAATTCCCTAGGCGAGAGAAGCCAATCGTCGAGAATGAGTCATATACATCACGTGAACAAATGCGGCTGTTATGATAATAACTTCCTATTAGCGTCGTATTAGCGTTGTATTAGCGTTGCAGGAGTGTAATATCCCATTCAAGTCAGCGAAAGCTTATAATATAATATGTTCGATCATGTTTAATTGAGTGCGGACAGGTAAAAGAGCATTTCATTTTGTGTTATGCTCATATTCTTTTGCTGCTGTAATCGTAAGGTGATACCACCAGCCCTTTATTCTTTCTAGCCCCTCTGAAGATTGTTTCTAGAATGTCTATCATTTCTTGTTTGTCTTCTACTACAAAATTCATTTTATTGTTATTACCAGTACCAAAATCACACATCATGTGCTTATTTCGATAAAAGAACATTACTGTCATCGGATCATATAGTTCATACATTTCATTGAAATCAGGCACTTCATCGATGTCACAGATGTATATCGCGGCAAAATTTTTTACTTTCTCAGCGATGGAGTACAGCACTTCATCCATCAACATGCAATCTTTATCCCAGTCTCTACCAAATCTAATAACCACCAAACGTTCTTGCTCAGTAACGATAGCTTGATCGACATGCCAACCTGTTCGCAGATGCGGCAAGAATACGCTTCCCATTTCAGCGGTCCCTTATATTCACGTAACTTAGGAAATTTGTTTGGTCCCGATTTTTTCATGTTGAAAACAACTCTATCAACCTAACATAAAGTACCGCTAAGCGATTTGAACAATGAAACGGCTTCACGAGAGCAGGGAAATACGTTTTCTACATTTACTGAATGCATAATTGGCGGGCCTCTTGTTTAAATGTGATGTAGTACGCTTTTCTTGAACCTGTAAAATCTATATACATGATTGATATACGAATGAACTTATGGTTGCTCAATTTTTCATTTCTTGTCTTTCTTTTTGGTGGCCATCTTACCACCACTTTGCACTTGCCGCGAGTCGTCATTTAGCAGGCTCAAATAATCGTCCATGCCGAACTCGTCTTCCTCAGCTTCCACAGCTTCCGCAGCTTTTGTATCGTTGATGGCATGCTTATCGATCTTCTTGTCTTCTGGTGCCTTTTTCACAGGTGACTCGACTTCCAAACTGAATATTGAATCATATTTCTGCTTGAACTTGTCCATTCTACCTCCGGCATTCGCATCAACAACAGCTAAGTCGTCTCTACTTGGATTCCAAAGAGGGTTATTCCTTTGATCCTGTATCAATCTAATTTCGTTCTTTGGCACTTGTGACCTCCTTGTAATCACGCTACCATCGCTAAGCTCAACCTGAACCTCAAATTGATGATATATAGCTGGTCTAGCCTTTCCTAAACGTATCTTTTTTAATGGTCTTCTAGGAAGAGTTACTTGATTCGTTCCATGATAACCACCCGAGACATATCTCTTAAAAACCAATGATCTAAGCATGGCAGTCTTTTGATCGGTATTGCTCTTCAAGGTTTGGTCCGTCGGTCTCTACTGAGATTTGATCTTTTCTATCTTACCAACCTTTCGAAAATTTTTTAAATCAGATTACACGAAATATGAACTCTACACTTGAAGCTACAGTTGAGATTGATCTACGAACCCATCTAGCTCTTTGCGGAGAGTTTCTGCGGTTTCGGGATCGTTCTTAGCAATTCGTTGAATAATTTCCATAAAGGACGCTGATTTGATGTCGAAATTGTCGCTTTCTATTTCGCTGGCATTGCTTGGCGTATCTTTTGTGGCTCTGGACTGTGTAGTATCTTCTTCAATTAAAAAAGATTCTTCGTCATCAGCCTCCTCTGCCTCTAATATGGAATCATCAATTTCACCTGTTTCGACGCCGTTGTCTTCTTCGTCATCGATTCCAGCTGAATCACCTTCCTTGTTTTGATTTTCGACATCTTCCATATTTACGTCTCCGTCTTCATCTTCCTTATCCCTCTCCTTCAGCATCATGGATTCTTTGGCATACAACATATTCTTAAAAAACTTGAGTTTGTACTCACTGAATTCGTAATTGCCCTGAACCATACAACCCAATTCATATTTTACAATTCGTCTTATTTTCGCCAGATCAAGTTCGTGATACCATCCTGTGAGTTCGGTGGGCTTTTCAAGGTACGTCAATTTGTCGTAAATTTCTGCGATATTGGGTTCTTTGATCAGCAAATCTATTTGCAGCATTAGATACCATGGGATCTGTTTGCCATCAAAAACAAACCTTGTATCTATTTCGCCTGGGACATTACTTTGGTAAAACCGCGATGGCGGCTCCGGAATATTTTTCGCTGCCTGCGGCGACTTGAGTAGTTTATTCTCGATTTTGAAATATTCTGTTTGATATTTGGCGTATTCGGAAGACGACCTAGGATCAATTCCTAGCTTGATATAGGTGTTTCTCCAAGGCCCTTTGGTAAATCTGTATGAAACAAGTGACAATGCAATCTTCAGAGCACTATGTAAGTCTTGTGGTATGATCCCATCTATATGCCTTTTTACCCACACAGGCCTCTTTTCAAACAGTTTTCGTAGGATCTCTAGACATTTCTCAAGTTTCTCAAAGAACTGAGACTCTTTATTGCTCCCAGGGTATATTCCTGTTTTTTTAGCCGCTTCATAATCCTCAATCAAGGAGGGATGTGCTGCATTAGGTATCTGTGTAGATTCCCCAAACGAATGAATGAATTGCTGATAATTCTTTAAATAAGTTCCTTTAACTGTTGACTCACCAGTTGAAGTTTTCGTTGCATAAGGGTTCCCTTTGTATTTGTAGACAAAAGGAATATTAACCATGGAAAATCTAGGTGGTGGCGGTAGCTGAAAGTCTGTGTTAGGCGACTTCAGTGACCTATCAACAATGATGTTATTGATGTTCTCGTAAGGACGCGAATCATCATCCGGAATGCTCTCAACATAGGTTTTAAACTTTGACCAGTCCATAGATCCAAAACTCTCCTTGAACTCTTTTGCTGCTGGAGCGTTATCCAGACACATCTGAAAGTCAGACATCTCTCTAAATCTGATAGTATTATCTATTATGGCCACCGGTACAATCTTGGCATGTTTGTATGGAACGGAGGCGATTGACTTTCTGACATCACCATTGTGTGCAGCCAAGGTCCCTTTCGGCAGCGAAATCTTCACGATTATGGACTCGTCTCGCAACGGCACTTGCCTTCCAATTACGGGATGCTCATTGAAAAAAACTTCTGAACCATTATCCTCTTTGCCGTAGTTCATATAAAGTTCGAGTCCTTCCTGTGTGTCACTGTGTGATGATAAGGCTCTTTTAACGTTGTGAAGACCACCTACCATTCTGACTGCCTTCTGTACACTGCTCGGCGATGCGGAAACTTTCAAAGGTAACTCGACACTTGGTATCCTAGGTATATCCAATGTAAACTCCTTAGCCATAACTGCTGGCGCTCCATTGGATACGAATTGATTTTGATCCTCTCCGTTTTGATCCATTCTAATTCTCGACTTTCAAGTGTTGAGGGTTCAGACATCAGATTCTGAGAAACTGTTTACTATTTCTGTAGACACTCTAAAATATTAAGGACGTCTATGATGATTGTTCAGAATATAATGCAGTATGTTGCTTTGTTGCCTCTATACGATATAGATAGTACATCTATGCATGATATCAGGATACCAGACCTCTTTCTCTCTCAAGACGAGTTTTCATCTTGCTGTACCAACTCACAAGGGTTTCACCTGGCTTATTCAATGCTACAATTATGATAGTCATATTATCAAATCCGACACCAGTGTTACTATCGGCCGAACCTATGCCATGATCTAAAAGTTTTGTTACAATATCATCGAGCTTTAGTCCCAATGTTAAATGATATTTGATAAATTGAACCAAATTTTTGTTGCTGTAAACATCCCAAACACCATCGCAAGCCAACACCAAGAATTCGTCCTTCTCAAAATTGATTTTATGAGGGATCACATCTGGCTCTACCGTCACCTGTGCTTCTTGCGGCGGAGTTTGATGACGAGATGGAGTCATGCCATGTGCGTGGTTTGTATAAGAGACGCCCTTTTTGAATTGAAAATCACCAAAAGCTCTGCTAAGAGCTAGCACACCACCCACTCTACCAAGAGAGACTGTACCGCCATCGTCATTGATCCTAACGAGCTCTCCTATATGCTGGGGCTTGTGATCAAAGGAGAGCGTTTTCACGCCTTTGTTTTTTGACGAAAGAATGCATCTGGAATCACCAGTATTCGCGACGTAAAGCATACTATTATTTACAATAATAGCAATTACTCCAGTAGAGCCACATGAACTATTCGCAAAATGACTGTATAACTCTCGGTCCTGGTAAATAAATGCGTCTTTCAGTAATTGACATATAAGCCCGTCTAATGTACGAAATTTACGTTTGACGACTCTGTCATCTGAAGAATGAATCGCACCATACTGATGGTTTTCAAAACTGAATTTGATCCATTTTCTAACACCCTGGCTTGCATCATTCTGTCCACTGACAAACTTTGAACACTCGTCACCTCCGTGACCATCAAAGACACCAAACAGAGAGATATGAAGGTGCTCACTTTTCTCCGCGAAAGGATTATGAAAGTTTACCACTAGATTACGATCAAAATTTGCTACCAAATGCGCATCTTCTTGTGTTAGTCGATAACCTTGCATGGAACCCACACAATTGAAGAAGCGAGGTATCCTTTGCACCTGCTCTTTAGCGTTCACTTTTGAAGTGGGTTCTTGACGACCTGGAAAGTGTGGCCGATGAATGTGCAGTGAGTGGTTCTCGTTTACATTGGTACTTGGTTGGTACTGATTATAGATTATCGTCTTCTCTGTCAAAGGATGAGATAATAGTTGCCCCATAGCTTCAGGCAGAAGAGCGATTGATTAAAAAATTTGCTAGTGGTCAACTGAAACTTGGAGAATGCCACGTTTGAAGACTAATTTTGAAATATTTCTTTCTCGCTTAAGTTCGACAACTATTTTGATTTCGTTCCCCTTCTAGATAGGTTGCTCAAGAAAAAAAAAGTTCAATTGAAAACGGGAGTATGCTATCGACACATTTTAAAAAAAGAATCCAAAAATAAAACATATCCGAATATTGAACTTTTCAAAAGTGAATATCAGCTTATGAATATCATAATCTTTAAATATGACTTCTGCGAAACCTACTTATTCTTTACACATATGCTATTCTAATTTTCCTGAGCAGCTGTGCCGCCGTTTGGAGCCAATCTGTATAATTCATGAACGAAATTCTCACCCCAGAACGCAGAAGTATACTTGGAAATATATTTGTACAGTTTTTCCCAGTTTGCATCCTTCTTTTCGGTGGGCAAGGTAAGTGATTCGTTTATTGCCTCTGCTAGCTCGTCTGTATTCCATGGATTTACGATGATTGCCCCATTCAAAGATTGAGCTGCACCAGTAAACTCACTTAAAATTAGCGAACCTTTTTTCTCTTGTTGACAGGCAATATATTCGTAAGATACCAAGTTCATACCGTCTCTAGTCGAGGACACCAGACAGACGTCGCTGACGGCATATAAGGATATCAATTCTTGGAATGGGATACTTCTGTGCATGAAATGAATAGGAACAAACTCAACTGTGCCAAATTGACCGTTTATTCTTCCAACCAATTCGTTCACAACTGATCTCAAATACTGATACTCTTCCACGTCGCCACGACTTGGTACGGCAACTTGAACTAGAACAACTTTACCAATCCACTCGGGGTGTTCGTTAAGAAACACCTCCATAGCATGTAGTTTCTGGGGAACACCTTTGATGTAATCAAGTCGATCAACACCAACAATGATCTTCACGTTCTTGAAAGTTTCCTTCAATTGCTGTATACGTTGTTTCACATCTTCTTGTTTTAGACCCTCAGTGAAAGTATCAACATCGATACCGATCGGGAATGCACCAACATTGACGAAACGGCCTTTATACTCTACACCATTAGGTAGTGTATTGACATTCAGAATTCTTTGTACCGAACTCAAAAAATGTCTCGCATAATCGTAAGTGTGGAACCCAATGAGATCACAGCTTAATACACCTCTCAAGATTTCCTGTCTCACAGGCAATATTCTGTAGATTTCAGATGATGGGAAAGGTGTGTGAAGGAACCACCCTAATTTAACGTTATCAAGCTTCCGCTCCTTGATTCCAGATCTCAACATTTCCGGTAGAAGCATAAGGTGATAGTCATGGACCCAAACAAGGTCATTATCCGATAATACCTTTTCTATTTCGCGCGCGAAAGCCTGGTTTGCCTCATTGTATGCCAACCAGGCGTTCTCGTCAAAGTTAATTTCACCAGGGTGATAATGGAACAATGGCCACAAAATGGAGTTACTGAAGCCGTTATAATGCAGGTCTGCTAGCTCATCTGAGAGAAAAATTGGAATTGCGTTAAATTTCTCCAAAAGGTCTTTCTTCACCACTGGCTTTTCCTCATCTGGAATCTCAAGTCCGGGCCATCCAAACCATTGAAAGGTGGTAGCCTTTTTCAGCCCTTGCAAGGCCGTCACCAGCCCCCCTGAAGACATAGAATATTCGTATTGCCCTGTAGTTTCATTCTTTTTGATCGTCACAGGGAGACGATTAGACACCACAATAACATTACCGGGGTGACCTTCAAATCCATCGTCCTTCTCTGAAGTACTGCTCATTGCCTCTTTGAGCTTTCCTACCACCGATTCGACCATTATTCTTTGACCTTGTGGATTGAGGACTTAAGCATTTTGTGCAAGAGAGAACCCCTTTTCCCTTACGATCTTGGTGGTGCACTGATGTCTCTGTCTGGTGATGCCAGAACATGTGTAGAACATCGGAACCGAATACACGGGCGGGACAAACAATCGAGCCTTGATAGGACTCTTTGTGCCCTAGAAGAGACAAAAAAGCATTAAAAGTAGTCTATGTAGTTGATTGTTCCCTATCCCAGCTCTTTACATCTCATTCTAATTCGCTGTGACTAAGTCATACTTAGCTTGAGACAAAAAAGTTGGTGGGCAAGCAATTCAGACGCAGGAATTAATTGAGAAAGGCGGCAGTGAACTTATGGTTTTTTCATCATCGTTAATCACTCTTGGAGAACCTGTAACATCTTTTCGAGATCCAGTAATTTCACCGAAAAATAGGTAATACAGTGACAAGTAAAAAAAAAGCCTAGGATAGGGAGAAATTCAGTACTGGACAAGTGCCTAGAGACTAGCGGATCGATGGCACTTTCAAATACTCACAAGCCGATTTATCCCCTCAAAAGATGGGAACAATCGAAGAGCAGCACGTGATCGGCGATCTCTATCATGCCATTTTTTCCAACCAACCAAAACAAATGTATTGTCTCATCGAGGAGTCAACTGCCAGAGGTGTTCACCGTACTCTGCTGGCTTGGATCTGAACGCTTATAATGAAATATGAGGATCCGATCATCTCTCATTTCAAAACCAAAGAGCTCATCGACAAGGACGATCTCAAAAGACTCATCGAGGAACAAAAGCAAAAGAATGCCGACAACACCGTCTCTGTGGGGCGTGGGAGCAGTAACAGACAAGATCTAGCGACTTGTGAAGGTGCATTGTCCGTATATACAGATCTTATAAAGCTGAAGTTTCTTCTACAGAAATCTTGGGAGCTACAGACACTAGTTAAAAGTGTTTTGATCCGTTTCGATATACAGGGAGTTGGACTTACTAGGGAGGAAAGAACGTTGAATCATTCAGAAGATTTTTATAAAGACATTGCTCTCAAAACGATTTCAAAATGTGAGAAGCTTTCCAAGAGTCTTGAGCAGCTCTCGTTGGACTCTCAAAGAATTGTCGATTATATTCAGTCAGTCTGTGCGGAAGATATCTCTCATTATTTAAGTGACACCATCTGCTTGCTTCTCGAAATGTGGTTTTTGTGCGGAAAAGTATCCAGACAACTTAAGAGGAACGTTGCGGGGTTGTTCATAAGGGCAAAGGTGTTGCTTATAGATTATGAATTGGAAATTATACGGCAAGAAACGCCAGAACTTGACTCCGAGGATTATAGTACTTTTAAGGAAACCGTTAAATCATACCGTTCATTTATCAAGATTTTTCTACAGCAGCTACAAGATTCAGAACTAAGTCAAAATCATTCTCAATTTGAAGAATGCCTCCACGTCTTTTTGGATATCGAGTCAATGTATAGCGCAATGAACTTCAATTGGCTCCTAATCGATGGCAAGTCAATGCACACGGATTTAGATGATATCCAAGACAGCTATGTCGACGTAGGGGAGGACATGGAAGAATTAAACAATATTAATGGCTTTGTGGACAAGATAGTGGACAAAGAAGAGGATGATGACCTTGCACCTTTACAGAAACTTCCAAATACACAATCGCCAAGAAGGTTCTCGGAGTCTTCTTCCACGTCTGATATATCACTAATGATGGAACGAACGTCTCTATCAAAAGAATTACCGAATCTCTTGCAGGCATTTAATAATGCAAAGAAACTGGAACAAGAACTGGAAAATGTTAGAAATACCAGCAATTCATCACGTGAAAGTACTCCTGTGGGTTCGCCTTTAGTGGGTCTTTCCTCATCAGCATTAACTTCATCAACATTCAGCCCCAGTTCTAGTATACTATTAAGTTCTACGAGTAAATTTGAGGGAGAAAGCCCATTTTTAGCATCTCCCTCAAACAGCATGATACTTGAAGTGACCTCTAGTAACTATACTGAAAACATTGGTGCGTCTGGCCATCTACCTCCTACTCCACTTTCACAACTAGACATGAGCTCTCAACTAATAAGAAACGACATACTTAGAATGATGAAAAACCAAAATCCGTCCAAGTATGCATATAACAGAAAAATAAATGGGTTTGGTAGCAATGTGCTCAATAGCCTGTACGGAATAGGCGATAAGAGGTAATGCAGATCATGTTTTTAAAATTATGCATTTAGGTAAATCTCAAAAGGAAATTATATTCAGGTTAACATTTTATTTCGACGAGTAAAAAATATATCGTGATGACTCTATGGTTCTATTCTTTTCAGACCAAATCTAATTCTAGTAGGGTACATTTTTTACACAAATTTATTGGTCAAGATGAATGATAATGATAAAAGGATACAGCTCGACTTATATTAGACTTAAATTAGAGATTCCTCCTGAGGCTTCTTGTCTTGTTCTTGCTCTTCCTCTTCTTCATCATCGTCCCTAGCTCTATCATAAAACTCGTCTAGAATTTTTGGAGAAATTCTGTTCAACATTTCCTTAGGGTAAATTCTCAACAAGGACCAGGCTTGATCCAAACTCTCAAAAACAGTTCTGTTTTCGTATGCACCTTGAGAAATGAAGGTCTTTTCGAACTTCTCTAAGAATTCTAGAGAGAGCTTATCTTCAATAGACAATGCTTCTTCACCAACAACGGCCTTCATAGCAGCGGCGTCTCTACCAATAGCGTACTTAGCGTACAATTGGTTGGACACATCACCATGGTCCTTTCTAGTCATACCTTCACCAATGGCAGATTTCATTAATCTGGATAGGGATGGCAAGACGTTAATTGGTGGGTAAATACCCTTGTTGTGTAGTTGACGGTCGACGGAAATTTGGCCTTCAGTAATGTAACCAGTCAAATCCGGAATAGGGTGAGTGATATCGTCGTTGGGCATGGTTAAAATTGGGATCTGAGTGATAGAACCGTTACGACCTTCCACTCTACCAGCTCTTTCGTAAATGGTAGACAAATCGGTATACATGTAACCAGGGTAACCTCTTCTACCAGGGACTTCTTCTCTGGCGGCAGAAACTTCTCTCAAAGCATCAGCGTAAGAAGACATATCGGTCAAGATGGTCAAGACATGACGTTCGGTTTGGTAAGCCAAATATTCGGCAGTAGTCAAAGCCAATCTTGGGGTAATAATTCTTTCAATGGTAGGATCGTTAGCCAAATTCAAGAACAAGGAAGTCCTCTCAAGAGAACCATTTTCTTCAAAATCTTGCTTGAAGAATCTAGCAGTTTCCAAGTTCACACCCATGGCTGCGAACACAATGGAGAAATTTTCTTCGTGACCATCGTGAACATCCTTAGTTGGTCTAACAAGACCGGCTTGTCTACAGATTTGGGCGGCGATTTCATTGTGAGGAAGACCGGAAGCGGAAAAGATTGGAATCTTTTGACCACGAGCAATAGAATTCATGGTATCAATAGCAGAAACACCAGTGGAAATCATTTCTTCTGGGTAAATACGAGCGTATGGGTTGATTGGGGAACCATTGATGTCCAAGTAATCTTCGGCAAAAACCTTTGGACCGTTGTCAATAGGTCTACCAGAACCATCGAAAATTCTACCCAAAGTATCTTCAGATACTGGGATACGCAAGTTCTCACCAGTAAATTCGACAGTAGTCTTTTTAACATCAATACCGGAAGTACCCTCGAAAACTTGCACGATTGCACGGTCACCTCTCACTTCCAAAACTTGACCTTGCCTAACGGTACCGTCTGGTAGCGTTAGGTTAACAATTTCATTAAAACGAGGAAACTTGACCTTTTCTAGAATCACCAATGGACCATTAACACCACCAACCGTGTTGTAGTTTAGTCTTGGTTTGATTTTAAAGCCCTCCGTAACGGCCTTCTTGTTAAGGTCGTATAATTCCTTGTCTGATAGCATATTACTTCCCTGAGGATGTGTGTTCACCTAAGGGTAAGGGGGTCTTATTACTAGTTCTTTTGCAGCCAGGAAAATTTTTAATACTATAAACGTCCGGGTAAAAATCGTCATGTGACAGAATCGAAAAGGTGGGATGATGATATCAACAGACTACCGACCAGCCTGCATCAACGTGGTGGCCCCAGTTCCGGTCGCCTTAGTTGCTTTGCTAATCGATCTCACTGTTCTTATGAAGATTAAATCCCTTCTCGGGATAAAACTCTATAAATCTAAACCCTCGTCTTCCAAGTAAAGGTTACATAATAAGTAGTAGCAGTACGATAGAGAGACTTCACGTGGCGAAGGCGTCGTGTATTAATGTGCCTAGAATGTGTTCCGGCTTACAATGGTAAACTAGCAGACGTCGGTACCAGTCAATACAGAAACAGGCTTCAGAATATGGAGAGCCAACTCACAGAAGGATTGAGGTGTGATAGTTTAGCCTACCAGAAACCATTTATCATCCATCGACTTATTTAAAACACTTAATTCATTAGAACCTTGAAGCATCTGTTGAACATCATCATGGCAAGACTCAAAATCGATCCGCGTGTCAGTAAGGCCATCAGAGGGAACGTCAATGTCTCTATTCATGACTGTATGATAAAACAGTTGATCTAGGTCGTAGTTCTGTAGAAGAAAACGTACCAGCTTCCGCTCATCGCGGATTTGAGGCGGAATCAATTTGAAGTAGCGCAGCAGTGCTAATAGATTTATTACCATCCCAGTAATGCTATCGACGACATCATCCTTCAGCCCCTTACATGGAAGATTAATGAACAAGATCCGGCTTGCCAAGCGAATGAATCCCCACATGGTCTCCAAAGATGAATCGACAACAGTCTGTGGAAGTTTGTACATGTTTTGCAAATTTACGACAGGCTGAAAGCTTATGGTATACGGGAAATCAGAATGATCGCGCCTCCGAATGAGAAAGAGGCGTACGAGCTCCTGAAACTTGATGGCCTTAGTATTAGCGAGGACGCGCTGAATCTGAGTTAACTTATCAAGTGTATCAGTATACTCTGCGTTGTGAGCATGCGACAATCGACGCGGCAGATCCCCGTTGATCGGCTTATTGTTGCCATTATCTGTATCTTTCTTCGTGGCTCGTCCCAATTCCATTTCTAAAGCCTTCATTCTGTTCCGTTTGACTGTGACAATCTTCCCCAATTGTGCTAGCTTATATCTAATCTTGTTGGTATTCCGTTTGTAGTGCATGGCCTTAAGTGTGTGAAGATGCTTTCCCAGCAGATCTTGCGAGTCACCGTCCATAGCCTGTTCTAGAATATTATCAATTTGGGCTCGTAGCTTCGAGGTTTCCTCCCTCACCTGAAGGAGATTAATCTTCTTACGTAAAATTAGTCCTGGACTTGAGTTAATGCAATGAGAGCAGTACATGACCCGGCATTGCTTATGACATACCGAACATGTTAATGACATAGTAAGTTTTTGAGTTTGCGGTTTCTATAGAAACTGATTAGAACCCTGTCCCATTAACATGCACCAACACCACAATGCAAAGGTTCAAAAATCATATGATTATACGATAAGTCACAAATCAACCTTATCGGCTCTTTCGCTTTTGTAGTATACGATAAACTGGGTTATTGCTTCCGTGGGCTTCTCCGGAGAACAAACTTTTTCGCATATTAAAAATGGGCAAGAAAAGAACATTGGGGCCATCACGACCTTAATCACCAAAAACTCAATCATGAGTAATAAAGAGAATGAAGTTCCTATTCGATTGGCTGTCTTAGGTGGGTCTGCAACAGGAAAATCGTCTTTAGTGTCAAGACTAACAATGGATGTAGTCCATGAGCAACATTACCCAACTAGAAAACAAACAAACTGGCTGTTTTTATTTGAGCCTGCAGATCCCATTGCCAGAACGCTTCTGGATGAACAAGCTCATGAGAGAATAATAATCAATAACGAAAGTATCGAGTCTCCAGTTTTCAAATCACCCCAGATATCCCCGCATCTGCTACTTTCACCTCTTGTTTTCCAGAGCTTTATTAACGATTGGAAAGTATCAAAAGCACAACTGGAAAGTGGAGTTAAGCCAGACAGCGGCAAACTTATAACTAGCAATGGGCTGTATTCCTATGAAAAATGGTCTAATGATTGCAAGTCTTCTCTTCGAAGAGCATCTACGGCCACACTCAACAACTCTACTCCTACGCCGGTACTACCGAAGGGCTACAGACCTCCAATGTATACACCAATATCAATAGATATTATCGATACCCCTGGATTTCGTCCAGATATGGTGGTACCCTTTTTAGAGGTGTCAATGTTTCGTAATTTGGACAAAGATATCTTGAAAGGATTAGCAAGTGAACCACGGAGACCGGTCTCAACAACGAGTTTGCTCGTTGCTTCTGGGGCGTCCGAATTGAATGGGAAAGTGAATGGCTACATTTTTGTTTACAGTGCGGTGCCGGAGTTGAATCATGGTGTTTATCCTCCGGGATATGAAAACGCCAACAATGATTCAAGAACAACGCCTAAGGAAGGAGACGATGAGTCGAAACCACCAAGTGGCACCTCCACACATCGTGATTCGGTTTCTTCTTCGAAGAGCTCGACATCTGACAGAAAGTGCTCCTGGTCTTCGTACGAAAACGAAGAAGATGGTGGCTTTTCGTTGCTGTCAATAATTAGAAATTGCATTCTCGACGCATGGACTGAATTTCGTGACTATCAGCATCGTTGGGCACAAGGAAAAGAAGGTGACGTATATTCTTTAATGTACAATCTTAAGCAAATGTGGAAAAATCAGAGTGAACGTAATGAGAAATTAAAACAGCTTCGCTCCTACAAGACGAAATTGGATTCTATTGATTTAGATGAAGCATCTCCAGACTCCCCACCTCCAGTGATGATTGTTTGCACTCATACCAAAGATATTCTATCGAGCCCTGTGTTGATCGAGTGGGGAAGAAATTTAGCTCTTGAGTGGAAATGTGGCTTTGTTGCCCTAGACAGCGTCGAAAATTACAATGTAGACGTTGCTGTAAGCTTATTACTAAGAGAAGTAATGGAAAAGGAAAGATTATTACAATCATCAAGCAAGGGTAAAGGCAAAAAAGGCTTGAAAAAGATAGTAAAGGGATGAAGTGGCCACTCAATTGCGTAAATAATCTCAAGTTAAACATAGCTCTTCATAATTAAATATTTTGCATAACTATACTACCATCTTCATAGCCAATTAAGCACCAATTTTGTCCAAACACTTTTGCTGCTCGCCTCTGCTCACCAACAGATTTGTAGACATCCAAGTTCGATAAACCGCCACAAAGACAGGTCATTGCACTCACTTTAATCATCGGAGACTCCACTTCCTTTTTCTCAGCAAAAGATCCTTGACATGATTCTTCAACATGCACGTTACTTCTTGCCTTGAAATACCGCTGTGAAACAACACTATCGTTGATAACAAGAGTCTGGCCTTTCCAGTTCGAGACCACAATGCTATTATCTGTAGTGGCGATGTGGCTGATTTTGCTGGTAGGAAGCACGATACTTTCATTCGATTTCTCGATATCTTCACTTTCTACCAGCTTCATGCCGATTGACATGTAGAATTTTTTTGCTTTATCCTCACTCGTCAATTCAGGTAATGTTTTGATGGTATGAAGGCCGATTTGATCTTCGGTAGATGTACTCAATACAACATTTCTCTGTTGGCTATAATAAAGCGAAAGTACTGGATTTGGATAATGGATTGCTGATATATAAATCAGCTCCATAAGCGAAGTACAACCAACATTTACCCCTGAGTCGATAAACTGTAGACTCTTTGAATTTTCTGCTGAGTTTTCTTTCTGATCATCTATTGTTGGAAGCATCTTAAGGCCAAGCACGAAGCCACTTTCATATCCAACATAAACTATCCCCTCGTGCTCAGTTAATCTCATAATAATACCCAGCTTCTCAAATTTAAACTTCGAGCTATCCTTAGTTAAATCTTTCACTATAGGGAAGGGATCGAGGCTGTTAAACTCTCTTTTTAGCGACTTATTGTCACCAAGATCAAAACAGTAAACATCGAGATTCTCGGAGTGCATAGTGTTGCAGCACCATAATCGAAATTTATCGTTAACAATATGCTGTATCACTACGTTCGCAAAATTAAGAGTGTTAATGGGTATCTCATAAACCGGTGTTAGGGAACTTAATTTCTCCGAAGACCTTAAACCTGATGGAATACTTGGATCAAGATCAAGCTTGAAAAATCTCAATAAATTATCCCTCGATTGAACAGTAAAATACCCACCCTTGTAGTCAAGAGAAATGATAGAAGCCTGAGACTTCACCGCATGGTATGCAAATGGTCTTCTAGTAACAAAATTCCATGCAAACAAGTTACCTTGTGAATCTCCTGAGAGCAGCACTGGAATGGAATGAAGCTCTATTAACTTCAAGCATGTGATCCCAGATTCATGGGCTCTTAAAGTGTATGATACACGAGGCGTCTTATCCATCTATTGTGCTGTAACCCATGAGCCAGAGAATCTTATCTGTTAAGAACAAGATATTTTTCGTCTTTGAAAATATAGTTACAAATATTTAGTAGCATTTTACATACTAAGCAACTTCCATCATCATTACTGAATGAAAGGTTTTCACTTCACTTGATGGCCTACCATGAGCTTTTTTCTTGCCAATACACAACTTTTCAAGTTGATGATCCAATCAACCGTTTCCTTCTCGTTTAGGGCACGAAATTTCAGTCTCTCTTCAAAAGTTATTACTGCAAAACAAGTATAACAGTTATCGCCCTCAACCTCCACACAATCAACAACTCTATCGAGAGTTATCGTTTTAATAGATCTTCCGGAAGAAGCCGATTTGATGAGCAATGCCTCGTTATTAAGCGTCACCTTGAACTTCTTCCAAGATTTCCTACCAAGTCTCTTTTTCACTCTTCCATATAAAATACCGCTCTGGATTACATGCATTGGAGCAGTTGGATTATACATTGCATAAAACTCTTTGTCCTCCTCTGGAATCTTGTGGATCACTCTTGCAGAATCTGTCGAGTTTCTCTTTTGTTTGAGGTCAACCTCCGATATTATTTCGTAGTCTTCATCATTATCATCATCAACCATTTCATCTTCATTTTCAATTTCATTATCTTGAACCGCTGCCTTTGCAGGGTCTTTGCTTGTGGTCTTAGGCGAAGGTTTCTTTTTATTGAGAAATTCTTGAAGACCATTCTTCCACCTCAATAACACATCTTCATTGTCCGCTTTGAACTGTAATGTCCGATCTGTGGTATATATGTCTAATCGTAGCTCTTCAGGCAAAACCCTGAAGTTGAGTATACCATCAGGAGGGATCACATTCACAGCCTTCCTTTCGCTTTTGTCTTTGTAATAGCTCAACTGGCCTCGCCTTAAAACGCACCAGTATTTTTGAGAGTTTCCTCCCTTCAGAAACCAGTGATGGGATCCACTGGGTTCTGTGGGAGTAGCTGCGGCGCTCGATTGCGGATCAGCATGGTATGAATGCTTAGCGGGCACCACCGACGCTACATGGGACGATGACTTTTTTAGTAAATAAGAGGAAACCAAAACATCACTCGAGAATTCAATAGTAGAGTATAATTGCTTAACTGAGTTATCGATAGCCATAACCCTTGGTCCTATCGTGTACTTGGCGTTTGTAGTGAATAAAACCACCCATGCCTAGGCAAGAAATGTTTGAGACGTTAACGATGATTACTCTATAATAACGTATATGACGACTGTAAGCGAGAATATTACGTCAAGGCCCCATTATAACGGAGGCTGATCGGTTTCTCGAATGAGAAGGCTCTCTCTTTTTCTTGGGCGCAGATGATTTTCTGGAGGAACTTCTTGATAGCTTCGCAGCCGTTGAAGGAACTGCTGTATTGGTTCCGGTGCCATTCGACTCAAACTCGGAAAATGAACGAGATGGTGGTGAAGACACTCTTGTAGATGAAGACCTCTTTACACCGGGAAGAGAATTAACCGAAGGAGAAGAGGCCGAGCTGGTTGAAGGTAAAGTACCCACTATAGGACCACTAGACCCGTAAAAACTGCTCCTTTTATTTGATGATGAATTTCTAACTTTTGGAATTCGTATTTGTGGGTGTGCAAACGTTCCACCGTTTGAAGCTAAAGGTGGTGTGCTATCTGGGGTCTTGAATTTCGATTCAACAGTTATCTTCGTATTATGTTGCTCTGTAAAGCTTTGAGGGATTTTCAAATTCATTTCTCGAGCATATTCAAGGGCCATATCTCTTGTTTCCTTGTATAATTCTTGCCATCTTGGCAAATCTAACTCGAGAGCAAACTTATCAACTCGCTGAGAAAGTGTTTCCATGTGCTCATTAGAGAGAGACTCGAGCCCTTTGAACTTCGATCCATACTGGTTCAGCTTTTGTTGCAAAACAGAACTGTTGTTAACGACATTCCTGATATTCTTGGTAATGAAAATATCATTTTCCTTTTTCAGTACTTGAAGATTTGACCGTAGTTCAGCAACTTCCTTTTCATATAAATCCCTGTAACGTTTCTGGCCATCCGCAAGGGCGTCATATTGAACTTGCAAAAGTTGTAATTTTTGATCCAATGCATTTTCACGCTGACATGAAGTCTTCATTTCCTGCTGTAGGTTTTGATTCTCCAAAGAAGTCGATTCAAAAGAGCTTTTCAATTGTACAAGCTCTTGTTCTGCTTCCTTCAAGCGTCTCTCCTTTCTTGCTAGCATCGCGTTCAAGTTATCATTCTCGTGCTTTAGAGTTGAAATTGTTTCGAGCTGCTTAGATTGCTTGGTGTTCGCAGACTCTAAACGCGACAGTAAATTGTTTGATTGAACAGTCAATTGTAAATTGGTAGTCGTCAGATTGTCAATCTGAGCATGGAGAGACTCAATTACTTTGGTGCTTGACGATCCGGCGCCTACGCCCGGAACCTTGGTGGGACTATCGCCGTTATTCATGTTGGCCAAAAAGGCTCCATGGTTCATGGCGAGCTTAGACGGCGAGACTTTAACGGGAGAGCCTAAATCGGTTCCGAAGTTTGAGGGACTCTCGGCCATTGGGTTTTAGTTGCTCGAGGGACTTTGATTTTGAGGTAGAAGCAGACACTTAGCAGTGGACCGAAAAATATGAAAAGCTAGTAGTGAAAAAGTCACATGACTAAAATGAGATTAACTAAATTGCATGAAGCGATATATATCTATTACTTGAAAAAACGTGAAGTATTCACATCCCCATACCGAATTGCTTGGCCATCTGCTGCATTTGAGGATCTTGCATCATCTTCATCATTTCGTTCATGTCAGGCATGCCTCCGCCCATGCCGGGGAGACCGCCACCTTGCCCACCACCAAACATGTTCATCATATTCTTCATTAGGCTTGGATTTTGTCTCAGTTTCTGCTGAGCTTGTTGCATCATTGCGGGTGAGACGTTTGGCATTCCTGGAATGTTAGGCATACCTGGCATCTTACCGCCCTGTTGTGCAGCCTTAGACGACTGGGCCATTCTAGCCATCATTTGCTGTTGCATAAGAATCATTTCTACGTCAAACACCGTTGTGCCCGAGCCTCTTGCGACTCTTATTAATCTACTAGGCTCCTTGATGAATATTCTTCCGTCAGATTCCAACTCCTGTTTGGTCATCGAGTCAAGGACGAAAACCATCCTTTTCATTTTTTGTGTAGTTTCTTCTTCACTTACCTGATTCATCATGTTACCCATTCCTGGGATCATATTTGCGATGTTTGAAAGAGGTCCCATCTTCATGATTGTTTGCATCTGTTTTTGGAAATCCAACAGGGTGAATTTACCTTGTTGAATGTTCTCCATAGTAGCCTTGGTATCTTCATTGTTGGAGACAGTTTGAAATTGTTCTAACAAGCTCTCAATATCACCGATACCCAAGAGCTTAGAGACAAAAGATTTAGGAGAGAATTTCTCAAAATCATGTACGTGTTCACCAGTACCTATAAAGATGACTGGGGTTTTCGTGGCAGCAACTGCGGATATAGCACCACCACCCTTAGCATGACCGTCCATTTTGGTTAGGATAATCGCACCAAAATCTGCGCTATCCTTGAAAGCTTTTGACTGTTGCTCAGCTGCCTGACCAATTGACGCATCCAAAACCATGATAGTTTGGTTGGGCTTCACTACTTGCGAAATTTCCACCATTTCTTGGAAAAGGTCTTCCTCTTGATGATGCCTACCTGATGTATCAACGATGATTACTTCAAATTTTTCCTTTTTGAACTTTGCCACACCCTCTGCAGCCACCTTAACAGGGTTTGTCTCCGTGTAAGACCCATAAAATGGTATCCGAGCTTTAATTGCGTTCTGTTTCAATTGATCGAATGCACCAGCACGGAAAGTATCCGCACACACAAGCCCCACTTTGAAACCTCTTTTGGAGTAGTATACTGCAAGCTTTGTACACGATGTTGTCTTACCAGAACCTTGAAGACCCACAAACATAATTATATTCTGCTTCTTCTTTTTAGGTTGGAATGGTTGTGTTTCACAGTCGACTAAATTACACAATTCGTCGAATACAGTCTTTTGTATAAGTTTCTTGGTTTGTGCAGTATTTGTAGACTTACTCTTCGATTCCAAAAGTTTGTTTCTGATATTGGTCCGCAGCTTCGACACAAGTTTGATATTCACATCACTCTCCAACAAAGCTGTTACGATGCTTTTCAACATTACATCCACCGTTGTTGTGTAATCATCTTGGGAGTTGGAGAGCGCATTATTCACAGCGCTATTGATACGCTTTCCTAAATCGGCCAAAACCATTGGAAAGATGGCCTTATATCTTGGAAAACTACCGTATTGCTTATGAGCTAGCCTTATCCTTCATTACCGTTCCTCTTGAGAAAAATTTTCTATGTTCATTGATCATGTGACTGATGATATCAAAGTTCAAGCGTACAGAGCGATGCTTTACTGAGTGCAAATGCAATCAATAATACAAGTTAAGATCTTTGATTGGAGAGCTGCGAAACGGTAAGGCTTGGGCGCGCTCCAATAAAATGTTGGATTTCCTTACGGTTTTCAATCCCAAGTATAGTCATACAGAAGATGATACTTACAAGCAACTACTCTTGTATCATTCTTTTGAGGGATCTCAAGAGTATACCGTCAATGATAAGTTGTCACAAATCGGCATAATTCAGGCATTATGGACCTTTGCACAGTCATTTGGTGATTCGAAAGACATCTGCAAGAATATAATTGAGTTAGAGGGCAAAAGAATATTCACACTTGTAGTGGAGGAAGATTTTTACATCAGTCTCACGGTCCTGGAAGAGGAAGAGGAAATACCGTCTAGTTATTATCTTACACATTTGACACATTGCTATGAATTTTTTACGTTGCATTTTGGAACCTGGAAGAGCTTTGAAGATCATCATCGGCTAACAGATCGGCTCAATGAGTATTTCATTGAGTTTTGGACCAATTTTCTTATGATGCCGCACGTACCTACGTACAAAGGATTTTTGAATTTCTGGCCTGACTGCTACAAAACTGCCGACATGCCGTCAAGGGCCCCTGAAAGCCTCGCTTGGGAGGCGTATCTCAACCAGCAGATCTTACTCGACGACACAAGTTACCTGGGGATCAAGGACTTGCTTGTGTATCATCTTCCGAAGCCCAGCAATCATAAAGGGTTCAAGACTTATGGATTTCTGCGAAACTTCACTTCGGATTTGGATTCGCTTCCTGAAATATCGAATTGGGTTTATCACATGGATGCAGTTTATGATAGAATTTCGAGTCATGTTCTCGCAGGCAATGTACACTACGAACAAGTTCCTGTAGAAGATGAAGAAGTGCCGCCGGTAAATCAGGAATCTTCAACTGGGGAAACGATTTTGGACCATAGCAAGAAGATGCTTCACAACCTTACTCTTCCGATATCGTTTGCTTATGATGCAATTCAGGAAGTGGGAAACATGACGGGTGTCTCAAACAGCATGTCACTTCTAACAGACTACATACCTGGGTTTCACTCTCGGTCATCTGATGACCTTGTCGCGAACAAAAACGGCAATACAGCGCGGAGTGGGTTTTTGATATCTCCCCTTTCAGCGCCCGCGCTACCTGACACATACAAAATCAAAAAGCTCCATTTAAAATTCGCCGGCGAGACCCAGGTGTACAATTGTCTCTTCTGGTACTACAATGAGGTGCTGGTCATTCTGATATTCAAATCCGATTTTGAGAAAATATGGGAGCAAGAGTATTTGAAAGACCTGCATGGGAAGTTGAGCACAGCAATATCGGAGCTCTACAAGTCGCAACTGAATAACGGCCCGGCACAGATGGACCGCTTCTGCTATGCCACCGTCAACAAAGCGTCGAGGCAGGTCAAATCTTCGTTCCCGCTCATGAACCGCACCGAAGTAGAAGACGCCGCTTCGCCGCTGGAGCTGGTGGTCAATGGCTTGGACCAGTTTCTGACTGCGGGCATAAACCGCAAGTCGTCGATCGCGACGCTTTCGCCAGCGCACGAACAAGAGCTACGTGAGGCCGCTACAAACAGCAGCTCCTGGGGACTGGGGCTCATGGGCGGTATGTTCAAGCGGGACGCCACGCAGTGCGAGCCCAGAGTCTTCTACGACACGTTCCTGGACACGATATCGCAGGAAAAGCTGCAGGAACTGCACATCGACGTGACCAAATTTCTCTCGACGCTAGAGCGCTCGAAACGCGCCCCAGACATAAGCGAGCAGAAGCTGATCAAGCTGAACAACGGGGTGCTCTGTTTCATCCTGGAAAACGCCGACGAGATCATCGTGCTGGTGCAGAACTGGTTCGACAGGAAAGCACTGCACCGTGGCCGCGGCCACGGGCTCCATGGAGACAGCCTGGTGCAGTACATGGACCGCGACGTGCTGGCGTGGTGGGAAGAGAGGGCGACGTGACGCGCGCGGGCAACAACTATTACACTATACAAACAAAAATGCCATTAATTTTTCATTTTCCGAATTATATCTAGTCTTCGTAAATATCGCCGGAGAGCAGATCATGCAGAAGCAGGTGGTGCTCTTGGGACATCCGCATGGGGCACGCGTCCAGGGCCTTGGGCGGGCCTGCCAAGGCGTGGATGTCGTCGCTACGAGGCGGAGGAATTCCAAGCACGTTGGAGCTTGCACTACAGCAGCTCTCGAGGGGCTCGAAGCCCTGCTCTTCGTCGTCGCCGCCGCCGCTCGGCAGCTTGCGATGCGTGTACTCTGGGGCGGCGCTGGCGCCGACCGCGACGCGTTGCGACGCGGGCACGTGATCGCTGCCGGGCCCCCGTATGAAATGCTGGAAGTCGAACAGCTCGTTGAGTTTCTCGATGGCTAGTTTGGACATGCGATGAGTGCGGACGTCGTGGTGGGGACGGCGGGCAGGCCCAGGCCGCGCTCTGGCCTTGTGGACGCACCCGGGGCCACTGTTGGTGCTGGCTCTGGCGCTGGCGTCAGCACCCGGCGCCAGTGGCGTGCGCTCGCAACCGGCCGTCTCGCTAGCTGCCTGCAACTCTGCGACGCACCGATTCATGGTGTGGAGGGAGCTGTAATCTTGGATCGGTAGCGGTGGCTCTCCTGTGGGAAGTGCAACACGTCCAGTACGGATGCGCACGCCGCAGCCGGCCCACAGCTGTTGCCAATATATAAGATACGTAACGGCTTTGCCATGACCTGGCCACGCGCGCGATGCGTCCGCAAATGGCCTTTTGGGCGACTACTGAATTTTGGTTTGCGCCTGATAAGCTGCCCTGATACGGCAGCCACGCCCGCGCGACGGCGACCTACGATTTCGCTGAAAACCGGCCTGCTCCCGACGCCCGACCACGCCGCCACGGCAGCCATCAAAAAGACAGAAGCGCTTATCGCGTGCCAGTGCCAGTGCGGAAGATTTCACGTGCGCATTTCGGAAGGAAAGACACCCATCTATACGCTCAATTATGCGATTTTCCTAAATCTGTAATCTGAAATCTACACGGACGAATCAGTGACGAATCAGCGAGCCGTGGGCTTGACACAATCTGTCCCCAGGTTGAGCTGCACGCAGCGCCGCCGCAGCGCCAGCGCGGCGGCCGTGCCGCGAGACTGACTATCCGATAAGAGTCCGATGCGGCAAAAATTTGCGCGCGTCGGCGATACAAGTGCGTCGGTTCGCTAAGCGCAACCGCAGGCGGAAGACGCCGCGGGACGCCGCGGGAAGTACGTGGCGAAGCTCTACGCAGGCGCTGGGGCGCCACAAGAGACAACACGGGCGTGCGTGAGCGCCGTGGACGGGGAGAGCTCAACCCAGGGCACGAGCGGGGCGGAGAACAAGCCCTAATTGGGGGCAGGGGACGGCCTGGAGGGACTAGTAGGGGCCTGGGGGCCTGCGCTGGCCCGTTCGCCAAGATTTGGATAAGCAGCAAATCCCAGGCCGCAATATGACGTGCTTGTGGGGCCTGGGAACGCGTGGATTCGGCGCGGATTTACCGTGCGGCTGTCGGGGGGCGGGCGACGGACGGCGGGCGACAGCAACAGCGATGCGGCCCCGCGGAGGTGCCCGGACGAGAAAGCGCGGTGGCGACGCAAATGCGACGCGCGGCGCGTGTTACCCGCACGCGCCGCGCGCCCCTGGCGTCTGGTGCACCCACACATGTGGCGACGCGAAACTCCGGCCGCCGTGCGTCTCCGGGCGGCGTTTGGCGGCAGTTTCGGGAGGCGCCAGGCACGCCGCGCAGACGCCGACGCCCGCGGCCCGGGGTTGCCTTGTGGAGCGGGAGGAGGGGAGGGGGAGGACGTTAGGAGCGGACTAAGAGCGGACTAAGAGCGGACGTAAGGGGCCAGCCGCGATGCTATGTACAGGTGGTTACAGAGAAGACACAATGGCTGGCTAGCGCCAGCCCGTCGCCGCGGCGCAGCTCACATCGCGAACTCCGTGAAGCCGTGCTCCAGCTCGTGCAATTCGATGGCCGCGAGCCCCGTGACAAGGTCCGCGTCCTCCGGCGCCACGACGCGGCTGCGGCCGCGTCGCACTACGTAGCGATGCCCCAGGTACACGGCCAAGTCCAGAAACACCATCAAATAGCAGAACAAAAAGTCCTGGTAATTCCACAATGACGGAAAGAAAACCGTGTACCCCTGCACCAGCGTCATTGCCACAACGGCAACCAGCCCCACGATCGCGGTGTACGGCTGGCCCCACGACCGGAACGGCAGCGCGGGAAGGCGGTCGCGCTGCGCCAGATACGCCCGACGGAAAAAAAGATACACCACGCACAAAACTCCGAAATTGATGAGCTGCGACGCCGTGATCAGGTTGATCAGCCAATTCAGCACGACCGCGCTGTTTTCGTTGAGTTGTAGCAAGCTCAGCAACGCCCACGTCAGCGACGCCGCCACAGCGTAGATGGGAACGCCGTACCGGTTGCACCGCTTGAAAACCGCCGGCGCGTACCCGTCCAGCGCCATGCCGTACAGCGACCTCGACGAACAGTACGTATAGGCGTTTCCAGCTGAAAATGCTGCGGTTATCAGCGCCGCGTTGACCACATCTGGCAGCACGCGCACGCCCAGGTTGTTCATAGCGATCACGTACGGCGACGCGGCCGCGCCCGGCCGCGCCAGGTCGATCGCGGCCGTCAACGCCGGGTCGTTCGCGCTGCAGACAATCCCGACGCACAGGCTGCTGCCAAGAAACAAAAACGTCAGACGCACGAAAACCTGTCTGAACGCCACGGGCAGCACTTTGCGCGGTAGCATGGTCTCTCCAGCGATCATAGAAACGTAGTCCGGGCCGGCAATCGTGAAACTTGCCCGGATCAGGCACGCCAAAAACGCCTGCCAGTATCCGGACGCCGGCGAGCCCGGTTTCCCGTCGTGAACAGCTCCCTCGGGGAAAAACTGCTTGAACGGCGTCTCCGCGTAGTAACGGAAGCCGTACCGGTCGTGCTTCGGGTTGCCTCCAAGCATGGTCACAAACGTGAACGCAAACAGGCCCAGCGCGAGTATGATCTTGAAACTGGCCAGCCAGAACTCGATTTCGCCGTAGTACCGCACTGCGAAAACGCTAATGGCAAAATACATCACAACTTGCACCACAAGCGGGATCGCCGCCGAGTAATCGTCGCGCCAGTAGTGGATGATCGTGTTGACCGCCACGATCTCAAACGGGATTTGAACACATTCCAAAAACCAAAAGTTCCATCCGGCCATGATGGCCAGCGAATCGTCCACGCAACGCGACGCCAAACACAAAAACGGAGAATTCACCGGCAGGTAGCACACCATTTCGGCCGTGGAAACCGTTATACATAGAATTGGAACGCACCACAACGCCATAGCGAGCAGCAAAAACACAGGCCCTCCTTGGTAAAGCCCCTTGCCTATGCTGACGAACAGCGCCGTGCCGATCACACCTGATATCCCAATCAGCTGGACGTGGCGGCTTCGTAGCTTACGGTGTGTGGAGTGTGCAAAAGGGTCCGAAGACTGCTGTCTGTCCTTCGGAAACAAAGAGTCGTCGAAACTGGCGACCGTGACATCATTTTTATTCTGTTCTTGTTGCGACATGTCTTCGAGACGCGTTACCTCAGCCGTTTCAGATTTCGGCACGCTCATATATGGTCCCTTACTTCGCATCATCGCTCGAATTCCATGCGTGTTCTGTAAAGTCATGCAAACGTTTCCCGCACTAGAGCAAAATATCCAAGGCGGAGGAACGGAGAGAACATTTACCACGGCTCGTGAATCCTAAAGCCACGGCCCAGGGTTAATTATTTACTGCCAATTGAGAGGTACTTAACAGCTACGATTCGCAGTCCCTATGCTTGGACTCGACAATCTTTAATTGGACCCTTAGCCAGGTGAGCTTCAGCTTGGATCACAATCCCAGCCCCGATGATCACATGACTTGGATATGTCATTGCGAACGGAGCCGTATATCCTTGATAGGTTAGGAGGTTCCCTCTGTAGCTCCTATAGAATCGGCTCAAACACCTTACCGAAATGGATTTGGTAGATCCCTGGAGGGACTCGAAAACTGAAAATGCTCCCGGTAATGCTACATTGGATCCTAAGTCGCAAAGCGTTCGCGAAACTATAGCAGCGCTCTCAAATCAAGAAGACATTTTCGCGCAGCTAGCGTGGCTCACGTCGAAGGAGGACTCCAACGTCGAAAACTATCGGGAACTTTTGCGTGGCGTACCCGACATCAATGACGTCCATACTACGGGAGTTTCTCTTCTTATTTACGCAATCTTATTCGATCACCCAGTGTACATCGAGGTTCTTCACGCACATGGTGGACTTGACGCCAATGCTCCGGACACTATAGTGGGCTACACGCCGCTCATGTGGTGCATGCACTTGAATCGACAGCAATGCTGCGTCGAGCTTCTGAACTTCTCAGAACAATTGGATTTCAATTACAAGAACCGCAATGGCTCCACAGCGCTTGACTTAATTGTACCCGGCACTCCGATGTACGAGTTCGCAGAAGAACACGAACTATTTCAAGTGGCCAATCACGACTCAGTACATGATATCTTCGAAGCGCCTGCATCCACTATATTAACTGATGATGTAGATCACACAATGGATCAGATTGATCTTCAAACGGCGGGCCTGACTATAGACGACACTGAAGCCTTCAAGACAAAGGACTCTGTTGAATTTCAGCCCGACTTTTCCGGGGAAATCCGTGATGAATCACGCTTCTTTGATTTCGACCAAACATTGCAAAACCAGTACATTGAGTTCGCCGATTACGATATCCCTAAAATACTGGATTTGATTGTGTCCCTACCTACAAAATTGCCTCATAGACCAAATGTTCCAGCTGCTATCATCTTTCAATGTATCAGGTATGCAGACCAGAAAAAAGAAAGCGATTCGCTTGTCGAGTCCATGTTCCGTCTCTCCCTCACGAAAATTATGGCCTCCGCTAGTACAGCTACGGGAGGAGTACTCAGTAACGAGACTGGCGACGTGGTTTTACAATCTTACTGGCTATCTGCACTCAATTTTCTTTACTATTATCTATATCGGCAAGAGGGCTTTTTCAAACGATACCCCACCACCTTACAGGAGATCATTGACGACCTTCGCACACTGATGGTCGAATTAATTTCCTCCATTCATACCCGAGTTCTTGCCCTTGTTGATACAACCATTTTAGAATATACGACTATTGCACAAGTCAAGCAAACATTATACAAAAAAGATTGGAACCTTTTCAAAAGAAGAAAGCAAAGTCATTTGAAGGGGACCCACACAGATAGTTATGACGAGATTTTGAAGATGTTGTATCCACCATCTTTAGAAGAACAGATGAAGCCCTCGCCTCTAAAAATTGTGCAAATATTTGGTGCACTATCCTATGTTTTGGACCTTCATCAAATTCACCCACTTGTTGCACAACAATGCCTATCGTTGGCAATCAAGTGGTTTTCCAGTTCATTATTTAACAAGATTATGAGCAACAAAAAAAAGTGTTTATCAAGGGCCCATGCAGTGCAAATTAGACTGAACATATCAGTTATTCAAGACTGGATTAAAAATCATGATTTTACTGTACCTCCTCCCAAAATGATTGATGATTTTATGTGGGAAAGATTCCCCTACACTTTGATACATAATGTCGGAGAAATCGATTTGTCTTCGAAATCACCAGATCTAAGAAACATTGCAACTTATAAGCCATTGAAAACTGATCATACAGAAGATACTTCAAATTCGCTTTTTTATTACCAATCATTTCATCATATTTCTCAAATTCATATGGAATCTCTGCTGCAACTTCTGCAGTGGCTCCAAGTGGCTACTTCCCTTGAGGACGAGGAAAGTCTAGATTCAACTTTATCATTATTGAATAAATTATCACCACTTCAATTGCTGAAGTCTATAGGGAAATACCGCTACGAAGTTGACGAATCGAAGTTCAACTCAGCGCTAAAAAAGAAATTATCTGCTATGTGCAAAAATAGTGTCGACAGTGATCAATATCTTCCTGAAAAAGTCCTACCCTTGCTTGCGTTACCTACAGTTGCCGAACTGATCGACAATTATTCTAGCTGCGAAGATAGTTACGAATTGTTACCCTTTTTGCCAGTCGATGTGCAAGATGATGTTGATGAAATTCACGAACAGAACTTCAAACAGCGTCAAATGGAGCACGAGAGAACTCAAAATGAGATCGAAGACGCGGAGAAGGATACTGATGAAGAAAATGATGATAGAGCATTTGAGGACGATGCAGGCGACGAGCTTTTTAAGCAGCTTAATGCACCTTCTGTGGCAGCTCAAAAGCCACTATGGGCGATTAACAGTGACATCGAAGCGAATCCTTGGTGATTTGTGCGCTTTACAAGTTCTCTCTCCTACAATGTTTAATAATGATTAAAGTTTTAAATTATTGTAAATATTATGATAAACCATGCAATTTTTTTTTGTGTGGATCTTGATAAATTAATTAGGATCATAGTCCAAGGACAGGCATGAATATTTGCCGCCTACATTATGCAGCTCAGATAGGCCTGTCTTCACTCTGACATGAAACTCTTCGATTGTCGAGTTTTCATCCGATTCTCTCGTTTTATTATCGACATTGAGATCAAATACGGGAGTATTTGTAATTCCTAGTCCATGAATGTCCTGTACACTTTCCCATCCAGTCTGCTGTTGAGTTACGAAATCGCTTTCCATCTCAGTAGTATCAAGTATCTCGTTCTCCACCCGTGATTCATCTGTAGCTTTCAAAGTGATGGGAGAGGGCTGGAACTGGCCAAATGCCTTCTCGATACCGATCGCGGGGGGAGATGCAAATCTTGAGCTACTGCTTGCAATTTTGCTTGCATTGCGTGTCTGAGATTTGATCTGTAATTTCTCTTGTTGACTGTGACGGTCAGGTACGACCAAATACACAAAAGAGCCTACACTCCACTCATACCAGACTTTTGAATCGGCCTGGCTGTGGTTTCTAGTGACAAAAACCTCTAATTGCGTATCGTCAGATATGAAAAACGGTTGCTTCAAAGGAAAAAATATTGGAGACCACGATGTCATGTTCGGCGTGTGTTCGCTTTTTATGTACAATTCAGAAGATGGTCTTGCATCATCTATGGACAATTGGGCAATATCATCATCTTGTTGAGCAAACAACTTAACGGTATGATCGTTAGGAAGAATTGATAATGTGACAGTACCGTATAACTTTGCCGTGAAATACCCAACTAAGCCATGGATTTCACCTTTATTTCTAATTTTAAACTCTGCGACAACTGACTTGGTGAATGGTTCCGAGAATGGAGTGCTCGGATGATTGAATGCCCAAATTTCATTGATTTTGGTGGATAAAATACAATAGGGAATGTTATGAATAACCCACAATTTTTCTTGTGAGTTAAGTTCCTTCATTTGGTGAAGCTTCTGATGAAGTAGTGGTGCAGAAACGGGAGCCAAGTATGAACTATAAGACTGAGGAATAAATTTAGTTGAAGGTTTCGAATGATTTTTCTGTATACTCCACAAGCATTCGGGAGATAATTCATTGCATCCAAAAGAACCGAGCAGCTCACTTATGCAAATATCTACCTTTATTGGTTTGTTCCAAGAGCACATATTCTCTCTAACTATATCCACAGCATCATTCCAGTATTCATATTTGCGCTTTTGTAGATATAAAAATGCCTCAGGATTCTTCTCCAGAGCAATAATATGATACTGAGGAACATTCAGCGCTTTGAGAGCCTGTAATGCCCTGTCGACGAGTGGCCCTCGCCCTGCTCCTGCTACCAAAACCACTATTGGTCTGTTATTCTTTACTAACATTGTCTTTTGTTCTCTAATGAGTTCCTCGAGAGCTTGTGTTATGGCTTGCTCATAGAGGTTGTATTTGGTTTGGTCCTTTTCAAAAGTATGATATGCTTCGTTTGCCAAGTTATCTTCGAAAGGACTTAGGGGCGGCATAATACGGGGAATACAGTCCGCTACGTTGGCGTACTCCATGCCCATTGCCTTGTCCCCTCTTTTCAGTAGATAATTGATATACTCCAAATATGCAGATTCTCCTCCTCTCACTTCATTGGCATATTTTTCTACTCCATGTAGAATAATACATAGTTCGCCAAGCTTTGGTTGAGAATTTCCATTCACTTTTTGAAATTCATGAATAATGTATTGATTGAACTTGTTTAACACAGGAAAGTTGTATTGGTTCGTTGCAAAAATTGATGAAGATACCAGGAGACATGTAACGGGCTCAGCCAACCACCTTTCTAAGACATAAGAAGGTGTTTTATCTCTTGGTAGGGCAAGAGAGATGGTGAGATTTTGATGGTAGTCACAAATCTTACGAATTGTGCTCCAGAGCTCCCATGTTGAAAGTGGATCTGTATCTTCGAATAGAGGAAGCGATATTGATAGGACAGGCGAATGCTCGTCTCCTCGCGAGAGCGCTTTTGCAATCATCTGGGCATATTGATGTAAGTTATTCAGGTCTCGAGGAGGTGCTAGAATCAGCTGTTTAATCCCCACAAATCTGGCATATTCCCACTCATTGACCAGGACCTGGAAACTCAATTCTCGAACACACGCGTCTCCGCTCTCCAATTCCAGCCAAGAAGAGATAAGACCGATATAGCCGGGTGTATCTTTGTCATTAGTAAAAGGTGGTACTGCCAATTCCTGCAGCTGTGGTTCTGGAACCCATAATTTTCTTACCCCAGGCGTTTGTTCTCGATACTCTTGGAAAACCCTCTTCACATGATCTCGATATCTTGAGTTCGTAATTGGAAGTAAAACATAATCATAACTATTGAGGGATTTGTCTTTACAGTCCTGGAACCCTGAAGAAGGTTTGAGCCCTACAAATACATTACTCTTCATTCCCTTTGCTTCTGCGTCTGCTGTACCTGATCAAATTTTTCGATTTCCTCTGTTTACCTTTTTTCTGGCATATCGACAAAACCTTATATCGTATAACGCGAAAGAAACTTGACATTTTGAAATTTTCTTGGTTAATCTTGAGTACTGCGATCACTTGCCAGTAAGCATCGATATGTACCAACATAGCCATAACTTCCAGGGGCGAAAGCTTACCGATCAAGAAAGAGCGCGAGTGCTGGAATTTCAGGAGTCGATTCATTACTCACCTCGTTACTCCGATGACACAGACGAGTACCGGCATGTTATGCTTCCAAAGGCCATGCTCAAGGTTATCCCATCAGACTATTTTAATTCGGAGACTGGGACATTGCGCATCCTCACGGAAGATGAATGGAGAGGGCTTGGCATCACACAATCACTGGGTTGGGAGCATTATGAATGTCATGCGCCAGAACCTCATATCTTATTATTTAAAAGACCTCTGAACTATAAGCCTGAATTACGGCCTGCAGGAGGATCCCAAGGCATTCAGACACAAGGAAATTGAACTGAGCCTGCTTAGATACTTTGTCACAACCATCGCTTGATTTTCACTGACCATGTTACCCTGTGGTTTTTACGCGCATCGCCATCTAGACGAACTTCCTGACGCATGTCCGTTGAATCAAACTGCTCTTTAATATTACGGTGAGCACGTTTATTTAGTCGCTGAAGCCCTCAATTACCTATTATGCATTCTACATAGCAGTGATATACAATCACGTGACTGTATATATGTGTTGAAGCTTTTATAAATTGTGTTAAAACAATCGCGTTGTGGGGAGCATTAGCAGAAGCCTTGTCAGGAGAGCCAAGGAGAATGGACTCGCGGGTAAAATTTCTCGATGAATTGATACTGGCGATTAGAAGCTCATCCAGTCCTGAACCTACTGGCTCCCAAGGTCCCACGCACAATGACAGCTTTCCGTTAGCCGCTCCTCATGCTGGCGATCCAAAAGCGACTAAGGTTTTGAAAACCCTGGTTAAAAACCTTCATGAAGCAAGATCGCCACCGGACATCTTCTACAAATCTATCGAAGCACTTGACATGCTGATACAGATGAAACCTTACATTCTTCATATACCTGTTGCTGGCGTTTCAGATGAAGTCGGCATTATATGGCTTCTCTCAAAGTTACATGACATTTCATGCATTCACTGGGAAAGAAACTCGTATTTGTGGGTGATACGGCGGAAGCTTTTTCAATGGTGTCAGTTAATCTCTGATACCGATGGCTTGAATTGGAGTGTCACCATTTCATCTCACCTTTTCAGCCAATTGACAAGGAAAGAAGAAGCTCTGAGAAGCTATCTTTCTGGCAATGGAGACTCACATATGTTTGTTGAATTGGCAAAAAGCATACATGTTCTATGTCAGTGGGGATGTTGCAAAGAGATAAAATCTGTGTTAGCTTCATTTGACACTGATTTGGACTCCAACAAATGGGAATGGTTTTTCGAACGTCTTCTACGCATTGTATTCTATGTTTTTGATTCTGTAATCCTGGACACTGCCGCCTTCGACGAGCTGCTATCGAAATTTATCGTTTTAGTTGCGGATTATGTCATTAACGGTCGACACCAATTTCATCGCATGGAGAGACGACTCACATCAGATACACATCTGAAATTTTGCCTTGGCATACTTTACAAGTATCTTCCGTATATTAGCGATTGGGATAAAATGCAAGACACGACAGTCGCCAAATCGCTACTTCGTATCTACTTGCTTGTTATCAGAGATTCATTTCTGTATCAAACTTTTGATGATAATTTTCCTCTAATTCAATGGTATAATACAGAATGTGATACTAATCAACCCTTTAAATTTGGGAAATTCACAAATAGAGCATTGTCTATTATACTTTTTGATATGCAGAGGCGATCTGCAGATCCCCAGTTATTAAGCAATGAAGACGGAGTTATGTGCTTGAAATCTGAGGAATATGTAATGCTTCAATCTCAAGTTTCATTAGCATTTACGCAAAGCCGGCAATTGGAAAATTTGCGGAAATGTATATTAGAGTCATTCAATAGTCCGAAGGAGACAGTACTGGATAAGGATTTTACTCTTTTTGGACTACAGGCGGAAAATCGTGATTTAGCAACTTATTTCGGGGAACTTGAACGCAGCATAATCCACTCTTTTCAATCTGGTAATCAGCATAAACTTGTATACGCTACGAGACTATTGGGTAAAATGGCCTGTTTGGAAAGTTCTTCTATGGCCACTTTACATAAGGAGTCGTTTTGTGAACAATGCGACCATCTATCACCAGGGAATCCATTTGTTGGTATAAATCCTGCCAGGCCAGAGGCAAAGCTAAAGAGTACGGCATTTCAGATTTTAGTTCGTTATTTTCTGAACTGTGATACATTGATTGAATTCAGCGAGTCTCTTCTCAGTGGAATTCTTTTGGCGCTGATAAGAATATTTACACATTTCCAGCCTCCTCCACTCTCTGTCAAAGAGCAGCAAATTTATGATCATACTGCGGCGTTTCAGTTTTTCCATAACTCCTTTGTGAATCCTAATAGGTATCTCAGAATTTTAAGTACAAAACTGCTGCCTTTGTGGAATTTTTCTGCCAAACACAACTTTGAAGATCAACACACAGCGGTGCTGATACATTTTCTTCAATCAAACGTCTCTCAATCTATAATCGAAACTTCATTAATGGCATGGGTACAATTAACTCTGACAACTTCGGGGGAAAGTTTTGATTCATTACTTCTCAAATTAGTTGATATATTCAACTCTACTAATTTTGTTGAGCGCTCTATGATGGGCCCTCAGTTAAGGTATATTGCTTCTCTGACTAAAAAAACCCCCTATCAGTTATTATCTCCCATCCTGCCCATAATGTTAAAGCAGATAGGGAAGAATCTGGTCGAGCGAAAGTTGTCCTTTGAAAGGCTAGTGGAATTTGTGGAGTACCCCTCAAAGACAATCTTAGAAAACTTTCAAAGATACATTATTCCTTACGCCATATCCCAATATAAAAATGATGTTATCACCGAAGTTGCCAACATCATGTGTGACTATGATGCAAGCGCACTATCAAAGCAAAAGGAAAGACTGCTGGACAGAAACAGTCGCCAAATATTTGCAGTGGCCCTTGTAAAGCATGGGTTTTTTTCGCTCGATACTTTGGAGACATTATTTCTTAACTGCGTTCCCACTTTTGACAAAAGCTACGTAATTGGATACCTTCCCGATTACCGAACTTTGGCTGAAGTTCTTAAACTATACAATAACGTCGAAGACTCTAATAAGTCGGTAGCAGATAATGAAAATATGGTTCTTTGTTCTTTAAGGTTTCTAGTTACAAATTTTGAAAGAGAGAAGAGGCATGGGTCAAGATACAAATCAATTTCAGAGTGGACCGCTGATCAAGAAAGCGCCTTTCAAAGCAAATTACAGGATAACATTCTTGGTATTTTCCAAGTATTTTCTAGCGATATGCACGATATTGAAGGAAAAACTACATACTATGAGAAGCTAAGGGTGATAAATGGCATTCATTTTTTATTGAAATATTCATCCAGCGAATGTATCATTTCAGCACTAGCACAAATTAGCATATGCTTACAGACTGGTCAAGAAATAACCGAAATTCAACTCAACACTTTTAAGTGTTGGTTATTTTTAATAAAGAGACTAAATGAAGAGCAACTCTCCACGGTAATAGATAGCTTGGTACCTTTTGCTCTACAAAAATGGGAAACCTTCAATTTGAAAGTGAAACTTGCAATTACTGATATCATTACCACTTTAATGGATGAGAAGAAGAATCTCATCTTGAATTCTAAGCCGCACATTACCTGGGCTCTATTGAATAAACCTGAGATCAATATCCTTGAGAAGAACAAGTCCTTCGCAAGAATGATTAATAAAGTTCTTTTGAGGACAAACTGGTGCCGCGAATATGCTGATATTTTGCGGAGTAACAACAAGTATGTGATCCTTCAGAGCTTGCATGACGTGCGATATTTTCTAAAACGCAGGCAAGCCGAACGAATGTTGCAACAGGACGCAAAAGAGGAGCCTGATAGTGATTTGCCAGTCTTACTTGGAAGTCTTTTAGATGCCGCCTATAGATTCAGAGTCTCAGATATCGGCATCAGCCAAAAGTGTGCAAGTTGTATTAGCATAATTGGAGTTCTGGATGTTACTAAGTATCAACTCATTCGAAAATCTACTCATATGGATGACGTATATGATTTCAATGATAAAAACCAAACAATAAAGTTTTTGATTAACATTATCAATAAAATATTGGTTCCCGCCTTTTGGGAAAGTGAAAACCCCACCAAACAGCTCTTTGTTGCTCTGGTAATGCAGGAATCTTTAAAGTATTGTGGGCTAAGTTCTTCCTCTTGGGATGTCCACAAACCTAATCTTTATCCAGACGAAGCCAAGCTGTGGGACAGGTTTGACGATACCTCAAAGACAACGCTTTATCCGCTCTTGTCTTCGCTATATCTTGCGCAGTCGTGGAAAGAATATGTTCCAATAAAATATCCATCATTTAATGTGAAGGAGAGTTATCGGGCGTGGGTAAAAAATCTTACGCTTGATTTGCTTAAGACAGCTACTAGTGAGGAACACCCCTTGCATGTCTTCTCTTCTTTAATTCGAGAAGATGATGGTTTTCTATCTGAAAACCTCCTTCCTTATATTGTTATGGACATTGTGATAAATGCAGAAAAAGGTACCGCTGCAGCAGATCTGCTACAAAACATAAAAGTCGAGTTTGAGTACATTTTCGAATATGAGTTGCGCTCGTTAAATCATTTTCAGATAGATTCACTTAAAATGTGCTACGACACAATCTTCAAAGTTTTTGAGTATTGCAAAAAGTGGATAACTCAGTTTAAGCAAGAATACAATCGACGGAATGGAACCTTTACTATTCGCGAGAAAAAGTATCTGAACATGCTCGAAAGAGCAGACCTTTTTCTAAAAATCATCCCATTTGGTGTGATGGCACAGAGATCGCTTGAAACAGACTCTTTCGAGCGTTCGGCGCTTTACTTGGAACAATCTTATCGCTTAAAAGACGAGAAATACTTCGGAAATGACAAACTTCTTCCCTATTTGCAAACTACTTATGCAGAAATCGGCGACATCGATTCTGTTGAGGGTGTATTGAAGGTTTTTTCTGCCGGTAGTATTGCATCGAAGATTGAAGAACTACAGTATTCTGATAACTGGTTAATGGCACAGCAATGTTATGAAGCTTTGGGCGACTCTACAGGCTCTAGTGCAAGGTATGAACAATTATGTGGATCAGCCACCACTAAAATGTTGAAGTCTATGTATCAACATCAGTTATATGATCAAACTTTGGTTAAACTCAGCACTCTTGCTCCTACTAATGTGCGAACTCTTAAAGCCCCCCAAGATGAATGGTATAGCATGGGGTTGGAATGTGCCTATCTCAGCGGCAATCATGAAGTTTTAACGGAGTGGACTCGAAAGGTGGAAGCACTAGAGTTTGTCGAAGATCCAAGTGTTCTATTGCATTACAACTTCGCAAAGGCACTACTATCCGTTTCCCATAATGATAGTCGAAAAATGAAAGAATTCGTTGATAAATGTTTCAAGCTCATTGGTACACATTTTACTGCTCCATCAGCCGGTACAACACTTTTGAAAAGAAGAGATATTTTACTTAAATTACACGCATTGCGTGATGTTTTAACTATTTCGAAAAGCACATCATCATACCAATTTATTGATGGCCTCACTATCTTAGATTCTCGCCTTCAAAAAGTAGGACAAGACTTTGAACCTAATCATTTTCTACTCTCAGTTAGAAAATCGTATGACTTATTGCTACATGATGAACCTGCACAATCGGACTTGGCGAACACATTTTTCAAGATTGCTCAAATATCTAGGGTTAATTCAAGAGTTGATTTGGCTAATTCTTCGTTAATGCGCGCACTCAAGTATGATTACCCTTCCGCCGAGCTAGAATATGCAGAAATTTTGTGGAAGCAGGGTGAAAATGATAAAGCGCTCAAGCTAGTTGCAGAAATTAATGAGAAGTTCAAGCAGAATCCTAGTTTGCAGCCAAGAGAAAAGGCAAAAGTTTTACTTAAATACACAGAGTGGCTGGATATGTCTAATAACTCCGTTTCAGAGCAGATAATAAAGCAATACAATGACATTATTCGCTTAGATCCGAAGTGGGATGAACCATATTATTCATTTGGGCTATATTTCAGTAAGCTCCTCGAGAAGAAAAATGCGGAAGGTCATATCACCACAGGCCGCCTTGAATTCAGATCAGTTTCATACTTTCTTCTAGCATTTGAAAAAAATACTTCAAAGATCAGAGAAGCGTTGCCCAAAGTTGTCACTTTTTGGCTGGACATTGCGGCTTTATCGATAACTGAAAACTCAGCTGGTCGTCGCGAAGTTTTGAAAAGATCCACTGATGACATCTGTAAACGTATCGAGTCCGCTGTGAAGAACTGCCCCACTTTTATTTGGTACTCTGTTCAGACACAATTGCTTTCTAGATTATTGCATGTGCACAAAGTGTCAGCTCAGTTGATAATGCATATTCTTCTAAATTTAGCGATAGAGTATCCGGCACATGTGCTATGGTATATTTCTGTTTTATTGAACTCCAATTTCTCTGAAAGAGTTACTCACGGTTCCCAAATAATGGAACGTTTCAAGCAACACTCCCTGAATTCTGAAAATCTAGTTGCTTCATCACAAGATTTAGTTAAGGCGCTTACTTTTGTCTGTACTAAGGATGTTAAATCGTCATCAAGCAGGGCAGGGCGATCTTTGGAAAAAGACTTCAGTTTCAATATGAGCTTCGCACCATCTGGCATGGCAGTTCCAATAAACGCAAATATGGAGATGCTCTCTCCGTCATCGGCAGAGAGTGTAAAAAAGTACCAACCTTTTAGACCAGTAATTACAATTGCAAAGTTTGGGTCATCTTATAAAGTATTTTCGTCCTTAAAAAAACCCAAAAAACTAAACGTCGTGGGATCAGATGGGAAGATATATGGGATAATGTGCAAGAAAGAAGATGTTCGTCAAGACAATCAATATATGCAATTTGCTACAACTATGGATTTCCTTTTGAAAAAGGATTTGGCTTCAAGGAAACGAGATCTGGGAATTATAACTTATTGCGTATTATCATTGAGAGAGGACTGTGGTCTACTTGAAATGGTTCCTGAGGTCACTACTTTGAGATCTATTCTCGTCACCAAATATGATAGTATGAAAATCAAATACAGCCTCAAATCACTGCATGAAAGATGGCAGAGCTTGCCAGATGATCAAAAATTAGGATTCTTCCAAGATTTAACATCCAAATTTCCTCCCGTACTTTACCAATGGTTTTTAGAAATTTTCCCGGATCCTACCGCATGGTACAATGGCAGAAATATGTTTGCCAGATCTTACGCCGTGATGGCTATGGTGGGGCATATTCTAGGGCTTGGTGACCGTCATTGTGAAAATATTCTTCTTGATGTTAGAACAGGGAAAGTTCTGCATGTAGATTTTGATTGCCTGTTTGAAAAGGGTAAAAAGTTACCAATACCTGAGATTGTGCCGTTTAGGTTAACTCAGAATTTGAGTGATGCATTAGGAATAACTGGCACTGAGGGCACCTTTAAAAAATCTAGTGAAGTTACTTTAGCACTGATGAGGAACAATGAAGTTGCTTTGGTTAATATCATTGAAACCATCATGTATGATAGAAACATGGATCATTCAATCCAAAAGGCATTGAAAGTCCTGAGAAACAAGGTACGAGGAATTGATCCGCGAGATGGCTTAGTTCTGAGTGTTCCAGGTCAAGTTGAGACTGTAACTCAAGAAGCTGCTTCGAAGGAAAACTTAAGCAAGATGTACGTTGGCTGGCTGCCTTTTTGGTAAGAAACCTGCGATCAATGTTCTCGAAGGATGTTATTATCATTAATGAATATCTAATTAGTTTTATAGCTCATTATATTAGTTTTGAATTATCTGGACGATAAGAGAGGAGAGGACGGAGTTTGGACTTGCCCTGCATTTGAAGGTGACTTTCCGTCATCCTGGTTTCCACCCATATAGGGAGGTGGGGGAACTGGTCTTCCTTTATTAAGTTCATGCAAATCTATGGCCTTGTCATTAATAGTAATGGAAACAGTAGGGGAGGGTGCTGCGTTTATATCTGTGGAAAAGCTATCAGAGGTTGATTCAGGGTACGTGTCCAGTTTTTCTTCGGAGATATGGGAAGGTGTCTTTGATACTTGTACATCTGTATCACTTCCTTGTGAAAAATCGTTCGGGAAGTTTTGCGCTTCAATGCCATGACGGGAAGAAGTTGAAGAAAAAGAAGGTGTAGCACCGCTGAATCTAAAAGTGTTGCCAATGGGGGAGCCATTGGAAGAAGTTGAGGATGCAGACCCAGTTCGACTCTTATTTGCAAACATTTCTGCAGCAATTATAGAGCGCAAATTTTCATTATTGGTAACGAGGCTGGCAAGCTCTTTTTCTTTACTCTTTGGGATGGCCCTTCTGCTCGATATCATTTCAGGTGGGCTTTGTGGACATGATTCAGCATTCTTCTGTAAATCAGACTTGGACGTATTGACAGTATCCTTATACCACTTGCCAAACTTTTTCATCCCAGTTTGAAGGTATCTTTTGGAAGTAGAGACTTCGTCGTGTACTGCTGCAGAGACTTCCAATTTTTTTGATCTCCAGGACGAATTATCCGAGCCATTAGAAGAGAATGAGGAACTAGAGTTTCTTGGAGACTTGAGAGCCGATTTGAAGTTTTCGACTGATTGGAGGGTTTTATTCTTGACAGCTTCGAGATCTCGCTTGGTTGGGGAGTTTTGCAACAAATCTCCGAAATCCTCGGACTGCTCTGTAGAGGAAGAAGACCGAACGCTCGAAGCATCATCGGACCTCCTTGGGGACAAGGATGATGTTCTGCGTTTGCGAACGGATGACCTGTCATCGTTTGCGGATTCGTCAGGTTTGCGTAAAAATGCGGGAGACTCTGGCTCCGCAGTTGTTGGGAAATGTACGTTATATTTATCCCAGATCCCACCTCTGTAGAGCTCTTGTGAAGTCTTATAGAAAGAAATGTCATCCATGAATGGTAGTACAAGAGATTCCTTGATGGCCTCTTTGAATTTACTCTTGATCACGTTGGTAATCATGTTGTAACTGAGTTGGCGGGCACTAACTACAGGTTCCACATCAAGATCAAGATGTGGTTCCGTCTCAAACGCGTACCATATTCTGTCGGTTGGAGGAGGTTTGATGAGAAGGACCATAGGACCACTTAACTCTTTGACGGTCATTTTCAACTCGATTCTCACTTCTCTTTTTTTGAAACGCGAACTCAAGTTAATGTTGACTTTGGTGGAAACAATGAAGGAAAGGCCACCTCTGTAAAGTACATTGAAGCCTATTCTGGTGAGTCCATCGACGGTGAGTTCCTTCAAGTGGGGATTTGTGAAAAATGGGGCCGCGGTACCAACGTCGACGCTCTCTATGATGAAGTCGTCTAAAAAACCCGGTTTGTTGATCTTTGTGAGTTTTTTGTAAAGCCTGTCGCGAAGATATAGGGAGAGACTTTCAGTCTGTTGAACGCCAAGAAACAATCTGCCAAGAAGGGCGTTGAGCCACTTGGTGGTGAGTTGGCCCTCCGTGGAGTTTAGCGTTTGGATGAGCGTGAGCACGTCTCGGGTCTTGAAGTGAGCAGTCTTGGCAGAAATGTCGGAGTTGAGGAGGGTATTTTCGACAGCATCGGAGGTGGCGTCCGAGGCGCGTATGAGTGAGAAGTACCAGTCCTCCTTTTCGACATTATTGCCGACGTAAATGAAGAACTCATCGAGGTTTTTCTTGGAGGGATCGCTGTCGCGGCGATTGAAGGTGAGGTGGCCGTCGGGGCCCACGTTAGCGATGCCCTTTCTGAAAATGGCAATGCAGGTTTTCTTGGTGAAGAGCGAGGTCTCGAGGGCCTCGTTGTCCGGGTCGCGCGGCCACAGTGTGATGAATACGTTTTTCAACACCACGACGTGGACCACGCTGGCTCCGACGGAGTCGTCGCGGTACAGAAACAGGTTACCGTGCTTGAGAACTGCGAAGAAGCGATGTTTTTTCTTGAAGTCGGACCTGGTGGGCGCGTTGCCGTTGGCGTCGGCCATGCGCGCGAGCTCTGTGTGGTGGTAAAAGTAGTGGGTGGTGACTGTGAGCCAGCCTTGGCGGTAGACGTTGACGCCCGAGGCCTCTTCGAGCTCACCGACCTTGAGGTCGGGGCTGATCTCGGGGACGAGCAAGTCGGGGTCAGGTTGGCGCGGGGAGTTTCGCTGCACTTGGGAGCAGGCTTGGAGGAGGGCCCAAATCACCAGGATGGGGAAAGTGAGTCCTCCGAAGAGATAGGTGAGCAGGAAGAGCGTGAAACTCATCGCTATGGGGGGGGTTGATGGTGCGATCGGCGGGATGGCAAGAATACAGATGGGACAAGACGTGCGGGCGATTTTTCGCGAGGAGGGGGTGCGGATGGAGCCGTGCTCTGTGATGTATGGAAGCCGAGGGTAATGACCGAGGGCATCTGGTGCGTGGGTGTTATTTGTTCGTACAAAACTACTCGTCACGTGATCGTGTGGCTGCGGTGCTCTGAGTCGCTTTGTACGGCCCTTGCCCTCGCGCTACATCTACAGCTACGTCTGTTCTCTACGCGGTACCTCAGAGTCATTAAATCAGTTTTTCAAGTGTGTTCATCGACCGGTACTTAAACCGGCCTTAGACAGTGTGAATATAGAAAATCATCACAGGTACCTGGCCCACCGTCGCGCCATCCGCTGATTGCCGCTGACTGTACGCCCAACGTAAATCCCCTACTTCTTCCCTGGTTCTTCCCTACTTGCCCCCCACTTCCCCCCTCCGAAAATCTCCCCCATGCTCGCTCAGCTGTCTCGCGACCACTCATCAATTCTCGCCCCGCCAGCGCCCCCTAAATTTGTACACTGGAGGCGCGACTACGCCCGCGGAGCGGGCGTGGCGCGGCGATACTGGTTATGTCCGCCCGGTCGGAACTGGTCATCACCGCAGACGGCGGAGATCGGAGGGGTTTGGGTCTTGGCACAAGACTCGCTTCCGACGCTACACCCACACCCACGCCCACCCACGGACCTTCTTCTCGCGCCCAGCTCATACAAGGCTGAAACTTAACGATATGCAAGGTTGTCGACACGCAGTGTACACTATTCAGTCGGAACAATTGGTATAAAAAGTGTATAATCACTGCTGGGCGGCCGACCGCACCGCCTGGTGCGATGGTTGAAGAACGCCCGCAAGGTAGAGTGTGGGATGCCTGGGGCATTGGGAAGCACCCTGGAGGAAAGCCGTCGCCCGCGCAGCGCGCTCCTCTTATAGTGGCGGGAGGTTGGAAAATTTTTATAAGGTTAGGGCGGGCGGCACCCAGACCCCGCGCGGTGCGTGGGTGTGCGGCCCGCGCACGTAATTGTCGGCGCGCGTTTCTTTTTGCGCGCCCGCACCACGGCTTTTCCAGAAGCATAATAATAGGGCATCCGGCGATGAGCAGCAGTTGTTCAGTTGTCTCCCACGGTTACATCCAGCCAGAGCGTGCTCCCCGTACCAATTCCACACACGATGGCAAGCAGCAAAGCAGGTGGCAAGAACGGCGGCCACACGGCCGCCAGGTCTCCCGGGAAGGCCGGCTCACGCGCGCGTGAGCCCGCGCCAGGCCCGGTTTTCAAGGTTATTAACCACGACATTACGACGGACGTGATCGAGCCTCTGGCGCCCGCTGACGCGGGCCGCGACGCTGGCCGCCACGCTGGCATCGCCAGCGTCGCAAGCGACGCGCGTCACGACCACGACGACGACGGCGACGGCGAGCTGGCGTTTCCCTCGCATCCGAAACGGTTCCGTGGGCACGCCGTCGCCGCGGCCGAGACGGCCGCGGCCGCAACACACGCGTGCGACGCACTCGAGGAGATCGAAAAACTGGTGGGCCGCGACGGCGTGCTCGGCACCACCGCCGACTTCTGGCGCGAGGTGGCGTCCGCGTGCGAGGACGTCGACGGCGACGGCGACGAAGACGTCACGAGCGACGGCGCCAGCTCCGATTTGGCCCCAGCTGCCATGACGCCCGCCACGTCGCCGCTCGCGTCGCCCCTGGCCGGCGACGAGCCCCGGCTCGAGGATTTCATCAGCGACGCGGGCACGACCAGCGCGCCCGCGGCCGCGGCCGCCGCTTTCCAACCGCGATTCCAGATCAAAGAGCTGTGTTTCCGCGACGCAGACGGCAAGCTCGCGCTCACGGCGGCCGGGCCCGCCCACGTGCACAAGCCTGCGCATCTGCGTGCGTCCAAGAGCAGCAAGCGGCTCATCAAGCGTGCGTTGCGGCGCAAAAGCGGAGTGTGGGAAATGGTGTGCCCCAGCGTCGCGGTCGCGGAGTTCATGCTGTTGTGAGGGCGCAGTGCCCGCCGACGCAGGCTTCGTGGGCGCACGCACGGTTTTGGGTTCGGGCCCGGACGCGTTTGGGCCCAGGTTAGTATTTGATTTTGCTCCAGGGACTGCCCGCGTGCTTATTTATCGGACAAGAATGTAAATAGCGGCCCTCGAGGGCCACAGGTAATTACGATGTACACGTACTGCTTCTGGGGGCGTGAGAGCGAGAGCGAGCGTGGGAGAGCGAGAGCGAGCGCCGTGTCTCGTCTGAAGTGACATCAACAAGTCGCGTGACCCGTACCTCTTTTTTTCCCATCTTCTTCCCGCCCCTATCGTCTTCCTCCCTCGTGACTCTCGGCCCAACCTCGCCCATCTCCGTCCTTTCACTTCCCACCATGTCAAACCAGTCTGGTATCACCGCCAGCCAGGATCTCCTCGATCTGCTTGCCTCCACCGTCAGCGACGCGGCCTCTGGGCCTCTAGACCCCGTCGTCGCCGCAGAGATCTCCCCCGACAACACGGCTGTGGTGCTTCACAAAACGTTCCCCGACCACACTCGGTTGCAATCCTATGTCAAGTCGCTATCCTCACCCCTGTACATCTTCGTCAAAAGCGGTCCGCAGCTCCATTTTATCGCGTACGTGCCGGAAGACGCACCCGTGCGCTCCAAAATGCTGTACGCGTCCACCAAGAATACGCTGTTGAGGCAAGTAGGCTCGAACCACATCGCCAGAAACCTGCTGTTGAGCGTTCCTGAGGAATTGGCCCCCGAGTCGTGGGAAACTGACGATAACGACGCTGGTGCGGTATTAACCGAGTCCGAGCGTGTCAACTTGAAAATCGCACACCAACAACAGCGTGACGTGGTAAGAGGCGGGCGCCAGTTGGTATCCCAAACCGGTGGCACTTCCCAAACCCTCAGTTTCAAGATTTCCAGCAGCCAGCCTATTCCCGAGCTATTGCAAACACACAATGTCGTCTCTTTTGTGATAGATTTGCAAAAGGAGCAAGTGGAGGTCCAGGATACAGCCCAAATCTCCCAAAAATCTGAATTGCCCGCCCTTATCAACACCGAACACCCCAGTTACACCATCTACGCCAGTAACGGTAACTACTACTTCATTTACAGTTGCCCATCGGGCAGCAAAGTGAAAGAGCGCATGTTGTACGCATCCAACAAATCCGGGTTTGTAAAACACCTACTCGAACATGATCACTTGACCATGCAAAAAATTTTTGAAATTGGTGACCCTGAAGAATTGGAATTGGCAGAAATTGAGCCTGCTCCAGCGGTCGCAGAATCAGCCAATCCCTCTGCGGGGCAATTGAAGTTCAACAGGCCAAAAAGACCCGGTAGAAGATCTTAAACTATACCGGCATTAGCATGACATCTCTATTCCTAATCTACGTAACTCCTTCAAAACCATTTTATGCGCCTCTGCATCATAATCAATTATGCCCGGTTGGTATACATTCCCCGATATCCGATACAGATTTCGCGATACACTTTTATTCACCTCTGTATATTGATCCTTTGTTATTTCCTTACCAGACCCGTGATAATAATAATCTAGCGACTTTCGTACGTGGCCTTGAATCTTGTTTTTGTTCTTATAGATCTCCTCGTTTTGATGCTCTTGTAATCGAGACAGTAGCTTCCACGATTCCATCACCGCATTATTACCTCCAGATATAGTTTGTGGTATTATTGGTGTGTTGGCCAATGCTTGAGATTCGTACAGTCTTTGTGTCACCAAGCTGGGTCCTTCCATTAGTACTCGCGGTATGGCATTTCTTCCTCTGTAACGATACCTTAAGGGTGAGGACGTCACATTTACAAGAGTCCCCTGGCAATCACTACACCGGCTCTCACTGGATCTATCGCCGACCTCGCAAAGGAGGTCCCTCAAACAATATTCATGATAAATGCTCCGGCAATCAGTGCAGCATTTGTCAATATCTGAGTCCATAATTCCACATATACCACATTCTAGTAAAGCCATCGGAGGTCTCATCTCTAGAGGCGGAGTGTCATCTTCTAAAAGACTCAGTGTATCTATTCCATTGCTCAATATCGATATCAGCTGGTTTAGATTGTAAAACTCGTCTATATCAATTACGACATTGTTGTCCAAGTCTTTCACTTTATTTGAGGGGATTCGGCAAATAGGACATTTCTTATCATGTGAATGATTATGCCACTCTCTCAAGCATGACAAATGATAGGCATGTTTACAACTCTCTAGGCAGCCTATATTATCGACAAGAGGCTCTAGACATATCGAACAGAGTTGATTGGGCATTTTTGGTGATGTTTGTGTATCTTGGTAATCTCCGTACAATTTAGGGCACAGTTCAGAAATAATTCTTCTAAAAACTCATCGGCACTACAACAACTCTATTGTCCACACAAAATAATGTCTCGTCACCAGTTCGACTTGGTAATGTGCATGAGGCAACCAGGCACTCATATTGGAAAGTTATGTGAGAAATGTGATGGAAAATGCCCTATATGTGATTCCTATGTAAGGCCCAAGAGTAAAGTAAGGATATGTGATCAATGCGCTTTTGGAGCAAATGCTAATAAATGTATAATATGTGGACAACTCGGTGTTAGTGATGCGTTTTATTGTTGGGAATGTTGTCGCCTTGAAAAGAGTAAAGATGGTTGTCCCAAAATCTTGAATGTGGGAAGCAACAGAACGGACAAACACTTTGAAAGGAAAACGCTGGAATCGTCTCAGCAAAAAATGACATGATGAATACGCATGTGTATTAAAACTGGATATATTTAAAAGGTATTTAGAAGTTCATCCATATCAAAACTTGTATCATGATCGTGATCATGATTTGTTGTGCAATCTGTATCACACCTCTCCAGTGTTTCATTGAAAATGAAGCTTTGTTCTACAGAGCTTCGAGCACTGGAGCTTTGACTTTCGGAGAGATCATTGAGCTGTAACATGATCCCCATATATATCTGGTTTCTGCGGATTTCGTAAAGCAGCCATTCCATCTTTTTAGACAACTGGATTGCATACTCCATCATATTAGAACGGATTTTGGACGTTATTGGAAGTGTATGTCGAACACTATCCATTAAACAGCTGAAATACTCAAGCTTCTCTTGTTTCATTGATTTGTTGGTTTCAAGCTTCTTCAGTTTTTCATGCACACTGGTTTTCCTCAGCGACGAGATCGTATGGGATATAGCACCCATGTCAACGTAGCAACCATCAAATGCTGCGATGATGTTGATGGAATCAATCCAATTTTTAGCTTCGTATTCGCTACAGCACTTGAAGGTGTATTTTTGGTTGTTGCTGTAAAGATACATTATGGGTTCATCAATATTTGAGTGTGGGCTCTGAGGAGTGCTTCCGGGACAAACCAGCTGTCCCATCCTTGATCTCTCCGTTGCAAATAGCCCGTTGCACCCCAATATCATATGGATTTCAACAGCTGGCTTGCAATCAAGAATATAGTTTGATGTATTTGTTTTGGCATCTGTGATAATAGTTGGATCAACCCAATCTCCATCATTGAATACAAAGAGACAACAACTCGTCAAAATACCAAAAAAGTTTCGCCATGATGTTCTGTTAATACTTCCCACTATTGAAAATTTTCTGTTCGTGAAGAGCTCTTCCAATTGCCCCATCTGTATGATCTTCAAGTATACATAATCTGACTCTTCGTCATCGGGGAAAATGGTATCGTAGTTTCCTTGTAGAATTGCCGCAGCATGTGTTTTCTCGAGGCATAAATATCCACCTTTCGTTTCCTTGATAACAGCCATGTACTTGTTATAGATCTTTGAGCGCTCATCACAGATCGTTGTTTCAAAGGTGTCATCCCAGATATAGTCGACATCTGCTTGGAGCATCACAGATTTTAAAGAATCGTTTGCAATGTGGAAATAAATATCGATATCATCATTCCTAATGGATATGTTACTTAGAGATGATGGTGAAGAGGTATTTGGAGTAGCATTCAATGAAATATATGATACTAGTGGATTACTACTTGAGCGTCCTCCCATCATTAATGGTGAAATATCTGGCCTTGAAAATAAACTCCCAGATTTGATTATATCTTTTGGCGAATATGGTACTGGCGTGTGGAATTGATTGTCCACAGGCTGATTGTCCCCTTCATCAAATGTAGCTTCTTCGCTTCCAAAGACATTCAAGGGCAAATCAACTTGTGAGAACTCCCGCGATGTTATGTTATCGTAGAAATACTCCAACAATTCCTTGGGTATCAAATTACCACCTGATTCGGAATCTGTGCGTAAGAGCCTTACAAAGTCCTGCTTTAGCATTTTAGATTTATTATTTGCGTTGAATGCATCAGTGTGTAGCATTAGAAGAGAATAGGTCATAAAGTACACTTGATCTGAACTCTCCCACATGCTGTTTACTTTATTAGTTTCATAGTAAACCTTGCTGAACTCGGTGAGGACACGGTCTATTTGTTGTGTTTCTTTCGGAAGCTCAATAAACATGAGAAGCTTTCTGAGAGAGATATCCAAAGGCTCATCTTGGAATTCAAAATAATTTTCGATGAAAACATTGAGACATTTGGTTTTGAAAGGATCATCCTCTTTGCTTAAAATGACGGATATGAATTTCCCGTAATCACCAAGTTTCATTAGATATTCTTCACAAGAGTCTTCCGGTAAAGGTTTAGGAGGACTTGGAAGAAATTCTAACGCTAACAAATACTTGGGAGGATTGCCTTTACTTGAAAAACTGGACTGTTTGATTGAAACGAAATTGCTGATGGCGTTAACTATGGAATTGCTTCTCCGTGAACTAGAGTTCGAAAAACGCGGAGACGCTGGAGGTTGGGCTGGGAAAGGAATTGCAAGTTGAGAGGTGGATGTGTTTGGAGGAATTGTGTTCGTAACAGGACTGGTCATGTATTGGTTGTTGAGCGAACTATTTGACCTCACACGAGATGTCTGCGTATAATTTCCCCCTTTCTGTTTTTTCTCCTGATCTAATGCCCCAACCGTCTTACTACGTCTCCTCACAACAGGATTTATGGTAAGCATGGAGCCCTGGTCGCCGCTGCTTTCCATTGAATTGCGCGAGCTTTGAGAAAACGTCGATAACCTTTTGCTGGCACCAACCTCAGAGTTTGAACGTACCAGACTCCAGCGCGCATAGTATGATCGGTGCCTGACAGAAGATCCAGTAGAGGATGCTGTATTTATTCTGCTTATACTTCCCATACTGAGCCTTTTTTCCATGGAGCGCTTGCCTGACTTCTTAATAGGCTCGCAATCAAAGCACACCATGTTATCGCTAACAGAATTGATCTTAGGCACTGCTTTTAGCAGTGTGTCACTGTCTTGGTCCTCCATATTATTGTGTTGGAACCAAGACTTTGTTTTCTCTCTCAATCTGTTTAAGTTGTGGTGATTACTGGAGTCGCGCGATCGTGTCGACTTCGACCCTTCGCTGGACGCCTCTTCCGCTCGGCTTTCGGAAGTGCTTTCGACACTGGATGTGGATTTAAAGTGTAGATCGGGCAGACTTGTCATGCGGTTCTTCAATGTGCGAAACTTGCCCCCTCTGGATTGCTTTGGCACCTGCAATTGCTCTACCTCCTCATCTGAAACCGCAGAGCTTTCTTCTTTAATGCAGTTCAGACCTTCTGGTGTTTCCACATCTGCAAATGCATCTTCCTGTGACTTCGAGGGTTTTGCCGCCGTATCCTCCTTCTCCACCGGTGGGGTAGCTTCGTCAGAGGCACGTTTCCTCAAGTTACCAAGAAATAGACGGGACTTGAATAAAACAGCAATTGACTGGTTCATGAAGGTTGGGGTGGATGATACTAACCCTTTACCCGCCGAAAGAGAACACTAGTACCCAACGAAACCCAGATAAGGTTGCTACCGTGTGACCCGAATCGTTTAAAGGTTTATACCTATGTCAACTTTTGTCCAAAAAGATATTTGGGCAACTAAAAAGTTGTGAAAAAATGATTTCGCCCAGGATCGAACTGGGGACGTTCTGCGTGTTAAGCAGATGCCATAACCGACTAGACCACGAAACCATATTAAACTTTGTTGCCAATCAAAGATTTAGCTTGCTATCAGGCCTATCTATAAGATCATGAGCATCAAAATCAGTATTATTTGTTTGCAATTGATGGCTGTATCTTTAGAGCCGTTGGATGAAGGGGTATGCCCATTGTTGAAAAATGTTGATAAAACTTAGAATAGTTATAATTTCTCTTAGCATGATTGCTTGTTCGACTGCTGCTTGAAAGGATAAACAATTCCTTAACGGGCAATGACATGCTTTACTTCATTCTTTTGAAGATCGTGTTTGGTCTTCGTAAAATTATATAATTAAATACCATTAACGTCTTTCAGAGGGGAAAAGAATAATCGATCACAAACACTTTTTCCTGCAATAAAAACACACTGTGATAACAAAGTTTACCAAGAAGCTTGGCAATTTTCTGAATCTACTCTCCGCCTTCTCACCCATATTTGTAAACTACTGTAAACAATTGCGGTGGATGGTTTGACATGATATAATACAAATGTGTTCTCAATAGTAAAATGCCCAACAATTCGATTGGACGCCACAGCATACGGCTACTTGACGCCTGCTGCTGACATTTATGTGGCACGGTACAGTTTTCGTGCTGAACCAAGCCTTCTGTAACTATTGGTAATGAATTCGCCCCGAAATCCTGCCGAGCGCGCGGCAAGACCTAAACGCCTCCATCATTGACAAAGAACCCTAAAATCAAGAACAAGCCTCCTCTACACTTTTAATGCTTCACCCTCCTAGTTCATAACAGCGTCACTTGTAGAATTTCTCACAACCAAATATGGAAGAAACTTAGGATTCATCGCAGAGCTGAGAGAAGTGAAGCCACCATATTACTGTAGCGACCTTTGCTCTAATCTTGCAATTATTTTTCGCCAGAAAGATGGCTACATATTGGCGACTACTGCAAATTGTTTCGATGTCTCGCTTGATGTCGTCATAACAACTATTCTGAGATGAGCTATCTGCAGGAACATTTTCGATCTAAGCCCTATCTCGATAATACATTTTATACAATCTTAGGAAAAGCAGTTACATGTATTGAAGAGAACTATTTGCTTAGCTAGCGACGACCCAGAATTTCACTTTTTCTTTCGGTGATACAAGATAGGAGTGAGTGTTGGCGCGAAAAACTTCAACTACCGTCGTTACTTTTCAATTCCACGCTTTTGAACAACGCACAGATTAATTGGCTATGTCTGTTGATTTCTCACCTTCTGAGGAACACTACCTGAAACGGGAACTCTTGAGATTGCAGCTTAGTGATGAATTCGAACTTTTGAACGACCAATATGCCTTGCGGAAGTTTGGGTATCCCTTTTCTGATCAGGATCCTGAATCCAAAAGTTCTCATAAACGCATCAAGCATGTCCTTAACACTCCCCGGCAAAGCGGAGCGAGCGACAAGTCTGTGAATGAAAAAGAAGAAAATGGAATAGTTACTGATTTCCCCATGCTCAGACACTTTCTCAGAACATTCGTGATGAGCTTGCCCCTACTGTCGCAGGATTTGGCAGAGGGTGAAGAGTTTTGGCAGGAAAAGGTACAGGTATTCTTCGAGCACTTCATGGGCATGAACTTCAGTAGCAGTTTTGACAGGGAGGAGGAAACCAAGAGAAAGAAAATTGCCGTCAAGCTTTCGAAGGTAGTCTTATTAATGTATAACTCTGGAATTGGCTGCTCCCGGGAAATTACTTACTATGAACATGATAAGTTTGAGTTGCAGGACGAAGACACGGAGATGCGCAAACGCACGAAAATGGACAAGTTTGTGATGCCTACCAGAGAGAGTTTAAGGTATTTACTAACAAGTGAGCCGCTCTACATCAACGGCTGGGATGTGAACGTCATTGCCGTGACCGATCGAGCTTCATTGTATGGGATCGAAGCTAAAGTCTCCAAACCGACAACACCCAAATGGATGAGGAGCACTTTCGGACTGTCTCCTACTTCGTTTACTTCTCCTTCGAAACTCTTTTCAAAATTGACCATGGCTGACACCACTTCCAAGGCTAGCAAGTATCTTTTCATCGTAAAAATTAGAAAAGAGGATGATGAAGACAACAGCACTTACGCCGCCAGAAGCTATGAAGATTTTAAGGGTTTGGCGCGTAACTTAAAAAAAGAGTTTCCAGGAAAGGCTCTACCCAAGTTGCCTCATAGAAGCAAAGTAGGAGTGTCTACTACTACGACTCTAGATCATTCTGAAAGTAAAACAAACGAAGTGCCTTCTACCCCAACAGAACGGATAGTTTCGGTGTTTCCCAGTGCAGAAACACCAAATGATAGAATTCTACCCTCCTCACCAGATCTATCCTCCTCTCCTTTCAAACCTGATCTAGCTTCACCTATATCTGAGAGCTCCCTTGATGGTGGGGATGACAATGACGATGATTTTGAGGAATTTAAAGATGCATCCGATAGCATGACAAGTCATTTACCTCGGGAAAAGATGAGAACATCTTTAAGGCAATACCTGCGTACTTTATGCGAAGAAAAGGAAATCGCACATAGTTTGTCCATACAAAGGTTTTTGATGAAACAAACTCTGCCCAGCGAAAAGCTGACCAAAGCGATTTTACAAGATATGAAAAATCGGGAATCGGTTGATGTCTTGAATCTTGAAAATCAAATTACATTTCAAAAACTAGCATTCGAAAAATCATTAAAGCTGCAAGATACTATGAAGGAGTTCAAAACGTCTGTTCTCAAGGATCAAACCTTTTTATTAGGATTATTTCAGGAGATAAGGGATAAAGAAAAAGTTGAAGAGTTGTCGCCCACTTTAGTGAGTTTTTTTGACTGGTGTAAGGTGAACCTTTCTGCCACGATCTACCAATTGTTTTTAGGTAACGACAGCGGATATGAGTTTTATACTCAAATCAAAAGGCTTCATAAGCTACTTCCCTACACGGTTATGATTCAAATTTTAAGGTTCACAAACCCAATGGCAATCATTAAAAATATGATGGACTTGTTCATGGCTAGACCTTTCGGTGGAAAATCTTTACTACAGACAATGTTCTCTACCATCTTGACTGATGATTTGAAATCTCAATCCAAAATTGCCAAAGATTTAGAGGAAACAATTAGCAAGGAAAGTTCTTTCGGTGCTGAAATTACCGAAGCTTTGTACAACGCTATTTTCAAGAATGATCACAATGAATACGTAGACATGACCGCAATTCACGAAGATGCAATGTCAATGTCAATGCCATTATCATTAGTTATTGGAATGAAATGTTGCGAAAACAAAAAAATTTCACAGGACGCTTTGAGTGAGTTGATCGAGTCTTACACAGCATGGAAAAACCATAAGAACTCCTCAGAGTCAGTGCTATCACCAGTCGAGTCTAACTCATCGCTCGACAATTTTCCAGGCCTTTACTTTTCCCACGTTCGTGGATTATTGCAAACTTACATCCGTGAAAGAGACAAGAAGTTGATGAGACAAATTTGGCAGGACCCCCAACTGCCACAGCTTTTAAAATCAATGGTGGCGCTCTTTTATGAACCTTTGGTGAAAATATTCAGGGTCTCCAAAATGGACGTTGCATTCAAAAGTTTTGAGAAATTCATGGATGACTTAATCGAGCTTATTGATAATGTCATAAACGGCCAGGCAGGTTATTCCACTGCTTTCAATGTCGTTGACGGTATAAATAAGCTGGTGGATAAGCACGAAGGAGCGTTTTATGCATTCGTACATGACATTTGCATTCATGATACAGAGCACATTTTTGAGGGCTTTATTAAATGGCTAACCATGATTGTTAATTTCCTCCAAAAGAGCAAATATGGGCAATCTACTGAGAGAGTTGACCTCGTAAACCTTGTGGACAAATCCTCTGACATTGGAATTGATATTGAATTGTTAAGGAAACAGTTAGCAGATGTAATTGCCAATAAGAAGCATGCTCGGCAAATATACCAAAAGCTAGTTGACGCAAAGAGATCTAAACCGAAGAACACTGATAAAGTTTCAGACATGATGAAACAGAAATGGCGCCAGTCAAAGGAAGCAATAATTCCTAACGGTAGTAAGGAGCTTGGCTTCCAGGATGGTGAACTTGTGGACCTTGATTTAGACGTGGGTGACTTTGAATACCTTCACACAGAAGAAGATGAACTTCAACAAGAATATCGTGATATTCTCGAAAGACAAGTGGACGAGAGTGAAATTTCAAAATTCAATGACTTGGTTTTCAAAGATGTCCTGAGAGATATTCTCAAAATATAGTACATATCCTTAGCTAATAATTTACAAAACAAAAACTCATCATTTTTGCATTTTAATCACTTCTTTGAGAGCTGCAAACGGATTTTGCTGGAATTGCTGGTCACGTAGGACTGTGCTAAAACGCTGAGTTTCCTTTTGAGCCAGTATCTTTGCGCCCTTTTGGTTACGAATGTTAGGCTGATTTTTCTTGACTACGATTGAACCTGATTCAGCTGGAGTAGAATGTGCGGGAGATAAATTCTTTGCTGCTACAATCTTTGTAACAGATTGATTATCATGCTCTTGCCCATGCTCCATCGTCTCTTGAAGTACACCCTCTTGCTCCAAGGACACCAGCAGATCATGCATCTTAGGTTTCAGGTCGTCTCTCAGTTTCCGCTTACGACGTCTAAGAGCTGATTTGGAAATACCGGCACCCAGAGACGATTGTTGCTGTACTTTTGTGAGAAAGCTGTGCGATTTATTGTACATTTTCTCCTTTTTGGTTTCCCTAGGCTGATGCAGGAATGCCTTTGGATCTTCAACCTGTGGCCCCATCGCGACATCGACGGGGTCTGTTTCAGCAGCTTGATTCAACCTAAGAGCCGCCTTAGTTCTCAGTTGGTTTCTCTTCTTCGCGACCATAATGGAAAGAGCTAGAGAGGGAGTACAGGACCTAACTATGAGCTTCGATTCTTGTTCAAAAGTAGAGAGATGAGATGGCTTCAGGAAGATTAAAGTGAAAAATTTCCAGACACATGGATCACGTGATCCAGATTCGAAGAAGCATAGCTAGCTTTTTGATATTCGGCCAGAGATTAGAATATATTCATGAAGATAGTTCTTAATTCGATATTGAGATTACGTGGTTTAACTGGGAACTGCTTATCGGCTAAGGGAAGAGAAACCTTATAATTAAATTCAGCAAGTGTGCTTCAAACGCGGCGAACCGCAATTTGAGCCGTTAGAACAGCTCACACAATGGAAGATTCAAAGTACTGTACCTATAGTTGCCCTCATCGCTACAAGAACTTTCGAGCGCTTCAATTGCTGGATCCCTCTCTTCATAATTCATCACGAATGTACACCCTTGCATTTGGTCAACCAACAATTACCTGAATTTGAGATTTGAAAAATTTTAAAGAAAACCACATCAGGATTGCCTTGAATCCAAGTAGGGGAATTATATCACTCAATAAAAGATGTCTCAGCCTGGACCTGTTACGAGAATCCTAGCAGTGAGCGGTATAACCGCGGCCGTCGCAATGGCCGGCTATGCTCTTTACTTCGACCACCAGAGGAGAAACAACCCTGAGTTCAGAAAGAACCTGAAACGCAAATTAAAGAAACACGCGGAAATGGAAAAGTTGGAGAAGGAAAAGGCTAAGCAATTGAAACTTGCGCAAGTTGGGGAATACTTGACTGCAGAACTTGCGAAGGATCCTATTTCTACTGACCCAGAGCAGAGAGAAGTCGTGTTTACGTCCAACGTTGAGCTCGGTGAAAAGTTAGCCAGTGTGCCCGGTAACGAGCTTGAATCTGCCTTGAAATTCTACAAGGCTTTGAGCGTGTATCCTAACCCGGCTGATTTGCTAGGTATCTACCAGAGAAGCGTCCCTGAAAGCGTTTACGAATACATCGTGTTGATGATTGCAATTCTCCCTCCTGTAAACGTGTCCACTTTTCTCAGCGGTGCACAAGGTGGTGTAGCTTCGGTTGCGCAGGCAGTTGCGGGCCAGGCCGGCCAATCCGAAGCTGGTGTAACAGAAATCGACGAATAAACAGTTGCACTAGGTAAAAACTCACTTTAGCTGATCCTGTTTGGCACTTTTATTTTGTAACTTAGCACTTCATGGGACGACCAGCTTTATTCTGTATATATGATTCTTCGTGGTTATACTTTTAATCATAAACCCGTTAGACATCTGTACATAAACACATGAAAAGGTGTAATTATTCCTAAATTCAATTAACTATATGTGCGCTGTTGGTTACTTGGGCACGTATTTCAGTAAACCCTTGGACAGGAAGCAACCGTATGCTAGCATGCCGATCACGTTTGTTAAGTTAAAAAGGAGACTCAATCCATGGGATTTACCGAACTCCTTGCGCAGAGGACCATCTCGGGCCTCGAGTTCCTCTCCCGATAGCTCCTGCTGCACTTTTCTCCTCTGTTCTTTGACCCTTTGGGTCCAAGGCAATAACCAAAACAGATTGAGGCATCCGCTGACTGATGCAGCGGCTAGCGACACCAATGGGCCCATTTGAAGGGGCATTGGCGCAGTGAGACCCAAGATCAAGGGAGAAAAGGATTGCATCTGGAAAAAGTATGGGAAAACTGTGTGTTGTAACGTAGAAAACCCATCTCTATCCAGACTTTTGAAGGCCAATGGTGAGGCAACGTACGAGTAAAACGTAGTCCCTCCAAAGCTGACGGGCAGGGGTTAGCATTTTCGATCATGACCGTTAATAATATGTATCACAAATCCGCACATACACAAATGAGTAAAATAATAGATGTGCTGTAGGTTTTAGCCAGTACATTTGATCCTACTAGGTTATTATATCCAAAATTGACAAATGAGCGCTATACAAATGTATTGCAACAAGCAATCACCCGGGGAACTTCTTATTTTTATACTAATCGTTATGGAATATTACACGTGACTCAGTGGTCTTGAAAATTTTCTGAAAACGACTACAGAAGATAGTAGTGACCAGGGAACAAACAATAGTTCGTCAATGGTGGTTAAGGTACTCAAACAGAGCTCTATTGCTCGTAACGGTGTGGGAGCATTCATATTTCCATGCAAGAAAATCACCCTACAGTACTGCAACTGGGGTGGCTCCTCGCAGGGAGTGCGCGATTTCCTCACCAGTAAGAGGCTGAATCTGATCGCACAGAAGTACCCATTTATTCAGTTTGAGGTCGTTAAGAAGTCTGGACACCCACTCATAAGGGGACACTATACAAATGGTAAGGAAAAAGTTATTTGCGTTAGAAATCTTAACATTGACCATGTAGAGAATAAGCTCAAACTATTGAAGGACTCGTCTGGGGAACAGTTACGTGATAGAGTCAAGAATGATTACGTCGAAACGCTGAACTCGAGTGTTAGAGGCGTGTGGTCTCCAATGCACGTTGATCCATCGATGAGACACCGCGTGTAGGTTGAAGTGCATTTAAAAAATCGTGTATATAGGTTCACATACAAAAGCTGATTTTGAAGAAATAAGCGTATCCGCTAACTAACTTTAGTAAGTGCTAATTACATTATGCTGATCCCTTGTATTCTCTGAGAATTACAGGAACTGAGGAAGGTGGCAGAGCTCCGAACTCTGTGATGACCTTCTTGATGTATTCTGGCGGCGTTAGGTCGTACATGATATTCAAGATATTCAACTTTGGAGACTTTTGCCAATCCGCCAAAATTGGTTTTTCCTCTTCTTTCGTCGATTCAACGCGTGGCAAAGCTGCAGCCTTGTTCTTTTGCTTCTGGTCTTGGGACGACGGAGCACTTTGCTGCTCGCGCTCTTTGATGAATTGCTGTAACAAGAAACCCTTGTTACTGCGTCTCTTCACAGGGTTGTTAGAATCGATGACAACCAGATCGTTGGGATCTGCAAGTTCATTAGAAGTGACAGAATCCAACTGTACTCTCTGGGAAAACTTTAGACTTTCGCAACAGACCAGCACCGGGATATTTCTTCTTTTAGCACTCATTGCAAGCAGAGCAGTACCGACTCTTGAATAGAGGAACCCATTGGATAAGATGGAATGTGCACCCAAGAAAACGTAGTCGATGTCCATGTTGAAGACAGTTCCCAAACTTGTGATCAAAACATACATGACATTAAGGCCGCGGCTTCTCAATAAGTCTGTCATCTTGCGCCCTTCAAATAATGGTCGAGAATCCACAATAATGATCTGGAAGTCTTTCTTAAGTACGGTAGCATTGTGGATGAATAAATCGCATATGACTTTAGAGCATCCGTATGTTAAGATAGTACTACCATTATCTATGTGATGTGAAGCGTTCTCCAAGATCAGCTTATCGGCAAACTCAATCTTCTCACGCATAAATTGTGAAATGAGTTCAGAAAGATCGTCTTTCGCTTTGGCATCGGGGGTGTTAATATCAATGAGGGAAATCTCTTGCTTCAACCATCTGATAGCATTACCCATTGTGACACTCAATGGTCTTGCCTTTTTCAAAAAATCAATCTGATGCGATAAGTAGTTTGTCAAATTTCTACTAAGGGTCGTACCTGCCGGGGTTTTATAATCGTTTATGATCGTCCTGAAAGTCTCTAACATTGCCAAGCAACGAGGAATAGAGCCAACAATCTTGTAGCTTGCAATGTCCGAGGTCAACTGTGTGATAGCAGGGTGCAGCAGATCTCTGTTAGCGATAAGTTCTTTAACAGAGGAACTAAGTTGTGGCTGACTAAAGCTTTCTGAAATAGTCTGAGGGATAATAGATGAAGTTCCAGGCACCAAGGACGACTCATCGTCAATTGACATAGAAGCCAGATATTGTGCTAATTCAACAACCGAATTTTCTTTTGAGGTGGTTGTTGTGGTATGAGACTGAGATGATGATGAGGTACTACTAGAGGAAGATGGCTGAGGAGCGTTGACTGAAGAATGTGGTCCTAATGGCGCGCTGGAGATAATAGGTAGCGTTATCCCGGCAGCCGTGATCCTGGACGCTCTTGATGAACTAATGGCGCTCGTTACGGCAAGCAAAGAAGCTCTTCGTTCATCAGTGGTCTCTAAATGGCCAAATAGATTGGATTTTTTGGTCAGATGTGCAGGCTTCTGATCCTTATTCTTCTTCGAGGCCTGTGCTTGTTGCTGCTCCCTCTGGTGCTGTTTTTTTTCTTTCTTCAGTTGTGCTTGTTGCTGTTGTTTCTCGATAGAAATTCCACTTGCTTCCTTCTTGGCTGCTCTCTTGGCTGCCTTTTCCTTCTTCTTGAGTTCTTTTAGCTCTTTATTGGACAGTTTTTTCTCTTCATTTGCTGCCTGTGCCACAGGCTCAGATGCTGGTTTATTACCATTATCAGAATTTACTGGTATGGTGGTTTTCTCCCCCTCGCTCATTATTCTTAACTGCTCTGGACAAGCACAGCAGACACTCAATAATTGATCTATTGGTCATCTTCAGTAATCTGATAATATGAAAAAAATTTTTAAGTTTAGGTGACAGCGTTTTGCACGATAGATTAGAAAGATCCTAAGCATATGCAGTAAATGTTCAGCTGAGCTTTTACAGGCAAAGTAGTTAGTTTTAAGTGGTGCTAGGAATCGTATTGCGGAGGTAATTCATCGTCGGAGTACTGTGGAGGATGCTCTAGTAATTTTAGGGACTCGCAAAACACGTTAACGTAATTAGTTAAGATTTCAGTTTGCAACATTTTCTTCCCATTCAAATTCCAATCCAGAAATAATTGAAATTTGTATTTCCTTTTGATATTGCAGGTAGTAAAGCTGTACAATCTGTTTCCTTTGTGTCTGTAGTCTTCTTGGTTAAATTGTAATAAATTCAAATTTTCCACCCGATCGAGATGTATAGGGTACTCATAGCTTCCATCAGGTTTCCGCCGGCAGTGTGATAATATAATGGGAAGATCCATGTATTGTTGGGCGAGTCGAAGAGAATTTATATTCGCATTTGTTCTCCCGGTAGCTAAATATGTCACCATTTCTAGGAGGTTGAGCTGGACTCTGACAAGACGTAAATCTATATTGGGTGGTGGGCGGTCTGAAAATACCAAATAGACTTCATCAAATTTACCGCAATGGGTTTTGAAAAGATAATCTAATCTGAAAACAGAGTTTAGCGTCCGGGCGCGAACTTCTGCTCTCGCTTCCAGACTATCATTGAGAAGAATATTAAATTTGGAGGAATAAGTCTTTAAAGGTGGGGCCGTTTCTGGTAAAAGCTCTTCTCGCTCACCATTGGGCATAAGAGATGGTATGAACTCAATGGCTTTGCTAACAATTTTCTTGTTTTTAAAAGGGTTGAACCATGAATCTTTACCTTTGCCAGTGAATAATTTGGCATATACGCGATATTCGATCTGCCCCAATGTATAAAAGTATGTGTCCAAATTTGATATATTTCTTCTATCCACTGAATTGTTGAAGCTCGGCGGAAGTGTTATGAATTCTTTGTCTGACAGAAACGTAAATAATTTCTTGGGATGTGTCGATATGCATTTAGGTTTTTTGGGAATTTGAAATGAGAAAGTGTATTCGTACTTACCTCGTTCAAGCTTGAATGGTTTAGTGGAACCTTGAATAGCGTTCGCAACATTTTCTGGCGGAAATAGCTGTTGTTTTGAATTGACTAAGACATGGTCAGATCGTACCTCTCCTGGAGGGGTTTGTATGTTGGTCAGTGTGCCATTTTCACCATAATCTCCAGGTCTTACAACGGTTTCTGAAGTTCCCATGAAGATAACATCCACTTTTTGCACCGATAGTGGTTTTTCAAGGGTAATAATGACTGTGCCCGAAATTATATCCCTGAATGTATAGAACTGTTCATTGTATGGTGGGGACAGTATCAACTCAATCGTAGCAGACATATGTGACTCTCGCTGCCAGCTGTTGCGGCTATTGCCTTGGCAGATGTTATCGCGATTGGAAAAAAAATGTTATCGCGTCTAGAATTGTGAAGAGTATGTAGGAACCGCCGTGATCCTAGGCCAAGCTTAATTGTGATGACGTTTTTGCCGTCTTAATGGGAGTATATAACTGCAAGAATAATGATTAGCTGTTGTAAAACTGGGATTGTAACCGCTAGCGGGCGGAAAGTAGTAGAGGAGGCTATGGCCCTGTTCAACAGCCGCAGAGTTTAATATTTTCATCATCCACGTGAGTTTTTGGTGTCTAATGTGATTTTCTCTTATGTACAAGTAATTTACAAGCCTACATGGAATGTGAACCCGTCAATTCAACCAAAAACAGTACCACTACTCAGAGTTTCCTTTCAGCTGCTCTCGGCTTCCGGATGAGGTTCCACGTTCGCTGAAGCGATTGGCTTATTGAGCAACTGTTTGGCATTAGAGACATATTCCTCGTAAACATCTGGTCGTTGTAATTTCGAACTGATAGACTTGTACTTTTCAACAAAAGCAAGTATTTCAGAATTTGACTCACCAAACTCGAGTACGGTTCTTGCCATCAGATATGTGAAACGATTTTTGGATAAATATGCTGCCAATTTACCTTGACTCCTAGCCTCCTCCACTAGAGGTGGGAGTTGCAAATCGGCAGAAGGAAAACCCTCCAACTGAACGTTGTCTATACCCTGCTGCTTCTGCAGCGCCTTGACAAGCAGATTAGCTAAGCCAGACTTGTTCTCCCGCACGCTCACATGATTCCAAGCGTTAATTAGCTTTTTATTAGCGATTGCAGCATCTTGGAAGTTCCCGAGGGCATTTCTGTGTATTTGGCACATTACCATGCTGTTGAAGAAATGTTCTACATCGTAAATACCGTCGTTCTTTGCTTCGATGAACCGAGGTTTCAAGTCGTAGAGTTCCTTCACAAAGTAAGAAAATTTCCCAAGCTTAAACATGGATGCTATCAAAATGTTTTGCACATGGTCTGCAGTGAAAAAGCCCCACAAACCACGCTTTCTGGTGGTAATAGATGTCCATTTCTTGAGCAAACTAATTAATTGAGTCGCATCCTGGGATTTCCAAATATATGTGTTCAAAACAGATCTGCTCAATGGCTTCAAGGGTGGCCTAGGTTTTAATGGCGCATTTGTTTCAGGATCTTTAAGGTCCTTGGCAAGTAAAATATTCGCATTCTTGGGCCGGTATATCAAAGGTTTAAGAGCTGCACTGGTGGCATGATACTTGTAAAGCTCTCCAAGCTTCTCATCAGCAACTTGGAAAGAAGATAGGCATCTCCTGGAGGTGAATCTCAACATTGACGACGTTTAGCTTCGTTGTTTTATTCTGAATATTAAGCAAATTTTTTCTCAACACATTGATACTATTGGCGAAATTAGCATCGAAAACGACACTAACATTATTTGATGATGCATAGAAAAGGTTGACACTTCCTTCAAAACTTCCAAAGTACTAAACTTTAGCGATATACGACTATATAATCGATTTGACGCTGTATTCAAGTCTGATAATGATTCATTTGCCTAGATCCTAAGTAAATTCACGCTATCACGTGACAAGATGGTTCATATTCCTTTACGAAATCAGATAACGATAGACTAAACTCGCTCTTCAAAATACGATTGTAAGTAGCTGAAAGAGAACCAAACTGTGAACAAAATGTCCAATGACGCATACGGAATGGTAATCGATTCTCTGCCGTTTATCGATGGAGTAGATGATCACTACAAAGCACAGATAGAGCGCGAAATAGAAAGAGAGCTTTTAACTTTCACACTTGATCGTCTGCACAAAGATATCGATAGCCTGATCGGTGACACGCAGCCACTTCGTTTTGACCAATCCCTTTACGAACTATATTGTGAGAAGGCAGCAAAATACTCCAATATATCCATCACAACCGAGCAGCCACCGTCCCTAAAGCGAAGTTTAGAAGATGTGGTAGAGCAGCGCAAGAGAGTTTGTCCTGGTATAGACATAGCTCGGTACGATGAGCATCTCGCAGAAAGTGTAGAGCATCTTAGCACGATAGCAGGCTATCTGAGGCACCAGGAACTCGTGTTAGAGCGACTTTTGCCCAAAACGGTTGAAAAACAATGGATGATAAATAACGATTACATGCAACACGCACAAGAGGCTCTCAAAAACGTAGTGGTCGCTGAAAAAGCTAAGCTCAAAGACCTCGACCAGTACCGTAAGTCATTACAGCAGCAGGAACAACTATCATTTGCATATCTAGAACAACAGTGGGAAGATGCACTCGTGCGTAACCTGGAGACTGACATTTGACACAAGTTCCGTCGTGGCACACACACAGCGAATTGACAAAAGGTGAATTAGCTATACGGAAATAGAAATACTCTAAATACTACGCATTACCGATTACGAGTCGCTTATTTGTCCAAGACTTCAGCGTCGTATCTTTGCTTGAACCAAGCGATGGTGTCTTCCTTGGAAGTCTTGTGGCTGTTACCAACAGTGGCTCTGCATCTCTTTCTTCTGGTGATTCTGTTACCTGGTCTGCCGACAACAATGTAGAAGTCCATACCGTAGATACCGATGTTTGGGTCGTACTTGATACCCAAGTCAATGTGTTCTTGGATACCGAAACCGAAGTTACCGGTCTCAGAGAAGTTTCTGGTTCTCAATTGGTATTCCTTGACCTTTAGACCTCTTTCCAAGATCTCCTCAGCCTTTGGACCTCTAACGGTGACGTGGACGGCAATCTTTTCGTTTCTTCTGATACCGAAGGTTCTGACAGTGTATCTAGCCTTGGATTGAACTGGAGTTTGACCAGACAATTGTTCCAAGACCTTGGAAGCTCTGGTCAATCTGTCACCGGATTCACCGACAGAAATGTTCAAGACCAATTTCTCGATCTTCAACTCACGCATAGGGTTTTGAGCTTTAGCAGACATCTTTGGCTATTGGGCTTCTTTGGAGTTCTTGATTCAACTAAGATTAATGATGATTATACCATAGTGAACAAAATGAAAATTTTTCAGAGATGCCCAGAGAGGATTGGACTATTTTCATATCGTGATGTACGAAGAAGCACCTGTCCAATCTCCAAGTCACGTGCCGGAGTCCTTCAAAAAGCGTGCGTGTGACTTTCTGGGTCGGCGGCTGGGGAAGCACGCTACAGGATGTTCTAAGAAAGTCACATGTTTGCAACGCAGCTGTACGGGACTTTATGTGTGAGTCGCTTTTTTAAAGGATTTTGAAATTGGCTTGAAAAAAAAACAAAAAACAAGGACCCAAACACCATTCTACAAAAGGTACGGATGTAGCAGTCTAATGATAATTAACAATCAGGGCTACACAATCAGGGCTAAAACAGAAAAACTAAGGATACAATGGCACGTGACTATAATTACAAACTTCTTGTCGGCACATAGTTCGTTGATCGCGATAATGTAGTTTTCAAATGCTTAGCGTTCTATTACTCTCCAGCTGTCAAGTGGCAAAACCAGCAACAATTACCTTCAAATCACACACAGAATGCAGGCGATTGCAGAGCGGTATTCAAATCAAAGCGCCTTAGTGAAGGAACTGCAATATGACAACGAAGAAGGGCTTTCAAACGACTTCGTGAACGGTAGATCGCAGTTTTCTCACCTCGCCCCTCACATCGCATTGCCACCCATCTCAACTCCTCAGGAATTCCTAAGAGCTCACACAGATGACTCCCAGAACCCAGACTGTAAGATCAAAATTGCACACGGGACAACGACGCTGGCGTTCCGGTTCCAAGGTGGTATTGTTGTGGCGGTTGACTCGCGTGCTACCGCAGGGTCGTGGATAGCGTCACAGACCGTTAAGAAAGTAATCGAAATCAACCCATTCCTGCTAGGAACTTTGGCTGGTGGTGCTGCTGACTGCCAGTACTGGGAAACTTGGCTAGGTGCGCAATGCAGGCTCCATGAATTGAAGGAAAAGGAACGTATTTCCGTGGCGGCTGCTTCAAAGATCTTGAGTAATTTGACTTACCAATACAAAGGTGCTGGGCTCTCTATGGGTACCATGATTTGTGGGTATACGAAGAAAGAAGGTCCCACCATTTATTATGTCGACTCAGATGGATCTAGGCTAAAGGGTGACTTATTCTGTGTTGGATCCGGACAGACATTTGCCTACGGTGTTCTAGACTCCAATTATAGATGGGATCTAACGGTGGAAGAGGCACTCTATCTAGGTAAAAGATCCATTCTGGCAGCAGCCCATAGAGACGCTTATTCTGGTGGTTCCGTCAATTTGTACCACGTGACAGAGAGTGGTTGGGTCTTCCATGGCAATTTCGACGTCGACACGCTCTTCTGGGAAATTAAAGCGAAAGAAGGCTCTTTCAACAACGTGGTAGGTTGATTCTCTCCTTTCTGTAGGTTAATTAGATTAAATCATTGTGTAGGTTCTGAACGCCTCACAAATATTCACCGAAAACATGCAACTTACTATTACAATGTGCATATACACTTAACTAAAATCCTATTCTTCATCGCTAGTATCTTCCCCACTTGAAGAACTATTATCGGTGCTCTCACTACCGTCATCCGTGTTAGAGTCGTCGCTGTCGCTCCCATCACTGCCACTTTCGTCATCACTCGTAGATTCTTCTTCGGAGCTGGACTCACTTTCACTTGAAGTACGTTTCTGAGGAAGAACACTTCTCGTGGGAGCTGGAGTTGACACTCTTGCTGGCTGTTTCGGTTGGAAAAACTTTGACAGTGAACTAGGGTCAAACCCATCTGAATTCTTTTGTAAGGAACTGCCGTTACCACCTTGATTTAATTTGTGACTTGACTCAGTATTTGCGGGTGTATTTTTTTGTACAGGACTTGGCTCTTTCTTCACAATGGGAGACGCAATTGTTGGTGGTGGCATAGCAACCAGTTGCTTCACTTCGCCATTAGTCACCTTTACTGTTGCTGCGTTGACAGCTGCGGCAAGAATCAAATTCAGATGTTGCGGATTCTTGTCAATCAACGCAGTCAATGGATTTCCTGTTATTCCCTTAGATTTCGCAGCTTGTGTTACTTGGTTAATAGTCATAGCTAGTGCTTGCGTTAATATGCTCGCCATAACTTGTTTATCAAGGCCTTTCCTGTCTTTTGTCAAGATCATCAATTGCTCCTGCAGATATTTCATTGTTCTCTGATTAGCATCTGCACTCGCCTTTCTATCAGCTCTATTAGCAGCAAGCGTCTGTGAGATATTGGGCTGTTTTGCAGCTGATCTAACTAATGGAATGTTTGCAGCGCTACGAATATTGGTGCTATTATCATTAGCAGCAGCAGCAGCAGCAGCGGCAGCTTTTTTCGCTTTTTGTTGTTGCTGCTGTTCAAGCTTCAATTGCGCAGCCTTGGCTTTCGCAGCAGCAGCTTCTGCTTGTTTTTTCTTTTGTCTTTCCCTTTCGGCTATGTATTCTTCATCAAGTCCCCATAACCAACCTTTGCCCTCTTTAGAGACCTTTCGAAACGATTTGTTAAGTGATAAATTATGTCTCACCGAGCTCTGCCAGCCATCTGGACAATACTTGTAGTAAGGGAAAAGCTCCCTTATACCTGCGTATATTTCAGACAATGACATACCTTTCGGGCTTGAAAACTTTCGCAGACATGTCGTAATCAGGTTCGAATAAGAACACGCGGGCTTTGTACGATATTCAACAGGGATCTCCTCCAGTGTGTAAACTTTCTTAGGAGGTTTTGGAGGTTTAGGAACTTTTTTATCCTTCTTCTTAGGTGGTTGTTTCTTCTTATCTGGATCTTCCTGCTCTTCTTGCTTAACACTAGCAGTTCTCGTTGCCGCTGCTGGCTGGGGCGTGGTGCTTTTTGACTGTTCTGCTATTTTACCATTATTACCCTGAGCTACCTTCAGAGAAATAGCATCTGTAGGAGCTATTGACTTCTTATCTTTACCGTCTTGATCAGGTAAAACGAATTGAAACGGTATTTGCCCGATTTGGACTTTTGTTTTGTTCTTCAGCGGAACAGTTATGCCTCGTTCTACAAATGTATCATCAACAAAAGCACCGTTTTTACCCATAATGGAAAGCTCGAATCGCCCTGTGCCAAAATTGTAAAAAATTTGAGCATGTTTTCTAGAAATTGACTTCGAAGGACCTAAATTGACATCCACCTTGTGTGAGAAGTCGTTCTCAGAGCGCCGACCAATGATAACTTGCAACGTTTGAACATAAAAAGTAAAACTTTGGAAATCAAGTCTAGCATATGCTGAGATTTTGGACTGTTCGTCATCGTTTATATTTGTGTCGTGAAACTGTGTCATTTCTAAATGTGTACCAGTGATTGTGTCCGGCGGCAGGCTACCCATTGTATCCTCCAACTGCTCATGCGGCAGCTCTTGTTCAACAGCAGCAGAAGAGGCTAATATATCATTTCCTTTGTCGAATGCCATCTTATCAGTCTCTTCCAAAATAGATGTCGCAGTACCTTCTCGAGTATTGACAGCGCTGGATGAAGGGACCTGTGCAAGTTTAGTTACATCATTGACAACATTTTCAGAAGCTAACGGATCAAGTGAAGATTCTTCCGGGTCAACTATACTGCCCCCATTAGTGCTTTCAAGATTATGCATGGTTTCCAAGGGCATTAGTTTCTGTTCTTTCTCATCTTTTGACGGTGTTTCGGGCTCATCTGTATGATGTTCAGTGAGACTTCCATTTTCTTCAGGGATATTATGCTCCAGTATGTCCGTCGATGAAAACAGGTCGTCGTCATTCTTAGAATCCAGTTCCAAAAGTTTTGAGAAATCTTCGTGATCTAAATTTCCCGGTAAATCCAGTTTTAGATCCGTATTTTCAATCAGAGATTCATGTGTTTCATGGTCGCCACCTCCGCCTAGATTTGAGCCTTCAAGGTTTGTTTCACTACTGGGATTAGGACTCTCTTGTCTGATTGGTTGCTGGGATGTTGTGATTTGTCCATTTTGATCATCATCGTGCGACATACTACTAGTTCCCTTCGGGCCCAACTCTGTTCCTAGCTGCTCCATAATCAACAGGTAATCTGTTTATGCTGAGAAACCAGTGATCGCTTTTCTTTGATAAACTCAAGTTTGTCTGGATATAATACAATGATGTAGACAAGGTTGGAAAAGCACGAAGCTTCAGACAGCTGGCGAATATTAGTAAAAGCAAAGAACAAGCCCACTAGGGAATTCCCAAACGCTGTATCAGACTCTTTTCCTAGTCTCTGAGCCTTTTTGATAGACTTCCAACTACCAAGCGCTTACTTATTCTTTGTTTACAGGCATCATCATATTATGCCCAAATTACTTTTTGAAGGTTCGGTTTTACGTACAGTATGACATATTCGTGATATATCGTCGGATTTATTCACTTAAACTCATTTAATGTCTTTTGTCGACTCTTAAATTCGCAACTTGAATACGCTCTTGCGGATTTAATATCCATCCAATGTTATCTACTATTTCTTGCTTAACATCTCCACTAACAGTGTCGAAGTCGTCGTCTTCGAAACCCAAAATCAAAATGATCTGTGTCAACCGGGCAAACTTGTCCCGCAAGAAATAATTCTCAGAACATACCGTTGTTATTAATACACTTAGTTCACGCTCAAGCTTGATTGAACCAAGTTCGTTGACCTGCAGGTGTAAAATTTTCGGTTCAATGTTCTTTACAAGATAATCAACTATTAATGTAAGAAGCTCGAGGTAAGAATCTTTGTGAAGTACATTTTGAAAAGGGATCATCATCTGCCTCCATTGAACTCTGAACTCGTCAACAGCTTGCATGTTTTCAAAATCAGCAGAGGTAGCAATGTATTCATTGTCAGTGCCGTTAACAAATAGTGGTGAAGACATCTTTTTGAACTTTCCTTGCAGTAAAGAGTCGAACATGACGCGTATGCTCCATTGGAGTAGCTTATGATTTTGAGTTAAAATAATTTCTTCAGTTGTTCTGACCTTTTCAACAAGCATCTGAGAATCATTTTGAAATGGAAAGCTATCATGCAAAAGTCTTGGGTTATCCTCTATCAATTCTTTCACCAATAGCTTGTGAAAAAACTTACAGCCGATGCTTAAACTGTTGATATAGATCAGATAGTGGTGTAACTTCAATACAGATTCCTCGTCGGCGTATACTGCTTGTAAATTGGACTGAATGTTGGAAAATGCAGAAGAAGCTGCCCCCTTAAAAAAGCCAAGATGAGAAAGCCTTCCCGCTTCGGCTGCACTAGGCGAAGCTGCCCGCGAAGGGTGAACCGATTCAGAAGGTGGGACATACTTTTGTAATCCAAGGGAGCTGTTAAACCTGGTTTGTATTTGTCTCAGCCTTGATTGAAGGAATTTGACCAAATATTCATTTTGAATGAATTTCACCAGTACATCGAGAAAATGTGACAGCACAGAAGTTTCTCCAGTATTAACATTTACGATTAGACTCGTTCGAATCAGCATGGTGACATCTTCCACAACGGAAGAAAGCGGGTAAGTAGAGATATCATCATGCTTAAAAGAGGTGTAGGAAATATAATCATTCAATGACGGTAGCTCTTCCAAAGCAAGGACTTTGCTGAATGACTGGTAGAGATAATGCCTGTCCAATACCTCAAAGTTAGAAAGGAATCCTTCTTCCAGAATTTTCGAATAAAACTTGCCCTTTTCAATAGGCTCTGGTAAAACTAATGATGTAAGATCGCCATCATTTGTATATTCGTTCCATTTTACTGCGAAAAACCTGCAATACATAGTCCAGTTTTGTAAGATTGCCGAGAAGTCATTTATCAAACTGGAAAGCTCATTGAGATGAATGGGTTCTTCTAGCGCTTGATCGTCTGTTTTTTGTTTTGACAACGTGTCCCATTCTTTTATATCACTTATAGTGCGATCAATTTTTTGACTGTCGATGAAAGTATCGAGGACCAAGCCTGCCTGCATATCTGCTTCCTTTTGAACTTTCTTCATAATGTGAATCATGTGCTCTTTTCCGTAGTATTTGGAAATGATTTTTGAATGCTCGTTTATAATGGTTGACACGATTTTGAACAAATGTAGTAACACTTGCGCGTAAAAGCCTGAGTTTTTACTCGTTATATTGGTCATTATCTTTCGACTTTGTTCTGCAATTATGTCACAAACATATTTCGAATAAAGATCCAGTCCTAATTCTGATTGCCCTATCAGCGGAAACATTTGAAATACGGATGTTAACTGGCCAACATCTTCTTGTTGTGCAGCCTCGAGGAAGTTCTTATGAAATATATCTGATAGCTGAGAGATCCATTGGTTCAATAATTGTTCAGGTTCTTCTGGGATGTCACTGGAAGGAACAACGCGCTTAGCGAATTCTGATACAATCACACCATGTGGCAGTTTTCGAATTTCATCAATACTCTTGGCAGCTAGAGGCAAATTGCCCTCAGATAGCGCCTCATTAACGACAGAAATACTCAATTTAAGGTTATTGACATCTGTAACAAATTTCAATGTCTTTGCTACCAGTTTGCGTTCGCGTTCCACCGACCCTATCTTTCCTGATATGTCTCTTGCTAGGTTGCTAGAATTGGATATGTTCTCTAACGCCTGATGGAACTGGGAGAGAGTCTTTGTCAACTTTGCTCTATTTAATTCGAGTTTCCTGATGTTTTGATTTGTTGTTGCGCGCGTGTTGGCTATGTAAGAGTCCAATTGCCCAATGCATTTGACTTGTTCTTTACTTAGCACTTCTTGTAATTTTGAAACTTGGGAAAAAGTGCTTATCTTCTCCAATACATTGTCGTACTTTGCCAATTTTCCAGAAAGCTGACCCTCCAATACCTGCGACTGCAGTGGATCTTGTGTCATGTTGTTTACTCTCTTTTGTTAGTAGTCGCTTAGCAAATTTAAGTGGAGAAAAATATTGAGAATAAAAAAATCACGATTTTAATGATACAGAATAGTTATTTAGATAGGGCTATTGACATTAAAGACAAGAATACCAGAATTTGTAGAAGAAAGAACAAAACACCTAGATCACGTAGATGTTTGTCGAAAAGAATAGGATACGAAAATATGAACAAACAAGAAAAAGAAGTACTCTGTTGGAATGTTCAATTAGATAAGGGAGAGTGACGAGAGTTTTTTAAGTTTCGAAAAATTACTGCAGAGTGATTTCTCCATCGGCCCAAACGGTTTGCTCACAGCACCCGTGCTTTAAGCAACAACCGGTTGAGTTTCTTCTTCCTCGTCAACCCATTGGTGTTCCGCAGCTTCCGGTTCGGCTTCTTCTTCCTCTTGCTCGTAGTCCTCGTAGTCAGCGTGTCTCATGCTCAAGGAAGGCTTGACTTGAGCGGTGTCCAAAGTCCACTCGTTCAAGGCATTTTCGGCGTCGATGATGATTTGCTTAGAAGCTTCGTAACCGTCGTACGCAGGTCTGGTTTCACCTGGAGTGACTGGTGAGTCGTCTAGTAATTCCAACAAAGCCTTACCATAGCCGGCAATAAGTGCCAATTTCTCGGAATGTTCGATGACAGAGTCGAATTGGTAGTTGAAAGCGGCCCTTAGCTTGGAGCGGGTGATGTTAGACAATTGAGCTTCGGCAACCAAGGACTCGGCCTCAGCACGCACAAGCTCCTGCTCGAGGATCTCAATCTTAGGAGATTGAGGATCCTTGTACTTGAGATATGCGATCTTATCGGTGATCTTTGCCTTACGTTCACGCGAAGGCTCGACAGAGCCCTCGATATCACGGACCGACTTGAGGGTCAAACGGTACTGGTCGTAACGGTCGATGAACTGGTCGTCGAGCTCACTCATTTCGTAGATCAACACACCTAGCTTATCGGTGATGTCGGACACGTCATCGTCGTTCTCCAACCCCCAGAGAGATAGTTGCTTGGCAGCGTCGCGACGCTCGTTGGCCGCAACCTCAATGGAACGCAGCACGTTCTTCTCAATCTTGACTAGTTGCGAAAGCTTTCTCGACAACTCAGGGCCGAAAGCACCCGCGGCGTTCTTACGGAAGGAGTATGCCAAACCACCCTTACCGAAAAACCGGTTCTTAGTCGTGGAAGGAGGTGGGGGAGGGTTTTGAAGCTGAGAGGCGGTAGGAGCTCTGGAGTTTCTCAAAGAGTATGTTCTGTGCATTGTTGCTTGATTGATCTCGTCTTTACTTGAACAATCTTCGATAGATTAGTTGCTGTCTTAGATAATTTCTTGAAACCGACTTAGATAAAAGACGCCCCTATGGCGCTGCTCCCTTTTATATGCAGGACAGCCACTTCTATTTTTTTTCAGTCTTCTTTAGGGAGGTTTTGCTGCAAGAAAATTTTTTGCTACGCGAAGAACGAAAGGGAGTGGAGATTTTTTTTTACTTAAAAGGGTAAATAGATCACGTGTACCAGTATACAGAGCACGTGCTCGATTTCGTTTCCCCGCCAATGGGGTAACTCGTAAATCATGATACACAGTTCGCTTCGGCGCGTCTGGCTGCGGTTCGGGCGGACTATTATTTCCGCTTACCCGGATCCACAGGAACGGTCCGAATTAAGGTTTCGCCGCGCCGGCGAAAGCAGAGGCGGGGATGACGTACGCGACCCTTGGCTCGAGAGTTTCTCCGACGAAAGGTGTCTCCGTGTGTGGTGACAGACGATAGGCCGGATATTTCTCCCAAATTCTAGATTGCCTAGAAGTGCACACGTACATGTGCATGTGCGTATGTTTTTACACGACCAGTTCGCCGTTGATGATGGCATTGAGACGACGCTCTTTTTCCTCGTCGAGCTTCTTGGTGTTGATCTCGTTATCTTTCTTGATGCGCAGCTTGCTTAGCTCGTTTGGTATCACGAACGCCGGATGCTCCATGTCGCAGCCGGCGCGCCCCAGTGGGCAAAATCCTGTGAGATAGCGCTGGCACAGAACCTTGCGAACGTGACGCTTCTTGCACTGAGGTCCTGCGTTGCAGAAGCCCATGTTGTACTCCTCACACTCTTGTACCTTCGACTGTGGGTCGATATGGAGGTACTGGCACTCCGGCGATTGCGTGCAGTATCCGTTCTTCGAGAAGAACACACATTCAGGCATCTTACGCAGGTTGTACTCATGGAGGTATTCGCACTGGTCATTCTTCTTACACAAGCCGCGTAGCCAGTGCTTGCATACGATTTTGTTGTGGAAAATTGGGAGAACGTGCTTGTTGGGGCATAGGTTGCCTCGCGGGCATGAGGATGGGCCCTCGCGTGGGTTGTAGAATTCGCATACGGGCCGATCTGGATCCAAGGAAAACGAATATTCTTGCCGCAGGAAGGGCTCGAACTTGAAGGGATAATTAGAGGTATCTGGATGCACTACTGTCATCTGTGTGGTTGTCGTCTCGGTATGGAAGAGGTTTGACAAATCGTGAAAGTTGCATTCAAATGGGAACAGATATACTTGCAATTATACGTACCTAATGACATAATACCGACGGAAGGTCCGCATCCCATAACGAAGCGAATTGCCTCCTGGAGGAGTCTGGCAGCGGGAATTCAAGCCGTAAACTACGGATTACTATCATTTTCATATGTTGATTGCCGCCAGAACGAATGTGAGGAGAAACGAAATTTTGAAACTAGGCTTTTCCCACACTAAGGTGTTAAGATCCACAGTTTCTTTGCCCGTACTGATCACGTATTTCGAAAGACCCACTGTGGCGTTTTTACTTACCAGACCCCTATTCTGCATCCATTGCAGACTTAGCAAACCACACGCTGTCACAAATACCAAAAATGAAGAGATTTTTCCTACTACAATTCCGACAAAGACACCCAAGAGCGATCCTAAACAAAGTTGCCTGTAATCCAGCTTGCCATTCAAGCGAGACCTTCTCTGTGTGGGCAAGCCGATTTCTTCAGGTAGCGAATTGCGCTGCTTGACGTCTAGAATTGTATCGTTGCGGATAATATTTCCGGTATTGATGGTTGGTAAAATCAAGGCAATTGAGGTCGCAGTAGCGTATCCTGCCATTTTAGGACTGAAAATTGGTAATTTTCTAATACGAGGGACCTGCCCACTACTAAAAAGTCTATTTCTGCTGAGCTTAATTGGATTGAGTGTTAACCGCTTTAATTGGTTGATAAAAATTGGCTGAGCACCGAAAGATCTTATCATTTTTTTGAGCTGAGATATGAGAAACCGTTAATATCGGTCTTTCTGTTGTTGGTTAAGTTATAGCAATACCCTTTTTTCTATTTATCACCTACATTTAACATAGCGAGCATAGGATTATATGTTATCACTGTACACGTGCAACGTTTCGCATCTGCCTGAGATGTAATCTTTGGTGCATGATATGCTATCCTCTGTTGACGGGTATCCATGGTGGTCAATGAATCCAGAGTGTGTTATGTCCCGCAGGTTTTAAAAATATATAAGCCGTATGTATACCTTGTGTATGTAAACATATATGAAGCCTGTCAACTTGAAAAAAGAAGGTTAATTAATTAAACTTTATTAACCTTAATTGATCTCCTTGAATGCAACGCGATGACTTCAGCTCCTTCTAATGCTGATGATGTCTATTCAAAGACAGGTTGGTTATTATGTGTTCCGCCAAGAAGCTTCAGCCGAGGTTCCTCTACTCTCCTTATCGCATCATCTTCATCGAGCTAGCCAATACCCTTTCCCCAAAGTACCGCGTAGTCCCTATTATGCCCAATATGATTTTGGTTTCGAATAAATGATTCCTGGAAGGATGCGCTTTTCTTTAATGAGGAAAGCCAAAGTTTCCTTTGGATCCTAGTATACATCTAGAAATTTCTTTTAATTACACAAGACGGTAAGTAGAGCGTTCCCTGATGTCTACTGCTTTTTAACCAGGTCCTTTTCATGCTCATGTTCATGCTCATGCTCATGCTCATACTCTTCCTCACTTCCGCTAGGGCCGCTTATTTTCAGTTTGTCAACATATTCCTCCAACTTATGCCAGCTTTCTTCGCGCTCTTCTTTGCGCTTTTGGGACTCCTTTACGCTGGTTAAATATAACGAATTGCAATTTTCATAAAGAGCGGGATTAGTCTCAAGAAATATCTTTAACGCTTTGAATGCCATTGCATGGATTGCACGGTTCCAAGAACCGGAACTGATTGCCTGTTCCACCAACATATAAGGATCAGAGGTTGGATTACCGTCTTCATCATTCTGAGTATCCAAGTCAAGCTGAGAGGTTAGCTCGTAAAGAGCCGGAAATATGATAGGCAAAATTACCTCAGCGTTCTCAATGCATAAATTGAGAAAGTACTCGTTATTCCAGTAACTTAAAACTTTTTCCGCTACTTGAAAATGAGGAGATGAAATGCATTTGGCCAATTGCACAAACAATGGGACTTCCACTTTGATGAACTCTAATGGTTCTATCACCTCGAAAATATCCTCAATTTCGTTCAGGAACATAATCTCCTTTGTAGAGTTGGTTTTGGGCCAGTAGCGTAAAAGACCCATTACTACTTCCTCAGTTAATAATGGTTCTTTTTCGAGAAATTGAACAATACAATAGGCCAGCTGAGGGTGATATAGCGACAAGCAACGAACCTTATGCAATGGGATCAAAACGCGAACCAAAAACACCTTATGTTCTTCCTTTAATGGCAAAGCGAACCCATTGATAATTGAACCTAAAATTTCTAATAGTTCCGCAATACCATTGAACCGCTCAGTTTCATAAACAAATTGCAGGAAGATATTATTTATAGAGCGGCGAATAAAACTTCTTAGACTCAAAAACTTACCGTAAATTCTGTGCAAAGTAGTTTTCAAGCAATCACGTTCTCTGATGTCTTCGCTGTCAAATAATTCCAACAATCTCAGGATGAAATCTTGATCGATATACTGTTTTGCAATTTGATGATTAAAATCAGGACTTTCAACGAATCTCAAGAAAAACTCATAAACACATTGCATATGTGGCCATGCCAGTTCGTTAACAGGCTCATCTTCATCAGGATCGTAAACATCACCTACGGGGTTTACTGGTGGGGGAATTGGTCTGAAAAGGTTGTTCTTGAACATATTCACCACATGCGCATACATTTCCTCCGTATAAGTAAATCTATTGGTCACTATGAACTCAATTAACTCCTGTAAAGTCACCCTTTTAATTTCTTTACCTTGGATATCAAAACTTGGATCGCTGAAATCAAATATGGTGTTACACTGGTCAACCTTTGCGATAAATAACGGAATTTGCTCCTCCGGAGGAACATCATCAAAGTGAGGTAATTTGGTCAAATGGGTATATTGTGAAGGCTCGAAGCGCGATGATGAATGACGTTGGGGGGTCTTTATTAAATCCAAATCTGAGTCAACGTTAAGTTTAGAGGGGGTAGGTAAACGCTCGAACGAATGTGAAGATCTGGGAATGTCAATGCCACTAGGAGTCGTAGAGTCCTTTCCTGCAGCTGATGTCCCCGGTACGGCTAAATTTGCGGTACCAGTCGTGGGAGAGCGAGGAGCCGCCGCAGCCGCTATCAATGTCGGTTGAGCTTTTTGTTGCTGAAGACCACTTGAGCTCTCTTGCTTCGATTTTGTGGATGAATTGGATACGGATTGGTTTGGCTGTAGAGCTGCTTGTTTACTTCCACTATTTTTCACTTGTGAAGTGGAACTTTTAGACTTGCTTTGTTTTGTCGAGCTTTGACTTCCTGAGGATTTTTTCTCTAATGATGACCTAGCACTTATACTAGGACTTGCCGTACTACTCGGTGTTCCGCTAGTCTTCTTAGTGCCCTCTTTTTCTTTTTTCTTTTGACTTGAGGACGACGACGAGCCGGTCGTCTTCTTTATCAGCTGAAAAGATTGCCGAGTTAGTATTGGAAATGAAAACTGTATCAACACACGCATCAATACGAACCTTCTGCTTAAAACCTCGCATCATCTTTCCTGACGTATGCTATTATCAAAGGTTTCGCTTCTTATTGAGTTGTTTAACACTACCGCGTCCAGAAAGGGGGCTCGTGCCATTCTTACCTTTCGAGATATGTGTCAGGGTAACAATTGTGAACAACCATCCCAATATTAAATAAAAGACATTACAGATAGGATATACTGTTCTTGAAATGCATTTCTAAATATCAGAGCTTTATTTATTAGTTACTGACTGTTTATGATCTATTTTATGAATTTTTAGGCTTTTGTGTGCCAAGAGGTTATTGTTACAATCACATGTAGAGGCATTGATCTTGATCAAAAATCGTCATGAAATGGTCGAGCACCGGCTCCTTTGTATGAGCTCTCAAACATGCATTGATTACATGCGGTATTTGGGATCATGCGCTTTTTGGACTCATTTCATTAACATGTTTTCTTCTGCGAGCACCCTCCCGGGCCCAGAATTCGTCTCTATAGATCTCCCATCCTTCTCTGATCTCTGCACCAAAAGCGCGTGGATTTAGAACGAGCTTCACATCTACTGCACCAATTCGTGGTTGGGAACGCAGGGCAACAGATGTCCAAAACTTCCCAATGCCGCTTCGAACTATAAGACTATCTGGTAAGACCTTGCGAAGAACTCTTAGGTTAGCATACGCCGCATTGCGGCATACACATCGTACCAAGTCAATCACGCGGTCCGAAAATGTGCTTTTCACCTTCACGAGCTTCACATTGAATTGGCGAATTCCCTTGTTGGTTGATGTGAAGAACTTTCGAGGGATGACAATAGTTCGCTTATACTCTCCACTCAAATGGAATAGTACGACTGTGATCATGATAAATAGAAGTAAAAACTGGAGTACAACCTTGTATAAGCCTTTGACCTCATCTTGTGAAAAGTATAGTTCGTAAAAAGCTGAAGCTGCAATACCGGTTAGAGCCGACAGGAATAAAGTGAAATACCACTTCAAAGCCTTCTGCTCGCGGGCTTGACGTCTTAAGTCGTCCTCTAATATTAGTAAGTTTCGAAAAATCATGGATGCAGGAGATATATCAGTTGTGCTCCGCAAGTTCTTACTTGATGTTCTGCTGCTTGAACGCCTACGTCTAGTCAAGCTGTTTCCGCTACTAGATCCAGAGGGTTGTGGTGTTACGGATCTTGCTGACCTCCGCGGGCTTCTTTTCCGTGGTTTGCTTGGTGTGTCATCGTTCCCCTCAGAAAACTCTTCAATTCTCACTACTGGGAAGGGCTCTTTGGCACGCATAGATCCCTCCACCTTTCCATTGCTCGTTTTATCATGTGGAGGTTCGTCAATAGGGGACGAACGCTCTGACTTTTGCATCATTTCGCTCTGCTATTTCTGCCCTCAGCTTATAAGCTTTTTGCAACAAATCTCGCAAGAAAATACTTCGCTTTGGATCGCTTCAATGATTGATTATATGGAACATGTACTTAGAGCCTTCGAACAATGTACTAATTGGAATAGAGATAATAGCTATGAAAATATAACAGCTACTTCAGAGAATTTACTACACTTTCGTATACCATCCGCCCTCAAATTCCAAGTATCAAATCGGTCGACTTCGCATACATTCACTACATTTGAACTGTCAAATAGTAAAATCATCAATGGCTCATTGGCTTATCTGTACACAAACTGTCAGGACATAGATAGTTTCATCAAAGGTTCTCCCGGAGTCTCGTTGCATACATGCACCGAAACCTTTCGTCGCATCAAGCCTTACTATCATTATCACCTGCAACCATCACCGAATGGGGATTTCAACAAATCATCCCTATACTATGGACGGATGTACTATCCAAACTCAAATCTGGAGGCAATGATTGTGAAACGTGTAAGTCCATATACACAGTTTGTTTTAAAGTGTATTAGCAGTTTGTCAAGTCCCAGCATATTAACTCTATACTGGCAAAGGGATAGTGGTAGAAATTGTCAGGAATGGATAATGTCTAGTAATGAAACACTTATAGGGTATAGAGTACTGCATAACTTCATTGGTAGCCAAGCGAAGCTGGATGGCTCCCTATACAATAATTCATCGCTATCATTGGGAGGAGAATTATGGTTTAGTGTTTTGAACACTAGTCCGGCATGTTCAACTACATTGAGATACTGTACACATTCAGCCAATACTGGAAAGCCTTTAACCTTGACATTGTCATGGAATCCACTTTTTGGGCATGTTTCTTCAACGTACTCGGTGAAAACAAGTTCTGGTACCACATTCTGTTCGAAATATGATTTTAATCTATACTCCATCGAATCAAATTTATCATTTGGTTGTGAGTTTTGGACTCGAGGAAAGGATTATCAAAGAGAGAAGTCTGAAGAGAATGAATATGACGTGCCCATTCTGAATTCTTCAGGAAGCTTGAAAGATTTATCATTTGATTCTTATTCTAAAGCGCCCGAGATTGCCATGTATTATCATTTGTCGCCCCCACCAGATACAGATTCATTGCCTTTGGGTGATACTAATATTAAGATTCCTGTGCCTCCGAAAGATGTCACTGAGCGAAAACCAATTCTTGAAAGATTTGAATCCTCGTTGGATACAAATAATTTCACAAGCGTGTGGAAACTCAGCACAAGCCTACGAGACAAAAGTTTACGAGTGCTATGGGAGGGTAAATATAAAGGCTTCCTCGTTTCTGCTGGAACAGAATTTGCTGGCTCACCTACAGCTCTTCCATCAAACTTGGTGCAACTTTCTAACCCAAAAACAGTCTTTCAACCTACCAAAATTGGATTACAATTACAATACTCTATATAGTTAAGTTACAAGCGAATACATACTTCGAAGGTACCCAACTAAAGCTGCTTTTTTAACCTTTTATTTTTAAACCCCTGTTCGTATTCTCTCAGATCATATCTCAGTGATTCCGCTAATTCACCATCATCATAAGCATCCAACTGAAACCACAAATTATAACCGGAAAGTTTTGTTCCACGTTCAATAATTTTAGACATAAGTTTCTGGGTTGTCTCGACTGATTGAACGCTGTTCATAATTATCGGTGTGAACTTTTTGGAAATATTAGTAAACTTGACGGTCATGGGCGTATAAAGCGGCACAGGTGATTGTGGATCAGCAAAAACATCATAAGATCCTTCAGAAGGATCATTCTCATCGATCTCACTGTTATTGGTAGGATCTGTCATTGCATGCTTCTTAGCGAGCTCTTTTTGATGCTTTTTCTTGACTCTTTCTTCATATTTAAAGATCTCCTTCTTATTATGGACCACTATCCATGACATTAGGTAAGACTCTTCGTCCTCTAACTTCTCCAAGATTGCATCTTTTGGGAGACTGAATCTCTTATTCGGATTCTCCGCATACTCGAAAACTATATCAGCACTATGCATATACTTCTGTTGAAAGGTGGTAAGTTGCATTGATTTATCCTCGGGCTCGGGCTTGTCAACTTTCTTCCTTTTCGTATACTTGCGCTTCTGTCTAGGTTGCTCTGACGTAGTGGACGTTGTTCCAGGAGTTGTTTCACGAGATAGCTGAGAAGGATCTTCTACTTTGACTGGTGCTTTTTCGAGGGTTTGCCTTGCATCCAGCTCCTCCTGATTTTCGACCGTGTTTTTGGAGGGTTTCTTGTCATTATTTTTTGTTTTAGCCTTGGCTGGTGAAATGGGCTTCCACCCCGTTGGTGCTGGCATTTTCCTGGCCTTTTCTATGTACTTTTTAAAGTCTTCCACTTGTTGGGCTGTGGCACGACCACCGGCTACTATTACCATCAAAGAATTCAGGTCGGGGTCTTTTTGTGCCATGAGGTTAAGATTGGTGATCATTTTCTGGTCCTCAGCAGATTGAGGAGGCGGTTTTTTCTGTTGGGGCGTTTGAGATCGAGGCTTTTCTGCTGATGCTTGAGATGTGCTATTCTTCTTGCTCTTCTCCTTATTTGGTGTCTTCTTTGAGGTAGAAGACTCCTTTTGTTGTTGTTTCTCTTGCTTCCTCATCCATTGCTGCTGTTTCCTCTCTTCTTGCCTTTTCTTCTTCTCCTCCAGCTCTCGTTTCTTTCGTTCTTCTTTATCTTTCTTCTTCTGTTCTTGAGCTTCATTCCATTGCCTCTCAATATCATCGTTCTTCAAAATAAAAAGTCTAATGGGAAATGTGTGAGGTCCACCGACCATATAACAATCACATAACTTATGCATCTTTTCACGAGCTGCACTTGCATCTATTGTTTCAGGGTCAATGCCCTCTTTTACCAGTCTCTCTTTCTCCTTTGCATTCAAATACTGTTTTGACCAAAGCATATCGAACATTTCTGAATTGATCCACGTTCGCCTAGAACTTAGCATAGAAGTATATAAGACTGCTGAATCTTTCACAGATAGGGCGTGAGTTAAAGTGCTTGAATATTGAGGAACTTCCATAGAACAGGGTAAACCCTCAATCAGCTGATATGGTCGCCCATTAGCTTCTTCGACTAGACCATAGGTATCTAGTTCTTCCTTCTCGCTCTCATCTTTTTTAACATGTCGCGTCGCCTCCGTAGCTGCGGATCTTGATCTCAGACGCGTAGTTCGCGACATCGTTGTGAATGTACCTATAACGGCTTCCTTTGTATTAGGATTTTTTGGCAAGGCTCACTTTGTTCATCTCATTTCTTCAAATATTATGAATCACTGAATACGCGCGAGATGGAATCGCGTCAATTTGTAAAACCAACTTGAAAACATCTAGGCAAAGTCTGAAAGAGTAGGGGGAACAGTGTATAGCAATGGTGCCATCACCTATGAACTTGGAGGACTATGCTGTGAGGAACTCTCCAGTAAATCAATCTTCCAAGAGATTGAAAATTGGCACTGAAGATCTGTCTCAATTTCAACCAGGTGCTATCATCAAGCTGCGATTAGAAAACTTTGTCACGTATGCACTTACTGAGTTTCATTTATCCCCTTCTCTTAACATGATTATTGGTCCAAATGGTAGCGGGAAATCTACTTTTGTTTGTGCCGTTTGTCTCGGTTTGGCTGGCAAGCCTGAGTACATCGGACGAAGTAAGAAGATAGAAGATTTCATTAAAAATGGTGAAGAACGAGGTCTAATCGAAATAACACTTAAACGTGATGAGGCTGATAACGATGAATTTGTCAGTTCGGATCATACGACCAAGATTACGCGGATTCTTTTGAGGAGCAGACGAAGATCAGACTATTTGATTAATGATGTTCCTGTATCTGAACACATGGTCAAGAGACTCATCTCACAACTCAATATTCAACTAGATAATCTTTGCCAATTTTTATCACAAGAAAGGGTTGAAGAGTTTGCTCGTTTGAAATCTGACAAACTTTTGATCGAGACAGCTCGATCAGTAGACTTGGATTTGGTTAAAGTTTTTGAAGAGTTAAAACAGCTGCAGGAAGAGGTGATTTCAGAGACAAAGGAGGTGGAAATAAAGGAAAAGCGACGACAGGAGCTGTCTGCCACGAAAGAGCAACTAGAGGCGTCGGTTCGTGCTTTTGAAGAGTTCAAAAAGAAGAAGATAGAACTAGATAAGCATACTAAACTGTTACCTTATGTGAGGATAAAAGATCATAAGGCAAAGATAAAGGGATTTAAGAAGAACTATGAGGATAAAAGAAGTCAATTAAAGTCGTTACTATCTGATAAGAAACCTTTCAATGAAACAGTTAAACAATTAGAATCCGTGGCAGACGTGAAGCTAAATGAAAAGCGTCAGCTGGAAAGTGATATAAAGGAAAAGAAGGTGAAATTTCAGTCAGTGGTGGAGAAATTAAGTCAATATAGGGACGATATCAAGAATAAGCGTGGACAGATGTCATACTATGAAAGTCGAACGGCAAAGATCAAGGAACTTATAGATAGTACTTCACGCCAATTGGAAAGTGAACGCAACAATCTTTCCTCAATTTCGATCCCCAGTGATGATGAGTTCATTGAGATTGACAAGCGGAGGTCAGAGGTAAGTAATAAAATGATAGAAGCACAAAGTGAAATTAGGGATCTACAGGCCTCCTTAGATTCCTCTAATTATCAGGTTCACGCTCTTAAATCGCACATTCAGAACAGGGTTAAAAGTCTCAGCTCAACAGATAGAATTGGGGTGCTTGATGGAAAGGGCTTCAAATTCGAACAAGTGAAAAATGCAGTTTTGTACATAAGAAGCAAACCAGATATGAAGGGCCAGGTTTTCGAACCTCCAGTAATGTCTGTTTTTGCTAAGGATCCAAGGATTGCATCATATTTGGGAACGTGTACCGATTTTGCGACGTCTATTTCATTTACCATGGTTGATTCAGAATCCTATCGTAAATTCAGCAATGACATTTTGTCTCGGTTTCAGGTGAACTTGAGAGAATTGTCAACAGGTTCGCTTTCAGCACCAATCTCGGTCCACGAGCTACGAGAAATGGGGTTTGATGGTTATTTGGTAGACTTTTTAAGCGGTAATAAAGATGTGTTAATGATGCTTTGCCAGCAACATCGAATACATGCCATTCCTGTTACTAAGAAGGAGCTATCATCTGAAATGATGGACTTCTTGAAGACCCCTGACGAAAGAGGTAATTTAAAGTTCAGAAGGGTAATTGCTGGTAACTACATCTATGACTTCAAAAGATCTTCATACGGTGCACGGCAAATATTCTCAACTGACTTTAAAGCGCGACCATCACAGTTCTATCAGGGGGCTGTTTTATCTGAAGAAAGAAAAGCAGAGATCAATGATGAGATCAATCGACTAAAGGAAGACTACAGAACGAAAAATGCGCAACTGCAGGACATCATGAAGTCTATAGCAGATAAAAAACAGGTGATCCAAACTGATAAAGAAGAGGATAAACGAATACGGAACATGGCGTCCAAATTAAACGCTCAGCGGGTATTGCATAGTAAAACTGAGCAAATCGTGAAAACATTAGAAGAAAAGTTGGCAAAATTGAAAAGGGAGTCTAGAAAAGATGTTTCCGATAAAATAAAAGAATGCGAAGAACAAGTAAAAAAGCTAATCGAGAAGGAGGCAAAGTATTTGTCGAAGATAGTCGACTTCATAAGTGCTCTTCAAGACGTTGAAGAGAAGGCTATGTTTAGTGCAATGGAATACTTAGAAGCACTGAATAACCAAAGATCCATGAATGAGGTTATAGGCTTCTTTAATGAAAAAGAAGAGCGATTAAGATATGCTTACGAGGAAGCAAAATCAGCTTATGTTGCATCAAAGGATACAGCGGAGTATAAGCATTGGATGGAAGTTATCACATCTTATACTGATCAAGAGAAAAAAGAATTAGCCGAATTAGCAGAAGGATATCAAAACAAAGAGATTTTTGATCTACAGCATATTTTGCAAGTCGTCGATAGATTGAACTCCGAAATCGGGATGGCTAACCAAGATGAATCTGTGCTCGAAATTTTACGCCAGACAGAGCGGGAGCTCAGTCTCTTGAATAATTCTTTGCCACAAAAATTAGCAGCTCTAGAGGAGATGAAGAGCAATATGCTAGTCAAGAGGCAATTTCTGGAGCCGAGATTAGACGATGTAGTTTCTAAAATTTCGAAAAAGTTCGCTCGACTTTTCATGAATGTTGGCAGTGCGGGTGCTGTGCATTTAGAAAAGCCGACGCTTTTCTCTGAATGGAGAATTGAAATCATGGTGAAATTTAGAGATAATGCAACACTCAAACGACTCGATTCTCACACACAATCTGGTGGCGAGAGAGCGGTTTCTACTGTTTTATACATGATCGCGTTACAAGAGTTCACGTCTGCTCCATTTCGCGTGGTTGATGAGATAAACCAGGGTATGGACTCTAGAAATGAGCGTATAGTACATAAGGCGATGGTGGAAAATGCTTGCGTCGAAAATACCTCACAGTACATTCTGATTACACCCAAGCTGTTAACGGGGCTATATTATCATGAGAAAATGAGAATACACTGTGTTATGGCTGGAGCATGGATACCCAACCCTCTTGAAGATCCTCAAAAGGTTCACTTTGGTCAAACATCTAGTTACATATTTTAATCAGTGCTCATTTCACTTCATAGAACATGTAATAAAAATAATTATTTTGTAATATTGTCATCATTTATTCCTCGCTTGGCTTCGAAGATTGGAAAGTCGAAAAAAGGCAGCAGGTAAAATCAAGTTGCTTGGTTGAGCCCCACTATGAACCTTCTAGCCCGACGTAGGTTGTTATCAACCTTGAAGGCCAGAAAACCATCTTTAGTGAGTAAGAAATCGCTCATTTCGCAGAAGCCTGTAAGAGATGTCCATCCTGAATTGCCTGCTAGAACGCGTTTCGCTCCATCCCCAACAGGATTTCTACATCTTGGCTCATTGCGGACTGCGCTATACAATTATTTGCTTGCAAAGAACACTGGAGGGAAGTTTCTTTTGAGACTTGAGGATACTGACCAAAAACGTCTCGTGCCAGGAGCTGAACAAGCTATTTATGACTCATTGAAGTGGTGTGGAATTGAATATGACGAAGGTCCTGGAGTTTGTGATCATAAGTATGGACCTTATAGGCAGAGTGATAGGACAGATATTTACCGGTCGTACATTGAGAAATTACTTCAAGATGGGCACGCATATCGCTGTTTCTGTTCTAAAGAAAGACTAGATAACCTAAGAGACAGTGCACAAAAGTTAAAACCTCCTACTACGGTAAGCTACGACCGGCATTGTGAGGGTCTATCCGAAGGGGAAATAGAAAAACGATTACAGCAGGGAATCCCGTATACTATACGTTTCAAGTCACCTTCTAAATACCCTGTGTTTGATGATCTACTTCACGGAGTGTTGGATATGCAGCCACAAGTCAATTCTAGTGATGTGAGGTATGACGATCCCATTCTTTTGAAATCTGATGGGCTACCAACTTACCACTTCGCCAATGTTGTTGATGACCATTTGATGAAAATTACTCACGTTATAAGGGGGGAAGAATGGTTGCCATCAACACCAAAACATATTGCTCTCTATAAAGCGTTTGGCTGGGAGCACCCGCAGTATGTTCATATTCCACTGCTCACGTCGAGCAGTGATAAGAAGCTAAGTAAGCGAAAAGGTGATGCAGACGTCCTTAATCTCAGGGCCAAAGGCGTTCTGCCCGAAGCATTGGTTAATTTTAGCGTCCTTTTCGGATGGTCTCCCCCTAGAGATCTAGCCTCGATGAATCACGAGTGTTTCTCGTTGAAAGAGTTGACAGGGCTGTTTAATTTAAATCATCTGACAAAAGGCAATGCAAAAGTCGACGAGAAAAAGCTGTGGTATTTTAATAAGCACTACATATCCCAGCGTTTGGAAAACGAAACTCAGTTCCAAGTTATCTCACGTGAGGCATCCGAACTCGTCCAAATGAAATATCCTAACATAACCTTGGAATACGTTCAAAAAGTTCTCAGGATCGTTGGTAAATCCTTGGAGACTATAAATGAGTTTCCAGACAAGTTTTACTACTTTTTTGAGGAACCTAAGTATCATGACAGCGACTTTGTTTCAAATTTCAAAGATTCTCACGATATTAATGAGGTAAAACTGATCTTGAAGCAAATTCGTGGAAAAATTTCGGATAATAACATCAACACGCTGGTTAACAGCGCAGTTCAGTCTAGCGGGCTCTCCAAAAGAGCTGTTTTTGAGACCATTAGATTTGCTTTGGCAGGATCCGTCCCCGGTGTTAAGCTCCCAGTACTTGCGCAGCTTCTTGGCGATGCGGAAAGCAACAGAAGAATAGAGAAAGCCTTGCAAGAATTATAGAGTTGCAATATTATCCTCGGAAGCCATATTCATTATTTAACTTGTATATATCTTAATCACGTGCTTCGAGGGATCTAGAAATTTCTGGCAAGTCTCCGAAAGCACGCCAAAGGGCGAGATTAAAGCAAACTCGAAAACCGCTAATCGAAAGGTAATTTACATCTTTGCTTGTCAGTTTCCCGCACATCAAAGTTGTGAACTATGTTTGCCGCTATTGCATCTGGAAATCCGTTACAGCTATCTACTGAAGTTCCCAATTCTAATGGTCTTCAACACACGATAGTTCTATCGTCCACGAAACCCAAGTCATATTCACACATTTCGTTGTTCATTTTACCTAACGTAACGTTTCCGCCAGAATTTGTTGCAACCATATACTTCAAATTAAGTCCTACCGAGGAATTCAAGTTATTTGGCTACTTAAGTGTCGAAAAGCCCAGCGCGATCTTTAAGGTAAAACTTCCAAATCAACATCCAACAAATCCAATTGATGGTCTGGGGGAGATAGATATGGATGATGATAATCCAATTAACAACGTTCCTAGCAATATATCGGAGCTAATAATTGGTATTTCCATCGAACCGAGAGAGGAGGCCATGTTGAAACTACAAGAGTGGAAGGAGAAGCAACAAGTTGAGAACAGCAATTCTGCACTAGTTGTTTCTCGCCCTGGTGGTGTTGGAAACATTTCCACGCCTGGCCAATTGGCGAAGATATATCCGCTGCTTACCCAGGAACTTGCAGCGAAAATAGTCCAGCATGCATACAATTACCTAACGGGATTCCTCGATCCCCAAGGAAATGTGTCTATAAAGCGGTTTGACACCTGGTGGGATAAGTTCAAGACTAGGCTTGCGAACGATGGTCAATTCCTTGATGAGGTCACGCAAGATTAAGATTTTTGTTTCATGCAAGTACGGATGTTGGTGTTGGCGATTAAAATGTATGTGTATAAATGAAATGATAGAAGAAGCATAGTAAAACTTCCAAGGTAAATTAACGAGAATTGGACTTCATTCGGGTTCAATGTGTAAAGATTATTTCAGATTATTTCCTTGAATTACTTTAGTAATCTTCTGAAAGGGACTACGAGAACAGGCTTGTCACAGCTACACAGATGATAAGGCTTATCTTCCGAACAACGAATCATCGCTGTTGAAGGAAATTACAAAGCTGATAGCTACAGCCGTTCAATTGTAAGAAGATGGAGGTGAATGGCTTTTTCCGCAATTATCGCTGCCTACACCACGTTCCTAGTGCCGGTCCTGTGTTCAAGATCTTGCTGGGCATCATAATACACCAAAGGGAAAAATTCAGTACTAAAGATGCTAAATTCATCAATAAGTATGTGGTGTGCTCATCACAAACTGAAAAATATGGTAGAAAAGGAATTTTATCCCAAGAGATTTTCCTCGTTGTATAAGTCGTGCCATCATTTCATCAATAGGGATCACTCACTATTGATAACAACACCGAGCTTTCCCTTCTCTCGTTCCTGAATGGATAAAGCAGCAACGGATTAATTTCGCAATCTACGCTTCAATTTGATACGTCACTCTCCGGGCTCAATAGGATGTTGCAACAACAGTGCACTAAGTCCGAAGAATATGAAGCATCTCATTAGAAAACATTGATACGTTGGAAGTTGTGAAAGTAGTTTTTTTTGTCTTTTTTTTTTTGCTAGCGCCGGTTTATGTCATTTTGCACACCAAATTCGAATTAACATCCCGTCGAACATCGATTGCTATTGTTTAGTCGCTGGTGAGAGTTTTTCTGAATAATATCACGTACTAGCAAAACCTGGATCTGGCTGCTTTCAAGTATCATGCAGATTTGCAGTCCCCGAAATCAATCCCGGGAGTTTTTCCGATGCTCTGAACACAGTTCTTGGAGTAGATGTCTGAAGTTAATGAAACCAGAAAGCGGGTCACGCTTTTAAACCTTCTTCTTAACAGTATAATTTTCTTATCGGCTAAATATTTTGTCAATTGAGCTCAGATCCAGTTTCTGCATCTGCACTTTGCTTTGCAGATGGCGAAAACCACCTACTGATAAGCTTCAAAAGTGTCACCAAATAAGTCCGGGTTTTTTCTTGGCAAAAAAAATAGTATTTCATGACTAAATAACCATTGTTAGGTGATAAGCAAACTGATTGTAAAGTAAAGCACAATTGTGTCTATATAGTCGATTCCTCTTATTAGCTTCATGGTGCTTTAACCTTTCACGCCTTTCATCACATTCTCTTAATTCATACTTTATTTGCAGCCCATCAATTTAGCCCCCAAGACGTAACGGCCTACTTCTTAACTACAACACCGTCGTCTCCAACTTAATCTAAAAATGTTATCTTGGCATATCTTTGTAAAGTCTTTCAGTAACGAATTGACTACTTGATGCCATAATAAAACGCTTATTCGATTTCGAGCTCACCTCAGTGATTTGCCAGTGCCTTCTTTGTCATCATGCGTTGCTATGAAGTACAAATTTGCCAATACCTAATTGCGTAATTCCATTTTCCTTCTTGTAATAAGGGTATTTATTAAACATATAAAAGGCCGTCGTAAATTCTATATTTCCACTCCCTTTTCTCCCTTTGTGCTATTACCAACGCATAATGTCTGTCAGCCAGGTTCATTCAAGATACGTATATGATTCAAGAGGTAACCCCACAGTGGAGGTAGAGGTTACCACCGGTAAAGGAGTTTTTCGCGCGATTGTGCCTTCAGGAGCCTCAACTGGAATTCACGAGGCTGTCGAGCTGAGAGATGGAGACTCCGCTAAATGGGGTGGAAAAGGTGTCTTAAAGGCAGTTTCTAATGTCAACGATATCATTGGTCCTAAACTTGTCAGCTCAGGCCTGAAGGTTACAGATCAAAGGGCCATTGATGAATTGATGATTAAGTTGGATGGTACGGCTAATAAAAGCAAGCTGGGAGCTAACGCTATTCTCGGGGTTTCTATCGCTGTAGCAAGAGCAGGAGCCGCTGAGAAGAATATTCCGCTATATCAACACATAGCAGGGCTATTTGGTGCAAACAAAACTCCATATGTAATGCCAGTTCCTTTCTGCAATGTATTGAACGGAGGTGAACATGCCGGTGGGTCAATGCCATTCCAAGAATTTATGATTGGGCCAGTGGGAGCCAGCTCCTTTGCAGAAGGATTTAGATGGAATTCCGAAATCTATCATACTCTTAAGAGCTTGGCGAAAAAGAAGCTAGGCCCTTCTGCTGGAAATGTGGGTGATGAAGGTGGAGTTGCTCCAGACTTGACCACTGCGGAAGAAGCATTGGATTTGATTGTCGAGGCCATCAACAAGGCTGGTTACCAGGGTAAGGTCAAAATTGCCATGGATTCTGCTTCTTCTCAATTTTTCAAAGATGGCAAATACGATCTGGATTTCAAGAACCCCAACTCAGACCCTTCTAAGTGGCTTTCTGTGAAACAATTGGCAGAGAAATACCATGAATTGCTAAAGAAGTATCCACTAGTCTTTTTGGAAGATCCCTTCGCCGAGGATGATTGGGATGCGTGGACGTACTTTATGGAAAGTGGTGTAAGTGTACCTATTATCGCAGATGATTTGGTTTGTACCAACCCTCAAAGAATTGCTACGGCCATTAAAAAAAATGCAGCAAATACTCTATTGTTAAAAGTTAATCAGATTGGTAGTCTCACTGAAACTTTTGAAGCAGCTCAGGAGGCTTATGACGCAGGATGGGGGATTTTGGTATCACATCGCTCAGGTGAAACGGAGGACAGTTTTATCGCTGACCTTGTAGTCGGTTTAAGAACTGGAGAAATCAAATCTGGAGCTCCATGTAGATCTGAGCGTCTCGCCAAGTATAACCAACTTTTGAGAATCGAAGAGCAGCTGGGAGATGATTGTGTTTATGCTGGTGAAAAATTCCATGACGCTTTTAAGATTTGATAACTAAAATTTTTGTGCCCCAACGTTAATGGTACTCTAAGATGTGGGTACATAGGATTATGGTCAGGATATCAGTTCCTTATTCTCCACTGCCGTTGCTAATATAATTATTGGCCCCCTTCGATTTTTTGATATGACAGTAATTAAGTCATAAATAAATACAGACATATTATTCAGGATGTATAGGCAGGTTACTTTTCGACATATTTCTGCATTTTTCAACTCTTAACATGAAGCGCTATGACTTTTATAAAATTGTAAGTTACTGGCCTTGTATTACAGCGATATATACGCGCCGCCACTGGTAATCAAGTCACCTGTGTTCTTATTCATGACGTCTTTAAAGACCGGAATGGCATGCATAGCTGTCGCTGACGCATTACCACACCTGGGTTCAGAGCTCATCAGCAAAATGTTTCATTCTATGTGCCATAGGATTACCGAAAACTAAATGCCTGCTCTCAACAAATCTGTGATCAAAATCATCCTGTTCTGAATCCCTAACACTGAGCTTATCATGAAGCCGTTCAAGCCTTTTTTCTCCTTCTTCACTTAGCCAATTGAGGAAAGAGGGGTCCACTTTTACAGCTTTTCCGAGCTCTTTCTTGATGTTGTACATGCTGTTGAAAAACTCCCTTATATGAAGTTCATCAACGTCACTGTCTTGTATTAAGGTTGCGAACTCATTAAACCATTTCTGGACGTTCGTTTCATCCAAAGACCTCTTTGATAATGGCCCTGCTTCCGGAGATAAGTTTTGATAGACGCTTGATAATATTTCTAAAACCCTCATTTTTATTTGCTTATCTCTTAGACGATAAAGTCTCGAAAGCGTATCTTCGTTAATTTCTGTCGGTTTGTTACTCACCAAAGCGTGAACTATGGATAGAAGTCTTTTCACGAGTCCTGTAGAGTCATGATCTAGAGGTGATGAAATAATGGAGTCTAAGCTATTAAAGATTTGCGTCACAAGGCTTGGGTCGTGTTCATTAATATATTCCAGTACCGGTGGATTATTTCTTACACATCCCGTCAGTATTCTCGCTGATGTTTCCTTGATTTGGATGGGTATGTGAGGCCCAAACATTAGTTGCTTTAATAAAGGTAGTTCATGCACGACAATCTTGTACCCGTGCTTATAGTCATGGGCAAAGTCTACCAGATCATCGAGAGTAGACTCCACCAAGTCGTATTTCTTATCCTCTAATGCTTGCTTTACTTTTGTAAAGTCTTTGCTGAACTCATACTCTGTAGTTTCTTCCACAGTGTTCACTTCCTTAGTAGCAAACTTGACATCCGAAGCTTCAGGCCCTAGTTTCGCCTCTTTGAGTCCTGTGTCCAAGTTCATTCTGATATCTAGACCACCAGGTAGATGTTGAGCTGGTTTAATTGTTTGCCACTCTTTCGTAGCTTCAAAGATTTTTGGGTAGCATTCTACTGAGTTACAAATTAAACTGTCCCCAACAAAAAGATCAGATTCAGATGCATCATCTGTGCTCTCTAATGAATCAACATCTGGCGAAAGTGTTATAAGCTCGTTGGCAACAGCCAGTGGGATTAGAAAGAGATGCCAAAGCATTTAATCTATAATGATTTTTCTTATTGACGTGAAATTTTGAAACTGTGAATCTATTTCGAGTTTTTCTCAAAAATATGCGAAATCCTTCATTAATATTTAACTTCTGGCATTACATTACAAAAATATATGTATAAGAGTATCGGATGTTTATCTTAGTTCTTAGAAGCTTGCAAGGCTTGCTTAATGTCGTCTAGTAGATCATCAGCGTCCTCGATACCAACGGAAAGTCTGATGAGGTCGTCGTAGACACCACTAGCCTCTCTTTGTTCCTTTGGAATACCACCGTGAGTCATGACGGCGGGAACCTCGAGCAAGGATTCGATACCACCTAGAGATTCGGCCAAAGTAAATAGTCTGGTAGAAGAAGAGAACTTAGCAGCGGCGGCAGCCCCACCTTTGATTCTGAAGGAAATCATACCACCACCCAAGGCGTCACGATGTTGCTTCTTGACAATGGCATAGTCAGCATGAGTTGGAAGACCAGGGTAGTTCACAGCAACCACGTCGTCACTTTGGGCCAAAAATTCAGCAATCTTGGTGGCGTTCAAAGCGGCTTGTCTGACACGCAGGTGCAAAGTTCTCAAACCTCTGTGGGTCAACCAGGAGTCAAATGGAGATGGGATGGCACCGATGGCGTTTTGCAAGAATTGCAATCTCTCGTAGATTTCCTTGCTCTTGGTAGCCAACACACCCAAAACAACATCTGAGTGACCATTGATGTACTTGGTGGCGGAGTGGACGACAATGTCAGCACCAAAGTTCAATGGGTTCGATAGATATGGAGATAAGAACGTGTTGTCCACAACTAGCAAGATATCCTTGTTAATGTTCTTGACAGTTTTGGCGACAAGCTCAATGTCGGTGACCTTCAAGGTTGGGTTGGTTGGCGACTCGATCCACACCAATCTTGTGTTTTCCTTGACCAACTGAGGAAGTTCCTCGAGCAAGTTGTTGGTGAAAGTGGTTTCAACACCGTGGGCGTTGGCGACCTTGGTGAAGTATCTGTGAGTACCACCGTATACGTCACCGATGGAGATAGCGTGTGAGCCTTGTGGAAGCGATTGCAAAACGACAGCAGTAGTGGCGGATCCGGAAGAGAAGGCCAAACCGTACTTACCGTTTTCTAGCACTGCAATCGCATCCTCAAGATTCTTTCTGTTGGGGTTTTGAGATCTGGAGTACTCGTATTCACCCACAGGTTGGGCTGGAGAGTGCTGTTTGAATGTAGTGGATAGAGAGATTGGCTCGATGACAGAGCCGTGCACGTCGACGTGAGAGCCAGCGTGAATTGCCTTGGTAGCGAATTTGTCAGAGTCTAGAACAGCCATTGCGATCGTCGATGTGTTGCAATTGCAGATTTTCAATTCAGATTGTCGACGACTGCTTTTTTAACTTTTATATACAGATGAGCTCGAGCTCGCTCGCGCCTTTCTTAGTCATGTGAGGCGTCAGCCACAGTGCGGCGTGCCGTTTGCAAGGCAATGTCACATGCGCTAACACCACAACGCTGACTAATGTGGGCGTTTGGGCGTGAATCGCTCGAGCATCGAGGTACGAACTCGTACGTCGTCTACAAGTCACCTCGACTTCAACTATATACTGGCGTGGCGCCCACACAACAGCGCGCGCTGTATAGCGTGCGCTGCAGGCATGTTACTTTCTTATCGTGTATTAATGAGCAGGTATGGAAAAAATATATGCATGTCGGCGAGACGAGCTACAGCTGTAGGCTGCAATTGCGTAGCACCGCGTAACAAACTTGGAAAAGAGTCTTTTTCGCATAAACCGCTTAATCGAACAAACCGAATCCCATGTCGTCGTCGGATTCTTCTTCGGCTTCCTCTGGAGCTTCTTCCTCGGCTTCAGCGGCGGCACCGGCGGCACCGGCAGCTGGGGCAGCACCGGAAGCGGCTGGGACAGCAGACAACTTCTCGTTACCTTCGGCGATCAATTCCTCAACGGACTTGCCCTCCAAAGCGGACAACAAAGAGGACACCTTTTCCTCTTCGACTTCGATACCGACGGACTCCAAAACGGTCTTCACGTTTTCGGCGGATGGGGCAGAGTTGCCAGCGGCGTTCAACAACAAGTAAGCAGCCAAGTACTTCATTTTGTGTTTATTTCGGTTTGCGGTTCTATTGGTGAAATTCAACACAGCGATTCACTACTTTTGTCAATATCCACCACGACCTGCGACGGCAGGGGCGATCGGGCGCGACGGGCCGCGCTGGACGGAGAATCTTTCGGTTGCGGCGCGGACAGCTGAAAAAGTTCGCGATTTGTAGCCAAAATGTTCGTGTGTTTGGGTTTTTCGAACTCTTTTAGAATGCCCAAGTTGAAAGTCTCAGAATATGGCGTGGCGCTTGAATCGTGTGTGTGGGTTTTGAGCAGTCATATATGTGTGTGGGTGTGTTTTTCTTAAGTTTTTTTCTCCCTCTGCTAGAGGCCGTAGGCAGCTAGGCGGAGGGCTGGGCAGAGAGCTGGACAGAGCTAGGCGGGATGCTCGGGCCAGCGCGTCGCGCGCTGCCCACGCACTCGCGCTCCCCGCTCGTGGAACCCACGCCCCGGCCGCAACCGTGCGACGTAGTTTCTCACAATGTCAGAACTGCAACATTAGACAAACTTAGAGAAAAGTCGTTTTTGAAGAAGGAGTTTCTCAGTATTCCAGATAAGGGTAGAATAATATCGCAACATGTCTGAAGCTGCCGCTAGCAAGAGAAGAGTTTTCAAGACCTACTCCTACAAGGGTGTCGATTTGGAAAAGATGTTGGAAATGCCAACCGAAGAATTCGTCAAGTTGGCTCCAGCCAGAGTTAGAAGAAGATTCGCCCGTGGTTTGTCTTCCAAGCCAGCTGGTTTGATGAAGAAGTTGAGAGCTGCTAAGTTGGCCGCCCCAGAAAACGAAAAGCCAACTGCTGTCAGAACCCACTTGAGAAACATGATCATCGTCCCAGAGATGATCGGTTCCGTCGTTGGTGTGTACAACGGTAAGTCCTTCAACCAAGTTGAAATCAAGCCAGAAATGGTTGGTCACTACTTGGGTGAATTCTCTATCACTTACACTCCAGTTAGACACGGTAGAGCTGGTGCCACCACCTCCCGTTTCATCCCATTGAGATAAACAACCCGATGCTTAATGAACGCGCCCTCGCGGAGTAGCTTTTTATCGTTTGGTATTGTGATGGCATGCTGGTTGCAATTCCGCGATCGGGTGTCTCTTTGTCTCTATGTACCTTTGTATATTTTAATCACAAGGTTTCGAATAAAAGAAACACGTCTTGGCTTGCTGCTAGCAGTTGCAAGTATTAGCATATATGTTACACACGATAGATTAGACTCTATAGTTGATGCTGGAGCTTTTGTAAGTCTTCGAATATTTCTGAGTCTTTCAATCCGCTCAGACTAGGGGCTCCTGGGAACCCGCCGAAATACCGCTTCAAACCTTCCAGATCGCTCAATTGGTTATTAAACCGCATTCTATCCACGATCACTTCCAATTTATCCACAGGGTTATTCCTAAATTGGAAATTTATGTTTTCGCACACCAAGTCTTCCGGCAGGTATTCGCCCTCACGTCTTTGTTGTGCAGGGGCCGCATAACCCGTTATACAGCTCAGCGTTTTCCCGCTTAGTTTTACTGGGACGTGGTAATTCACTTCTGGAACAATAACATCCATGTCCCGTCTTTCCTTATTTATATCATACCATTTTTGTGTGGTATTTGATAGCAGCTCATGTTTGAGGTCTGTAACTTTGCGGAAAAAATCTTGGTGGATGAAACATCTCGTTGCTCGTGTTTCCTTATCAATACATTCAAGCTCGTATTTTTGTCTTTGATAGGCACGGCGAAGTTTGTAGTCTCTTACCGAATCTATTTTTTGGTAATAACTCTGTAATGCAGGATGGGACCCCTCTAAACACATTTGTGCTTCTGCTTGTAGTTTAGCCAATTTATTTTCGTATAATTTTTGTCGCAATTCTGCAAATTTACATTCGATGTCGGTGATCTCTTTGAGAGCCGCCAAACGCAATTGTTCTTGTTCCATTGGTGACTGTTCCGCCCCACTTTTGGAGCTTGCATGCTTTCTATTCTTATCGTTGACCCCAGATAAATCTTGTTTCTCGTGGTCGTCTTCATCCGCATCGTCCTCATCTTCATCGGCATCGTTATCCTCATCATTATCCTGGGAACCATTTCCAGGTAGCTTAGGTTTCTTGAAATGAGAATCGCTGATTACCTCTCTATCATCCAAACTACGCTTAGTACTTTGCAACTCATCCTCGATTGGCAAATCTTCTTCATTTTTCATAGGTTTGCTATCTTCATTGTGAGTTTCTTCGCTCTGTACCCGATCAGGTACCTTCGTTTCTGTTTGTTCTCCCTGCTCGTTGTTACTTTCGGGAGTTCTCGTTTCATCAGAGACGAGGCCACGGTTATTATGTTCAATTGGTACCTTATCATCAACTTTATATGGTTCTTGCTTGCTGAGAGACTCCTGCTTGCTTGGAGACTGTTGCCTTTCAGCTTCGTTTTCAACAGCTTCGTCATCATTCTTTTCAGCCGCTTTCTCCATTGTTGGCGCCTCAGACCTGTGCGATACAGGGGCCCCGGCTACCTCAGACTTAGGTGAGAGGCCAGGATCTCTTGAAAGCTCTGAAAGATGTACATGCTCTGAATCTTGCTGCTTGATTACGTCTTCGTCCATTTTCTCTGTTTCTGCGTCAGATGAAAGACAGTACTCAGAAAGGTTCAAGTCTTCTGGATTATTTGAGTCGATCTTGCTTAATACACTAGACTTGTCGTCTTCTTCGTGATTATGATGTTTATGCTGTTGTTTTTTGGTTTCCTGCTTCCGTTCCGCTTGGATCAACGCCAGGTTTGCCTCTGTCAGCTGGTTACCTGTTGAATCCGTTAGTATTTCGTTCGGCGTCAGTTCAAAGCTTTCTACCCATACTTTCTTCGATAGTGTTATCTTCTGTGTTCATCTGAGTACACAGCAACTAGTGACTTGGGTTCGCCAGCAACTACGCTTTTTCTTGTGTTATCTTGGAAGTAGAACTATATTCAAAGGGGCCTTCAATAATCGTTTTCGAGGTTAAAGATTCGTGATTGGCGATTTGTTCTTCACGTGTATCGATTTTTCTTTTTCTATCAAGATTAGTTGAAAATTTTCACGATGAAGCTCATCTCATCGCACAAGAAGGGTATATTGAATAGTTAAATTCAGCACCCATGTCCTCAATCAATGATCTTTTTGGGACTCCAAGTTCCGGTCAGCTAGAATCTACTGTAAGTGAACTTTTTAAGAAGTCTTCAGGTCCCGTCGATGCTCTCAAGGTCAAGGCTAAGGTTAGAACTGTGCTACCTGCAGTCACGGAGAGTGCAGTCGAACCACAAATCGAAGAGTCTGTGGAGGTAGAGGAATCATCCAGTGGTGAGGAAACGACTGTTAAAAGAAAATCGGAAACCGCAGGAGTGGAGGAGGAAGAAATCTCTGTTGTGAAGAAGCAAAAGAAGGCGGCCAAGAAGGGTGAAAACGACGACTTGGAGGAGAGATATTACTCGAAACTGCTCAAAGATCAAGAACCTGAGAAAGAGGAGCAAGAGAAGTCACAGGATGCAGCTGAGACCAAGGAAATTGAGAAACCCGTTGTCGCCAACAGCTCTGTGGCCAAGAAACAAGATTTCAAAGAAGAGGAATTAGAGAAGGCGGATAAGACTGTCTTCGTGGGTAACGTCCCTACAGATGTTATCACGTCCAAAAAGGCCTACAAAGAGTTCAAATTGCTCTTTAGTACGGTGGTCGCTACGCAATCAGAAACGTCGGGTGATGAGGAGTCCACTGATAACACGAAGGCAGACTTGCTAGCTATTGCAAGTATCAGATTCAGATCCATATCGTTTGACGAAGCACTTCCCAGAAAGGTTGCATTCATGCAGCAAAAGTTGCACAAGGCTCGTGATTCTGTGAACGCCTATGTTGTCTATAAAAACAAGGCTGCCGTAAACTTTGTGTGCAAGAATCTCAATGGAACTGTTTTCTACGACCATCATCTAAGAACCGATTCCGTTGCTCATCCAACTAAGCATGACAATAAGAGATCTGTTTTTGTGGGTAATCTTGACTTCGAAGAAGCAGAGGAAAACTTATGGAAGAATTTCTCATCATGCGGTGATATCGAGTACGTGCGTATTGTGAGAGATTCGAAGACAAATATGGGAAAAGGTTTTGCATATGTTCAGTTCAAGGATTTCCAAAGTGTTAACAAGGCCCTTCTACTGGACGGCCGGAAGATTAATGGCACTGGCAGAAAGCTACGTGTCACAAGGTGTAAAAATATGGCTAAACAGCAATCAAAGCAAGCTTCGCTCTCTAAAAAACTAACAGACACACAAAGAACCAAGCTAGGAAGAGCAAAGAAAGTCTTGGGGAAAGCAGATAGATCGACAGCGGGTAAACAAATCACTATTGAAGGTATGAGAGCCACCAAGGGTGACACAACTCCGGGTCTAAAAAGGAAAAAGCAAAGATCGAAGACTGGTAGGGTGACAAAACGTTCAACCGCATTCAAGAAGGCAGCCAAAGAAAAATCAAAGTAATTCTAGTGTAAATTATTAGATCGATACTCTTCGATTGTAAGTACTGATAGCATTCTCATTAAAAGTCTCTTTCAACGAAACATTATTCCTTATCGTGCTCTGCTCAGCCGGCACTACTCAGCCGTCACGAGAAGGAGTTATAAAGATTAAGTAAAAACCGCTAATAAGTCGAGAATGGAACTCTTGCGGTTGTCTTATGAAGTTGAAAGATTATGTGATATCATCGAAGAACGATCCAGACTAGTTTCTGTGCTGAAAATTGCACCATCGAAAAACGATACGATGGCTTTGAAAAAGCAGTTGAACGAGACATTAGATCTGCTACAGGAGGCTGTCAAGACGATTACACCAGAAGATCAGTCAAGTTTAAATGACTGCATTACAAAATATAATGAGGCTTTGAGTGAAATACCTGATGACTCGGTGAATAAGTCGCTTTACGTTTTTGAGAAAAGGCCGTCTCCTGAAAGTGGTGCCTCGCTAAGCAGCCAAGAATCAAAGAGGGTTCGTTTTAAAGATGATCTGGTGGAATATGAGGAGCAAAAGCAACCAGAACCTGCATTCAAACCTTATACAGATAAGCTCAATGAAGAAGATACGTTGGAGCAGGACAAGAGTGATCTCTTTGGTGAACATGGCAAAGCTACATCTCAAGAATCAAGCTATAGCATAGCACCACAACTTTCGAATCAAGAAATATTCATACAGCAGCAGCAGCAACTCCTGGAACAGGATTCTCATCTTGAAGATTTATCTCAATCTGTACACAGAGCACATGATATTTCCTTGGACATAAATCACGAAATGACAGATCAAAATGACGGTGTACTGCGCGATCTAGAAAGTCTAGTCGATAACAGCGGCAGGAATCTAGATAGAGCAAAGCAGCGACTGGAAATATTTGAAAGGAGTGCCAGAGAGAATGGGCCATGTCTTCTGATTGTTCTCCTGACGCTGATATTAATCCTTTTGTTAGCGATTTAACATCATGTTCATATTGCTAGTGCATATATACCAAATATTTAACATAATAGGCCCATATATATCACAATGACATATAAGTGACCATCTCTCATCTCTCATCACCATGACGCTCATTACAAAAACGTTGCCGTAATAATAAAAAAACAGAAGAACCTGCGGCGAATTTTAGCCTAATAGCTAGCATTAGGATTAAAGTGGCAAAACTCGCCTCAATGAAATATGCGAACAAACCTTAAATCTGAAATGACTAAACTCTGAAAACCTTTTTGATAACACTTTATCTCTGAGAATATAAGCCTGGGAAAAAATAACCAAAATGACCTATTGTACATTTAATAATTATCCAGCTCTACTGTATCTTTATTACCAATTGTGTACCCCTTCCACAACATACCCCGAGTGCTGCTGAGGGTAGTTGTGGTACCCAGTATTAGAGAGATATGGATTGGCATGGTGTTGTTGTTGTTGCTGCTGCTGCTGCTGTTGCTGATGTTGTTGAGCCGCCGCTGCCACTTGGCTCTGAAAATACTGCTGCTCAAGAGACCTCGTGGACATGTTTGGAGCTATGTGATCATTGATAGTATCTTTTGAATCATGTTGCAACTGTATCAGAGGGTTTCCGGCATTAAGCACCGCACGCACATTTGCTGGAGAGAGAAATTCCTTTCCACTAAGGGATACTTGCCTTTGATTGCTTATGGACGTAGTTTCTGGAAAAAAAAATTCATCATCCATAAAGGACTTCTTGAAGTCTAATCGTAATCTCGCTTCTCTCACTAAAGAATCATGTTGTGAGGATGCGTTAGCACGCTGTTGTTGTTGTTGCTGCTGTTGCACTCTTGTTTGCTGAGAAGCTCTTTGATTTGAGAGCTGGGAAATACCTCTTTGACCCTTGACACCGTTTTGAAATCCGCCCATTTGAGCGTTGACATTCATTGTGTTCTTTGAATTTTGCCTCCGTTGTTTGATATATTGTGTGCAGATGATATTGTGCGCAGATGAGCTTGTCAAAAAATTTTTCAACCCAGTTCTTCACTGAGGGAAATGTTTGATCTTGCAACAAATAAGAACACATCAAATTGATCCCATATATAAATACTTATAACTCTTGAGGATCCGTATAGCATAGTAGTGGCATAAGGCCTGCCTTTCTGTTGCTTTTTGTATGCATGGTTTCTGGTTATTGTAGCTCGGTGGCCAATCAAGTCCTTGGCATGGGGCCACACATTCTTGCCTTAAAATGGATGCCATGCGATCTATAAGAATATAGTTCATGTTCACTTTAAAATCTCAAACTCCGTTAGAACGGGAATATGATCGCTTGGATGGTTTTCATTAGGCAGTCCGAACTGATTTAGGTGTCGCAGTTCTGCAGAGACCTCTTTGCCACTTAATATGCTTTTCAGCTTAAAATCAGTATCATGGTACCATACATAGTCAAATATTCCTTTCAGCTTTCCAGAGTAGCAAGTGTGTTCGAAGTCGGCAGACGAGGTATCCTGGTATATAAAATGATTCAAGTAGGGCCTCAATGGATTCACAAGATTTAACCCTCCATGGCTAACGACATCTCCCTTCAAAAACTTCACAACTAGGGAGTCAGGAGTCGAATTAAGATCACCAGTGAAAAGAATCTTAATTTTTGAATACGTTGCACCCTCTCTACCCATTAACAACTGTTTAATAATGCGGTTAAGCTTTCTCATAATTGTTAAACATTGCGAAAGTTTGACCTCATCATATTTCCAATATAAATGTGTGTTCACCACAACAATCATAGTTTTTGTGTCTCTGTGCAGCAACGAAACGAAAAGACAAACCTGATTTCGGCCATGCAAAACATTTAACAGGCTATCTTCCCCTACAGGTTCACCCATTCCATTTGTAAGTGTTATCTTGGTACTTTTGAGATATTTTAATTCATTTATGCTGAAAATACCTAATAAATCGTTCAAGTATATGCTCGATGAGGAGATGTAATCAAATTTGTCGAGATTATAGAATATTCCCACGCCATCCATTTCGTTAAGAGGCCTGCTCCAGTACTTGGGCGGCGTTTTTGCTATGAATTTGCTGCCGTAGTTGATTTGCGATTTCAGTTGGGGCTCCCAGAAACTATTGTAATCTTTAGTGGTCAATTCCTGTAAACACATAATGTCAGCCTTATAAACCGTCAAAATTTCCTTCTCGAGCAGTTTGTGGCGATATCTCCAATCTTTGTATTTATCAGGAACATAGGTGTAAACTTGCGGCCACATGTAGTATGGTGATAGCATGTTGTAGGTCATTAAAGTGAATGTATTGTTAACGAAAGGATTTTTGAATTCAGGGATCGATGACTTCGCCACCGATGTTACAACAGGCAGTAGCCTCCGAGAAAACATTGAATACGCTTGTGATTCGAAGCAAAAGTACAAGATTAAAAGCGAGCTGAGTAACACGGCGATCTTCCCTTTGGTTTTCCTAGTTTTTTTTCCTGATTTTGTCTTTATTTTCTTCCTCACGACAGGAAATCAAATTATTGAATTTCCCAGATCCGACACTTCAAGATGGTCAGAAGGTCAAAAAGGAAGAGGGTTGAAGTCGAAGTCGAAGTTGAGGAAGGAGAAGTCTCAAAATATTTCAAAAAGGAAGAGACCAGCCAACTTCCGGAATTCTCGTCTCGTGATGAACTTGATGAGGTCGACATCGACATGGTTAAAGCCATGAACGCTGATATTTATTATGATTGGGTAAACGCTCGGACTAAAGATGATATTGGAGCAATCGAAATAATTGATAGGCCCACTTTTCCCCGAAATTTTGCCTCAATATATCCCAAGGTTAGATTGATGAGATCGAAAATTGCTACTCCTGTGGATACGGTGGGCTGCGCATCCTTACCAATCACCGTTAGTAAAGAATTTGGAATTTCAAGGAATGATATTACCCCAAAAAACTACAGATTTCAACTACTTATTGCATTAATGCTTTCATCACAGACAAGAGATGAGGCAAACGCGAAAGCTATTCACAATTTGATGGAATACTGTATTGAAGAACTTAAAAATCCTGAAGGTATCACTTTAGATTGCATGTTTCAGATTGAAGAACCTGTACTGGCAAAGCTGATTTATCCTGTGAGTTTTTATACTCGGAAAGCGATGTATATCAAGAAAAGTATACAGCGTTTGGTAGATGATTTCGACAGTGATGTTCCCACCACAATAGAGGGGTATCTTTCGCTTACCGGGGTTGGTCCTAAAATGGGATATTTGGCATTACAGAAAGCTTGGGGCAAAGTGGATGGAATAGGCGTGGATGTCCATGTTGATAGGTTATGTAAAATGTGGAGATGGGTCGATCCTGCTAAGGCGAAGACCCCGGAGCACACTCGGAAGTTGCTTCAAGAATGGTTACCCAGGGAATTTTGGTATGAGATAAACCCTATTCTCGTTGGTTTTGGACAAGTGATTTGTTTGCCAAGAGGCAAGAGGTGTGACTTGTGCATGGTTAATAATATATGCAATGCCGTTGATCCAAAAAAGGTCAATCAAAAATCTAGCTCTCAAAATGCACTTAGGAAGGGTCGCGGAAATTATGCTGAGTGGATTGATTATTTCAAGCAAACTACCGAAGGCAGTGATATTTCTATAGAAAGCGATAGAAAGGTGACTCGCAAAGAGCTATAAAGCAGCCGACGAATTGATTTAGCCTGTAGAGAGACCTTTGTGAGGCTCCTTTTCGAAATCGGTTCACAAACCACATCCTAATCTTCATCTAGAATGCTTTCTGGTTTGAATCATGTATATAAGAACAATAGTATGCGTATTAAAATCTTGGTTACACAAAATCAATTCAAGCAAGCCTTTGCCTCTTCTAGACTTTGACTGGCAAAGTATCTAACGTCAACATCTTCATCGTTGCAAAGCTTTTCCAAAGCAGGGATAATTGAAGTGTTGATGAGCTCCAGGTACTTGGGCTTATCTTTGCAAAAGCTCTCGATCACCACAGCGTAAGATTTTGCAACATTGAATCTTATATTTGGTACAGCATCTTCAGCCAAGTGATTGATAAAAGGAAGAATCTTGTCATTAACAACTTCCAATGACACGACAGGTACCAATTCAGTCAATGCATTTAGTAATGTAATTCGATAAACGAAATTTTCCAGTAACTGTGAGTCGGATTTTAGTAAACGAGCAATGATTTCGTCTCTAGACCAATCGGAACCGAAGATTTCTGTTAATTTTCTTAGATTTACCACGGCAGCATTCCTTATGGAATAAACGGTATCCCATAGCCATGAAAGACATAGATCTCCAAGTTGCTGATCAAAAAATTCCACACCTAATTGCTCAGCAAGTAAGGGGATATAATCAATTATAGCCATTCTCACTCTCCAATTAACATCTTTTGCTAATTCGGTAATCGCAGGCAGAAGGTTTTCGGACAACAAGGTGATACCAACCACATCGTTAACCACTTTGAGTTTGGCAATGATGTTCAGACGGACATCTGGGTATTCATCTTTAAGCATGTTCAACAGAATTGGAATCAAATGGTCAATTGCATCTTGTTTTTGGAGCAAGGGGGCGAGGTTGGTGACTTCCGATGCTAATGAAGCTCTTACAGCCTCACTCTCGTCCATACTCAAATTCTGTACAGCTGGTAGAATCTTCTTCAAAATTATTTCAGGATTTCCCAGAAGTTTTGAGAAACCTGGCAGTTGCTTTGCAACCGCCTTTCTTACATCACTTTCGTTATCTTCACATAGTGCAAGAAAAGGACTTGTTAGCTCCTCGATATAATGTGAATCGAATGCAAATTGCGATGCCAATTCATCGAATCTATCAGCAGCCATATAACGAACCCTCCAAGCTTCGTCACCAATCATTTGAACTGCAGAATGTAATAGATCTTTGGAATGAGTGATATCTTTCTTTTTGTTGAAAAACTTCAATATTGAGATCAATATGTCCACGGCTAGAAATTTTACAGAGTCTTGAGAATCACCAATAACTTTCTGGAACATGTTGGAAATGTAGTCCCAATCCTCAGCGGTAGAGAGATCCGGATTTTGGGTCAGCAAGTCTATCAAAGTAGGAAGGTTCTTGCCAGCGGCTCTTCTAACCATAGGGGTGTCATCTTGAATTAGCTGCAAATAAAGCGCTAGTAATTCCTTTCTAAATTTGTCATCCTTAACGCGTGCCAGGACAGACTTGAAAAGCCCGCAAGAAGAAACTTTCGATGAGAACCATTCAGCTGTCGCTAGATGCTCAATTAGAGGGATAAAATCGTGAAAAAGTTGGTCTTCTGAAAGTTCTTGTGCGATATTGTTCAGGGATTCCACGGCTTTATCCCTGACCAGGGTCTCTTCAGTGGATGCGAGAATTTCTAGTGCAGGTAGTAAAAGGGTTGCAAATTTACTGCCCCCAATGTAAGGAACAAACTTACCTAGTTGCTCTGCGAGAACTGCAAATACTTCGTCCTCGTCATCTTGTGCGACCTCTGTCAGGAACGGAACCAATTCGTCTCGGGTTCTTTGTGGACCAAGCGCAAGAGCGATCGTGTCCAGTTTCTTCATTGCCTCAACTCTATTGGCAATGTCGTCATGTTTAAGTTCATCCATCAAAAGAGCCAGTGGATACAGGTCCTCCCCATTTTTCCCAACTTCATGTTCGCCCTCTTTACTCTGTGTATGATTTTCTGTCATCGTGTAACGTATGGTTTTCAGTTCGAGCAACCACCAGCCTAAGTTTACAGTTTAATTAAATGATTAATAACACTCGGATGTAGTCTAGGATGTTTTCCCTCTCCAATTCTTGATGATTCTTGTTTACACTTAAGTATTCTGGCGAACTTAGACTCCCTTTGGCCTGAAAAAACTTGCTAAAGGGGCGAGAACTTTTGGTTATGATGGTTTTAGTTTTCAGGGTAATTTTTCGTAAAGATTGATACATATAGTGCTATAGTACATAACGACGACATTAATTGTGAACTTTAATCTTTTCATATGCTTAGCAGGATCTGAATAATGTTGTATATGTACTTGAAGAGCACTTTGGTGGCCTGAATTCCACGATTGGCTATTATGGACAGAGTTTGAGCACGTTTGACTGAAAAAAGAATGGCTAGTATTATTACTGCTAAAGCACGACTGCTATGTCGGAATGACAGCAGCTTTTTTAGGCTATGCAACCATCTCAAAGTCTTGGGAACATCTAGCGGTTGCAAATTTTTTGTGACACCTAGCGTAGATGGTGCTGGCGTGCCCATCGGCAGGGATTTGGACTTCTTCTTACGCAACGCCTTTCTCGATTTTTTCTTAATTGGATCACTTAGCTTCGTGAGCAATTCAGCTTCAAAAGTAGGATTGTCACCATTCTCAACGCTAAATTGCGAATGGAGACCTGGTACCTGCTCACAAATGTCTTCATATAGGGCTGGGGACTTCCTTTTCCGCAGTGCCGTCACTTGTAAGTCCAACAGATAAAATTCCACTAGATCTTTTAATTGTCTTACATCGTCTTTAGTTTGTGCGGTACCGCTGATATTTATAATGAAATCTCTTGTAGAAGTTTCCAAATCATTTGGCCTGGCAGTCTCTTCCGCAACAAAGAACGAATGGCACTTAAGGATACAAGTAAGGTATTTGATCATAATACCTATTTGTTCACCTATGGGCTCTCCTTGAACTAGTGACCTTACCTGCGGTATGTCTGTGGCTGAAAACTCCCTTTTGAGAACATTTTGAATACTGACACCAAACACTTCGAAGGGTGTATCAAAGCAAATACTCAAAAAGAGCTTCCATATGTTTAAGTTGCTTCGCAGTGTTTCTTTGGCCAACAATTCATAGGTAAACATCCTCTCCAGACAAGCTTTCTTATCACCCTTGATGTAGAGGTTAATGCAGGTACTATACTGGGCCTGTTGAGTATTAAGAGAACCTTCTGGCTGAACATCTTGAAATCTTGAATCCTTCAACAGGTCCTGTAGCGTAATAGGAGCTTTTACGACGGTTTCACTCATCTCAAACGTTGAATCGGCGGATAGACACTTTTCGGAACTCAAGTGCAACCAACCTGGTCAACTTAAGTAAAATTTGTGCACTTTTGAAGCTTCAAAATTCGAAAACCTTTAGTAAATTCAACCAGAAATCTATGGAAATTACTTGGCCGATCGACCTCTCTTGCGCGTGTCAACTTTTGATGATAAGCTTTGGCTTCCGAAGTAAGGAAGACTTTAGAAACACACGTCCTTAATTGTTAAATCCGTCTCCAGTGACTGGAAATAGATACGTGCCACGATGCACTATCAGTGACACTCTCAGAATGGTGGAAAACTCGTGTAAGCAGGTTACATTTACGCATTGGAGCTCTGAAGAGAAAGGATTTGAATAATAAATTTTCGGTTTACAGTATTTGTTTTGTTGTTTCGTGATTTTGCTGGCTTTGTTTTTAAGTATTAATTTCATTCATGTGGTTTTAGATTTATAATGTGAATACAAATGCAATGAGAAGTAATTAAAACTACAAAACAAAAGAGTCTTAAAGAGTGGCAAAATGACGCATATCACTTTCTGCCCGGATCTTGGTTGCCCTGGAAGATGAAACTGCCAATAAGTAATATGATATGGGTCAAACACAAACATGAATACATATTAACACAACTAGACCTCTAACCATTTATCATTAGCAATATCATCGACCGATGGTCTCTTCGGTATCGACCTATTGAGGATTTTCTGTATCAATACAAGACAGTCTTCACTGACGCCAGAGCTTGAACTGATCCTTAAATCGCCGTCCAAAATTTCATCAATATTATAGAAAGGATTTTCCTTGAAAATGATCGTATACAGCAGAACCCCCAAAGCCCAAATATCTTGAGGTTTCCCCTCATAAGGCTCTCCACCAAGTACCTCAGGTGCTGCATAATCAATTGTTCCGACAAAAACGTCGAAAGGACCGCTTTTCACATAGGCCGCCGAGCCGAAGTCGATAAGCTTGACGCATCCCTTGTTATCTACAATGATGTTCTCATCTTTAATATCCCTGTGGACTATTCCATTATCGTGAAGATGTTTGATTCCCGAAACCACTTGTTTGAAAATAAGCTTTGCTTCGTGCTCAGTCATGTTGGTTTTAAGTTCAATCAGATCGAACAAATCGATTGAGCCAGTAGTGCCATGTATCGGCGTTTCTATATAATAATAGTCATCATCCTCGAAAAAGTCCAACAAAACTAAGATGTTTTCATGTGGTTTCTTGTTCAAAGCAGCCATTATCTGAATTTCCGAAGGAATTGTCCCCAATTTGCGATCCCGAACCCATGTATCAACTAAAATTCTTTCCTTAAAGATTAACTTGATAACGACAACATACTTGTCCTTTTTGTGCATGCATAAGTCTACCTTTCCATAAGCACCCTCACCCATTTTTTGCAACACGACAAAATCAGAAAAGGTTTTAATGTGCTTAAGAGCCCCGATGTTATGTTCGGGTGTAGTTAGAAATACGGTACCTTCTTCGGTTCTATGATCAGAATAAGTTGCAGCAGGATTAGATTTGGCAAATGTTGGAGCATCGGAATCGGGCCGTGGCGAAGTGGAGGTTAGCGATAAAATCAAATCTTCATCCAATTTGAAGTTATCATCTTTGACAAACTGTGACTTGTCTTGGCTATACTTCTTTGCTATTTCAAGCTTAGCGGCAAGCTGTTCGTCCAGATCACTTATGTCACAAATTGAGTTGCGTTTGGGATTCTCATCGGTTGGGGTATCTGGTGGCTCCTCTATGTTGGGCTGGTGCTGCTTGCCGGTATCACTATTGTTTCCAACTGTACTACCATCCAGCTTTAGATTTTCCTTCAAAGCCTGGAAATCATTGACATGAATCTTTCTACTAGGTCTCTTTGATGAGGCCTCGGAACTGCTACCACTTCCAACCACTGCTAGCTCATTTTCTTTAAGCATACGTAATTGAGAAGGATTTGTCGTGTAATTCTCGAAGACTACATCGCGCGAATGTGTGATCCAGAGAAGGGCATTAGAAGAGTCCATTACCCGCAGTTGAATGTCAACCTTAATGATGCTACCATCCCTGTGTATTGCATTGATCCCAATAGAGTTGTAGAAACTCTCAGCACCATTAGATATTTCAGCTTGAATTTTACGGAAAAAGTGCTCAGTTAAAACCAATCCCTTATTTTTGGGCAAAGTTACATCCAAATTAGGGTATTTCAACCGAATGAAATCTAAAAGCTCACTAAAGCTGGGAACAATTTTCGTTACTTTCTTACCGACTAATTCCTTCGCATGCAAACCAAACATATTTTTCGATACAGATTTGTTGAAACTGATTAAGCTGTAATCGTTGGAGTTGATTATGAATATACCCGCCTGATAAGGGAGGCTGTGAATTTTCAGTTTCATTTCACTCTCTAAAATTGAAGAGGAGACTGCACAGGGGATATTGTAGGTGAGGTGGTTTAAGGTAAAGTATCTCACTTTGTTAATGTTATTAGAAACTCTAATGGACATTGGAAGTAGGTCATCGTCTTTTGAAAATACTTTTCCCTCCTGCACATCGTTGATGAGATGGGCTAACGATTTACTCAGTACATTAACATCATGAATCTCATTAGTAAATTTCACAGACTTTTTCTTTGGGACGTAATCACCTGTTGTTGGAGAAACAGGCAATTGCTGTTGTTGTGTTTCTTCATCTTTAGCCAACTTGAGAGATTCTCCCCCAAGTATGCTATCGACTGAAAAGTCTTCTAGATCGAGGAGAACGTCCATATAGTCACATGGAACTTTCTCGAAAACACACACAATTAGACCATTTTTCCTTTTTGCCCAGATAGATGACCAGACTAATTGAGAGGATGCATCACCGGGTTGTATGATACCAACAATTTCACCAGTGAATACAAGCTCTTGGTTTTCTGTGGACATGATTTTGTTTAATACAAAATTTCTGCTGTCACTATGAATTAAATCCAGCAGGGTTAGTGCACGAAGTGCGTTTTTTGAAATACCAAATATTAAACAGGCCAGATCATTTGCGGCTTTGAACTGCCAAGGGTATTGTTGAAGGCATGTGAAAATCGCCTGAGGAGAGGAGTTTTTGCCAGAGACAAAAGTATGCAAAATACGATTACTCTCGGGTCCCGTCCTTGGGGCCGCTAATGCCAATGGATCGTTGATGAGCTTGTCCTCATCTGTTGAATTTAACTCTTCAACTTCTTCGGGGATTACTTCTGGATTGAAAGATTCGAAAAAGGGTTGAGCTAAACTTTCTAAAAGGTTCTTCTTCAAAGTCTCCTCGTGCTTGTCACTGTGCGCATTGGACACATTGTCCCCCACATGATCTACGTCCAGCGATAGTTTGTTATAATTCAATAATGATATCATGTGAAGATTTGAAGCCTTTTCGGAACTATTGTTTTCGAGAGTCTCATTTAATATGTCCAACAAACTAACCAAATCACTTTTGTTTGCCAAGTATTCTGAACTTGAATTGCTCTTTGCCATATACAATGACCCTGACTCTTGGTGGGAAGCTGCTTCAAAATCCGAAGAAGTAGCAGATTCATCGACAGATGTTCGTGGGGAGTTCGAAGATGTGCTATTGGGGGTGTCTCGCAATATTATTGAAGGTGAGTTGGTACTTCTTTGTGATGACGGCGAGCCTAATTGAAATGATGATAAATGTCTGCTAAGTAGTTGATGTGAGTCTGGGAGGTTCACATTGCTTTGTCCATTGCTGTTGACCAAAGCAGATAAAGCGGCCGACGAAGCATTCGTGAGCTTGGACTTTGATAAAGGAACCATGCTGTCTTGGCTAAAGATCTTTTTTAAGTCAGGGCGACTGAGTGTATCACGGGAGCCGCGATCACTGAAGGAGAATTCCACTCTACTCCCATTAGGGGTGCGAACCCGCAAGTGATTATCTGTGTGATGTTCATGCAAAAGACTCGGATTGCGAATCATGATTTCGAGAGACCTCTTAAGAATTCGGAGCCGCACGGCTAGCGAGTTTGGCGATAGGGGATTGTAAGAGTAAGCATGTGTTGACTCATTAGGAAAGCTCAACAGCTCCCGAAGGTCGTACTCGCTACTCGGAAGGGCAAGAACGCCAGATGACGCCAGTTTCACTGCTAGTGGCAAATCAATCTGCTTCTTAGGTTTCTGGCCATCGCTTGCAATGGTATTCTGTGTCTGTTCGCTGTGGATTTCATCCCCTTGAAGCTTATCCGAAACGCATGATTCAGGGTCCTGATCCGCTTCTTCCGCTCCTCGTCCCACTTCTGGGGGCGTGTCAGAGAGCTCTGCTGAGCTCTTCTCGCTTATTGAATGTTTTTCCTTGAGCAGGTCGTACTCACTCTGGGAGTTCGAAGCTGCTATGTACGGCATACGCGAAACGAGTGCTAAGGTAATGAGGCTACCGGAGATTTACCTAGTTTCAGACTGAATCTTGTCGGGGACCTCGAACTTTTAATGATGTGGAGTAAATTCTCTATATTTCTTATAACAGAAATACCAAAGATACCCTGTAGACCTAATCTGTGCTGGCTTATCGGCCTTTGTAATCAAGCCACCTCTTCTCCTTGAATCAGCATCTAGCTGTTGAAATTTTTTTTATCCTACCCGTCGGCCTCCGCTGCCAGTGTGTATGGGCGGATTAGTCGATCTCTTTGTGACGCGCCAGGCGACGGTAAAGATAATAATGGGATATTTAAACTCTTACGACTAAAGATCTGATTTCCCTTCAATTAATCACTCTAATTGAGGATTTTATTTTTATCGACGCTTAAATGAGTTTTACGGGAACAATAGTGTTATGCGGGCTGGGGGGCCTAGTCCTTAAATATGGCGGACAAGAGGCTAAGAAAGATGAAAACACTCCAGCGGGTTTCAAGAATTTGACGCTAGGTTTCATTGGATCAAAACAGGCCACATTTAAGGAGAGATTCATGATTGTGAAGACGAATTTTTGGGATCAGGTTGTCAATGGCGGAGGATATATGTTTCCGCTACAAGTATGTGAGAACTGCAAACGAGCTTGACCCACTGTGAGGCTTTTACTAACAGAAAAATTCTATAGGGATTGCGCGCACTTTTCAGTACACGGGCGTATTTGAGAGATACGTTGAGCAACATGGCTGCCTACCTATCAATTTGGTCTCTGGTTTCGTTTTTATATTTCGCCGGCATTTTACCGATATATATAGCAATCCTTGCGTTGCTCGGCTTCGGAGGACTGGCTGTTGCGTACGTGCACTTTTTGCTCCACGGGAATATGCTAGCTATGATGATTTTGAGAATGTCACAAATGAACTATGACCTTGAGGATCTCGCCCTTCGGCGTCACGGTAGGGAATTCTTCGTCCAGCAGGCCATCCAAAATACCCCTCCACCCACGAGACTCTACACACCCAAAAACACGGTTTATTTTTGGCTAAATTACTTGCCTTGGAGGCTCACCGTGTACACTTGCTGGGGGTTTGCCATTATCGCCCTGTTATTGGTCTCGTTTGTGCCAATTGTGGGTCCACTGATCTTCAGCGCCATGATATCGCCAGTCGTTTCGCGAATCTACTTTTCACACTACTTGCGTCTGAAGAAGCTCAGCAACCGGGACCGCGAAGCAAGGTTTTATTCGAATTTTGGCAGTTACGTGAGTTTTGGTTTTGTTGCAGGCCAATTAGAGGCTTTGCCACTTTTTGCAGGAATAGCCTATTGCTCTAACGCGATTGGCGTAGCTCTAATGGCAACTGAAGAGATGAAATCCGAAGATTCAGCTCTACCAACGACCCCTCAAGTAGAAGATATCGTAGAACATTCGGTGGTTACGACATAAATGCTAACTAGCTCGCAAATGCATATTTAACTCTTGCTTTACGGTAATTTATGTAAAATGGCTTATGATAATTGAAGTAATGATCAAACTACCCGATTTTGGTTCCCCTTGGGTAATATAATTTTGAGCGCGTCACAAAAATAATTGTTTCAGATCGACCAAATTGTGTCACAGATCTTAACTTCTACAAGTTAAGTGCAGTAAAACCAGTTCAATAAGCCTGGATAACTAAGAATGCAAGATAATGAATCTTTAGGAAGGTCAAGCAGCATTATCGTCACTGATAGAAGCAGCACCCTGAACTCAACACAGGAATTCACCACACCACACGAAAATCAGTTTACCACTCAAGCAAACAACCAATTGCCACTTCAATACCAAAGCAAAAGTTTTTACTTAAGAGGTATTAGTGGTACTCTGTTTTCCAAGTTTGATCATCGTGTTTCACTAATATCCAATAACTTTTTACATGATTTGTTCGTAGAGAAAACATTTTGGTATCCGGTATTAGTATGTTACAAAATGCAAATATAAACATGATTTTTTACCACTACTAACATGCTGCCCAAGGGTATTTTTAAATTTGTTTCAACTCCCTTTTTTTGGAATTATAGCATTATTTTAGCATTTTGTTTCCTTTGCATATTCGTGATTGTAGGGTCACTGTATTACGCGTTCATCGTACCTCTTTTGCTGACTTGGGCGGTAATAACATTGGGACCTCTTGGCTTTGTCATTGTTCATATACAATGGCTTTTGCAAGCAAACGCCCTTGCTATCAAGTTGACCAAAGTTCTGATTTTCCCCACAGTCAGAGATGAGCTTTTTGACGCGGTACTTTTGAACCAAGGCCATAAAGTATTTCTAGAATCGGCAAAAGTGATGCCATATCATGTTGCGAAAAAGCCATCTAAGACGACCCTAGAGTACTGGGTGCTGGTATTCCCTCAAAAATGTGCCTCAATCATATTTCACTTGATTCTGACAGTCATCCTTATAATAATCTCATTGATACCTATTTTCGGACCATCCATTGTCAACCAAATTTTAAGCCCCAAACGAGGATTTGCGTATGCAGAACGATATTTAAAGCTTCAAAAATACAGTAAGGAGAAGTGTAATGAGACTTTTTATGAGCAATTAGGAAAATACACCGCATTTGGCATGATGGCGGGTTTGCTGGAACTTGTTCCGATCATCTCGATTTTTACTCTCCCTAGTAACATCATTGCTGGAGCCTTATGGGCCTCCGATGAGATAAACAAAAGTCAAAGTTAAAAATTCAAAATACTAATACAATAGCACGCTATCAACACAACCAAATCCTGCAGCAACTCCTCCTTCATCCGAAGAGCTAGATTTGGATCTTAGAAGCCATCCCGCATACTCGTTTGTATATATGGTTGAATTATCAAACAAAACGTACCCAAACACTCCTAATTCACTCAAAATGGGTTCATTTGAAATGCAATTGCCTCTCAATACCATGTTTTGTGTAGTGGGCTCTGGTTTGATAAGCTCCATAAGAATATAGCCACTCCAATCTTCTTCTGGGATACTTTTGAGGAAACCTGGAATGGCCTCTTTATATATGTTATTCCCCCCCCCTTCTCTTTGAGGCTTTAGAACAAACTTCTCGGGTGAAGTCATAGCAATTTTCTTGGCTTCTTTTCCCAGTTCAGTATCATCTAATGGGTAGATTTTTACAAATGATGATTTTAACTTGTCTAACGTATCCTCGTCATTAATAAATTCTTTTAAGACTGCTTCATCAGTGAGAATCTGCTGAATCTTTTTAGCGCCTGCCAATTGTGTCAGGATATTAGGTGCCTTGATGGCGAAACTAGTTTCTAATGCTAGCCTATTTTCCCAATCTTGTTCGTTCTTAAAATCGCTTGGAGAGTATCCGGCTCTGAAATAAACCAAGGAAATTTCTTCTCCTGTTTCCAAATAATATAATCTCTTTGTTTTTGAATCTACCACAGTCTTTAAATGCACGTCATGAATAGTAATTCTAACGGATTTGATACCATATAATTTGAAGAGATTGTATTCGATTATGCGTTGATCGAAAACATTTCGTTCTCCATCTTGAACAATAAAAGCAACAACTGTGTGATCTTTAGCAGCAGGGAACTTAAGCACTGCCTCCGATAATCCTTTCGCTAGTAATTCTGCAGATTCCGAAACTGGAATCACTTGATTGTAAAAGACATCGCCAGTTGTTGTATATTTACCAGAATCGTTGAGAAACTTGTGCAATTCACCGACTTTAGTAGAAAGACCACCGAAAGAAACAGAAACGGTGTTAAATTCAACCTGCTTGACTTCCAGATCCTGGTTGTCAAGCAAATAGTCCGATCTAAAAACACCTAAAGCCAACGGCTGACTTATACCTTCTGTAACCGCACGTTGGTAAAGATCCCAGAGCTTTCCAGTGAAATCCGGGTCAAATTTCGCCAGCTTACTGATCTCGCGACTCAACCAGTGATCATGCCCATCCTGGGAAATTGTAGCATAAAGCCTATTATAAGCTTTTTGAACAGAAACAGCTTGATCAAAACTCTTTTTGGGGAAAGGAGTAGGATACACCGTGGTCGGAGCAATGGATGTTGAGTCCAGTTTATGATTTGAAGGGTACATTACCAACCCATTCACTAAACCCCATTGCAGTATTTCTGGGACCAAATCGTTGCGGATCTTGTCGCTATCCAACGAAGGGAATAAAGGATAGTTCGACGGCATTCTCAATGGATCTATATTAGCTCTATCTTTGATTTGTCCACGTTTTGACTTGCAGCCAAGTTCGAATCTTGACTTTATTTGTAAGCCTGAAGTCACTATAATATCAGCTTACCATCGCTCGAAACGATTATTAAGATCAAAATATTAAGATATCCTAAATAGAAAAGGGCATGTACGTATTATATAAACAGGTAGGAGATACTTTCTCTCCTCATTTAAGTGGTTCAGGATTTGGCCCAAAACCCCCAATCCCAGATGTTCTGTTCGGATGATTCCATTGGAAACGCCTTTTTCGTATCCTCTGTGGGCGCAGAAAAGAACAAGTCCTCAGGTGAGTCCAACTTCAATTTCTTAGAATCACTCATTATAGCGGGGGAAGCGGGTGATATGTTCGGACTTATGTCCAGTTCATTAGCTTTTCTCTTTTTGCTCCGCTCAGCGACAGGTGTTGGAACAAAAGAAAATGACGACACATCTGTCGAACCGTAAACGTCTTTAAAAACACTAGCAATGTCGCTTACATTAATCGAGTAATTTTGGTTTTCAGGCTCATATTTGTTAGAAAACAACATTTTGTTGTCTTTGATGGAAACATCAACATTATCTTGCTCCTTATTTCTGAGGGCTTGTTTCCCGCCCTTTTTCTTATTAGAGTTGACTTGCTCAACGATATCCTCAGGAATTTTATTAATCAATTCATAAGAACCCTCCTGAACTCCAAAGCAGTCTCCTAAAGTGGTTAAGAAGAGATCAGCAGGTGACTTAGCTAGAATTTCCTGTCTTAGCTTAAATCGAGAAATGATTTCGTTTTTTTTCACGACCTTCTTCTTCAGATTGTCCTCATCCTCCTTGTATGGGTAATCGGCCGGCGGAGTAGCACCATTAGGAATAGATCTAGGAGAAGGACTTTGATGATGATTCCAATTGGGTCTATTGACAAGAGGGGAAGCACTAGGGGCTAAATTTGGAACTAGCGGTGTACCCGTTCTACTAGCTGCTGTGGTACCTTGCGATACACCGACGTTTGGAGTGTTTTGAGTTGACGAAGGTGCCGCAAGAGGTGTGTTCTGAACTTGCTTCTTCTGTGCTAACTTCTTCCGAGCAGCAGCTGCCTTCTTGGCAGGCGACAGAGCAAGTTGCTGTGGTGATTGCCCATTGGCAAAGTCTGGAGAATTCAGGAATTCCATACCAGAAACAGCGCGATTTACATTATCACCGGCGCCACCAAGAGTTGTGGCATCCGTTTCAAGATTACCCACGTTAACAGGGAAGCCATCTGAATTTAGCCTCACCCCATTGTTCAATTGAGGTGAAGGTTGCATCTGCTGTTGTTGCTGTCTCATTTGCATTTGCTGCTGAATCTGTTGGAACGATCCCTGAATTCTCTGCTGATTGAAGTGAGGATCCACACTCCCTTGCGCAGTCGTCTGCTGCTGCTGCTGCTGCTGCTGTTGTTGCTGCTGCTGCTGTTGCTGTTGTTGCTGTTGTTGCTGTTGTTGCTGTTGCTGTTGTTGCTGTTGTTGCTGTTGCTGTTGTTGCTGCTGTCTGGAGGCAATAATTTGTTGATGTCGCCTTAGCACTTGATCTTTAATGAACTCATAATATTTCTGGTATCTGAAAACAACTTTGTCGACCACTTCAGGTGGCACAATAAATGTTCCTCTCGAAGCATGCTCAATAATTTCCTTTGCAAGCATACGAATTTGCAGAAGCTGACGAACGTTCTCCTCGTTTCTCGTAATCATGTACAGAGTTGGAATGAAGTTGTCCACATTAGTAAAAAGCTGTCGGTTTACTTGGAGCTTATTCTTAATAGATTGTTTTTGCTCCTGATTTAACTGATTAGTAATATTTGAAAGCCGCAGATGAGATTTCTGCACTTCGGCAGAAATCCTTCTCAGGACCAACAGATCTTGTTCAGTTGGTCTTGGTAACGAAATTTTTGGCGGACTTTGCTGAGGAGCGGTAGTAGGTTGTGGAACCATAGGATTCGCATTAGAGGTTGCTCTGCTGTGGTTACCGATATTATTATCATTAGCAATGTTATTAGTATTATTAGTATTAGTATTAGCGGCTCCACTAAAAGCTCTTCTCTGAGCCATTGTAGCACTGACGTTGTTGGAAGTTGAGTTGTTCGATGTAAATTGGCTCATAACGGGGATGTAGGGACCATTGGCACCAGGTGCTTGGTTCTGAGAAGGTGCATTGCCCCCAGATGCCTGTGACATCCGAGCTGCTTGCAATTTTTTCAATGCCATCTGGTTTATATATTTCTTGATGTAGATTGCTTGCTGTTGTGGGGTCAATATCGCTGGTAACCTATTACTTCTTTGCAAATCTTCGATCAGTTTCTTCCCATTCTCATAAAGTGCCTTCTGCTCAGCAGGTGAGAATATCTGGTTGAGTCGGTTTAAAACATTTGGAATATCCTGTTGCGGCTGCTGCTGCTGCTGCTGTTGTTGTTGTTGCTGCTGCTGTGGAGGTTGCGTCATTGATCTGTCTCTCTGCTGTGGGACTTGCTGAGACGTCTGTGGTTGTTGCTGCTGTTGAGCAAGTTGCTGCTGCTGCTGCACTTGGCCCATCGGCTGTCTCTGTTGCATGACTCTCTGCTGGGCAGCACCAGTACGGTTACCAGCTGTAGCCTGTTGCAATTTCGATTTAAAGACCAGCTGCTGGTGCATTTGATAGACTTGCTTGGCAATTTGTAAGTCCTTCTGGCCCAGCCTCTTCTGCTGTGCTAGCTCAGTGACCTGCTGCCAGGTATTGACACCTGGAGGGAGATTTGGAATTCGCTGCAAAAGCTCACGGGGAATTTCCGCTACTTTCATTTCGTTGATAAGCTGCTGCTGTTGTGGTGTTAGCTGGGGTCTGGCAGGTGCACCGTTGATGGGAATATTGTTACCCATGCCGGTCCGAAACTGTTGGACGGCCTGCTGGCGTGCTTGAGCTTGCTGATTCAAGAACATCTGCGAATTCATGCCTGCAGCCGTTGGAAATTGCCCCTGCCTCTGCTGCTGCGCTGCCTGCGCTGCCTGTTGGCGCGCCTGCTGCCCAGCCGCTTTCGCCGCATTCTGTTGCACAGTGGCGATGGCTTTCTTCTTGGCCGCGTCCATGGCAGCAATGCGCTTCCGCATTGCGTCCAGGTACAAATCCTTGGACGAACTGCTGGCATAAAGACTTTTCTCGAACTGCTCCGCGGTTTTCTTGAGCTTCTCCAAGTTAAAATTGCCCCTATCACCGCCGTTCAAGTGGCTGATTTGTGCCAAAATTTGCGCAAGTTCAGTAATGTATTTTGACCGTTCCTGATTCGACAAAGTCGATCTCCAATCAACTTCCATGCTTAATAGCCTCTCACTGAACGCTTCCTTGAAAAAACTTTTATCGCTCAGTCCGTATATGAACTTGTTGATCTCCGCAGAATTAAGAAAAACCCGTAGGTTACCGATTGTTTCTTTGAAAATAATACTTTCGGATATAGACTACCTTTCCTTAGTCTTGATTGATTAACTACTTTGAGCTTCTTATCCAATCTTTGCTTGACCGTGATAGCCACAAGTTTGTCCAACGAGTTCTGGTTCTCCCTATGCACACTTCCGACCGTTCCACTTTTTCATGAGATAGGCTGAAACGAAATGTGAGGCGTAAAAAAAGGTTAGAGCAAACACGTGACCTGAAATACAGAAGAGTGGAGATGACTTTACCATAAGCCAGGGCAGAAATGTTCTATAAGATAGTATTTTACAACTTATACACATGTTTCTATTTGTTTTCATCGTATATAATATCCTCCAACATATCGCTTACTTTTGTTTCAAGAACTTCGTCGCTTTTGTTGTCTTCGCTTATGTGCGTATCTAGCGCGAGTTTGTTTTTGGCTAGCTGGAGAATCTTCTCTTCAATGGAGTCGCGAGTGATCAAAGTGGATATGTAAACCTCTTTGGTCTGGCCTACACGGTGGGAACGGTCAGCGGCCTGCTTGTCGTCATGTGGGTTGAAGCTTTGGTCGAAAATGATAACATTGTTGGCGCAGACCAGATTGATGCCGAACCCACCGGCCTTGGTTGAAAGGATAAACACAGGGACCGTATCGTCGTCGTGGAACTTATCTATCAGTGCCTGGCGGTCATTGACCTGGGTCGAGCCATCCAGCCGGAGGAACTTGATGCCGAGAGTCGAAAGCACGAGCTCCAGGATGTCGAGCATCTGCGTGAAAAGAGAGAATACAAGCACCTTTTCTTTTCTGTTCTCGATAATATCTTTGAGAAGCTTACACAGCGTGGCCACCTTGCCCGAGTTCATCCATTCGTCATCTTTCAGCTGGTATCGGCTCAGTGTATCGGGGAACTTCATGCAGAGCCTATGAAGCTCGAAATCGTTCATGTAACTCATATCTTCCATGATATATTGCTTGTTCCCATTTTCCGCGTATTCTGGTTCGTCCAGGATTGCGTCGCTCATCTTGTTGATGATCTTATCGGTAAAGATATGTCTGAACAGAAGCGGGTGGATGGCGGCTTTTCTCAGCGCCATGATGAGGTTTTTGGAGGACTGGTTTCTGTTGCGAGAATCGTCCTTGCCGTCCAATTCGCCGTCGCCTTCCGCCAACATCTTTTTATGCTCAAGCACCAGCTGAATTTCTCTGTTGTAAATCTCGCGCTGCACAGGCGTCATGTCGCAATACTCGATTTTAGAGTGCTTTGCAGGTAAATGCTTCAAAACTTGGTCCTTACGTCTTCTGAGGATGAAGGGCTTCATCATGGTTTTGGCTCTTGCGATGGCTTCTTGTGCCAATAACGGATTATAGTCCTTATTAGAATCTGATGTTCTAGCACGCTGTCTAAAGACCGCTGATAGATCATCCTTCTTGGAAATAAACAAGGATGGCATTATGAACTCAAGTAACGACATAAGTTCTTTGAGATTGTTTTGTAATGGAGTACCAGTTAACAACAGTCTGAAATTTGCCTCAATCTTCATAAGCTTTGTAAATCTTTCTGACATCGAGTTTTTCAACATGTGCCCTTCATCGTAAACTACCACGTTAAAGCCTCGATTTTTCAAAAACGAGACGTCATGCTTGTTACCAGAGGCCAAGTTATAAGTAGTAACAATCACATCATATTGTCCTTCGTTATCTTCCAAGATATCCCGTAATTCAGCTCTCTCCTGCTGAGATCCGTAATAGGGCTCAATTTTTAGTTCCGGGCAAAACTTCCTGAATTCACGCAGCCAGTTTTCTAAAGTAGAAGATGGCACGACAACCAAGTGAGGGCCAGGCTGATTTGTTTGTTTCAAATGAGCAAGGAAAGCAATAACTTGACATGTCTTACCTAGACCCATCTCATCAGCTAAAATACACGACATGTTGTTTTGGTATAGCAAATTCAACCAGTTTATACCGGTTTGTTGATAATCCTTCAAGTCTATATCTTCAGCCAGTAGCTTAGGCTTATGCTTAAAGAATTTCACAGCTTTATGTCTTGGTCTGCCCCTACCACGCCTGGTGGAGTGGCGAGTCCTTCTACCGCCATAATCTTCGTCATCACTTTCATGATAATCTTCTTCATCTTCAAAATCACTATCATCCGGATCCCTGCTACTTTTCTTCGAGGTGGATTTAGATTTATCATGATCGTCAGAAGCTTGGGCATCATCTTCTTCATCTTCAACTTCGTCGTCATCAACCTCCAAATCCATGAAGTTTAATTCTCCATTTTGGATATCCTCGACATTGACACCCCATTTCTGCATCTGGGAACTGATCAAGTTACCATAAGACGAACATCTCTTGATGAGCGAGTCGATTGCGTTATAGCCTCTCATCGTTTGAATCATTTTATCTAGTAATTTTTCACCATCTCTCTTTTGCTGGCCACGTCTTGTTGTCTTTTTCTCTTGCTGTTTGCGCTCTTCCTCCTCAGTGAGAAAGTCCATTTGTCTAAAGGAGTAAAGATCATGATATGGTCTTCGAGAAACAAGAATTAATGCTTTATCCAGAGTCGTATCCGCAAGATCAGCAATGTCTTTCTCATTAGCAGTATTGATAAACTTGAGAATCTCTTCATCAATATTCACATCGGGAGTATTTTCCTGATAATCATCACCGCTGACATCTTCATCCCCACTGATCTCTTCCTCATCTTCATCGGATAACGACACAGACGATTTCTTATTACTAGTTCTGACGGGGTCGTCAGCCCGTACCAATTTACGTCTTTTTCTTGTAGATTCCACTTGTGCAATAGTTGAAGGATCGACAACTACAGCTTCCATAGTGGGCCGATGACGATTATTCATTACATGGGAGTAACGGTCGAAAATAGATGTTTTTTGTTTCTCTAAAGTGATCTTGGATGATTTCTCCGGAGAAGACACGATGCTACTATTCCCTTCGTCAGGTCTGTTAAGCGTCGTGAGACGGCTAGTTGGCTTTCTTTCACCTGGCTTCCAAGCCCACGATCTGGATGTTTTTTGGGATTGGATCTTGGCAAGACGTTCCCTCGCCAATTTGAGATTAAACGAGTTCGATTTGAACACCGCTTTGACCAAAGTTTCAGAGAACTCAGGGTACTCCTGAATTAGCTTCCCAAGCTCTACATCTAAACCGCCAGAGGCTCCATTCGATGCATTGGAAATTGGTTTGGGCTTTTCAGTAGGTTTGTATACAAACCGGTCACGTAAAATTGATGCTGTTTCAACATCCCTCTTCAACGGGGAAGAAGAATCGACTTCATGATCTGCTATTGGCGAGGACTCTGGAACCTGTACGTCCTCATTACGTTTAGGCGTAGTGGGATCCATCCTTTCTAACCTTTTCTTACAGAGTGAATAGAAAGATGAATTCAAATTTTTCGTCACATAATTTTCGCGTTTAGCGGCAGCGATGAGTAAACCACTATAAGAATAAATCATGGACTATTTTATCTTCCAAGAACTATAGACGACCAGTGATCGTTATGAGATTCATATATACCAAAACTGACTGAACGATCATGCTTCTATATTGTTTTGCGAGATGAACCAGTTCAGACAGCTTTAATTAAAGCTGGGGAAACATTTTCTGAATCTTTCCCACATGCCACGTAGAATTGCTTAGATCACACATAGCGATGAATTACGAAGTAAAAGCACTAGGATCAAACGGAAACTACCAACTTAGGCCTATCTCACAATAGTGATCTTATAAAGCCCCAAACAACGTTTTCCACACATGTTAAACCGATCAAGATCTCCTGTGGAGGCAATCATACTGCGATGCTTCTACAGGACGGATCCTTGTATATGACGGGCGACAACTCACAAGGGCAGTGCGGCTGGCCAAAAGAAGTGACCCATACTATTGGCTGGCGTCTCTTGCCCGGGAAATTTGTCGATGTGGGCTGCTGTTGGGAGAGTACCGTCGTAATCACCGCGAAGGGGGAGGTCCAAAGCTGCGGTAAAGGGTTAAAGGGAGAGCTTGGTCTTGGCCCTCTCGTGCAAAGAAGCGAGCTGTCTACTGTTATGCAGTTGAACACAACAAATGGAAGCGTGCACTGTTGCCTGCATAATGTATGCGTACAAGACGGTGCGGAGCTTTATGGATGGGGAGCGAATACAAAATGTCAACTTCTGGCGCCCAAGTCAAGATATCTAAACACTCCAACCCTTATTCACAAGGGAACTAGTATAACACAAGTGAGCCTGGGCAAGAACTTTCTGTGTTTTGTGGACCAAGAGGAGCTAACAATACAAGGAACCGCATCTGATTTTTTACCAGCGATAGTACAAGAATTCGAAGCCCACAAGCCGTGCGTGCAGTTCCACGCTATGTGGTCATCTCTACATATGCTGGCCCCTGGCCATTTGGCATCATTTGGACAAGGAAATCATGGCCAGCTGTTTAAAGATGCCGTTCCCAGTGCGATTACATCGTGGGCGACGGGCAGCGAGCACGGCGTACTCTGCGTCAGCAGGCAGGACGTTCTGTGCTGGGGATGGGGCGAGCACGGAAACTGCGGCAGGCTGACGCACGACGTGGCTGCAACTGCGCAGTTACCTGACGAGAACGACTACTCGAACCAAGTGAGCCCGCTTAACCTCGTTTACACTTGCGGCAGCGACCCCACGGCTGCTGTGTACAAGTGCTACGGGGGCTGCGCCACTACATGGATTTGTATACAACATAACTAGATACCGGGCACTAGATATGCAATGTTAAGAAGTATCTTTCCCATATTCATGGAATTACACACGTTCGAACCGCAATGAATGCCAGCTGTGAACGTTCACATGGAAAATATGTATAAACTTCTTGATTGTCACTCTGGGAAACGCGTATCATGGATAGATGATGATGAATAAAGCACCTGCCCATTTCTTTAAACGTTTCCCCAGCAAAGACGACACCTGAGTGACGCCTTGCCTTACTTGTTGAAGAAGTCAAAAGCTTCAGGAGCCATCTTGAAATTTTTCAACCAAGTATCAAGCGGCAGGGTAATTATTACAAGTGAATACGGAGAAGGTGGTGAAGAAGGAGGGCTAGGAAAAGGGGAAAGGATAGTAAAGGCGCTGTCATCTGCTAGTGGCAAGAGCCGGGATCAATTGGGTGGTGATTAGCGGTGTGATTGCATGATGGAAATTATGGTCTCGACGGTAGTGTATCGCTACGAGGAAAGTTCGAAACTTGTTGGAATAGCCAACAATGGGTTCAGTTTCAAGGCCTATTGACTGGGTATTGGCAAGTATATAATCCTGCATCGAACAAGGGGACCCTGAAGACCCTGCTACTGTTGCTAGGCGGAACTGGGCAAAGAAGAGCGGTTGCCAGCAGCCCGTAGGGTGGGTCAGAGTGGTGATGGAAGGTATACGGAGACATTACGGAAGGAGCTAATATGGATTTCCTTCATTGCTACATCAGCATTGCGCCAAATGTGTTTGAGTTCAATTCCAAGCGATTTCTACTTCATTGACATTGCAGTCGCTCCTCCACCGATACAAGAAAGACCGCAAGCACGAACGCGAACAAGCTTGATGCAAATGCACCCAACTACCACAAACGATATGCTAGTACTCCGCTTCAAAGCGTGCGATCTTCGAGCAGTGCGAAACGCTGATTAAAACAGTGACACGACTGAACAGAACAGCAAAAAAATCACAAAAACCGCCCCATCATACGGCCCAATCGTAGTAACACCCTTCAGGCGGTCCGTAGATCGAAAGTAGCTTGAAATACAAGCCTTGTGTGTAAAACGCGGTTATCTCAGATCCCTCCGATTACCCGGACTCTTGTGATATTTTCCGTAATGAAAATCTTTCGAGTTTAGGGAACTCAAACACAGCAACAATAAATTGTTAAACGGTGAGAGAGATAGTACGAAAATATAGACTATGAACAATCCAGCTCCTATGATGGGCTATCCGGGGCTGTCACAGCAGCAGCAGTCCATTCAATCGGCGGGCCCTCCCGCGATGGGTACGCCTGGCGCGCTGCACCAGCAATTGCACCTTCAACAAGCACAGTCACAGGCTCAACAAGCGCAACAACAATCTCAACAACAACAACAACTTCCACCAGGCCTTATGGGTGGTAACGCGCAGCAGATAATGGGCCAATTGAATAATGGTGGCATGGCGGTCCCAACGCAAGCAAGCAACGCGGGCAACCCACTATACCACCCCCACCAGGGCGATCCGAGCATGCTCAACAACCCTATTTGGAAACTCCAACTTCAACTGGCGAACATTTCAAGGCAATCTATGGGACAAGCCAATGTGTATGCCCGGCAAAGCGCAATGCGCAAGTACATGTTGAATAATAATCAGGGGCCAACAGGAACACTCAACGAGATGTCAACTTCCCTCGTGGATCATACCAAGCAATATCTGCTTTTGATGGCCGGGGATTCAGGTGCGAACAATGGGGGCTCCAGCGCTAGTGCCGCGTCCACCCCTCTCACTCCGAAGGCCGAACTCAATGGTGGCAGTAATAATCAAAATACTCCTTCACTGCTTTTACAACACAAGAAATTGTCGCAGTATAATATTGACGAGGACGATGAAATTGAGCATCGTATGGTAGCTCCAAAAGATACAAAGTTCGACGATCAGTTATGGCATGCGTTGGATCTATCCAATTTACAAATATTCAATCTTAATGATAGCTTGTTCAAGTACGAGTTTCTAACGAGATTGTATTTGAACGGCAATAATCTAACAACACTACCAGGATCAATTAAATCCTTGCGCAATCTTCGCGTATTGGATCTTTCTCATAACAGGCTTACGGAGCTGCCTTCAGAATTGGGTCTATGTTATCAATTGAAATACCTGTATTTCTTTGATAACATGGTCTCTACTTTACCATGGAAGTTTGGAAATTTGTTTAATTTACAATTTTTGGGTTTAGAAGGTAATCCAATGGATCGTCAGTTGATTAAGATTCTCACTGAAAAGTCAGTGACTGGCCTAATTTTTTACTTGCGGGACAACGCACCTGAAGTGCACTTGAAAGAAGATCGTAAGTTTATCGAAATAAATACTGACGGTGAGATAACGGAGGAGTTCCCCTCTTTGAAAGATTCAGATGAGCATCAACCAAAGGATGTTTTAAAAAGATCTTTCACGATGCTTTCTTACAATACTTTATGCCAACATTACGCAACGCCGAAAATGTATCGGTACACTCCGTCATGGGCATTAAGTTGGGACTATAGGCGTGAAAAATTAAAGGAACAAGTTTTATCTTATCTAACAGACGTCGTGTGCCTGCAAGAAGTGGAGAGTAAGACTTATGAGGAGTTTTGGGTACCGCTCATGAAAGAACATGGTTACACTGGTGTTTTCCATGCCAAGACAAGAGCTCGCACAATGCAATCCAAGGACTCCAAGAAAGTCGATGGTTGCTGTGTCTTCTTCAAGGATGCAGAATTCAAATTAATCTTTAAGGACTCAGTAGACTTCAGTAGCGCGTGGATGAAACATAAGAAATTCCAAAGGACTGAGGATTATCTAAATCGGGCAATGAACAAAGATAATGTCGCATTGGTTGTTAAACTCCAACATCTAAAGAGTAATGAACAAATTTGGGTTGCCACCACACATTTACACTGGGATCCTCAATTCAATGATGTCAAAACATTCCAAGTAGGGGTATTACTTGACTATATGGAAAAACTTCTCAAGGATCAAAGCGGTTGTAGCACTGCGCAAGAGGTAAAGAAAGTTCCTGTAGTTATATGTGGTGATTTCAACTCCCAATTAGATTCAGCGGTCTACGAACTGTTAAGCACGGGCTCTGTTCACGAACACAAGGACATCGAGGGGCGTGACTTCGGGTACATCTCACAAAAGAACTTCGCTCACAACCTATCTTTGAAGTCAAGTTACGATTCGATTGGCGAACTGCCCTTCACTAATTTCTCACCAACTTTCACCGAGGTCATCGATTACATATGGTACTCATCACAGGCACTACGCGTGCGTGGGGTCCTCGGAAAGATTGACCCAGAATACATATCCAACTTCATTGCATTTCCCAACGACAAATTCCCCAGTGACCACATTCCTCTGGTATCACGTTTCGAATTTACCAAAGGGGGCAGCAGCGCCAGCAGCAACGGTGGGAGCAGAAAGGTGTAAACCAGCATTCACGCTCGGCTGCTAATTTGTACATTATTTATTTGACTCTACGTATCATCATGTATGCATGTCAAATCCCTTATCAGTTAGTCAACGAATATCATGGTTGTCATTTTAAATTTCCTTTTTTCTGATCGCGAAATTTTTAAAAGCGAGTAGGCAACACATCAGGCCCCATTCTTCCTTTCCACATCTGCTGAAAAAGATTCGCCAGGAAGCTGAGTAATGGTACCCAACGATGAGCACTCTCCTTTGGAGGAGTCGATGCAACATGCTCCCGAGGAGGCAGTCCTTGAGGATGCTACTTTCCTCGAGAAATTACGGAATTTGTCATACCTTACTTTTCTCCTTATCGGAGTAGCTCTTTTGTGGCCTTGGAACTGCTTTCTTAGCGCATCTTTATATTTCCAGCATGATGTGTTTCACGATGATACTATTTATGCAAAGATATACATTAGTACTATGATGAGCATTTCTACACTATCGTCTGTGGCTTTTAATTTTTGGCTGTCCACCAGACAGCATGGTTATGCAAAGAGAATAGTCAGGGGCTTAATCTGGGAAGTCGTTGTATTTGGATCCTTGTGCGTGCTTGTATCTATCCATAAGCTACTTCCTACCTGGCTAACATTCACGATCCTGATGTTGCTAGTGCTTACAAGTTCCGTAGGCACTGCCATGACTCAAAATGGTGCCATGGCTATGGCCAACGTTTTCGGGAGCCAATTTAGCCAAGCGGTAATGGTTGGACAAGCAATCGCAGGTGTACTTCCCTCGCTGGTCTTATTCGGAGTTTCATTTATCGGAGACCCACGAAATCAGAGCACTGGAGGAATTTTCGCATATTTCTTCACCACTGCTATGGTTTCGGTTGCATGCATTATCCTCTACCGTGCCAGTGCCATTGGCGCCGCTGACAAATATGAGATGATCAGAGACGATAATACAACTGCATCAGATTCCAAGTCTGTTCCATTCTCCGTTCTCTTTTCAAAGCTAAAATATCTGGTGTTATCTATCTTCACAGCCTTCGTCGTCACGTTAGTCTTTCCGGTGTTTGCTGCACACACGTTTGTTGCAGGCTTACCAATTCATAACTCCCAATATATTCCACTTATATTCACGGTATGGAACCTAGGTGATCTCTATGGGAGAGTCATATCCAATTATGATTTTTTCCAAAATCCAAAGTTTACTCCATTTAAAACTTTTATTTATTCGATTGCAAGGATTGGCTTGGTGCCGCTATTCTTCTGTTTCAACATCAACAACGCCTCCAAGACAAAATACCGTACCTTATCTGATCTGCTTTACATCCTATTGCAATTCGTGTTTGGCGTCACAAATGGTAACGTCATTTCCGTCAGTTTCATGAAGGTCAGTTCGCAATTGGATACAGACAAAGAACGTAAAGCTGCTGGTGGCTTTACCACAGTTTTTGTATCGACCGGTCTGGCACTGGGTAGCATAATAAGCTATCTATTTGTATATTTTATAAGTATCAGCAAGCCATAACTGGGTGCTTGTTATATAAAAGTATCACATGATCTAGTTTGACGAAAATTTTTGAAGTTTCGAAAAAGGTGTCGTGTCTTTCTTTACCAAAACACGAAGATAGCCAGAGAAATCTCGATAACGCAGAAATCTTTAAAACCTCTTTGCTCGAAGAAATGTCCGCTAGTGGTTTCGAGGGTAGGAGCGAGGACAGCTCCTTAAGAAAAAGAGCCAAGTCTGAAGATGAGCTAATTGTCGAAGAGGAAGAAGACGCACCCAAAGTGGTCACCAGCAAGAAAAGCCCATTGGCCAAGCTAGAAAGCGTTGCGATGCCAATTCTATTCACCGTTTTAGCGTTTTTCACAAGAATGTACAGGATCGGTGTCAACGACCACGTTGTATGGGACGAAGCTCATTTTGGTAAGTTTGGATCATACTATTTGAGGCACGAGTTTTACCACGACGTACATCCTCCTTTGGGAAAGATGCTGGTGGGTTTGTCAGGATTTCTAGCCGGATACAATGGCTCTTGGGACTTTCCCTCTGGTGAGGAGTACCCTGAGTATCTGGACTACGTGAAAATGAGAATATTCAACGCAACGTTTTCCGCATTGTGTGTCCCTATTGCCTACTTTACTGCGAAGGCAATCGGGTTTTCATTACCAACTGTATGGCTCTTCACTGTCTTGGTTTTGTTTGAGAACTCATATGCCACTTTGGGCAGATTTATATTGCTGGACTCTATGTTATTGTTTTTCACTGTCGCGTCTGTTTTTTCGTTTGTTATGTTCCACAACCAAAGAACGCGTCCCTTCTCCAGAAAATGGTGGAAATGGTTACTACTCACAGGTATTTCCCTAGGATGTACCATTTCAGTCAAAATGGTAGGTCTTTTTGTCATCACTTTAGTGGGAATCTATACTGTTATCGACTTGTGGACCATGCTGGGCGATAAGATGGTGTCGAACAAGACTTACATCAGCCATTGGTTGGCACGTATTGTGTGCTTAATTGTGATCCCCTTTTTGGTATTCCTAGGCTGTTTTAAGATTCATTTTGATCTGCTATCCCACAGTGGTACTGGCGATGCCAATATGCCATCGCTATTTCAAGCAAGCTTAATTGGTTCAGATGTTGGTGAAGGCCCCCGTGATATTGCCGTTGGGTCTTCTGTGATAAGTATCAAGAATCAAGCCTTGGGGGGAGCCCTTCTTCACTCTCACATTCAGGCTTATCCTGAAGGTTCTAATCAGCAACAAGTTACTTGCTATGGACATAAGGATAGTAATAACCATTGGAAATTCGACCGTGCTAGACCCCTTCCAATCTGGACTGAAAACGAGAAGGATATTGAATTTGTTGAAGCTGGAGTTGAATACAGATTATCACATATTAACACCGGCAAGAATCTGCATACTCACCCTATTGCTGCACCTTTAACTAAACAAGAATGGGAAGTATCTGGCTATGGTAATGCTACCGTCGGAGATCCTAAAGACCACTGGGTTATTGAAGTTCTAGCTCAATACGGTAGTGAGAATACCTCAAGATTGCATCCTTTAACAACTTCATTCCGAATTAGAAATGCCGAACTAGGATGTTATTTAGCGCAGATGAATAATCACCTACCTGAGTGGGGTTTCAGACAAAGCGAAGTGGTTTGCATGAAAAATCCTTTCAAGAGAGACAAAAGAACATGGTGGAACGTTGAAAGTCATCAGAACGATATTTTACCGGAAAGGCCAGCTGATTTCACTTATCCTAAGACCAACTTCCTTAAGAACTTCATTCATTTGAACTTGGCAATGATGGCTACTAACAATGCCCTGGTTCCAGATCCCGACAAACTTGATATGTTAGCTTCCTCAGCATGGCAATGGCCCACACTAAACGTTGGTATTAGATTGTGCGGATGGGGGGACGATACCGTAAAATACTTTCTGATGGGCTCTCCTGCTTCTACTTGGTTTTCAACAATAGCTGTTATCGGGTTTATGGCATTTATTGTAGTCTTAATTTTAAGATGGCAAAGACAATACGTCGATTTCGCGAACACCAAGGATTTTAACTTGTTTTTAATGGGCGGGTTTTATCCTCTTTTGGGATGGGGGTTACATTACATGCCATTCGTAATTATGAGCAGGGTTACTTACGTTCACCATTATCTTCCAGCTCTTTACTTTGCGTTACTAATCCTCGCGTATCTATTTGAGTTGACTATGAGCAAGTGGACTAAGTCCAAGTGTGGCCGCATCATGAGATTTGTCATCTACGCAGGCTATATTGCATTGGTGATATATGGGTTCTACTATTTCTCCCCAATTTCTTTTGGTATGGAAGGCCCTTCACAAAACTATGCTTACTTAAACTGGTTCAAAACTTGGACAATAGCTTGAGCAAACCACAGACATGATGTGCTTCCTGCATACTTGTACCACAATTCAACATGGTATACACTAAACTAGGTGTGATATACTATCTAGACAATTTGAAGCAACTAGGTCATTCTACTTAGCTACTTTCCCATTAAATTTACATAAACCACTATTAATAGTCTTCCGAGATATTAAAGTTATATTAGGCCTCTATCGTTGCTCAAAGCTACTGTGTGATTCTATCAGTATCCATTAACTCAGATACATTAGGCAGCCGAATTTCGTGAGTATTTTGAGGAGTCAGAAGATGTTCGCTTCCGGTATTTCCCTGGATACTAACAATGCTTTCTAGCTGAGGTGATTGCAGCGCCGATAATCCATGAAATGAATTCTCATGCGAATGAGCTTGAGGTGGCCGAGCAGGGAGGTAAAGATCACTGCTACTATTGCTTGCTAAGTTTCGGCCCAGTTCTTGCCGCAGCTCACTATCCAAGTGAACAGTGCTATCTAATTCTAGGGAAGGCTGCATCAAGGGAGTTCCTGAAGCACTGGTCGCGACGTCATAGCTGGGAGGCGATAAAAGTCTCACATCTTGATAGGTTGGCGGCACCTCGTCATCCCAGGATATACCTAGTCCTGACCGTTCGGTGATAGCAATCCTGTACTGCATTCTCAGGACCCTGGCCGCACCTGTAGGTACACCGACTATTCGAGTACTGCCATTGGAGCTGCCACGGGAATTGACGGGAGCAAGTCCGGATTGATTTTGGGAAATTGCATCAACTGCCACAGATTGAGGCGTTGGATTGCGGGCAGCAAACATCGGAGATAGTTCCGCGAGTCTCTGATCGGTGTTTCCATTACTAGAAGTAGCTGACAACTGAGAGCTCAAATTTGTGGAGCTACGCCTATGAATAGGCTGGCCATTGGCGTATTGAAGAGCCTCTTCTGCAACAATAATTTCTAAAATTAGCAGGTGCTGCACATATATCCCCAGGTGAGGATCTTCAATATCGCAAGCTACCGTAATAGGTTGTTTATTCAAGTCATGAAAAGGCCTCAAACTAGAAGCACGATTAATAGGGTTAGTCACCCCAGAGTTCAATCCCATACAATTGATGTCCGTAACCAACTCAATCTTACCTCTACCACCAAAATCACTTTTCCACCCACTCTTAACATTACCACTTGCAATAGTACGCACTTCTTCTGTGAACAAAGCTGACTCATGCTCAACTTCTTCTTGTAATCGTTGCTGCCTCAAACGCTGCTGCTCAGCTGTGATTGCCTGTCGCATTGCATCATCACTTGGGTGAATAAAACTATCTGGGTTATCAGGGTTGTCTTCTGTAATTGTTTCTTCCTGATTCTGATTTTCGGGGTCATCAACAGGATTTGTTAGCTGTATAACATCATCAATAGTTGAAACTGAGGTAGTTACAAGAGGACCTGCGTCTTGTGATCTTTTAACCGGTTTAGTTTTGTTTTTTCCTTTCTGCGATTCAGCTTTCTTGGTTTCCTTCTCAAGTTGCTTCAATTTGCTCTTGTGCATTTCACAAGCACTCAATCTAACTCTAGCTTTTTCCTCTATTCTCCAGTTCAGTCTACGCATTCTCCATCTCCTATCTTCAGATGACACGCCATCCACTTTAAGCTCGAGAGGGAAAGTTGATTTGGGGTAGATTACGTTGGGCAACACACAGCTGGCAGTAAGATCTGTTGGGGGAAAAACTCTCAATGAGTTCCTATCTGGGCCACGCAGTATACTTCTTGTGATCGTTACTGGAAGCCTTAATTGAAGTAATTTCGAACCATTTAGTTTGGCTGCAGTCTTTTCCGCTGGTTTGTACGACGAAACCGCCACTAATTCGTAAGTGATCTGTGTTTGAGCTGAAGAACCCAAATGAACCGATGCAGGTATAGAGCCAGGAATAAGATACGAAAAAGGGTACGCATGGTCACCAATAGGGATGTCCGTCTCTTTAGTGACAATATCCCACCTTGCCAGCTCTGTTGTTTTCAACTGACAGTTCATGCAAGACTGTGCAGCGGGAATTGAAGGCTGGAAAGGCTTTTTATAGCGCGTTTTCTGAATCAAAGACAAAGTAACCGTTTTTACAGAGATTTTGCTGTACGTTTGACCGTGGGTCTTTAAATTTACAGCAGATGTCACGGGGGAAATTGCGTGGTTTGACAATGAGAGATGAGAAAAGGTTTGTGAAAGAGATGTGTTCAACCCAGCTAAAGCATTTTTCTTCCCAGAAGCTGAGGTTGTCGCAGTTAAAGAGTCACTGGATAGGCTCGGATCGATCGGGCTCTTCACCCGCAATGTCAACAGCCCACTCAATAATGACCCTGTTGACTCTGTCGCAGCACCGTATAAGACACAAGGAGGGGATTCAATATCGATGAAAAGCTCGATTGGCCGACAGGACTCGGCTTCAGCAGCCACATGATCCAAAGATGGACTTGATGATGACTTTTTATCGTTGTGATGACCAAATTTCGGGAAAACCATCACAGATATCTCACTTGCGCGCTTGAAACAGTGGGGCTCAATGAGAACTGAGTTCTGATCGAGATATAAGTTTATGACAATATCACCTCTAAGATAGAGACTTCTTTTGCAATAAAATGACTAAATTTTGCAGGTTGAACGAATAATCGCAGTTTCTACCTGAAAATTTACGGTTATTATTTGGTCCTTGAAAACGTACGAAGGAACATCATAGACAATATAACTCTTCTTGACTTAAAAACACGTCTATTGCCTTAATGATTATTTGCATGACCAATAGGTACTTCATACTTAAGTTGGCTTTGAAGGTTGATCACGACGGTTCAATACATTAGGTAGTTAAATTCGAAACAGTCCTGTTTGAGATTTATATAATGTCAGTCCATGTGTAATCACCATTTAACATACTCTGGATGTTAATTTCATCATCAAGATGAAGCACTGAGTTGAATGGTTCAGATTCAGTTGGGTGAATAGGCTGTGTAATGGTTTCGGCTAAAATATCGTCTGCGGATGCTAGTTGAGGTTCTATATCGTCTTGATCCAAAGATTTGGAAATAAAACTCATCAGGTGTTCCCAATCCACAGGGGAATAATCGATTTGAACAGGAAGATTTTCAAGGTTGAGTATATCTGCTAATTCACTGGGCGTGTCCGTATTAAGCTCATTATGGATTACCTGCATCGAGTGATCTAGAAATAAGAACTGCTTAAATGATGCGAAATACCGATCTGCCAGTGTCAGTGATCCAAGCTCCACAAATCTTCGTATATGAGAAAAAACCTTCTTTGATATCGAATCTATAATTGATATCTTGTAATCAACTTCTGTAACCAACGTTAGCTGATTCTTATGTTCCCACATGATACGGGAGAGACTCCTTTTGACATGTATCAAGGTCAGAATTATTCCTACAAAGTAATATGACACCCGAAAAATACCAATTTGTACAATCTTATTAAGCACATATCTGTGATCAGCAAGAACATAATTTTTTTGATTGTCCTCTAAGCTGCTCATATATGTTCGCAAAATTTCAGTCAAATCAAGTGTGACCTCGAAGCATTCGACGTACAGTTCTTTGTAACGGGACAAGAGATATTCGAGATTTGCTCCCTTTTCTTTTATTTGCTTTTCGAGGTTGACAACAATCGCTGCACGGATAGCAAGAAAATAAATCCGTATCATTATATTAACCTTTAAACGCATAGCATTAATCATACTTTGAATAATTGCTTCTTCAGAGCTGTCATTGACGTCTACGCATTTGTCAGGAAGCGGACATCGCAGCTGTTGCTTGTACTCAACTTTTCTCAATTGTGGATATATGTCATCAATATCGATAGCATCGTGAACGGTAAGTGATAGTTTATCGAAGACACTCAACTCACTGTAAAGATCAAGTTGCATACGCAAAATTTTATGAATCTCCAGCTCTACTGAACTTTCAAAGCTGCTTAGTGCCTTTTCTTTTACCACCATATTCAAATATTCATCACAAAGCATCGGGAAGTTTCCTCTCAAACACATATCTGATCGCAAGAGAATTAAAGTACCCATCCACAGTTTTGCTCTATACTGAATTTGCTGTTTTGTCTTGTCGTTATTCAGGTTTTCAGAATTAATCTGTATGCAATCTCTATAAAGTCCAAGCTTCACTGCATGGTTTGTGATTGCTGACATTAGACTATCTGTTGTTGATCCAGCTAAAATTTCGCCCTCTCTAGGTGAAAATAGTAACGACCACCGTAATAATACTAGACATGACATGATATCTTCATTTGTCTTATGAGAAGTGGAAATCAAGTAAGAAATACACTTTTGGGCCACATGAATAACGCGACTGGTGATCTCACCCCCAAATGGTCTATCCACGACCGTCAAGGCAGTATAAGAAATCCGCAAGATGACCAATAAAATTGCCATGCATCCAATTTTATGACTGCACTCATCGCCTTCGCCCAAATGCAAAGCTATCACTTCACCGGTAGGGGAAAATGATAAGGTTTCAGCTATGGTCTTTTCAAGGTCAGGCTTATTTATGTAAGGTACCATAGGATAGACAACACGTAAGAAGTACTGGAATAAGGATCTTATTTGATCTTCGTTGGGCAAAGACGACATTATTTGCTCAGCCAACTCGTTTGAAGCTTCTCCTGATGCACATATGTGAAGTTCGATAGGTTCTGCAAAGAGCCTACCTTCGCGATTAGTGCTTTTCTCCAAAAAGCAGCGGCGAATAGCTTCAATTGCATCTGGAGAGATTCTACTTGGATTTACCCTATGGCGTCTTAAAATTTCACGGATCTCAGGTGTTAGAAATAAGATATGAGCAATCGAATCCGTTTCGTCCGAGCTTGGCTCAATTCTTTCTCCCATCGAATGAATAATTCTCTTGACCGCTTGATTCATAGGCTTGAAAGATCTTGTCACATACTTGAGAAAGGGGTTTAGTCTAGAATGCCTCTGTATCATTGACATGTCTGAAAAGGGCTTGTGGTCATGTTTGAATGCACTTTCGATGTTATTTGGCCGGATGCCATCAAAAAAATTCACGTAAATGCTTTGCTTTTTCGTCTCCAAAACGTTAGTGTTACATTCGTGTTGTTGCGGTCCGTTGAATCTTTGCCACAGTTCATCAAACCGATTTTCGAGTTCTAGCAAGTGATCTTGAACCACATAGGACCTATCCCGCAGGCGCTTTTGATGGATTTGGTCTTTATAATCGTATACGCAATCCAAATGTAATTTAGTGCAACGTCCGCACTTTGGCTGAGCTTTGTCACACTTAATCTTTCTTCTGCGACAACTCTGACAGACAAAAGAGAGTCTCATTCTTGTCTTCTTTCCACCCCGTGCAGCCTTTTCCTTTGCCTCACCTGAGTACGAGCCATCTGAGTCATTGAAGGCTGAATCGGTACCCGATTGCCGATCATGATTCATTTGATGTTTACCTTGTGATGATCTTATTAAATCTGATTTTTTTTACTTGCCAAGGCTTAAGCACAACCATAAATTTACTCAAAAACACAATTAAAAAGTGATTTAATAAATGCCATTCTACAAAGAAATCAGCTAAACGTACGTATGCATACAATTTAAATGAGAAGACGTTACATCCAAGGCGTATTAGAACAAGTGAGCCACTAGCTACTTTAGGGCGTGAAGTTTTAACTCTATTTGATAGCTCCTCATTAAGCACGCACGTGCCGCAGTGTCCTTCGTGCCTTAGAAGGCTTCCACCTAAAAGCCATAGTGCTTGATAAAAAGGCACCTTATTCTTTAATATGATATGATATGGCAGATGAACATAGAAAATTTAAGAGATTAGAAAAGAAAATTAATAGGGCACTCTTAAAATTGTGTTCTGAAAACTATATAAAAATGCTCTCTTCCTCTCTGCCGGCCAGATTGGAGTTGGATCCTTGCAGCCTTATCATATTGTATCCTCAAAACGCTAAGTGGATAAAGTTTATTCCTGCAGGTCAAATGAGCTCTCACAGATGGGAAAATCCTCAAAAAGGAGAGGGGACTACTTGCAAGGGATGTCGATCTATAATATATAAAAACATATCTTGCCCTGTTTTGAGATACTACTATGATATACTAAGTAACTTCTCGGCTGCTCTTCGTGCACATGTTCAAGAGCCTCTTCCGTACAAATCATATCTTAAACCTTTTTTTACTGAACAGATCATACAGCTACTCAATTTCCTTATGCATTAAAACATAACCAATCCCATGCAAGTTTAGAAGACACAACGCGACCTAAAATCCCTTTAAGGGAAAGCTTCTGAACCGTTACTTTCGGTGATTCCCTTTGCAACCGGTATTTACTTTTAAGTAATACTGTTGAAATTTGGCACGCGTGCCGTACGAAACAAAATTTTCCAGTCGCGAAAATTCATTGTTGATCTTTAGAATACCTAAGGTACACACAACATATTCGTTCGCTTTATCGCCATTATTCATCGTAAAGATGGCAAGTCACGGCTCTAAGGAGGTCGTTCGGGGCATTGAGGTTTTCAGCGAACCCGATTACTATCCAACGCCGTCCGACACTGTTATCAGCTACTCGATTCAAGGATCGAAGAAGCAGATCATCAAAACAAATATCATCGCACTAATAGTCAAGCTAACTTCACCTCTAGATGTGATTGATTACTCATTTCTTTCCGACTTCTTTCTGTCATACCGTAAGTTTCTTGCTCCAAGGGAGTTACTAAGCCTTTTCATTGACAGATTCCGGTGGTCAGCGGAAGAGGTTCTTAATGAGAATTGTGATAGAAGAAAACTTGGAGAGATTTCATTAGTGAGAACATTCGTATTGATACGGCATTGGATTTTGAATTATTTTGCACAAGACTTCCTGGCTAATGATCTGTTGAGGCGACAATTCGTGGAGTTCGTTAATTCGTCCTTGAACCGGGGTACCGAATCGCCCCCAAAGATGTTGCTGAATGTTATTGTCAACATTAAAAAGTCGTGGGTTTATTGTGTCAAGCTTATGTGGGAGGATGTTGAATTTAGTCATCATCTTGAAACGGCTCAGGATTGGCTCCAATTCAGACTTCAAGACGTAACTACGCGTTCGAAAGTAAACAAGGAGGGTAAGCGTCTAAGTCTTTATGCACTTCAGAGTTCCAAAGATCCTGCGTTTCGTAATAATAGCGTTCTTTCCTTATACTTAAGTGAAGAGAACTTTCAGCTGCCAGAGAGCAACACGATACTGAACTCAGAGAAGAGCAGCAAAATTACAAAACGTACAGCAAGTATGTTCTTGTTTCCTCAAGATAACCTAAATGCGTTAGTGCTGAAGGCGTCCAAAAAAAGTAATGAAGAAGAAGAGAACAAGGGATCAATTAGCTCAAGAAGTTTACCGATCGTATCGCAGGGGAACAACGTGTCAGAGCTGATGAAAGATTTAACCTATTCAGTATCCCCGTCGGTAGATAAGGTTATCCCCCCAACTCCCGCAAAAAAGGTCGAATTTATCTTAAGATCATCTTATCTCCCCCCAGATCTGTCCTCAAGAAGTTCTCGGACGCATTTAGCAGGAAGTGCCCCCCATTGCAAAAGCAAACATTCCCAAATTCATCAACACCGAGGAATCCTTGGTTTACTTACAAAATGGAAGAAAAACCATCATACACAAACAAGCGCCAAGCCAATAGGCGCGCGCACAAACCCCGAGATCGATAATTTGATTAAGTTCGTGTTTTCTATAACCTCGTTGGAGAATAGAGCCAATAACTCCCAAGATTTGGAAAATGTAATTGGCTCGAAATTTGATATTTTAAGTGCCAGAACTATTGACGAGGTTGAGCATCTAATTGCTATGGAAAACGAATTACTATTAAAACTTAAGAATCAGGACACCAACCTAGAAGTGAGAGCAAGGCGTAGAAATAGTAATAATGAACCTAAAGAGGAATTTAACGCTATGGATAATTTGAATTTGTACAAAACCATTAGCTCCATTGCAACTTCAGTAATCTCGCTTTCTCAGACTTTAAAGCAACACCAGCTAGCTTCACCTTCAAATAAGGTGCAAGATAGGCGCCTTGTTAAGAGCAGTATTGCTGCCCTACGAACAAATGGCTCTTCAAATGCCCAGAATAACTTAAGCGTTACTGAAATCAAAACCCCTGAACCCAAAACCGGTGGAACCAATAAACTCGTTTTTCATAGCAGTGCCAGTGTTAATAAGGGTGCCAATCATAATGCACACGATTCCCGTGATCTGTGCACGCCCACAAAATCAAATTACCTAGTTTCTTCCAATGGTAATGTATCCAACACTGATATGCCACATAAAGAGCCTTTATTCAAAATCAATCAATTGAGCATAAGCACATCACCTCGTGCCGATGGGAAACACCCATCTATTCTTACAGAACATGATATTCGCATACTGGAGAATGAACGTACCGAGCAGAATACCACTCCACTATTAAAGAGAAAAGGTGCTCGTCAAAATCTACGTGAATTCAATTTCGAGGAGCAATACGTGCAACCTAAAAAATCGACTGAGGAATTTGAAGAAGATGAACAAACTGATAATGACAACTCCAGTTTTTTCACGTCTTACGAAGAGGTGAGCGTCAAGAGCTCACCAAAACAATCAACACCCGCATCGTCTTTTCTTGGCCAAACATCAGCAATTAATAGTGGTCGCATAAGTGTAAGAAGGAGCACTGTAGTGAGTACAAAGAACCCTACGACAGAATCACTAACGCACTACGTAGGGGAGGAAAGTGACTATGCAAGAAGGGAGGAGGAACTCAAAACTAGTGAGAAGGAGATATGCCAACTTGAAGAGCATATGTCAGTTGTAATTTCAGATCTAAAGAGGAAAAGTCAACGAAAAAACTCTAGGTCCTCAGACAACCCTTCCATAGCAACAAATTTATTGTTTGCCTCTCGTCAGGGAAGTCCCAAGAAGCAAGAGCATGATGGTCACAACTCTATCGATCACTCAGTCAAAGATCAGGAGGCTTCAAAGAAAATTCTGATCGGTTTATCTACCACTCCAAGTATTCATTCCATTGTGAGTGAGGAGTCTTTCTCCTCTTTCCACAGCAATGATACATTCGAAAGGCATTCACCCAAGGAAAAAATAGATACGACTACAAAGAATAAGGAACCAACCACCGAAAATAAATCTCAATACACAGGCGACTCACTACTCGACGCAGAGGGTACTGAGGGTGAGACGAATAAGTATCTTTTCTCGCCAGATAGCGAAAGTATCGATTATGCATCTCCCGAAAAGAACGTCGAAGACCTAAAAAATCAATTTTTTGGTATTGATGCTCAAAGTGATAACACGAATGACGATGATATAGTGCGTGATGATTGCAATACTCCAATGGGACATGATCATCATAGGCGTACCGTAAGTCCTATTGTGTCTCCTAATAAAATTAATGAGAGCAAATTGAATATATTCGCGAACATGACGGATGAATCACTTCAAGACGATCCTGTTAATGTAGCTTTGATGAAACTTGAGGGGACTTATGACTTCAAAAGCAGTGACTCCGGTAACGATGAAAATGTCCAGCAAGGAACTCCAACAAGTAGCGAATTAGCTAAAGAAGTCGAAAGATTGGGGTTGAAGGACATCAATATTTCTAATACAATAATCAATGAAAGGCATTCTTTATTCATTGAACGTAGAAGGCAAGTCAAAAGTGAAATGCCTTACACACCTGGACGCCAACCTCGGGCTAATGAAAAGCTTCATCAGATACCTGATGAGGAAATCTCAAAGTTAGTTATGAATTACAGATTGCAAGATCAACGACTTCATGTCGCAAATGCCGATCAGCATGTCCCATTCATTCTCATGTACGACTCGATGTCAATCGCCAAACAGATGACCTTGATCGAGAGAGAGATAATCAAAGAAATTGATTGGAAGGATCTTTTGGATTTAAAAATGAAGGATAAGGTTCCCTCGGTGACTAGTTGGTTGCAGTTATTAGTCCAAAATCAAAATTTGTCAGGAATTGATCTTGCGATCTCCAGATTCAACTTAACCGTTGACTGGATTGTATCTGAAATCGTACTTGTGTGTGATACAAAACTACGCAGAAATACCATTCAAAGATTCATTCATATCGCTGAACATTGTAAGAACTTTCAGAATTACAACACTTTAATGCAAATTGTTCTTGCATTGAACTCGATCGTTGTACAAAGCTTCAAGGAGGCGTGGCGTTTGATAGAACCCGGTGACCTTCTGACTTGGGAGCAATTAAAAGAGATGCCCTCTTTAGAAAAAAACTATCACAACATTAGGAAAATGCTAAATGAAATTGATCCGATAAAAGGATGCATTCCTTTCATTGTTGTGTACCTGTCAGATCTTTCCTTGAACGCTGAAAAAAGGGATTGGCTTGCCGGGAGGACCTTTATCAACTACAATAAATTTCAAACCAACGTGGACATTGTCAAAAATTTCATTCAAAGAGCTCAATGGTCTAAGTTTTACGAGATCCCGGTCGATGAAGAGTTATTGAGCAAGTGTGTTTATATAAGCTCTCTCACGCCAGAAGAATTGAGACAATTGACTACTTCGTGATATTTCAGATACATATAAACCTGCATAAACTGTGTTATACATCTTAAAAATAATTTAAAGTCAATAGTATTTGAACACTCGATGTCCATGGTCAGTCCATCAAAATTTAAACTAGAACACGTAAATAACAAAGCCGGGTAATTAAATATTTCTTTTTCACTGTTTGAAAATTTTTTTGTAAATTTCAGCGATGCGATGAGATGAGCTCCACAGCATCGTTGGGATCCGCTATTGGAATTAATTAGAAATGTCTGACGAGATCATTTGGCAAGTGATCAATCAACAATTCTGCACCTACAAGCTGAAAACGGACAAGGGACAAAATTTCTGTCGTAATGAATATAATGTGACAGGTTTTTGTTCGAGACAATCCTGCCCTCTAGCAAACGCCAAGTATGCCACGGTAAAATCTGTGGATGGAAAACTGTACTTGTATATGAAAACCGCTGAAAGAGCTCATACCCCTGCCAAACTGTGGGAAAGGATTCGGTTATCCAAAAATTATTCTAAAGCATTGAAGCAACTTGACGATCATCTTTTGTACTGGAATAAGTTCTTGATCCACAAATGCAAACAAAGACTCACGAGGCTGACGCAAGTAGCTATTACAGAAAGACGTATGGAATTGAGAGAGGAAGAAAGACATTATGTTGGTATTGCTCCGAAAGTCAAGAGAAGAGAAGAAAACAGAGAGCGCAAGGCCCTAGCAGCAGCAAAGATTGAGAAGGCTATCGAAAAAGAATTATTGGAAAGATTAAAGAGTGGCGCATACGGTGATAAGCCATTAAATGTAGATGAGAAAATTTGGAAGAAGGTTTTGGGTCATGTCGAAGATGAGCAAGAAGACCAAGAAGATGAAGAGTTTGATGAAGAGGAGGAAAGCGATGTCGGTGAAGTTGAATACGTCGAAGATGATGGCGATGAAGATATGGTAGAGGTTGAAGATCTCGAAAGGTGGTTAGATGGCTCAGACATTTCTGACGACAGCGAGTCCGATGACGATGACGATGACGATGAGACTGATGACTCGGATAGTGATGATAGCGACACAGAGGGCTCTTCATCTAGCAAACGCAAGAAGCCGGCTACTGCTAGCAGAAAGAAACGTCCAAGGGTTGAGATTGAATATGAAGAAGAGACTCAACCTGCTCATCAGGAGCTCGCGCATTGAAATGTATTTTAGCTGTAATTGCATAGTTTACTAAATTATTCGTCAAAGATAAACGAAGGAAGAGCATCTTTGTAGCTCATATTTTTATGGTAATATTATTTATTCTATAAACAAAGTGCTTGTGCCAATCAAAAATCGAAAACTTCCATTTCGTACGCGTCTTGAGACTTATCCGAGTGCCATTAAAGGATCAAGAGTCAATTTTTACGCAAAAAAACATTCTACATATTGATAAAGCATATATGGCAATAATCATCAATTAATTGTCTTAATAATTTCTCTAATATGTGAATATGAATGGAAAACTATGCGAAGTTAGTAGCGACAATGACACTGAGGCTTTAATCTTACGTACAAAGGGATCATTAACCAATTGAGTATCCGTAAGCATCAAGAAACCCGCCACTTAGGCAGAAGCTTACGAAAATTGAAGCACATTCAGGTAAGATAAGAGTCTCAACCTACTTATTTTCTTTCAATGAGTGGAGGCCGTAAAAAATCCAATGAGGATACGCTCTTTGACGTTGACTTCCTAGATGATAATTTCACGTCCGCTCAAGGTGGAAACGTTGGCTCTGAGACTAACCAAACTCCCGTTATAGATAGGGATTTTGACCTCTTGGATGCTATCCAGCAGAGAAATCTACCCGAGGAAACAATTGACTTTGACAGAGATTCATTCAACATATCTGGACAAGATGATATTGAAAATGATATAAACCAAAATCCCTTTCTTGATGAACAGGACGTTCAAAGGGAAAACCTGCACACTTCAGCGCAATACCCTCAACCTTCGGGATTCAGAAAGTTTTGGAGCAATCTAAGTAATGGCTTTTCCAGAAGGAATAACGTCGCTACGCCGTATCAAAGCTTTGAAATGCATAGTTATGATGATGTTGGAAATGATGCGCGCTACGTTAAATCAAGAAATAAGTTTGATATCAAAATTCTATTCAACCGCTACGTGCTTCGCAAGAAAGATACTGACCTCGATGACGTGTCAGCACCCCGTTTAATTCACATAAATGACGATGCGTCCAACAGTGCACTGAATTACGGCGATAACCATATTTCCACCACAAAGTATAATGCTGCTACATTTTTGCCCAAATTTCTCTTCCAAGAGTTTTCTAAGTACGCAAATCTTTTCTTTCTTTTCACTTCTATCATACAACAGGTTCCGAATGTCACACCTACAAATAGATTTACAACCATTGGTACTTTGTTGATTGTATTAATTGTTTCTGCTGTTAAGGAAAGTGTTGAAGACATCAAGAGAGCAAATTCAGACAAAGAATTGAATTACTCTAAATCAGAAGTATATTCACAAGAAAGCCAATCATTTATTACCAGAAAGTGGGTTGATTTATCTGTTGGAGACATAATTAAAGTTAAATCAGAAGAGGCTATTCCCGCTGATTTGATTGTTATCTCTTCATCTGAACCTGAAGGTTTATGCTACATAGAAACAGCGAATCTTGACGGGGAAACGAATTTAAAAATCAAGCAAGCAAGGGTCGAAACTTCCGGTGCTATTGATACAAGTGATTTGGCCCGAATGAAGGGAAAGATATTATCGGAGCAACCAAATTCGAGTCTATACACTTATGAGGGAACGATGACACTCAATGGGAAAGAAATTCCTTTATCACCAGAACAAATGATATTAAGAGGCGCCACGTTGAGAAATACAGCATGGATCTATGGTATTGTGATTTTCACCGGACATGAGACAAAACTGATGAGAAACGCAACGGCCACCCCAATCAAAAGGACTGCAGTTGAACGGGTTATTAACCTGCAGATTGTCGCTCTTTTTGGTGTCCTAATTGTGTTGGCTTTAATATCATCAATTGGGAATGTTATAATGGTCACTGCAGACACTAAGCATCTCTCTTACTTGTATTTACAGGGAACAAACAAGGTTGGCTTATTTTTCAAAGATATCCTAACTTATTGGATTCTATTTTCTAATTTAGTTCCCATTTCTCTTTTTGTTACGGTCGAAATGATCAAGTATTACCAGGCTTACATGATTAGTTCCGATCTGGAATTATATGATGAAAATTCCAAAACGCCGACAGTTGTCCGTACTTCTTCTCTAGTCGAAGAACTCGGTCAAATTGAGTACATATTCAGTGATAAAACTGGAACTCTGACAAGAAATATCATGGAGTTCAGATCATGTTCCATCGCGGGTAGATGCTACATTGGTACTATTCCCGAGGACAGAAGTGCCCGAATGGAAGATGGCATTGAAGTTGGTTTCAGAACATTCGAAGAAATGAACAGGAAACTTCATGATAAGGGAGACGAAGATTCCCTTGTGATCAATAACTTTCTAAGTCTGCTGGCTACTTGTCATACAGTTATTCCTGAGTTTCAAGATGACGGATCTATAAAGTATCAAGCAGCTTCTCCTGACGAAGGTGCACTGGTTCAAGGTGCCTCAGATTTAGGTTACAAGTTCATCATTCGTAAACCAAATTCTGTAACCTACGTTTTAGAAGATTCTGGCGAGGAAATCGAATGTCAATTGTTAAATATTTGTGAATTTAATTCAACGAGGAAGAGAATGAGTGCAATTATCAGGATGCCAGATGGAACCATCAAGTTGTTCTGTAAGGGCGCGGATACTGTTATTTTGGAAAGACTTAGTGTTCAGGGAAATCCGTACGTTGAAGCAACTACAAGGCATTTAGAAGATTACGCGGCAGAAGGGTTAAGAACTTTATGCTTGGCTACTCGAGTAATCCCTGAGGACGAATATCAAGAGTGGAAAAAAATCTATGATACTGCTGCGACAACCTTGGATAATAGATCTGCAGAACTTGACAAAGCTGCTGAGCTGATCGAGCGTGATCTCTTTTTGCTTGGTGCAACTGCCATTGAAGACAAACTACAAGATGGCGTACCAGAAACAATTCATACTTTACAAGAAGCAGGTGTGAAAATCTGGGTGTTAACGGGAGATCGACAAGAAACTGCCGTTAACATCGGCATGAGCTGTCGGTTGTTGAGTGAAGACATGAATTTATTAATTGTCAATGAGGAGACAAAGGAAGCCACCAGAAAAAATTTAATTGAAAAGCTGAGGGCCATCAATGAGCATCAAATTTCGCAACAAGATATGAATAGTCTTGCCTTCGTAATTGATGGAAAGTCGTTAGGATTTGCATTAGAGCCAGATCTTGAAGATTATTTTCTGGCCATTGGCAGGATATGTAAGGCAGTAATTTGCTGTCGGGTTTCTCCGTTGCAAAAAGCTTTGGTCGTGAAGATGGTCAAGAGGAAAACCTCGTCCCTTTTACTTGCTATCGGTGATGGTGCCAACGATGTAAGCATGATCCAGGCGGCTCATGTAGGTGTTGGAATTAGTGGTATGGAAGGTATGCAAGCTGCTCGTTCTGCCGATTTTGCTATCGCGCAATTCAAGTTCTTGAAAAAGTTATTATTGGTTCATGGGTCATGGTCCTATCATAGAATATCACAGGCGATCTTGTATTCCTTTTACAAAAATATCGCATTGTACATGACTCAATTCTGGTACGTTTTTGCAAACGCTTTCTCTGGACAGTCAATTATGGAATCTTGGACTATGACTTTCTATAATGTGTTTTTCACCGTACTGCCTCCATTTGTGATGGGCGTATTTGATCAATTTGTCAGCAGTAGACTATTAGATCGCTATCCACAACTCTACAAATTGGGGCAAAGGGGTCAATTCTTTTCGGTAACTATCTTTTGGGGCTGGGTGATCAACGGCTTTTACCATTCCGCTGTGACTTTCGTGGGATCAATCTTATTTTACCGCAACGGCAATGTTTTAAATATGCATGGCGAGACTGCTGATCATTGGACTTGGGGGGTTGCGATTTATACCACAAGCGTCATTATCGTACTTGCAAAGGCAGCCTTGATAACGAATCAATGGACAAAATTTACCGTTTTAGCGATTCCAGGTTCTTTGATTTTCTGGCTCGTGTTCTTCCCTATCTATGCAAGCATTTTCCCTCACATCAATGTTTCAAAAGAATATTTTGGTGTTGTAGCTCATACATATCGGTCTGGAACATTTTGGCTAATGTGTTTGGTACTGCCTATGTTTGCTCTTTTGAGAGATTTTGTATGGAAATATTATAAACGAACATACACTCCAGAAAGCTACCATGTTGTCCAGGAAATGCAGAAGTATAATATAGGGGACTACAGGCCTCGCGTAGAGCAATTCCAAAAAGCCATACGTCGTGTTCGTCAAGTTCAGAGAATGAAGAAGCAAAGAGGGTTTGCTTTCTCTCAAAGTGAAGAAGGTGGCCAGGACAAAATCATAAGAATGTATGATACTACATTAGGCAGAGGAGCCCACGGTGAGTTGCACGACGCTTCCGCAAATCCGTTCAATCAAGAACTAGCCAACCCCTTTGAAGACAACAAAAATATTATTTAGAGTATTTGGAGTATTAAATCTAAATATTTAGACTCTATTTTGTACATTAGGCAATGATGAAAAGTTTTTTTCTTTTCAAAGGGAAACCTTGGATAGATCTATATCCTTGTGAATGAATGCCTTTTTACCACCTGAACCAATGTAGTCGCTAGCAATTTGACCTTGACCTCTGATTTGATATTGGTAGGTAACCAAGCCATCGAGACCCACTGGTCCACGAGCATGAATCTTACTTGTAGAAATGCCAACTTCCGTGCCAAAACCGTACCTAAAGCCATCTGCAAATCTTGTAGATGCATTCCAGTATACACCGGAAGAATCAATACCCTTCAAAAAATATTCGGCATGTTCTTCATTTTCAGTAATAATTGCGTCTGTATGTTTGGACGAGTGTTCGTTAATATGATTCACCGCTTCGTTAACAGTAGAAACAAACTTTACAGCACAGTCTAACGATAGAAACTCTTTGTCAAAATCAACTTCTTCGTTTACGTCTACCGTGTGCTCCTTAATGAAGCCGTCCATTCTGCCTGCTTTATCCAACTCGTGGAAGAAAGCATCTTTCAAATCATCCGTAACGTGAAGAACAACATTACCTTTGCGGCTTAGTGACTCAAGGGCAATCCACCACTTGGAAAACTTTGGGTTAATCAGAATTGTTTCAACTGCATTACATCCAGCAGGGTAAGAAGTCTTAGCATCTAAAAGAATTCTTTCTGCCTTTTCTAGGTCTGCATCCTCATCGACATAAATCGAACATATACCATCAGCATGGCCCAACACTGGGATTTTTGTAGAAGATTTGATTTGCTTGACTAAAGCATTTGAACCACGTGGAACAACTAGATCGATGTAGTCGTCTTGGCACAAGAGATCAGAAACATCTTGTCTCGTTTCGATTAATTGAATTGCTCCTTGAGGAATGCCAGTAATTTTCTCATTTTCACTTATGACGCGCTTGATTATATCAGAGATCTCTCTAAAAGTGTTGATCGATTCTTTACCGCCCTTAAGGATAGCCGCATTTCCGGACTTGATGCTCAAAGAAGTGATATTGGCAATGACCTCTGGACGAGATTCAAAAATAACCAACAGAACACCGACAGGAGCAGTAATTTGATAAAGTGTTAAGCCCTCATCAAGTTCTCTTGCCAATTTAACCTTACCCACTGGGTCCTCTAGATCAGCTACATCCTTAACACCCTGTAACATTGTATCAAACTTATCTCCCTTGAACAAATCTAACCGCTTAAACAGAGAGTCTGCCAAGCCATTTTTTTTAGCGTTTTCTAGATCTAAGATGTTAGCTTTTCTGATCAACTCAGCGTTAGCCTTCAAACCATCATGAATTTTGTATAGAAGTTTGGAACGTTCTTCATTAGAGATAGTCTTCAAAACATTACCCGCTTGGCGGGCAGTGCGAGCAATGCTTTCTGAAGTTGTGCTCATGTTATTTGTCTTACAATGGTTGTTTGGTGAAAGCTGAAATTCTTATATTTTCAATTTCAAGATGACTAAGAACTCATCAGAAGATTATATTAAATCACTAAAAACGTTATGCTGATAATGGTGATCTCATGTCAATTCATCAACGCGCAGGAATTGATTCACCTTTAGATGCATTTCTCCTTGGCCTTTTCAAGACATGAAACTCAACACACTTACCGTAGCTAATCATTGGTTGATATCGATATTCAAAAAGAGGTTTTTTCTCAAATTCTTGATTAGTATCGATAATGCTATCTCCTTTTTGAGCTATTGGCATAGTTTCCAGCTGGATATTCGATATATCCTGCTCTTCATCGCTTTCTAAAATCAAGAGAGGATCTTCACTATTCCCAGCCTCTTTCGTTTCTATTCTTTTGCGCTTTAAAACCTTCATGGATCCTACATCTCGAGACAGAATTGAATCAGTACTCTTTGATAGATATCGTCCTCCAGATGATTTATAGAGAAGTGAATTTCGAATAAGTGCAAGCTTTCTTATATCAGTAATAAAAATGTCTATTTCCCAACATTTCTTGAAACGTAACTTGTATTGGTGCTTTCCAAGCCTTTCGATCGTGGAAAGATGTGAATGGAATTTGCCCGTATTTTCATCGTTAGTCGGATAATCTGAGGGTTTGAAAGGCAGGACAGGGAGCTTGTCGAAAAGATCAACAAAATCCATTGTTTGACCTATTTTCAGCTTGCTTAATGCACCCTGTCGTACTTCATTGGAGGTTAGATTGTAGATGATCAACAAGAGATCATTTTTGACTTCATTGCAAAGGTTGCGAGTATCGTTGTTCGATAAGTACAATTTGACTAAAGGAGATTTTAATCTAACGATGGAATTATTCGACAAAACCGGAGTTTCGAAAATAGTCTTCACTGTCAAAAAGGTTAGAAATAGATAAGTTCGGCACACTTATGACTAAAAAACATACCTTCAGATATCCTTTTCAACAACTGCTTCCGATTGATGAAGACTCTAACTGGTAGAACTGCGCTGTCGAGGATCTCAATCATTGCCAATCTATTACAGGGGGCATCAGTTAGTCAATTTCATATAAAATAGAGTTGAAACAGTTTACTGGAAACATACCCAGGGGCCATTATTACTGCAATTATGATTGCTTGTGTCTTATATTTTTCTGCTAAGTATAGTAGGCGCGATTAAAAATGAAAAAAAGGCTATTATATACAATCCTTAAAGGTTTCAGTTAATCACAGACTACAAAGAAAAACTAATAACATATGCGTCCTTCGATGAATTACATAACCAATAGCAAATACTTGAACCGGTGTGTTAATTGTAGTATGATAAAGACTAGAGTACTCACCAGTAGTGCTAGTCAATAACGTTACCTTTTCTCTATATTAATCATGGCTTACACGTTGAATCTTCTGAAGTATGCTCTACAGAAGATAATAACAATGATTACCATTATCAATGCAACTGCGTCCGAAATAATACCTACATGCTCCTTCATTTTATCACAAAACTTTCTATTACTTTGCGAATCCTGCAACATCTCATTCAATCGTACAGTGGTCTCAAGTTTTTGCAAAGCTTCCTTCTGCTTTCCTAATTCCTCCTTGCAGTTTGATATCCGCTGCTCAAGTGAACCCAGACTCTCTAAATGTTCAGATATTGCACGTGTAAGTTTTCTTATGAATGAGTTCTCATCTTCTTTATTAAAAGCGTACCTTATATTGTACATGTAAGTTTGCTCGAATTCAGTTTTAATCTCCTGGATCGCTGATTTCATGTGATGAACATCGTCTTCTAAAGACTCAAGTTGCTTAAAATTGTCCTTCATTGTTGACTCTTTGCCAATTAGGACACACATCATTGTATCTCTTATGCACGCTTCAAACTTGGCAAGCTCATCAGCAATGTATTGATCGTATGAACCACTCTCGGAGGGAGGAAGTTCCTCTGGATTTCTGTTCTTCTCATTCAACGAAGATAAAGAGTTTTTCAAATCGCAGTAAACCAGATGCGGCAGATTACAATCATGTGTGCTAGGGTAAATAAATGAGGCCGTTGATCTTCTCGAGAAGTTGCCCGCTTCGTTATCCTTTTCGTCTTCGTCCACGTTAAGAAATTGGTAGACAAGTCGCTTGCCATCGTCTGTCGAACCAGCCGAGGACTGACACCTCCTATGCCTCATGAAAGGTGAGGATTGTCCAAATGACAAATTATTTGAAAGAGAGCGTGAATATAATGGTCTTGAACCGATATGCTTTTTAGAAAAGGAGCCGAGCGACTGAGTAGAAGAGCCATTAGTATGAAGAGAAGACTGGCCTGATGAACTTGGCCCCATGTCGTTGGACTGGGGTAGATGAAACATGCACTCGCTGTACTTGCCCATAGCTGCTGATGTGTAATCAGGTTCGTTATAAACCGACCTGGCCATAGTTCCACCTCGGTATAGTGAGTGCACCGGAACATTTTTCGCTGAGATGGCTGGAATACTGCTGATCATCGTAGGTGGTTGCGACAGCCTATTATGCCGTGTGGATCGGCCCTGATTTGAATAAAGCTGCGGAAAAAGAGCCCGCTGCTTCGAATCAGCAGAAGCCCAGTCCTTTGCCCGACTTTCGTGCTGCATTAGCCACAGTGCGAGGCGCAATATAGGGATGCTCAAGTAAGAGCTGAAATTTTTAATCCATTGTCCGAGCGAACAGACCTATTTCAGACAGAATTTCGAATTAATGAGAGGATTGCTGCTGCAAACCTACCATCAAATGTTTCACTGAAGATTAGATGACAATAGAAACAGAGAATTTCAATGTTCAGGACGGAAATTCGACTTGATCTCACGCAATGAAAAAGCGCACTTGCGAAACTGTTTGGAGAGCTTACAAGCACATAATTGCTTAAATTTTCACTCACTGAATGTTGCCGCATTCTCACATTCAGTAACTTGCAGTATTTATATATTGTTTTGAAGTGGAACTCGCCAGTAATGTGTCTCCCAGGTTATATTTAAATCCGTAACCAACATGTACACGACCTAAGCGCATTACAACTGCGGCGCAGCATAAGTTTCTATGGTACAGAACAGTAGCGGAAGCACATAATACGTTAAATGATATTAATAAACAGCTTTAACTGAGAATTCCGGCAAATGGATTTATGCATTTCTACGTAATCTCTGAGATGAACAACACGATACCAGCTATGTACTCCATATTCCAAACGCCATCAAAAACAGAAGCAATAATCCACTTCTCCTAAAATGAAACGTGGAATGGATAAGAACTCTTTGTGATGGCGGCTGGATTTCAACTATATATGAGAAATTAAATCATGAATGACGATTAAGTGTTTCGTCTTTGTGGCAGATTATCATCATTTTTGGCGTCTTTACCAGGGTGGCAAAAGGAAAACTTTTACATAGGCAGAAAAAGAAGATTGGCCTTTTTTAGATCAACAAAGACAAAGCGTGCAACCAGGGCTGGAGCGTGCTGGAATTGACATTAGTTCTTCATAATAGAAAGTGGAACTCGAGCTTGCAACGAAAAGATCCAAGAAGTACCGATTGTTTTTCCCTTTACACGGCACACAACTATATTATCTGTTACGCGTCGTGATGTCTTTTGAAGTTGGGACGCGGTGCTGGTACCCTGATAAGGCTGAGGGCTGGATCGGAGGTGAGGTTACAAAGTTCTCACATGCAAATGACAAGTACCAGCTGGGCCTAACGCTTGAAAACGGTGAAACAGTCGAGATCGAGACTAGCACGTTGGACGAGAATGAGAACGAGCAACTGCCGCTACTGCGGAACCCTCCAATTTTAGAAGCCATTGAGGATCTCACTTCACTCTCATATCTTAATGAGCCTGCTGTTTTGCACGCGATCAAGGCACGGTACGCCCAGTTGAACATATACACTTACTCCGGTATCGTGCTAATAGCCACCAATCCATTTGATCGTGTGGAGCAACTTTATTCGCAAGACATGATTCAAGCTTATGCTGGTCGCCGTAGAGGTGAGCTTGAACCACATTTGTTCGCCATTGCTGAAGAGGCTTATCGTCTGATGAAAAATGATAAGAAGAACCAAACAATTGTTGTGAGCGGTGAATCAGGTGCAGGTAAGACTGTTTCAGCCAAGTATATCATGCGTTTCTTTGCCTCCGTTGAACAGAAAAATGACAGTAATGCGGATCACCAATTGGAAATTTCTGAAACCGAACAACGAATTTTGGCCACGAATCCTATAATGGAAGCATTTGGTAACGCCAAGACTACGCGGAATGACAACTCTTCTCGATTTGGTAAGTATCTGGAGATTTTATTTAACGATAAAACTTCTATCATTGGAGCTAGAATGAGAACATATTTACTCGAGAGGTCACGGTTGGTATATCAACACAAAACCGAAAGAAACTACCACATTTTCTATCAATTGCTTGCTGGACTGTCAGAAGACGAAAAGAGTGAGTTGAAATTAACAAAGGTTGAGGACTATCACTATTTGAACCAAGGTGGTGAATACCAGATAAAAGGTGTGGATGATGCGGAAGAATGCAAAATTACCATCGATGCACTATCTAAAGTTGGCTTCAGCAAAGATACCCAGATGGAACTTTTCAAAGTTTTAGCGGCCCTTCTGCATGTTGGTAACATTGAAGTCAAAAAGACTAGAAATGATGCGTCCTTGAGTTCTGACGAGCCGAACTTGCAAATCGTGTGCGATCTTCTGGGTATTGATGCCTTCAACTTTGCCAAATGGATTACGAAGAAACAGATTACCACGAGATCTGAGAAAATCATATCCAACTTGAATTACAACCAGGCGGTAGTGGCAAGAGATTCCGTTGCTAAGTTCATATTTTCGGCTTTGTTTGACTGGCTCGTTGAAAATATCAACACTGTGCTTTGCAATCCCGAAGTTGCTAACAAGATCAGCTCTTTTATAGGTGTTCTTGATATTTATGGTTTTGAGCATTTCGAAAAGAATTCCTTTGAGCAATTCTGCATCAACTACGCCAATGAAAAATTGCAGCAAGAATTTAATCAGCATGTTTTCAAGCTGGAACAAGAAGAATATGTGAACGAACAAATCGAATGGTCTTTCATAGAATTCAATGATAATCAACCTTGCATTGATTTGATCGAGAACAAACTAGGTATATTATCTTTGCTAGATGAAGAGTCAAGGTTACCTGCTGGCTCTGATGAGAGTTGGACTCAGAAGCTATACCAAACATTAGATAAACCTCCAACTAATCAAGTTTTTTCAAAGCCTAGATTTGGTCAAACCAAATTCGTTGTGTCACATTACGCTTTGGATGTTTCTTATGATGTCGAAGGATTCATTGAAAAGAATAGGGATACTGTTTCCGACGGTCATTTGGAAGTATTGAAATCGTCTACTAACTCCACATTATTGTCTATTCTAGAAACAATTGACAGAAACGCTGCAAAAGTCACTGAAAGACAAGAAAATAAGAAACCGGGGCCCGCTAGAATGGTGAACAGAAAACCTACACTTGGGTCAATTTTTAAGGAGTCATTAATTGAGCTGATGAATACTATCAACTCAACCAATGTACACTACATCCGTTGCATAAAGCCCAATGAAGAAAAAGAGGCCTGGAAATTTGACAATTTGATGGTTCTTTCGCAACTTAGAGCTTGTGGTGTATTAGAAACCATTCGAATTTCTTGTGCCGGTTTTCCATCGAGATGGACGTATAATGAATTTGTCTTGAGATACCATATTCTAATCCCATCAGAACACTGGACTCACATTTTTACTACAGAAGCTACTGAAGAGTCCATTCGAGAACTTTGTAAAAAAATCTTAGATGTTACTGTTGAAGACAAACAAAAATATCAATTGGGTAACACTAAGATTTTTTTCAAAGCTGGTATGCTGGCCTATTTGGAGAAGCTTAGAGGAGACAAGATGCACAACGCTAGCGTATTGATTCAAAAGAATATCAAAGGTATTTACTATCGTCGCCAATACCTGACCATAACAAGCGCTATCAAAAGGCTTCAAGCAGTTTGCAAGGGTAAGGTATGTCGTCACAGAATTGATCAACAAATGAAAACATGCGCTGCATTGGTAATTCAGAGTTTGGTTAGAGGTTCTAGTGAACGCAAGAAAGCCCATACATTGCTCGGAGCGGTGTCAAGAATGCAGTGCATGGTTAGAAGGCAATTAGCTCAAAAAGAGTTATTGAAAAAGCGCGAAGGGGAAGCAGCTGTGACTATCCAAAAGAAAATTAGAGGATTTGTTCCACGCCAAAGCTTTAAAACAGCTAGAAATTCTTCTGTTACTGTTCAATCGTCAATAAGAAAGAAGATTGCACAAAAACAATTGAAGAAATTGAAAGCCGATGCTAAGTCCGTTGATCATTTGAAAGAAGTAAGTTACAAGTTGGAGAATAAAGTCATTCAATTGACGGAGTCTCTTGCCTCCAGAGTGAAAGAAAACAAGGAATTGAACTTGCGCATTCAAGAGCTTCAACAATCTTTGAATGAATCAGCCAATATTCAAGCTTTGTTGGATTCCCAAAAGGAAGAGCATGGAAGAGCTCTAGAGAAGCAAAAAACCACTCACGATGCTAATTTGAATGAGATTCAAACTCAATTAGCGAATGCAAAGAAAGAGATCACGGACGCTAAAGCCGAAATCGAACAATTAATAGCAAAGCAAGAGGAAATAAAGGCAGATGTAAGATTGAAGATCGAGGAGTTGAATAAGGTCAATCAGAACTTAGCCGACTCTCAAACCCAGAACTCTGACCTGAAAAACGAAGTCAAATCATTGAAAGATGAGATAGGACGCTTACAGGCTGCAATCAGAGCAGGTGTTTCGGCTTCTGGTGCCCTTGCCTCTACTCCTACGAAGTCAAGACGTTTTAGCACTCATAGTAGTGTTATTGATGGTGCATCTCCAAGACAGTTGAACGTTATTTCCATGAATAACGGTTTAGAGGATGATGCCAGATCGACTGCTAGTGCGTTATCTCAGATCAATGATGAGTTGTACAAGCTGTTAGAAGATACGAAATCCTTAAACACAGAGATAGTCGAAGGTCTACTCAAAGGCTTCAAGATCCCCGAAACAGGAGTTGCCGTTGAATTGACCAGAAAGGAAGTTTTATATCCGGCTAGAATTATGATTATTGTTTTGAGTGATATGTGGAGACTGGGGCTCACGAAACAAAGTGAAAGCTTCTTGGCAGAGGCCATGTCTACTATTCAAAAGCTAGTTACAAGCCTCAAAGGCGATGACATGATTTTGCATGGAGCGTTTTGGCTTACGAATGTTCGGGAATTGTATTCCTTCGTAGTTTTCGCACAAGAGTCCATTTTAAACGATGATTCCTATAATAGTGGCTTGAATGAAGAGGAGTATAAAGAATATGTCACGTTAGTTACTGAACTGAAGGACGACTTTGAATCCTTAAGTTACAATATCTACAACATTTGGCTGAAGAAGTTGCAAAAGGATTTAGAGAAGAAAGCTATTTCTGCCGTTGTTATGTCCCAGTCTCTCCCTGGTTTTATTGCACCAGAAGCATCTCCATTCCTACCGAAGCTTTTCACGCAATCCACAAGCTATAAGATGGATGACATTCTTACTTTCTTCAATAACATTTACTGGTCTATGAAAACTTACCATGTCGAGCAGGAAGTTTTCAGAGAAGTGATTGTAACATTACTGAAATACGTTGATTCTATTTGCTTCAACGATTTAATCATGAGAAGAAACTTTTTATCTTGGAAACGTGGATTGCAATTGAACTACAACGTGACGAGGTTGGAAGAATGGTGCAAATCTCATCATATTCCTGAAGGAACAGACTGCTTGCAACATATGCTACAAGCTTCTAAATTATTGCAGCTGAAAAAGGCCAACCTCGAGGACATTAACATTATTTGGGAAATTTGTTCATCTCTAAAACCTGCCCAAATTCAAAAATTGATTTCTCAGTATGCTGTGGCAGACTACGAGGTGCCAATCCCTCAGGAAATTTTGAATTTTGTTGCTGATCGAGTCAAGAAGGAGTCTTCTCTATCTTCTGATGGTAAATCCCAAACTCATAGCAGCGATATCTTTTTACCTGTTGAAAGTGGTCCATTTGAAGATCCATTTAGCCTGATTGAGACAAGACAGTTTGGAAAGATAGAAGCTTACATACCCGCGTGGATGAATTTACCCTTAACTAGAAGGGTTGTTGAGCTAGTCTCACAGCATGTAACTGTCCAAGAGTTTCAAAAAGGCTGATCGTTACAGGGGATTAGATTAATAGATTAGCTTTGCATGTACACTTCGTATCTTAACAGAAAGTTATAAACGTGAAATTCCCAAAAATAGCACACTACATTCAATCTCTTAAACTACACAGTAATATAAATGTGAATGGCGTTTCGAGGGCGAAGATCAGAACATGACAGGGGAGAACGCACTTAGTAGCAAAGGTGTTAGTTCAACCTGAATTTTAAGTCAAAACCATACACTTAGAAATAGAGCATATAAAAAAGCGGGGAAAGGTGAGAATGAACCAGACTAACTGAAGTGAACAGCGATTGGAACAATAATCACAATCAATAGGATAACAATAACCAGCAGAAGACACAGCCTCATTTTCAAGTCTTTCCACCACATTTGTTTTCTCACCCTGTTCGCGCCTCTTTTAAAACCTTGGGCTGATACTGCTAGGTTATCGGCCTTGTCCTGTATCGACGTTAATCTTTCACCACGCTCGGCAACTTTGTTGATGTTGTCCCTCATGATACCGACGGTGTCATCGATCTCCTGTACATCTTGGTTAGTAAATCGTTCATACAATTCCCGACTTTGAGTGTAGGCTGTTGTTAGCCACAATCCCAAAAACATAAAAAGCACATACGGCCTTCAAGGCTGCCGCCTTGGATTGCGAATTCGTTTCTTCAGCAGGAATATATGGATCGTAAGGCACAGATGAAGACATTATACTACCTTTGTCGCGTTTCAAAATAGAAGTTGGTGATACTCTTCTTCACTTGTCTTGATGAAAACTTGGGAGGTGTATACTTTTGTACGTAAAACTGTAAACATCACTTACGAATCGAAGAATCAAAAATCTAGTGCACCTACATTTTTGATTTGCAACCGTATTGACTTGAATGTATCTGTCAGATTCATCTGCTATATGAGTTTTGAAGTTGATCAACTTGTTCTTTTAAAGCTCTGAGATCTCCCAAAATGTCACCACGAGTTCCATTCTGCTGGATTGGTGGAGAAAGCTGAGGCACGGGTGAGGGAGTGTAGCTTTGGTACTGTGGAGTTATATTATTATAACTCATGTTCGTAGAACCTGAGTATGTAGGGTAGTATTGCTGTTGCTGTTGCTGTTGCTGTTGCTGTTGCGGGTTAGGCTGCATTTGCCGCTGCTGCGGAAGCTGCATTTGGTAACCGTTGTATGCATTGCGGGAATTTCCTTGTGGAATATGCAGTGAGCTGCTGTTTGGAGAAGGCGAGTTGGAAAGGAGAGACTGGAAGTAGTTTCCAGCAGTTGTTCCTGTTGTAAGTGTGTCGTGGCCCGTAGGTTGTGGCGATTGTGCAAACCCTGAACTCTGCGATTGAAGAAGGGGTTGAACTGAAAGGGTGTTGCCTAAAGGCAGTGCCTGCGGTGCCGCGAAGTGCTGTCTTGCGAGGTGATTTGCGGACCCTGTTGCTGTAGGTCTCAGAGGAAGCTCAAGATGAGGTGGCTCCAAACCAGAGTTTGCTTGAGATTGTCGTGAATTGGCCTCCTGACTTGATCTAAACAAATAATTCGCGGAGCCAGTGGCAGTCGGCTTAAGCGGCTCCAGTGGCTTCATATCTTCTCCATTGCTGTCAACGAACACGGACGGAATTTGAGCAGGAACTCCACCGAGAGAGACACTATCAACATTTTGGATTTGCTGGAAATGATTCAAAGACTCTTTCATATCTTCGAGAACTTCCTTCTCTTCCTGCGTTTCCGGTTCTTGAGTAGGAGGCTTGGATACAAGCGCAGAGTTCTTCCTTTTTCTTGCTGCTAGTTTTTTCAGCAATTGACCCATCGGGAGAGATAAATCTAATGGGCCACTGTCGTCTTCGTTTTCAGTTTCCTCATTCGCCTCCTCTGTGTCAGTGTCATTTGCTCTCTCTTCTTGGAAAGTTACAAGTTTGTCTGAAAATCGAACCCTCTTTTGCCTTTTAAACTTATTTGTTATTCTTCTTCTAAGTCGTTTCTTTCTCTCTCCGGTTAGAAGGAGCGATGCAAAGCTGTCAAAGTCTACTTTCGGCTCTGAATCAGCAGGAGTGTCCTCAACTTCTTCATAAACTTCCTCCCTTCCTGCGGTCAGAATAGGTTTGGGCCTGGGTACTGGGCAAGCCTCTAGTAGCATCTTTCGAGTTGGTAGTACACCATCTACCAATGCACGCGAGATAAGTCTCAAAACGGCAAAAAATTGTCCTATATTCAAGGCATTCTTACAAGTTTTGAATATCTGCTCTATGCGATTCCTGGCCAAATCACTGAGGGGGAAATTCGACAGGAAACGAAAGACATCCTCTAAGCGAATCAACTTTGCGTGCTTTCTGAGCGCTATATATCCGTACCACCGAAGATAGGTTCTTACCTCCTCCTTACTGAGTTGGTTTCGCGAGAGAGACAAAGGTACCTGAAGATCGTCTTTAGATTCCACATAATTTGTTAATTGAGTATCGGATACACTTCTCTTGTCATTTTTATGAAGTCCAGGTGAAAGGTCCCCCACACCTTGACTGGTAACCGGCCCCTTTCCGGGGTTTGAAGATTCTTTGGACTGATCAACTGCATCTTCATCAAATTTGAACGAGACCGTTGGAGGCGGATCAGGCGTAGTCCACGAGTCCGTATCATTGGTGTTGAGTCCGGGGACATTTAACCAATCGAAAGACATTACTCTTATGCCTCGTTTTGTATTATCAAGTTTAAACTAAAGAAGTCAAAGTTCTCGGAGCTTCTTCCACGAATTTCACCATATTCCGACATTTTTAGAACAACAGATCTGCAGTCATATTCTCGACGACAACCAAGATAAAACATATAGTGAAAGGGAAATTAAGAGCCATTATTGTTGCGCTGCTTTTTAATCTTTGTTGCAATAAGTTTGAAATTATGGGTTATTTAATTTTCCACAACTCTATCTGCAAATATACAGTAACAAAATACATTTACAATTATTGTAAATAGAATGATTGGCAGGACTTCTTATACGGGATAGTTCGTAAACTGGAGAGAAGAAAGCGGTTTGTTGCAAAGGCACTTCTAATTGAAATGATTTCTATACCACAGTGCATGGGCCAATAGAGGATTTCATTGGAGTAGACGTAGAGCCCAAAATACTCACAATCTTTCCCCTTCATATCAATGAATGTTAAATTTGTGAAGAATATAGGTCGTCAAAATGGCCACTTGAGGGTCAGAACACATCTTTTTAATAGGTAACAAAAATGCCGTTTGTAATATGTCAGAAACCTCCTGGATACATATCATATTTCGGCCGGTCCTGGTTGCTAGCATGAAAGCATATCGTATGCATGCGCTAGCAATGATAATTATCGCCTAATTGCAAATAAGTATATCCTAGTTACCATATTTGAATGCAATCAATAACATAAGTTATCAACGTAAGTAATGAAAGGTAAGCATAATGAATGGGCCCATCTTAGCCCAGCTTTCAAGTCCTTTAGCTTTTAGCGATTTTTTTCTCACCATTATATTGTAGATCGTATTTAACAAAACTATTGCTGACATTTTTCGTGATCACCCGAAATCTACTTCAAAGAAGGTGTTCATGGCAAACCGTCGAAAGAAAGCATTTGGAGGGGATTCCAGCAGTGATAGTGATGGAAGTGAAGATGAGTTACATGGATATTTGCATAAAAAGGCGCTCAAATCTCAAAAAACCTTGCAAAATGTAGGGGCATTCAATTTTGATAACGACATGGATTCATGTGCACCGGTAAAAACTCAACCACCCAAGCAATCCAGATTCATAGGCAATATTCTAGCTTCAAAAAAGCAGCGAGAATTAGATAGACTTTATTCTGAGTCTGTCAGAAATACATTCTCGAATGGAATACAAGAGCATGTCAAAAATGCAGGAGATGTATACGTTACCGGCGCTTATCAAGAAAAGAAGAGACAAATAGAAGAAGCAGAGAAAATAGCGCTTGCTGAACAAGGTCGTGAATTTGCAGAAACGAACTTGAATGCTTTCAGATATAATGCCCGCATTTTAAATGATGCCTCGGAAAAGCACGACCAGAGCCTTTCAAACGTTGGAGATGCTGCTCAGTCGACGGATGCTGTACGAGAAAAAGAGAAGAAGCTCAAATCTTACAAAAATGATATATACATCTCACCTAACATCTCCTCAAAACCCAGCGGTCAAAAGGCACGAAAAATGGCTAAACAAGCTGCTCCAGTGGAAGTTGTTCAGAAGTTTTTAGCAAGTAGCGTTACCGCATGCGAATTAAAACTACTTAGAGAAGAATATTTTGCAAGGGTCAGCTGCTCTAACTTAAGCTGCTAACCCTTAAATAACTCATGAAAATTTAATGTTGTATTATTATGGTAATGTTACATACATGGAGAGATTAAGTTGGCTTGCTATGCGTTTCCAGTAACTTCATTTTCTAATCTATTCCTAACGTGAATAAATGGCCCTTCGTCTTGTGATTTGCTGCCCAAAGCCACTTTGTGTTTTGATTTTGTGCGCACTTTATGCTTCGTATGTGTCTTACACTGCTTGGTAGTTGTAGAGTTCTTGCTCTTACTACTCGGGTTCGAAAGAGTATCCTCGATAATGGAGTCAAGTTGAGTATTGGAAACGACTGTGCTAGCAGATAGTTGCTTTTCTCTTTTATCAGCGTACTCTCGAGGCATGTCGATGCATTCATTGAATGTATTGAAGGAAAGCTTTCTGGATTTAGCTTTTCTCTTCACCGGCTTCTTGGCTTTCTGTTTTGAGTCATCAAGCAGCGGTGATGAGATCAGGTTGATATCCGAGCCACCAGAACTTGTTGATAATTGCTCTGCGTCAATATTTTTAGAGCCATAATCCTGGATAGGAATGTTGTAATTTACTGAAGAAGAATCCCAGTTTGTATCCATATCCAAGGACCTTTCTGTTGACTTGGATCTCAGAAGACTTTCTCGATCACTGCCATGAGTTTGGGACATAATATGGATTTTGTCTCTTTCACCAGCTTTTATTTCTCTTGAGTAGTCTACGAAAGTGTACTCTCTCGTTGACATCCTTTCCTTGAACGCTTTTTCATTAAATTCTTGAACATAAGCATCTTCTAATCCGTCTACTTTCCACTTAGCTGTCTGAACTTGCATTTTCAAAAAATACCTTAAAAACTCTTTCGAGTACGCTTTACTATATTTGGAGAAAACTGGTTCTCGGTAGAAATATGGCAATTTTGACACATCAATGTCAGAACTTTGAGGCCCCAAGTTACTAGTAGGTTTACTCAATAACTGCCGAATATCTAAAGATTCTCCATGTGGTATGGGGGCCGGATTTGAAGGTGTCACACAATCCATGTCTACCTCTTTTCTCATGACATGATCAATATCAACAGCAGAAAAAAAGGCACAATTTTGAGGTAAGTCGTCTATGCCCATCTGTTCGCAAAATATAGCACGCGTCCAGATATTGCTTATTTGAAGAGCCATTGCTGTTCTGTACTTATCTTCATCCGCGGCTAGAAATCTAATTTCATCATGAATGGAAATGCAAAGTCGTGCTTTGATTGAATATTTCTTGATCAGATAGTTCATCGAGCAGCAAAGAAGATGTAAATAATCCACTCCAGAAGATTGAATAGCCCAATTAATTCTCGATGGTAGAAAGGTGTTTGCGCCTAAATTACGCTTCATCAATGAATATGTGATTCCTGCCCCAAGGACCGGTGTCTTTGGTTCCTGCTGCTCAGCTATGTGTTCCAACTTATTGAATAATATGGATTCGGAACCACCGTACCAAAATTTCTTAAAAATTTTGGATCTTTTGACCATTCCTTTAGTAGAGGCATATAACTTCTCTGCAGTTTCCTTAGCTTCGGCGTCAGATAATCCAGGATTAAATTTCTTCAGTAATTGCCCAGCAAATTTTACACCAGCTCCATAAATTCGGCCATAATTGAATATCTTTGCTTCATTTCTCGAGCAGTTAAGAATTTTCGCTGTTCTAGTATGCAAATCGGTGCCCTCATTTTTAGATCCCTCTAAACACATCCACCCGATGGCTGTACCTCCGTGAAGATTGAAAACAGAATCGCTGACCAAAGATGCAATCCAAAGCTCTTCACTATCAACGTCTGCTCCTACAAAGCTATAGCCGGGAGGTGCTTTGATTTGGGCCTTGAGTTCGGATCCAATCCTATTGTGTTTTGCGTTAGATGCTGTTAGCCACGTATTTTCCACAGACCTTCTTGTGACAGTGCCCATTGGTATAACCGTTGGGAGGATGATGGCAAGGTCTTTTTGAGGGGAGCTTTTGTCATCAACAGACTTGAATTGATCAGGAAATGAGCTCTGTGGGACCACAAACTGAGACATTACCCTTTCGCGTGCTGACATCCAATAAGAACCGGATGAATTGATTTTGAGCGCTTCGTGAGCTAAATCTGAATGTGAAGTGAGGATGCCCTTTTCAAAAAAATGAATGTATGGCTTACTCAATAAAGTTGTACAATTGAATTGTTGTCCATTGGGATGCGGAACCTTCAAGAGTATATGACCTGGTACCTTCGGATCTGATTTTCGAGCAATATCGTAGTTTTTAGCGGTATACTCCTTTAAATTGCCTTCAGGGACGTGGAAACACCACCCTTCCTCATCTGTCCAAAATACTGGTGATCCTTCCCATGAAAGTTTGAAAAAAAGAGGTATGGATCGGGTTTTGATGGTAATTTGTGGACGTACAGCGTTTTTAGATGGAAATAGCGACCTATACCATTCTGGATAGCCAGGCAGCTTTTGGCCTTTTACTGGAACACCCTTTTTTGTTAGTCTGAGAGGTTTAATTGTCCAATCTAGCTGCTTCAGCCAAGAATCTTTTGCTATTATCTCAGGACTGTCTTTCAATTTTACCACGTCCTCTATAATTGCCACAATTTTATCTTCAATCTGCTGCTTACTATCTTGATACACTTTCTCCGATCGGGAGATATAATCATTCCATGTGGTTTTATTTGTGGTTAAAATGCACGTTGATAAGAATCGCAACGCCCCAAATGATACCGGGTGAGGACATTTGTGCAAAAAAAGAGGGAAAACCTTGTCAAAAACTTGGCTCGTTGTCTCAACGTCCGTTGCACAGTAGTTGACTATTATATCAAAATTTTTGATAATTTCATTCTTGTCTAACGTGCTAAGAAGCTCTCGTGGCTCTTTGTCCATATCTATACCGCAGTGCAATTTTGCTACATCTTTTAGTGAATTCATTGTGGAAACAGTAATCCACGGATCTTCATCACTACCTAGCGAATCCAAATCTTCAGATTTATCGTCGTTTTTTTCTCTAAGTTTTTTATTTAGCATCCATTTTGGCCGCTGACGAGAACACATACCCGACGATGCAATATGTAATGACATTGTATCGAGAAAAAAGGCTTTTGATTCCTGGCAGTTGTATTCTTCAAGTACTCGAGCTCGATCGTATCCCACGTTGTGGCCTATTACGAGCCTCGTTTTGTTCAGAGTATCTAGGGGAATTAGATGACGCGGGTTGTCGTCTCCACACAAGTACGGAGAGCACCAGCAATACCAAGCCTTGTTCGAATGCGCCACAGCCAGTATCGGGTATGGTGTTACCTTATACAGCGTTTCAACGTCAAATACGAGTGTTTCTTCTAACGGATAGTCGACCTTCTTTGGAGGCTCACCGGGGGCGTAGCGATACCATCCGGATTGTCGTACCCACGCTTCGGGTCGCGGAGGAACGAGTGTAAATTTGGACTTCGCCATATCGAGATACGGTTGAGAAGCAAACTGGCCCAGCTTTTGGAAATGCTCGTCCAACGAGCTGCCCTGAAGCTGAGGAAGGTCGAACGAGATGGGCTCCGTTACCGACGTCTTCTTTCCCAGCAGCCCGTGATGCTTCAAATATTGTCGTGAAATGCGAATCAGCTCCTGCTGGTCATCTTCTGAAAGCTCTTCTGCCCGTTTGCTATGCTTCTTGTCCCCAAAGACCTGTTGATGCAGGTGATTGCTCAGGTACTGAATCCCTACCGGATTTATTCTCGGACTTTCTGCTTTTGAATACTGTCGCACGTGGATCAGGCGCCAAGAGCATCGGGAAGCTCTATAGATACGCATAATGCTCCAAAAGGCTCACAAATAGTGTAAAACAACAGTGTTCGTGTTCAATGTTGATGTTTGAAGGTATACAGAAACAACAAATGATATTTTCGTACGTTATGACTTTTGCAAGATGCGCCTCGTGATAGCCGCGTGTAGGGTGACACTCATTTCTATAATAATAATGAAAAAATTGTTCAAAAAGCAGCCATAGAGCCCCCCTAACAGAAACACCAAACTCTACAGGAAGACAAGAAGCCATGTCCACTGCGATCACGTCGCTTACACCATCCCAGGTTAACGATGAACTGAACAAGATGCAAGCCTTCATCAAGAAGGAAGCTGAAGAAAAGTCGAAAGAGATCCAATTGAAGGCTGACCAAGAGTACGAAATTGAAAAGACTGGAATTGTGCGTAACGAGACCAGCAACATCGACTCTGCCATGGAGGCTAAAATGAAGAAGGCAGCACTCAAGCAGCAAATTACCAAGTCTACGATTGCGAACAAGATGAGATTAAAGGTTTTGTCAACCAGAGAGCAGGTTCTCGACGACATTTTCGAATCCGCGAGCAAGGAACTTAAAAAGATTTCCTCGGACAAGAAAAAGTACAAACCCGTGTTGCACTCTGTGATCCTCGAGTCGTTGTTGAGACTTTTGGAGCCAGTCGCTGTTGTTAAGGTCAGAGAGCAAGATCTTTCTCTTGCCAAGTCCATCAAAGACGACATCATCAAGGAGTACAAGGAAAAGTCAGGCAAGGACGTGACTTTGGAGTTCTCATCTGAGTACTTGAACAAGGGCTCTGCTGGTGGTGCTATCGTCACTAACGAGAACGGCAGAATTGAAGTCGACAACACTTTGGAAGAAAGATTGAAGTTGTTGAATGAGGAGGCTCTTCCAGCCATCAGACTAGAGTTGTTTGGTATTTCTGAGACCAGAAAATTCTTCGACTAGTCGAATTGTATCGTTGTGTGTACTATTGAAAGTAGACGGTATATATTTACTCTGCACAAATAGAATTTGAAAAAAAAAACACTTAACTACGCACGTAGCACTTCCGATTCTACCTGGGCTTAATATGCTCTTCCTTCTCTCTTTATCCTTTGGCTTGTTCTTGCACAGGGTCCATCAAAAATGGTCAAGGTTGGAAATCTTTTCCTACATTTTTTCTTGATGAGCTCTCAGCAAAAAACAAGATTCCCAAGTACGTAGGAAAGGCATGTTTGCTAGTCGACTTAGGCCCTTCACGTATTGTGCAAAGTCTTTGACAAGTCTTCGACGGCTCGCAATGAGGGCTCTTCCGGAACAAAGCTCCAATATCCTCTCGTTGAAGCCCATCACGCCTAATGATTCATACGTCTCTTGCACCATATTCAACAAACAAGGAGATGTTACTGCAGTGTCTCAAAAGTTTCCCAAATGGGCTTTTTTAAGAGATCATCACCTATATCCTCGAGACCTGCGCAAAGTCGACACCAGTACAATCGACGTTATTCCAAGCATAGTAGTCAAGCCGACATGCATTTTAATAAATTTGCTTCATATCAAAGCATTAATACAGCAGGATTCTGTATTTGTTTTCGATACTTCAAACTCAGCAGCTGCGATGAAACTGGGGGTATTCATGTATGATCTTGAGTCAAAATTATCAACAGCTGCTAGCAGCCACACAGCGCAGTGTTACGAGCATCGTGCTTTAGAAAGCATACTCATGAATGTAATCACCTGTCTGGAAACAGAGTATAAACAACACTATTCTATTTGTGGCAATATACTTAACGAACTTGAGGATGAAATTGACAGAGACAAGTTACGAGATCTTCTTATTAGATCCAAGAACCTTACAGCCTTCTATCAAAAATCATTGCTTATCAGAGATGTCTTAGACGAGCTTTTGGACAGTGATGAGGATCTTGCGGGAATGTACTTGTCGGTTCACAAAACAGAAAATGACGATTTCTCTGATGTGGAGATGCTTCTTGAGACGTACTATAAGCAATGCGACGAATACGTACAACAGTCAGAAACACTGATACAAGATATCAAATCTACTGAAGAGATTGTCAACATCATTCTGGATGCTAATAGAAACTCCTTAATGTTATTTGAATTAAAAGTGACCATCTACACGCTTGGGTTTACAATAGCCACATTAGTTCCGGCTTTTTATGGCATGAATTTGAAAAATTTCATAGAAGAAAGTGAATGGGGATTTGGTTGCGTAGTGGCCTTTTCTCTAGTGTCTGCACTTGGGGTTACTTGGGCTAATTTCAGGGCTCTTCGGTCGGTAAAGCGGCTAACTATGATGAACAACCACGCTGGAATAAATTCGGCAAAGCATATTGCGAATGCAAAATATGACCTCGAAAAGGAAGTTCCTACATTGCGACAGCGCTGGGCTAAAGGTGCGCGAACGATGTGGTTGGGCAACAATTTCCGTGTCAGAGATGGTAAGCAACGAGAAATGATTTGGAGGTGGTTAGTGGACGACAACAAGAAATAAAATCGGCGAGCCGATACAATTTTACTATAGAGGTCAATTCACATGTATATAGATTGCACTCTTAATCTCGTAATAGACGCAACTCACATCTTATAGGAGTTAATGGAGGATAATCAACTAAGATCTAACCACAAAAGTCTTGTTACCTCAACTGTATGTTCTTTTTGAGTTAGGACCATTTTGTCACATATTTGAATTAGTAATTAGAATTACTTGGAATTACCTCCATTGCAGTTCAAGTAATCGAGAGCTTCAATAGCCTTCTTTTTCAACGGTTGTAATTTGGTTAATGATAATTTGCTCTTTACTACAAATTTTACAAGGATGCCAATCTCGTCGATTACGGCATAAAGGGAAGAAAGAGACAAACTTTAAAAAGTCAATTATCATTGCTTTAATCATTAGAGGTTTATCTGAATTCTTCCTGAGTTATGTTTGCAAAAGCTGCAGCATCTGCTACAGCTCCTATTGTTAAAGGGGGCGTCTATCTCGACTCCTTCGATGTTAAATTGGTACAATATAGGGCAGCCATTAACAAGCTCTCTGAAATTGTGCGAGTACTGAAAATCCTCGAGAATAGTTTGAATCGTAAGAATGAAACTAGAGAAATCATCCCATTATTGAACTATATTTTGGCCTTATGTCAAGGCCCAGCTTTCAATGTGTCGCAAACCCTTCGCAAACGATTGCAACTCTTGAGTGAATTCAGGCTTTGCAAGTTAGGAGACGTGAACCCTACAGTGGGAATTAGCCCGATAGACCTTGGTCTTGATCTTCCAGAAGTTTTGGAGGACATTGAAGAATACAAGGCCAAGGTATATGATGCTGATTTGCAAGGAAAAATCTTGCAGTCTACTTTAAAGATTTCTCAGAACGCACTTGTCATATATAACCAGAAGTTCAAGCAGTGTACCATGGAAAGGAATTCGAGCAGGCCTACAGATATTTCCGGAAGACCTATTTCTTTGGAGGAAAAAAGCTTTGACGAGCTACTTAAACCTATCGAGATATCAATATCTCTGGATTTAGCTGTTTTAATCAATAACTTCGAAGTGGATACCTCTTTGAAATCATTTCGCAAACTGAATTTTCAAGTGTTGGTCAAATTCAAGGACTACATTAATGAAAAAGCTCTTCCGAGTATTAAGGTATACTATACATCCTTATTCAGATTTGCACGAGCAAAAACACTGAGTCAAGCGAAGGTCATAATGAATTTACCTTACTGGCAATATACCATGCACAGGATATATGCTATGTTGTTACGCATCAAGTATTTACATGATGTCATAAAAACATTGACAAGGCAAATTTATATACCCAACAAGCCTTATTTTCATGATCCAAAGATCAAGCTCTTAGCAGAGAACGTATTTGACTATGAAGGGCTTTTGAATGGGCTAGACTCTCTTTGTTCTCCTATGGATGGTTCAATGGAGCTTGCTGAACAATTAGAGTCATATTCTAAACAAGGAACCACGTTTGCTGTTCAACCGACGAACATACTTAATGCATACAACAATTCTGTGACTCCTGCTGTTCAAATGTTGAGATCATATATGCAAACGATTGATTCTTGGGTATCAATGTGGAAATTTATAAATCAGAACACTTCTGCTGTTACAATCGAAGAGATTGACCCTCATGAGATGAAAAAAATGCTAGAAGAGAGACTGGTCATTGACAAGTTGGACCATGTGGAGAAGGAAAAGCAAAAAGAGCTTGCTAAAAAGCAAAAGCAAGAAAGCATAAACGGTGGTACATCAAATGAAAAGGGTGTGAAGACCATTTTTAGAAGATCCTCTCTTAGGAATTCAAGTACCTCTTCGAGCTCGAGCGTGTCAAACTCGCCAGGAAACCTTTCGCCTGCAAAATTAAGCAGATCATCTTCGCATGAATTGAAACGTATACCAACCTCACTTAAATCGCAATCTCGAAATGGAAGCGGTTTATCGTCACCATTAGTTTCTAGGCGCGGGTCTGTATCCGAAAAGGCTGCACGATCACCAGTTAGCAAATTGTCGTCTGAAAGATCTGCACAAGCCGGAAAGGCTTCTTCACATCTTAGTGAAGAAACTAGCAGACGCAATGGTAGGAAACGTTCGGTATCATTACAATCATCTTCCGAGCCCCCCAAAAATATACCCGACATAGAAAAAGAACGCTCTAATTCTTTGCAAGCAAGTGCTTCGCTAAATCAGCGAATGGTGCAAAACGCTTTTTTGCATCTTTCGGGGGATCTAAGTGGAAAGGGATTAGCCAGTGGTGAGGGAAGATCTCGTCGCATATTAAAAACACCAGCTACTTCCAAGAAGCTACTTAGGTCAGGTTCGCCCTCTCCTTTGAGGCATAAAAACTCAGTAAACAAAAGTCAAACAAAGACCAAGGACGATAATGAGTTACCAAAAATTGACTCTTTGACTATAGATGAGGAGACTACGAAAGAATTAGTTTCTGGGCAAAGCAGCACGTCTTTGAGCTGCGACGAGAAAGAAGCAGATACAGGCTCGTCCAATGAGAAGAGTGAGGAAGATAGTGATTCTGTTATGCTGGACACAAATGAACTAGTGAAAAAGGTGCGTTTCACTGGTGTACCGCCAATGTCGAGCTCTGAGAATCCTCGGCCCAAAAGAAAAGGCTGGTATAAAAAGCCAGCAGTCCTGCATTACCCACCACCTCCTCCCCAATTTGCAATTCAGCAGTACAAGTTAAGGCAAGAGGGTTTAGCTTTTAGGAAAAGTCTCCGAGAAGACGAGCAGGAAAATACACCTCAAAGAAAGAATTTGATGTTCACAGCCAATGAGTCACAGCATTCGGGCCATAAACTGGCAAATAAACTTAGAGATAAACTTGCTCGTTAACACACGTTTGTTAAATGGCCCTGTACGCCTTCTGTAAATTTTTTTTTTGTAATGCATTTTACACGGAAGATCATCGTTAAGCTCCATCTTAAGAGTTCAATATCATATAGACAACTTTACCGGCATAAGCAATGTTGAAAGCAGGATCGTTAAGTTCTTTGTTGCCACCACCTAAGTATAAGTTTGCGAGGTCACAACAGAATAGAGATTTGCATATTAAGCAAAACGATTCAGGGAAGGTAAATCGAGAAATATCTGATGAACCCCGAGATGGAATGGCATTGCTTCCTGTCCCCCAGGTGAACTTCCAGGATTTTCTTCCACTAAGAAATGCTAAGCCAGATCTGGAAATTCCACGTCCAACAGAAAATGAGGTCAAAACAAGCTATTTGCACACGAAGGCGCTGATTGACAAGATATTAGGAGAGAAATTGCAGCCTCAAGGTACCTCTTTCAAATCTTCAAAGAAAGCTATTGAATCATCCGAGGTCATTCAATATGCACTTCCTTCAAGTTCAGAAAATGGAGAACCTAGAACACGTTCTCTGAAGATAGTAGAACATGCCGCCGATCCACTACAACCGAAAATGTTCAAAGTCAAGAAAGTTGTCGCCCCAGCTGATGAAACACCTACCCCAGTGTTGAGTAAATCAGATGACGTGAGTAGGACAATTTCATCTGAAGAGCGTTCGAAGTGGAACATTCCCTCTGCCATATCCAGCTGGAAGAATCCAAATGGGTATGCGATTGCATTAGATAAGAGGTTAGGTTCCGACACCAGATATTCAAAAGATAGTCTTGAACCGCATGAAATTAGTGACAAATTTGCCAAGCTTTCTGAGGCTTTGGATAGTGCCGAAAGAATGGCACGCCAAGAGGTCAAACAGCGGGCAGATGCGAAAAGAGAACTTGCAGAGAGGCAGGCAAAGGAGAAGGAGGAAAAGTTACGTGTTATGGCCCGTCAGGCACGAGAAGAGAGAAGCCGCGAAATGCGTGAAAGGGTCTCTTCTTCCATATCGGCACAGCGACTTGGTGATGACGCTGAAAGACGAGAGGCAATCCGAAGAGAAAGGCGGAAGCAGTTGGAGAAAGATCTGCATCGGTCTAAAAGAAGCACAGCCGATCGTTTGAAAGCATTGGCAATGAGTCAGGGAAGGGATATCTCTGATAAAGTTATTTTAGGGGCAGCGAAGGCAACTGAAAGCAGCGAGATTCAATACGATTCAAGGCTTTTCGCTAGAGGTGCCAATGCCAACGCACATAGAAGTGAAGATCAGGTGTATGATAATCCCTTATTTGTACAACGAAGTATCGATAGCATTTACCATCCTAACAGGTCGGCGAATCACGAAATGCAAACAGAAGAAGTTGTCTCATCTATTCAGAATAGTGCAAGATTTTCGAGTTTAGGTAACAAACGTACTCGCGAAGGGCCTGTTGAATTTACCGCAAAAGACGACGAATCAGGCTTGACAGAGGCAGACAACGAGTCGATAATAAAAGGAAAAAGGCAGCGTACAGATTAAAATATAGGTTTAATAATACATAATACAATTTCAGATATAAGCTCCTAATCTTCTACTTCGTCCTCGCTTATGAGGGTTTCGAAATTGTCAACACTATCTTGGCGGTTCAGAATGCGTAGAAGCTTGGTGTTTCTTCGTATTGCATATTGTTCGATTTTTTTGATGGTACCACTGATCTTAACAGGATTTATTATAATGCCATCGAAGTCTCCGATTCTGTTCATAAGCGTAAGAGCGGTTACAACTAGTTCGTAATCTTCTCTGCTACATCGAATAATGCCAGTTGAAGTCCTATTCGAAAAGTACTTAATTTGTAAGAGACTAGTAGCCTTGCCCGAACCGTAGTCACCAAAATTGTACTGCAGCGTTTTCCGGAGCTCCTGTACTATTGATTTTGTTGTTAGGTTAGCTGGTGATGTCTTGTGATGTTGAAGCATAATATCCTTCACTGTGGGCTCGCTATCATCTTCTGAAAATCTAGGGTCTGGGCTAGGATATAGTATTTCAAATAGAATGTATCTACTCTTGAGCCTCACCATGATCGCGATGAACTGAACATTTACTAATTTTGCGTTCCTTACCGACACTTCGCAGATAAAATATTGAGAAAAAAAATTCCATTCTACGGAATAGAACGTAAATCAACATTCAAAAATTATATTTAACAATAGTTATATCTTTATAACAATATACATTGTTTATAGAGTTACTTTTTCACTGAACAAGCGTTGAACCTCGTCAACGGCACTTTCGATGCCCTGAGGCTTGTCACCCATACCTTGGAAAACGTTGCCCTTACCACCAGCCTTACCACCAATGCTGCTAGACACCAATTTCACCAGTTGTGGACCATCGACACCCTTCTTCAAAGCAGCATCTGAGATGTAACAACCATGTGCAACTCGTCCGGATGAATCGTTACCTGTGAAGAGATAAATCGACTTGTCCTTGGCAGATGATTTCATATGATTCACCGCCTCCGTAATAGCCTTAGCATTTGTTGGAATATCAATGAACTTAACAAAGTATTGAGCGTCCTCGTGTTCAGCAAAGTATTGCTTGACTTCATCTAGAGTTTGTTTGATCTCTTTCTTGGCTCTAGACTTTACTTCGTCCTTGACCGATTTTTCGATGCCGGCAAACTTTTCTCTTAGTGCACTCTTCGTCACAACAGAAATTGTCAATTCGTTGAGTTTGACACCTAACTCCTTAATCTTCTTTTCTTTCAATAATGAGAAAGGCATTTTCTCAACCGCATCTAATTCGGAATCGAATTCACTCGCGACCCTTTGAACTTCATGTGCTTCAGAACCTGAAACAGCAACAATTCTTCTAATACCTTTGGCAATGCCGCTTTCCTCAATAATGACGAACTCTTTAATATCACCTGTCTTCGCGACATGGGTCCCACCACAAAATTCGACAGAGTACTTTTTCCATTCTTCATTAGAAGGGTTAGCCAACAAGTCATCTACCGGCATGCCGACCGAGACAACACGAACAGGATCAGGGTATGTCTCACCGAAAACTGCACGGACCGAAGAAATGGTTTTGGCCAAGTCAAGAGGAACATTCTTGTAATAAACAGGCATGTTCTTTTTAATTTGCCCATTGGAAATATCTTCTACCTTCTTTAACTCATCCATGGTCAATGCCCTCTTATGAGAAAAGTCAAATCTTAGCTTCTCTGGAGCCACAAGCGAACCCTTTTGGTCAACATCATCACCTAAAACTGTCATTAGAGCAAAATTCAGGATGTGAGTTCCTGTGTGGTTGTTTCTGATAGGGAAACGGCGGAGTTCATCATAGGAGGCAATGGTTTTGTCTCCAACAGAAAGCTTCCCTTCGCCCAATAAACCGGTATGGAAAACATAACCGTTGTAAAGTTGAACATTCTCGACATTGAATTCAGCAGCGCCATCGATCACTATTTTACCAACGTCGTACTCTTGCCCACCTTGCTCGGCGTAAAAGCAGGTCTTGTCTAAGATTATGCCGTATTGCTTCCCTTCTTCAGTCATTTCAGAAACGAATTTTTCACCATCGTAGATCTTCAAGATAGTGGCTTCGATGTTGGCAGATTCATACTTAGCACTATCATTGGTCTTAGGAACATTCTCGGTGTTGAGAGTTGAAAGCTCATGGACATTTAGCTTGATCAAATCAGAAGTACCTTTTTTTCCACCTCTCTTTGACGCTTCGTAAGATTCTTGCTTTGCCTTCTCGAAGCCAGGTCCATCGATCTTCAAGTTTAGCTCTTCAGCCATAAGTTCAGTCAAATCAACAGGGAAACCATATGTGTCGTATAGTCTCCAAACTTGTTTACCATCAAGGGTTTTGGATTCTGTCTTGCTAGCGGCTTCTGCATACTTCTCAAACAGCTTTTCACCTCTGTCCAGAGTTTTGGCGAATGAAGCCTCCTCCTCATCCAAAATCTCGTATAAATAACTAGGATCTTTGGCAACTTCAGGGAACATATCTTGTACTTGGTCAATGAGGGTAGGAGCCAACTGTGAAAAGAAGTTTCCAATAGGATAGTTCATGTATTTACGCGCATAACGAGCACCACGTCTCAAAATCCGTCTAAGAACGTAACCTCTTCCCTCGTTGTTAGGCACACCGCCATCAGCCAACGCAAAAGTTAGGGTACGGACGTGATCTGCTAAAACTCTGTATGCCGTGTCGATACCATCAGCGTCGTCGCCACCAAATTTACCAGCGTAAGGTCTCACACCAGTAATTGCTTGAATGCGTTCAAACAGAGGAATGAACACATCAGTATCATAATTAGATCTAACATCATGTAGAACCGATACCAATCTTTCAAAACCCATACCAGTATCGATATGTTGAGCTGGTAGCGTCTTTAAAGAGCCGTCTTGTTCCCTGTTGAACTGAATAAACACGTTATTCCAGATCTCCAAAACATCAGGATCATCCATGTTAACAAGTGAAGCAGCATTTCTGCCACCAATTCTATCATAATGGATTTCGGAACATGGCCCACATGGACCCTGGTCACCCATTTCCCAAAAATTATCCTTGGCGTCACCTGGCAAAATATGATCGTCTGGGACTCCAGCAGCCTTCCACAATTCGCGCGCCTCCAAATCTGGTGCTAAACCCAACTTTTCGTCACCACCGAAATATGTGACGTACAATCTATCCTCAGGGATGCCGTATACTTTTGTCAACAACTCCCAAGAATAGTGAATTGCCTCCTTCTTAAAGTAGTCGCCAAAAGACCAATTACCCAGCATCTCGAAAAAAGTATGATGATAGGAATCTCTACCAACATCCTCCAAATCGTTGTGCTTACCACCAGCTCTAATACACTTTTGAGAGTTGACAGCTCTCTTCAAAGTGTAAAAGTCTGAGGATGGGTCTACTGTACCCAAGAAAATGGGCTTATACTGATTCATACCAGCATTAGCGAAAAGTAGGGTTGGATCATCGAATGGGATTACCGGGGAAGATGGCACGAACTTGTGTCCACGTTCTTTAAAGTAATCCAAAAACGTTGAACGAACGGTTTTAGCAGTCCATTTTTGCTTATCACCAATAGTCATAGTCAATGAGGAACAGGAAAACTGTCTGACTAATTTGCGATACACTTTTAATATGCGAAGAGATATGACTATTATCGTCGCCACTGTTGAGCTTTATCGAGACGAGAAAATTTTGGTCCGAGTTAGATGTTCGATTTTGTGTAGGGTAACTATACGTTTGATGGATAAAGAACAAGGACAAAAGCTTGAGGAATCCGATGTTGTGAACACTTGACTACCATTGCTAGTTGCAGCTGAAGCCCATGTAACTCTCTACTCTCAGGATATCCATGTATCTCTCTTCTTGCGGTTCTATGGAAACTCCTATCAAATCAATAAGTATATTTTATCTAATTTGCTAGGCATTCTGCAATAATTTGTCCTAATGATGCATTTGCCTGATTATGGGTATTATTCTGGTATTGTTTTGAGTCATTTCGGAAATATTCGTATTGCCGCTTGCTGTTATAGAGTTTCGATCGGAGATTACGTGATAGTCATACGTAGAAACGCATCATTTAGCTAGCAACAGTCTTCAATGTTAAGTGCAGTATGGAGCACATGATAGCATATATCCCTTCTTTGGTTGACTCTCTTTCAATGTTTCAGGGCGTTCCATGCCTAAGTTTATCATTTTAAGTTGGAATTTTCAAAGTGTACATCGCTCAAAAAACATTTGAATAGAGACAACGGCTAAAGTTTGAGCCTACTATGCTGCTTCGTTGGTTGACTTTATTGATCCAATTACTATACATTGCTGAAGGTATAGTTGTATTCAAGAATTCAACTTCGAAGTCCAGCGCAAGGCTGTGGCAAGTAATGGGTAAGCTGATACACAACTCTGATATTCTGCAAGAGCTGTACCCAATTGTCACAGGACTAGAAGACAGCTTTGATGAAGATTTTGATGGTGATAGGAATCTTGTGGAGATGGTTCAAGACTATTTAAGTATGTGGGATCCTGATGTGGCGGCCCTACTTCCTTTGCATTACAAATTAAACCCAGGTTTCACTTACGACCATTCGAATGATAACTACTTTGTTCTGAATGGTGCGCGATATTATAACGCAGATGACGTATTTTATTTGAAATCCTCGGATTTAGCTGCTCAGAAACTCATCTCAGATGACAGGCTCATTACAATAGAAGATACGATAATTGGGCTCAATAATGATTCTCCGTTAATTATCCTTTATGCATGTGATCTCACTCCAGATTTTGTGGAATTCAATCGAAATCTTTTCTTAGAAGCCAGTGACGGAAAAATTAGATATGTTTGGATGTCCACTTGTCCAGCTGACGCCGATTTCGAATTATTAGGTGCCGCTACTAGTTTAACAATCAAGAACTATGAGAACGCTCATGATATAATCATAAATCCATCCCTTCCACCAGAATTTGTGAATAATAGTGGAAAATACAGAGTCAATAAACTCGAAAAAGAGCAATTATCGGAACTAGATTTAAAAGTTGCAACGTTAATTGCTTCGAATTACGAGCGAAATGAGAATTTAAATTATACTTTAATGATATTCAGGCAGATCATTCATAACTTTCCACTGGTAGCACAAGAGTTAGCTTCTCTTCCAAAGCCGGATAGCCGGCTACTTGATCAGCTATCTCATTTGTCTGAACGCGGTATTGATCATAACATGTTGGGATTTTACGTTAATGGTCAATATATGAGGGTCGCAGAGTTAAGTCCGCAGTTGATAGTTGATAAGGTTACTCTTGAGTTAGATTACTTTAAGATGGTCGCATCCTTGTTCAGTGACTTTCAGTCTATATCTAATGATGATCTTTTTCCTCTAATCAAAAAAATAATTAGCCACTACTCTCACCTTTCACATTACAGTTTACAAACAACGCAACCAATCAAGTATGACCTTCATCGCATTCCTGGCTTTTCAGAGAGTGTCATTTACTTCAATGATATTGAAAAAGACTCACAATACGATAATTTAAAAAAAGATTTATCGATGTTTCTTGAAAAGACTGACTTCGGTGACTTACCGAGTTATAGAGAAAATTGGAATGAAGTTATTTTTGTTATTGATCTCGCAGACCTCCATTCCAAGGATACAGCGGAAGCATTGGCGGGAATGCTAAGAGCTATTGGTGTTATAAAAAATGGTTATCCTCAAAGAATTGGACTACTACCGCTATCAGCAAACAAGGCATCTGAACGAATTCTTAGGAAAATTTATGAATTGAAAAACGAAAGTCTGGAAACCTTGATAGACTTTTTGAAGGACCTATCTAATGCACACGATACAGTGGAATCGGATTTCTATGATATTCCCCCAGTATCTTCTATACTTTCCGAAAATTTAAAGGTTTACAACTCTTCCATTATCATAAATGGTGAAATTTATCCTTTTAAAGCAAACAATTGGAATTATTTGGTTGCTAAAGTGGTGAAAAGAGATGTGTCTTTTTTGAAAACTGAACTAAGAAAAATTAGGCAAAGCGCTGAAGTCAAAGTCAGAAATTTATTGCATTCGAAGTCATTCACGGCCAGAAATCAAAAATTTCTCCCGGATTACTTCCAAGAGGGAACATATTTCCGTATTGACGTCAAACCTTTGAACCAATTAGGTGAAAGACTAATACGAGTTAGGGATGATAGTGAATACAACTTACTTCACACTGTCACTCTAGTTGATGATTTTCTTTCCGAATCTGCACTGGAGCGCCTTTTGAATCTTTTAGAGTCCAAGCTTTTGGGGGTCAGACTGAGAGTCATTCATAGAGGCGCCCTGAGTGGTCAGTGGCCAAAACTCCGCCAACATATCGAGAATAGGGACATCGAAAAAATTAGACTATTGTCTGAGAAATCAAAATCCGTCAAAACTGAAAATGACGTTTGTAATAGCGTTTTAGGGAAATGGTTGATTGGCTCAACCGATTCGCATCTTGAAGAGACCTCTTTTATCGTCATTAATGGCAGATATATTCACTTTGATTTTGCAGAAATTCCCACAACAGTAGAGTTCGAATCTATTATTAGACGGGAGGCAGTTCGGACGTTGGACGTTGTGTACGCCATTGAAGAACACTTTCCGCATATTTTCTCCGAAAGAGTAAACCCTGATTTCATTGAGATGCTTTCTGCGGTGCTAACCCAGATGTTTTATGATGGTGAAAATATCTATCAAAACGGTATTGATTACACTGCAGAATCAAGTATTTCAAGAATTCAAATGGGTGAAGTGCTTGACTTTCAGTCATATGGAAGGTTCGAAAGTACAAAGCGAGTCAAACCAGTTGACGTAATGGTTCTGGTAGATCCCTTGGAAGAACGGACGCAGAATTTTTTGAGTATTCTGTCGCTGATAGAAGACTTGCCATTTATAAACTTGCAAATTGTACTCATGCCCACTGAGGATTTAAAGGTCTTTCCTATTTATCGTATCTGGTGTGAAGAGGATATAAATCTCCCAGAAACAGACCTCAAATTCTTCGATGTTGACGTGAATGTTCCATCACATATCCATGTGTCCAGAGGCGATGATTATTCATTCACTTTGGATTATATTGGTGTGGAAGTCCACGCCTTTGGAGAGCAAATTGTGCCATCAGTAACAAATGTTGAAGGCATTTCAAACGTATGTTTAAGACTTATTGATTCAGCCGGTAATGCGATCTCGAGTACATTGACAATGGAGACTTTTGGGTATGGACTCCTTACTGTCCCCGAGTTAGGTAGAAATTTCAATGTCGAAAGTTGCGATGATCGCTACTTCGTGGAATCTTTCTCATTGGATGGCCGTAGCGATTATGTGGCCTCTCGTTCTCTTGATATTAAAGATTTCACACCAAAAAGGATCTACGTCAAGATACGTGAAAACCAATTCCCCCAAATTGAGCCACCTGATAGGGATGACGTGCTCAATATTTATTCAATAATTGTGGATCAAGATGATGAGAGTGCCTATGAGAGAATGATTTCTATTGCGTGTCAGGGCTCGAAGCGATCGGTAAAGTTTTGGATTATAGCATCTAGCTTAACGCCCAAATTCAAGGAATTTCTCTGTTTCTTCTCTAATCAGCAAAAGGGGCGTATAAGCTTCGAATTTGTAAACTATAATTGGCCGAGATGGTTACGGCCTCAAAGATTCCGCACAAGAGAACTTCATGCTATGAAACTGATAATGTTAGACGTTTTGTTTCCTAATAGCATATCAAAGTTGCTATATATTGATCCAAAAGCGCAGATCAATGATATTGAGCAATTTTTCAGTGTAGATTTCTTCACTGTATTCTGTTTACCTAAAGCTTATGCAAGAGATGGGAATCCATACTGGAAGGAGGGCTATTGGAAATCATTTTTGGAGAAGAATGGATTGAAATTTCATGCTCTGGAGCCAGCATTTCTTGTCAATATGGATCTTTACAGAAAGTCACACGCTGGTGATAAGTTAAGAATTCACTATCAACGGCTATCGACTGATATTCTATCATTGACAAATATCGATCAAGATTTGATAAACGATATCCAACTGGAAATTCCCGTAACCTTGCTAAATAAGCGGTTGCTCAAGAAGCCTGAGAATATAGCCAAGAGTCTAAGAGAATTGTCAGATATGCACGAGAAATTTGAAAAAAAGGGGCTTGTATCGGTAGAGAGCAGCAAATCGGTCAGCGATCCGGTGGCCGAAAATGTTATTCATGATGAACTTTGATACTATAATGGCATACTTCAGCGGATACCTCTTTCTTTTATCTTTGGTGGTGATAATACACTTGCGAATCTTTCTATTTTTAATGAGATATAAAACTTCAAAGATAAATGATTTAGTTCGTAACAGAATCGTGGTTTCTTAATTGAACCATCCGTAGTGGTTACTTGTTCAAGCTAGTGTAAGTATGTCGAATAACCGCACGTACTATAGCTTTTATTAAGTCGATTCTCCTTGCAGTCATACTTACTTAAAATACTTTATATATTCTTTATTCATGGGAGCAACTAATAGTCGTCTGCTAGCCAATACCCGAAATGGGCATATGCGGATTGGTTTCCTATCATTTTATGCTAACTGTGCTATGCGTAATAATTTTTTTCTTCAAAAGTTGACTACACAAGCCACTTTCACCACACATTTCTACCAATCCTAATTTTGATGATAATTATTAGGTATCATAATTCAATAGATTCAATGGTCTTTCTTATTTTCTTGAACTGCGTTTATTCAATTCAAACTGTCACGGGCGGAAATTCTGGCTGCTGCAAATACGACGGAAAAGAAAAAAATAATTTTTCAACGCATCTAAATTAACAGGCATTGCAGCCGCTTGAGAAGCAGCGATTCAGATCGATTGGCGCTAGGTCCATCTGTGTGTGTTAAAAAGGATGGTATCGGCTGGTGATGCCGTAATGTCGTCTTTGAATGAAATAGTAGGCGTTAACGGTTCAATTGGAGACACAGTGCATAAACAAGATAGAGATGAAGATGAGGGTTGGGAAGGCAGCCATTTGAAGGGCTCTGGTTTGGAACGTAAGAGACTAGCATGTTCCAATTGTAGACGAAGGCGTAAGAAGTGTGATTTACAATATCCCTGCAGCAGCTGTGTACGATTAAAGTTAGAGTGCAATGTGAACATGGAGGACATGAGGAAAAAAAGATACGCTGCAAGCTATGTAAAATCTTTGGAAGCACACGTTGCATACCTTGAAACAAGATTGAGGGACCTTGTTAATAAAGTCCTACCCGATGGTGAAAATGTGCTGAAGAATATGATGCTCGGAGATATAATTCCTGAAATGCGCAATGAAGAAGGGCGATCGGAGAGCAAATCGAATAGTATCTCTCGCTCAACAGAACCTGAATCACTACCCTCAACCGATGGTACTGGCACATCTGGATTGGCAGATCAAAGGGACTCTAAGAAACGATCTGCCTCGCCCGAACCAAGTGAGAACGATATTTTACGCAAAAAGAAGTTCGTTAAAGGTAGTATATATCCGGAGGGACCCGCAAGCTACAAACCGAAGAAGAAAGAAAGTGTCTCACTGAAGCCTTTGCAGCGTATTTCTGATCTGAAAACTACTGTCATCGTTAGGGCTATGCATGAAAACGGGCAGACGCTTAACACACATCCTGCCATCTTGAAAAGCTTATCCAACTTCTATAAATGGCTCTATCCTGGTCATTTCATATTTGTTCATCGAGAAAGTTTCTTATATGGGTTTTTCAATCATGGCGATGACAATTATGAAAATTCGCAATACTGCTCAGAGGAGTTGATATACGCTGTAGCGGCAATAGGTTCGAGATTATCTCCTGAATTACGTGAGCTTTCGGGGCAGTATTATCAATTGGCTAAGGATAAGTTGCTTAAAATTGTGTTTGATGAACAAAGCACCGCGAAAATTACAAGCGTGCAAGCTTTATTGTGTTTATCATTTTATGAGCTGGGCAATGGAAATAATCAGTTGGCGTGGTATTTCTCTGGTTTGGCAATTAGGGTAGGTTATGATATGGGGTTTCAATTAGATCCCAAAGTCTGGGTCACGGACGAATCAAGTCCTGGTGAATTGTCAGAGAGCGAATTGGAAATTAGAAGTCGGATATATTGGGGTTGCTATATTGCAGATCATTTCATGTGCTTACTGTTGGGGCGTACTTCTACTTTAAGCGTGTCAAATTCTACTGTTCCTGAAAGTGATGAGCTACCCGAGGTCGATGGTACAGAAGAGTTTAGATTTGAAAGCAAGCACGTCTTACAGATCTCTTTACCACTTAAGAACTTGGTAATTCTCTCCAGAATTGTGCAAATATTCACTGCCAAAATTTTCATAGAGCCAAGTAGTACGCAACAGAGAATTGAGTATTTAATGAAATTCAATCTCAAAGTCTACAACTGGCGGCAATCATTACCTGACTTTCTAAAGTGGTCTAAAAACCTCATTCGCAGTGCGGACGTATCAACAGACCCAACAATTTCATATTTTTGGTACCACTACTACATTGTGTTATTGACATTCAATAAACCCTTCATGGAAGATTGTGATGAATCAAAGATCGTGGTGCTTGAGGCTCTAGAAGATCTAAAGACTCTGTTGTCAAATTTCAAAGCCAAGTTTAGTGGCTACCAGCATGGGAACATGTATCAGCTGTATAGCTGTCTGTTAGCGATTACTTGCCTTAAAAAATTCGAAGCGATGCTCCCGGACGGCCAGATCACTTCTGTTTTTGCATCTCCAGAGAGAGAACTGCGGTTTTTCAACGATGCCTTCACTGACTTTTATCCGAGTTACGAGTTGCCCCATCGCATGCAAGAGGACACAGATTTTGAACTTGAACAAGAGAAACAGGCGTATAATCAAATCAATAATCTCTCCTATACACACGATTTTTCGCTGAGCGACGAGATTGATGATTTAATCAAACAGGTTTTTGGGTTTGACAATTGGAATATAAACCCTACGCATACGATATAATGCTCAGATAGCTAATATTAGAATTTTTGTCGAGACCTTCTCCACAAAATGCCGATAAACGCCAAGCTACGACAAAGCAAAAGGCGATTGCCGATCAGGACATCCGAATTATCTACTTTCTCAATGTTATTTCTCGAGAGATATTATTATGAAATTTCTCATGGTCAGGGTCTAACTAAATCTCGCTGTTGGCTTGTCTCAACGTTGCTAGTAGCACTCTCGGTTGTCATGAGCGCTAAAAAGAAAAGTTTGTCCGAAAAAAGAAATGACCGCTCCCAAATAAGCGAAAAGAAATTTCTCTCATCGGGGGCTCATATAAAACAGCGGGAGATGAGATGATATTTCACCTCCTTGTCTAAATAAATAACGCTTTAGCGATTGAGATATTTGATAGTACTTGAAGTTGCTAAAACTGGAATTGAGATACTTGAGAGTCTATCAGGGAAGTGGCAAAGTGGGAAACAATAAGAAGTTACAAAAACAGTGCACAAACAACAACATGGAGTTCAATTCGCCACAACCAGAATATGCGCAATTGAACACAACTGTGCACCCAAAGAGTGCTTCAAGGCTTCTGGCTGTGTTGCACCAACAAGTGGTTGATGCAACCTGGCCGGGCAATGAAGCAGGTTCTACGATGGGTTCATCGCGGGGCATACGCGAGGGTCACTACAGATCATTAGATGCTGGTATCGAGGGAGTTTTGGAAGAGCATTTGATACCTTCGCCTCCTTTATCCCCAAAGTTGGGTCCTACTAACCCCTCGAGTGTACCTGCCATCGTAGAATTAGCAAAGCAGGATGATTTATGGGTTCATCCGGCCTGGACCGAGGGCCTATCCCCTGACAGGTACAGATGTGCTACAAACGGATTTTTAGCACAATATCGATGCTTTGAGCTCCTAAGGCCCAAGAAATACAGGCATGTTAGCAAATCTCAAAGAAGAACAAGACAAAATGGTAGGCTGGCCGCAATTAATTCTGGTGGTACATCCGGTACATCCGATTTTGAGAAAATCTACAGGACAAGAAGAGTCACCAAGATTGGCAATGGAAAAGTGGATGAAGAGGAGGAATTTGTTTCTTCGAAGCCCGTGTCGAGGCCTTCGACGCCTGTTCATCGCCGTCCACGGAAAGTCAACCCTGTGTCGTCCCCCTTGGCTTCCGCAGCTGCGGTTAATGTATCACAATACATTCCTAACATGAGTTGGGAGAAACTACCAGATTGTTGTCCATCACTATCCACATTGCCCGACAACAACAAAGCTCTAAAAGTTGAGTGGAAAGGCTCTTCTATGGATCTTTCGAATGATCCTTTGAAAGACAAGTTGCATCCGGCAGAACTGGTTTTAGCTCAAATTTTGAGACTGCCTTGCGATCTATACTTGGACTCTAAGAGAAGGTTGTTTTTGGAAAAGGTTCACAGATTGAAGCAGGGTTTGCCATTCAGAAGGACGGATGCGCAAAAGGCATGCAGGATTGATGTTAACAAGGCTTCAAGGCTTTTTGCGGCTTATGAGAGAATAGGCTGGCTGGATGATGAGAATTTCCAGAAGTTTCTATGAGAAGCAAGATTAAAGCAAATGGTATAAACCCGAGTCTCGGTTTTTATTCGGTCGGTAATGTAATAAAGGAAACATAATGCAGTAATCTGGTGATAGCAATAATAATAACACAACACTCAGATGCTCTATTTTCTAGTCAAGGATTTCGCACTTTCACATATTTAGGGTTGATTAAAGTAATTATTCTAACAAATGGTAATTTGTCTTTTAATATTAGTTATTTTCTATGTACTGGTTTGTGGTCCTGTCAGAAAGTCATCTCTGTTTCAAATCAGGAGAAATTATACCGCCAAGAAAAGAATTTCCCAATGGATTAATAGAGGGAGTATCTGAGCAACTCCCATCACTTGTAGCCGGGGCTTCTTATTCGTCGATCTCTTCGTAACGCGCCATCAATTTTTTTTTATACTCCTTCATGTCAGTATCCCATAGCTCCGCAGCCACCGCATTTAACGGTGAGCTGTTATTGGGCTCTTCGAGAAGGGATTGTAGCGAAAGTAAGATAGTTTGTACGTTGTATACTGCAGTCCATTGGTCTTTCAAAATGTCCAAGCAGATGTTGCCGCTCATATCTACGTTAGGATGCCACATCGGACTGACAAATGTAACTTTGGGAGCTGTGTAAGGGTAAGTCTGGGGGAACTCCAAAGCAATCTTGAACCTCAAGCCCTCATAAGGAGTCCCATCAGGCCCCGTAATAACTCCGCACCATTTAGTCAAATCATCCTCATCTTCTGGAAACGCACTTAAACCTGGAGACGGAGACATCATCAGCTGGACTAATTCACTTTGTAGGCGTTTCACAACAGAGTGGCCTTCAGGTACATTCATCTTTGAGCTAGAGTCCATAATACAGTCCAGATAATTTTTCTATTCGAAAGATTTGTGAAATGTACTTGAAAGGCGTTGCAGATGTTGATCAACACTAATGGCCATAGCATAAACAGAAAATGATTGCCATTTTTGTGATAATTTCGTATATCGTGATTTTCATGTTACGTGCTTCTTCAATACATCCCAATCAGGATTGTCAAAGAGTGGGCTCTCTCTGGGATCCACGTCTGATATCACAGCTTCTTGTTCAATCATTGGACTCTCTTCATTTTCGTCTTGTACTCCCAAGAGGCTCTGTAATGTTTTTTGAGTTGCATTATTAAGATAGCCTCTCCGAGAGGAAATGTCATCTTTCAGTTGTGTATGGGAAGCTACTACGTTCGCAACCCGCTCATTGGAGCAGTTTCGCTCTGCACTTACGTAAATGGAACGCAGTTGCGATATGAGAAGTTTAACGCTTTCGTCCACCGGTTGTAAACTTTTCAAGATGGTTTGAGTTTCTTCGTTATCTGGCCCTCTAGCTTCCAGCAGATCAGTTGTAAGCTTTTTGAATTTGGTAACCCTCGCGCGTAGTTTCTTGGCGCCTTGCAATTGAGTCCTGAGGGTAATGTTCAACTTGACAAAATCCTCTAACTGCCGTTGTTTTGACTTGATTTCTTCAATTAACGCTGCTGTTTGGGCTTCACTTTCCAGAAAAAGTGATTCGTGGTGTTTGAGCCGGAATGTACCACTATCTAGCAGATCCTCTGGGATTTGTAACACATTCCGAAGAACGTACAATTCCAGTTTGTCGAAGCTACGATCCACAGAATTTTCCCACAAAGTCTCCAACTTCGCGATTCCCACTTTGATCTCGTCAGTATAATCTTTTCCATCGACTGACTGACGCTCTAAGAGGTACTTCTCCATTGCCTGTGTGCACTTGTACATAATTTCGTTGACGGCATTAATGATATCATCAACAAGGGATATTGGAGGGTATCCTAGATGCTCCGTAAGAAGCAGTGTAGTGCGCATAGTTGGTGCAGACATTCTAACGGGATTTTTAGAAGTTCTCCGTTTAAGTCAGCCTTACTCTGTTCAACTTCAGGCTGAGATTGAGATTCTTCATATCTGTAAATTTGTGAGCGCGGAACTACGCGAAAAAAAAAAAATAAAAAGATCAAGCCAAGAACGCATGCTCAAATCAGATCCGTGACCCATCTTTCCTACACCTCATGATCCTTCACTTCCTTGCTTTAATTTCTTTTACAATGTACAATATACACTAATGTTACTCGCTATCGCTGGAATCGCTGTCACTAGAATTACGTTCATACATGATTTCTTCGCCATTGTCCTCTTTGACAATTGTGGAAAGTTCCAGATCCTTATGACTTTCTCTATTCTCGGTAGAAACCTCATCATCAAAGATGATTTTTTTGTTGGAAACAACCGGCAGATTCTCGGCTTGAGAACGAGGATGGCCATCATGGTCTGAAGAAAGGGTACCCTCCAGCGAAACTACCTTACCAGTAGTGTACACATTTCTGACAGTAAACTTTAACTTTCCATCCAACGACTGGCCATTTTCGTCAACCCAATGGCCAAGTGAGCGCGCCTTGGTTGAGCCATTTTCGGAGTTTTCTGAAATGTTCTCTGTGTCTTCATTTTGCACAAAAGTCCACTCGCTAGGAATGTTGTTCTTCTTAATACTAGCGTTAAAGGCATCGTGGATAAGAAGACCAATATGCGATGGTGATTGGATGAAAATCCAGCCCTCAATAATGTCACCTATCTGTGGCTGCCATACATAAAGGTCTACACTACACCAAGTGAAACCAAATGGGGTATCTGGCGTGAGCTTAACTAATTTCGTATCTTTGTTGTCTTCTGGACTAATATCTTGTATCTGTAGATTATCGTAACCAAGAACAACACCACCGACCTCGTCTTTGTACTTCATGACCATTGAGTTAAGATGCTGCTTAGTGATACCCTTCAATGGTTCGCTGATGTAGATTGGTGCTAGAGAGACATACATGGACACTGGAACACGCACTATGCATTTAGAGATGCCCTTCTCCTCGTCTATGGGATTCTTGCAAACTTTTTTGTGTCTTTTTATAAATGCAGCATTTCTTATCTGGTCTAGAGATCTTTTCACTCCTGACATCTCGATGATAGCGTTGGAAACCGATATCACCCTTTGATATATAACTTTATCCCAGCCTTGAGATGAGCTTCACTATTGATTATTGAAAATTTTTCAAATTCGATGAGCTCTGAACGGACATTTCTTTTTTAAAGATACATTACGTCTAAAGTTACACATTTGCCCTTTAACTCTCAACCCTTGAACTGTAGTAGTAGATCCAATTCCTGATCATTGAAGAATAAATTGAGCTTGTCCGTCTCCAAATCCAAACCTATGTCACCATTGCTGCTTTGGGATATTGATGAAGGATATAATAAGGGTTGAGATCCCGCGTGGTACTGAGCATATGGAGGCTGATGAGAAGATGATGGATTTGATGGTAAATTTGATTGTCGTGAGAAAGAAGCCTGAGTAGATTGGCTTGAAAAATTGCCATTACTGGGTGATGGGATGTTATGCGAGGATCCATGACTCGAGTGAGAATGTTGAGCGTTTTGAGGATAACTGGCCGGCACGAAACTAGAATGAGGAGGCATAAATGACATTTGTTGGTAAGATGTGGTGTTGGGGCCGATGGGGTAAAGACTCTGGGAATACTGATAATGTTCGACGTTTGAAGGCGCGAAAATATTATCCATTTTCGAATTCGTGTTTTGTTGATGGGGAAAAGGAGGTGGTAACAATGGGAAAGATTTTTCGATGTTTTTAAGATCAGTGTTCAAGTTGTCTAGTGAATGCTTTAGGTCTTTCAAATTTGGCTTACCCCAGTCCAGCTGCTTGGCACGTTCTCTATTTTCCGCCACAAATTTATTGATTTCTTGAAACTTGATTGAAATGCTCAGCCAATTCTTGGTAACGCTACAGCTGTCTTCTTTCGCTTTCAAAAGCTCGACCATTCGAGAGTAGCATTTTTGCAGGCATCTTGGGTTATTGATATTGTTGCTATATTTTTCATGGTCAGGATCCATCCAATAATAGTTCCAGCCGTAGCTTGCAGCAATGGCGCAAGCGAATGCTGCGAATGAGTAAAAAGGTGTCACCAGAGCAGCATTCAAGAGCTCTTTTTTGGGTGGAGATTTCTGAGCATCATATAACATAGCATCCAAAAGAGAACCTAGATTTCTAGTTGCCTGGAAGTAAGTTCTTGCAGATTCGACCCAGTAGTCTTCTGATGGCGGTGATGTCAGCCTCTGGGAATCTGAAGGCCCCATAGGTTTTTCGATGTCGTATGGTAAGAAAGGAAGGAATTCACGGTGCATGAGCATAATGGAAAGATAGTAGAGGCAATTGATGACCAGCAACATAGTATCTTTTTTGAATATGAGATTGCTTGTTTCGAATGATTCTGTCGTCCACTTCCAATCATTGGGGATTACAGCCCAAAATTTTTCTAGATTGCGTGCAATTTTGTACAATCCAGAATCTGGGTCCCATGGACGCTCAGAACGAGCAAGTTCCTTATTTCCCTTCATAAACCTATTATTTATCTCACCCCAAATTGCGTACTGCATCAGAAACGCAGTAAACGGACACTCTCTGATTAGTTGAGGATACTTTTCGCAGGTATCCAGAAAACTATTTGGAGTAAATTTATGGCCCATTTTTTCAACATCCTCTATGATATTGTTATCATTGGGCTGGCCCACAGTGAGCATTGAAAAATCATGGTCTGCTGTGGGAAAAGGTATATCCTTGAACTGCGTGATGACAAATATTCTATTTTGGCCAGTTGAGATGATTCTATCGAGAGCAAAGGCACACCAAAAGGTCCTTTCTTTCATCTTTTCCAGAACTATGGATTGTCTCGCTCTGGAGTTGAAGGCTTCGTCAAAGTCAAGCGATTGAACCATTCGTACTGCACATCCGTGCAGCATCCACGACGCGTAGTATTCGCTGTGGCCCCACTTAACAACACTCAGAAGTAAAAGCGCACGCGCGATGTCTAGATCAGGGCGCAGGAGAAAGGTGTAGTCATTGAAAATTGCTTCAAGTGTCAACTTTTCATAGATGTAGTTAGTTACAAGGAAGGACTCCGCGCCTAGCCACTTGTCATGGCGGTCGCCATCATTTAACTCGCTGATGGGGTCAAAAAAGGCGGCGTGGGCAAGCACTGCGCCAACCAACAGAGGATGCAATTTCCCAACGCTCTGCAGAACAGTGGGCAGGTGGAAAAAGTTCAGCTCTGGAAACGCCTTGACAGTACGAATGACTGCCCGTCGTACAATCTCTGAGGGCACTAGCGGCACCAGGTCATGGATGGACTCCTGCGCAGATACGTGGACGTTGTTCTTCAGTGACTGGATTCGCGTTTTGGGGTCGAGTGCAGGACGTATACCAGCGGTAAATATGGCGTCCATGGGAGGAACGGGCGACGTCTCCCTTTTGGGAACCTGCGCCTTGGACACACGGCCGTCAGACTCGCCAAACTTTTTACGACTCTTGACCTCTGGAAATGACAACGTACATTCGTCTGCGACGCCTCTATTAACACAGTAGGCGCATGGCGGCTTACCATGGTGAACACACTTGATCTTGTGCTTTCTGCACTTTGCGCAGGCCTGGCAAAAGTTAAGGTTAGTAACGTGTCATGGTAGGGGCTGTCGGGCGAGCGACGCAACGACTACATACTAGAACTCTGCGCATCTGATTTTGTGATTGCTCAAGATGGTATTGGTCTGTCTATCTACGAATAGAAGACTTGTCCTTGGAGCAACAAATTTGTACGTCGTTGCTTGAGTCCTGCAGACGTTGACAGTCTTCGCCCAGGACCGAATGCTTTCGCAAGCCCAACTTTATCATCACGTGATCACCCGTTCTTTCCCTTTGTGCTTGGCTGCCGAGCCTCTTTGGCCGTAGTACGGCCAATATAAGTGGCGCTGGAGACTACGAAGAATAACTGTTATGTTGGCAACGAGCCGTTGCTCGCGTAGAAATGGCCAAACTGGCTTTGATGTCGCAACGCCGCACAATGTCTGCGGGAAGGCACTACGTTCCTTCTTTATGCCGCAAAGCCGTGGACCCAGTTTTTTTATACGGCATGCTAGAATAGTTCATGTCACTGGCTCGGGCAAGAACTCTACAGATGTGCGACTTGGTCGTCTAAGTACATATCAAGTTATTTTAAAGCCATCATTGGTTTCCGTAGTATGCTATTTGTTATATTTTGGTACTATTTCCAGGAATTCATACCGATGTTCCAATATTTTATGACAAATTTCAACTCTGGTGGAAGAAATATAAAAGCCATTTGGGAAAAGGGAGAAGAAGAGAAGTGAAAAAGAGACGTTGCACGTCGTCAATACGTCGCCAAGAAGTCCTTGTCGTCTAAACGTCAAGACGTTAAAACGTCAAAACGTTAAAACGTCGCACTGCGTCGAAAAAACGTCGCTCAGAAATTAATCTTCTAGAAAAGTTCATGGATATTTTTTATATACTTTCTAATAAAAAAGGGCCCAAAAAGGGGCGGTTATTCCATGTACATCTCAGTTTTTGTTGTGTTTGTCCGCTTCGTCTTTGAGTTTTGCCTCGAGTTTGCTGCCCTGGCCGGAGCCCAAGATGCTGCTGGCAATGCCGCCGACGCGACCGAGCCCAATTTTGTTGCCGACGTCTGCACCTGCGATGGAACCGGCGATTGAGCCAACTAAATTCCCTTTGTCGTGTGAAGAAGCGTCCTTTTCACCCATGATACGATAATTGAGGTCCAGTGGCACTGATGGTATCGATGTACTCGAAAGATCGCCTTTCTTTAAAAAGGCCCCCGGTGGCCAGTGTCAGCGGCGGCGGCAGTGGCCATGGCAAAAAGCTGGGCCAGATTAGGGGGGTGGGCTACAGAGGCGGATTGCGCTGCGTCGTAAAAACGTCATTGCGGCAGAACTGCGCGGAGGGCTGACCGGACCGAAGGAGGGCAGCGGCTATTGCGGGAAGGAGAGGAAAAAAAAGTGCGATGCCGGGTGTGTGGGTGGCAAACTCGCTTGCGCACGTGACAAACAGGGTTTTAGTCACGTGACCATGCGGACCTCCCACTTCCAAGCCCAAGTCTCGTGTGTTTCTTTTTCTTCCCGCGACTGGAAAAGAAAAATTTTTCTATTGCATGCCATCGCATCGCATCTCTCTCTAGCTACTCTCCTGCCACCGCCAGCTCGAGTTCCAATAGATAGAAGCTCGCATCCAATCGCAGTACCTACTCTCGAGCCCAGTTCCAGCTGTATCTCTCTGCTTTAGCCTGGCACTAACTCTACACAATGGATATTTCGAAGCCGGTTGGTTCTGAGATCACCTCGGTGGACTTCGGCGTTTTGACTGCCCACGAGATCCGCAACTTGTCTGCTAAGCAGATCACCAACCCCACCGTCTTGGATAACCTGGGTCATCCCATCTCCGGTGGTTTGTACGACCTGTCGCTTGGTGCGTTCCTGCGCAACTTGTGTGCTACTTGTGGTCTAGACGAAAAGTTCTGTCCCGGTCACCAGGGTCACATTGAACTGCCCGTTCCCTGCTACAATCCTCTTTTCTTCAACCAGCTATACATCTACCTTCGTAGTGCGTGTCTTTACTGCCACCATCTGCGTTTGAAGTCGTCCGAATGCCACCGTTTCGCCTGTAAATTGAAGCTGCTCCAATATGGTCTGATCGACGAGTCCTATCAGCTCGACGATATCACTGTGGGGTCACTTCAACTGGAAAGCGATGAGGCCGAAGAAGAAGGTCGCCCTGCCGATGCAGCCTCCGCCGCTGCATTGAGAGAACTCAGGATCAAGCGCAGAGAATTTGTTGATCTCAGCATTGCCACTGCCATATCCGAAGGACGTACTTCTGAGTACGGAACTTTTACCGCCACTGTCAATGACGAGCGCAAAGCTTTGATCCACGAATTCCAAAAGAAGATGCTTTCCAGACCCAAGTGTGACAACTGTGGTATGTTCTCGCCCAAGTTTAGAAAGGACGGTTTTACCAAGATTTTCGAAACTGCTTTGACCGAAAAGCAGCAAACAAACAACCGTGTCAAGGGCTTTATTCGTCAGGATATGATCAAGAAACAACAGCAATCCAAAAAGCTGGGCAGCTCGGACCAAATGGATGTCGACGAAGATTTTGGCAGCGGCAGAACACCTTCTGCAAGACCTAAGACAGGATCTACCTACATCCTGTCCACAGAAGTGAGGAATATCTTGAGAAGTGTTTTCAAGAAAGAACAAGAAATCCTTCAATACGTGTTCCACTCCAGACCTAACTTGTCTAAGAAACTTGTAAAGGCAGACATGTTTTTCATGGAAGTCATCATTGTACCACCTACTAGATTCCGTTTGCCTTCTAAGCTGGGCGATGAAATCCATGAAAACACTCAAAACCAGCTTTTGTCGAAGATTTTGACCACATCTTTGCTCATCAGAGACTTGAACGACGAAATGTCGAAGCTTCAAAAAGATAAAGTCTCTGTTGATGATAAGAAAGTGATATTTAACAGACTAATGAATGCCTTCGTTACCATTCAAAATGATGTCAATGCATTCATCGATTCCACCAAGGCTCAAGGCACACAGGGGATAGTTCCAATTCCAGGTGTCAAACAAGCTCTTGAAAAGAAGGAAGGTCTTTTCAGAAAGCATATGATGGGTAAGCGTGTCAACTACGCTGCTCGTTCGGTCATTTCTCCAGACCCAAACATTGAAACTAATGAAATTGGTGTTCCTCCTGTCTTTGCCACCAAACTAACTTATCCAGAGCCAGTTACATCCTACAACATTGCCGAATTGAGACAAGCGGTCATAAACGGTCCAGATAAATGGCCAGGTGCTACTCAGATTCAAAATGAAGATGGATCTCTCGTTTCGTTGATTGGCATGACATTGGAGCAAAGGAAGGCCCTTGCCAACCAGCTGCTAACTCCTTCCATTCAAAACTCCACTCACTGTTTGAATAAAAAAGTTTATCGTCACATTAAGAACAGAGATGTTGTTATCATGAACCGTCAGCCAACCTTGCATAAGGCCTCTATGATGGGTCACAAAGTCAGAGTTCTTCCTGGCGAAAAAACATTACGTCTTCACTATGCCAACACAGGTGCTTACAATGCCGATTTTGATGGTGATGAAATGAACATGCATTTCCCTCAAAACGAAAATGCCAGAGCAGAGGCTCTAAACCTGGCGAACACCGACTCTCAATATTTAACTCCAACATCTGGTTCTCCTGTGAGAGGTTTAATTCAAGATCACATTTCTGCTGGTGTTTGGTTAACTAGTAAGGATAGTTTCTTCACGAGAGAACAATATCAACAATATATTTACGGCTGTATCAGGCCAGAAGATGGTCATGCTACGAGAAACAAGCTTGTGACTGTGCCACCTGCTGTCGTGAAACCTGTTCCACTATGGACAGGTAAGCAAATAATTACAACCGTGTTGTTAAACGTGACACCACCTAACATGCCAGGTATAAATTTGACTTCTTCCAATAAGATCAAGAATGAATACTGGGGTAAGGGTTCTCACGAAAATGAAGTTATCTTCAAAAATGGTGAACTATTGTGCGGTATTCTTGATAAATCTCAATACGGTGCCTCTAAGTTTGGTATCGTTCATTCGTTACACGAAGTATACGGACCTGATGTTGCAGCAAAGGTACTCTCTGTTTTGGGTAGATTATTCACAAATTACATCACTGCAACTGCTTTTACTTGTGGTATGGATGATCTTCGTTTAACAGACGATGGTAACAAATGGAGAACTGAAATCTTGAAAACATCAACTGACATGGGTCGTGTGGCTGCTGCTGAAGTGACTAACTTGGATGAAAATGTCAAGGCCAATGATCCAGAGCTGTTGAAACGTCTCGAAGAAATATTGAGAGACGACAACAAGCTGGGCATCTTAGACGCGGTTACATCTTCGAAGGTTAACACAATTACCTCCCGTGTGGTCTCAAAGTGTGTTCCTGCAGGAACTATGAAAAAGTTCCCTTACAACTCAATGCAAGCAATGGCTCTGTCGGGTGCTAAGGGTTCTAATGTGAATGTGTCGCAGATTATGTGTTTACTAGGGCAACAAGCTCTTGAAGGTAGAAGAGTACCTGTCATGGTTAGTGGTAAGACACTTCCTTCTTTCAAGCCTTTTGAGACAGATGCCATGGCAGGTGGTTATATCAAAGGTCGTTTCTATTCCGGTATTAAGCCCCAAGAATATTATTTCCACTGTATGGCCGGTCGTGAAGGTTTGATCGATACTGCAGTGAAGACTTCGAGATCTGGGTACTTGCAGCGTTGTTTGACTAAACAACTAGAAGGTGTGCATGTGTCCTACGATAACTCTGTAAGAGACGCAGATGGAACGCTGATCCAATTTTTGTATGGTGGTGACGCTGTAGATGTTACCAAGGAATCTCACATGACCGAATTCAAATTCTGTGTGGATAACTACGACGCTCTATTGAAGAAATACAATCCTTCTGCATTGATTGAACATCTAGATGTAGAGTCTGCGCTAAAGTACTCAAAGAAAGCATTGAAGTATAGAAAGAAGAATGCTAAGATTCCTCACTATGCTCAACGCGTCAAGTATGATCCTGTTCTTTCGAAGTATAATCCTTCGAAATATCTAGGCTCAGTCTCAGAAAAGTTTCAAGACAAACTTGAGTCCTACATCAATTCAAACACTCAAATGTTCAAGTCTGGTGATAGCGTGAGCGAGAAGAAATTCCGTGCTTTAATGCAACTAAAGTATATGCGGTCTTTGATTGACGCTGGTGAATCTGTTGGTATTATCGCTTCCCAATCGGTTGGAGAGCCATCTACCCAAATGACTTTGAACACCTTCCATTTTGCTGGTCACGGTGCTGCCAATGTGACTTTGGGTATTCCACGTATGAGAGAAATCATCATGACCGCTTCTGCTGCTATCAAAACTCCTCAAATGACTTTACCTATTTTAACTGATGTAACTGACGAACAGGCCGATACATTCTGTAAATCTATCACTAAGGTGATGTTATCTGAAGTGATTGATAGAGTGATAGTGACGGAATCTACTGGTTCCAGTGAAGGTTCTTCTTCTCGTTCTTATCTTGTTAATGTCAGGTTTTTCAAGGAGAGTGAGTATTCTGATGAATACGATGTCTCAAAGGATGAGCTGCAGTCTGTTGTAGCTGAGAAATTCTTGAATGCATTAGAGACTTCTATTGTAAAGGAATTGAAGAAGCAAAAGAAGACCACTTTGCCTGACATCGGTGTTGCAGTACCAAAATCGAAGACTGACGGAGAAATTGCAGAAAAGACTGATCTAGGAGACGAAGATAATGACGAAGTGGAATCTAAGAAGAGATCAAAGCAGGCAGTGTCATATGATGAACCAGATGACGAAGAGGTTGAAACCATGAGGGAAGCTGAAAAGTCCTCTGAAGAAGATCTAGATTCTGACATGGATACCGATACCTCGGATTCCGATGATGAGTTGGACGAGGCCGATTCAAATTCTAACATAAAGGAAGAAGTAAAGTCTGAGCTGACAAAGGAACAACGTGACCGTCAATCTGCTGTAATATCTTCCCACAGATTTATCACGAAGTACAACTTTGATGACGAGAATGGTGAATGGTGTGAATTCAAGTTAGAATTGGCAGCTGATACAGAAAAGTTACTGATGGTCAACATTGTTGAGGATATTTGTCGCAAGTCTGTGATTAGAGAAGTTCCTAAAATTGATCGTTGTGTTCACCCTGAAGCTGAAAATGGAAAGCGCATATTAATCACTGAAGGTGTAAACTTCCAAGCTATGTGGGATCAAGATGCTTTCATCGACGTGAATGGAATCACCTCCAATGATGTTTACTCTGTGTTGAAAACATATGGTGTGGAAGCTGCAAGAAACACAATTGTCAACGAAATCAACAATGTGTTCTCTCGTTATGCTATTTCTGTGTCTTTCCGTCACTTGGACTTAATTGCCGATATGATGACGAGACAGGGTACGTACTTGGCTTTCAACAGACAAGGTATGGAATCCTCAACATCTTCTTTGATGAAAATGTCTTACGAAACGACATGTCAATTCTTAACTAAGGCTGTATTAGACAACGAGTGCGAGGAGCTAAACAGTCCTTCTGCAAGAATTGTTTTAGGTAAGCTGAACAACGTTGGTACTGGCTCTTTCGACGTTTTAGCTAAAGTACCAGTGGCAAACTAAAATCTGGGAATGCATCAGGCTGGAAAAATTTAGGAATCAAAATTTTCTGTTTTCTGTATTAATACTTTTATAACTGTGAGTGATAGCAGCTAATGCAAGAAACTTCATTGTATGTGTACCGATAAGATATATATATACATGTAATTAAAATCATTTTATGCGTCAGTTAAAAGCTACATTTCAGAACAAGAAAAGAACACCTATAAATGACTCTGTATCCCTTCTAGGGCGTAATAATCATTGACTGACAATCTTAAATTCATTTTATACGTAAATCATATTTATACATATAAATGGTATGATGGCTTGATAGGGAGCTACAGTGGTGAGCAAACTTCCTGTGACTAAAATACAAGGATCGAAGATATAAACCTACAGTCTTGAAAAGGCTGAAAAGCTTGATTTAATCATTCAATACCAAAAACGACTTTTAGTTTACGCAGCAACAGCCAGTCGGATCTAGCAACTTGATCTCTGAATGCAGGATCTTTCAATGTGTCAATAGACTTTCTCGTGATTAGAGAATATAAAGTGTCCTTTTCGTCAACATGACGACCCCAGATTGGTTGTTGGCCCGATGGGTCTTCCAAACGAACGGCAACACCAGCGGCTGTTTGCCCCTTCTTAACTTCTGAAACTGCTTGATGGTTGATTTCAAGACCCACTACTCTACCTAGAAGCAAAATGTTCTTCTCCTTTGTCGTTGGGTCTGTTCTAACAGCGCAAATTGGTGTTCCCATACGCAATGAGCCTTCCATGACATCAACACCAATAATCATAGGACTACGTTTGTTGATGATTTGCAATGTGTTCAGAACACATGGAAAGGTGGCATCTTGTAAGAAGTCTTTGCGACGTTGCTCCAAAAGTTTATTCTGGTAAGCAGTGAAAGCGTCGAACAGATGATAAATGATATCAGCATTGAAAATTTTAATGCCTTGCTCATCAGCATACTGTTCAGCTTCCTTGTCGACTTTAACGTCGAAACACAACATTACTGCCAACTCTTTAGCTTTTTCCAACATTGCCGCAGCCTTCATGACATCTCTCTTGTAGACAGGACCCAATCCGATGGACATAACTGGAATTTTCATATCTTTCAAGAAATCTAACAGAGCTTCCAAAGAACCCAAGGTCGAGGCCTGGACGACAACACCGCGACCAGATGTATCAACAGAATCCAGAAGACCTGTTAGGTCATCCATGACATCATCCATCATCTCTTCCTCATCATCATCAGGACCCACAACTAAAAGCCTAGAACCAGAGACGGCCTTTTCTAGATCGTTGGCAGCAATTTTTACACCTAATGCAGCCTTAACCTCTTTGTGGTGAACGTATTCAGATTTCAAACGCAACTCACGTAAAGGTTGAGGAGTCAAAAGCGCTCTTATTGTTGTTACGATGGGGCCATTCATACCACAGAGCACAATTCTGTCACCCTCTCTTAAATAACCATTTGACAAGATAACATCAATCGTGGTACCGAAACCTTCGACAACTTTAACTTCCAAAATAGTAGCTTCAATGTGGGATAGGTACATCAACTGTTTAGACATTCTCTTTTGAGTCAATTCTAACAATAGCCACAACAGATCTGGTACACCTTCACCGGTCACAGCAGAAGTAGGAACAATAGAAACATACTTAGCCATATTCTTGTTCTGGAAGTATAGTTCTGAGTTCAAACCTTGTTCAGCCAAAGCAACCTTGATACCATCCAATCTAGTTTGAAACTCTTGTTGAACTGCTCTTGGTTGCTTCTCGAAAGAGCTTCTGAATGAGTTGTTTGGTGTAGCTTGCCAGTCGTACAATCTATCGATTTTGTTCAAGGCCACCACGAAAGGTGCCTTTCTGTCCCTCAGTAATCTGATGGACTCGATTGTTTGCTGTTCTAGACCGTGCATGATATCGATCACCAAAATAGCAATGTTACATAAGGAAGAACCTCTTGAACGTAAGTTCGTGAACGATTCGTGACCTGGAGTATCGATGACCAACAAACCTGGAACATCAAATGTTTGTTTTTCATAATCTGCCATGACTGCAGTCTTTTGCTTAATGGCATCAATTGGGAAATAAGTAGCACCGATTTGTTGAGTAATACCACCAGCTTCACCTCCCTGGACGTTTGTTTGTCTGATCTTATCCAGTAGTTTGGTTTTACCAGTATCGACATGACCCAAAATACAGCAGATAGGAGAACGCAAGTCTCTCTTATTGGAAGCAGGAGCTGGTGATGGAGTTGTAGTCGAACTGACGACCACATCCGCCTTCACTTCAGCACTTTCCTGAGGAACAATGTTTTTTCTTGTGTCCTCATTAACTTCCAATCCAGTTTCTGGAGTTTGAGGTTCAGTTTCCTCTTCCTCGGCTTCAGGAGTTTTTTCTTGACCTTCTTCATCTTCGTCCAATGCCAAATTCTCCCAATCATCAATTAATGCTTCTTCGTCCTGCTCCTCTTCGGCGTTGGAGGTCGCCTGAGCATTCCTTGCTTCGGCAGCTTTTTCTGCTTCCTTATCTTCAGCACTCTTCTTCTTCTTCTTCCCATAAACAACCTTCTTAGGCTTAGCCTGACCTTCTCCTTCTTTCTTGGCTAGACCAGCGACATGAATGTTACCAGCTGCTAACAAGGCGGCGCGCCTCTTCTCCAAAAGCTTTTTCTCTTCTCTTTGCTTTCTGCTCAGGAGTTTGCCCTCTGCCTTTAGCTTTTCACGTTTAGCTTTTTCCTTTTCCTTTTTGACGCGCTTGGCTTCTTCCTTTTCCTCTTCTGCCTTCGCTTGGCGTTCCTGTTCTTCTCTTTCTAGACGTTCTTCTTCTTCCCTGGCGGCACGTTCTTCTTCTTCCAATTGTTTTTTCAACTCTAGTTGACGTTTCAGAGCGGCCAAACCAGCTGGAACCTTTTTAGCAGGCTTCTTAGGAGCGCTCGATGGTGCAGGAGATGATTCTTTCGAACTTTCTTTCTTAGCCTTGGCCTCTGCGGCAGCTTCAGCTTGCTGCTTGTTAAGCTCCTTGTTTTTCTCTTTCTGTGCTTGTTGTTGAGCCTTCTTTTTGGCAGCTTGCTCCTTCTTCTTCTGCTTCTCTCTTTCCTTCTTTTCCTTTTCCTTTTCCTTCTTTGATTTCAAAACAGGTTTTCCGGCATCTTGTTCTGTATCCTTCTTTTCTTGCTTCTTCTTAGATTTCTTCAAAGTGGACATGAAGTCAGCTTCAGTTGCCTCGGTTGCTTCGGCAACTTCAGCTTCTGGGGTACCTTGCTCTTCGGAGGGAACTTCTGGGGTAGCTTCTACGGAAGGCTCACCCAATTCCTCCGTTTGGGGTGAATCTTCTTCAAAATCCTCATCCCAGTAATTTTGTTGATTCTTCTTTGACTTCTTTGCCATCTTGTTTTGAGTTATATAGCAAAAGTCTTCCTGGCTAGAGTTCCTTCTTAATCTTCTTCAGCTCATCTCAAATTTTACATCTTGAAGTATCAAAATCTGAAAAATTTTCACATCATGCCTAACGAATCAATTCAAATGATCAAGTAATAGCCTACGATACGCTAGCTGAAAAATTTTAGTGACGAGCTCATCACAGTCGAGATTGATTTTGAATTTCCAATAATTGAACTATAGAATATTTTAACGAGCAATATCTAGTATCCTAGCATGTCAACGACTATGGAGAAGATCAAGGCCATCGAAGATGAGATGGCCAGGACACAAAAGAACAAGGCAACATCCTTCCATTTGGGTCAGCTAAAGGCTAAATTAGCAAAACTGAGAAGAGAAATATTGCAATCAGCATCCCAAGGCTCTGGCGGTGGTGGCGGTGTCGGTTTTGATGTAGCCAGGACTGGTGTAGCCTCTGTCGGTTTTGTGGGGTTCCCATCAGTGGGTAAGTCCACTCTACTGTCAAAACTTACAGGTACTGAATCGGAGGCAGCTGAGTACGAGTTTACAACTTTAGTGACTGTACCAGGTGTTATTCGCTACAAGGGTGCAAAGATTCAAATGCTTGATCTACCAGGTATTATTGACGGTGCCAAAGATGGTAGGGGACGTGGTAAACAAGTTATTGCAGTCGCCAGAACTTGTAACTTACTTTTCATTGTTCTCGACGTCAATAAGCCTCTACATCACAAACAAATCATCGAGAAGGAACTGGAAGGTGTGGGTATTCGTTTGAATAAGCAACCCCCTGATATTATTGTCAAGAAGAAAGAAAAGGGTGGTATATCAATTACTAATACCGTTCCACTTACCCATCTTGGACCAGATGAGATCAGGGCTGTTATGAGTGAATACCGTATCAATAGTGCTGAGATCGCATTTAGATGTGATGCTACCATTGATGATTTAATTGATGTTTTGGAAGCTTCTTCTAGAAGATACATGCCAGCGATTTACGTTCTCAACAAGATTGATTCCTTATCTCTCGAAGAATTGGAGTTATTGTACAGAATTCCTAACGCTGTTCCAATTTCTTCTGGTAGAGAATGGAACTTAGACGAGCTGCTCGAAGTTATGTGGGACAGATTGAATTTGGTTCGTGTTTACACGAAACCGAAGGGGACAATGCCAGATTTTACCGACCCAGTGGTACTCAGATCAGATCGCTGTTCAGTGAAAGACTTTTGTAACCAGATTCACAAGTCCTTGGTGGATGAATTCAGGAACGCACTAGTATACGGAAGCAGTGTCAAGCATCAACCTCAGTATGTGGGGCTAAGTCACGTCTTAGAAGATGAAGACGTTGTGACCATTTTGAAGAAGTGAATCGCTTCAAGCTTTTTAATAACCCACTGCATTTACATTCCGGATTGCCCTTTGAATTTTCCGTAGACTGCCATTTGGCATCATTAGTTTATTATTTCATCTAATACTATATTACATATAATGAGCTTTTTTTAAAACGTTTTTATTCTCATTCCAGGCAAACCTTCTAGGCTTGGTTCACCTTTTCCAAAATTCGTTATTCGATATTTTCCCCCATATAAACCCCCATTAATATATTGAGTAAAGCACCCTACCTCGTGCCATGTTGCATAGCAATTTTCCGCGTTTTCGGACTAGCAATTGCACGATCCATGGAAAGAGGGGAACCGGAACGACTGCGGAAATGTTCTTCTTCATCCTCAAGAGATGAACAATTCCGCCTCTTGGTGGATAGAGAACCAACCCATGGGGCAAAACCAGCTTGTGTGCCTGGCCCCCAAAACATTTCCCTAGCCTTGACGCGTTCGCTGTAGTCAATTAACCCATTGCACCAAAAGATCTGTTCTTGTTTGAGCTCAGAAACCGTGGGGCGTATGGACTTGACGTATTGAAAAGCCTCCATGAGTGATACCGAGGTGTTTTCCTTCAGAATGTGTGATATTAGCATGGTCACCAATTCCTCGTCGTTACCATTGTCAGAAAACACAAGAACGTTGCCGGAGTGCGAAAGCCGGAATAGAGTTAGCATATCATTGAAGCTCTCGTATTTTTGAACCCCACGCGCGCTGACGACGTTTGAAGTATATGTGTTGACATTTTGGTAGAGCAACTGGTTTACATCAGGCTGTGGAGTGAGACATCTCCCGGTGACGGGCTCGGGCGTTTCGGCTTGTACCTTTGCGATCAGCTGCTTGAGCAAAAGCGAATTTTCGGCCTCGTAGCTCAATATGTCGTCGCTGTTGGCAGCTACATTGCTGTCAAGGGTTTCGTCGAATGTCACCATAACGAACTCATCGACTGAGATACTGCGGAAGTACTGAGCGGCCCTCTTCGTAGAGATGCCGACACTGATAAAGAATCGAATGTTATGCAGGGAGATGAACTCGAGCTGCGACAGCGTGTTGAGTGGCCCAAAGAAAACGTTGTTTGTGAGCTGCTGAGGATTAATTTGGTTCCGAGCGGTAGCCAAAGCGTACTGATTTTGGAACGACATTGCGGTAGGACACAATAAATTTTAAACCAGTGTTTCTGTGATCGAAGGCTAGCACTCAATTGAGTTTGAGAAAACTAGCTAATGAGAATGGAGTATACTCGATGAGTGTATCGGGACCCTGTCGAGAATATTTTTTTTTTTTTCACAGTCGCAGATGTGATATCGTGAGAGCCGGGCCGATTTAGCGCGAGTCTAATGATGAGTTCGTCCAGTGGAAAAAAAAAAAAACTTGAGTTTCTTTTTCCAACAGTCGTCTATGTCGTTCTTAACGGCAGATGCATCGCGATTGTTCGTCCAGAGTTACTTTGTGCATCCGGACCCCAAACACCCAGACACGTCGCTTTCGGTCATGGATAATGAGCAAATAACGAAACGAATGATCGAAAAGAAAAAGAAAGATGTAAACACAAAAAGAAACGCCAAAAGAGTTTTATCTAAGGAATCTCAGACTCTGAGGGGCCACGTCATTAGGTTTTGCCCAACGATATGGTGTTGCATTAGGGCTTACCAAATCGTCGCATTCCATTTCCTAACGAAATCATTACCGGATTGGGTAGGAAAGTTGATCCGTTGAGTTTGGTTCGCTGCAGGATCGCGTGCATGTGTTTTTCCGGAACAAGAGGCTCATCCCCTTCACGTGGAGCAATGATCAAAGGTCCAGCCCACACCCCTGGCACTAAAGCATGATTGAATCATCAACGTGCATAGCATACGTATGTGCTTCCGGTGTATTTGCTAGCAAAGCGAAAAATAGGGGCAACGATGATGTTACAATGGGGTGTAGCTGTCTTGGGGTGTTGTCCATGGGAGGGGTGCCACCATTTCGCAACGTGCACGCAAGGCACATATGGGCCTGAAGCCTCCATTCATGCGATGAGGATCGTAGAATATACACCCACGGCGGCCAAAATTGTAGTCATCTTATCATTACTCTGTAAACGCTATACTTAGCTGTAGCGGCAAGTTGGCCACAGAGAGCGACACGTTCTGAACGTGACAGCTCTGTGCAGCGAAAAAACAAATCATGTCCATTTGCGTCGTCTTGCGGACGACTGAACTTCGTTAATATACATAGTCCATCCATTATCATAAAACCCTCGAGACATTAAATATTCATAAAAAAAACCCGGATATAGTGAGTCTCCCATAAAAAGCACATTTATCAAATGGAAAACCAGAAAAAAAATAACTCATCTATCATCAGAACGCACGGGCTGTATATCAGCGGGAGGGAAACCCGATTGCACCGTGCTGTTCCATACTGTATAACTTTAATTGCTGCTGCTGCTGCTACTGGCTGCGCTGCTGGCAGCGCTGCCTGACGTGCTTCTGAGAGACTCCAGCTCCTTCTTTAGTCTTTGTACTTCGAGTTCGTAAAGACGCTCATTATTTTGAAGATAGAGAATGTAGTCAACTGCTTTTTCCAAAATCATGCTCTTGTTGAGCTTTGGGGCCGCGGCGGCGGCGCCTTCCAATGCTGCGGCGGACGCGGGCTTTGGTCTGAGCGACTCACCAACCTCAAAAGCGGTTTCCTCGCTGGCTACCCAAGGAATGATCTGCTGGAGTTTGGCGATTTTGGTATTGATATTGATGCGGTATCGCTTCTCGATTTTGTTGTGAGCCTGTTTCTGATGTGCCGTGAGGCGCTTCCTGGGCGCACGTTTCTTGCGGGCTGCCTGAGCCTGCGACTCTGACGCCGCGTCGTCGGCAACGGCGCGGGAAGCCGAGGGGGCGGACGCCGCGGAAGCCGCGTCCTTGCCTGCCGAAGCGGCAGGTGGGATGTCGATGGCCAGTGGGAACTGGTCGAGGCCGGGCATAAACTTGGCCTCCACGTCCTCCTGCTTGACGATCGTCGGCGAGTTGGACAGCGACACCGTATTGCTCGCTGTGAACAGCGTCTCGGAGTCCGAGCCCTGCGTGAGCATCGCGTTTGCGTCGAAAAGCGACGTAAACTGGTCCAACGGCGATCCGGCAGACGACGAGCTCGTCGACGACACAACGCTGTTACGCGTGGCGTCCAGATCCCACCCATTGCCCTCCAATGGCTTCGCTCCGTCGTACTCTCCGAAAGACCCCATCCTGGCGTTGTTCTCTGGGAATAGCCATTCGTCAAAGTTACCGGAAGCTGCTGTAGTGGTTCCCTCCATTATGCAAACGAAGAATGTAAACTAGTGTGTAATGTAGTTCTGCTGGGCTGAGGAATGATCTGCTATGGCGATCACAAACCTTTGGAATTGACGCTATTTTAAATCACATCCACCTGCACGCCTCCAAATTTTCCCACCTTCTTCTTTTATACAACGTTGCCCACTCTGTGAGAATTTTGGGTGGACGACACCCATTCACCGCGAAAGAGTCGACCCATGTTTGCACGAGCCAAATCGTACCCACCGGAAAAAAAAATAGCTCCTGAAAATCACGCCAATAAAAAGAAATTGGGCCCCGTGCGTGGATTACTGCGCACATGCAAGAGAACGTCGTACGAGAAATTCGACAGAGATCTAGCAACGTCTGCGTGGACGACGGAGTTGCTGACGGAATATTGCTGCTGCCGCCGAAAGCAGCGCACATTCTATAGCGTGCTGCCGATGCTGTTGGGGAAGTTGGGGTCTTATAAGGGCATGGGCTGCCAGGTAGCCAGGACGAGCGGTGGGCGGCGTGGCCATGGTTCTTGGCACGGGACGGGCTCGCACGTTCGTCAGAGCGAGGGAAATCACGTAGAGCGCGATGGGCCGGCCCAGGCAGCGTGCGCAGAGTACAGCGCGTCAGAAAACAGATAACGATCAAATTCGGGTAGATAGAAAAAAATGTAGATAAATTCGGTCGCAGAGAGGCGTGCGCGATGAAAGCTCCGGGACAGTGCGTCGGAGCTGACACCCAGCCGGAGCAGCTGGAAGAATGTGGATCTGAGAATGGGTGCGGAGGACACGTACACACGCACATTCACACGTTCACATACATACACACACGCCCAATTGACCCGACTCCACGCACTGCCACGCACTGCCACGGGGCGTCGCGTATGGTTCGCGGTAGCCCAGCGCGGGCCAGCGATTGAGTACGTATGCGGGCCTGGCGCGTCCCCCATGGCCTCTCCGGTGCTTTTGGCGCACGGCCGGCGAGCGCACTGTGCAGGGGAGGTTTCTGCGGTTCCAAGACGCGCGTGGCGTCGCTTTCGCTTGACCGTAGCCTTGCATCTTATATACATACGCGTGTCGTAGCCACGCTACACCATCTGACCATCGTAGTACGAGGTATCTGGTTCTTTGCGTTACCTCAGGTGCTGGCTCTCACGTGTGGCGGAAGCATGCTGCATCAGTGCGGCTCCTTTCGCCGAAACCGCTCTGCATGCCGGCGTTCGGCTTGTGGAAAAACTCGCGCCGGCGGCGGGCAAGGTGTTTTTCCGGTTTTCCGCGTAATGCGCCACGGGTTACGTGCCTGTCACACCGGCAGCCCCTGCAGGTGCGCCCGGTAAACCGCAGGCAGAGGCGCATGCATGCGTCGGGGCCTAGGAGGTGAAACACAAAACCAACGTCGTCTTTTTTTGGCCCGGGATCCCTCTTTTCCTTCTGGGCCGCCCCACCCCCACACCCCGGGCTGCCAATCGCAACCAAATGCGATGCGGGCCACCGCAAATAAAAAGCTGCCAGATATCAGCAAAAGAAACGACGTTACCCGGACATGCTCCTGGGAGCGATCCGGTGGCCGTCATCTCGTACGTCGGCCCTTAATTGAGACTGGCGTTCAGACCGTCCAAACCCAGGGTTAGTCTACGGTTGAGAACAGCATGCGACATGGATGAAGAAGAGCTGGCCGCGCTTATCTCGGATACCTCTAGTTCGCTAGAGCCAAGCCATGACGAGATTTACCAGACGCCCCGAAAGCGCCCCCTCTCGTCGCCGCAGCGACGGGAAATGCACCTGGACAGATCACCACTCCAAAAATTTGAGGATCGGTCGTTCCAAACGACACAGCCCCAGTCACAGGATGATCCGACGCAGATGCAGCGGCTTTTGTCCAGCTTGGACGACGAGTCGCTCATCGAGCTTGTCAATGGGTATGGCGGCTCTTCCGCGCGCGCCCGACGGTTCATTGGAACCCCAGAGCCTGCAACTGACTTGGCTGGGGTGCCAAATGTCACTTTACACGATAGAGTAGAATCACCGCCATCCGTGGTTGTCAGCGACGCGGCCTCGGTGGAGCCCGCAGATGTTGCCCAGGTGCCCAGTAGTCTTCCAGATCCATCGGGGACCCCGAATGTGCTGGTGGACGAGCCGGACTCAGCCGAAGAGGACCTTCCTCGAGAGAAGTTTATATTCGGCGATTATGGTGCCTACTTTGAGGATAAGCAGATCCAACAACAGCAACGCGACCACGAAATCAAGAAGATATACCAAGATGCTTTTAACGACGGCAAAGAGTTCCCTCGTATTTTTGCCGGTTGTATCATATACGTCAATGGGCGTACCGACCCAGATCGGTTGGAATTGCACAAAAAGGTAATTCTCTACGGGGGGACTTTCCTACATTACCTAAGCGCCAAGAAAAGTGTCACGCATATTATCGCGAGCAACCTCACCTCTAAGAAGCGGATAGAGTTTCGAAAATACAAGGTTGTCAAACCAGAATGGATTGTCGACTCCATACATATGGGCAGGCGATTGCCCTGGCAGCCTTATGCACTGATCACAGGAGACCATGACCAACCGAAGCTAGAAAACGCGCTCGATTCGAAAGCTGGAGGCTTAAATTCAAGGAAATCGGATACGGATACTCTAGATTGCAAGCATCCGGACTTCTTGAAGAGTTTTTTTGCAAAATCAAGACTTCACCATTTGTCGACGTGGAAGGCAGACTTACGCGCAGCATTTTCCAAAAAATACGTCGAAGAGCGTAAAATTCAACCTTTGCCGAAGGATTCAAGAATAGCGATTTTCCATATCGACTTCGATTGTTTTTTTGCGACCGTATCAGCGCTGAGTATTGGGAAATATGACCTGAATAAGGATCCACTGGCTGTGGCACATGGCACGAATAGCTCCGATGTAGCCAGTTGTAATTACGTCGCAAGGAAATTCGGCGTAAGAAATGGTATGTGGGTTCGGTCAGCGAGAAGGCTTTGTCCAAATTTGATATGCATACCCTATAACTTCCCCGCTTATGAGACTAATTCTAGTCGTTTATATGAGACACTAGCTGATTCTAATTATTTCCAAATGATTTTACCAGTTTCAGTAGATGAGGCTATATGTGTAGCATATTTTTCAGGTTCGGCTGATGATGACACTTTGAGACAGAAATGTTCAGAAATAGCAAGGACCATAAGGGATTGTGTACACAATGCCACCGGTGGTTGCACTGTTAGTATTGGCTGTGCAGAGAGCCTAGTTTTAGCTAGACTGGCGTTGAAAAGGGCAAAACCAGATGGCTTCAGCGTTATAATTGATAAGGATCCGAGAGGAATAGATGATTTCATATCTGATTTTCATCTTCAAGATCTACCTGGAATCGGATACTCGATCATAGAGAAAATTCGACAGCAAGTGCTGCCGGTGGACACTAAAAGCCTTACCTTAGGTCTTTTAAAATCAAAAGCGTCACAACAACTCCTAGTCAATAAGTTAGGATCTAAGACTGGGGCTAAGATAAACCTTTTTTTATCAGGAAAAGACGATGAGGAAAGTTTGAAAATGCTTCATGATCCACAGGGATATTTCTCTCGAAAATCGATATCGGTAGATATTAATTACGCCATAAGGTTCGATAACATTCATGAAATTGACTCTTTCATCGATCGAATTTGTGAATATCTCGTATCTAAAATCCAAGAGCTGGATATGGTGACTGCACATATCGTAATGAAAGTTATGCGAAGATCTAATGGAGCGCCCATTGAACCTGCAAAATACATGGGCATGGGTGAATGTGACGCGTTTAGCAAGGGTAGCAGGCTCGGAGTGCCGACGGATGAACTAGGCATAATTGCAACAGAAATGAAGAGCTCTTTTAGAATGCTCAACTGTCCCGCAAAAGAATTGAGAGGAATTGCCATCCAATTCAATAAATTGGAAAAAAAATCAACTGGTTATAAGCAGCAAGTTCTACCATTTAAGGGGATTGCTAGAAATACAGAAAGTGTTTCTCTTATCAATATACCTCCTCTAAAATCACGACTTCGTCCAGAAGCCTATAGCTCATTACCACGAGGTTTGAGGCACGATGTAAAGACAGAATTAGTGAAACGTCATATAGAAGTTCCTGATTCACCCTCCCCTCGAAAATCTACGACTGCCTCCCCTGTAAAAGACTACTGGGCGAAACACACCAAGAGCACAACAACGGGAGAAGTAATTCCAAGTTCATTGGACCAAGACTTTCTCAGCTGTTTGCCATCGCAAATTCAGAGAGAGATAAAAAGAGATCACGCAATTGTGAAGAAAGCCAGAAGCTCGCTCCATCAAGGGCTTAAGAGGAAAGAAGAAGAAGTCGTCGTCACACCAAAGGGAAGGCTGACCTTAATGGAGCCTGTTAAGTTTCAATCTCTGGATCGGCCAAAGGAAGTAATAAAACTGATCCAACTGTGGATCGATGAAACTGCTGACACTGGGCCCAACGTGGAAGACTTGGATCTATTCGAAAGGTATGTGAAGAGGCTTTCTGCTGCGAAGAAAACGCATTTCATACTACGGTTAACGAGAGCTATTTCATCAAGACTAGAGTTCCACTCTTCACTAAAGGAAAAAGCATCTTTAGGAAGACAGGAATGGGAAGAATATCTATTGAAGAGAATGATTCCCATTTTAAATAAGAGTGCATCTCAGGAGGAGAAAGGTTTTCAGGTGACCTTCGAAATTTAACGATAAAAATAATGATCAAAACAAATAATCAAATGCATAAATCATCGCAATGACCAGAGTAAACAACTGGAAATTTAATGTTTACCACTGTATAATTTTATAAAATGTACACATTATCATGAGAAATTGAAGGGACTTTGCCGATTACAAACATACGTTTATAATCTTTAAAGCTTCAAAACGCGCATAGTGTTGGAGTGACCGACACCAGCAGCGAAACCTTGGACGGTAACGATGGTGTCACCTTCCTTCAAGATACCCATCTCCTTGGCTTGAGCAACACCGAAGGCCAAACGGGCTTCGACGTCCTTGGTCCAGTCAGATTCAGTACCCTTCTCGTAAACGAATGGGAAGACACCTCTGTACAAGTGAGAGAATCTGGCGGCTCTTGGGTTTCTGGTAACCAAGACAATTGGACAGTTTGGTCTGTACTTGGAGATCAATCTTGGAGTAGTACCAGTGGTAGACAAGACAATGATGGCCTTGGCGTTTTGTTCGTAGACGGCGGAAACGGCGGAAGCAGCAACGGTCTCAGTGGTAGAGGTTGGCTTTGGAGTGCAGTTTCTCAAGTCGTCGTAAGTTGGCAAGTATGGGATGGCTTGTTCAGCAATCAAAGCAGTTTCGGCCATCATCTTGACAGCGTTAATTGGGTAGTTACCCTTAGCAGTTTCACCAGACAACATGACACAGTCAGCACCGTCCAAGATGGCGTTACCAACATCGGAGACTTCAGCTCTGGTTGGTCTTGGGTTGTAAGTCATAGACTCCAACATTTGAGTGGCACAGATAACTGGCTTACCGGCCAAGTTACACTTAGCAATCAACTTCTTTTGGACAGCGAAGACTTGTGGGGCTGGGATTTCGATACCCAAGTCACCTCTGGCAACCATAACACCGTCGGTAACCTTCAAGATTTCGTCGAAGTTGTTGACACCTTGTTGGTTTTCAATCTTGACGATGATCTTGATGTCCTTACCTTCTTCACCCAAAACTTCTCTGATGGTCAAAACATCGTTGGCGGTTCTGATGAAAGAAGCGAAGACCATGTGGACACCGTTCTTGACACCGAACTTCAAGTCAGAGATATCCTTTTCGGACAAAGCTGGCAAGTCGACGTCGGTACCTGGCAAGTTAACACCCTTGTGAGAGCAGATCTTACCGGCGTTCAAAGACTTGACCTTCAAGGTCTTGTCGTCAACGACTTCCAAAACTTCGAAAGACAACACACCGTCGTCAACGTAGATGATTCTACCCTTTTCAATGACCTTGGTGATGTTCTTGTAGTCAATGTACATGATCTTGTCATCAGAAGACTTGTTGTACTTGTCATCAGTGGTGAAGATCATTTCGTGGTTTGGTGGAATTGGGTAGTCGACCTCGTTAGTGGTGGTACCAGTTCTGATTTCTGGACCCTTGGTGTCCAAAGCAATAGCCAATGGTCTACCTGGGTATAGTTCCTCAGACTTTCTGGCGTTGTCGATGACAGATTGGTGGTATTCGTAAGAACCGTGAGAGAAGTTCATACGAACAATGTTCAAACCGGCCTTTCTCAAGGCAACCAAAACCTCTGGGCTGTTGGTCTTTGGACCAATGGTACCGATGATAGAGCTTCTTCTCAAGTTAGCACCGGTAGAGGTTTGCAAGTTAGTCAACCAACCTAGTCTGGATTCCATTATGTCTTTATGATAATTAGCGAGTAATATAAAACTGCTGGCCAATTGTCTCCAAGAAGAAGTACAATCGTTCCTTTCTCAATGTCAAATGTCTCTCCTTTTTATATGATAGTGCTTCATCGCCTTCAGCTACAATAACCTACCACCATGTCACCCACCACATGTCGTCTAATCACCCAACGTCGTCCAACGAAAAGAAAATGCATCTTGCTTGCTCAGACAGCTACGCAATCATCATTTGAGTTCAGAAGCGGGCTTCCAGTTTTTCCTCCGGCATTCCTCTCGTGGTCCCAGACCCGACGCAGCTGGCGTCGGCTTAAACAGGAAGCTGGCAACCTGGCATCTTCAAAAAAGGAAGCGGCGGAAGGTGCGGCGACGGCGGAGGCCGCTGCCGTACATCATGATACCATCCAGCTCTTCGGACTCGCTTGAGCGGTTACCCGCACGGGAAATATGTATTACTTTTCCACGTGATTTCACCATGTGCTGCACACTTTGTGTGGGGAGGAAAGCGGCGTTATAGCTTAAGTCCGAGGGCCACGACACCAGAACGTCGCAGAACGTCACAGAACGATGCACTTGCGTCGCTAACGGTTGCAATATCCGACGCGCGTCGTTACGTCGTACGTCGCACGTGCCACTTTGAGTCCCCGTAGAATCGTTTGCTAGTTCTCCTACAGGTCTTGGCACAAGTCGTGCGTTCCAATGCACGTGCATCTAGTAAGGAAGACCATACGTTATGCATCACCAGTCCCAAGAGGTTGATCACCATGACTCGTCGTTATGATCAAAATCGAGCATTAAAATGCATTCCCAGAATATATACTTGAATTAGATAGAGAATAAAATGGTAAACTACAATCGGCACAATGCGACGCTAGCGACGTATCGAACTTTGTAAGTAGCACCAGCTACAAAAGCCATTCAATAAACTTCCCCCACAAGGTGTTGGGTTGGACCCTGGCAGCATCAAGCTCCTTGGTCTCCTCTTCAATCTCACGCAACCCTGTAGTAACATCAATCTCCGCCACAGGAATGGCCCAGCATTTCCAAGTTCTAGTATAAGCCTTGTGGCCGAGCCACAACACGATGAAGATAGGCAGAGTGATGTATGCAGCAACAAAGTCAGCTGCGTTCCAGTACTTTGGAATGAAGGTTGCGTACCCGTTAGTGAGACAGATCACACTGATGATGGTGACAAAGAAGTAGGTACCGTAGGGTTGGAATGGAGTCTTGAAGGGCACGCGATCGTAGAGTCCTTGGAAGAAGATAGCCTTTCTGAAGCGCAAGTATGCGACACCAATGCAGATCCAGCCGATGAAACCTGAAATGGTGGAAATGTTCGAGAACCAGGTAAACACCAGGGCAGACGACGAAGAAACATTTAAGTACGCGAGACACGAAATGGCTGCAGAGAGCGCAACGGCATTGTAAGGAACACCGTGTCTGTTGATCTTCCCAAAGATCTTTGGAGCATAGCCCTCTTGTGCCATAGACAGTAGAGATCTACTGGACGCAAACATGAACGAGTTACCAGAGGACCACGCAGAAGTTAGAATACACGCATTCACAATGTGAGGCAAAACCTTGATGCCTGCATTTTGAATGCCGATCACGAAGGGAGATGAACCTGCACCGGGTTTCCCTTGGGCCAAGGCGTTTTCCAGAGTAGGATCGTTGTAGGCAACAATACAACCGATGGCAAGAGACGAGGCGACATAAAAGAAGATCAAACGGTAGACAAAACGACGTGAAGCCTTTTCGATGTTTCTTCTAGAATCCTGGGCCTCAGCCGATGTCAACGCGACCAATTCTGGGCCTAAAATGAAAGCGAAACCACCCTTGATGACACCGGTCCAAATATCGAGGAACCGACCAGTGTTCCCGGTAGTGATGTGGTAAGCGAAGGCACCAGGGTGCTTCCAGTATCTGAACCCCAGCCTGTCGTGTGTAGGAGCACCACCCCAGAAGATGATGAAAGAAACAAGCAGTAGTCCAAGGATACACAAAATCTTGATAGAGGCGAACCAAAACTCACTCTCACCGTAAAACTTAACAGCCCCGAAGTTCAAAAGTACGACAACCCCAAGGAAAATAGTGATCCATGCACCTGTGGGCACTTTATCAGTCCAGTATTGTACCACTCCAGAGGCGGCGGTACACTCAGCAGCAACCAATATTACGTAACAGTAGTAGTAGTTCCAACCAGTGGCGAACCCAAGCGAAGGATCCACATAGCGCCTCACCAGCTTGGAAATTGACCCACCAGAACCATCTTCCCCACCAGGTAGATAGCATACCATCTCACCCAGGGCATTCATGACCGGGTAGATAATCAGGGAGATGATAAGGTACGAGGTAAACAAACCCGCTGGACCACATTTCGACAGCGTTGACGACGTACCCACGAAAAGACCTGTACCGATACAACCACCCAGGGCGATCAATTGAATGTGGCGCGATTTCAGGCCCTTCTTTAGTTTATGGCCCTCAATGGGCGATGTCTTCGAAGACCCATTTGGCGAGAGCGTCTCTAGATCAAGCTCGTATACCTGACCAGTTTGCTTATCGACGATGCTGGTCTCGCCGGCTTCTTTCAAATCACGTGCGGTGGCCATCGCGTTTGGATTGGTTTGTGTCGATACTTTTCTATTCTAAGGCCATTCTTCAAAGTTGGAGGAACCTTTCATACCCTTATATAAAAATCATCAACCTTATCCGCCGTCATGAACTTCAGTCCTCGTGTGGAGATAAGCTCCGGCGGATATCATACCGCTGGCCTTGCTTAGACTTTGCTTTTTCCCAACAGCTTAGCAAAGGGTCTTAGCCTTCGAGTTGTTCGACCGATTCAGCCCTACGACTGCGTCTGGACCCGGCGTCGGCTATGAGAAACCGATAATCAAAAAGTAACCTCCTCGAGCTTCTCCTGCATGCTCAATCACACCGTTCTTTTGCTGGAGAAAGCTTGCGCATTCTTCAAAAAAATGTGCCGTGGCGGAAAACATCTCTGGGTGTTCGCTTCGGGCGGGAAACCCGCGAGCGATAACGTATTGGAAAAGCTTCACATAGTAGAAAACCACTAGTAACTCGGCAAGATCACTCTGAAAACGCATCTAGAGCACGATTTGCGCACTAACAATCCCCTCGATAAGCTATGGAAAAGGACTCCCGGACGTATCGCGAGCGATAGGCCGAAAGACGTTTTGCACGTGACCAAACCGGGTCGTGGCACGTGAGCGTCGGGCTGATGCGAAATGTAACGTCGGTTAGGTAGGTTGAGGTATCCAAGATAGACGAATTCGAGATAGTAGGCTGCTAATACGCTTTGCCATAACGCAACAGTTGACACTCTTTTTCTGTCCCAACAACCCTTTGTCCCTCGTCCCCACGTAGCCACTGCACCTACAGACAACTGAATTCGATTCCGCCAGGGACCCTCGATATCGAAATCTGCTGATAACCGTTATGCCTTTTGACCTTAAACTCAAGGACCCCAGCCTCTCAGGGTCAGTAGTGACACTGCACACCCCAGCCCTTAATCAATTTCTGTATGGTTCTCGCCCCCGATAACAAGCATATCCTCGAAAAGCGATCCGCCGCGACAATTAAATGAATGCGCCGTGTAACGCGCATGCAGATAAGAATAGTAAACATTAAATGTTTGACACTTGTCCCCACAACGTCCAACATTGAGGTTCTCGTACCACTGCAGGATACTCGTCGGTCATTGAAAACATCTTATTGACATGGTTTGGGAACGATTTCACCAACTCAGTCTCTCGAAAGGCTTAAATTTGTAATGGCAGCCACTATCGATGTGTCATTCGTTCATAGTTATGAGCTCCTTCACCCAAATCGTTGATGCCTCGAGCAGGGAATTACTATTTTTTTGGGTGGTCGTAGAACAATCCTCGGCTTGGTAACTTATTCAATTAGATTTCTCAGAACATGACTATCCCATTTGGCTATCAATTTAAACAGAAATACTTCACTCTCTTGGATCCAGAGGTCACACTGGTCAATCATGGCTCCTACGGAACGACGCCAGCCTGTGTCATTGAGCGTCAGAAGGAGCTATGCGAAGCCCACGAAAAGTACCCAGATCGGTTCCAAGCTTACGAAGTAGAGGGCGAGTATCGCAAGCAGGTCGAGTTGCTTGGAAAATATTTGAATGTTGACTACCATAATCTTGCTCTGGTAACAAACGCTACCACCGGTGTCAATCTGGTCCTGAGGTCTATTCCATGGAACTTTTCCAAAGATAAGGTTCTCTTCCACTCGACAACTTACGGAGCATGTGGCAACACTGTCAAGTTTTTAAACAAATACTTTAACTTGCAGTACGATGTAGTTGATTTGGAATATCCGATGGAGGACGCGGAGGTTTTGCGGAGGTTCGAAGAAAAGCTTGCAACAGGTAACTACAAATTGTGCCTTTTCGATATGATCACATCCATGCCAGGTGTCAAGCTTCCATACGAGGAAATCATCTCCTTGTGCAAAATGTATGATACTTGGTCGCTTCTCGATGGTGCTCACGCTGCTGGACAAGTGGACTTGGACTTCATCGACCGCTTGCAACCCGATTTTTTGACCACCAATCTTCACAAATGGTTAAGTGTTCCCAAAGCATGTGGTATGCTTTATGTCAACCCTAAGCACCAGGGAATGGTCCAGAGTATGCCGGTTTCTTGGAATTTTGGCGCTGATGTTAGCGTGCCCATCGAAAATCCGTCATCTCCCCAGGAGGAGGCTCACAACCGCGACATTATGCTCAACAAGTTTTGGTTCATTGGAACAGCATCCTACTGCCAGTACTTATGTATCGAAGAAGCGCTCCGGTTCCGTTCCGAAGATTGTGGAGGAGAAGAAAATATTCGTAGATACCAGTATACTCTGCAGAAGAGTGCAATTAAAACCATCCAGAAGGTTTTCGGCCCAGGGGCAGAACTCTTGCAAAACTCTACGGGTACTTTGAATCCACCAGGTTTGTTCAACGTAAGCTTACCAATTGAGCCTAAATATCAAGAAATTCTCAATAGGATGGCTAATGATTTTCATTACTTTAGGAGGGTTAAGTTTGCGTGTGATAAGAAGACTATTGGTGTCAATAAGGCGTATGCACCTTTCCAAATTCATAACGGAAAATTGTGGGTCAGATTCAGTGTCCAAATCTTCAATGAGGTTCAAGATTATGAAATTGGTGCTAAAAGTGTAAAAAGCGTCGTTGAGGATGTTTTTGAAAAGGAGCTAAGATGTCAATGCAAACTCTAACTGGAATTTCTTGTGATCTTCGAATTTACAATATTGTGTGTTTTGATAAATATCTTGAATAGATGTGCGAATGGAATAAATAATAAATTTCGCCAATATGACAGAATTACATGTTCAACTGTCTAAACGTGACAACAAAATCTTAGATTTTTTAATCGGCCAAAAGTTTTCTGAATGAATATAAAACCGAAGAAATTATATAATCATTAACGTCATTGAAAGTTCAGTACTAATTTATCAGAAACCTGTTCATGTTTTAAACCCATCGTCTTGCATAGTCAGTAATCTTTTAAGTGATATGACAACTGAAGATTCACGTTTCATGTGACTTTATTTCAAAAATCAAACTTGTCGAAGATCACAAAATACTTGAGGTAACCGTTCAAGTTGCCATCATTGTGAGAGGCGAGTACAGCTCATATGGACATCAGTAGCATAGAAAGCTTACTGCATACCATTGAACATGGTCTCAACGATTTGAATGATGAGGAATCGATTGTTCGGGCAATTGACCGATTTCAGCAAGATCCCCTCACGCTAGATCATAAACTACCACAATTCATCGAGTTATTAACTCAAAACATTTTTGATAAAAATGAGAGTCAAATGGCCTCGACCGCACTCGTATTTTACACTTTTTCAAAAGTTTGTACGGTGCGAAAAATCATGAATCATTTGAAAACCGATATCTACCTTCTTCCTGGGTTTTTAGAACTGCTCCAAAGGTCCTCGACTGATTATAATTGGCATGTCACTTATATGGCTTTAGCATGGGTGAACATGCTCGTCATGTCCCCCTTTAAACTTCACAACGATAACGAGATCTTTCATGCCACAGCTAAATATAAGTCATCGCAAGTGTTACACCCGGTAGTGTCTTCATTACATTCCGAATTGTTTGTAAAAAATCACGACCTGTTCCTTTATGATGTTCAAAATAATGGTTTCGATCTGTATTCTTTGAATTTTACTTTGAAGTCCATGGTTCATAATAACCAAGCCTATGATATTGGCTTTTTAGACGCATCGATGCTAAATAACATAACAAGTTTCTGCTTCGAGAGTTTCAAAAATGCGAACGAGAGTGAATGTAAGCTCATTTTAAAAATCCTGCCTAAAATCTGCAAGCTGTTTGCACTAGGAGAGGAATGGGAACAAATCGAAGATATCGTAACATGGTTTCTAAATAATCTCAATACACCCTTCACTGAGCTCCGTTTCAAGATTGCCAGAAACTTTGCCAAAATTGTTTTGCTAATTCATCAACTATCAGAAGAAATGTCGACCGAACTGGTTGACATGAGCATATTAGAGGTATTATCTATCATCCACAATAACAGCATGGAAACAGTTGATGGCGATGTTTTACACGTTTTATTATTGATAATTGCTGAATTTGCACGGTGTAAACTTCTCTCTTCTAAATCAACGGACATAATTGTGTCCTCAGTGATACCCTATACTATACTCTTTCAACAGTTAAGAATAACGAAAATTCATGGACACCAGGTTCGAGATGCCACAAATTTCATCTGCTGGTCTATGACAAGAAACTGCAATATCTCAGCCAACGTTGAAAGCTTATTTCTTCATCTACTGATGTGTTCAATGGTGGACCATGACTTAATAATTCGAAAGTCTGCAAATGCAGCTTTACAAGAACTTCTCGGGAGATATGGGCATCATATCTTGGACGACAGAACAATCGTTGAGATCATCGAGTTGCCAGTCGGAAACCTGCGTAACTCCTTTTTTCAGAATCTATCGACTCTTATAGATCTATTCCATGATAAATATGGAAAGTATTTGAATTTCGTCCTTGATTGGGTCATCAAAAATAGCATTCTCTGTAACCACGATTTGAATGTGGCGAAACTGGCTTCTAAAGCTCTCTCATCGCTACTACAGAATATCATCTCAAAGGGAGTGCTTCGTGACAGAATCCACATGGGGGCAACTGATTTCTTAGCGATAAAAGAGCACCAAAGTTGTATCAACTATTGCAAACTAATTTATCTTGCTACAGAAACTAAAGTTCTTGAGGACAGTAAGCAACTAGAAGATGTATGTTTCAAAGAGTTCTCATCACTTGCCAAAAGATCTACAAACAGTGCAGCCGCTTTTAAAGAATCCTTCATAGGCATATGCTTTGTGAAATATATCAACTATATGTTGATCGGACGTGAAACAAAATTTAAGTTTAGCAATGAGGTCGTTGATTCTTTTTTCCATATTGTAAGATCAGTGGGAGTCGATGATACTGACTATGAAGAAATGAAGACCTTGTGCCTGCCGCTAATTTCCGTTCTTTCAAGTGATGATGACGTTTACGAAGAAGGTGTTAAACACAACTTTGAGATTAACTTTAGAAAGTTCTTAAAATTCAACAATGCACTGTGCGCAGCAGGTCTGGCTTATACAACTTCTTTTGAGTTCTCACGGACGCTCGAAAAATGGTGTCCTCACATGAATTGCGAGTCACGTTCACAGCTACTCAATTCCCTTACAAATCGATTACATGATATTGTCATGGTTGGGGGGAATAAAATTCTTTTTCAGATTGTCCAATTATTAGATGACTACACCATAACGAATCAGGGGGATATTGGAAGACTAGTACGAACAAGTGCAGCAAAAGCCATTGACTCGAATTTCTGCCTATTCATGAGGAACGGTGAAGACCTGATGATCGATGCTGGCCAAAAGCTATTAAGACTTGCAGGAGAACCACTTGAGGAACTTAGACTTCTAAGTTTTTCTATCTTATGCCGTACTCATAATTATACCGCGAATGCCGAGTGGAGCTTTAATCGTTCAATTCTTCATTTCCAACAAGAAAAATACAATAGCAAAAATCAGGAGTTCTGGAAAGGCTATTTAACCTCCGCTGGTGCTGTACATTCTACGGAGCAGCAGATAACGTCCTCCATCGATTGCTTCTTAGCATTTTACGAATCTTTAACTGAATGTTCCAGAAATGACCTAGTTAATGATCTTGTGCGCATCATACCAAACGCCACGATGCTCAAATCATGGCAACAGTCCAAATTTCACACCAATTCATTGGGCTGCCAGCAGAAAGACTTGGTGAAACAAACAATAACTTGTCTACTGTTCTGGCAGCGTATTTTAGAGTCGAATATATCTTTAAGTGGATCACTAAATTTCGAAGGATTCTACGCCAGGATATATAACTTGCATCTTTTGAAAAGCCATTCGGCAGTGATTATAGCTTCAATCCAACTGCTCACATTGATAGCGCTGAAAGCTGTCGCAGTACGTGGAAATACTGACTACTCATTGGTGAATAACTTGATAAAGCGTCTCTGGAAACTTGCAAACGTTGAAAGCGGTGACACAAAAAACTTCTCTAACATGCAGCAGACGTCTATCACGGCTCTCGCAACCATTTATCTAGAAACTCAGGAGATGACAAGAGCGAACTTGCTTCAGAACTGCATAACCAAAGGCACTTTTCATGAACTTAGTGTAGAAGATCTTCTGATAAATTGATTACTCTAGCATTTGTATCTTGATGGACTCCAAAGTTGTCTTGAGACGCTCTAAATTTTCTGTATCTGCTACCAAGAAATAATCACCATTAGGACTGAAGTCTTTGGAAGGGGAAGAAAATTGACGATCAAGCGACGCAAGCGTTCCCACATTGATGTTGTGAACATACAATGGGCCGAACAACTCTCGAAGTAAATCTTCTGGAATTTTCGTTGCTTGATCATGAGAGTCGAAGTTATCAAGGTACCATTGCCTGATTAATTCCACTAACCCCTTAATTTCCTGATCCCCATACTTCTCTGCCATTTCAATATCGACAATATACTGCAACTTTTGCGGAAGTTTCCATTCTGGAGTATTGGTATCATCGACCGTTATCAGTTGATGACCCATATCTGCAAAATACTGGAAAAGGTAAAAATAAGCGGCATGATGATCAGACCCCCAAAATGTTGACTTAATCAATGAACAATAATCGGATTCTGTAAAATCAAATGAAGGGTAAGCGTTCGAGCGCAGACCGGGGTAATCGTTCTTGAGAAATGCAAATAGTTCATAACCAGTCAGCTTAGCAGCTGATGACTTTCCAATTGAATTGAACAGGATATGGAAGCCAGCGTTATTACTTTTTTCTTTAAGACGAGGAGTATTCAAAAAGTCGCTTACCATTTGTAGGTCCACTAACAAATATTTCCACAACAACGTGACTAATCCCAAATATCGAAAAGAGGTTATGTGTGTTAAGAGCATGTTGAGGTAAAATGCCCGCAACGAATCGGGCGCTTGGGGTGTGGGCTTAGTAAATTCTATGAAAGATCGCCAGCCGTCGAGATTCATATGTTCTGTCGGTAGTTTATTTTGCAAAAAATCCATATCATGCAGCTCATCGAAAAAGTTGACATTAGATTCCTCGAATAGCTTGATGTAATCGCTGAAACAAAGTTCTTTTTGAAATGTTTTCCATGACACCCTATAATCGGCATCCCCGTATTTCTTGTCCCGCGCTAGTAGTAAACGGAGCTTCATCATACCAGATTTCTGGCACAGGCAATTCAACCTGCTAAGATCTCCGGAAGATATGCGCATATTATTATGCAGTGAGAACTTTAAAATCCGGCATGCCTCTTCTTCCAAATCTAGTGCGATGAAATCAAAAATACACCGCATCAAGAGTGGAGAAAAAAGCTCTGGATAAATGCACTTAGAGATTAACACATGCTCATCAAGATACGCTCTAAGCTGCAAAGATTCACCAGTTTTGTGGTAAAATGACACCATTGAGTAATGAATTAGTGCGTCATCATCCACGACCTGCAATGCTTCTTGTAAATACGTTACAGAGCCTGTTCTGATGATAATATCTATGCAAGTCTTCATGAACTCGATATTAGGTATAATTTTCTGACGTTTCTTTACAACGTTCGAATAATCAGTGAGCAGACCTAGTGTGAATTTTGCCAGACAAAGTAGATCCGCGCGATCCTCGGTCCTAGAAGCTTTGGAATTCAACATATGCCCCAGCTCATGGTATAATTCTACAGGCTTGTCATCGGTTATGAAAGTCCCAGTTCTTGATACCCACTTGATGGGAACTGATTGTATCTTATTCAGTAGAATAAAATATAAATTATCATCAGCAACGAATCTAAGTTTTTGAAGAGTTCTTATTATCACCTTCAACGAAAGAACAACACTATGGTTTTCCTTCCCAGATTCCGTTTCAGACGACAAACTCGTCGATGTGTTTCGTGTTTTGTGATATATCGCGTCTCTCAGCCATAGGTCCGTAAGCGTTGCAGTATTCTTGGTGAGCGAGCTGACTGAGGTTTGATCGAGTTGCCGAGCAAGTACATTACCTCCTAAAGTCTTTGCCAGTAAGGCCTGGAGCGGCTGTGATGCGTAGCCTCTCTTGATCATTCGGTGGTAGCACGTTTAATCGACGTGCATTCAAGATTGAAGTGAATTTTGCCAACGATTCTGAGCTGCGAGCACGTGACCTAAACCACGTTACTTATGAAGGATATAAAGGCACGAAAACCGTTTATGCGGCCTTTTCCGAGATACAGAAATATTCCGGCATGGAAGACGAAATGACCAGTGTTCAAAAAATAACATGACTTCTTGAATCACGCGGTGACTGATTGGCTGTACGGTTGTTTGCCAGAGAACAACGGATCAGCCTCCCTCCGATTAGCTCGCTCGGGACGTTGTGCTCGCCTTTGAAAGACTCGGGAGGTCAGGGTGTGGTAATCAATCTCGCTGTGTGCATTACGGGAGATTGGAATTTCGACTTCCCTTGAAGGCTTCTAAAATACATATATAATGTAAGCCGCGTGCATGCGTAAAGTTCTTAACACAGGCAATAAATTTAGATAAATCAGCAAAATGTTAAGATTAAGGCCAGCATCTCGCTGTTCTCTAAAGCATCTATCGCCTACCATATGCACCAGGGCCTACAACTTCGATCGCAAGCCTGTCTTGAAGAAGATAGCTAACAATGTCGACATTTCGTCCTTCAAGGCTCTGGATAAACTGCCCACCACAACTACGGATTATTTTACGCAACATTCAACAAAGCAAAATCCTGTTTTCTATGAAACTGCGTCATATATCAACAATAAACTTTTCAAATCAAAAGCGTCTGAGTGGTTCCCAGTCAATGATCCAGCGACGAATGAAGTTGTTACGGAAGTTCCACAATCTACCGAAGAGGAATTGGACATGGCCATCGAATCCGCTTACCAGACGTTCCACAACGGTTGGAAGCAGACCACCCCCATCAAACGGCAACAAATTCTTGCCAATTATGTGGAAAAAGTGAAGAACAATTGGGATCGCTTGGCTTCCACAATTGTTATTGAACAAGGTAAATCATTTTCAGATGCAAGGAACGATGTGCTTAGAGGCTTGCAATGCGCAGAACATGCTATGGCTGGTGTACATATTGACAATGCTCTTCTAGGAAGTTCTTTAGAGGTGTCGACCAACATGTATACTACAATGTACCGTGAGCCATTGGGTGTAATAAGCTCAATTTGTCCCTTCAACTTCCCAGCCATGATCACACTTTGGACAATTCCCTACATCATCGCTACTGGTAACACTAATGTAATCAAACCAAGTGAGCGTTGTCCTGGTACCACTCTATTATTGGCAGAGTTAGCTGCTGAAGCTGGTGTTCCACCTGGGGTCATCAACATTGTCCATGGTAAGCACGACACAGTCAACAAACTTGTCCACGACAGCAGGATTGCTGCTGTGACTTTTGTCGGAGGCGATCGCGCTGGTGAATATATCTACAAGGAGGCCTCAGCGCTAGGCAAGAGATGCCAGGCAAACAGGGGCGCCAAAAATCACTCCGTTGTCGTGCCTGATGCTGACAAAGAGCACTTCCTCAATTCTATCACAGCCGGTGCTTTTGGAGGTGCTGGTCAGAGATGTGTATCTACCGACATTATCTTCACTGTCGGAAAAGAAACGGAAGAATGGATTCCTGAAATCGTCGAGAAGGCTAAGCAATTCAAAGCGTTGCCAGGTTTTATGGATGGTGATCTAGGTCCTGTAGTAACTCCTGAATCCAAACGAAGAATCATCGAGATAATCGACGATGCTGAAGCGAAGGGCGCAACCATCTTGCTTGACGGTAGGAACTACACACCTCCTGTGAGCTCTGAACTGATCGATACTTATTCTAAAGGTAACTTCGTGGGCCCAACAATTATCGACAACGCTAAACCTGGAATGAGATGTGTGGACGAAGAAATGTTCGGCCCAGTTTTGGCAATTATGAGAGGGTATACTCTGGACGATTGCATCGAATACATTTCTAGAAACAAGTATGGTAATGCTACAGCTCTTTTCACGCAATCTGGAGCTTTGGCAGAGAAATTCACCAAGAATGTTGATATTGGTCAGATTGGTATCAATGTTCCCGTTCCAGTTCCACTTCCAATGTTTGGGTTCACGGGAACAAAAGCTTCATTCCTTGGTGACTTAAACTACTACGGTAAGACTGCTTTCTACTTCCTAACGAAACCTAAAACCACGACCGCTTTGTGGAGAACCTCTACTCCCAAGGCCGAGAAGCCCAATGTCAATATGGACTGAATGGCTTACGAGATTTAGTACCATATAATGTATGTTGTAAATGTGCAATATAAGTACCATTTTAATGATGTTATCCTTATTAAGCGATGTAGACGTATGCAATTAAAAGATGGTTTTTGGCATGCAATTTGATTCAATAGCTTTTCTTGGCTTTTCTCTTCTGAACATTAATTGGAGACAAAACCACGCTCTTGGGTAACTTCCGTTTCCAGTCAAGATCCTTACCACTAAGTGAGACTATTTCTCCTTGGAGAATCTTTTTGTGATATATCTTTTCGAGCTGGCCCCGATGCTTGGCGATCCAGACATGATTTAGTGCTCCATCGCTACTCAATCTTTTAATCACATTAGTCTCCAATAGTTTGCATACAAAGTTCTTTGCATTCTCAGAAACTTTAATCCATTGTTTTGCCTCAAAGTTCAATTTGCCAAGCTTTGCATTCTGAATAATACTACCTTCCGAACCATCTCCATAAAACGGGGAAATGCCAGTCAAAATTATGTGTGTGATTACTCCCAGTGACCATAGATCACATTTTGCATCATAGCCGTGATGGTCGAGCGTTGCTGCTCTTGAAAATTCCTTGTAAACGGCTCTATCAGCCTTGAAGCCAACTTCTGGTGCACAATATTCCGGAGTTCCAACAACGGTGTGCATCCTTGAACAAGTCGACGACAAATCCTTAGCTATACCAAAATCGGCGAGAACTATTCTCGTACAGGGCTCAGGCGTGCATAAAAGAATGTTATCTAATTTCAAGTCACGATGAACAATGCCCTGTCCATGCAAATACTTAAGGGCTTGAAGGATTTGATAGATAATAATCAAAGACTCAGTCTCTGATATAGCGGAAAGACAATCTGTTCTTGCAAGATAGGAAAATAAATCCCCCCCTGAAACCAGATCTTGGAATATGTAAAGGTTGTCTTTAGAACCAATGAATGTTTTGTGCACTTTTATTATGTTAGGCTGGGAAAAACAGTTTGTTAGTATGACAATTTATCACTCATGCGCTACATGGAGGGTATTTGTCGTAATGTTCGTACGTGTGCCAATTTTAACAAGATCTGCGCCTCTCTGTCGAGTTTATTCGGCTTCATCTTGATGACTTTAACTGCATAATTAATGGGACAGGTTGATGAAGAATTTTCTGTTCTTGTAGCAACCAAAACATGACCAAATGTTCCGCTACCAACAATCCGTGGTGTTATCTCCCAGTCTTCCACGCGTTTTTGGAAACCCAACTGCTCCAAAAGGCCCGAAGAAATAAGTTGTACCTTAGCCACAAATCGATATTTACCAATGTTAGGTATCGTAATAATGTCTTCATCCTGAAGCAAGCAGCTTTGTCCGCGCCTAAGTGTCCGGCCATTTAAAAGAATTCCGTTCAATGAACAATCTTTCACATAACACATTGGAACACTATCATCATCAAATCTGATGGCCCAAACCATGCAATGAATTCCTGAAATAGAGGGGTGAGATAAAACAATATCGCATTCAATGTCGTTTCTTCCAAATTTCACTAGCTTATTCTTAGGAATGGGAATGGCGGCTGTGGGAAGCTCAGAATCTGAATGGGAACCGACGTCCTGAACTGCCTCCAGCATGCCCAAAGTCTGTACATCTTTGGTGGCGAATAGACTTATCGCCATCTAAGTTAAGGTCTCTTGATTGTTTTATTTATAGGACTAATATCTTGAACTATTTTTAAAGAGGGAAGGTTACTCTCACGCGAATCCCTTATTTATCAACACCAGAAAAACCATGTCAACACCTACAACACCGCAACATACAGGAGCCAATGAGGAGATGAACATCGATGATGTTCGTGAGCTAGATGACAGGGATGTTCAAGATTTAGACTTAGATGCTGGAATGGAGTCTTCTGTCGAACTTCCAAAAAGGAAGGCGACGGATGATGACGCAGATATGTTTGACCTTAGGGATGACTTCATGCCCAAAGTCAACATAAGCTCTCCATTTTCATCTCAAGTGGATGTCCAGCAGCTACAGGCGAAAGGCCATTCTCAGAGACGGCTTTCTATGTCACAACAATCCAAATTTATCACCTATTGTGATGAGCGTCTAATGGCCATCCAGCGAAAGTTCGTTCAGTCAAGAGGCCTTACCGAAGAGAATGGCTACAAAGGACTCGTTCCACTTTTGCAGGACATGAAGCAATTATTGGACTTCATATGGTTTTCAATCGATGGCATACCCAATACAGAAGTTTTAATTGAACAGGATGTCAGCAGCGTAACTATCAATCAATATGATGGTACAAAATCGACTAATATTGGACAAACTTATTATCTCATGCGCTTGGCTGACGATTTTCTTGACTACCTCATGAAATTTGACTTGAAAGAGCTTGACGAAGACGAACAACATAATACACTGTCAAAAGTATTCAAGTTCCTAATTATTTTGGACAAAATCTTCGCTCGATTACTTGACGGTACAGTCCCTGGCCAGACAAAGATGGGTGGGACCGAAATGGTGAGGCTATCTGGCATTGCGGAGCGTACAAGAGTGGCATTATCATTATACTTCAGTCAACAAAAGCTTCACGGGTATCACTATGAGATAAGCAAAATTTATGAAGAAACGCTTGAAAGATGTGCATGAGCTATGTAATATTATTAACTATGTACGCTACTCTATCAAAACTGCTCAAAAGGATTTGGGGCATGGACAGTAACTAGTGATGGTGTTGACAAGGGTGTTACGAGTGGTACCGTGTGCGTTTCTTCAGCAGCCCCCTGTGGCTGCGACTGCGGTTGCTGTGACTGCTGATGCTGTTTTTGTTGCGGATCCTGTTGCTGCTGTGCTTGAGAGATGTTTCTAAATGAGCTTAGATCAAGAATGACTGTGACGTCTTTTGTAATCTTAGCCAAAGATGCAAGATTGGGTCTAACTTCATTCAAAATAGGAAGATCTTTCATGATTATTTTAGTATTAGCCAGAATCGAAATGATGGATTTGAGGAAGGCATTGATGTCTTCCCAGGTTTTTGCCTTTTCTTTTCCAACGGAAAATATATCAGAGTCATTTTTAGCTATCAGTGCTAGCCGTTCTTTTAAGACCTTAGAAAGTTCCATCGACTGATAACAAGTATCAGTTAAGTCTTTTATTTTAGCAGCAATCGTGCTCGTGATATTTGATAGCTCACCGCTTTTAGTACTGGCAATTGCACTCTTGGTTATAGCGGATGTCAATTTAGAATAGACGACATTGACCATTGCAATAACAGTATTTAAAGTACGATACAGCTGTGCATCGATGTCCATATCATGAGGAGAACCGTCTTCCGCTCCCGAACCACCAGACCCAGGACTATGCGTTGAGAGAGGTTGCGATACAGAATCTGGAGGTCTTCTAATCACCAAAGGCGAATGCTGTAAATGGTCTGGCCTTTGCTTAGGAGAACCATCAACGGCTCTGCCATCTAGAGGTACACCACCTTGAGAGGGAGGGGGTGTTGAGTTCACTGAGCCTGGAGCAGAACTGAAGTTAGCGGAAATAGGAGTTGGAGAATTAGCTTGAGGCATCGCATTGCTAGTGGATCGTTGAAGCGTATTACTTCTAGTGCGAGTACCAACGTGCTTATACCCATGAGAAACGCTTTGAGAAAAAGTGCGACTTGTCTTCCTCTTACGGCTTGCCGTGGCACCTTGCGGAGAGATCAAATTCCATGCATTGTACATTTCCGTATACGAGCATAGCAGGTTCACGTAAAACATCCTTGCAAAATATATCTCATTCGCTTGGAAGAAAGAGTTGAAGTTTTTCCTTAGTAAAGAAAATATTTGCTTGAAAATCGCAATGATAGTAACACACAATTTGACCATGACATCATTTCTAGTAGAATTTGGACTTTCATTCTGCTCCAACAGTTCGACTAGATTATCAATATGAGATCTTACACTGTAAAGTAAAGATACTGAATTGACAGCTGCCTGCTTATCTTCACAAAATGAGGTTATCTTGCGAACATTTTGCTGACATTCAGTGAACGAGAACAAAAGTTTCCGGCATGCTATTGCGAGCTCATCATGTGTAACTCGTTGCGAAGTTGTTTCTTCCGGTAGAACTGACAGCCTCTTGAAGTAATCGTTGTATTTTTTGTGATTATAGAGTTCTTCTTGGTGGTTTTCCTCTTCGGACACATTAATGAATCCCATTCGCTTCGCAGCTCTACTAATCTTTGGTTCGAAGTATTTCCTAAGAGCAACACACCAATATTCCTCTGGAGTAATAGTCCCTGGCAGTGACTGAGGTGGAATCTGTGATTTAACTTGCTCTAGTTCTTCAAGAGGGATGCTGTTGCCCTCAATTTCCAATATTTTCAAGCTCTTTAATGACATCACAGCTTGATACAACTCACGAAGAGATGACACAGCATTATTCTTGAGCGACAGAACCTTCAGGTTTTCACACCACAGTTGCGGATACTCTTGAGGTAAATGAGTAATATGATTGGATGATAAATCTAAGATTTCCAAATGCGGGCACCGAAGCAAAATAGGAGGAATCTCCTGCAACTTGTTGCTGTGCAGATCGAGGTAGCGAAGTTTAGTGAGTTTGTCAAAGCTATTAGGCAAAGTAGTGAGAGCATTCTTCTGTAGTGACAATCTCTCAACAGGTAGCAGAAGCTCAATAGCTTCTTGTGAAAGCGAAGAAATGCCTAGATCTATCAGTTTGATAGTGGGATCCCTTCGCGACAACTGCTTAGCGGCAAGGTACGTGAGATTATTCCTGTCCACTGGCTGTCGAAGATTGGATAGTAATTCTCCATGGCTATCCATTATGTCAATCCGCTGACTGTTTCTTATTTGTCTAAGAGTGGCTGGATTTAACGTTGAACTTGAGATCCGCTTACCTCCATTTTTTATTCCGGGTAACACCAACATTTTGGCGATTTCCAAAACGTTGAATTATGCAACCAACCAAGTATCGAATACGTTGTCATAGCAGCGCTAAACTGCATTGTGAAGAGCCAAATGCTTCCTAAAACACCATAAAAACTTTAAATGACTCTGCTGACTTATGCGTGAAGACGCGAACGCACTTTTTCCAAGGGGTTTTCTACCAAATTAGGGCTAACAACTGGACGTGCAGACCTTAAAGAATTGCTCATTATCGCATTCTACAAATTTCGTTAGTCTTGAGAGTTAATTTTGGCGGGGATCGCGTCACTTTATTCGGTAAGATAACATCAGGACCCTGAAAGGCAGGACATGCATAAATATAAGACAGTGGGACAAGTAAGCAAATAGACTTGGATGAGTTGGAATCCTGAAAACCCCATTACGTACACTTCTCAATATTATCATCAATGACACAATCATTAAGGGATGCGATTTAGCAGTCGAACGAACGGAAAGAGCGAGGTTTTGAGGACAGAAAAGCCTCTACTCACCGAACGAGGCTTGAGGTTAATTAGTAGCAGAGAACTGTAAATAGCTGCCAACCATGATGGTGAAGGCTGCTGTTCATTTCTAGATCAATCGCTATTTTTGTCCTTTTTGTTGAGGACTCATGTGTGCTTTCATCGAGGTGATTCACTGAATCTACGGGAATGCTCTGCGCTCCACATACATTCGATGTTGATAAACGACTCTCGTGCTGTAGCTAAGATTTTTGAGCTGTAGACTGATCTGTAACCTACCTTCATGAATGGAACTCTTTCATATATGCAAAAATGCTCATGCCCAGCAGGCCCCTTCGCCTCATGCGGCCACATGTTCGTTGACTCCGGTCGCCATGAATTGTTGTCCCGGAATGCCCGTTTCGGCAATCCTTGCATTGCATGTTTACGATGCATGCGAACACCAGGGTAGGTCAGAGGCACTCTGCTTTTCAACGGTCGCCAAGACTGCATTTGTGATATTCTTCGCACGGCTTTAGCATTGCTGATTAGACTGAACATTCATGAGGCCACTTTTTCATGTCTAAGGGATCGCGCTTTCCAGTCAGTCCATTCGGAGCTATTAACAAATCTCGTCTTGAGCATCTGGAACTCTATCTTTGAGGCAAATTTCTTTCCAGACTATCCCCTGGTCAGCCGCTCTCCCTTGCGGTCCGTATATAGTAAAAAGTCATGATTCTAAGGATGCTTATCATACGTGCTCACAAAGTATACGATTCCTAAATATCCGTACGCTTATAATATCCGAATAGATACTTATCGAGCTCAGATCGGGATTTGATCACATGGGCAAGTCCCGGTAATATATCTTTTGTCAAGAAAAAAAATGTAGATTTGACATATCCCATCAAAGACAGATATCGGTGCGATGGGTTGGTTTTGGGCTGACAGTAAGATAAATAACGTATGAATAAGCCAAGTTTGTATTGAAGGTGATGTGTTACTAACTCAGAATGCAGACTACAAGAAAAGAAGGCTTGAATGAAGCCGCCAAATGTCCGGTTGCGGGTACTACTGCGAATCACACGGAGGTATCGTCTGCCTGTCCAGTGATGCATGGGCCGGGATCTGAGGCTGGGCTTAATCCTCTTAACAATATTCCACAAGCACTTTCGCACCATAAGCAGCCCGGTCAGAAGCTTGACCTTCCCAAGGACCGGACTGTGAGCTCGATCCCTAAAGGAAACCCTAGCGCAGAAGAGTTTTGGGAATATCCTTCTCCGCAGCAAATGTACAACGCCATGGTGCGTAAGGGTAAGATAGATACTAATACCGGAGAGGAGATCCCAGAAGATGCAGTTGAATCGATGGTATTTGTTCATAATTTTCTCAACGAGGGCTGCTGGCGAGAGGTTTTGGATTGGGAGCAGAAGTACACGGAAGAAACTAATATGGAACCTAAGCTTTTGCAGTTCATGGGGAAGCCTTCACAACTTTCACCAAGAGCACGTTGGTATCACTTGTTAGGTACCCTTTTCCCTTCCCACTTTTCGAGCGAGTTGCCCTTCGATCGTCACGACTGGGTTGTACTGAGACCAGATCCGACTTCCGCTGACCCTGAAACACCAGGATACAGGAAAGTGCGGTACGTGATTGACTTTTATAGCGGTGCTGATGATGAAGATGGTCTTCCCACTTTCAACCTTGATGTACGCCCTGCCCTTGATAATTTGACCAACGCGAAGGATAGGTTTGTCCGCTGGACACAGCCAATACTAGACGAATACTTCGGCAACGATAAGAAATGAATCGTCTATCAATTTTGAATATGTAAATAGTGCACCTATTTAAGGGGGATTGTACTCGAACGGCACCGCACTGCGGAAGAGGAATTTAATAACTCTATTACTATATGTACATGGAGAGAATTTGTGTATATTTACAGTAAATCCAATGAAGATTTTACTCACGCTCGGGTATAGAAACGCCATTTTCTTTCAAAATGTCGAGATTTTTCTTCAAAGGGGTGAAGTTTTCCATCTCCAAAATGTCTTGCAAGATAGTCTCAATGTGCTTCAGTTCTTGGGCTGTGAACTTGCTCTTCCTATTTTTGGCCATAGTCGCCAATGTGTAAACGACTCTAGATGCTGCATTGTAGGAAAGTTGGCCTCGTGCCTTTTTTGCGATCTGCATATACAGTTCCACTCTGCTCAAGTATCCGGCGTCACCAGATTTCAAGCATAAGTCACAAAAGCCGTTAATTATAGGGTCTAAAATCGCTCTCGATACCATGTTCAAGCTTTTAGCTTTAGTAACAAACTTCTTAAACACAGTTTCGGCCTCTGCATAGTTTCCATTGTAAAATTCTGCAAAAATCATTAAACCGTATTTTTTAGCATCCAGTGGCTCTTCAATCTCGAGGAACAGTTTTCTAATAGTTTCAATATCCGGACAAACTTTAATAAAACGTTCGAATATGGCGTTGGTAGTGTTGATATCTTTTTTACTCTTTGAGATACTTCTCAAGAATTGAAACTCAGGATTATTGGTATTGAGAGAGTTGACGTACATTTTTATCCCGAGAGTCTCAAAATTGGGTTGCAAAGGAGCATCTGCATCTGTGAATTGCGCGCGATAGAATGAGTCGATTTCGCTCTCTGGCGATTTTTCCTTGGCCATACGAGCCAAAACAGCGTTGGCCAACTTGATAGAGTTAATACGAGCAGGCAACTTGTTTTTGATATCCTCGAGAGCTGTATCGCGGGAACCACATAGAGCAGTTAGGTAGGCCTCAAGCAACTCTTGATCTTCCTTCATTTCTGCAGGTATTTCTTGATTCCAGAGTTGTTGAACTTTGTCGTAATTACGACTGATTCCTAGTGCGGTAGCAAGCGCATTGTAAGAAGAGACATCAACTGTGGCTTGACGAGGAAGAATGACAGAATTCCAAATTGCTTCGATTCTCTTCAACTTTTCCTCTCTTGCACGTAGTCTGCTGACTGGCAGACTGGCAACAGTCACGAGAAGAGCATTGTCCACGGGGAGTTCAGGATCGCCTTGTTGTTTGGTCGTATTGAAACAGTTGAGAGCCAATTGGGGCTTTCCAAAGTGCACCAATGCCGTCATAAAAGCAGCCACGACTTCTGGATCCATGGGCTTATTGGCTTCTTTGGCCACACGAGCGTAGGTTTGAAACAAGTGGTACACATCCTTCTCCTGGCGCAAAGAATTAAGATGTTGCAAAAAAGAGGGCTTGTTGGTATGTGCGAATTGGAACATGAGCTGGTCGAGGTTGTGAGAAGCCTGGTTGCGTACATCGGCCGTAAATGGCAACTTGCCCAATAAGTATCTGATCCTGGAAAATGGAATCTTGTCGAGATGGCCGTCTTGTTTCAGGACTTGTGCGAGAACGGAGAGATCGGGGACGTTGTCCGGCAAGAGCAGGTAACCGATGGACGCGAGCGCCATGTTGTTCGTGTGGTGGGCACCGTACGTGACCGCTTTGGGGTTTTCAGCGATGGTTTCGAGATACTTGACCCACAATCCGAGCACGTCCTGGGGCGATTGCGCAAGTAGCAGGTACTCAAGCACGACTTCGAAGTGTGCGTCACGCGCCAGGTTGTTTTCGCACATGGTGGCGAGGATTTCGTAGGGGTTGGGAGGCAGGGTCGTTGCGTCGCCGCCGTCGCGCGCGGCCGAGCCCTTCAGACCGGCCTTGGAGGCTTCAAGCAGCTGGACTAGCACGGAGTTAAGCCCGAAAGAGCGCTGTAGTGTGTGTTCGGGCTGGTCCAGGTTCTGTGAGAGCTCGTAAAGGCCGTCCTTGAAGGTTTTGTAGGCGTCGTTGGCGCCAAGTGGGCCGCGCAACGCCTGGGTGAGATCACGGCTAAGCTGCGCGACAGGGTGGAGGGGGCGTGCGGTGGACTCGCACCGCACGCAGACGCGCACGAGCCTGGATCTGAGGGTCGAGAGCATCAGGGCTATGGTTTGGTTGTGGAGCACCTGTGGTGGACCGGTGAAAACTTTTTCCAAGAGGGAAAGGGAACAAAAACCGGCACGTGACTTGCGTCACGTGCTGGCACCTGACCGCTCGAAAAATCAAAAAGTAAGCCCTGTAGGGGGCTCGAACCCCTAACCTTATGATTAAGAGTCATACGCGCTACCGATTGCGCCAACAAGGCTTATAACTCTTGAAGGATCGAGTGCCAGTACACCGCATATGGCGGAGCGCACGGGGCACGTGCTTGTGGGGCGCTACCACACGGCGTCCCACACATGCCACGTGCCGCCCCCAGGGTCGCCGGCCTCGTCCACGCGGCGCCCAGTGCCCGCGCTGGCCCACACACCACAGGCGCAATCTCCCTGCTCAGCGCGACCGCGTCGCCCCCGAGCATCGCCGCTTCCTGTATTCGCCCGTCACAGCTGCCCGCCGCCCGCCGCCCGCCGCAGCGCAGTCCAATTGGGCGGTCTCAAACCCAGCGTGGGCCCTACCAACCCCTTACTACATTACCACGCTTTCGTCCACCGCCCGCATTATCGGTCTCCGCCCGCCGTTTCCCGCTCTATCGGAGTCTCCATACTGCTATCTGCCAGCCCGATTGCTCGAGCCAGATTGGGTAAATTGCCTGTCTTCGGAAAGTCGCCAGCCCACAAGCCCTGGACTCACTGCGGACACTGATTGCCCTGCGCGCCCGTCTGTGCAAATCGTCCAGCAAGCATTACCCGATCCGGCTATACTCCCAGGATTTACAGCGGTCACTGTATCGGGTGCCCGATCTTATTGGCAGCAGGAAAGAGGCCACACCGGCGGAACAGATGGGGGAAGCTGACGGGAAGCACGGCGCAGACCAAGGTGCAGCCCGAATTCCGCTACGGACACATCTACGCAGCATCGCGACGAAGCCGCCCAGAAGGCGCCGCGCCGCGGCGCCTTCGGCGGGCATCCCCTGGCCTCAGTCACATCACTTGAGCAGCCCTCCCACGGGCCCTTCTAAGCTCGGCCCGGTGGCCGCCGCGATCTCAGCGCCCTGACAGAAAAATTTTTTAAATGCGGGCCAAGCCCTGTGGGATTCAAGGGCTATTTGGCGGGTCCTTGCTATACAGCAGTGGAATGCCCCCCCGTAATTCGCACGGTTTATAGCGGCGCATCTCTCAGAAACTCGCGTGCAGCGCCAGAAATGTGCTCAGAAACCCGAGTGGGCAAGCTTGACACAGCGTAATTGGCAGCACGACGTGTATGCGGCAGGCCGGCTGAGATAGAGATCTCAAAGTAGCATATATATATATTAAAGGCGTGTGGAAACAGTAGTCTCAAGTTTTGAAAAGATCATCCAGCACCGGTTCTCACCTGTTATACGGCGTGGGACGGATCAATTACATAGGTGGACGCAGTGCAATCAGCAATTGCACAGCTCAGGCGCATACAGTAGCCCCAGCAGCGCGGATTTTACTCGCACTCTCGGCTTTCCCCCGTACCTGGCGTCGACAGCTCGACAAGCAGTCGGCCGACCCGCATCTACATCACACGTCTAAGCCCGCACTTTCACGCTTCCAGCGCGCCGGCTTAGCACCCTACTCTAGCATTCGAGACCGCCGCGGGCAACTCAGCAGGTCTGGTTATCACCGCAGCCGCGGCACTCTATACGGCCGCCGCCCCAGCAGCCCCAGCAGCCCCGAAGAGAGGCACGAGATCACGGAGCACGGCGCGAACGCAGCTTCCTTTCAAAAAAAAGGCGCCGCCCGTCCCGCTGAACTCTTCCTCCTGTCCTCCCTGGACCCGCACGTCAGCACACATCTGCTGTCTTTGCACACCCGTACCCGCACGCACCGTCCGGGATCACTCACACTTGGTTCACAGTCGTCGTTGTTGTCGTCGTTTTCGTCGAGCCCAGTACACCACTCCTCCAGCATGCACTCGCACTTGTCCGCCGCGCGGCGGAGTACCTGGAACGCACGCGCTGCGCATCCGCGTGTCGTGCAGATGGAGCTCATGGCCCACCAGATCACTTGTCAGGAGTACAGTGTGGACATCCTGCGCCATCTGATCGACATCGAGCAGCAGAGCAGGCCGTGCTTCGCCAGCTTCGAAGCGCAGCCCGAGATCAGCGTGCAGATGCGCTCGCTGATCTTCGACTTCGTGATGTGCTGTCACACGCGTCTCGGCCTGTCGTCGTCCACGTTGTTCCTGTGCTTCAACATCATCGACCGCTACTGCTCGCGGATCATCGTCAAAAGCGCGACCTACCAGCTCGTCGCGTTGTGCAGCTTGTGGCTCGCCTCCAAGTACACCGACAAAAAGCCTCGCATCCCGTCGCTACGCGCTCTGCAGAGCCTCTGTTGCAACCAGTACAGCAAGCGCCAGTTCCAGGATATGGAGTTGCACATCCTCAAGTCGCTGAACTGGATGTCCTGCGTGGCTCCGCCGCATGATGCGTTTGTCGATATCTTGCTGAAAAATAAGATCAGCTCGCTCAGTTATAAGGGCCTCAACTTGAACGACCTCAAGTACGGTGCTGTCGTGTTGTGCGAGCTCGCGTGCTTCGACCACGTGCTTGCCTTCGACTACAACGCATCTGCAGTCGCGTTAGCGGCTGTCACGCTCATCACGCATGCGCTACGTTACACAGTAGACGGTCAGTTTTTGCATTATTCTGCGATGCTGAAGGATCTGAATTTGCAACGTGTCTGTGAGCTGTTGCTTGCCAGATTCCGGTCCCGCAGTTTCCCTTCGAGCTTCCGGCTCAAATATATGTCTCAGGGCAAGCTCGAGTCCAACCCGATTCTTTATAGCCTTCTAAGATATGACGCAGAACTCTCTCCGGGCCAGTCCTCGAGCAGCGAACCACCCGGTTCTTCCGTGACGTCCTGGGGTCCAAGCATTTCCAGAACACCTTCCATTACAGTGCCACCTACCCCATCCACCCCATCCACTGCAGCGCTAGCCGCGCTGAATGCATCGGGTGCCACTAAAAAGATGACAACTGCAGCCACGCCGACCTCGTGTGTTACCTCTCCTATTGAGTTCTCTGGCATCTCTAATATTACACGTCCAGCGATGTTCAAAAGGCAACATGCAAAGCGTGACTCCTCCGTTATGGAAGCAGATTTCTTTGACGCAACTACGGTCACTTGCAAGCGCATACATTAGAAGGCTACCATGGACTCTGATAGCCCATCAGCTAGATAATTTTTAAAGTTGTCTCCGGGAGAAACCAGGTTAAGAGTGTTGATTACAATGAATGGATACATTTCTCGCAAAACAAACAAAAAAAATTCCATGAAACACCCCGGAGATTGACAAAAGGCATGAATCCTATACATCTAAATCACGCATAGATCTGGTTTGTCGCTATCAGGAGGTCTAAACCTAATTAGATGCTTGCTCAAAGCATGTCTGGATTTCATTTTTTCTTCAACTTGCATTGTTTTCTAGAACATGTATATTTAGTAATGAAATAGCGATTTTAAGTTTCTTTACATTCTCTTAATGCAGAATGACTACGAATCATCAGCCGAACGCCGATTGAAAGTGGGAAAAATTGTGCACGGAAGTCCCGTTCACATTCTTGCTCTTATGTGGCCGAAATGTGTCGGCGATGTTGGATATTTTTCTATTTTCGTACGATAGCACATTTTGTTTATCATCTTTTCTTGTTTTCTTTTTTTTGGGGTTTGTGGCGGCTAAGCATGATCTGCACAGTTGGGATAGAAAATCAAAACATATCATATCAGGCACCAAAAGAAAAAATTATGCAGGTACAATTTAAGATATTGATAAAGTTGCATGAGAAACTCGTCTACAGTGATAGTGGAATTTGTAGATCAAGTTTTCAGAGGGATTTCTGATCGCGTGACAAGTATCACGTCATCCGTATACCTTTTTTTTCTTCTTCCTAGGAGCACCTTAATTTCAACAGGCTTTTAGATTGCAAGAATTAATCAATTACAGAGGCAATATTTCAAGAGATGAGCAAAAGGAGTAACGACTTTAAAACTCGTTCTGAAGACAAGCGCGTTGCTACCCTGGATTCTTCCATTGTATCGCAATACACAGGTTATTTCCCTCCTCATAAGGACACCAAGATTGATGTCATCGATTTGCCAAGCACGGCCGAAGCCATCAACAGTTTTTATGAAAACTACGTTATCGCCCGGAAACCGTGTAAAATCAAAGGTGTTTGTTTTCGTGAAATACTACTCGAAGGATTGAGCCCTGCAAATATTAACTCCACACTCCCTGGGGATGAGATCCTACAGGTAGAACGGAAGGTAGACGGCGGGTTTGGAAGCGGTGAGAAGAGGCTAAAAATGAGTTTCGAAGAATTTATGAACAAAGTGGTCAATGATGGTAACGACTTATATCTAACTACGCAATACGTTGAAGACGATCCAGATCAGGAAGAAGAATCCTTCAGTGATGAGGGAAATGATAGTGAGGAGGAAGAAGCTCCAGAGGGGTTCGCAGACTTATCTGACGCAGAGTCTCTCAACTTCAATGACGCGCATGATGATTTCGAGGAGCTGAATGGAAGCGACGAAGACGACAGTATCGTGGCAGAATTGTGCACCGGTTCTCTCACGACTCAAGAAGCCGAGCAGCGTATTAAGGAACTTTATCAACCGCCCATGACCAATCTAGTTAAACGGTTGCCTGAAACTCCAAAATTCTTAGCATCACTAATACCGCAACAGATAAACCTCTGGATTGGATCTGCATCTTCTACTACAACAAATGATGTATTTTTGAACAACTTTGATGCCACGAAGCCCAAGCTCGGTTTAGGAAGAAATGTACCAGGTGAGGGCTCATCTTCTGGACTCCATCACGACCATGCCGACAATATATATATCCCAATTAATGGCCACAAAAGATTCACACTATTCTCTCCTGGGGATGCCGCTAAAATGTACACAGTAGGTGATCTTCGCAAAGTTTTTGATTCTGGTGTTATCGACTACGTTCGCAACGGAGCAGCACCTAGTTGGAGAATGCTCCGAGATGACGGCGCAGTAATTGCAGAGGTCGCAAAGCAAAAGCTGGAATCTCACGACACCTTAAGCGAAGATAAAAAGCAAGAGTTGTTACGTATAATTGAAGCAGATGAAAGCGACTTACAAGAGATTGACGCACACACCGATCCTCCTTCTTTCTCGAATATCCCGCCTAGCGTAGTGCACTTAGACAAGATAAAGGATTCTCCATTGAAAACCGAAATTGAGGCAGCCGCTATAAAAAAGTGGCCACTTTTCTTTGATGCCAACCGGATAACGGTCGATTTACATCCGGGCGAAATGCTCTTTCTCCCTACCGGCTGGTTTCATGAGGTGACATCTTTTGGGAATGCCAAAAAATCAATTCCTGAGGATAAACTGCATATTGCCGTCAACTACTGGTTTATCCCACCTAATGGAAAGTCAATTTCTAACCTTTATCCACATGAGGACCGCTACTGGCCACTAGACTATGATCGTACAAAAATAGCTTTGAGTAGGGCTAGATTAGAAACTTGATTTAGGGCTGCGTGACTCTGAAAAAATGTTTTGACTGTTTATAGACGCTCTGTCCTTGGAGAATTTTAAAAGTGCCAAACTTCACATATGTTTGGGTGTACAGTTTCTCGAGAAAACGTTCTCATCGCGTTTACGCTTAGGTCAGCTCGAGCTGATTTACTCTTGATGCTTCCGACTGACACGAATACTTCGAGTCAGAACGTCTTCTGCGCTCATATCTCCTACGCTGTGGACCGCATTCAAAGAAGTGGCCAATCCTGATGACTACATGAACGTGCACTACTCTATCTATGAACCTTCCGAACATCATTAAATTAAACCAAAAAGAGCTTTAAGTAAGCTATATCCAACAGAGTGCTTCACACAAACACATCCACATTTAAGTGAGACCTCATAAAAAGTACAACAATGTATGTTCATATCTTCTCCCTGTCTCGTTAATCCTCAGGTCCTGTGGATCTTAGGTCATCTTGTAAAAAGTTTAAAAATGTAGCCAGGGTTTTAATACTCGCCGTATCCTGTTGACAGTTTGCCGCACGCATTAACGCACAGCTCAATCGGCGCCTTCTTTACATCTCTAGTGCCAACCACGTTGTTCAGAATTGAAGTATCCTTCTTTTTCTGTTCCGAAATGTGTGGGTTCAATATCTATTTGGAAATGAAAGGTAGCTCTCACAGAAGATACCGTACAACAAAAAAATCGTTAGAACGGAAAAACGAAACCACATTAATTAATCTTCCCTCTGGATCGCGCAAGATCAGCGACGTTTTTCTGACGAGTAAAATCGCCTCAAGACAAGTCAAGCTGTCAAAGCTTTCTGCTAATCAATAATTTGAAGTGGAGTCTATACCAAACAAAAATTCGATTGGTATTAGCTACTTCTTTCAACGTTCCAGCGCTCAGCTTTAGCATTTTTTAGCTTTGTTTTATCGCGCTGATACACTTTTATTGGAACTAGATTTTGGTTTTTTACCGAATATTCAACGTTACCACACACTTCTACAGTCCTCTTTCCTCTGCCAAGGACAGAATTGAAAAAGATAACAGTTGGAGATTTTAATTAATTGTTCCAACGACACCAAGGACCGCATTATCATAAATAACTGATATTAATCAGATTCTGATACTTGCGACATTCCCAGATAGCTGCTTTAACAAAAAATTAGGTCCACTAAAATATTCATGGCCTACTAATCAATTGGACATTCCACATTTTTTTGTATTGATTTTTGTTCTCCATCTTATTCAGCATAAGTTATAGTTCGAACTCTGTTATGGCTTTGACGAACTCAAGACCGGTTGACATTCCGACGCTTGAAAATGAGACAATACATAATTCAACGTCCCCTGTCTTTCAACCCAGTAGCCTAGGTATCCCCTCCCATGATGATTCTCAGGATGTCATGGATCATTACGATTTAAGTCCTAGTTCTGACGCCACAAGCGACAGTAATTATGATTTTTCAAAGCTGAAGAATAGCGTAGAGTCTAAGAAGAAGCCTTCCACGACAATGACATCTGCTGCGTCAGGCGTTTCAGATATTTCAAAAATGGTTCCTGTCACAGGCGAGAGGCCAAAGCCGCAAACAAAAGACCCTTCTATGGTTGACGAAGTCCTATATGCAATTTTCGTTATTCTTTGGGAAGAAGATCCTCAGCAAAAAGGTATGACAGTCAAGCAATTATGCGATCACTTGCTTGAAAAACATCCCCAAATGTCCAGTTTATCAACGAAGCTTTCGAATCTGATCTCGGCAAAACTCAATGCCTACGTCAAGAAGGTGGAAAAAGGTGAAAAGACTTTGACTTATGCACTTTCCAGGGAGTGGTCTGATGCGTCCCCAAAGCGAATGGTGTATATCTATCGTGGTGTTTTGGCTGCCGATTACAAAGCGCATGCTCAGGCTGTCTCATTGCAAAGACAAGAATCCAAAAGTAAATTGGGTAAGACAACCAGTTTCACGTCAAAAAAATCGAATGCGTCAGGTTCTGGATCTGGCGTACAGTCATCAGAGTCAACACTGGTTGATTCGAAAATCGCGGGCTCTTTCAGCCGCTCTTTCAATGTGTCGAATGCGTTTTCTATCCACTCCTACGGAAGTGACTTCAATGTGCCTTACGCTTCATCACCTGTTTCGATAGGCCTTGCTCCTAAAATGACGGACTCTCTAGGAACATTTCAACTGGATCACGACCCATCGAAGGTTTCGAGGCAAAAACGCTCTTCATCTTCATATCCTCCGGTCAACAAAAAGCCAAAATTACCAAGTGAGGTCGGACCTGCGTATGTCACAGCTGCAGCTGCAGCACCTCGCTTGTCGAGAGTCGGCGTGAAGAAAGTTACAAATACTTCTGAGAGCGCGGCTGCTATAGTAGCAGCAATTCATCGTGTAGCTGCTACCCAAAGGCCTGTTGAAGTGATGATTCCTACTAATGGTAAGACCGGCAAGGTCCCCCCATTATCTGATAGTAGGAAAGAAGCTACATGCGCGACTTGGTTGAAAACTATTAGAGATGGTTTTTTGACTGAGGAAATTGAATCCCCAGAGGCATTATCTGTGGAAGATTTAGATGGTTTTTTAAACTGATGGTGGTGAAAACAGAGCTGAATAGATATTTGTTTACTGCTATGCTGAATGTGATTATTCGAAAGCTTTTTCAATACTTTCACTTAGCATTTTTCTCTGTTCTGGGTTATTTTATGGTTGGGACATTTTGCATGGAATCAATGCGAAGTGTGTTTGTATTTTTATGTACTTTAACGATTTGTTATACAGTATTGTATCGGTTTACGATGAGATCGTCATCTTTTAGTTATGGGGCATAATACGGCCTTTTCGGCGAAAATGCCCCATCGGTTTTATATATTGAAGTCATGTGATCAATATTTGACTAGAGTTTTATTTCTCAAGTCATTTATTTATGTCACCAACAAACCAAAATTCCAATTTACGGTGAACCAAAAGAGTCCTTGGGATCTCGTACCTCAATTCAAGCATTTATCTTATTGGTGCGGTTTTTTGCTTGATTTAATTTGAAGTTAACCCCGCAGCAATGATATCTAGAATCGTTTCGAGAAGAGGTTTTTGCAAGAGAGGCCTGAGCCATGGAGTTCTTTTTGGAAAAGGTAAAGAACAACTAGGCTCCCGGACTTTTCTTTTCAAACGGTTGAATATTAGGAATCCCCATAGGTATATGTCCTCTTCTTTCATTACGAGACAATCGATGGAGATTCCTCTTGAAAAGATGTCTACTGAGCAAGTAGAAATGTTAACAGAGGAACGAGCTGTAGATAAAGTCGACGTTTGTATTGTGGGAGGTGGTCCTGCAGGTCTTGCGACGGCTATAAGATTAAAACAGTTGGATAATGAAAATGGCAGCGGTGAACTTAGAGTTGTTATTCTTGAGAAGGCCCCAGATATGGGTTCTCATATGGTGTCTGGTGTGATTTTGGAGCCTCGAGCTCTGAGAGAGCTTTTTCCAGAAAGTGAATTTTATGATGAAAACGGCGCTGGTATTCCTCTTCCGCCTGATTTGGTCTCCAAAGTGGAAATAGAAGAATTGAAATACCTCATCGGTGACTATGCAATTCCTGTTCCCGAGCCTCCCCAAATGATAAATGAAGGGAAGAACTATATTGCTTCTTTAAGTCAAGTCGTAAGGTATCTGTCAGAAAAAGCAGAAGATATTGGCGTAGAAATATATCCCGGTATATCGGTCTCAGAAGTTCTCTACAACGAAGATGGGAAATCTGTGAAGGGCGTAGCCACAAAAGATCTCGGAATCGCCAAAAATGGACTTCCAAAGGATAATTTTGAGAGAGGTATGGAGTTCCACGCTAGGCAAACTGTGTTCGCAGAGGGATGTCATGGATCGCTTACGAAACAATTGATCAAAAAATTTGATCTCAGAAGAGGGAAGAATAATCAAACGTATGGCCTCGGCATAAAAGAAGTTTGGGAGGTTCAACCTGATAAATTCAAAAAGGGCTTTGCTGCTCACACAATGGGGTATCCATTGACTAACGATGTTTATGGGGGTGGTTTCATTTACCACTTCGGTGATGGACTAGTAACTGTTGGACTTGTAGTTGGTTTAGATTATAGAAACCCATATGTTTCTCCATATCAGGAGTTTCAGAAAATGAAACATCATCCATACTACGAAAACGTGCTAAGCGGTGGTAAATGCATCGCATATGCCGCTCGTGCCTTAAATGAAGGCGGTTTACAGTCGATCCCCAAGCTACACTTCCCCGGTGGTCTCTTGGTCGGTGCATCGGCAGGATTCATGAACGTGCCAAAGATCAAAGGAACTCATACGGCAATGAAGACGGGTATGCTAGCTGCTGAAGAGATGTTTCAATGTATTTCATTAATGCCAACATTAGCAGAGCTTGAAGAGCAAGACATCGAGCATATTGTTGAAACCCCAATTGATTTGGAATCATATGAAAATGCGTTCAAGCAATCTTGGGTTTATGATGAGTTGTATGAAGTTCGTAATATTAGACCATCTTTCAGTCACCCTCTACTTGGTCGCTTAGGAGGAATGGTTTATTCTGGATTGGATTCTTTAGTTTTGAAGGGACAAGTCGCGTGGACATTTAACCATCATGAATCTGATGCAAAACTAACGGAAGAAGCACAAAACTTCAAACCAATCGAATACCCAAAACCTGATGGCAAAATTTCGTTCGATATTCTGACCTCTGTAGCAAGAACGGGTACTTATCATGATGAAAACGAGAAATGCCATCTACGGGTTCCCCAGCAAGATCTAGAAAAGCATGCGAAGATTGCATATCCTAAATGGAAAGGAGTCGAAGCTCGATTCTGCCCAGCTGGCGTATATGAATATGTTGAGGAGGAAAAATCACCTGTTGGGGTGAAGTTCCAAATCAACGGCCAAAACTGCATTCATTGCAAGACCTGCGACATAAAAGTTCCTACTCAAGATATAGATTGGGTAGTTCCCGAAGGCGGTGACGGGCCTAAATATACGTTAACTTAAATTATTTATTCTAATTATTTATGCTGTACTAGCGTTTGTATGTCTAAAATGTTTTATCGAACAATCAACTTACTTCGGTGATTCACTAAATATTAACTTGAAAAGTTCTAAGAATGCTATATAATAATACAGACAAAACGTCGTCTATGAAACCTATTATATCATGAGGTATATGCCCAGACGTTAAGTATTCGCTCGCTACTTTCTCTTAGCATGTCTTTCACAACGTTCCAATCATCTTCGCTTTCGAGCATAACGAAATCACCATCTTCATCCTGATACTTGATCTTTGATATTTCCCCTGCATGCGTGAGTTTTCTTTTCACAATTTGAAGAACATTTAATACGCTAGAGTCGAGTTCTACCAAAACAGTGTAGAAATCATTGTTAAATGAGACTCTTACCAAAATCATGGTCTCAGGTATGGAGGTTCTATAGTTTTCTGAAATGGACCTGTATTCGTTTTCGAAAGATTGGTGCGCGTGATGTTTAGGAAGAACATCCGATATTCTTCTCGCTTGTGAGCTTCCCAAAGAAGTCATACTGTAGTGAGGCTGACTGTATTGAGCAGAGGAAAATGAAGAGCGATCACTGGTGCTATTGACACTCTTGAATGACTCACTTCTGATATTACGCAGTAAATTTTGTAAACAGCTGCACCAGTTGTCTCTTGTCTCTTCATTTTTGAACTTCAAGATGAAGTTACCTTGCTCTTTTGGAGATTCCCATGTTATGTTGAGACAGTGGGTACTGACGCGGGTGATCTGGTTAAGATTCACTATCATTATTCTGCCTCTCAAATCCAACTTAGGTTCTCCAGGCCCGTTACTAAAGTTAGAGCTACCCGAAGTTTGACCGGACAAATGTAGAGTAGAAGAAGAAGCAGTACTGTTCTTCTTTTTTAAGGAAATAGAGTTACTTTTCTTTTGAATCACATCACTGAATAGTATGATAATTTTCTCGAAGAGATATACTTCAAATTCATGTTCAGGTTCATTCGAGTTGTTTGTAGAGATGGATACCTTATCAAAGTAAAGTAGTTCACCGAACTTTGCAATTCGGTACCCTTTCCAGTTGACTACACGTTCATAAAGCTTTTTTACAACCACATGGTTTTCCGTTCGCCTCTGATTTTCATTGATGCTTCTTGCAATGCTTTTTGATATCTCCAATCCCATTTCGAGCTCCTTGTGATTGCCAAAATCGGATGATTGCTGAAGTAATTCTTTCAAGAGAAGTGGGTATTTACACAGTCTTTGTACTGGCTTTAATAAAAATGATTGTAACTCAAGCTTGTTACCGATGACATAATCGGCGCCTTGCATCTTATCAAAACTAGAGGAAATGAAATCAATGGCAGCATTTTGTCCGATAGACCACGGTTCGTAGAGTTTGAAGAAATGCTTAGAATGCATGAATAAAGCACCAATTCTCTGCCTCTGAGGGTCAACTCTTCCGTTTATTTCCATAGATATTAGGAATCGTCTTTGGAAGTCGATAATATCACTCAGGTTGGGAAATAGCATATACAGCTCTTCAGAGTTAATGATACCATTGGAAAGAAGTTGATTTCTATACTTATCTAGTAGTTCGAGGTCATAAACGTATTTCCTTTCTGTTTCGACAAATTCTCGAATAATTTTCCCGTGATCGGTGTTACTCCACAATATATCCTCAACAGTGGTTGGTGGAAAAACCTGAGTTGCAGAATTAAGTAGTGTTGTCACGACATCCAACACTTTGATAAAGTTGTTCGTAGAATTCGAGAAGACGTCCGAGATAGTAAAGAGCTCTTCATCGGTGAATGAGAAATGTTGTTTGCAAGCCAAAATAAAATCATAGATGGATTTCTTGCAAATTTTCAAGTCATCAGAAGATACAACAGGTAGTTTGTGTTGTGGCTTTACAGCATTGAAAATAATGCAAAGAGGAGAACCCTGCTGAAAAAGTTGGGACAGTTGTGTGACAGGGTCACAATCCATAGATATGGGTAGTATACCCATGCTGAATGTCAGAACAGTCTCTTCCATATTTACAGCAGATCCATCTTGTTCCTCATGAAAGCTATTAGCCGATATAGAGCTTGCACGGCTACCTAAGGTTCCTTTAGGTGTGCTCGAGCCAGACATCGCACTCATATTGGACCCCACGCTCCTATGATGCATCTGACTCAGCTGTTGCTTTTGAGATAGTAATAGAGCCTGACGCTCGCTTAGTAGCTCACTACTTGCATATGCCAGGTTTAAGTACGGCTTAATTTGGGGCAAGCATTCTAGCCTCCTTTTGACGGTCAAACAGACATGATAAAGCGAATCATTCACGGAAACTCTTCGATTCAAAAGACTCTGCGTCGATTGAGACTTCAGTGTTGGCAGTGATACAGTGGATTGCGACTGAATGGCCATATCTTCGGGATGGTTGCCGTAATACTCTTCTCGAATCTACACTTTCGAAAATGCGGCAGAAGAATTTTGGCGAGACAGATTATCAAACAAACATGTAATTTTGTACGCCGTTTTCCTTTTTCGGCTAGTTGATGTCAATTTGTTACAATGAAACAATAGAACAATCGGCAACACTTTCTACATGACCGGTAGCTTCCGGTATCTACTTATTGGCTCTTCTTGCCCCAGATAGAACGTTGTGCCTTATAGACAACCTTATCGATGACCGTTCCTACGGCTAAAACACCACCGATGCTGGTGATGCAGTTTAATATGAACCCAGACCATGTCTGTGCGTGTTGTTCTTTGTTTATAACTTTTAAAGGAGACATTTCAAAGTAAATGAAAACACCAGGAATTCCTCCTCTTGTATGCACAGTTGTAGGATGGTCATCATCTCGTCCACCTTGCAATGGACGTTCGTGGTATGTAGCGCTGAATTGAGTTGTTTCGACTTTGTCACCGTTTAGATATTCATATCTTGTGGGGACAATCTTCGCGAAATAAGAGTACTGATAAAAGTGGGTATCATAGTCTGGCGAGACCTGGCGACCATCTAATGGAGAAGCGGAAACGCCTCCTGTATCTGGAGTCTTAACGTTCTTACCAAAACTCAACTCGTGAATTATATGGTTGAAGTTCAAATCTTGTGTCTTGACGTAAAGCGACGTATCATGGTAGTGTCCTCTTGCATTTTGGAAGGCTTTGCCGGGAGCAAAGTGCATGTTACCCTCGATTCTGTTCAATTGAGCTTTACCTTTAATCCTACAACCTTCAGTCAAATGCTGATTGATCCTTTCAACGTAACCCTCACGTTCACATTGTTCTATATTTTTACCATCATAAAATGCCCAGCCAGCGGCGATGTACGCATTACGAACGTCCTCGCATGTTTGGCAGCAAACCCGTTCGGCAGGCGCCACGTCATCGTTTCTTGTTTGATCTTTCGCACCATAGCAATCACCGCAATAGTCTTCACCTTCTGGTTCGGAATCGAAAACTTCATCGCTAATCTGGAATTTCTTGGTACCAATCTCGTTTCCAGAAGCATCGATTCTGGTCTTACTCCAACCGCTTTGCAATAAATCAAGTTGCAGTTCACCTGCTGCATCCATGATATCCATATTCAGCAAATCGCATGGAATATGTGGGAATGTCACATCTAGATTCAAGTCTAGCTTTAAGTGACGATCTCTATCAACAACCAATTGGGGTCTGGTCACTACCTCGTTAAAATGAAACCATTCACTGAGTAGCAACATAATTGTTGCTACTATGCAAGAGACTGTAATAATACCTCCAGTTCTCGTACGTATACGTACATCTTCTTCTGTTTTGGCAAAAGCGTCTATGGACAACAGTGCCGATTTCTTCATCTTTGGTCTTCGAGGTACGCAACTTATTAGATGTAAAATTTTCTGATTAGTGGTTATCCTGTCAACGGATAAAAAAAAAACGTGGGTCACAAATAGACAGAATACTTCCGTTTTTTACTGACCTGCCTCTTAATTCTGCAGTAATTTCGTAATGTATATGTATTAATTTCTAACTATGCAGCCTTCACTCCTGTCAAATTTTGGTTCGACGAGATTTGAGCATGGACGTGATCGTGCACAATAAAATCATTCTTTTAACTACATCGTATCTATCATTCGGCCTCGAATTCTCACACCTTTTGATTCAAGATATGCATGCATGCATGGGAATGACAGCCAAGAGCGGTTGTACTTATCCAGTAAACTCGTCATTTTCGATGAACCGGACTAAGACATTGGACCCGCTCTGTAGTAATGGGTGGCCAGCCACAGCATTCATCCACTTATTTAAACCTTGTCTTCTTTCCTCAATAGATTCATCGTTGAATCTGTTGCTTAAAAGGATCTTTCCAGGAAGATGCGGAATCACAATTTTGGGATGGTTAGATATCGACAATTCCTTGATAAGACATTTACGGAACAGCTCAAATTCCGAATAGCGTCTTCTTACCACGCTTGACCTCTTGTTGAAAGAAGGTAAGTTCGTGCGGCAGATAATTGCATAATCGGTGTACATCCCTCTGTTATCAGTCTGTGGAAAGTGTGTTTTCGGATCGGTAACCTCAATTTCTAGGAAGTTTTCAGGCTCAGCATAGATCTCACTGGTGTTTTGTTCCTTGTGAGCTTTAGGTAAAGTCGACTGAGCTGTGGTGCTGAACGACTGGAACTGTCTCATGTTCGTTGGCGACCGTTGCGTACTTACACAAATAATTCAATGTTCTCCCGAAATAAAAAGCTCCTGGATAAGAACACACGGAGCTATCCAAAATGGATCCACAGGCAGAAGAAGAGGATGTCGACGTCTTCCGCAACGTCGGCCAAGGTCTTGTAGGCAGCTATCGAGAGATTATGATCCAATATTGGCAGGAACTGATCAATGAGATCGAGTCAACCAATGAGCCTGGAAGTGAATATCAAGATGATTTTAAATCGCATTCTCTTCCTCTAGCAAGAATAAAAAAGGTTATGAAAACCGATGAAGATGTTCGCATGATAAGTGCAGAGGCGCCTATACTATTTGCAAAGGCTTGTGAGATCTTTATTACAGAACTGACTATGAGGGCGTGGTGTGTCGCTGAAGAGCACAAACGGCGCACTTTACAAAAGTCTGACATCGCTCAGGCTCTCCTGAAAAGCGATATGTTTGATTTCTTGATTGATATCGTACCTAGAAATATGGAGTAGCTTTTTATATATCATTTGGTTCTCGCCGCACATACGCTACTTTATACTTTATATTCTTTTTAAATCGTTAAAAAATTTCCCAGAGCTCAACAAACATAACAAGAAGAAAACCGTAGGGATGGCCAATCAAGTAGATCAGCTGTCTCAAGCGAGAGCTCTCGCGATGGAGAACAAGCCTGGCGAGATGCTACCAAAAGTTTTGGAAACTGCTATGCTTCTCTACCGTTCTTCTCCTTCGGTCGAGTTGGGGCGCCTCTGCTCCGGTTTGTTTTTAGACGTCTTGACTAATGAAGCTGTACCAGCTAGTGAAAAGCCCTTTATCTGTTCTCAACACATGTCCTCATTGTGGCAAATCTGCCAAACTTCGACAGATTATAGCACTTACCGAGATGCGGTTTTAACATTTGGCCGCACTTATGATTGGATGTTCGATCTCGTTGCAAAGACCTCGAACAAACAACTTTGGGATGTGGTATGCCAATTTAAAGAGTTCATTCTCTCTAAGTGGAAGACACCATATCCTTTGGAGCCCTCAGAGGATCCTTTGAAGGACCATTCCAGAGCATTGGGTGTTAAACTGGCAACTGTGAAGTTTATTTCGAAAGCAGTAATAGTACAGACCTCAGGTACAGCTGGAGTTAATATCACATTAGTTCCTGATAACCACCCAGTAATCACTGGGAAATCTAACCTTGAGTCAGAAGCAAAAAAATTGCTTGACCTCTTATTGAACTTTTTATCAGAAGAACCTATGATGGTACCTGCGTTGTTCAGCGGTATTCTCAATTGTTTAAGTTTTGTTATGAAGCAACGTCCCCAGGCAACCAACCGTATTCTCGGGGGCTTACTTAGGTTCAATGTTGATTTGAAATACCAACAAGATTCGGATTCAGTTCTACAGTACCGACTGGGCAAGAGATTTGTGGAGCGGAGCTATAAAATATTTGTTCAGTTTGGCCTTCGCTCACAGTTAATTAAAAACAGCGGTAGCATGGCTGCTTATCATGCAAAATTGTCCAAAATCTCCCAAACATTGCATATCATTGGCGAAGAAGTCAAGGCTAAGGGCATTATGAATTTTGACCCTAAGCAAATCGAACGTAAGATGCCTCCTCGTGATCGTGCCAAGTATATCAAGGCTCTAAGGCCCTCTGTCTCACAGAATAATCAAGATAGGTCCCCAGCACCACTTCCGTCCCAAGGGTCGCCTGACGTTCAATTGCTGACAGAACTGCAAAAATATACAATGTCAAAGTCAACAACCTCTAATTTTTTCAATACCTCTCCTGTCGCCTTTGATAACTCGTATGCTTCCGTTTATTCTTTGATGAATAGCAAGCATTCCGAGATTGACATTTCGAAACTCTCTCAAGGGCCCATGGTTAAGTTGTGTACCGAAAGTCTTTATCAAACTGATACCAACAAGGTAATTGCCGGTCTATCCATTATCGCTTCTCGTTATACGGATCTAATGAATAAATACACGCAACAAAATGAAACAAAGAAACGGCCCAGAGAAGACGAAAGCACTGTAGCTGATACTAAAAGACAAGCAATTAAGGAGGATGATGACGAAGATGACATATTTGAGGACGATGATAAACAAGAATTTTCCCTTGGCGCCCCAAAACCAATGACTGAGGGTGAAAAAAAGCAGCACATAGAGCGCATCATCTCACATATTATTAGTGTAAAAGATTCGGATGAAATTCCCAGCGTAACAGCTGTCGGGTCGCGAGATGTGTGGCACAAGGTGAGGTTATTGGACTGGGATAACAAGACTTCCTGGTTGACACTTCTCATCAGACTAACAACCAGAGGTTTGAGCCACAATGAGGAAATGAGCAACCTTGCAAGACAGGCTATATACGACTACTTCTTGGAAGACTTCTCTAATCGTATCGCTGTGGTAATTGAGTGGTTGAGCGAAGAGTGGTACTATGAAACTCTCCAGGGTAATGAAGCCACTCCAACATATAATACTTGGTCATTGAAAGTTCTTGATGCCCTTGTACCATTTCTTGAAAACTCCCACAGAAGGCTGTTCATTAGGCTTGTAAGTGAATTACCTCATTTATCCGAGACACATATCCATAAAATAGGCTCATTGTGTTTAGACCCATTGAGAAGTTCTTTAGGGTTTCAGTCACTAAAATTCATGACCATGTTTCGCCCCCCTGTGAAGCCTTTTGTACAGAATTTACTACAAAGTATGCAAGAAAAGGACGAGACGGTTAAAGAACAATGCCAATCAATCCTTTCCAAATTCTTCTGATAGTTCATTAAAAGCTTTCCTTAGTAGCCCAGTATATAATACTGAACTGAAGTTTATATCATTATGCACGTGTGGATTTGTCGAACTTATAAAAATTTTTCGTTTTGGTCCTGTTCAACGCACTTAATCACTGACACCGTTACTAGCCATAGCTTGAAGCGAAAGAAACCTTTGTACTCCCCTGTTTTGTATCATTAACGTTGTTTCAGCGTCTACGAATTTAAGTTCGAGAGTTCCAGTTTCTTTTGTTCGTTTCATTTTGTGCAATTCTCTCAGAACTCATTAAGCATTTTAGAATACAGCATTCACTCTTCTACTGGTAGAAGATCGACAGCTTACATGTCAAACATGTTCAAGGAGGAAAACTTGTCATTACCTACTAGAGCACAGTCTCCAATCAATATGCCCAGACGGGCACATCCTGGTGCGGTGCTGCTCTCTCCAAAAGCTTCAGCTATGGGAAACAGTCTGAGCACTGGAACGGGAGCAATCGCGCAGCTTCCTTTGAGCCCGCAATTGTCGTCTCAGCACATGTCGTTGAACGACTTGTTAGATCAGCAGCAAAATATGCTGTTAGATTCCCAGCGTGCAGCAGCAGGCCCTGCTGTCGTGTCTCCGCTGGTCCAACCGAACAGTTCCATGTATTTGGATACATTCACAAGACCATCTAGTAGCATGACTCAAGCACCTGCACCTCCTCATAGCAATGTTGTTATTAACTTTGCCAATGACTTGAATCAGTTATGCTCATGGATGTCAATGCTCTCTACATCCCAGCAGAATTCGGTTATGGACAATCTCTTGTCTTCGTTGAACGAGGAAGTATTGCAACATACCAAATTGAAGTTGGACAGTCTCATCACAAGTGGCTATATTTCTCCGAGTGTGATGTCTCCACAAATAGTTGCACCAATTCCAGATAGAGATGTTACACCACAACCTTTGACATTGGATTCGTTATTGAATAACAATTTGGGGGTTAATATGAATCGTCAATGGTCTCCAGCGGCTCAGTCTACTACAAATCCACAACCTATCTACGATTATATCAATGATCTAACTCAGAGACCGCGTTCAGCTGAACCTCAGCACAGGAAAAAGTTTGGAACCCCAGGTAAACAACAGCAGAGAAAGTCACCAACTCAAAGTAAGTCTCCCACTCAAAACCCCAACGGGAACGCAGGAAATACTAATGGGACTCCCGCCTCATCTTCTATGAATCCGAAAACTTTGACTGATCCAACATTACTTGCAAACATACCTGCATGGTTGAAGTCTCTACGACTTCATAAATATTCTGAAGCACTCGGCGGGAAGCCATGGTTCGAATTGATTTACATGGACGATGAGATGCTGGAAAAAGTTGGAGTTTCCGCATTAGGAGCACGTAGAAAACTCTTGAAAGCATTCGCTGTGGTGAAGGATTGCAAAGAACGTGGATTGATTGACCCAAGTGCGTATAAATAAATGTATAGCGTGTAACAATGGACTTTCTTATCATTTGCTATTATACAATGTGTAACGTACATATCAACATTTCCCCAACCAAAATTTTTTGTTTGACTGGACGTTTTCATTCAAGAATTTCAATTCTTCAAATTTATCACTTAGCCCTGCGAATAAGTTTTGAGCAAAGGTGTTTATAAAAAACAGTTGACCTTTTGGAATAGATGGGTATTTTTCAAGTATACTGTTTAAAGTAGATGGGATATTAACGTCGGATTCGGAGGTACCTGTGAATTTATCGCCTTCCTTTAATCTTTTCTCAAGCAAAGTGCATTCATCGAATTCGCATGTGATTAGCACCGCCCATTGAGTTGAAATTTCTAACGGTCTGGTAACATTAGATATATCAGCAGCTTTGATGATGAGAGACATTAATGTTGAGCATGTAACTGGAGCGGACTCGAGCTTATCTAAGTATTGAGAATGCAATGCCATATCAGTTGCAAGGATAGCATCTGAGATTGCCAACCTCTGACTTGAGGCCACGAGAGGCCAATGAGTCTGAAGGAGAGAAATGAAGACTTCGCCGTGGAAATTCTCCAAAACGGAGCAACCGCCATAAATTTCCGCAATAGGAGAGTGGTGCTCGCACAACAAAGCGTTGTTAGTACCAGGATGACCGATATCATGTCCTATGGCAGCTATGCAAAGAAGGAGTACGTCTTGGCTGCTTTTTATGTAAGATGAAAGGCAACAACATAGCTGCCATGTTGCTTGCATAACGTCCACGGCATGCCGAAAGTTGTGAAATTTATTGCCCTGGTGATATGATGCCTCGAGGTTGAGCAACAGTAGAAATAGGTCGCTGCTTGAGATCCGTATATGAGCCTCGGTCGATAGTCTATCGAGAATGAGGAAACTGACCCATATTAGCTCGGAAGTGGTCAGGGAAAGTGCAGAAAAATCCCAAGTAGATAGCTGGTTCCAGTAATGTTGTTCACTGTTGTGTTCTGGAAGCTCCAAAAGACTGCGTAGATCGATTTCTTTCGCAATCAGCGACGAGTAAGGCTTCTGAAGCGGGTGACGAACCTCGCTGAGGTGTTCCAGCATGGTGTACACCTTCAAGGAACATTGGTTCGTGTTTTCAGAGTACATCCAATTCAACATTCGCGACAGCCGGCTGTCATGCCCAAGTTGCCTCGACAGGATCTCTGCGGCTCGGTCAGCAGCATCTGCGGGAGACGTTACAGTCAGGTTGAAGCATGGAAACTGCTGTTGCAAAAGCTCTCGGAGTTCCTCCAGTTCCAGCGTATCTAGCGTAATCTCACGCGTACCCCGTGCTGGCACATTACCGTAAACAACCATCGAGAGACTCTTTTCATAGCTGTTAATGTTCGACAGCCTGTCTCTGTAAAGTCGAACGATTAGATCGGAAATAGATTCTAGCTTCAGCACTCGATCAAAACTACCCAACACCTGATCTCCGACATCTTGAGTTTTGATTAAAAACAGAGTGGCCATTCTGACGTATCTCTCTCGGATGCTAATGCAATAATTACCACTTGTAGGTTGCGTCTGATATATCGCCCGTTTTCGCCCAGTCTTCCCTGGCTGAAAACGATGAGGGAGGTTTGGGAAAAATCGTGGCTTTTCTTTTTCTAATATGTCACGTGTAAATGCTCGAGAAAAGGAATTTTTAAATGTCACGTGAATATATTTTCTATCACTTTGGACGTTTATTTGACTTCGGCGTGGGCCATTCGCCGGAGTCATTTGCACTGGAGATACGGTCGCAACCAGTAGGGAAGGCCCGCGATGCCTATTTAACAGCAGTGATTCGTAGATCGCACGATAAGTCGGAGGTTTCGAGCATCGGAGGTTTCGAGCACTTGTTCAGCCAGAAAATCCACATAGTAGTCTAACATGTTGCGCATCAGTACCAGGACTCTGCTTAGAAGCACACCCCGCCTTTTTTTGAGGGCACAATCCTCTAATGCTTTGACGAAGACGCAGCTTCCTTTCACATTCTCCAGTGCGGGCCCATCGGCGGTCAAGTACACGTCACAACACGAGTGGATTGCCACGCATCAGGACGGGACAGCGTTCGTCGGCATCACCAAGTACGCAGCAGACGCACTGGGGGATGCTACTTATGTTGAATTGCCAGAAGTTGACGCTGAATTGGAGGCCGGAGACTCCATTGGTTCTGTCGAGTCGGTTAAATCCGCATCCGAGGTGTACTCGCCTCTAGCGGGCACAGTGGTTGATGTGAACGAGGCCCTAAACGAGTCCCCCCAGCTCATCAACGAAGACCCTATGGGACAGGGGTGGATTGCCAAGCTGAAGATCAACAACCCTGCAGACGTCGACGGCGAGGAGCTTATGACGTTGGAGCAGTATGAAAAGTCCTTGAAAGAGGATCACTAGAGTATATGTAGGTCTCAGGACGTATAGAAAGTTTATTAAATTGCTTATTTGCTTGCATGCTATCATTCTGTTGGCTGTCTCTTGCTCTGTTCAGCTACGGTTCTCGTTGTGAGCTGCAATGCGTGGACGCCGCTTTTCAGTTCTTCATCGAGAATTGAGTACACCAAACGGTGTCGTTTGGGGAGTGGCATTCCCTGGAACTCATCACTTATGATCTCAAGGCGGAAATGAGATTCAATTTTCTCAGCAGCATCCGCAATCCCATGATGACCCGCGTGTTTGTAAGAATCGTTGTACATCGCGAAATGGGTCATTGCAGGAAATTTCAGACGGATCTTAGATGCAATTCTACAAGCTAGTGGACCCTCGATACTTTTATTTGCTGCCACACTCATTGACCTCGCGAATGCTCTGAACATTTACAGATTTTTCGGTAGTAAAACCGAGCTCATCCCAAGAAAGTGGAAAACTTTAAAAAAAATGACCTTCGAGTCACAATTGCGCTGTTCCCCCGCCAAACCAAACGCATACAATGTTAGCACGTTTAGCTCGGCGTCTGTATTCCCTGACTCCTGAGGAGAAGCTTGTGTTTGAGAAACTGAAAAAGCAGTTAGAACCCAAGCAGCTTCAGGTTCGGGACGTTAGCGGTGGTTGCGGATCCATGTTCGCGATTGACATTACAAGTCAAAAGTTCAAAGGTCTATCCATGGTCAAACAGCACAAACTTGTTAATCAGATCTTGAAAGAAGATATCAAGAGGTGGCATGGACTGCAGTTGCGCACTAGAAGCGAATAATGCTTATATTCTGTAAATACTGATTATTATTTATCTTCAACATATTACTAAGAAACTTAGCTGGCCTCCTCGGTCTCTTCGAAAGAATCAACTTCCTCCTCCTTTTCTTCCAAAATCTCCTCTTTGATTTCTTCCACAACCTGGAAATCTTCCTCAGAAGTGCCCAAAACAATGGTGTCGTAGGTCTCGAAACCATACTCTTCTTCAAGAACTGCTGTGTTATTCTCTCTGTATTGGGTCCACTCTTCAAGCATAGAACGACGTGCTAGAATTAGTTCTCTCATGGCACTGTCTGCTTGCATAGCATCCTGTTCCTCAAATTGAGCAGACCATTCTCTTAGGTTCTTTCTGACCTTCTTCTTCTCACCATTAGTCAAAAGAGTCTCTGGTCTTGGTCTCCACACGAAGTTTTGGAAGCCATCAATCATTTCTTCCCTAACGGTATCACCAGCAATGTTGAAGACTTTGTAACCATTTTCAAGCTTGTGCTTAGTAGCAGAGGACCACACTGCCACGTATCTTCCAGAAGGATCCCATTGCATATCAGTTGCGCTGAAGTAATCTGGGTGAGCAACATCCATTAAATTAGCGGCGACAGTTTTCACGTTGTTGAGACTTTTTTCGCCAGTAAAGTCAAGGTCATAAAAGTCAAAATCTGCCTTACGTGTGTCTGGAGTGACAAGCGTGGCAACAACAACAAATCTACCAGCTGGGGACCATGAGATAGTGTTTGAAAATTGGCCTTCCACTTTAGCAAAAGGAATCCATTTCGTAAGTTCTTCCTTTTTCACAGCTTTCTTGTCTTTTTGTTCTGGAGCGTAGAACGTAACAACGTTCTTAGGGATGGAAGGATTGTCATCAGCTGTTTCTGTGACTGAAACTGTTATGAATCTGTTACCCTTTGGTTCCCAGGCAAATCTTAAGCCATGATCTTTCATTTCGACCTTCTCGACAGGAACCTCTTTCTCCGTCAATTTACAGATCTCTAGGTTTGTAAACAAGGTTTTCTTGGATTTTGTGTGACGGTCAACTTTAACACACAAGTATTCGGATTGATTTTGCCAGTGCAAGGTCACATCTGAAACTTGTACCAAGTTAACTGTTCTCAAAATTCTTCTGGTAGGGATCTCCATGATGGTAGCCTTACATGACTGATTGTTGGACTCTGGAGTCCAGTATGCTAGTACTGAAGACAATTCATTGTTTCTGTTGACGGCAAGCTTGACACCAGTTGGTGCAAAGGAAAAGTCCACGATACCATCAATCTTCAAAACTTTGCCTCCAAGCAATTCAAAGTTATTTTCAGTGTCGTAAACAGCTAGGGCATTGGGTCCCAGACGTGCGCAGTATTTGTCATCAAAAGACCACTTAATCATTGGCCAATGCAATTTTTGGCCCGGTGGCAGAGCAAATGTTTTCACAGACACACCTGTCGCAATATCCCAGACACAAAGCTGGTGACCATTAGATTCTGGGCCGAAAGGGAAGTCTTCAGGCGCGTCTTCCGGAACCTCGATTGGTTGAGGAGAAAGCGTCACCAAGTACTTTTCGGTAGGTGATACTGACAAAGCTTTTGTTTGTGGGTGAAAGAATCTTTGCAAACGATCAAAGTTCTTACCACCCCACGAAGCTACACCCTGGTTATGAAAAGAAAACAAGTACGTACCCTTTGGAGAGAATTTGACTGTAGTGTTGGACCAGTTCTTCCTTGGTTCAACGACATTTTCTGGCTGTTGGGCATTTCTATTCCAGAACACACCGGTCATATCACCCTTTTGAAGGACAAATTGATCCCTTCCATTTTCGTCCTGTAACCAAGATCTCAAGTACTCGGTTGGGTTGAACTCGGGCAACTTTGGTTCGTGAAACTCAGTGTCAAATTCTTCAGTACCGTACTTTTCCACATCATTCAAGCTATTGACGAATAATCTGTGTTTTACATCCAACTTTTTTCCGTTCAAAAGCTTTATAGCCTTTTTGGCGGCGACAGCAGAGTCGAACTCAATAAAGAGGTATCCCTTGGTACTTTTCTTCTCCTCATCTAAAGGAAGATTAATGTCAACAATGTTACCAGCTTGCGAGAATAACTTGGTTAAAACCTTCGTCAAGACAGGAACTTTAGACTCAGGTGCAATAGGCGCGCCATCAACCACGACAAAGTTGTCAAAATTGATCTGTGAATCAATATTGAATTGTTCTTCAAGATCTGAAAAATCAATGTCGTCAACGGGAATATCTTCCAGCTTAATATCTTCGACGGAAGCAGTTGCCATGTTGATATATGTTCAATGGAGATGGAGATGGTTTAGAATAGCTGGCAATCATCGAAGAAATGGAAAAATTTTCATATTCAACTAGGTCTATCATCGAAGATACGTAGTTGATGATATGTCACGTGTAAGTGTTTACTACATATCACATCAAAACTATCAATCGTCAATTCGATCCCTTATCAAGATTTCTTGGTCCTTGGAAGATTCTTCGGTCGTATTCTTCTGTTCATTTGAGTTTTTGCTTTGCTTTATCCAGTCTTACATTATTTGTAAACAAAAGTTTAAGATATCGCGTCAGTAGAAAAAGCATCGTTTGATCTATGCTTAGGGAAGTAAGATATGGAGGAGGATCTTATGGGCAAAGGGCCTCTCTCAAAGATGGCTATCGGGCAAAGTAATGAGCCAACCGTGGAATTATCTGGACTGTCAGAAGACAGTTGTTCCAGTCCTACCCCAAATCAAAGAAGGCGACCAGGCAGCAGTGATGACGAAAGTGATCTAAATGACGACAAACTATCCGAAGAACTTGATGTACCACAGCTTGATGGATCATTGACTCCCTGGAGATCTAAACGTAATGCCTTAGAATGTGATAATCAGCCGAGACTGCCGGGAACGTACCTTGATACATCATTTGTCAGTGAACGTTCTCATAATAATGACAATTCTGAATGGCTTCCCGTCAATTACGAGCCTACATCCCCCATCAACTCTCGACCCCATACCCGTAACTCTCTATTTTCAGAGGGTTATTTAAATGGTTTACCTGCTGCTTCTGCGTCGTCCTCTTCCGAGTTGGAACAGATGCAGAAACAACTAACGAACTATAAACTAAGGATAAAAGTTTTAACTGAAGTCACAAAGGAGATAAATCTACAAGGTGATCGAGGAGCTAAAAACCTCTCTATAGGTAAGCCACTTTATGATCAAATTCTTCATTCCTTTTCGAGCAGTGATCGGCCTGACAAACTCCCTCAAGAAGTTGAAGATCTTAAACAAAAGATTAAACATAAAGATGAGGAAATTACTGAACTTACGCAGGAACTATTGTCAATAAAAAAAGAGTATACATCCGTTTTGGAAGACATTAACGCATATCTCGAGCAATCTGACATGATAGCTGGAAGAATTGATAGCATATTAGAAGTTCTTATGGATAATGATAGGCTCAGCAATGAGGAAAGGGCTTCAATTAGCGAGTCGCGCTCTCTTTCTGCTCACTACCTCGATATTAAATTGGAGTCTTTAAACACGTCCCTTAGAAGTTTGGCAAATAAAGAGAAAAAAGCTATATCACTAGAGGAATCTAACTCGACTGCAATTTCTATGAACGAAACATCCGTTGGTAGTATCTCGATGATTGATAGCCGCTTAGAGTCCGCTATTGAAAGTATGCATCATGAATATCGCGCTTTCTTGCAAACTCTACGGGCAAAGTTAGAAAATAGCCGAAAGATCGAAAACGTTCTTGGAGATAAGCTCGAGAGACAAAGGTTTCTACTAGGTAAATTCATTGAAATGAACCGAAAGTTGGAGAGAAATGGGTCTTCCGATTCAAACAAAATATTTGAGAAATCCGAAATCGGTCGAACTTCGACAGAATCCGCTTCAAATGAGGAAAAAAGTTCAAATGAATCACAGTCAGATAGTTCTAAGAAGTCTAATTCTAATGAAACAAATATTCTACAATCTTCTTACGGTGATATTTTAGTTCGTACTAACACAAATACTGATGGGATATCTGGTCACGATTTAGACAATATTCAGTTAGAGAATTACCATTTGAAAGAAAATCAAAAAGACTGGGAAAGTGAAAGAGACTCTTTGAAATCAAACCTTTCGAGAGCTAAAGAGGATGTAAAGGCTCTCCAAAACAAAGTGGGGAATCTGGAGAATGAGCTTATCGAACTTCAAGAAGAGTATGAAAATGCAGTTTCAGATTTAGAGAAGACGTTACAAAGGGCAGTCAGAAAATCAAGCTCATACATAACTGAAAATCAAAATTTACATGAACAACTGAGACAACTTCAGCAGGAATCACTTTCCCTAATTAATCGCAACGATAAGCTCCACCAAACTGTTCAATCCTTGACTCAAAACATTACGGATTTTAAAAGGCTTGAATCAGAGCTCGATAAATTCAAAAGACATTTGTTACTACACCTCAATAACATGTTTGATGTATTTGATAAAATACTCCAAAAAAGCTCTATTATCCAAGCTAAAAACAAGCTCAAAAATATTGAATCCATTGATACACTTAAACATTTCAAGACGACGCATGTGAAACTTGAATCGCTGTACGTTTTCATTGAAACAGCGGTAGATTCTATTGTGGAAGAACACGCGAAAATGCTTCTCAAGGAGAGGGAAAGAACAATAAATAATTCGTATGACAATCCAGAGGAAGAGCAAAGTTCGAGACTGAGAATTGAATTGCTTGAACGCAAATGGACAGCGGAAAGAGAAAGGCGGAAGTTGGACGCTGAAGCTGCAGAAAGTCGCATTGCACAGCTTGAAGCAGAAAATGAATATTTGCAGCGAAGGTTGCAGAATATTAGTAGCGCTTCACCTTAATATCGGGGTGAATTTCTTTTTAATCAAGAAGCGATACCCTTACATAATGACTAAATATACACTTTTAGATACTTGAGAACTTTACTCTAGTTGTACGTCCCCTTCGGCATCCTTTTTTTCATCATTGTCACTTTCTTCGTTGTCATCACTTGGTTCATCGCTATCACTATCGTCACCATTTTCCCTCTTCGCATATGCAACGGCCTCATTGAACAAGTCAATGGGGATAGCTTTGTGGAGACCATTGGTTTCCGATAACGAGCACCAGCTCATCTCTAATTCGAAGTCTTTTTCCTTATTGTCTTCATGTGCTAGATGAATTATTCTGGCAGCTTCTTTTACTGCTTCCTTGGCTGTCATATCTAGTTTATTAGTCACAAGTTTCTCAAGCTCTGCCTTTGCGGACTGCCTGCCTTTACCAGAAGCTGCTCCTTTGTAACCCCAATAAGTTCCACTTGGTTCCAGCATATAAAGATGAGCACCGTTCTCGTCCACACCACCAAAAATAGCTGTGATACCGAATGGCCTCACGCTATTGTATAATGTATGTGCTTGAACGTATTGACCAAGTCTATCAGCAAATGCAGGGATTGGAATGGGTTGTGCGTACATTTTTTTGAAACTAGAAGCTTCCTCACGTCCTCTGTTTACTAGGTGTCTTCCATCAGGCATCAAGCCAGAGTAAACGCACCCGATGTGACGATCAATTGTTTGAATTTTTCTGTTTCTGTTGGGGACCAGTAGTTTGGACGTAACCAATTTCTCAACCGCAAACACTACACCGTCTTGACATTTTATTCCAATGGAAGTTGCACCGTTTTCCACAGCTTTAACTGCGTATTCCATTTGAAAGTTTCTTCCATCCGGAGAAAACACACTATTTGAAAGGTCGTAACCTGTCCCAATTGAGGTCTAAAAAATAGTTAGTATCTCAGTAGTAAGGATGTATCCATAGTATACATATAGTGCACGTACCATGATATAATTGAAGTTATATTGAGAATAGAGGGGTTGGTGAGATCATCAAAAGTATTCTTTTTGCCACCGAATACTCAGCTTCTCGATATTCGTACTTTATGATTCTTATCAGTTGAAATTAAGAAGTGACAGAACGATGCTATTAAGGTACATTTCGAATTCTGCACTTAAAGTAAAATGACCAAGGAGCGTATCAAGGTAGTGGTGTGTGGTGATGACGGTATGTGAAATCAAGTCATTTATATTACTTCATTTGTTTGCTAACAATCCAGTTTTAGGAGTTGGTAAGACTAGTTTAATTGCGTGCTTAGTTAAAGACCAATACATTCCGAATCTGCAAGATGTTCTACCTCCGGTGACAATTCCTCGAGACTTCTCATCTAGTCCTTATTCTCCGAAAAACACAGTTTTGGTTGATACTACAAATTTTGACTTATCGAATCTTCATGGAGAATTGAAATCTGCCGATGTCATCTGGTTGGTCTATTCCGATCATGAGAGCTATGATCGAATTGCACTTTATTGGATGATGATGTTCCGATCTTTGGGTGTCAATCTCCCTGTAATTGTTTGCAAGAATAAATGTGATGACTACCTCACCCTTAAAGATAGCATTGATTCGAGTGAGGCAATGATGCAGAACCCTTTTGCTGAAGATACTAGAATTGAAGATGAAGAATTCATTCCTATTCTGAGAGAGTTTAAAGAAGTTGAAACCTGCATAATAACAAGCGCGAAAATGAAATTTAACGTCAATCAAGCCTTCTACCTCTGTCAACGCGCTATAACGCATCCAGTTGCACCGCTCTTTGATGCACGTGTGGGCGAACTTAAACCATTGACTGTTCTTGCATTGAAACGTATATTTCTTTTATCTGATATTGATCAAGATGGGTTTTTGAATGATGATGAAATTTCCAACCTGCAAAAGCGTTCTTTTGGGAAAAGTATCGACAAAAACGAATTGAACTCAATTAAGAAAGCATTGGCAGATCTTTCAGCTCCCTCTCAAGAGTACGGCAACTTTACGCTTTACGTTCCTGGAAAAGGAATAACCAAAGATGGATTTCTTGTTTTGAATAAAATTTATTCCGAAAAAGGCCGGCATGAAACCACTTGGGGTATCCTGAGAGCTTTTCATTATACGGATTCTCTATCTATCAATGATAAGGTTCTGTATCCAAAAATCGATATACCTGATACCGCCAGCGTGGAATTAAGTCCCGTGGGTTATCGCTTTTTGGTTGAGCTTTTCATCACTTTCGATAAGGATAACGACGGTGGACTGAATGATCAAGAGTTGAATTTTCTATTTAAAAGTACGCCAGGTCTCCCGAAACTTTGGCTCGAGACTAACTTTCCATTTTCAACTGTTATCAACAGTCAAGCTTTTGTTACATTACAAGGATGGCTTGCTCAGTGGACAATGACAACTTTTCTTGATTATAAAACAACAACAGAGTACCTGGTTTATTTAGGTTTTGAAAAGGATGCTAGGCTGGCACTTCAAATCACAAAATCACGGAGACAGAGAAGAAGGAACGGGAAACTGTATAGAGCGCCAGTGTTCGATCGCAAAGTTTTCAATTGTTTTGTAATTGGAAAAGCTAAGGGTGGTAAAAGCTCTCTATTAGAGTCGTTTTTAGGGAGGTCCTTTTCTGAGACTTACGCTCCTACCATAAAACCGCGTATTGCAGTTAATAGTCTAGAATTGAAAGGTAGTAAACAATACTATTTGATTCTGCAAGAATTTGGGGAACAAGAGCCTGCAATTATAGAAAATAGTGCTAAAATGAAGGAATGTGATGTGTTGTGTTTAATGTACGACTCTAGCGACCCGGAATCGTTTTCACGATTATTTTCCCTAATCAATGAACATGCACATTTGCAGGAATTACCTATGATATTTGTAGCATCAAAAGCTGATCTAGACAAGCAGCAGCAAAGATGTTATGTACAACCCGATGACTTCACCGATCAGCTGCTTATTGATCATCCCTTGCATGTGTCGTCGGCGTGGCCAAGTTCCTTGAATGAACTGTTCATAAAAATTGCGGAGGCTGCCCTTGAGCCGGCAAAGAACACGCCAGGGTTGTCCCCAGATGTTAGGAAGGAAGACGTTGATTATTGGCAATATGCATTACTGGCAACCTCCGCAGTTGGATTTGTTTCCTTATTTACGTTTATGGCAGTAAAACTTACAAAAGGAATGAGGAATGGTAGCTGAACTTCAAAATCAAGGGAACCAGTTGTGTAATTATATTTTTATTAACCGGCATTCTATAATGAGCATTTTATTTTTTTGTTTTAGCTGACTTCCAATAAAAAAAATATTGGTTAGCACAATTTAAATCTCTTTCAAATAAGACTAATTCCTCAAAAATATTAAAACTGTCGATAAACATACGCGGTGCTGTACATATAATCGATAGCGGGGCACTTTCTAAATTACAACTATCAAATTCAAAAATTGTGTTTTGGTTTGCATTGAGGGGATTCAAATGGAAATCCAACCTAGTTGCAGAAGAACCAAAACGAGAACACATATATTGTTATCAAGGAAGGCACAAAGGGTAATTTCACCTCAACCATCTCTAAACAAGAAATCTAGGTCAAAATAATCAAAACTTTCAAGATCCAAAGCAGAGCTGAGGGGAAAAACAGAAGTAGTCGAGTTTGAGTTTGCAACCGTTTCCCCAGGATTACCAGAAATTATGTCATTCGAGCTTTGATGGTCTGTAGACAATGCGTTAGGAACAGTTTGTTGCGATTTATTATATCTGCCGTAAGTTTCATTTCCAAATGTGGCCTCCATATTTTGCTTCGGCATTTCCCGCATTATATCAGACATCTGAGCTTCTGAGAAATCCATATCGTGCATACAATTTTGTATCTGTATCAGTGAGTCCACGTCAACTAAAGTAAGATGATTAGCATCATTAAGACCTTGCATAAGCTCTCCAATTTTGCTGATGTCAAAACCAAACGCCAGAAATAAATTAGTTTTTCCCTCATCACAGACTTCAAGATTAGAGAGCCTTGCCATTTTATTCATTAACTCGTCTTTCTTGATAATTTGTAGAATGTAATCAAAACAAAGTAACATTTTAAACACAGAGAAGAAAGTAATTCTTAGATGTCTGGAAGAAAGTTGACAGATTTTCTCCAACAATGATTCAAAATCCCTCCTTAGACTATTCAAAACTTCCAATTTTTTACTAGATTCAGTCGTTTTTAAATTATCGTGGCGACCGCCGTAAAAAAACTGCTCATTTTTCTGAACTTGTTGAAGAAGGTGTATTGCATGCGTGAAGCGAAGGATTAAGGCGACCACCGTGTAAAGAATTGTACCGATACACATTTGCATCGATTTGTCTGTGGCAAAAGTTGTAAATGATTGAGAACTGTTTGACAATTCACCGTTGTAAAATTTCTCGTAAATCTTTGTAACCCTAAGGAATTCCTGTATCATTTCCATCAAGTATTTGATGTAATACGGGAAATAGTTATATTCGGAGTCATTGCACTTTATCTCGAAATATAGAAAAAGTGAGAAAAGAACTCTTAACAAAATTAAGCGCGCAATTAGATAGGTTTGGAATTTGCTAACTTTTTGAATTCCTCCTATATTTAAAGTTTCAGCCAATCCTCGCAAGTGAGGGATTGTGATCACTTCATCACCTTCCGTTTTATTCATATCCTCGATACTGAAATTTTTGTCCACACGATCTCGTACTTTCATCATGAGTTCCTCAATATAGTCGAGAGAAGTTTCACTATTCAAATTCAACCAAACCTTATCAAATTCCAATAAAAGTGCAAATGTTTCGTACCTTTGGAATATCCAAGAATGTATTCTCAAGTTCAAAGGCTCCTTATCCACAGAGTCACTTATTACTAGGTTCATGTATGAATTCGAATTTCTACTATTTTCTGAAAGGAATGAGTTCATATAGTCGTTCATTGCTTGAGTATATCTTCCTTTTAAAATTGATTCGACACTATTCATCGTGGCAATACAAAGCCACAACTTTCTCCTATAGTTCACCCGACGTTGATCAATGATAGTTCCTTCCTTGAATTGTTTATAGTGAGTTGGATCTCTATGCAGCCCTATGTTAGTTGCTAATGTAGTGATACAGCCCATGATAAATTCGGTGGGTTGTCCGTAATAAAAATCACCTTCATCAGGCGAAAATGCGAAAAACGCCCACATGTACATGAGGCAGCATAATGAGTTTTCTGTAGTCCAAACAAAGAAGTTAAGACTAGCAATGGCCCGTTGTGATAGTAGCACAAAGCTTTCGTTGATGGGAAATTCTTTTATTAATGTGCTGTTTTGAATCATGTCATTTGCAGACGAAGTTATGAAATTACAAGCGCTCAACTCCGATTTCATAGCATTGTAGGAAATACTCAAAATCACTAAAAGTATGGCAAGTGTCTCGATTTTCATCCTTAAGTCTTTTTTACCCAAAACGAGCTTGACTTTCTGCGGATTGGCGGAGTTGACCACTATAATTTCTCCCAACGTCTTTTCAAACGTGCACATATCAAGATATGGTATGAAAGGGTAGACGCATTTGTAAAAATATCTTTTGTATTGCTCAATGACTGTGAGTGATGGTAATGTTGATTCTGCCTGAGATATTAGATCTGCAAGCATGCTGGAATACACACCCTCTTCATGTGCAGTATTTTCCACGAATGTCTTGTGCATTAGAGTTGTCACTAAGTTGAGAAAGAATCCAGTCCTTACTTCTTTGGGAGAATCGCTTCCCTGCATGATTCGGTCAATGAAATGATTCACACGAGCACGCTGAACGTCATTGGAGCAGTTCTTCAGCATACGATCTCTGAGGTTCAATAAATCTTGGTGAAAATTCGATTGCTTAGAATATGAATACCGTTTTTCGGTTGATATTGAGTTTATCAGCGCATTACCTTTTGACGCTGCGAAAACAGACGCGAAAAACACGGATAGAAATTTATCCTGCATTACCTGCGCAATGTCTGAAGAGGGCTTAATGTCTCGGCTCGAGCAGTCCGTCATAATGATGTTAGGAAAGAAACGATAGAAATTGACCATGATATCTTCAGGTCGAGGAACGGGTTTCTGATACGGCTCGTTATCATGGTAGCTGTCATCCCCACTTGATTTGTCCGAACTTTCCCTACTTACGCTTGTCTTATCATCCGTTGCATTTTGTTGATTTTTTATGGCTCTTGCCTGCCAATATTCCACCTCTCTTCGCAGCCGGGCGATCATCGCGTCCTTACTTGGGTTCTTGGGAGGGGTTTGTCGTTCGACGTCATATACGCACTTAATTCCATGCTTCAAACACCTTGTGCAACTTGGCTTTTCACGATCGCACTTCGTCTTACTCTTCCTGCATGCTTGGCAAACAAACGATATTCTGTTCCTCTTACTCGCCGCGGAGCTGCCGTTAGATAAATCTCCGATCTCTTGCATTTTATTAGATTATAAACTCAACAGTTCTGTTGATGCGAAACGGAACACTGCAGTATTGCAATGCAAATTCAATTTATCTTTGCGAACTCTCTCAATGACAAAGATCTCTACGTGAAGGGTTCAAAATCATTCACCTGATCACCGTAGCGTATTAACGAGAAGATAAAAAAAAAAAAAAATTGAAAAAAAAACAGATCACCTGATTAGTTACCTATTCACTACGTAACGAACGATCCAAATTACGAATCATGGGATACGGAGAATGAATGATACAAATGAAGATACGGCTGAATTCGGTCGTAGTAAGTGCCTCAGAAAATAGTTCTCGATCGTAATAAACAAGATTACAAGTTTCATTCCTGGCAAGTGCTCGACCAAAATCTCAGGTTAAAGCAGTGCCAAGACCAGCCTACAAACTCAATTAACTCGATCAACTCAATTGAAAGACACTAGATAACAATGGCTTCGAACCCACCAGGAAAATGCTGCTTTATGGGACACCGCCACACTGGTGAGCCAAAGGGTGAACACAAGGATGTGTTTGGTTTGAACACTTACGTGACCGGAGACTCGAGTAACGACAAGATTATCGTTGTTTTGACAGATGTGTTCGGAAACAAATTCAAGAATGTCTTGCTCATCGCAGACAAATTGGGTGAAGAAGGATTCAAAGTGTATATCCCGGACATTCTCTTCGGAGATGAGATCGAGTCGCTGGATGGATCGGTCGACTTCAACGCTTGGAAAGCCCGTCACTCAGCGGAGGCAACACGAAGTGTCGTGGATCCATTCATGGCTAAACTTCGTGAGGAGTTTTCTCCAAAATTCGTCGGTGTCATTGGGTACTGTTTCGGTGCTAAATACGCCATACAACAAATTGACGCCAAGAGTGGTCTTGCTGATGCTGCAGCCCTTGCACATCCCTCATTTGTGTCTATAGAGGAAGTGGCAGCAATTGGCTCTAAGCCTTTGTTGATTTCTGCTGCCGAAACAGACAATATCTTCCCTGCCGAATTGAGACGTCAAACGGAAGACAAATTGAAGGAAATTGGTGCCAGATACCAATTGGATCTTTTCAGTGGCGTTTCTCACGGATTTGCTTGCAGGGGAGACCTTAGCGACCCTGTTTTGAAGTATGCGATGGATAAGGCCTTGCTTGACCAGGTTTACTGGTTTCAACACTTTTCGAAAAACGCCTAAGTGACCAAAACTTTGGTTGAAAACCTTGCGCGTATTACAACCATCATGAGACTAAGTAAACTACGTAGCTGCTTTTCTTACTATGCAAGTATGACAGGAATTTTTATGAAATATTGAACAACTTGGCTACCTAAAACTGGAAGGAAGGGCACTAGTTTCGAGTTATACGTGAGTGTTAGTCGAAGAAACGTGAAATATCAAACATCAAAGATATGAGTTACCTTTTGAGTAAGGATTAGCACTATTGCTGCCCTGATAACCTTGGTAGCCCTGGTAGGAAGTATTATTGTTAAAAGTGTTCTCCGGCCGCCTTAAACTGTTAACGCTTCCACTAGAAGGAGCAGTTGGTACTTTTTGGTAAGGACTGCTGAATGCAGTTGGATTAAGAACGGCAGAGTTCGGTTGTATCGGCTGCGGCTCGAGGCTATTGCTGTAAGATCTGCTTTGTCTTGCGTCACCACGTTGATCTCCAAACATAGAGCTATCGTCCATCTCATCCTCAAAGAGGAGTTTCCTGCGACCGTTATTTTGATTGAGCAACGTGTTTTCTGATGTCTCTTGGGAAATATCGTTTGTAATCATAGCCGCCTTCCCTAATTCGAACAGCTCTGTTTCAGATTTAGAATTAGCACCATTTGCTTGAATTTTTGGAATGAAGGAAACACGATCGTCTTTCATAGGCTGGTAACGAGCATCTGGATTCTTGTAAATCAAGGCCAACAAACATGTTACGATTGTGAATATCAGAAGAATCAATGCAAATAACGCATTCAGAACGAAAAGTACAACTGCCATAACGGAGGATACCACCATTGGTTGATTGAATAAATCAGAGAAAAATAGGAAGAATAATGCATTCAAAAAGTTGACCAAGTGAATGGCAATGTTGAATATATTAGTCCTCTTGTCAAGATACGGTCTTATCCAACAAACCGCGACGAAATAGACAAGCTCAATAACGAAAATAACCATTGCCTGTGCCTTCCCGTGTTCTTGAAGTACGGCAACAAAAAGAGATCTGAAGAAAGAATATGTCAACAGCGGAATGAGCCACCAGTACTTTTCAGCCTTGAACTGAACATACAAGAATCCGTATCGATTCAAAAAACTGGCATCACCATACAATAGGTAGGCAGGTGTTTTGTACAGTTTTAGAGACTCGCGGCCTCTAATGATAACTCTTACGACACCATATAACAATAGAAGACACACAACGGCGAGGATAACAACGGCATCTACAAGGGTTGCTGGAGAATCACGCTGAGTAAACTCCCAGATTGCCAGGATGGAAAGTTGTGGGAAAGCAATGATACAAAGCCTGAAAAGAGTGCCCTTAATGATGTTTCCCCAGCTCTTTCTGTATTCGAAAAATTTGGAGGACTCAGCCATTACACGGGTTCTGGTCAGTATTTCGACCAATGCTTTGAAAAACATTAGACCGATGACAACGACGAACATAAAGAAAAACGTAAAGACCACTCCGGTGAGGAAAAAATTGGAAAGTTCAATACCAGCCTTGTAAGCTACTCTCTGAATACCGTGAAGCACCAAAGTCTTGGAGGCGTAGTTGGTAGAGTTTCTTTCATCTGTGGTGTAGAGGGAGCTCTCCGTGAAAAGGTTACTGTAGTCGTAGTCAGTGGTAGTAGTAACGGAGATTCTCTTGTACAGATGCTTTGCACCTTCGACAAGCGCTCTTTTGACTCTGCGCTTCTGGACCGAGATGGAAAGAACGTCCTTATTAGCGACGACAACAGTGGACTCACCTCCGGTAGATTGGATGTACCAATTGAAGATATCTTGCATGAACTTAACGTTGATTATACCCATGGACCATTGAAAGTTCTGCGACCAGGCCGCTGCGATTGGGGGCACACGAGAAACCCCCATCATGGAGGTTATGGCGAGATTCTGAAAGTACACAAATAGCGAGATGGAGTTGGAGGCGATGTGGGCTGCAGTGGTGGAGTGGCCAAGCACAGACACGAAACCGGAGGTCAGAACACCGAGACCGGAGATGGCAGCGATAGGCCAGGCCGCATACTTGGTTTGAACAGTGCGGCCGTTGCTCAGCTGTGCAATCACACACGCAAGCGGGGTGGTGAACTGTGTATCGTTGGCGGCGTAAGCCACGACGCGAACTTGCGCGTCGAGATCCGGGATGGTGTACGCGACGCTGGGGATCTGGCCGATAAGGTCGCTGTCGATGGTGTAGGTGGAGCTGACGTCGATTCTACCGGCACTGAGCGGGCACAGCGCGGCCTGACCCAGGCTGCAGAAGTTGATGGTTTTGTCCATGATGTCGAGGCCGTAGACGATCACCTGCGCTTTGGCGATAATCTCTTCGGAGATGGTGGTGGTGGCATCGATGTTGAACACAACGGACGAGTTGGTGGGGTAGAACTTGACGTCGAAGTACGACGCGGTGAGTTGCGAGTTTTCCATGCATGTCAGCAGCGAGCTGGTCTCCAAATGCTTGGAGTTGGCACTGGCAGTCGAGTTAGTGGAGTTGGCGGCGCGCACGGGCGCGAACCACGCCTGCATCGCGACTAGGACGAGCAGCAGAGCGCGAACCGGCGCCATCTGCGTTGCTATCATCGTTTTAGAGCTATAGAACGTGTGTTTGTGAGTGTGTGCTGAAGGGCCCTGGAGAAGATTTGGGACTGCTATATATGGGCTATGCTACAACTGCGAATTTCGCCTACATGGGGCTGGGGGTTTGAAAGCGAGAAACGCGTTCGTGCTACGTGAGCATGCCTGACGAAAATCACGCCCGCCGCAGTCAACCTGGCAACGTCGCGTCCGTGGGTTTCGGAATAGGCAATGGGACTACTAAAAAAAGAGCGCTTGCGGTGACGCAGCGACGCGGCGACGCGCGACGCGCGCAACGTCGGGGTCACGTGTTTTGCACGTGACGCGAGCTGCGCCCCGGTCACGTGCCGCCGTTCTCTCTATTTTTTTCGTTTCCCCGCGCCGGCACCGGCCCGGTTCCACCGGCGCCGCGGCCGCCGCCGCTGGCTTCTGCCCGCTCCCCAACGCGCTTGCCCACCGCACCGGCCGCCTCCTTAAATAATCCAGCGCGGCGCCTTCGGCGACGGAACGCAGTCTCCGGGGCGGAGACGCAAGTGCTCCGGTCCGCGACGCCCAGACACCCAAAACACACCACACCCACACACACTGACGAGCACACCCACACCCGACTCCCGCGCTACCCCAACTCCGCACGTGAGCCCCCCTCGATCTCCGCGTCTTGGCGGCTGCCCCGCTCTCTCCCCAACGCGACCGGCCACCATGCCCAGCAGCGGCGCGTTGGAGTAACTGGCGCGCACTCCACGTCCGGCCGGCGCGCGTGCTGGGCGCACTGGCGGGCCGCTGCCGGTGCGGTATGACGGCCCCGCAGACGACCCGCGCTATATATAGCGGCGCCCGGGCGCCGCTGGCCAGCTCGTGCCCGCGCTCTCTCTCACCCAAGCCATCCGGAGCTTGACCAACACAGTGCCCTACTCTTCAGACACGTGACCATGCCTCCGACGCAAGTAAGTTTCCCCCCTGTGCCCGGCGCCGACCTCGGCGCAGACGTGGCCGCGGTCGCGGCCGCGTGCGGGGTGCACCCCGCACAGCCCAAGGTCGCGACTCCCGAACTGAACGGCGGCACGACGACGACAACTGCGACCGCGACAACGAATAGCCAGGCGACGCTGACGCCGCCGCCCGCAAAGGCACCGAACGCGGTGCCTGCAGAGCGCGAACACCTAACGGACGTGCCTATGGTGACGCGCGACGTTCCGTACGAGCGGATCGCCGCGTCGCTAGCCGCGCACTACGCGCCGTACCTGCCCGGCGGCTTCGCGCAATACCGCGAAATGTACCAGCAATCGCTGCAACAGCCCGCGCAGTTTTTCGGCGAGCGCGCGCGCGCGCTGCTGACGTGGGTCCGGCCGTTTGAGCGCGCGTTCTTCGCCGACGCGCTCGGCGCGCCGTCGTTCGACAGTAACGCCTGGTTCCTGGGCGGGCAACTCAACGCGTGCTACAACATGCTGGACCGCCACGCGTTTCGCCACCCGGACAAAGTGGCCGTTGCGTACGAGGCCGACGAGCCCGGTGAAGGCTACCAGCTGACGTACCGTGAGCTGCTGGCCGAAGTGTGCAAGATGGCGCAAGTGCTCACAACCACGCTGGGCGTGCGCAAGGGCGACACCGTCGCCGTGTACATGCCGATGATACCGCAGGCGCTGATCGCGCTGCTGGCCATCTCGCGTATAGGCGCGGTGCACTCGGTGGTGTTTGCCGGGTTCAGCTCCAACTCGCTGCGCGACCGCATCCGCGACGCGGGCAGCGAGGTCGTGATCACCATCGACGAGTCGCGTCGCGGCGGCAAGACCATCGAGACCAAGCGCATCGTCGACGAGGCCCTCAAGCAGACCCCACAAGTGCGCCACGTATTGGTGTACCGCCGCACGGGCAGCGCGCACGTCGCGTTTCACGCGCCGCGCGACCTCGACTGGGACACCGAGATCCGCAAGTACAAGCCCTACTGCCCCTGCGAGCCCGTAGACGCCGAGCACCCGCTGTTCCTGCTGTACACCTCCGGGTCCACCGGGGTTCCCAAGGGCATGCAGCACGCCACTGCGGGGTACCTGCTGCAGGCAATGCTGACCATGCAGTACTCGTTCGACACGCATGCCGACGACGTGGTGTTTACCGCCGGCGACATCGGCTGGATCACCGGTCACACCTACGTGCTGTACGGGCCGCTGCTCTGCGGGTGCACTACGGTGGTGTATGAGGGCACCCCGGCGTACCCCAATTTCTCGCGTTACTGGGAGATCATCGACCGGCTGCAGGTCACGCATTTCTACGTGGCCCCGACTGCGCTCCGTCTCCTCAAGCGCGCAGGCGACGCGTACCTGCAGGGCTTCTCGCTGCGGTCGCTGCGGTGTCTGGGCAGCGTTGGAGAACCCATTGCGCGCGAAGTGTGGGAGTGGTACTCGGACCGCGTCGGCCACAACGAGATCCCCATCATCGACACCTACTGGCAGACGGAGTCCGGGGCACACATCATCACGCCGCTGGCAGGGGTCACGCCCATGAAGCCCGGGTCGGTGTCAATGCCGTTCTTCGGAGTTGAACTGGCGATCCTGGACCCGATCACCGGCCACGAGCTCGGCGGCAACGAGGTCGAGGGCGTGCTCGCTATCAAACGGCCGTGGCCGTCGTTCGCCCGCACCATCTGGCGCAACCACGAGCGCTTCTTAGACATATACTTCAAGCCGTACCCGGGCTACTTTTTCACAGGCGACAGCGTCGCGCGCGACCGCGACGGGTTTATCTGGATCCTGGGCCGCGTCGACGACGTCGTAAATGTGTCGGGCCATCGGCTGTCGACTGCCGAAATAGAAGCCGCCATCATCGAAGACAATCTCGTCGCCGAGTGTGCAGTGGTCGGGTTTGCCGACGAGCTCACCGGGCAGGCCGTCGCCGCGTTCGTGGTGCTCAAAAACAGGTCTGGGTGGGCGGATGCCAGCGAGGACGAGTTGCAGAGTATCAAAAAACGCATCATCGTGATCGTACGGAAGGATATCGGGTCGTTCGCAACGCCCAAGCTCATCGTGCTCGTCGACGATCTGCCCAAGACGCGGTCCGGCAAGATCATGCGGCGGATTCTGCGCAAGATTCTGGCTGGCGAGGCCGACAAGTTGGGCGACGTCTCGACGTTGTCCAACCCGGGGGTCGTCAAGCACCTGATCGACTCTGTCAAGGTGTGAGGGTACGGCCCTTGCTTTCTTACGCTGCTGGCTATCTTCCTTTACTATATATTTCGATTTGAGCTTCCCCATTAATATTCATACATATTGCAAGCCTATTGTGCTCTCTTTCAGCGGCCTCGCTCTCCTGTAGCCTCGCTCTCCCGCAGCCTCTCTTTCCAACACCGCCTCTCCAGCTACCGCGCTCCGTCCGGTCGTACTTTTTCACGGCCCGCACAACGCCCTCTCTTGCACCTCGGCTCACCAACACCAATGAGTTATGGTATAAAGCCGGACGTCACCTCGCTCGACGAGGACTTGCGCGAGCTGAGGCGCTCCAAGTTCTCGGCCGCGGCCATCGACGAAATCTCCCGCTGGGTCTTCGACTCTGTTCTCCACGAGCCCTCCCCTGCCAACCTTCTCGAGTCGCTCAAAGACGGAACCGTGCTCTGCAAACTGGCCAATGTGCTCCACGAGGCCGACACTCGCGTTCCAAATCTGATCAGGTTCAAATGCTCCAAAATGCCGTTTGTGCAAATGGAGCAAATCGCCCAGTTTCTCACGTTTGCCAAGCAGTACGGGGTGCCCGAGGACGAACTCTTCCAGACAGTGGACTTGTACGAGGAAAAAGACCCTGCCATAGTGTACCAGACTTTGAAATCACTCTCGCGCTACGCCAATAAGAAACACCCGGACCAATTCCCCGTCATCGGCCCGCAAATCTCAAACAAGGCGCCACGCCCACCGGTCGCTACCAAGCCCAAACACCTCCAAGGGGTCGGTTGGAGCACACATGAATATGGCTACATGAAGGGTGCCAGCCAATCGAGTGAGCGAATCGTCTTTGGGCAAAAAAGAGACATAACCCATTAGATGGCGATATTGTCGGCACCGAGCCTAACAATCCGCTCACAGTATCTAGCTAAATCGTCTGGGATCCCGTCGAGTTCCCCAGGTAGTAGAACTAGTTCTTTTTTCCGTAGATGCCTCGTAACAGACCATAGTCCTTCCATCGTATCGCACCCTATGATTTTATGCGAATTATCTCGATCCAGCGACTGCAAATCGTCCTTGAAGCCACAGTTTGGTGGAATCAGCAATACAACATCATCTTGCAGTATGCTTTCCCAATTATCAACTGCTCTGTACACTGTGTTGGTTACTATAATCGTCTTGGGATCCTTCTTCTCCGATTTCTTCTCCTTAGAAGGCTTGTCCTTTAAACGTGCTATAACAAACAATCCAACAGCGGCAGCAACCAATATCCCAGTGACCAGAACTCTGCCAACCACTCTATTTTTCGTTTTCCTCGTCATAAATACGGGCTTCAAAAATATGTTCCGATGAACTACCTAATTTTTTGAAGCACCCTTCAAACCTCACCGATCAACCTTAAAAAAGTGAACGTATCATTCGACCGCAAGCAGACCGCTACCAAGAGCCTTTCATGCTAAACCAAGACCTCTTGTTTTCTGCATCGACGGTCCATCTAGAGCATATAACGACCGCCTTAAATTGTTTGATTCCCTTTGGAATCAAAGAAGACGTTTTGATTATAATCGACAAAGATGGTCTATCGTTTGCAAGGGCCAACAATCGTGTGATAAGTATCCAATTGTTTTTATCCAAGGAACTATTCATTGCTTATAATTATAATGGGCCTAGTGGAGATCCAGACTCTCACACTAAGGTTTGCGTCAAGATAAACCACATTTTGGATAGTATAAGTGTTGCAAATCGGGACAAAGATGATGTAGTGGAATGCACTCTTTCGTACAACGGTGAGGGATCTCCTCTCATTTTGATATTCGAAGATTCCATGATCAGTGAGCGAGTAGAATATTCCACGTATCTGTTGAAAGACCTCGAAATGGCCGATCTTGAACCCGATCGAGATCGTCTGATGTTTGAATGTATCATAAGAGGTGATGTTTTATACAATGCATTGCAAGACCTCAAGGAAATTGGTTGCAAAGAGTGCTACATTTACGCAATTACCAAAACTGATGGCAGAAACATATTTGCGTTGATCTCAAAGAGTCAACTCGGACTATCTAAAGTCGTTTTGCCTGGGGAACGAACAATTTTAGAAAAGTTAGAGGTATACTCTGGCGAAGCATCGATAAAAGTCGACAACTGTCCCGTAATTGGTTATTTTGACTTTTCCACTTTTGATAAGATGCGTATGAGCGCTAAAATCGCCAGTAAGATTTTACTCAGAAAAGACATTCACGGCCTTTTAAATGTTAACATTCTGAGTCAAACGGACAACGTTATATTAGTGGACTCTAAAATAACGTCAAAAATGCAAAACACCAGTGATATCAGAAACGCTCAACTGCCGAAAGACTATCCAGGAATAGTCATCGATATATCTATTTTAGAAAAGGTACATCTAGAGGAATTTGATGTACAAGAAATCAATTTACTGATGGAAAGCCCAGAGGAGGCCCAAACAAAGGCAATATATCAACCCAGTCGCCCTAATGACGATGGTAAAGTTTCTACAAAGGATTTAGATGGCAACTATGATAACAATTTCTTGGGACTCACCAAAAAAAGACGCATTGAAGATGTTGAACATGAAAGCGACGATGAGAACTACCAACCTGTTACGAAAGACATGCCATTGTTTTTCTGATCTGCGTTGTACGGCTAGGCATCTTTATAAAGATATGGATTAAACTTGCATTAATATACACAGGTATGTAACCATTTCTTTATATAGGAAACGGTGAACATATTTCAGAAACACAGTCTCAGTCTCAAGCAAAATAATAAAACAATGATATGATCAATTAAATCGCTTATTGGGAGAAGTGTTCCAAAATCATTTGACGTTCTTCAGTGTCAGCACCCCAGTTCTTGACAACAACAACGGAAGCACCAACAACCTTTCTGGCGTTACCTTCACGGTCGATCTTACCCAAACCGGCCCATTCACCTAGTTGCTTGGCGTCAGCAACCTTGATCAATGGAACCTTGTTTTCTGGGTCGTTAGCTAGACCTTCAACCAACTTGATGATGTTGTCTTCAGTAACGGAGTCAACCAAAACAACCAACTGAGCTTCACCTCTGGTCAAAGCCTTGGCGGATTCTCTCAAACCTCTGGCCAAACCATCGTGAATCAAAGCGGTTCTCAAAACAACCTTCAAAGCATCTTCAATGGTGATGGATTCGGCGGCTTGCTCAACGACAACCTCTTCGACAACTTCTTGGACTTCTTCAACGTCAGACATTATAAAATTACTTGACTTCTTCGACAGGGAAACTGCTCAGTACAGAGTGAAAGAAAGGAATCTAAACTAATATCGTGACCTTCACACTCAAAAGATGAAAAATAAAATTTTTCAGCGATGACTTGCCGTACAAAGATATAACAAGCACTCAATAGCCCATTTTTCCTTTTAGGATATACGTTTCCTACCCGTTAAGCATTTTATTATAGTTAGCAAAAAAATGGGTGTGTAGATGTTAAAGAGATGTATGGGTTTACACAGTCATACAAATCAAACTTTCCCTAATTGAAATGGACAAGTTAACCCAAATATTATAATCACATGTTTACTACCTACAAACTAAGCACAAAGATCTATTCCGTACGTTCAAAGCGCGCTTGTAGCCAGTAAATTTATATGGCACCTCTACCAGTATCATATTTCCATTTCGCCAGCGAACTCAACAGGCTCCACACTCATTCCCGTATCCAAAGTCATATTCATATTTTCGTCATCAGTAATTGCGGATTCATTCAGTTTTTCGGTATCATCTTCATCCTCGAAGTCTATATCAAAAAAGTCATCATCGCTACCAACTATTCTTTGAAAAAGAACTTTGGCTGCCGTTATCGCTTCATCATATGAAATCTCCGCAGAAGGGGGAGATGTATACAGTACAGCATTGTCGCTAGCACCTGGGATAAGCCTATCATCATCCGTACTGTTTAAGTCAAATATGGATGGATCGACCACCTCAAAAGGTGGTGTAGAAGTGAATTGTTTATAGTAAAGCTTCATTAAGAACTGTAGCTTTTCTCTTGGAATATATTCTTTAAAAGATTGGCCCAATTTTACAGAGTTGAGAACGAAATGACCATTGGAGCCCACTTGCAGAATGTTTTCGTCATTCTCCAGATCTGCAGATGATTCCCTTATGATACTCTCTTCAAGTGCTTCTAATGCAGCATCAAGGTCAAGCTCCCCACGAGGCCCACTTTGTGTTGTGCTTAAATACCATACGGAAGTACCTTTGGGGCAAATATCACTGCCGGATCCCATTACAAGAGCCTGGACTGCTTGTTTATTACCTGATTTCAGTGAATCTGGTGGAAAGACTACAACGGATGCGTTCTCACCTTCTGCAAACCATTCTGTGCAGGGCTTCTCAACTACGCAAGTCAACCTTTGCACCTCGTATTTTTGTTCAGGAACGTTCATACTATTATCCGATGATTGAGTGGGAGCAACAACTACTTTTTCTGTGACTGATACTTTTGAGCCGTCACTGAAAAGCGCCATTTTTGTGATTGGGTCATATGAGATGAACTTTAAATTTAGCCTATAGGTAGCACCAGCAACAGCTGCCGATCGGCAAAAGCCTTGCGACAGTTCACCCGGTCCACCATACTTTGAATATAAAACTGGAAAAGGACCATATACATCAAAGCTGATCAGGTACCTGCGAATTCTTTGAAGTGCTTCTGGTGTTTTGACGTCAATATTATAGCAGAGACCAATCGAGAATATTAGTTCGTAAACTTGAGCTTTATCTAATTTGAATTTTTCCACGAGAAACGTAGCGATAGGCGCTTCCGCGTAAGATGCCCATATTTCTGTCTGAGACTCCCAGTCTAGTACGAATTTGATGAACTTCATGAGGTTTCTTTTCGTCATCAGTGGCAAAGATGGGTCTGTGAAGATTTCTTGCTTTGTATTCGTCAATTTTTCGAAAGAGTCATTCTCAAAAGTATGAAAGCTTGAGAGTGATTGGAATTCAAGGTATTGATGGACACGAGATTTGACCAAAATGGATAACAAGTCCGACTTAGCGAATAGAATTTTAGGTGATAAGTCGATGCCAAAATCTCTTGAAGAGTATTTCCCATTCCTTATAGCACCTGAGACATGAAGTTTTGCATTTTCGTAGAACTTCATCTTATCTGAGTTAACATCCTGCACCCATTGTTTAAGCTGGTCGATAGTCAAAGTTGCCGATGAATCTCCGTAGTAAGTGTTAGCATCGATATGAAGTACATTAGAACCTTGCCAAGACAAAGCCGCCGCTAAGATGCTTTCCACAAGACCTGTTCCTACTATTACAACATCAACATTTCCAGGTGTCGAATCCGGCAGGGGATCTTCTAATCCAGCCAAGTGTGGCACCATTAAATTAGAGCCTCTGTGCTCCACATGCGGAGACAATGGCCCCATAATCGAGGGACGTCTCTCCGCCATAGAAGGACGACGCTCAGAACTCATCATTATGCAAGGATTAGCGTAACTGAGTGAAATGTCTTCAGAAGTATTTGCGGTAACAGATAAATGGAAATGACTCAAAATAATTATTAACCACGCGTTATGCTCCCCTAGAATGTAACTGCGTAAGGACCTTCTCAGATGAGATAATTGAAAGTAACTTCAGTTATCCAATATTTCAGCCCTCAAAATTTTAGTCTTCTTGAGTCTTCCGATAAACTGTTCAGTTAATCTGGTTGTCCTTTGCACTCTTTGTTGCTCAATAACGCAACTTGTCGACAAAATTTTTCTTCGAAAATATGCAGACAATTTTAGTATCTTAAATCACGTGAATGTAATGTTACATAAATTAGTGCCTTCTGTAGCGTAACCATCTCATATTTATGTCACGATATATCTAGGAGTAGTTATGACAGGAAGAATGCATAGTGCCATTGCGCCCCTTAGGTAAACCTCATTCAGTACTTCAGCATTTGATAGCATGCCCCCAACGATATACATGAATCCATTTGCATAAATGGTCGATGATGATGTAAGTCTAAGGCGCTCTACCCACCTGCTTGTACCGTAATCAGAGGGCGCACTAAGATGCAGCTCATGATAAACTTGGCAGCTCATGTCTATCACGTGAAAGCTTGCTGGTTCCGATAATTCTTCTCCTCTTCGCTTTTGACCATGAATCTCTTTCAAAGGCCAATGTTTTTTAACATCTTTTTGCGTTAAGCCTCCAACCATCACGGCACTCGAACCTATTTGGACTATTGAGTGGCCTACTAATGTCAACTCACAGTCTGTGTGTGATTTTTTTGATTCACTATTCGAAAAGGTCGACACATAACTCCAGGTTTCCGAGTCCAAATCGAACCACCACATATCACCGTAAACATGATCCTTATTTGAACCACCATGTATGACAAATGTCTTACCAGTGGATTCTGAAACTTTAGTGTGTCTGAGAAGATTCGGTGACATGGCGCAGCCCTGATGTGTGTGAGAGTGATGATGATGATGATGATGATGACTATCACTGCTATCATTCCTACCGGTTAATGGAGGTGATTTGTCACCTGAGGCATATGCTTTCGAGGTTGCCTCAGACTCTATGTCGAAATTCTCACGCAAGTTATTTAGTAGAACGTCCTCTGACAAATTCCTCCTCAGCATGGTTGTATCATACACTGCACAAGCATGGAAAGCCCTACGACCTGGCCATGTATCACAATCAGAAGTTTCTGGTACATCAGGGAACATTGTTGCCAGAGCTGTTTCTGCAAATTTGAAATAATTACGTTTCCCACGGGAAGTCACAGTAACTTCAATTTTCCATAGATCACGAAGCGTCTCATAATCATCCTCCCCAGTTTGCCTATATCCTCCCATTACAAGAATGGTGTAAACTCCTGTATTTAAGGAGCTCGAAAGTTTATTAAGCAGCGCCTTATCCCCTAGAATTGAATTTCCTGACTGTGAGCGTGGTTCTAGAGGCAGAGACACAGGAGAGGATGGTTCATTCCTTGTTTGCCCATCCCCACTATCTGTTCCATCATCCGCACCAGAAGGTGAGCATACCGAACATTTTGAAGAGTTTGAAGGGGAGCTCACTTTAACGGATACTTGGGAATGTCCAAACCTTGGAACGGTTGAAGGATAGGCGGTGAATTTTGTTGGTTGAGCTATCAATTCCACTTTTGTAAATTTGAAGGTCATAATATCCAAAATGTATGCTGTATTGTTCAGATAGGCCCTCTTTTTTAAAAAGAATTTTCCAGTTTGCTCGTCAATAATGGTTTCTGTTTTAACTTCAAACCCACCGTAGTAAAATATGTGACGCTTTGTCAATACCGAGCCGGTCATGCAGAGCATTGGCGGTGGTATTTGCCCAGTCATTTTAGGTTTGCGTACTCTTGAAGATGACGTTGACACGATGTATAAATCATGATTGTTCACCAGTCCGGGGTTATTGACGACATCTTCGAGAATTGGTGGCGGCAGATTTTTGATACCATCAACATAAAAACTGCTCAAATCAGGCTTCTCATCTGAATAAAAATAGCAGGGAGTTAAACCACCTAAAATATAGATCTCATTGTCCAAATCAACCGTACATTGATAAACGAATGCTGGCAACTTCATTTCGCCAAATAAGGGAGGTATAGTGGTTGAACCATCAAATGCATTTTTGTTTTTTGCTTCAGCTCCAGGCGCCGTAATGTATGAATTTGTAAATAGCCAAGATTTGCTTTTGTCGGCAACTAATTGACTAGGAAGCGAAGGTGCATCCTGACGAATTTTACGTTCAGTTATTCCCCATCTTACTATAGGTAGCCACATATTATGTCTTTTCAATGTTTTGTTATTCTCTTTGTCTGGGATAGGTAATTTTGAACAATAGCTTCTGTATCCTCTCGCGCAAACTTCAGAAGAAAACAAGGACTGATCCATCAGGGACCGAACTGGAGTTTGATCACCTCCTAGACGACCGGTATGACTTGCGAAGTGTTTCAGGCGGGGTTGCCGTTTTGAGTTATCACTAGAGGTCAAAGGATCCGATGCCCCACTAATGACACTGTCATGTCGAGAGGTATGTACTTTTGATGCATAGTACCCCATTAGCACCTTTTCATTTTCATGCCTACGCCTTTCGACTGGTATATCCATCATATCGTACTTCACTCCTGAAATATAATTGTGTAAATAACCGATGGCGGTGAATTGCTGCTTATATTGTTCTTTTGTCCATGATGGCACGCTAAATGATCCTGAAGGGACCCCTCCTTCATAGATGGAAGAGCGACTGCTGTCCGGATATTCAGGTGTAGAAGAAACAGCTGACTGCATTTAACACCCGTATAGGAACTGAGCTCACTCTATTCTATTCTTGGATTTCTAGCTTCTCGGTGATAGTATTCAGGGGTTGTGAAAGCGGCTGAACTAAACTGCGAGAAAACTCATTGAATTAGTTACCCGGACAAAGGAAACTACATCAGGGAGCAGGATTCCTCGATCATATGACACAATCATACATTTGAGCGAAATTGGCTCTAGCATCGTACCATTGACACTCTCGCCAATGAACCGTATCCAATAAATACCAGCAATATGTCGATGCCTTGTCCTTAGCACCAACATACCATTTTTTTTAATCATACATATGATGTATATCCTTTTACCTATTGTGAACTTGGGTATCGTCCATTGAAATCTAACCTTAGACTTGGAGTCATTTTTTGTTTTTTGCTACGTCCTGATGCCGGCATTTCTGTAAGCTCCGATTGAGACCGCTTCAGCCCCGGCTTTCTTTTCCTACCATTGGTATCTCCTCCCATCACAGTGCCTTTTGTTGAGTTGAATGAATTAGCGTCAGTAACTATGATCTGAAACTTCGGCTGCTTCTTTGACACTTTTTTCGTCCCATTAGCCACAGAAAGTGACCGCTCGCTTTTGAAAGATCCCATTTTGGGAAGCTCCGGAATTTTGATGGACGTTACGTCCAGATCGCTACTTTGTGGTTTTGGAGTAGGAGACAACGGCAGCTTTTCCACTTCAAAAAGAGTTTCGTCAATGTTAGGTTCTCGCTCTGCATACTTGGATGAGAAGACCGGACTTTCTTTACTTGATATAGGGCCCAATTTATCCCGCGTAGATTTTGTCACTGAAGAATTGAGTTGTATAGTCGTCGGCGAGGAACCGCAGTCACCATCACGATCCGTTGCTTCTTCAATATCGCTGGAAAAGCCCTCTTCGTTGTGGTTTGAGTTTAAACTTCGGGTTGAACGGGATTGTCTGTTCTTCAGCGGTGTGAATGTTGTTTTCGTTGAATCTTTTCTTGCCTTGTGGAAATCCACGAGTGCACTGTTAGAAGACGCAAGCATCTTCGCATATGGGGTCCCTATGTCATTCAATACTCTTTTCCCATAGGGCGTCAAAGACAGATATCTTTTGGAAGGCGAGGAAGTGCGTGGCTTATTCTTTGAATTGAACATAAGATTGATGTCAATATTCCTTAGGGGTGTGATTTGGGCTTGCTGTTGCTGTGAGGATGTGACAGCTGTACTATTAAAGAAACGTAACGGCGTCTTAGCTGGTGTTTTATGTAGAAGATTCAGTCTCGCAGGCGATTCAAACAAGAACTCCTTGAACTGCTCTGGAGAGGCAAGCAGGAACTCGTTACTCAGCTGTAAAACTGAGGAAGGTTGCACGTTCATATCACTAAGTGTTCCTGTGCCACTGTTGCCCTGTAGGATACTATTCTCAACTATTGATTGATTTTCATTTTGATTTTGCAATGGGGGCTCGGAGTGATGTGGAGCTATATGATTCTGGGAGTAAGGCGTAGGAAATTGTGTGGTTGTGGGAATGGGGCTGTTGAAAGCATACTTCAGGTTTTCCGAAATAACTCGAAAGAGTGCCTCTTCGTCGTTAGTTTGCTCCATGTATGCTTTGCCGGTGTGTTGTTTTGTGTATTCGGAGGTTAGAGAACTTTTGTGTTTTCGTTAGCACGCAGAGAATTCGCGTAGTGAGGGTAACTTTTTTTTGGATTATGTGCATAATGATGTTCTGAAGGTAAACATACTGAAAAGACCTAAACCAGGGAAGCATGTCAGGTGAAGCATCGCCGTCAAGACAGTTGAGCGAAAGCCTGGGTCAATTCCATATAAGCTCGCCGTCCAAATTCAAAGCTTATGCAAAAAATAATGAATTCAAGGACGCTGAGTTCGACTCGCAGCTCAAACCTACTGACACAAAGAAGAGCTACATAGAAAAGCTGGGCAACTGGTCAGTGAACTACGCTACAGTTCAACATCGTGAGACTGATGACGAGAATAGATCACCACCCCAATGGAAGCAGTATATGGAGCTACAATCAGCTCAAAAGGCACCTCAGGAAACCCAATCACATGCAGACCTAATAGTGACCTCTTCGCTTAGCGACATATCGCTTATACCGACAAATACGTTCAAGAATCGTGGTCAAAGGCCGCATCTTGAAGAATCAGATGATCCAGCTCGCGAGGCCCTCGGTGTGTTTGACAATGTTCTCAGGCACCAGAGATCGACGTATCTAAATGGCACAGAACCATCTGCTGCGGATGCGGTCAACCGGCATGGGGAGAATAGTAACAAAGAATTTAACGACGACGAATATGAAACAACGTCCAATTCATCCTACGATTCGATAAACGATACAATGTCATCTCCCAGCTTGCGGCAAGCACAAAAGACCAACCCGATACCGTCGTCGTCTTCCGAAGCGCAGCCGTCGGAGCCTCGACAGGGACTTAAACTAATCACACCCGAGGATGCAGGAATGGTTTTCAACTATAAAGAAGGTGTTTGGGATCAGCCTTCAACGAATGTAGACGCATCCACAAGTGGCGCGCAAACCTCGACGTTGGAAAACGACGACAATTCATCGAGCAAAATTGTGTCATTCAAACTTCCGCGCGTACGCGCACAGGAGGCATCTGGCGTTGCAGAGGCATCCTTGGACGCCTCTGTGGACGATACACCGTTGTCGACGCCCAAAGTCGACAGTAAGTTTCTCATGCGTCCGCGCGCCATGAAGGCATCGACGAAAGCTGCCGCGCAGACAGGAGCTGACACAACGATAAACCTCATGGATAACGTAACGAACGTGTCAGAACTGGACACCTCGTACCGCCTGACGAAGGGAGCCGTGATGTCCGCGCTGGTCGACGCGATCCCTCGGAAGGAATCGTGGGATCACGTGATCTCGGTCGACCTTTCGGACCGTACACTTGAGAGTCTTGTGGGCATGGACCGTCTAGTACCCGCGCTGCAGGTTCTCGACGTCAGCCACAACCGCCTCAACTCGCTACAGGGCGCACCGCAGCGCCTGCTGGCGCTACGGTGCGCACACAACAAGCTCGCTGCCTATTGCAACCTGGACGAGCTGCCGCACCTTGAGACAGTTGATCTTTCACACAATGCACTCAGCACCAACCTCTCTCTACTGAGTGGATGCCTTCACCTCCGCCGTGCTGATATGTCCCACAACGCGATTACATCGCTGCGTGGTCTTGGCCGCGCTGCGCTCGACACGCTGCGCGTCGCGCGGAACCGCGTAATCGGGGCACTCGACTTCGCAGACCTGGTCTCGGACGACAGCTCCTCCTGGATGCAACTGCGCGAGCTGGACCTCAGCGGCAACAAGATCACTAGCCTCAAGAATCTACATCTTCTACGTGAGCTGCGAGTTCTACGGCTCGACGGCAACCCGCTGGAAACGCTCCAGGGAAACTCCAGTTCCTCACTGCGCACTTTAACATTGCGTAATTGCACAGCCTTGCGCGAGCTTGGCGACTTTCCGCGGCTACGTGTGCTCCGCATGCACGGCGGCAGTTTTGCCGCCCATGCACTGCCTGAGTTACTGGAGGAGCTGGAACTTACCGGGTATCGTAGTCAGGACGCGGCCGATACCGGCCCGGGATCTAATCGCACACTTACAAACCCGTCTCCAGAAACCACCCTGTTACCCGGTCTGCTCCCTCCTTTCCTGCGTAAACTCGAGCTAGTAGCGGGCGCGCACCGCGAGTTACCGGAGCGTCTTCAAATCCGGTGTCCGGGTCTCCACACTTTGGTCGTGCGTGACAACCAGCTCACAAGCGCGCACGCATTGTTGGAACGACTACCGATAAACCTGCGTGTGTTGGATCTCCGCGGCAACCCATTGGTCCAATTCGCCAACGACGCTGAGCGGGACCGATTTCTGCGCATGGTCAGTCTCGCTTTGCCGACGCTTTCCCGCATGCTGGTGTAAGGGGAGACTCTGCCCCGCGCGGGACGGCGCTCGGACCTCGGGACGGAAAGTGTCACGTAAAAAAAGAGGGGGGGTCGTGCGGCGCGACTCAAGTCCCCCGCCGGTTTGGCTGAGCTACGAGATGTGCATCCCCACACCCCTGCGGCGATGGCTGTTTCCCCGGTTTTTTTGTTGGCACGTTGCACACCCTCTCTGGGCGGGTAGCAATGGGTAGCGTCAGGCAGAGTGCTGACGGCAGCCGCAACTGGGGGTCCTGTGAGGGGTTGGAAAAGAGGGGTACATAGAGAGTATATTAAGTGACGGCGTGCACCCGTCGGGGAAATATGTGAACTTTGGAGGGATCAATAGCAAAGGTCAATACAATCTACAAAGCATGTTATTGAAATCTGCAGTGACTTTGACGAGACCATCTGTGTCGTTGAGCAAGATGGCATTGCGCTGCTACACGCAGCTACCCCTCAAGGTTCCTATCAAGTTGCCCAATGGGATCGAGTACGAGCAGCCCACTGGGTTGTTTATCAACAATAAGTTCGTGCCCTCACGCCAAGGTAAGACGTTCGAAGTGATCAGCCCTTCGACTGAGGAGGAGATCTGTCACGTGTACGAGGCGCGCGAGGACGACGTCGAGGACGCAGTGAACGCTGCAGACCGCGCGTTCAAGTCCGGCGTCTGGTCCGAGGTCGACCCCATCGTACGTACCGTAGCACTCAACAAGCTCGCGGACTACATTGAGAAGGACCTCGACACAATTGCATCCATCGAGACGCTCGACAACGGTAAGGCTATCAGTTCTGCGAAGGGTGATGTGCAGCTCGTGGTGAACTACTTGCGCTCATGCGCCGGTTTCGCCGACAAAATCGATGGCCGCGTTATCGACAGCGGCAGCTCGCACTTCTCTTACACCCGCAGACAACCTCTTGGTGTGTGCGGGCAGATTATCCCCTGGAACTTCCCTCTATTGATGTGGGCCTGGAAGATCGGTCCAGCCCTAGCTACTGGTAACACTGTTGTTCTAAAGACCGCCGAATCGACTCCTCTATCTGCGTTGTACGTTTCCCAATACATCCCACAAGCCGGAATTCCACCAGGTGTGGTTAACATTGTGTCTGGTTTCGGTAAGATTGTTGGTGAGGCGCTCACTACGCACCCCAAGATCAAGAAGATTGCCTTCACTGGTTCCACTGCCACCGGTCGTCACATTTACCAAAACGCAGGTGCCAACTTGAAGAAGGTCACTTTGGAACTCGGTGGTAAGTCTCCAAACGTGGTGTTCTCTGATGCAGACTTGAAGAGTGCTGTTCAAAACATCATCATTGGTATCTACTACAACTCTGGTGAAGTCTGCTGTGCAGGCTCCAGAGTTTACGTTGAGGAATCGGTTTACGACGAGCTATTGGAGGAGTTCAAGAAGGCCTCTGAAGCCGTCAAGGTTGGTAACCCATTTGACGAATCCACTTTCCAAGGCTCTCAAACCTCTCAAACTCAATTGAACAAGATTTTGAAGTACGTCGAGATTGGTAAGGAGGAAGGTGCTACTTTGATCACTGGTGGTGAAAGATTAGGCAACAAGGGATACTTCATCAAGCCAACCATCTTTGGTGACGTTAAGGAGGACATGAGAATTGTCAAGGAGGAAATCTTTGGCCCTGTCGTTACCGTTACCAAGTTCAAGACTGTCGATGAGCTCATTGAGATGGCCAACGACTCTGAATACGGTTTGGCCGCTGGTATCCACACCTCCAACATCAACACTGCTTTTGAGGTCTCCAACAAATTGAACGCTGGTACCGTTTGGGTCAACACCTACAACGACTTCCACCACTGTGTTCCATTCGGAGGTTTCAATGCTTCTGGTATCGGCAGAGAGATGGGTCACGAGGCTTTGGACAATTACACCCAAGTTAAGGCGGTTCGCATCAAGGTGGCTTAAAACAATAAACTATGTGTAACGAAACTAAATATTCCATTATTATTACAAGTATAGTAAAAGTATCATGACTTGAAAAAAAATTCGATAGTTTTTTCAGTACTCGAGGGTAAGCGCTCTCTATAGAGAACCACATACGAACGTCGTAAAAACAACTACACAAGGAGCAAATTTTCATTTGCGATCGTCATCATTCTCTTCAAGCACGGAGATCTCCAGCTCTTCTTCGTAATCTTCATCAGATTTCAGTGGTATAACTTTTCTTGAAAGAAGCGTCGAGCCCTCTGGTTCCTCATCCAAGACTGAGCCAGTGGAGTGGGCGTTGTTCTCAACAGCGCCGGCATTTGAGGACCTCAAACTCTTCCCTGCACTCTTCTCAGACAGTGGCTCGACCTTCTGCGTCTTTTCAGCAGCCTTAGAGATCTTGCTGGGTCTTTGCGCAACTTTTGCAGACTCGCTGTCAGGGGTCATCAACATAATCTTGATTAGCACAATAGCAGTTAATGCTACCACAATTAGAAGCCCAATTCCAAATATTATCCCCTTTACAAGGTCATCGAGTAGTGAGAACCCAGATAATACCTTTTCGAAGAGGATATCAAATAAATTGCCCGAAGTTCCGCTTTCAGGCATTGTTGGTTTGCTGATTCCCTGAACTTCAGGTTCTTGCATTTTCAGCTCTTTTTTTTCTAGTCGCAATTTGGGTAAAAAAGTCATATTCCCTAATTTCTCGGCTTCTTCGACGGAGTGCCCTACGTAAATATTGTCGAAAAGAGTATCAGTCGATGTACTCCACAGGTCAAACACAATGATCCCGATGTCATTTTCTAGTAATGCAGGTGTTTCATCGAAAAAGTAATCAGGATTATCAATCATTTTAGGTTTCCATTCACCTTGATAGTTTGGGTTTGGGATTTGTGGTGGATTCCAGTGCCCTCGATACTTAGGATTCTTCACTAATCGTGGCTTCCACTTACCACAACCTTGCGGAGAATGGCATGACGGATTTTTAATTGAGGGGGGTACCCACTTGCCATCTTTTTCCTCGTTCCACCATAGTGGCTTTTGAGCTTGTGTATCAATAATATATTCAGGAATTGACTCATCCCACTCAACAGGTTTGGTGCGTTTAGGGTCTGGGATATGTAATGGTTCGTCTTCATTCCAGTCTTCAGGTTTTTTTGCATCAGGGTCCGGAATCATTGGGCGATCGTCCCAGGCATCTGGTTTGAAACTTTGTGAATCTGGTATGGTCTTAGGTGGGCTGAGTGGGGGATCAAACAACCCCTCTTGCAGTAGACTACCAGACTTGTTTACTTTGCCATCAATTCGAATCTCATAATATTGGTTCTCTGCATCCAAGATCAAGGTATACAAGTGTGACAAAGGCGAATTCAACTTCGATTGCGGGGCACCTTGCAAGTACTTTTCTTGAGAAAGCCCTGTTATCGGATTTGTTCGTTTCAAGACCAAGCGCACTTCATTTGTGTAAGGTTGACAAGAATCAGGCCCAAACACAAGTTCAAATGGAGTTGAGAAGTTGTACGTAGTCAAGTCCTTATCAGTAGGAGGATACAGCTTCATGTATGCGCCTCCGCATTCAAGTTTTTTCTGAAGCTTTACCTCATACTGGATTACTAGAGTAGCATTTTGATTTGTAGAAATCACTTTTGGTAATTTGCGTGCAATTAAAGAGCGCTGTTCGGAACTCCCAAGAACTAGGGACAAATCCTTGCGGAACCCAGGTACTAAATAAGCCTCTTCTAGCCTCCATTGGCCGGGATAATATTCGAAATCATTCCCTTCAACTTGAGGCTTTGGGGTTATCCATTTGCTTGCAAAGTCCTCATAAGATTCATATTGAAAATCTTCCCAAAACGAATCCTCCGATACTGATCCATTTTCAAGCATGGTTGGCAGATTTGGGTGCTCTATATTATACTCGCCATGTGCCTGAGGGTTCTGCCCCGAGACGGGGTGAATAATAAGTAGAGGGAGTAAGAAAGGGACGAATTTATTTGCCATTGATCTCCGGATGAGATTGATTAGTGATGAAGACTATGTAACTTGTGGTCCCCATCAGTAGAAAACAATTGTCGTATCAAAAGATTTTACAATTTGATTATGGTACAAATACTATACAGGGTTGATCAAAAATCTCAAGCTTCCACATCATCAGACAGTAGAGCAAATGCATTTCCTGTCGGTGTTGCTTCAGTATCGGCATCTGCAGATTCTGGTTCGTCATCGGCGTCCATTTCGTCTTCAACTTTTTTGAGATCTTTGTTTTCCTCTTTCTCGAGATTTTGTAGCGCTGCTAATTCTCTTTTAATGCTTTCATTTGTAGAATCCCATCCCGCTTTTCTTGCACTTTGAACATATTTGGCTCTAGACTCTGCACGTTGGACTTTACCGTCCAGCCTATTTGAGAAATTTAGTGCTCTTTCTAACCTTTCTTTGTCCAAATTATTAGCTCGAACTTTAACGCTCTGTTTCTTACCAACCTTATTATTTTGTTTTGACTTCTTCCTCATTCTAGCTTCAAGAAGTTGTTCATTCTTTGATGCAGTTCTAATTAGCTTATTAGTTACATCAGCGTTGTCAACACGTGGTAACTTGGACAAGTCTTTTGCCTCAGGCTCCTCTACCTCTAATCTTCTCGCTGCCCTAGAATGCTTTGAAAACTTCTTGGCCATGTTTGATTTGTCAACTTTCTTGTGTAGATGTTACTGCTCATCTCATCACAGGCATATAGACAAAAAATTTTTCTGCACATTTCCAAATTTAAGTAAGCAGCAGAACTTTTTACACAAATGAATTGACGAATATACTCAATAGGTTCTTTTTTATGAACATGAAATAGCCTAAGCTCTCGAAGGCTATTATCCATCTACAGATCTTACTTACTCAGACAATTCGTTAAAATTGTTAGGTGTTAGGAGAATTTTGATATTGGTTTCTTTGTGGTTGATGAGTTCCATGAAACCCTTTTCGAAACCATCCTCAATTTTCTGACGGCCAGTGATCATACGTTTAGCTCTTGAAATATCAATGGAGCCTTCATGCAAAGCCTTAACGACGGCCTTGAAATCTTCAATTGTGTAGCACATTGAACCTGTGACGAACTTTTCTTGCAAGGTGACATCCATTGGGTAGTAATCGATTGGCTTATGACCCCAAACCGCAATGTTAACAGCTACACCATTAAAAGTTAGTGCATGTAGAGAAGTGTCGAAAGTTTGTTTGACACCAGAGCAATCGTATGAAAAATCAAAACCTTCACCATCGGGAGCGATCTTCCGTAAAACATCGACAGCGTCTTTCCCGTGATCGAAAGGATTGAAAGTTTCAGCACCCATTAAAGCTGCTTGTTCTCTACGAGCCTTAGCTGGTTCGGAAACGATAATCTTGCCTGCCTTATGGCCTTGTAGCGCCAAAATTGTAGCAAGACCAATAGGACCTGCGCCAAGAACAAGCGCAGACTGGCCCGGCTTCAATCCAGAAATGCGGACTGCGTGCCAAGCAACTGAAAGTGGCTCCACCAAGGCTGCCACATCCATAGGGATGTCGTTAGGAACTTTGACGACGTGTCTCTCGCTAGTAACCACTTTCTCGGCAAAACCACCTCCATAGGCACCCAAACCGCAGAAGCCCAAGTGGCCGCAGCAGTTATAAAATCCTTTCTTGCAAGCACCACACTCCTCGTCCTTTGGAAAAGATGAGTTTGGCCAGCGATAGATGTCTTGGCATGTACTGGTGGCTTCTACAACAACATGGTCGCCCACCTTGACCTTCGTCACAGCGGGCCCCACCTTAGAGACTACACCGGACATTTCGTGGCCCATTGGCTGTGGTAAACCTTTTCCACTTATCTTTTCAACCGCATTGTCTTCCGGGAAGAAGATAGGGCCATCTAAATACTCGTGCAGGTCTGAACCACAAATTCCTGCGTAGGAGATGTCGATGAGTACTTCATCATCGAGTTCAATCCTTGGCTCTGGAATTTCATCAGAAAATTGTATTTTGTTTTTAGCGAAGTATGCAAGAGCTCTCATTTTTTAAAGATGCATGGAGACTTAAGAAATTTGGAAATTAACAGCTTGTGAACCGCTTTCTTATATGCTTTCTTAGAAGCATGGCTCTCTTGTTTCCTAAAGAAGATAAGCGGAAAACTTTGAACGGCGGCACAGTGAAGTCCCTGAGGCGGGTTGAACTTCCGCTGCCCCACTACCCCACTATAGGAAATCAGCTGACGAATCGTTGGCCGCATCCGGGCCGATTCTCGGCGCTACTGTAGTCCGAGTTAAGGCATGAAGTTCAAAACAGTAAATCAAGAGTTAAAAAAGCCGCTTTGAGGTCACAAATTCGAAGGTTTGTTTCAAGGTAAATTAGTTGAACTCTATCCTGCCCTCTTCTCTCATTCTCACCGACGAGCCGATAATGTGATCCTCTTTTTTAGACTTCGGCCACCGAACTCCCCTAGAATATCGGACATTCGAAAGCCGTTGTAACACGTGGTTGCCTGCTGTTTTCATTTGAGCGAAAAACGTTTTCTTAGAATGCTGCTCATTGTGCTCGTATCATTACGAAAATCAAGATAGTATTCTACTATCTTCTATTATGTAGAGAAAATTCCCCCTTTAGCGTTGTCCGCCTTTGAACTATAAACAGGCATAATAAGAGCAAATATGGTGATGCTATTGGTGATGCAAATTTGGTGATGCAAACATACGGGTCAAACGTCCACTTGAGCCAATCTTTCTCTGTTGAATAAAAGGTTCAATCCGTCCGGTGTGCTCCAAATATCATGTAAAAAAGAGCTCATTTTTATTCCTGCATAACTGTGAGCCCTTTCGGCCATTCGATTTATCTTGTCAAGAATAAACAGCTGGTGATCAGAATCACGTGCGAATGCGCCCGCTATTAGCATTGTCCAAGGCAAAATTCCCCATACCTGATGATCAGCGGGGATTTGTTTGTAGCATTGTACAATTTCCTCAACAGATTTTTGTACCTTGGCACAGTTCACGTCGAACTCACTGAATTCAATCATCTTAGAGGCAAAGAGATCGCAAGTCTTCGTAGTAAGAATGCCTACAAGAGAATTAATTTTGAAATTGAACCATTGTATATCGTCCATTTCTAGGGCTGGAGTTGGAGGCGTATAGTAGACGCACATGTTTCGAAGCTGCATGGCTTTAGTAAGCCACAGAGGTCCAAGAGGCATCTCCATGCGACCAATAAACGAAAGCTTGGCCAAAATTTCAAATGTATCTAACGACGAACCAAGAAGAGGATTACTCATCCACTCATTTGTTCCCTCGCAGTTATAAACTGCGCATTTAAGAACCACATTTAGGGCCTTGAAGATTGTGAAAGGATTCGGAAGGTGTGAGATATCTTTTGCAAACAGCATGGAAACAGAGTAATGGTATATAAAACTCTCGACAAACATACGTTCGTGGGGTTGTAGGATAAGGCTTTTGATCAGAAAATCATTTAGTAGAAGGTTTTCGGTCACATCAGTATCCCTTCTGTCGTAATACTTTTGGCGAATGATCAAGTATGCTTTGGAAAGATGCCAGATGGAATCATCCACGGTTCCTGTGAATGAATTCTTATCCCTGTTACAAAGCAACTGTAATGACGCGAATAGCCAATCTTCGTCGGCGAAGGTCCTATTCTCTTCAATATAAGACATTACCATGCTCTTACATTCCGCATATAGTTCATCACTAAGATTTTGAAATCTATCAAGATCTTTCCATGCCAAATAGGTTGCCCCGCAACACAGAAAAACACGTTTCATTAACGGGTGCTTTTCTACTTGAGGTATGAATGTCGCATCTGCTGTGAGACTTGGATGTGTATATTGAGTGCTCAGTTTCGGAATATAGCCCTTGAGGCATGCAAAAAACAAAAAGGCCTCCATATCGAGATGTTTAAACACACTTTCAGATGGCAGCTCGTTGTTTCTATATTTTTGCAGAAGCTTTTCATATACAATACTCTCTTCTGCATTCGGATCATCGAATACTTGGTAGTGCGAACTCAGTGTAGATGGATGTATCACGAGAGCATGTCGTGGTATGTCAATCAAAGGAATAGAGAAGCTATCCAGCTGGAGATCTAAAGTTTCGCTAATGGTCAAAGAGCTCCAGAACTCCTCATCTACACTCCCTAGGACATTTAAGGGATTTCCATCTTCATTCGCGGAAATTGATTCTACAGGAGAATCTTCTTGAAAATCATCCACTGGGATAAACCGACTACTCAAGTGGTCAAATTTACTGAGTGTTGTTTCCTCACCATTCAACGAATATATTTGAAAGATCCATCTAGGCGGTGAAGGCTTGACTCTGGCGTCCAGAGGGCAGTATGTCACGTGAAAATCAAGTGAAGTCTTTCTTTCCTCTTTATTCGGGATAACTTTCTCCGGTGATTTTACATTGTTCCTTCTTTTCGGACGTCTAATTCTTCCGTTATTGTAGTCTGGCCAATTGCATTGTAAGTAGTTCCGTCGGCATCCTCCGCAAATTGGTTTCTCCTCATCACACTTCTTTCTTCTCTTCCTGCACGTCATACATCCCGTAATTGTACGCCTGTTGACCTTTTTTGCGGTTTCCACTCTTCTTCCGCTCGTCCCCCCTGTGCTTAGCATTTCTTGCGGGGCGATGTGAATAGCTACGTGCTGCAAGATTTTATTGACATTTTTTTTACTACGGGTCAGCCACTCATTAATAAAAAAAAAGGGATGGCACCGGTCCTCCGGTAATGAGGAAGAACAAAACAAGTTTAGTAGTTTAGTAATCTTCGAAAGCATACAAAAGCGCAAAAATATTCGGATGATATAGGTGGGGCTTAGCTTTCGACCGAGTAAATCTAAAAGAATCTATTAGGATGACTAAAAATCTGGCTGCCAAGCTAGGTTTGAAGAACATTTTTGCCAAGACTGAAGAGAGGCCTACTCCTAAAGAGGTCTATAATTGGCGTGTTTACGGCACCGCGTTGGTCGCATCTACCGCGAGTGTATTAATTGGTTATGATACCGGGTTTGTTGGTGGGTGCTTTGCTAATGAGTACTTCTTGAAGAATTTCGACTTGGCCGACGACACTTCGAAGGCAGACACAACAGTTTCAAACGTCATTTCATGCTTCCATGCTGCCGCTTTCTTTGGAGCTTTATTTTCATATCCCATGTCTCATTACTGGGGACGCAAAGTTTCTTTGTCCATCGCAGCAGGTATAGCCGCCATTGGTGCTGCCATCATGCTGGCCAGCGTCAATGGAAACTTGGCTCCATTATATATAGGCCGAGTAATGACCGGCTTAACTGTTGGTGCTTCGACCAATTTGACTGTGGTATATTTAAGTGAAGTTTCTCCTGCACCAATTCGAGGTCAAATTATTGCCCTGTATGAAGTTGGTTGGAGAGTCGGTGATTTAATTGGATTTTGGATCAACTATGGTGTAACTCAACACATTCCAGGAGGAAATCAACAATGGGTCATCCCAATGGGGGTTCAACTAATTCCTGCAGGGATGTTTTTCATTGGCTCCTTCATCATGAAAGAATCACCAAGATGGCTTTTCCAGGTCAATCGTGACCAGGAGGCAATCGAAAACCTTCGATTCCTAAGACAATTACCCGAAGATCATGAATACATGATATGGGAAATTAGCACGATTAGAGATTCAGTGGAAGAGCAAAACGCTACTATTGGACCAGGTTTATTCGATCCTGCCAAGGAAGTTTTTGTAAAGAATACGAAATACTTTAAAAGGCTTGGCATAACATGCATGCTTTTTATTTTTCAGAACTTCATGGGAATTCAATCCATTAATTATTACTCTCCAAAAATCTTCGAAAGTGTTGGCGTGAAAGGCACTAACGCGACTCTATTTTCTTCAGGCATGTTCGGTGTTGTGAAGTTCATTTGTACCTTCATTTACATCTTGTTCATCGTTGATAATTATGGAAGACGGAAAGCTTTTATGGCTTCGGCGGGAATGTGCTCCATCTGCTTTTGGTATGTTGGAGCCTATCTTAAGATTAATGATCCAACAAAGCCTGGAGTATCGCCCGGTCCCGGAGGTAAGGCTGCGATCGGTTTCATGTTTATCTGGACCGCGTCATTCATCTTGGCATGGTCCGGAGGGCCATTTGTATGGGGTGCAGAAGTCTATGAGCAAAACATTAGAACGTTCGTCCAATCCATCAATGCTGCAATTTCTTGGGTACCAATTTTTATCATGACGAGGTTAACAACTGAAATGATAAATTCTATGAAGTATGGTATTTTTCTATTTTTTGCAAGCATCGCTGCCATTGCCGTTCCATTTGTATATTTCTTTGTTCCCGAAACCAAAGGGATTGCATTGGAAGATATCGACAAACTCTTCGAGAAAGGTTTGTCTGCCCACCGTGCCCACAAGCATGTTATGTCTCAATCAAAGCCTATGATCGAATTGAGAGATGGATCACAATTCTTCGCTGAAGAACCAAAGAAGAACAAGGATGAGCAGATCGAAGACACCCGATTCTCTGAACAAAGCTCTCAGAAGGTATAACGAATTAGCTTCATCCTTCTATAATTAGCGAGCCACTGGATGGCCTCATGTTTAGTCCTCTTTTATGCACTTAATTAACTTCGAAGCTTTTTTTTTCATAATTGGCATATTTACGTTCCGCATGAATTTTATCTAAATGACTTTTCAATTAAAATTTCTATTCCGTGCTTTTGCATTCATTTACAGACCATTATATCAAAAGATTATACAGTTTATTCCCAGACATCACCTTGGTCGAACATGGCATCAGCAACTCTGATGAAACCGACCAAGTTAGCACCCTTAACCAAGGATGGTAGGGCATCCTTGTTATCTTCGTTAGAGTATTCGCGAGCGGTCTCCAAACTGTCATTGAAACAGTTAACCATGATCTTCTTTAGCTCTTGGTCAACTTGTTCTCTGGACCAGGTCATTCTTTGAGAGTTTTGAGCCATTTCTAGACCAGACACGGCGACACCACCCATGTTGGATGCCTTACCTGGGGCGTACCAGACAGCTGGCTCAGAAGCAGACTTTGTAGATAGACGCTCACCCTCGAAGACTTGGATAGCTTCTTGAGTGGAACCCATGTTGGAACCTTCGGCGACGAACTTGACACCGGCAGCAACTAGTGCCTTGGCTTCCTCACCAGAAACTTCGTTTTGGGTTGCACAAGGCAAAGCAACGTCAACCTTACCAACATGGACCCATGGACGAGCACCAGCCAAGTACTTGACCTTGTTTTCAGCGAAGGCAGAGTACTCGCCAATGATTTGCTCCAAAGACTTGAAGTTAATCTTAGCTTCGGAAATGGCTTGAACTTGTTCTGCAGTAATACCGGCATCGGAAATGATAGCACCCTTAGAATCGGATAGAGATACGACGGTACCACCTAGTTCGATAACCTTTAGAGCTGCGAATTGAGCAACGTTACCAGAACCGGAGATAGCTACGCGCTTACCGGCAAATGATTCTTTGCCCTTAGTGGCGTAGTCAATCATAGCTTGAGTGTAGTAAACCAAACCGTAACCGGTAGCTTCTGGTCTGATCAAAGAACCACCCCAGTTCAAACCCTTACCAGTCAAAACACCTTCCCAGGAGTTTTTGTAGCTTTTGTAGGCACCAAATAGGTAGCCAACTTCACGACCACCAACACCAATGTCACCAGCTGGAACATCAGTGTCTTGACCGATATGTCTGCTCAACTCTCTCATGAAAGCGTAACAGATTCTTCTGATTTCATTGTTGGATCTTCCCTTAAGGTCGACACACAAACCACCTTTACCACCACCTAGAGCTTGACCGGTCAAGGCGTTCTTGAAGATCTGTTCGAAACCCAAAAACTTCAAGATAGACAAGTTGACAGTTGGATGGAAACGTAGACCACCCTTGTAAGGACCCTTAGCAGAGTTGTATTGCACTCTGAAACCAGGAGCGACTTCTTGTTCACCCTTGTCGTTTTCCCAAGTGACTCTGAATTGGATGATTCTCTCCGGAACAGAGACAACTGGCAAAACTTTCTCGTACTTTGGGTGCTTCTCGAACAAAGTAGACTCTCTTAGAGAAGAGACGACTTCGTTGTAGGCTTGTTGAAACTCTGGTTCGTATGGTTGTGCAGACATCTGATTTTTGTGCGGATCTTGAGAAAGATTACAAACGTTACCTATGGCAAAACAGAGTTTTTACTCGCTATATATACTTAACTCGGCTCGCATTTAGCTGCATTACTCGCGATAATGAAAAATCTTTACTCTGGCGCTTATGCGACTACTTGTTATCAATGCCAACGCTTTCCTGCTGTTCTTGAAACTTTAACTGTACCGAACTTTTCTCTAGCCAATGAGAACAGGGAACGCTTTATTGAGTATCTAGTTCTATTGGCTAGCAAAAAAAGCGTTTCTTTCGCCACTCGAAGCTGGCCAATCAAATCTCTGGAATCCTTGCCCGTGACTTAAAAATGCCGAAACCGCGTGTAACATGCCGAGGGGGACGCCTTCCGTATGGCACCCTCAAGAAAAAAATTCATTAAAAGAAACGCCCCGTCATGGAAATTACGTGGGTGCATTAACCGTGGGGGAGGTTATACGTGACAACTAAAATGGCGGCGATAGCCGCAAGTGATCGAGACCTCAATTAACGATCTTTTGCCGCTCATCACGGTCTGGTTTGCCGAAGGTGTTTGCTGGTCGAAGCTAACGAACTTTGCAGCTGGTGAAGAGTACCAAAAAGGTGATGGTGGCCTTGAGGCCAAAAATCAGTGAAAACCTCCATTTGTGTAGGCGCATTCTTGAAACTGGAATTTAGCTAATAGGAAAGTTGTCACTGTATGTTATGTAAGCATTTTTCTTATATTCGTAACTTGAAGATCAGCGTCTCGCATTGAGCTTCGATCCAAGTGCTGCCCCTCAGATTAGCCACCCTTGTAACTTATATCATCCGAAACTCCGAATATAGGATGGTTTTAAGCTATGGAGGCCTTGAAAAGTAATTCCCAGAAGCTATTAATATTTTTAGCATTGAACAAGTCCTTCCATTAGTTCTTCATGAAAAAATGTTGGCCTAAAGTAAAATTTTCTGTATGTAGTATATATCTTCCACCATCGAAGTGGTATGAATCCTTTAAAATGTCCAACACATGTTGATGGCGAGCTTCATGCACCATATTAATGGTAGAATTTTTTTGATACGGGTCGCTCCTCAGGTAGAGTAAATAAACCCTGCCCCTCTCTCAAACGGTATTGAACAACAGTCAAGAGACTGTAGAGAAAACTGAGGATTGGAGTATTAACCCCTAATTCTTTCGCCACGCGCAGTAAATTACCCAAGATTACTTCTAATTCAATAGGATTTCCCTTCTTCACATCCACCAACATGGATGGTTCAAAGTACTCTTCGCCATCCCGATGGAGCGCTGTATTGATCACGTCATCTGGCAGCTCATTCCCATCATACGCAAAATGTTTCAGTTTAAAAACACCGGTATGTTCGCGTGGGTGTCATTGAAGTGCCACGTTGCGACGAGCCAACTAACATTTTTTTACTCTTAAACTTGTTTCCCTTCATCAACATAGAGCAAATTAAAGATCAAAAATAAGATCAAAATTCGCTGTACGAGAGTTTAAATTGACAATCTAACTATACATATAGAGTACGTGTTGCCAACAATTCATATAAATTACGTTGCAGCATTACTATCCTTCAACCAAAAATTAGGCATAGTCTATCCCAACTGACACATAGCCCGTTAATTTATAGTTTACAACATCCGTTTATGCAGCTTTTGTGACTGTTTATGTTTCTGCAAAGGAGAAACCTGCATTAGTTTGTCATCAATCTCTACAGCAAGTAATTCTGACTTTGCATCGCCCGTCTTGATGATGATAAACTTAATGGCGAGCAGGTCGATGGTGCAATCATGTGCATCGTAGGGTAAGAGGAGTGCACATTTCGAGCTGTCAGCGGTATGGCCATAAGCTTTGTAACCTTACCAAATCACTTAGTTCTGAGAGCTTTCTCATTTACAGTTTCAATACTATTTTCGTATTTTTTGATATTAAATATCTGACATCATTCAGATTAAAAAGATGTCATTCTAACAGCACGGATCTCGACGAATATTTACGACCTGATTCTCAACTAATTGAGTGTTTTGGATAGGAACTAACTCCTTAATGGGGGAAGGATATATATATATATGAAATATTCTTTCATTTTCCGCTTTTGATAAAATAGTCTGCTCGACAAGAAAATATACAACTGAAAGTTTTTGTTCGGGTTGACTTTTTGCACTATCTCCTATCTCATTCATAAGCCCAGGAAGCTCTTATAGTGGTGATATAACTAGCTTTCATTTTTCCAAAAAAAAAATGGCTTAAGAATTCTTGCGACTATTGCCAATATTAGTAGAATTGGGACTTCCAACAGTGGTCCAAATGTTGCGGCTATTGATTGCTTACTACTATTGCCGTACAATGAAATAGCAACCGCTAAGGATAATTCAAAATTATTTGAAGCCATGGTAAAGCATTGTGTCATCGTAACAGGAAAGCTAGCATTACAAGAGCGTTTTCCCCAAGCTCGCTTTAAAACTAATTCTTTGTCACAATAACATTCTCCTTGAATATTATTCTTGGAAACCGATAAATACCTCATCAATGCAAAAGTCGAAAACCATGCAGTAAAGAAATAAAGGACCAACGGAACAAAACACAGTATTGCAGAGCCTATTTCATGGATGAATTGATAACCTCTACTAATAAAAATAACAAATAAAGTGTAATGGAACCCAATAACTGACCATGGAGAAATAAATTTCAAGATGTATTTGTCATAGTTACTTTTACCGACCATAGCAATGCTCACCATGCGTAAACTAATTCCAATTCCTAGAGGTATACCAAGAAAAACACCAACAGATTTTGCAACCTCTTCAAACATTGCTCTTATTGAAGCATCAAGATGATCATTCGAAATCAAATAGCAGTAGACTATTTGCAATGGTGCGTAGAATATCATTTGAAGAAATGAGTTCATAACAACAAGCACAACGCAAAGATCATTATCTCCACCTGCGATTTGATTCCAAGTCAAAACCATGGCAATACATCTAGCAATTCCAATCATAATGATGCCCTGACGGTATTCCTTATAATTGAAAAGTGCCATCCAAGCCAGTGCTGTCATCAATAAAGGACCAACAACCCAATTTAAAAACAAGGAAACTACTAACTGCTTCTTCACATATTCATTCTTCAAATAATTGTGAATGGATTCCCAGGAAACCTTACAAATTGGAGGAATCATCATCGCGATCATGCCAACAGTCAGAGGAACGGATACTCCTAGCAGATTGGGATGGCCCTCGGCATCAAAAGTGTGACGGGAAGCGGGCACGTAGACGGAAATTATTACTGCTATAACCATGGACATAACAATAGTAAAAGGCATCATCAGGTCTGTCCATGATAACGATCTGACAATATTCAGAATCTCAGTGCGATCCATTGTGTTAATGCTAGTTGGCAGCGCAATGCCACTTTTTTGGTATTCTTTCATCGCTCAACTTGGACAAAGAAATTGAAAAGCAAGTATTCAGACCATAGGTCCTCCCATTTGTATGCAATTTTATTTAACTAAGTGAAAACTGTTACTTTTTAAGTTTGATTATCAATCAAATATCGGGAAAATTACGTAGAAAGAATTGATTTAAAATCAGTTGCTCAAAAAAACTGATAGCAAGACAAACAATCAAGAATTATGTGAGCAGAAACTTAAATTAGTGGGTAGAACGATAGTTTTCACTACCTCTAGTTAACAGCGGTTTAATTGACCACCCAAAGAAAGATTCCCAGGTACTGACCTTTGAAGAAACTAATACGCACGTGATCATATTATCAATATTTCGGCACGTTCCAATAAGGACGCCGGTTACAGGAAAACAGTCAATTAATAGCTAAAAAGCTGTTGGAATGTATTCTCAACTTCTCAGTTCCACTATAGTATGCCCAATAATTGGAGACCGAAAACAGCCGTGAATTTTGAAGCCTATTTGAAACACAAGGCATGCCAGGTTAGCCTGAGATCATGCTCTTATTGCGGGTATTTTGTGAAGGTTATTTCAAGTTGATGTTAGTTAATGAACCGCTTAAGCTCAGTCGGCGTTGTCTTCAAGCATGCGGTTATATTATAAGGTAATGGAGAGTCGGGTGCTCGTTCTTTATGATATCATGCAATGCTATCGCTGTGTGAATGTGAACCATTTTTTGAATTAGCGTTAATGAACTAATGTATGTAGTAGAAACAAAAACGACGATAAATTTAATGATGCCAAAACCGCGTGGCAGAAAGGGAGGAAGGAAGCCTTCACTTAGTCCTCCTAAGGATAAAAGAACTGCCCAGCTAAGGGCTTCCCAAGTTGCATTTCGAAAACGAAAATTAGAAAGATTAGCAGAATTGGAGAGGAAAGAATCCCAACTTACAAAATTACAATACGAGAATCTCATATTGACGAAAGAGAAAGGAATCCTCTTTCTCATGCTGAAGAATCTTTTGACCGGTCAAACCTTAGCTTCTAATAAGAAAAACATCTGCGAAGTGAGTTGTACAAATCGTTCATCCCCTGATATCATTGTCGGTGATAATATTCTAGTTCCTACAATGCACTTTTCATCTGAAACACATAAATGCTACGCGTTTTTTTCAGAGCTGCTTCCAGTTTGCGGTAGAAAGAAATGCGTACTCCCGTCATCTCTCGATTGCAATGCTCGACCCATACGTCCTGGAGACTGTGCAAATTTGTTCACTGATCTATTAGAAAATTCTTTTGCGAATAACCTCCTAAACGAGAATCGCGGCTTTTTCGATTTCAATATGGAATACGATGAACTCTTCTATCCACCTAATGAAACTCAACTCACGGATACAACTGCTTCAGTTGGGGAAATGCTTTCTTCACTTGAAACGGAATTAGAGAGCAAGGTGAATTACCGCGGAGTGGATTTAGATAAGTGCCACGCTACTGACATGTTTGAATCAGATGTTCTCTTAAGGGCAATTGATATTTGGCATTTTATGAGAACACATTCAAAGGCTCACGCACTTGACTTTGAAAAGTTAGGGAAAAAACTCAAAAAGCATGCTATTTGCTCGGACTTTGATATTCTAATTAGTCTCAAGCAATTCATTACGATTTTTTCGTCGAACTTGTGATATTTTTGTCACTCAAGGGAGGTAGTATTTTATACTTCACAAACTTTATGTCTCCCATTTTTTATTTGAAAGGTAATGTCAGAGGCGAAGTACAAGTTTTTTTTATATTTGTGTAGTAATCAAACTTGTGTCGTGATATGTAACCAAATCTACGACCTTCGAAAATCATTCCCCTTTACTCTTCACAGGAACAAAAGAAGCTTTAACAGCTTCAAGTTGTTAACTTGAACTTTGTGCAATACCTTCTCATTTTAAGGCTAGGTAATGGGCGAGTGCAGGTCAAAAGAAGCGTCCGTTACTTGTAATCGTCGTAAGAAAAGGTGCTCAGATGGCTTGCCGTGTGAATATTGCACCAGGATCGGAAAACTCCTGGACTGTGAATATCGAACAAAGGTACCCTCTAAAACGGTAAGAGTTACTGAAAGATACTTTATAAACTTAAAGAGATAAAAGACCTAGAAGCTCAATTTAACCCTGCGAAGGCCTTAGAGTCAACTGATGAATCTCCGATATTAGTCCAGTAACAAGCGAGGATAAAAAAGCTAGCATATCTGGAGGGGTTACTCCAGAGAGTATTGAAGTTCGCATGAGTCGTCACAATTACTATTTCGGTGATTCTGCCCGTGGAAGGTTTCTGCATAAAATCGAACTCTCTCTGGTGAATTCTTGAGAATCAATTAATGATTTTAGGACTTCAAAGATAAGACAAAATTAATTGATACATCCCCTAATATTGCTTTGATTAAATCTCTGGCTTCAGAAAACTGCCCTTCAGTATGAGAAGCCAAGAAATGAATTGCAGTCGCTTCAAAGAATTGGCGCAGATTACATTTTTATGGTACCCAACTAGGACAATGATATCATGAGATCAGTCGTCTACAACACCGAAGTCAAAGGTGCCAACTTTTTTGAACATGCTACTCAGTTAGCGAAATTTTTTTCTTATTTGGCTCTGGGTTGTCTCTTTTATGAAGATAGCTTTCACTGAAAATGTGCAATTCAAGTTTCCGGATTCTCGTTACTTCAAATTTTTTGCATTGAAACTTCAAGGTGAACAAGGTGAACGAGGTGAACTGTTGAAAGTCTGAAAGGATAGCAGATGGCGCGATGGTACATCCTTCTTACGTATCATATTATTCCCTATCGCTAGATAAATCGGAACTGGCATTCATACTGATTGGGAGTGCCATCCGAATGATGCTTACGCTAGGGTTTCACAAAAACAAAAAAGTCAAATACTACACAAAAAAAATGATTCTGGCTTTATTTTGTTTATGACAGGTTTGCTGCACTGCGATTTGGATTCCACTTATGATTGACGAATTGGATATCGATGTTCCCCTGTGGATTGAGGGCGGTACTTCCCTCCGATTTGTTTCTTTGGCCATATACCATTTTTTTTTCCAGGCAAACTGGCAAGGATCACTACACATATTCTTAGAAAGAATTATAACCACAACTCTTGTTCCTTCATTCAGAATTGCAACACTGTTCTAAATCAGCTCAGGAATTGGCTGGATGATCTCTCTAGCGAGCTTGAACTCAAATACAAAGATTTTGATACTGATAAGTCCAGGCCAACTGTTAATCTTCACATAAACTACAACTATTCTTATTAGGAACTCCTTTAAAATAACAGGATACATCCTCTCAAAAATTTCAGAATCGGTCATTCTGGTGTTTGTCATATTTGTATGAACGGCAGTGGTGCCATCCCATCCAAACCCTATCCACAAATCTTCACCAGCACTGTAGCTGCCACAATAGTTTCGTAGTTCCCGAAACCTCGAGATGCCACACCTGTAACCGGATCTTTACCACTAGCACCGAAAGTAAAGTTGTTACAATCACCCTGAGAATTAGCCATAATGTTGAGCGTTTCTGATATGACGTCAATAACTCTTTGAAAAGTTATCGCATTTCCACCAGCAACACCAATAACGTAAAATTTACTGTAGAAAATATATATCATCCACCATTGAAGTGGTATGAATCCTGTCAAATATCCAACACATTTTGATGGCGAGCTTCATGCACCATATTAATGGTAGAATTTTTTTGATACGGGTCGCTCCTCAGGTAGAGTAAATAAACCCTGCCCCTCTCTCAAACGGTATTGAACAACAGTCAAGAGACTGTAGAGAAAATTGAGGATTGGAGTATTAACCCCTAATTCTTTCCCCACGCGCAGTAAATTACCCAAGATTACTTCTAATTCAATAGGATTTCCCTTCTTCACATCCACCAACATGGATGGTTCAAAGTACTCTCCGTCATCCAGATGGAGCGCTGTATTGATCGCGTCATCTGGCAGCTCAATTCCATCAGCTTTTGCAATCGCAAGAACTTCATGCATGGCGGGTAGGGCAATGGAGTCAAGCCCACCAGCATTTTCCAGCCTACCTGTGTCAACACCCGTAAGAGCGCAAGTTGTGTTCAAAGTCGCATTGTATATGAGCTTTCGATATCTGTGCTCTCTTTCATTTTGAACGTAAATAGGATTGTTCTTTCCGTTGCTATACAAGGACACAAATTCACGAGTCTTCAATTCCTGTAAGTCCTCCGGTAAGTTGGGGTTTTTTCCGGATCCTATGAAGCATTTATCAGTCTGGGTATGGTGCACATTTCCATTTGTATTATGTGAACCGACGTATGTCACACCAGAAATGACAACATTATTAGGGAATTTTGCAATTATTGGACGGCACAAGTCGAAACCATTTTGAATGAGAACAACTGAAGTAATTTTTGGGGTCACAACAGGTTCAATCAATGCTTCAATTTTCATGATATCGGGCAAGTTTTTCGTGGTGATAACAACGTAATCATAGATATCACCAGACAAACTGGCTGCAGAAACAGATGGATAGACATTGAGAGGACGCCAACCTTTAACGCTACCATAGTCAATTGATTCGATATCGTATCCTTTCTCATTGACCTTTTCATAATCCCTCCTTACAACAATAGACAAGTTAGATTTTTTTGCGTAATCGATTCCGCATGCTACTATAGTTCCAACACCACCAGTACCAATTAATAACACATTATACTTATGGGACATATCGTACCTGCTTCTTGATGATTGCAACTTTTTTCACCCTGATTATTGCTCTTGGATTACGGTTCCAAAAGAGTGCTATTCGATGAGCTCATATACTCTGCAGTTGAGATACAACATTGTATGTTATTGCAAATCTTATCGAGTTCGGGATGCGTTATCCTTCTTAGATACAAGTTTCGCTGCTGATTATGATGACATTCGCTGTTTATCAAAATGTCCGGTACCGGCAAAAGTTTTCCGACTTTCCTTTCTTGTACAATTATACGTTAAAAGTGATATATAACTTTCAATCTTGATATCAACCTTTAAAAAAGGCACTAATTTAGTAAGGTTTCGCATTTGTAGCAATTTTAGATAGAGTAAATTCCATACAACGTCGCCCTTGAAACAGTGATGAAAATCATGTACGAAATGTCGTTCCAGTCTTCTGTATCCTGATTTGTGGGCAATTATATAGTATTTTATCATCCTGTGTTTGCATCGCAGATATGGATGACTATCAAAACAATATTGCCAGTTTTATAATTATGCCGGTGTCACGAATGATCTCAGTTTCTACAAGCCAAGATACACTATTCACGACAAAACTGTAATCGATAATGCTTTTGAGGACATTATCTCCATTAACGAATTCTTCAGCAGAATCATTCTACATTTTTGGATAACCTCACAGTTTTTGTTTGTACGTGATTCTTTATCCGTTCAAATACCAAGACATATATAAATTATTCAATCTCCAGCATACGGGTAATGAAATACTATTTTACATGAACACAGCAATTCAAAAAATAAATAGACAAAGATCCAATGACGGCATGCGCTATGTGTATCTAAAAGGGTGTGGGTGGGTTTGACGTAATTTTACTCGTCTAATAAAAAGCTAGAATAAGGTGGAGTAGATAATTCTTCGGCAGCTCTAGCAACTTCTGAAAAAAAATAAACACTATATCAGTTGTATTGAAATTCGTTTCCGAACATAACACTTACGAGAAATCCCAAAAATATGATTATCATATTGACGAAAAAGCTTAAAAGAATGTCACTCGTACATAGGTATTCACTACGAATTAACATCTAGAAATCTTGTAGAGGCGACTCTTTTAAGAGAGTCTGGCATTTGAAGACTATTATACATCTAAATAAATAAAGTTTAACTGTCCTGCGGATTAATTTTGTGGAGCACAACCGTGCGCCTAGTTGATTTAAGTGAGTCCCGTTATCTCGTGTACCGCTCTCTTCTTCAATGTCCACATCGAAACTGGCATTATCGTTCATAAAACTGACCAATTCACTGGCATCTTCGTTATGGATGGCCAATTAATTATTCGTCAGCTCTACCCAAAAAATGATCGTTAGTGAGCAAAGAATAGCCGGGGCCACTTCTACTGCGAGAAAATATAGATCCTAATCGTTCGACTGCCATTTTCCTTTGTCGGTTGAAAAATTGAGCTACCACGGACGTCACAGTAAATGCAAAAACGCCGAACTTCAGAATTGCATTAACAGCATGATCAGTTTGATTTTCTTCAATTAGCTCTTCATCACCTAGTCTAATCTCACCAAACCGAGCGAACCCACCATTTCTTTTGATTCCCCGATCGTAGAAACCGTGTGGCGAAGATAAAAATAAAAAGCGGTAATCCAATGATGAATACTAATGAAATCCTGTTAACCTTGTATTTTTCATTAAACTCTTTTTCTTTCCCTGGACATGCCTTTGGCACGGTAGCTTTGTCCAATTCTAAACCCCTCACACAAGTTGACATCGGAATTTTTCTTATCCTGTAGGGTCGAAATATTCTAGGGCATCTGTTTTCTTACAAATATTACTAGGTTCAGATGGATCCAAACCTTCGACCAATTTACAGGTGCCGTCTTTAGCCTTACAGCCGTTGTAATCACACTCGAAATCATTTCTGGTACAGGAACAGTTTTTCACAATTCTTACCATTTCCTTGAGTGGAGCGGCGCCATTGTAACAATCATAATTTATTTTCTTCAAGTATTCCGCCTGGTGTCCAAACAAACACTCGGACCCTGGGTTGGCAATTGGGGCATAATCGTAATCGTCATTCCTTTCGTTTTCGAAATCGAGGACACATTGTCTATTGAAGCAACCCGAGAAATCTAGCGTGAAAGTCTTGGTTTTTTGACCTTTAACATTTGGTGACGTTGCAACTATCATAAATCTCATCGCGGAATCCTGAGGAACAGTGACAATATACGTCCACGAACAAC